CCAATTTTTTTGTTATTTTTTTCCAAATTTTTGTTTACCTTTTTGTTGGGGTTCCAAAATATTTTTTTTTTTTTTTTTTTTTTTTTTTTTTTTTTTTTTTTTTTTTTTTTTTTTCGCACCTCCCATCGAAACTTCTCAAGCACTGCAATTCTTTCTACTAATAAACAAACAGAGCTGAGGCTTATCGACTTATCATAGCAAAGAACGCAAGCATAACAGTTAAGTAGACCCGTCGCAATTCGTATCTGAAGCTATTGGTTGAAGGCACAGCACCTTGAAAAAGAGAAAAGAAAGATAAAACAAAGAAGCATACTTGAAACATATTAGAATCAGAAACACATTGAATACAGAATAGATTTTGCCCCTAATATGTCTTTACTTCGATCTCCTGTCGTTCAAAAGCCATACCAGCTATTCCACTACTACTTTCTATCAGAGAAGAGACCAGGTAACACGTTGTCAGATTTGTCATTCGAAACAAACCCAAAACTTACCATCAATCAATTTCTCCATAGATCATGGTCTTACAGAGAAATCTTGCACTATTCATTTTTATCATCCATCATCTTTTTCGTGTTTATAATATTTCCAGCCAACTTTTTCCTAAAATTGTTGATATTGTCGGCATTTATAACATGCTTCATCATCCCGTTGACTTCCCAGTTCTTCGTGCATGCATTGCCGATTTTCACCTGGTTGGCGTTATTCTTTTCAGCGGGTAAGATCCCCACGTCTTGGAAGCCTGCCATTCTGGTGAAGGTATTGCCTGCGATGGAGACCATTTTGTATGGTGATAACTTGTCAAATGTCTTGGCCACAATTACCCTGACGTTATTAGACATTTGGGCATGGTTACCCTACGGATTGCTCCACTTTAGTGCCCCCTTTGTAGTAGCTGCCTTCATATTTGTGTTTGCCCCACCCACCTCATTGAGGTCGTACGGATTCGCATTTGGTTACATGAACTTGTTGGGAGTTATGATTCAAATTTTGTTCCCTGCTGCTCCTCCTTGGTATAAGAATAGCCATGGATTAGAACCTGCCAACTATTCAATGAGTGGATCTCCAGGTGGACTTGCCAGAATTGATGAATTGCTCGGGGTCGATATGTATACTTCCACATTTTCAAACTCCCCTGTTGTATTTGGAGCTTTCCCCTCTTTGCACTCTGGTTGTTCTGTAATGGATGTGTTGTTCTTGTGCTGGTTGTTCCCTAAGTACACTGTTCTTTGGTGGGGCTATGCTTCGTGGCTCTGGTGGAGTACCATGTATTTGACTCACCATTACTTTATTGACCTTATTGGAGGAGCAGCTTTGTCATTCATCGTGTTCAACTACACCAAGTATATGCATTTACCTGTTATCAACCACAAATTGTTTTGTCGTTGGTCTTACACCCAGATTGAAAGAATTGACATTATTAACTCTGATCCATTATTGAATTACAGCGCCAACTACAACCAGGTGGAAGATATCGAAATGGGAACTGTTGATAATAACCACAGTCTTCCAGGAGCAAACTTTTCGTATTTCTACAACAAGTCTGTAGCTAATGACATGCCAAGGTTAGGATCTAGATCGAGGCAACAGTCCAGAGCTGATCTTTCCGAACCTTCGCTAGCTGTTGGTACTTCCAGATTGAGATCCACATCCTCATTGAGCCTTGGTGCACATAACGAGGAAGAAGAGCCTGCTAGAGACGATGTAGAGACCTTTTCTCAGTCATCTATGGAGCACAGTTCAGTTCCATCTGTATTCGATGGAGAAAACTATAATAACGAAAGAAGAAACATCTCGTCTAACGCTTCGAATTCTCTGCTAGATGAATTGATCGAAGAACCTACTCCAACTAATAATAAACCAGACACCAGGAGTAGATAGGGATAGATAAATTGACAGAGAGGGAGAATCTGAAAGAAAGAAAGTGAGAATGAGAGAAAGGGAGAATAAGAAAGAAAGAAAGAAAGAAAGAACGAGAGAGAGAGAGAGAGAGAGAGAGAGAGAGAGAGAGAGAGAGAGAGATAATCACCTAATTATATTAATGACTTAATAATCACGTTTCCTGCATTACTTCACTACTGTAGCCCTACATGTACCATCTGCATTTAGTTCTTTTCTATTATGTGTGTATTCTTTTACGAATGTATGCTATTTACAAATCATTAGCCTCTTGACGGCACCTCATCTATTCCCTGGGAGTGCTCTTGTACGCTCTCTCGAAGGATACTCCAGTGTTCAAGTTCTTTTCAGTTTTATTCCTCATGATATTCGCACGAAGGATTCTTGGATCTCTTAATAATGTTCTTAACAATTCTTGTTGCACCTTGGTGGAACAATCAAAACCCATCATGAAATAGTGGCCCTGGAAATGCTTTTCCTGTTCCTTTTTAAGTATTTTAGGCAAGTTCTTTGCTCCCATATTTGTGATTGATCTGATGATCCCTCTGTTGGCCAAAATCAACTTTCCCACCGTGGAAACAATCTTCACCGCTTCCTTATTCGACTTGAGAGGGTCCGATATTCTGGCAATAGCCATAAGTTCGTAAAACATCGTGAAGTATGGCCTGTAACTCGGAGTAGTCTGGACTTCGCTACGAGTCTGTTAAGCATTGAGTGAAAAATTGAAATAAAAAAGGGCCAAAAAAAAAAAAAAAGTCACAAAGAGGTAGATCATGTGACGCGCACACGTGATCATTTTATCATGCTGAACCACAGCTGTCTCGCTAGATGATGATGTAGCTTAGCTCTGCAGCTTTAACGAAAAACGTACTCAAAGCATGAGCCTACGCGGATTTGTCAATCAAGGTTGCCGGAAGGGTTCTTTATGGAATACAGGCTTTGGTATTACTTCTTGGGCAATGTTAACTGGGTTCGATGCTCATGGCCCACTTCGCTACGTTGTACTCTAATTGCGTCCTTTTCTCTCCATTAAATTTCGAAGCTGAGTGACATCCGTCTTATAACTTCACCTCTTCACTTCCTTCCCGTACTCTTCCTCTACTGGACCTAAACTGACCACTCTACCACCTCATATCTTTCTCCAATTCTCCCAATATTGCAGCATCGTAGTCAAACAAACGCTTATATGCACAACCAATTCTGATTATACTGCATCACGTGTTATGAGGAAAGGTAAATATGCAACCAAAAATTTTCACTCAGTACCCCAACCTAAGTCTGATACCGTTGACAGATTCGCCAAGTACCATGTCTTAGATTAATTGTAATAAATTCTCTTGATTTTTTTTTCCCATTTCTCTTCCTTTCTTCTTTTTTTTTTTTCCCCCTCCCTTCTTTCCTTTCTCTTATCCTCTTGATCTTACTATTGATTTACCTATACCCTATATAATAAAATGGCTACCAATATCACCTGGCACGAAAACCTTACCCACCAAGAGCGTTCAGATTTTCTTAAGCAAAAAGGTGTCACAGTGTGGCTCACTGGTTTATCAGCATCAGGTAAATCCACAATCGCTTGTGCATTAGAACAATCTTTGCTTGCAAGGGGTCTTAACTCTTATCGTCTTGATGGTGATAACGTAAGATTTGGCTTAAACAAAGATTTAGGTTTCAGTGAAGCTGATAGAAATGAAAATATCAGAAGAATTAGCGAAGTAGCCAAGTTATTCAATGATTCATGTTGCATTACCTTAACTTCTTTCATTTCTCCATATAAGCAAGATCGTCAGTTGGCTAGAGAATTACACGAAAAGGATAACCTTCCTTTCGTTGAAGTTTATGTAGACGTTCCAGTTTCTGTAGCAGAAGAAAGAGATCCAAAGGGTTTATACAAGAAGGCTAGAGAAGGTTTGATTAAAGAATTCACTGGTGTAAGTGCTCCATATGAAGCTCCAGAATCTCCTGAAATTCACTTGAAAAACTACGAAGGTGTATCTGTAGAAGATGCTGCACAACAAATTATTCAATATTTACAAGACAAAAAGTATATTTAGAGCTATTTAATTAGATAATATATAGAGAAAGATAATCCAACATCGAAAAAAAAAACAATAAACGAGAAGAAGAAAATAAAAAATAGTGTAAGTATTCTCATTAGATTCTCATTATCTTTCATTGAGTGCTGCACGGAGATGGAGAAAACGGTATCAGTGGATCACATTTAATGGGTATCCACATTAATAAACCATCGAATTTTGGAAAAAATCAAAAAAACCATTCGGCGTTTCGCAACACCTTTTAGGTCGGATCCCTCTCCCTATGCAGCCTGATGGTTCAGTCGAAGCGGCGCTCCACTCAATAAAGATAAATGCGAATTGAAAAGTGGTATATGGAAGTGGTTGCGGATGAGTCGTCAGAGAAATTTACGTGCATGGCGACGGTCCCATAAATTACTATGTATTTTACTTCTTTAAGCTATCTAATCTGGCCTGTAAATCATCTTCGTCACTACCCCCAGTAGCCCCAATTGGCTCAGCCAACTTCTTGTTACTGACTTCACTTTCAGGCACAACTCCCAACAGAGTTGGCGTATCTTTCAAGTTGGTATTCAAATCCACTCCAATTTCATCTAATACCTTACTCAAGATCTCGTCTATCTGCTCATCCTCACCTAATTCATCTTCATCCATTGCCATCGCATCATCTATAGCGTCATCCATGAACTCTTGCTTTTGGTCCATCATATCGTTTTCCTTTGCAAACTCTTGAGCGATTCTCAGTAATTGAGGTAAGTTCATGGATCTGTTCATGCCTCCTAAAACCCTCGTAGCATCTCTCATCGAGGTCGCCATCTGCTGGTTGGATCTAACCGATTGAATTCTTAAAGAAATGGCTTGCAACTGAGCCTTCATCGAATTGAACTTGGTTATGTAAGACTTGGTTCTAATAAGATCTTTGGCTTGAATCTTAGCACTAGCAATCTGTCCCAGTTTGGCAGACTTTTTAATCTCACCGATTAACTTCTTCTCTTGAGATTGTAATTTGGTGACTTCCTTGGTTAATTCACGTTGAGTCTTTTCAAGAGCCCTTTGATTCTTCCTAAGCCGTTCCTGCGGCGTAAGTTTCTTGCCGAATGCCCATTCAAATATAGCTGACATGGCTAACAAACTAACCAACTATCTGATAGACTTACTTAGACAAAGGTAAAAGGTTCTCTTCATTTCTGGATTGAGTATTTTGATAGCTCAGGCATTTCCCTTTTCAATGGCAAGTACTGCATACAGCGCGATAACACCGGACTAGTACTGAGTGATAACGGGAATATTTTATGGGTGCAACCTTTTCTTCCTAAGTCATAGTGGGGCAGGTTGATCTCTTACAAGGTTAATAGGCAAATTTTAGTATGAATTTGGTATCTATATAAGTATTCGAATCTTAGTTTTTTCTATTGTACTTGTAAATCGGAAAGATGGGGCCATGATTTTTCTTGCTGTGGTACCATCTTCCTCTTATCTTAGATCTTAGTTTCTTTGGCAATTGCCAATCTGGCTGCTTTCTCTCCCATACCAAATCCAGCTTGATAACCGTAACCACTTGCACCGTAATTATGAACTACAATTTTTCCTTCATCGATTAATTCTCTTTCAATTCTAACACCTCCATGCCTACTAGGACGTAAGCCCGATACTACCCTTAAAATCTCTACATCCTTGAGATTTGCACCTCCAGAGTTTTCATTCAATATCTTGGGAAATAATGTGGTAGTCCTCCGTAAAATATCCTTTGTTTGCTCGCCAAAGGTGTCAGCAGTCCAGTTGTCCTTTTCCATGAACCCACCAAGAATTAACTGATCATTAGAATATGGCCTTTTGATTATATATGTCGCAAAGTCAGATCCCCAAAACATAACGTTTTCCTTGATATGAGGAGCCTTGATAACCACAACTTGGCCCCTCGTTGGGTAGCATTTGGTGTCGTTGACCCCACCAAGCTTGTGAGACCCAAGTCCTGTACAGTTCAACACGACTTTGGTTTCTGCAGAAACGAAACCTTGCGAGATGTGGGTTAATGTTTTTCTAACTATTTTCACTCCTCTGGTGAACGCAAGGTAATCATGAAAGTTGGAGAGAAATTTAGGACAGTTAAAACTCCAGGATAAGAACTTTATACCGTAGGCACAATTGGCTGGCAATTTTTCTACAGGGGTCTCCTCGTATTGATCTAAATAGGACTTCAAAGATTCAATTTTCACTGGTGGAGGTTTATGCTCCCAATGCTCATATGAAGTACACCTATCTAATCCACAAGATGGTCCGCCAAGTGCCCTTTGGATTCTGCCCAAGCTCAAGTAAGTTAGCTTGTCAAAATGTAGAGTCTCAGGGTCATTCCCGGTAATACACAGAAAGTTCCCTCCGGCATAGGGAGAGGTATAATTTATGGATTCATCACCTGGTAAGTATTGCGCAACTATGGTGATGTCCTTAGCCTTCACACCTTTATCAAGAAGGTTAAAAGCTGTGTACAAGCCAATTATTCCAGCACTAAAAACAGAAATGTTAGTTTTTTGAGGGAGTTTTGATCATAAATAACCAATCACACTTACCCAACTACAACGTATTTAGTCATATTTCGAGATAGAGAAGGAGCACTAGAGATGAAATAGTGGTGTTACTCTAACACGTACAAAAATCGGTAGTTAGCAAAATATTGCGCTACAGATAAACCGAGTCAATTTTTTTTTTTTTCGCTGTGACTCTACTGGTATAAACTTTAGATGGTTACATGTACGTAGTTATTCTAAGTTATATGCTATTGTTCGGTATTATCCTTCCCTCTTTCCAGACTATACAATTGCCTTGTATAAGCATGCTAAATAATTTATAAGTTTTGAACGGATATTTTAAACGTTCGTCTGAGGTTGAATGTCCTAGTGACCAATGCCTAATGTGCCTCGTTAATCACAGTACGCTCTGTAAGCTCGTAGTTACTCTTTTCTGCTTCAAGGATTTTGTAGAGTTTTTTGATAACTGCCTCACTGTTGTCGGCCTTAACATCTTCCATACCATACCTGTAGATAGAAAAGATCCCGTAAAGTCCAAGAAACGTAGAAATTGCTAATGCAATGTAACCTTTCAAGGTGAACCCTTCAGGTAATGCAGCAAATTGAAGGTTTTCACCGCTTAAATCTAACCACAGCTTCAGGTTTCCAGCTGCATTACCAGAAGTGCCAACCTGAGCAAGTGCACAAGCTTCTAAATGACTAGGTGGTAAACCATTCTTCAAGCTCTCTTTCACTGCAGTTGGCGCCTCCACCAAGGTAAGTGCCAAACCTTGCTCCAAGTGCCAATCAACATGGCAATGGAAGAACCACACACCAGGGTTATCTGCCTTGAATCTTAAAACAACAAAGCCATTGGCTTCGATCACTATAGTATCACGTTGCATTGGAATTTCTGGGAAGTCATTGTGTTCTGGGTTTTCCGGGTCGTAGGTTATAGGGTTTTCTTCATCTTCTCCTTCTTCCAGTCTTGAAAGAACCTGGAAAGTGTGGCCATGGAGATGAAATGGGTGAGTACCAGGGTCTTGATTATTAACAATTATTTCAATTACTTCGTTTTCCTTCAAAACAAAGGTGTTTGTATTGGAGCCATAAATTTGAGAATTTTCCAAAAGATCATCATCTGCAGACATCACTGTGTATAAAGTTGGAACCTTTGGTGCCGTGTAAGATATGCCGTTGAACATGGCATATTGAACACCATTGCCAAGAGTGTCCATGGTGAAGTTAACAGTTATCTGATAATCTGGGTGGTCAAATATTGGTTCCTTCAGCAATGGGACTAAATTGAAATCGTCCAAAGGTTTTAACTTGGATGTAATGAGGTCGTACAGCTCAGGAGAGTTGTCAAGTGGTTCTGGTAACCCCTTTTTGTTCCCAGCGTATTCCATCCAACTCGTGCCAATGAGTTGAAGATCTTCAGGAAGGAAATCCAACATCAGCTTTTCAATAATATTTACAAATCTAAATGCACTTTGGCCCTGTCTTTCAAGTTCGCTTGCCAGCTTTGTCTTTACTATCAATCCATATCTCTGCGCTACAGATATTAAAATGCTTTTGGTTTCATAGGGAATCACAGGTACCCCGTCAATCTCAACAACAGTGAAAGTATGGCCCTCAAGATAGAGGTGCTGTGATACAAACATACCCATGTTCACCACTTGAACCAAATAAGTCGTTTCCGGTTCCACCGTCCAGGTACTATTCTTCGTGTCGTTGAACAAGGAATTTTGAGGGATAGGCTCAGCACCGGTTGGATTGAATTTATTTAAAAAGGAATGCATGATATCTGAAGATTCCTCGTGGTACCAGTCACTTATGGTAAGAGGAACTGCAGCATCGTACTTGAGCTTTGACAATGTCAGCAAGCATCCTTCATCGGACTCCGCACAAGTTGGAGCATCAAGCAGCAGTCCCTCTTTTGGCATAACGATAAACATTCCTCTCAAACCGTCACTATACTGACTTCCTGAATGAGAGTGGTACCAGTAAGTACCAGTTTGGCCAGTAACGGTGAAGTTGTAGGTGAAGGTATGTCCAAACGGAATAGGGCACTGAGTGACCATTTGAGGGCCGTCCATCCAAGTAGAGCCCTGTTGAAAAAGTCCATGGAAATGTAATGAGGTGTTCTTGCCTTCCTCCAACAGGTTAGTTAAGTGGATTATTACCCTGTCATCCTCTTTAATCTTAATTATGGGCAAGGGCCATTGTTCATTCAATGCGATCACTCGTCTCTCGTGAACACCGTCTGGGTTCCTGAGAACATAAGACGCATTAAAGTTAAAAGTGTGAGTTTCACAACTTCCAAAGAGTGCCAAAGAAAGAGCTAGCAATACACAGGAAAATATAGGTAGCATGAAGACGTAATGGGTATGGTTAAGGAAGAACCAATGCCTCTCTTCTGCTCTTCTCTTTGTTTAAATCATCGAATCGACATTGGCGCTCCGCATGCAGGCCAATAAACTACGCCGCACCGTGAGGTTGCACACTGACAGCCCGTACAACGAACTATTCCTTCAGGAGATAGTGTAGTTGTTCTAAGATTCGGCCAGGGTTTCAGTGCTTACTATACATCGATTCAGTAAACTTAGGCTGTTTGCGTACTTTTTATTTATAAATATATGTGTATATATGTATTTTATACTAACTGCCGAATGTCTTTAATTGTATTTGTTGCTCATCCTTTTCATTCTCCACAGCTTCATTCTCGGTATGTCTTGGAGACTTAATTATCTGTTCAATTCTAACTCTTTGCTGGTTGGTCAATACATTTTTAACAACGGTCTTGAATGAGACAGGGTTTTGTTCAGCCAAAGCTACTATCTTCCCATGTACGTATTCATTAGTTAATTGCTTGTTCTGCAACTGAATGAGCAATAACAGCACCAAAACACTAAATATTTGAACAGATGCACCTTCTTCTCTATTGTTGGCTTCATAATGCTTTGCAAAAGTAAATAAGATCTCCATAGCAATCTTAGAGTCAACTTCGCCATCACCACTGACTAATAATTCAATAAGATTCTTCACTAAATATTTAACCACTTGACTTTTAGTTGAGTATTGAATCAAGGTCTTAATACATTGGATTGCCATAGATGCATTATTTGATCCAACTTCCAACATTTCAATTAAAGTGGTTCCTAGCTTTTCATTATTCTCTGAACTCAACTGCACGTCTCCACTAGTAAGAAGAATCATAGTAGTAAGTACAGAGTTAATATTAGCTTTAGAAATAGTGTAGTAGCTCTGCACCAAGTCGCTGAATGGAGTAATTAAATCAACGTCCTTACCAGTCTTCAGTTCGGTCAATACTTGCTTGAGATGTGGTAAAATGGTACTAATAAGTAATTGGTTGTCAAATTGATATATCTTTGTAAACATGAATAAAAGACATGAGTATAAATCAACTCTTAACGTGTCTGGAAATTTACTCATCATCTCGACGATACTAGCAAAACATTTTTTCAATATAATCAAATTTGGTGCACTGTCAGCATGGTTTAATGTAGATATGGATTCCAAGGATTCATCATAATCAGATCTTAAGAATGGTAAGATCTTGAAAATTGGTAACATCGCAACTCTAATAATTTCGAATAACTTCTCAAAACTTTCTTTACCTGTATCAAAACTGTCGATTCTTGGCACATATACTTTGAAAATGGAATTTAAAATTTCGATCAACTGACATTGGACTTCAGGATTTTCATCAATGAGAATTAATCTATCGAATAAATCAACTAATTCACCAAAAATTTCTTCATTGAAAATGTATTGCGTGACTAATGCATTACTCAGATTAACCAATCTATTAATAGTATGCAATACTTCTCCGTAATCAGCTTGCCCACCCTTTACTAAAGTTTCAACGCATTGACTGAAAAGGATGAAAAAGAAGTTGCTACTATCTTCAGAATTATTACCTAAAGACTCATGAACGTACGAATCTGGATCTTCCATCTCTAAACTTAACACTGAAATAAAATTAATCCAGTAGTTACTGTAAATAGATACTTCCAACAGATTCGGTTCATTGTATTTGACAGTTGAAAATTCTCTCAACACAACAATCCACAATGATGTAAGTAGCTTAGAATATTTCTTTAAAGTGCCTGCAAGCTCTTCCGTTCCATCATCTATTTCATCTTCTATGTCAATCCTTAGAATTGCCCAACAATTTAATATCGCTAATTGAATTGATTTTTTATTGAATTCTGACAAGTTTTCTAAGTAATCAAACCTTAAAAACTTATTAGACGATAGCTCTTCCAATAAATCAATTAACGTTTTCAAAATTCTTTGCTTAGAATAAAACTTGATTCTTGGTAGATTAATAAACTTACTCAGAATATTGATTGTTTCAATAAGTAAATCTGCATCACACTCACTCAGGAAGCAGGGCATTAATGCACTAATAATTTGCGCTTGCTGTTGCTCTAGAATGGATACAGATGGATAAAGCGGATCTGGAATGTCACCAAATAAGCCCAAAGCCTTGTCCAAGAGATTGATTCCTTGCTTTCTAATAGTATTAACAGGTGAAGTACTTCCCAAAAATGAAATATTTACGATGTCCAGGATTTTAGATTTAAGTTGAAATTTGATATTAGAATTTCTTGCAGCCAGTACTAATAACTCATTGAGTAATTCAAAAATGAATAGTTTGAATTCCCAAGTAATTGGTTCATTTTTGAGAGTTTCAGTAGCTTCTTCATTAACTATGTTTTGACTTTCTTCATCATTGAATATTGTTGGAACTCCACCAGTTGCCCCACCAGAAGCAGCAGCAGCCTTCTTCTTTTGCCTTTGCAGCAATGGCAACAATTTCTGTTGATAATTTAGTGCCATGAATTGCAGTACTAACTTTTTTGAACTGAACTTAAAGATTCCACTTAGAGTAGAAAACCAATTATTTTCATCAATAGTTGATTGCATCCAGAATCTAATGGTTTCTTTCAATTCCTCGCAAGGTTTCAAATTCATCGATATCCATAGTAAATTTATCAAATCTTTGTCGAGCACCTTTTTAGGACCAAGGATCTTGATTAATTCGCAATAACACGAATATGCAAGCTTATACAATTCAAAAGATGAGTTAAATGGGAACAAACTTTCAGTATTTGTCGTTGTTGGAGACGTGGAGCAAAGCCCAAGTTTCAAATTTTTGGAGATAACAAGATTCAAAAATTTAGAAATAAATTCTAATTCTCCTTCGATCAAATTGGGATCAAAAATGATCAATTCTTGGAACATCAAAATGAGGTGTTTAGATACTTCAAATGAATCTGTAATTGTACCTGTCCCAACTCCAATGCTTAAAGAAACTATCAAATCTCTGATTTTAGTCCTGATTCCTAACTCGCTAGATTCTCTCAAGTTTGGCCCCAACAGTGATATCATAATCTTTAGTAACTTGGTCATGGGCCCCAAAGAAGGGTATTTGCACTTGGATCCAATTAGAACTTTACTATGAATTTCGTAGCCAAATGAGTCTGATAACAAATAATTACTAAATATTTGATCCAACATTGGTTCTAAGTGTGTAAAAGTAGTAATTTTTTCAAAAATTTCACAACAACTTTCCAAAGTGTAATGATAAACAATCGGATTTGGGTCATTCAATAATTGCTTCAAAACGTCATAAATCTCAACAAATCCAGAAGAAGTCAGTCTGTAGATATATGCAAGCTTGAGAACTGCTTCACCACGCTTAATTGGTTCTAAAGTATTGACTATTTCATCAATACACTTCTGTACTTGAACGTTTGGTTCTTCCTTTGACAAATTGCCTACTGATTCAGAGTTAAGCAAAATGAGTTTCTTATTGCTTTTAATTAGCGATAGGATATCCAATAAAGTATTGGTAATTTGCTTGTCTAACTTGACTTTATTGTTTTTGGTTACAGACAACCCATGGATAACAACAGAGATATTGATACTGATGGCTTTCAATCTGAAGGGATCAATGGATTTATTTGTCAACGAGTTTCTCATTTGCTCCAATAATGACATTTGGATTTTGAGTGGTAAATGTGGGAAAATAATCTGGAAAAGATCAATGGAAAGATCAATAAGTGAAGTAACGAGAGTCGTAGACTCCAAATTTGGAATAAGGAAAATATTCGGGTCGAATGTGCTTGAAGTTGTTACATTAGAAAATGTAATACGTTCAAAGTAGTCCGACCAATTAGTTCCATTCGCCCCCACAGGCTCAAAGGGATCAACATACAAAATGTCATTTTCGTCATTTTGCACATTGGCCTCGGGTACCTTGCCAAAGTCTAATCTACTACAAACACCAAACTCATAATTTTCAGCTTCATAGACTAGCCAATCATTAGAGTCCCAGTCGTTAACTGTAACAACTCCTTTTTTTTTCCCTTTCTCCTTCACAAATTCTCCAGTACCATTGGTTCTACAGAAGATCTTGCCATCGCTGAGTAACTTCAACAAAAAGATTACCATATTACTATTGATATCATTCTTCAAATACCCACCAATTATCTTATACGATTGTAACAATATTTTCTTGTGGTACAAGATTAGACTTATCATCATCTTTTCGTTTCCTATTTCTTGTTGTTTTTCACTCGCATATTGAATATTGTTCACCAAGTTAATATTATAATCATGCTCGTTGAATACTTGATTATTAAAAGTCGTCACTTGTCCAACTGTTTCGAACATATTTTCCAAGTATGTTATATAGTTATAAGATTTAGCCAACAATAGTTGGAATTGCTTTAATGTTTCCGGTGTCAATTCAACAGTGTTTAAATAATTGAGCAAACAAGACAATGAAAAATTCCTTATTCTTAAATTGTCTAAAACGTCATCGATTTCCAGCCCTCCAAGATACTGGGAAGTTAATAAGCCTTTCCAAAACACCAAAAACTGAGAACTGTTTAACTTAACAAATTCGCTATGATTATATATCGTGACTAACGCAGTAAGGATAATCCAACAAGAACTCTTCATATAAGAGTCACCGGATGATTGCTGCTTCAAATTTTGAGTGCAAAAACTCAAAATTTTAATAATAGTGGAAGTTTGTAGTGAAGTATATGAGGCATTTTTAATGAGAGCAGAAAGTGTAAGTGAGTATTGAATAAGTCGAGTAGAAGAAGTTGATGAGGTATTTTCCAAGTTAGACGCAGTAGTAGTTGTAGTTGAAGCCGTGTGGGTCGACTGCTTTTTCTTGAATTCGCTATTGATGTATTTGAAGGTTTTCAATATCAATTGATTGACTTCCACTGCGTGGTGTTTTGAGTACACAAGTAGAGTCTTAAGCGAATATGTCCTAATGTAAGGGTTGTTATTGATAATAAGCTTGAAAAGAATTTCTCTGATGAACGAAGTCGAGTGTGAAACACTACTAAGATCACCAGACGCGTCGGTATTTGCATCATTGGCACCAGATGTTGAAACTACTGTCTTTTCATTACTCTGTTCATCAGCTTCATCTTCCTTGATTCCACTTATACCTAAGGGAATAAGCTGGTCAACGATTCTCAATAAGAAATAGCACTGGTAGCTATTCTTATAAGGAGATATTTCTCTTATTTTAGACTCCTTTTCTTTAGATTTACTGCTTTTACCTTTAAATCCTCCAAAAATACCACTCTCTCTTTTCTTTGACTTCAAGAGAGCCAGCGTTGATGCCATATCGCCCAACGAGTAATCCTGTGACTTGTTATGTTCGTGGAATTTTTCATAGACATAGTTCATCAACATATCGTGGCAACTTTCACCACACTCTTTGATCATCCAGTTTATCAATACTTCCCATTGTCTTATAACTTTATTCCATTGTTGACTTTGGATGTGGTTAGTTGTTACGTTCAATTCACCAAATTTGACTAATATTATTTCCATTATTTGAATTAAATTCTGTGAAAGATAGTCTAAATTTTGCACCTGTTCCAATTGAATGTACATGATCAAAGCTTCAATGGTTGACGATTCACTCAATAATAGATTCGTTATTGAGTTAATAGCTGAATTTGAGTCATGGGATTGAATAGAATTATTACGAGGTTTCTTTTCTTCAATTATTTCATGTGAATCGTCCACTTCTCTTGTCAATTGCAGATCGTAATTACTCAAGCTTGGGAAGTTATACTGAACGCTAATTAAATATTCAATAGGGTTAAGTTTTCCGGTGGGGACAAAGTTAATTAACAAGTTAGCAACAAGCTCTACTGTAACTAACCTTATTTCCTTTTCACAATTTGTGAACCCATAATTAATAACCTTTTCGTAAGCAGTTAAAAGGGAAACTTGAAATGTATTTTGTTGACTCATTAAAGCTTCAGGCTTCAACTTAGAAGAAGAAGAAGAAGTTGATACGGCAGCAGAAGCCGACAATAAATGCTCGTAATGGGTAGAAACAGATAAAATCAATACATTTTGTAGCACAAGAAAATAGTTCTTCTTCAATAGCAAAGTATTACCGTTACTAGTATTCGTTTCTTCAGCCCCCATGTCTCTTTCAATGTCCACGAACACACTCTTTTGAGCAATTTTCAAGAGCTTTTGCTGAAATTTATCGTCTAAATCCAACTTGGTGGCATTTTCACAAATGGTAGCCAACAAGAACACAATGTTAGCATCATCCAATGGCTGCTTCTTGAGAAACTTATATATTTGTGTGACAGCGAAGTTATTCAAGGAACCCAATGAAGTAGGAAAATGCAGAAACAAGTCTATTAAAACTAGCGTATTTATTCTGAATTGAGTTGGGTTAGAGCTGTTTTCACTTATTCCACCAAGCAACTTGTTTGTAAAGTCATAGACTTTGCTTGGAAGCAATTGTAAAGTTAACACTAAGTTTCTTGATATGAGTTTGAAACAAGCGAGAGATGGAGTGGCTACTCCAGTTTCTGCTGAAGAGGAGTCTTGGGTATTGCTTGACTTCCCATTCTTAGCTCCCGGTTTCTCTTTTGTGAACTTTTCAATCAATTCGATAAGTTGGTCTAGGGCAAGGGTAACATCCACTTCTTCTGTGTAACTAGCGGATTCGCTGGAACCCTCAGCATCGGAAGGAGTCCCTTTATCGCTTTGATTTCCATGGTTTAGTTCCAATCTAAGGTTTAATTGGGTTAAAAGAGAATAAAGAGAGGAAAAGTTATCACCCAGGGAAAGGGATTTCGACAATTTTTGGTAATCCATATTGTATTATAGAATCTGAGTAAACGAACGCAAAATGAAGTAGTGGAGAATCTGAGTACACTTTCCGTTGGCTTCTTTCTGTACCTTTTTCTTTACTTTATAGCTTTCCCTTCTACAGAAAATATAAATCTCTCTTCAGTCAAAGCAACCTTCTCTTAAGATTCAATTCTCTTCGGAAATACTGACGAACTGAATTGCTGAAGTGTTCTTTGACTGGATCGAGTGTATGGTGAAATATGTTTGGAGCGTATGCAGGCGAACACGAAAACAAAAAATATATCCTGCATATAATCCGGAAAGTGCTGCAGATTCAGAGATACTACCTTGGATGGAGAGCCTAGATGTCATGTATTAGGGTGATGATAGCGGTAATGGTAACTCTGTAAGGGGTCTAAAACTAGATCAAAAAGCTGAAAGAAAGAAAAAAAAAAAAAAAAAAAAAGAAAAAGAAAGAGAAAGAATAATGTCACTTGGTTCCGCCTGTTGATTGACAATTTGGGTAAGCAGATACGGTGATTACCAGCGTAGACTGCTATGGGCTCAAGAACGTTATTTCCCTTCCGTGTGTGAATTAATAATGGATGCGTCGCAGCAGTTTGTGGCCCTATATACCGATAGCCTTTAATGAGTCTAGTATCGAGCCCTTTCTTGTCTTTTTCTTAGCTAGAGTGTAGTCGCTCTTTGCGGCTGGTGAACCTTCAATGGTATGCAATCTCGAGCTCTCAGAGTCGCCTTGGCTGATTTGCGCCAAGTTCATGATGGAAGGTGAGGGAGATATCCTTCCCCTTATCGTAGACAGCGAAGACGATGTCGACTGAACCCTTCTCCTCTCTTCGCTTGACCTCTTTCCCCAGCTGTTGATTCGCTTTAGGGAGTTCTGCTTGGAAAGCTGGGTGGTGGATGGTGATTTCAAACCTCCTGGAACTAACGCAGTTTTAAAATCTTGCACTTTCTCTGAGAGGGCACCCGATTTCTCTGTGAGTTCATGTAGTTTCTTCAATGAGTTCGACTTGGGTATTGCAGGAACTCTCAGTATAGGGGGGCCAGAACGAAGAATATCTCTCATAGACAATATTGAAACGTCACCTACTTCTTCACCATCATCCAGTTGTTCGATCCCTTTTGTGGTCAAAATAGAGCCATTACTCAAGAGTAAGCTATTCCTTTTAGAGCCAGGGTAGGAGCTCATACGCTTCCTGGCTGCGTCTCCATTGCTTCCAGCTTCATACTTCATTTTCAACTGTCGTATTTCATTTTCAGCGTTACTCAAGTGCAATTGTCGTTCAATTGCATTCTTTCTCTCTCTTTCGTAGTCATTCTCTAGCATTGCAATCTTTTCTAGTAATTCTCCATTAAACAGGTTAGCTATTTCCAATTTATTTTCCAAGACTCTATCATTCGTCTCCATGTTGTCATTAGCTATCTCTACAGATACCAATTGGGACCTTAGATTATTGACCTTATTATTTAGTTCTTCAACCGTACTTCTATTCTTATCGGTTATGGATGTGATTTCGTTGGTTAAAGAGACAACTTTTGCATTGGCGACGTTAAGCTGTTCCAAACACACTGCATATTTATATTCGATTTTTTCGTTAGCCAATTCCAAGTTATGTAATTCATGCTCCAATGCCTGTTCCAAGTCCTTAGATGATTCCTGGAATTCGAACAATTCGCTTTCAAGCTCTACAACTCTGTGGATGGCTTCTTCCTTGGAGAGCTCCCAAATCCCGCCTTCCACGCCTTCTGCCTTAGAGGGGGTGGTTGGCAAAGACTTGACTGTCCTGCTTGTTTGCCTTTTAGAGGGCGAATCGTCCATATTTGAGCTGTAAGTCATCAAACAAGCAACTGTTTACTTTCCAATGTCTGGCCCTATGTGTTTGAGTGCTTTTCTTGTGATCCATATTGAGCCTATATGCAGGTCACGAAGGTCAGTCAAATAGACCCCACGCTATACCCCGTTTTTTTTAGTTTATCGATGCTTTTTTGGGCTTGATCCGATGCATCTCAGAGTTTGGCAAGACCAGCACTACTTTCTAAGCCGTATCTTTCCTCTCTAGCGTGTTAAGCAGTTCGATAAAAATCTGCAACCAGTCCATATACCGTAAGCGATCCTGTATACAGATGTGCTGTCAATTACAGTCCCTGCGTAATTTTCGGTACGTAATGAAACAAAAATACAGAAACCATCACATCAAGGGACGTCTTAGAGATAGATATACATTCACAGCTAACAACATAAGGAAAAGAGAAAGGCAATATGGAAGCTCAACAACAAGTGGGTGCACAGGCTCTACTTCTGTTAGGTTCCAAGGGAGACAAGAATATTGGGGTGCTTGAGGTTGAAGATGGCGCTGTAGATGATTACCAATTCCAGCAAGATCTGCAACATCAGCAGGATCTGCAACAGCAAGAATTACAGGATCAAGACAATAATATACATGATATGCACCAGCAGAACAACCACCATCACCTCCAGCAATTAGATGTTGGGGAATTAGATGAAGGAAGCAGTAATCCGAACAATGAAGACAGTGGTGCTAGAGTAGATGGTGATGATGATGATGATGATGATGAAGAATCAAAGAACCAACAGTTGAACGATGCAGTGGAAGCCGCTGTCATGAGATATGTCGGGGGAACCTTGGATAGCAGGAAGAAAAGGCGACATGGTAGTGTGAGTAATGCAGGATCCGCTGGAGGGAGAGGTGGAACCAGTGGGGGTAATGGAGTTGATGATCTTATGACAGATTTCAGTCCATGGACTGGGTTTTTGGACGAGGAGCTTACACAGCAGCAGCAGCAACAACAACAACAACAACAACAACAACAACAACAACAACAACAACAACAACAACAACAACAACAGCAACAACAACAACAGTCACAGCAGCAGCAGAATCATAGTCAGCAACAGCAGCAACAGCAACAAGTTCCAGAATTCCCCTACAATGGAGGTGACGCTAATAGAAAAAGGAGAAGAAAGAAATTGCACGATTCCAACGTGGATCCGGAACTTACTGGGCTAGACTCATCAGAACATGATCAGTTAGTGCAGGCCGCTATTTTGGATGCAAGGGAGTTGGCTAAGCACTTGGGCAATGGTGGATCTTTACAAGAACACGACGTAATGGCAGCACATAATTCACTTCATAACTTACCACCTCACCAAGCACAGCAAGTGATTGCAGCAGCTACGGCTGCTGTAAACCAAAGTGATAGCATGAATTCCAGAAGGAAAGTTCTTAAGAAGGGTGGACAGAAGCAACGCCCAATTCAGCAACAACAACAGCACCAACAACATCAACAACATCAACAGCACCAACAGCAACAACAGCAGCAGCAGCAGCAACAACAACAGCAACAGCAACAGCAGCACCCGAACATTCAGCTGGCTCTCAGGCAACTTCCCCTTCAGCCTCTTCAAGCACAGCAACCATTACAGCAGCAACCGCAGCAACAGCATCTCCATCTTCCGTTAAACCAGGAGCATGAAAGATCCTCTAAATTCAACCATTTGACTTCGGTTGAGGCTCTTGTTGAAGAATCAGCTGCCTTGGCTTGTTCATGGTACAATTCGCTTCCACAACCTTATAATAATGGGCCAAGGGCATTTTCTCAGGAGGAAATATCTGCGGTGGAACATTTTATAAGTGGTTATGGACATCTCCATAAAGTTACAAGACAGGATATTTGCAATAGAATTTGGTCAAGTGAGCGTAAAAAGGATAATTTTTGGGAATCATTGACAAGAATACTACCATATAGGTCAAGGGCGTCCGTTTACAAACATGTCCGTCGACAATTCCATGTTTTTGAAGTCAGAGGTAAATGGACACCTGATGAAGATGAGTACTTGAAAAAATTGGCTGCGACGAAGGAGGGAAACTGGAAGGAAATTGGAGAACTAATGGGCAGAATGCCTGAAGACTGCAGAGATAGGTGGAGAAACTACATAAAATGTGGGGACAATAGAGTACTCAACAAGTGGTCCGAAGCGGAAGAAGAAAAGTTAAAGGAAATTGTTCATGAATTGTTGTCGAAATCGGATGGTGACAAGGAGAATAAGTCAGGACAAGGGCAAAATGGGAAGTCGGTCAGCAATAGTAATAACAGCCACTCTACGGGACTCAACTGGACAATCGTCAGTGAGAAGATGAATGGAGTTCGTTCAAGAATTCAATGTAGATACAAATGGAACAAACTCATGAAGAAGAAGGCAAACCTTAGATCATCTTATATGGATCCAAGAACAAAACTCTGGTTAGTACAAAAGATCCAAAGTCTTGGATTTTTGACCAGAGATGCAATTGATTGGGATTATATAGTTCACTTGTATGGCGAGAGAGATCAGATCAACCCTGAAGATGGAGACAAAATCTGGACATCCTCTGATTTCAAGGCTGTATTTGATAAGATGGAAACCGAGGTTCGAGACTATAAGAAAAGAAGATTGGTGGAGATTGTTGACGAATTGTATTCGTTGTATGGAAAGTTCGCCGATGGAAATAATGAACATTTATCAGAAACTGTCACTGGTAACGGAAGTACACAAGGCGGTCATAGTGACAATAGTGCTGCATATGCTACTGAAAGGCAGTTAACTGGTGCAGGGTCTACTAATGAAGATGTAGATGATGCCACGACGATTGCGAACGCTGCAGTTGCTGCAGTTGCAACTGTGAACTCGGACGATGTACAGCAGCAAGAGTACAGTTTGTGGAGATGAATTAAGCCCATATTCACTCAGGATTTCCTAAATTTTTATTTTGTAATCTACTGTATAATATAATGTATAATTTAATTAAGTGACCATGGCTCTTATATAGAGAAAATAGGCGACCTATAGTCTTCATTATGGATATAGTTCTGGCTACTGCCTGTCTAGAGAGTAGTTTGGCACTATTGTTTCGTCCTGCATACAATCCAACCTTTTCTGCTCCACCTTTTAATTTTCATTGTTTATTGAAGTTTGTGTTCACGTATTGAACACTTGTGCCTCCTTGCAATACCCATTAAAACGAGATATTTTGATCATGATTGAGCAGAATGCTTCTGAGAGTTATCTCGCTTCATTCTACGGGATGGATAATTTGTACCCACAAGAATTGGGCGATGTTTGGAAACCAGTGAACACCTCACCACTGGGAGGACAACTAGTTGTAGATGACATAGTAAACTTAACAGTCGACCAGCAGTTCGATGAATTGAATAAATTAGTCTGTGGAGGTAGTACCGATGCCAATGCTTCCAATGGCGCAGGAAAATTCACTGACTTTGAGGATCCCCTTGGATATCCGAGAATGGTGGACACATTGGTATCCAAGAAAATTGTGCAAGGAAAGCAAGATCCAAAGTTGTATCAATTTTTGGTCTCTTCGAAAGAGTTCCAACCTCAACAATATTTAACTCAAGTCCACCAAGATTCATCTGTGAATGACTTGGTACGCTCTTTGAAGTATTTGGAAAAGAATATTGAAAGTCAGACGACAGAATTGCGTCAGGTTATCGACCAGAACTATTTGAAGTTTGCTGACTGTAAGAAGAGTATAGACGACTTGTTAGTGGAATTCAAAAAAACCAAAACACAGGCACAAAGAGAAAGAGATAACACTAAAGTTTTCAACCCCACAAGAAACAGGAAGAGACAGAGTGCGTTGGTGCAGGGAACTGGTACCACACTTGCAACTAACCCTTCAAGTTCTGACTCCGTTTCGCTAAGCGCTGATTTGGATGAGGGTTTGAAGAATTTGATCACCACTACCGATCTTATGATCAAACCAATAATAGACCACAAGAACAAGGAAGTCAAGTTGAATAAGTTGATTGAGTTTATTAACGCAAATAAATTTTTCTTTGACTTGCCTAGTAGGATGATTGAATACTTGAAGACCCATAACCATGAACAATTGATAGAAGAATACCACAGGTACTTGAAGAAACGTATAGAACTTGACGCTGAAAATGCAAACTTGAAATCAAACGGAAGCAGTGCGGACCTAGACACCCTTTTAGCCAATACAGCCTTGATTAAGACGTTCAAAGAGGTGGAAAACATTATCGATGAATACCGTAAAAAGACCTATAAAGAGCTTCTTACAATTGACCACGAAGCCAGTAGTGGTAGAAGTATGTTCAGAAATGCTAATAATGCGAAATTCATATCTCTAGTGGATAAGTTATACCAACTTAACCCAAGTAGTGTGAGTGGTGGCTCAACAGAGAATCCAATCTATGAATTCTTGACCTTGCAATTGGACGGACTCAAGAAAGAGCTCAAATATCAATTGGAGAAATTTGAAAGAAAATTTTCCATGATGCAAAGGAAACTCTTGGATTATTTGAATAGTTTGAAGAGCTATAGAGAAGGGGGCAGTAACATTCTGTATATTAGCGAGAAGTACAGTGGTGTAGAAGATTTTTTGAAAAGTAGTTCAATAACTAGTACTTCAGCAACTGGTTCTAAGGGATCTGGAATAGACGACTCGTTGATTCTTGAAATATTTGATACTAATGATAACTTGGATATATCTATTATTAATGAAACTTGGTTGGTGCTTTTCAACTTTATAAGCTACCTTGACGATCTGTTCATGAAGAAAATGATTAAATTCATTAACAATTATATCCATTACAATACTCAAGGCAACAATTCATTTCCTCCAATTGACGCAGATGGATCTATTCGTGAATCTTATATTAAGTTTATGGTTTCTGTCACTAATAAATTGGTGAACATCTTCAACGATCCTAACAACCAACCAACCACAAATTTGATTGAAAGCAGTCCTAAAAACTATTCATCCTTTGTACCAAACCATTCGAACTCACTTTCCACCATATATTACCTTTCAAATATATCAAGATGCATAAATCATGTTTTGACTAAAATTGGTAAGTCAATAAACTCCATTGGTAAAGGGAGCGACACGAATGCCATCGTGAAAAACTTAAGAAATTCATCATCAACAATAAACCAAAGGATCATTGAAGCAGTTTGTGCTGTTTGGGTAAATGACTGTTCGCAATTTTATGATCTTGAAAGTTGGGAAATGCAAAAGCAAACGGGATTGGGTGAAGGAGTCAGCTATACGAAGACAGTGAGCATAATGGAGAGTTATGAAAGCTATGTCTTAACCAAGGTAGCCAGGCTAGTATTTATGAGGGATGATCAAGGTAAAAGTTATGACGAAAGAGATGAAATAATACCCGATGGTATCCCTGGTGAATCTGTAAGAATTGTTTCAGCACATCCTTCTAAACGTATCCTTGTCAGTATTGAAATACAATTCATGAGGTCATTGAAGGTACTTATAGACTCTATTCTTAAGCGGTACTCAATTGAGAAAGAAAACTCAGAATTTGGTCTTTACAAAGTGTTGACGATGAATAATTTTGATGAACTTTCCAGGTTGACATATCCCAAATTAATTGCGAAGTTTGATAAGGTGTTTTCCAATAATTTGGGAGATCAAAATTTGAAGCTCTACGCTGATATTGATAAAGCAAGTTTGACTATCTTGGAAGATATACTTATTAGGGAGAAGAAGCTTGTGGATGAGCTAGTAACTAAGCATTTCACTCAAACCATATACCTTACCAGCAAATCTAAAGATATCTGTGTTGATGGCTTCGTATATAACGTTTTGGTGCATTTTGTGAAGTTAGTTCATACAATCAAGCCTTTAACAGGAGGAGATATTTTTATTACGATAATCAATGAATTGCAGACATACTTCCTCAAGATAATTATTGAAAACATGAGAAATGTCCCTCACGATGAACACTACTTGCCAATGATTGGCAATTTAAGACTTAGTGTTAATTTTTTCGTTGAAGTTTTCGCTCAAAGTAATGCTTTGAATTTGAATGAGTATTGTATTAAGTTGGTAGAGATTATATTTGGAGAAATTGATGAAGCAGGGAATCCGCTGTACTCAGAGAGAGAGTTTGACTTGGTTTTAGCAAGGAATCTAAAAGAATCTGAAAACGAATTTGATTCACTTTACTGATTTGCCTATTAGCTAGTTTGTACTGCTTTAAAATAGTAAAACATTTTAGTTAATTCCTTTTGTAGTAAGGTCTACAGTTAAATCTCGAGCATCCTTTATTGTAAGTTATAAAACATCGACCGACTCTAAAAAAAAATATCCCATTAATATCCCAAAAAAGAAAGAATTGGCATACCACATTGAAAGCTGTAGATGTATCCCCATCTCCTTTCATCTGAATTGTGTGTGTGTGTGTGTGTGTATAAAAAATTCAAACGAAAGGATCTCAAGTATTCACCAGCAAGCTCCAACATGTAGCCTAACATAAAAAAATTTAGTAAACTTGTGAAGGTCACTAACCTTCTAATTATTAATCATTATCACCCATCTAGAGAGAAGAAGTAGCAGCTTTCTTCTCACCATCGGATTCCACTTTAGTATCTTGAACTATTTCAACTTCTTCTTCTTCATAATCACCACCAATCTTCTGTGTCTTCAACTTTTCGAAAAGTTCATCTTGTTCATCCTTAGTTAATTCAAACTTCTTCTTACCCTTGATGTGGTACATTGGGTTCAATTTAGCTAAGGTCATGTTCTTCATGAATGGCAAGTGACCCTTCTTTTCTTCGTAAAGCATAAGTAATAAAGTGATAATAAGACAAATCCAGTAAACAACATATGATAAAACGGAACCATAAGTTGCAGAGTTTTGCCATCCTAATAAAGCATTAAAGACATCCCAACCATTGTCAGTTTCTGGATTACAACAGTTAACGTGCCAAACAGACAAGTTGATGTTATAAGTACCAGCACCAGAACCATTTTCAGCAGCGTCACCACCAGTTTGTTTATTGAAAACGTTCATTTCGAAATCCCAAACGGCACGAGAGAAAAGACCAGCGGCAATCAAGTACAAGATACAAGTAGAGGCAATTAAGAAAACTTGTAAAGATGACGAAGTACCACCAATATATAACAAGTATCCAATGAAGATACCTGCCATAAGTCCAGTAATGACTGGAATTGGGAAAGAAGTAGCAGGTGATGTTAAACCAACACCACCGACGAAAACAACAGCTTCCAAACCTTCTCTCAAGACGGTAATAAACGGTAAGATGAACATACAGTACTTTTTGGTTAAGTAACCTATCTTCATTCTGTCTTTCTTTTGACTTGGTGGTCTAATTAAGGCCTGAGCCAACTTGACTCTCCATTTTTCTTGCATCTTATTGACACGCAACATAGCAACACCCATAATCGAAATCAACACGGTTGCAATGATACTGAAAATACCTTCCCAAAGATCTTCGGAGTCAGACCAAATATCCTTACCAAGGGTATAGAAACAGGCAATGAAGGCAGCACCAATACATAAACAGAGAACTAGACCGAAAAACGACCCCCAATAAACCTGTGCTCGCAATCGCTTATAGACAACAATATCACTGTCGGCACCTCCGAGACCCTTTTTCAAAAAGGCAAGTAAAACGGACACCACAATAATTGCTTCTAAACTTTCTCTAAGAACAATAAAGAAGACGGTTGGGTTGAAAACATTAACCATTGCAAATGTGTTAAGTCAATGCTATTAGTTTCAAGTTTCGCTACGAAGAGAGAAAGACAAAAGAAGAAGAAAAAAAATTCTACATCTCTCTACACTTTCAGCATCTTCAGACTCCTCCTTCCTATTTATAATTGGGGGACAGAAGGGATGGCCCATGTTGAAGAGCTCTTTTATCAATTTCATCAAACTCTAAGCTGCATGTAATATGCGGCTAATTGAACTGTAAATGTCGCATTTTGACGCACGAGGGTTCTGAGCCTTCCTGTATCGTACAATGGTCCCGTATTCGGTCAAAATTTAGCCAATCAATAGAGCCAAACAGGGGAAAAAAGTGGGAGATTTATCTGATAACTTTTCAGTTATGCAAGTGGGCTTTTGGTGTACAGTTAGTAAAAATATTGGGAGAGAGAAAGACGAACGGTGATATAGGTTGGGTTCGACCGGTCAGAAGGAGTCAGAGAGGTGTTTTTCTTAACTAGTAGTGTCAATTAGCATTCCTAAAAGGGCCCTTATTGGTGTTGGATCAGATTTGAAATGCGACACCTATTGTCCTGAACCTTGTTAAAGTACTACGCTCACACTCTCTCAATGCTTAAATTTTTTAACATACGCCCTATTCCTAAATCCTAGAGTTTCTATTGGGGAGAGGAGAATTTTTTTTTTTTTTTTTATTTTTTCACCACAGATTTATGCATCTCATACATCCGGTCGGGAAAGGTATCATAGTAGGTAAGGCACCGACTAAAACCTTGAAGAATTGGAATGGTAAACCCTTTCCTTAAAAACATGAGTTGCAACCATATACGAATACCATTTTCGGGGTTTGACTTCTCGTTTAGACTCTTTGACACCTCTAAAATAGCACGCCAAGACTGAATCTCATTATTTTTACTTGGTTTTTTTCCTTTGACAGGTGCATTGAAGTATTTTTTTTGGCATTGAAACTAGGTTTGCGTACGTGTGGGAGTGTGTAAAGAGAGCTTTTTTTTTTTTCTTTTTTTTTTTTTCCTCGTCTTTTATTGGCTTTTAATTGGCTTTAAACTGGATTGTCTTCTTCTGGCGATTCTTTTTAGCTTTCCATTGGCTCCTCTGTTCTACATGCCATTTCAGTACATTCCCACTCGAAATAGGGCTGTTTCGTCCCGACAACCCCACGTATCCGAGAAGAAATAGACTATCAAATAAAATGCCTACCTCTTCTTTAGATTTTTTGCCGGGCTAAAATTAATACCTGAGTTGAACTTTGAAACATGCGCTTCGCAAGACGAAATACGAACCTATATGTCGTTCTGCATATAATACACTCGCTTCCACCTGACATGGTCTAGTATCAGAGTCAGAGTCTTAGTGTGCGCAGAAAGTACAGTTAGATCTAGGATACTTTCCAGGGCCTCTATAACGACACATGGCTACACCCAGGTTATCATTCTCATTAAGAGGTCATTCCCTGCAGGTAGTCTGTTCTACATATTTAGAAAGCTCTTTCATATCCGCGGATTCCAGTGGACATGTCTTTTGGTGGGATTTAAACGTGAAGCGTCCTAAGAGACATTGGAAGGCTCACGAATCTCATATTTTACTGTTGATATACATTAAAGAATACGATATACTATTAACACATTCTAGAGACTCCTCGATACGCCTTTGGTTCCTATCAGAACCGGAAGTAAGCGACAGTATCCCTCCATTCAAAGAATTTCCGGTAAACTCATTAAACTTTTGTAATGTTTCTCTCATTTCCTCTCGCTACTTGTTGACTCCATCTACTGTGGATTCCGACAATTTCGACATTTACGATTTAAATTTGGCAGATTCATCGAGTTCTCTCAGTTTCACTAGGTTGGTGCATAATGCTAACCCCTGGGAACTCTACTTGAAGGCCTTGAAGAGTCTCCCAGTCCCACTTGACGATGATATTTCAAAGCGTGACAAATTTGGAATCATGATGAGAACTGTTTGGGTTGATGAGCATACATTTTACGTGGCATACGAGTCTGGACATGTAATTGGCTACAATATAGAGTATCTGACTTCAAAATTGACTAATCTGGAAAAGGGATCCTCGAAGTCAACAAGTTTGCTTAACAAGGGCCCGAAGATCAATATATTTCATATTTCAGACAAGTTGAAGCCCAGTCCAATAATATCTTTGATCTACGAAAAGTCAAATAATACAATAATTACAGGCTCTGCTTCTAAATCGATCCAGATATTGGAAATACCGTCGTCCCATGGGTCGTTGACTGAGGATGAAAACAACTTGATACTGTTGAAGTACTCTGGCTTGAGTCAAATATCAATGCTCGAGCCGGATATTATTGTAGTTGGCTTTTGGAATGGAATTGTTAAGGGCTACCAGAGTAACCTAAAATTTGAAGAAGTGTTCAAGCTTGAAAAAAACCTACCTATGATTGACACAAATGATGAGAGCCAATCACAGAGATTGAAGCTCTCCAGTATTTCTTGTAAGGGATCAATAAAAGAAGAAACTGGTGCTGCTGCTGTTGTTGCACTCTCTCAAAAGGACTTGCTAAGGTCGAAAAGGAACGTTTCTAATAAAATCTTAATGGCGATTGGGTATGAAAATGGACTAATTAATATGTATGAGTTCTAATTCCCAAACCTACTGGGATTATTGTATTTCGTTGCAGCATTTGCTGACATTGAAGTGGACTTCGGACTTATACTGCCTAATTTTTATTGATCAACTACGCTTTCTACATTGGATGCAAAAATGAGTATGTCTGACCTAGGAGCTTAAAATAGTGGGCTAGATTATCAAGAGCAGTGACAGCTCTGTATATACAAGACGTCAATCTGATACGGTAACGGTTGCATCTTCCCAAAAAATGAATTCTACATTTATAGCATTTAACTTAACTTTGTATTAACAAGGTAAATACAACCTTTTATATATAACTTAACTCATTTGTAAGCCTCATATCAACATTGCTATAAATTAACAGCTTGTTGTTCGTGGAAACTTTGTCTGTTCCCCTTGTAGTTATTGTAATTGCCATTGTTTCCGTTACTTTGCCCGTACATCGACCTTCTCTTGGACCTGTTGTTGGTGTTAGAATTATTGGAATTAGAATTTGAATTAAAATTAGAATTTGAATTATTGGAATTGTTGTTGTAGTTGTTGGAGCCATTATGGTGGTTGTAATTATTTCCACTGTTATTTCTTCTTTGGTAGGAATTATTACTATTATTAATGTTGTTGTTGTTGTTGTTGCTGCTGTTTTGAAATCCATTCACATTTGAGTTACTTGGAGGTGTTGGTGCTCTCGTCTTAGAGTCACTACTTTTAAGATTGAAATTTCTCTTTGGTAAATTAAATTGTGATTGGTTTGGACTAGCAACAGAACTAAAGTCAGGGGCGTTATTCGAGTCAATTCTGAGCGACAGTCTCTTATTTTTCCTTCTTCTACTAGCTCCTGGTTGTTGTTGGTTTTGGTTCAGAGTATCACTTTTAATTTGATGCTGCTGATGCTGTTGGCCCTTCATTCTTGGTTCACTACCAGGATCTGGGGAATTTACCAAAGTCTGTTCTTCATCAAATGAGCAGTTAGCCAACAAGGTTTCGTTACTCTCACTCAAGATTTCACTTATGTCAACTTCAATCTTCTCATGCTCTTGGATTTTATTGGGAAGTTCAGGGTATTTCTCTAACAATTCTTCCATGGACTCTACCACGTCTACAAGTACTGTCTTCAGCTCTTGTCCGTGTAGCTTAGCGACCTTAGAGAGCTTGCCCAAAAGTTCTAGAACGGTCTTGTTCTTGTTTACATATAACGTTTCCAACGCCTTCTTTTTGTTTGTTAGACTATCCAACAAGATTTCCACATCCTTGTCATTGCTTTGGAATTGTTCAGCAATCTTGTTCAATTTCTCTTCATTCTGCTTCTTATATTGCTCAAACGAAGTGGTCAAGTTAGTGATTTCCAGCAGGTAATGTCTCTTGTATTCCAATTGGGACGCTAAGAGGGCATCATATGCAATTTTCAACCTTTCATACTCTGCTGTCGAGGATGCGGACGATTCTTGCAAATTTTCACATCTAATTTTCATATTCTTGAAGTTGAGTTTCAATGATTCGTTATTGGAACATAAATCATTAAACTGGTCTTCCAAATCAACAATTCTACGTTCCTTACGCTTCAAAAGTGCATGGACCATATCATTTTCATGTTTGGCGTTGGCCAACTGATCAACAAACAGATCGTTCTTTTTCGAAGCTGACGTGTATTTCTTCTTATAGTCATCGTGCGAAATCTTGACGGAGTCGAGTTCTTCCTTCAAATCATCTATGGTGGTGTGAAGCAGGTCAATGACTCTTGATGAGGTCCCCTTCTGTTTTACTGGTGAGCCTTCTTCCATATTGAGTTGAAAAGTCTGACTAAAACGAAAGGATAGACAGGGTGGAAGTTGAGGATTACAGAAAGTAAATGAAAAAGTATTTGATCAACTAAAGTTCTAATATCAACTTAGTCTTGGTTCAAAAAATTATCACTTGTACTACGTTTGTTGAACAATTACTAAAAACAAGGTTAAGCAGTTTTCACTAACGCTCACTTTATGTTTCGATATAGTCTGAAGAGAAAAATTTAACCTTAAGAGAAGAATTTTTTGAAAATGTGTTTTTCAAGATCCACTAAGGAACAGGGAAACAAAGAAAAAAAAAAAAAAAAAAGTTTATATGTATTCCCTTTCGCTTGTTGATGTAGCGTATCGTATAACAGTTTTTGACATACATATAGAGAAAGAATAGTAAGTAGAAGTGTCTTGCTGGAACAGCCTATATTGTTCACATTCACCACTGTAGAAACATTGTAAGATTTTACACTACGCCGTTTCTATTTTGGTCCATTAATGGTTTTGCCATACCCCTGTACCTTACCCACATTTTCTTTACTCCTCAATATCGAAGGCTAGGTTTTTTATTTTATGGTTAGTTGAATATTTTTTTGGCTCTGGTCTTTTTTCTATCGTCTACTGATTCATGGCGGCGAGCCACTTGTAAACAATGCGCATTCGACATCAAAACATAAACAAACACAGGGTCACATGTCTAGAATTTCTAAAGCCTTTCCAGAGGAGAGGAGACGTGAAAAAAGAAAAAAAAGGTCGTACCCGGATTCGAACCGGGGTTGTCCGGATCAAAACCGAAAGTGATAACCACTACACTATACAACCTGTTTGTTGAATGTAAGTTTTTTGTAAAAGTTCATCAAAGATGGGTGAGAGAGTAGCTAGAGTGGAGGTGTACTGTGGAATGATAAGATGGAGAAAGACCAGCCTGGTGAATCTATTCAAGAGAGAGTCTGTTATTTCAGTAATTGAGCGCTTGACGTATATACTGCTTTGCACTTTGAATCTGTCTACTATCTGCGTAGATATGATTTATGCTCACGCTCTTTGTATGCCTTCATCCTATGACCTCATTGAGATCCGCACTAGCGTACAAGTAGAAATTGCCCTCTGATAGTGTTTCTACATGTATCTTTTCTCTCTGAAAATCACACTATAATCATGGCAACTGCTTCGGCTTTCGATTCTTCTCCTCTATCAGATCTTGAGGTTGATCCTCAGTTAGTCTTGAAGGATGCAATCTCAGTTATCGATCTGGTACCCAGCTGGTCTCCCGGAAGTACCTATTCTTACAAATTAAAGAACAAACAGAAATCGGCAATTGATGTAGCTACATTCAGTACGAAATTGTATGGAAATGTGCACTGGAGTGCAAGGAATACCAACCTTGGAAAAACATTCAGTGCAGACCAATTGCAGAACTTCAAGTCTTACTTCGATAAGTATTTGATTGGCTCGTTCGACTTGGAATCAGCACTGACTCATACGCATTATGAAAAGGAATATATCCATGAAATTGAAAGTATTAGAGTTGAGCCTGTTTCCTTAGGTACAGAATACATTGTACCTAAAGGATTTGAATGTTTTGCTTATACGATCCAAGCCATATATAAGCTACAATTCCCATTGAAAAGAAGAAATTTCTTTGAATTGGTTCTAGTTTATAAGTCAGATACTGTATCTTATGTAGTTTCAATCCCAATACAGCCAAAGCTTTTCAAGGAACCAAACTATTCCGATTCATATGCCATATTAGCAAAGTACACTTCCATTGAAAAAGTTGAGTACAACTCTGATTCCTCCATCAAATGGACTATGTGTACTTGCTCTAGCCCCGGTGGTAACATTCCTGACTTCGTAGCCAATCTATCCATGAATAAGGTCATATCTAGAGACGTTCCGAGTTTCTTAGATTGGGCAGCATCCCAGGAAGGCACGAATGATAAGAACTAGGTCATTGCTATAAATTTCCTACATCAGATTCATTTGAATCCATCTATATCTATATATACACATATACATATATTCTACGTTTCCCCACTTATACTAAAACTTTCTAACCAAACTTTGACATCGTCCCCTAGATTATCAAGAAATCCAAGGTGAGCATAATCGTATATTCCGTCAGTGATATTGTTTATGATACCAGCAGAGTTAATTGGGGCCACTGTGCTCGGTTTCCTAGATGCTGCTGTTTTCCTAGTCTTTGGGTTATAGTTTTTTATCACTACGATATATTTGTCACGGTATTGAATATAGTAAAACATCCAATCTGTGGTCTTTCCTCCTTTAAACTTATGAAAGTATTCGTTCATCGTACTAGTATCCTTATGATGGAAGAACTCTGTCCCCCCTTGAACTAGGAATACGTCTATGAGGAGATCATGTAAGTAGTAGATCAAGTTATTGTAACGAAGTGTCTTAACGGGAACTTGTGAAATGTTCTGTATTTCATCAAGTGGTGGTAAGTATGGAAACGAAGATCGGACACTTTTCTCAACTGGATCATAAATAATGAAAAAGAATTCTTGCGATTCTAATGAAGCAGAACCTCCAATTAGAGAGTTTGGAAGTGAGCTCTGACTGCCCGCAGTTGCAGATACTTCACCTCCAAATGAACCTCCTCCATTGGTAGCTGAGTACAATATTTCGTCAATAGTTGGTTCAAAATACGATGTTCGAAGCTCTTCATAGAATGAAGGTTCTCCCAACTTAGCATAAGATGAATCATAAAGAAGGGTAATTATGATATTCTCTTTTTCATAAATGACCAACAGATACTCTTCAAATCTTTTACTTCTTTCGTTGTGTAGAAATACGGACTTGCTGTGAATTGTAGAAGGGTCGTTCAAATTTGCAACCAATCCGACTAAAAAGGTTCCCAAATTTCTTCCAGTTGCATCATCTTCGTCTTCATTATCATCATTAATTTCTGCAGCTTCTCTTTCCTCTTGGTTATTCAGTGTACCAAGTATTGGATTAGTCACGGGAGTAGAATTTCCGAATGGTTTCAAATAAGATGGCACACTAATGCTTGGCGTAGAAGATAACCATCTATTGGTAGAGGACCCAAGGTTCATGACTCCATTCATAGTAGCGTTCAATGGCAGTATTACCAAATTGTTGGTAATGTTGACTGGATTAAACATTTCATATGTAGATTGAATAATAGATTCATTAGATTTTGTTGCTGGCTGGTTCGAGCTTTGTCCAGAGTTTGACAGGAATTGGTCCTGTAAATCTTGGTGAATTTCAGGAAGCTCAAATATATTATCCGTGCCACTGGTGAGGTGGGTTGTATCCAACTTGTTCTGTTGATCATGTAGTTCAAGCCAATTGTAAGCGCAAATCAAATGATTCTCATCTATATCACCGCTTCTCATGTGCAAGAGACCGTAGTTCTTAGGTACAATCTTGTCTACATAGGATACAAAGACCGCACGAACTCCAGAATCATCGTCATCATTCAAAATCAGATCAACTTCGTTTCTACAGTTGAAGTTTAGATTATACGAAGACCTCTTAAAATTCAGGGGCAAAAGACCCAAGAAGCCCTTATAGTTAATTCTAGAATTAGGCCACTGAAATGGGGAAACTCCTACATTGCTAACTTTGTTAAAACTATCAATAAAGCTACTCCAAAACTGTTTCAACTTTGAGCCTATATTATTTTCACCAATTGGTTTGTTCAAGAAGACATAGAATTGGTACGCCTGTGTTATTGAAGAGCTTAGCTGCCTGGTTACTATATCAGATTCCTTTTCATTGGCAATGCTTACTTTGCAAGCTAGAAATATTGAAGGTTCGATCTCCTTGATGATAACTGCAGACTTATCAGTTTTTACAATATTCTCATCGTCATCCACATTGGAAGCAAACTCCCTAGCGAAGGAGTCAATTCCTCTACAAAGGCCGATAACATTGAGTTGATCATTTAAGCTATATGGCTGCCTTCCTAATTCGCTGTCTCCATCCTGCTTTTCGCCTACGAAACAGAGTATTTGCTTGGCGAGTTGTTCGTCCAGTTCATCAGATGATCTTGCCAAACTAGGGTTAAAGATAGTAATGTATTTAATTACCGGATTGTCTACATTTGAATTATTTGCGTCAATATAATCATCTGTATGTCGCAAGTTTTGAACGAATTGAGGCAAATATGACATTTTTAGTACTAGAGGAGGATGAACCAAGTGATCCGTAGCTCACCTTTGACTCTTGGGCTAAGTTTATGCTTTATCATATCACTCTATATGCAGGATATATGTATATGCATATTTAGAATTGCCGCAAATTGTCTACAGAGTGGTGGCTGTACAATGCATTACTAGTGCTGTGTTAATTAAACCATGGCAAGTGGTGGCTGTTCAAAGTATGGAGTTCTGTGAACTTAGGATATCTATTAGTATTTACATATATAATTAACTCATTCAACATACTCATGTGGAGGTAACCACAAATCGTCCCACCCTACGTTAATCCTAACTGCATTGGAAAATCCTTCGTGGTATTTAACCCATATATGGGAGGTACCACTGTTATTACTATTGACCGTTGTTTTCTCATTTTCTAAACTTCCTGAAGTTTGTGTGGCAAGATTATCGTATCTTGCTTTAAAGAAATCGGCACTATTTGTTAACCTTGAACGTTTCAGCTTAAGGTCCGCTTTATTTTCTGGCTCCTCTGATTTGTTCCTAGAAGCCAAGGTGACATGTTTTCTTTTTCTTAATGAATCTAGTCTGTCTAATTCCAATTTAAGTAATGGAAAGAGCCATTTCCTCTTCAATTGGACCAATTTGGTTAATGTAGCTAAGGGCTGGGGAGATAATTCAGTATTGAAATTGGTTATGGTATCGAATTCGGGAGAGAATTGAAGTTTGATCTCCCCTGAATCGAGATCTTTATGATTTTCCAACTGGAATTGAAAGTCCTTGATAATTTGAGCAATTTTTTCGTGGTCTATATTTTGATTTGAATTATGATTTGTCGAGTGTATTGGCGTCATCATTTTATCAAGGTATGGCAAAAAGATCCCTGGGATTGTGTTCGAAGATTCTATTCCATTTCCTATACTAATTCTTAACTGAACAGGGAAATTATCGATAATTCTCTTCATAGCAAATTTATTCAGCCTCGAGAGTTCAAACGATTCGAAATCAATTCCCAGAGGAACAAGTGTTTTATTACTTGCAGAGAATCTAGCCAGGTTGATATCACTGAACATTGACCAAATTTTAAGATACACGGCAGAACTATAATTCCCCAATAATGTTGAAGATGAGCCTGATCCCAGATGGTCCATTTGATCGTAGAACCACAACCAGTCGCTCAATTGTGCAGGCTTGACAGCTGAATCATCTTGGGTAGCGACGGCGTCCAAGTATTTGTTAAAGCACCCTTTAATTACCTTGTCTATGACGTTGTTAGCCGAAGTTGAAGCCTTTCCTCCACCGTTGGTAAATAAATTTAGTAAGTTTCCAAAGTTTTCATCCTTGCTTAGACTTTGGTTACGTTTGAAAAGAAGGGTAACTATGGCAAACCATGATAATTGGGTGTCCTTGAGAGAATTGGAAACGTAACTTTCAGTATCATTTTGAGATTTCTCCTCCTCTATCACAGCATCATAAACTTTGCCTCCACTGTTAAACTGCAAGAAATTGATACAGCTTCTGATATCCCCCTCGCACACTTCAACTATCTCATTGATATCTCTGAAGTTCAAGCCCATTTTCTCCCACTTGTTAATTTGCATGAGGAATTCTTTTACTGTTCTTAGCCCATTCCCTCCACTACCACCTCTCTGTGTGGCAATTGGTTTCCTGAATGTGATAATCTCGCAATGCGGTCTCAATTTGTCAATTGAATAATGAGACAGAAACGAAGAATTTGTACCAGAGGATGCAGATTGATATATATCGTTGGCAATGCAAATAATGGGTCTATTCAATTGGAAAGGTTTCTTCTTGTCCTTGGAATTGGCAGATATTGCAGATGCTCTATTTCTTGAATCCAAGTGCACCAAGTCAGTCAAAACTTTTATTATTTCTGCACTATTGATAGCTGAATCGATTTCGTCAATGACCAAACAAGTTGGCTTACCATTGGATGTGAGAGAATTGGAAGTTAATGCATTGACAACCTTGGTCTTGAGCGCAGACCCACCGTGTGTACTGCCTAGCGAGGGATCCATACTATTCGCAGCATTCAACTCTTGAACCGAGTAGCCAAGCTGGGTAGCAAGTAAATGTGCAACTGTGGTCTTCCCCATCCCTACAGGACCATTGATGAGCAAGATTTTCTTTAAAGGACGACCCAAATGGTCAACGTTATCATTCTGCGGCAATTCTTCCTTGAACACCAAGGTAGACCATTTTCTTAACCAATGTAGAATGAGTCTGTACAGTTTATCATTTCCCGCAGAACAGACCTCCATGAACGTTTTCGGCCTGTACTTATCGGTCCAGAGTCCAGCGGTTTCACCTTCTCCATTGCCATTTCGCTTGGACGCGGAGCTACTTATGATCTTGTTCGATGATTTGATCGCCCTTTTCAACTCGACCTTGGCATATAATCCGTCAATGTCAATCAAGTTCAACGATTCGCCAGTAGAAACTGATATCTGGTCCAATTCAGCTGCTTCCTTCCTCTTTTTCGGTCTAAGAGAAATCGTGGATCCATCAAAGAGTATGGCATTCTTGGAGTTGGCGAGTGGATTGGTTGTATCTACAAGATGATCTACGCTTGAAATCAGCTCATTTTCTGAATTTTGAAATAGTGACGACTGTGTGAAAAACCCTTCGGGCAAAGATGGCTCTATTATTGACATGCTAAAGTAAATGCTCTCTATATTCTGCTAATCTCTACCACCAATGCTATGTTAGCCTTAGGCGTTGCAAATTTGGTAAACAAAAATATTGAAATTTGACGCGTGCACGCTCCGAGCGCGTTCCTCATCACCAATGTGCACTAACGCTAAGCAGGAAGGGTAGGCCTGAGGTTAGAGAGGGTGGACAGAGCTTACATAGGAACAATGAAGTAAAATCATATCTATATCATATCACTAATTTGCTATTGTTTGTATAGTACTATTTATATCATTAATATTATTATATATATATATATATATATATTCTTTCTTAACTTTCCTCTCACAGTGAGAATGCTCTTGGTGCTTCACCTTCTGGACCAATGTACTTAGGGTCTCTCCATGGACCGTCATCGTTCAAATATAATTCATCATCGGTGACTTGACTGGTACCACCAAACTTGGTTGGTAAGTTTTCAGCAGGAATTTGCTTTAACAATTCCTTTTTATATGATGAACCCAAAATGTGAATCTTACTTACAGTAACTGGATCTAAGAAGGGCTTGAAAATCTTGAATGCGGTGGAGAATCCAAATGGAGCGTTGATACAGTAGAATTTACCCATACGCTCTGGGTAGTGGTTTTGACCAATTGCGGATGCTTCTCTGACGTATCCACTGACATTGTACACGGCACTTATAGAGATTCCCTTCAAATCCAAAATGGTACAAGAGGTCTCCACTAAGGCACCACGTTTTCTGGAACATGCTGGTAGTCTGTAATGAGTGAACAGCTCGTATTCCCAAACCAAGTTCTTCAACATTCTTTCCTGGGTGGTCAATTTAAGCATGGCATTCAAGTCAACCTTACCCAATTCTTCAAAGTAGACTGGACGTCCGTCCTTGTCAGTTTTGTGGTAGTATTGTGGGTATAACTTGGCAACAAGAGGCTTCTCATCGTAGTGGAAATCTTTCAAGACAGTGTTTGCGCCGAAAGTTTCTCTCCATTTTTCGTTATTATCCCACATCAATTTGGCAGCGGGGATATCGAACTTTCTTGCTCTCAAGAATCTTAACAACGAAGCATCGTCGAGTCTATCGGTGTAACCAGCGGCTTTCAAAAGTTCGCGGAAATCCTTCAACTTTTTTTGTTGATCATCAGTGAGGGAGCAAGTGTAGCCTGTTTGGCCATTTGGTTCGCTGATTTGAGGGAAAGAAGCCAAGAAGTCTTCCTCTGATAATGCACCAGCGGATTGACCACTTGGTGTGGAAGCAGAGTTGGAAGAAGCTTCGGTGGTTGACTCGGTGGCACCTTCAGCCTTGGTATTCTCGGTCGTAGGTAATGGAACGGAGACTGTAGTTGAATCGGCCATTTTGTTTACTTTTAATTTATTACTTTGTTATTATTATATCTTCTATTAACCTGAAAGGGGACAGTCTATGGTTGTTATCAATCTATCAGCTTAACAGTATGGCTATCCCTGAGAAATCTATGGATCGAAACGAAGAAGAAACAGAAAGAAAAGGAAAAAATCGAACAAACAAAAGAAAAGGAAAACACTAGCCAAAAAAAATCTCACGCACTCACAATTGAACTGCTAAGTGGTCAGAAAAAAGGAATGTGCGAAAAAGCAAAAAAATATTAAAAAGAAATAAACACAAAGTTGACTATTATTGTATTGGAAGGTAGGTTGCGCTTTTTGGGAAATCAAAGAAGGCTTTTTTCCAGCATGCAGGCTGAGACCCTACCACGATAAGAATAGAATAGCATTGTAGGTAAGTGTAACATTACCAAGTTGGGGTATGGTGACTATGGGAGAGTGGTCAGGCTCGGCCTTTGAGGTGGGGTATAGATTGGTATTGTTTGCAAAAAAAAAACAATTGCCGGCGGACCATCTCGGATACGGAGCATTTGACAGAAAGTGAAAATGAAATTGAGTTAGAAGAAATTTAAAAATAAAAAAATGTTTCTGGAAGCAAGGAACATGGAACTGCGAGCACTCCGTCCTGTGAACTGCGGTATGGAGATTGCTATACGTGGTGGTAGGCTATGTTTAAGCTTTGGGCATTGCCTTGTGTACCAACGTGGGCAAAATGATAGAGGATTCTACAATAACTTGGTTTTCTGTGTAATTGTTGCCATCAATTCTGCTTTTGCACACCGTTTTTCTATCACCACTGTCGTCTTGGTGGTATCTGTATCGTTGTTTTAGTCTTGCGCATAGGGCAGAAAATAGCGAGATGAACTTCCATCTCCATCTCACTGAAAGTGAACTCTTTTCATATGATTATTAATATTAGTATCATTATTCTTCTTAATATTTTCTTATTTTATTACTATTATTCTTACTCTTGTTGGTATTATTCTTATTAGTATTGTTCTCATTAGTATTACTCTTTATTACTCTTATTGTTTACTCTACTTTTACAGTGTTCCATCTCTCTTCTAGTCTAGGTGACTAGCTTTCGTCCTTTTAGTCTTGCGAATGTCTGGCCTAAACAAGCACCCAGATGCTTTTTTAATGATCTTACATAAAGCATTATTATTTTTATTCTTAACATTGCTAACATTATTCTCATCAAAAGTTCAAGGCAGACTAATCTGATTCTTGCCTGGGTACTCATAGTTAGCGTAGTCGACTAAGTGAGAAAATAGCGAAACTACCCCCTTTAGCTGAAGTTGCACTTTCTGTAGACTATATAGATACTAAATGTTGCTGGTTGCAAAAGATGGTTTAAACGTTTAAATGGCCCTTATATTCATGCCCAGCAATCTGCTACTTATTTGGGCTTCTTCAGCGATACTTTGCATTCTCCCAATCTTAAAAAATGCACTTTGGTGCTCTTTTCTATACGTGCTGATACCTTTACGTGCTTCTCTTCAGCTTCGTTTATCGTATTTCATGTATTCACAGAGTCAGTGCTTATCTATAAAAAAAATGTACACATACTTATCTCTCTCCTCTTGAAAGCCATTTCTTAAATGGATTCTTTTTCTTGGGGCCCTTTAATGCACTTGCCAAAGAAGTACTACTAAACGAATTGCTTAATCTACCTACTTCGTTATCGTATTTCAGAGCCGCTGGGAATTTTAATTTCAACAGTGTCAAAGCATTATCGGTCAATTTCTTCAAATTCAGGGGTGTAAGTACATCTTCCAGTCCATGCCAATATGTTAGGCAGTTTCTTTGGGTGTCAAGGTATGCCCTTGAAAGAATTTCCTCCGTAAATGCTTCCCACATCTTTTGATCTGTTTGATAGTTAATCGGTAATTCACAGCTTTCCAAAAATACCTCCATGTTATTTACTTTACTCATTAAATTGGTACTCTGTTTCTGTAAGTCCTTCAAAGTGATATTCAGCGTTATGAAGGAGAAAATGTTTTCATTGGATCTGCAAAGAGATTTCAAGAAACCTTCAGTCTCATTATCACCAGCTAAATCCAAAAATTCAGATTTTTCGAACTCTAATGAACCAATCTGATACACATTCCGTTCAGCATTGACATGAATATCGCCATTTGATTCTCGTGAAGAATCGCGATAATGGTTTTGAACGGCTGAATTGGACGATGTTTGAATAGAAAGTGAAGATCTCGTAGTGGCCATGCCACCCATAGAAGATCTGTTCGAAGCAATACTTGCCAAGGTGCCACCATTTCCGCCTCCATTATAGTCGAGTAAATGAATTAACTCAGTCAACCTCAAGTACTTATCAATAAGATAAGGAGTTGTTGGTAATTCCGATGAGGTAGCATCTGAACCTAATCCCAAATCAAATCTCTTAACTTCATGGGAAAGATCTAAAATTTTTTCATTAAAGTCATTCTTTCTGCCAGTAATCTTGTCAAAATAATCCAAAACTTCGCCTTGATGCTTGGAAAGGAAATCATTCATCTTTACCAAATGCGGCTCCTTATGTGGTGAAAAATCTTGTCTATTAGCCAAATTTAGCAAAATTTTAGCAATAAGAGTCAAGGTTCTTTGCGTTTCACCTGTTTGATGATCCTTGGTTAAGTAGAACAATTTAGGATTCAAAATCGCAGGACAGAAAAATCTAAGGAATATGAAAGCCAGCAAGCAATTCAAAGCAGTGGTCTTATCCTCTGGATCACAAGCTAATTCCACCTTAGTACGGAAGTTTTTCAACTGTGTCTTTATCTGTTCTGGCAAATCGTTCGATGTAATATAGATCTTATGCCAAATTTCTTCTGCATAGTTGTAAAGATTGTTGAAGTTTTCATTAACCATGGCTTTTACTCTAGCATCTCTCTCTCTTTCCAATTCAGAATCAACAGAAGATGCATCGGAATTATCAGAATCGTCGTCAGAATCATCATCGTCCGAATCTTGACCAGCAGTTCCATCCGATTTTGCCTGACTAACTTTGCTTGCATTCTTTTTCCTTTCTGCCTTTTCTTGCAAAATAACATATCTTGGGTCAACTTCACAGTTCATTTTCTCTCTAGAAATTTTAGCAAAAAAGTCTCCAAAGACTTTTTCCAAGTACTCTTGACCAATTCTTAAATTGTACTTCTCCAAAGATTTTGAAAAAATGGAAGAACCTCTGAATAAAGTGTTGAAGACATTATTAGATGATTTGGTCGTAACTGCAGATGGAACTCCACTATTTCTTTTATTAGTCACATAGTTCTTTCTCGTTATTTTGTCAACGTTAATAAGTTCTACCTCCATTAACGACTTAAACCACTTATCTTCGATTCCCAATGATTGGAAAATATCTAACATGATTAATGAAACATTTTCAAAATCACTTGTAGGGACGTTGGTGTTACAAAACTTAATTAAATCTTTCATGGGAGCATTCAAAAGCATACTCTCTAAAGTCTTGAAATTTCTCGGAGCCAAAACATGGTACTCTTTTAAATTGACTGTCAAAAGCAACTTACCAATTGGTAAATTACTTGAATCATAGATACTCAATCTTACAATATCATTTGTAGCTGCATTAGAAGAAGGGATGACACCAGCTGAAGATCCATTGACATTAATTCCACCGCCTACAGAACCGGTCATCATCGTGCTACTCGTGTGTAATTGTTTCGTCAAGATATCGGGGGTTATGAAAACCGTACCGATTACTTTATCTTGCAACAGGTACGTTAAACCTGCACAGTCTTTGATAAGGATGTGGACAATTTGAGTGGAAATTGGTAAATTCGTAGAAAACTCTTCCTTCCAGAATGGATTGTGCGTATGCGAGACAATCGCAGTTCTGGACCATGGTAGACCCCACATAACAACTTCTGCATAAATCCTGCCAGAGGAAGCTTTTTTGAACATAGATGATGTGGCACCACCTCCATTTGCTGTATTTCCTGTAGTAGACGACACATTTGAATTAGAGTTATTGTTCACAATGGAATCAAACTTTGCTTCTATAATATCAATAGATACTTTTTTGCTAACTCTAAGGTTATCCTTAGTATAATCCATCAAAGAAGTTGGAGGTGGTATAACAATTGGACCTTCTATAGAAGTGTCAGCAGTTGTGTTAGTAGCTCCTCCCGATAACTTTGAAGTTCCCTGAGAGTGTAAAGTCTGGTCATCCGCTCCTCCCATCAGGGGACTTTGCTGCATCTGCTGTGGGGGTAAATGACTTGTTTCAGGGTTGAAACTTCCAATATATTCTCTTTTGGCAAAGTAATTCAATCCAACGAACCAATCCTCTAAATCAATATGAAGTGGGAATTCTATCAAAATCCTTTGGTTACTGTTAATCAATTTCCCGTCTCTGAATAAAAATGGTTCGTCTTGATCGTTTAACAGGTTTGGCGTGATTGTCTTTATACAATTGTTCCACCTCAACTCTTTAATTCTTCCGATGAAAAGCACGTTGGAATTGTCGAAAATGGAATGATGCACTTCGCGGACTTCTGACAGCATCACTGTTTTGATGTCAATAGAGTAAAGTAGCGTACCATCCAATTCAGTGATGAAATTCAACATACCGTTTGATTTTAACACACCCATTGTGTAAAACCAACCTTCGTTGACTAAGGAGGGGAGTGAGTTGGTCAGGTTATTTGCGTCTTGGTTGTGGTAGTGTGATGATGTGTAGTTGGACACAAAATTGTTCGTTTGGTGTTCATTACCTCCTAATGGGTCTCTCTTCAGTGTTGGTTGTTGGTACGACGGAGCCACAAGCCCTGGTAAAATCTTTAAATTCTTCAGCTTTGTAGGGATCGGACCATAGACTTTGAATCTACAAACTAACACCTCGTATGTAGATTCCTGGGTATCCATTTTCAATACTTTATTTTCGCTGTACCACTTTTTGGCCAAACCCTGGGGTTTCAAATTCTGCCAGACAATTAAGGACGCAAGCAAATTTCCAAAATTGGTCTTGGATGGGATCTTGATGTAAAGTTTATCATTGTCATAAGTCTTTATAAATATCACAGGAGGTTCATCGTCCACATTTTCAGCTGGATGCTGCCCTCCGATTCCTGTAATAGTGGTCTTGATACTTCCATTTCCGTTGGCGTTAGCGGTTCCATTGCCTGAATGTGATGAACCTGCGGAAATCTCTCTTCTCTTAGATGCTAAATTCCTTCGATTGTGAGGTATTGGGTTATTTAGCGTAGTTCCGCCGTTGATATCGGGTATCACTTGTACGAAGCATGACTGTAAGTTCTGTAAGACGAGGTAGTGGCTGTCATTCTCGTCCGAAGAATATAATTGCCCCTGGTCTGTAATGGATATAGCGTACAGGGGTACCCAGGTTATGGCATCTGCAGATATAAATAAGTTACGGCCATTGAAGACTCCCTTATCTCTCGAAATTACCTTATGAAAGGGTGTAGAGTATTTCAGAGTGGGCATCGGAGTTCGGCTAGGATTGTTCTTGATGTGTCAACAATGAATACAATATGTTTTGTATAGGTGTGAGTTTTCTTCCCTTTTTTTTATAAGCCTATGTAGCCTGAAGCTTCTTCTTGATTTGCTGGCGTTCGGAAAAGTTGTCTTTTTTTCGGCGCTTTATTGAAACGTTCTAGAGTGCAGCACTATGATACGCGTAAAACCAAACTATGACTCTCTTACACTTGTGCTATTACTATGTGGCACTCTCTCCCTGTCTGTGCTAATGCCGCTCGTCTAATTGATTTCAGAAATGTTTTCAAACAAAATCACAAAAAAATTAAAATAAAAATAAAAAAATCGCGCCAGGGTTTTCGCAAACCTTTGAAAAAATTATGTGTGTCAAACTAAAACTGGAGAAATTCATTCCGACACGTAGTAGTGGCCGGATAGTGGGAAGAGTAGTAGGGCAAGAAAAAATGGAATTGGGAAAGTATTACTCCAACGATTAAATGACATGCATATATATGAATCGCAGTGTGAAAGGTTTACAATTTCAGGAGGGCTCGTCTGAGTTTAGTGGGGGACCTGCGTGTTGTCTAGAGTAAAGGGCCAGACTATTCACTTCTGATATTTATTTATTTATTTATTTATTCACTTCTGTTATTTATTTACTTTGCTCACTTCTGCTGTTTATTTTATTTCTTCAGTTATAGATATTTATTTACTTATGCAAATCATATTTTTTCATAGCTAAACCCTATTTTTTAAATTATTTTCCTGCTTTTGGGTGCTTTTCCCCTACCAATCTACTTGAATCGGCGTAAGGATCCGCCTTCTCATCATGAAAACGGTTTCAAGTCGAAACGCACAGAATTCGTTCAAGTCGTGTGTGGGGGGTGGGAAATCGGAATGGTATACATGCAAGTTGCACGTAGGCGCACAGAAAATTGAAAAGTCAACCATAGACTACTTTGAGAGTTATGTATAAAGGATAGGGGGCTGGGCTGGGCTGGTCTGGGCTGGGCTGGGCTGGTCTGGGCTGGGCTTGCCTTGACTTGACTTCTACTGCATAAACGAAAATAGAATAGACACTCTGAATGGCGCATAACTGGACTGTCTCCCATGCAGACGCTAAGGCTCCGTACAATCTTGAGCTGTTAGCATTCCTTATTTATGTGTATCACGTGCCATTTCACGTGCTCCAACTTTTCATTCCATTCCGTTTTTTTTTTTTATCTTCGTTTTTTTGTAGAGCGCTTATGATTCAATGTCCTTTAATGATAGACTACCAGTATCACCATTTTTGAGTAGAATATAACAGTACTTGGAAGCATGACTGATCTATTACATCCAAGTAATGGGGATGCGTCGACATTCCATGAATATCCTCATGATAAAGACTTTGAACTGAATGGAGAAGATGCTTTAGCTCAGTTTGAGGACGACGGAGGCAACGCTGCAGAGCTAGTGAACATTCTCCCTAGCCATGCCTGTTCGTATTGTGGTATCCACTCCCCAAATTGTGTGGTCAAGTGTAACACCTGTAACAAATGGTTTTGTAATTCCAAGAATGGAAACAACAACGGTGGGTCTCATATAGTAACCCATTTAGTGAAGGCCAGACACAATGTTGTCTCACTTCATGAAGACTCTGATCTAGGTGATACCACCTTGGAATGCTACAACTGTGGGAATCAAAATGTGTTCATATTAGGATTCGTCAGTGCGAAGCAAGAGTCTATTGTTGTGATCTTGTGTAGATTACCTTGTGCCCAACTGAAAGACGTCAACTGGGACACTTCTAACTGGCAATCACTTATCGAAGAAAGACAATTTTTACCCTGGGTAGCAAATAACATTCCTCCAGAAGAAGAGCAAGTTAACGCCAAAGTAGTAACTTATCAGCAAATTATCAAATTGGAAAACCAATGGAGATTGAATAAGCAAACGACAATCGAAGATGTGAAGCCTGAAGATGGTGCCAACGGAGGAATAGATGAAGAAGACGAGGAAATACTACCTATCCTTATGAGATATAATGATGCCTATCAGTACCAACGATCATTTGGTCCATTAATAAAGCTTGAAAGTGATTATGATAAGAACTTGAAAGAATCTCAAGCATGTGAGCACATCCTGGTGACATGGGAGGTAGGTGCAAATAATAGACATTTGGCGAGCTTCACCTTGTCTACTTTCGAGAGTAAAGGTTTGAAAGTGGCCACTGGTGATAAGATAATCTTACGTCATCAGCTGATATATCACGATCCATGGGAAGGTAGTGGATATATTGTCAGACTACCAAACAAATTCCAGGAAACTTTTGTGTTGGAGCTCATTCCAACAAAGGGCTCGGTGAGTCTGGTTCAACCTCCTATCCACTTAACTACTGACTTCACTGCAGAGTTTGTATGGAAAGGTACTTCCTATGACAGAATGCAAGATGCCTTGAGATTATTTGCATTGGATCAGAAATCCGTCAGTGGATACATATATCACAAGTTGCTAGGACATGATGTTGAACCTGTGGAGTTTGATATTGAATTGCCGAAAAAATTCAGTCATCCAAAATTAGGTGAATTGAATAATTCACAGACTAATGCGGTTAGGACTGTTTTACAAAGACCCTTATCCTTGATTCAGGGTCCTCCAGGAACTGGGAAAACAGTTACGTCAGCAATAATTGTTTACCATCTTTCTAAATTGAATGCCAGTGCTAGTAGTGAAGGTACTAAACAAAGTAACAATAAAAATGGTAAGGTGCTAGTGTGTGCACCTTCGAATGTTGCAGTAGATCATCTTGCTGCTAAATTGGATTTATTGGGCCTCAAAGTTGTGAGATTGACTGCCAAATCAAGAGAAGATGTGGAACTGTCTGTTCTGCATTTGGCACTTCACAATATTGTTCAGCAAAAAGCTAAGGGGAAGCTCAAGAGGCTTCTCAAGCTTCGTGATGACTTGGGTGTCTTAAATGACAAAAACTATTCATCCCTTTTCAAGGCTGTGAAAACTGCAGAAATGAATGCTATCAATGACTGTGATGTCATTTGCTGTACATGTGTTGGGGCAGGTGATAAAAGATTAAGCAATATGAAATTTAGAGCTGTTTTGATCGATGAATCTACTCAAGCTTGTGAGCCAGAGCTATTGATTCCTATCACCAAGGGTGCTAAACAAGTTATTCTCGTTGGTGATCATCAACAGCTTGGTCCAGTTATTTTAGAGAAGAAGGCTAGTGATGCGGGGCTCAAGCAATCTCTTTTTGAAAGACTTGTGGTACTTGGTCATGTGCCTATCCGTTTAGAAGTTCAATATAGAATGAATCCCTGTTTGTCTGAATTTCCTTCAAATATGTTTTATGAAGGTTCTCTCCAAAATGGTGTTACCAGCGATCAAAGATTAATAGAAGGTATGACTTTCCCATGGCCCGTAATGAGCAATCCAATGATGTTTTGGGGTAATTACGGTAGAGAAGAAATCAGTAGTAGTGGTAACTCCTTTTTAAACAGAGTTGAAGCGATGAATGTTGAAAAGATTATCACCAAACTTTTCAAGGATGGAATTTCTCCTGAACAGATTGGTGTCATCACTCCATATGAAGGTCAAAGAGCTTACATTGTTCAGTACATGTCGATGAATTCCACTTTGGCCGATAGAAGACAACAATACTTGGAAGTTGAAGTCACTAGTGTTGATGCCTTTCAGGGTAGGGAAAAGGACTTCATCATACTATCATGTGTTAGAGCAAACGATCAGCAAGTTATTGGGTTTTTGAGTGACCCCAGAAGATTGAATGTTGCCCTTACAAGAGCTAAGTATGGTTTGGTCATTTTAGGAAATCCAAAAGCCTTAAGTAGAAATGCTCTTTGGAATCATTTGTTAATTCATTTCAGAGAAAAGGGATGTCTTGTGGATGGCCCATTGGATAATTTACAGTTACTGATGGTTCAATTAAACTCGATCAAACGTCCTGCTAATAGCTCTGGCCCCATGGGCCATGGGTCCAATGCTTACGAAAATAATCATTCCAAAAGAAGAGATTTCGATGTTCAAAGTGTTGTTTCTTATGCCACGGCCATTCCTAATCACGATTCTGGAGCATCCCAGGCTAATATTGACCCTACCATTTGGCCAACACTTGGTGGAAAAGAAAATGTTTATGGAGGAGGAAATCAGATAAATTCTAATTTCGCCCAACTGCTTAACAAACTCAACACTGACTATGATAATCAAAATCAAAATCAAGCTCTTGATGAAAAGTTTTTAAGTATTACAAATGCCTTCGCATCTGGACTTAATTTCGAATAAACTTTGTCATAAGTATCAAAAAAAATAGAAGATATATATAAGATATCCAAGAACACAACATGGTCTTTGTTAAAAAGAACGGATTAATTAGACCTTAAACTTCTCAAATAGACAAAACTCCATAAATGGAGCTACTACTGTGTTATGAATTTATCCAAGATGTTATCAATAGCACCTTGATAAGTATTACTGAGGTTTACTATTAGTATGGAAGTTGTCCAGTGTAAGTTCATTTCCTGTATTATAGAATATTTACAATTAATTCAAAAAAATATATTGAAAGTTATCTGATATCATCTAAAGGTATCTTAGGTCTTGCTGTATAGTTATAATTAAATCAAAAGTATCTGTGCAATATAAAACTGTCACTTAATGTGGAGACTTCTATTTAAATCAAGTAATTATATTCGGCTGTAAAGAATTTCAGACACTTGATGAAACCTTTTATCACATTTTCATTTGTTTCATCATCTAATACACCCCATTTAATTTCTAATTTAGTCTTATGGTACTTGTATTTGTGGGACCCTTTCAATCATATCCCGAAATTTTTATGTTTCAAAACTGGATCTAATCAGCGTAAAGGCGCATAGTTCGCTTGATCTTGCATGAGTGGTGCTGTGATCTCATTTTGGCTCTCCCTATTTTCAACTTTTGGTAAATATTACTATACGTCGGTAAAGAGCTAGAGTGAACGGTGCGATTCAGAAAGGTACATTTACTTACACTATTTTTCAAATATGGTGCAGTTCATTTGACTCAGATTAAATATGTCACTCTTAGTATCCATTTCCTTTTACTTCTTGCACAGTATCTATCCTCGTAAAATGCATGTTCAATTCCCATCTTGACTGCCATATTATTTCTATATTTGTAAATTGTGGTACCTTTGTCAAAAGTGGTACATTCGTTAAATGTGTGATTATGTTTCAAATTTACGTCAAGTACGATAAATACCTACATCATTATACGCATATATAGTCCAGAAATTCACCATATAATGAATCATGATACACTCTAAACGCATCCCATCCTTCCAATGAACGACATGCATCAGAAAAGAGAGATAGTTTTCAATATATCCCAAAATTTCAAAATTATTAAGGTGCTTGGTGAAGGTGCATATGGTGTGGTAGTTTTAGCGATACACACACCTTCAGGTACCAAAGTGGCTATAAAGAAAATTGTTCCATTTAATAAACCATTATTCTGTGTAAGAACTCTTCGAGAGATTAAGTTGCTAACCAAATTCCGAAACCATGAAAATGTGATTCAGCTTTACGATGTTCAAAAGCCATTGGATTTTGACCATTTTGATGAGGTATACTTGATTCAGGAGTACATGCCGACGGATTTACATCGAGTAATTTGTTTTGAAAAATTGACAGATGATCATATAAAATACTTTATTTACCAAATTTTAAGGGGTTTGAAATTAATACACTCCGCCAATGTTATACATAGGGACTTAAAGCCTTCCAACATATTGATTAATGATGCTTGTGATTTAAAGATTTGTGATTTCGGACTAAGTCGAGTACTTCATGATGCAGGTGGTGCGGCTCAAAATTCTGGAATCACGGAATTAACTGAGTATGTTGCGACTCGGTGGTATAGAGCACCAGAGATAATGTTGACCACTTCACAGTATACCACAGCGGTTGATATGTGGTCGGTGGGGTGTATTCTTGCTGAGTTAATACTGGGTAAGCCAATATTTCCAGGTAAGGATTATAGAAATCAAATTTATTTAATAGTGAAGTTTCTCGGGTCGCCAACCGAGTCCGATTTAAACTACATAAAATCACCAAGAGCGTTGGCTTATATGAATTCAATACCAAGGTTTGCCAAGCAGAACATTTCTGAGTTTTTTCCCAACTCTAGTAAGTTGTCATTAGATCTTTTATCAAAATTATTGCTGTTTGACCCTAGAAAGAGGTTAACGGTCTTGGAAGCCTTGGAACACCCCTATTTGGAACTGTACCATGATTTAAATGACGAGCCTGATACAGCACCCATTGAAGAGCAAGATTTCCACTTTGATCAAAGCAGGAACCATAATATATTAGATTTAAAGTTAGAAATGTTCAATACGATATTGACGTTGAACGCATAGAGAGCTCTTATAGATTAGGGATTTACATTTATATCTTCCTTTAACATTTTCATTAATTTACACATTATTAAATCCTGTAAATATCCCAAATATACTCAAAGCTTTAAGTGAACACGCACAGCGAGTTCAAATGCAGCACTTTTAAAAAAGGTATCTAAATTCTGGAGAGATTTTGGACCCATCATTACCCTTTCCTAATTCACGTTCCCAATTCATGCTACCATCTTCAATCTTTTTGTTCAATCTCACAAGGTAAAATCTTAAGAAAACAGCCAAGAGAATGGCACACAAGATAAATGCACAGTTGCAACAGAATGCAACAAGATATTGTGGAGCATCACTTGATGGGTACAAGTAAGAGTTCCAAATAGAGGTTGAATTGGAAAGACAATTCATCAAAGCTAATGCGACGGCTCTCTTCATTGGTGGTCTTGGAACACAGTTAGACATCCATGACAAAATGGTTGTGAAGGAACAGTACAATGATGGAATCATAATACACATAGCAAAATAACGAGCACCAGTATTCATAGTAGCTGCAGCTATGATAAATGAAATCAAAGATATGAATAAGGGGCCTACCACATGCCAGAATCTTTCACCAGTTTTATCAGCATGTCTGGCCCAAATGAAAGTTGCAACAACGGCAATAAGGTAAGGTGGGGCGGTTAAACACAAAGTGGTAATTCTATTGAAGTTCAAGGTTTCCACGACTGAAGGGAAGAAGTTGGTAACACCACATGCTGCAACCAAAAATGATAAGATTCCTGTAACAGACCATACTTTTATGTCAGTGAACGCCAATTTCATAGCTCCTCTGTAGGCCTTTTCAGAATTTTCCAGATCAGAATCAGCCTGTCCAACTTCAACCTTTAATTTCCACATAATAATGTCTTTTTCTTGTTGTGATAAGGATTTCGTGTTTTGAGGCATGTCAGGTAAGATGAAGTAAGCCAATGGCACGGTAGCCACGGTAATAGCACCTTCAATAATAAATAACCATCTCCATGCTCTCATTCCTCTCATACCATCCATACCGTTAATGATACCTGCACCGATTAAACCAGCAAATGCACCAGAGATTAAAGATCCTGAGTACAATATAGAAGTTCTCAATGCCAATTCTTTTCTTGAGTACCAGCAAGAAAGGTAAAATAATGCGGCTGGGAAGAAACCTGCTTCAATTATACCTAATAAGATTCTTACGGCCAATAACCCTCCATATGAATGGACTGCACCACAACAACATGAGACAACACCCCAACAGGTCATGATAATAGTCAAAAACACAGATGGTCTGGCAAATTTGTTCATAATCATATTTGCAGGAATTTGCATCAAAATATAACCAACGAATAAAATAGAGATACATGTTTGATATTGACTACCATGAAGCCCCAAATCAGTTTCTAACCCTCCCAATCTAGCAGTTGCAATATTGTTTCTATCCAAATAATTTAAGATATAAATGAAAACAATCATAGGCAAAATACGCATGTCGATTTTCTTTCTTGTGGCCTTCGCTAATTTTTCAAATTCTTCTTCACTTAAACCTTGAAGAGATTCTGGTAAAGTCAACTCATACTTTGATGATTGCTTTTCAAGTGACGAATCTACTTGTTCAACTTGTTCTAAAGAAATTTTCTTTTCCGTATTCATTGTTTAGTGTCTTTGAAGTGATGAATTGAAAAAAATACAATGACCTGAGAATGTCATTTCATGGAACCATTCTTCTATTTATACATTTAGCTTTGGAAAAGCGGGCAGTTTGCTACCACTAATCAATATACCCACCAACAAAAACAATCGATCATTGAAATCATTGCAACAGTTGTATGGAAAAATAAGAAATGTTAACCTTCATGCATGAAATCCTCCACGCTAAGGCAACATTTCCACTTTTGTGGGGCAAAAAGCGTAAAGGGAAAAAAAAAGTTCTTTATAAAATGCAGACGAAAAGCAAATTACAATTAAAGTTGTGGGGGGATGAAACGCAAGGATCTCTTTAACTGTACTGGCTCTTATAATTTAAGATTTTGCAGACGTAAATGTTGGAAGTGGAGTGACAATAGCGTAATTTTTGCAATCTGGACCAACTTTTAGAACTTGTTTAGATGACTAACCACTTCAAGTAGATGATTTGACTTAGGTTTCATTAGGTTGCGACTACAGTCCGGTTCTATTTTTACGATGCAACTATGCGTGGGGATTTATGCAAGAAGCGCATGCACACGCAGAATTTTTCCGGGTGTCATCATTAGAATAATTCTTAGCTTGCAGCACTTGAAATTCGTGTCGGAGAAGAGGGGGACAAAAAAAAATGCTGGGGAAAAAAGAAAGAACAGGGCCCTTTGCAGGCTCAAAAAAAAACTGAAGCAGCTTATCATGCACAGCCCCGACTCCATCCTTTGCCGGATCAACTAAGTGAAGGTTGTTTGCATGATTAGAGGCTCATTTATGCTATTACCAGGGGTGGGGAGACAATGGAACCAAATACAACCACCGAATAAAAACTGTTGAAAATCGGAGGAGCCGAGATGCTTTTGGCGCCCTACAGCTAATCTTGTGGAGTCATGTATTGAATAGAGTAATTCAGAAAAATTAGTGGACCAGAATTAGGAATTTTGCTCACTGTCGTGTAATTTAAGCTCGGGATGGTGGGGAAGGTGTTTATTTCAGTGGGGCATCTCATTGATCTAAAAGTTAGTAATACATGTCAAGGCTATTGTTTAATTGTAGATCATTCAACAAAAAGCTAAAATTTTGAGGATTGGCTGCATCTTGTTAGAAGATGTGATACCCAACCATCTGACAGATATCGGTCGGCCCGCTGGCTCACAAGTATGAACTCGATGGGTACTTTGACATTTTTGATTCTTTTCTTCATGGACCAGCCTCAATATAATGTGCAAGCCCTTACATATGGGCACAAGCCCATGATAGTCTTGGCGAGCCCGTTTCATTCGGTGCTCCAGCAAGCAAAAGTGGATCTTTGCATGAAAAGGCGGTCTTTGTAAGAACCTTAGAACTACCACCACCATGTCTAACTTCTATCATGGTTCGGGTGGAGTTTTGGGTAGACATCCTGGAACCCACCTGCCTTCGTTATAGGTGTAAGGGTGTACCATTTCTGGAAATTATTTATTTCGCAGCCATTCTGAATGAGGAAGCACTAAGCATGTCCACTACGAGGCAGGAGAAAAGAACACCATATAAAGGTGGGACAGTTAGAGCTACTTGCTCCCAGGCTCTCTTAAAATCTGAATGCATTTCATCTGGAACCTCATGAATCAGCCAGCTTTGCAATTTACCCCTAGCAACTGTCCTCCTCCCTTAGCTACCTTCAACCGATGATTTGATCTGTATTTTATATGCAGGCTTCTTCTCGTGACTAGAAAGGGTAAGAACAAGAATCAGTTGGTACTACCTGCAGTACCAACACTGTGGGACATGGAAAAGGCAGAGGGGCGAATCGTTCTTAGTAATAGCAGCACAGATAAAGACACTAGTTACAAACAAATATAGGTATATCTAAGTGATACATTATTTTTACTGGCACTTCGTTTCCAAGCTGGCATCATGGCAAACAATGAGCGTTATACCCTAGAAAATGATGAACCAATAGATGCCGAAATGGCTACAAGTGACGTTGATTTAGATGTGGAGGAAGATTCAGGTGATGATAGCATATATTTCCATACGGAAGGCATAGAGGAAGAAGACGAGGATGACGAAGAAGACGATGAGGTTAGAGCAGCAGTCGAAGAAGAAGAGGAGGGGGATGAAGAAGATGATGACGCTGTCTTGAGGAGGTTGTCTCAACAAGCTATTAGAAGAAGAGAGGCTAGCATGGTATATGAAGGCGATGACGACGTTAACGACGAGGATGATGATGAGGAAGACGGGGACGAAGACGAAGATGAAGAAGATGGCGAGGGCGAGGATGAAGATGACGACGGGGACGATGATGGTGATGATGATGATGATGATGATGACGAAGACGGCAACGAAGAAAATGCCGATGACGACGCAAACCCTGCGGACTTCTTGAGAAGACTCCTTCGAGCCAGATCGAGGAATAATGGTAGAGATCCGAACAATAGCAACGGTGACGAAGGTAGGGGAGAGGAATTTGTTGATTTGATTCAAACACTCATGGGCGGTGGAGTCATGTTTAACGGAGGAGGAAGCCTTGGAGGAGGTAACTTCGGCGTTCATTCTGAGATCGATGCACTCATGAACAACTTAAATCAACGTGAAGATCCATTTCTTGTATTGGAATCACTTAATGAACTTAGTGAAAGGTTGCTCATGATGAACGGTATCACAGCTGAAAGAATCATCCCAGCCAACAGACTAGCCATGACCCTTGTTTCTATTATGCAAGATCCATTACTTTCAGAAGAATTAGAACTTCACTTGGTAAGCTGCAGATGTCTTTACAACTTCTTGGAAGTTAACCAGGATTTCATTCACGAGGCATTAAATAACGGAGCAGTAGAGGCGTTGTGCCAAAAGCTCTTGGAGATCAACTATATTGATCTTACAGAACAAGCACTTCAAACTCTTGAAATGATTTCCAGAGATCCAATTTCCCACGTACAGATTGTTAATTGCGATGGATTAAAGGCTTGCTTGCAGTATTTGGACTTCTTTACGGTTCATGCACAGAGAAAATCCTTAATAATTGTTGCTAACTCATGCATAGGTGGAATTAACTTGCGTAATTTTGCTAAAATTCAAGACGGAGACGTCTTCCACTTATTATCTAATGTTGTTAAAAACCACGAAGACAATATAGTAGTAGAGAATGGGTGGTTAGCAATTTCTCGTATAATAATGAGTGTCAAGTTGGAACGAGAATTATTGGAAGAAGGATTGTTTGGAGGCGAGAACGAAGAATTTATTAACGAGATGGTTAAAGTCATTTTGAGAAGTAGCAGTAAAGAGGGTGAAGATAAATCCAGTAACGATGGCAGTAATTGTGTCACATTTGGTACGTCATTAAATTTAATCAGATCTCTCATCGTGTTAGTTAGTGTTGGAATCAAAATTTCTACACCATTGTTGAGAAATAGGGTTGGTAAGATCGTTAGTGAATGCTTAATCCAAGCGGGCAGAAAACAAAAGGAGAATAGTAAAGATGGAGAAGATGATGCATCGAGCCAAATATCCTCGCTTATGAATACTCCTAAGGAATTGTTTTCTCAATTCTTCACTTTGATAGGATATTTATTACCCATTCCACCAAATAGCAATTATACAGCATCACCAGCCAAGAAAGAAGTTGATGAATTAAGACTTAAATATTACGAAGGGGAAGGTGGAGAAGATTACCATCAATTTGTTGACGATATATGGGGACTATTAATCAATTCTTTTCAAGCTACCATGGACTTTGAAATCAGAAGAAAGATTTTGATTAATTTGTTAAGAATTGTATCTTTTGATGTTGAGAAAATCCAGGACGTAGAAAAAATTTGCCGCTTACTCTCGTCGGTTGCCAATCAATGTAGAGGAGAAAAGCTTGAATCTGGAAATGTGCATTTGTTAACCTGCTTACAAATCGCAAAAGTGCTTTTGAAAAAGGATGGAGTTAAATTGATGAATGTTTTTGAAAAAGAAGGATTGTTGAATGATATTAAATTCATTTTGAAAAGATATGGAAGCGAAGCTGAAGATGAAGAAGATGTTGAAGATGTTTCCATGAATTCCCAATCGATGATTATATCCAATGTGTACACTGATTTTGAATTTTCTAACAACTTTGATGGGAATGGGGATTTCAAGTCTATCTTATCAATTTGCAAAGAAATTACCAAATACAGTCAAGAGATCAATTTCACTAATGGAAATACCGGTGGTGAAGGAATGAAGATATTAGAAAAAGTTGTTGATACATTAAGAACGCATAGATTTGTACAGAACTCTTCATATATGGACTGGTGTAAGCTATTCCAACAATTACAATTTGCATTGGGAGGTGGCGAAGTAGAAGAAATCTCAAGTTTTGAACTAATGAGCAGTGGCGTGATTACTGAAGTGGTTCAGGTTTTAAGAAGAGAAAACAATTGTTATAATGCCTTCATAGATACATTCTTCAAAAGAGGAGGTATTGAATTGTTAATTAGCAAGCTTCAAGAATGTTTGACTAGAAGTGAAAATTTCGAAATCATTGGATCTCAAGGATCTCAGAGTGCTATACTGGGGGTTGGAAGTTTAGGGTTTGGATTAGCCAACTTTAGTAAAACTGCTTCTATGGCCAGACAACTTAAAATAAAATTGGAAGACGACTCTGAAGATGCGAAACCTTTACCTGGAATGCAAAATCTTATTCTTTCAGTGCACGCAATTGCCACTTTTAAGTCAGTTGATGCATTTTTGGATCAAAGGTTAAAATTTTTAGAAGGAATTCATGGGAAATTCAGAGATAATGATGAAGACGAAGATGTTGATAATGAAGACGACGGTGATATACAATTTTCAATTAATGGAGAAATAATTCCAAATGAAACTACTGTTTATGGTGCTATATATAAGTCAGTTGTAGATCAAGGAGGTGAAAATGATAAAATTTGGTCAACGATTCATCCAGTTCAATTTAAGAGAGTTAAAAAGGTAACTGAGACTGACAATAAAGTGCTTGGAATAGTTGGAATTACCCATAATGAAGAAGACGAAATTGATCCTTCGACGCTATCTATTCTTCAGTTGCTAAAGGTTTTATTTGAAATGAATTCTGATAAAACTATTTCGAACAAACTCTTCAAGAATTGGAAATTGACGGTAAAGCTCAACAGACAATTAGAAGATCCATTGGTAGTTGCCAGTGGTACATTACCAGGATGGAGTGTTACATTACCAAAGCAATTTCCAATGGTGTTCCCATTAGATAGTAGAATATTCTTCCTTCAGTCCACTTCGTTTGGTTATTCAAGGTTAATTCACAATTGGCAATTGAGATTCAATCAAGAAGAAGAGGATAGGAACAGTGGAAGTGGGAATGGCCCCCATGGCTCTAACGGTTCTAACGGAGGCTCAAATGGATCCAATGGGGGACGCCCACCTTTAGGGCGCCCAGCAAGACATAAAGTAAGGCTTTCGCGGAAACTGTTATTACAAAGTGCTGTCAAAGTTCTTGGAATGTATGGTTCTACCCCTGGAGTATTAGAAATTGAGTATTTCGACGAGGTTGGATCCGGATTGGGCCCTACTTTGGAATTTTATTCCACAGTTTCTAAAGAATTCTGCCATAAAAAATTGATGTTATGGAGAGATACAAGCGGTGGAGAAAGCGAGTACGTTGTCAACGATAATGGATTATTTCCTGCTCCGATGAGTAAACAACAGCTCAATACCGATAATGGTAAAAAGGTTTTGTTTTTCTTTAACGTTTTGGGAAAATTTGTCGCTAGAGGAATGTTGGATTCTAGAATTGTTGATTTTAGTTTCAACCCTATATTCTTTAGAGTATTATTGATGTTATTGCAATCTGGAAATGTTGATAACAAACAAGTGAAGAGGTTCACTAGTATCGCTACTCTTCGACTTGTAGATCCTATTTTGGCGGACTCACTTGAAAAATTGGTCAATATGAGAGACGATGTACAAGACTTGGAATTATCTTTTGAATTACCTGGATACCCACAGTATAAACTTTCAGACAAGCCTGATGAGCTTATCACAGCACAGAGCTTGGATAAATATATCCAGAAAGTAATCGATTCGACAATTTACTCTGGTGTTATACATCAGGTCAAGTCTTTCATGGATGGATTTTCTAAAGTATTCCCAGTTAGCTCACTTGTGATTTTTTCAGCAGAAGAATTAGTTTCGATGTTTGGAAATGGAGAAGAGGATTGGACGAGAGCCACTTTATTAAGTAGCATTAATGCAAATCATGGTTACAATAAGGAGTCACCAACAATTAAAAGCCTCATAAACATATTGGTTTCTTTAGGTGCAGTGGAGAGAAGGTTGTTTTTGCAATTCTTGACTGGGGCGCCCAAGCTTCCAATTGGAGGTTTTAAAGCCTTGAGACCAGAACTCACTGTGGTCAGAAGACTGGCAGAAGATGGTTTAAAGGATGACGACTACTTGCCTAGTGTTATGACGTGTGCTAATTACTTGAAGTTACCAAATTACTCAAGCGAAGAGGTTATGCGGACCAAATTGATTCAAGCAATAAAGGAAGGAGCTGGAGCATTCCTTCTTTCTTAGAATTGTGAATCCGATTACGAAAGAAATAGCCCAACGAGGTTATACTACATTTGGACAAAAAAATAAGTTGCAAATTTTCTTGCAGGAACTGTGACGCGATTCGTGTGTATATATAGATTAATGCCGAAGAAACATATAAACGGACTTTGTAAATATCTTAACTTTAGTAACTGCTTCGCTTCCAGTGCCTCTGTTACTTCTTCTATACCCACTCCACAGCGTAGTGCATGCAGCGCCTTTTGCCTGGGCAGATAATCGTGCGCTTACCAAACCTACTATCACGCATATGAATCGTAGGGTTGGCTTCAGCTAACAGTGTTGCCATTCTACTCCCCAATTCTTTCAAGAACTAACCTTTTCAGTATGTCTTCTGTCAAGAAATTGGATAAAATCGTCGCCGACTTAGTCTCGTCTGCTCCACCTGGAGAATTAGCGGGAGTTGCGGAGAATTTGAACATTATCCTTGACGGTGAGCAAACGTCACTAGTCAACCATGAACTTGAAGCCCACATAAACGAGAGCATTGCCATATATTCGGACTCGTACATTGTATCCAAGTACAACAGGGACCCACTGACATCTAAATACATCGACCATGTGAATAAGAAGCTTTTCAACATTGATTTGGCGACAGGTAAGGTGATTGACGTGGAGCTGTATAATGACGGTGGATCCGTGAGCTACCCAAGCTACTTCGCTGGTCTTGTATCGAAGCTTGAACAATATGGGGAAGACCACTTCCCATCTTCATATGCATTTACTGTTATCCCTGGCGATAACGGACAATTGGACATCATTATCGTGGGGCAGAGATTAAACAACGAGAATTTCTACACGGGACAATGGAAGGCTCACTACAAGTTGAGTGAAAGCCAATTAGTCGGTGATATCAAGCTTGACATTCATTACTACGAAGATGGTAATGTTCGCTTGAATTTCGACGAAAGGGCAGAAGAATCCCTCGCGGGTCCAGCAAGTGGAAGTTCCATTGTCAACGCTATCAACAAGGTGGAGTCTAATGCCACGATAAAGATCATGGACCAGTTCAACGACTTGAACCAAAGATCTTTCAAAAACTTGAGAAGGTTATTGCCGGTCACAAGGTCGAAGATCAACTGGGGTAAGGCGATTGGTAACTATAGATTAGGTTCTGACGTTGTGAACAGCAAATAGAGAAGGTAGATTAAAAACACAGTTATAGGAATATGAATACAGAGCAGATGTAGAAACATTGAAATGTAGACATACTTTGTACGACAGCTTAGTATGAAATTAGATCTTTCTTGGTATTATGCACATATTTAACTAGCTACCCCGTCCACGGCCGAGCCCCGATCTCTCTCTCTCTCTCTCTCTCTCACCCCACACCTTTCATCTGTCTATCCATATCTTCAAACAAATCAGCAGATGATTGTTGTTCACGCTCACCTTCTCCAGCTCCACAGCTCTATCTCAACTTCAGCAACATCCAGATAACCACGAAGCATAGCAATATTATCCCCACTATTCTGGTAATACTGGCATTTCTTGCCATTACTCCTCTCAAATCAGAGCTGGTCCTTTTGACCTGATTCATGAGCTGGTTGAAATTCTCTCCCAACAAATCAAGAGTCAGGTTCTCTTGCTGTATAGAACCGTGAATGTCATTGTTCACTGTAGTACGGAATTGGTGGAGCGTCAGAGCAAGCTGGTCGAATCTTTGATTATTCTGCTGCTCTCTGTTAGCATAAGTAGAGTCGGCCATCACCTATTTTCTATTACTATATGTCAGCCTGGTTGATCCAATGGGTCTGTAGGAAAGGTAAAAAAAAATCAAAAACAGCACAACCGTTCGGCCATCGATATCAGGGTATGACGATCCTGCATATAGATCACAGAGTGCAACTACTTTGACTCTTGCTAATGAAGTCCTCTTGTGGTGGGAGGGCTAGTCATAGAGACTAGAAAAGTTGCTTGGGTTCTTTGGTTGTATTTTGCAGGGAATTTGTTCCATTTTACAAGGATATATACAATTTTTTCTTAGTTTTTTATTAAGTTTTGTCTAAATATCTAATATTCCAAAGTGTATCTTTAAGTGATTCTTCCTTAAAAGTCATTTTCAGCTTGTCAGCTAACTTTCCATTTGGCAGACACAATTTTTAACTTGTCTAAGCATCCTGGGTCAAATAGAATAGCATCGGATAGGTATTCGGATTGGCTATTATCATTTTCAGCCAGATCCAAGTTGTTACCACCAAGTGGACCAGCTAGACCAGATTCCATCATTTCCAACAGATCATCTTCCAAATTGTAGTCTGAGAAGATTCTTTCAAGTTTAGCAGCTAAGATTTCTTTTTCCCTTTCGTCCCTTTCGTACCTTTCTTCTTTTTCATCATCATCATCATCATCATCATAATTATAATCATACCAATTGTAATTGTTTTCTCTTTCTTTTCTTTCTCGTGTTTCTTCCTCGTCCTCTTCCTCTTCTTCCTCATCTTCCTCTCCTTCTTCTTTCTCTTCCTCTTCATAAATTGTGTAAATTCCAAATCCAATCGTTCCGAAGTTGTTATCAAATCTTCTAAATTTATTTTCATCTTCATATTCTTCATGGAATTCCTCTTCATAATCTGAAAGTTCCGCGGAGCACATTCTACCCCACTTCGATCTAAAGGTGTGTCTTGGTGCTCTAGGGTTTGGGAGTTCCAGTGGCCAGTGAAAATCTTTGTCTAAAGATTCTGAGCTGGACCACAGTTCAAGTTGGCCCTTGTCAAAACTCTTGTCTAAAAGTTTTGAAGTATCAATCACCTCAAAGTCGGCATTATCAGTGCAACCTGTATCATCTGAGCTGAACTCCAAATCCATTCCACTAGTGTCGGAGTTAGTAGTAGCACCAGAGCTGATTTCTTCAGAATTTTCAAAGTGCTTATTAGATATCAATTCCATTGGGCTATTTGAAGTATCAGTGTCGTAGGAATTCAGATAATAGTTTCTAAGATCGAGGAAGAGAGCAGTACATTTGCAGATCTGCTTCCCCGGTTTCCATCTGATCAATTCTTCAAGTGCTTTCAATTCAATAGCCTTACCTTCATCTTGCTCTCTTCTTTTTTTGATGTCAGTAATATCATCCCCAAAGTAATATCCCAAAGAATTCATTGAGAGAGCAATTCTTCTCAAAGTATCGTCATCTAACCTGAAAGTTGTTTTGATTTGGTGTGGTCTTTTCTGAGGTGTTACTCGGCATTGAACATCATATTGCTCTTTTGTAGTTCTTTGTCTGATGTCGGTAATATCATTTCCAAAATAATATCCTAAGGATTCCATTGTGTGAGCAATTCTTTTCAAAGTATCCTTATCTAACCTAAAAGTTGCTTTAATTTGGTCTGGTCTTCTCTGAGGTGGCAATTGGCAAGTAACAGGTTGAGTAGTAGCATCCGAGTTTCCTTCTAAAGATTCTAAGTTGCAGCATAATCCCAGTTCACATGTTTCAGTTTGAGTAGTAGCATCCAAGTTTCCTTCTAAAGATTCTAAGTTGCAGCATAGTTCAGGTTCATAAGTTTCAGTTTGAGTATTAGCATCTGAGTTTCCTTCTAAAGATTCTTCAGCTTCTTTTAATTCAATAGCCTTACCTTCATCTTGCTCTCTTCTTTTTTTGATGTCAGTAATATCATCCCCAAAGTAATATCCCAAAGAATTCATTGAGAGAGCAATTCTTCTCAAAGTATCGTCATCTAACCTGAAAGTTGTTTTGATTTGGTGTGGTCTTTTCTGAGGTGTTACTCGGCATTGAACATCATATTGCTCTTTTGTAGTTCTTTGTCTGATGTCGGTAATATCATTTCCAAAATAATATCCTAAGGATTCCATTGTGTAAGCAATTCTTTTCAAAGTATCCTTATCTAACCTAAAAGTTGCTTTAGTTTGGTTTGGTCTTCTCTGAGGTGGCAATTGGCAAGTAACAGGTTGAGTAGTAGCCTCTGAGCTTCCTTCTGAAGATCCCGAGTTGGAGCATAATTCCAGTTCACATGTTTCAGTTTGAGTAGTAGCATCTGAGTTTCCTTCTAAAGATTCTGAGTTGCAGCGTAATTCCAGTTCACAAGATTCAGTTTGAGTAGTAGCATCTGAGTTTCTTTCAAAAGCTTTCAATCTGTACCATAATTCAAGTTCACAAACGTTGGACTTGTTGCATAATCCAAGTTCACAAGTATCAGCATGATCTGTAGGATTTGAGCTTCCTTCAAAAGATTCCGAGTTGCCTGTAACATCAAGAACATAGTAAATAAAAGTTTGACTTTGTAAATCTTGGTCACTTTTGATGGCATCTAGAACTTCTTGTTCAATTTTAGTTCCTTTTCTGATGTCGAAAATGCTATTTCCAAATAAATAGCCCAAGGAATTCATTGCTCTGGCAATTTCCATTAAAACGATTTGGTTTAACATAGTAATAGTAATAATAGTGGCCTGATTGATTTGATTTGAGTTTTCGTTCGAGTGATATTCGATAAAGAAAGTAATAGGAAAAGAAAAGTCAGGAACACAAGCAGATGATATACATTTATACCTCTCTCGACACCATTTGAGATGAGAACAGGAAACGTTTGTAATCAGTTTGTGGAAAGAAATGGTTGAAAATCTGTGTACAAAAGGTGTACGAGTTACCTTTCTCAACCTTTGTAAACACTATAATATCCAAATCGAATTTGTGATTCAGGTAGGAAAGTTGGAACAAAAAAAGACCAAAATGTAAACTATTGCAAAAAAGTCTATTGGGGAAAACGGACTTTTTTTAGATCTGATTCGATCTCGAATAACATGTACTCAATGTGGATCTGAAGAACCTTTACTTAACGCAAACGTTCCTTTACCCATCGCAATACAAATGAGGCAGCTTATTCTTCATAATGTGAACAAAATAAATGAATTTTTTTAATGATCTATGTAAGCCTGATTCCTAAACTGCAATTAGTCTATATATTTTGAACATCTGGAAATTGGTTAATATTCAGAAAATTCTGTGTACTTTGCCTATTGGGTATATTATGCTGTTGCTGTTGCTGTTGATGGTGTTGCGGTTGTTGGTAATGCTGCTGCTGCTGGTGTTGTTGTTGCTGGTGTTGTTGTTCAGGAGATTGCTGATAAGCTTGTTGCTGAACTGGATATTGCTGGTATTGTCCTTGGAAAAAAGCAGGTTGACCATTACCATTAGCAGACTCCAGCCTGCCATTTCCAAATCCACTACTTGTCGGCTGAGATGAAAGTTGCTGCTGCCCTTGCAATTGTGTTTGGGCTTGAACTTGAGGTTGACCCTGCATTTGTTGTTGACGTTGAGGTTGAGGTTGAGATGAAAACTGTGGTGGGAAGTTTGCAGGACCGCTTGGGCCCGTGGGATAAGGTGGCAAGTTCTGCAGTCCAGGAGCTCCACCTGGGCCACTAAACTGTTGACGGTTGGCCCTTTGGGAAATCAGAGTATCCATTAATTCGTTGTATAGTTTAGCCTCGGCGTTTAATTGGGAATTCAATTGAAACAATTCTTCTTTCCTTATACTATACTTATCAATGAATTTCCCCACAGAAGGTCTAATTGGAACAATCTCGTTGTATAATCTTGTAATCTCGTCTTCATTTATTTGATCTGGGTTATTGGTAGAAAGTAATGCCAAGAGTTTATCCACTTTTTTCAGGTCAACAGCGAGTATCTTCTGTTCAAATTGTTGCTCCTTGGCCAATTCTCGAGGAGATTTGGTAACTACAGGAGTGACATAGTTCAATGGGAAGATCCCAACTTTTCCATTCGGTAATGATCCCTTCCACCAATCACGATACACTGACTCCAAAACAGTGATAATATCATTTTTACGGAAGGATAATTCATCAGGTTCATAAGAAATGAGATCATATAGCGCACGTACTTTGGTAATAGTGGCTATAGTCTGCTCTCCAGTCTTCTGTTGTTCTATCTCGTTGGTGGCCACTACGGGTAATGGCTTATTGCGGTTGACTGGTTCATTTTTCACCTTTTGTTCGGCCTCGTATTCCTGCAAGGATTCTTTCAAAACTCTCTGTAATTCTTCATCCTCTTTAGCCTTTTCAGACTGCAGAATCTCTTTTTTAGCGGGCTTACTAGGCGCAGCCCGGCCACCTCCACTCCCGCTCAAGTACTGGGGGAATATCTTAACCACCTTGTCATAGGCATCACTCATTGGTTTCAATGATGGGTCTCCACGGAAGGAATCATAAAGTTGTTTGATGCATTCAGCGACCTTATGTTTCACTGTCACATGAACCTTCCTGTCACTCAATTTCTTCATCAACGATTCATTAATAAAGGAAGCTGAAGCAATTTCTTGCTTCATCCTTGATCCACAGTTTTCTGCTATTGCCACCAAAAGTGATAAACTCCTCAAGTTGACGTTAGCATCTTTCAATGCAAGTCGAGCACTGACAAATTTAATTGCTTGCTTCGTAGTAGTCTCGGGATCTTGGGAGATCTTATCACAAACCTCTAAAATGTACTGCCAGTTATCTGCAGTTAAGGTCTCATCTGTGGCCCTATCGATTTGTTGTTCAAGTGTAGGAGCCTTGGTCGAGGTAGACGATGTGTTGGAAGATCTACCAAACATGATATCTTCTTTCAAATGCGTGCTTTGTAAAGAACAAAGTATCTATATCTTTGGTTTTTTTGGTCTGTGGCTATAACTATAGTAGTCACTCCTAACGGTCCAGTCATTTTGCATATAAGGATTTGCCATTACAAAATTTGGGTCTCCCTATTTGAAGAGGTGTGCATATAACAAGATCTTAGTTTCTGCATAGGCATAGCTAGCTTAGATTCAAGGGGATCATGTTGTCGTTTTCTGGGGACTATAAGAAAGACTATTCAGTGAGTTCTTTTGATGATAGAATAAATCTCACACAACAAATGCAGACGGCAAAAAGATATAGTCGTCAACTTTGTTCCTCATGCTACGGTAGCTTTCTCCATGCTGGGGAGCGTATGCGAGGCTAAGGTTAAAGATGCGAATGACAATTATTTCAAGCACTAAGCCAAAAACGGTTGCATTGATAAAAGTTGCAGATATTATCCGTTGTGAACCCGATGGCTATAAAGTTAGTTTGATTTCTTCACTTATCGTAAGTCACTCGAGCCTTGAAGGTGGTCTCTGCAAGAATTGCAATCTCAAGATATACTTTGTGATCCTATCGATTACGTCACACGGGAACATCTGTCCTGTATGTAAATTCCAATCTACGTGCATATGGGTTGCAGACCCCATGTGGGCTATACCATTAGACGGATTATACCTAAGATGCTTCATGTCATCTTACTTTCTATATCAGATAAACGTTATCCCCAGCTGCCTTTATGCTATGTGTAAATTGTATTGAAGTGATGGGTTCCTCCTAGTTCCTCTTAGTTCATCTTAGTTCCCCTTTGCTTCTTTTTTTCTATGTCTCTCATGTGTCATAATGACCGTACTACCGTATGTAAGTGGGGTTTCACTCCAACGTTGTATTCCCGCTACTTGCTCCCTCTCACATAGCGATGAAATGTGCTACTTTTAGGGTGTCTAGATGAAGTTGTGAGTGGATGAACGTGCTATGTTAGGCATTTCACACGCCACTAATAGAACTCTAAAACTTACACAAAGAAATCCTGTAGTGTGTCAATTATAGTCCTTTGCATCTTGGTTTAGGCTACTTGACCTTAATCGTCACCGACTTTACACGAAATTGAAGAACTCTCTGGATTGGATTTCGAAACACTTCGTTCCACGTGCTTTTGACGAAACTTTCCTCCAATTCGAACTAATTTCATTGCTTAATCTTTCATATCTTATTCTCTTATGGAAGCGCGAGCCAATTATACTCCTGAAATAGTTCACATTTCTTTTTTTGATATTTTTGTCCATGTTTAAATTGCCATTTAATGAAATCTAATAGAAACAATAATAATTCTTGATTTTTCAGAGCTTCTTTTCTTTTCGATATATTCGTATTATCGAGTTTGTTTTATAGTAGTACATCAAATTTCCAAATTAGCGTATTTTCCAAATGCCAGGTGAAGATCTTCAGTCATTTTTCATAGATTTTATGATGGGGGGTGTAGCAGCGGCCGTTTCCAAGACTGCTGCTGCCCCTATCGAAAGAGTAAAGTTGTTAATTCAAAACCAAGATGAGATGATCAAACAAGGACGTTTGGCAAGGAAGTACGATGGTATTGTTGAATGTTTCACCAGAACAGCCGCAGAAGAAGGTATTGGTTCTTTCTGGAGAGGTAACACTGCCAATGTCATCAGATACTTCCCAACTCAAGCTTTAAATTTTGCTTTCAAGGATAAGTTTAAGGCTCTCTTCGGCTTCAAGAAGGATGACAACTACTGGAAGTGGTTCGCTGGTAATTTAGCTTCTGGTGGTTTGGCTGGTGCTACCTCGTTGGCTTTTGTTTACTCTTTAGATTTTGCAAGAACTAGGTTAGCAAACGATGCCAAATCTTCCAAGGGTGATGGCCAGAGAGAATTCAAAGGATTATTTGATGTGTACAAGAAGACATTAGCTTCTGATGGTATTGCTGGTTTATACAGAGGGTTTGGTCCTTCTGTTGTAGGAATTGTGGTTTACAGAGGGTTATACTTTGGTCTCTATGATTCTTTGAAGCCTGTCTTATTGGTTGGTTCATTGGAAGGAAACTTTTTAGCTTCCTTTATGTTAGGATGGGCTGTTACCACTGGTGCTTCCACAGCCTCTTATCCATTGGATTCCATCAGAAGAAGAATGATGATGACATCTGGTCAAGCAGTTAAATATAACGGTGCTATAGATTGCTTTCAAAAGGTTGTTGCAGCTGAAGGTATCGCTTCATTATTCAAGGGTTGCGGTGCCAATATTTTGAGAGGTGTTGCAAGTGCAGGTGTACTCTCGTTGTACGACCAATTGCAAATCATCATGTTTGGAAAGAAGTTCAAATAATTTTTCCCTAATTCTTTTATTTTTTTTTTTTGCAGCCATTAAGTGTTGCATTTAGAAGGTTTTGTGTCGTATATTCCTTATTGAGAAGTTCTTAACGCATGTTTCTCGTATTTGAATGCATAGATTTTTATTTGAGTCAGCTCTTCGTCTCTTAAGTTGTTTACAGATTTGTTCCCATACCCTAAATATGATATATATAATTATAGTCTTGACTGCTTCATTATGTAAGAAGCGCTACCTTAATCGAGAGGAAAGATAATCGTGAACCACGATCGTAGTGCGAGTAGTGAAATGGAGAGAGAGAATGGAGCCACGGTAGACAAGGGCCCGGTTTTGATCATCGTGGATATTTGGTGCATATTCTTGAAGTAGGTAGTGCTTAGACTGTATGCGACTAGTACAAGCAACGTCACTTGCCTGTTCTTGTAGTAAGTACCGTCTGTAAGCTGTCAATCTACTGAAGCAATATGGGCTATGTACAGGAAAACTCTATATGCAAACAGATGAATTTTCAGGAACTTCGTTTTTTTTTTTGGTATTTCACTGTTGCGTGCTTTGGTGATGTTTACTCTGTAACTTTGTAGCCAAGCACCATCGTTAGGAACGTAGATATACCATGAGTTCAAGTTCTAAAAGGATTAAGAACGTCTCCATAAGTGTACCTGTATATTATGGCAATCATGCGGTTAAATTAGCTCCAGAAAAGAGAACAGAAAAGACGCCTGTAGACCACACTCACGAGTGGACTGTATTCATCAAGCCTGCGATCGAGGGATTCGATTTAACTCCTTTAATCAAGAAAGTGACATTCAAATTACACGAAACTTATGAATCGCCTGTCAGAACCGTAGAAAGACCTCCCTACCAAGTTACTGAGACTGGTTGGGGTGAGTTCGAAGTGATCATAAAATTGCATTTCCATGCTGGAGTAGAATTAGGAATAAACGAGAAAAATTTCCAGATTTTCCATGGATTGAAACTACACCCTTTTAATCCCCAACACCCACCGAAGCCTAATGGTGAAGTTCACTCTGTATTGTACGATGAGTTGGTCTTCCTGGAACCAACAGAAAAGGTGTTTGAGATCTTAACCCTGAAGCCTCTGAACTTGTTACCTTATAAGTTGTCTGATCCGCTGAAGAGAGACCAAGAATATCTTAGGACTGATGAACTTGACGAATTATCGAAATTGGATGTGTACATAGAACAAGTAAAAGCAGAAATTGAGAACCAGAGGAATCTTTATAAGGATTTGGAACAAGAAAAATTGGCTTTGTTGCAGTAACCTGCAATAGTTGTCCATATATAAAGTGTATATTAGAGTAAAATAGAGAAATGTTAAATACAGTTCAAATTTTAAGAAAAGTGGTTTTTTTTTCGTAGTAGCTCAAAGGTACCATCTACTTAATCGTGATATCAATGTTTTCTTCCAATTTTTACAGTAATGGGTGCCAATCCAGCTTGATTAAGACTAATTAATTGTTATGTCAACAATTTCTACCTATTTTACTGGACTGAGTGCTAATCTAGCTAAATCAAGACTCTTTTATGTTTCTGCATTTATGTGCTTTTTTTTTTTCAGATTCCGTGAACTTCAATTTTTGAAATTTTTGAAATTTTCATTTCGATTTGGTGATGTTTCTTTTGACATCAACTTTTGTCAATGATAAGAAGCAGGATACAAGTTTTCGGTAGAAAGACGATTGCGCGGAAGCCCAATATAGATAGTTTGTCTAATATCCTTGGCAGAAAGATAATTGTGCGAAATACAAGCTCATTGGCAACATCGCAACCAGAATCATCATCAATACTACTGAATTACAATGAAAGAATAGAAGAAATTAGAAAGAATGAATTGACTTACTACCCGACTTACTCATCATTCCAGAAGGATGGGTATGTCACGGTAAGGGTTCCAGAATTTGTTGAAAGATACAAAGGTTTGGAAGATAAGAGCAGTGATCCAATATGCGTGGAAGGTCGAATTCATTCGATAAGGAGAATCTCTAAAGTGCTTTACTTCGTGGATATAGTACAAGATAACCACAAACTCCAAGTTATATTCAATAACAAATCAATGGGGCTAAGCAAAGAAGATTTTGAATCTGCAAATTCTCAACTTTGCAAGAACGACCATGTCAGTGTTTGGGGCTACCCAGTGAGAACCAAAGCTGGTGAGCTATCTTTGCGTGCTGACCAGGCATTGAGAATAGTCTCGCCCTTTTTAAGAGTTCCAATAGAGAGATTAGAGCATAGGGAAAAGGTTAATGCAAACAGAGTTATGAACTACATTGTGAATCCGCAGCAGAAGGATATATTATACAAAAAGGCTATTGTGACGAATTCTATCAGACAATATCTAACTGGTGATGGGTTTTTAGAAGTACAAACACCTATTATCGCTGGTATGGGAACTGGAGCCAACGCAGAGCCATTCTCTACTAATGCAAAAGCATTAGGTTCAGATTCTTCTTTATGCCAGTTAAGAGTTGCACCTGAGCTTTGGCTTAAGAAATTAGTCATTTCAGGATTCGACAAAGTGTTCGAAATAGGACAAAACTTTAGGAATGAGGGAATAGATGGTAGCCATAACCCAGAATTCTTAACTTGCGAGTTCTACAGGTCACACACTGATTTAGCAAAATTGATGCAAATGACGGAGGAAATTTTCAAATCCATTTTAAATAACCTAAAGGGGAAAGAGAAGATTTCTGATGAGTTAAAGGAAGTATTGACTTCAGGACAATTTGCCAGGTACGAATTCATTCCCACTTTAGAGTCAAAAACTGGTATCCCATTGCCATCTGAATTGAACTCCGAAAATCTCATGGAATACTTCAAGTCGGTAAATGTACCAATCCCAGCGCAAAAGTCGCCACAAAACTTATTGGACACACTTTGTGGGATTTATATTGAACCTCTCTCCGTCACAGAACAAGGAGGTTTACCGATTTTCATATTTAACCAGCCTGCCATTATGTCTCCTTTAGCCAAATCAAAGAAAATAACGTATACTGATGGAAGAGAATACCTCATTTCGTTGAGGTTTGAGTTGTTTATTAATGGAAAGGAGTATGTCAATTCATACGAGGAAGAAAACTCTCCCTTTGAGCAGCTCGAGAAATTTAGAAATCAAGTTGAATCAAAGAATGAATTTGAAGACAGAGATCTGTTAGTGCCTGATTGGGAATATGTTAAGGCAATGGAGTATGGACTACCGCCCACCGGAGGATGGGGGTGTGGAATTGACAGACTCACAATGTTATTTAGTGGTTGTGATCGGATTGAGCAAGTTTTACCCTTTGGAAGCTTAAAAGATGTGGTAAGGCAGTAGGGGAATCGACTCGAGAGGAAAAATCGATATCATATACAAACACACATACCTATACATACATATGTATATATATATATATATGTATACTATTCTGTAAATAGAAGAGATAAACTTAAAATTATTGTAACCATAAATCATTAATAGACACAAAATAATCGGCATATTTGCCGTACTTATAGGTACACTAGCACTTGACCAGGCAATCAAGCTATCACATACTTCAACGGCTTGTACGCTTCAACGGCTTCTACTGATAAACTCGAGGTTTTCCTGCATATAACAAACTTTAAGTATGTCGTTAAGTGAAAAAAAATACACTGGAGGAAGTTTCAAGATCACAAACCGATCCAGTGATACAGTTTCAGAGCCTAGTTACTTCAAAGGATGGACTTTGAACAAAGAGAGGATGTGGATGGTGTGAGAATTTCTTGGAACCAAATCCCAAGATCTCAATTACAACACCAAAGAAATGTTGTTCCATTGGGCGTGCTCTATACTCCCATGTACAATAGACAGGAGTGCCCAAAGGTAGAACAGCCTCAATTGATGGCGACTTGTAGACAATGTCAAGCATTTATTAATCCTTACTGTAGGTCAGGTGATGGAATGTGGTCGTGTGTATTCTGTGGATTCATGAATAGGCTTGTAGATCCTCAGTCGCTGAACCTGGTGTTGGGCCATCCTGGCCTTGATCACACTACTATTGAATACTCCACAGGTAGGTTCTCGAAAGTGCCTCCTGTGTATCTTTTGGTAGTAGATACGTGTTTTGAGGGTGAAGAAGATATCGAAGGAGCTTTCCAGGCCCTCAAAGACTCGATAAACGATGCTATTGCTCAATTACCATCTGATTCTTTGATTGGTTTGATTACCTATGGACAAAATGTTCAGATCCATGAAATATCGTCAGCTGCTTCCGGATTGCAACGTCAATGGACCTTTTCCGGATCTAAAAAGTACACGCTAGAAGATATCCAAAAGAACCTTGGGATATTAGACCTGGACTTGAAGTCCAATGGCTTTGACTCGTCCAAGAACGTAGTTAAAAGTGTAATTGGTCACATTGGTCAGAAATTCCTTGTACCTATCGAAAATATAGAATATGAATTGAATCAGATTATTGCTAATGTCTCTCGTAATGTGTTCCCGCATTCTCAGAGTAATCAAAGAATGAACCGTTGTAATGGATCTGCGATAAATATAGCTTCATTATTATTAAAGGCCATCATTGGATCGACGAATACCTTGGGAGGTCACATATACATGTTCATCGGTGGAATATGTACATATGGGCCAGGGCAAATAGTTGGCCAGAGTCTTAAGGAGCCTATCAGATCACACCACGATATCGAAAGGCAAAACCAGACGTTGGTTTCGCTTAAGACTTATTCTACTGTCGAGGCAAGAAAGTTTTATGGCGAAATAACTGAGAGATTAGTATCCATGGGGATAAGTTGTTCACTCTTAATAGGTAGTTATGATCAAGTTGGTCTCTTTGAGATGGAGTCTCTTGTGCACAAGACTGGTGGAGATTTGATAATGTGTGATCTGTTTGATACAACTATTTTCAAACAGTCGTTAGTCAAATTGCAAAGCCAGCAGTTGTGCCTTAATGGTACACTAGAAGTTAGAACTTCACAGGATTTGGCCGTACAGGGGCTATTGGGAAATGCTTCAAGAATTGAGTCCTCCAAGAAGGGTAATAAATATGTGGAAGAGAGTATATCGAAGTTGGGAATAGGAGAAAGTGACACCAACTGTTGGAAATGTTGTAATGTTGGTCCCAGATCAACTTACGCATTATACTTTGAAAAGAAAGACTCTAAAGTCGTTGGTGTTAATAGTATTGTGCAGTTTATATTCCATTACCAACCTTCAGCCAACCAAGAAATAGAAGAGGATGAAGGTGCACATGGAGGCGCCCAATCTTTCAAGTTGAGAGTTACAACTATAGCAATTCCTGTTATCCAAGATAACGATTATCCCAACTTGGAGTATGGATTCGATCAAGAGACAGCTTTGGTTTTAATCGCTAGAGAAATTGTATTCAAATTGCAGGCACAAGAATCGAGAGATATTAGAAAGAGCAATGGCAGTGGGTCCGCTTCAGCGGTAACTGCTGCGACTGCCGCTGCAGCTACAAAAGTTGGACTTGGTGAAGATATTGTTGCACTTCTTGATAAAAAACTCATCGATTTCTGTGTAAGATTTGCAGGTTATACCAAAAACTCGATGGAATCGTTTTCCCTTTCGAGAACCTACTCAATGTTACCCCAATTCTTGTATCATTTAAGAAGATCCCAATTGGTTAGAGTTTTCAACAATTCTCCTGATGAAACAAGTTACGTGAGGCACTTATTCTTACATGAAGACCTCACCAATTCGCTCACAATGATACAGCCAACATTATTATCATATGATGTGGATAACTATACAGGAGAACCCGAGCCAGTCTTATTGGATTCTATTTCATTGGGCTCAAACAAGATTTTACTTTTGGATACATTTTTACATGTATTGATCTTCCACGGATCGAAAGTGGCTCAATGGAGAAAGGCGAAATACCACGAGCAGGAAGGCTATGAATATTTCAAAGAATTTCTCGAGGCACCTAAGAAGGAAGCTATGGAGATCTTAATCGACAGATTCCCATTGCCCAGATTCATAGATTGTGATGAAGGTGGATCTCAGGCAAGATTTCTCATGGCCAAATTAAATCCTTCTACAAGCTACGCCTCGAATCCAAACCGTTCTTATAACAGCCAAACCGATGTGTTAACTGATGATACCAGTTTACAGCTGTTTATGGAACACGTACAGAAGATTGTGGTAACGAAGTAGCATAATTGAGAAAGAAAAAAGAAAAATACAAATACAAATATCATGAGAGCAAATGCTAGAGGAGTAACAATATAGATGACATCATAGGTAGAGAAGACTAATCTTAGTAAACACGTTTTGAAAAACATATGTAGTGTGGCAGTGAATTTAGTACAGCATTTAGAGATCAATGCATCAAATTGCATCTTGTGCGTATTACAAAATAGTTCAATTGCAGCATTGCTGGTACAAGTACTTAAATTGTAGGTTTATTTTTTGCTCCGATATCCTTCCTTCCATATCAAACAATAGATAACCACCAGGAGGAACGGTTGAAGGGAAGAGTAGGCTCCTCCTTCATATAATCTCTATTGTCTGATTATTGCCATTTATGAATTATTCTTTCGCGTAGTGAAGTAGAACTAAAGCCGATTTGGGTTTTTAATTTTTTTTTTTCTATTTTCTATCTGATTGAGTGGGGGGCAGTGATAAGAATGAATAGTGGAGAAGTGCCCCAAAGAGAAGAAATAGCGTGAAAAATATAACAAAAATGGCAAAAATAGGTTTTGAATTACGAGTGATGAAGGCAATTGGTCAAATATGGATAAGAAGGTTTGTGAATACGAAGAATTGAGAACTGGTGCAGAGGGAACGAGGGAAAGAGAGTGCAAGGACATCAAGTACGAAAGCATGCCTTGGTTTCGTATTTATTTTTATAACTCTGTAAGATAGTGAAATGTACGCCTCTCACTGTCAGGCAACCTCACCTCGATTTCCCACTGCAATGTTGCAGAAGGTGGAAGGTCAAAAGTTAACCGAAGTAATTTCAGTGGGGTGGTGGTGGAAGTAGTATTATCTCCCCTTTGATCTCGCTAGTTGGTGGGGCCGAGAGCTTAAATTAAGATTTCAACTTTAAAAAAATGAAAAATTCGCGTTCGTTCGCTTAAAACATTGCTTCACTGAGAGGGGGACAGAATGCTGAGAATTAAAGTATTTAGTATTCAAAATTGTCAATAAAGGACAATTCATTCCACCCGTTAGAGTGAAAACAGGGCCCAACCAAGTGTGAAATAGCGGGAAATCGAAATTTTGAATTGGTAAGAAAAAGAGTTCAAAAGATGTACAGTTCCCGCCTCACCTTTTTCAATTAGTGCTACTTTTCATTAAACAGAACCCCTGTTACATGTAGCGCGAAGCCTTACAATTTCTAAAGTAAATTCCAGTGTACCATGGAAAAGGATCTTAAGTAGTCACAGAATAAATCCACTTAAATTTACTGCTTGCATGAACGGAAAAGTGGTAATTGTTGGACAGAAGTGGTATTTTTACATCAACTTAGACGAATAATAAATAAGAAAGACGACAAGTAAACGAAATAACAAAAAATAAAAAAAGAATGAAAAAAAAAAGAATTAAAAATAAAATAAAATAAATTTCAAAAATAATAATAATTTGGCTGGTCAACATTATAGACGATCAGTGTAACTTAATACACTGAGGCAGTGTCTAATAGTAGTTGAAATACACTATAGTCTAACTATTCCAACGTTCTTGCTCATTGGCATTAGGCATTGCACAGATACGTTCCCTCGTACCGTCGCACCTAACCGTATCTCCTAAAGTCCACTGCCCAACCTTAATTTCTTGTTACCAATCTCTCTATTCGCGTCCTTTGTTACCTACTAGTTAACTTTGTTAATAGCCAAAATCTGATTGTCTTCTTTTTTTTTTTTTTTTTTTCGCCTTTTTTTTTTTTACGCTTTTCTTGCGTTTTGATCCTTTTTCGTTTTTTTACACCACCGTAAATTTTCTTTAGTTTTTGGCGTCTTACGAATTTGACACTAGTTCCTTTAACCATCGATTCTTTTCTGTTAGTTACACAGAAGAAGCTTGTAAGTCTCAATACAGAGACGCTTAATACACCTACTAAAGAGCTTGAGTGTTCATTTTTTGTTCTTTTTGAGTTTATCACAAATCAGATCGCCAGTACACAATTAAATCAACAGAGAGCTAAACCAGACGTGTCATGAGAAAGATTTGGTCAAGAAAGGACAAAGATAAGCGGAGAAGCTGGACGGGCTCGTCTGTGGTGAGTACCTCGGACAGTAGGCTTGACAGTGTGAACAGCTTAAGAGAAGAGGAAGAAGATGGCATTGGAGGAGAATCTGCGGGCTTGGGAGTGGTTCCACAATTGCATCCTACAGACTCTAATTCTTCTTCTACTCAGTCATCCCCACCAATAGGACATGGCCAGCCACACCCTCACCCACTCCCACACGGTGGGTACTCAGTACAGCACAATCCCACACCTCCAGCCTCATACCATCCGGTGATGAATGGGAACAGATCAAACAGTGTTTCGTCGCTGTCTACGGGACATCATCATAACCAAGAAAAGCAGCCTGTTCCAATGCCAGTTATGCCTCCCGTAAACCTTCCTTCGTTGATCCGTACCGATTATGATCATAGATTGATTAAGAATTCATGGATGAACGTGATCATCAACTCCCATTCTAACGAGGTGAATGAACAATCGTTAAGACTCTTCAGAGCAGAGTTGAAGGGTTCTCATTTGTACCTTTATAAGTTACTACCACAATTGAATCATATAAGAAGTTTCAAGCTCCCCTCATCATCAAACTCGGGAGGAACTCCTTCGATAGCAGAGGACAAGGACGCATCATCTCTCTACAAGCATGGAAACAATTCCAATTCAACATTATTGGACAATTCAAGTCAATTGTTGGAGGAAAAAGAGGAAAAAGAAAGCATCATACAAAAGGATGGCACAGGAGCTGCTACAGCTACTGAGCCCACAACAGCATTGGAAGAAGAACAAGACTTTATAATTCTGCATTGGAGCACCTCTATTCACCCCGAGTTAATATATGATTTTGATAACCATATATTTTTACCAAATTCATCGATTGAGAGCTTAATTCATTTTATGTTTTTCATAAAGGAAGAAGAAGGATATAGCGTGAGTCAGCTACTTCAAATTATACCAATTTTCCCTAACCTTAATAAGATTTTGAGATTAATAAATTTATTCATTGAAGGAGTTGTGAGTGATAAATTCAGTGTGGAAGAAAACAGCCCAGAGGAAGCAGAAAGTGCTAAAGCTGACGAAACCGAAGTCAAGCTGAATGGGGCAATAAACACAGAGACCGGATCTGAAGTAAATGCAGAAGTTAATCACGAGAAAACTGTGAAAGAAGAACAACCAAAGACACGTGTTTCTCCTACACAGATTAACAAGAAAGTTATAAGCGACAGAATTTTAATGTTATTAACGAATATCCATGATAACTTTGGAGGATTTTTGTTGAATAGTGACATAGGCCCAAGTATATTAATCGTTCTCGAAGGTTTAAGAGAATTAACAGAGCAATCGCACTTGAAAAAGGCTGATATAGATGGAAGCGAGGGAGAAGTCACATTGAGTGGAAATGATACGGAAAAAGGTGCAGAAGGTGAAACCGAACTTCATGCAGATGAATACTCCTTCTCTACGCTCAAATCTTCAATGCTAAGCAAACAACAAGAGCTCATCAGCATAATTTCAAATGAGAATTTAACAGATTTAAACCCACTTTCTTTCATTTCATCCACTAATTTATTGAACTCCATAAACTTAATTGAGTTAGCGAACACTATTTGTTCCATTGATCTTAGATTTTTCAAGAATTGGAATTCCAACTTGGACAAATCGTTACTTTTGTATAACTCAATCAATCTTGACTTTTTCATCAAGAAGAACCCTTTAATTTTCAACAACGACATTCATATACACTACCTTTCAAGATTATTAATTCATCATTTATTCTTGGAGAACTATTCTACATTAACTGCAAGTGCAGTTTTGGAGAGAAAGGCTAGAATCATCGAAAAATGGATTGATTTGGGATGTATTTTAGATAAATTGGGAAATATGCTGTCGTGGTTAGGAATTGCTTCAATTATATTAAGTCAACCTATATTAAGATTGACTAGAATTTGGCTGTTAGTAAGTACTGATTATATCAAATTATTAAAAAATGACTGGTCGCCTGTTTTGTTCGAATTAGATAGAAGATATCTTACTAATGGAGTGAAAGGTAGCTCCGTTCCTGTTACATCGAAGAATACTGGAAATGGAGCTGGTGAGGAGGACTTGAAAGACTCTTTCCATATCATGGCGCCAAGGGGGTTAGGTAAGATTTACTATAAGGAGAATGTAATTCCTTACTTTGGAGACCTAATCATCACAAATACGACTATACCGCCAAATATTAATGAATTGGATAATGTCTGGAAAAAGATAAATTACTCATTTAATCGTTGGAACGAATATTTGAGCAACTTGAGTAACTATACTGAGATTATTCACTATAACAATGACGTGTTAAGAAGATACGATAGCATGGGATTCATTTTCAGTAACGAAAGTTTGAATCAAGTATTGTATTTGGGCGTTAATGATGACAACAAATCTCATCCTCCACCTCAATTGGATGATGAAGTTGGTAGTAGTGGAGCTGATTTCACCGTCAATGAAGATTTGAAGAGGAACTTGTTAAAGTTGATTGAAATCAATTGCAAATCAATAAACTTGGAAAAGATCATGACAATGTCTTTATCATTGGAACAAAATTTGAAAGAGTCTTATATTTACCAATGGCAACAGCAAATGCAACAACATCAGCTATTGAGCAAGAAATTTTTGAATAATAACGGTAGCAATATAAGTATTAATAGTGGTGAATCATTCCCTCTGACAATTACAGAAAACGGACAAAATGGAGGCAGTGGTTCTGGTATTGCTGCTAAAGTTGATAACCCCTTTTCTAAAATTCCACTTTTCAATAACACCTATTTCAAGATCAATCTTGCTAAATATGATGAATTGATAATCACTGAAAGCGGAGTAGCATCAGCATCTCCTCCTACCTATGACCCATCATCTCGTGAAACTATTGTAATCGATGACGATTTAGTGTTCAGAGTAGATGACTTCATAAATGATGTAGAGCCAATGGTTACTTCAATGCACTTTGATGAAATTGATAACGTCGATATTGAAGACGATGTGCCAGGTTTGGGAATAGATGTGGATGACATTTTAAATAGCGATAAGTTTAATAATTTATCAATCGAGCTGCCTAACGTCAAACAGATACCGCTTGTGCATCTGCATTTACAGCATGCTAAGAGTTCGAAGAAGGTAGCTCGTGGAGAGAGTCTTTCATCAGGATTGACTAGCTCTGATTCTCAAGTTTCAACTTCTTTGAAATACCTCCCCAAATATGCCTCAGTTGATAGACTTGTGGACTTACTTTTAATTGATTCCAAGTATTTTAATGAGAATATTAAGATGGAACTTAACGAGTATAGATTTATATTTTTACTCAATTATGATTCATTCATATCAACAAAGGAACTCTTGGACAAGTTAGCTCATAGATTTATCAACTCTGGTAACGCAGTGATTAGTATAATGAAAAAGACACATTACACTAAAAATGATAAACTTTTCCAACTTTCAGATTTTGTTAATTGGGAAATTGATGAAAATGTTGACTTGAATGCATTGGGCGAAGTTGATTATGAATTGTTGATCAAGATTCAAATTAACATCTTGAAGGTCTTAATTGTGTTGTTGAACAATTTCTATTCCAACTTTGCCGTAGATTTAAACAACAGGAATGTTTTAGTGAAATTATTGAAGTTGTATTCAAATGAAATATTGCAGTGGTACAATTCTAATAAGATTAATAATAATTTAGAATTGTCATTTGAGCTGTTAGTTAACTACTACAAGAGACTTAAGAAGTTATTCATTAAAAAGAGCTATAGGCCAATTGAGTTGAGCAAGTTTGACGAGTACTTGATTAACGAATTTAGATTCAACAATTCTTTGCATGAAGTTCCTATCAATAGGAACTTACCTGGCCACAAGAATTTGAATAAGATTGAGAAATTTTTGCACAAGTTCAACAAGTTGCTTATGATCTTTTATAAAGGAATCAGAGTCGAAGATTGGATGAAGGTCTTCAAAGTTCTAGAATATCAATTTGAAGCAGGTGGGTTAATGGAGTTTATTTTACAGAAAAACTCGATAAACGACGACAATTTAATAATTCTGAATATATTTACTTATATGGAAAGCTTAAGTGATAGCAAGGAAAAGATGTTGATTTTAAAGAAGTTCCCATTGATCTTTAGAAAGTTGTTTAAATTATACTATAAATTCAAAGTATATTTATTGATTCAATTGGCAGATTTAAATATTACTGTCGATGAAAGATTGGATAGGATGAAAACATTGTTAATCATGGTTCATTTGAGTAAGTTGAAAATGAGAGACCACCAATTTGTTTGGGAAGGCAAGGGTAAAAACAGTGGTATTCCATCTTGTATTGAAACTGCTATTACAAATGTCATTTATTCTCCAGAAAGCAGATCATTTACCAATTTATGGATCAAGGCCTCTAATGCATTGACCAGTAAGGGCTCCGGATCAAACAATGGCGAAGCAGCTAACTTCGATGACATCAATTCTTTACTTCCCACCAATATATCCTCTACTGATCTTATCATCAATCATGAACCTTTACTTCCTTGTTTTGGATGGATTATTGAAAACTTTATTGAAGTTAATAAAATTCCAAACTTTTACAAGACAACTGACGTAATCAACTTCAACAAAAAGTATCTTATCTATAAGATTATCAAAGAATTCGGAATAGAAGACTTTGATGACGAAAACGAAATAAATTACCATGACACGAGAGAATTTGAGTTCTTGCTAAAACTTGATGAAACATTAGTGAGAAAGCAGAACATAAGAGAATTCAATTTGTTAGAAAAAGATAAGTTGAAGTTATTTAGAGGTATCTTGAAAGAACAGCACAAAATTTTGGTAATAGATAATAAGAAAAAGGTGTTAAGAGAGCAACAACAAAATTCGTTAGCATTAGCTTCTACTGGGGCTAGTATTACTCTGACTTTGATATCTACACTGCAATCTGGTGCTAGTCTGTCAAGCCTCAACAGCCCTACTGCTAGTAGTAGTACTGCCAATTCCATCAACGGAAATACTCCAACCACGGTCTTGCCTGGCTCGCTTAATAAGAAAAACAGTTCATCTTCACTCCGTCGTCAAAGCCTTTCTTACAAGTCAAACTCTACATCAAGATTCAAAATATCTGGGCTTTTCAACAAGACGAGGCCATTCTCACTTAATGTTTCTGGCTTGGGATCTTCATCTCCTGACAAACAATGTTATGTTAAAGAATTACCGTCAGCAGACTCTCAAATCGACCCTAAGCAAAAGCCATACTTGATCATTCCAATGAAAAACAAGAAGATTTTCCCAGTGTATCTTTTACCCCTCTGCTTTAAGATTGATAGTGAAAATTCTAATGAAGATTACTTTTTCCAGACATCTAGCGAATTTGATTTGAATGATTGGTTAATCAAATTAAGTTATGCTAACAGACATTGGTTCTTCTCGAAGAATTTGAATTTGAAAATCAGTAACAACAACCTTACCTTCGGTATTCCTATTACCCTAATTTGTAATAGAGAAAAGTCTTACAGTCCTTCGATTTTATCGATTTTATTTGAAGAAATTGAAAACGAGGGTATTAAGGATGTTGGTATTTATAGAATTAGTACCTCGATCAGCGAGTTGAATCAAGTCAAACAAATCATAGAAAAGACTGGAACAATTAACTTTATAGAAAGGACTTGGGATGTTCACACGTTAACTAGTGTTGTTAAATCCTATTTCAGAGATTTACCTGATGCATTATTGACAGATAATGTGATTGAGCAATTCTTTGAGACAAAACAATCGCTTGAAGATAATCAAGAAGCAATTGCCAACGGAACTTCAAACGGTATTGAAGGTCCTAACGAAATTGAAAGTTACAAGGCAATCTTAAATTCTTTGCCTACATTCAACTACTTCACGTTGAAGATTTTGATTAGACATTTACAGAAGCTTAGTCGCTTCAGTGAACAAAATAGAATGAATCCATCGAATTTGGCTACAGTGATAGGTCCAGCCTTGACCGAGGCTTCTAGCCTTGAACATTTGGTTAATAACTTTGGTTTTATGAATAGCATTTTAGAGAAGTTGATTACAAATTTCAATTTTATATTTGATGAACCTGAAGTGGTACAAGAAGGTTTTTCTTCAGAGCTTGAAGAACGAAATCAAGATGCACCACAACCTGAACTCCAGCAACAACCCATGGAAGGTTTAGGACTTCAAGAAGTTGAAGTTAACCCTGCTGAAGAAACTCAAGTAGTAGCAGAGGATGAAGTTGTTGGTGAAGAAGTAAAGGAAAATGCTATTGGGGACCAAGATGAAGCAGTAATTGCTCAAAACTCGAAAGGTATTGAAGCCGAATCTGAAAGAACTCATGCAGATATTAACGCAATTAATGAAGTACCAATTGGGAATGAACCCAAAGAATTGGAAAAAGATAACAACATTGCTGTAGAGAGCAATTAAAAGCAAACTTATTTAATGGAGATAATTTATGTAATGAAGAATAAATAAATGATTTTAATAGGAATATATGAGTTTAATATATATCATGGTTAGGAAGGTGTAAGCGTATTTATATCGCTTAAATAATAATATGATAAGTTTATTGGATATTTATTTCTTCTAGGTATAACCTTTTTATACATTTCTTAAGCTATTTACAATATTTAGAATCTTTAGTGTTTAGTGTCTCTTGATGAAGTTCTGTGGAGTGGAGGAAATCTTTCTCTTTTGCACTGCATCAGCCTTTGAATTGGCAGCTTGCTTCTTCTTTTCGAGCTTCTGTTGGTTTTTTTCATTAAAGTCTGACCACCACTCTGAGACTGTTGAAGGCCCTTTTGGTGCATCAGGATTTGGTTTAGCCATTTCTGGCATTTTCATGAAAGTTCTGAACCAGTGGGATCTAAGTAATAAGGTCTGGAAGAAGGAGAAGGTGGAGTTAATAGCGAAATAAACGACAACAGCGGCACTGAATTCCTTTGTAATGAAAATTGAAACAATAGGCAACCAAAGTAAAAGTTTCTTCATCAATGGGTTTATTTGAGTGGCACCAGTTTCACCACCTGAACGAACCATTCCAACGACAACAGCGGCTGTTAAAATTTGCAAACCACAGTAAGGGTCGACAGCAGATAAATTTTCGAACCATGCTAAACCTTGGGTTTCAAAACCTTCTACAGGGTAATTTGCCATCTTTCTAAGACCCTGGAAGAATCCGTAAGCAATTGGTAATTGGATCATGGGGTAAAATTGGTGTGATAACTTGATATCGTTTTCTTTCATGATTTTCTTTCTATTGGCGGCAGCTTGTAACTGTTCTTGCTGATTTGAAGCATTTTGCAAATCTGAAAGAGCTTTGTCCAATTCAGGCTTGACATGACTCATCTTAGCAGCGTTAGCCGACGCTTTGACATACAATGGTACCATGGCAGCTCTGATACCAACAGTAGCTACAGCGATGGTGGCCCACCAAGGCAATCCTGTATATACGTGGGTAATTTCCAAAATTCTTTCAATGATGGCAGTAGGTCCCCAGCCGTCAGCAAGGCCAATAGAGTGAAGGTATCCCGCTTGATCAGAAGTTAAGGTTGTTGCGATCTGGTCTGCATTATTTGAGACTTGCTCAGTGTCAAAATTGGTCAAGGTGGTCTTTATATCGGAAGCTGTCGTTGAGGTCAGCGCTGAGGTGGAATTGAAACGCTTCATTGGAAGTATGAGAGAACTACTTCTCATTAATCCTATTTGAGAGCACGTTTTTGAAGCCATAAGGCCCTTGAGCATTCTAGTTCTGGAAATCATACCTTAGAAGTACGTGAAAGGTTCGTTATAGCTAAGAAAATACACACCTGGCACTGGTTGTGAAGACTGAAGTGAAAAATTTGGTGGTAGTCTTTTTTTTTTCGTATATTTTCGCGATATGATTTTTCAGTTTAGGTCTCTCTTTTTACTTAATGGTACGAGGCTATTTATGATTAATGGTTGCCTCTGTTCCTCAAAATGAATAGATTTACTAGGATAGTAGTACCTAGAAGTCTGAGAATAGTACTAGGGAGAATACCGAGATATGATTTCCGCCTTTTGAGTACGAAAGCCCAAGAATCCACTTTCACAGATCAGTCTGCATCTGCACTTGCAACTCAATATAAATCTATAGTGACAAATCCGTACCAAGATGAAGCTGAGATATTCATATATAACCTCCTCCAGTCAAACAATATGCCTGCTGTGACAACATTGCTTCATACAATCTTGAATAAATCCAATGTAAATACGCCGCACTATCGAGGACGTTTCAGGTTATCGAATCAATTGTGGTCGCTCTACTCTACCAAGGTGTGTGAGAATGCAAACTACGGAGGTGCATGCCTAGTTTACCATGAGTTAATTGACCCAGCTGAACCGGTATCAAACAATGTTCCACCTAACGAATTGCCTTTCCTCTTGTCTACTGAATTGCTTCAATACCTTTCATTGATATTCGTTTCCAATGCAGACCTGATTAAGGTGCAGGGTGTATTGAAGTATTTCAAGAGGTTCTACTCTTCGATTGGCCATAGAGAATTGTATAAAAGTCTCAGAATCTCTCTAGTAGAGGTTTACAGTCTTGAGGGAAATCTCGAGAGAGCACTTCAAGAATTTGAGAAGTTGTACTACATATTTTCTCAACACACAGGTTCATTCCAACCACGGCAATCCATGGAAGCTGTCTTCCAAAATTATAGACTTCGAAGGTTAACTGTTAGGAAAAACTTATACGAAGTAGGTGAACCTTCAGAAACTGCATTTGACTTAAAAGAAGAAGAAATTGCCAAGCACTCAATGAAGAATGCTAAGCTTTTCAAACCCAACCAAGAACGCAATATATATACCCTTCCTTCCAAAAGATATTACTCTTTTATTCAAGGGGGATTATCCAGAAGTGATCTCCCTAATTTCCATAATCTCATCAATGCAAACGTTACTAGTCTATTGAAGGGTGAAGATGCAGAAACTTCTTTGACACCTGAAAAGTTCGATACTTTACTCAGCTTCATAAATTCATCACAGCCGCTGCTTCAGATATTCGTGTTTAAAAGTCTATGTGATATGGGTTACATTAAACAAGCTTGGTACATGTTGTTCAAGTTGAATGATGGTAATGGGAATGTTGAAGCTGACGATTATTTAACATTTTTCGGTGCTCTTGATGATAACACACATAATTTATCTTCAGACCAAATCTATAAGATGTGCTTCGACCTTATGAACCTTCAAAAAATTTCCATAATCCAAAAGAAATCAGGAAATCGATATTTGGATATCATTGGAAAGTATATTAACGTGTTGCTTACAAGGTGTCAGAATAATCCAAATCTTGAGCTGGCAATAGGGCCATACCTTGATTCCTGTAATAGAAACGAGAAAGGGATCATAATTCTAGATAAAATTGCATATGGGGTTTTTCGGGCCCTTTTCAGAGAGAAGTATCCCTTTGTGAGAGTATCATCTTCTAATTCTTTATAAATCATGTAAATATTATATATATACAATATACTTGTAAATTAACTATTTCTAGGATCGTCCATTTTGTGTATTTTGACGTCTTCACTTTCCAAATCCCCAACCATAGCAATATCTTGAGGTGTAATAAAAATAGATTGTGATTTGGGATACTTTCTCAATTCAGTAAGTAAAAGTTTTATACTTATTGAACGATTCACCGAATCCATAAATACATCAAATTCGTCTAGACCACGTATCTTTGAATTCATGGCCTTCCATATTGCCAAAAGCAAAGCAATTTGTGTGAATGATTTTTCCCCCCCTGATAAAGATTCCACCGTTCTCTTTTTGTTCCCATCGCCAGTGCCATTATCGTCAACATTATTTGTTTGAACTAACATCGTTAGCGTTTTCTCTTTAAAACCAAATTTCAATTCTCCTTTGAAACCTCTCAATGCTAACGATCTTTCAAAAGAAGTTGAAGCTTCTCTTATTGTTTTCAAAATAGTTGTATGCAAATACTTTAACCTCTGGTTTAAGTCTTCGTTTAAGGATCTTGAAATGGAGTCTAAGTCGTTTTCTGTATTCTCCAAATTTTCCATTTTGGACTTATTGAAAAGTAATTCATCCTGTATTTCTTCATAGGTCCTTCCTATATTCTTTTCACTTTCCTTAACCGTCTCTTGTGCTCTTTTATACTCTTCTGTAATTGACTCTACGGTATCTTCAGAAGTAATATCGATATCGTCTCTTGGGCATTTACTGAGAGCTTCGGCTGTGTGTTGACCCAATGCAGCTTCTCCTCTTTTAAGCTTTTCTTGCAATGAGTTGACATTTTGCTGCTTTTTCCCTTTTTGCTGCTCATAATGGGCTTTCTCATTAGTTTTCACATGAAATTCTGTCTCTAAATCTGAAAGATTTTGCTTTGCTTCCTGGACTTGATTTTCTAACTCATCCATTTCAGCAGTATCCAAGGCTAAGTTTTTCTTTTCTTCCTTAAATTTAGAAAGTTCGTTTTCTTTGTCTTCTGTTAAAGATTCTATTATACCTCTTCTTTGGCGGATTTGTCGCTCATTTTCTTCGATTTTTTCTCTTAAAGTTTCAACAATTGCTAAATCACCATTTTCAGTTAATCTGTTTTCAATTCGGTAGATTTCATTAGAAACTTTCCTAATTTGATTGTCAAGGGTTTCTCTTGATTTCTCAAGGTCTTGTATTTCGTTCTGTTGAACCATCTTTAATCTACGAAGCTCCCTTAAGAGATCGTTATTATTAGCAGACTCAAGATTAATCTCTGTATCCAACTCTTTAATTTGATCGACGCCACTGTCTCCACTTGAAAATTTATGCGGTTCTCTTAGTCTATAGTAAATAGGATCAATTCTATAGGAATTGGAATCTCCACTTGATCTGTGCCCAGATTTGTGGTCAAGCAACAGAAATACATTCAATACACCACTATTGTAGTCTCCAAGTAATTGTCTTGCCATACCTCTATCATCTACCAACACATTCTTCTCAATACTATTACTATCAATTAGGGTGTAAAGTACATTATCATTTTTGATAGTCAAAATGTCCATAACAACGACACATTTAGATTCTTTTCCATCAGGTATACGAACTTTTCCTTGTTGGAAGTTGAATTTTTCATATTTTCTTGTGATGATGTTTTTATTGATTCTATGCCTTTTCAATATTTGTTCTAACATTCTTCTGTCATGGTCATCGTGGACTAAGAATGAATCCAAAGTCTTTCCAAATGAGGCATTTAGTAAATCCTTCCATTGGTTAAACTCATTTTTAACTTCGACAAATGACCCAATGGGCCCTATCGGCTCTCTATGCCAGTCATCTCCGATATGTTTAATTTCTCTTAGAATACTATTAATATCCTTCCCTCCCCAAGGGGTATACTTATCTCTCTGTAAATCTAATAAATTCTTTCGTCTATCTCTCAATGTACTTAGATGTTCGTTGGAAATAGTAACCTTTTCCTTTCCCTCTTTAATGGCTCTACTATCTTCCCCATCTTGAAGCTTATTCAATTGTTCAAGTATTTCGTCTTTTTTCGATTTCAATTTCTCCAACTCTTGTTCCAACTTTTGCATATTTTCCACCAACTTCTCCTTTGAACCTCCATTCAATTCGTCAATTTTCTCTTGTTCATTTCCCAACTCCTTTTTCAAATTTTTGATTTCTGTTCTTGTAGTTTCAATCTCTTCGTTATAATTTCTTATTTCGTTGTTTATATCCTCAATACCAATCTTAATTTCTTTGAGTTTGTCCTTTAAAGTATCATTTATCTTTTGTTTCTCCTCGAATAACTTATGCTTCTCCAAAGCTTCATCCAGGAGGTCTGATTTTCTTTCCTCATACTTATTTAATGTCATTTCATCTATCGCATCAATTTCTTCCTCTATCAAAATAATTTCTTCTTCATTCTTGTTCAATTCATCCTTATATTTTTGAATTTTATTTTCAATTACTCTTACATTAAACCAATACATTTTCCCGTTGATCAAATCCAATTGCCTTCTTAGATAATCTGATTTCTTAAACTTATTATATAAGTTTTTCAGCTCCTCATACTTAGTCACAGCCACTGATAGGTCTGTTTTTACTAATGTCAATTTATTTTGAACTTCAACAATATTTGTGGAAATGACTTTATAATTCTCCAAGATATCATTAATCAATGCACCAGCCATAAAGTAGTCATACTTAATATGATCAGTAGTGGCCGTTAAAAACTCCCTGGCCTTGTCTTGTGAAAGAAATGCCAATGGATTATCTACAGTTATATTGAATTTATAACAAATATCCTCCAATACACTCTTCTTGTTGGATATCGTTTTACCAGTTTCTCCGTTTTTAATATAGTAAGAGTTATTACCCTGACGTTGAAACTTTCTTTCCACAACTATTTTATTACCAAACTCTTCCGGGTTAAACGCCTCACTACCTTCATTGCTTAGCACAATCATTACTCTAGCAGTTGATTTACCATCCTTGATTAATGATTTAATTGAGGATCCTCTGCTTGTATCAGTTGCTTTGGCACCCAATCCAACGGATATACCGGTCAAAATAGCACTTTTTCCACTCCCATTTCTCCCTATTATAAAATTCATCTGTGGGCCCAATTCCAATTCGAAAGAATCGTGGCACATGAAATTCTTCAATGAAATCTTCTGTATGATGCCTGCCTTAGCAGGAGCAAATGCAGAATCCACTTCTTCTTCATCGTCTTCATCGTCGTCTTCACCTTCATCGTCTTCATCGTCTTCATTTTCATCTTCCTCACCATCTGTCCCCTCCTGAAATTCTAACTCTTCATCATCACCTTCATACTGAGTCATACGAACTCGCTTACTCTCCAATCGCTGTGATACAAAGTCATTGATGGAGTTTCCATTCTGCAGACACAATGTTAGTAAAAATAAGTGAATAAGAATTAAATAAAACGCCTATAAGGGATCGAGCCACATGGAACTACATATAAATCAAATAATATGGTAGAAATTAATCAAATTTTGCCGAAATGTAACCCACTCAACTTATAGCACATATTATGTTGCAATCATGAATTCAATTTGCCCTCATTGATGCTAAGAGATTACACATACCAAAGGATCAAACGAGCCCAGTTCAACCTCGCTCGGTTTCCTTTTAGTCCCTAATGATTCAGGAATCGTCATATAATCATAAACAAGCTTGATGTATTGCACTACAGTCAGATCTGACACTAACATATACAATACATCAAACTTTCGTGTCTAATGAGATCAATCGATATTCTGCATATAAGTGCGTGTTTAGTAAACAAAAAAATAGTGACATACAAATGAAAAATGGAGTGTGGAAAATTAACTATTGAAAATTTAGTGCCTGGTAAGTTTAGTAGCGAAAGTTTAGCGCCTAAGCGCTAGTGCAAGTTGAAACATGGAGGATCTGTAAAAGTGGCTGTGCTTAAAGAGTATCAACCTTTTCGCTCAAACGGAATAAGAGTAACATGAGCGAAAGCGTAAAAGAGTGACTTTGGAAAGAAGGGGATCATGTTCCGATAAAAAACAATTATATGACATCGCATATACTTATTTCCAGCTACTGAGACTTCCTCGTACTTCTTTTTTTTTATCTGGTATGGTCTTCCGTGCAAGGTAATGCGAAGCATTGTTCAAGAGATACGATGTACCTTCCCGAAAAGCAGCCTCTTTCCGAACTATCAACCTTCAACCTCAGTTTCCCAATTCGTCTGTATGAGGCCCTAATTGGACAAATGGAGATACTCCTTTCTACTTCATCATGTACTGGGGCCTGTCTCTGAAAATTATTATCTAACTTATCTTTCAATTTCAGATAGCCAGGCCGCGGAGATTCCGAACTTTGATAAAAAAGGTTTTCCCCATTTTTTCAGCCCTTTGAGCCATCTCTAGTGAACTTTGTAAACGTTTATTGAGTATGGTGAGCAATTCGTTATTCTGTACGTAATAGTTCATCTAGTATCCATTTCTTCATATTTTGTTTTTAACACTCTGGTGTACAAGTTACAGGCACCGCTTTCAGCTTCGAATCATCTCTGGGGCCTTCTTTCGGAATGCGCTATCACTATTTTTTAAGGTTGCATAGAAGAAAGAAAAATATTCATCTCAACAACCCGAGTCACCTGCATGTGAGCTATAATTAAAGAGGGTAATTTGGTACGGCGCATGTTCATGCAGCCCGTTTACTTGGGAAACGTTAAACATAGAAATGTAACTCCAACAACAAAAGTAGTTTAAGTTCACATTGCTGAAGAGTGCAGCATCTTCGCTACTGCAGTTATGCATTTTATAACCTATGAAAACTGAAATATTGAAGGGATTAATGTAAAACTGCCTGTACCCACTGTCCGATGATTTCGTTGTGGATAGAATTGCCCAAAAGAATTATTATGGTTTTTCCGAGGGCTTTGACATTTTTGTCAGGCACTGCATGGTGTCGAGATCAAATAATAACTAATGTTGCATATTGAAAAAATCAGAAAATAAAAAAAAAAAAAAGAAGTACCTTAATGATGAATAGAAGTGTGATACATAAAGATATTCACAAACTTGATAGCTACTAAGGAAAGTTAATGTAAAGGGAGAGATAAACCTGGGAGGAATTGATGCCGGGATAAAGAAGACAGGTCTTTTTTATAAGGAAATAGAACCATTTTCTTTCTTATACTCATAGAGATGGGTTACATTCATTGGCCAAGATGTACATAAAGTGGCTTTTGGACATCCAACAAACCGAATCCAACGCAAAAGCTTCGCTAAGCACTCTCTTTTGTTAGTAAAAATTCCGAATTAGGATTAGTGTACAATTTCGATTGCCTCAGAGACTACTAAGCATCAGCTCTGATTACGCAAATTGACTGCTTTATCGAGATAGTAATTAGTCATTTCTATGAAAGTTTTGTAGTATAAATATTGTAATATTTCCTCTTCGTATGCCTTGATATCGTTTGTTCTTCAGCTAACAACTTCAAAGTCAACTCAATACCAACAAACACTTTTTCCTTTCTTTCGTCCCACTTTAAATCCATTTTCGGTACTACTTTTCCTTTTAATAGAATTATAACTGAGCTAACATGAAGTTATCAATCATTGCTGCATCTGCTCTTGCTGCTACTGCTTCCGCATTCCCTTTAAGTATGAACTTATTCAAGAGAGACTATAAAAACTCAACAGAGGTTGTCACCACGGAAAATCACCTTATCGCTGCATACGCTAAGCCATATGCTTTGTTCCAACCACAAGTTTTTATCGTATCCATGTTTTACCCAGAAGCTGATGTTTGGTTGGATGGTCTTGACTTCGTCCACAACATTACCATCCCAGGTTTGTCACCATACTACCCAGATATTCACTGTACCACCAACTACTCAATTTGTCAAGTCACTACGGGTGAAGGTGAAATCAATGCTGCTTCCACTATTACTGCTTTGACTTTGAGTCCATTATTTGATCTCACTGAATCTTACTTCTTAATTGCCGGTATTGCTGGTGGTGAACCAAACTATACCACTACTGGTTCAGTCACCTTCTCTAAGTATGCTATTCAAGTTGCTTTAGAATATCAAATTGATTCATCCGAGCTTGGTGCTGAAGCCGCTAACTGGACTACTGGTTACTATGCTTTCGGTACCACCAACCAACAGGATTACCCAGGAAACGTCTATGGATCTGAAGTCTTCGAATTGAACGAAAACTTATTAAACAGAGCTTACGATTTAGCCTCCAACGCAACCTTGGACCCAGGTTCCAATGCTACTGCCGCCTTCAGAGCCTTATACCCAGACCTCAAAGCTTCTTCATTACCAGGCGTTGAAAAGTGTGATGGTCTTACTTCCGATTCCTACTTCACTGGTAACGTTATGGGCGACTACTTTGACTACTTTGCCAAGTTAATGACCAACGGTTCTGCTACTTACTGTGCCACTGCCCAGGAAGATAATGCTTCTTTGGAAGCATTCGTCAGAGCTGCAAAATTCGGTTTAGTTGACTATGAAAGAATCATTGTCATGAGAACTATCTCAGATTTCGCCAGACCACCTCCATCAATGGCTGATGATGTCTTATACTTCTTCAATGAAGCCGAGCAAGCTGGTTCGTCTCCAGCATTTGCCAACATTTTCAATGCTGGTCTTCCAATTGTTACAGATATTATTTCTAACTGGGACACCCTTTACAAGAACGGGTCTTTCAAAGCTGACAACTACGTTGGTGACATTTTCGGAACCTTAGGTGGAACTATGGACTTCGGTAAGAAGGAATTTGAAATTTAATAAGTAGTTTTCAAATTAAAATCCACTTTTTTATATCCTTTACGACTTTGAATACATACTTCATTCTTACTCAATTAAACGTTACCAGAGCAACAAAAGATCATGAATTTCTTTTTTTGATCCACTATTATTCTTTTGCCAGATTGGAATTTTTTGCCGTTTAGGCTTATCTTCATGCACCTAATTAAGGTGCCTAACTTTGCGCATCCTTGAGAAAAAATAATAGTCGAGTCTCCAATCAAATTCTCAATTACGTAGGGTTCCTGTATGTAGTCCAAAATAGGTGTTATCAGCCATCAGATCCGGATGAACCCAAGCCCAATTTGGAAGCTTCATGCATAATTGTTGCAGAGAAGGTTTTGGTTCAGTGATTTGAGTAGGACCCATCGATTGAGGTGACGAATTTTCAGACACTATGCTACGGCTCTCGAGTGGAGATAAATCAAGGGACAACCGGGGAAATGAGAGGTATATAAAGGGGGGCTACGTCAGGATTCTAATTTCCTTTTAAATACATTTGCTTTCTTTTTCTTTACTACTTTTCCATTCAGTGTCTTCAATCTTGCTTCTGATTTCTTAAGTATACTTTTCTAAAGAAATGAAATTTTCCATAATAACTGCATTGGTTGCTACTACAACGACAGTAACTGCTCTTCCATTCTCTGGTTACTTACTGAAGAGATCAAATGTTACTGCTGCTGCATTTAACACCTCAACTAACAATGATCTTGAACCATCTTATTCAAAGCCATTCGCTATGTTTCAACCAAAAGTGTTGATCACTTCTATGTTTGAACCAGAAGCTGCCGTTTGGTTAGAAGGTCTTGACTTCATCCACAACATGACCTTACCAGGGTTATCTCCATTGTATCCAGATTTACACTGTACATCTAACTACTCCATCTGTCAGGTTACTACCGGTGAAGGTGAAATTAACGCCGCAGCTACAATTGCCTCATTGACTTTGAATCCATTGTTTGATTTCTCAAAGACCTATGTTTTAATTGCTGGAATTGCTGGTGGTGAACCAAATTATACCACTACTGGTTCAGTTACATTCTCTAAGTACACTATTCAGGTTGCCAATGAATACCAAATTGATTCTAAGGAACTTGTTGGTGACCAAAAGAATTGGACCACAGGTTACTTTGCATACGGTACTGATAACCAAGATGACTACCCTGCCAATGTCTATGGAACTGAAGTATTTGAATTAAACGAAAACTTATTAGATAGAGCTATTGAGTTAGCAAAGACTGCCACTTTAGACAATGGTACTAACGTTACTTCTACCTTCAGAAAGTTATACAAGGAAAAGAAGGGTTCATCCTTGCCACAAGTTGAAAAGTGTGATGGTGTCACTTCTGACACTTATTTCACTGGTAACATTATGGGAGATTACTTTGACAAATTTGCCAAATTAATGACAAACGGTTCTGCCACCTACTGTGCTACTGCCCAAGAAGATAACGCTTCTTTGGAAGCCTTTGTTAGAGCTGACAAGTTCGGTTTAGCTGATTACGAGAGAATTATTGTCATGAGAACTATCTCAGATTTTGCTAGACCACCTGCATCATTGTCTAACGATACTTGGGCTTTCTTCACTAAATCTGAACAAGATGGTTTTGCTCCAGCAATTGCCAACATTTTCAACGCAGGTCTTCCAATTGTTACTGATATTCTCTCTAAGTGGGATACTGTCTACAAAAATGGACACTATAAGGCAGACAATTACGTTGGTGACATTTACGGAACCTTAGGTGGAACTCCAGATTTCGGTAAGCCTGACTTTGAAGTCGCCTAGTTATACCCCCTCCAAAAGATAACAATAGACAGTAAAAAATGAAAAAAAAAAAAAGAAAAAATAGTATAAAAACTCATATATAAGAATATGTATAAATAATGAAGTTAATAATATTAATATATAAAGATCAGAGTCACTAACTTACGTTGTACGCATCTTTCATTTATCGTTCAAGCATTGTTCTACTATTTCACACTAGTGAAGTTTAGACGAAAAGTAGATAAGTTTCAGAGAGAGTAATCAATTACTACAAGAAGCCTACAGCTGCTATTGATTTGAATTATTCTTTTATTTAGTTAGAGAACTACTATCTAGGAACTCTTCCTTTTAATCCTGATTTTTATACCAATACCCATTCGTCTTCCCTCTTTACCTCCTTGTCAATAACAACTTTACCATTGACCCAAACCTTTCTGCAATTTCTATCATCACCATTGAAAACCCATTTACCTAAAAGTTGTTCAACTTTATCGGTATATTCCTTGGAAACAACTTTTCCACTGGGAACCTGCCACTCGAATATATCCATAGATGAATCTTTTCCTCCCAAGTCAATCAACTGTGCATCCCACTTTTTGCCCACTTCAAATGATCCAACCATATCACTTAATCCAACAGCCTTTGCACCACCTAAAGTTGCCATGTACATAACTTCATTAATACTAAGTTTATCGTCCTTGTGTTCCTTCTTAGGGTCACTATGTCTCTTTGTAATTGCCAAATGGTGTGATACTAAAATTGAATGCTTCATGATTGATAAGATCAGCAGCTCAAATCCACCACTTAAGTCTGTACCCAATGAGACATTAATATTATGTTTGAGATACTTCTTAACAGGTGCCTCACCGGAAGATAAGAAAGTATTAGAAGTAGGGCAATGAGAGATGGAACATTTCCTTTCGCTGATTATCTCACATTCCTTGTCAGTTAAGTGCACAGCGTGAGCCAAGATAGTTCTGTTGGTCAACAACAGGAAATGGTCATAAACAGATGCATAGTTTTCAAACTTGGGGAATAACTCTTTCATTAACTCCACTTCTTTCAAATTTTCTGCAATATGGGTTTGAATTGGTAAGTTTTGTGACTTTGAAACCATACCAAGGGTTTCCAACAATGGCTCAGAGCATACTGGAGCAAACCTTGGAGTAATGATTGGAGTGATCAATTTTTCTCTGCGTTCCTTCGGATATTTCTGATCGATGTAGTTAATAATCTTTTGCTGGACATCAATGCAATCAGTAAACAGTTCAGCGTATTCTGGGTAAGGCTCGTTGTGATCCATACAGACCTTACCAACAAAACCTCTTTGACCATATTTGATTAATAAATCGGAAAATAACTCAGTTGTTGGCAAATCGATGGTGGTGAAGTATGAGGCACATGTCGTCCCATTTTGTAAAGTTCTATTAATTACCTTCGTATAGACATCTCTTGCCATTTCCATATTTTCCTGCTTGAATGCGTTTTCAGTAGGGAATGTATATTCCTTGAGCCAGTCTAACAAGGGCACACCAATACCAATTCCCACATTTGGGTACTGCGAAGCATGAATGTGGGTGTCCACAAATCCTGGGAAAAAAAATTGTAGCGGATTGTTCAGGTGGTCCTGAAAGTTGAAGTTCTTAATAGGTTCACTGGGGGTATGGTTAGTGAAAAAGAACTTGACCGGATCCCTGTCAGATTTGGAATAATTATATCTTATGAAATCAATTCTACCTGTAGGATCAACCCCGACAAGTGTATTAGTACGGATTTCTATCTCATTAATCGAGGGCGTATGTATAAATGTTCCATAGAAGAGCGTGTACATTTTTTATTTGAGTAGTATGTAGGTAATGCGTTAGTGTGTGTCAATAAGTAAGTGCTTCAGTATCTTTTTGCCACTCTCAATGTCAATGTATAATATAAATAATAATTGAATGGAATCGCCAAGAGGAGAAATCTCGTGTCCCTTTTATATACCTGTCTATTTAAGAAATTACAAAGCAGGTGTACAAATTTAAAAATATTGACATGTTTCTGGGGGACAGATTTAGTTGTTGCTCCGCGGAAAATCCGCGGTGCTGGGAACCGGAGCAAAGTTTAAAGTGACTGATAGGCAAGCATAGAGAAAAAAAATTGGACTGTGAGACAATTATTTTCTGTAGCTTCAAGTAAACCGGTCACACCGGTGCCTTCATTAGCAAAAAATTCAAGCCTATGTCGAGAGATACTCGGCACTTGCCCTAACAGTGCTATGTGTTTACCTATTTTTAATTTACTGATAAGATAAGAAATCGAAAATGCGCATGCTCGCTTAGAAAAATAATGGAAGTGCAAATAAAATCAGCTTAACGTGTTAAGAGTCAATCGTAGTTAGTGCTAGCTTAAAAGTAAACTAATTCCCTTCTGTTAAGATCAGCGATTTTTTGGTGATCATTCTCAAATCGGATTTGTTTGCCTCAGTAAGTGAATCAACGGCATTTTCTTCTCTTCAATTATATTTTTGTAATTTCTGTACTGTTTTTTTTAACATTGCTGTGACATCACCCACAGACCGGCGCGCCGATTGTTCTCAACAACAAAACCTGCAACTTAAATATGTCCTAACAAAAGTTGCTGTCTGCGACGGGGCACCTCCCCGCGGCCACTGTGCTCGTTAAGTATCTCTTTGATACACACTGAGAATAAGACAGTACGCAGGACTGCAGTTGGCTGCAATAAGTAAAGGTCTTCTTCACTCGAAGCCAGTCAGCCGGCTCCATGTAGATATTTTGGTGTCCTGTATATAGTGTGTACGTAGAGAGTAAATACATAGCTGCATACCACACACCATGAAAAGGCACTCGTGCCTACAGAGATACAGATTCCCATTTAATTATGTATTATATGTGTATATATATACTCACATCAAAATATTTCCTTTTTTAGCATCTAGCTCTATTTAATTTTTGCTTTTTTTTTGTAACGTTTTGTCTTGTTATGTTGATTGCATTTATCTGTCGTGGTGTTCCGACTGGTAATGACAATTTCTAAGGGTATTAAATTTATAAGAAGGCAATACCTGCTAAACCAACAAAGGCAGCACCGAAGGCAGCGTTGTTAGCAGCACCATTGGTACCGGTTTGAGAAGTAACCAGGCCAACAGAAGTGGAAGAGGAAGACTCGACGGTGGAGGTGGCCAAGGTTGAGGATTCTGAGGTGGCAGCTTCTGAGGTGGATTCAGCAGCAGTGGAGGAAACAGCAGCTGCGGATGAAGATGGGGCTGCGACGCTTGAGGAAGTGGCTTCAGCGGATGAGGATGATTCAACTGCAGAGGAGCTAGACTCGACAGCAGAGGATGAACTGGATTCAACAGCGGAGGAGGATGTGGAATCGACTTCGGAAGAAGAAGAAGTGGTAGCGGCTGCTGAAGATGATGATGAGGAGGAGGAGGAGGATGATGATGATGAGGCAGCGGCGGAACTGGACGAGGCCTTGGTGGATGAGGAGGCAGCCTTGGAGCTGGAGGCACTGGTCTTACCCTTACAAGTAGATTCGAAAGCGGAGACGGCAGTGTCGGAGTCACCATTTGGACAGATGGAGTTCAAACAGTCTTCAACGGAACTGTATTCATTGGAACAGATACAGTCGAAATCTTGTAAACCGCTACAGTCTGAGTCCTTAGTGACTTGAGCGACACAAGCCAACAAACATGCAGGAGGAGTGGCAACGACAGTAGAGGCCAAAGCGGCTAAGACGGATAACTTCAAGAAGGTAGATTGCATTGTGAACGAATGTAGTTATGGCAGTAGTGATCTAGCTTAACAAAAGGATCGAAAAGAAGAGAAGAAGAAGAAGAAGAAGAAAGATCCAATCTAAACAAAACTGAGTCGATCGTTTCCTTTTTTGTTTGTATGGAAATCAAAAAAAAAATTTTCGCCTGGTTTCTTTTTTTGGTTTTTTCTCGAAAAGGTTACTAATAATAGGTTCATGCAGGTATGAGTGGTTACTTATTGCCTGTTTGTAGAAGTACTCCTACCCAAAGTGGGGCGCAGTGTTATGTGCAACCCCCGAAAAGAAATTGGCAAGACTTTGAAACAAGAAAACGCATTTGGGTGTGGTATGAGGTTGGAGAGCTAAAGAGATAGTGGGCGACTAGAGGTTGGACTATGTGGTCTGAGAAGAGATGGATCTGTTTGGGACATGTCTCTAGATGGTTGCACTCTGTTTTTGTTTTTGTTTTTGCTTTTTGCTTTTTGGTCTTGTCTTTGGTCTCTGTCATTGATTCCGGTCTGCTGTGATCTGCTCTGTCTTTTCTCTTTCACTTTCCCTTTCTCTGCGTCTGTTCTCCGTCTTCTCCTTTTGTAATGTCGTATTTACCATAAGCCTTCCAATACCGACGCATGTTTTCATTTTTCTGTGCACTACTATTGTGTGTGCATGTGGGAAACTCATGGGAAAAATTCGAATCTAGAATCGAGATTCAAGATTCTCACGTGACAGATGGGTGCAAAGTAGCACGTCTGCTTCGACTTGATAGGCTGTATTCTATATGTGTACAGAGGTATATGTTTTGCTTCTCTTCTCCTTTGAACTTGCGTTCTATCACCTCCGTTCGGTCGCCTCCGTTCAGTCTTTCTTTCAAGTTTATATATTTCCTATTCTAACTATTTATGTATACTGATGTATATAAATTCCCAGTTGATCCCACTAGTGACATCCTATTTCCCTAATTTTTCCTTTCTCCTTTGAGCCTTCATTCTGTCTTCGTTCCGTACCTTACTTGGTTCATCCTCCATCCTTTTACAACTTAATGCTAGTTTTCAATCCGCTTCCTCTAAACATTAGTTGCAACTGCTCAAACTCTTGGCCCTTCAACTTTACGTCAAATATTGCCTTGATTTCAATATCCAATTGATTGTTGAGTGCCTTCTTCAAAATATCTGACCCAATACCTTGGTTGGTCTTGAATGGGATACGCTGCAGAACGAAAATTCCTGGCGTCACATCCATATGCTGTCTTCCAATGTGTCCTAGCTCTGATCCTTCATATGTAGCCTCTGCTGAAACTATTTCAGCTAAGATATTGCAATTTGTCAATGGATTATATATAGTAATTTCAATTTCTGACTTCAAAATGTAGATTGTAGCATCAACTAAAAATGGCGACATCACGTTAACGTCATTGTCGTCTCTCTTAAAGTCAAAACTTGGCAATTTGATGTTGTGTATGTCAATATTCGAAAAGATTTGATCCAAATTATGATTGCTATCAAACTTTACCAATCCATCTTTTAAGTCTAATGAAACATTTGAATGGTTGCCGGAAATGAATCTACTTAGCAAATCTTGCAACTCATCTTCATTTTCTGTATCATGGTAGATGGATATTTTAACGGCCGAAATATTAATTATACTAGAAATATTATCAATATCTGACAATAATACTGATGATAATACTTTACCTTGGTAGTAAATATTGTAGTTAATCAGTGAAATCTTAAAATCTAGTAAAAAATCTTTATCAATTTCCATTCCTACATCCAATTTTAAATCTAACCTTGTTGATGTAGATTGGATGAGCAGGATATTGGAAATTGAGATGCCTTTAACGTAATTCGATATTAAGCTTGAAGTGAAATCACCTTCAAGTAAGGGTAAATTTATTGGCAATCCATCTGTTTGTAAGTCTTTCAACTGAGAGCTAGAAAGGAAAGGTAGTATTTGCAAATCAACGTCTAAGCGATTAATGTTGGTAATTAATTTCACTTGTGTTTCAGCTGCTAGGAACTCCTTGATGACTTTATTTAAAGCCTTTTCGTTTGCAACTGATAAAGTCAAGGAATTCATTGAAATGTTTGCCAAAAGTTCTTTCGAATGTAGCTTCAGTAACGCAACAGTATGCTGGCTCTTTGACTTGCCAGTAACTACTTCATCTTCTTCAAATAAAATGGCAAAATCTGCTTCAAAAGTTTGAATATCAACATCTAAAACCTTGAATAATGATGAATCTAAAAGAATCAGGAAATTGGAGCTAACTACTAAGTCACTATTGTCTGTTCCAGTTCCGACTACAAAAGAGTCAACAGATAAATTCAGACTTTGAAAATGGTGAATAAGTGAATCTGGTCTGGGCAAGTGTTTGAGTTTCAATGGGAAATGCAAACCTTTGAATATATCAATAATCCAACCAGGTAATCTAGTAGGAGGATCTGTCAACTTTGAAGAAGTTGCTGAGCTAAGATAAATATCTATTGGATCATCTGCAAGATATTTTTGAACAAGCTCAATTATTGTGCCTTGAGCATTAGCCATTTCGCCTAGTATCCCATTCACTGTAATGCTTATAGGAGTCTTTGGCTCAATTTCAATAGTTTCAGACCTAAGCTTAGTTACGTCAACATATTCGCTAACTTCATCCTTCAATGATAAGACCCAATCCATTGGTTCTAGAGTGAATGTTATAGGCAAGTCATTTTCAACAGATATCTCAGAATTATATACCAATGCATCTGTTTCATCTTTCGCTATCGTAATCAGCTTTACTTCAAATTGTGGATCTATATCTTTATCCATATCAACAAAGGTATAGAAGTTTATGGGGTAATTGTTCAACGTGAATATAGGTGTCTTGAAGTTAGCGTGGAACTTGGCATTTAGCTCAAACTTGGATACCTTATTCAAAAAATATTTGGTATATTTTAAGAAATTTGTAGAATTTAATTTGGAGCTAGTTATCATATCAATTGGAGTGACGCCATGATTATTGACATCGATTTTAAAGTCTGGCGAAAAGACCTCAACAAACTCAAAAAACTCCTTGTTCTTTTCATCATCATCAGCATTATCAGGCTTAATAAAGAGTTTTATTGGATCTACTGGGGAAATAACCACTGATCCCACCAACCAGTATGATGTAAATTTTAGAAAACCTTTCTGAATCGGGTGATTTACTATGTTATCATAGTTGATCTCTACGGAGCCGATGATATGGCAATCTATGCCCCTATCGCTGAAACCAACTAGCTGAATTGAGTCAACATTGGTAGTTACTACACTTTCCATAGAGGAATCCAAATCTGAGAGGACTATGTACGACAATAGACAGATTAATGTTAGCGTAATGATTGTGAACCCTAGAATGCGAAGTCTATAGTACAACAAGGAAGGGGCCGATGAGTAGGAAGTCGCATCAGTTTCATGGCCAGATCCAGATCCCATCCCCCCAGAGCCAGCTGGGGTAATGATAGACAGCTCTCCGGAAGTCCCATGGTTAAGTAATGGTGTGGTTTCATCATTCGAGGGCTGTTTCGGAGTAGTTCCCTTCGGAGCAAGTGAGGAAGATGCTTCAGGCATAAGAATATTGTGTGGGGTATCAGTAAAACTAATTCTAAGAGACTGCTGACTTGAAAGCGGTTAAAACCGAGGCAACAATATCACGTAAGAAAAAACTACTTTTTCAATCACTTGAACCTAACTAGGCACTATTTAAATTGCCAATGGGTATGTGTGCGTGTGTGTTCTTTCGGACTATCAACCTAGGGCAACCACATAAAAACATAAATTAATATTCCACAATCATACAAAAATACCCCAAAAAAAATAAAAAAAAAAAAAAAAAAAAAAAAAAAAAAAAAGAAATTGTTTAATTAGCTTGCAATTACATAGGGAGCAGACCCACCAAAAATATTGTTCGGGAAGGAAAATACAGATCAAAGTACTGTCCTTGTATTTGCTTAGGTGCTCTCAACGAGCGTGCTACTTCATGGACTGAAAATTCCACCGTAAACCCATAACTTGCATCACTCTATCTTCTCTTGGCTACTCTAGGTGCTGCATACTGATAGCACTCTTTGGTACCTATCTGTGTGTTGTTTGTATGCAGGATGTTTAATTGGCTGTAGGCGGATTTTAAAATAAGGAAACCAGAAAAATGGGACTGGAGGTGGCATCTGCAGCCCTAACTCACCCAGCAGTATAAAATAGGTAGTCAAGTCCATATATATAAGCAGCAAATGTCTCGACGTTCAAGATCCAAGCCTCTCCCAAAACCTCCAGCTCAAGAATTCCCTGATGACGAAGATATAGGGGACGACGAAGCTGAAGATCTAGATGAGGAGCAAGAAATAACCAGATGTGTGTGTGGAAATGATGAATTGATACAGCTGCAAATCAATTCTAGTTTGCAGACACTCTTACTCAACGAATACCAAATAAAAATTGACCTGGGGTTGTTCATTCAGTGTGACAAGTGCTCAGTCTGGCAGCATGGATACTGTGTTGGGTTGTTCATTAATGACGATGTGCCAGACAAATACTGGTGTGAACAGTGTAGACCAGAGTATCATATTGCAGTTGTGGATGATGCTCGGACGTTGTACAAGCCAGTCAATGAAAAGAGGAAAGTATTGGTTAACTGGAGTAATGATACCAGCACCCATGGGAAGAGAAGGGCAGGGAAATCAAGGACCAGCGCTAGTCCGACTGGTCCTGTCGGCACCGATGACAGTGGAGACAATCATGAACACCACAGCAAACACCGTAAGGAGAGAAGGCATTTTGAGTCTGGTTCTTATGATGAAGAATTGGAAAAGGCTTTGAGAGAAAGCGCCAAGGAAAGTGGTGTGCCCTTGAGTGACATTGAGTCAAGGAGTACCAGGAAAAGGAGGGTGAAAGAAGAAGATGATAAAAGCAGCGGCGGGGCATCGAGCCCGACGAAGAGGAAGAGACATCTTCAAAGCGATGAAGAGATGGCTAGAGATGGATCTCTGGATGACAAGACCGTAGATGTTAAGATTAACATAGAGAGAGCAACAGCTGAACCCGATGATGGAGGAGATGATGATGGAGAAGATGAGGACGAACGTGGAGAAGACTCGGAAGATGGCGACGGTGAGGATGAGGCTGGAGATGGAGAAGAAGGTGATAAAAATGACCTAGAAGGTGCAGCTGTTGTGAGTAAGTCTACTGAAAGAGAAAAACCTCTTGCTAGTGCTGGAACTGGTTCAGTTCCAACACTGTCATCATCTTCTACAATTACAGCTACATCGACGACTACTACGAAAAAGAAACCAGGCAGAGGCAAGGGCAAATCTACTACTACAACTACAGTTACATCCAAGATAACGGCTCCAGCCTTGACTAAAGAAGAGCTCATCAACCAACCTTCCAAGCCAAGGTTTGTAAATTCAAAGTCTTCCATATATGAACTTCGCAAGCGGACTGGTGCAATTTTGGAGTGGTTGGGAAGATCCCAGTTGGAACTTGAAGAAGAAAAATCGTCAAAGGTAGAGCTCTTTTTGTATCATGAAGGAGGAGATAAAAACGATCAACAAAAGGTTATAACGAATAGCTACGATAACAACTTGAAGTTGATGGAGCAGTTGACTGAGAAGATATTAGACTGGGAACAGAAGTTTGGAAAGTATGCTCCATGAACAAAACATTTCTCCTTCTTTTATCAATTTACACATGATGTCGAATTACTTCTTTAATGTACTATTAGAATTATGAATAAAGTAAAAATAATTTTACAATTGTAGTCACCTTTGTTGACTCCTATGGCTCTTTACAATAAATCCCTTAGTTGACCCCTATGATTTGGCAATTCTTGCAGAACATTCGTTTCCGCAGCGTTGACTAGATCGCACAAATTGTCTAGCCATGAGGAACTATTTAGTATGGTATCACCTCCTATTATTATATTCAATTTCATTTTAGTTGTGTTATTCCACTCATGAATTAATCTAGCTTCTTCATAAGTCACTCCTCCTTGAATGTAAATAATAATATCTTGAATTGAATCGGAAGTTGCACTCCCAAATTGACGGGTCACAGCTTCAGGAACTAAGGTGGTAAGTTGATCGGTTGTGTTTTGCAGCTGATGGTTATTTGGCAGTTGCTGCTCTTGTATAAGGGAAGTCAAAGTTTCGTACAACTTTGGAATATGTTGCATGTAGATATTATCTGGTTGATTAGAGTTGCTATTATTATTGAGACTTTTGTTAAAGAATTGGTTGAACTTTTTACCATTGAACAATCCCACCCCATCCGTAGAGTTTCTACTGGAGGAAGTGGTACTTCTGGAATCTGTACGGTTACGGCTGATTCCTATATACTTCTTAAAAGATCTTAACAATAGTAATTGACTCAATGTAGGAGGAGGGCTAGTTAAATTTGGGTTTGAGAGTTTATTGATGAAAGTATCGGTTTCATTCTCAGGCTTGTTTGTATTCTCATATCTTAGCGCATATAAAAGAACAAGTTTAACTTTGTTCAATGTAGAAGTCACTTGAGGTTGCTGTTGTTGTGGAGGTGTGTAATTATCCAATATTTGATGAATCTTCAACTTGATGGAAGAATGGGATTCCAAATCAGCCACGATAGTTTGTTGCAACTCTCCAAGTTCCCAAAGATGTTGTTGGTTAATCATTTTATCCAATTCACTTACCAAATTTAGATGTTTGCTTACGTTGGACGAGAACTTCTTGAACTCGGGGAATTTGATGAGGAAATTCTTAAGATCTGCAAGGTTTTTGGTTTGTAAATTTTCTGTTGATGTCTGCTTTGTTTGGGTTTTGTATTCCTCAACATATTTTTGGACTTTATCGGTCAAGTCCCCGTAGTTTAAATACATTGAGTCTTTGTAAAATGAGTCTGACTGTTCAGAAAGCGTCAACTGTTCATCTCCTACTTTGACGATGTTCTTTTGGATTCCAATCAACTCATGGATCATTGATTGGTACGTCCAAGGGGAAAGCAAGGGCGTGATTGGGTCATTCTTTCTGTCCAATAATAACAAAATCGGAGGAGTATCAAGTTTACTATTGACGTCATCGAATAGATTGTTATTCGAATTGGAGTTTATGGCATAAAGAATCTCTGACGAGAGTTTTCGGAGCTCTTTGGAATTGGTTTCATATTTGATAACTGGGCACTTCTTAACCAGCAACAAAAGACTTACAACACTTGAGGAAACATCTACTAATTTGCCATTGCCACCTACGCCGTTTAGTTGCTGTTGAAATTTCAAAGGTGACGTGGTGAACAAGTTGTCGTTTATGATTAAATAATCTTGAAAAATCTCTACAACCAGCTGAACCAACTCAAATTCATCCGACTCTGCCAATTTTTCAATCTGGCCCTTGTTTATAGTATTATTGAAGAAGATTTGGTAAGAATTATAATGAGGATTCTTCAATTCTCTTATCAAGTATTGAATTGACTCCGCACTTGGCTTAAGATAACATACACACTGCAAGTGCTTCATAGGGTTCAATGTCGCCTGTTTTTCGATCAACTCAACTAATATAACATCATTGGAAAGTAATTGAGACTGCGTGTAGCACATAGATATGATAGGAGTTGTATTTTCATCTACTAATAGAACTTTCGCTTTTGAGCCTGGCAAAACCAGCAGTTGCCTTCCAGTAACGCCAGCACTAGAACCTGTAGCATTTCCCGTAGCTGGTGGATCTACAAACAACTTGTTATAGTACACACTACTGGTTTTCAAGAGATTTAATGTCATTTCTGCTTCTATTGTATGCTGAATAAGTAGGTATATGTAGACGAGGTTTGATCTACGAAACCTCTTGATATCTGTCCCCTATAGTGGTGATGTTACACAAAACCAAAACTGACCTCAGTACTTGATATGCAACACTGGTAGGTAGCTTGGGCAAGCTGGGGTAATCAATAAAAGAGACTTTATGAATGAATAACTGTTTCTATTGATGGATTGCTATTTACATCTATAAATGCGATTCAGTATCTTCTGGATCGGTTGGTAAGTAGTAAGTCTTTAGTGGTACAACAGGAGCAGGAATGCCTCCCTTCTTCGAGTTATTTTTAAATTCTGCGATAGAAACCTTTTGGCCAGTAGGATATTTACTAGGAACAGGGGATTTTAAACCTTCCTCAATCGTATCCTTTAACTTGGCAGCAAATGATTTCTTGTCAGGGATTGTATTACCCTCTACTCCATCTTCCTGTTCGCTTGGAACAAAGTCTATTAACGCTTGTGTTACCTTTAATGATAATTCGTCTAAGTCAAATTTCTTATCTTCTCCTTCTCCTCCATCCAATAATCCTTCCAAAGTGTCACTACCCAAGTGTAAGTCGTTTCTGAACAAATAGTTGATAATTGAGGAGTGGATAAGTTTCTCATTAGATGGTAATGGGGCACTCTGAGATTTCAAATGCACAATTATACGACCAGTAGTATTTTCTTCTAAAATGTACTTGCTGAAAAATTCTTGAAATTCAGCCAAAGTTATATCATCCAAAATCTTCACTTGCTTTTCCTTAATTTGGAAATCATAGTATCCATCAATGATGCCGTTCCAGAATCTCGAAACTTCTTCATTCAAATTCTTTAGTTTGGTAAGCTTCTTGTCTCTTAAGGCCTGCTTGAAATTGTCAAATACTTCGTTTGTTAATTTTGAATAAATAAATTGTCCAAATTTGCTTAAAAACTCCTCGATACGATACTCCAAATAATCAGTTGTTCTTTCAGATTGAATCAAAATTCTAAACCCAAAGCTGGTTCTAATCAATCTAAATCCCAGAAACACAACATAACCTAGTTGTTCTTTGGTACGAAGTTGTGCGAAGCATGGCTCGTTGATAATTGTGCAAAATAAGTCGGTTAACACTCGAAGTTTGTCATTCTCTGGAGTAATTTCACCAATTTGAATATAATATTCAATACATGAGTTGATATTCTTAGCATCCTCTAGTGGTAATTCATATCTATACCTGGATCCTTTTTCAATTACGGAATTTTGTAACCTAACAACAGAATTCAATTCATCAAAGGATTGAGCTACTTCCTTGACATTATCAAAAGTCTTTTCAAATATGGAATAAACTTCTTCACAATCGCTTACTTGGAAATTTCCATGTACTAAAATTTCTCCAAAAATTCCACGTTTCCAAACACCTTCTTCACCTATGAAGTTGACAAATTGATTATAAGTGATTTCATCCTTATTTCTAAGAATACTTAATCTCTCCTGATCTGTATATGTCTTATCATTAACAAAGGTTAAGAAATGGGTTCCAATTTGATTGTATGGAACTCCATATCCAAAATTCTTGAAATCCTGTTGTAATTTGTATTTTACAATCTCAAATCTTTCACTTTTAGGTTCAAAGTCCACGAGTTTTGCAATAACTTTTTGAAGAAGAACTTTCAACTTATCATTGTAACCACTTACTCTGATTAAGAATCCATCTCTCCAAGGATGAATACCAAAGGATAATCCGACAATTGAAGCGTAATATGCAATTTCATTTAGCTCTTCTTCGATCAATTCTGCCCAAATTGAAGAGAAAATGGAACTTTCACATGATACATTAGAATTAGGTAAATGCAAAACACACTCAACTGTACCCTTTGGAACTTCAAATTGATCATCTAATTTGTACCAAAGTTGGAATTTGGTATTATCTTTAACTAAGTATGGGTGTTTCAAGCTGGTCTCTGGCGTCTTTTTAACTTTGTTGAAGAGTGTGAAGTCAGTTGGGATGAAATCATTCAGCAATGGTAAGTGGAAGTGATTATTTTCTTCAAGATGAGATAACTTTTGGGTTAAAGATTGTGGGAGCTCCTCAAAAGAATATTCAGTGCCATACCATTTCTCTTTACTATCCAAGCCTTCAAATTCTTGACTTGCCAAAGCAATTCTAAAATTATCTCCTTTATTCAACCATGATCCATATTCGGATATCTTCTGTTCATTATATTCTCTGATAATACCTGAAGAAAGAATAAAATTGGATGGAATTACACCTTCATCATAAAATTTGATTAATTTGTTACTCATCTTGGAAACAGTTGTGGCAGCACCCCTCTTCTGTTGAAATTTGAAGTTTATTTCACTCATTTTCGAGATTTCATCGCAAATCCACTTCTGGGGCTTATTCTGCCTGGTTACCATGTCAATATACTGGAAAGTGTTGACAACAATTTCTTCCCAATTATTCAATCCTTCAATAGTTAAATCAATATCAATATCAAATTGTGAAGAACCTTGGCAGACTTTGTGCTGACCAGCAGATAATTCATTACACCAACCTTTCACTTGCTTTAAGTAATGGAAAAGCGAACCTTCTGCTTCATGTCCCAATAAATGGGAAAAGTATCCTCCTGGCTTACTATCCCAATTTGTATCTTGATCGTTAGGGATTTTAAATGAAATTTCCAATTTATGATGATCTAAGACTGACTTTTGCTTCACGACTTTATTCAATTGTTCAGGAGTGAATATGAGTTCTCCATCGTAATTTGGTCTATGTAAGTCTTTATTTGGAATAGAATCAAAAATTTGTTCAGCCCATTGCTCTAGTTCGTCCAAGTTTTCCTTGCCCAATATAACTAAGCTCATGATATTGGATGAGTAGTGGTTTGAATAGTAATCCAATAATACCTCTCTGACGTCCAAACCTTGGTTAATGGGGTCTACGTGCAAGGTTTGAAAATTTCCGGTCGAAAAGCCATTGTAAGGATGCTTAGGGTTACTTAAAGACTTATCCAATTGATAAGACCTCCAAAGGTCATTCTGTAAGTTTTTCTTGTTCTCCAGATCAACCGCCTTAATCTCACGATCTTTGCAGGATTTGGAAAATAAGGGTTCAATGAAAAACTGTCCAAAGCGGTCAAGAGCTCCATGAAGGAACTTGGAATCGACTTCAAAGTAGTAGTTTGTGTGCTCTGCTGCTGTGTATGCGTTGGAGTGGCCGGAATGCTTGGACAAGTAATTGGAGTATTCGTTTTCTTGGGGGTACTTCTTGGTACCCATAAAGAGTAAGTGTTCACAGAAATGCGCTAAACCAGATACTTTGTACTTGGCGTCTGCAAAGGCGCCAACATTCACATCTAGCGAAGCAGCCAGCTTGTCTGTGGTGGGGTCATGGATCAAAAGAACATGCAAGTTGTTCTTATTGAGCTTTACTAGACGATACGAGCGATTGTCGAGCAATGGCTTTTCCACGGATCCGTTATCAGTAATGATTGATACATTACTACTAACGCCTGCGCTAGGTATGGTACTAGTTGACGTCATTGCTCTTATTCTGTTCTTTCCAATAGTAAGCCTGAAGTATCTCGGGAAAAGATACATACAATAAATGCTAATGCAATACTAGAGAAAACAACCTATTTTTTTACACAATATATCTATTCTTAAATCTCGACAACTGTTTAACAACCTCTATATATAGTTGCCCTACTTAGGGTTTCTCAAAAAAAAAAAAAAAAAAAAAAAAAAAAAAAAGTGGAGCACCCACTATGAGTGCACATGTTTGTTCGGGCCCTCGCTAAGTGTGAATTTTAGTGAGAGAAATGGATATGATGGTTATCTGCAGCATGGGGTATAACCGCCACAGTATAATATCGAAAACGAAGTGAGCAGAGTCATGTTGTTGGTGGATTATAGAAGTCGACAATGATTGAGAATGGGTGGAAGGGACTGGTCGTAGAAAAAGAACCCTTATATTTATAGCTCGTAGGTAAGTGCGAGGGTGTGTGATGTTTTCTGTTTTCTGTGTGTTTCAGATGGATGTGTGTCCTCTGTGTGTTTCAGATACAGTTGTGTGTTAGTGTGTCCTCTGTGTGTTTCTGATACAGTTGTGCACTAATGTCTGCTAGTGTGTCTTCTTCATGTTTCGATACAGTTGTCTGCTAGTGTGCTTCTTCATGTTTCTGGTGCAGTTGTCTGTTAGTGTGTCCTCTGTGTTTCAGATACAGTTGTGCGCTAGTGTCTTTCTTCATATTTTTGATACCGTAACTGTTAGTGTGTCCTCTGTGTTTCAGATACAGTTGTGCGCTAGTGTCTGCTAGTGTGTCTTCTTCATATTTTTGATACCATAACTGTTAGTGTGTCTTCTGTAATTTCTGATACAGTTGTGTGCTAATGTTTGCTAGTGTGTTCTTCTTTTCTGATACAGTTGTCTGCTAGTGTGTCTTCTTCATGTTTCTGATACCGTAGCTTCTAGTGTGTCTGCTACAGTGTCTTCTATGTGTTTCTGATTTGTAGCCAGCCCATGCTTATCCCTTAAGGTTCTTGCATATCGGTCTTCTTTATAATGTGGTATTTCGTTCAAGCTCTAGTTTCACAACAGTTCACTAGCTTAGTTCACTAGCTTAGTCCACTAACTTAGTCCACTATCGTTCACTATCTTAGTTCACTATCTTAGTTCACTATCTTAGCTCACTAGGCCTCAAGCAGGCAAGTCATGAGCACACGCAACTTTCAAATTGTGTAAGAAGCTTTCAACAATATTCTCTAAGCTATCCAACTTCGTGTATGTGCTGACCAACAACGGATCTGGACATGAAACATCAATCTTACGGTTAACCATCACCACAGAGTTGTTATAGGTGACACATTTGGTGATATACTCCTGTGGGCTCATCTTAGGTTTCAAAAGTTGACCTAATGCTTTCAATGCCAGGTGGTGAGGCGCAGGATCCTCGTCTTTCAAATGCACGTCAGAGAGATTTAACGGAGTCGTCGTTCCATTGGTAGGGTTTCTCATCTCGTCTCTCACTTTGTCGACGTATGACTTACCCAGCTCAGGGTCTATGTGGCTCCAAGGCTCCTCCGTAATCTTATGCAAGTTCTTCATATCTATGCAAAGTTCTGCTTGATTTATGTAGATATCTAAGCTGAGATTCAGCGGTAAGGGAGGTGTAAACAATTCAGATTCTACGATATGAAGCGGGAAAACCAACGTTGGATCTATGGGGAATTGTAAGCATTGCTTGGCTATAGATAATTCATGTAGTATGTTCTCAAACGATCTTTTCAAATCCGAATGATTCTGATCTTCATTGAAATTCTGTATAAGCAACATAGCAGAATCTATAGACTCTTTTGCCGTAATCAATTGTGGTAGTAACACTGGTTGATTTAAGTTAATTCTATGTATATGCTTATTAAAATATGAGTCTTTCAAGTTTAATGTCAATTGTGTAATATATATTCCGTTCCTTACAATGATCCCTTTTAATGCTTCCAGCTTGTTCGATGATACCGGTAATTTTATAGATGGTCCTCTTTCGATACGCTTCTCGGGATCCGGGTGCTGTGGAGAATTGTATAGTAGCATGTTTCCACAGATTTGAAGAGTTTCTAGAATTCTTTCGAATTCTGGCATGATCATAGAAGAAACGAGCCAGTGAAGCTCTTTATCCTCACGAGAAGATTGAAGGACGCTTATGAGGTTAGGGAGCGAACTGGAAGCAGTATCATTGGACGCAGCGGCCGGATGGCATTGTGACGGCATATTTGGTGCCTTGTTGTACTTCTTAACTAGAAGTAGAAGGATGAACTCACTGGAGGAGAGCAAAATCTACAAAATTATGTAGAGATTGGTTTATACATCCGTACACCCTGTACTAAGGTGTAGGGATGCAAAGGAGCAAGCTGACCGTAGGAAAAAAGAGAAGAGATGGTGTATTGAAAGGATAGCTAGTTCTACTAAGTTTAAAAGAGCTGAATGTATAACCGGGAATGGTCAGATGAGTTCAGGGTAATGTTCAGTTTAAACTGTGTTAACTAGGTCAATTGATGCTGGCGTTTGCAAAGCATAAGTACAAATATAGAAATCAGCCACAGGAGGTACTTTTAGGTACCATTTTATTTACTTATTATTTTGCCTGCTTCTATGCTGTCCCTTCACAAGCCAAAGGGATTCATGAAAATGCTGAAATAGAGGAAAACTACTTGGGTTCACTGGCTATCCATACCAACGAACTAGAGCCCCACTCTATACTAAAATGCAACCATCCTGCATATAACTAAAATGTCTGCTTCTCAGTGTAGTACATCACAGTGCATCACAGTACATCCACACACCCTCACGGGCTTTCCCTCTTTCACATAAATATTTATGTATCCAAAATTACGCTAATTTTTCGATATGCAGCGTAATATCCAGACTACAGCTACAAGGCTAGTTCCAGAGTACAAGCAACTAGCCAAATGGTACTCCAGAAAACCCTCTCGACCACGGAATTTGGCTGCCTACTGATATTGGCCCGCCTATATCCAAAAAGTATCAAAAGCAACCAAGTACTTCGTAATTCCCCCCCTTACCTGCTAGATCTATCCATCTTCCATCAACCAGACCCTTCTCGCTTGCTTTCTCCTCACGTGCCCCCGATAATTCTCGCGCGCACGACCTGTGTCCAGCAGATTCGAAGTTTTCTTTTTTTTTGAACTCCCCCTTTTATACAATACTAAAGTATTATACAATACTAAAAGGCATATACAGTAGTTCTGTGTATAACTAAAATTTGCAGTCAAAGTAGTGAAATATCTTATCTATCTAGGCCTAACAGTAGATATCTATAGATATTAGAATTAAATAAGAGAAGTTAGCAAGCTATAGCTTACAATTTTCTGAAAAGGACAACGCAAATTTGTAAGAAAAACAAAACAACAGGTATCCAATTCAAAAAACAAAACAAAACAACAGGTAACCTGAAAAAAAACAAAACAAACCAACTACTATCTTTGAAATATCGAAGTGAGTTGCATCTAGAAGCCAGAAAGAACTTCAGATAATTACCGTAAAACAAGAAATGTCCGCTCCTTCCACTTCCTCCGAGAGGTCTACCGTTTCAGCCAATGCTGCCGCTGCTCGTCAACCGGACTACCAGACTGCTCTGCAGGCTGCTGCTGCCACTGCGGTTGCTGCTGCCAACTACCAAGATGACTACAACTTGGAATTGCATCACCAACAGCAACAATTGGCTCAACAACAACAACAACAACTTCAGTACCAGCAACAAGCTGCACAACACTCTTTACACCATCACCTCCAACAGCAACAACACGCGCAGAACCATGCTGCCGCCCAGGCCGCAGCTGCTGTTCAACACCAACAGCAAAATTTACACGAAAGTTACGATGATGGTGAAGTTTTAAGATCCAAGTATGTTGAAAACGAGATCGTCAAGACCTTCTCATCCAAGCCAGCATTGGTCGGATTTGTCAAAAATGTCTTGTGCATTGAAGAGCAATGTAAGATTGTCATCAACTCATCCAAGCCTAAGGCTATCTACTTCCAATGTGAAAGATCCGGTCTGTTTAGAACAACAGTCAAGGACTCTGCCAAGAGACAAAGAGTTGCTTATACTAAGAGAAACAAGTGTGGTTACAGATTGGTAGCTAACTTGTACCCACCAGAAAAGGATAAGAAGAAGGCTCAACAGCCTAAGAAATTGGGTTCTCCAGATGACGACCAAAAGGTTGGCTTTGAAAGGAATTTAGATGACAAGTTAACCGAATTCGATACTGGTGAAATGTGGATTTTAAGAATGATTAACCCAATACATAACCATGCTCCTGAACCAACTACAAGTGGATTGAAGGAAAGAAAGAGAAGATTGAGATTTTCCAGGAGGTTAGTTGAAAAACCAATTATTAACAACACTAACTACAGTCCAGAAATGCACCAAATCAAGGCTGACCACCAACACCAACAGCAGCTTCACCAACAACTCCACCACCAGCACCATGACACTCCTTCAGTGCAGGATCCAGCAGTTATTGCTGCTATTGAACTGGCTCCTGCCACTGCAGCAGCTGCTATCAGTCACCTCCAGCAACACCATCACACTCCAGTGGATCCAAATATTGATCCAAATGTTGATCCTAGTGTGCAAGAGCATGATCATTCTCATAGATAAATGTCTATGAAGGGGCGCTTTTAAATTAAACCATTTTTTTTTGTATCTTTTTGATTGTTTTGTAAAATATTGAATATACGTGTAAATTATTATGAAACTGTAAAGAAACGTAGAATACGATACTAAGTTCATTATTACTCACACTATAAATAGCAAAGCAAAGTACTACATACTTTTCTCTTATCGACTTTACATAAACACACGTTTTTAAAATAAAAATATATTGTCAAATAAACATCACGGGTTTTGATTCATTTATCCATCCATTGATCATTGCCCTACTACTTTTCTTCTTCTAACTAACATTGACCACCGTTGAATTTATAATTCTATCAACGACACCTCTCTTTCTAATATAAGGGTCTAATTGAGCATAGTTCTTGGCCAATTTTATGGAAACATTTATCCTTTCCTCTAAGTACTTTGAACTCATCTGTGGATCGTAACTTTCTATCCAACGAGCTGTTCTATCCAAGTACTGTAAGTTCAATTCATCCCTTTCCTTGATCAATTGTTGAAACTTTGAATCCTTTGGTTTAGTTTGAGCATCTGCCTTAGTTGGAACTGGGTAATCCAATTCGTATTCGGCTTCACCACCCATAAATGAAGGGATTTGAGAGATGTCAATGAATTCTGTTATTTCAGATATATCCTTAACAAAGGTGATCTTAGAAGCAACAACTGGGTCAAACCAACCCTTAATGATGTTCCACATAGTTTGGAAGATCCATGGAGCATTGAAAATGAAGATCTTTTCTAAACATTCTGGGTAGTGTGCTTCAAATACATCTGCAATGAACTTAATGGTTGAGTAATCAGCATTCTTCAATGAGAAGCCAGTCAAGTCAAAAATAACGGAAGCTTGATCTTTAGACTGTTGAATATCTGAAAAATAGTATCTACACCATTCAATCATACATACACTCCATCTTCTCATTTCTTCTTGAGGATTAGCATCAGTAGTCAAATGTAAAGCAGCTCTAAAGCCAAAGATGATGTTTCCCTTCTTATCACGGCCATTGATGTATGCCTTTTGCTTGTCGAAGTTCTTTACAAAGGTTGGGTTAACTCCCTTAATGTATGATGGAGCATCACCTTCTAACAACCATTCGTAAGCAAGGCATTCATTAGTTTTCCAATCCAAATCCTTAGAAAACATACCCAAGGCCTTTTCGACATCAAAATTACGAGCTCTAACGAATCTCAAGATCCAATTGTCAAGCAAGTCAGCTCTTTGCATCTTCCAAAATGTTCCGTGGATGTCTTTCCCTTTGTAATTAGAAAGTACGGGTAAAATTGTACTCTTTGGCTTACAGGTAAGCTCTTCGGCATTCAAAGATTTCCCCTTATGTGGTGGAGAAGTATCAATTTTAGAATCATCATCAAGGGTCAAGTTAGTAACTGCAGTTTCGATAGAAGCATTGCTGTAGGAAGAAGGAGTAGAGTCGTCCAGCTCATAGTCCCTATTGAAGTAGTCACCTTGGTTGTAGTAGACAGAATATGTGTATCTGTGCTGATCACTTATCTTAATTGGCTTATACTTTTCAGTCTTCTTCGATTGAACCTTCAAGATTCTTTTACTTTGGGGTGCTTCTGCACTTCCTCCATCACCATTACCACCTTTGACCCAGCTACCCCAACCTTTCTTTTTAGATTGTTGCACAGGTTCTGTAGCACCATTAGCAACTAAGACAGCTGCATCTACAATGGTTTTATTGTTGGCGTTTGTCGAAGAAGATACAAAAGCTTCGGAGTAACCAAGATCTGCCACAGGCATATTCAAATCGTAACCCCAGTATCTCAATAAGTAGCCCAAAACTTGCTTGTAAGCAATTTCTTGCTCAGGTGAAAGAGTTTGAATTCTACCTGGGCGAATTCTATCAGTGGAAGGCATAGTGTCTAATTTATATAATAAACGTCAGCCAATAAACTGTAAAATAAATAATAGAATGAAAGGTTGCGTATACTAATGAAGTGTATACGAAAACAGTGATAATAAAATATTTGTGTAAGCTTCAAACTTCTATAGTCGTTGCGAAGAAAAAATATAGACAGTTAAAAGGTAAGCAGATGTAATATTTTAAGCAAGAGTAACTCAATTTAGTTATTCAACATCCTTTGAGCTTATATATATATTGTAAAAACTAACTTACATATGCCTCGTGACGCTGTAACTCTGTATGGCATTTTACACCAAATGCAGCGCTTACGTCAAATAATGTTGAATCTTTGGTTTCCTTTTTCCTTTGAAATGTGGAGAAAAATTTCATTTCCGTTCCTTCTCCACATTTCAACTCCGTCCCATGTGGTTAAGCACCTCCGATTCCTAGTAACCAATTGTTTGAAAAACTAAAAAATGCTAATTTAGAATTTTCATCTCCACTTTCAAATCCTCCAGCGAGTTTCATAAGATAGTACAAGAATAGATCTTATAGTGTCTTGTGAAAATATGGCCCCGGTGCGGCTTCCCAAAACCTTATTTTTTAGGTAATTTGCTTACTTTGGAATATTTTCTAAGAAAATATCACTAGGCTAGAGTCCGAAAAGCAACTACGTAGGAGGGGAAATAGTATAGGGTTTCGATCAGGTGCACTGTACTTCTAGCACTGTAAACGGAAAATGTACAAATTGCAAAAGACTAAATAAGGCAAAGCAGCAATTTTTATGCAATCCAATGCATATCCAACAGTGAGAAAGGCTGTTGTTCACTTGTGAAAGCGATTGCATTATTATTATTATTATTATTATTATTATTATTTGTTAGTTGAATATTATTTTATCTTATTAGAATATATACATAACTGTCTATTGTTCTATTTTATATGTAACAATGGTAGCGTCAGTATTGATCGAAAATCGTCGTCGAATCTTTTATCTCCTTCTCGATCTTGGAAGTGCTATTCTACGGCCACCTCTCACGAGTGGAGGTGTTCCAGTGGTAGGTGGTGGTGTTGTAGATGAAAATATGGCTGATGGATCAGCTGACGCGCTTCCTCCGCTCGCAAAGTTTATATTAGGAACAAGCAGCGGCTGGATAGGAGTTTGGTGTTGGAATCCTACATTTAAATTTGGTGATGAGGAGGCTCCACTTTTTTGAAAGTTAAACGCAGGGGAAACTTCTCTTGAATTTGGATTAGATACCGCGGTTCCAACTGGCGCACCAGTTCCAAAAGCAAATTGTTGAGATGATGATACCCCTGAATTGGGTTGACCAAAAGAAAATGGTTGCAGAATCTGTTGTTGCTGCAGAGACTGTGCAAGCCCACCACCTAAAGTTTTGTCATTAAGCGGGGTAGATACGTTAAATGTAGATCCTCCTCCGAAGCCATTTGATCCATTTGAAATATTATTTCCAAACGAAAATGCTGTAGAAATTGGCTTGGGCGTTTCTACTTGTGGTGAAGCTCCAGGTCCATTACTACTAAAGCTAAATGGTGCTGGAGACTGAGAACTTGCTTTTGGATTGACTCCAGCGCCAACTTGATTGGGAGTTGTTAAAGGCAAAGCTGGTTTTTGTTGTTGTGAATTAGCTCCAAAAGAAAACGCAGGCTTACTTGCTTGATCCGTGGATATGTTCCCTGTGGTATTCTGAGCTGTATTGGAACTTCCGAATGTGAATGGCGATGCAGGTTTAACTGTAGTTCCGAAATTAAATACAGGAACGTTATCATTTTTTTTATCCGATGATGTTGGAGTAACCGAAGAAGCTGAACTTTCCGCACCAAAGGAGAATGCAGGCTTCGTAGGTGCATTCTTTGTTTCTCCAAAAGAAAACGCAGGCTTTGGAGTCTCATTATTCTTCTCTGTCGATACTGGAGCAGTTGAACTTCCAAAGGAAAAGTTTGGACTTGGGCTCGAAGTACCTTCCTTGGGAGCTATGCTAGAACCAAAAGAAAATGCTGCTTTGGTGTCACCTCTTTCTCCTCCTTTTAATTGAGATGTACCCTTGTCGGTACTAGTACTTTCCAGTTTCTTATCCAAACCAAATGAGAATGCAGGCTTTACTGAGTCTTCCTTTTTCTCTTCAACCAGAAATGAAAATGAAGGTTTTGGCAAATCATCCTTCTTTTCTGTAGATGCAGTAGTTCCCCCTAGAGAGAATGCAGGATTTTGTACATCAGTCTTCTTGTCCGCATTAGCACTAGGTGCTCCAAATGAAAATAGAGGTTTTGGTATAGATGTATCATCTTTCTTCTCTGAACTTTCACCCGGAGCAGCACCAAATGAAAAATTAAGCTTTGGAACGTCATCTTTCTTTTCCGTGGTTTTAGATCCAAATGAAAATTCAACCTTAGTTTCGTCTTTCTTATCAGGAACCCCAAAACTGAAAGTCTGTTTCTGAGGGACAGCTTCTGAAATCTTATGATCTTCCTTGACATCAGATGTAATGGCGGGGGAATTAAACTTTAGCTCAGTGCTCTTACTACCAAAATTAAGTGCAGGTTTAGAATTACCAGACGTGGATTTTGATGCTTCGCTAGCAGCACCGAATGAAAATGTAGGTTTAGGTTTGCTAGATTCATCAAAATCACGTAAAGAACGCTTTCGCTTTGGATCATCCTGTTCTTCAGAAGATGATTTTTTTGCAAAGCTGAAAGATGGCAAGGGAGGTGCTGGAGCTGAGCCTCCAGTACTACTTGAGGCACCAAAGAGCGTTTTGGTTTCAATTGGAGCTGATGCAGTCCCAGAAGATGAAGCGGGAGGGGTCTTTGTTGTAAAAAGCGAAGGCAGCGACTTTGGCATCTCCAGAGCAACATTTTCAACAGTTGCTTTCTTTTCTCTATATTTAGAATTTGCCAAGTATTCTGAATCAAGTTTCACATCCTCTCTAGATTTTTTACCTGAAAAGAGATCATCCAATCCAAATCTTTGAGACGTACTCTTTGCACCTTCTTCCTTTGGAAGCTTATCTTTAATTGAAGGAGTAGACACTTCACCTAAGTAGCCTTGCAAATTGCTACTTGATTTCTTTTTCTTTGGTGGCTCTTCGGCAACTTCATAATCAAAGTCACATACAAAGTAACCATTAGTGTTTTTTGTCTTCTTTGTTCTTGGTTCATCTGAAACTACATCTCTCTCAATTCGTCTCTTCCGTACAAAGTTTAAGCTGTTAGACAAAGAATTTAAATCGTGAGTTTGGGTAGATGTTTCGACCTTATTCGTTTGCGGAATTCGCTTAGAATGCGTCTCCAAAGGATTGGTCATATATTTGATTCTGTTTTGTAAAGACTCCGATGCTTCAACAGATTTTTTCAATTGAAGCAATTGATATCTTTCTCTTGGATCAAGATTTATAAATGGTGGCCGCACCAAGTTACCATTTACATCACGGTACAAGGGTGCAAATTCGTGTTCTATAATTAAGGGTAAGTTACCCTCTCCCTGTTGTGTTTGGTCAACTTTTACGATCTCATTATTATGTATTTCATCATCATTATTTTCAGCTTCAGAGCCATGTTCCGTTTGAAGTTGAGAATGTATATGGTTTGGAGGATGAACCAATACTCCATCCATTGGCGATATCAATCTTGAAGCGGGCTGATCACTATCTACCAATTCTCCGTAATCCTTGTCCAGCTTATCATTTTCTGTTGGTTCTTCAAGTATTCTCTCAGGAGTTTCTATAGCATAATAATGCACATCTCTGTCAATAATGCTTCTTCTTCTTTGCTCTAAGTCATTGAGCAGATCTCGTTGAGCTTGCCTTGCATTGAAAAACGTAAGATAGCCTCCAGGCATTCCACTTGCACCAATCCCAGCTGCCCCAAAATTAGTTCCAACGTCATCCGTACCATTGCCAGCGCCATTGAGCAAACTTCCGCCAATGCTGGAAAAGAGACCCCCTTCATTCGCTGGCTCCACAATAGAGGCTGACCTGGGAATAGAGCCAGTATTCATAGCTGCTGTTTTCAGTGCCTGAATAGTCAGCATCCTACGTTTCTTTGTTGCTTCAAAGGAATTATTTAAGGGCTCATTGGCAATGCTCAACATCGTCTTCCAGTCTTTGTAATCTTTTTTCTCGGACTGAGGAACGGGGTTTGCCCTTCTTAGCTGCTGGGTATTACTTCCACTCTGCTGTTGCTCCGCTTGTTTCGAGTCTTCATGGCTTCTCTTTCTAAAGAAGTTCAAAACGCGACCGATGGTGCCTCCATTTTTACTAAACGAATCACTGCCTCTTTCGGATGAAGTTGGCCCCGATGTCGATCTCGGACTAAGTGACCTATTTCCAGAATCTGACATGATACCTAGAGTACTATTTATTTTATTATTTTACAACGTCCCAAGGTTATCAAACCACAATGTTTCTGTAAAGAACGGCGATGTTTCACTTCCCTAAGAATTTTTCTTCCGCTGCATTTCTCAAGATCCATATGTGACACAAAAGTGCAACAGTCGTAGTACATGAAGAAGACCAGAAAGGTACTGTTTCTAGTGCATACTATGCTTCGTGTAGATCTCTTTCGAATAAATATGTACAGAGATTGCAGATGGAACATGCCCTTATTAATTGTCCTATTTCATTTTCCTTTCTTTTTTTGTTTTTACATGCTTTTCTTTCTATGTCTTTACGGGGTTTTCTCTCTATATTATGTATCATTTATATTAAAATTTAATTATCAACTATTCACCTTATAAAGTGTCATTGGAAACAGTAAATACCGCCTTATGGTCATAATTCAACGTCAACAAATTTTCGCGATTATCTGCAAATACATCATCAGGCTCTTCAACGGTATCGAAATATGAAAATGCAGGGTTCTTTAACCCAGTTATTGGGTGATCTCTAGCAATGGAATCAATTTCTTTGACCAATTTAATCATACTATTTTCTCCATTGTTTACTCCGTATGAAGCAACTATTGGCAAGACACCTTGCACCCACGCATCGACTATTCTGGCTCTTTGTTTAGTTCCCAATCTCAGAATAGGGAATTCTCCTTTCTTCATGAATGCAACTATATCAACAATCAAGTGATGCTTACTCAAAACAGTATTGACAATTAGAGGGACGAGCGAAGCAAAATGCCTCTGTCTTCTCAGTTCACAGACAACTACGGTAAAGTCTGCACATTTGAAAATACATGAACCATTCCTGAAAATATCGTAGTGACAAGATTCAATAGTATTTTCAATATCAATTGGAAAGTGATGTAATCCCATTTCTTCAAATGTATCGGAAATCTTACCTAATACAAACAATGGTTGAAACGTCGAAATCTCTGATCCCTTGGTGCCCGTGCTTCCAGTCTTTGAAGTCGACACTTCAAAGCCATCATCGACTTCACCCTTGGTTTTAGTTATGCTAATATTATGTAAGAATCCTAAGTCCCCAGTTCTTAAATATTCAATATTTTCGTTGCCACCATCGATTTTTCCCATAAATTGCAGTTTACTGAACTTATCTACAGGGCCTTTCGGACCATTGGTAAAAGATGACAAATTTGCCTCTGAGTTTACCCAAATTTCACCGAATTCTCCTTCATTACAAACCTTATTCGTCTCTGGGTTCACGATAGCTATTTCAGTGCAAACCGGGACCATACCAGAATCTTGAATATAAAGTGCATTTGGAGCTTCAGAAGGATTTACAACAGAGACATAACCTTGTCTTAACGCAGCTGGATCCAAATAAAGACCCACCGGAGCTACGGTCATATAAGATCTGGTCGAAATCATAGGGTTGAAACAATGATAATAAACGGTTGCCATTGCGGAAGCACCTAATTTTGTTGGTTGGAAAATGTTTCCGATTTTCCTCAATAAATCAGTCTCAACTCTGCCTTCTGTCAGGATCATCATATTCTTCAAAAATCCTAAGTTAAAACCCTTGGGCGTAAACTTAATTGTAGCATATTTCAACATTTGTTCAGTAACGAAAACATCCTTAACTTTATATTTCGCCAAAGAGAGGAAAAATGACAATGGATTCTCAGCATAGCTCACTGGAGAATTCAAATATGTTGTAGTTCCCAAGAATACTCCGAGAAGAACTGCTTGGACGAATCCAATACCCAGCGCATGACGTACACATCCAACAATTGACAGTTTCGACAGTAAGTTGCAAGTCTCCTTAAAAACCTTACATATTCCAAGGATATTCTTATGACTTAAGGTGGCTCCAATTCGATAATGGTCCGAGGTAAAACTTAACCAAACTAAAGCAACACTTTTTTCATCTCTAAAGTTAACTGCTGCTTGATATTTTGCAATTTTCGAATTAAGCGAAGCGGCATTACTGAATTTCACTAATTTTGTAGTATTTTTAATTCTCTGTGGCTTAATTCCTCTTTTGTTATTCATTTTCTTAATTCCGTCTGCAACTGGTCCGTTTTTTAAAAACTTTTCAACCTCCTCATTTACGAGAATATCTTGTACATCGAAATCTCTGATAACTCCAACGAAAGCAGGGAAATCTTCTCCGATTCTGTTAGAATCAAAAGGCAACATCGGAATGGGTATAATCCCACAGAATAAACAGGCGTAAACGGCAATGATGAACTCTTCCAGCAAGGAATACATCAAGATAACATATTGACCAGGCTTTATAGCAGCTTTATCAATCAAATAACTACACACCGCATAAATTCTTTGCTCCAACTTTTTCCAAGTCAAAGCCTTATTAGCCGAACTTGATTTACCAAAGTTATCCAAATTTTGGAATGCAGTTGAATCTCCTGATTTGGAAACCCTAAATTTTAAAATATCAATAATTGTTTTGAAATCAGTCAATGGCGCTCCTGTTTTATCGTCTATTGACTTTTCTCTATAGTCAATCGTGGAATATTGTTGGGGAAATTGGGAAATAGTTGACGATCTAAACTTTGAGATGAATGGAGACCAGATCCCTCCTATCACATCCTCCCCATGGGGAATCATACTAATTGAGTTTCTCACGAAGAATTTTACAAATTCTGCCCTCAAAGAACCATCTAAGAATCTCCTCTTACATAACATATTGGCGATTTCAGTACCTCCCGATCTCATGATTTTGGGTAAAGTATCACAATCGACCACCAAGACACAGTAAAGACGCAAGTAGTGCTTCTTATGCAAGACATCAAAACATCTTTGAGCAATTTGATTCAATACAGGTTCATTCAATGGAATTGGAGAATATTGAACTGGAGCAGCGATTCCATCTGACCCTCCGCCTGCGCTTCCCTTGACCCCTCCTTTACCTCCTCCGCCACCGTCACCAGAAGCACCACTTATTTCATTATCTGGATCCCCTACCACTTTCCTTATTACTTCAGCTTCAACTATTGCAACAGGTAAGTACTCATTTCCAATGAAGACATCAAAAATTGTACAGTCGTATATCAGCCTTACTTCGTTTGCTAATGTGGCAAGCAAATGAGATGAGTAATGGTATCTTGATCCATTCCCAATTATGAGCGGTCTATTGAGCTTATTGTAAATTTTTTGATCTATCCAACTCACTCTTTGTCTAATCCTATCTTCATATAATCCCAAAATATAAACTTTTCCTTCATAAGTAAATCCCAATAAACCTGTTCTTAAAAAGTCCATTTCCAAAGTTCCAATGTGATCTCTGCACTTGGCATGAAATATCAGTTTCAGTTCATTCCTCAATCCATAAAATCCACCACTAAGACAGGGACTATCAATCCAAATTTCTCCCAATTCACCTTTTCGGGATAGAATATTCAGTTCTGGATTGACAACTGCCAAAGTCGCGTCAGGTAGTGGATATCCGAATGAATCAACCCTAAGGACATCGTTAGATAATTCATCAAAATTTGAGGGATTGGATTCAATAACTTTCACAATATTTCTTGAGAGTGCTTCTTTGTCAATAAGGACTCCACTGAGTTCACTGGACTTTACTATGTCTTCAACTTCTTCAGTTTCATCCTCATTGGGTTCTTTCTCAATCCCCAACTTATCTTTACCACCTAACCAGTCTCTCAACGATATTACCATTCCTCCGTATTCACTTAATGTCAACATTGGTATAACAGCCTTCTCAGGATCTTGGCAACCTAACGGCTTCAAATATCTCTGCGACAAAATCTCAGTAAACTCTCCATCTACAGTAAGAGCATTGACAAGAACCCACTTAACAGACAGGAAGTCCACCTTTTGCGTTTTCGAGAAATACCTTGTAGCATTGGGCGATGATTGATAATCGTACGTTACCCTTTTCAATCCAAAATAGTCTGCTAACAATAATGAAGCTCTCACTTTGGATATTATATGAGCATACAAACCTTGAATTTCCATAGCCCTTTGGGGAGCCCAACAAAGTAAGTTACCCAGATAAATTGTAAACATCACCCCCAATATTAAACCAATGGAATTCCTTGTATCCAATGTTGCTAGCACGACTTTCCTCGATCTCTGATAATCTTTAACACTTCTTTGAAGTCCTCCACCAGATGCAGGTAAACTAGATAAAGTTTCATTTAAACAGTTCATCTGATGCTGAATGGTTCTATGGCTCACAGCAATACCTCTCAATTCGCCCACTGGAGATCTTGAGTATTCTATATATGCTAAATCAGAGTTCTCTCTCTGCTTAGCCAATTGCTGTTGATTGGACTTAGAAACCCAACTAACAAGTTCAGACTTTTTCGCAGATCCCAATTCTGTAGTTCTCCAGCGAAGAAGCTTTGTTGGCCACGTAAACTTGGAATGTCCCGCATTAGAAGTTGTAAGTTTGTCTAAATCCCTTGAAACTGTGTCAGAAAAAAGAAGTAATCTACTTGAGGTGACTTTAATTATGTCAAGAACTTCTGGTAATGAAATATCCTGATGTATTGGAATGGCTGGGACGTTAGCCATGAAACAGCCAAAAAGAGCCACCGTAAACTCGGCTACTTCGTTCTCCTTATAGAGCAAAACAACAGCATCTGAGTTTTTTAATGCTAACTTGTTCTTTATCTCACAGGCAACCTTCACTGCCTTGAGATACAATTTTTCCCATATCATTGAGGAGGTTTCCTTTCCTCTAGAGTCTAAGCAAACTATGACCTGCTCAGTTTTATAAACGGCTGCTCTCTTGGCCAATACACTTAATAAAGACGATGACGATGACGATGACGATAAAGATGCCGAAGTGGAAGATGGAGTCATGGGGAGTTGTGGTCTTCTTGGATAGATTGGTTTCTGAAGGAGATCACCATCCAAGGCAGCTTCCTCTCGGTCCTGCTGCTGCTGTTGCTGATGTAATCTCTGTACCAGTTGGATAATTTCTTCCCTTCTATTGATATATGTCCACTGGTCGATAGACTTGTTAATCGTAAAGTCTTCTTCTAGCTTCTGAAGCAAGATCGCCATATCTGGTGGTATATCTTGTACACCAGGTATTAAGGTAGCGGCCCCAACTGAGGTAGAGCCTCCTACTCCTCCAACGGCTCCTGCACCAGTATTAGCACCTGAGCCGCCCGCAGCTCTACTACCGTCTATATTGTTTGTAGTAGTGGAGTTTCTAGCCGAGGCCGGGCCCATTTCATGGTAAAGTAGGTTTTCATGATGATGACGAGATGAGCGATTCCCGCCAGCTACCGAAGACATTTCTTTTTATAGCGAAAGTAAGTAACTTATCAAAATCAACTGATCAATAAGATTAACGATTTGTGCAATTAATATAGCCCGTCTTCGATTTTTGTTGAAATTAGCTTGCATTAATAACCGCTAGTTATTTTTGGTGTACTGTTCGAACGTCTATGTAAAGTTACGAAAGTAGAGTATGTGCAGGAACGAGAATCTTCACGATAATGTAGCGGTTGGGCGTTCCGGATGCATGCAACGACCCCTTGATGGGCAGGATAATTGAACTGAAATGATGGTTTGTCCTTGGATTTGACAAGCTTGAGGAAATAGGGGTGATTTTATATAGATATGACCAAAGTACCGAAGATTTTGCTTGCTTTAGCACGTTTCACCATGTCTCTGGCTTGTTTGTTTGTGCAGTCTAAAAATATCTCAGTGCCTGTGTACCTGGGACCTTTCTGTGCGAGCTGTTGATAATACTGGCAAGGCACACGGTATTGAGAAGCGAAGATATTAAGTGGGGAGGTGTCGAGCAGAGGAAGGAACAAAGAAAGAATGAATCAAGCTTCCAGTTCTTCTGGCATAAAATAGTATTTAGGATGTCGAAAGGGGATGGAGTTGGTAATTGGATGGTGGTTGCATACCTTGACAGGTAAGTATCTTTGGGTGCAAAAAGTTGTGCCAAAAAGAATGGCACAAGTCTGCCCTACACTTGGAGAAATATCCAGATTTTTGCTTCTCAAGCCCCTCATACCAGAAAACTATCAAACTTAGTGCCTTGTTAACGGAAGCAACCTTTCATCCAAGAAAGATGAATTCGCTAGTGGAACTAGTAGCTTGAGTACTCCCAGCTGTCTCGACTTACATTAGCGAGACCATTCCTGCATATTTCCGATGGGGAATTATTTATTCTCACTTTTTTTATTTTTCTTTTTTTTTTTTTTTTATTTTTCACTTTTGCAGCTTTAACTCTCACAAGACTAAGGCATCGCCAGCAATCACTTATGATCTATACTGGAACGCACGATAACAGATAGACAATAGCATGTTGAATACCAGGTTCATCACGCGACTAAAGCCTCCGTCAAATGGTATTACTTTTAGAAGAAATGTAGTGGTGGTGAAGAAAAATCGAAGAAATGTCAAGCAGGGACCATCTCAGAATTATTCTAACGATGAGACTCCATTACTGGCTTGGGCTAGAGAAGATACAAACCGTAAAATAAGACTTCAAGAATCAGACTATCGTAAAAAGTTACAAGAAATCAAGAATTTAACGAAAAGTGTGGCTTCCATGATTAAGGAAAAGGATAAGCTAAAGGCAAAAGAATTAAAGATGAAGGAAGAAGCAGAGGCAATCAAGAGCATTCCGATGCCATCGGAATACTTACAAAAGGATTTGGAAAATATTTATAAAGAGATATCCTCCCCAGAATCAGCAGTTGACATCTCTTCATCGTCATCTAATTCAGAAGAATATTCCAAATCAAACGTTTCACAAGTATCTCATCTTATATTGCCATCTAATTTAGCGTTACCACAGTCTATTGTAGACAAGTTAGGTTTGTCTATCAAGTACCTTATTTCTCCCAAGACTCAAAACTGGGGTATGGTTCTACACCAGCTTGGAGAAGTTGGTGGTTTCAAGGACTTAAAACCGAAGGAGGTGTATAAATTTGTTCAAAGGATTCCTAGCCAGTACTTTAAAGCCCAGCCTGGTCTCATTTCAACTATAGAGAAAATGATGATTGAGGCCGATATCGCGAAAACCTCAAAGTTTGTTGATATCTTCATAGAGGGACTCTCTTCGGGGAATGAAGTTTCCACTGATACCATGGACAAGATTGAAGAGTACTATCAATACCTTAAAACTGTAAATAAAAAGGGCAAGATTTCGAGAAAAACATTTGAGTTGTTAATTGCTGCACTGGGAAAGAACAACAATTTGGACAATATCAACCAGTTTCTAGCAGAAATGAAGCGGAACAAGTTACAACCATCGAAGGAGACTTTTTCTAACATATTAACATGCTGTGTTTATAAAGCCAAAGATCACAAGCAAGCGGTGGAAATTTTTGACTCGATGAAGTTTCTATCGCAAGGGACTAGGCCGACTACTCGTAATTATCAGGATATAATTGTCAGTTACATAAATAACGACAATATTGAAAAATCTTTGGATTTATACCAAGAAATGCTTACCGAAAAGGTAGAAATCAATCAGAAAATTTTGGTAGCTTTGGCTAGGGGATGCACTCGCAGACCTGAGCTTAAATTGAAAAGTTGGGAATTCATGTTCGAGATTTATAATTTGGGATGGGAACCAACTTTTGAGACTTATGAGTATATTTTGTACTTGGCTGCAAATGACGGTGACATCTCGCTAGCAAGAGCACTTTATAAAAAATTGAATGAAACCAAATCGGTAACCCCTAAGGCATTTTCTTTCTTGATGTTGGCATATTCGAAGGGCAATCCAGGAACTTCTTCAGAATTGCCAACTATAGTCTTCCATGAAAAGGGTAGAATATTCAGGAGTAGACTTTTGAACGATACCGATATGGAAACTAGTAATGGAGTTAATAATAGCCCGCAATTTAATATTCCAATGTTACCAATCATAGAGTTGAGGAATAACCAAGAAATTCTTGCAGAATCTAGTGCCTTATGGGCGCACAGTTTGATGCTTAATCCGTGGTTGATCAATAATGAAAGTACAGACATATATTTAAAGGTAGCATTGGAACACGGCACTTTAGAAGACTTCAAGGCTAGATATGAAAATTCCACAGTACTTGATGAGCATGGAATACCTCAAACTAGAGAGATCCAAATAGAAGAGCCAGAGATAGAGCCAGAGATAGAGCCAGAGATAGAACTTGATGACGATACTCTGAATAATTCCAAGAAATCATTAACTTCGCCAATCCTTGAATCTATAATTCAGTCCAATAATCATAAAAAAGTACCTAGGTCTTCTTTGATATATATAACTGCTTTAAGAGCTGCAGGTAAGTTCCAGTCATACGACTTTGGTCAACTGATTTGGGATGAAAGAGGATCCTTCCGTAAGTCTACAAGGTTTATAACCCTTCCAAGGTTGCAAAAAGACCAAGAAGATTTCAAGTTCGCTTCTGCTATGGTGTCAGCATTGACTAAAATGGGTATGATTTCAGATGCTTTGGCAATAGTTGTAAGTACTGAATATCAATTCAGATGGTCTAGGAATGAACTTAGTGAATTATTTCATACTGCCCTGGAAGTTGGTGACGAACATACTGCACAGACGGTTAAAAGTATTACGAGCAGATCCTTAATCAAATGGGAAGGTAAGATTAAGAAAAGGGAATACAAGAAATATGTAATGGAAAGAGGATACTAAATCCTAACAAAACTTGTACAAACATGTTACCATAAATGGATATTAATCCAAAAATGATGTTTGCAGTCATAGAGCATCATAGAGTATATAATGACATTTTAATAGACAGATTAACAAATAAAGAGACAGTCCATATCTTGCAGGGATGTGAAATTTAAAATACGTATTGATTCGTCTTTTTTTCTATATACATGTATCTGGATATTATACTTATTTACAAATTAAACTTAATGTACCAGGCTTTACGATGAGCTTTTTGATATCTCCAACAATGAACTTTGAAGCCTTCTCATGTGTGTATAACTCCTTCAAAATCGAATCATTACTCTCAGAAATTAAGCTTTTCAAACCTTTATGTACGAATCTATGTTTACCATTCACGAAAACATTGTAGTTTATATATGGAGATTCGACTACTTGAGGTGTAGGCCATTTTTCGGAAAATATGGTGCCCTTTTGTGTTGGCATATGTAATTGTTCCCAACACTCATCGGCTGTACAAGGTGTGACAGGAGAAATGATGATTAACAAATTCTTGTATGCATCTATGACCAAATTGGGGTTAACATAATTATTCGACTTTAGGCTTGATATAATATTGTTTGTCAATTTCATGTAATCTGAAATGATAGTATTGAAAGAAAGATCCTTTTCAATGGATCTAGTTACTGAAACGATGGTCTTCTGAATTGCATCGAAAAGTTGAAATTCAGTATCATTGAAAGTTATTGATTCATACAGTTTTCCATTTAATGCAATATTATTGTACACTGTGCCTTCATTATTAATTTTTTCAACCATTGGATTCTCCTTAATGGCATGATTTAATTGAAATACTTTTCTCAACCAACGATCAACACCAGCTATTTGTTCTTCATTCCAAACTAGAACGTCATGCAATGGAGCCAGGAAAAGCATATGTGCCCTCGTTGCATCAGCACCATATTTGGCAATACAGTCTCCTGGATCAGCACCATTGTACTTAGATTTAGACATTTTTTCGTAAGAAATTAAAGGATCTTCCACACTTGAAACTTCATCTGGTTTAAGGCACCTTCCAGTTTTTGGATCTCTATAAGTTTTTCCATGAACCATTCCTTGAGTAACTAACTTTCTGATGGGCTCATTTGCGAAATGTGAACCATCCCACATTCCAATGGATCCAAGAAACTTAGAAATGAATCTCGAATACAAAAGATGCAAGATTGCATGCTCAACTCCTCCAAGGTACATATCAATTGGCATATTCTTAGTTGCCTTTTCGAACGAAAATGGGAGATCTTTGTTCTGTGCATCAACATAACGAAAGAAATACCATGATGAGTCCATGAAGGTATCCATGGTGTCAGTATCTCTCTTTGCATGCTCTGACCCACATGAAGGACATTTGGTGTTAACAAATGAATCTAAATTTTTCAATGGGTTACCTTTTCCAAATGTTTTAGATACATTGTCAGAATTCAATTCAGGAAGCAAAACAGGAAGATCTGCCTCCGGAACTGGAACTGGTCCACAGCTTTCGCAATGAATGAAGGGGATAGGTGCTCCCCAATAACGTTGTCTACTAATTAGCCAATCACGAATACGATACTGTGTTGATTTAGAGCCTAAGCCAGCCACCTCCAAGTCCTTGGTAATATCTACTCCTGCTTGACTCGTAGCTAATTTATTGTACTTCCCTAAACTTGATATATTGCCTTGGATGATGCTACTGTCATAAAGTACACCCTTTTTATCAGTAAAAGGTAACTTAATACTATCCTTCGACTTCTTTTTTGGACCGCAAGTGACTACAATTGGTTCTTCGGGAGAATTGAAATTCCAAAAGTCATAATCACGCTGATCGTGTCCGGGGCATCCCATAACAGCACCATGGCCATAAGATCCAAGCACAAACGGAGCAGCATATACTGGAATCGTACGAGTGTTTTCCTCAGAATTTAATTGACCATTAACATCTATCGGAATTTTAACTTCAGTATCAAGCAACTTATAACCATCTTTAGAACTGTCAAAACTGCCATTTTCCCTTTCTTTCTCTTCTTGAAGCAAGATGAACTCTCTCAACTCTGGATCTGTTTCAGAGGCTTTTTGAATGATTGGATGATCAATTGCTAGGGCCAAAAATTGTACACTAAACAAAGTATCAGGTCTTGAAGTGAAGACAGTTATGGAATTATTTTCACTTCCTTGATTTATAATGGGAAACTTAATTTCAGCACCATGAGATTCCCCAATCCAATGACTTTGCATCAATTTAACTTTCTCTGGCCAATCTTGTAGTACATTTAAGTCTTTATTTAAATCTTTGGCAAATTTGGTAATCCCAATAAACCACTGTTCCAAATTTCTCTTCTCTACGATGGCACCAGATCTCCAGGACCTTCCTTCAGAGTCAACTTGCTCATTGGCAAGAACAGTCTGATCTACAGGATCCCAGTTAATTTCTGCCGTTTTACGATATGCCAATCCGTGCTCATGCAATAGTAAAAAGATCTTTTGAGTCCACTTGTAGTAATCGGGAGAGCACGTTGTTACCTCTCTTTCCCAATCAAAATCAGCCAACATTAATTCCATTTGTTCTTTCATCTTTGCAATGTTGGACGTCGTCCATATAGAAGGGTCAATACCACGCTCTACAGCAGCGTTTTCAGCTGGTAAACCGAAAGCATCCCATCCCATGGGATGAATTACATTGAATCCTTGAAGTCTTTTAAATCTGGCTATTACATCACTTACAGAGTACACACGAAGATGTCCCATATGAAGTATTCCAGACGGGTATGGGAACATCGACAAGCTGTAGAAAGTTTCCGCCTTTTCGACGTCAATCGTATGTTTTGTTGGATGTAAAGTCTTTCCATCTTGTGACATGGACTTCCACTTTTCAATCCATTTCTTATCTAACTCTGGGAAATTTACTGGAGATGACGAAGATGATGATCTTGTCGATGGTGAGAGGTACCGAATACATTTGATGTTTAATCGGAAAAATTTCTCCAGTATACTTCCAGATTGAAAAATTAACATGGCCCCTTCCCCTTTTAGGATATGTTTGGTTTACTTTTAGCAGTAAGCTGTTCAATAACTCGAAAAATGGCTCCACTATAGAAAGTCTTTAGGTTAAAAATTCTAAAAGTCCAAGAAATTTTCAAACGAAGAAAAGTGAAAAATTGGGGTGCAGCATTTTTATTTTCTAAAAGTAGAATGGGTGCAAAAGTTTGGTTGACTATGAATCATTGACTATTAAGATTAATTAATATAAGCTTTACTATACAGATTATTATACATATTTTGAACTTAATCAGTTTCCGGTATTTGCCTTTCATCCAATCTCAAATTGGCTAGCGTCTTCAATGAGGTAAATAATAAATTAGCAAACCCATCGAAGCCCATAGCATCAAGCTTCCTCAAAATCGCTAACTTCAATTCATCATAGGTCACGTCAAGCCATTCATCTTTGCTCTCTCCCAAATCATTCACGCTTTCTTCAGTAGGTGGTCCAGCATGTCTAATGGTAACATTATCAGACTCGTCTTCCAATTTCCTCAATATTTCTGTGGTCAAATAACTCCAAGTTGGATTGTGAAAAATATTTCCAATTAAATTGAATTTGACTAAATTCGAATAATTCATTACATTGGAAATTGATAGCTGGTGTATGAAGCGAGGATGTAATAACATTGCCTTATTATAACTTTTTTCTTGATGTTCATGCTTGAATGAATTATCTCTCCACGCTAAATTCAATATATCCATAATGTAAATATTCTGTAAAGATTTAAAAGTGTCATGTTTATGTTGAAATTTGAATATTTTACAGCTTGATATATAACCACATATTTCTGAAACAACTAATGGATTCGGTGATAACACTAAAGAATAAACTAAAGTAGGTGGCAACACAATTGTATTTGGATGAATATCTTCGTTCAAATGAAATATGTCAATCTGTTTCATAAAGTTCAAGAGCAGTAACATCAGGAATTGAACTTTCAATTGATTAATGTGGGGGATATACAAGGAAAACAATTTCGGTAAAGTTGAATTCAATATTTCGATGAAAATTTCGCTTATAGGCGATTCCATATGCCATATTGAGTAAGTGGATATCACTTCTTGGACAAATGGGATTAGAAGTTTGCTGCTTTCAGCATCTATCAATTTTAAGCAGTTATCATTAAAAAAGGATTCTTCGAACTCTCTATCCAAGGATAAGAATCTTAATAATTTTATTCGTGCTTGGAGTACTTCCAATGTTGGCAAAGCAGGAGGGATTACTTTAGAGAGTATGAATTCCCTTACCAGTTGCAAGGGAAGGTTTCCATGTGCATGGTAAGTGCAAAGATTGTTTGTGATTGTGACAAGTTCATCGAGGGAAAGATTATCGTCAAGTAAAGTGAGGCGTAGATAATAATCTAGCTTCAACGAGAGCCGGTCCAGATTTAAAGTTAGATATAAAATCTTGAATCGGTCGTCCTTCTCGAAATCAGAAGTCAAGATTGTTTTAAGATTAACAAATTGGATATTGTCAAGGTTTTCGACAACTTCTTGCAATGAGTTTACTTCTAGAATAGAAATCAAATCGTCACCACCCACATTAGCAAAATCGATAATATCAAGGTCAAGATCAATGTCTGCATTTGTCAGAAATTTCACCCTTTTTCTCCCCGATACCTTCATATAGAATCGTTCATATTGCTTTAAATTTAATTCTAATAAATTTTTATTTAAATTAATGTCCTTTATTGCTGATAGATAGTCGGTATCTGGATAAGATAGTATTTGAGGATTGACGTAGCCCAAATTTAAGGTACCCTTTCCACGATAACTTAATGTAGGATCCACCCACCTAAATAGAGCCAACAATACCCTCAAGGAATCGTCCAGGGGAAACCTAAAATGCAAATCTAGAACTAGGTCAATCTGCCATGTTTTAAATGGTTTGCTGCTTCCCTTAACTCCTGAAGTGGCTAAAAAGATTAGGTTAGCCAAGTATGGTCTCAGAAATTCGTAGACGAGGCTTTGGAAAAGAATTGGTAACAATTTTTTGACTGTTTTGGATACTTCACCAAAGAAATGTATAGAACACAATAGCCACTGCAATAAGGCTTGCTGCAAATTGATTGGTATTCCTTTATGAAAGGCGCGAGGTCCCCTTTGCATAGGTTTACCGATACAGCCTACTATTTTGAGCACTAAGGACATAGACAACGACTCCAGAGAATCAGCTGGCGGTATGAGTAAATATTTCACAATGAATATTTTCTGAGGTATGGTTAATTTTCCATGGAATATGAATTCAACTAGACGATTGAACTGGTGGGTGGATTGTATGTTGTTGATGATCGATTTGAGCTGATCCAAGATCTCTTGAATGTCAAATTGAGATAGTTTCCCCAGCTCTTCATCCAATTGGGATAGAAGCGATGACACTGACACACTTTCCATCTAATGCAGCAAAATATTGGGGTGTTGCATGAGCTATGATGAATGTGTTCTGGATTTTTCACTATTGTTTTGATGTGATGGCTAGTCTTATGCAGGCGCGATGTTATGGTCTTTATGTCTTACATTCCGAAAGGTGGGGGAGGGGAGATGCGACAGATTAAGTAAGGTAGCAGGATGCGCGTACTTGACTTCATTACAGTTTTGGGCTAGGGTGAGGGTTACATGCCCCACGCTAAAAGTCAATAATTGAAGTTAAAATAGCCAATATGAAGGAAAGAATGGATCGACAGCAATTACTTGAAGGAGGGCCGTTGCTCATTTTAGCTCAAAGTTAATTTATATTGTCTACTATAGCCTCTCTATGTATAGTGGGTGCATTTGAATTTTCTTCATTTTTCATGCGTTCATTAGATGAAGAGATGAGCCATATTGCATTGGGTAATTTCCGACACTTTTGGACTATCAGCACATTTGTGATAAGCAATGTCATGGAGCGACAAGTCTAGTTGCGAAGGTGTAAAACCAACTCTTTTTTGGGGTAGCATGGCACCAGCTGTTTTGACTCACTAGTCCGAACTGAAAAATATCCCCCACGCACTGTGGGGGAAGTTTATCTATATAAAAGGGCATACATTAACCCCAGCTTTTTCTTCAAGTTCCTATTTCACTCTTTATTCTTTAGCAATTGTCGAACAATTATATTTGAACTATTACTACTATGTCAGCTCTCTTCTCTCTTAAAGGTAAAGTTGCCTTGATAACGGGTGCTACAAATGGTATCGGGCTTGGTATGGCTAAAGGTTTAGCTTCAGCAGATATAGATCAGATTATTCTCACGTACAGATCTGAAAAGCCATTGGAAGAAGCTATAAAAGTATTACAGGAAGTCAACCCAAATGTGAAGTTTGCCTCTATCCAAGTAGATCTCTCTGCGGCAGATGAAGATGCCACCGTGAAGAAGATCTTTGAAGAGTCGTACGCCAAGTCTTCCACAGGAAATATCGACATTCTTATTAACAATGCTGGTATCAGCGCACGTTACGCATTAGAGTCGTTCCCTCAAGAAGAATTTGACCAAGTTCTCAAAGTCAATTTGTCTATCCCAGTGAAATTGACTAAGGCTATTGGTACCAAGATGCTTGAAACGAAAACTGAGGGTAAGATAGTCTTTACCGCCTCTTTAATGTCATTCCAAGGTGGGTTAAACACCACCGCATACGCAATCACTAAGGGTGGAATTAACCAGTTTATGAAGGGACTCTCAAACGAATGGTCCCTGAAGGGAATCCGAGTTAATGCCATTGCTCCAGGCTATATCCAAACGAAGTTAACAGATTCTATGGATGCTGATCGTAAAGCTACCGTTTTACCTCGTATTCCAATTGGTAGATGGGGTAATATAGACGACTTTATGGGTCCAATTGTATTCTTGACCTCAGATGCTAGTAAATACGTCACAGGAGAAACTTTATTGGTAGATGGAGGCTGGATGGCTCGTTAGGAGTAGTGTGGTTTACTGCATTTCAAGAAGGACAAGTAAATGAACCAGTGAACAGAAAAAAGAACCAGTTGGATGGTATATCTATTATTTATATTATATGCAATAGAGAAGTTGATGTACAATTTAGCAGAAAATTAATTAGTAAACATGGAAAAGGAATTGGAGTCGTTCTAAATTCCACCAGCTTCTCTGTACCATCTAATTCCACGGTCGAAACTAATGACACATAACCCGTCGTTCGTATCACCACCCATACCACCTCTAACTCCCTTCTTTATAAACTGAACCCCACTAGCGATACTGTTATCCATCTCTCTGACATCATCCTCATTGTCCAAATCGCTCTGGGATATAGAGATCTTGGACACCCTCTCACGAGTTTCTATGTCCCAAACCCGAATGCACTTATCTAATCCTGCACTTGCAAGTAAGTTTCCATCTTCATTGAAACTGAGCATCATCACCCATTGCTCATGAGCGAACCCTCCATTATTTTTAGTGGAATGGGATGGAGTTGTCAAGGAACCGACATTTTCACCGTACTTGGCATCATAGATAGTGATAGAGCCTGCAGATTGATTGTCACGAGCGACAGCCAAAACGGATCCACCAGGAGAGAATTGGATACTTCTTGGGACTGGAGAACTAGTAACACCTCCATTATTTGAGGAAGATCTTGCATTTTGGCTGGTGCCTGATTGAACATCAGTTGATTTGAATGTGTATATAGGCTTCAATGAAATTAAATCGTATAATATAACATCCCCATTGTAGTACCCAATTGCAAAAGTCTTAGATTCAGTAGAAGAAATCCCAATAGTATTGGGGAACGAAGTAGACTCAATAACCTTGAGATTGGCTAATGATATTTGGATGGATGTTGAATCGCCTTCTTTAGCAATGATATTCAAATCATAAACCAAAGTTTCACCGCTGGATTGAGTTAAAACAAAGAAATCCATTTTGGACATTGGATCCAAGTAGAATCCTGGACACCAACTTGAAGTGCTTAATCTCTTTTCGCCGTCTAAGTTAACATCAGTTAAAGTCAGAACATCATCGTTTATAAAGTATTTCAAATAACACTTACCATCAAAGGCTACAATAGCCAAGATCACAATTTTAAATTTGGAATCTGGTAAAATCGTCTCATAGCTTGCTAAATGATGTAAACCGATTTTATTTACGAACACTTTAGTGACAGAGTCTCTTGGATTATGAGTTTCATCGTTCTTATTATCCCAGAAATTGACATACCCGTCGGTGGAGCAAGTAATGGTGTACTTGTTAGTTATCACGAGTCCATGGATATCCAGCTCATGAGCAGAAGCAGTAGAAGCGGTAGATATGTACTGTTTACTCATAATATCAAGGTATTATTCCACTAATGTTTCAATTTTTACGATTATATATATATGTGAGATTAATACCTATGCACTATTAGATAAATAGTGATGCCTTTCTCTGAAATAAGCTAATCTGAAGGAAGAGATGATTCACTTGGACTACTCCAGAACTTTGGCTTCCATATTGAAATTTATATCACATAGTCGTGTGCAAACCGTGCTGCTCACTGGTGAAGCCTTCGAGATTAAATGGCTGCAAATTAAGTAGTGAAGGTGAGAGAGTAGTAGTTCTGAGTAGTTCTGAATAATTCTACAAAGTAATAAGATGTAATAATTGTAATATTAAGTTCTATAATTCTGTAATAGTGACCGGACCATTAGTTTACCATTTACTTTGTTCATTTTAGTATTTACTTTTGTTCATTTTAGTATTTTTTTTGGTTAGTTTTTTTATCTCTTTCTCACTCATACATTTTAAAGTAGATCCTGATGAATGCATCAGATATTTACTTAGCTCTAGACTACTAGCAGGTTTCCCACATGAAAGCATATTTGAATTTTGGCTAGGTTGTATTGAACTTGTTGGTGTGTTGAGTAAGGAGTTGGAGTTGTTATTTGCATTTAATGATAAATTGGAATATGTTGAAAGTGGTGTTATTGAACTTGTTTTGAATGATTTGAGCGTTATTGGCTTTGGTTTTTTAAGTATTGATTTTAATTCTTTTGGAAAGTCTTCGGTTGATTGTTTAGTTTCATTTTCATGATAAGGATTGAGCTTTTCATAGTTATTTCTTGGGAATTGTTTTACCAAGTAGTTGGATGCTATTTTGACTATTGGTTCCTTTTTTGGTTTCTGTCTCCAAAAATTTTCTTTCTCTTGTAAGTCTTCTTCTTGGGGTTGTTCAATGACTGAACTGGTTTCCAAGATGTTTTCTTCGAAGACTTCGTATTGGTCAACTTCTTTCATATTGTTTTCGTGGATCCAATTTATTTCATCATCTAAGGACATGATTAATTCTAGTCGCTCTTGATCGAACGATTCTTTTTCTTTTTTGTTTCGATAGTATCTTCTGATTCTTTTGAATATGTTTCTAGATTTCAATTCGGTGGAGGTTGTTGAATCTTCATTCATTTTCAGTTTTCTGAAAGTTAAAGTGAATTTGAATGGCATTTTTTTTTTGAGTTTTGTGTTCAGGTTATTAAGGGAGTCTTAAAGTTGTGAAGGGAGTCTTATTTCTGATAAGTAATGAAAGAAGAGAAGAAAGATTATAATAAAATTAGACAACTTTCGTGGAATCCTCTTCCTTTTATACTTTTTGGCCATTTCCCTTTGTAAACTACCACAAATACATACAAATGAAGAAATTATGGAAAAGATGTACCCAAAGCTTTGAAAGATGCAGTTGAAACAGTAAAATCAACGTAACTTGAGCCTAAATCCAAATATAATGATAGAAGTGTAGTAGTTGTAACAGTATCGATGTAGCAGATCTCTAGGTAAAATTTGAAGTAAAAACCTCTTGAGGAAATCTTGTATTTGGGGAAACATGAGTATACCATAGACACATAGTCAATTCTATTCAACAATGCTGAAGAATCTGTAGTTTGGTAAACTCCAGGAGCTTACCGTATAGTTAGTTTTGATCCTGACATCCTACTTTACCTATTGAATTGGGAAAGTAGCCTGTTCCTCCAGTTCGTGTGTCCTAGTGTTTTGCATTTGTCCCACACCCACCGAAAGACACATATAGTTCGAGTTGGCCTTTTATATCAAGTTGCTTTATAATATTTGCGGTAAGCAGATTCCCATGCTCTTGTTGAAGTAATTAGAAGCTAGAAGAGTGAGAGACTTAAAAGAGCCCTTGATCTTCATCTGACTGCATGAGCCAAGAAAGCCCTAAGATTCCGAACAGTCAAATAGGTTCTCTCCTTCATGGAAAGTTAAAAAAACTCAGCTGGAAACATGCAAAGCATAGTGTATCCAAGAAGGTAAACTCGTGAACTCATCTACAAGTTCCCACCGTACTATTAAGGAGCCAATAGGCGTGCGCATGTGAATAAGGCAATTCAAGAAGATAATAAGAAAGTAGAACGTAACAAAAGCATTACCAATATAGTGGACATCAAAACTCGCCTCCCCAAAGAAAAACCTCATATATATCAGTGAATGGATTCCAGCAAGTTAACTCTCATCTAAATGATACCAGAACCTGCAAAGAGACGTAATTCCAGGAATGCGTTGTCATGCAATTAAGCACCTCCCCTTGAATGGCTGCAAATCTACTCTGTGCACCAGGTTTTGGAACACCAACTACATGCAGGACCAAACTTGGTGATCTTCCTTCGTTTTTCATTTTTGTTGATGTCTAAGAAAGATGTGAATTTTTTTTTGTGTTTTTCCAAAACACCTACCACAGGCTAGAGTGCAGACATATCCAAGCAAAAGTTGAAGTTTATATTCAGAATGTCGACTTCATTTATAGATAGAGTCCAATCACAACTGATTTTCAACAGCTCGTCGTTTAAAATTGAACCACGATCGAGCCCACTACAGAACCAACCACATACCATCTCCAATGTAGCAACTTGCAGAAACAATACTGAGATATTTTTGGCCCTGGGTAATGTTGTTAGATGTTGCAGCATAAACAGTAAGACTTCTAATTACAAGGTGCTACACATTCCGCATTTAGACTACGTTATTCGAAATTTGATTCTAAATGACAAAGGAAATATGTTGGCCATAGTGGGTGATGGGTCCCAGGTAACCGTCTGCTTTTTGCCAACTTCAATTTCTAGTTCATCTGTATCTTCAATTGAGGTGAAACATTATAGATTGAGTATAGAAGATTCTTTATCTATCAAAAAATGCATATGGCAACCTTCAGTTGCCAATGGTAACTGTCTCGTTGTCTTGACTGATGATGATGTGATCCGAAACTTTGACTTATCAATTTCCAGTATAGAGCCACAATTGGTGGTTGATTTGAAGAAAGAGGGTAATTTCAAGGGGGAAACTGCTGCCTCGATTGCATTCGGGAATCAAAATCTTCTTTCTGGGACGTTGTCATTGTACGTATTGACCTTGGACGGAGGGAAGGTTTTCGCCATATATCCTTTTATACACCAAGCAGCATTGATCTTGACTTCCAGAAACGATATTAAACAATTACATGATGAAACTGTTGCGATAAATAACTATGTAGAGCAATCAGGATCTGAAAATGCGTCGAAATTAGCGGAGGCACAATTTAAGTATGTTGATTACATATATTCACAATTGTTCACTCCCGTGTCTCCTAGGATCGACGGTGCAAGTGGAAAGTTTGTTTTAAGTCAAATGAAGAATGCATCTGATCAAAGCATAGCTTTACAAGGGCCACTATTTGACGGAAACAGTACTGGGAAAGGATCTGATATCACGTCTATAAATGGAGTCGGTAATCTTTCATTATTAGCTTCAAGTTCTATTGCTTCTGATGAAGTTTTCATAAACTACTATGGACAATTAAGTTCCTTACTTATGAAATGGAAAAATAGTGATACCAGTCTTCAGACTATTTCAAAGCCCGCCACTCCTAAAAACTCACATGGCTATAAGAAACTAACCAGAGGCTTTGGGTATATTGATGAGGAAGAAGACGATGACAACGACGTAGAAGAATCAAGAACAAAAAATGATAATTCCGTCCTAAAGAAATTTCTTTCAGTAACTCATTTGAGAACTGATATATTATTAAGTACTAAAGAAATTAAAGTTGAATTATCATCCTATGATTCCACGTTTCTTATTAGAATTGGAAGATCTGAGATTTTTTCAGTTTCACCAGAATGGTTTAGGCATATCTTTGAGAACTTCTCGATTGATGAATCCAAAGATATAATATACAAGCTGATATCGAAACAGCCATTAAAAGGATTCTTCATAGCAAAAGATGTGATCACAGAAGAGGGGACTTTTATTATATCCACAGATGATAATGGAATTTTAAAAATAGAACAGATTGTTAAGGGCATAGAGTTAAATAAAATTGAAAGGAAGCCGACAAATTTTGCTATAGATGCCTCCCGATACAAGACATTGAGTGCTACTCCTCTTTTGACTAATGAGCCTTTTCAAGAATTGCAAGCAGAAATAGATAGCTTGTCACAAAATTTGAAAAACACTCCCTTGAGGAATTCAATTATAGAACGTAATATTGCTTTGGATAAGAAAATTCCGATTTCTGATTCTAAATATTTAACATCAGTTAATCAACTATCAATACAGACAATTCGTCATGTATCCGAATTTACTCATTTTGCACTCAATCTTAAGGGAAGACTTGACAAACAACTTGATACGTTAAGAGAGAGCATTAGCCTCTTGAATAAGGTAAGGAATTCATCTGTGAAGCTGCCAGAAGAGCTTGAGTCCATCAATTCAAAAATCGCCGAATTGGATGCAAGACAAGTTCAAATTGTTGAAAGATTAAATAAGGTGCACCAATTAATTTTTGATGCTGTTCAAAAGTTGAAAATTTCCAATCAATTGCCATTATCAGACTCAGAAACGTCGTGGTTCAAGGAGATCAATTCAATAGCTGCATTGGCGAATGTCAAATTTAAAAATTCCGTTAAAGAATCCAAGCAACAGATTAATAAATTGTTGGAAGACATCGCAGTTGAGACTGTCACTAATGATTTGAATGATCTTTCATTAAGTAATAAAGTTAATAAGGTGAAGCTTTTGCTAGAAAAGGAGGGCCAATTGATTTCACTAGCAATGACGAGATTGGAATTTGTTAACAAGAATTTGGATTAAGCATATTTAGAAATATATACTTTTGATATTTTTATTATTTATGCCTTTTCTTTTAAGAATGATAAAATTTTCTTAGTCAAGCGTTGTTCTTGCCATTCCGATAAAGTCCCATAAGCTACACTTTCAGATGCAAAAAATGTAATATGATAACCTTTAGGATCAAGAACAATGTTTTCAGGGTAGGTTTCGACAAGGCCAGCTTGTTCACACCATCGTAAATTTTCATCTCTAAGTACTTCATTTTCTCCTACAATAACCAATAAATTACCTTTCACAATTGGGGGTAATGAACTCCAAGAGAATTTACTAGCATTAGCGGCAATATTTACATCAACTTCATTATCAAACACACGAGTATTAGCAACGTATTCATTACCAAAGTAGTTTATAGCTTGCCAGCTGAAAACATCAACATCCTCATTTTCTTTGAGAGATCCTTCAAATTTCCCTTTCGTCAAGTCAAGCATTGCAGATACTAAGATCACAGCCGACGGCCAAACTACAGAATAAGCCGGCTTTTGGCTCAAACGATACAATAATGCTAAGCATAAGTTTCCTCCAGCAGAATCACCCATGAGGCCAATATTAGTGAATCCGTCTCCGACCAATTTATCGTAGACGTGAGCACACTCGTTGTTTTGCGTAGGATAGGTGAATCCGTTGGATGTTAATGAATAGTCAACGAGAAGAACGGATATGGATTTTCCACTCCTTTCTAAAGATTTGTATATATTTGTTACCCCATCAAGTTGATTATCCTGTAATTGCATTGCAAAGCAGCCACCATGAAGATACACAATAACTGCATTCTCTTTGTCGTTCGATTTAGTTAGCCATATACTATCAGGATAGCTATCATCCTTCTTTGTATAAAATTCTCCGTAATGCGGTATTACATTTTCTGGATTCAACTTTGGTTTAGATTTCTCAAGTAGATCTGATACCTTATACATTGCATGATCATGAATGAACGATAATCTTAGATAGTTTACCATGTGTTGCATTATCCCAGCCTGGATCACCCTCTGCAATTTCAAATTTGCTAGATCATTAGTGAAAACTGTTCCTACTGTGTAGTATTGTACAGTGAGTTTCAACAACTTAAAAGGAAGCAACAAAAGTCTCCCAATAATTGATAAAGTAAACATATTTCAACAGTAGATTATAATACGACGTAAGCTAGTTAGCCTAGAAGTAAAATCAAAAGGGTGCTGATCACTAAAAAATAAATGTCCCTGCATGAAGATATACCAAAGAATGCTGCAACCTTAAAAAGGTGCGGAATTACATGCATAGAAGGGACAATATTATAAGTCACTGAAAATACGAATGTTCTTTGAGCATAAATGGCAGAATAAAACCAAGTCATTAAATGAACGAAAGAGGGTCAATAGAGACTACGGAAGGACTAAAAAAAGAAAAGAATGCGCAAACCCGGAATCGAACCGGGGGCCCAACGATGGCAACGTTGGATTTTACCACTAAACCATTTGCGCTTCTATGGTTTAAAAGATGTTATTTTTTGCCTCAATAAAGTACTATTGACTTCATCGACCTAAGCTAGGATGTCATAGAATTGTTGATAATCGAGTCTTTCATGAGAGTGTATGCCTAACATATCAGCCTGGATCAATAATTAGATACTTGAAGAGTGTACATTTACACGAACGACGTTAATTCATTTTGTTACTAATTTACATACTGTACAAAGTTAGCTCTTGGGCCCATCTTCTAACCAATCACCAAACTTTTCTATCCGCTCTGAGTTACTCTCATTACTTTTACTATGAGAAAGCTTTTCACCCGAATATTTCTTAACTGATAACTTCAAACCATCAAAATACCTTCCCCCAAACCCAGCTATGCATTTTTCACTCAGTTCAGCATTGCTGAACTTCACAGTGACAGATTTACTTATATCGTGAACAAAAATTTTGGTAATTTCATTTCCTATTCCTAGCTTATCACACTCCTCTTGAATATCTTGTTTAATTTCAAGCTCAAGAGTTGGGTCACTCTGTAATTCAGCCAACCGAAACATGTTTTCGATGACGACTGTTTTGTCCCATATCTTTCTCCTAATAAAGTCTGCTTTAGGTAAGGTTGAATTACTCGAAATTTCAGCTTCACCCTCGCCCCAATCTGCTAGCTTTTGTTTCATGGCTTGCGTCTTACTTTGTAAGAGTTTCTTTTCTTCCAAAGTTAGCAGCTTTTTAGTTCCAGATTGTGCATTTGAGGTAGGATTAGTCGTATCTCCATTGAGTTTTGGGTCAAATCTTGCAGGCTCTACTTTGATTACTTTGCCCCTAAAACTTGTATCATCTTGCATTTGAATAGCAAGGTCTACACTTTCTTTGTTGTAGAATATAATAAATGCCTCGCCTTTAAATTTCGAATTGTCATCATAGTATAGTTTGATCCTTTTATCTCCGGTTTTGAAATCTTCAGATATGAGTCCAAATTTTCCAAATGTTTCCTCTAATTCATTCGTAGTTACATCTTCAGGTAAATTTGAAATAAAAATCCCTGTATTCACTTTGGTGGTGGTGGCCTGTGGCTTTTTGATCTCTTCAAGTTTCTGCCTCTTGGCCCTTTTTATATCATCCTTGTTTTCGTCTATTTCTACATCCCTATTTGAAACTACATCCCCATCATCTTCAATTACCTGATTTCTTTTTACTGGTAACCACTTCTGTAGTATAAAGTTGTATTGGTATTCAGATTCAGTGTCTTCAAATATCCATTGCTCAGACTCTCGGTCAAAACTTACCCGCTCATCCACAGATTTAATGAGCGACGGATCCTTCAGTATTAGTGAAGGATGCGGTGGAGGATCAGGTAATTCCATATTGAAGCAACGAACAACTTACGGAACTAGATAGGGAAAGAGGAGCTACCTCGAGCACATGTATAGCGCATCAAGTTGCGATGAGAGCTCGCATGTATCGCGAATCTTCATGCACTACAGAAAGAAAATTTGAAAAGTTCCCAATTAGGCAGCGCATTGGGTGCAAAAAAGTGCAGCACTGTTCTCAGCTGCTCGACTGGCATTACCGTTATAATTATACTACATTTGTCACATAAACTCTAATTATAACTAGGATAACTTTCACATGTTTGGATTGCTAGCTAATTTCTATTTATTTCGTTCTTTTGGCATCATATTTCAAGACTGCTCCTAATAATACTTCGAAACCTTCAGCGACTTGTTCTGGAGTGCTATACTCTTCTGGGTTGTGACTGACACCCTCCCTGGAAGGAATAAAAATCATTGATGTCGGGATGACTTGACTGGTAGAGCATGAGTCATGACCAGCACCACTAACGATCTCTCTTACTTGGTCCTTTCCAAATAATTCAATAGCAGCGTCGCGGACACAGCTTATACATTCGTCATCGAATTTGACTGCATTTGAAGTCTGAATGTGTTCGAATTCAACAGATGCGTACTTCCCACTGTCTTCTTGTTCAACTATCTTTTGAAATTCCAGCTTACAATCAGATAAAATCTTAGCTAACTCCTCGTCTTGTACATGTCTTGCGTCAAGAGTGAAAGTCACTAGTTCTGGAATGACATTGGCAACAGCTGGCTCCAAATTCAAGGTACCAACGCTGAAGAGCCCTCCATATTTCTTAGCAATTTCATTTCCCTTCACCATCATCTTAGAGGCAGTCAAAAGGGCATCTGATCTAGCCATTAATGGGGTGGTACCTGTGTGTTGCGCCTTTCCATGTACTGTGACTTTGTACCATTGATACGCCTGTCCACCTACAACAATTCCAATTTTCTTGTTTTCATTCTCTAAGACTGGTCCCTGCTCGATGTGAATTTCAAAATGGCAGGCAAGTGGGTTAACTTTATAAGAAGCCTCTACATCCCCCAAGTATCCAATACGTCTTAATTCTTCCTCTACTGTGACTGGAACATCATCAGTAATTGACTTCATGGCATAAGTCTTTTCTAATGAAGCCAGTCCATTCCAAACAGTGGAAGCCATACAAGACTTCGAAAATCTGGCGCCTTCTTCATTTGTCCAGTCCACCACTGCTATTGGATAGTTAGGCACGATACCATTCTCCTTCAAAGTTCTAAGAACTTCCAATCCTGATAAAACCCCATAAATACCATCGTACCTACCACCAGTTGGTTGAGTATCTAAATGTGATCCAATACCAGTTGGTGCACCGTCATTTTTTCCTGGATAAATTGCGAAAATGTTACCAATCTTGTCCACCTTGATTTTACAGCCCAATTGTGTAGTTTCTTCTACAAACCAATCTCTTACACCTTTATCGAAATCTCCTAAAGCTAATCTACAAACACCAGTTTCAGTTGATCTGGGACCCCAGATTCCCTTTGCACCAAATTTTGAAGCGGTTTCATGAATTGTGTTGAGGAGACGATTAGAAGCGATTTTGTATGAAGCAGTCATTATTCTTGATTATTAATTTATAACGAAAGAACTTGAAACAAACTCACATATTCAGCAATTAGCTGTAGCTAAATATGCTGAATGGTTTGTCCTTTCTTGGGAAGCAAGGCGGATATCAGGCGCCTAAATCCTAAATTAAATGTATTTATCTCTCAATTCCGTCCGATAACTGGAACACCAATACAATCGCGAATGCCCCAATTAGGAAATTCGCGCGCAAGCCTTGAATCACTAATTCCATCAGTTTACCAAGGATGTCATCGAACGTACTCTTATTAGAGCCAATCACTACCGATTTGTAATAATATACTTGTATCGGTTCTTTAATTGCTCAGAACTCTATTTTTTTTTCTCCTTTCCTCTTTGACTGTTTAAAAGTTTTGGCCTCGGCATTTTGATATAAAATTCCGACTACACTTGACTACTTCGGTATTCACATACGTATGGACTAACATATAATCCTATATAAGGTACTACTTATATATCTAAATTAGTGAAAGTTTATTCGCTATATTACAAAGAATATCTGAAACCTTTATTTTCTCCATCAGTCATATCCTTGAACCCATCAATAATAGCTTGTCTTTGAATCTCCTCAGTGTATCCTCCTTGCAACTCGTTTCTCTTTTTGTTTTTATACATTTGCAATAATCTATAGACAACAGCAATTACAATAATTCCAACATAAGAAGTAATACAACCAATCATACCACTCTTATACCTAGGAGACTGCTTTGCGTAGAATATGTTAGCACCAATGATGTTACCCGTAGCGTAGAAGGTGAACCAAATACCGGTAGAAATTGCTTTCTTGGAATGTCCTGCTACATTGGCATTCAAGAAAATCCAAGAAAAGATAACAGGCCCACCAATCATGTACTGCAACCAAGTACACCCAACTAAGGACCACCTATGTACCAATGGAATTGTGCTGATACCAATAAGTCCAGCAAGAGGTGGGATACAGAGTAAAACCATGATAACTGCTCTACTATTCTTGATCAAAATGGCAGCAAATCCAGCAGCAAAGACGCAAACAAATTCTATAGCACCCGTTGGTAATTGTAAGGCCGTTGCATTTAAGCCACTAAAACCAAAACCTTTCAATAATGCAGACTGGAAATTTGAAGTACCCCCATTGATTACACCACAAGCTAATCCTACAAATGCCATAAGCCAAACCGAGATATCACAGACCGCTTCAAACATTTGGTATTTCTTAAATTCTTTGTCCTTGATACCCATATTATTATGTGAAACCCTTTCAATAACAATTGCCTTCTCTCTTTCTGTCAAAAACTTAGCTTTCTCAGGAGAATCTGGGGTTAGCCAAAGGAAAAAGAATGCCCATACAAAGTTAATTAATCCGATAACCATGAATATTAGCTTCCATGGTTTAATGGCAGCGCTGTCAGCATGTCCCAAGCCATATGCCAATAATGCACCAACCATAGTTGCAATACCATTACAGGATAAAAATGTTGCCATTCTCATTGGCTGAGCGTCTTTTGGATAAAAGAGTCCACAGATCATCATACAACTTGGAGAAATAGCACTTTCCAATGTACCCAAGAGAAATCTAAGAACGAGCATTCCACCATAATTAGTAGCGCCAACATGACCAATAAGTATCACGGCCCAGCAGACCAACATACAGCCAGTGTATTTTGCAACCGGAACCTTCTGAATAATATAATTTGATGGAAGAGCACCAAACAAATAACCGAAATTGAAAATTGCAGCAACCCAAGAATAACGTTGGCCTTCCAAACCTATATCTTCCTTAAGCGAGTAAGCAGCAGCATAATTTAAAGATAACTTATCCAAAAATTGTAACGTATAAGTTACACAGAGAATAGGAAGGATTCTGTAATCAATTTTTCTCAAGACTTTCTTATATTCAGCCTCTACTTCCTCTTGCGATAATTCTTGTGCTTGCTCGAAATACTCAAGACCAATCACATTATCGTCAAGACCAGCAATTTGACGTATAGACGACTTAACGTGGACTATATCTTTCTCTGAATCGCGAAAACTATCTTTACTCAGCATGTTGCAGTTGAATACAGAGTGTAAGAATCATATTCCATCTCCTTGAAGAGTGAAATTTAGTCAGTTATATACTCTTTCAATGCTGCTTTCATGTTACTGATAAGATAAAAGCGGTTAATGTAGCCGCGCGTTCAGATACTCCACACGGAATTTGAAAAATTACATGCAACTTTAAGCATGAGTAGACGCGCCTATTTCCTATTTGAGAATGATGAGGTACCATCGCATCTTACAACCTCAATCTCGAAGGGACCAAAACGATGATTCAAGGCTGAAATTGGATCATGAAACTTAAGAAGTCAAATCTATCCTTTGATTCCTTTGAAAGAAGACATTTCTTGAGTTAGAGTTTAATAATTTGACATCTACAAAAAGTAAGTCCAGTGTTTTTTCTTTTGCGAAAATACCCGCCCAAATGTCTGCCTTCTGTTATCTTGATTATTATGCTACATGAACATTTTTCCAAGAAAAAAAAGCTAGATGTGCCAAAACATCTTTATCCACAACATCTATCCACGGATATGATGTCAAATTTTTTTCTGTACGTTGTATCAGATAAATCCAGACCAGTTGATTCGGTTGTCGGTTTCCTTGACGTCTACTAATCAATATACCTAGATGTTTGCAGTCCCTTGCCTTTACTGAGCGTTGCGAATATATCTACTTATTTTGTGTTCCTATGCGTTAAAAAGGGTGATTTCTAACTTAACTTAGTGGGTAAAGCGCTATCTGGAATTGTTGGCTATAGTCCGATAAATGAGATCCGCACTCAAAACTATTTTTTATTATCAGAAATCCATTCAGAGCTTAATTCTCTAGCAGAGAAAGAGTATGAAGAAGAAATTCTTTACGTAAAGATCAATTGTATCAAGTATTTTGCCAATTTATGTGCTTCCTCCAATCCTAAAAAAAGTAATTTGAATTATCAGTAAAGATCAAAAAACGTGCCCTAGTTATTCTCTACAAAGCCTTCATCTACCTTCTGATGTCAAGACCCTGGAAAATTCTTCCCCCTGCATGTACATTTTCCACTTCCAAATTTAATTTTTGATTTTTATACCTTCAATTTAGAAAAAGGGAATTACTTGGCTGGCTTCCTAAGTCATCCTTTCTCAACATATATTATCTAAACAGCGAATCAAGTCGAAATCTTTGATAAGCATTCTCATAAAACTTCCTAAACCCTAAATATTATCCTGACGTAGCGTTGCAGAAATTTCTATCAAAAAATTCAAAATCAAATTGTCTGCAGTTTAGTCCCAAACCGGCAATAACTTGCATAAAGTGTCAATACACGTGTGTGTGCTGCTTTAATGAATGGAACGCATTGTATCTCCATAAGGTTGAAGATAATAGCCATCACAAGAGTATAGATCTTTAAGACATCGTTTAAGCATCAGATCACTTGACCGCTAACACACTTTCTTTTTTTTTTTTGCCCCCAGCCTAGTTAGCTTATTCAAGTGAGGCATTCGTTTCCACTATTTCATGTTCCAAGCAATTAAAAAAATAGAACATTATCACATTCTCCGCAATTTAGGCGAATGTTTATTGTTTTATTACTCTTCTCGTTGACATATTTGATCTTTGACTCTTTCTGATAAAGCTAACAAAATCCTCTTCATCACTACTCTAGCTCAAATGCTCCAACCCCAACTACCCTGTCATGTACTAAACTAAATGTTCTCCTGTAATATATACTATCTTTCAAAATAAGGTTTTGCGCATAGAATTCTCGGGTTTATGCATAAGTTTACTTCTTTTGAACAATGTTGATCTAGAAAATTAATGAAGTATTGCTATGCTGTAAATACTATGTAATATCTTCTCGAGAAAGGAAAATCATTTTTCCTTTTTGGAGTTGGATATTTTTTATTTTTTATTTAGTTCCAATAGTGCAACTAAGGTCCTTTGCACTACATAATTTATTTTAGACTTGCCCTTATGAAGTTCATTCCAAGTAAGGAGCTGAAAACCTCCAACACAGAGAAAGATGCCGTGCCCAAAACTTCCAACACAGAGAAAGATGCAGTTAAGGTCGAAAATGATTCCCTAGAAGTTGGTTCGTTCGATAAAATATCTGACATGTCGGAATTGGAGGGGAGCGATGTTGCACTTGCTGCGAAGATAAGGCTAATCAATGATGCCATTGACGAAATCGGTTTCACTCCATACCACTTAAAGTTATTCTTCTTAAATGGTATGGGGTATGCTACGGATTCTCAATTGACTTACATTGAGTCAGGGGTGAGAACTTATGTAAATTACCAATTCAGAAAAGGGTTTCCCATGTCAGCTGAATGCTTGAATATTGGTTTACTTGCCGGTACTATCTTCTGGGGCTTTGGTGCCGACTTGATTGGCAGAAAGACGGCATTTAACACTTCATTGTTCCTTTCTGCATTTTTCACCATCTTGGTTGGTGCCATGGGAAATTATGCTACTTACTGTATTTTCGTGTTATTATCTGCTGCCGCTGCAGGGGGTAACTTGGTTCTTGATACCTGCGTGTTTTTGGAGTATTTACCTCACAAATACCAATGGTTGTTGACGTTCTTTGCTTTCTTTTGGGGACTTGGTCAAACTGTTGCAGCTTTAATCACCTGGTGGGGTTTGGCAAATTATTCGTGTGAAAGTGCAGACAACTGTCCCCTGTCCGCCAATGAAGGTTGGAGATACGTTTACTACGTAAATGGAGCAATAGTATTGGTTATGGCAATGTTAAGAGTTTTTGTTGTTAGATTGCAAGAAACTCCTAAATTTTTAGTTTCAAACAATAGAGAAGCTGAAGCTGTATTGACATTACAAACTATTGCTAAGAAATACAACAGAAAGTGCTCATTGACATTAGAAGCCTTGCAAGAATGTGGAGAAATCACTTCAAATGAAGATTACAGACAGGATATGAGTGTAAAGAACACTATTAAGGTTATCGGTGAACATCTTGCAACCATTTTCTCCACTAAAAAGAATATCAGATCTGCCACATTGTTGTTCACTTCGTGGTTCTTCCTTGGAATTGCTTATCCGTTGTATTCTTCCTTCTTACCTCAATATTTAGCCTCAAGAGGTGCTAACATTAGTGCTTCTACCACTGCTGGTGTTTACCGTGATAACGTTATTAGTAACTTCTGCTCTACATTCGGACCAGTTATTGCTGGTGCATTATTGTGGCTTTTCCCCGTTTTGGGTAGAAGGGGTGTTTTAGCTATTGGTGGGATTTCAACCATGGCTCTTTTGTTTGGTTACACGGCAGTTAGAAATCATGCAGCTAATCTTGGACTTACATCCGCAGTTTATATAACTTTATACATCTACTATGGGTGCTTATATGCTTATTCTCCAGAAGTTATGCCCACACAAGCTAGAGCCACGGGTAATGCTATGTGTATAGGATTAACGAGAATAGCATCATGTATTACTCCAATAATTGCCTATTTCTCTAACACTAGCACCAGTGTTCCGATTTGGATTTGTGGTGCATTTGTTGGTATCATTGGAGTAGAAGCTTTGTTCTTTCCTTATGAACCATCTAAGCAAAGAGTGGTTTAAATATGTATGAAATAATAAGGAATATATGTTATATACGGTGTCGTTTTTGGTTGAATTTTACACTCGGTTGGCGTTCTCATTCCCTCGATATAGACTTCATTTTAATCGTCTGTGGTAATTATTTAGAAATGTACAGATGACCAGTTACATGGCAGTGATCTTAGACTACTTCGTTTATCTACATTTATTGCTTCTGTTTCTATATTACTTCTGTTGTTTGTTCTTGATTTTCTCTCTATTAGTTGGCTGCCTTCAAACAGTACATTCTGACAGGATATAACTCCTTGGGCAATCCTTTTTGAACGTCACTCGCTATCAACTTAAACCCTGCTTGTTGGAATAACTGCCTAAACTTGGCATCAGTCCTGGTAACTGAACTGTCAGTTTCATCAAATATGTCTTCTCCGGGTGCAATATTTTCTTTAACAATCATAGTCCCGATACCATTACCAATAAGAGCTTCTCTACAGCGGATCCAAAATTGCACAAGTTCCTCATCAGGTAGCTGACCCACGCACCATTGGCACCAAACTAACCAGTAGTGACCAGCTTTTTCAGGAGCAGGTGCCCATTCTTGCATACCTATGTCATAAATATCTCCCAATTTACCTTTTGCAGCAACCTGCTGCAATTCTGGACCCATCTGGGCGACAAATGGCTTGACTGGTTCCAACAAATCGCAAGTATCACTAATTTTCCAAAGAAAATCTCTGGTAATTCTACCAATGCCTGCACCCATATCTATGGTTAACTTCTTGTAACCTTCAGGGCATACCATACGAGCTTGAAGCTTACGACAGAAGGTAGAGGATCCTACGATATCAGCTTTGGGTACCGATGTTTGTTCTCCAAAACCACCAAGAACACCATTCACTGATGCAGGAACTGATGTCCAATAATCTATAGCATCATTATAGTTTATTTGGGAATCAGCAGGTGACCCATCACCCGAGATTTCCATTTCATCTGAAAATGTTTTAGCTGGCATATCAGATATACTTATCAAAGAACGAGGAAGTAATATACTAATAATATCAACAGTCTACTACGCTTATACTTAGCCAAAAGACACCATCTACATCTTCTTCATCATCTCTCTGTGGTGAAGGTGCAGTACCAGTCCAAAAATATTTTCAGTCACGTGCCATACGTGATCTGATGTACAATAACATAAACATGGGTTCCATGTGAGAGAGGATGAAAAGCTGATACTGAATCGATACTACGCGTCTTCTTGGATTTCATAGTTGGAGATTCTTATTCAAAATGTCATACTTTGATCTTGACGATATCCTTTCAGATGGAGAAAAAATCCCTTGCCGTTTCAATATGACTGTCCCTGGTTTAGGGTATCTTGAAGGGAACGCTGGTAAAGACATTGAGAGAAACACCAAAGTGGAACTACCACTTTGGCTTGCAGAAGTACTCGCTATTTGTGAACTTTCGGAAGAGTCACAATCTTCATTTATTGATCTTTCACAGCCCGAATTTTTAAACCAAAAAGTCATCAACGCAATAAAGGCTAACCCATTAAGTGTAGATCTCCACTCTATCTTAAGTAATTACTACAGGCTAAGTGAGAAATGGGCTGCTATGTTTAGTGACTCGGAATTGATTGAAATTGTACTGACCATGTTGAAGGAAAGGGCCTTTGAGATTAATAATTATGCTTGTAATGCTAACAAGCAGACAAACAGTAACTTTTTATACTCGTTGGACGAGTTTGAGAAGAAATTGTACAAGACTACTGCAGTCTCAAATAAGCAAATGAGAAACTGGCTCAAGAGTTAGCTATGGATCTTTTTGGGCACAGGGAAGGAAACAAGTGGATTAATGCATGAATAGATATATAGTCTAGTAATAGAAATGAACTTAAAGTTAATAGGAAAACAAGATATGACATTCTTCTCATAAATGTATTGTGATCGCTTACTCTGTACGAATTTTGCTATATACTTCAATACCTCTCTGATATCTACTTGTTACCTTGTACCGTATCTACTATTATATCTAATTTCATAAATTATCCTCTCATATTCATTCTACGGTACTTAAGTTTAATTTGCTTTCCTTTGTATATTTAGTTTTACTTTAGTATTAATACAGTAATAGACATCTATTCTTCTTCCCCATTTTCTCCAAATAATCCGTCATCATCGAGGTCCTCATCGCTGTCGATGATCTTTTCGCTGGACAAGAATGACTTTCTTCTCTTATTACCCGAAGACTTTGCTTCTGAGTTTTCATCTTCTCCGTCTTCATCTTCATCATCATCAGCAATTCTGTTCTTCTTTCCGTTTCTACTTCTCTTCTTACTTGGTTTGTCTTGAGCAACTGCTGTAGGTTCTTCACCTTCGTTATCAGATTGTTCAGGTTCAGAGGCTGAGGCCTCTGGTTCAGATTTTTCAGTCACTGACTCTTCATCACTATCTTCAATAGCATTCTTCTTCTTCCTCTTGTTACTCTTCTTACCAGCTTCCTTCTTCCCCTTCTTAGTGGAGCCAGCGGCAGCCTTTCTGCCCTTGGCTCTTTTAGCTTTTTCTTCACCGTCTCTTTGATCATCTTCGAATCCATCATCATTATCGTTGTCTTCAATTACATTCATTCTATTTTCTTCTACCCATTGTTGTGCTTGTTCTTGTAACTTGGCTCTTTCCTTGGCCAAATCTTCTTCTATTTCTCTTTGCTTGGATCTTCTTTCTTCTTCCTCTCTAAGTAAGGCTTGCTCTTCTCTTTCTCTTTCCTTTTGAGCTTCTTCTAATCTATGCTCAAACTTAGCCAAGAATTCTGTCGTTTCTTCTAAGCAAGCATTCAATCTATTCAATAAGGTTTGTTGACCTAAGTTGGCTCTGGCCTTTAAATCAGATTTTGGGTATGGAGCGTACTTTTCTTCTTCGGATGCTAAATCATTCAACACGCTAATTGCTTCATTCAATCCTAAGATGGAACTTTTAATATCTTCTACGTTTCTTTGGTCAACTGGTAATTTACTAACATATTCTGCAATTTGAAATTGGACATATGCCAAATTGAACTTTAAGCTAGACTTGTTAGCTCCATTTGTACCTTTATCCTCATTCAATGCTTCTTCACTAAATTCCAATGACTTCTTCAAGTAGACTATGTTCTTTTCATACATTCCTCTGAGGTACCATGCTCTACCCAATAATGATATAATTTTACTATCATTGTTACCACCAAATCTGTGCAATGCAATTTCATAATTTTCAATAGATTTAATGAATTGCTTCATGTCTAACAATACATGAGCTAAGTTCAAATATATGGAAACATCATTGAGAGAATCCCTGATTTTTCTCAAAATATCTAAACCTTTGTGTGTTTCTTTGCTTTCGATGTAAATGATTGCTAAACCTTGAGCTGCATAAACATCCTTGGGGTCTACTGATAGTACTTTAGAAAACAATTCAATAGCTCTGATATAATATTTCTTTCTCTTTTCTCCTTGTTGAGCAGAAGTGACTTTAATTTCTCTCGCCATTATGCAATAAATATTTGCCAAGGAAAGTAAAGCATAACAATCATGGGAGTCGTATTCGACAAGTGTGTCCTTTTGGTGAGTAGTATCTGCATCGGGTTTAATTTGAAGTCTCTTACCAAAGGTATTAAGAAACCATCCATAGAAGGAACGAACTTCCAAACTCGATGTGTAAGAACTAAGCAAGCTTTCTATTTCTTCCTTAATTCCGCTGAGAGTAGACTCATCCTTTTTATCGGTAATACAACTCAAGAACAACAATCTAAGCTTTGCTGAGAAATAGCTTGGACATTCTTCCAATAATTTTTCGTAAATCTCGATTGCTTCCAGCTTGTTCGTAATTTCCTTTGAACGAGCTAAATTGAAATTAATTGTTAATTTCAATTCATTCGAAAGGTCCTTATCACTTTCATCTAAATTATTGAGTGAAGTTTGGAAAAACTGGCTCGAAGAATCGAAGTTATTTTTGATGAAATGGATAACACCAACATTATTATATACTTCCAATGGCACATCCTTCCCGATAAGCTTTCTAGATTCAATGGCTTTGTTTAAGTAGTTCAAAGACTGGTTAAGATCTTTTGACTCATAAAGTTTTGCAAGGGTGAGCAATGCATTGAGAATAACTGGTTCGCTTCCTACACCTGCACCAGAAGCTGTATCTTCAGTGCCTGGAGCCTTTGCACATAGTCTCAAGTATCTTTCCAACATTTGAATAGCTAATTCATGCTTTCTTCTACCCTTTTGTATGCTGTAAAGGCAACCCAAGGAGTAGTTTACTTCCAAGCATTTCAGATCGGTTTTTAAAATTGATTCATATGTGATTATGGCTTCTTCAATCAGTCCTCTACTAATCTGTGATTGTCCTAAACCCAATTTTGACAATAAGTTCAGATCGTTCAACTTAATAGATTCATGGAAGTACTTTTGTGACTTGGTGTAGTCTGATTGTGCAAAGGAAACTCTTCCTAGCCACAATGTAGCATTTGACAACAAGATTGAATTATACGAGGATTGCTTACCACTGGATATACTTTCACCTCCCTTACCGCCTCCTAGTGTCTCGACAACTTTGAAGCAAATTTTGTTTACAGTGTCATAGTCTTTCTTGGCAAAATAATAACTGGCCAATGACAATAATATGATACTGTCATTAGGTGATTGTTTATGCAAGCTTGCTAATTCATTCAAGCTTGTCCTGTAATTGGCGATGAAGTCGTCATCCGTCAAAGATTCATTGAAAATCAGATTGAATTTGGACAAACACAACAATACTCTAGCTTTAACATTTTCAGGGTCTAATTCTAAACTACGCTGCCAACTTAAAATAGCCATCTTCTCATCTTTCAACAACCAGAAACATAAACCAATACCAATTCTTGGATCTGGCTTCATAATTGGGTTGATCAAAAGAACCTGTTGGTACAACTTCAAAGCACTACTATAGTTTTTCGTCTTTTTCAATATAATCTGTGCCTTTCCAAGAAGAGCAAAGCAGTTAGTAGCGTCAATCTTAAGCAATTTATCGAAAATTTCAATAGACTTCTCAACGTGCTCGTCTCTATACAAATACAATATGGCCTTAGCTAACAAGTTGGGGACATTGGAAGCATCTCCTCTGGATACTATGGAGATTTCTTCGGCAGCTCTCTTCAAATTTGTAGCTCTGTTATCAACTCCTAGACTTACATTCTTCAAATATAACCAACTTAAGAAGCTGTGTAATTTGATCTTATCCTCGGTGGTATCTGGCAGTGCTTCTCCCTTCAAGGCGTGGTTAATCATCTTTAAGGCTTCTTCTGGCTTGCTCTTCCAGCAGTAAGCTTGAGCCACAGAGATCCAGTACTTGGTAGGACAGTTTTCGGTTTCAAGAAAACTCACCAATTCCAGAGAATCATCAGGTAACTCTTCATCCAAGTTGATACTAACAATCTGACCATTAGATAATGGAACATCTAAATTCTTCGACTGTTCAGAACTGTTGGTTCCAAGATAGAACGATAAGTCTAGAATTTCTGGATCCATCTTTCTCTGTATTAAAGTGTGTATTAAATGAGCAGGAGTAAAACAACAACAAGAACGAGAGAAGAATTAGAATGGGTGAAATTAGGTGGTAAGCTTCCCTTTATTAGTCGCTGTCGTTCGCTTGAGTTTTTTTCTGGTGTTGAAAAATCAGGAAGCAGAACTGAAAAGTTACACAAAAGTGATTTTTTTGTTGATGGTTGGAGGGTAGTGCGATGGAGAAATTTTGCAGCCAAAAGGTATACGGAGGGCATCATCAATTGATTTCTGTCAAGATAGGCTCAGTTTAAAATTATTTCTATAACTATACAGATATTATACAATATTCTATTCCCACGAGGCGGTTTCTATTCCTTTAACCAAGTCGTTATTACAGCATTCCCTTTTAAAATTTCCCAATACAATCTGAGTGTCAACCAATTCTCCCATACGAAGTATCTTGATATTGAATTTCTTGACTAAAAGCATTCTAACATCCACTTCTAGCCTCAATTCAAATTTGCATTTAAATTCGGCTATATAGTATTTTATTATAATGTCACCGTTATTCTTATCAATCTTAACGGGGAACTTCAACGATATCTTGTACAAGAGGAAGTCTATCTTCTGTAGATTCTGCCATATCATTCTTAGGCTCCTAAATTGCTCAAGGATGTTTAATTTGTCATGGTTATCGTCTTGAAACATCACATTCAAATTCTGTGAGTGTGCCAAGTATAGGTCTTGGATTTTGAATGTAGGCGATTTCTCTTTAAATTCATATGAAAACCCCCTTCTCATGTCGTTAAAGTCCATAATGATTGTAATCAGTGAGTCAAATTCAAAAACTAATTTCTTACCGTGAACTTCAGTGTTCTTGATTATGCGAGACTTAGTTAAAGTTTCAAGCAAGTTGAATTTATAGATCAACAAATTAATCTCCGTCGCATCGTATTTCTTATTTCTTTGAATTATATCGGTATTGGAGCGTATTTCTGCATTGAGGATGGAAATTGTTTTCTCTTTCTCTAATATTGCTTGGTTTAATTCTCGTAAGTTGAGTGTTTGCTGTGCATATTCTCGTCTGAATTGACCAATATGTTCCTGAATTTGTTTCATCTCTATCTGGAAATCGTGCAAATCTTTTTTATCGATCGACTCACTTGATGCAACCAATTGCTTAAAATTAGCCAACTTCAATTTCAATTGTCTATGTCTATTGAACACAATATCATTCGCCTCATTGATTTGCTCAATCCCCAATAATAGCTTCGAGCGATCTTCCTTCAAATTTTCAATTGTCTTTGTTAATTCATCTAGAACATTGCGAATTAACTGGCTTCTCCACCCATACCATACCTTTTTCGCTTCTTGCCTAGAGTAGTCTTTAATGAGTTGAAATTCTGTTTTCATACTCAATTTAGCTTCAGGTATTGTTTCATAAAATTCTTTGAACAATCTAGGATTCATTGAACTCGTACTTTCATTAATTGTTTCAAAGATTTTGATTCCCTCTTGAATATTTTGTAGTAACTCTTTACAACTGAATTCATTCAATTCATAGACAGGAATCTTAATTGCACCCATCACATAATCTTCAAGCCCAAATTCGCTCTCGCCATCTAGCTTAACTTTGGGTAATGAAATACTAATTCTATTTTGAGATTGAGATCCAATTTCGAGATCATCATAGAACTTGATACCTATGTCGATCATAAACTGGTTTAACGTGACCAAATTAAATATTTCGCTGTTTTCATCGATAGAGTCATAAGTAACATCTGCTAGTGGAATTGTGGAGGTCGTCGCAGAATGGAAAATCTTTTGAGGTTGTGAATCATTTGAAATATCCTCCTCCGCTTTTCTTTTGCTGTACTCTCCATGTGCCGGAGTATTCACTTTACTCACCTGTTGAGTAAGCTCCATATCAGAGTCAGCAGACTCGTGAGTTTGACCTTGAACTGAAGCTTCCTCTGGTTTTTCGTCAGATTCTTCCATTGGATCTTCGTTCTTCAAGTCTTTATCAGATTTAGACTTGATATTCCCCACTTGTTGAGTAAATTCCATCTCAACTGCTTCATCATATTCTTCGTCCTCTCCTTCTTCTTCCGAGTAAAATTCTTCAGGTTTTCCTTGTTTATCAATATCCTCCGCATTATTGCCTGACAATGTTTTAAGAGGTTGCTGAAATTCCATCTCCTTTCCTTCATTCTCATTTTCCTGAACATTTTTCTGTAACAATACTGGGAATTGAATCTCACTTATGTAAGAAATTTGGGTTTCCTCTTTTTCTTTCTCTTTTTCTATACTACTGATCTGCTGGGTGATTTCCATACTTTTCTCCTCAAATAAATCATCTAAAGAGTCGTGATAAATTTCGCTATGTTCTTCCATTAGCTTTATCTGTTCTACTGAGGTCTTCCCTTTGGATTGAGTCACTTCATCAGCTGAGCTTTGCATCTGTTTAATTGAAGAATGTCCAATAGCCTGAGTTAATTCCATATCTACTTCATCTGTTATGCTTTCTTTCTCGGCATCACCACTACTTCCAAGCTCTGTCAAAGCATGGATTTGACCGACTTTCTCCTTGGACTCCAGGAAGCTTTCGCGGTTACTGGCAGCTAAAGTTTGTCTGCCCACATTTACAGTTAATTCCATTTCCCCTTCGTCTTCATCCTTGTTATCGCTAATTTCATCATCATCTGAGGACATTTCATCAAGAGGGATCTCAACACGACTAGTATGGTGAGATTGGTCTTGGGCTTCCCGCACATGCAAGTCAATGGTTTGTTTCTGGATCTGTATGGGTTCTGTGATTTCCATGGTAAGCTCTTCATCAGTATCATAGGGTAAGGTGGATGGTATGGGTATGGCTGATTGAATTGGAGCCAGATCATCCTCATCCCCACTTGCCTGTTCTTCACCAGATACAGCCGCAAACGGGTGTTTCTTGACACTTACTTCGCCTTCCTCTTCTTCGTTCTCTTCTTCTGAACTGTCCTGAAGTACATCTACACCTACATCACGTTTCTCGTCGCTATCTTGCGAGCTGTTTGTCTCATTGGAAGAGATGTCACTTGAGCTGGGGATAAATGCTATGGTTTCTCTTCTCTGGTGTTGGCTTGTCACAGCGGTATCACTTTCAAACGAGTCTGAGCGGTATTGTGGAACAAAATCTATCTTGTGCAAGGTAACCTCTGGAGCAAACGAAACTCTTCTCCGAGGTAACTTAGCTGTGGATCTGCTAATGGTGTTTGATTCATCATTCAAGGGAATCAGAAGACCATTATGGAAATTTGACTTCAAAATCGGCTTGGACAAGTTCTCCGTGATTTCGGGTTCGTTTTCTTGACCCTCCATGTTGATATCTAGGCTCAGTTTATCAAGAACTTCACCTGAAAGAGTAGTACTCCAATATGCTTAGCGCTGTAAAAGTACACAGAGAAGGTAAACAAACATTATTTTACGCGCATGGCCTGCAGGTAGCACAGTTGGATTTTTGATGAAGAGAGTGGTGTCCTGCATGGCGGCTGGCGCAAATCTTGGGTTCACACCATGTAGCACCGGATGGCTGCTGCGGGCCGAGTGAAATCTCTTGTTCACGCTTGATGTGAGATCATCTGGCCAAGCAGGGCCAGGCTATATAACTACCTTTTCTCTACCGTTATCTCTTTCTTTCGATTTGGTGGGCCATCTCTGTACATTTATGAGCACTTCGCGGTGAATTTCGCCAGATTGTCGAAATGTTAGAATTGTGCAAAAGATAAGTAAAAGGTCTAAATTCTGCAGCAGTTAAATTGACATATGATGACCCATGGTGAATGAATGTGAATATGACCTTGTCCATAAGAGACAATCAAGTGTTCCACTTTTCTGTCATTTTTTATTTCTTCTGCTGCTTTCACTTTTACTTTTACTTCTACTTCTACTTCTACTTCTTTCCCTCTCATCCACATGCCGCGTAACTACCGCCGGTCCTCCCTCTACTCTTCTCTCGCTGTGCTGGTGCTAACTCCAACGCTTGGTGAGCACTACTTCCTTTCCCCCACAATTTTTCAGTTCTCGCTAACCATCAGTGCACCCATATTATTTTACCATTCGAAATTCATATGAGCAGTATGGCTTCCCTCGGTCCGATACAATCGCAAGAAAAAAAATAGCGAGTACAATAAAAAGAGTGGAGTAGAGGTGGAAAGAAATATAGAAACAGTCTACTCTCCTCTTCTTCTTCCATTACACAATTTGTTGCTTGTACCTGATTAGTTGTGCGTTACGTTCTATTTATTACTAAATTTTCAAAAATGGTTGCCGATACTTTAGTTTACCACCCTACTGTTACCAAGTTGATCACCTTCTTGGACTCTACTCCAAAGAGAGAGAAGTCATTCCGTCTTGTCGCATATCTCTCTAGATTCCTTTCATACTACTTGCAAAGACAAGGATTTTCGCCAGAATTGGTCAAGGTGTTCAAGGACCTCAAGACTCATGTGACTATGATAAGAAAGGGAATGAGATTCCTTAAGCCTTTAAACCATCTCCAGGCTGCTTCTAAGGCCTTTGATAACAAGCTTATCGACCCAATTTTGAAAAATACCACAGTCCTTAGAAACTTGGGTTATGCTGGTTATCTTTCTCTTGACTCCCTCACCTGGTTCAAGATGTTGGGATTGGTTGACAAAAAGAGATTCCCAACTGTCTCCACCTGGGCATCAAGATGTTGGGCCCTCGGTTTAATTGCTGGTCTTGTCAATTCCTTGAGATTGTTGCTGATCAATAGCTCTAAGCTCGAATCTGCCTCATCCTCTTCTGCTGATTCTGAAAAGCCTGTAGATGTCAAGGCCATTCAAGTAAAGATCTACCAAGCCAAGAGAAAGTTGATCTGGGACGCCCTCGACTTATTTGTCGCCTTGAACACCTTGGACATCTTACACTTTACCGAAGGTGACGTTGGTTTGGCTGGTACTATTACCTCCATTATGGGCTTGAAGGATCAATGGGTAGGAACCAAATAAATCCTGTGTTGTTGTCTGTAGTTTTTTTCACCCGCCGTGTAGGCAGGTAAATATTTATATACTTATATCGTCTGATTAAATAACGTTTAAACAGAGTAAAGAACTGTAGGGTATCGGAAGAAGGAATGGAGCAGTAATACTGCTGTTTGAGCTGCCGCTGCCTTATTGTTTCTCCATATCTCGACCTGTATTCGTTCTATCAGTGTAGGTCTTCGTCCTGCTGTCACAGTAGTTCCGTTCGTAGTGCAATGGGATAGCTATCTGTGTGTACTGCATATAGTCCTCTATGTTGCATCTGAGGTTCTTTTGCCTTGATAGAATCCCATCCAGAACCACCTCATTAGCTCCTTCTTAAGGTCTTCTTCGAGAATGTCTCTATTATCTTGTGTTTCTAACAACTTGACGAGGCCCTCACTCAATTGAACGGGAATCTTGAGATCATCTACACTACCTTCACCGTGTATGTGTGGAGAAGTACCGGTGGATTCAACTTCTTCGTCTTCTTTCTGTTCTTCGAACCCATGCAATTTATAATACGAATTTCTGGAATTTTTCCAACTCTGTTCAACTAGCAGATCAATTTGGTTGACTATTTGATTGTTCATACCCAATTTTTTTTAATATTTCCGATCTACCAACTGGGAAGAAACAATACATCTGTCAGCAAGAGTCGTTAAAAATGGAACCAATCTTGTGATATAGTTGAGAGTCCTGCATATAATACTCATCTCAAAGAAATAAATCTGGTCTGTAAATTTTCACCTATACAACACTATCAGTTTCAATCCAGTAGCATATTGTACTTTTATATCGAGAATTAGTAATGTCTGCACCTTCTAAGGAGATAAGGCTTCATATTGGAAACATTTCCCCGAAACTTGCGTCTAATCCTGAGACTTTAAACACCAGATTGGGCAAGTTTGGTGAGATCATCAAACCACTAGAAGTGCGTACCAAACCACTAGGGGACAAGTTTTTTGGGTTTATAACTATGAACTTAACCCCTGTAGATTATGAAAAGATCAGAAATTCATTCCACGACGTTGTTTTCATGGGAATGAAACTTTCGGTAAATGAAGCCAAGCCAGCATTCAATTGGCAGAGGGATAACGAAAGACCAGATGCAAAGAAACTGGACAGGATGAAGAGGGAAAGAATCCAACATGTAAGAGAGTTGAGAATAAACGAAGCCCATACGAGATATCCTGAAAATACTGAGACTCACTCTCACTTGACACCTACTCAGGTGCTCAATCCAAATAACTCAAGTAAATCAAGCCATACAACCAACAATAAGTCTGGTAACACCAAAAATAAGCCTCCAGGATATACCTTGCAAGGAACCAAGTCATATTCAACTTTGGCTGGAGATACTAGTAAAAGCTTGATTCTTGATCAATACGCTAGGACATCGGGTAATGGTGAAGTAATCAAGGGTAGACATAGAGTCACTGTAAGACCACCCAGGTTACAGAGGGCGGCTACCTTAAGAATTCTTATTAACGGTGAATTGAAAACTTATAAGAACTACAAGACCAAATTGTGGGGCTTTGAGAAGAATAAGACTGCTCTTGATTTAACGTGGAAGTATGATAATGGAGTGTGGAAGAGTGGGGACGATCATATTGTTGAAAAAGTTAGAAGAAACAACGTAATTGTAAATGATAGAGTCATTGGGGGCCCACAAGTCATATCCTGTGGAGTTAGTGGCACCGAAGTACAACTGTATGGTCGTGATAGCAACATTGAACAGATAGGATCTGGAGATGTTGATGGTTCACGGTCAATTGATCCTGAATTTAAAGAAGACATAGACAAAAATCAAAAAATACTTGCATCATTATTCACCAAGTATGACTTCGATAAACCACTTTCAGTTGAGGAGGAAGAAGACAAAATTGACGAAAATGATATAACTTACGATAGTAAGGGTAGAAAGAAGATTAAAACTTACGATTATGAAGTTGAAGGTGCAGAGATTGATGATGATTTTGATAATGACAGTGATGAGAGTTTTGATTACTCCACTGCTCAACAAAAGGTTGAAGAATTTACAAAATTACACGAAAGACCACAGGGAGAAGTCTACTACGATGAAGACGATAATGGGAATGAGCTTGATTTTGACTTGATAGCCCAATCTACTGAGAAAATAAAGGATAAGTATGAAGAAGAGCATGATACACTTGGATTATTGGGAGAAGATACTCCAATGGAGAACGCAGAAGAAGAAGAAGAAGAAGAAGAAGAAGAAGAAGAAGAAGAAGAAGAAGAAGAAGAAGAGCAGGAGGATGAAGAAGAAAAAGAAAATGAAGAAGACGTTCTTGATACGCTTGGCTTACTAGGAGAAAATGCTTCAATGGAAGAAGCAGATGAAGAAGAAGAAGAAGAAGAATTCATTCCAAGCTTTGGCCAGTTTTCGAAGGAATCAGACTCTGTGTCTGGAAAGACCAATAATACGGAAGCTTTAAGATCACTCTTCAATAAAGAACAAGAGTCTAGCTTTAAACTTGAAGTTGACGAAGACGATATCGATGAAGAAAAAGAGAAAGAGTTCAATGACCCAACATACCAACAAACTCTTTTGAAAGAAATAGAACAAAAGCAGCAGCAAGATGCTCAAATACATCAGGAGCTAAGAAGGAATCAATTTGGGCTTTTTTGGACTCACAGAGACTCTCCGTTTTTGTCCACCCAATCTCAGTTGAATAAAATAGGTACTGCTGAGGATGTTATCACATTACCAGGTGAGATAGATGGTGCTAATTTAGACGTAGCAGAGGGAGAAGAAAATGCGTATGAGAAATGGTTTTGGGATCAGAGAGGTGAGCTCAGTAGGGAGTGTAAGAGAAGAAGAAGGGATGTAATGAGAGCATTCAAGAAAAAGGTCAATGTATAGATAGAATAATTATTCATTTCATCAAGTCCAATACTTTGTAGTATTTTCATTATTTTGAGTTCGACAGCTAATGTATGCCCGCGTGGAGCACAAGGTGAACATGTTAACATCATGATTTTATTTGCTTTTACTTCGCCTCTCCCAAAGTAACTAATCTATGGATCCATTCTTGTATCAGCTCCGTATTAGTTCTAATTAAAGAAAATTGGAATGAAATCGCTATTGCACGAGTAACGTTCTTGACGCTTTCGTCTTTGCTTGCACTTTTTATGCTGCATTTTCCAAAAGAGTCTACGGATGGGTGCAACATTCCTATCTTAGTAATCAAGGGGGCCCAGTGGGCTTATATCAGGGGCAAGTCCAGTCTATCTTTACTAAGTAATCCCACATTCGTAAATACGGTACTTTTTGCAATCGTATGGTTACAAGGCTTAAGACGCTTATGTTAGTATGTACATAATCGCATGCAGTAGGCTATGCTATCCACCCACAAAACTCGTAAATATGGTTGCGAAATCGAGCTAAGTTTTTCAATCGATGGCTATCGTAGGTCGCTTCCATCTATTAAGACAACTCACTCCATTTAGTCTGATGCGCTTGTTAGATATACGAGACGACTAACATTAAGGGAAAGGATAGACCCAATGACTACCCTTTCTCCATCCGTAACGTTAGATAGGAGTCTAAATGTATTGCAGAGTCGCACAACAGAGAGTGATGAGTGGAGCTAAAAATAGCATCATTCGCCCTCCACAGAAAAAACGAGAACGAGGCTTATACCAGACTGACTCCAGGAACGATTAGTCAAAATTCTTATTCTTTTAAAGGCCAACCCAAAATATTCAAATTTTCAAGTCTTATACTGGTAGATATATTGGTAGTTCTGGTGGGGAGCCTTTCACTCAGTAGTCAATTCGGTAGACTCTCAAGTTCCAGGTTTCCAAGTTTCCAAGTTTTTTGGTTCCAGGTAGAGATTGCAACTCAAATATCATAACCTGGATGAGAATTACGAGTATGCAGCATGCTTCTGCCGCTGAAAATCGGACATAAGAAGACGAAAAACGCATAACTGCTATATACAAGGTCTGCAATATGTATGGATGGAACTCTACCACAGCGCCGTCTCTGTGAAACCTTAAAGTTAACTGACATTCCACTTCAATGTGATTCATCTCCATTTTTTAGTATATATGTCCCTAGAGATTTCCTGGTTTTTTTCTTAGAAAGTTGCAGGACCCAATCATTTTTGCAACTTGTAAATATTTATAGTATTTGTCATGTCTGACAAAAACACTACTACTTTAAATGATGTACCTGTAGGTAGCAATAGTATAGAAAATAAAATATTAGCCCCAGGTTCTGAGATGGTGTTGAATGATTGTGTGGGAACTGAACTTCAAACAATTCCCTCGGCTGTAGAAAGTATTTCAAGTGATGAAGTCCCTGGACTCAAGAAAGGAAAGAAGACTAAAAAGAATTTCAGTCGGGCTAAACTTGAGTCCACTCTGGAAAAGAGAAAAGAAAATGAAGAGAATCTTACCCTGAATCTGAAACAAGTAGAGTGCAATTTGGAAGAAGGTGACATAAGTGAAATTGGCCAAAAGGACAAAAAGAAATATAGAACCAAACGACTCTTAAATGCTATAAGAGCAATCAATAATGAAGGAGAATCTTCATCACATCCAGCAAATACAAAGCATAAAGAAGCAGAAATCCCTGACTCTTCTACTTCGAAGCCTTATAGTGATCCCAAATCTTCTTTTACCTATACCTTATGGCATTCCCTAAAATTGAAGGAAATTTGTAGAAGTATATGGACTGCTTTGATTTTGGATTTCATGGCAAATTTGGCTACTATAATATTATTCAATTATTATTCACAGGGGTATGATGTTGTTCAGTCGTGCCCAGTAGTTTCTTTGACATTAGATATCATGATAATGTGCATTTGGGTTATTGAAAGACAGCCATGTCCAGACTCAGTATTAGGAATGAGTAGAGTACAATTAGTAACTGCTTTTAAAATTATTAAACAATTGATTTTGTTTGTAGTTGCTGGGATGATAGTTGGGAAAATTGTACTTTTAATTGGCGGGACCATTCATAATCCTTTAGGTGTTTCCAAAAGTGCAGTAAAGGATCTTAACTTGTCTTTTGGGAGCCGTCTTGCTTTAATTCTTGTGGCCTCATGGTCAATTGTCACTAATTTCTTTGTTTTGGTACATGTTTGGTCTATGCCAGAAAAGGGCCGTGGTTCACAACTTTTCCTAATAAAAACTTGCTTTGTCAACTTCATCTTGGGAGTAGTTGAAGTTAAATTATTTCATAGTTCAATAGTTTCGAGCAGTAGATCAAATCACAAGGTATTGCCAGTGTTATATCTATATACTTCAGCTTTTCTCATATGTGGTTCAACGTTAGGTATTTGTGTTTCAATTGTTGTTACCGAAAACAACAGATTATCTGAAATTATAGGTAAAGTGACTTTATTTTTAGATTGCTATTTTGCATTAGTTGCATTGTTATGCTTAGTTTGTACTATCAATTCCTTGCAACTTAGGGGGAGTGGGCCTGGAAGTTATCATGTCCCATTGGGGATACCAACAATATTTGCATGTGCTTTAATACTCAGTATCATCATTATCGTATCCACTAGATATTTTAGGTTAAGATTACCGCCCACCTTAGAAGTGGAAGAATTGAATTTGAAAGACTTAACTGATTCTCAAAAATCTGCATATGCTAAACTTATTACCTTCAACTCCAAAGCCAATGCTGGAATATCTGGGGAAGCAGTCTTACTGTTGATGGAGTCTTACACTCAGACTACCTTAAAAGGTATGAATTGTAAAGTTCTTAGAGTCTTCCACCCGCAGAAGTTGCCCAAGATTCAGAAGGCAAAGCAAGCAATAAGTAACTTTCCATGGGGAAGCAGAACAAAGAAGAAAGGAACTTCTCTTCAAACATTAATAGATGGCTCTTCCTCTAATGAAAACTCTAAGCGCAGGAGTTTGGAAATTGAGGATGAGTTACGTGAATCGCATATGACCTCTAAGACTTGGGAAGCGTTTGACGTACAGAAGACTGTGTTTGATGAAGAAGAAACAGTTTTCAGCATACATGATGTTGAAGAAGTCCCAAAGCCATTATCTAAAAATCAAAGAAAGAAGTTAGCAAAGAAAGCTGCTGCTGCTGCTGCTAATGGGAATGGTGCCAACTTTCCACTAGAACTAACAACTGAGAAGGACATTGCAGAGAGGGCAAAGTTCCACGCAGATTTGATGGCTACCGAAGCATTAGTCTTGCTAACGTCAATTGAAGATTATGACTTGACTGCATCAATAGCAGGGAAATTTGGAGCATGGATGAATAAATGGTTTGGAAGTGAATCCAAATCGAAGCTTTTGTGCGTTAGGTTTGGATTATTGGCATTCCATTGGCCGTTTGTTAGATCGACCTTCTATTGTAGCAACAGCAAATACCCTGTAGCAAGAAGTGGTGCAGTAATGTACGCAATCAGCAGTTGGAACAAATCAAGATCTAAGCAAGACAAATGTACCATCTTGTTAGATCCAACCTATAAAAATGCGTTTGCTGAGCAAGCAATTCGGTTTGGTGGCTGGATCAGACTCAGACTACCATCATCACATATCATTAATTTGCGCCCGCATAAGAATAAGAGTCTTCTGGAGTACTTTAAAGCTATAAAGTACAGAAATCAAGATGGTGCATTCAAGCAAGCAGGAGGGGTTACAATTGAAGAAAAGGACTTCAGCGAGGAAAACTGTAATATTGCAATGTCACTTTGGAAGAACATTGCCGAAAATAGAACCAGTAATGGTAACACTTCAGTGCTCATAGATCCAAATATTCAGTTTATGCAAACCATAGGTACACTGGCCAATGAAAAAAATCACAGAACATTATTGTTCCTTAAAGTTGATGATGAAGTAATTGCATCTTGTATACTTTTCAGATTAGGTGATACCATCACTTCAGACTTGCAAGGGCTTCACCATGAAAAGGCCAGACCTATGAAGGCATATTTTGTAATGATGCAAGAAGTTATCACCATTGCACTTCGTGAAGGCAAGTCATTTGTTGACTTTGGACCCACAACTGAACGGCCCAAAGTTGATATTGGATGCCAAAGCGTTCCAATTACAGGAGCTTTGAGAACGTCGAACGTGTTGTTATCCATGGCCGTGAAGGTTGCTGCACATAACGTCAAAGTCTAATCTGCAGCCGCCGAAATATCTACACGAAAAAAGAACAAAAAAAAAAAAAAAAAAAAGATCGAAGCTTAATGTGGAAACAAATGTGAACGAGTAATGGAAAAGAAACTAGGCGAGAGAGGTTCTGATTAAGTCAGGTTCGTTCAAAACTGAAAATATTGCGCGGTTACTGCTACCATATCTACTATCTGTCTGTCAACTTTCGTACAATTCTTACCATAAATGAAAACTACTACTGAATTTAGAGTGTTTCTGAGATTCTTATTGTTCGTTTTTTTCGCCGAATTGGGCTCTCTTGCATACCTAAGATGGTATAAAATATCTGCACCCATTTTGCAATAACGAAAAATATAAAATGGTAGCTTGCGGAAAGAGTCAAGCGTCATGAATATACCTATAAATACTCCTATATACATAAATATTTGCCTATGAAACTTCATGTTTGTGGTTTACGAGCTTGTGTACCCTTTCTGTTTCCATTTTCGTTCTCAGCATCTTCCTTCTTAGCGTCTATGCCTTTTCCCTTAGTCTGGACCCGTAGCTCCCTGACTAATTCTGCTAGACTTATTCGCCCAATTGACGCCGCACATGGAATATTATTTGCTCCTCCTGCATAATATGACTCTTTTCTTGCCAGATTGTAAAATTTTCACTCACTCCGAAACGTTGTCACTTTAAGCACGGGCCAAGACTACTTAAATATACCGAAAGTGAAAAATTGTTCAACGTACTTTTAAGTCATCTTTTATTAACTTTTATTATTTTTTTTCTCATCTAACTTAGACACTTATATATAGCAAGCATGTCCCGCACCCGTACTCCGATCCCAGAAGCTTACGATGATACCCGTATTCTTGGTTACGACCCATTAATCCCACCTGCACTCTTGCAGCACGAAGTTCCTGCAACTAAAAAGTCACTCGACGTAGTCATCAAGGGCCGTGTTGAATCTTCCGAAATTATTGCTGGTAAAGATGACAGAGCCTTGGTTATCGTTGGACCATGTTCTATCCACGATGTTGACGCTGCTTTGGAATACGCTCATAGATTAAAGAAGTTGTCCTTGGAATTGGAGAATGACCTTGTTATTGTGATGAGAGCTTACTTGGAAAAGCCAAGAACCACTGTCGGTTGGAAAGGTTTGGTTAACGATCCAAATGTCGATAATTCTTTCGATATCAACGAAGGTTTAAGAATCTCCAGAAAGCTCTACGCTGACTTAACTAGTATTACCGAGTTACCTATTGGTTCAGAAATGCTCGACACCATCTCTCCTCAATTCTTCTCCGATTTACTTTCATTCGGTGCCATCGGTGCTAGAACCACCGAATCTCAATTGCACAGAGAATTAGCCTCCGGTTTGTCATTCCCTATTGGTTTCAAGAACGGTACTGATGGTGGATTAAGAGTTGCATTGGACGCTTGTCAAGCCTCTGCCAAAGGTCATCATTTCCTTGGTGTAACCAAGAATGGTATGGCTGCTATTACCACCACCAAGGGTAATGACCACGGTTTTGTCATCTTAAGAGGTGGTAAGAACCGTACTAACTACGATGCTGAATCTGTTGCTGCTGCCAAGGTAGACATTGCTAACAGTACCAACCCAAACATCAAGCTTATGGTTGATTGTTCTCATGACAACTCTCAAAAGGATTACAGAAACCAACCAAAGGTTTTGGATTCTGTCATCGAGCAAATATCCAAGGGAGAAGAATCTCTTATTGGTGTTATGATTGAATCTAACATTAACGAAGGTAAGCAAGGTATGCCAGAAGAAGGAAAGGACAAGTCCACCTTGAAATACGGTGTGTCCATTACTGACGGATGTGTATCTTGGGAAACTACCGTTGATATGTTGAACAACTTAGCAAAGGCTGTGCAAAAGAGAAGAGAATTAAAGAGAACAAGCGCAACTTCTTAAGCAAATGGAATTAAAGAATTAGCATAAACCATCAACTTGTCTTGTAAAAGAAATATTTGTATGTATTAATCTTCAGCTGCCTAGTATGCTGAGGATTTATATGTGTATATGTATAACTGTATAGAAACTGAATAAATTAGTAAGAAATACTCTAGAACCACTTTACTAGCTTATTTTGGATAGACTCGTTCAGAGCAGTTTCGCTCCCCAACTCTTCGTAGAATTCTTTCAATTGTGGATTAGATTTACCAAAGGAGTGAGTTCTATTGAATGGATTTCTCGAAATCTTTTTACTTTTAAGACCTTCCTGTACTCCAAACCAATCGGACTCAAAAAGCTTCACAGCAAATCGATTCTCGGATTTTTTCAAATCTTCGAAGTAGGCCTCAGCGACGCTTTCGGGAGGTGTAGGAGAATTTCCTATATAGTGTACATTTTCTGACGGGAACTTCAATGCTTTGAAGTGGTGATGTAAAAATCTGGATCTTTTGAATTCAAATCCGACAACTGTGATGTGTTTGGGGTATCTTTTATGCAATTCGAAGAATCGACTGATCAGAAAGATAACGTTTTCCATGGAATCTCGTGCATATTCCTCAAGTGCAATTCGACCTGCAAGAGAAGATGTAGAGTCAGGCGAGATAGCCTTCGCAAGATTAAGGTAAGATTGGGACTCAGATATTTCTATTTCTGGTTTAGTTTGACCACCGGAGATAATTAAGGTGGCCCTTGGATCTGTCTCGAGTAATTTAAGACTTGAATCTATATGATCAATAAAGCAAAGATGGTCCTCGCCTTCGTGTTGAAATGGAGCAAGGGACCATTCCTCCTTATTTTGTCCCAAAGATTGGCCGCCATGCCAGATTGAGTGGCACGGTAATATTATTAAATGATCCATAACTAACGAACTAAGGAACAACTAGTTTGTCTCGAGAGAAGAAGTCCGGAAATATTTTTCATTGGTATTTACGAGGCTCTGCATGAAGCTGAAAAATGTGAGAGATCTGGCATGTAGTGTTCGATGCGCAACAGAATCAAGCCTACCCTATTGAACTAAGTGGCTACAGAAATTCAACACTATGGATCTATTGGACGACCCTCTTCTATACTCAAATCCTGGAGAAAATTGCCTCAGTCGGTTCTTTTTCTGAGGAAGCGAGGAAAATGTGTCTAAGAGCAATTAGACTCCGCAGGTCCGTGAATGTTGATTGTGAGGCACGGCCCCTGTTACATATGCAGGTCAGTCTTGCTTAATAGTGAATCAGTTATCCACAGTCTCTGCTATTAACCAATATCCACTAGATACATGGCAGAAATTCTACTTGAGCTAATTCAGCAGACTTATCATCTGTGATGAGAACCTACGCTTTCACTATGATAAAAATTCTTCTGAAATTCACCAATCTCCATATCGCTTTGCAGGGTTTTTTGCAGAGTAAATTAGTCCGTGCGGCGTACTGCATGTTCCACACATTCGGATCACACACCTTCGGAGTATAACCTCTCTATCTCGTGAGTCAGAAGTTAAGAGAAATTGATATAAATAGGGATAAATTAGCCTTTGATTGCCAAGGCTGGACACTTAACACTAGACTGATTATATATAATACAGGCTTTTCAAAAAAAAGTTGAGTACTAGTATAGTGTATCATGACTGCAAACAACAGTTTTGTTCACGAGAACCTTATCTCAAAAAGAGCTTCTAAGAGATCAAATGCAAGAACAAGTTCTGCTGCAACCGAAGATGCTCCTGCAGGCTTTGAACCTCATCCTAAGCCATTGGCATTACATAGAGGTATGCCCAATGCCGGATTTTTCCCAATTGACCTGATTGATGTAAACTTAGTTGAATATCCATTTCAAAAGAGCTTATCTATCCCAATCACAAATGCAAGTGTCGAATCATTTTTTCCTGATGAAAAGTCAGTATCACGTACTAATACTGTAACTATTAAAAAAGTGGATGATCCAGAATATGTTGATATCTCTACCGCATTGCAATATGGTTCGGTTGCAGGTATTCCTCAGTTGCTTCAATTTACACAAGAATTCATCAACCGAGTACACAAACCTGCATTTGAAGACTGGGACACTGTAATTACCAGTGGTGCTGGTGATGGTTTAATCAAAGCTGCAAATCTCTTACTCGATGCTGGTGATGTCATTTTAGTAGAGGAATTCACTTTCACGCCCTTCTTAGAGAACATTGAAGATGTTGGAGGTATCCCGGTACCAATTAAGTTGAACTTAGATAAAGACAGTGGCAAGGAATTAGGATTGGATGTAGAGTACTTGAGTGATTTATTGGCTAATTGGGAAACTGAAAAGCCAGGATTACCTTTCCCTAAGGCACTCTATGTGATTCCATCGGGGCAAAATCCTATAGGTACTACCCAATCTATTGAAACTCGTAAGAAGGTTTACAAGTTGGCAGAGAAGTATGATTTTGCCATCATTGAGGATGATGTGTATGGATATTTGACGTTAAGACCTTTTCAAAAGCCAGCCAGCATCTTTAAACTCAATGACTTTTTAGAGGTTGATGACTTTATTGCAAATCATATCACTCCCTCGTATCTTACAATAGACAAGAGTGGTAGAGTAATAAGAATCGAAACTTTTTCCAAGCTTTTCGCTCCAGGCTTAAGATTAGGCTTTATTGTTGCACACAAGAGAGTTACAACTGTTATCAAGAATTATGCTAGTGATGTAACTAGGTCAGCCTCAGGTACTTCGCAGTTGATTGTTCAAAATGTAATTGCAAAAAAATTTGGAGGTGTAGATGGATGGTTGCAATGGATCTTGAAATTAAGGATCACATATTCCCACAGGAAAGATTTACTCTTAAATCAAATCTTTGAATCGGCGGCGTACAAGAAGGGTTTTCTTGAAGTGATTGATCCAACTGCGGGTATGTTTGTTAGCGTGTTTATCAAACTAGCAAAGGGCGTCGATGCACAAGCTAAATTGAAGTTATTGAACTATAAGTTCAAAAATTTTGGAGTTGGTGTTATCCCTGGTATCACTAGAACTGTTGATAAGAAGTTTAGTGAAGACAGGTCCAATTTTTATAGGCTTACTTTTGCCCCTGCTGAAGATGACAATGAGATTACAGAAGCAGGACAGAGGTTCGTTGAAGCTGTCGAGGACTTTTTTGAAAAAGGTCTCGAATACTGAACATAAGATATTTAGAATTAAATATGAATGGAAGTTGAAATGAAGAGTACGAGCTAATTGATTTGTTACTTATGCTAGTGTAAGCCATAGAAGAAAGGGGTCATGATGCTCTAAGATATCTCTTTTGTCATTAATTTATGTTTTTCCTTATTTATTGCCTGTAATTTTAAAAAACTTCACCTTAGCTAATAGCTACTTTCATTTAATATTACCTCATGTAAGTACTTGTAACATCCAACTAGTGCCTTCCAATGGCAGAAGGCGGCTATGACTACCATAACATGAAATATTTGGTGTGAATGGAAGTATATATCGAATCTTCCGACTTTCAGTCTACCTTCACCATCCGAAAAGTCGAATCGTTCTGGAACTCTCATAGCATACAACACTGCACCTGTAATGTAAAAGCCTCCCTCTGCCACCAACCAGTGGGCATTGGATCTAGTGACCGCGACGTGATAACCATATTTGTTAATTGCAACAACCACCGGAAACAAGCCAGAAAGACCAAAAATGATAAACATTAGTGACCTTAAAGGTCTATATTCAGGAGTCGCAAATCTGGGATCTAACGTGAGTACTGTGCAAATTGTTCCTAATGTTAAAAATGTTGTTATAAATATCTGTTTCCAATAAAAGGAATCGTCATAAAATGCAAACAAAACTATCGAAATTAACGAACATGTTATCAAGATGATAATTCCAAAATAATCCAATTGATTACCAAATTTGCAAATCTTTTGAGAATGTGATTTAATGGTGTGAAAACTTGCCGACGCCCCGAAGCAAACAGTAACTGCAATTGCAAACTGGGCAAAGTTGAATTTCTCCCAGCCTATATAGGTAGGGTAGATCGGAAGATAATACTCTATGTAATATAGTACAGCAGCTAATACCAATGAACAAGGTAATAGATGCGTATATATATTTACTGTTTCATTATGTATATAAGTTAAGGATGCGAGACACTTCTTATATGAGTTTGTCTCTTTGACATATCCTGATAATATATAATGATTATCCTTTTGCCAATGATCTAACTCATGGTAAAATGAAAGCGTCGTAGTAGTCTTCTTAATGGTCTGATCTCCACCAACTAGATTAGACTCCTCACTTATGACTACTGGATCATCTTGGTGACTCATTCTATTCCTAATTGTTCCTGTCATTGGTTTCAGGCGAAATTGTTTATAGCGAGAATAGAAAGAGATACATCTATTGCTTTTAAACAAAATCGCAAAGGTAAGATTTCCATAACTGCCGCTTTGGGAAGTGCTGCAATTTTTTGAGAGCAGTCCGATCGTTTTGTTGGGACATGTGCAAACAATAAGAACGATTCGAAACTATACCATGTGTGGTGATTTAAAACCTGAAACAAGTTTAAGTTAGAACTTTTGTTCACTACAATTAGGAAACCACTGGGGGTTTTATTCTATTTCACTAATAAATTAACTCAAAAAAAAACTGTATCTACTTTTGAAATGAGGGTACTATTTGTTCACATATGTCCAGATATACTTCTAATTTCTTTGAAATGTCAATTCTGTCATGGGCCTTATAGAAACCATTACTCTTCGTAATTCTTTTGTTAAATATATCACCCGTATAAAAGATTTTCCATTGACTCTCGGGTGAACTAGTACACCCAACACATCTCTCAAAGTACCACTTATTCACAGGGTTGACCTTCCTGGACCTCCATATTAACTCTTGTGGACTGTTCTGAAGTACTTGCTTAAACACAACATCAGCCAAGCCAGGTAAGCCCTGGTTCCTCTTTGCAATTGCAAATTTATCCAAGTAAGCAATCTTCCCCTTTTTATTATTACCAGCAATTGCAGTAGTAACTTCTGGTGCAGATTCATGGCCTTTTGAATGCTCTTCCCAAGTAATGATAGCAGCCCCATCATAATCTCCAATAATAATTATGCTCTTAATGTTAGAATTTATTCTTTTGAAGTATTCGTCAGAGATCAATTGCTTCCCAAATGAATCATTTAACAATCCTACTAGTCTCTCTTGATCAATTACATTATCTCTAATTAAGTTATTCAATGTGAATCTATGAGGATACAGACTTTCGTCAATAATGTTCACATCCATACCCTTCTTCAAAATTGATGTTGATAACTGCGGAGTTAGCTGTCTGGACAGTGGTAACGAGGAAGAGATTACTGGCCTATCAGTGAGAACATTATAAATAATAGGATTCAATTGATCGTTGTTTATGGCCATAATATCTGGAGTCGTTATGATTCCTGTAGCATCATCATTTCCAGACTTAGCGAAGCATAATTGTAAAATCTTATTCATTGTCTTCAAATTCTTTAAATGCAAATCTCTCTTTGTCGGGTGAATGTGTCCAATGTACAATTCACTGACTATATCTGAGTATTCTTGCGATAAGTTTATGAATACATGACTAGAATGCTGTCTCTCGATGGATGGTATACCTCCTGTGGGATCAATCATAATAATTTTCTCAATCGATAATAGAGAATTTGTGTCTAATAACAGGGAGCACAAAGTATACAAGATTTCATCAGTATCAACTATATCTTGATATGTGGTAGAGGGGTTGTAAACTATAGGTTGAATAATTGGTATTATCCCCTGATACAAAGGGATCAAAATTTGCTCAATACTCATCATATCGAGACCGCCTTCTTTTGCTTTAGTGAAAAGCGATCTAGTTACACTAGCCTGCAATGTAGAGTCCAATGTATCGTCAGAAGGAGAAGACGATGAAGACGATGAAGAAGATGCGGCTCTACTTATATACTGCACCACCTTACTTGCCTGTTCTATAGTAAACAACTCTACATTTTTAAAGTTTTCTCTGGGCAAATGATCATAGTCCAATATTATAATCGGAGATATACCCAAATGGACTAGTCTTTTCAAAGTTTCAGCAATTCCTAACCAGTTAGGAACCAGAATGGTAGTGAACTTAATCTTCAATATAGCCAATCTCAAAGGTATCTTGTCCACTTTAGCTTCATCTTCATATATGCCAACAAAGGGATTCTGTTTATTTAAATATCTATTAATGAATAGCTCTCTTTGGGAGTCTCTTCGCTCCAATGAAGTACTCTGCTTTGGCTTGTTCCCGAAAGTAATGTCTGAAAAGTCAAATTGACTCTGATACTTCTCTAAGTAATTTCTAGCCTCTCTTTTGGTAGTTGTCGATTTTAGGATAGATAAGATCAAATTCCGCTTTGCGTCGGTAACAACTTCATGGGTCTTTAAATTCGATATAAATTGACGATTTAAATTACGCAATTTACTCATGTTAGCGAGGTCAATGCCTATTCCTTTAGAGATATTTCCGTTGGAAAGAAAAGCAAAGAATGTATACTCCAGATAAGATGTGATTCACCATGAGAAGTTGGGCACGACTTGATTGCGAGCGAAGTCTAATTTTTTCAAAATTAGCTCCACACATTTTCACCTGACAACTAAGGTAAGAAAATAGAGAGTGCCAGAAGAGCTCTATGGGATTCTTCTGTGTTGGGTCCTAATTAATCTTTTGGTTTGTTAATACGAACTAAATTTGACACTTGATAGTTTACTCTTACCATTATTTTCATTTTACAATCGCCTTTTCCTCTTATTTTCTATTAATCTATTTGTAGTACTAGTTGCACTTTTAATTTTACATATTCTTTACATTATCCTAATAGTCATCATCGTCGTCAGAAGCCTCGTCAGCTCCTTCCTCTCGCCGAGATTCTGCTGCTGTTGTCGTCACGCTCTCGTGTAGTTGACGTAGTTTATTCATCACAGATAATACAAATGGTCGCAATTCGTTTATTTCAAGTAAGGATAGTCCATCCAATTGAATGTTAGATTCGTTAAGCTCTCGAAGACCTTTCCTTGATTTCACAAGTCGCACTTCTCTGAGATCCTGAATAATCAGCTTCAATTGTGAGGTCAGGTCAGATAAGTCATCTGAAGCTCTTGCAAGTAAGATTTTAGACGTTTCTAGCCAATGCCATGGTAACGAGCTGAAACGATGCGGTTGAGCAAGTTCTTCATCATAGCGGCTTTTCAAGTACGCTACAGTTAGCCAATCTGGTGGCACTATATTACATTTGTCTTGTGATTTTAAAATAAGAGCGATCCATAAGGGTATATTGGCTCTTCTCATGGCTCTCAAAGCAGGTATCTTTGTCTTTACATTTACGTTAGTATAGAAAACTATAATGGTATTTTCTTAAGCATTCATTCCATACTTACTCCAATTAACTCTAGCTTAGGCATGGTATAACGAGGGAGAATGGTTATGAGTTCGTTCTCTGCGAGAAAGCTGGACTCTGTAGGCATTATGCCTTTCTGTAGGTGTGCTGGCAAAGCCATCGTTCAAAAAGCGGTTAACTACGATAAATGATCCTTTCCTAGCTAAGAATGCTTTATGAGCATTAGATTCACGCGTACTGGTTTTAAAATTTTGATCTGGATGATTTTTTTCCCTACCGCGACTTTAGTATATAGAAGCTGAGAGAGAAGTTGAGAGACTGAGAGAGTAGCTGAGAGAGTAGTGTTCTATATGGGGAAGCAAAAAATTTTATTACGTGATAAATCCATACATGAGACATCCCTCGTCATGAAATTTTCTCTATGATTTTATATATTACTATATCTTCATTTCTAACCTCTATATAATTCCTATAACCCAGTTAAAAGTTTCCCGAAAGATTTCTAGACGGATATGTTCCTCACCGTCTGCATTGCCCGTCTCTGACGTAGTTTGAGTCAATATGACTCCCATACAATCTATTATTTTTCCTAGCAAAAGATTGTCATTTTCTTTCAAAAGCATTTCTTCTTCATATGTGATGGCATTTGGATGAGATACCGATTGGTTCAAGGCCTGTGCTTGACGATACTCGTTGGCTCTTTGTAAAAAGAATGGAATAAGTACTATGTCCCTAAATGCTAGTAAAATAATACTCTCTATTTCAATGTTGGTTGGATTAAGAGTGGAAGAACTTAATATGCAATTCTGGAAAAACTTCTCCAAGGGATAAAATACAGTGATTATTTGGTATCTTATTTTTTCGTTGAAATACTGCCACATCATTACAATGAGTTCCCAATCTTTCGTCATTGATATCCTCACTGTATCAGGGATTGAACTTGACGATGTAGTTGAGCGAGGCAGCATTGTCAGCTTAAAATCCTCAGTAAATAATATCATGCATTGTGCGCAGAATGTAAGAATATCTTGATAGATTTCTCTGATGATGACATCGTCAATCTTACTTATGTCCAATTTGGTACCAGTCAGAGCTGAGCTGCTGTTATTCTCTCCACTACTTATGGTGCTCCTATTACCTCTCATTCTCCTCTTTGTGGGTCCAACCGGTGAGACACCACCACCTGCGTAACTATCCTGCGTTGAAGTAGAGTATGTACCATATGTGACCTGTTTCACATAATTATCTTGCACATAATTCGATACGTCTTCAAGGGTCATTCCAACGTATGCATGCCTACTTCCATTGCTCAACTTTCTCTCCTTCGACCTAAAAAAAATCGGCTTAACAACTTCTAAAAAATTATTAAAGAATTGATAGTTGTTTTTACTAAAATCTAGCAAGTACCTAGTATAGTAAGATTCAGAATCATCAGCTACGATGCCAAGTCCACCAAGTGAAGACTCCCCTCCAAGTCCTAATGAGATGTTTCCGTATGATTGGCTGAAACTATTCGCCTTATTCGTACTTAAGCTATTGCTGCGACTGTCCCGTATAGAAGAGCTTCCTCCAAAAGAGCCACCACTTACGATACCTCCGTTGCTCAAACTATTAACGCCCGCGCTATTACCAATGCCGTAGTACTCATTCCCCTTTCCAAGTCTTGATTGAAAATATTGATCTGCAGGGATCATTAGCTTCCTCTGGATATCCTTTATTGACAAGTTGTGATCATCCACAGAAGAAGATGGTTGGCCACTATTCTTTTCATCAAATATATCTACTGAGTAATCTGGATCAGTAAAGTTGTAAACCATCGCAAACGGTATATCAGAAATAGCAGAGTTCGAATTGTTCGAGGAAAGTCCAATTGCAGTCCTATTCGGATTATTGGTCCCCAGGTACCGATGTGTATGATGGTGATGAACATGAGGGTGTAAAGATTCCTCCATTTTTTGCATTTTGGATGGTGTGCTGCCTCCAAGTGTTCCTGATCCTGATCCGGAACCATTTCCATTGACATCATCATGCCTAAAAGTCAATGCCTGTGATTGTGAATTACTATGTGACCTATGAAACAAATTATGAAATGTAGAAACCGGTGAAGTTACAGTGTTTTTTCTACTGGAGCTCTTACTATCCTCTATCAGCAGTGACGTAAGGATCTTTTTCGGTACTTTTAGACTTTGGTGCCCAGTAGTTTGGACTGTTAAATCTGGTCGCTTTTTAGTATGCAATATGCCTCCACCACTACTATCATTGCCTCCTCCGGATACATTGTCAACGTTTTCAGCTCTATTCGACTTTGTCTTGCTTTTAGAAAACTTAAAAATTGTACTTGATCTCTTATTTTCTGTTGCAGGAATTGTTCCTGAATCTTCGAACTCTTCACTATTGTTACTGTTATAAAACTTTAATGCCTGGTTACTATCTGCACTGAGTTTATTGCTACTTCTTGTGAAAAGACGAGAGATACCTTTACTTGTGGTCGCTGCACTTAGTGTCGAAGCGTTCAGAATTTGTGAGTTCAGAGTGTTCCACTTCTTCAACGTATTAAATCCCACACTTGAAACTTGCTGATTCAACTGCAGCATCGGAAGAATGGAAGCAGACAGACCATTCCCATGGGTATATAGCAGGGAAGTGCCATCCATTTCGTTGAATTATGAAATGCAATAAACTTGAAATAGTGTAAGGAGTGGGGTTCCACCAATATGGCCAGATACAATTTTGGCTAGTACGTTTAACATTGCCATTGTGAAGGTCACGTTTGGAGTCACGTGCAATATTTTGTACTAGAAAGATGGAATGGAGGGAGCCTAATTCTAATGAGTTCTTAGTAAAGTATTTTGAATAGATACAGTAACACAAAAGTCTAATTCATTCAGGAGGAATGCATTGCTTCTTGTTCCCTTGCATCTTATTTGCTATGATGCACATGTTTACGCTTCAGTTTTATTTACCACTTAAAGTGCAATCTACTAAGAATCTGCAATTTCCATGAGCAGTCTTAAGTATTGGATGAACTATCTGCAGGAAAATATGTTGCACTTCCTAATGCGGACTAATTATCAACAAATACATACATACATGGCTTTCATTCTTTTTCTTCTTTCCATTTAGGATATAATGTGTTTATAGTTCATTTTATAAATAGTCATGTATATATATATTCTTCTTCCATATACTCTATTATTTTACATTTCTTTTAAAATAAATCTGTTTTAATATATTATTATTGAGAAGAATATAATATAGAGTACCATGTCAAATCCATTTGACGATCAGGGTTCTTTCGTATCGGTTCCTGGTGCCGCCTTCACTTCCGACAGATCCTCTCCTAGAAGGTTTCATCAAATTAATTTTGACGACCTGGAAGATGATGAAGGTTCATTTACAGGGTTTCCTCAATCAGGTTTAAACCAGAACAAAACAGCCGCTATTGCCAGAAACATCAACGACGGTAAGTCTCCCATTGCTAGTCCCCAAAGACAATCGCCAAGCATCTTCGCAAGAAGTAGGGCTCATGCTAGTACAAACAATATAGGAAGAGGCTTGGAATCAACTCCAAATCTTCAATTCCCTGCTGGAAATAACTCTATCCCAACTAGCCCAACTCTTGGTACACCAAGATCTCAATTTACATCAAAAGAATCTCCAAAACGTGAAAGACATCATGCGCAGCTCGTTATGTCTGATGACTCGGATGAAGAGGATACCCGTAACGCTGTTGTTATTGGTGATGACGAAGAGGAAGAAGAAACTAATAGAATGTTAGGAGAAAGAGGATCTCCTCGCAGATCACAATTTGGAAGATCCTCTCATGGAAGCGAAAGATTCTTGGAACCTCCACAACCAATTTTTTCACCAGAAACATTTGCAGAAGCCAACAGTGACGCCGGAAGTCAAACCCATCGTCGTATATCAGATGACCAATCTACTCTCAACTACGATTATGATGATACCTACCAAAAGGCACATGAATTGGAAGAAAAATCACTTTACTCTGAGCACACTGCCTACACAGGAGGTGAGTCCAGTCGAGCAGGAACCGAAAGTGACTATTTTGGAGCTTCCATAGATGGTAATATAATGCAAAACATAAACAATGGCTATGTTCCAGCAGAGAGGAAACCCTTTCAAGATTCGGCACCAAAGAGGAAGGTACGACTCGTTGGAAGTAGTAAAGGTAACTTAGTCTTAGAAAATCCAATTCCTGAAGAGTTGAGAAAAGTTTTAACAAGAACAGAATCACCTTTTGGAGAGTTTACCAATATGACTTATACAGCTTGCACATCTCATCCTGATGACTTCACTAAAAACGGATACACTTTAAGAGCAAACAAATATGGTAGAGAAACCGAAGTTGTGATTTGTATTACCATGTATAATGAAGATGAGTATGCATTTGCAAGAACAATGCATGGAGTTATGAAAAATATTGCTCATTTATGTTCAAGAAATAAATCCTCAGTTTGGGGAAAAGATGGCTGGAAAAAGATTCAAGTCATTATTGTATCTGATGGACGTAACAAGGTAAATGATTCTGTGTTGAAGTTACTTACTGCTACTGGTTGCTACCAAGACAACTTAGCTAGACCATATGTTAACAACAAGAGAGTGACTTCTCATTTGTTTGAATACACCACCCAAATCTCTATCGATGAAAATTTGAAATTTAAAGGTGATGAAAAATCATTAGCACCAGTGCAGGTTTTATTTTGCTTAAAGGAAAAGAATCAGAAGAAGATCAATTCTCATCGTTGGTTGTTTAATGGTTTCTGCCCAGCTTTGGACCCGAACGTCGTCATTTTATTAGATGTAGGTACTAAGCCTGATAATCATGCCATCTATAACTTATGGAAGGCATTTGATTCTGATTCCAATGTAGCAGGTGCTGCAGGTGAAATCAAGGCTATGAAGGGTAAAGCTTGGACTAACTTGTTGAATCCACTTGTCGCTTCCCAAAACTTTGAATATAAAATGTCGAATGTTTTGGATAAACCATTGGAATCGCTTTTCGGTTACATCTCAGTCTTACCGGGAGCACTTTCTGCTTATAGATATATTGCGCTTAAGAATCATGAAGATGGAACAGGACCCTTAGCTGCTTATTTCAAGGGAGAAGACTTACTTTGTCAAGATTCAGATGATGTGAAGAAGAAATCCAACTCCAAGACCAATTTCTTTGAAGCAAATATGTATTTGGCAGAAGATAGAGTATTGTGTTGGGAGTTAGTAGCCAAGAGGAATGAAAATTGGGTTTTGAAGTTTGTCAGACAAGCAACAGGTGAAACCGATGTTCCTGACTCCATTCCAGAATTTCTATCCCAAAGAAGAAGATGGATTAATGGTGCCTTTTTTGCTGCTTTATATTCTTTAAGGAACGGTAGACAGATCTGGAGCACTGACCATTCATATTTGAGAAAGATTTTTCTACAAATTGAGTTTGGCTATCAATTCGTCTCCTTGTTGTTTTCATTCTTTTCTTTAAGTAATTTCTACTTAACGTTCTACTTTTTAACTGGATCTTTGATTAATAATAAAGCTTTAGGCAGGGGAGGTTTCTGGATCTTTACAATCTTCAATTATATCTGTGTCTGCACATTAGCTTCGCTTTTTATTGTTTCAATCGGTAATAGACCCCAAGCTTCGAGGAATGTATTTAAAGCATTGATTTTGTCACTTACAATATGTGCGCTTTATGCATTAATTGTTGGATTTTATTTTGTTATTGACACACTTACATCTTTAAGTGGTGAAACGGTTGGAGGCGAGTACGTTTTTGTCAGTATTGTTGTCTCTTTACTTTCAACATACGGATTGTACACCTTGATGTCATTTTTGTATATGGACCCATGGCACATGTTTACATGTTCACTTCAGTACTTCTTAATGATTCCATCATACACCTGTACATTACAAATCTTTGCTTTTTGTAACACACATGATGTTTCCTGGGGTACTAAAGGTGACAATAACCCACAAGAAGATAAAAGTAATAGATACGTTATTGAGCAAAGTGCCAATGGTGAATTTGAAGCTTTGGTCACTGATATCAATGTTGATGAACTCTATTTGGAAACATTATACAGTATAAGAGCAAAGAGATCCGGAAGAAAGATTGCTCAGCCAAAAGCGCCTAGACCAGAAATGGAAGGTGAAGATTACGCAAAAGATGTCCGTACTAAGGTAGTTTTGACCTGGATGTTATCAAACTTGGTATTTGTATTGACAATGATGCAAGTTTATACTGCTGGCCAAACTAAAACAAACAAATACTTGGCATTCATCTTATGGTCCGTGGCAATTCTTGCTCTTTTCAGAGGTGTAGGATCTATCGGGTACCTCCTACAAGAAGTTACTCGATTCGCCATCATTACCAAGAGTAAATGGAGTCATAAAAGACAAGGGTATGCAGTTACTAATAATGCTAGTTCATTGAACTAAGTACAGAATAGAATTGAAATACACCAAAAAAAGATAGTTAACTTAATATTAGAACAATAGTAATTAGTTTATGATTCCAATATAATTATACCCAATATAATCATTATCTGCGTAGATTTATGCATATTGAACAAATTTGCGTAAGAGTAAAGAAGAGGTTCATGAAAGTTTATTCCCTATACTAAATATTAGTATAGTCTTAGTTAAGAAGTGGCCGATAACCACATATGGTAAGCTGATACTGATAACTTCTGTGGACTGAATGTCATTGTCGAATTCTTCTACTGCTTGCTTTCACTAATCTTCACTTGTAATAACATCCCAACACCCACATTGAGTTTTTCTGAAATTTGCTACATCGTTTCGAGAAAATTTCCAGTACACAACTGAGTGCTACTTAATACATTCGCCATAGCAAAAGGCTCTTCCATTCCTCTAAAGAATATCGTTTCACAGAAGAACTTATAAATATGGTTGCGTTAAAAAGAAAACAAGAAAATGGGTTCAGTAATGGTCACAGTAATGGAAATGGCAAAGCTGTCAATGGTGATTCGAAGAGAGCAAAGAAGGTTGTGAGTGCATCATCATCTTTCATTCTTCACTCATATTCAAAATTACCAGATATCAACAGCATTCCTAAGACAAAGACTACTCCTTTAGATATATTCGTTTGGGGTACCGGCTCAATGTGTGAACTTGGTCTCGGTCCAGATGCTAAAACTAAAGAAGTCAAGAGGCCAAGACTCAACCCATATTTGACTAAGGAAGCTCTCGGAGGTGCCAGTATTGTTGATTTTGCTGTTGGTGGAATGCACACTTTACTTTTAGATTCTGATAACAGACTTTGGTCATGGGGTACTAACGATAGTGGGGTTCTTGGTAGAGATACTTCCAAGGTGGCAGAAAAATTAAAGAATGCAGATGACGACTCATCCGATGATGAAGATGGTGATTTGAATGAAGCAGAATCAACTCCTGGGTTAGTTGAGAATCTCCCAAAGACAGATAATAAGATTGTTCAATTGGCTGCAACAGACAATTTAAGTGCTGTATTGTACGATAATGGTGATGTCTATGCCTGGGGTTGTTTCCGTTGTAATGAAGGATTACTTGGATTCTTGAAAGATGAAATTAAATTGCAACTGACTCCTTTAAAGATTGATCAACTCAAAAACATTACACAATTAGCCGGAGGTAAAGATCATTTATTAGCATTGGATATAAAAGGGATTGTTTATGCTTGGGGTAACGGACAACAATTCCAACTTGGTCGTCGTATTATGGAAAGACACCGCTACAGATCATTAGAACCTCAACAATTTGGGTTGTACAACATTAAGTATATTGCCACTGGTGATTTCCACTGTTTTGCAATAGATAACGAAGGAAAAGTCTATGCTTGGGGTTTAAATCAATTCGGGCAATGTGCATTTACTGATTCCGAAGGTAATTTAGAAGATGGATCATTAATAACCAAACCAACAATTATTGAAAGTCTTTCTAATAAAAAGATTGTATCTATCGAAGCTGGTGAGCATCATACTTTAGCTTTAACCGAGTCTGGTGATGTGTACGCTTGGGGAAGATATGATATGAAAGAAGTTGGTATTGCCAAGGAAGATCTTCCTGAATCAACTTTCAAAGATGCTCATGGAAATGCCAGATCGATTCCAGTTCCAACTAAATTACACTTTGGTAAAAAGAGCAGCACTGAAGTCGAATGTAAGGCAATCGGATGTGGATCGCACCATTCATTTGCTGTAACTAAGGATGGCTTCATTTATGCTTGGGGTTTTGGTGACACATACGCTCCTGGATTAGGTCCATTAGAAGAAGATGTTGAGAAGCCAACTCGTATTGTCAATACGGCTACAAAATATTATGATATTCAACTCATCGGAGCAGGAGGACAATTCTCAGTTGCTGGTGGTTCTAAAATTGAAGATGAAGATGCAGCTGAAGATAGAATCGACAAATATGAAGAGATTGATGGCTAGGTTGCATTAGAAAATTAAAGAAAAACTTCAAGGAATAGATTCCACTTTTCTTTGTACTAAGTACTTGAATAAAAATAAACAATTGAATCAAAATCATATTATGAGCGTATGTAGCCTTCTATCTAGGCTGTCAACCTGAAGTAGCTACTCTGGATCAATTTTCATGTCTAGTTAATTTCAGAATAAAACATGACTAAGTTTAGCAACTCTCAAACACTTTTCATCAGAAATACGACTTCGTGGCCAAGTTGGCTAAGGCGTGAGACTGTTAATCTCAAGATCGTGAGTTCGACCCTCACCGAGGTCGTCCTTTTCTTTTTTTATGCTACCACACGGAAGTAAATTTGAACTCAAATAACCTTCAATGAAAGACCTTGATTTACTTGAAATAATATTGCCTTTTCATGCTACCGGGTCGCTGTTGATTAATGCACTCTCAAATCTAATAGACTCAGTGATATACTCCAGCTAACCTTTCCATTCTCATTTACACCTGTTAGTTTTGTGTAACTTAATGGCAGTTACGCAACCAGAAAAAAGTAAAAAAAGAATAAATCAACTTAACTCGTACTTCCATCTTTCACTTAAGTATTGCTACTATATCTTTGTAGGAGCTCAATCCAATAAACATTTAGGCATATCTGTTTGAGTTTCTCACTAGTTGGACGGTGCAAGATTATAAAGCTATACCTTAATATTCATCAGCTTCATTTACATTCATTCTAAATTACTGAATCAGGTATTACCTCCATGTATAGCGCGGTTGCCCAGCACGGTAGCGTGAATGCTGCCAATAATAGTAATAACAACAACAGCAATAATAATAATAACAACTCTGGATCTGTTTCAGGTGATGCAGCTACACCTAACTTGAATGTTGCCGCTATTGGTGGCACAGGATCAAGTAATCCACCTCCAGGTGTGGTGCCCTCTAAGAATAAGGCTCTAAATGATGAACAGATTTATCAATGGACTTCAGAACTTGTGAATGGTGTTAACCGCGAACGTGCATTACTAGAATTGGGTAAGAAGAGAGAGCAATACGATGACTTGGCCTTGGTGTTGTGGAATTCTTTCGGTGTAATGACTGTATTATTAGAGGAAATTATATCTGTATACCCATTTTTACATCCTCAAGTATTGACAGCTTCAGTTTCAAACCGTGTTTGCAATGCTCTTGCTTTGTTGCAATGTGTGGCTTCCAACCCTCAGACAAGAGGTTTGTTCCTTAGTGCCAACTTACCTTTATATCTTTATCCATTCTTGTCGACCAATTCAAGACAAAGATCGTTTGAATATCTTCGTTTGACAAGTTTGGGTGTCATTGGGGCGCTAGTTAAAAATGATACACCAGAAGTTATTAATTTCTTACTTGCTACAGAAATTGTGCCATTGTGTCTTAATATCATGGAAATCTCATCAGAGCTTTCTAAGACAGTGGCAATTTTCATCCTTCAGAAAATTCTCTTAGACGATCAAGGGTTATCATATGTTTGCACAACTTATGAAAGATTTCACACAGTATCCTCCGTACTAGCAAAAATGATCGAACAATTAAGTGCATCTACAGCAAATTCTCACCAGCAGCAGCAGAATCAACTGAATGGACAACTGCAGGCTGGACAGCAAGGGAACGGTCAACAACAAGGTGGGCAACAACAATCCCAACCTTCAAATAGCTCTGGGCGTCTATTGAAGCATGTAGTACGTTGTTACATGAGATTGTCTGATAACTTGGAAGCTAGAAAGGCGTTGGCTAATATTTTACCAGAGCCTCTTAGGGATGGAACGTTTTCACTAATTTTACAGGATGATGTTGCTACAAAGAGGTGTTTGGCCCAATTATTATCGAACATTAGCGAACAGTAGAAAGTTATAGAAAATAGATTTGTGAAGTTAATGTTTTTAAAATTAAAGAAAGGAATGGTTGTTGAAAGAACATCAAAGCGAGAACCAAAGAGAAGTAAAAAAATAAAAGGCAAGAGAAGTAAGAAGATATAAACTAAAAATGGATACTTAACGAGAAAACGATAACCTTCCTCAATTTGACTAAATATGACTGAGCTCATATATAATTAATGTACAATAGATAGAATAAAACAGTACTAAAAATGTAGACCAATTATTTTTTGATTCCCATCCATACACCTACGTCCGATAAGCTGCTGAAAAAGTTTGGACCTAAAGCCCTCTTTAAAACTGTGAAAAAAAGTTCACTTGCGTGATAGCGGGTATCCAGAAATGGTTGAGCGATGCGAGAAAATAAATATTACTAGCAAGCTCAAAGAAGGTGTGTCACACTAGGAACTTTTGTTCTTTATCTTTTCTTCTCTTCACCTTTGTACATGAATAATTAGTTTAGCCGTTTTTCAGATAAGATTTTTTTTTTTACACTCTTTATTGTTGTATAAGTGTTGTGTTACCGTTAGTTTCTTAATTCAAACTTTCATAATGCCAGACCACTCTTTTCGTGAGTCTAATGTTAAGAGAAGAGCCTCGATTGTTTATGGGTCAGTTGGGAAGGGAGGACTCTTCTTACCTTCAGATTTCATAAAGAAGGCTCCTGCTATTGAAGGTGATGACGAAGGTGTTGAAGAGGACGAAGAATCAGCTCCTACTGAATATGATCCGTTACTTCTGACTGCCCCACCAGGTACTCAATTTGGTTCAACCAAGATGCGTCGTCATTCCTCGGTCCACCAGGAGATTTTAGAGCAAGAGAGAGATCTCTTGGAAGATAATAAAATTAGCATTTCACACAATCCTGGAAGAGACGAGGAGGAGGATCTCACTGAAACTTTCGAAGAAGCTGTAAAGTCCAATAAGTTAGTAACTAGCAATTCTATTGAATTGAAGACATTGATCAAATCTTCCATCCCATTGGTTATTACTTTCCTTTTGCAAAATTCATTGTCTACAGTTTCCGTGTTTACTGTTGGTCATTTAGGAGCAACGGAATTGGCTGCCGTTTCTATGGGTGCCATGACTGCTAACATTACTGGCTATGCAACAATTCAAGGAATTGCAACAGCATTGGACACATTGTGTCCACAAGCTTTTGGAGCTAAGAAATACCATTTGGTTGGAATTTATTTACAAAAATGTGTTGCATTGATCTTAACAATTATGTTTCCCATATTGATAATTTGGATCTTTTTCGGTTATAGATTGATTGTCTTACTTATTCCTGATAAGGAAACTGCTAAATTGGCTGCGGTTTACTTACAATATATTGCTCCAGGTATCCCCGCATATATTTTATTTGAATGTGGTAAAAGGTTCTTACAAGCCCAGGGTGTCTACCATATTTCGACTTATGTATTGCTCTTTGCTGCTCCCTCAAACGCTATTATGAACGTGGTCTTGGTTAAGCATTTGGGTTACTTGGGTGCACCAGTAGCCGTAGCAATTAACTATTGGTTGATGACTATAGGTTTATTCTTGAGCACAGTGTATGGTATTAAAGCTGAAGATACTCCAAGTGGATTTCATCCTTTAAAGTGTTGGGCTGGATTAAATATCAAGCAAGCTTTCTCAGCATGGAAAAATTTGATTCTTTTGGCTGTTCCAGGTTTAATCATGTTGGAAGCAGAATTCCTAGCTTTTGAAATATTAACATTATTTGCATCTTACTTGGGAACCATTTCGTTAGCAGCTCAATCTATTGGAACTACAATGGCATCTTTGACTTATCAAGTTCCATTTGCTATTGGAATTGCTTCTTCTACCCGTATTGCTAACTTCTTGGGTGCTGGCATGGCTGCTTCAGCAAAGAAGTCAACTCAAGTTGCATTAAGTTTTGGATTGGTTATATCTGTTCTTAACTTTTTAGCATTATTTGTGTTCCAAACTGAAATTGCTCAATTATTTACAAATGACGAGAGAGTTATTAAGAAGGTAGAAAGCGTAATGTGGCTTATTGCTTTGATGCAAATCTCAGATGCTGTCAATGCAAACTCTGCTGGATGTTTAAGAGGTCAGGGTCAAACTAAAATAGGAGGAATTGTGAATTTATTTTCATACTATGTTGTTGGATTACCATTATCTATATACTTATCATTTTATAATGAAACTTTCAAGGGAAGTTTGCATGGTTTGTGGATAGGTAGTACGGTTGCTTTAACTATTATCGGAGCTGTTCAAAGTTATTATTCATTGTTTGCAGATTTTGATAAATTATGTGAAGAAGCTCGCCAAAGAACATCAGAGGGGGAAGCTATTGGAGCAGCCCATTAGGCAAATGGTTTTCACAACCTTATCTACAATAAAAATTATTTATTTCTTCATTGAGTACATAACTTTTTATTCAATTTACTCTAATTATAAATATACACCATTATTAAAATCAGAAAGCGTCTATCATTACAGCTTCCTTTACTGGAGCTTGACTTGTAACCCTTGCATTTCCTGCAAGTAATTCTCTTCTAATTTCAGGTCCAATACCAGAATGGAATCTTTGTCTTACAGTTTCCAACAAGAAATCTCTCTGGTCATCTGTTATGTCATTCTTATAACGTTGTGCAAATGCTAAGAATGCTTTGTGCCAAACCACTGGTAATGCAGGTAATTTTTCTTCAGAATCAGCCATAAGGGATTCCTGTTCAACTTTTCTAAATCTCATGAAGTAAAAAACTAATTCATCTAAAGTTTGGTATGGTAATGCATATTTCTTTTCAATTAAAACCCTTATGAATACTGTAGTGGCAGGTTTGAAGTCTCTTTGAAGTAATTGTGTTAAAGCAACTGATGAGTGCAATACTGGAACTGAAGCCTTTGCTAAAACAGAAGCGGCTATAGTGGCTTCTCTGACGGAACAATATCCATCAACTAAGGGAAGTAAAAATCCTTTGAAAAATGCTGCAGGTTTATATAAAGATTTCTTTAATGATCTATAAAGATGATAATTCAAAGAGTGATCTTCGGTTTCTTCGATGCAAGTTCTGAACCTCTCAAGTAACACTTGTTCTACGAACTTTTGTGCTTCAGGCGCTTGCAAGTTGGAAACGAATAATTTGGTGGCTTCGTAAACAGCATGTGGAGTCCAACCTTCTGGATTTGTGACATAAAGAACGTCTTCCCAATTTCTCAATGTAGGCAAAACTTTAAACAACTTTGGCAATTTACCATGTGTATATGTCGACAAGATTTGTCCAATCTTCTCGTAAGCGGCAATCACCTTTGGAGGAAGCAACACAGCATCTACAGGCTTTTGCTTCAACACTGAAGATGAGGCAGGAGAAGCCTTACTTTCTTCCTTTTCTTGAATCTTAGCCATAATCTTGTCTGCCAAATTAAAGGAGCCCCCATTTGATCCTGTAGATTGCAAATACTTCTCAAACATTTCTGCGTCCCTCTCATCAACTTCATATTCTTCATCTCCTTCCTCTTCGTATTCTTCATCCACTTCAAATTCAGAATACTCTTCTTCGTCTTCAGAATCGAAGTCCTTATCTTTGTAAGATGAGGTCGTGAAAACGGGTTTGTCCTCAATCTTGGCTGAGTCTTCTTCTTCGTCAATTTCCTGTTGCTGTTCTTTGGCAAGTTGTAAAATTTTTCTCGATGTAGAAGCATCTAAGAAGCCCTCTTCTTCTTGCTTCTTGTTCTTTTGTTGAAAGTTTGCATGTTTTGGAGCAGAACGAAGATTACCACCTTGTTCTGAAATATCCTTATATAAAGGGTTGTGGCGTTGTTTTCCCTTAGTATCACTTACAGAAATTTTACCCATAGTTGCTCCAAGTCGTTTCTATTCTATCGATAGAAGAGTTGCCATATAGGTTTAACTATTGAGTGAGATGAGACATCTGAATCAAAAAAAAAAAAAAAAAAAGAAAAAGTAAAAATAATGTATATGCAGGTGCATATGTTGAGATGGCTGCAAAACGATCTCACTATGTTTAGCTTTAAATTCATTTCTCATATAATAAATATCTACACATACACATACACATATAAAAAGAATACATATTGCTTTCATAATAAACCCATTTTTGTTCAAATCTATTCCATTTTCTTTAAGAACGTTATGGTTAACTTTTCTATGACGCCATTCGATCAAGTTATCTCTTGATAGTCAATTCTAACGAAGAGCTGCGAATAGATTAGTTCTTCACCCGAGATATCATTTATAGGAAGATACCTGTACCCCCTTTTAAGGTCATTAAGTTTCATCACAACTATTCCAATTGTGTTGATCTCATTTTCGGTTTCTGAATTTATCAAAAATCTAATAAAGACAAAATCATTGGATGCTTTAATTATTCCACTGAATTTCTGGTTCCATGTTGGATTGAATCCATTCTCTGGTACAGTAGTAGTCCTACCGATTGTACCCACTATTTGAGGGCTGCTCCAAGTGATGTCTGTCGCTCCAATAATCTCAAAATTTATAAATGGATTCATCACAGTATCCCTCGGTTTCGGTAATTGATGAGCACTTACGACTTCAATGCAAAACAGAATCTTCCGATCCGAAGAAGCTATCTCTCGCATTGACTTTAAAAGAGGCTTTCTGAGTTCAATCGGCTTGATCACATAACCAGATTTGTTTACTCCTTCGAAAAGTGCCTCGTTAAGCTGCTGGCCTAAATCATATGTTTGCCAATTCGTTGCAACCATTTGTACCCCATGAGTCCAATAGGGTATTGGACTGAAGTTTGTCGACGTCAATCTAATTTTGGAAGGGTACATCCTCATTAGATACCGTCTATTATGTTTATCAACTTGCACCCTCCTAACGTCATCCTTTAGCATAGAATTCAAAACTTTTTCACTAATCGAAAAACAATGATTAAACGTCTTAGATTCAGGAAGAGAAAAGTTGATGAATTTCCTCCCCTGAATGTACACTCCCAAGTCACTTAATTCTTCGCATATCTTATGTTTAACTTTGGATTTACTTCTCCTAAGACTGAAAGATCCACTTCTCTTACGAGCTGGCAGAGATTCCTTGGAGTTGTCTTCACTAAAGGATGTAGTAGTAGAAGTAGTAGAAGAATAGTATTTACCACTTTCTGATACTGACAACTTCGAAGAATCACTTGTCCTTTTCACCTTGATAAGAATTTTATGCTTTAGGTCTTTAGGCGAAGGCAAGCCGAACCAATTTGCGATAGGGACTAGTACTAGCATATCACCCAATATCTCCTTTAAAATTAAGATCATTTTCAACTGGTTTGCTGTATTACAGTGTACTTCAAGACTGAGAATAACTGGATAAGGCGAGGTCATAAATGCATACTTCTTAATCGTTTTAACGACGTTCAGCAATGAAATACTAGTAGTAAAGGTTCTTCCATGACTAACCACAGGTTCACTTTCACCACCTACCTTATTGTTATCGTCATATTCCAGTTTGTTCGCATCAACTATTTCTTCTAGCTCATCCTGAGAGTCACCATCCCATACATCAATTTCCACGCATCGGCATCCTCTTTGTAATGCTCGTATGTAGCCCTCAATTGAACTATCTCCGGCAATCTGTCTTCCTAGTAGATATGTGTTGTGCGAGGAACAAATGAAATATTCATTTAATGGTTTGTCGAAATATAAATCATTTCTCTCGTGATTTTTGGTGGCATGCTCACCAACAAAATTAATAGGATTATTGTACTTTGAAGTTAAATAGTTGTTGAAATTTTCAGAAGAAATATACCCTTCTTTCCCACTATAAGTATTAAACAATCTCATAATTTGATCATCTTGATAACTTTCGTATTGCACGGTTTTTATGAATCTTCTAAATCCAGAATAATTCATCTTAGTATCATCTGGATCTCGTGAGTTTAAGTTCTTAAATATTTCAAGGATGTCCTCTCTATGTTTTAAGATTGAAACAAACGTTTTGAATTGTTCAAAATCTACAGACAAATCGTCAGGTGAAACTTGATCAAATACTTTACGCAAGTAGGATGAACTTACACTGATATTAAGTCTCTTTGAATACTTCAAAATATCATAGAATGATAAAAATTCCTTAATTTGTTTCCCACCTTCAAGAATCATACTTCTCCTGACTTCATCTAGCCCATCCAAATCAATTAAGAAATTTCGAGCTAAGTCGTCTCTCAATTTCTTAAGATCCAACAATACTGATATCAATCGCCTGAAATCATGTTCAGAATCTGCAATGACATGTAATGTTTTCAATTTCTTCTTCTTTTCGTTATAATAAAATAGCGTTAACCAGGTATTTTCATATTCTTTAGAAATATGAAGTTCCTCTCTATAGTTACTAGCATCTTCTTGGAATAGTACATTTTTGATATCATCAATTGATATCTCTCTGTGATATTTGCTTCCATTAATCTTGGTAGACTCTTTTTTCGATGTTGGAGTAAGTAGCTTATACAATTGGGTTGGAGTTGAAGGGGACACTTTAGTTGCATTCGGAGCAACATTCCAGGAAAGAATGAAATTATCTGGATCTATTTTGAAGACAATTCTCTTTTTCGATTTGTGGGAGACTTTTAAGAGGGGCATCCCATCCTTGAGAAATACCGGCGGTATGATTACTCGCCCATCGCTGTCAGAAGTTTTCTTATGTTTACCCAATTTATGTTCATTTGCAAGCTTATTAGAAAGTGGATGGTCGATTCCATTCTTAGCTAGTTCTTCCACTTTGTCGTCAGCCTTACCAATGGAAAGAAATCTCTTTACTAAGGACCTTCCCGAACCGTCAGAGCTTGCCTCATTTGCGCGTAAATTATTAAATAATGAAGGTAAATCTGATTGCACAGGGGAGGAGTTAGACCTCCTAATTGCATCTGGATTGGGTGATAAATCTGAGGGACTGGCACAGCTGATTTCAAGATCAGTTGTAGTTCTCAGATGAAGAACTCCTTCGTGAGTGGAAATCTTATCTTTCATATCATGCTATAAACCCTTAGAGACAAATATGAAGCTTCCTTCTATTTCATAATTTTGTTCGTGCCATAAAATAATGCACAATCCATCTCTGACACATTGAGGCTGAAATTTCAAAAAGTAAAAATAGAAAGGTAGGTTTACACAGCCGTTGAAAATCAATAGAAGTAGATCTCTAGCTCAGCCATTTACAGATTATTCTTAATGCAGAATCTTTCGGATCGCTTCAATTTAAGCTTACTATTTATAAATACTTATCTATGTGCATCTATTTGTGAAAATACTTCTAAAGGTCTACTGATTCTTCTAATCTAACGTCCATTTTACCCGAAGTCTGCAAGTACTTTTTAACATCGTTGACAGTGTACTCATTACGATGGAAAAGACCTGCACCCAAGGCAGCATCCATGCCACATTCCAATTCGAATACTTCTTGGAAATGAGCTGGGATTCCAGCTCCTGAGCTGGCAATTACTGGAATTGAAACGCTATTTTTCACTTGTCTTAATAACTCTAAGTTGTAGCCCTTATTAGATCCGTCGTGATCTATTGAATTAAGCAATATTTCACCAGCTCCTAAATTTTCACAAGCTATACAAAGCTCTAATGCACCAAGATCGTGGACCTTTCTTCCACCTTGTGACGTAACTTGGTAGTAACAATATTGCTCTCCGTTTGGACCGTACTTTGTAGGGTCCTCTATCTTAATACACTTCATCTTAGTATCGACATTTGGATCTTGAATGTATTTTCTCTTGGGATCAACAGAAATAACAACTGCTTGGACACCAAAAGTGGCAGATATAGTTTCAATTGAAGAAGTACCATCACCCTTCTCTCCATTAGCATAGTATTTTTCGGCAATATTTACAGCATCTGACCCTATACTAACTTTATCAGCTCCAGATCTAAAATATAAATCTGCCACTTTCACTGCTGGCACCTTTTGCTTACTAACTGGATCTTCCATGTCTTTAATACCGCCTCCAACTGTAAGGGGAACGAAAATGGTTTCTGCAGCCTTACTTAACACTTGCAACATTGGTAAATCCTTTAAAGGAGAGTTCCTAAATGATGTGATATTCAAGAACGTAACCTCATCTGCACCTTGACGATAATATCTTGTAGCTAATTCAACTGGTTTGCCTAAGTTTCTCACTTTATTTTCGCCGCTGTTATCATTGTCGGAAGGAGCTCTGACGTTATATTGATCCCCCTTCGTTACAACTAAATCTCCATCATCATTAGTTCTAACGTCCAAGCAAGCAATAATTCTTCTTGTCAATCCACCCAAAGTCTTTTTAATATCAAGTTCGTTATTGTTTTGCACTTCTACATCTGAAACCTCACCGTACTTTTGACCATCCAAAAAGCTCTTTAATACTTGTAAACCTGCAACACCAGATTTTTCAGGATGAAATTGGGTAGCAAAAAAGTTTCCGTACGAAACTGCAGCAAGAAACCTTTCAGATCCATAATCTGCAAATCCAAAATCCCAACCCTGCTTCGAGTACTGTTCTACTTTAGATTCAATCTCACTGTCTTTCAAAATTGCAGCATAGGAGTGAACAAAGTAATACTTGTTAAAGGTATTTATACCATAAAGTGCTTGGTTTTTGGACAAGCTCATAGGGCCCTTTTTAATTTCGTCAACATTATTCCACCCAATATGAGGAACCGACTTAATCATGTTGTTCTCTGCAAACAATGGGTCATTCTTGTTGAATTTAAAGAGACTAAGTCCAAGATATCCTAAACCTTGTACACCGCTGGAGCACTCTTCACTATCCTTGAATAAAGACTGCAAACCAACACAGATACCCATGAGCGCTCTACCACTAGCGATGTATTCTCTGATGGGGTCTACAAGATTCCTATCATGTAATTGTTTAACAAAATGAGCGTAATTACCCACACCAGGAAATATTAACTTTTCAATCAGTGAATCGTATCTGGAAAATTCTTCAGCATTGGTGATGTATTCAATTTCATATCCTCCAATATATTTAACGGCATTAGATAACGATTGCAAGTTACCACTCTTCACATCAATAATATAAACAGTCTTCATGCTGAAATTCTATGCTAGAAAGATATATGGAGTTAATTCTTAACTATTACTGTGCGATGGAAGATGTAATTTATATCAACGTCAAATCTCTTAAAATTCCCATACATGACTCAACGCTTGAAAAAAAAAAAAAAAGAGTCAGAAAATAGAAATACTTTAGCTTAGAACGTGCTTCGATGTTAGTTCAAGTGCAAAATCTACTGCCATGGATCTATGTACATCTGTTATCATTGCTATATTTATATATATAAGTAATGACTGAGCCGATTACTTCTTTTCAGCGACCAAAAGTAAATAGTAGTGTAAACCACCATCCTCCCTCTCACTTCCATCTGCTTGAGTTTCAACCTTGAACTCATCTAGGCGACCATGCATTTCGAATAATTTCAATTGGGTGAATCTCAACATATACATAATCACGTCACTACCAGTATTCAATAGCATAAACCCGTACCTAACGTTTCCTTCTCCAAAAATATTATTTAGTTCACGTAATGTCTCCGCAGTGAGATTTGGCATAACGTCAAAAAGAGTCTCATTCTCTAATGGTTGAAGGTGCACATTCTTTAGATTACGGTTCCCATCTGTATTAATAAACCGGTCTAAGGTGTCTGCTCCTAGCTGAACTAACGGGAATTCTAAACGCCCACCTTTTACAAGAATTCTAAAGAACTCTCTTAGAATTACCTTATAGTTCTTTTCTGTAAATTGCAATAATGTGTCCCTACATTGTATCAAATCAAATGTTTCGTCTGGGATAGTAGATAGAGACTTTGAATAGAATTGAAAATTTTTTGGCTTATGATTAAAATTGTCATCAATTTCCAATCCATCCACTCGAACTTGTCCAACCACTTTTTCTTGAAGTGCTACTAATTTTTCAGGTGTGAAAGACCTAAACTTTGAAAAGTCATTTTGAAAATCGATTTTTTTGAAATACTGTTCGTAAGGTTTTTCTTCCAGGTCATGGAATGAAGAATGATAATGTTTATGGAACTTTTCATGATGTCCATAATACTTGTCAATGTCACAAATTAATGTAGGATCTTCTGAGTAGCAATTCATTTCATACACATTAGCAAATGGAGTCAGAACAGCCATGTGCCAAGATAATATAGAACTATAATAGGTATTGTAATGTAGTACCTTTACCAGGCTAAACTTCCTCTCAGGAGTCAAAATCGGATCCTCCAAGCGTATCTTAGTCAGCCTTAACGCTTTGCAATGTTTGTTGAATAATTTTTCTAGGGTTCTTGGTTCTATTATGTGGTTCCCATCTATTTGACATAGAATTTGAATAAAATACTTCTCTAAATGAAAATATTCAAAAGAAAGTCTCCGAATGAACTGAAGAAAATTTTCTGTGCTGTTTATCATTAATGATGAACCTTCCTCCCCCAATTCTTCTTTTTTAAGCCTGTATAAATCCTCTTGAATCTTCAGAAATCTTTCCTTAAAATAATAGTGCCCTCTGATTTCTTCTGTCAATTGGTCTGACGGGACAGCAGAGATATCTGGCAACGCAAGTACATATCTTAAAAAATTTGTGAAATTGACTTGTACTAGCTCTTCGTGTGAAATGATAATATTATGAGGAGGAACTGTTGCCAGATACTTTCTTATCATTTTACGAAGATATATTCTTAATTGAAAAGCTTCATTGCTCAACAATGATTCATTTCTACTGATATTATCTTGCAAAGCAGCCTGTGAGCCAGGTTCAGCCGCAGAATCTATGGGGTGAATTCTTTTTATGAATCTCACAACAGAGTTATATCTTACGTTACTAAATATATTTGGATCGGTAACGTGAGTTCCACGAAAAGTACTCAAAAACTCACGATATCTCACTGCTTGAAAATATGGATTCAGCATTTTTGATAGTAATGATTTAGGTGTATTGACTACTTCTAAATCAATGATTGGAATAAATGGTCTTAATTTTGTCTCAAGAACAATTTTACTTCCTGAGCTTGCATGTTGATCAGGTATAACAGTATTAGAGGGGGTGGGCTCAGTGAAAGACGACTTGAAAATTGATTGTTGGGCGGACTTTGGTGATTCGACAACAGGCGGTGAAGCTGTGGAGGTCACCGAAGATCTTGTCGAATGTAGCGATTGGTTGCCAGGTTCTTGCTGTGGACCTAAGAATGAGGATGACATTTTTCTCGAAAACCTTGTACCAGACAAAGTTGACATTTCACTCACTGAATGCTGTCTCATATTTGAAATTTTTGAATGCATTGATGATAAGGACCCGCCACCGTGCTGCCTTTGAGATGAACCTTGTTGGAGCGAATTCGAATTTGGGTTGATCTTTGAAGAATTTGACGATAATGACGAAACTATGGATCCTTGCCTTGACTGTATAATGGGTGAAGATTCGTTAACAGGAGGAGTGGAGCTCCCAGTGGGGGAAGACACTGAAGAATTTTCTTCTGTATGTTTAAGACTCAGTAGCAGTCGTTTCAATTCCTCGGCATTTACAGCCAGTCCTTTACTTGCTACACTATCACTCTGGCTTGGGCGATGAACACTTCCTTCGCCACTAGCATTACTCTTACGGTTTCCTGAGCTTGAGCTACTCATACTTTGACGGTGACCCGAATTTGTAGAAGTTGCAGATGAGGAAGAATTTCCGGAGTTGGCTTCATCATGAGTTACAGAATTGGAAGATCTCTTCTTTTTTCTTCTCTTTTCTTTCTCCTTGTGTTCTTTTTCCTTTTTCAACTTTTGTTGTGTCTGAAAAGACATTGACGGGACAACGTAGAAGCTCATTTTGACAGATTCTAGCCGATATGGATCCTGTCCTAAATTAATATAAGAAGAAAAACTTACAAAGGAACTTAAGGAATCGCTTTATCTGTTGTAGTTTAAATTGGATAACGTGTTATCAATCAATACCTAAATACCGATGATCCCGTCAGTTGGATTCGGCCTTTGGCTCGTTTAAGTCACCGTGCTTTTACACCAAATCCCACGACAAATATGATTAGTTTTTAGCTGCTTTGCACTACTTTGGTCACGTGGTAAATTGAAAATCTCACACGGTAAGGCTGTCCTCAGAAAGAATATTCAGTAGCATTTTCGTAATGTGAGATCCAATTCATCAAAGACGCAGAAACCATCCACCATTTACGACTGAACAATTCTTGAACAATTTAACAATGACCTTCAGACCATGACGGAAAAAACTTCAACTATTGAATGCTACTTTCGCTCTGAAAACACAACCATTACACCTAATTCTTTGATAAGTTGTAGATCACTCATGTAATGAATGATATCTTTTGATGATGAAGCACAGATAAGCACATCCACATCAATTCACTATTTTGTTCTTTTTTATTATTTTTCATGTACGGTCACCTGGAAAGGTAGTTTTTCCGTGGGCGGTGGCTCGTGTGGCAGATGAGCTTATCTTCATTTAACTTATGTCATGTAACCGTTATATTCACTAATCTACTTCATTAGAGAACTTTATTAAACCATATTGGAATTAACCCAATCTTGATTAGAGGAGCCACTTGGTAGGGGACGAATCTTTCTTGATGATGCACGTAATAACCTTCGAAACCGCGATTGTCTTTTTTGCGTATTTAATCACTTCACTGCATTTCATTGCGCGTCTACATAATAAAATTATTTTTTCTGCGAAATAAAGAATTTTTATTGATAACCCGTAGAGCAATCAGCAATTCTATATATATTCAACAATCACTTATAAGACTAGCAATTGTAGTTTCCTTATATATATGACACATACAGGAAAAGAATTAACTCAGAGAATTGGCCACTAAGCAGTATAAGGTAACATGCTCCAATCTCAGTAACAAAAAATAAAAATTTAAATAAGAATTATACAATGAACTGTGTAACTTTTCTTGGGCCCCGATTCTATTTTAGGTTTTGCTTTTTTTTTTTTCCTTTTTTTTTATGGCTTCCTCCGTGTTGTCTTGGTGTCCATCAGTATACATTTGTTTTTGGGAATCCTATGCATTTCTTTTCTTCTTGTAAAGTTTTCTAATTACATTTAAGAACTCTATGATGTTTACCCCTAGATATCAGTTGAGACAAGTTTTGGTTGGGATAACAATAGCATTTCTTATCGTAGTAGCTTACTTCAGAAATGGGAGTTCAGCTTCTGGGGTATACTCATTATCTTCATCTACTTCAACAATTCCCAGAACATTCAATGGGAAGCTTAAATTATCACCATTACATTCCTTTTGGAATACAACTCTTGGGTTAATGTATGAGTATGAACCTAAATTCGATGTCACTAATCCAATCCATGTGGTTGACCACCTCGAATCTATGGGTGGAGTTAGGACCAAAGAAGCATTATTGGCAAGGTCTGTTATAAGCGAAAAAGTTATTGAAGAATTAAAGAAAAAACATGCTGGAATGCTTAAAAACTTACCTAAATCATTGCCATATGTAAATGGTAAGAATGGAATTGTTTTCATTGGAGGGGGCAAGTTTTCTTGGTTGACCTATGTTTCATTGATGGGCTTGAGAAATACTGGATCAAAACTTCCTGTGGAAGTTATTTTGCCTAGTTATGCAGATTATGAAGAAGAGGTAAACTTTTGTACAGAAATCTTACCTAGGTTGAATGCTGTCTGTGTAGTTATTCCAGAAGTAATGGGCCCTGGTGCATTATCCTTGCAATCTAAGAAGACTAAATTTCAAAATTACCAGTTCAAATCTTTGGCATTAATGGTCTCTTCGTTTCAAAACGTCTTACTCCTTGACCTGGACAATATCCCTTTGGCAAATCCTGATTCCCTTTTCGAAAGTTCGATGTTTGCACAGAATGGAATGGTTACTTGGCCAGATTTCTGGGAAAGGACTACATCCCCTGTCTTTTATGACGTTGCTGGAATTAATGTAGATGAACTGAAAAGAATTAGATCAGAAGCATATTCAGTTTTTCAGGATACAGCTTCAAAAGTCTCGAAAAATAGAGATGAAGGAGCAGATTTTGGTGATAATAAAGAAAAAGATATTCCGTATCACGATTTTAGTGGAACTATCCCCAACCCCTCGACTGAATCGGGACAGTTTTTAATTAACAAGAAGACTCATAGTGAAACATTATTACTTTCCATGTATTATAACTTGTACGGACCAAAATTGTATTATAAATTGCTTTCTTTAGGTGAACCAGGTGAAGGAGACAAAGATACATTCATTGCAGCCGCTCATGTGTTAAATCAAAAATATTACCAAGTGCACACGAAAGTACGCTCACTTGGATACTGGGATAAAGGAGATTTTAATGGTGTGGCAATGATGCACAGAGATCCAATCGCTGACTATAAAGATTTCCAAAAATTTATCAGACCCAACTTAAATAAATATAAGCCTATGGATGAACAAATTTCAATACTTAAAACCCTTGATGATAAATACTTCCTGGCAAACAACAAGTTGCCCTATTACTTTATGCATTGCAACTTTCCCAAGCTTGATCCATTAGTTCTCATGGGAATCGATAAATTGTATGATAAAGGTTCAAACAGATTGAACTACAGAATGTATAGTGAATTTGAGTACATATTCGGAACTGGTGAGCAAACAGAATATAGTGACTCTGGTGTCAAAATTGACTTTGAATTACAACAATGGCGCAACATTCGCTTTACTTTATGTGAAGAGAAACTCTATTTCCGTCATTTTAAAGATATATCATACGATAATCTCTGCGAATTTGCTAATAATCAAGTAAAATGGTTGAGCAGCACTTCCAAACAATGATTGTTTATATATTTAAACAGAATAGTGTATTTAGAGAAAAATAAGTAAATATGAGCCTCATTGCAGGCACGGCGCTACACTTAGCGAAAATAATAGTTCGCAAGAGGCTTTTGTGATAATAATATATGATTAATTTCTAAGCCAAGCAAAAAAATATAGATGTCCACCATAAGTATCGCCTTTGAACTTTAAATTTTGAATAATTTTTTTCAGCAAGCACTACGTTTGAATTAATCAACTCTATGCATTGTTGTTTTGACGAGAAAAAGAGTCTCTTAGTTGAGACGTATTGTATTGAGTATCTAATAACTTTTCTGAGCCGAAGTTGGCCTAATACAAGCCAAAGGGAACATGATGAATACTTAGATTAAAGTTTAATAGAAAATCAATGTACCTCGTATTTTCGCTTAGCAATGGTTTCCTTTTTTGGCGAGATCACTGACTGTTTTCTATTCAAGGGGCTATGTTGCATATTCATTTTCATCGCACTAGAAATCTTATACAGTATACTAAACATAATATATAATCTATATAGAGCTCCAAATATCTCGGAATTTTTTCTTTGCTTTGGTTTTCTATTTATTCAACAAAGCCATAGAATATTGACACTTCATCATAATGATTTTGCCTGAACACCTCGAAGAAAAAATATCAGACTTTTCTAAAAGATATATCTATTACGGTAATTACAATTCGTATTATTCACCTTGGAATTCTTACGGAAGATGGATATTAACTGGTGTAATTATTTTAGCCTTTATCATCGCTATGTTGATCTATTTCTTCATTCGTCGTAGAAGAATGCGCTCACATACTGTAGTTTCTCCTAATGCGAACTACTATCAACCTGACCCTAATTATGGTCAGCAACCAAATTATGCCCAACAACCAAATTACTATCCTGAAAATAATGGTTACTATGGGGGTGGTCAGAATACTGGGTACGGTGGCGAACAAAGAGATTTTGCTAATGAAGGTAAGACGGTCTCTGACGAATATGCTCCCCCTCCAACTGCTCCACCTGCTGCTACTTACCCATCTCGATAAGTGTACCCCACATTTCGTGAAATTTATTTGAAAATCTTTATTTTATTGTTTCTGGGAAATATTTATAAAGTTTAAAATCATGTATATGCTGCTTCCTCTAATGTTGACCATTCTTCCACTGATGATACCAAGACTATATAATGCACACAATTTTGAAAAAAAAACAACTTTAAAAAACGATGTAGAATTTACTAATATCTCGAATCCTAAGGATGATTCTTGAATCGTCTGATACAAAATATCCTTTGCGTTTCATGTAGTAGCTCTTTGTAAATTAGACCAGTGGCTGCAGTTAGGGCCATACCCTTGATCTATGAAAAACCTTTTATCAAGGAAATCTTGCTGAAGTGTATTAGTCTAGAGTAGACTTATGTGATTAGAAATATTTGGTCAATGTGATAAACTTAGGATTTCTTTTACAGACATTATACATTAAGTCTCAGTGTATTATTTGTTTCTCGCTCTTAGAGCATATATAGGGAACGCTATGTACTCTCCTTGGTGTCTATTTGAGTTTGATGCTTCTCAGTTTGTTCAACTCCATCAATTAATCCAGTATCATCATAAATAATATCAGCTTCATCAATGTTACATTTTGGCCCAGAGTAGAATGTTCTACCGTAAATAAAGTACCAGATACCAGCTAATAACATAGGGCCAAAATAACATAAGACAGTCCAGTTCATCTCATCAGGTGTTAAATCATCACCCTTAACATAGGGGAAACATAACACGGGAATCATAACAGCAACGAATGCACAAGATACGACTCCAATTGGAGTGGAGTACCTACCTAAACTCCATGGGCCCCTTTGGAAATCTCTAGCAACGGTAATCTTAAGTAATGTTGGCATAGTGAAGGAAACAAATCCAGCAATACCACCGACTGAGAAAATAGCTGCAATAGCGACGTCACCAGCAAACATAAGTAATAAGAAAAGTTGACCAAGGAACATATTAATCCAAACTGCATTTACAGGGGTTTGAGTAGTTTTGTTGACTTTCTTCCAAATGTTTGATAATGGGAAAATACCATCCCTTGAATAAGCGTAAGTGACACGGGAAGCAGCAAATAAACAAGAGCACCCCATAAAGTATCCTGAAATAGCTGTAAAGGCAGTTGCTGTGTTGACTAAGTCTTTATCCATTATTTGTGACAAGTAGGTGACGAAAGGCTGCCCCAATCCTTGAGGATCAGCAGCTATTTCATCAAGGTCGTATAATGTATATGAAATTGCCAACATGAAAAGAAAACCAATAACACCACCACAAGTGGCAGTTAATACAATGGCCTTTGGAGCGGCAACGGCCGCATTGGAACATTCTTCAGATAAATGAAATGGAGAATCGTAACCAGACATTGCCCAAATAACACCTAAGAATGACTGTAACATTGCAAAACCCATTGGCCAAGCAGTTTGATTATCTAAACTCCAAGCAATACTATTAGAGTTAAATTTAGTTGCACCTTCATTGATTTCAGATCTTTTGTTCCCTGCCAAGATCATGACAAATACAATTACTAAAAATAACATATTCACAATAGTACTGAAAGAATTAAATCTAGCTAACCATTTGGTTGGACCTGATGAAATAATGGCATGAGAAATTTGAATACCCAAAGTTAACCCATAAATTTCACCATTTGAAGGGGAGTAACCATCCGTAGAATTATATGCTTTCAAAGCCAATATCATACAGGCACAAGCATAATTAACGGAAGGAGAAGCGGTGATCTGGCAAAGCCAGTTTGAGTAACAAGTCATCCATGTTAAAAAAGCGGACCATTTAGGAGGTGCCAATTGGGACACAGCATATGGAGTTCCCGCAGAAGTTGGGAATGCTGAAGCAATTTCTGCCATGGAGTAAGCAACAGATGTAATAAATAATACAGCAATTAGCCAAGGAATTGGAGACATACCAACAACAAGCTGTTGGTAGCCAAAACATGAACCAATAGATGGTAACAATCCAAGAACTGAAAAGGAAACAGCGAAAATAGAGAAAAGAGAAAATTCTCTCTTGAACTCTTGTTTATAACCTAAAGCTAAAATTTTGGCTTCATCATCATCGATTACATGGTCAACATTAATCGTGATACCTTTATTAGAAAGAACAGATGTTATATGGATAGCATCAACATCAACATTGGAGCGAATAGAGTGCAAGGGTGTAGCGCTATTTGATTTTTTTGACTCCATCTTATCTTTATCTATTTTGATTCAAGACTAATTCAGAAAAAGATAAATATCAAAGCCTACAACAACTAAGATTATTACTTTATATTCAATTCAAAAAAAAAAAAAATTTCCAGTAGAATAAATCGGCACTGAAGACATTTTATATCTTCCAAGAATTCATACTTTGCATGAAGTTTATCAGTTACGAGTGTTATCTTGGATTAAGAGATGGAGATTTGCCTTGCGAACCTGCAGCATGCAATTAATGTATTCGCAAATTTTTATTTTTTCCATCTATCTTCGACTTTATTTTTATTTCTTTTTGGTACTTCTACGCTTGATTTCCTTATCGTGTTTGCCCGTCCAATCATGTTGTTACGCAGAGCTTGAAAGCTTAAGCATAGCTTAACGTCCTGTTCATTTGGATGCTATTTCGATTTCAAAGCTTAAATTACACTCTTCAATATGAGCTGAAGAGATAGAAGTACGAGACGGAATATATTGATCTAAAGATGGGGAAATCGCAAAGAAAAAGAAATATTGTGACCTATCAATTATGCGGAGTATTTAGCGGCAGTCTCAAAGAAGTAAGTACATATCAAAACATTGACTATCATTCAAAGGCTAAGAAAGTGCTTGACGTTTATATGAATTTCGAAGTTCTTCGATCAGAAATTTATCTTAATTTGGTTGCAACTAAATCTTTCTATGGAGCAGTGTTAATTACCTCTGTAGAACAAGATCTGTGACCACTGAACTTCTTCACTTCTTATTATCTCTCTTTAAATTTCGATTTTTCATGAATAGAATTTTTTTTTACTGAGTTTCTCATTTAGGTATGTCCTTGCGTACAACATAAAATTGATAGATTCTCATGAACATTTTTTCGGCTATCAAATGGTGCATACAATGATTTATCTTAGCGCAGTTACTGATAAAGGTTGATGTCCCACATAATCCTTCTCTTACATGCTTCAAGTAGCCACATTGAGCTTTTTGACAGAAAGTGATAAAATATGCTAAGCTGACGTAATGTAGTGCAAGTACTGTAAGAATTTTTCAACAAAATATTTTTGGCTCCAGATTTGTAAATCTAGGATGTAATTTTTTTTTTCACGAGGATGCAAAACGTAATGAAGTATGATTTTCTAATATTCATTCCAATTAGTTAAATTACATTATTTTTGTACAGGAATCTACCTTTCTCGAAACATTCCTGCATGTGAAAATTTCAAAATAGTGTATTACCTATTTAATCGAAGAGTACTCTCCACGTTTTGTTCCATTTGAACCATCAATACAACTTTAGAATCACTATGAACCCATTTTTGTATTCAATAGTATTGATTGTACACATATTAGGATTTGTGGTCTTTCTAAAGGGATTTTTCCCGTCTAAAGTTGTGCTTTCGGGATATAGTGAATTTCGGGATGCACCCCAGTCACCTTTCACTGGTTCAAACGGTGAACCACAACAATTCAATAAATTTGTATTAATGGTCGTTGATGCCATGAGAGCGGATTTCCTATATTCTGAGACTCATTCTCATATGTCATTTGTACACCAATTGATTTCGGAAGGATCGGCTATTCCATATACCGCTTTCTCTAACCCACCAACGGTAACACTACCAAGGTTGAAAGGTATAACAACAGGAGGTACTCCAAGTTTTTTGGACGCAATTTTGAATGTAGCTGATGATAAGGACAGCTCTCAAGGACTATCAAGTCAAGATTCATGGGTTAGGCAATTTAGATACAAAAGTGAAGGTAAAACTTTGAATTTTTATGGTGACGACACTTGGTTGAAGTTGTTTCCTAAAAAAGAGTTTTTTAGTGAAACTGATGGAACCAACTCATTCTTTGTAAGTGATTTTACTGAAGTGGACAATAATGTTACAAGACATTTAGATCTGGAGCTTTCTCAGAGCCCTTCTACCTGGGATGGATTAATTCTACACTATTTGGGCCTCGACCATATAGGGCATAAAGGAGGTCCAACTTCATCACATATGGAGAGTAAGCAGAAAGAGATGGACTCTATTGTTGAAAGGATCTACAATTATGTAAGTGTCGACAAAGAGAAAAGTGAGGATACTCTATTTATTGTTATGGGTGACCATGGAATGAATGAGATAGGAAATCATGGTGGGTCCACAGAGGGCGAAACAAGTGCTGGACTACTCTTCATTTCACCAAAATTTCAAAAAATAAAAAGTAGCAAAAAACTAAAGGCTCCTTTACCGAATTCTGAAAACTATTCTTATTTTAATAAGATCAATCAAATAGATTTAGTGCCAACATTAGCGGCATTATTGAATTTTCCAATTCCAAAGAATAATTTAGGAGTGATGATTAAAGAGCTCTTGTCACTATGGGATAAAGTAGATGAAAGAAACGGATTGTTGATGGAAAACTGCTACCAATTCAAATCTTTGGTAGATGCCAAATACGGAATTGACCTAGATCAAGAAATCGAAGACTCTGCAGATAATGAGTTGCAAAATATAAAACTAAAGTGGGATACCTTAAAAAATGACACAATTGGTAAGAATATTTCAACTTATTATGATTTCCTTTACGAAGCTCAAGGGGTGTTAGCTGCTTCGGCCACTAATTATAATTACAGTGATATTACTACTGGATTCATACTATTAGGGACGTCGTGCTTGATAGTAGTTGCTTTATTCATCAAATATTTTGTGGGATCTATTTCCATATACTACCTTATTGGGTTTCTCTCCTTTTCCCTTGCATATGCATCACATTTTTTTGGTTCCTCATTTATAGAAGAGGAGCATCAGATATGGTGGTTCTTCATGATTATGAGCACCCTTTTGCTTATGGCCTACTCAAAATTTAGAAGTACCCCCTACTTTTTAGTAGTTTTGGTATGCGTCAGGATCATTAGAACGTTTTCTAATACTGGCCAAAAATTCAAAACACCTTATACACTTGCATCATATTTAATTTCGGAACCAAGCACTTTATGGGTTTTAGTAATACTCACTTACTTCATATTGGGTCTTTCTGCGTTTGGACAAGGTTGTTTCATAAATTGCTTTGCTTATCCTAATTATACGACATTAAGGGACCGCCACGTTAATGATTTTGGTCCAATATTTACATTTATTGGTGTCTTCGTTACTGCGTCATTATCACTTCTGTTTAAACTAGTTCAAAGTTTTATCGACGGAAATAAAATTCCAAAATGGATTACTTGGTTATTAGAGTGGAATTGTGAGTCTTTCGGAGTAAGTGACATTGATTCCATAGATAAAAAGCAACTACAAGCAATAGTCATTCAACTTTCCAAGTTGTTTTCATATTCATTGTTATCGCTATTTTGTGTGAAACTTATTGTCGGAAAGCTTAGAGGCATTACAAATGCCATGTATACCGACTTAAACAATTTAATAGTAATCTTCTTAGTACATCAAACTAGGATAGAGCTTATACCAATTTTCATTGTTTTCTCAGTTATTAGGTTTGCCATGGCTAAAATAATCCTTCACCTAGAAAAGAATATTCTTGACGAACTAATTCTTATCATATCGGTATTTTCCCTTTGTCTACAAAATGTTACTTTTTTCTCCATGGGAAATACAAATCTGTTGGCAACTGTTGACTTGTCCAATGCATACAATGGAGTAGAATCATATGATGTATTCATTGTCGGTATATTGACTTTCATTTCCAATTTTGCAGGGCCAATATATTGGTCTTTGGCTACCATGGGGTGGTTATTGGAAACGAAAATATTAAGTTTTGAGTATAATTCAAATTCAGTTGATTTTGTACACGTTAAAAAGATTTCCAAGCAGATTTACCTGGTTAAGGCATTGATATATTTGACATTTTACGCTGTAGCTTCAGTATTTCTTGTCGGTTCGTGCATCAATTTAAGGTTTCACTTATTTATTTGGACGGTTTTCTCGCCAAAATTATTGTTCTTCGCAAGTTGGACTCTCTTATTGAATTGCATTGTTGACACCATAGTTATTGGCACTATTTTACTAGTTACTTAAACTACTCCATAAGTTGCCTGAGCTAATAATTTTTATATGGAGTGATATTTATACATTCTACAATAAATAGCGAAGAAATATGCAAATATTTTGTTGAAAGTCTATAAATTGATCATTGTAATAATGGGTCTCTAAAGTGTGGTTGATTATTGATGAATTTTTGCGCTCTTCTATCATTTTGATCTTCCCTCTTATGTTGTCTACTCCAAGCTCTCTTCTGTATAGCCAACTCTTGTCTATCCTTAACATTAAACATATGTCTAGTTTCTGCAGCAATGACGGTACCTTGTCCTTCAGACAAAATTCGCTCTGGAGCCAAGTTTTGTCTGTAATATCTAGCCATAGAACGATGACCAATAACAGCACCAGAAGGCAAAACAAGTTCGTGTCCGTCTTGATAAAGTGCACGATCTCCTTGTGATGGCAACTCATCATCGTCTTCATCATCATCGTCTTCTCCTTCAGCGTCTCCATCTGAGACATCTTCCCAAGCACCTTCTTCAGAATTATCCTCTTCTTCTGAAACTACGACCTTGCTTCTGTCATCGTATGTGGACAGAAAATCATAGAATTGTGAAATTTCAAGCTTCTCATCTTCTTTTTCATATGGTATTTTCATATGCCTCTTAATTCTCATGTGCTCCCTCACTGCTTCTATGTTTCTTCCTTGATAATTACAACAAAGACAAACGTTACCCAAACCTATCTTTTCTCCTAAGTATTTTATGAGGCCCGCTTTATCCTCTAAGTACTTTTGTTCCGGAATATAAAAACCATGCTCTTTAAACATGTGTACGCTACTTGCATCGACAGACTCAAAAGATTTCTTTTCCTTTGGGTGGCAAAACAAACAAGTCGTAGCCGGGATATCGACTTGGTTGGCAAGCTTGGTTTCCATGATTTTTTCTGCAAGCTGATCCTCAGTTAAAGTCTCATCAAAATTTTCATTTGATTCAGGGGAAGTTTGCTTCACTTCTTCCTGAACGGTCACTTCGTCTCCAATGGTATTAGCTTCGTTTTGGGCGAGCAAATTCTTCCGAGCGATTTCCAAAATCTGCTTCTTTTGTTCATATATAGCTTCCTTCTCTCTTCTTCTAATTTCTTTCTTCGTTAACTGCTTATTGTTCTTCTTCTCTTCTTGAGAGTTTGCTTCAGTCTGCGATTCCAAGCTAGCCACCTTGGAGTTGAAAAGATCTTCATCTATTGCTGGAAGTTGAGCAACTCTTCTTTTCAAGTTGTATCTGTGCCAGTCAGATTTCATGTGAATTCTTTGTTCATCTGCGGAGGCAAATACCAATCCACATGTATTACAAGTAAACTGCATGTTGATGTAAAGTAACAATACTTTAGATTAACTAGTATTAAAGTTATCAATTTTTAAGGACTGTGATAAATTGAAACAACGGAAACCAAAAAAAAAAAGATGAGATGAGGTATTACATGCAGTATACACAAAATTATTCTACACTATATCAAAGTGAAAAGATGCCCCTCTCCACAGAAACCAGTAGACTATGAAGCAATTGAAAATGACAGATAATAAGTTTGACAAAGTTTTACCTGATGTTGTTCACACTATTCGTGCAGCCACAGCATTGGCAGCTCAGGATATCAACTTTTATCGCTCATTAGATTCTCAGTTGGCCAAAAGTATTGATAGTTCTGGAAATTCACTTCTTGACTTAACTAATAAGTTGCTTGAAACTTCCAGCAGTTCTTTGGATGAAGTTGAGCCAATACCTTTCGGAAAGGATAATTTGCCTTGGAAAAATGTTGTCGATATGCTAGATTTCTTATATGAAAAAGTTGATACTCTTCTCGATCAAGCGAGTTCTTCGAAACAAGCTGGAGATCAGTTTACATACTTAGAAGATGGAACTCAAGATGCTAGAGCTCCCTCGAAGGCAATTCCAAAACCTCAATTAGATTTTCATACCAAGGTTGATAATTCTGAATCTCACCCATTCAAACCTAAAATTAGTTCAAAGCCTAATGCGTTAGTACCTTTTGAGGATTCAACAAATTTGGTTCCAGGAAACGAGGAAGACGAAGAACCACCACACTACGAACATCCTTATGAATTTGAAATAGATAACCAACCTTACCCTGATGAAATTTTGTTAGAAAAAGAGCCGATAGAGCCTGAATCCTGGAACAATACGGGTGCCATCTGGGTGGACACAATACCAAAACTTCATGAAATGGTCAAATCTCTTCAAAGTCTGACTGAGATAGCTGTCGATTTAGAACATCATGATTATAGAACTTACTATGGGCTTGTATGTCTTATGCAGATTTCTAATAGGAAAAAGGATTGGATTGTAGATACCCTAAAATTAAGAGGAGATTTGGAAATACTCAATGTAGTATTTACTGACCCCAAGATAGTTAAAGTATTTCATGGTGCCTTCATGGACATAATTTGGTTGCAAAGAGATTTAGGATTGTATGTCGTGTCACTATTCGATACTTATCATGCTTCTAAGAAACTTGGGTTTCCGAAATTTTCATTAGCTTATCTTCTTGAAACATTTGCAAACTTCAAAACGTCAAAAAAATACCAGTTAGCAGATTGGCGTGCAAGACCGTTGCTGCTGCCTATGATGTCATATGCTCGTTCAGATACTCATTTTCTATTGAACATATATGATCAACTTAGAAATAAGTTGATCAACAAAGGGGAAGGAAGACTTCAAGAAGTCTTGTATGAGTCAAGACAAGTATCCAAAAGACGTTTTGAATACACAAAATTCCGTCCACTGCGTGCATCAGGAGGCAATGTGGTTTGTCCTGTAATGTCAAGCAATCCCAAGGAGCCTTTCACTAATCTCATGGCTCAGTATAGAATTCCTTACCATAAGAAGCCTCTTGTGCAAGCTCTTTATGAGTGGAGAGACAATCTTGCTAAAGTGGAAGATGAATCTGTTAGATTTATTATGCCAAATCAATTGTTGGTGAGCTTGTGTCTCTTAGAGCTGCCTGTTGATTCACAAAAGATATTAGGCTCCTCCAATTACATTTCTGACTCAGTCAGAGTAAATTCTAAAGAATTGGCGACTATGATACAAAGTATCTTAGAGGATATGGATGAGAACGATTGGGATTTAGTAGACAAGTTGAGCAATACTGTTGGAAATGATTCAGCATTCATCAATGAAGATGAACTTGACCCAAACACTATTAAGATGGCAACTAAGGCATTCGATAACTTGAATTCGAAATTGAGAGAATTGGAATATTACGACTCTAATTCGGACTTATTGAATAATGATTCTTCTCTTTTGTCTGATATCCTAAATAAGCAGGAGGATCAATTTTCTGTTGAGTATAATATTGCAAGTAACTCTCTAATAAAACATTCCATTGGCGAAACTAAAGAGAGAATTGAATCACTTTTGGAACATTTCAATAAGGTTAAAGATGTTGGGATTGCCGCCCAAACATCAACTGAAGAACCACAGGAGAGTTTACAAATATTATCCACTGAAAATGCTACCGAGGAGAGCCCCGACACTCTGTCTTCGACATTAGCACCAGCTTCAGTGAAGGTAGACGAGTTAATTACTTTGCGTAAAAAGAATACCATAAATAATATTTCCCGTAACAAGGTTGATGCACCCACAGAAGAATCGTTCGACTATGCAAATGCTGATAAGATCATGCTTGATGCAAAGAAGACAAAATCGAGAAAGGACAATTCGAAAAAGAGATCATTTGATCCCTATGCAAACACTGGTGATGGGCCTCAATCAGCTAAAAAATCGAAGAGAGTAAATAATGGTAAAACATCTACTTTTTCATCTAAAAGAAAATAATGCATATATAGATACGTTTATTATACACAATATAAAAATGACTTAAATAGACTAACAAATTTTCGAGTAACACCTATTGTATTAGAGATCATAAGTGAAGCGAGTAATAAAAAAAACACACGGAGGGCTCTTCTATCAAATTGTAATATTGTCAAATCTATCAAAGGTAAAACAAATAGAGCCACAGGAGGAAAGAAAAGGTTCTACAAAAGCTGGCCCACTTCAAATTCGTATACAATCTTGAGAATTGTCGATCAAGTAAGAAACTATAGATCTGGTAACTTTAAAATTGGATACTACAACTGCTGAAAAGATAAATACTGAGACTATGATATAGTAGCATATCTATATAAATACATTTACACTCGCATATTCTTCATTTTCCTAATCTCTCTCGTAACTATCACTCAACACAATATATAGCATCTATAGAGGAAGTCAACCAGAGTTGAAACCGGTTCATGGGCCGAAAATTTTTCCTTCCGAAACCCTGTCCTTACAATATCTCGTACTTCGTATAGTAATTCAATAAAATCAAGGTGTAAAGGTCCTGTTCAACTAATAAAATATATACTAAAGCATTCATACATACAATTTTAATTTGAATATTCTTAACTTTATACTGTCATGTATTCAATAAGTTTATGTTAAGAGACTTTTACCGTGAAAGTACTTTTGGCTAAAAGTACTCATGAGTACCACCAGCTGAAATAATACAAGAGAATCTAAATTTAAGAAAGAAGGAGAATCAATCTCTGGATATCAGATTAATACTTTCCGACAATATCCTTACGGTGTATATCTTCACCAAGCTAACTCGGTTGACTACCCAGGAAGCGAATTTAATAATCGATTATAAATTTATAGATGAGATATGTATTAAAGTTAGATAAAAAGCAATGATATCTCTGGGTTTCAACTCTCCTCAATAATTATGACAATTATGAAAAGCCTTGAAGAAGGGCAAACACATTGGATACATAGTAAGGTGGTTCTTCATTTTCACAAGAATGCCTTCTCAATCCCCAATACACTTCTAAAGAGAGAGTCCTTGTCGACTCTTCAAAGTTACTTAATTGTCATACTTTAACGTGAGTCCCCCAGGACAAGAATCACTTTTTTTGCATTACGAGTATCACTTTCAAAATATTAAGACACTAACTTTGCTTTGTAAATACTAATCTACCTTTCTGTATATGAATATAATGCTCATCGCGCTGCAATATTTGTCTCTTTCGTCATTTCAGTGTGACATCCTTTCAAGAACAATCTGTTTAAAGATGGTGACTTTGCTATATGTGTGTAAATTTAAATCTGTGTATATTGAACACGCTGATTTCATGCACTCCTACGATATGTATATGAAATATAATCTGTGCCATGGGTCTGTCATGTCATAGTAAAATTACTACAATTTGAAGTTTTACTTGGGGAAATGCTGTATGCCACAAGCTCAAGCTCTTTATGATGATAAATAAGAACAGCAGCTTAAGGACCCTATTGTTATCTTCTAGTGTGTGAGCTACATGGAATTCCTGTTGTTGCTTTAGTTCATTAGATAGTGCATATCTCGTAAACCTGGCTAGTATCTACCTCTATATTGTAAGAAATGAAGGCTCGAACACCTATTATTTCAGGAGTCTCAACTACTCTTTCCGGAATAAGCAGTAAGAAGTAGGTAATGTTTTGTTGTCTCACGTAAGTCTCATTGCATAATTGCAACCAGCTAATATACGGCTTAAGAAGCTATTGAAGAACTCAACCATGAGATTGATGGATATTCAACTACAATGAATTTTAGGGAGGGGATTCGATAGGAGAAAGAGAGTAATGCAAATAGCACTTGTAGACTTGTGAATTATTTCATTAGAATGGTAAATATGGAAAAGGCTGAATTTCCTCTAGCGCTAACGTGAATTTTATTAATTGAAGACGCCAGAATTCACACTATTGGAGAACATTGATTAAATCAACTAGTGGAGGTATGCAGGGACGAGAATCTAAAGTGAACAACATGTCAGGAATTAAGTTACGATAACTTTCCCAACCTCTGACGTTATTGCTTCTCCTGGAGTAGAGTCCAGCTTTCAATCACGTTAGAAATGTGATAGTCAAATTTGAGCATTATGCCGCTAACGCTAGCAGTAACTGTTTTACGAAGATGTATTCGGTAGTGATATATAATCTTTACACTCAGTTGTGTGAATTTTCTTTAGTTTCTCCTACAGCTACTCATATTCCCCTGTGATTTATATTAATTCATGTATTTGATTCTTAAAAATGTTCAAGCATTGATTAACTTAAGACTCATCAACTTATTTAGATTGCTGTTTGTCATTGGAACAGGAAGATTGACCTTAGAAGGGTAGAAGCTGTAGAGAGGTTGGTGGGCCCATTCCTGTAAAATACTTTAGTATGATATTTCGCTGTAAATTATCATAGTTTTTCACAAAAGCTCGTCTTTTCTCCCTTTTAGTGAACTAGGTTAGATTTTGATACATCTAGCTGATGACTTTTGCAAATCGAAGTATAAATGATATTCAATCTTGCAAGGCTAGATACTAGGATTTGGACACTGTATATCTGAGTTGCAAAATCTTGATAAGTATTTGGTGATTTCTTCGTATGGGGCCGCAAATAGTTGAATGGCTGCAAATGATGGAGGAGTTTGTTTTTGCTACCTGTAAAGTCGTGTGTTGCTCAAATCAATTCTCAAGTCTTAAATTTGTATGTTACAACTTTCTTTTTCCAGAATAAGTGTTCATGGCTCTATCTACATTTGAATGAATTAACTTACACATATATTTTGAATAAATTGAAATAGACTAATTTTTACTTTTTCATTCTTCATCATCGCTCTGGTCATCTCTGTAACCATACTTCCTTATCTCACCAAGTCTTTTTCTTGCTGAGTTCAAAGAATTCTCTAATTTTAATATTTCGACTTGTTGTTCCATCTCCACTGTCTTACCTTCGTATGGGGTTAACTTACTTAAATCAATATCATTCTTCGAATTATCTTCGCTAGAGAGTAATCCTTGAACCTTAGATACCAATGACTTACAAGCGCTAGTAACCTTGTTAGAGGCCAGTTCCAAGTTGTTTTGAGTTTTTGAAACAAAATTTGCTTTCACCCTGGAGGCTGCAACCAATTGTGCTGTTGAAGCTGCAACTTCGTTCGATGCAACAATTAATTGTTCATGTGAGTTTTTATTTTTCAAAACACCATCTGCAGTTTGAATCAAAATGTTTGTAGCCCCAGCTACAGCTTTTGAAGCACTAATCAAACCTTCTGTCCATCTATTATTCTTTTTGTAAAATTCGGAACTACTTTGAGTCCCCTTTCCTTTACTAACAATTTCTCTTTGGGATTCAGTTGCTGCTTGGATCAAAAGAGCAATAGCATTTGTCACAGCAACTGCAGCTGCAACGATAGCCTCATGAACCTCTAAAGCTGTACCTGTAATTGTAGGATCCTTCAAAAGGTTCAGCAAGAACTTGGACGCCGAAGCCACTGCAGCAGCGGTTTGATCCATTTCATTCTGAACCAAGTCTTCTAAGTTGCCAGATGACCAATTTATTCCATGGATAGAACGTAAGCTATCTACATACTTACCCAATTCTTGTAAATTATGCTGGACCTCAAGATTACAATCAATAACTTTATCAACCTTATCATCGTCATCTTCCAATTCGTTTAACTTATTTGAATTCAATTCAGAGAAGAATGACTCCGCGCTTGTCAATATATTGGAAACAAAACCCAAAAGTTTATCTTCATCTTTCTTAGGAATTATTCTAGTAATTCCTTTAGCATTCAACATAATATCATTAATGGAAGCAGTCAATTCTGAGCTTGTTAAAATTATTGAAGAATAGCCAGATTCTTCGTTGTCATATGAATGCTTTCCATCTGCAATGAAAGTATTGAAACTCGTTGCAAAATCTGTCGCCATATCCGAACCCACTTCAATAATTGATAAGAGGTACTCCGGTGACGCATTCAAATTTCCTGCTTGCATTGGTGAAATCAATTCATGCTTAATATCCTGTATTCTTTTAACATTGTTAGCTAAGAATATATCAATCAAGTTTATTAACCTAGATATGTTTTGCAACAATATTTCATCAATTTGAGCATTGACAATCTCATCCTGATCATCTTTAGCAATGGATAATTCCCTTAATGCAGCGTCTAAGGATTCTTGAGCAATTTCGAGATCAACGTCTTTATCCTTCAATTGCTGTTGAAGATCCGATGCATCTAATCCCAAGAGCTTCGAATCCCTTTCGCTTAGTTGTTCCTTCAAGATTTTCATTTCACTTTCATGCTTTGAGATGATTGAAGATAAGTTCATTGTTTGTAATTTACCTGATTCATTAACTTGATTATTCAACTCTCTAATCTGAGCTTCTAATTTTTCAATTTCTTGATCTTTAGATGCCCTAACTCGGTCTATGTCTAATCTCGCTCTGTCTCTTTCCCTAATTAAATCAGCTAACTCAATGTTCTTAGATTTCAAGTCCTTTTCAAATTTTTCTTTTTTCAATATGGATTCTTGGGCGCTATTAATCTTCTGCTGAATCTTTTTGAACTTTGCAAGTAGATTCAAATGCTCCTGACGTAATTGAGAATATAATTTTGCCAATGATTCATATTTCCTAGTCCAGTTGCTAATTTGCTCTTCTAAATTTTTAATTTGATCGTCTTTTGCTGCAACTTGCTGAGTTGCTGTATTATTTAAATTAACTAACTCATTTTCCAAAGTTTTCACTCTAGAGTCATACTGTTGCAATAATTGTTGATCATTATCGTACTGGTTTTTGAACATGATCAAATCATGTTCTAATTCCGTAACTCTAGATTGATGTTGCTGGGTTTGCTGCTGTTGTAACATTTGCTGTTGTTCTAAAAATTGTCTTTCTTGCTGACGTTGTTGTTCTTCAAACGCTCTCTGTTGCGCCAACTGTTGTTGTAACTGTTCTTGGCGCTTTAATTCTAATTGATTTTGTTCATCAAGCATTTGCTGTTGTTGCAATTGTTGTTGTTGAGGGTTAAAGATACCTGTTTGTTGAAGATAAACCAGGTCGACCGGAGGAGGAGTAGATACATTTGAAGCAGTAGGTTGGGAGGAAAGCTGAGTATCTGTAGTATTTACTGACCTTGGTCTAGATATATTTCCGTTGGTGGAGCTGCTATCATCTGAAACTTGCAAATTTGGAGGGCTATTGGTCAATCTTGGAATAGTAACCAAACTAGTCAAAAATTTGATGGCATGACAATCGGTATAGAAGTCACGCAACATGAAATGTTGAGAGTCAAATCTTTCGAACAAGACAGTTAAGGCATCATCTGCGCCTAGCTGCTGGTACAATGCCCTAAGCATTGACGTGGAAAACTTATAGATTCCATAGGATTCCGCAATTAAGGGAACCAAAGCACTAACTTTGCATAAGTTATTTGGGGTTTGATGGATGGTAGCAAAAATTAACTTCTGAAGATCGTTAATCAGATCTTGCAAGTCCATCAATTGAAGAATAGATTCGTAACCTTCATTGGGGTCATTAACTGCTCTCAATGAAATATATTCCTCATATTCAAAAGTTCCATTAAAACCAGGGTTATTTCTGTGAAAATCTAACTTCTGTAAAAGAAAACCATCGTACTGACTGATTAACCTACCATAAGCACTACCATGAGTTGGGAAAACATTTCCTAAAGATTTAAGGAAGTCTCGATTTTTATAACCATCCTTAAGCGTGTTTGGGTGACCTTCTTGCAAGACCTTATGAATCATAATTAAAGACTTAAATAGTTGAATTTGATCACTTTGGAGTGGCTGAATCTTCACTGCATTCCAAAACGCTCTGGAATTCTTGTGATCCCACGTATACACTATACATGCTCTAACATGCTTCCGCTTTGGTGGAACCTCCTCAGTGCTACACGCCTTTTTGACGCTAATTTGTAAGTCAACTTCTGCACGACTCATATTTGATATCAATTGAGAACCTTACAGAACCTTACTACTTGTTCAAAAGTGTATTGGTGAATAAAACCAAGACACTTCCATAAATTTGAACTTTTTTGATAGAGTACTTTTTCCAACGTAATCATTAGGGGCTCGACTACTCGTGCTATATACAGGATAGTCGGGATTGAAGGGAGAATCTTCATATTTTCCTACATCTACGAAGTTTAATTTTCATCAATCACACAAAAAATATTTAGTGAGGCTATGATATAATCATAGAGCAACTGGATGAGGCTATGATTCAGTCTCCAACAACTACATTGCTTTGAGGTATTTGAGAAATTGTATAATAATTTAAAATATATAAACGCAGAATTGTATCTCTCTTCGAACCCTGTCCTCTCACATTATATTACAGTAAACCTCACTTCCACCCAGAGTGATCTTTTCTTTTCACTACACCATTTGTTAATACGTTTTTATAAATTATTTGGATGACTTAGTGTATTTTGTCTTTCCGAAGTCAAATGGTAAGTAACGATACTTAATCATATGCTGAACTTGTTTACGCATAGTCAAAGTAAATAAAATGACGAAGTACATCAACAAAATTGGCCAAAACACAGGGATATCAAAGATTGAAAAGAAAGATAAAAACAATGATAAGGTAGTAGCACGGGTAGCGTTGTACCAAAACTTGAATTCAGGTAAACGACGAATAAAAGGACGGAATTCTTCTGCGGTATCTTCATCGTTTCCGGTAGAATCATCAAGACCTTCTTCAATGGATTCGTTTTTCATTTCTTGTTCTAGTGAAGGGTCAAATTTAGGGGTTAAAAAGGCCAAAAATAAGTTAAGCAAGTAGATGCCAAGTCCATAGCAGATAATATACCAACCTTGGGAAGTTATAATTCTTAAGAAAAATAGGAAGAATAAACCTCCAAATCCAATCCATCTACGTTGAGCGAAGGGAACTGAGTGGTCAAGATACTTCTGGTAAGTTATCTCCAATTCATGATACTTTAAGTAAACGGGGTTGCTTTTAAATTCATTCAAATCAACAGGCATTGTGAGTGTTAATAATGTATAATGTTTGGCTTATCAAGAGAAGTGTTGGATCTATATTTGTACAAGATACGTTGTATGTTTCATCCAGAAAAAGAAAAAAAAAATAAAAAAATTTCAAAGAAAAGCGTGTTGGTGTGCATATAAAGCTCAGGACTGAGCATCAATATTATACTTGGTGGTAATCAGCTACATGGGTGGAAAACTATGGTTCAATGAGGTTTTCCGATTTTTCATTAATTTAACCAGGGCTTAAATTTTTTGCTATAGTTAATAATTGCTTGAGAGTAATTCTCTATCTTTATGGATATGAATCTTCTTTCAAGGCTGTCAAGCTTATTTTTCTTTTCGTTTCTATTATAGTTCTACTCATATTTACCTTTGACAATCTTATAGGCATCGACTCATATCTACATGAACTTCACTACTCTTAAAACTCCATTTTGATAACTATAAACAATGGTTTTTAAAAATTTATACCAGAACTATATCATACATAATAAAACAAGCCACTTTAGAATTTAAATACTTTATTCTCTACAATTTTCCTCCAAAAATTTTTACAGCTACGTGAACTGCTCTACTAATACGTCTGTTCTCATCGACTAGATATAATGGAGGCAGAGGTTCTTTTTCCCCAGCTTCCCCACCTTCTGCGACAGGTTCTGGCTGCGGTTGAGCTTTTGGCTCAAAATCTTTCAATGTGAGTGGATCTGCGTATTTCATCAAGTTGTTAATTTCCAATTTCATATTCCTCTTCAATTCTGCATCTTTGGTTATGATAATAGCATTGCTTTCTAAATCTAACAGATAGGCCCTCTTAGTATAATTGGATGATCCAATTATAGTAATACATGGATCTTCTTCGTCCGGCACGGAAATCCATAAACCCTTAGCATGGTACGACCAACCTTCAGGAGTATTAACAATCCCATTCAGCCATTCGTACAATTTAATGATTGATGTCTTTCCTCTATTTTGAACCTCTTCTAAAAATTTCTTTGCACAGAGTAAGTATGCTTCTGGTATGTAGTAACTTACCCCTGAAGATTTGTAAAATGAATTCGCTTGTGGAGCTGCTGTGATTACAGTTCCACTTGCTTTTCCATTAATCAAGCGCTCTTGAATTTGAGGCAACATGTTGAAATATCCAGCTGTAAACCACCATTTAATTTGAGGAGAATCTAAATAGGACAACAATCTCAAAATGGCGGACTTTTCGGTAGAGATATCATTATCTGGGTGTAGCAAAGGAGTGAATTGAGAAATAGGGTAAATTATGGTATCAATTTCGCTGTCATCTAATTCAATTTCTTTGTTTTCTGTCTTACGGTGCTTTAAAATTGGTTCAAGTAAGTATGACGAATCACTAATAAACCTTTCTAAATTCATTGAAGGTTCACATGATTTATTGGAAGTAGGCCAAGTCAATCTAAATCCTGTGACATTTTTGCTTGAAGTCAATAACTGATAAGACAACGAACTAACAGCATTATGGATTTCGTAGTAATAGTCTGTCAATGCAGCGTTTGAGAACAAATAGTACCTATCTTGCCTGTTGGTGAAATAATCAGACGACAAGTTGGCACCACTGAGTATGATTTCATCGTCGAAGCCGTATAGCTTCATATGCTGTAATCCCCAGCTTTCATTGATTCTTCTGGGGGTTAATGATTTGGTGAATCCGTTAAGATGAGGGGTATGATACATTCTGATATCAACCCTGTGCTTACCATGTTTTTCCACTAAGGGAATCAACAACGATGCAGAGCATCTATTCTCTGGAGCTTCTCTTGTTCCTCTCAATGCATCTGTCAATATGTAAACTTGTAGATCTTCATTGGCAGTTAGCGCTTCATCTATACATTGAATTAATTCCACTTGGGATTTACCAATATATAAGGAACTTAGGAAAATTCTCTTTTTAGAGTTCTTGATTTTCAATTTCAAGACATCATAGAATACCTTTGGGTCAGTTAAAATTTGAATCTCCTTACTGGGCACAATAAATCTCGGAGCAATAGCGTCCAACTGGAGAAAAATGGATCTCAACCTGGGATGGAACAGATTTGTTATATTTGCATTTAATTCTGAGTTATTAGTCGAATAAGTTCTTATATGGTCCGTAGTGCTACGACGTGAGAACCAACCAGAGAAATACAGTAACATTGGAATGGATGTTAGCCTTTTGGTGGATGTTTTTGTATTAAAATTCGATGAATAATAATGTCGACGACGATCTCTATGTTGGTCTTCTTTGCGAGGGTGATGAAATAAATGTAATGGTCGAATCCGTTGAAGCCGACGATGATAAGAAGTGGTAAACAAATGTAAACGTCCACTGGTAGATAACATATTCTTAAAAAATATTTATCAGCTATATCGGGCGCAGGTATAAATACAAAGAATTTGCAAAAAGTCGATACAAAAAAAGAAAAAAAAAAAAAAAAATGATGTAAAGAGTTTAGAATCGGAACAGGAAGTTAAAATTCACGCCGTCATCTGCAGAAAAAAACAATAAGCAGAAGCCTATTTGTATAGGCAAATAAAGCGGGAAAAACGATCGCTGAAATTGCCCAAAGAAGAACCCCGACAAAAAAAATAAACCCCTAAATACTAAGCCATTGTTAGTAAATACCCGAAGAAATAATATATTAAGACAGAATAGAGCAACTTAGAAACGAAAAAAAATTATTGAGTGTACAGGGGAGTTTCAAGTCTTTTTCAACCTCCGGGAGTGTCATGATAACAGACTACAATGTTATCTTTCTAAAAAAAATTTTTCCCTTGCTATTGTTTTCGTTCACCGACGTTATCGCGAACAGTTAAGGGTCATATGACCATAAAATCAAAGAAAAAGGACCAAAAGCCGGTTAGGGAAGAATTTCTTTTTGTATTATTTTTTGCTCTTTTTCTTCTATCTATTCTCGAATTTCAAACCCTCGGAATTTCTCATATTTTGGCGGGGTAAAAGCAAGAATTCTCTGAAGATCAAATGAAAGCTTGAATTCCTTCTTTTGGATTCAGGCCTTCTACCCCGTCTAAGGCTTAGATCTCTTAGCGTTGAACCCCTCTTACTTTATACTGCATATTGTTGACATATATTCTTTTTTTTTCTTGGTATCGTCTTCTGATATAATTCATACTGTCTGACCCTCACGTTTACCTACTTTTACCTCCGGCGGCTTTAACTAACATCACATCTCCATCTTCCATTAAGTAAGTTTTGCCTACTCTAAGTTGTCTACCTTTGCTCTTTAGGCGAGCTTCTTCAAGCGGGGCCGATTCTACTTCCAAGTCGCTGTACTTGTAAATTTGAGCCGAAATAAAAGTCTTTTGAAGATCGGTATGGATCGATCCTGCAGCTTCTGGAGCTGTAGAACCTTCCCTTATCGTCCATTGATGTGCTTCCACTGGACCACAAGTGAAAAAGGAAATCAATCTTAGTACAGATCTCATGCAATGGGTAATATATGGTAGTGCGCTCTTTGAATCAAGTTCAGTGCCCGCAATTTCCTTTTCATATGCACCTGAAAACAACACAACTTCGTCACCAGGGCTATGCTTCTTTACCCAGTCTTCGACTCCCTCTTTGAATTCATTTTTCTGAGCTAAGAAATCTTGCTCATTGACGTTAAGAAGAAAAACTGTAGGTTTCGCAGTTAAAAAATTGTGTGTATTCAATATTTCAACTTCTTCATTATTCCATTCGCCAACAGATACTTTTTTACCTTCATATAGTCCCTCCAAGACTTTTCCTAAAGTTGAAATTTCCAATTGAGCGTATACCTTATCAATGCCAGGTTTTTTCAAGGATTTTGTTGTTCTTTCAATGGCACTCTCTACGAAGTCCATATCCTTGAGCATGAGCTCATCTGAAACTATTTCTAAATCTCTTACGGGATCTACTATATTTTTCTCAATATGAATGATTTCATCATCCCTGAATCCTCTGACTACTTGGAAAATTCCATCTACTTGACGAATATCTGATAAAAACTTGTTACCTAATCCTTCCCCACGAGCTGCATTTCGAGTAAGTCCTGCAATATCTACAATAGAGAGGGATGCTGGAATTTTCTTTTCAGACTGAAACAAATTTGCTAGATGATCAAGTTTGGCAGACTTGACTACTACTCTAGCTTCTTCAGGTTCAATAGTTGCGAAAGGATAGTTTGCAGGGTTCCCTAAGGTAGAGTTAGTTATAGCTTGAAAAAAAGTAGACTTTCCAACATTTGCTAGACCAACTATTCCCAGAGTAAGGTTGTTACTTGGTCTTCCTAGGTATACTTTTTTGGGTGTACTTTTGGATGACTTCTTTTCCAAAGATAGAATCGACCTGCTAAAGAATCGTACAAACTTTCTCATTTACAAACTAATATAGCTACTTTCAATCATGGGATTAAAAGCGTCAATGGATCATTTTTAGTATAGTGAGATTGTCGCAAAATAAAAAAAAAAAGAAAAACTTTTGTGAAAAAAAAAGAGCCTTGGATAAAATCTAAACCACAAAGCAATGTCAATGTTGAATTTACTGCTCCAAACCTCTAGACGAACTAAGGTTCTTATGATTGTTTGATAATCAGCCTTCAAGACTAGATATGCCTTGTTCAAATTGTGCGTCGATTAAGCTTGCCTCTGGCCAGTAGCTTTTTTTGTCTCGCTGCACTTTTCTTCTTATCAAGTAGTTCTTCGACAGGCTACTCCCATCTCATTCTATTTTCTTCAGCATTCTTTTCACATATAGACATCCTGTTATATCTTTTACCATATAGCTGCGATTTCTTCTCCACTCACTTACTAAGTAAGCATCTTTTCATATATGAGTAGCGTAAATATATTGCATGATTTTACATTATATATAAATAAAGAATTTATGGGGATTACAGGAAATATTTTACATTTTTGCATCGTATCGACTATGTTGACATAACCTTCCTCCAATGTGTATTAAAAAGGAGTCTCAGCCAAAACGTGGATTGAAGATTAATTCAGTTATACAGTTACAACTTAATTATAAATTTAAATGTGATACTTTCCCGTCAAAGCCGGTTTGTTTAAACTCCATGGTCCAACTTCCAGAAATCTTCCGTGATAGTTTAGTGGCTAGAATTACCGCTTGTCGCGTGGTAGACCGGGGTTCAATTCCCCGTCGCGGAGCTTTTATTTCTTGCGCAAATGGTTTAGTGGTAAAATCCAACGTTGCCATCGTTGGGCCCCCGGTTCGATTCCGGGTTTGCGCAATTCTTTTTTTTCATTTAAACAAAAGTAACTTTTAAAACAGCGAGTTGGTTTACGAAAATCTCGTTAAATTCAGCTTGCCAAGAGAAACGACAGTATAAATATGGCTGGATTTTCCGGATCTTAGTTACGATGTAATAGTCATAGTACCAGTCCATCTATAGAGACCATGGGTGCTTGGGGCCATAATCTCCTTGATAACGATACTGCATGCGACACATTTGCAAGATTGACAGATCCTAAGGCAGAAGCTCCAGTTGCAGAAATATTCCACACAATTGAAGAATATTCCAATCCAGACACATTTTCAGGATATATCGAAGATGATGAAGTAAATGAAATTTTAGTTTGCATACTATTGGTCGTTGGCTTCACTGATAAGACGTTGATTGAAGTAAGAACAGATAAAAGCATCAATAAGTATTTTACTGATAAAATATCAAAATTCCTTAAACAACACCAAAAGACATTCGATGATTCTGTAAAAGTAGATTACTATGAAAAATCAGAGAAGCTTTTTGAGAGAATACTTGATGTAGAAAAATCCGAAACTTACGAATTATGGAATGAAGCTGGTGGAGAAGATTGCAAATCTTGGGTGGAAATGGTCACTAAAATTAGAGAGGATCTTGTTAAGGTGACTCCTCAATCGATTTAATACAAAAGTTAACATTCCTTGAAGTGCCATAGACTAGGTTTTGGATTAAATTGTAATTGCATCAGATTCCTGATCATTAAATAGTCTGAAAATCCATATATAGCCTAATAAAAGTACGATGTATGATTAACACATGGTGGTGCATTTGCCAGTAGCAATTTCAAGACAATCTTTTATGCTCGTGGTAAGATCCGTTACCATCGGTTGGCCCCAATTATGGGTTTGTGCAGATTTTTTATTATTGTATCAATTTAACGGTGGTATTTACGAGAATATTGTTAAATTGAAGTTCGCCAAGAGAAAGAATTTCACGAGAAGAATGACAGTATATATGGCCGGATTTCTCAATTTTAGTGACAGAGTTTTAGTACTTATTATTCACCACAGTAATAAATACCATGGGTGCTTGGGGTTACCACCTCCTTGAAAATGATACCGCATGTGACATATTTATAAGATTGACTAATCCAAAGACAGAAGCTCCAGTTGCAGAGATACTTCAATCAATTGAAGGATATTCAAATCCAGATACATCCTCAGAATGTATTGATGATTATGAAGTAAATGATATTTTGATCTGCATAGTTTTGGTTGTTGGTTTCACTGACAGGACGTTGATTGAAGAAAGAACAGATAAGAGCATCAACAGGGATTCTAAAGATAAAATATTCAAATTCCTTGAACAACATCAAAAGACATTTGATGATTCTGTAAAAGTAGATCACTATAAAAAAGCAGGGAAGCTCTTTGAGAGAATACTTGATGTAGAAAAATCTGAAACTTATGAATTGTGGGACGATGCTGGCGGAGAAAATTGTGAATCTTGGGTCAAAATGGTTACCAAAATCAGAGAGGATCTTGTTAAGGTGACCCCCTCAATGTAATACAGATGTGAAAACTATACTTGCTATAAAGTAGGAATTGGGGGTAAATGGTATTACATCAATTTATAAAATATGCTTAACATCTAAGTGAGCATGATAAAAGTATGATGGATAGAAACCTCAGACTTTTCTTTCATGGTGACGCGCAAATGGTTTAGTGGTAAAATCCAACGTTGCCATCGTTGGGCCCCCGGTTCGATTCCGGGTTTGCGCAGTTTTTTTTGATTCCTGATTGGACACTTCTTCGGTACTGATGAAAATTCACAACTCTATCATAATTCCAATAACTAACAGAGATAAGATCAACTTCCCCTCTACAGTAGGTATGAGAAGGATTCCGTACTCGAAAGCTACAGTATCCCTGATCTTTGGTGGGAATCATTGCGCCCAGCTAGGTATATCTAGTTAGAATGAATATTAAACAGAGGAAAACATACGAGACTCTAGTACCCTATTCAAAAAATCTAGGTAATTAAAAAATCTGTACAAACTACACTAACAATATGTTTCCAGATAATATATATTTAAAAAATTAGGATTATTAGATGAATTTGTGAATGACTACGACTTTCGGAAATATTGATTCACTTCATATAATTAAAAGGTTGCAATTTACACTCAGGTCTTAATTATACTTAGACGCGTGTAAAATCTGTACCTAAGTTATATCAATTTTTCAATTTTTTTTTTCACTCTCAATCTTTAGAATTGGTTTTTACTATTCAATCAGTCTTCAGCATCTTCTAACTTTCATAAGCCGTACTACAACCCAGCATGTCACTCTTGAAAAGTATTGCGGATCTTACCGGAAAAACCAAGACCCTTTCTATTGGTTCAGCTCCATACTTTAATCAAGTTCGTAACGCAACAAAGAGAGCTGCAGGTTCGAGAACAAATAAAAATGATACCGCCGGTAGAAGATTAGGTCCAAAGGTCCACGAAGGTAACTTTGTCAAACCTGGTCAAATAATTATGAGACAAAGAGGTACCAAAATTCACCCTGGTGAAAACACAGATATTGGTAGAGATCACACAATTTTTGCTATGGAACCGGGTTATGTTAGATTTTACTATGATCCATTTCACCCATTGAGAAAATATGTTGGTGTTTCTTTGACCAGAGACCTTCCCTTACCACACCCACACTTTTCACCAAGGTCGAGAAGATTTGGATATGAACAAATTATAGAGCCAGAAGCTGCAAAGCAAGAAGAAGGCCATATGAGCAGAAAAGAATACTTACAGACTCCTGAATTAAAACAGAAGGCAGAGGAGCTTGAAGAATTATTAAGTAACAAAAGAACGGAGTTTAAGACTGAAATAAGCAACAAACTAGGTGAATCAACTGAAAATCTTTTAAATTTGATTGTAGAGAGAATGGTGAACATCTATCAATTGTCTAGAGTAGGTCAATCCATAGAAGAAGCTCAAGCTCAAGTCACTTTTAACTATATCTACGATTTAAAATTGAAACTTAACAGAGGAGAAATTAAGGATGCAGATTCTTTTTACTCATTAAAAGAGTACTACCTTAACAACGTTGCCAATGCTACCAATTCAAAATTAGCTGTCGACTCCACAGGAACCATATTCGACTACTTAACTCCAGAACAAGTCCAGATCAAACAAGCAGAAATCATCAAACAGTTGGAGAATGATTTTACTGGTAAGATCATTAAGTTGGAAGAAAAGAGGTCAATCTTAAATTTAATTGAAACACCAGGTATTTTCACCAAGGAAAAGCAAGCGCAATTAAAGTCAGTATTCCTTCCTCGTGTCTTACCTGTTACAGTTCCAGGTACAATTGCTGATGATTTTGACCCAAAGAAACCAGGTAAGGGCGTTACTGTGGTCAGAATCTTTGATGATAAGACGAAGGAGGTTAAGACTTATGGAAGAACTCAAAATGCATTTGTTCCCCAGGAATAATTGAGGAGAGATGAAGGAGAAATCTTGTAAATAAAATAGACGTTACGCATAAACAATTAGCTAAATAAATCATGTAGAGTAAGCTGTACTGTGTACCCGGTGCATCTATGGTAGCTTCTTTGAATTTCATTCCAAACGTACTGCATATAATCGCGAGTATGAGTTTTCATTTTCTTAGTTTACATTTGGCGTTTGGGACAATAATATAACTGCCTCATAGTTAATTCTTTACTGAATTCAAGCCTTTAAATTATGCCAGCCGAGACAGAAGGATACTGGGATATAATTGTAACATCATTGCAGGATATCTGTAACGCTAATGAAGCTACGTCCTTCGATAATAAGTTCAAGCCGTATTTGCTGCGAAGTCTAGACAATGAAAACTTGGAGGAGTTGAAATCAGAGGTATTTGAGCACAAATCTAATGTTAGCACGTCGAAACGACTTGTCAATACGTCTCAGCAGAACTTAGGAATCCTCATTGAAAAGTTAAAGGCTGAAGCCGAGACATCTGCTACTACAGTAGCTTCTGGAGGAAGTGGAAAATCTGCTGCTAGCGGAAAATCAAATGCGTCAAAAGCTAATGGTTCATCTCCGATGATAGCTAAGAGAGGCAGCGGTAAGTCTAGTAGTGGCTCTAAAGGTGGAAGTGGCAAGTCCTTCTCAAAGGACAACAAGAAAATAACGAAAAAGGCGGGCCGACTGTACTATACATCGATGTACAATCCATCAGAACCCATTTACGTTGGATCAGAAGTTGTCTATAAATTGAAAAATAGGCATGCTGAGGAATGGATTCAGTGTGAAGTGATGCGGGTCATAGGAGATGGAATTAAATTTGAAATAAGAGACCCGGAACCCGATGAAAATAATAATATCAACCCAACTTTTAAGGCAAATTACAAGGAAATACTATTGATTCCACCTTTGAATGAAGTACCGGACTTGGTTAATTATACTTACGGTTGTAAAGTCTTGGCAAGATATCCAGAAACTACAACATTTTACACGGCTGTAGTGGTGGGAAATAAGAAAGATGGAAAAGTGAGATTGAAATTTGATGGAGAGGATGAAATCAATAAAGAGACCGAAGTAGAGAGGAGGTTGGTGTTACCATTCCCGGAAAAGTAGAACACAAAAAATGCAAATGGCGAATAGGAAACAGGTGATCACAACCCTAAGGTTTATGTATTATTGAATATAATAAAATATGATAATAACGGATACAAATGGTAAGTTTTGTATAATTACTGTAGTTCTTCTATCTATCCAACAATCATATTGACTGAAGGTCGTGCGCGGTTCAATTTAGATGTTCACTTTGTCGATATTTTTTCACCTTTGGAGATCATTTATAACTACATCAGCAACCCATTAAATAGGTTTGCTAGTCACTGAATTAGCAACAAATATACAACAGAAGGCAATAAGATGGAGGAAATGGATATTGATGATTATTCTAGAGTATGTACGGCTCAAAGAGCAAAAATATGCGTATGAAAAGTGTAGAATTGAGATTGATTGAATGATGTAATTAGGACGAGGAGTACATGCTAACTTCGTGGTATTAGCCAAGCAAGTTTTGGCGATTTATCGGTAAGAAGAAAGATACACATACTCTTTTGCTTCGAATGAAATGACCAAGATTAGTGGAATAGATCTTAGATATCCTTGAAAGTTCAAATCAGAAAGATAGCTAAAGAAAATTCCTTGTCAGGAAGACAATTGATCAACATGCCAAAACTTTCAGTCGAATCTAAATTACTTCCTTTAAATATGTATTTAGCTGATTTTTTCATTTTGTTTTGCTAACATTCTTTATAGGACCGTTCTCGTTCTCCGGTGAGAAATAAATCTCGTTCTCCTCCTCCAAGGAGAGATAATAGAGAAAGTAGCTATTCTCGTGGAGGAGATAGAAGAGATAGAGACTATGGTAGAGGAAGTGGCAGAGGAGGAAGAGGAGGAAGAGGCGGTAGAGGCGGAAGAGGAGGACACGGCCATGGTCACAGAGATAGAGGAGATTACTACGAGGGCCGCGGAGGCAGAGGTAGAAGAGAAAATGATAGAGACTATACCTCATCTAGAAGGGATTATGTTTCTAAATCTGTAGGTGCATCAACCAGTACTGCAGATGCAGATGATTACCGTTCAAAAATTGAAAGAAATTATGATAACTCTATTTTCATTGGTAATATACCCTTTGACGCAAGTGCAAAGGACGTCGAAGACATTTTTAGAGATTCTTGCGAAATTGTTAGAGCAGATATCGTTACAAACAGAGGGCAATCTAGAGGAATGGCCACCGTCGAGTTTTCCAATAAGGATGATGTCCACAGGGCAATTTCAAACTTCGATCGTTACGACTATAGAGGAAGACAAATTTTTGTAAGACAAGACTACCCACCACCAGGTGAAAAAAGAGATAGAAGAGATTACACCTCATCGTCCAGAGGAAGTGAAAGGAGCACAAATGAAAGAGGAGGAAGAGAAAGTTTCAGAGAAGAAAGACCCCCTAGAGACAGCTACAAGGGACTGTCCTACGGCGGAGAGAGACAACCTAGAGAAAGAGAGCATCCATTACCAGGAACAGAAATTTTTATAGGAAACTTACCATTTTCTGTGAATTGGCAAGCATTGAAGGATATTATGAGAGAAGCAGGTGAAGTTGTAAGAGCTGATGTTAGAATGGATAGTTGGGGAAGATCTCGTGGGTTTGGTACAGTTGTTTTCAAAACCGAAGAAGAAGCTGCTGCTGCTGTTGAAAAATTCCAAGGATATGTGTTAGAAGGAAGAAGCTTAGATGCGAGACCAGGAAAAGTGTACAATAGTGAAAGAACTGGAGAAAGTAGAAGTGGGGACAGAGATATCCATGAGGGCAATGGTACTTCATATCGTGGGGGAGATGCAGGATCAAGGTCTGCATCAGGACCTACTGAATCAGCCGAACGTAATACTGAATTTACAGAAGGGGTTTCAGGAAACGGTGAAAGAAGTAACACAATCTATGCGGCCAATTTACCTTGGGTTACCAATGTCGACGATTTATACGAATTGTTCGAGACTATCGGAAGAGTCACCAAGGCAGAAATTCAATTTAACGATAGAGGAAAGCCATCAGGTAATGCAGTCGTTGAATTTGAATTAGAAGAACTTGCAGACTTGGCAATTTCTAATTTAAATGGTTACAATTATGGTGGTAGAGATTTGAATATTTCCTATGCCTCAAAGACTTCTGCCTCAGCACAGGCAGAAGAATCTGCACAAAGCGAAATCCCTGAGCAGGAGGTTCAACAAGCTGAAGAGGAAATGGTTGTCGAAGAAGAAGCAGAAACTCAAAACCAAGAAGTTTCTTCTCAAGCAGAAGAGCAAAAGCCAGCAGAAGAAGTCGCTGAAGATATGCAAGCTTAGGATTAAAAGCGAGCATATAATTATAAAATTGAAAAATCATGACAAAAATCCTTCATAATGGAAGTAAAAAAGGTAAAGTACTGTAACAATTGAAATATAAAAGTAAACTGTAATAGATGACTTATGTACTTACATAGAAAAATAAAATGAAATAAAAGTAAAGAGAGACCAAGAGCGTACACGGTAAAGCTGAGCCTCACCCATGTGCGACATCAAAGTTGAAAACTAGCAAAAAATTAAAATAAAGAAAAGTAAGGAAACAGCCATTCTATTCCATCAGAGGTTACAATGGATTCTAAAGTAATACCAACTGACAATACTTATGATAGCTCTGAGGATACTTGGTACAGCGAGTATGGAGAAGCTTGGAAAAAGGTGAAGTCACATCATATTTTGATATTTTTCTTAATTATTGCATTATTAGTGTGCTTCCACTTCAGACACCGAATAGCCCAATGGCACGACAGATACAGAACACGGAATAGAATGAGGTATTCTTCTGTTGGAGGTAACGGGTTTGAACTGGATATTGAAAATGGATTAACTAGTGATACTTTTGATCTCCATTCGAACATCGAAAATGAGGACTCAAGAGATGGTCTTCTGCAAGCTGCAACCGAGAGCATCAAAAGAATAATGCGGTCAGATGGGGTCACGTTTGACGAAGCTAGACTTAAATATTTCAGAGACGAACTACAAGATAATGGCATAGGTCCAGATGGAGTTCCAACAGATAAAAAAACAGTTACATTCAGTAGCAGATAAGAGTAAAAGAGATCTAAAAGGAGCAGTTGTCCTACTGCATAGATATGACTTTATATATGATATGTGTATGAGAAATTTTAAAAAGTTTCAATTTGGAGCCTTATCATATTGTAAAAACGTATAGAGGTAAAGATATGGAGTAAAGAAATAAAAAAGCTAAGATTGCAATGATTAGTAGAAAAGAAATGATGCATTAGTTAGACATTCCAATTTTATTTCAATATTTCCAATCTGGTAATTTGCTCCGTAATTTGTTGCTCTATTTAGAACTAGTTTATTGTATCTTTCGTACCTTTACCTGTCAGAAATTTACAATTACGAGCCCGTACTCCTAAAGAGTAACATTTCCTGCAAGACACAGTTTTGTGTAATTTTATTTGTTTACCTTTTTGCTTCTTTTATGCAACCATGCACTCGAATTCTCTTACTTAAAATTCTTAAACAAGTTGAAGTTGAGAAGAGGACAGTATCAGTTAATGTATGGAATATAAAGTCCAGGATTTCGAGATATTTTAGAAAGCAAAATTGAATTTACGCAAGGCAATTTCTAAGTATTTCGATCAAAATGGAAGTTTATAAAAGGTATGCTTCTCGGGAGCATGACGTTCCGCTATTAGGAACAAAACAACAACAACAACAATATCAACAACGACTTGACGACCACTTTGAACTAGAACAAGAACAGCACCAAACTCAAAACAAAGAAAGCCAACCGCAGGTTCAATTGCAATATGATCAAAAGAAGGAATTCCTGCAACATGAATTGAAGAAACCACCATCGGATAGTGGTATTAAATTAAACTTACTTCTTGCTCAACCTGGAGATCTTTCTAAAGGGAGCCGTAGAAACTCGAGGGGCAGTATTTCAGCGTATGAAGTGTCCACTAAAACTAATGAAGAATGGCTCAAGATATTTCCTCACGCTGCATACTTCACAGGTGAAGACTCATTTTTCGGAAATATCATCATTATGGTCTACGAAAACCCAACGACCAACAAGACTTGCACCACCTCATTTACGCAATTTGGCTCAATAACTTATGAAAACTTAATTCTAGATGCTAGGTCGAGGTTTTGGCCAAGCTGTGAGAATTTATTACCGGTATTCCAAAAATCAAATGTCAGAAGAGCTTTGGCAATTTCCAACTTAAAAAACTACAATAGAGTAGCGAATTCAGCTTACGGCCATATCATGAAAAGTCATTGGGATGAAACTACGGCTGGAAATTTGGCAAATAATATGAAGCTTATAACCGAGCAGACTCCTAATGACTTAGGATTGCAGCTCTTGAAAATGGGATTATTACAAACTCATGTAATTAGTTCCTCTGTACTTGATATTGTTTACGACAATACTCCAAGCTCAACAAATGCAAACATCATAGAAGAGAACAATAAGATGGTATTTCTATTAGGAAATCAATTAGACCAATTATTCGATCCTCTATTGGAGTACTCACCTGAGGCTTTGGAAATAATGTACAAGCCACCACCTCTGGATAATATGACGAGTAGTAATAGTTCTATGCCATCTGTCATGTTTGCAATAATTGAAGAAATTTTAACTGTTCAGACCAATTATACCATGGGATTAGTTTCTCTCTTACAAGACTTCATAATTCCACTCAGAATTCATGTATTATCTGCTGCTTCTAATGCTGGAATATCAAAGATTAATCAAGTATTTCCTCCTACTATCGATGAAGTTACTAGAATCAACTGTATTTTACTTGATTCATTGGTGAAAGGATCTAAATTTGGTGTGCAAGAGGTATTCAAAGTCATGGGTATGATCTTACCCTATTTCTATAAGCCTTTCATACGACATGAGGCAAATTTGAAGCAATTTGCTGGAAGGTTGAATAGATTCCACAGCAAGAATGTGGAGAAGATCTTCGAAAATGAACAAGTAAATAAGGGCAAATATTCAGTGAGAGAGATCGATTCTATTGTATGCGGATCTTTATTGGAATTGTCAAAGATTAAAATGATCATGACAAGGTTGTATGATACAGTAACAATATCAAAGGGTCATTTCAGTAAGGAAGACTTGGCAAAGATGGAGTTATATTATAAGGCAATTGTAGGAGTGGTGGATGCCTTCGGATTTGAAGAACCTAGTGATCAAGAAGCAACCGCTAACAAGAAAAGAATCTTCACTCCAACTGGGAAAATATTGTCAGAAGTAGCATCTAAATGGCCAATTGAATTACAATATGGATGGTTAACCAGAAAGGTCGTCGGCATCTTTGAATTACAGAACGTTAAACCAAGAGTTGAAGAAGAAATTATTGACGTCTTAATAATATTCTCTGACCATCTCTTGTTCCTTACTATTAAGGATATGGAATACACATCCAAAATGATAGCACAAAGGAGATTGTGGACCACGAACGAGAACACCCAAGATTCCGTCAAAATGTTATCAATTTCTGACATTTTGATGCATGCAATGGTTAACGAAAAGCCGTTACCTGAGTCTTTACCTTCAATGGAGGTCAACTGTTGGTGTGAAATGAATGAAGCAACAATAAGTTCCTACAAAGCAGGGGATGACGAGCACTACTTAAGATTTTTCATTACTTCGAATAAAGGATTTAGGGAAGAACGAAATGAAGAGGAAGAAATGCATGAAGGTGACGAAAAGCACAATCCCTCTACGTTTAGTAAGAATTATAAAGTCTTCCAAAGAGAAATTAAATCCAGTAAGAGCAATCACGAAGTATTTAACTCAGCTCAAGTAATAATTGATTTAATTAACAAGGCAAAGATTCTCAACAAGAGTCAGCCATTCCACCTCTTCAAAACTTTGGGAAATGACTTAACAATGTATTCAACTGCTCATGACTTGTCTGTTTACGAAATGGAAAGATGCAAATCACCCTTCGCATTGTTCCTTAACTTGAGTCCTAAACAAGTCGGTGCATATTTCAACCACAACAAAGATTTATTTCTAATTATGAATGCTTCCTTTATCAATTCTCATCAACTTCAATTTGAAGCCTACAACAGAATCGAAACTTTTCTGTTAAGTGAGATTATTGAAGCGTCGCACTTGAAAGACTTTGTATTGGAAACTGTTTCGAAAGGTTACATTTCCTACATCAACTTTTACAATGAGACTCTCAGATACAACTTAATTCAAAGTTATCATTCCGATTTGAACTTTTTCCTTAATTCGTTTGTCAATCATGAATTTGCATTGCATAATCAATACTTGGTGAAAAGTGAAGATTATTCCAGGAGTGTTAAGACTAAAGAGAGTAACATGAATGTTTCTGCAATCCATTCAATTCCTGATGTATACGTTGAAAAGTTTATGGAAACTTCAAAGAGACCAAGGTCTACTAAAAGAGCAAGCCAAGATGGGAACGATCATCACATTGCTTCTAAGAAAGACGCTTCAGGTCCTCCTCCGTTGAAAAAGAGAAAGAAGAGCTTCTTTCGCAAAATCTTTGGAGGACTTTTCAAATCTAAGAACGCCCACGCCACAACTCAAAACATGGACTCATTACAGCAAGTTAAGCCAAGAACAGACAATTCTTATATTGGTGAAATCTCTAAAGATGACACTTCAGTTAGAAAGCAAATTCAAGAAAACTCTGTTGAACAAAGCCAGAAGCAGAGTAGACCTTATTCTACAGTTGGAATGCCTACTAGTACTTCAAAGCAAGAACTTGAAGAGAGGTTACCGTCCCACGTCTCTACAATAAGAATCCCCAAAAGTGATATTCAGAAGGTTGATCATTTATATCAACCCCATCCTGAAATAAAGAAACAGAAATATGATTCGAAGGAAGCTCAGGTAAAAGATGTTGATTTAAAGCAAGGTGATGAAAGAAACTCTTACATTCCTCAGAAATTACAAAATGAAAAAATTTCAGTTCCAATTGTTAAGGCTGAGAACTCAGAAAATACGCCTGAGGTAACAAGCGTTCCAGTATTTAAATCACTTGAACCATATGTCGCAACAAGAGTCCAGAAATCACAGAATCGTCATTCAATTGCCACTACTACCCCAACTAATGCAGTTCGTAATTCCGTCGTGAGACTTCCTCCACAATCAAATTATTCTTCAAATAAGTACACAGTAATACCACCAACGGATTCAACTATGGAAACTGAATCTATACTAACCGATGTAACAGCACACCCATTTAGGGTTCCTCAATCATCGAAGAATTCAATTGATTCAAAATCCGTTATTTCAAGAAAACATAGATCGTTAACTGAAGAAAATGTTCTTGTTTTAGACGGATTACACAGCCACAGTTATCGAACTAGATTGAATAAGTTATTAGAGGCAGATTTCTCGAAAGCTTTCCAGGAGGATCTTTATAACGATGGTGAGTCAAATTGGACAAAGATTACTAGAGAAAATTCGTCTCTTTTCAATGCTGAGATAAATGCATTGAAAGAAGATGCTGATATGGATACTGAAGACGTAATTGAAATTCCAAGCAGTAGGAATTCAAGCAATAATGCTAGATATCTTGCCACTTCTAGAAATGCATCCGATGGATCTACATTAGGAGGATCTGACAATTCGAATAGAATTATATCAGGCCATTATGCTCCGCCAACTGAAAACCGTATACTTTCTGGAAGCTCACTTCTTTCAAACAACCATAATGGTGTCAGCATTAAAAGAGATATTTCCGTCAGTTCTTTAACATCCAGTCAGATGATGGAAGAGTTCACTAGGGACATCGATTCAAAATTTGCACATCTTGACATAATTACTGAAGACCTGTATTATGAAGATCTGAATCAATTCACTTTTCAGCCTCCTCCAATCGATCAGCAGATGATAGAGAAAGCGAAACAACAAGATTTGACGAATGCAAGTAGTAAGTATAGTGCTACTACTGATGATGAAGAATTCTATTCTCCAAATGAATTTGAAGAAAAGTTTGAAGCTAAATCCCAAGAGCAATCAAATTTTATTTCATTACAGAGGCCCTTCTTGGAGAACCCCCATGCTTCTAGACATTTGACAACTAATTCAATCTCAAGCGAAGTAACAATGACAAATGAAAACAATAATCAGTCTTGCGTAAACTCTGATAAAACTAAAGAGATTATAACCGTGGTCAAGGATAAATCAGATTCAGAAGACATTCTCTTAAGTGATTTCCCTCATAACCCAGACAGTTATTTATCTGAATTGTTAGATGGCACATTAAGATTTGATTATGACTTGGACGATAAAGATGAGGGTCCCAGAAGAAATGAAGATGAACGTAAAACTAATGTACAAGCAGATAGAGGTACCGCCTCGAGAAAGGAACTGCCACCAATCTTCCAAAGTCCATCATTAACATATTTAGCAAGCTATATAAGAAGTGGCAAGACGATCCCCAAAGATATGGACAGAATAATTACTGGAGAACCTACAACGTATAAGTTTGGTAAATATTAATAAATGCATATTTATTTCAATTGAAGTTCTTTCTTCCTATAAATAGTTAGTTTATATCGTCGAAACAGCAGTAACTAGGATCCATCAATTTCCATGGCGACTTGAGAAACAAGCTATTTAATGGTTATAGATGCATATTTCAATTGAAATCATTTTCTTCTTCTCGTTTATAATTAGTTTTGAGTTAAAATCTTTGTAACAGCAGCTACTATGGCTTCACCAACTTCTCTGGTAGAACTAGATCCACCTAAGTCAGCAGTTCTAATACCTGAATCAATGACTTGGCCAACTGCCTTCTCCAATGCCTCAGCTTCTTTGAGAGAGTCTAAGGATAACCTTAACATCATAGCGACAGATAAGATAGTAGCTACAGGGTTCACCTTGTTCTCAGGTAAATCTGGAGCGGAGCCGTGACATGGTTCGTATAAACCGAATGCCTTGTTAGAATCTGGAAGAGAAGCCAAAGAAGCAGAAGGTAATAAACCTAAAGAACCTGGGATAACAGAAGCTTCATCAGAAATGATATCACCGAACATATTAGATGTAATAACGATACCATTTAATTTCTTTGGTGATTGAACCAAAATCATAGCAGCGGAGTCAATAAGTTGATGCTGAATGGTCAATTGTGGGAATTCTTCTTTGATAACCTTTTCAACAGTCTTTCTCCATAATCTTGAGGAAGCTAAGACGTTGGCTTTATCCAAAGACCAGATAGGTAAAGGAGGGTTATGTTGTAAAGCCATGAATGCAGCCATTCTGGTGATTCTTGTTACTTCGGCAACACTATATTTTTCAGTATCCCATGCTGATTCACCGTCAGTAGATTCAGATTGTTCTTGTCTTTCTCCAAAATAAATACCACCAACCAATTCACGAACAACAGTGAAGTTGGTACCTCTGACAATTTCAGTCTTTAATGGGGATAACTCCAAAAGAGATTCAGAAACGAAGTTGCATGGTCTCAAGTTGGCGTAAAGGTTCAATTCCTTTCTGATCTTAAGAAGACCTTGTTCAGGTCTAACTTCACCTGTACCCCACTTTGGACCACCGACAGCACCAAGAAGAACAGCATCAGATTTCTTTGCTGCTTCAAGAGTAGCATCTGGTAATGGGACACCGGTGGCATCAATAGCAGCACCACCGATTAAGTGGTTAAGAAATTCAAACTTAATCTTTTGGTATGGGGTATGTTCTTCGATCGCCTTTAAAACTTTGACAGCCTCACTACAAATTTCGGTACCAACATGGTCACCTGGCAAAACAGTGATGGTTTTAACAGTGGTAGACATATTTCAATAGATTGTAATTATAGTTATAAGTAAGTAGTGAATAGAATACTGGGGAAAGAAGATGAAAATAAAATAATTGGAGTGAAAAATCGAAAGTTGAACCAGTGAGTTTTTCGGTGCCGGTGAAAATAATATTCATCCCGGTAACGGGAAAATCACGTGTGAGATATGACTAACAGAAAGAAAGAACTGCAACAAGAACAGGAGGCGGAAGCCGAAGCCTACAACATTAATGGGATTTTCATACAACATGTCATAAAACAGAATAAATACACAAACTGACTTGCTCGTACGTCGAATATACACAATTTTTCTTAATCTCTCCTCAATAAAAGTGCTTTTACTTGTTACCTCTCTTAATGACCACTCCATTCAATTGTGTTTAAGTCAATTCCTTCTTGAACCATTTCCCATAAGGGAGACATCTTCCTTAAGAAGTCAACTCTTTCTTGAATAGCAGCTACGACATAGTCAATTTCAGCTTCAGTAGTAAATCTACCAATACCGAATCTAATGGAAGAATGTGCTAAGGCATCATCCGCTCCAAGAGCATGTAAGACATAGGAAGGTTCCAAGGATGCTGAAGTACAAGCGGAACCTGAAGATAAAGCGATGTCCTTTAAGGCCATTAACAATGATTCACCTTCAATGTAGGCAAAAGAAATGTTAACACATCCAGGGTACTGGGATGCAGGATCTAAACTACCATTCAATTGAGTGGATGGAATTGATAATAATCCCTTCTTCAATTTTTCAGAAAGTCTATGAATGTATTCCTGATCGTACTAGAGAATTTGTTAGTAATAGATAATAAAAAAATGAAAAGAATGCTTTTTCCTCTTCATTTTCAGATCCTTGCATAAATGTTTTCTATTCATAAGAAGAAACGATTGAGATTTAAAAAGTGTTTCTTCCCTCAGAAAACGGAATCATCATTTATGAGGAGAAAGCTAATTGATTTTGTATACATACTTTCATATCTTGCTTCATTATTCTTGCAGCTTCACCGAATCCTGCAACTAATGGAGGTGCTAAAGTACCTGATCTTAAACCTCTTTCTTGACCACCACCAGTAATGATAGGGTCTAATCTAACTCTTGGACGTCTTCTTACGTAACATGCACCGATTCCCTTTGGCCCATAGATCTTGTGGGACGAAATAGACAATAAGTCGATGTTCATTTCATTTACATCAATGTCAATCTTACCGTATGCCTGAGCTGCATCAGTATGGAAGAAAATCTTCTTAGAACGGCAGATTTGACCAATTTCTTTTAATGGTTGAATGACTCCAATTTCATTGTTTACGGCCATGACAGAAACTAAACAAGTTTCCTTTCTGATAGCCTTTTTCAAGTCGTCCAAGCTTATTAAACCTTCTTCGTTTACTGGTAAATAAGTAACTTCATACCCTTCATCTTGCAAGTGTCTAGCCGAATCTAAGACACACTTATGCTCAGTTTGGGTGGTAATAATATGGTTTTTAGTTTTCTTGTAAAATCTTGGAACACCCTTAATAGACATGTTGTTAGATTCTGTGGCTCCAGATGTGAAGATAATTTCCTTGGGATCCGCATTTATCACGTCCGCAATGTAAGAACGAGCTTTCTCCACTTCCTTTTCAGTCTCCCACCCATAAGAGTGTGTTGATGAATGTGGATTTCCATAGAGTCCAGTGTAGAATTCCATCATCTTATCTAAGACTCTTGGGTCTGTAGGAGTTGTGGCTTGCACATCAAGGTAAATTGGTCTAGTACCAAAGAGAGACTCATCTCTGGAAGCTGTCTTTAAAGTGATGGCCGATCCATCTGGAGCTTGTGCGTTGCCAATAACCACAGTAGCATTAGCTCCTGAATTCGATTCAGCAGCGTTTGTGGCAAAAGAAGTTATCTTCGATTGTGATAACAAACGGACTCCTCCAACACGGCGTGCCAGCGAACCCCTGGCAATATTACGAAGTATTTGTCTTGATAACATAACTGCAAACTACTTCTTATTCTTTCCTGTACACCTTTGAAGTAATAAAAAGATTTAAACACTGCAAGAAGTAATTTACTTAGTGAAAAAAAAACTGGAGCAAATTGATCATCGACTTTAATTTTGTATTGAAAATTAATGATTATTCAGATTTTTTCGGATATCGGACTGCATATAACTATCGGATCGGACAGAGATAAATTTTCGGGACATGGAAATACTGTCGGGGATACTAGAGGTGATTGGAGTTAAAAGTAGGGTAACACAGGCTATTTTCTTTATACTAGCTATGAATCTATCTAACTATCTATCTGATGATCTATTCGTTTCTTCTATTTTTTGCGTATCTTAGTATATACAAGATAATTCAGTTCTTTTCTTTCAAATGAATTTTTCGTCGCTCATTGAAATATCTATCATCACACTTGGACATTAACCTTAGCTTAAACTTCTTCTTCTATCACTCAAAGTGGAGCTAACGAATTCGTAGCATCCAAGAAAAATTGCTCCTCCTGCACTAATCCACATAGTTCTTGGACCTATTCCATTCAAAAATACGCCATACCCTTCTTCTTGTATAATAGTTTTGACTAATGTTAGAACTCCTATTCTTTCCTTATGAAGCATAATTCGGGTCTTTATGACATCAAGCGGAGTTGTCGCGGCTGCGGCAATTCCACCAGCGATGGATCCACATATGGCTCCTTTTAATAAAGATAACTCTTGGTTTGTAGTGGAGGCCCATTTTTGCTTTAACCACTCATAAAGTGGGAATTGGATCATAGTAAAGGGTATTTCTCTCATTATGGTCGTATTCCATCCTCTATAAAGTCCCCTGAGTGTCCCCTCCCCAGATTTATTCTGCAAAAGGTACAAGAAATTGGACCAAGAGCTTGACACTCCTCCTACACCTAAAATTCCTGCTTGAGTTCTTTGCTTTATAACTTCACCCGGTACTCTTACGAGACATGCAGCAATCTCTCCGCATGATGCGGAAAGCATATGAGACATTGCTGGCGCCATACTATCTTTTGTATTTCTTTTCATAGAGTCATATGTGACAAAGAATAGGGCAGCAGACGGTGCCAGCGCCACTACGCACGATCCGAGCCCCTTATAGATACCACTCCATCCACCATTAGCAAAAAATCCACCCTTTGCTTGCAACCTTGTTTTGAGAGTATCAATAGGGAAGAATGCTAGGTCTGTAGATGTACCTGCGCAACCACCGCTCTTTTAGGTTAGTGAATGTTGATTTTGAAACAAGTAGTGAATTGAATTAATAAAATAAAAAAAAAAAATGAAGAAATTAAGAATCATTCGTAGATGATATATACTCACAATCAAAGATACGAAGAATGGATCCATACTCGTACTGATAGAGTTGGCTGTAGAGTAAATGGAGAGGTCAATTGAAAATCTTTGATGCATACTCGAGAACTGAACAAGATCAAAGCCGAACTACAATCCGATGTCGATCACGTGACATGACTATGAATCTTTGTTATCAGTTTAAGCGAATTGACCTACCGTACACTTAAAGGCAAGCATTCTGGAAGCACAGCAGAGTATATTTATAAAGATTGTAAAGTACAGTAGGTTTTCCCTTTTTGAATAATATTTATTAGTTCTATGCATATGGCCCTTTCTCTACCTCTGGCATACCACTATTTTCTTCCCCATACGCCTTTTCCTAGCATATTTGAGAATTAGTGACTCAGGTTTCTTACCTACTGGTAAGTACTTGTCTATAAACGGTACAAACTCGTCGTAATCCCACTCCTTCGATACTGAAAACAAGTCTTTAAATCTGGCGGATAAGTCTCCCACCAGTAGTGAATTAGGGTTGATGTGTTGGATTTTGTTCTTCTCTTGCGCCAGTGGTCTGCAGAAGTTACCTCTCAACTGCTTAAGATCAATGGGTACATTGTAAAAGGCAGGCAACAGCAGTTTCCACGAGAGCAAGAAGTCGTTTTCCGTCAAAATTCTCGAATGTGTATCAATTAATGCCTGTAGTCCAAACCAAGCTGGAATCTTCTTGTGATCTAAGGTGACAATGTCTTTGTTGCAAATGCCAAATTTGTGTAATACAGTCTCTATAAATGCCAGCGTCATGTTAGCATTCTGAGCTTGCATCCACTCGATAATCTGAGCAGCTTCAAGCTCTTGACGGTAATCCACCCCTTCGGCAATTAAAATTGTAAGTAATGTGGAAAGGATCTCGGTGACAAAGGATCCAGAGAGAGTTGCAGCCTGGTTCTTGTACTCAGTTCCGCAAAGATCGTACCATTCCACGAAGAATTCTGTTTTGGAAATGGGTGAGAGATCTAATATCTGATCTACGGTGACGTTTGTGGAAGAGGAACTCAACTTTTGGCCGTCAAAGACTGGGAGGTTCTCTACATTGATATGACCAGAAGTTACTCGAGGTTCATACTCGTACGATAAGCTAGCAAATGAAACAATCTTTGCCTCCTCCTCACCCAGGAGTTGATTGCTACTTACATTTTGACCCATTTTATTTACCGATGTATCATTCAGCAACAAGACCGTATTGGTATGGTTCATTTGAATCAATTGGTAAGTCTTATTCTCTGTGCATAGAACTGCATAATGCTTTTTCTCATCAGGCACCTTTATAGAGAGTTCACCGCCACCAGACTCTACATATTCCAAGAGATCTGGGGCTAGCTGAATGAACTTGTATGAGCAATCCGAGGAAAACTTCGTCTGAGCGTATATATTGTACATAGTAGTAGTGGAGCTGAAGAGTGAAGCATAGAGAATCTTCAGCTTTGATTTGAAAATTGGCGCGTTTCTGTTTATTGAAATTTCGCGTACCAAAATTTCAGTGGTACATAGTGAAAATATGGGGAGCACTTCGGGTAGAGATAAGTTTAAAGAAGGTGGTTACCTAAAATACAGACATATCATGATGCCGTGATACTAGTATGAGAAATAGGTTGTTTTTGGTTTCTTTGTTGTTTTCATTTCCTACTATAAGTTTTTGCTTTTTGTTTTTATGTAGTTTTTTCGCAAGTACATTTGGGTGCCATGTTCCAACAACTCTTACACTTTCAGTCTAGTTATAGATATATTATTTATCCTCTTATATACGATAAATTAAATGCAGATAATAAATTTACTTCCTTTCTCCTCCTTATTCTTCCTTTCCTTCTCTCTAATTTTGTTCATCAATAACAGAATCAATATCAATCTCAGTCAACTTAGCATCACCAGCTAAGGAAACCTTACGTTGGTTATCAGCAGCGTATTGCAACTTGGCCAACTTAGCTTGTGGTCCCCATCCAGAAACTGGAACATTGAGCTTGAATGGCATTAACCAGTTACTAATAGTCTTGAAATCGGCACCCATTGTCACAATTTCATGGATCAAATCTTCAATACAGATGTAACCAAATTCTTCACCGAATTTTTCTTCAACAACTGCGTTGTTATCCAACTTCACAATTCTAGGTTCGCTCGTTTCTTCATCAATTGCAGAGATACAAGCTCTTTTTTGGAAAAGTTTACGAATAGAATTTAAGGATGGCTTACCAGCAAGGATATATGGAGAAATGATTTTTAAAATTGGAATGGTAGTTGGAGTCACCTTGACAAAGACACCAGTATTGGACTTCTTCAACCTAAGCAAGTTCAATACTTTTCTAGCCTTGGATGGGATTTTCAATCCCTTTGTGTGATCTGGGACTCTTACGATGAAAAGAAGCTTTGAATCTACGTCATCGTCATCTTCCTTCTCCTGCAGTATGGACTGCTTTTGCTGTTCATGCTTTGTGATGTGCTTGATACGCTTGGCTTCTAATTCTGCAGATTTAAAGTTAGATACTAAAGTCTCAGCTCTGATAAACTTCTTGTTTTTGAGTAAGTTACGTTTCTTATGCTCAGCTTGTCTTATTCTGGCTTGTTCTTGCTTTTCGATACGCTTTCTCTCATTGTTCTTACGCTTACGCAAGAGGATTTCTGGGTTAGAATTAAGAGTAGCCATGTTAGATAGTTGAAAGTACAGATACTAGACTGTAGTAGGGTTAGGCTGGTTCTTCTAATTTTTCACTTCTATCTCATCTCATCCCACTGAGCAAAAAAGAAAAAAAAGACAACATGCAGGAAACTAGAGAGAACTTCAGATGAAAAGTATAATTGCATGCAGGCCAACAATTTTGATATTGGCGAGAATATCTCACAGCAGCTGAAGAAGGATGGGGTACAGGCCAAGGGGAAGTAGATGTTAAGCATCTTGAGATGACAAAAGGTAAATAAATCCACACTCGCACCCGAGGGCATTGTAGTCCTCGTGTACCTTCAAACTTGTACAGCAGTTCATTCTTACATGCATTTTGAGCTCGTAATTGTATCGCTTATGGAGCTCTCGCCCTACCGCTTATATGATAAACCTCTCTACCAAAGACAGGGAGGGGCAGGAGACTTCCCCACTATACGACTGCTAACTTCCCCCTCTACCTAGCACAATGCACCGCAATAAGGGCAAGTTTTTTTTTTCTCGATTGTCATGACATCTACGTTATGCCTGTGCCCCATTTCAAACACTTACAATTCTCACACGTTACATTCTTACTTCGCATTGTTTTGCTCTACTCATTCATCAACTTTTCAATTGCTGCAAATTGTATTTACGAATTCTCGCCCTGGCCACTCCATTTCTTATTTTATTTTTCTTCTCTCTGCCTCACTCGTTTCACCATCTTTCATTTGCCTGGTGCATTTTAGCCCTCGATTTTTGCTCCCTCCCTCTGCAGTACTAAATACTTTAAATTGGATCAACCGCACTGCACACACCACTTTTTTTTTTCCCTTCTTGGGACCAACTGACTGATTGATCTGGCACTCTGTAGAATGTCAAATTCTTTCTCAATCTTGCCTTGCCAAAAAGAGAACCACAATAAAATTGGTTGACTTTTAGCACCACAAGCTTCAACACCAAATCACCGAAAAACAGATATACCACAAGCGAAACAAGTTCTGAAATAGACACATACTCAACCTCAGCATCCCCCCTCACTCCACTCATCTTCCACAGCTATTGAAACCCCAAACTTCTATCCAGTGCTGTCTCATCCCTTGCACCGTTTTGCTCCAACTCATCCCAGCAAATTTCAGTACAGCCCTCAAAATTAAGCTCCGAGATTTTTCTTCCATTTCGATTCTTTTTTTTTTTTTTTTTTTTTTTGACTTAATAAAGTTCCTTGATCCAGTGATCCAGAGGGCAGTACTTAATTAAAAATAGAATAGGCAAAGTTCCACGAAAAAAAGAAAAAATCAAAAAGCAGGTAAAATAAAATAGAAGCTACAGTCGTAATTTACAACTCAGCTTGGGAGATAGAACGAAAGGCTAAGAACTTCCTCTCTATACAGCAGATAAGCGGTCAGATCAATAATAACCACTACCCCCTACCCTCAGATCGCTAAATACTCGCTCCCTTGATCGGTGAAAGGTCCAAATCTTGTCAACAGCATTTTTGATCTGCTTATCAAACCTCAAGGACTAAGAAAAAAAAACCAAAAACCCCAAAAACCAAAAAACATCCCCAACAGGTCCAAATTTCAACAAAAAAGAGAAGAGCTGATTCTTTTAAACACGATCTAGTTCAATAATAGTTCGAAAACCCCTAGACTAACTTAAAAAGAAAAGTTATTCTGTGTCGCATGTCTTTTCATGAACAATCCATACAGCGCTAATAAAGATGATCAGCAGCAGGGGCCACCTCATAATCCTATAGAAGATCCATACCATAGGCATCAGGAAATCGATCCACCAGATCATGTAGACCATGAGTATCTGCAGAATCAGGATTATCTTGGTCTGTCCCTGCTGCTTATCAACCAACCTCAATATTTTCGCTCCCAACAGCAACAGCAACAGCAAGAGCAACAGCGGCAGCAATTTCTGCATCAACAGCGACAGATCCAAAATTATAACCAGCAAATGCAACTTCAATTTGAGTTGCAAAGACAGCAGCAGCAGCAGCAGCAGCAACAGATGCACGTACAATATCAAGTGCAACCTCAACAGCATTTCTCTCAAATTTCATACCCACAACAATTTCTAGGAGCGCCCCATGATACTTACCTAGCACAGCCACAACCTCAGACGAAAAGTATCTCTCCAGATAAGAAAAAGACTGTTTCAAGGATAAGAACCCCTGATAACACTGCATCAAGTTCAACTGTAAATATCTCCGAACTGCAGCTAACAGGATCTGCCAGGAAAAGGCATCGTAGATCAGACTCCACTAATATAGATGACTCTGATTTTGAACTTAAACAATTAGCATTTAAAGCATCTGAGATACCCTTGACCGAGTTGGCATTAAAGATCAAGGCAGTGGAGAATGATGACAATATCCCTGAGAGCAAACCAAGCAGCTCTGCAACATCGACAGGAGTTTCTGCGAGTGTGACTGGAACTGCAACTGGAACTGTTGCAACCACTGGAGTTGTCCCAGGAGGAGTTATTAATACTAGCAAAGAGCGCCAGAGACAAATATTTGCTATGGTTTGGTTGCTTGGCTCGTGTGAATCCTCTGCCACAGCTGTCGTCCCCAGGAACAGGATCTATGCCAGATATGTACAACTATGTGCAGATAACAGCTTGAAACCATTATCTCCAGCCAGCTTTGGGAAATTGGTAAGAATTTTATTTCCTAATTTGACTACAAGAAGATTGGGTATGAGAGGTCAATCTAAGTATCATTATTGTGGTATTAAATTGGTTGGAGATAACAGCTTCCAAGATTTTAATAACTCGCAATCTCCAGCATCTGTTTCATCGTCATATGGCGTTGATTCACCACAGTCCCAAGGAGCGAACACTCCTTCATTTTTTGGTAGTCCAATAACCATTGGGACTACCCACTCAAATTTTTCCACTCCTGCTGCAGCAGGACTTTCAGCTGCCTCGACAGAGCCTACTTTCACTTTGTACCAACAACAAGCTCAATACTTTCAGTATCAACAGGGCTTTTTGAAGTATATTCCCGATCTTTTTGCCATGATTGAAAAATCCATGAGTTCAGATAATATGAATAAGTCACCTATAGTGTTACCATCAATATATCCCTATTTACCTAGAGATTCTGACTATGATATTGCTGATACTTTGTATTCATTATATCGTGTACATTGCACTACAGTTTTCGAAAGTTTGAGATACATGCACATTAAGAAGCTATTTACAGCTTTTTCCAATTTTACTGGAATTTTAACAGCACCTGTCTCCAAACTTTATGGCAGTGAATTTGTGTTTGAATGGGTGAAAGAGTGTGATAATGTCATGTACAGGTCAATGACCAAGATGTTAACTAAACTACATTTGCAAAATGTTCCTGCTGATGTCTTAGACAACTTGAAAATTATTGCATCGCAGTATACTGATAAGCTTTCAATGAGCATTCAAAACAAAGTTCCAAAATCTTTCATAATTATGAAACTTACAGGCGCACAAAGATTTGTTAAATCATTATCTAGGTTGATTAGAGTCATTGAGACTGGGCAGAGCACGGCAAGAATTTTAAACAATTCCATTGAAAGGCAAGCAATGCTTGACGATTGGATGAAGTTAGAGATAAATGAAATTGTTTTGCGCGAAGTTCCATGCTCTAATGATAATGTCCAGATATTATTGAGAATTTTTGGTACTGAGTTTATCGCTTTGTTTGATAAGAAGAGCAAGGATGACCATAGGGGCAATCCTTTCTTGTCAAATATTGCGAGTTTTGTTTCGAACCTCCCGTCTAGATTTTCTCGAGTGAATGCAAGGATGTTTTTGCTAGTGACCAGCAATTTACTCACTACATGTCTTCGAGAGATCAGTTTGTCTGGAGGTCAAGGATTTGGTGCTTGGTGGGTTGTACGGTGCTGGGTTGATGAATATCTTAACTGGTACTTTGAACTCGGAGGAATTTTACAAGAAGAATTCCGAAACAATTTCGAAAAAGAAATTTCACAACCACTAAAGACTGAACCACATGAGCAAGATCGTTTGGAACAGCTTGCACTCGCAGAGCATGCACATACACATGTAGATGATCCAGAGCTTGACAATAGAAAGATTTTTGACTTGTTGGACGATTCCAAGGGATTTGAAGACATTATAGGTGATGCATCGACAGAAGGACTATTGGACCTCGACCATGTTGGAGTAGAAAAATTATTAGGCAAGAGTGATGATATCTTGGGCCTACACTAAATCATTAGCTATATCATCAATAGCATTGCATAAGAAATCGGGTTACATCCTGAAATAAGAAAAAAATAAAGTTAAAAAGATTATAGTTATTATAAATATACAATTCGGAAATTATATAGAATGCAACACACCAAGTAACATTATTGCAATAAGTAGAAGGACCAGAGTTTCTGGCTAATATTACCTATCAATTCTAATTCGTTCTTTTTTTCACATTTGTATCGTTATTTCCCCTAGTTTACACATCGTTCAACGCGACACACACCGCTCCCTTGTGGTGCCCGTTGTATTGTCTGACAGTTTCACTATTGGATAAGTCCCAAAGTCTAACATAATGATCAGAACATGCTGTCACCAAATAAGCACTATCAGCACTGAAAGCACAATCCCAAACCCATCTCTGGTGTCCCTGCAAAGTAGTTTCTAAGTTGAAATTCTGCTCTGTCGACCAAATTCTGGCAGTGTGATCTGCAGAACAAGTGGCTAAGTGCCTCATGTCCGTCAGGAGGACTACTCTAGTAATATACTTCAGATGTGATCTAAACTTCGTCACAGGTGTGAGCGAAGTTACATCTCGTTGGTTCTGCATTTTCCACACATAGCAGTTTCCTTTGTTGTTACCAGCAACAAGCATCGAGCCATCGCTGGCCACAGATAAGGAATTTATCGGTACATCATCCTCAGGAATCAAGTGATGTGTACATTGATTTTCACCGAGATCCCAAATTCTAATGTTCCCATCCTGATCACAACTGATCAATTCACCTTGGTTTGGGTGGATCACGACTTCGTTGACGGGACAGTGATGCTTATAATTCCTCTGCACCGAAGGAGTTCTTACGTCCCAAACTTTAACCATTCCATCTTCCAGCGAGGTAACCATCCATTTATTCTCAATTTGGAATGCCAAAGACGTCACGTTGCTGGTGTGCCCTTCAAACGTCATTACAGGATTAGAATTATTGTTTGAGGATCCATTACTGGCTGACGAACTACCAGCTCCGCCACCAGTTCCACCCCCTCCGCCACTCGGGTGATTACTGCTACCATTATTGTTTGGATTATTACTGATATTGGCTGCAGATGTAGTTCCATTCCCGGAGTTCCCTGTTTGGCGAATATCGTACAATCTGACGTAGAGGTTCCCTGCCGCTGCCAAGTACCGCTTATCTGATGTGATTTCAAGTCTATTCACCTGAGAATCTGTATGCTGAATTGTTCGAGAGCACACACCAGTGAGAGCATCCCAAAACCTAATTGTGTGGTCGTAACCTGCAGAAGCTAATATGACAGACATTGTACGCCTTAGAAGAACCCTTTGGTGTTAATGGGCTCTGGAAATTACAAATTTCGCTTTCTGATAAACATGTTGTCCTGCAGATAGTGAGCTGAGTGAAAGCTTGAAAAACTCGTAGAGTGCTTACATGGAATAAACCAAGGTCAAGCTAATTGGACTTGGTAGGCTACATTGTGTACTTATCTTGTATTTGCATTTATTTGTTTATATTGATACGTATGTTTGGTTTGATTAAATTTTAATTATCTTGTTGTTTATTTTGGAGATGATGTATCACTCCAAATTTGCCAATGCTGCTATATGTACACATCTGATGGAATTCAGACATCAAAAGAGGTATTCTTCTCTCTCTCTATATATGTATATTCTTTCATTTAAAAGTTATCGAGAATAGCCTTCTTTTGATCAGGTGTTAATGAAAGAGGATAGTCTACCTTGAAAATAATTTCCAAATCTCCCCTAGATCCAGGGCTCTTGCTGATTGGCATACCTAACCCTGGATAGGTGGTGGAGGTGTTTGGTTGGACTGGGTTGGATCTGTGTAAGTTGATTCTCTTACCATCGATAGTGGTAACTTCCTTTTCAAATCCACAGAGCGACTCCTTGAAAGTCAATGGCACATTCATAATTAAATTGTTTCCGTCTCTCTTGAATCTTGGGTCTGGTTTTTCTTCAATGATGAATTTGATGGTTTGTCTAGCTTGACATTCCGCTTGATAATCTCCAGTGCCGGCAAAGTTGACCTTGGTACCAGCTTTCCAACCTGGTTTGATTGTTATTTCAATAATCTGTTGTTCCTTATTTCCTGATATACCCTTTCTATTGATCTTCATCTTTTTAGTGGCTCCCTTGAAAAGATCTTCTAAGGAAACTGGTAGCGCCATTTCAACAGTATCTGGTTCGGGCCTACTCTGACGACCTCCTCCCATACCACCTGGCATTCCTCCTCCAAATCCACCTGGCATACCTCCTCCAAATCCACCACGACTGGATCCTCCAAATCCTCCGAAATCATCACCTCCTCCCATGCCGAAGCCACCCATTTGACTGAAAATGTTGAAAGCGTCTGCTTGCGAGAACCCGCCAGCACCTCCTCCACCAGATGAAAAGTGGAAACCTCCTGGTCCACCACCAGCACCGCCGGCACCACCAGCTCCAGCAAATGGATTCCCGCCAGCAGGAGCATTTCCTCTGGCTGCTTCTATTCCATAGTCGTCATATACCTGTCTCTTATCGGCATCTGACAAGATGTCGAACGCTTCAGAAATTTCCTTAAACTTCTCAGTATCACCAGTTGGCTTATCTGGGTGATACTTCAACGCAGTTTTTCTGTACGCCTTTTTGAGTTCCGCTTCAGAAGCTGAAGGGGAAACCCCTAATAAATCATAAAGTTTTGTCTCTTTAACCATTTCGCTGTGACTTCTTTTCTTGCTTGTTCTTGAATTCTGATTTCTTGTCGTCAAACCGAATTATTTTTCTTCTTTTCTAATAATTTGTAATTTTTAGTTGTGAAATGAACTAACCATATATATATATACGTGTGTGTGTATGGAGTCTTCTGATTGCGCAAAAGAAAGAGAAGAAAGAGAAGAAGAAGAAGAAATTTTATCAGTTAGGCTCTTCCGGAGCAAGTATCCTCTCATATATTTCAGAGGGAAAAAAAAGTTCAGCGTTCCTTCTGAGTGTAGTGTGCGACTTAGCTTTACTGGAACTTTCTAGAATCTTCGCGCAAGGGGATTTCTCATTAAACCTCTGGGAGGTTGGTAGGAGGGAGTTTTTAGAAACATCACCAACATTTAGACTGCTACATGGTTAATTGGTAATAGGTCTACAACAGTAAGCTATAAAAAAAATATTTAATGATTTAGATGAATAGACTTATTTTGGTTCTCACTTCAAACACCTTCATTGGAAAAGTGTAGAATAATTTTCTCGACCTTCTCATCTTGTTGTTACCTAGAGTTGCTTCTTATTCTTTTCAATCTTCTTCAATGCTCTAATTCTGATGCTTTTGTGCATGCTGAAATTCAACTTATTGGCAATTGAAGAAAATGTACCCACCGAATTTTCAATTGCGAAGTGCATCAATGCATGAGCCCAGAATGGAGTCGAGGTTGCAAATCTTTCTTGCGCACCACCGCGACGACCAACGGAACCCAAAACAGACTTAACAAACTGCTTGGGGGTTGGGATTGTTGCAGAGGATCTTCTAATCTTGGACATGGCAGAGGTAACCAAGTAGGAAACAATCAATTCAACGTCGATTCCCTCTGGCTTCAACTCACCAGCCAATGCAGCGGACCAAGCTTGAAGGAATGCCTTAGATCCAGAGTACGTAGCCAAGTATGGGGTTGGTAATAAACCTCCAAAGGATCCCATGGTCAAAATTAAGCCTCTGTACTTCTTCTTGCTTTCCTTCACTGTTTCAAGAATTCTGGGGGTGACAGCTTGAGTGATCTTTAAGGTGGCAGTGTTGTTAATAGTTATAATGTCACGTAATTCCTTATCATTAGTTTCTAAGAATGGAACTGGGATGGAATGAGATTGACCTACATTGTTGATAAGAACAGTTACTGGCAATTCTGCGATGGACTTGGAAATGGTTTCGTAGTTGGCTTCTTCATCGACCGAAGCATCGAATGCAATGATCTTCGTTTCCACTCCGAATTTGCTGGCCAATTCTTCTCCGATAGCTTCTAACTTGCTCTGAGTTCTTGAAATTAAAACAATATTGAATCCCCTACTGGCCAATTGGAAAGCATACTCCTTACCAATTCCATCTGATGCACCGGTGACTACAGCCCAGGTCTTGCCGCCTTTGGCACCATACTTCTTTAAATCTGTAGATGGTAGTATAAATAAATCTGAGATAAGTGCGATAGTACTCAATGAGAAGATAGTCAATTTATAGACACCTACAAAGAGTGCAGCATAAAGAACACCCTGTGTGAGCTTGGACTCAGAAATTGAAGATACAAATTGTTGAATAGGCATGCTGGCTATTGGTTTTGACTTTGTTAACTAGAAGAGCATGCAATTATTCAGTGGTGCTAGAAATATTTCTGAAAAATCCAACAAAACAAAAATCTTAGGAGTGCATATAGTATGAACTCGTATGGGCCCTGGCGTTTGAGACACAGAGCCTAATGGGCTAAATAGTACAGCAAGGTAAAGGGAAGGAGCACCTCCAGAAGAGTCAGTTCTTACAATCTTGAATATAATTTATGATGCTATCCTAGTTTACTATATCTCTAGCTGCTGTTACACCATAATGCGGTACTTTTCTCCCTTAAGTTGAGGAGCTCCTGCCTCTCCCGTTCCTAGAGGTAGGAGAACTCCTCCAATTTTTCATTCGTTATCTGTACATTAAGATCCTCATTCTGTGCATGGCGCTCAAGGTGACTCAAGCTGATTTCAAGATTATGCCTTGCTTGATTTAGCTCAAGAAGCGTCTTGTCCACTGCGTCGAGCTCATTTTGTCGTATGTCAAGGGTCTTTGCCGTCGATTCGTCTTTAATTTGAAGGATTTCGACCCAGTGAGAATGGCTTTGTGCCGCGCTTGACTTCGAACGATGTTGCGGCAGAGCTTGGGATTGGGAATGTGATCTAGAGTATTGACCAGCAGACTGTGAGTTCAGTTGTTGCTGGTACGAATGTGAGACTGATCCCGAGTGGCTCCCTCTTCCCTTGTATCCATAAGACGAACTAGATGACGACCTTTCCAGGTATGAAGAGCCGGGTCTAGAGCTTCCTCCACTATACCTCCTATCTTGATAGTTCGACGTGCCAGCTTGGCCGTACCCGTGACCAGCACTTTGATTATAGCCTGCATTCTGAGCATATCCTGTTCCACCGATGCTGGGCGCATATCCAGGGTCTTCGATGCCTGTGTTATCATTATAATGGTCATAATAATTTTGTGGAAGCTGTTGTCTTCCTGGCCTGCTACCATTTCCGTAATAACTCAGCAGCTGTTGGTCCCCAGAGCCAGAGCCACGGCCACCCCTTCCGCCCCTATATCCACTGTTTCCACCACCCCTTGATCCCCTGTATCCACCACCGCCATTTCTCTGATTGTAGTAGTCACTATCACCTCTGTAATCCATGTTTTCTGATGAGGAATGAAGTCGTTTTAGTATCAAGTTGTTTTTCATTTTTTTTTACGTTCTTCAATATCTAGCTATGTGCAGGTTCGCAATATGCAGGAATCATTCTGGTCTCACTGGAGTACATCGCAAGTCAAAAGGCACCATGGCAGGAATGTGAAGTAAGACTAACCATAGAAGGGGAAACAGAAAAGGGGAAGTGGAGAAAAGAAACGAGATAGCTGAGCAAGTTACCCAGCTGCACACCTTTCTACCTCAATTCAATACAAACTCACTTGCCCCAAGCGATATACCTATGCAATGAAGCTTCTATAAATACAAACGTTCCTAATTACTACTCCTAAAAAGGCAATTGCATCGACGTGCGCTCCTCAAATCGCCAACAATGATTTCCTTTCCGCACTAGTCATGCAGTACCGATCAGATTTGGCATACCAAAAGTTTATGTGCAAGCAATCGAAGGCATACGGTTGTTTAAAAGAGCTGCACTTATACAACAGGAAGGGGGCATAAGATCACATTATTCAGCTACTATATATCATTTAGCTTATACTACTACAGCTGAACTGAAAATTTACGATTTGCACCCACTTTGCATCACTTAGTTGCCACTTTTCTCCATTGAAAGCTTTTGCACCCATAAGCTAGTAGACGAAAATTTGTTGGGCTAGTATGGAATCATTATTTGACGCTGTTTGGAGCGAAATAACCTTACCAGGCTCACTTACCATCACTGTAGACCAACTCCCGATACTTATCCACTCAGTGGAGCGCCACTTGATGAAAATAACTGGACTTCAGTCACCACCCATCACGAATGACGCACATGTGACCAGCGAAATGAATCATGCCATAAATAAGATGACAAGCACAAGGAAAGAAAACCTTCTTAGCAGAAAGGATGCCTTATCTTTGATTAATAAACTACTAGTCGATATCAAGATCATAGATATAGACTCAAAACTAGCATATGGAGATTTCAATGATGATTTTGAATTCTACCAAGACCACCTCAATAACCTCATAATAAAGGATAATAATGTGGTGAACCAAGGCAGTAATAGCAGCAGGACCAGTATCGTTCTGGACTTTGAATATGAATATGACTACGGATATGAAGATGAGGAAGATGACTTAGACTCAATTATGGATATGGGTCCCCTTACTTCGTCTTCCCCATCCATATACGATGTGGATCCACCCATCAACCATTACATTAGAGATTCTCTATTTGAGATAAATAAGCACCATTTACTAATAAAATCTAAGTTTTTATACTCAGAGCTTTTACTAAAGGATATTAAGCAACAGAGTGGTATCGACTTACAACTTCTAAAGGATTTGAATGAATCTAACGACAAAGTACTGGCAAGAATAGGTAGCTTGAGACAAGAGTTAATGGAATTGAGCGACTATATGGGAATAGAAATGCATGAAGAAGAAGAAGAAGAAGAAGAAGAAGAAGAGTCCGATTATCAGGGGTCCGCTACATCAGATTCTTTCTCTTTCGAAATTCCGAAATCTGACGAATTCATTCAAAATTGGATGCTTCTTCCTAAAGGCACTCCTATAAATGCTCCTACAAACGAAACATCATCTACAATAATCTTATTTATATCAATTTTCATTCTAATACTTTCCTATATCTTATCTATATAGTAAAATACCATGCATCCAATATGAAGTACCCATGTAGTAATCCATGATATTATTCCAGTTTTATGAAATTCTGGGCCAACACAGTTGTCCCACGGGATTCAAATGCATCTGTAACGTTCCCCTTAGTTAGCTTCCAATGCTTTCCATTAATTTCTTTGTTTTTCTAAGTCTTTTTTGCATAATTCTCAATGTATTCATCTATCCCATGTTAACACTTCTTGGATAGCTGTCGTAATTTTCACCATCTTCTTGGAAATATGGATGGATAATGGCTCTCTTGGCACTGATTCTCCCACTTGGGTCGTAAACAAGCATTTGCCCCAACAAGTCAACTCCATCTTCATCCAAAGTTGGCACAAATTCACTCAAATTTTTCTTTGACCATTTGGGGAAAGTTGGCTTAAAATCAGGCAAGTACTGAACGTCAGGCCAAATCTCTTCAGTTGGAGTTCCCAAGATTCTGAAGATTCTGAAAATCTCATCGATTTCTGAATCCCCTGGAAATAACGGTTTCCTATTGCACATTTCAGCAAATATACAACCTACAGACCACATATCCACCCCAGTGGAGTATTGCTTACCACCCAACAAAATTTCAGGTGATCTATACCATAAGGTGACAACTTCATGGGTGTAGGCTCTCAATGGGACACCAAATGCTCTGGCTAACCCAAAATCGGCTAACTTTAAGTTACCCTCTTTGTCGATCAACAAATTCTGAGGTTTCAAATCTCGATGCAACACACGATGACTATGACAGTATTTGATTCCCTTAACTAATTGGTTCATGAATCTCTTCACCATATCGGATCCAAGCCCAACACCTGCAGGGATAGACTCCATGTACTTCTTCAAATCCAAGTCCAAAAATTCAAACACCAAGTACAATTTGTGGGAATCAGAGTGAACAATATCATACAACCTCACAATGTTGTTGTCTCTCATTTCCTTCAAAAGCGAAATTTCCCTGATCGCAGTGGAAGGGACACCTTCATCTTCACTTTCCAACCTGATCTTTTTAAGGGCAACAACTCTATTATTGTGCTTAGTGTCCAACGCCTTATAGACGACACCATAAGTTCCTGTATATTGTTAGTATTTCCATGGCCAACGTCTCCGACACTCTTCAATCTTCCTCCCAATTCCTTCTTTTCCCTTGTTCATTCTCCTTCTCTTCTACACATACCTTCTCCAACCTTTTCTTGTCTGTGATAATCTGAGAGCTCTACCATATTGTAGTTTGCAGTTAATAGTCTCTTGCTGTTTCTTTCTAGATCGTCTTCTTTTCTAATTTTCTTGTTTTATTTTTTCCTGCTTGAGGCGCGTGTGCATTTCTGATGCTTGAAAAGAAAACAAAGAGGAAAAAGAAAATGAGACTGCATATAGGCTGAATAGTAGGGTTGGTGCATGGTGGTTGCACGGCTGGTTACACCAGAGTGCCATAGGTTGTACAGGTGGATGAATCGATTCTAGCACTTCGGCTCAGCTTTTAGTATGGTGCCGGGGTATCGATACTGGTACATAGCTTACTTGAGGACTCTGCTGTTGCTGCTGCTGGCACTACTCTCTCTAGTGATGCCCGCTATACACTTCTATACACTGCTACACTAATACATTTCTTTATGTCACTAAATTACCTTTTATTCATTACCCATAATCTCCCAGTCTTCGTATATACTTCTCTACTCTGACTCATCGCCATCTCCAGCAGCACAAACTTTAATCTCTCTACCCCATTCACTGCTTAAAATTTGCTTCCCGTTTATCCTTCTCTCTGGCTTAGGATCCAATATACTGTAAATTACATTACGGCACCTGGCTCTCTTTAACGACTCTATTGGTTCGTATCCTGTAGCATCCTTCCTCTTCAATAAATACTCATGAAAGAATTCATCTTTCTTGGGGTCCGCAAGCTTCCAAAGTTGTCTACCAGTACGCATGGCCATATATATTACACCACATGCCCAAATATCAACTCCTCTAGGGTCAAACACCTTTTGTGTGAATTCTTCAGGAGCAATATATGGAGATGATCCACATACACCTTCACTTAATTGGATTTCTTTTTCCCACGCCATTTTGAAGCATTCTCCGTTCCCGAAATCGGTAATTTTCAAAACACCTCTCTGAGTCAATAGCAAGTTTTCAGGTTTCAAATCCCTGTGACTTACTCCCATATCATGCATGTAGTTAACACCTCTAATCAATTGTTTGAAAAAGCAATCAGCTTCTGCGTATTCTAACTTTCCCAGAGCAATAATCAATGTATACAAGTCACCACCAGAACAAAACTCCATAACCTCACAATAATCTCCCTTCGCATCCTTCAATAAATCTAAAGTATCAATAATATTCATATGCTTTAAAGAAGACGAGATACAAAATTCACTTGTTAATCTTCTGTTATATTTCTGGTCCAGTTCAGAAGGTTTACGTTTAAATTCTTTGACTGCGAAAAGGACTTCTTCGTTAGAATTTGGGTTGGCCTTCTTATGTGATACTCTAACCACACCGAATGACCCTTTACCAATTACTTCTTGACATCTTCCGTACTTTTCGACAAAAGATCTGCAATCTTCTTCATTTCCTGAAACAGTTCCGTGGTATGGAGATGTATTATTTTTGACTTGACTCACCAAACCCGCGAACAAAGTAGGAGGTTTCGTGGTTTCTGCGACTGTACTAGTACCGTTGTTGAGTATATTTGGCAACTCACTTTTGGCTTCGTCTCTCAACTTTTTAGCCCCAAGTAAGTCCTTCAACATGTTGGAAAGCTTTTCCTGTCTCTTAGCTGATCTGAGATTATGTTCGTGCAACCCGCTCTCAAGCATTCTAAATCTGGGTTTATTGATATGTGAGTTTGGATTTGGAGCCAGAGCTCCCAAATTGGTGCTGCTTAAGTTTGAGTGCCCTCCAATGGTTGGCTTAGAGATTGATGAAGAGCGAGAGACCGTAGCATTGTTTGAGCTGCTGTTGTTGGCCCCATTACTGACGCTGCTGTTAAGAGCAGTATTAGAGCCGCTGCTACCGCTACTATTGAGAGCTTTTCTCACGACCGACGAGTTTCTAGACACAGGTTGGGATCGTATTGGTGGATGGTATGGATGTGCTTGTGAGGCTGATACGGCGGTGCTACCTGTAGCACTACCACCATTGGTCGTTCCCAGAGCGCTGTTTACATGTCTCTCATGATTAGACAAACGAGGCGATAATCTCCCGCCTAAAGGTGAGGAAGATGATGAAAGTGTAGGTGAGGTTAAATATGTGTTGTCTCCTGATGGGGTAGTAGGAGTAGAGCTTCCGCTATTGCTTCCAACTTGTGTCCCCGAGTGTGCAATATCCTTAGTATGGAGACCCACGATACCCTTCCTTATTGCCTTCAAGCGTTCCTCTCGTTCCTTCTTGTCTACTTCGTCATCTTTGTCCTCTTCTTTAATTCCCGCACTGAAAAGTTTACCCAACTTAGAGAGTGATCTCTTAGGCTTAGAATCTCCCATGTGCTGTGCTTGTGTTTCCCTTCTTTTTGAGTTGCTGTACTGAGCACCTAACTACTGGCTATCCTAAAGTGTACCCTATACACCTTACTAATCGAAAATTCAAAAAAAAAAGGGTCCGTAATTATTTCTGCTGTAAAATTGCTCCTGTAAAATTCTCTAGCGTAAAATTTCACAGTTTTATATTTCTTGTCCTGTCGCTTGCCTACCAAGCCAAAAATAAAAGAGAAGAGAAAATTTTTTGCTTACAAAAATTTGCTTACATAAAGATGATCCCTAGTAGGAATAATATTTGTATGACATCAGTCACACTTCAGAAAATAAGGAAAATGGTGCGGTAGGAGGGAAAAAAGAAAGGAAAAAGGAAAGACTTGAGCCAGGCTCTTCTTTCTAGAAAGGTGCGAGATAGTTCCACGTAGAGTGACTAGATTGGAAGGATCTAGATAACATGTGGTGGCGGTTTGATAAGGTATACGAAGTTATTTTCGCTTGTCCCATTTAAGCTTTTCTTAGCAAAGGCTATGCACATTGTGAATGATGGTTCTTTGTTTTGCTTGATCCACAGGGAGTGAGATGGAACAGAAAAAAATTTTTAGGGTCGGAATTTAGTGCGCTAATTATTGGGGTACGTCAAGGAATATTCCTCTGCTCACTAAATATTTGTTAATTCTTAGTAAGCGGTAAGCTATGTAGAACGAAGGGCAGAAACCTAAATTCAAAATGGGGATAAGAGCAGCCTGGATCTAATCTAAATATAGAGAAGTGTGGGACAGTGCTGACAGCTGAGCTTTGATATATCTACTGCTTCTAAAATATTCTATACTTTCAAATGTCTCAGTTAATCTCTATGTTCATCTCTTCGATGATATTCACTCTCTTCCACGCTCTTTAATATTGCGCACTTCTACCACACTAAATTTCTCGCTTGCCCCGGACTTCGCCTACTGAAAATTACTAGTTGGAATTGAAGGAAAATCAAATAAAGCAAAGCAAAAGTGAAAATAGCAAGTATAGAGTAATCCTTTTTTAATGCACCCCCAGTATGAACTACTACATAGCATACCCATTCAATTTCATATACGGCTCAATCAGCTTTGCGATTGGGTTGGCATTTTCATTTTTCACTTACCCTTTCCGATATATCCCCGTACTCACTAATCTATCCTACTCCATCTTTCTTACACCAATTGTCAAGCTATTGGATATCATCGTTTATTCGATAACTTTGCCATTCAAGCCCGCATTGTACCTATTGGGGATAGATGTAAACAATTTGAGAGAAGTTGTGCCTCATGTGGAATTTTTGGTGGCGAACTTGTACCAATTTGTAGCAGTCGCTGTTTTGGTTGGAATAATCTTAGGTGTGTTAACAGGTTTAACCCTTGGATTAATTAGTTTTGTGTTGACACCAAGAAATACTAAACATAACTTGGTGTCGCACCAAAAGCAGCAGCCCCTCGGACAATCGCAGCAGGAAGCAAGGTCGCAGTTGCTTCCCCTGCATCCTCTTATCGCAAACATCCCGAATAAGCAGCTACCTCTATCGTTTTCAGACTTCAAGATAGATATAAAATACGATACTCCATCTCCTGAAAGAAGGAGTATACAAGAGGAAGAGGAAATTCGAGGCTTACCTGAGCCAGTGCAACCTAAAACAATTGAACTTTCGCACCATCCGATGAAAAGAAGTTCAGCAATCGACTATCATCATGATACTGACTTGAAAAACAGATTCGACAATGATTCTTCATTGAAAACCGAAAATGATTTGTTCACTGCAAGGACTGAAGATACCGACATCACATATGCAACGAACCAAATTAAAAACTATTCTAAATAAGAGTACTAGTCATATGCATCTTGCATAATACTTTGCGCATCGAAATGCAGAAGCACAGAAGTGTCAACCTCCATGAAATATGTAGAATCATGTTAGCTGCTGTATGGAAGTCTGAGCTAATTCTAGAAGCATATAAGAGGACTTCGTCTGATTGGGCCCCTATACCACCTGAATATGAATTTTTTTTTTATTGTCTAAAGCATACTCTACAAATTGCTTCCTGAATGGGTACGGTTATTGATGGCTGCAAAATCTATTAATTCACGTATACCAGTTTTCTATACTGTGCAATACTTTCTATACTTTGAATACTACATCTGCTAACATTTTTAATCGTTTATCGTATTAAGTACTATGTACTATGCAAATCGTAATTATATAATTTCTCCCATTATCCTATCTTGCTAATGTAATATCTTCATTGTTAATTTTTTCACTTTTTTTCATTTCTTTTCATTTCTTTTCCCTTTATTCATTTCCCATTCCCTGATTATTCAAATATTCAATATAATAAGATCCAAAAACATTCCAATGGAACTTGACTAATGTTGCGATTCTAGTGGAGATGTTGGCCATTTCGCTAGTAGATCTGGTTGCAGCTCCAGCAGTTGCATTCTTGGTACTTATTGGAAGCTTCTTTCCGCTAACTATTGTCGGAATGCTGATATTATTTAAGTTTTTACTGTTGCCTGCGGTATTAATTGTACCAGTGCTGCTGGTATTATTAGCACTAGCACTTTCATTTCCAGACCTGAGATTGCTACTTATTTCGATTAACAATTCCTTAAAAATCTTCTCTTCCATTAATCCATAAACTTCCAGATTTGGTTGGATTTGTTTGATAAGCCAAGAATATGAAAAATCAATCATACCTTGGTTTAAATTGGTAGCCCCATATGCATTCTTCACCAACTGTAACAGAATTGCGTTAACATTTCTGGTCCACTTAATGGTACCATTGTCATCAGTTACAATGGACAAGATTTCTTCTTGAATTTTGTTGATAGTATCGGGAAGTAAAGCTTTAGATTTTTCTTGCGCTGTCAATTTTCCAGAGTTATTAAAGATTAATTGCTTGTATAAAACCACACAGAGTTGAATACATACCAATTGTCTGATATCGGCACGCAATAAGATTAATCTAGTATGATCAAATGCTAAAGTCAGTGGAAATTCATTAACCATCTTTCTGCAGGATAAGAGTTCGAGGATAGATGAAATAAGGAAGTTACGGTTGAAGTGCTCCTTAGTAACATTGTTGTCAATTTCATTGGGGAATATAGTCTTCATCACCTCCAATTTCTTTTGATAGCCTCTCTTATACCATTTCAACAGATCTGCAATGTCGAGCTTGTGGTGACCAATGAGCTGACTGAAGTAGTCTTTTTCGAACTCCACAGCCGTTTCAATCAAAACAGGTCTTAAGATCCTGATCTGGTGATTGGCAACATCCAACTTCATTGCTTCCAAGATCGAGAAGATCATTCTGAGGCCACAAACTAATTTTTCAACAGAGTTTTCATTATTGGCTTGCGTGAACTTGTTGACCATTTCAGTGACCCAGTTGTCTCTCATTGGGGCACAGTGGCATTTGAAGATTTTGCCCATCCAGTTTGCTAACGAAACAAAGTCAAATGTTCCGATAGATAACTGCTGGACTAATAAATCCATATCCATTATGTCATTCACATTGTTACGATCTTTATAAGGGAGTAATGACAACAAAATATCTCTCAATGTAATAAATAATGATGGGATTCTAGAATTCTTCAAGTTAAAGTTCTTCATAACAAAGATATTGTGGCATTCCTTCTCGATTTCACCCCAGTAGTTATCGATGATGTTCTTCTTACGCTTTCCTCTTTCCCCATCCAAATTTGGTCTGAATTGGAGTTGAGGGTCGAAAAGAATATCATGGCGTAACTGGGGGTTTTTGAGGATTTCGTGAAGGTCGATTTCTTTGAGTGACTGAAGGTTGATGGGTGGAAGGAGAGGGGGTTGGCCATGACCGTGTCCGTGTCCGCTTCCGTGCCCTTGAGTTTGGCTATGACTATGAGACAATGTTTGAGTATTGTGAATATGACTGTGGGTGCTTGGATTGTTACCTACTACAGCAGTAACAGCGTTGCCACTGGAACCGTTGGAGCTATGACTAATGGAGTTGACAGACTTGTTGAGGTTGGCATTCTGCTTTGCAAAGCCTGTGGATGACACGGCATGAACTGTGCTAGCACTCACCAACCCGTTTGGTAAGCCGCTAGGTAAGCCCAGCGGGCTTGCTCCTGAAAGTTGCGACTGCCTGTAACTTATGATGGGCAAGGAGCGGGACCTAAATCTTCTTATGAACTTTGGCGCCTTGGTAGCAATGGTGGCTGCTGCCTTGGAGGACGCTGCTGCAGTCTTGACGTTGGGGAGGGCTACTGTCCTGTTGGTGAGAGAGTTCTTGCGTAACTTCTTCTTGTTTGCGTTAGGATCCAGTTGGAGCCTAGAGCGCTTCGGGTCAGGGCGCTTGGAGAAGAATACATTTCTAAACTGTTCTTCCAGGAACACTTGCTCTTGGTTTTCATTCAGCTGTTGAGTCATTTTCTCGCCTAGAGGTATATGTGACTTGATGTGCTAGTGTTGAATATATAGATCTGTTGCTAATATTAAATTTTTTCTTATTCTTTTTTATTGTGATTATTCCTAGTATCAGCGTGTGCTCGTATTATGTGAGTATATTACTTTTCCCTACTAATGCAATGAATAATTCGGAGGAGGGTCTTGCCTGTTTGCCTTCTTTTTATTACTATTTTATGGTGGCGATGCCCTTTCTTGACTGTTTCTTACTAATCTTTTATTTATATATTCTTCCTAGCAATATATATTTTTTAAGTGTATCTTTCTTCGATGACAAAGGGTCAACAAAATTGATGATGCCTGTTTTTTCCTTTTTCCTTTTTCCTTTTTCCGTTTCTCACGGTCCGTCCTTCTTTTCTTTCTTTTTTTTCTGTTGCTCACTAAGAAAAAAGAAAAACGTAATCAATTTCAAAAAGGGATGTGAATGGTAAATCAGGGGCAGGACGGGAGAAAAAATAAAAAAAAGAAACTACTAGTAGCAGAGTGGGAAGGAAAAGTGGATTAAGAGGGAAATAAATATGACGGGGAAGGAATGTAGGAGGGTTGTTAGGAGAGTTGGGGCAAAGTAAAAATAGACAATACAATAAGAAGGGCATTTGGATAAGTGTGATAGGGTATAGATTAGATTGTGGGTGGGCACAATTATCGTATACATTATTCAACAGTACCACCAAAAATAGTCTATAGTGTTTTTCAGTGTGATCACTGGGGGTGGTGTGTTAGAGTGTTTCATTGACAATAAGAACAATCGTCTTTAATGACGAGCGCTCGCAAAAATTTCCCTATAAGGTTCGTTTCTTTTTTTCCTTTTTCTTTTCTCTTTTTTTTTTTTTTTGATTATTATTTTTTCAGTTCATATGTTCGTTTTTAGCTCTGCTATGTATCTGATTTCCTGCCTTGCAGCTTCATCTGACCAACAGCCTTGTGCAAGTGAAGGATAGTACGCTTGCAAGAAAAAGGCCCACCCATCATCGCTCCGCAAAATCGGGCTCTTGATATGTGGAATGCACGCTGTAGCTGGGAAAAATCGGGCAAGTTCACCGTAAATGAAACCTAGAATGTGGACAAGCGAAATAACCGACATATTAGAGCCGTGGATTGATTACTCTAAGCTGAGCTTTACGTGGTAAGATGCCAGATTTCAAGCCTGAAGTGTCTTGTGTACCAAGTACCTCACGGCTACCGTTTACACACCCACACATACTCACACTCACACTCACACACTTCCACAAGAGGCAGTTGCACAGTGCATAGGTATCTGACCATCGGTATTTTTTTTTTTTTTTTTATTAACTAGCCTGTTGACGATGCCCTCCTACATATCTGGCGGAAGCAAACATTTACGGTTAAAGTGCATAAACTGCTGCTGCATGGTCGACGCGCACTCGGCGCACTTCTGTTTTCTTTTCAACGGCCCTACAGTCCGCTGAGTGTTTTTTTTCTTTACACTCATTTGCTATTCCCGCCCCTTCAGACCAAGTTGATCACAAAAAAAAAACAATATTAATAATAATAATAATAATCATATTAGTAAATGCGTCTATTTTATTTCTACATTAACCATTGCGCCTTTTTGAGGGCAGACTTTAGCGTGTGCATTGTAAACTTAAGCTTCGGCCCACACATTTTCTCATTCTCAACTTAGATTATCTTTGGAAAAATCGCATTTTTCCTCATCACCTTTAAAATTTAGAGTTACAAGTGTACGGCATTTTGCTATCTCTCCAATCATGCACAATACATTTGGAATGAATGTTGTTATTTACAATCTTCTCTATTGTTGAAAATAGAATAGACCCTATAAACCTGATTTCATCTGAAATGTTTATTGTTGTTGTTGCTGCTTGGTGCCACCCTGAACTTTCTGCTCCTAAATCTTAAAGCTAGCTATTTCTTTCCTAAAATACGAAATTTCTTCAACTTCTTGCCTTCATCTCCCCATACCATATTTTTTCTACTATATCCAATAGACTTGCATAACTAAATCTCAAGTTGAGCCTCACCACACAGGAAGGTTTCCGCTTATTCTTCCCAAGAAGGGCCACCCTGAAAAATATTTTCTCTACGAATCTCTTTTCGCTGGGAATGTTCATTTGTTGTATATGAAATCCGAACAGTTGCAACTAAAAATGAGGGGAGATTCATTAAACAATAAACTCAAGAGTACGAATGACAAAAGTTACATACTCACAAGTGTGCTACATTTCTGAAACGTCTATTATTCAAGTAACAAACCTGGAACAAATCTGGAACTTCTATAGGAATACCCATATGCAGTTAACTCCTGCGATCTCACAATTTGGAATCGGGCGCCAGATTTGGAAAAAATAAAAAAAAAAAGTCTTTTGGAAAAGATTTGTACATAATAATTCCGTTCATAGAAAATCTTTGGAGCCGTAGAGAAATTTGGAACATCACACTTTTACGAAGGAAAACATGGATGTGGAATAGTCTATATTAGGAGTGGTTGAAGCAGAAAAACTATAAAGAAAAGAAACTCAACAGAATTTCATCACTTATGAGCAAATAAAACATGAAACCTCGTGGGGGAGCACATCATCTTGCCTTTTTATGGGACTTTAACGGAAATCTACATAATGTTGCAATCCTTAAATGTTTATATGCATTCTCGGCCTTTTCCTCGCATTGAGTGACTCTTACATCACACATCGGTATCTCATGCAGGAATACGCTATTTTGATTACATGGAAGGAAAACTTGCATGAAAATTTAAGAATTATATCCACCTAATTGAGCCGAGTACTTTTTCGGAAACACCCGAAGTCCCACATTTGAAAACGGCAATGGTGAACGAGAAAACAAAGAAGGACAACAGCAACTTTAGGCCGGACATAATTCTAATCACTAAGGGTTGTTTCGTAAGCACCATCGGTGACATAGATTCGGTAGCTCTTCCAGACAACTCCGTCGATCTGTGATGCATGTTGATATCTTTTAGAGCATTCTTCTTCAAAACAAAATTGCACAGCATGCAATGACTAAAAACGGCTCTTCGCGCATAAACCCTAAATACAAAATTTATCTTATGTTTAACATGGATCGACAGTTGAAGATTGGAATGCTGGGCAACTTGTAATATATAACCTCAGGCATTCAAAATGCCCCACCACACCTAGGTTGCGATGTTGTAATCTGTCCCCCCTCTTCCCCCCACACTCACTTAAGTGGATGTAAGTCCATCTCTAAGCGCGTTAATCCCGATCGCCGCTCAATTCTCCTAAGTACAATGCGCAGTTAGAATTATCCGATATATTCTTTGGTGCATTATGATAATCATACTTCCGTGTTGCCCTATCTCATACATTCTCCACCAGGTGCCTGCATCAGTATAAATCCACTACATTTACATACATGATTGTATCTAGAACAAAGCACACACCCTATATGATCTACTTAGCTCAAACGTATCATTCGGTAATTTGGAGAATTAAACATGTGTCAAAATATCTTTGTACATCCTGGAAACAATACAAGAACATTCGGGAATGTATTTGCTACAAAATTTCTAGGCATTACAATTTAGCCTAAGGTTCAAGTAATTCATACGACTGGCTTTGTCTACCAATATTCGTGCGTCAATATTTCTTATGCCATATGTTTATGCAATACTGCATGAGGCATGCTAGAATAAAAAAAATAAAATAAAATTCTTTTTCTCTCTTTTTCCTTCCCTACTGAAGTTTATGCCTCTTTCGTAACGATAGATGCATTAGTATTCCTGCTCGATGGTAACCGATCGCCTTCGCTCAAGAATTAAGTCGTTTTCAGAAGCCTATTCCCATTATGGCATTTTCGCCTCGTAATTGTGCAGTTGGTTGATAAAAATTTCTGAACTGCCTCCTCCGATGTGCGCGTGAACAATGTCATGGGTTTATTGTTGTGGAAAGTCTAACAAATTTTCAGAGTTAGGTATTATGATATGTGAGATCAATAGAAGGAAAATGTAGAAAAATACTATGTAAGAAGATCATAATGAACTTTATGCTCCAACTGAAGTGAGCCCCAAAAGCCCAAACTACTAAATATGGAAAACCACAGGTCGACTACATCATCATGCTCATCCCACAAAAGGTAGGCTTGCTTTGAACCATTACTCTTTGGGATGTTATTGCACTATTCACACATAACACAATGTCGTTGTCTTTTCGTATCCTCTGGAAAATTCAGCAAGTTTAACTTATTTTCTTTGACCCATGCAAAATCTATTATTATTTTTTAGGTACATTTTCACTTTCGTCCTTTTAGAAGTTCCTTCTATTTCAAGAATGTAACAGTGGAGCAATAATGAGTTGGTTATAGAGCTAGAAGAACGCTTGAAGCACACTTAATGTACGCTTGAAGCACGCTTGAGGCACGCTTAATATCTCAACTTATGCACATATTGAGATTCACGAGTATAATTCCGATGTGTTTGGATTACAGAGTCTATTCTGTTTTTTGTTCCATCTGGTATGTTATGGTGTTTCCTTCTTCTTTTTGATTCTAGATGAAAATTATGAGCATTTTTCTTGCAACATCTCTTTAATATTCTGACTTAATCCGATCTACATATCAAATAATCGTCTTTTTTTACATAAAATTTCAATCTGATCGGCATTGTAGATTGCACCCGTTCACCATTTACTCAAGTAACGTTACAACATCACATTGAACCTTCTGCTACCGAAATTCCACTTTTTTTTTTTTTTTTTTATTATTATTATTTTTTGTGCATATTATTTTCTGCAGTATTTTCTAGCGTCCGTTTTTTTTTTTTCGCTCTCTCCTTGTGAATCTTATAAGTGTACCCAACCTGCCTGTTCGAGTTTAATTGAAAATTTAGTCGCTCTTATTGATATAGGCAAGTAAAGGAGAAGTTTCAGTAGTAATTATCTCGTTGAACTAATCACACATAGTTGCAACACCACTACCGTACAGCTATCGCCGGCCTGCTTATCAGGATTATTTCAGACGCAGCTTGTAGAACAGAGAAAACCAAGCACATCGAATTTTACCCCAAGTGTTTTACAAAAAATCTGCTCAGTTGTTAATTTTAGTGCAAAAACTCCCGCGTATTCCCTACCCAAGTTTAGTATTGTCATTTAACCAAGCACTTATTTATTTTTACTGAACTCCCCACCCATCCCAATATTTCAACTTGAATTTGTAACTACCTAAAAAAATTTTTACTAGTTACCTTATATTTTTATTTTCATTTTTCAAAAAGTACAATAGTGTTAAATACCCCCTTATACATTTAGGAGGAGAAAATAGAACAAAATAGAGACAAAGAGCCACATAAGGTGACTTTTAATAGTTGGTAAAAAGAGAGATATTTCTGTACACCCCGGTATGTCGTACCCTAGATCGAATAGTTATCCCGGAGTAGGAGGCAGTATTGGCGCTCCTCAACAGCATCTGATGATCAATGTTAGCACGGCACCATCTCTGAGGAATTCGCTGACTACCTCATTAAGCGGGATGAGTCCCGGCTCAACGGGACTGTCATCTAATAACAAAAGCACACAAACGGTCTTTATACATAAGTTATACGATATGCTTAATGATCAGTCATTGAGCCATTTGATATGGTGGTTACCTCCCAAGAACGACTCATTCTGCTTGTTGCCAGGTGAAGAGTTTAGTAAAGTTCTTGCACAATATTTCAAGCATACCAATATTGCGTCTTTTATAAGGCAATTGAATATGTATGGGTTTCATAAGGTCAACGATGCATTTCAAAGTGAAGATGTGGGAGAGAAGGAGAAGAATGAGCTGAAGGCTGCCGGAGCAGCTGCTGCTGTCGCTGCCGCAAACGCTGGCACTAACCACTCGGGCTCTGCTGGGCCTGCCACATCTGGCCCCGGCCCTTCTTCTTCTTCCGGGAATGCTAGCCACAACCTTGGCAACGGTATCAGTAGACCTTCGTCTATCTCACAATCTCCTTCACCTAATCACTCCTCTACCCAAACGTCTCCCCCCGTGTGGGAATTCCGCCACTCCACTAATCAATTCCGTAAAGGAGATGTGGAACTGTTGAAATTAATTAAAAGGAGATCCTCCAAGAATATCAATTCGCACAAGGAAATTGTCAATCTCAAGCTGATCCCTACCAGTAAGCCTGACGATCAGTACTTGGACTACATAGAACAGCAGAGGCAAAGCGGGCTTCAATTCCATCACCAACAGCAACAGCATCATATGCAGCAGCAGCACCTTCCACATCAGCATCAGATTCATCTTGCACCTCATCCCCAATTTCCGCCACATGCACATGCTGGCCCATTGACAGTATTCTCGGGCCAGGCTCAACACCAGCAGGCACAACCACAATCACAGCATCAACAGCAGCAACAACAACAACAACAACAACAACACCACCACCATCAACAGCGCCAACCTCAACAAGCCCAACAACAACAAGTGAAGCAGCCTCCACATGCAAATACTCAAGTAGAATCAAATTATGCTCTAGTAGAGTTGACCAACTCACTCCAACAACTTCGTAACGACTACATTTCCCTTCACTCCAAGTATGATTCCCTCTCCCAGGAGTTTAAAAAGAGCAATATAGATATGATTCATTTAATTGAATTTATAGAGAAGATCCCAAAGCTGCACATCCAGCCACAGCAACAAGCGCCAGTTCAGCCTCTTCAACAAATACAACATCAGCAACAACAGCAACAACAGCAAGTTGCACATGGGCTCCCTGATAGATCAAAAGTGAAAACTCCAGTGTCTCTATTAGAGAGCGACGTGACTACATCTCCACTATCCAAATCCAACTATTCTTTTGAATATGAGCTTTCCAAATTGAAACTGTCTCTCTTGCAAAGGTCTTATGTTAATAGTAGAAACAGTTCCTCGGCCAATTCTCAAAATCAATCGATAGTCCCACAACCATACCCTCTTAACCCACATTATACAATTCATTCGCACCCTCACGAGGTGACCCTCAATCACGTAAAGGATTCCAAACACAATGAGAGACACTTATCGATATTGATGGATCCATTGCAGGTGCCTACTCCCTCTAGACACAACTCCAAGACCAGTTTGTTATTGCCCGAGCAACAGCAACAGCCACCAAGTAGCCAGCCGCCATTCAGTCAACAACCGGGGACGGCTGGACTGCCACCAATTGTCCATCCTCAACCTACCACCACACCATCACAACCAGCCCCAAACCCAGTTCAAGTTACAACTCCTCAGCAGCCAGCAGTATCCTCGCAACCTCATTCTGCTAGTCAACCTCAATTCAAGCAAGAAACAGCCAACTCACCTCAAATTAGAACTTACCAGCAATACCCTTTCCCCACGATGCATAGAGACGATCACCCACCGAAGTCGAGTTCAGTGGAACCAAGAACTCCAGACCAATATGTGAAAATCTCAGACCAGCCACCTCGCTCCATTCCGATCCATTCCGTCCCACTTTTGGGGAACCCTATGGATCACGGTTCTTCACTGATATTGGGCATGAGACCAATCACCAATCAACTACCATCCGTTTCTGAGTTGGATCAAAGCATCAAGAATGGGAATTCGCCTGTTTACAGCTTATTGAATTCGGTGGATAGACCAATAGTAAGAAAGGCCAGAAGTGATGAAGATGAACTGAGGTTAAAAAGAAGGCGTGCTTAAGGAAATGAAGACTAAAGCTTGAAGCCGGAGATTGAATAAGAAGAAGAAGAAGAAGAAGAAGAAGAAGAAGAAGAAGAAGAAGAAGTAGGAGAAGGAGAACAATAAGAGGAAGAGGAAGTAAATTTCGAAATCACCACAGCTTTTATGAAAGATTGTATATTATAAGATGGTGCACACATACATTTGTATGCACTTTGTGTACGTATAACAGGGAAACTGTATGTAAAATTAAGTAATATAATTATTTAAATATCTATCTGTAGGGCTGTATAGTGGTTCGGTCTCTCTTTGGCCAACTGTGCTTGCCATTACCACCTTCTGCCTATTCTTTCCAACACATTAGACTATTTTGTGTCCTGCATATACTTCTGCTTCTTAAACTTAGCTAATGGTAAACAAACACAATTCAGTGTATCTCTTTATGGGGGCCTAAGAATTCCTCTTAACACCTTTCATTTCTTTTCAGATGGCAAACAAATCAGCAACCTCTAGGAACAAGTTTAAGAAAGTACTTTCTTCAAAAACTCCTTATTCGTTCAAGAACGACGGTCTGGACGTTTTACTATACTTGACATATATTAAGTTCTTGAACAGTTTGCAGAGCCGAGTAGATGAGTTGAAGGAAGAGGCGGGAAGCCCTGAAAATTTGGCAATATTTTATAAACAGGCAGCTAGTGAGGTGTTGCCTAAGTTCAGGGGATAATGAAAAAGATAGAACACTTTTGTGTATATTTCATTTCTATTTACATTTACCATACTCCAAGTTACCACTGAAATCAGCTACTGGGGAGAAGAAGATTCTATATGTCTTGGCTGGCTTCCTCCAATGGAGCGGCGCTTCTTTTCTATGGTCCTATTTACATGATCGAATTATCTGGGTGTTTCAAGCTTTTCACTGACTTTATAGCACTGATTGGGTCCCGCTTGTTGTACACGAATAATCCTTGTAATTGAGCAGTGCTGATACTTTCCATGTCCAATTTGTGATATTCTTCCAAGAACTTCTCACATAGTTCGTCTTGTCCCTCATAGAATCTGAGAAACATCCTTTTGATTTGATCGTCCGTAGCGTTCCCAACGTACTGCTTGAAGTCTATCCTTCCTGGCCTGAGGAGCGCTGGATCCAACTTTTCCGGGTGGTTGGTAGTCATAAACGTGAGACATTCCTCTGCAGATGCAACTCCATCCAAGGCATTCAATAAACCAGAGAAGGTAACACCCAGTACGTATCCCTTGTCATCAGCCTGCTCTCTCTTGTTAAATGCGGCGTCGATATCTTCAAGCAAGAGGATGGAGCGCGAAGGGATGTGGTTCATTAGATGGTTTAATCGATCGTCGGTTAGGTTGTTTTCAGAAAGATTCAATATGCAGATGTTGTAGTCCAACTCACCGGCAAGTGCCTGGATGAACGAGGTCTTACCGCTCCCGGGGGGACCATAAAGCAAATACCCTCTTCTGTAGGGGATACCTCTCTTGTGGTACCAGTCGCCACTAGTCAAAAAGTCCTTTACGTCGGTAACAATGGTATCTGCGACGCCTGTGTCCAAGATGACAGAGCCAAGCATTCTCTTCATTCTGGGTTGGCCAAAGGGTCTCCATTCTGGGCCCCACGACGTGAATATCACAGTTTTACCTTCCTGGGCCTTGAGGGCCATTTCTTTAGCTTCCAATAAAAGTTCTGAAAATAAGTTGCGATCTCTGTACAATGTAGTCAACGTAACAGTCTCAAACGGCGTCCCATTGGTCATATCCAAAAGCTTCCCCAGTCTTTCTCTCTTAACTAGCATGAATGCGCCCTTGTAGCGCAAAAGATGGTTTCCTGGTCCAGGCACCAACGAGAACTTGGTGGTAATACTGCCGTTGTCGTGCTGCACGAAATTGGTTTCCACGGAGAGATGTCTCGAGGACCGCTGCTTGTATTGGGACATCCACTCCAAGAACCACAAGTAAGACTTATCCTTGGACGGAATTTCCAAGTCCACAAGCATCTGTCTGTAAAGGAACGACAGCGACTTGATCACGGATGATCTGGCTACTGCCAACCCTGTCCCCAACAACATCAACCCTCCACCTGCTGCGAAGTACGGGTTGTTCACCACGATTTCGTTGAACGCCAGCAGAGCCATGGACGTCACGCTCCCGTCCGAGCTCTGTTTGATCTTCTCTAGATCGAACGACGGTGTTTCGGGCATAATCTCTCTCTATTTGCAACTTTCACTCCAGAAAGAAGCCTATGTCAATGTCTCCACCCCAATTTTTCACTTTTCCGCTCTTCTTTCGTTCGCTGTGTCGCATTTGCTAGCGAACCTCCAGAGTTCTCCGTTTTTCGCGCAAACGCAAATGGAGTGGGTAGATCATTCATTGTGAATTGTAAGGATAGAGCTATACAGCAAGGAAGAGAGGTAAAGAACAGAAGAGCAGTGACAAGAGGTATTGATAGACCATTCATAGATACATTGTAGTGACTGTAAAGCAACGTTATACTCAATTGAACATAAAACGATGGTGAGCGATAACAAGGAAAACAAGGAGAATACGCCACCGGTCCCTGGCAGAGGGTTGAGTTCAAGTCCAGGCGATGGGTCTGGGCTTGGAGCAGGAGCTGGTGAACCAGAAGCTGGTTCTGGAGCTAGTGCTGGCTCAGAAGATTCGGGACCTGGTATGAAGTCGAACAATCCCTTCCTTAAGCCAAAGCCTGCGCCGTTGATGCCAGACTCCATCGTGAAAGAACTTCCATATAAAACACTCAACCGAATCATTAACGACATCAAATGGACTATTCCCTACAAGGAATACATATCCCTTTTGCAACAGGGAGAAGACGCCGCTGGCCCAGTATCCAGTTCGGCAACTTTACTCAACTCGAAGCCCATAGAGTACTCCAAAAAGCTCTCTCAGTTGGCCAAGCTTTACCCCAACGATCGCATGGATTGCATGATTTTGAATAACTCATTGAAGTATGCCCCCAGCGTGGAAGTTGTGGATGCAGATGGTGACTCGTCCGGTAGATCTATGACCGTATTAAGAGGCTTGTTGGTGAATGCAGCCAAAAAGTCCGCAAAGCAGCCTGTCTTGTATCATTTCCAGATTTGCATCTTAGAAGTAAAGCCGTCAGCCAACAGCAATGTCATACAGACTCCGGTGGATAAGAGAGCCTACCACATCATTCCTAAAGCCATTATTCCTCAAGAAGCAGTGGACTACTTTGAGCCGTATTCTTCCGCACCAGACTCCGTCATAGATGATGCCTTTTTCAAAGCTTCCAACCTGCCAAACGACCACTTCATTCGAACCACAGTATTCCAGGGAGAGTTTCTGCACGCTGATTTCAACCCACTCTTCAATCAAGATATTATTAAGTCCAGATACCTTAAAGCAGTCTCAAAGTACCCACAGGCCAACTTGTCCCCTGAAACGATCCCCAACTCAATAAATTGCTTCAATACCTTGTTGAAAGTGTTGAGGGGTCCCTTGCTTATTGGACCAGGGGATCAAATGAAAACTATTAACCTAAACAACCCATCATTGAACTCTCAAATTGATATACAATTGCTTTTCAATAAGCTTTCGTTCACTATAAATGAAGAGGAATTGATTCCACCAAACCTTTTGGGGGATCAGATTTTGAGGCAAAGTTACATCAGAAAGATTTTGGAAATCATATACATAGCACACAATCTTAGTGGAACAGGTTCAGGAGCAGTGAACGATTTTGCCAGCTCTATTTCCTTTAGCAACAACCTTTCACTAGTTTACCGTACTTTCAACGAAGTAAACCAGCACCTCTGCTCTTCATTTGGAAATAATGAAGTGGACAATCAACTCCCTTACCTTATCGACTTGAGCGTCTGTGCATTTTTCCAAGATGAAATGATAATAAGAAGTTTTGAAAATACTTGGAAATCAGATAAAGTTAATAAGCTACAGTATATTGACTCACTAAAGGAATTGATTCAGTTCAGAACAACGCTGTCCAACTTAAGGACTAGTAAATTGAATACATACTTCCAAACCAATGGTCTTCATGGGAGACAAGACTACATAAATGCGTTGAAGGCAATTGGGATCGTAGGTATTCCAGGAGATGATTTAAGTAAAGTTGATGACGATTTCATCGTCGCAATGTACTTAACTACTTTCAAAAATGACCCCAAAAATTACACATATTTCAATAAGAACCTTCAAACGATTCAAGAAATAAGATCTTCGGAAGTGATTAAAAGCTTCCTTGAAAATGAAATACTACCTTTAAATATCGCATTAGCAGAATTAAGTATTGAAGAAGTTACTGAAGATGAAGTGGTTATTACGGCCTATGAATTCAAAAGAGAAGATTTAATGTCCAGCGGCGGTTCCATCGATGAAATCAAGTATTTTGATAAAGCTCTCTTGTCAGTAGCAGTTAATAGAAAGAGTTATCTCTTGATGAATTACATCGACGATAATATGCCCAGCTTATTGAAGGAATATAATAGTACTGCCACCACAGCGGATTGCTTTGCCAACTTGGGATGCTCACCAAATAGCAACGACTTTGAAATCATACTTGCCTTTCAAAAGAAATTACTTGATACTAATAGTGATATTAGAAACTTGAGGCAATACCTCAAAATCATCATAGAAAGTAAGAAATCGAAATTGTTAGAGAGATTTTTGTCAACAGGACAGATCGATGTTTCGTTACTCCCTGCAGAAAATTGGCCAGCCGGATTGGACAATATTGGTAATACGTGTTATTTGAATTCATTATTACAATATTATTTCGTCTTAAAGCCATTGAGAGAGATGATATTAGGGTTCAATGAAAATGAGGAAATAAATCAAGAAAGTGATATTGTAAGGAAGATTGGGGGAAGAATTGTTGAAAAGAGTGAAACTGTAAGATCTAATCAATTCATTTATCAATTGCAAGCTTTATTTCACGACATGATACACAGCGAGAAAAGATGCGTACAACCAAGTAAAGAGTTAGCCTTTTTAGCATTTTCCCCGTCGTCCCAGCAAGTAACCTTTACAGATGGAAACAAAGAAGGCGATTCGCATGATATTGAAATTTTAGATGCAGAAAATGATGGTGATGTTGACGATGATGTTGAAATTTTGGACACTAGTCCAATTATGGTTTCTTCTCAATCTCCGTCACCACCTCCACTTATACAAGACGTTGATGAAATGGATGTTGATAGTATTGAAGTTTCAGAGCCAAATAAGGAGGTAGTAAAGGAAATAGAGAAAAACAAGAATGGAAGCAAGATTCTTACTATTTCAACTGATACAATGGATTCCACTATTGAAATGGGAAGACAGCAGGATGTAACTGAATGTATTGAAAATGTGACCTTTCAAATTGAATCCGCCTTGAAACCAGAAAAGTTAGATAGTGATGGTGAACAGTATGATCTTATCAAAAAGCTATTCTATGGAAAGACCAAACAGAAAATCACTCCATTGAACCCTGACTCTACGAACAAGGAGAGAACTTCAATTGAAAGGTTTTCTTCATTGATTATCAATGTTAGTGATCATCCAAAAGATATCTATGATTCCTTGGATAACTACTTCAGTGAAGACTTAGTTAAATTGGAAGACGGTGAAGTAAAAAAATCTTTAACTATCTCAGAATTGCCAGAGATTTTACAATTCCATGTGCAAAGAGTTTTGTTCGACCGTGAAAAGCTTATGCCTTACAAATCTTTAGAGCCAATCCCATTTAGTGAGAAGATTTATGTGGATAGGTACTTGGATACTGAAGACCCAGAAATCTTAAAGAAGAGGAACGAGGTGTTCAAATGGAAGTATGAAATCAACGACTTATTGGAGAAGAAGGAAAAGGTAACCAAAAAGGAAAGTGGCTCGCAGATGACTATTATTGATACATTGTTAACTGCTAATAGATACTTGCGTCAAAGGTTGGAGCTGCAAAAGGAGAATGTCAGCGAAGGTGGAGTTGACATGGAAGTGGAAGTGGAAGGTGAAGAAAAATTCATTAATGAAGAGAATCAAACCTCAGAAGATAGAGTTGCTCCTGAAGTTGGAGAAGCTACTACTGAAGGTGAGCAAACTGAGGAGAATCTAGCTACTCCACAAATTATTAACTCTATAGAAAACAAGATTAGCGAGCTCAGACAGGAAGTCAAGGATATTGATAGCAAACTTTTAGACCTTAAAGAAAAGGTATCCAACCAATTTAAAGATTATAATCAAGTTGGATACTCTGTCTTTGCCATTTTCATACATCGTGGGGAAGCAAGTTATGGGCATTATTGGATCTACATTAAGGATCCTCAACGTAATGTTTTCAGGAAGTATAATGATGAAACTGTGACTGAAGTACCATTCAGTGAAGTTATGAATTTCGAAGAGGGAAACACTGCCACTCCGTATTACATTGTCTATGTGAAAGATCTGCTTGAAGAGGAGTACATTCAACCATTGAAGAGGAATATCACCAAAAATTGAAAAGAATAAGTATATCAACACAAGCAATATTATGTAATCGTTATAGAATTCACTAACAGACTATATATAATTTATATATCATTATCCCTACACACCCTGGACCTGTATCTACCTCCTATATACCCACAGTTTGTGGAGTACCTTCACTGGTTATGAGCAATGCCATATAATTCGAAGTTCATTAAGTTGCCTCCTGCATATTACTTATCATGCCCAGCCTTTAATTAAAGCAACGGCTCCTATCATTAGGTATTTTCCACTCTTGTTCTCTTAATCTTTGATATTTATAATCCTCGCTCTTTAAAGGACAATTGAACTTTACTACTTCCTAGAAGAGTGAAAATTTATTTCTAAAAGTATGAAAGTCAGCTTCATTTCTTCAATTGCTTGGCTGTTGGCAGGCGCTAATTTAGTGGCGCTGGCCCAGTACTACGCTAAACCTGTGGGATTGATTGGATACGATAGGATTAAAACCAATGCTGTATTCAACGATCTCTTTGTAGTAAATGGACAATATAATGATGAGAATTCGGACGAAGAAAGTGGGAAGTGCCCTCCATGTTTCAACTGTAACCTACCCAATTTCGACTGTACTCAATTTTCCACATGTAATACTTTCACTGGTATGTGTGAATGTAAAGATGGTTACGGAGGCATGGATTGCTCTGAACCCCTCTGTGGTTCGTTGGCCGATGGTAATAAGAAGAGACCTACCAGAGGAAATGAAACAGCTCAATGTAAATGTTCTCCTGGCTGGAGTGGTATCAATTGCAATTTGTGTAGCGATGACCAATCTTGTAATCCATTCATGCCTGAAGGCATTGAGGGGACTTGCTATAAGTCTGGTGTACTTGTAGATAAGTTCCATCAAATGTGTGATGTTACCAATGCCAAAATTATTTCCATTTTGGATGGGAAGAAGCCACAGGCTACGTTCTCCTGTGATAGATCCAACTCTTCTTGTGACTTTCAATTTTGGATTGACGAAAAGGAATCCTTTTATTGTGATTTAAATGAATGTGACTTCAAGTATGATTTGAATTCAAATACTACTCACTATAACTGTGAAAAGGTAAATTGTAAATGTTTACCTGATCGTATGCTATGTGGTGAAGATGGTTCCATTGATATTTCAGAATTTTTGACTGAAACGATAAAGGGACCCGGTGACTTTACTTGTGATATTAACAAGAGAAATTGTAGATTTAGTGAACCAAGTATGAATGATTTAATTCAATCAGTGTTCGGAGATCCTTACATTACATTGCATTGTGCAAGTGGTGAGTGTATTCACAAGCTGCAAATCCCAGGCTATGATTTACCCCCAAAGAAGAAGTTGACTAAAGGAAATTTCGTATTGATTATTGGAGTTGCTTTCTTATGTGGTATGATTGTAGTTTCGTCCATTTATAATATAAGTAAATCACCACTTTTCATGAGCCATTTGGGTGATAACTTCGATGAAAATTCTATCTCAAACAATGCAATGTTGAGCGAAAACTTCCAGCCAACTACATTAACTTTTGAGAACATTGACTATGTTATACCCAATGGTAAGAAGAAGGTCTTGAATGGCATTTACGGGGTAGTTAATCCTGGTGAATGTCTTGCCATAATGGGAGGCAGTGGAGCTGGTAAGACTACTTTGTTGGATATCTTGGCCGGTAAAAACAAAAACGGTCAAGTTAAAGGTTCCATCTACATTAATGGTAACATTTTGAATGATAAGGACTACAAAAAGATTATTGGATTTGTTGATCAAGAAGATCACTTAATTCCTACCCTTACAGTTTATGAAACAGTCTTGAACAGTGCCCTCTTGCGATTACCAAGGAACATGTCTACTAGAAACAAGGAAGCAAGAGTTATCGAGGTTTTAAATGAATTGAGAATTTTGGGCATAAAAGATAGAGTCATTGGATCTGATTATAAGAGAGGGATTTCTGGAGGAGAAAAGAGAAGAGTTTCTATTGCTTGCGAATTGGTTACCTCCCCACTGATTCTCTTCTTGGATGAACCAACTTCGGGTTTGGATAGTTACAACGCAAGAAATGTTATTGAGAGCTTGGTAAAACTATCTAGAGATTTTGAAAGAACCATTGTATTTACTATTCATCAGCCAAGAAGTAATATCGTGTCATTGTTTGATAAATTACTTTTACTTAGTGAGGGTGATTTAGTCTATTCTGGTGATATGATCAAATGTAATGACTTTTTCGCTAGAAATGGCTACAAATGTCCTTTGGGATACAATATCGCGGATTACTTGATAGATATTACCGTTGATCATAAAAAGGTAGTTAAGGTGAACAATGCAGTAAGTAGCGAATTATTAGGTGCAGTTGGAGTAAGCGATGCACAACCTGCAATTGCAGATGAACATGCCCACGATGAATTTGTACAAAATCCTACCTCCTCTGATATTGATACAACTAGAGAATGGGAACATTTTGCTATTCATAGAGATGAGTACAATTATACAGCAGTCAAAGGTGCACCTTCTGGAGACGTTGAAGAGGAAGATTCTACCTACATCCAAGTTTATAACAAATTACCTCAACTTTATAGAGAGTCCGTTATTGCGAATGAATTGAAAGCTGAAATTTCAGCATTGAAGGAGAATCCAGTCAAGTTGGAATTTAAGAATCAATTTCTTAAAGCTTCATTTATTAATCAGTTGATAATTTTGTCATCAAGAACCTTTAAGAATTTGTATAGAAACCCCAAATTACTTTTGAGCCACTACATTTTGTCCTTGTGTATGGGTGGATTCTGTGGATTTTTATATTACAACGTCAGTAATGATATTAGTGGGTTTCAGAATAGATTGGGATTGTTTTTATTTGTCCTTTCCCTTTTTGGATTTTCATGTTTAACTGGATTACACTTGTTCGCTACTGAAAGAATCATCTTCATTAGAGAGAGAGCAAATAATTACTATCATCCACTAAGCTATTATTTGAGTAAGATTATTTGTGATGTCATTCCATTGAGAGTACTCCCTCCAGTTATCTTGATCAGTATTATGTATCCATTAGTTGGGTTATCTATGGAAAACAACGCCTTCTTGAAAACTATTCTAGTTTTGGTATTATTCAACTTAGCCGTTGCTATAGAAGTTTTGATTATTGGTATTTTAATCAGAGAACCAGGGACCGCTACAATGGTTGCTGTCTTGATCTTATTATTATCGTTATTATTTGCAGGCCTTTTCATTAATAGTGAAGACCTCATTGCCCTGGTCTCGTGGTTGCAGAAGATTTCGAGTTTCCATTATGCCTATGAAGCGCTTACAATTAATGAAATCAAGGATTTAATATTAAAAGAAAAGAAGTATGGTCTTTCCATTGAAGTTCCTGGTGCGGTCATCTTGAGTTCATTTGGTTTTAATGTTGGTGCCTTCTGGAAGGATGTATCCTTCTTGGGTGGTTGGATTTTGACATTTTTAGCTCTTGGATATGTGTTCTTACATATCTTTGCAGTTGAGAAGAGATAGACAGGGAAGTTGGTTTAAGATTTGAAAAGAAAAAAGTTGAAACAGAAATTGTTATTAAAAGAAATACACTGCAACACAAAAAAGTTAGTAATAGAACTAAGTAATATATATATATATAAATTATTTCACTATACAAGTAGTTCAGCAATGTTACTATGGTAGAACATGGCGTAGTATCGAGATGAAAGTGGATGTTCGGGAAAGTGAATAGTTTTAACGCACTTAAAAACATATATGTATCAGGGATCTTGCAACTACAAATAATTATTTTAAGTTTTACTCTTGTCAAAGTTTATTCATCGATAAAATGGAATGATAGGCTGTAGAATACAATCATATAATTCAGCTGAATCTAAAAGCAGCAACTTAGCTATCTGATGGTTCCACACCCACTTATATAATTCATTTTAGTTTCCCTGTCAAATTGCGGGGTGTTGGGATGAAAATATCCTCAGAAGCTAATAAGCGTTAAAACATTATTTTCGTCCAAGACCATCCTTATTAGCTCAGTTGGTAGAGCGTTCGGCTTTTAAGGATTTTCATTTGTGTCAACAAAAAAGTCGACCGAAATGTCCAGGGTTCGAGCCCCTGATGAGGAGTCTTATTTTTTTGTGAAACTAGCATAGTAAGTAGGGTCTTCATTAGAGAATACTTATATTCTACAACAGTATATTCCAAGGTGAGCTTTGTCTTTTTTTTTTCTATATTGTAAATTCATATAATACAACTGTTATAAATAAGTGAAAATCAATTAAAAAGTAGGTTCAGGCGAATTAAGTGAAGTCTGACTCTTTATCATTTCTAAGTAATTTTCATTGATATACGAAAAGCCTTTGACATGTAAAATGTCCTTCTCAACGCTTGATGGAGGAGTGAAGGTCATAGAAGTAAATTCAGCATCAAAATTCTCTGCCAATATTGGATCTGTTATTAATGGTAAAATTGGGGGTAATACATTGGAAGAAGCGCCCAAATGAGCTTCTTCTTCAATTTGTTTCCAGTTTACATGCCTAAAGAATCTTAACTTCTTGACAGTTTCAAAATCATTGTCAATATCTAATCTTTTATCAGGATTAGACTGCAAAACTTTCCTAAGAAACTCTTTAGCGTCATTTGAAAGATAGTAGGGAAATTTCAAAAACTTCTTACTTTGAATAATCTTGTCCATAATTTTCTTGTTGTTGTTTCCAGTGAAAGGAGGCGAGCCAGTAAGCATATCAAATGCAACACAGCCCAAGGACCACCAATCCACTAAATAGTTATGAGATTCACCCTTAAGTACCTCCGGTGCCATGTACTGAGGAGTACCTATCATTGACTTGTTCTGCAGGTCCTTGGCAGAAACCTTAGATAAACCGAAATCTGTCAAAACCAAATTACCCAGGGCATTCAACATACAATTCTCTGGCTTCAAATCTCTATATATCACATTTAGCTTCTCATGTAAATACCTTATTGCCAATATGATTTGTGCAATGTAGTACGACGCGTGGGTCTCATTTAGGTAGTTTAGCTGAGACAAGTGCCCAAACAACTCTCCTCCAGACAAATACTCTAGGATCAAGTATACTTTATTATTGTCCTGGAAGGCGTAGTAAAGCTTGACAATGTTAGGGTGAGAAACCATCTCTAGGATTGAGCGTTCGTTAAGGGTACGCTGATAATTTACAGTATTAATTTTGCTGCCACTGCCTTTGCCATTCTCATTTTCAATTGAAGATGGAATACCACCTTCGTCCACGATCAAAGTCAACTTATTCATTTGCTTCTGGGCATATAACAAACCCGTGGACTTTTCCCTTACAAGTAAAACCTTTCCGTAGGAGCCCTTCCCAAGTACTTTGATGGGCTCGAAGTCGGACAATTTTGGCTTGTAGGGTATTGATGTACTATTGCTATTCTTTATCGAAGCTGCCAGTACGAACGACTTCAGGAGGAGATCAATGTCAAGCAGCGAGGGCACCGATGTAGCGGTTGAGTTCCTTCTTGTCTGCCTAATAGCGATAGGCAAGGGCAACTCATTTACTACAGAATCGTCTTCTTCGCTCTCATCGTAGTCTACAATATTATCATCCTCGACCACTCTATAGTTTAATGATCTATCTGGTGGAGGATCTTCGAGAATCTCTGGGATGTCCCCGTCCATAGCGAATATGTCGGCCATCTTTGGGTATATACAGGCGATAGCTACAAGGTTATGGAATGAAGTAAAACTCTACAAACTTCACGATTATCGATTCTTTCCGGATACCTGACTCTTATTTACTATCTCTGTGCTTAGGCACCAGAATTTTTTTTTCTATATCTGTTTTGATATGCCGCAGAAAATCATGCACTCATTTTGCACCCACGTTTATGTTGAGATGGTGATGATGTGGTCAATGTTTAGTCAATAGCAAGGGCTGAACGGCTACAAATGCAGTTTTTGCTTATCCCTTTACCTATGTTACATATATTATACAAAAAACTATTGAAGTTATGAAAGCGATCATCTAATAAGTTTTTCTTATGCTTGTTACGATTGCTGCCTCTCAGCCTGGACATAGATCTTGTCTTTACTGTAGATGTAGTCCATTATTAACCCTGAGCTAAGTCTAGTTCCATTCTCGGGGGTCAACTTCACTGAGTTCAGCCTTGTACTCTTGCTAACTAACGAAAGCTTGATATTGTCCGAGTCCGATGCAGCTACTGCACCTTCCACTCCAGTTATCTTCCTGATAATTACATTTATCAAGTATTCCACGTCTTCGATTTTATCTTTGGATACTTTCATAGCAATAACTTCGTCATCTTCATGAATCTTGTTGTAGATCTTTATCTTGACGGTGCTATGAGTTTTATTTGATTTTTTGTCCATTGCATGCTTGACTGTGGCCATTCTATTTTCTTTCTTCTTAGCCTTGCTAGAAGATGCCTCAGATGTAAAGCTGTTCCTAGAGGAAGTTGTGGGTCTTGATTTTGTATCAAGGGTGGAAACACTTGAAAATGCATCTTCCTGCTGAGAATCAGTACCATTGATTTCCTTTTCACTATCTTTTAATTTAGATGATCCTCCATTCAGCGCCTTGTGTTCAGCTACCTTGGATTCATTGATCACTTTATCGTTCAACGATTTCTGGCTCAAGCCTGTGCTTTTGGCTGATGAAGATGAGTTGTTTCGAAGTGTTTGTTCAGAATTATGACTCTCTGAGCTGTTCTTTACATTTTTAGAATCAGACAGAATTCTACTACTGGTTTGATATAGATCAAATTTAATATGAGATGCACATGTTTGTAAAGTTTCGTTCAGTTCATTCAGCGGGCGTTCGGTGTGCACAGACAGTAAACTTTGGTTTGGAGTATCATAAATTTGAGGCTCTGGTAAATCTTCAAGACTGTTGTTGTTACTAAAGCTGTTGCCATTCCCACTGCGATTGAGAATGGATGATGATGGGGTTATGAAATCAAGTCTAGGTTCGGGCAAACTGATTTTAGGATCTGATATACCCTCTTGTTCTTCATCAACTTCTTGAATAGATTCAATAGAATTGGTTGAAGATCGTATGTCTGGCAACGACTTGTCAAGTACTGGAATGTCTTTGATTTCAGGAAGCGACTTATTCACATTTTTTGTATTAGGTGATGAAGTGCCATTGAATGCAAATGGAACTGGAGACCCAGATCCAGACTTGAGTAAATCTATTGGAATTATCTTTGGTAACGATTTGTCTCGATTGAGTGGACTTCTACTTAGTGGAGGTGTCACACTTCCTTTTTCATCGCTTCCGGAGCTACCACTACCTCTGCTACCACCACTTCCTCCACTGCCTCTATCTCCAATGACCCCGAATTCAAATTCAAAATCGTTCTTTCCTACTTCTTGTTCAGGTTCTGGGGAAATATTTGGCAATGACTTGTCCAAGTTCACATTCTGTGTCAAGTTTGGAGAACGTTGTGGGGTAATTTCAGGAAGAGACTTATCTAATCTCAATTGTCGCTCTCGTTGATGCTGCTTTTCCTCCAATTCTTTTTCCCTTTCCTCTTTCAAATGCTTTTCTTTCAACTTTAATTCTTTTATCTGTAACTCTTTCAATTGACCCTTTAACTTTTCACCTTTCAATTGAATCTCTCGTAGTTCTAGTTGCTTTAATTGCTCTGTTAATTGCTTTTCTTTCTGCTCCAATTCTTTCATATGTACCTTCTTTTGGTACTTAGATCTGAACTCTATTTCCTTTTTCTGAAGTTCCTTAAATTCTTCATCTAGCAGGTCAGGAGCATCGGCATCTGCATCTGCATCTGCATCCTCTTCTCCTCCTTCTTCAAGATCAAGATCAACATCATCAACGTCTGTGTCCACCACCTCAATGAAGCTAGCTCTCTCAAATGGACCTGGTCCTTGCAATGATGTATCCAGGCCATCTTTATTTTCAGACTTACCATGTTTTCGGCCAACCATGGAGAGAACCCTCCCCATCAAACCACTCCCCAGTTTCTTACTATAACTTGAATTAGACGACACCCTACCAGAGTGCGCCGCCGCCGTCCCCAAGTTGGTATGACTTTTGGCCTTCCGTAACGCTAATTCCTCACCAGTGGCCATTGGGTTTCAAATCTTTTCCAATCCCTCTTCTATGAGTATAAATTCCAATGCGATCCACAGTGAAAAAGGTTTGATCACTAAATCAAAATTATGCCACTGTCAAAATGCTCGTCTATGTATGCTGTGTGACGCGTGATGATGAAAAATTGACACTATTGTACAAATGTCTGTTTATAAATATATAGCCACCAACCAACCGCTAAATTATCATACCACTAATGATTGATTGAAATGTGAATAATTTCAATTTAGTTAAAATTATTTGATCAAGAGATATTAGGGAAAAAGGTACAAAAATAAAAATAATAATAAAAACAAGGGAAAACAAAGCCAAAAGCCAATTGAGAAGGTTATCTTAAAACGAAAAAATAAGCACAAGTGAAAAAAAAAAGCGAAAATACGAGGTGAAATATGGGGGAAACTCACTGAGATTTTTAGCAATCTATGGTTCTTTTTCAGCCAATATCAATAACCAGTAGCTTAGCCACCTAATTTAGATCACTCATGTCTGCGAGAATGTTTACCTATATATCTTCTTTATCTAGAATAACATTCAATGTGTCCTAAAGAGGTGGTTCTTATTTCATGAGAAATTCCGCATCTACCACTAAATTCAGTTGTAAAACACATTCCTATGCATACTAGCCGAAAATAGAATACTGGAAGCGAAGAATAAAAAATCATAGATCTCAAGCCACTAAATGTATGACAATTTCATAGAATATTTGGACTGGTGATTCCATGGGATTGTTTGGGCTAATTCAACTTGCATATGGCTGTCCAAACAACTTGCAGTGAAGACTTTAACTGGGGGTTCATCTCTGTCGTTTCGTCTACACCGTTCATCGTAAAATTATTTTTTTTCTGTTCGGAAAGCGTGGTGCATCTGTGGTGCAGCAGGAACCATCCAACACCTCTCATCTAAAATTCACGTTGTCATGGCAATAGAAAATCGCTTAGGCAGGTTCGGCCCCTCCGTAGAAAGCGTTATAGAAGCTTCTTTACGTGGATCAGGTAGGTCGATATGAACTTCACCGGTAAAACGCCGGGATCTGTGGAAATAGGAAAGATCAACAGATAAGTAGTCACAAGAATTCCTATGCTTAGACAAAATGTTCATATTTCTTCTGTTGCGCAGTGCTACTCAAAGGAACACTGATCGAAGAATATTTTCAAGCTGCTGTACTGCTTTACAATACTTAAGAAAAATGCCTGATTTAGATAGGTTCCATTGTCCCATTCACTTTACTCATATTTATTCTATATCTATTATATAATAGTACATTCCCAGTTTTTGTTGTTTTTTCGCTATTCTGGCCTCTGTTTATAGTCTTTTTCCAACTTTATTGATATCACAACGGAGGCATCTGTCAAGTTAATCGCGCTGTACATAGTATCCGCGGCTATATGTGAGTTCTCTATTATATGCTACGATATAAGGTTTCATGATCGCATCTCCTCCTTGTTAAGTCGTACATGTTGTTTTTAATTGTTTTTGCATTTAGTGGTAGCCCTATTGAGCATTTAGGTTACTTTTTAATGCGCGTTTAAGCGATATGCATTAAACCTTATTAGAATTTATACATTAAACCTTATTTATAAACAAGAACAACGTTGGTGTGGTGAAAATTAGGATTTGTTTACATCGACTCATTCTTTGCATTTTTACACTTTTGTTATTATTTGTTATTATTATTAATATTATTATTAAAATTATTATTATTATTACTATAGACGTTATAGCCTGTATAACCTTCTAGAGAAATAACGTCCATCTGGCCCTATCCAGCTCAAGTCGTACCATTTCCTTATTATTATAAAATCACTTTTCTTCTATTTTTGGTGACTTTTTTTTTTTTACCTAAGTCTAATCAACATTAAGTTCACCTTATTGTTTTGGAGTAAGTTCTGCATAATTTCGTACTCATCGGTAATGTCTCCTAACTCGAACTTGTAGTGATTAATTAAATTTGCATCTTTATAAATTTTTTCACTGACAATCCTCTTTAAATCGTCAATATGATGCAAGTCCCTCTTAAACACTTTAAGTACAATGATATCCTCTTCTTGGTTATTAAGAACAACCTTTACTTTCACAAATTCATTAAGTTTGACTCTAGTAGGCAGAATTGTACTTTCTTTCCTGATTTCCCTGATTTCTGCTTGCTGCACTGGTTGCTGCAGGTTTCTCTTATTGACAGGAGGAGTTCCAGGTGTTATTGGAGATGTGTTAATGTTCTCCTCAAACGACGTATTGCTTTCCATGATTGGAGTGGTTGGACCACCTGTATTCTTCAGCTGGCTAAACAAGCTATCAGAATCACTCGATGAGGAGTTATGTTTCTTGGATTCCACAACTTCCTGTGTCTTTTCTTCTCCTGTTTCTTCGGATTTTTCATTTTCCTGTTCAATCACCTGGTTGCTCAAACTATTATTGTAACTCTGATTGGTGAACAGTTCGGCTGCATCGTACCTATCGATCAAACTACTGTACAGTTCCAATGTATTACTGCTGTTCAGGTGAGGGAAAGGTTTCCGTGGAGTTCCTGGAGTTCCAGATATTATAGATGATGCAACAGAATTCTTCCTCTGGGGCATCTGATTCATGTAAGTGGAGTATTTCACGTTGCTGTTAGCCCGGACAGGCAGTTGCAACTCGAAGCCTGATGCTGAATTCGCATGAATAGTGGGAGGAAGTGGAGCAGTGGTTGAATACTTGCTCTTGCCCTGGTTAATCATATCTATCGAGTTGGGCAACAATACCTGATTAATATCATCGTCGTTGATCATATTCTCCAACATTCTGTGTTCCAATTTGTTAGCAGCCCAATTGCTAGTGAGCCAATTTATCAATTCTTCACAAGTCTTAAAGAATTCATTTTTAATCAACTTATTTAAATAGACATTCAACTCATTACACCTGATCAACAAAGACGATTTGGTTTGTTTACGAATAGGTTGCGGCAACTTAGGTAAAGTCTTCTCGTTGATATTCAAAATAGATAAATTTATGTGTAAGTTGTAGAAATCTTGGTAAGTCTTCATAATATAACGCTTCAGTTTGTTCTCTAAAGTGAAGTCTATACGGTAGTAAAACCTGTTATCGTATTGTAATACATTCGTAATGGACACTGTACGGATCTTGAACGTGGATGTAATAGGTGATGGTGCAATCAAAGATTCCTTCTGGAAGAAATCAAAGTCATCCTCCACCGTGGCAGGAGCACTTGTGTTTAACTGAAGGGGTGTAGGCACTGGTTTGTTCTTGAGACTGTTCTTAAGATTGTCAACGTTGACACTGGAAGAACTAGCAGCAACTGGTGATTGGCTCTTACCCGAGGGTTTCCTTGGAGATCCATTGGTACTACTAGACGTAGACTTGGTGCCCATAGGGGACGAAGTCAAGTTATAGTTCTGAAAGTGTGACTGTTGTTGTTGTTGTGTAGTTTGAGTATTTTGGCTAGGTTGCAGGTTCTGGCCCAGCAGCTCTTGGAAAAATTTAGGCGAAGTTGACGAATTCAACATTGGAGTCAACGTAGTCCTTGGTGTGGTGAAGTTAGAAGTATTAGTGGAGGAGGGTACGCTTACTTGCTGACTTACAACTTCCTCGCTTCTCTTTTCGTTCAACCAGTCCCTGGTTACTGGGTTCTGAGTGTCATTAACCTCGATATCAACATAACTTGCAGGAACTAATCCTTTGCAGTCATACTTCTCTAAGATTTGCACATAGAGCCAGCCGTCGCCTGGTTTGTCTAGTAACTTGAGATAATCTCCACATGATACGGTCAACTCACATTCGCTTTCGGCTCTGAAATCGTAAATAGCCCTCAACACAACAGTTTGCTTTAAAGGTGCAGACTGCAAAAGTGCAGATGTAGAGTTGGCTAGGACGGGAGGACTGATCAACAACCCTTTAAGGTTCTTCTTGGATTTGAATTGCTTGGACTTAAAGAGAGTGGCACTCATTTATAATATGTATAATGTATCCTGCTTGTCAGTTGTCAAAAATTTATATGTATGTCACTTCGTATTTGTTTTGATTGCGCGTTAGGCTTTGTCACAATTACTTTCTTAAATAAATATATATGAATAAATAGCTCCTTAATTTGTATTGAATGGATCAGTAAAAGTAAAGCGAAGAAAAGAGAAAGGGAAATAAACTGAAGTGATGATAATTAGAAAGAAAAGAAGAAAAGTAAGAAAATAAAATATCCCTTCTACTTACAGTTTCAGTTAGTTGTTTTGACGCAAGTGACTTAACCTCTGTTTTTTTTCCTTTTTTTTTTTTATTATTTTTTATTTTTTTCTGAAAATTTCGAAATTATTTTTTAACGCAACCTAAAGTAGATTAATTTCTTTTCTTTTTTACAAAAGAATTAACTCCATTGCCAAAAAGTACGGATGGGCAATGGACAATACCTGGTGTGCCTGTGGTTGCTTCCTGTTACCGTAGATCAACCTCCAGAGACATTTTAACCATTAACAAGCAAAGGCGTTGCTTTCCCATGTAAGAATCGAACAATAAAATAGGACAACAATGAAAAATTTTCATAGCTTAATTTTTATGGTTATTTTGAAAAAAAAAATGAACCACTGGCGAGCTTACGAAAAAAATAAAATTAACGAAATGCAATTATATTACGATCAAGGCAAAGAGCTACCCTTCCATGCCACCATATTCTCCGCCCTCCTCCTTGTACTAGCTAAATACTGAAAAAGTTTATGCAAAATGATGACATCTTACCATTTCCCTTGGTATAGTTTTCTAAGGCTTCTCACCCTCAGGTTCTCTCCCTCGATCGCGTTCTGTTGGTTGTACCTGCTTACTCCATTCAAAAAGCTTATTGTGCCAGAAGGGGAAAAAACAAAAAAAGATTAAATATCCTTCTTTAATAAATTGAACATACTAATCTGAATCACGAACTAAAATCTTTAAACCACGATCTAAAACACAGACCATGCCCTTCTCTATGCGCTTCTCAGTAAAGCCACCCAACAATACTATTAGCTTCAAGCAATTTAATTGGAATGTGGTAGGAGTACCCTCAAACCTTCTAAGAATTCAAAAACTGCTAAAAGTCGCCAGATAACTGCAACCACGCACCTCTATGCAAAGAAATCGTAAATTCGCACACAAAAGACGCCCAATTTTTTGACTTTAAGCCGCTCGCTAGTGGATATTTTGGTGGGAAAAAATGTGTATGGTGTTCAATTGAGCAATAAGAATAGCGTATGGAGTTAATGTGTGCAAGACACTGGTATGCGCCAGCGAGCCTTAACAAGCTAAATCTAAATCAATCTATATATAGTTTTAATCTAGTAGAGATAAGTTTGCATTACAGAAAACTACATTTCATAGAGATATCGATAGATCGATCGGAAATTGCTGATCAAGCTTTTCCACCCTGCACTTCATTTCTCTTCAAATGATATTTTGATTGTCTATGTTTTTTTTTATTGTTTAAATTTTCGAAAGACAATTAGATTTCTAGGTAAAACAGTTTATGTATAGACCAAAGAGGAGGGAATGAAAATAAAATACAGAACTTGAAGTACATTCAGCGCGCGAGCACCATTTCGTATTACTGTGACTTTTCTATTTTTTCTCTTTTGGCTCAAAATAATGAGCTCATTCATTGATATTTCTGTTGGTTAGACACGGAAAGGAAGATTGTCGTTGTCATTTGCTACACTAACTTCGCTTCGTACCTCAGACTGAACGCGGTGAAAAAATATGATGGAAAGCTTATTGCGGAAAAATAAAAAGTTAGACCGGACTTTGAAGAATTTTAGCTTAGACACTGGACTACTTCAAAATCAACAACGCGCACTTTACGTTTACACTCTACACTAACAGGCAATATCCAAGTGCCATTGCATGTATTTGTTTTCCACTTGTGGTGTTGTTACCACTCTCCGCTTTATATGTTGCATTAGAATTATTGCATGCGCCTCTGAACTGTTTAGTGCATGGCTTACATTTTAAGTGCCAGGCACGTGCCGAAATACCACTTAAAAAATCTCCACACCTAGGGAATACTATGCCTTTCTCCACTAGCTTGTAGATCTCACAGAACCTGGAGCTACAAGTACAGTTTCGTGTACCAAATCGAATCAATTGGTGTTACAAGGTGACTTTGGCAAATAATAACATACCGCAAACCAACTAATCTCCAAGTACTTACTTTTTTTTCGGGCACCTTCAGACACCTCAGCTTGACGTGGAGCGGCCACTAAATAATAGAAGACTTCTGATTTTTGGGTCTCGTGACTTCTGTAAAAAAAATTGGAAATTCTGCTTTAAGATTACAGTGCCATTGCCTGTAGTAGTAGCTGCATCGTCAAAAACTTGATGACTTAACCGTACCTACCATTTTTCAAATGCATTATCTTCCCAACACTCCAGCGCATTCCTTGTGTGAAATTTTCAGGCTGAAAATGTGTGCTAGTCCCTCGGAAAAGGTACATGGCATAGACAATGTAGCACCTGCAAGCAGCAGAGACGGTGCAGAGTTACAGTATGAGATACATTTGCATCCAGCATTGCGTTGCTCCAAATTCACGCATTATTTCACAATTCTTTCTCTTGGGTATTTGGCTTTGGGGTAACTTTAATGAGAATACACTCTAGCCCACGTCTGTTACTTTTTTGAATGTGGGTTTCATGCCGCTAGACCAAAAGGTAATTATATACTGCCAGTGCGTTACTGAACAATAGGAAATTCAGGTTAGTGCAGCAATACACGCAGCTCTTACATAAGCTAGCGAGGACTAGGGAAAAAAGAAATCAAATAAACCGTTATTCTCGCTTGGGGTTATGAAAGAGAGAAAATCTCTAGAGCCGTTGTAACCAAGAAAGTCTTCAGAGAGGTTTCCAAAGCGGTGTATGAAACTTCAAGGTATACATGATTAGGATTTGATACAAAGGCACACAATTCAGAAGTAGTATTAGATACCTATTATGCTAATTTGCGACTTAGAGAGAAACTATCTCCCTCTTATCAAACTTATCTTCTACGGCGTTTTCGACACATTGCGACCCATTTGCTGTTTTATTTTATTTTATTTTTTTGTTTATCTTTTGTATCTTAGTTAAGGGGCAAGGCATCAGAAAGCGGTGAATTGATCGTATTATTGATTCATGCATGAAGTTTAAACTAGGCTACGTAATTCTATATTAGTCCATAAATGAACAGGAACAGTATGAATACGTTTATGCATATGCATGTTAATATTTAAATCCCAATTGAAATTGCTCCACTTTGCTGCTGGATAAAATCATTTTATACAGTTCAAGAAATGCCTTATTTCAACACGCTTTTGTACATATGTCAGGCATGAATTACATTAGTGCCCAGTGATTATGCTGTATTATGGGACGACGAAGCAGCGTACTTATTGATCTAATAGGATGTGCGTCGATTGTTCACAGAAAGATGGACTGAGAAGCTCTTTATTGCCCACCAAGGTTTCAGAAGCATTACTTGTTAGTCTGCGTAAGCCAGCTTCGCCTACAGTGCAAGTACATCAAATAACTTCCAGAATTGATGAACATTGGAGCAAATTCGCAATTTTCAAGCTAAATTGAAAACAGGCATTTCGCATTAAGCTGGAAACAGTCCCAACGAGTTCGATACGAATCTAAACTTTTGATTCAGTCTCATACTGAAAGGAAGTTCTTTGTTTCAAACAAAAACTTCCAATATCAAGAATTAGTACTTACTTCAATCCCTTTCAGCACTAGGGGATCTTATTCTTACAATATGCATTATCTCACTCTTCTTTAGTAACGAAACGTCGTAGTACTAATTTTCATACTTTTACTTCAATCAGATTTGGTTGGACATTTTGACTTATTTCATAGTTGGAAAGGTTAAATTTCTTCAAATCCTTCACAGCAAATCCTGTGTTTCTCGGGTTTGCCAAATCTAACCATTCTAGTAACACTTTGCTTTGAGCTATAGTAGTATTCTTGACCAATTCGTTTACATAGGCATTTAAGTCCTTGCAGCGTTGTGACAAATTGTAGGACATATCTTTTGATGTTATGAACTGTATCGGTTGGGGTAGCTTGGGTAAGACAGTGTTGGATTGAATTACGCTTGCCTGCAAGTGGGAATGAAGATCATAAAAATCCAGGTAATATTTACATAAGAATTTTCCCGATCCATTAGAGTATATTAAATCCAACCTGTACCAGTACCTTTCGTCATGGAGTAGGCAATGTGATATGTTTGCCAGAATAAGTGATGGTTTGCTGTTATGTTGACTGGAATCCTGCAACCATATTGGTGTTACCGGAGATACCAGATCGTTAAGAACAATTTCAACATAGGTTGCTGGAACTAGACCTGGCTTTACCAATTTGTCTATAAATTTGACCAAGAGCCAACCATTCCCTGGTCTATCCAATAGCTTCAATATATCACCCTTATTGACCGAAATTTCATGGGAGTTCTCTGCAACAAATTGGAACTTAGCTACTAGTATGACATTCACGTCAAGTTTACATGCAGTATCCTGTATCACACAGGGAGCAGATATTTTCATATAGGTAGAGGGTAAAACACAGTCTTGTTGATGTCGAGAAACGCTTGAGGATTTGAAAATATGAAATCAATAAGTGGAATATGTGTAGTTTGTTTTGATTATTATCAACAACGAAGAACAAAATTTATTTTATAATTATTAGGTAAGAACACAGTATGTTCTGATTTGGAATAAATCACATTTTGAAATGAAATCGTGGAATAGGAAAAAACCAGATCACAAAAGTGGTTCTGAATTGAAGAATTAACCTCAAAGTGTAAATATCACTCCCGCCGCTCTCTTGTGGAGTCTTGTGTAAAGTACATTGGAGCTCAGAGGGGACAATTATGGTTCCACCAGGAACATAGAGAGAGTTTTTTGATGGTGCGGCTGAAAAGTCAAAAAAGAATAATATTTCTCTTTTGGTCTGCCCAGATATGAACCATCTTTTCTCCACCAAGTCAAAGACAATCGAAAAAGAGGCGACTTGGTCCTTCTAGAACTAGTTCAAAATGATTTCGAAAGCCGAAAAGCAAATAAAATGATAACACTCGTACGGAAAGAGAAAATAATGCAAAACCTGCGTATGCTTGTAGATATTTTACGGGTAAGAATATTTCCAGGCATACTTTCGAGGCAAAACCCTGCGCAAGAGGCAGTAGAAAACATGAGTACGCAGGGTGATTAATATCTTTAGCTGGCGACACGTACCCTAAACACTTAAGCTTTGCCTGAATCACCATCAATCTAAAGCAAGGGTTCACCCTTGTAAGCATAGATGAATGGACTAGGTATTGGATTTGGCTATCATGTGCGCGAAGGGGATTGTATTCGCAGGATCCGATACCTAGGCTACTTTAGAGCTTTCTGATAACCTGTCTTCATGTTTTTTTAGATTATGCTGACTTATTTGTAGAGTAGTAAATCTGATCTGGTTCATTCTTAGTCAATAAAGCGTACCAATTGTGCAGCTCTTCTTTTTTTATTTTGCCAGTGTTGGTAACTGTATTTTCTAACTAACTATGCCGGGAATAATCTGTAATGTGGAGGCGGTTAAGTCAGGTTCTAAAAATATTCGTGAGCTTAATTCCCTGCCATGCTTCCCAAGCAGATGGGACTGACGCACAACAAAGAAATCAAAACGGCAATGCATTACTCTACTTGAAGCTCAAACGTTCAACTATACCAGAAGATACAAAAAAGTTAATCCAGATATTATATAAACAAATAAAAATAAAATAAAACAATAACAAAACGGAAAAAAGAAAATAGTAGATGGGGGGAATGCCTTTGATGCAAGATATTATTAAGAGAGTGTGAGAGTTCGGGGATTAGATTGTACCCATCAAGCGAATCAATTATGCTATTGAATGCTCGACAACTACGTCGAACACTACTCAGTGCACCTTGAATTATAAGATGGGCTTTGGCTTCACCTTAATCTCCTTCCGGCCATTTTTGCTCGACCAAATAGATGTATATCAGTTTCGCTGGTACTCCAGAAGTGAAAATATGTGAAGAAAGAAAAGAGAAATAGTTTGAAATGAAAAAAGTCAAACATGAAAATTTTCAGTTGGGTTGGTCTTCGCCAAAATGTAAAATGTTACACAAAAACAGATACCATTGGTGCTTTCAAAAAAGTCAGGGCTTCGGTTCAGTTAAAATTATAGTTTCAATCAATATTGCAAAATTTGAGTTGAAGTCTCGGGCGGCGAAGGTTAAGATGAGAAAATAATGACAAGGTGAATGAAACTATTGGTGGGTCTACATCAACAAGTTTGCAGAAGAAGCAACCAATACTGTTTATCCGCTAGCACTCTCTTATCTCTTTCCTTCCTCTTCGATCGAGCTTAATCGCACTTTTCTCGGAAATTTCTATGTGGGCTCCACACGCCTTTCCTAAAGTAAGGTCAAACGTGCCATATCCGTGTAGAATGAGTTTCTTCATTTAGCGGAGCAAAAAGGAAATGCAGGACCGGAGACAATTGCAAACTGCAGATAATAATAAAAAATTATGTAATGGCCCTCTACGCGATTGTGGTGAATAATGCATGCGAGATATTGACATAGTCTGGTTACCTTGCATGCATGAGGCACCATTACACTGAACTAAAATGGAAATATAGCTGCTAAGAAAATCATACTACAAATGACTTCGCAAGTATAATTTCATGTACTGATAGCGGTTGATGCTAAAATTTTCAGCAAGTATTGGGTTTTGATTCGTAAGGCGCTTTTATTTACCTCTCCAAATTTTAAACTTAATTACCTTAATCGCATTGTTGGGATATACTGTCAGCGTTGAGTGATTGAGCGATTCGGCCAATGAGCAAGGTTATACGGCTAGTTTGACCAAGCAAAAGAGAATTTAAGCTACTATTACAAATTATTACAAAAGATAAATAGCAAAATACTTATAAAGTTAATGATGTTCATGGGCATATTTGAAATAGCTGAACAGCCAAATTGTAGAAAGATCGCCTATTTCGACCCGTTTTGGACCCATCTCGACCATTAATGATCGAACGCAGGTTGCCTTCTGCTTTTTTTTTCATAAATTTCTCATTATTTGCCTCACACAAGCTCGCTTTCCAGTGTGGGGGGTAATCATATTCACAATCTTTTTGCGTAGATCATGTACATTCTCTTAGGGCACTTGGACGGCTCATTTTCAAATGAAAGTTTATGTTAAAAAAAGCTAAGCGCGCAATGGAGCCAAAAGCAATGCCTAAAAGCATTGTCTGAAAGAAGACCTACCTAGCACAAGCAAAAGGTGAATATGAAAAAAAAAAAATAACAACGTATGCAACTACTCATTATGGAACTGAAATAGAGCATTGACCTAGGCAAGCAAGCGGAAAATTCCAGTACAAAGACCAAGACAAAGGTAAGCCTGCTGAGACCTCACCTCATCCACCATTCTTGGTGATGAGACACTGTTCAATTGAACAGCCGAGAAAGTCAACCCTCGGATTTGGTTCAATTTTCAGAAGAAAGTGGAAGCTGTTTCTCTTTCTCTTTCTCTTTTCTTTTTATCCGTCATATCTCAGCGCCCTAGATCTTAGTCTCATCGACCTGCCCTTGTAAGTGCAACTTCGGGGTAATACCGATTAGGGGAAAAGTGTAATTGTCATTGCCACAACCCACATAAACCAAAATAAAAATAATCGGATTAAAAAACAAAAAAAATAATAAAATAAAATAAAATAAAAAAAATAAAAATAAAGCATAAAAAATAAAAATTATCAAAATAAAAAAAAAAAAGAAATGAAATCGAAAATCACCAGTTAAGATTTCGACTTTTCCATTATCGATTTTTTTTCCACTTCAACGTTTTTCATTTCTACATAGCTCTCTTTCTTCTTCTTCTGGTTGTTATCTTCTTGTACTGTTCAGCTCAAGAATTTGCACATTCATTGCTCTTTACGAGAGAATTGAAGACAAGGAAATTTGGCGCTGTAAGATTTACATATCTTTTTCCCACACTAGAAATATTTTATAACCTCTGTGTGGTAGCGCTGTCAAAAGGAAGAGCCCGTATTGTTTCAGAATCGGTTTGATTTACTTGCAACTAGCACAGTTACAGTCAGTTTACTTGAAACATCTTTATTACATTCGTCATTGGCCGCAATTGAAGAAAAAGTGTACATAAAGCGACTTAATACAGATTTGCACATATATTACCTTGACAGATTAGTTCCCCTGACATAATCACCCTTTGCATTCGAGTTTCACATAATTCGAAGGTCAAATTCAAAAAAAGAAAAGAAAAGTAAGGAATAGAACTACATTACTATCCTTTATCACATTACTCAATAACCCATGAACATTTCTGCATCTTAATACATCTTCATTTTTCAATTCTAGCCTAACCCTAATACTTTCCTTAAAAAATTCAAACTAAACTAACTTACAAAATTACAATGGGTAACTACCAATCAACCAAATCAAAGTCGCAAGAGAACCATCATTTGGGTTTAAGCGGCTCAGCGGATTTGCAAATGTTTGAACTACCAGATCAATCATTTATGAAGCAGACCTCAAACTACTCGATTTTTGCAAACAACCAAGCCATGAGTTCAAATCTCTCCATAACCCAACCAGACTATATGCATAACAACCACCCATTTAATTCGTCCGAGACGAATAATTTCCATCACCAAAATGACTTAAACAATAATGCGGACTTTTTACCGAATATTTATGGAATCAATGAATTTGAGTTCAATAACGCTTCATTTGAGTCTTTACCTGCTATTTCTGATAAGACGTCGCAATCGCATTCCCAGTTTGACTTGGTGGACAACTCCGATTGGTACCCGTATCCTTACACGCCAACTTTCCACGATAATCACCTGTCGAATTTTTCAGAAGGTAGTTTCACCTCTGAATATGTTGATGGTCAGTTTCTCCAAAATCTGCAACAGAATCAACAACAACTTACACTTTCCCAAACTGTGCAGCAAGTGCCGCAGCAAATGGCGCAGACTGCGCAAATCTCACAGCATCTGCAACAATTTTCGCAGACAGTACCGCAACAACAGTCGCTTTCAAGCTCACTCCAGCAGACTCCGGTTAACCCCAATTCAATTGCAAAGAGGAATTTGACTATGCAGTTACAGGCTCATTCTAACAACTCTCCGCATTCTACTATTCTGCCCTATCAGCATTTGAGCGGCAGAAGTACCCCTATTGCTATCAGTACCAACTTTAATGAGTCTCCGACTCCGAGCTCGAACTTGCACCACGCAATTACCTTTGGTGCAGGGAGCAGTGCAAACTCATCATCAGGTCACCAGCAACCACCATCTTTGATTTTCCATTCACCCTCAACTGCAACTTCTACATCGCCTATTGTGAGCCTGCAGCAATATAAGACGTTGGATATGAACTCACCTATCTTACCACCACAACATGCATTCCGTCATAACTCCGATTCGTCATTTAACTCCACAAATTCTTCGATTGAAAGTCCAAGAAGATACCCATCGCAGCTGCAGCTGCCACCAACATCTCATAAACTCTCACTTCATCACAACAATAGTAATTTAGAATTGACTCCTCCGGTGTTCACTCCTCTGAAGTCAATTTCCAAAAAGCTCTCCATGACCTCACTTTCCTCGTCTGACGTTTCGAAACCGAAAAAGTACACCCGCCAAAGACTTTTGCCAAGGTCTAAAGACGGATGCTGGATTTGTAGAATTAAGCACTTAAAGTGTGATGAGTGCAAACCAGTTTGTAAAAGCTGTCAAAGATTTGGAATTGAATGTGACTACTCTGAGGAAAAGCCACTTTACGTGACTGACAAGAATATGCGTAAGGAAAAGCTTGCAAGCATTGCCCAGGTCAGAAGAAGTTCTACTACTATCCTGAAGAAGAGATCCAAGGCGAAACTATTAAGTTAGCGTTATATTATAAAATCATCATCATCATCATTATCATCATAATTATTATCATCATCATCTTCATCATCACCATAATCATCATCATTATCATCAACATCAATCATCCAATACCCATCATGCACTTGGTGATTGTGATAATTAATCCCTTGATTCATTTCCTTCTTCCGTGCCCCTTTTTAGTTTCTGTTTGATTGCGAAAAACCTAAAAAAATATATATATATATAAACAAGCATAATTGCTTTATAGTTGTTCATATCAATAATTACATTCATTTATAAGTCAATTTAGCGTAGAGTGTCGCAAAAATTTGCAGCCATTATCATTATCCCATGCATTTGGCTAAATTGAGTAATTCTTGCGAAAAGGATATCACCTTAGTAGAAAGTAGTAGCTTTCTTCCCAAGTAGCATAAAACCGTTTCATTCTGGATGAACCCTAACCGACGAATCCATATCTGCTTATGCGTGTATAAATGCCCTGTTGACTATCATTACGATAATGTACTAAGTACATATCCTACATATAAGCTCTGCACATGATGCAGTTCCTGAGTTAAACTTGCATAAACATACATGTACGAAAAGATAAGTGCAGCCAAGAAATTCCAAAATAAGTAGAATAGTAACCAGCACATTTACGGTTTTTAGTCCCCCACTCAGGTCTAAATATGCAGCCACTCCTACGTATGTTGTTATGCAAAAAGAGACATAAAGTGTCTTACTTAATGGTGGACTTCTATTGCCAACTTATACACTACAGGGACTATATATCTATATTATCCTAACCAATTACGGAGCACTATTATTCCCACTCTGGTACTGTTAATCTTTTCTTTATAATTCTTTCATTCTCAAATGCTGATATTATGCTAATGTCTCCCACTTCTACATCGATATCCTCTTGTGCATACTGCAACATTGAAACATAATTACCTTCAAATCCAACCCAGGGACCATTCAATGGATCATTCAAGAATGGGTAAGTGTAGTCTGTAAATTGCTCTCGATCTTCGTCGATTGTAGATTTTCTTCTACGAAGAGATCTTGTTAGGCTCGAATTAGAAGCATTCCTCGAGTCATCAATTAAAGGAGATTCTTCATTTTCAATTTGAGAAGAAGATGATGTAACAACAGGGCTTGGGGTTGTACCAGGAGTTGCCGGTCTGTGAATTGACAGATCATCATCTTCTGTAAACTCCTTATCATAGTTATCAAACGGGTTCTGAATTGCCCTTAGCGCAATGAACTTATGTAAGGGTAAGTAATAATTTTCAAAGTTCCAAGTTAATATCAATGAAACAAAGATTAACGGTACGCATATTGCCGACAATATGTAAGCGTCTCTCAAGGCTAATGTACCACACATAAATATCTGGAATATTATTAACCCTAGGATCATCCTTCTAAATATCATGGGCCATACCTTCCCTGTGGAATGTGGGGGGTGGACAAAGCTATAAATTAATTGATATTTGTAAACCAAGTGTCCCAAAACAAAATAGACCAAGCCGCAAGCAATAATCTTGGTGCTAACAACACTGTATATCAAGACAATAATAAATATGAGTAAATGCTGAGGCAATTGTAACCCAAAGTCGAAGATAGGTGGAGTGTAATAATAATATCTATAATCTCGTGGGGTCTTGATTAGAAACTTCCTTAAAAAGAATATTCTCCCAACTAAGTTCAATATGAGGAAATCTGAGATCTGAAGTAATCTAATAGGGAACATTGCCACACCTTGAAGCAAAATCAAATTAATGTAAAATAATGATAACTCTTTTAACGATGTAGCCAATTGGTACGCAATCTTAGTAGTATCTCCTATAATTCCCAAGAAATTCAGGACAGTTCCTGTAACTGTAAACACAAGAAACAAATTGAAAAATATGTAAAAGAAATTTTTCAGTAAGGTTGACAATTCAATGTCACTGTTACTAACATAACCCTGGTAATACGTTAACCATTGATAAAAATAAGGCAACAGAAAATTGAACAAAGAAAACAAAAATGGAGGCAATATACCAGTGATTAAAGTGGTAAGCCATTTCAGTTCGCTGATTGCTTTCCCAACGTCTGGCCAAATTTTGGTGATTGTCTTCACGTTCAACAAAGTAGAAATAGATGAAATTGGGAAGAACAAAACCAAGAAACTCAAAATGATGATAAAAGTAATAAAATATGACCTTATTAGCTTCTCTCTTTGAGTTGAATTGAACGAATCCCACTTAACATCTTTGGGAGCAGGAGCCAAGTGAACTATTAACTTGTGCACTCTAGGGTCCAAAACTGTTTGAGCAGCCATCTGTGCCGACGCTACAGAGTCCATGGTGATAAATGCTGCATTAATTTGACGGAAAGATTTATCTGACATAGTACCAGACAGAAAATCGAACTTTTGTTGTATTTGTCGTATCTCTTCGTTACACTCCAAAAGAAGATTTCTTAAATTTGCAATTTCTGTGGTATTGTAACTTGATCCCTCACAGTCAACATGTGCTGGCAAAACTGCCGGGTTTTGTTGATCATTATATAAATCGATCTCGAGACCATGGATTTTCGAATAGACTTCTTCCAACTTGGACATAATCTTGAGTCTTTTTTCGAAGAGGCTGTTGAGAGGAGACCAATCATACACGAATTTGACATTTACAACTTTCCCAATTCCCATTGATTCCACAAACGAAGCCAACACAGTGGGATCATTCTTAACAAGCAATTTCGAGGGGATACCAGACAACAAGATCGTTCTATCTGTGATTGAATTCTGAGACGCCAAATATTTCTGCCTAATTTTCAAGATCTTTTTAGTATAGTCAAACAAGAAGAGGTACACTATAATGGAAAAGCCATAAGTTGCTACTGGGTACAAGTAAAAGAACCATTCACTTTCCGCTGGTTCGGGATTGCTGCCACCACCACCAGCAGCAGACCTTCCTTTGACTCCGTCCACGCCATCATGAATATTTGCCCAATACCTTGCAGGCAGCAACACTACGATCGCCAATATGGAAATGATCAGGAAGATCTTGATCGACATCTGGAAAAATGCTACGAAGACATAGGCATCTAGTCCGGAAACTCTAAGTAAATCTTCATCCGAGAACTTATACACGGCCCAGATCCAACTGAACCATCCTAAGGGCAATGGTTTAATATTAGATTCCCTCAAAGTTCTAAGGGCATACATATGGGGCCATCTTGATCTGAACATGCAGAATAGTAGTAACAGGGTAAATCCAATTACACAGCATAACAGTAATTGAGCTGTAAAAACTCTTTGCGCACCTCTCAAAGTAGTGGGATCATCTTCCCACCCCGGTGAATCATGCAGAGGCTTCATCAAGCGATAGATACTGTGATAGCTTCTAGATTCCGTCTCTGTATTCCTTTTGAACTTATCGTCTATCAACTCAAAAGCCATACCAGGCCTACATATAACAGATACTGCATATAAACCAAACATCATAACAGACGCGAGCCAGAGGTTCTGCTTTTTTTTTTTTTTTTTTTTTTTTGCGTAATCTTATGGAGAGTTTCGTGGAATTTCGGTGTTTCCGCATTAGGAAGTCAAGATTATACTTACACCCATACCAGTTTCAGGTACTTGGTTAACGCAAGAAAACTGCTGGAAGTGGATCTTTTCTTTTATCCACGGATGAATAAACCAGTTATCAGAAATAGCTTGGAACTCAAATTTTCACTTCTGAAGAATGTTTGAACTTTCCCTATAAAAATGAATTGCAACGATTTCTTCTGAGAGACAGATATTCACATGTGGACTACAATATGCGATGTTCAGCATGTCTTTACAATTTCTTATCTTTCATCTGCTTCTGGAGCGACCTTTGCGACGCAGAAACTGCTAATATAAGTTACATTGTAGGTTGAATCAATTGTCTGGTGTACTTTTCGATGATTTCCGTGGGCTCAGTTTCTCCCCATTTTTAACTCCGCATTTTGCATATGATGCGCATGCAATGTCTTTCTTAGTGACATATGAAAATTAGGATCTAGCCTATAAAACCAAACCAGATGGTTGAATTTAAAATGAATAAACGTCCCCACATTATAGATCTTATCAAAATCACTGAATAGTCACTGAATAGTTTGATTTTTATTACTTTATTTTTTTACAATATGACCAAATACGCTTTAATTTCTGGTGCCTCAAGTGGTATCGGTTATGCACTCTGTGAGCAATTCTCGAAAAAAGGCTACAAAGTCTATGGGTGTACAAGAGGAGCGGAAGTTCACCTTATGAAGCCATTAACCGAAAAATATGGTGTAACTGCATTTTCTTGTGACATTACAAATACTAAGGAAATTTTAAAGATGAAAGAAGCAATCTTGGAGGAGACTGGTGGCAGATTGGATATCTTATATAACAATGCTGGTATTGCTGCTGGTGGACCAGCTTGTGAATCCGAAGATCAAAAGGTCGAGAAGATATTCAGAGTTAATGTTTTCGGACACATTGCAATGACAAGAGAATTCACTGAAGCTATAGTTGCAACCAAGGGTACCATTATTTTCACATCATCCGTCGCTGGGAGGGTTCCAATGCCAATGGTTTCGTTGTACTGTGCTACAAAGGCTGCAATTGACCAATATGCACATGTCTTATGCATGGAAATGAAGCCTTATGACGTGAAGGTCGTTTCCGTTATCACGGGTGGTGTGAATACTGCCGTGGGAGATAACGGTAGGGATGATTTCGATGAAAATGCGCCGCTGCTCTTCAACGTTCCAGGAATACAAGAATGTGCAGAAGAAGTTGCATTAATGGCTAGAAAGTGCCCAATCCCCGTGCAGCCACACGAGTACGCCACTTCAGTGGTAAACTATCTCACGGGCCACAAGAACCCTTCCTTAAATATTTATTATGGTGGTATGTCATGGATCTTGAACTACTTGGGCAGATACACGCCAGTTTGGGTGCAACAGTTCTTCATCGGCAAACATTTCAAATTTGACAAGGTTGCGGCAAATATTAGAAAGAAGAGAGCTCAAAGGGGGTACTAAATGAGGGTCTGACCTCAGTCAGCCTCTATATCGACACCAAAAGCAACGATCTACCCGTAGGTTCTTTCTATTATATAAGCATGTACTTAAGTAGCTTCCGTTCTTTAACGATTATGATATACGTTTTTATTTTCAGTGGTTTGCAGCCTTTTTTTTTTTTTTTTTAACATGCTGCATCGTGCGTATAAGTATAGCCAGTTGCACTGTAGTAGTAGTACTAGTAGTACTTGTAGCATCTACAGTGATAAGCAGCAAAAGTCGGACATCTTTCTACAGTAAAGACTGTAAATGAGAACCAAAGTATATATACGACTAGTCCCTTAATGAAAACCTCCAGTTTGTCCTTCTTTTTTGGAGTGTATAGTACACTAACAATTTACAAGCATTAGCCATTTCCTGCATGCGGATCGCTCTAAACATCCACTAGCTTCCTGCACCCAAGCCCTCGCTAATCCACAAAGCTCGCCGGTTTGTAAATTTTCACTGGCAGTGAAAAAAATGGTTAACTTTTCACTGTTCAACGTCTAATTTTTGTTCAGCACAGTCTATTCTGTAGTAGAACATTTATCGTCAAGTTAGACTCAAGAACTCGTTGCCCAGCCACACTATTATGACGGACGTTTATGTGGTTGTGGAAATTGCAACCACCTGCGACGAATCTTCCAACTATGTCTCGAGAGACTCCACGGAATTGATTGAGTTTACGTGGGCCGCTATTGATGCCACCACCTTGGAAACGATTCATCTGGATTCCGTTCTTGTAAGACCAACGAATACACCCATAACACCATACTGTGCCAAGCTTCACAAGATATCCTGGGAGCACGTCAAGTCTTCTGGTGGGACATTCAAAGGAGCCATTCTGAAGTTCGATAAGTTTGTTCAACTGGAAATTTTAGATAAGGATTTGCAGTTTCTGTTTGTGACGTGGGATGTCAGCAAGTTGAGAGTACAGTTACCACGGGAAGCCAGAGATAAGCTGGTGGTATTGCCGTCTTACTTACAACACCCAAGGGTGTTTGACTTGCAGAACGAGTACGTTAAGTGGCAGGCAACACACCCAGAAGCTTTAAGCTACACCAGCAGCTCGATAGGAAACATTATCACTGCATTGGAGATTGAATTGGAAGCTGATGAAGCCGAAATTATTAGCCCACAACATAGTGTGCATGGAGCAATAAACCAGGGCCAGAGCCAAAGTAGTAGCCAGAGCAGTTCCAGTGGTTCACCCTCACCTACACCAGAAGGAGACACTCGCTCGAAGACGATGTCATTGGTCTACTCTAAATTTTTAACTCAATTGATCAAGAAGTCTATCCCAGCGGAAGATCACCCCCTTGTCCTTACAAAGCCCTTTGACTCAGCACAAGATGTCAAGGTATTTCTCGCAGAAAGGTCTAAAATCTTGTACCTTTCCAACTTGCCCCTTGATACTACCCAGTCTGAGTTGGAGTCATGGTTCACTCAGTATGGAGGGAGACCTATCGCCTTTTGGACATTGAAAATGTTAGACGAAAAAAATAACAATAGCAATGTTAATTCCGCTACTGTCAAATCCATCAATGGATTTGCAGTGTTCGCTACACATGAAGAGGCTACTGAATCATTGTCAATGAATGGTAGACTATTAAACGATAAATCTATTGAAGTCCAGGCATCATCTACTAGGGTATTGGATAAGGCGAGCGAGCTTTTGACCCCTTTCCCTCCTCTGAAGAATAGGCCAAGACCTGGAGATTGGACTTGCCCATCGTGTGGCTTTTCCAATTTCCAAAGAAGAACTGCTTGCTTCAGGTGCTCCTTCCCAGCTTCCAGTGCTGTGGCCATACAGGAAAGCATCTATACCAAGAAGGGTTCCGGTACCACTGGAAGCGGAAACAATAATAACAGTAGCAACAATAGTAACAGTAACAACAGTAGCAACAACTATATTTCGAACAATAATAGTAACCATAGCAGCAACGATAAATTGAACCCAATCAGCTCCAATACTGTTATGGGATATTCATCTAACTCTCCATACGATCATGGTAACAACAACAATAACAACTTTAATAGCATTCTTATGAACAATTCGAGTAGCATGACAAGCATAAATGGAAATAACCACAACAACTATAACAACAACAATAGTAATAATAATAACAATAACAACAGGTCTTATGGAAACAACGTACCATTTAGAGCTGGTGATTGGAAATGTGAGACATGTTTTTATCACAATTTTGCGAAGAACTTATGCTGTTTGAAGTGTGGTAATGGTAAACCTGCCAACAGTGGTAACAACAATAACAACAATAATGGCAACAGCAACGGCAATAACGGTAATAATATGCATTTGAACTCGGTCAACTCAACTGCTGCTGCTATTGCTGCTGCTACCGCAAGCGGACAACCTTTAAACTTGAATAATGGATTCGTCGGTACACAACAACCACAACTGAATCATTATGGAAAGAATAACAATAACAACCAAAGCAACAACCTCAAGAACTCTGGAGGCAAGCAGTACAACGTCCAACTGCAACAATACCAGAAGCAAATGATGAATGGCAAACAGGGAAATATTAGAGGGAACCACAATTCAACTCCGAAGCCTTTGTTGCAACAACATTTGATGATGTTACAGCAACAGCAGCAACAGCAACAACAACAGCAACAACAACAGAAGATTCCAAATCATATGGGATCTCCACAGACCAGTGCATATTCACACCCAGTGGGATCTCACTCACAGGGAATGTACGACGTTTATGGTAATCAATACGGGAACGGGTCGGAATCTGGACTCTCAAACCTTCCGAAATCCAACCATGGTGATAATAGAAACCGCATTGATGGTCTCAGCACTCACATTCAATCATTAAACCTTAACAACTAGTTAAAGGGCCACTAGGCATATATCAGTAAATTTCGTGGTGGGTCCACGTGCATTATTTTAGAGGGTTAGAATTATTCTATATGTAATTTTTATGGGAGGCGAAAGGGTTTCAAGAGAAATAGAGGGAAAGAGATAATCATATGGCAATATTGTGATAAGAGAAAAGTTTTAGCAGAATGTTTGTATTTTATATTTGGGAGACAGTGTTATAATAAAGAAATAGTAATATGAGCAAAGTATGAAACTGTAGACAAGATCAGTAAATCTTCATGAGTTTTCTCCATTTTTTTTTAGCTCTAATATAGGGTCTATTTGACGCTCTACAGCGAAGAACCGCCTCGTTCAATAAGCCCTCTCTAGTTCTCGACCTGCAAAAGAAGTCTAACGACTGCTTCTTCATTCCTTTGGAGCCTCTTCCGTTAGACGAATATATTCCTGCATATACGCGAAAAATAATCTAATGCAAACAGCTCGCGAACACGTAAACTGAAATTTAATCAGCCAAGTGCTACTCGTTTGTTCTTTGCAGAGCTAATTAACATACTTAACTATATAAAAATGCCTGATAAGTACTCGGTTATATTACCCACCTATAACGAAAAGAAGAACTTGCCAATTTTGGTCTACCTTCTTGCCAAAACCTTCAAGGAAAACAAAATAGACTGGGAAGTTATAATTGTTGATGATAACTCACCAGATGGAACTCAAGAAATTGCCAAAAAATTAATTGATACTTTTGGTGCTGATCACATTCAATTGAGAGCAAGAGCTGGTAAATTGGGATTGGGTACTGCGTATGTTCACGGCTTAAATTTTGTTACTGGTAACTTTGTTATCATCATGGATGCTGATTTCTCTCACCACCCTGAAGCAATCCCCGAATTAATTGCTAAGCAAAAGCTGGAAAATTTCGATATTGTTACAGGTACACGTTACGCAGGCGACGGAGGAGTGTTTGGATGGGATTTAAAGCGTAAGTTAGTATCCAGAGGCGCTAATTTCTTAGCTGCTACAGTTTTGAGACCTAACGTTTCAGATTTGACTGGTTCCTTCAGATTATACAAGAAGCCCGTCTTAACCAAGATCATTGAAGTTACTAAGTCCAAGGGTTACGTTTTCCAAATGGAAATGATGGTTAGAGCTAGATCTTTGGGATTTACCGTGGGTGAAGTTCCAATCAACTTTGTAGATAGATTGTACGGAGAAAGTAAGTTGGGAGGAGATGAAATTGTCGGATACTTGAAGGGTGTGTGGACATTGTTTACCAGTGTTTAGATGGATACTATAATAAAGAATAAAAAGAACATGTAAAAAATGTGGGTCACTTGTAGGGTATGTATTGTGTGTAGATAGTGCCGCACATGTGTTGAAACAGTCGAGTAAGAGTGTGGGAAGCAATACAAAACAGAGGTGAAACAGAGGTGCTACAGAAGTGAAACACGAAGGAAACGAAACTGATTCAAGGCAAGCAGAATTGAGCACCAGATTTTTCCTTATTATCTTGTATCTTGTTACTTCTTTGCATAAATAGAACCATAGAGCGCTATTTTACAATTTTCTGCCCAGGGTCTTTGGGTGCAAATTTCTTCTTTGCTGCAGAATTGGATAATTTAAAGAAAATTAGGTAGTAGACAGGGCCAGCTTTTATGTTGTTTTGAGTCGGTTTTGAACAAAGAGGCTCAAGATTAAATTATTGAGCCAATAGAACCCACATTTACTAAGAAGAGGTATTAAAATCGGAACATTCTACTTATTTATCCGTGCCAGCATTAGCTTCATTATGGTACTTTATTTTTTTTTCTCTCTTGATTTTATGGCTTTTCAGATTTGTGCGAGTATGCGTATAGCAAATTAACTGAGCAAAATTTCCAGCCCTTCCTCTCTTCTTTCTTCTTTTGAATAGTACAAAATTCGGAAATTCATTGTAGTATTTTCTCCATGGGAAGAGACACATACCTCAAAAAGGTTCTTGGCGAAGACCGGTACCAAAAAGTCCAAGGCTCTACAGTTTTGATGGTTGGAGCTGGGGGTATTGGTTGTGAGCTTTTGAAGAATCTCATGCTCTCTGGATATGGGACTATTCACATAGTTGACCTTGATACTATAACACTCTCAAATTTAAATAGACAGTTTTTGTTTCGTAAGGGTGATATTGATCAATCTAAATCGATCACCATTAAAAAGGCAGTAGAATCCTTTAATTTTCATGGAACTAAATTGATTTCTCATCATGGAAATATTATGGATACCGACCAATTTCCGATAGACTGGTGGGATCAATTTAGTTATATTTTCAATGCCTTGGATAACTTAGAGGCGAGAAGATACGTAAACAAAATGGCTTTATTCTTGAAAAAACCGGTTATGGAAAGTGGGACTACTGGGTTCGACGGGTATGTACAACCAATCTTTCCATACAAAACTGAATGTTTTGATTGTCAACCTAAAGCCACACCACAAACATTTCCCGTATGTACCATTAGATCCACCCCGAGCAAGCCAATTCATTGCATCACATGGGCCAAGGAATTTTTGTTCCAACAGTTGTTTGACGAGCTGGTCGAAGGTGACGCTGAAGATTTGTCCAATGCTACAGATAACGATAAAGAGTTGGAAAATTTACTAAAGGAACTGAATGAGTTGGTTGAATTGAGAAAATTGGTGGTAGCAACTGGTGAAGTGATTTCACAGAACACATTCTTCTCGGAAATGGTAAGAAAGATATTCCAAATAGACATCGAGAGGTTACTATTGATAGACACTTTATGGACAAATAGACTCAAACCAATACCAATTTCAGATGCACAAATTGAAGAAGTGGCGGACCTTATAAGATCCGGGGGTATAGAGCAGAGATTGGAATCCTTAATAGATACTCAAGTCTGGTCTCCTTTAGAAAATTTACTAGTATTATACAAATCTGCTACTAATCTTCAAACACGAATGAAGAACAATAAGTTCATCGCATTTGACAAAGATGACGAAGATACTCTCGATTTTGTCGTTACTGCTGCCAACCTAAGATCGCTTATATTCCAAATTGATACATTATCGAAGTTTGACGTCAAACAGATTGCTGGGAACATTATTCCTGCCATTGCAACTACCAACGCCATAATATCAGGATTTTCTAATTTGGAATCACTAAACTTTCTTGCTCAGAATTCCAGGACTGACTCATCTATGGTTTTTATAAGTATAAGGCCAAACAAATACGTCACTTCAGCCACATTGGAAGCCCCTAGAAAGCAATGTGCAAGCTGCTCTGTTGCGAGAGGAATATTAAAATCCGAGGAAGGCACTTTAGACCAAGTTACCTTAGAGCAGTTCATCGATAAAGTCAAATCCAAATATTCATATTCAAGTGATATCTCGATAATACTAGGGAAATCCAAGCTAATTTACGATTTTGATTTCGATGACAATTTACTGAAAAGCTTAAGCGAAATCGGATTTAAAACTGGGGAATTGGTTTTAATTCAAGATGAAGATGATGAGGTGGAGAACTTAGAGTTGTATATTGAAGTCGGCCTCAAACTGAATGACATTGAGTTGCCTGAGTTGGAATTAAGACAAAAAATTTTGATAGAGAAGGAGAATGGACATGAAAATGGAGTTGGAAAGGATGCGGAAGAAGAATCGGGAGATGTCATTGAATCTGATATGGCCTTTGAAACAATAGTCATAGAAGATGAAGTAGAGGAGGAGGTTCCAGCGCCAAAAAAGAGAAGAATAAATTAAGCAGCATACAATTTATACTACGAGCAAGAAAGATTTGTCTTGCTACCATCCCCACTCTCGTGATTGATTGGTAAAAAGCTATGTATAGAAATACAATATACCAGTATCCTGCAACCAAGCTACTATTGTTGACATTCCCTCCTGCATAATGCTTGACGAAACACTCTCTATTTTTGTTTTCTCGGATTGTATACAGGAAAATATCAATCAGCGGCAAGTTTTCTCACTCCTGACCATCCTTTACGGATTTTTTTCTCTTTTGACCAGTACTACTCTTTTCCTATACGAATTAGAAACAGAAGTAAGACCTTTAGTATATATCAATCATGTCTTGGCAAGCTTACACCGATAACCTCGTTGCGACAGGTAAAATTGACAAAGCCGCATTATATTCAAGAGCGGGTGATTCCTTATGGGCGCAATCTAACAACTTCCAATTGAATGCTAACGAGATTTCTGAGATTGCCAAGGGTTACGATGATCCATCCAATTTGCAAAGTCACGGTTTACATGTCCTCAATCAAAAGTACTTCTTATTAAGAGCTGATGACAGATCGATTTACGGTAAACATGAAGCTGAAGGTGTCGTTGCAGTAAGAACTAAGCAGGCTATCTTGATAGCACATTACCCTTCAGGAGTTGTTGCTGGAGATGCAACCTCGGTAGTTGAAAAACTTGCTGATTACTTGATTAGTGTTGGATACTAGATAGTGAGGAGGTTGTGTTATATAATATACGAGGAGAATAAAATCAAAATAAACGAAAAAATATATAAATATTGAACTTCAATTGCAGCATTTGTTGGTGAGAAGGCTAAATCGCAATACAGTGTAGTACTTCGGTGAGTATGTAAGGAGAGATCAAAGGGAAAAAAAATATCGTGGTGATTAGAATGCATATAAGGCCAATGCTCAGGGAAACACTATAGCTCTCAGATCACCACAGTTCACTAATCAAGGGTACGAAAGAGCTACTCCTCTTTTTTTTTTCTGTAGTTTGATTGCCAGAGCTCGAGCATATCAGTTACCCGATTGCATTGCTGTACTTCTTTTTTTTTTTTATTTATTTTTGAACCCACCGTTCGTCCAACCCATGTTTTATCTTGTATTGCTTCATTCCACAATTATTAATAGAAATGAAAATAAAGTTTTTAAGCTGCAACCACGAATTCCAAAGACCGAATGCTTAGAAAAACAAACATGACAATGCCTTACACACACGCTAGTAGCATAGAAAGAGGGTAGCATTACCCAAGAGTTTTGTTCTTCGCATTCTACTGGATTGCTGCCCTCATAGAGCAAAGCAGCTTCAATCAATCGCTTTCCAACCTACTTACTTGCTATTAAAACTGTGCTCTCTTCTACACCACAGGAGCAGAGCTGGTCCGCTCAACTTCTTCTCTGTAGTGGAAGCAGGGCCAAAACCTCCTGCATACTCAAGCTCAATTCCCTGAACCACCCCGTAAATCGTGTCCTACATATAACAACATTGACTTTCACACGACTCGCACTACAATTTAAAACTCAAAAAGTTTCATTGGCTAAGAAACAATTTTTCATTGGACTACCTGCAGGACATGAACAATTCTCTTGTATGAGCAGGGAAAACCCAAAAAAAGGAAAATAACAACTTTATCACTGGCTACTTCCCTGTGCTATTTAACTCATTCACTTGTGAACCCGACTTCATATACAATGTTCTCAAGAAGCTTGAAAAGCGGTGTATCGGCAGTAAGAAAGTACTCCACTGATGCCTCGGCTCATTCAGTAAAGGAAACGGAAATCAATGTCCCTAAAATCTTTGGAATCGCTGCCCTCTTCGGTGCGTCCATATGGTTATACAAAAACACCAACGGTGACCAACCTGCCATTAAAACCCAATATTTTGATACTTTCGAGAAGAGAAGAAATGTAAGAGAGGAAATAAAGTTAGACCTTGACGAAAAGGCTAACGGTAGAAACAATATTTTCCTTCCAGGAAAGCAACAACATGCATCGAATAACGAATTTAAGCCAAACTTAAACTACAATATTATCCCTGCACATTCACCATGGGGTGTGCAGTTTGGCCAAGGAATCAAGACTGATAAGTTAGGACCAAGAAGGGAACAACCAGTGAAGTTTGCACCAGCCCAAAGTTCATAAACGAAGAAAAATTCCAAAAATAACATCATTACCTTAAATTTGTGGAAAGTAGAGTGAAGCGCATGGGTATATTTGAATTAGCTCATTTTCATTTAATTTATCGATATTCCCTATGTGTACAGTGAGCTTTTAGCTGCACGATTTCCCCCCACCTCCCCACATATGACTCCAATTCTTAGAATTATACAATCATCGTATAAGCCAAAACCCCTTCACTTTTTCGAAGTATAAACTAATGATTTAGCCTCGAAATCTAGCATGTGAGTAATATTATTACTTGTTTACGTTTAACATAAAATAATTAAAATCCAATAAAAATAGTATAAATAGAGTAACCGTGTAGCAGATCTGTAGGGGCTATGTAGTAGTTGACCAGAGACAGTGTAGCACACCCACGCATGAATGTGTTGTAACATTGTTTCACTTTCTTCTTTTTTTTAACCTTCTAGCTTTGTTTGCTGCTTTTCACCATTGGGTGCAAAATAGTTTCAGTTTGGTTGGAGTTACGTTTCAAAATCTTTTATCCAGTTAGGACCATATACTTGCTACATAGTACCATTCACTTACTACAAAAGAGGTAACCTAATTTCCACCACAAAGCCACTTTATGTCTCAGGAGTGTAACATATTGCTTAAGGAAGTCGGCTATAAGATGTGTCAGGTTCCCAATTCATGTTCTCCAGCTTTATGCGGAACCATATATCTCACGAAGTATCATCATGACATTAGATACTCATGAAATGGCTGCCTCTATTGCCCTTCGAAGTAAAGCTTTTACCGGAATGAGTTCTACCTCCCTCTTCTAGAATTCTTCCGACAGTATTTATATATTTTGGGGCTCTTGGAAGAGTATTAGTGGTCCATCTCTATACTAAGTTGGAGTAATTCATGAAGTTGAAAAATTTACTCTGTGCGGCTCAGAGGTTCTGCAACTAAAAACTTCTATTCTCCAGCAAAAGTTATGATAATAGCCGAAATCACCAGTAAATACAATAACACTATTAAAATACACCTACCAGCGTATATATAACTACTTTTTAGTAGAACTATACCTACTTTACTCCACTTTGACAATTGAGAACCCCATCGAAGTTCTCTGAGCTACTCGCGCGTCCAGAATCAATTAATCTTGGTCCCCGAAATTTCAACACTCAGACTGTCGATATTCTTCTCTCTCTAATTTACTATTGACAATTGATATCAAAATGTCTACCGAGTGGAACGTTATAGTCTATGATAAGCCTGGAGCCGACAGATCTAAGCACAGACCTAGCCATTTGGCTGCAATCCCAGAAACTGTTACTAGTGGGATTGTCAAATCTGTGGGAGCAATTTACCATGATGTAGAAAAGACAAAATTCGCAGGGTCAGCTTACCACTTAATGGCAGATAGCCGTGAAGATATCATTGAATTTTTGAAGAAGGACATTTTCGCTAAGGAGGGTATTTGGGACTTAGATACAGTTCTTGCTTATCCTATTGGTATTGCTTGTAGGGTTGCTAAGCCAATGCCGGGTGTCAACTTATAGGGCCCGACCTTTTTAACTAGAATTCGATGAAAGAAGAAATCTACTAAGAGACTGAAGTATACTAGCACGTAGAGAAGTATGTAGTTCTTACAAGCGATTACTATAAATACACAAATTTATTACAGATTCTATTTTTCTACTTTCTACTTCGAAACAATATACGTAGTTATAACCATATGTGTAGTTACGATAAGTATCATGGGTATATTCTGAAAAAATTCCAGAGTTTGTTTACAGGACTTATACTGTCTTGTATTATATGTTAAATGCAAATGTGGGGGTATCAATTTGGGGATGCAAACATTGCGTTACCAGCACGCTGTATAAAATCGGTGAATTACTTGGATTCCGGTTTGAAGTTGAGTGTATATGCCCTGGAACCATATCTATTAAGGAGAACTTTTCCTCCTTCTTTTCTGGTACCAACTGCCGTAGCTGTGGAAAATTTTGAGACTACTAATTCTGTGGTTATTACAATAGCAGGACAAAGCATGAAAAATGCTGAATTACTAACGAACTTCATGGCGGGTTTAATCATGGTGATTGCAAACCGTGAAGACTAATCTAAAGGACTAGATAATGAAGGTACGCTAAGCTAAATTTTTCATCTACTTGAAGGTGGTGTTGTTTACTTATATATGATACATGTGAATTGCTTTTTCTGTTTTTAAGTCACTACCAGGCGGTTTCATTTGCTATCAGGTACCCCGCGATGGCTCTAAAAAAAGAAATGCAGCAAGCTAAGAATGAGCTTTTACCAAGTAAGACGGTTGCTAGAAACCAGCCAAAAGACACTGCAAAACCTTTTCGAGCCTCCCTTGGCAATGCGTAAGCACCCCGTAGCCCTTATGCTAATTATTACAGAAAAATGGATCAACTTGGACCAGAACAAAGGACTTATCTAAAATTTCCATTTCTCTCAAACCCCGATGCTCATGCTAAAAAAAATGAAAAAAATTACAGAATGCGGAAAAATGCAGCACCATCTGCGGGTGAAATCGCATGGCGCACCGATTAGATCGCTACATCGTTCAGAAATACGGATCGCTATCAGAAAGACAGATCACTATTAGGATGAACAGTGCACGGTATAGAGTACAGAAAGACTGCAATTCTGATGATGTCAGACAAAATTAAGTCAGCAAAGACCCTGGAAAGACAGCATGATCGATTTTCTAGCTTTTTTGTAACCATTCACAGTTGATTTTTTTCCCAATTGGCACACAGAGCACCACCACCGTTTGCAGCCAACATACGAAAGACCACTGGTTCAGTGCCAACACACGCTAGGTTGAAATTGATGAAACTCAGACAGTGATCCCCTCCAAACTACAAGCCTGCGACCTACATTTACCCCTGATCGTACGCAGCTTTGCTTACTCTGCCTAATCTGCCCCCTTACCGCCCTCTACCGACTTCCCACCGCTAACGAAAATTAGTAGGCGAAAACGCAATCCAACTCCAACCGAGAAGTCCTGCATATAACACAATGTGATATGGATGTTAAGCGTTTGTTGTCAATTCAGCCTGGCTACAACTTAGTGCCACCTGCCCGAATATCGTAGCCCACTGCTCTTTTTGCTTCAATACCAGAGCCAATGTTCAGAGACAGAACCAATTTATTCATATCGTACCGCAGGACGGCGCCACGAAATAATAACTTCTCCAACAATGCTACCACAACGCTATCTACTCTCTCCGAGGAAGAACAGGGCCTAATGGGCTCGAGAAGAATCGCGCCAGGTACCAAACGTACTAGCACTGGAGTGGATCGTACCTCAAACGGTACCAATGAATACCATGACTCTATTGAAATGAAGGTTCTTCCGCCCTCATTCTTCGATATAGCTCTGGAGATAGACGATCACCTCAAGTCTATAACAGGAAAGATTGGTCAATTGAATGCGCTCTACAAGAAGAATTTACTTCCTGGGTTTAACGACCGAACTTCAGACGAAGAGGAAATTGAGCAATTGAATTACTCCATTACAAAGACGTTCCAAAGTTGCTATGTGCTAATCAAGAAGTTTGAATTCTTACAGAAGAATTCCCGTAAGCTAAACTACTCAGATAACGAGGTAATGATGATTGAGAATTTAAAAAAAAACTACGCCCTACGCATTCAAAACTTGTCTTCTAATTTCCGGAAATTGCAGAATAACTATATCAAATTCTTAAAAGAGGATGATTTTGAAGAAAATACGGCTCCTTTATTGAAGAGGACCAATGTAAATACTTCTTCTACCACTAACTCTTCCGTGACAGAACTTACGGTGGAAAGTGGTGATATTGAAGATTACTCTCGCCAAGCCCTACAGCAGTCTCAGCTTACAGCACACCTGACCAATGAGCAATATATATTACAACGTGAGCAAGAAATATCTAAGCTTGCCATGGGTGTGCTAGAGGTTTCCTCAATCTTCCGCGAAATGGAATCGATGATTATAGACCAGGGTACTATACTTGACAGAATTGATTATAACTTGACATCCACGGTAGCGGATTTGAAAGAGGCAGACAAGGAATTAATTCAAGGTAGCAAGTACCAGAAGAGAACGCAAAAGTGTAAAATCATCTTCTTGCTCAGTTTAATTGTATTTGCGTTGTTGATAATAGTATTAATGAGACCCCACAGCACGACGAAAGTTATAGAAAAGCCAGCGGACAAACCAGCGGAAAAGCCAGACAGCCGACCCCTGCCCGAGGAAGGCTCTGGTTTGAGAAAGAGAGGGCAAATACTGGATGGTTCGGGTGACTTCTTCAAGCATTTTGTGCCCTACTTTTAGATGAATTAATTATAGCAAAAACCGAATAATATCATTATCAAACTCTTACAATATTCCGGAATGTACTTACATCCACCATTTTTATCTATATGTATTAAACTGTAAATCCCTATCTACCTAAATCCGTATGGTCCATCGCCACGCGGTATGTTTTGTCTTGCTCCTGCTGGGGGGTTCCCTTGTCCAGGGCGTTGAGTTCTAGCAAGGCTATATGGAGATTGTGAGAGAGAAGGGCCCATTGGCAGTCTCAAAGGTTTCTTGGCAAACCCAGCAGATCCACCAACAGCAAAGTCAGGATTATTACTTAAGGCATTGTCTGAAATGGTTGGCCCTCTAGATTGGTTGAAGAATGGTTGTTGTTGAACAGGTTGAAGCATTTGCTGTTGTATTGGTTGTTGCATTGGTTGTTGCATTGGTTGTTGCATTGGTTGCTGCATTGGGTGCTGCATAGGCTGCTGCATTGGTACTTGTTGATTAGAGTGCTGAATGTAGTGATTTCCAGGTGGAGGTGGAGGTGCTTGTGGAGAATTTTGGAACTGGTTATATTGCTGGCCCGAATACTGTTGTTGATGTGGTGGTGGGGGTGGTGGAGCGCCGTAATATTGTGGATTTGGAGCTCTTTGACTCACTGAAGTGAAATCTGATTCATTATCAGAGTCCAAAATGTCTTGATTATGGTGTATTTGAGAGTCACTTTCATCCATCTCGGTAAATGGTTTATGACCCTCGACTTCAGGATGATGTTCGAACACCGTGGGATTGTATGGAAGTCTTCTTGTGTCTGGAGTGTTTCCTCCAAAAGTGGAAACGGGATATGGGACATCAGCGATGGCTCCTGCTCTCAGGTTATTCTGAATAGTTGGAGTTGCCGCAATTACCTGTGGAGCCATGTTTCGATGAGCACTAACTGGAATGTTAGGTCCATCTACAATACTGACTCCATCGTCATTGAAATAGCTGCCACTAGACCCAGTAGCGCCTGCACCACCAGAAACTTCGGAATGTTTGTTTGCATTTGGATTAGTGAAATCGTATGCCCTTTGAGGATTAGAATTGTATATCGAGTTGTTTGAATTTACAGTATCATTAGGATTAAACCTGTTGTTGGAGTTGGCTTGGCCACTGTTGTTGTTGAAGTTGTTGTTGTTCAATGGCCTGTAAGAAGAATTCGACGATTCAGATTCATTGTACTTTGCAGTAGTTGTAGGAGGTAAATAGCCAAATTTGTTTTCCTCAAAGGTAGTCAAATCGTTTCCACTCCTTCCAACACCAGCATAGTTGTCAAAGCCATCGTTTAATGTGGAAGATGAATCGTTGAGTCCATCATATTCACCAAACTTAATACCAAGTACCAACAATGGGATGGAAATCAACATGGCGGCAGCTGAACCAACCAAGATCCACCCGGTCCATCCAACATTGGGATTGAATAATAAAATTGTTACAATACAGACAATGGTAGACGTAAGGAAGCCCAATACTGTAGCAACAATTGCAATGATTGCCACTGTGTGCAGGCCAAACATAGCACCAATTGACAAACCAAATGCAATCAAGCATATACCAGCAGCAATGGGGGCAATGATCAAGATTTTAGCCAATGAGTCTCGTGCAGAGGTGGACATTGACCAATTAGTTACACTGTCATCGACACTAGATGGTACCCAGGGGAAAGTTGCACTCAGACATCCCTTGTCCAGATCGCAATATCCGAAAACACCATATTTAAAGTCCCCAGCCTTTCCCAAATAAAATGTCTGCGCAACTGGCACGGAAAGGGTAGCGAGGATGAGGAACACTAGAGCCACTAGTTGAAGCAAGGCGACTGCGGCTGCAATGCCTTTAGAAAGTCCCATGTAAAGTAGTTAGCAAAGCAAAGCAAAGTAATAAAGGAAAGAAACAACAAATTTTTAAAAAGTTCTGTAACTATATTTGTTTCCTTCTTATTCAAGTTCTGTATTTTGATTTTTCTCTTTGGGTTTGGGCGTCGTTCACTGTAAGCGAGAAAATACGTAGCTTCTCGCGTCTGGGATGACAGTTAACTGATTATTATATGTGTGTGAATAAATACACCTTAACGAAAGTATCCTAAAGGGAAAATAGTCCTACAATTATCTTTAGCACGAAGGGAAGATAATTTTAAATTATTTGAAATGAGGAAAGAGTAATTTTAGCTCAGTGAACTATAATCATGATTTACCAGTCAAGGACAAGGCTAAATAAGGTTTTTTTTCCTTTTTCTGCCCTTTCTCTAGCTGTTTTTTTTTAATTTTTTTTTGTATTTTTTTTTTCGGTTATTAAAAAATATTCCTCTTCATTTTGATCTGTAGAATTTGATTCCGTAGTCTGGTCAAATCTGCTGGCTCTATAGATTGTGTGGATCACTTCATGCCGGAATGAGCTCTGCTGGTGAGCACTAAGAAGGGGCCGGTCATCGAAATTATCTCTTTGCTCCTTCATTCTAATCCGTTACAAGCTGTACCCCCGTACCCATTCTGCTTCTGCCTGCTAGATAAACATGTCAATTGATCCAGATACTGATCCTGCATACTGAACACGAAATTAGCGTACGGCTTGTGCCCCTATTATCGCCTCATTTGGCTATATTCGTGCCGTACTCGCACCAGACGTGACTGCACCAAAAAAAAGAAAAATAATAAGATGGCTGGTATTATTGGAACCTAGCCCAGGCCACAGTTAATTAAGTCATAGGACATACTGTACAAGCTTTTATCCAGTTGACAACAGAAGGTCGCAGGTTTTACTTCGGATTTCTTAGATCATTCATTTCTACATAGCATTCCACCCAGATTTGATATCTTTCCACTTACCCTTGCGCTTCGCTTGCACTCTGAAATTATCCCGATAGCCTATTGCGATAATGTCTAATCTTACCCTGTGATTATGCGATTTTTTCCTCGCTAAAGTCAGAAACGTTGTGGTTTTCTGTTCTTGCATCCTGCATGCACAGTTAGATCTGCAATAAAATGCGCCGAGAAGTATGTTGCAATTTCTTATCTACAAGCTTATAAATGAAATGCTGTTAATTAAATGTACACAAGATGTTTACTACTTCTTGATCTCGAAAGTGCTCTTTCTTTTTATTTCAACATTCGCGCCAGACCTCTTCTTTCTAATGATACTAAAGAATCCGGATAATTCAAAATCACGCTTTTCAAATGTTACTGCATTCAAACCTCAGTGCGTTATCGGACACATAGCCTTCATGCGTAAACACGAATTGTGAAAAAAATTATCCATGCATGTTGTCGTTCGTATCTGTTTTGATTGAGAGAGCTATAATAATACTTAACGATATCACAGAGGTTGCAATGTTCCCATAAATGAATTGACCCTTCTAATCTCTCTCAGTGTAATTTTAACTCTAATATATTATACACGTATAGTCAAAGGCTAAAACTAAAAGTTATACCAACAATCTGGAACTTCTAAAATATACCTCTCCATAGCCTCTCTAAATCTTGTACGATACTGCTTTGGAGTAACAATCGTGGGATCTTTCCCTTTCTTCCCACCTATCAAGTTCGTACCTTTTACCCAGTTTTCTACCTTTTTGTCCCAGGTAAAGGTCCTAATACAATCGATAATTCCAACGTAAAGTTGCTTCTTATTAGGGTCGCTATTCCCATGTTCGTCGTTTTCATCAACAATTCCAATCACTAGAGAGTAATCCATGACGTCCATCGCAGATAAGAAGGCAGTATCATTAAATAATGAGCCTCTTAATAATTTCTTGGAATGGTCTCTGACAAAAACTGGCGATTCATATATGTACTCAATCATGTTTTCATCTAGCAACACTTCATTTTCTTTGCCTGTCTGCTGGACATGGCGATTACGCATAGATCCCTTCAAATCAAATATTCTTGTAGTTTTCTTATTATAAAACAAATTCTCCATAATCAAGAAATCCATCTTAAAGTTTTTCCCTGTTGTTGGGTTTCTGATATGAATTTGATAAAATCCGAAGATCTTAGCGATTGCAGTGGTTAATGTATTGAACATAGATTGAGACATGTACTTGAAGTAGAAAGGGGCAATAGCCACGAATGATTCTAATTCTTGTTTGGACAACTCTTTAACAATATATCTATTATCCAAAGTCTTCAAAAAGGAGGATCCCGATTTCCCTCCGCTGGAATCCCACTTAACGCATCTTGATAAACTTTGAATGAAGCTGTCTTCATTCCCACAGGCTTTACGGAAAGCTTCAAACTGTTCGGAATAGAAGATCTTACAAGAAAGTGCTGTCTGGCCATCAAGATACTGGTACTTTAAATGTGTAGTCGAAAATCTGTTCATAATATCCTCTAGCTCACCTGGTACTGATGAGTTATTCTTTTTAAATTTCTTTTCAATGCTAGCAAATTGAGCTGCTTTTTTGCTATTTATTGCGTTAGAAATCACGGTAACTCCACCAGCACCATTGTTGCCAGTTGCTCCTCCACCCTTTTGATTTTGATCATACTCTGACATAGACTGAAGTTTTTGTTTGTAATCAGTCGATGATAAACAAAAAGCTATCAAAGAGGAAGGCTCATCTTCTCTAACAATCACATCGGAGTCTGCAAAGGTATGTTCAGAGGAACAAAGAGGGTAGTCTAAAGGTTCCCAAAGAGTTGCTGATCTATCAGCCCAGAAGCTTGATAGATTCTTCAAAAGTGAATTCTTTTCTGGCTGCGGAATGTCAGAGCTGGGCAATTTATTATTCAGCGCATTTGTAGACGTACTATCATGTTCATCAGCAATGTTATATTTTCCATTCAAAGTAGCAGGGCCCTTGTAAGATTCGTTTGTACTACCTGTGTCTTCACCAGACAAAACTTTCTCCCTATGTCTCCGAGACTCGCTGGCATCCCTTTTGTCTTCAACATCCACAGCGTCTTCAATCTTGTTATAAATTTCAACGATAGGCTTGGACGCTACTACCGGAAATGCCTTATACCTATTCATTTTCTTCTGTAATTCCCTTTCTCTTTGTTTCTTGAATTCAGCTGAAATTTGTTCAAAGTGTAATTGATCAAAGAAGTTTGCTAAATTGTGTACTTTGTTAGGAGGGTTCATTGATGAAGCAGGATTTTGAGCATCTTTACTATTATTAGTAATAAGGGATGTCTCCGACAGCTTATTACTAAGTACAATTTTCTTTAAAGGTGATTTTGGGGCTAGTGAGGATTGCTGCCTAGAGACAGTGGGTTGTATCTTCGTTGGAGACTGAACCGGACCATCTTTCCTTTCATATTCCAACAATGCTTCCATCTTATGAATCTTTTCCATAACAGAGGGCAGTGGATTGTTGACAGTGAGAAGCGAAGAAGGAATCATTTTGCTAATCTGTTTCCGAAGTTCTGGCGACGACCGAGTGGCATTGGAAGTAGAAGAGTCCTCCTCATTGGGTTTTGGCATCGAAGTCTGTGAGCTAGATTTAATTTCTGGATCATTTTCTAGAGTTTTAATCTGCGAATCTGCATCCTTAGGCAACTCTGCTTCAGCTGCAACTTCTTGAACTTTAGTATCACTCTTTTCGTTGATTCCATTCTCTTCTTTAGAATTAACCTCCTTCCGTTCTTCGCCTTCTTCTTTTTTCACTTCATTCCTCAAGTCTATCAAATATTTCCTAAGGTGAAATTGAGTTATTCTTGCTATTTCATTTTCACTTGGTAAGAAATCTTTTTCAAATTCAACAAATTCATTATCCCAAACAACTCCTAGCTCCTGTAAATTTCTCAAAACCGAGTTCATCGGTAGGTGAATTGAAGGTAAAGTTGAATTATAAATCTCCAATGTCTTTTTCTCAATTTGCTCAACTTGTTCATCTAATAATGCCTTAAGTTCTTCGATCTTTCTAAGACCATCATCAACCTTATCAGCCGCATCTATTTTCACTCTGTTTAACCTATTAGAGATACTCGAAAAGAAACTACTACTCTTCTTCCTGATTAAGTCAAGGGAATCAATTTTTAACTGAATGTCGATATCAGGCAGGTATTCTAGTTGCTTTTTGGGTACTATGACTTCATATGTATCAATTGGGCTGTAAACCATTTTTATTGCCAAGTCTTTGTAGCCAAAATATCTAACATGATGCTTAAAGAAATCATGACCACATTCATGGGAATTAATAATAACGCCTGTCCCCCAAAAGCATAACTCGAAAAATTTTCCAATTGATAAGTAGAACGTTTCATCTGACATCGCAACAACTGGAGTCGCTGAATTGCAAATAGTACAATAACTCCACATGTAACGCTTACTGTCACTTGATGGACTGTCCGCAGGATTAGAAGATGAAAGCGGGGTATGATCATGTCTGTATACGTTTGCAGTGATATTGTCCTGTATCTGTTCCAATATCATATCAAGCTTACCGTTTCCATGACTATAGGTCCTATAATGATTCAAATAGGTATCACCACATTCTGAGCATACTTTGGAAGCTTCCGTGAAAATCTTGTCCAAAAATAGTCCTAAACATAAGTCATTTTCAGTATAATTATCCGTAACTACCAAAACCGGACCATAGCACGGAGTAGCATACTTTATAGACACAGTAGAATTTAATACGTATATATTATTTCTTTTTTGTGGATCCAACGTGATACTGCTCATATTGTTTGACCATAATCTCCATCGTGATTGAAAGTTTGTTTTCAATGTTTTCAAGTAAATGGAAGATCTGTATTTCAATATCTTGAGTAAGTCCGTCTCCTTATATGGGAGCTTATCAAGATCAATGTGTATGTTGAAAAATTGATCTTCTATGAGTTTTGGGTTAGTCAACTCATTAATTGATTGTGCATTTTGAATTTGTTTGAATTTGTAGTAAAAAATAGCAAGCACTTTGTACGATTCAACTAAGTTCGTAAGTGATGCAGGAAGTAAAAGCTTTACTGCTGGGGAAGATGCAATTATTCTCTCATCAAATTGTGAAACGAACTTAGATATTTCGGTGTTATAATTCAATAGCTCGGATAGGTCCTTCTCAAGTGGTGCATACGGAACAATTACTTTAGTATTTTCAGAAATTGAAGAAGGATCTGAACTTAGATCTTCAGGATCAGAAGTGAGTTCGTTATAGCCCTCTTTCTCAGAATCATCAAGAGTTAGCTTACTGTTCTCTGGATTTTCTTCAAATAATTTCTTAATTGATTTTAAATCATTCAAAGTTTGGACAATCTGCTCGGTATGATAACCAAAGTCTCTAAATATTAAGTAATGATCTTCGAATAAACCTTTTTCGAACTTTGCATTTAATCTTACTGGTATTGTACTCTCAGTTGCATTTTTGACTACTCTTAATGTTGATGCATCTCCTCCTCTGAGTGCCATAGTAAATCCTGAGGATATGTCGTTTCCAGTGAAAAACACAAAACTCTTTATAATGTTTTGATATAAGTATTTTTTGACCTCTAGCTTTTTACAAGTACCAAGTGATCCTTTTTTAAAAAATAAGTCATTCACTGATTGGAAAATATCGGTTTTTGTATACCGAGATATTCTTTCTATAACTTGGGGCTTGGTATTAGAAATAACTGTAATACCTGCTTCTTCTAATAACTGTTCGGCCAAACCACATACAGTATCTCCCACAACAATGACATCGGGCTCCAAAGAGATCAAACGAGACACTAAGTTTGTGACGTACACATCTTGTTGAGAGTGGACAATTCTTAAACTGATAAATTGTTCTTTTTGTTTGAGGTACTCAATTGGGAACATCAATAAAGCAATTTTTGGATTTTCGATAGAGCTTAACATCTTTTTCGAGTCGATATTTTTTGTCCAAAAAATTCCGTCTACTATTTTGGAGTCTTCAATTTTACCTCCAAGCAATCTTCTTATTTTAATGTACTGCTTCGTATCTAAAGTGTCAGTGATCTTTATTTTATCGACGGAACAAAATAATTTGCTGATTGTAGTTGACCATCTATCTTGATTTTCTTTCATGCCTGAATCATCAAGGTACTGAACGAAAATATTATTCAAGAATTCTTCATAAATACTTTCATTTGACTTGTAAGGAGACTCAAAGTGAACGACAGAACTATTAAAATCTCCAGTTGTAATGAATCCATCGATGTCATTCCTTTCTCCATCATCTTCATCTCTAAGTGGCTCAAACTTATATATAGAATCATCCAATATCATATCATTCTCAAATTCACCACTTGTTCTACTAGCATGACTTAAAATTGGAGTAACGGGCATCATTTCTTCTGCAGATCCAGTCCTTTTGATAACCAGCAGCAGCAGCACTTGTGCTGGGCTGAACAAATTCAACGAGCTGTTTGCGTTAGCAACTTCGTTTGATCTTTGTTGACTTAAACTTGTACTCGAGTTGAAATTTGGTGTTGGAGAAATTGGTGTTGAGCTAGGTGAATTAGATGCAAAATGTGCATTAAAGGAAGTATCAATTTTTGGTAGTCTACCGCTTCCACTTGTGTTAAAATTATTGTTGGAAAAGCTAGAATTATTGTTACTATTGTTTTGGTGAGTTAGTAACAGAACAGTTCTAACGGATTTACTTTTTCTACGAGATCTCATTCTAAGCAATGAAGCATGGGCTCTTTCGTGAGATCTTATATCAGACTTGGGCCTGTCCTCGATAAATGATATAGACTTTCCTTCTCCGCTTAAAATGTCACCCTTTCTATTTTCAGTTGATTGGCTGCTCTGAAAGAGCTTCGAAAGAACCAGTGTATCATTACTGGTTTCATTGTGATTACCATCACTGGCAGAAAGGTTCACATTTCCAGATTGGAGCATTTGTCGTCTTGGGAATCTATTCTCGCTTCCACCAGACATCAGCGGAAATTCTCCCAATGTCGGCACCACAACATTCAAAGGCATGCCATTTGAGTTTGGGTTTAGGGCCTGGAACTGGCCACTGGGGACTCTTGAAGTGAGTGAGGAGCTGCTTCCTATAATACCCGTATTTGATAATGTAGGAACAGTGGGCACAGTAACACCTCCATTGTGATGATTGAGCGAAGTATACAACGACATGACTTGTTCATCTTCATTATCACTCTCGACGTCAGGTTCATCTGAGCTTTTATCAGAGTCAAAGTTAGCTTCATCGCCTTTGTGATTCTGATCATCTGCTTCATGAAGTTTCGGGTTGGACTTTTTCTTTATAAAATTTGAGTAAATGTGACTTAGGTTGTCTAAATTATTTCCCTTATTGTTAACCGCCTGATTTTGAGCAGGGTTACTGCGATTGTAAGTATAATTTTTCAACCATGCTTTACTATTAATAGTAGTAGATATATTTGTGGGGGTAGCCAGGAGGTTTCCATTCACATTACCCCCCGTTAAGCTTGTCGTTGATTGACCTCCTCCAAGTATAGTACTACTATAACTACCAATTGGCATAGGTATTTCGACAGATTCTCCTTTTCTAGTCGTTGGAATTGCCATAAGTAGACCTTGACCAGGTAAGGCCTTTCCATTTGCCACTTCAGGGGTCATCGGAATACCATTATTTCCATTCGAATTAGGTAGTCTTTTTTGCTTTGAAGGAGACCAAGTATCAGAAAATTCTGAAGGGGCCCCTGAAGCCAAAAAGCCCTTATTATACGCGTTCTCAACAATCATGCTATTTCTCCTGGAATTAGTAGAACGAGATCGGATTCTTGAAAGAGGATGTACTAAATTGGAATCTTCAAAGCTTCCACCTTCTATTTCTGGAATAGTCTGACCCACCGGTGTCGAAGATTTTACGTAAGACGTATCTGCTTTGACATCTTCTGAATCAGAGTTTTCATCCGAGGATGAAGAAGAGTCGTCACTAAGATAAACTATAACATCACTGTAGCATGGTTTACAAACTCTTAATTTATCAGGGTAATTTTTCTTTGCAGTGTTAGAAGGTACAACTGCACCTAATTTCTCTTTCTTTCTTTCTTCTTTATGCTGTGAGTATGATATAAATAAAGTACAATCATTGCAAAAAATTTGACCGCAAAATCTACAATGATGTTTTCTTCTGAAGGCAGTAAATGGCTTGAAACAGTTCAAGCAGTCAGATACGAAGGAATCATTCATCCAATAGAATCTTGGGATACCACCGTTTTTTAATGGATTATCAGAAGCCTTCTTGGGCTTCTTTTTCTTCTGCCTCTTTTCTTTTCTTCCTGAAATTATGGAGTTCGATGACGAGCTCACAACATTGTTTATACCATTATTAATGATTGATTTGGCGTTGTCGAATATCACCGAAGAAAGATGTCCGTGGGAATTCTTCTTTGCAGGGTGAGTGCCACTGCCAGTGGGAGTATTACTATTATGACTTGATGATGTACCCTTTCTGTTCTTCGGAGATTGTTTCTTGGAATTTTGCCTTTGAGGGGATATCAAGAAACTTTGATTATTTATAGTTTCAGTTTCAGAAGTCGAATCATCATCCGATAGCTCAATGTCATTTGGTAAATTATTGAAGATCGAAGATATTCTATTCTGTAAAGAATCTTGACTGTCAATTTTTGGATTTTGAGTTTTAGCCTGTTTCGACTGCGTGCCAATTGGAGCAGATTCATTCCTTCTTGTCTTCTTACTGATTTTGGGAGGGCTTGTAGAAGATGTAGCAGATGAACTGGGTCGTATTGCCTCGCTTACACCAGAAGCATTTATATTGATCAATGTGTCAGTTGTGCTGGATGTGGGTTGAAGCCGGGGAATAGACAAAGTAGACAAGCTTAATGTTTTGCTATTGGAATGCACTCTGGGAGTAATACGTGGAGTAATGTACGGCCGAGCGCTATGCTGGCCCTGGCTAGATGGTGGTGGAGTAGGAGTTGCAGCTGAACTGGGAGGTGGTGACTCTGTAGCAGCTCTTTCTGTATTAATTGACGTCGTCGACATAAACGATCGTAAACTTTTCAAGTCATCAGAGTTAGAATTGGAAGAAGATGGTATAGGCAAACCTTGGAGTTGCTGGGGTGCAGATTTTCCAGGGTTCTCTTTGGCCATAGGCTCGTTCCCCGACCCAGATCCTACCGTAGACTCACCAATAGTTAAACTGGTTGCAGCTCCTGGTCCCAGTCCAGACTTAAGTACAGTTTCAGATCCAGAGCTGAGTTCGGGGCTATTGCCTACATCACCTATTAGTACTGTCCCTTCCCCACTTGAATTGGCTATTAAATTGGATGTTCTCAGCAGACTAACAGGGAAGCTTACTGACTTTTTATTGCTAGCCAGGCTTGATTTTATCATTGGAATATGGGACCTCACAGCTGAGACATTCTCAATTCTTTCACTCTCATCGCCGCCGCTGCCTACAGCTATGCTTTTGTTATTGTTACTCTCCAAGTTGCGATTGATGGCATTTTCATCGATTTCGTCTTCTGTTTGTTGCATTGAATCATTTGTTCTATCCTCATTGGACACCTTGGAATAATTATGTACTAAATTGCTGGCATTGTTGGTAACTTTTCTTAGTGTGCTAGTTATCATATGCGATAAAGTCTGACCTTTGTTCTGCTCGGGGTCTGCAATGGTTGGGAATGACGTAAAGTCGAATTTGTAATCATTGTCTTCATCGTCGCTATTGTTTGTGATGTTCGCGGACGGTAGCGTCTTCAAGCTACGATGATGAGAGACAACCATTGTAATGATATGCCAAAGGACTTATACGAAGTGGTAAAGTTTTGATGAAGTATTACTAAGTTTGAAAGCATGAAAGTCTGTGTAATGTGTACTGCGATTTTGTGTAACTTGGAGTAAGATAGACGGTTGCACTAAGAGAGCGAAGGTGGAGAAAAGATAGTGGAGTATCGAGGATGAAGCACTAGGCGCTGAAAATCATGAATAATCCAGAGTAGAGCTGATATAGGGCATGTAAGAGAATTGAGATCAGGTTTTAGTTAAAGAGAGAAAGAGAGAAGGAGAGGCTGGAACAGTGTGTGCGTATCATTCTGTGTGATAGTGAGACTAGACTGAATTGGGTGCACTTGCTGGATCAGGTTGCCCAGCTCAGAGAGTAAATTATTGGTGTCACTTGCTTTCACCCGGAACAATTTGTACACTCTCGTCTAAAAATTGCAGTAAACATGAATGCCCTCCCCGTGGCATATTGACCCGTATGTTCGAGCCCAATGCCCTCTTCACTTGCTAGCACCAGCTAATACCAGCTAGCACCCCAGCCAATTCAATCTGCATTCTTCCTCCTATACACTACTGAATCCATATGCAGCCTAAGCGAAAAAAAAAAAACTCTTTTCTAGCACCTTGACGTGCATAAAGCTAAAGGGTTGTATGTGCAGAGAAATACCGTACCAAAGAGGCAACGAGCATAGATACGGCCCTCTTCAACATTGCTTGACAGACCAGACCACGGGCAGTCTCTACAACCACCCATTTCTATATGACGTTTGCCAGAAGAGTTCTGGATCCGCTTATTGGCACACGAGACCGCGAAATATCCATCAACTCTGGCAACCCCATACTCATACTTAAGCTTCGATCCTCAAGGGCTCTCACTGCCGCACACTCACTCACGCGCGCACTCCCACTTGCAAATGACACCAAACCGCACCTTCTCTAACACGTATCGCTGTATATCTTAGCTCTAACTTTATCGTAATTTTGCTGTTTTGCGTGCACTTTTTCACATTTTGATTTTTTTTTTTTTTTTTTTTTTTTATTGCGTTTTCGTTCTGTTCTCAATTTCATTGATTTCTGGAAAAGCGGAAAGGGCACAGTGTCCCTTTTTTGAATACGGTACTCCCTTATCCAGCACAACAGTTTAACAGATTACAACTACCGCAGGCTGTGTACGTAGATACTTCCCCATCTATATCGATATATCTATATACGCAACAGCACCCAATTAGAAACATGTCAACTTTGCAAAGACGTAGAGGAGGAGGAGGCTCGAAGACTGCCTCCGACAGCGGAAACAACGATACGTTATCAAATGGGGACTCAAAGGGTAAGGCAGATACTAGCATCAACGCCGAGGACCACAAAATCGGCTACGATGATAGAGACATAGTTGATCGTAAGGAATTGAATCTCCCTCTTTTGACTCTAATGGAGGAGGTTCTCCTTATGGGTTTGAAGGATAAGGAGGGCTATCTTTCATTCTGGAATGACAATATTTCGTATGCCCTCAGAGGGTGTATACTTTTGGAATTGGCTTTTAGAAACAAGATCACTTTAGTCAATGACCCAGCCAGACGTAGGTTTGAGTTGTCCGATAGATTGGTGGAAGTCATCGACTCAGAACCCACTGGAGAAGTTTTGCTTGATGAAGCTTTAAAAATTATGAAGAACGATGAATCCAATTTATCGGTTACTAACTGGATAGATTTACTCTCTGGTGAGGCATGGACTTTGATGAAGATTAATTATCAATTGAAACAGGTCAGAGAAAGATTGGCCAAGGGGCTCGTTGACAAGGGTGTATTGAGAACTGAACGTAAGAACTTCTTTTTATTCGATATGGCAACCCACCCTGTTGCTGACAAGCTCAGCAAAGAACAGATAAAGAACAGAATATTAAACTTGTTGATTTCTAGAAATGTTGACTTGGAAACCGCCAACGTTTCAGACCAATTTCCCAAGAACACCCTGTTCAAATACTTACGATCAATTGCATTGGTATGTGGATCGTATGCTGCAAATGTGTTGGAAAATGTAGTGATATCATTAAATTATGACAAACGTGATCAAGCATTTGCTAGGGCCGATGAAATATTGAACGACTACAGCGATTACCCGTTCAATATTGGAAAGACCTCCAGCCCATTGGGGTTGGGCTTGAATTTGGGCCAAGAAGTTTCGCAAGAGATAGAAACAAGTTCTGCTAGCGACTTGCAGTTGGAATTAGTTGCGGCTGTGTTAGGTGTCTTCGCAAGAATGGACTCAATCCTCTAAGAAATGAATGAGGCTGTACAACAAAAGCGAACGAAAAACACTGTAAGAGATGATTTAAGAACATAAAGAATAATTGAATTGAAGAGATTCCAAAATCAGTTAGAAATGTCAAAGGAATGCTGAGAGGACTTAGGAGAGAGGAGAATAATACATACGCACAAGTATAACACTGCTTCATGTATATATATCATATATATATTATATATATGAAATTTTATATATGTAGACAACCTATATAACAATATACAATTATAAAGAGAATGTGGGGCCTTAACTTCTAAGCTGATCCACAAAATTGTTCAATAAGCATCTCTCCATATTCAGGAAATCATCTCCACATGATTCCCACCACATTCCCCCGCCAAGGTTGTTCAGTTTTACATACATTGCTTTGATTCTCACGGTCTGTGGATTATCATAAACTACCAAGGTCTTCTTCCCTTCGTTGTAGCAGTATGCACTTACCATTCTGCTATCTACCTCTTCTTTCCCGATTGGTAACGACTTATAAGGAAGTATTCCTTCTTCTCCAGCACCACATCCGGTGAAGCTGCAACCAATCGTCTCAGAATCGCATTGGAAGCTTCTGCCGTAGTTGGGCATTCCTAAAATCAATTTCCTTGCAGATGAGACACCCTGTGCTAAATATGCTTGCACAACGTCATTACAATTCAACTCATTGTCGCCATTGTTCCCAAATAAATTGGAGTGGTAGCCTGTTTTCGCCGACCAGGTACCAGTGAAATCATAGCACATAAGGTTCCAAAATGAAAGATACTTATCCATCTCCAGCACTTCAAGTGTGTTGATCTTATCTCGCGATGCGGGAGCAGCGACTGTGATGAGGTAGCTGGTACCCAATTTGTTCCTCAATGCCCTTAGCAATTCGGTTAACTGACGGGATTCAGTAGCATTCTCCGGATACTCCCAATCGATGTCAATTCCATCAAACTGGTGCTCTAGACACAACTCCAGAGCACTGGAAATAAAATTCTCCAATTTGGATTTTGTCGACATAACAGCTCTAAACAAGTGAGATGTACCCCAGCCTCCGATGGACATGGAAACCTTTAAAGCAGGGTTTTCCCTCTTTAACTTAGCTAACATATTAATAGAGCCTCTGGTCTCACCATCAGGCATTGGAAGCTCTAAATCAGCCCAAGAGTCTGTGAGTCTTACCTTCCCTGTAGACTCATCGATTCCGATGAAGGCATAGAATAAATTTGTTACCAAATGAATGGGGATATCTTGTAGGAAGTGCTTCTTTTGGTACACCGACCAATTGCTGTAGTACAAGCATGTTTTGTAGGACATTTTGTACTTCAGTAGCGCAGAATACAAGAAGTTTATCGATATTTCTCCATAGAAAGAGAAATACAGGAAGCCCTATGCTAAGAATCCACTGTGAGGCAGTGTAGATCATGCACCCATTGGGCTCACCATTTGGCTGCGAATGGAAAGTCCAGTGAAAATTCCAAATCTGGGGAAACCCTACAGGGAGCAGTTGAGCAACCAACGACCCCATGTTCATTTACACTTGAGAACTTCATATGATAAGAATAATTACTAATATGCTTCTTCTTTCAAAGAATCATTTGACAAAGGCATGAGCTACTTGTAGAATTGTGCTCATTATTAGGATATCTTGGACTCCCGTGTCTGCAGCCTTTCTGGTCGGCTCTCCTCTGAGAGCTAGCGGCTCTGGCACCTCTGGCGCATCTGGCGCGCCACTAAAATTTAGGTGGTTCATTTTCTCTTTATAAGCACAAACGTATTCCCTTCTTCCCTGCAGTTGTAATCATTAAGCAAGCATGTCACTTGAGTCACTCCCTCTGAGTATTCCTCGTGGTACAAAGGTATTCAAAGATGACTGTATGTACTCTTTTGATACCGCTGAAAATAACCCTAATGGATTAGATGTTTGCTTGTCTTGTTTCCAGGCATTCTCGAGAGGCCATGTAAATTACACTCAGCAGCATAGGCACACAAGAGGTCACACATACTATTTAAATATCATTAAGTCATTGAAACCAAAGGAAGAAGAAGATTCAATTGTAGAAGACACCGAAGACAGTAACACCGGAGGCCCTACCAAGATCCAGAAGCTAGAGGTTAAAGATATCAGGGATGAGGACATTTACGATTTTAAGTATTCTGTATATAATGTGGACGACGATAGTTCGATTGACTTGGAGCAAGCTCCTGCCAACGTTCAATCTTTGATCCTGGAAATTATAAAGAGTAATTCTTCATCTAAAGAAGATGAAATTAAAACATGGGAGCAGGAAATATTCCCCTGTGAACATACTTTGTTGTTGGCAAAGCCTGAACCTCGAGATGTGGATTTGTCTCACTGTGGGCAATGTGATTTGAAGGAAAATCTCTGGATTTGCTTACACTGTGGATCAATTGGTTGCGGTAGACAGCAATTTGGGTCTACTTTAAAAGGCAATGGTCATGGATTGGCTCATTTCGAGCAAAATCCTGACCACTGCGTAGCTATCAAATTGGGATCATTGGATTTAGATAACTACGATTGCTATTGCTACAAATGTAACGATGAAGTTAAAGTACCAGGCTTGGTAGATATTTTACTCCTGTATGGAATAGACTTGAGTACATTGGTTAAAACGGAAAGAAATCTAATTGAATTGAACTTAGATCAAAATCTAAATTGGGATTTTAAACTTGACGGTGCAAATGGGGAAAAGTTAGAGTCAGTATTTGGTCCAGATTTAACAGGCTTTCAAAATTTAGGAAATTCATGCTATTTAAACTCAACCATTCAAGCTTTGTTTAGTCTTGACCATTATAAAGAATTCTTTGCAAATCAAGACTTCCCTGATACTTCAAAGCCATACGAAGATCTCTTGACTCAATTGATTAAGATATATGATGGGCTCAGTTCTGGTAGATATTCAGTCCCCAGTCATCGTAAAGATTCTTCATTTCAAATGGGATTGAGACCTTCTACTTTTAAAACATTGATTGGAGAAAATCATGCTGAATTTAAAACCCAGAGACAACAAGATGCATTTGAGTTTTTACTTTACTTTTTAGAGCAAACATCCAAAAAATTGGACTCATCATTAAACAAGCCGTTTAACTTCTTGTTGGAGAACAAAATTAAATGTTTAGAGTGTAACAATGTCAAGTTAGATACTGAAATAGTGGATAATATGTCTGTCCCAGTTAATGACGTTGTACTCAGTGTTGACGAAGAGACCAAAACTAAAACATATAAGGAAGTTACTTTTGGGGAGTCATTTAGCGATTATTGTTCGCCTGAACTACTTGAAGGATACAAATGTCCTAATTGTCGATCAGAAGATATTGTCAAGTCTATTGGCTTTAAGAGTTTCCCAGATACTTTGATTGTTAATACAAAAAGAATTAAGTTGGAAAACTGGGTTCCTGTGAAAATTGATGTTCCAATTACTATTCCTTACGAGCTTGACTTGACCAATTTCCAGGGCCTGGGATTAGAAGATGGGGAAATCTTATTACCTGAGGAGACCGAAGATAAGGAAGGTAAATTTGTACCAAATCAATCTGCATTAGATACACTTCTTGGTATGGGATTCCTGGAACCTGGATCAACGAGGGCTCTTTTTAACACTGGAAATTCCAATGCCGAAGATGCAATGAACTGGTTATTTTTGCATTTGGAAGATCCTGACCTCAATGATCCATTTGTTGCACCAAGCGTAGTAGATCAACCTGGTGGACGAACTTCTAATCCACCACAAGAAGCTATTGATAACCTTTCAATGATGGGATTCTCATCTACGTTGGCAAAGAAAGCACTTATACTTAATTCCAATGATCCCAATGCTGCTGTAGAGTGGCTATTTAATAATCCGGAAGATGATGGAATAATTGAAAGTGAAACTACCGCCACACTGGAGTCACCGGCATCTACGAAAGACAAGATCACTGAGCTTGAAAATAAACCTAAAAACCCGAAGTACACTTTAAAAGCAGTTGTATGTCACAAGGGTTCATCTCCACATACAGGACATTACGTTGCCTTCGTTAAGAAGATAATAGAAGGGGAAGAAAAGTGGGTTTTGTTTAACGACGAAAAGGTGGTTGATTCAGCGGGTGATCTCAGTGATGCGGTTACGAATGGATACGTTTACATATTTGAAAATGAGGTCAAATAGCTAGTAAGATAGCTAGTTAGTTAGTTAGTTAATTAATTAGTTAGTAGGTTAGTTAGTTAGTAGAAATCAAAGAATTAATACCAATAATTGACCTACTGAATTATAGAAACTAAACAGCAGCACTAGTCTAATGCACCTGCGCATTTAATTAAAGACTCATTCTATGAATCATAATAATATTTTTTATGCCATTGGCATATTTTAAAATAGGGTGCTAAACGCAGCAAAATAATGCCGTGGTGCCGTGAGAGAAATCTCTTGAGAATATATTTTCCCCTAACCGAAAGTCAAAATGCGTACTTATACGTCCCTATGCCTACGAGGTTGCAAAATGACACATTTGACTCATCTTCATCTAAAACTATTAAAACCAAAAAAACCCCACATGGACTTCAGCTTTCTACAAAACTAACCAAAAAAATAATAGTTTCTTCTACAGCATTCATTCATATCTTCATATATTCATATATTCATAAAAACATATTTTCATCATGCCAGTAAATACTTCAACGAGGAAGTCTAAAATAGGTGGCAGTAGTAAGTACAGTACAGCTTATACCATTTCTCCAGTCAGTCGTGTAACGTTCAACGCACGTTTTTTTTCTTTTTCCTTCACTTAGCTTGTCGAAAAGAGTCATCTGGTGAAAATTTGGTGAGGGACCCGTCAAACTTATAAAGGAACAGTGCAGAACAAAAATTTCGGAGTGAAAAAAAAAAAGTGAAGCTGACGAAAAGAAAACTAAGAATTTTATTCTTTTCTTCATATACACATATAGTAAAAATGTTCATCACCAACGAAAACGTCGGAGACCGTTCAAGATTAGAAGACTGGAGAAGTATGTATATAGAGAAATATTGGGAGAGAAATAAAGGCAACCATGTAGTTAGCTATGCAAAAAATTACATAAGCCTCTTTTAAAGTCATCTTAGTGGACCAACTACTTCGTAAGAAGGTTTTCACAAAAAAAAAAAAAAGAATGCATCATGGGGCCCTTTTGATTCCTTTTTTGATAGTCTCATAGTCTATGACTAATAAATATATACTAACAAATCTATAGTTCGTGGTTACGATCCGTTGACCCCACCTGATTTGTTGCAACATGAATATCCATTAACTGATAAGTCAGCCAAAACAATTTTGGAAGGTAGAGAACAAGCGTGCGACATCTTAAATGGAAAGGACGACAGATTAATTATAGTCATCGGGCCATGTTCCATTCACGACCCAGAAGCTGCTTTGGATTACGCACATAGGTTGGAAAAACTTGCACAAAAGCACAAGGGAGAGTTACACATCGTGATGAGAGCATACTTGGAGAAGCCAAGAACCACCGTTGGCTGGAAAGGGTTGATTAATGATCCAGATATCGATGGTACTTTCAAAATCAACAAGGGTTTAAGAATCGCCAGAAAGTTATTCGTTGAATTGACTGAATTGTTACCCATTGCTGGAGAAATGTTAGATACAATTTCTCCACAATTCTTATCAGATTTATTCTCTGTTGGGGCCATTGGTGCCAGAACCACTGAATCTCAGTTACACAGAGAATTAGCTTCTGGGTTGTCATTTCCAGTTGGTTTCAAGAACGGTACCGATGGTACCTTGGGAGTTGCCGTTGACGCTTTAAGAGCTGCCTCTCACCCACATCATTTCTTGAGTGTTACGAAGCCTGGTGTCGTCGCCATTGTTGGAACTGATGGAAATCAGGATTGTTTCGTTATCCTCAGAGGTGGTAAACAAGGTACTAATTTCGACGAAGAATCTGTAAAGGCTACTCAAAAGTCCCTTATTGCAGCTAAGGTTGTCACTGAAGAAAAGACAGGTCCAAGAATCATGGTTGATTGTTCTCACGGTAATTCGAATAAAGATCATAACAACCAGCCAAAGGTTGCTGCCGAAATTGCTAGACAAATTACTAACGGTGAAACTGGTATTTGTGGATTAATGATTGAATCCAACATAAACCCTGGCAGACAAGATGTCCCACCTGCTGAACAAGGAGGTAAGAGCGCCTTGAAGTACGGATGTTCCATTACCGATGCTTGCATTGGTTTCGAAGATACTGAGACTACTTTACAATTGTTAGCTGATTCTATCAAGGCAAGAAGATCAAAGAAATAAGTCAAAAAAAAAAAAAAAAAAAAACATTCACCATGTAAATAAAAGATTTTCATAGCAGGTTTGAAAATAAAAATGAAAGGCTTGGTAAGAGGGGATGTATAATATTATATACGACAATCTGTACCAGTACATGTTATATCACATACGTAGAACTTGAACACCACTGAGCAGACTTTCTGAGCTCCACCTTCTCTTCCATCTCTTAAAATTGCAACCATTCTGTGCGCATGGAAACATAAACTAAGGTAAGTGTTCCCCACAAAGTAACATAGCCAAATAGCTAAACTTGCAAGAACGTACATACACAGGGAGTCAGTTCAACGTCTCTTATCTTATACGCAAATTACGTCAGAATGAATACACCAAAATGAATTTGGACACTAGAAGCAAAAAAAAAAAATATAGTGACTCCTACGCGGTTCGAACGCGTGCATCTTTACGATAGTAGAACTTGAGTCTACCGCCTTAACCACTCGGCCAAAGAGCCTCTTATATGAGAGAGTTACTTGGAGAGACGAGAATTGACAATGATTCGCCAACACAGGTGGTCTTCATTTCAACTATAAAGGAACTTCCCATTAACTTGTAATAGATAGTATTTTCCGATGAAATGAGATGTTCCTTTCATCTTGGGCTGCGAATCTATTTTTCAATTATTACACTTAATATGCACTTAAGTATTGAGAAACCAGGTAACATTATATTTACAAAGAGTATACAGGAAGCATACACCACACATTAAGCCCATACATAGTGCTCAGAAAATGATCAGATAACTACAAAATGAAAGTTAAAAAGTATACTAAGTATTATAAGCACTACAAACTGTAAGTCATATCTCTAAACAGCACTACTTCCCAACGGAAGCTGCTTTGACCCTACTTAGCAAAGCGGTGTGCAACCATAATCTCACACACATAGAATTGGTCCACGCACGATACCCTCAACCACCAATTACTGGCAATTTTAAATGCACACAACTTTCGAGTCGATAGAGTGAAACATACTCTAGATTATAACCTAGTTTACAAACATTGAATTATATAATGGGTGCCTCTGCTTCTAAGCCTGAGACAAAGGTGTTTACACCTGCTGCACCAGTTGACTTCAGTGCATCGTTTTTATCACAATTAGAAAATTCAACCGAGGTATGTAAAATTTAGTGATGGAAACACTCCACTCTGAACATGATTTTTATACTAACTATTCTCAGTCTGATTACTCTCGTGCACAATATACTGAAAAATACATACAAGAAAGAGTTGCTTCAGAACTCAAAAAATTAGAAACTGAAACAATCAATAAATTCCAAGGATCTTTGAAAGAATCGGTAAATAAGGCAGAAGATAAGTCAACCTTAAACGTAAATGAAACAAATGAAAAAATCGATAAATTGACTAAAGTTTTGGAAGCTAACTCGCAATTTTTCAAAGTCGAGGTTAATGACTCCCTCACCAAATCAAGAAACTCTGTTATTGAGTGTTTAAAGGAAAACAAGGGAAAGAGCTTAAATTGTTGGGATGAGGTTGAAGAATTTAGAAAATTAGTTAAACAATTATAAATGTATAAAGAATAAAGAATGAAGAATAAAGAAACACAATAGACACAGGAACTATCGAAAATCTACAACACTTTGTAAAGCTAGTATTAATATTCTATCTTTTATTTATGTATACGTTTTTCTTTTAGTTGAATTTAATTCAAAGGCCAATTCCCTTATAGAGTAAAATAAGGGCATTGTCACTTTCACCACCTCCAGCTAACTGTTCAATCTTTTCCTTCTCAATTACACTGACCTTATCATCGTTATACTTCCACCATTTGTCACCATCGAAATCTGTTGGGTCTTTGACAAAAGCTTGATAATGTCCAGAATCTGCCGATGCACCCTTGTGTGATATGATGGCTTGTAATTGGTAGACTGAAGATGGATTCTCAGTGGTGGTTTCCAAATTGAGATCAGGTAATGCTGCCTTCAAGTCGTCTTGAAATTTGGATTTTATGGATAAAAGCTTCAATTCCTCTTCTTCATTGTTTACGAGCGCAGCCAGCGAATTGGAGGCAACAGTTTTGGCCTTTTTGAAATCTCTAATGAGTTCTAAATTATCCTTTTCAACTCTCCTAATTTCATCTCTAACCTTAACCTTCTCCTGTTTAATGTCCTCATCCAACATCTCAGAAAGATCCAACTCGAAGGGAAATTGAACCTTTCTCAAAATCTTTGATTTCTTTTGAGTATCTCTCTTCCAGTAAAATCTTACAAATTGCACTGTTAAATACTTTGGGAGCCTGGTAATAGTACGGCTCAATTCATACTCTGCATTGGACTGTAAAGTATCGTTAAATTTTTCTATTTTTTCTTTCAAACCACTCAATATACCATCTCTGAGAAAGTTGGTAGAAATTGTGATATGACATGAAAGCTTGGATGAGTCCTCATATGAAGTGGTTTGAACTTCATCTGGGAGCGCAAGACACTTTGATTTTACTTTGAAGCTGATTCTGAAAAGATCTTCGACTTTTAAGGTAGAATTCAATGTGCTTAATATTTGCAGATACGCTTCTTCAGCATCCTGTTGCTTATAGAACCCATGGTCTGAACGTTCTGCGAATTGTGGAAAGCTACTCCTGAGTAAAGTCAAGAATATAGTAGGATTCACATTTTGTTGCTTCTTCTTCATTTGCCCAAATAATGACTTAAGTGCTACAGTTAACGTGGAGGCAGAATTGGCTCCAGAGCTGGCAGCGAAGGTGTCTAACCTCTCCTTAAGGTCGCTTATCAGGAACATTACTTGAAGGGAACTGTTTAAGTAACAAGTGTTACCCAAATTGACTAACCCAGAAGGCTCATTGTCAACTTTATATAACAGCAGTTCATTCAAGTCTTCCAAGAAAACTTGTTTTTCAACTGGCTTGCTAGGCAAGCCCTTATCGGGGGTACCCAAAACCATTACTGGCTTCCCTTCTGGAATGTTCAATGATTCGATAGTAACATCATCGGCGACCTTACCACCTTTCACCAAGATTTTTTGTCTTTCAGGTGGGATATTTGTAACAGCTTGGATCTTATCTTTGAAGAGTTTTCCAGAATCTGAAAGTTCGACTTCAATATCGTACACCTTACCAGCGTTTTTAATTGAAACTGACATGTTAGTATTGCTGAGAGAGTATGTCTATCACGAAAAAGTAGAGAACACCTTAAATCTGAATGGGAATTCACCTTTGAACAACGCTCATACATGTACTGATACCATGAACCAACACGTTCACTCGACATTTGTCGAGGTATTTCTGAATTCTAATGAACTCGTTTGATTTTCCCTCCAACGAAACCTCATTTGAGGCTATCTACTTACTAGTCACCATGTTTGTCAATTATGGTTGATTGTATGCTGTTTTATGCTATTCTAATGCTGATTAATAAACCCATGGCCTCTTGTTCTTACCACAGAGCCTGCTACTGCCATACTGGTAGTGGCAAAGTCGTGTGTAGTTCAATTCACTGTGACTGAATTTGCCAAGTGCACGGTCTAGATAGAGTCAAGGCTGCAATTGACGATGAGGACGAATTTTAATGTGGCAGATGAACACTGAAAAGTCGTAGAGAAAGGAAATATGTGAAAACGGGCATAATAGTAGCTTCGACTCGACATGGTTAAGCTTAAGAGAAGATGAGTCAAAGAAAGTTAAAAAAAGAAAGTAGAATGGAAATCTCCCGGGGGTGAGTCGAACACCCGATCTCAAGATTACTTTGAGTTAATACACATTACAGTCTCGCGCCTTAGCCAGCTTGGCCACCGAGAGGATTTCTGCTTGGCCCATGTAATTTTGTGACAGAGTTATTTCAGAAACTTTGCACCTAGACCGAGTATTGCAGAAGATACTGGGGGGACCGATAACGAAAAAAAAAAGGGTAGAGGGATAATACTTAACAATTATCCGTAAGTAGTGTGGTTTGGCTCTTATATAGGGGATTTACATTGAATACGATAATACTGTAAAAATGTACCTCTGTCTCCGTTTATAGAAAGACAGATGGGCTCTGTCTAGTCATGGAGTTGATCACAAAAAGTTGTCCTCTCATTCCCAATTAGTAAATTTTTAGCGGGCATTGTCAACATTGCATAAATGTTGATGGGAAACGAGAATAGCTTTTATAACAATTGCAACCACGACTACAATTTTACAAAAGGATGGCTTTTTTCAATTAGATTTTGGCTTATGCTATGTGCTAGGTGCTACCATTAACGAATATGTACGTATTTCAAAGAAATACTTATACCTCTAGTCCAACTTATCATTGAAACATAGTATTCTTTTTAAGCCGCTCACTTATTTTTTAGCACTTTTCTTTCTTTTTTTTTTCTGATGCGATGAGAGAATGCACCGGAGCCCATCCAATCTGCAACTATAAATATAAGCGAAGTGTCAGAACAGTTAATTTGAAAGCACTTTTCATTCAAGAATTAAAGTTAGTACAATGGCTAATTACGAATGCTCTGAAAAATTCACCTCCTTCCTTCAGGAACTTCCAAAGTGTGAACATCATGTCCATCTTGAAGGTACCTTAGAACCAGCTTTACTCTTTCAATTGGCTAAGAGAAACAACATTACTTTACCAAGCCATTTCCCTCCAACACCGGAAGCCTGCAATGAGCGTTATAACAATTTCGCAGATTTACAAGATTTCTTAGATCACTACTATATTGGAATGGGAGTCTTAATCAAAGAGGATGATTTTTATGACTTAGCCATGGAATACTTCAAGAAGGCTTCCTCCGATGGATGTTTACACTCCGAAGTTTTCTTTGACCCACAAGGTCATGTTGAACGTGGTATCTCAATTGATACTGTAGTCAAGGGTTTCGACAGAGCCTGTAAGGATGCCACATCCAAGTTTGGTACCACCAACAAACTTATTATGTGTTTATTAAGACACTTACCATCAGCAGCTGGCTTAGAAACTATTAAGTCAGCTTCTCCATACTACGAACAAGGCATAATCCATGGATTAGGACTTGATTCTTCTGAAAAGCCATTCCCACCTGAATTATTCAAGGAATGTTACGATCATGTAAATGAAAACTTTCCCAACGTCGGGTTAACTGCACATGCCGGTGAAGAAGGTGACTCCAGCTACGTTGCCAATGCCTTTAACCACTTGAACGTCACCAGAATTGATCACGGGATCAATTCTCAACACGATGAAGAATTGTTGAACAAGTTGGCCGACGGTCGTCATATGCTTTCTGTCTGTCCATTATCAAATGTCAAATTGCAAGTCGTTAAAGATGTTGCAGAATTACCAATTCAACTTTTCTTTGACAAGAACGTTCCGTTTTCTATCAACTCCGATGATCCAGCATACTTCGGGGGATACATCTTAGATAACTATGTAGCTGTCCACACCAGATTCGGTTTTTCTCACGAGCAATGGTGCACAATTGCCAAGAACGGTATAGATGGTTCTTGGTGTGATGAAGACAGAAAGAAGCAGCTCAGAGAAAAGGTTGATGAAGTTTACAAGAAACACGCTTAGAAGAGAAAGGGCAAATGATGTCTTTTCGTGGATTTCTAATGTAGAGTAGAATATAGAGTTTAATAGAGTATAGTAATTTTTACGTAATAAATAATGTAGTTTCACTTAGTGTCCAAGGTATTAATTTATGGCTCCCCATGAATACGCAATAGACCATAAAATTTAATGTAAAGGAGTAAACTACTGTGAAAAGAGCGGTGCTCATCACTATCCAACATTTCCTCTCCGCGAAAGAGCTGATAAGCCAACTGAAGAGTGTGGAGGAGCGGCTTATATGCAGGATTGACCCCATTTTTTTAATGTCTTCCTATCACATTTTTGAACCCTTTGCAGAGCGCTTTTAACGATTTGACATTCTTTAGCTAGAGAAATGAGGTTATCTTATATATTCTCGAGTTTCATAGTATTTCCTCTTGTGCTTGGAAGTTGGTTTTCATCACCTTTTGAGAAAACAGGAGAAGTCAAAGAGACACCAACTGCAGACTTCAGAAATGGCGTACTAGTAATATTCAATGACCCCAACCCTTCAAAAGAAAATATTAGCAAGTTGTCTACGTACATAACCAGCACTTTAGAGGCGAAAATAATCCAGACTTATGATTCATTATTCTATGGCTTTGCCGTAGAATTTGATAAAGCCAAGCTAGAGAAGATGTACACTAAGATAGCTGAGATGAATAAAGTGAATGAGTTCGGGCTCGATGATAACGAGTGGCTAAATGAGCAAATCTCAAAGCTTTTTGGAGATGCAACTGGACAAGAATTGACCCTTCTGGAGAATACTGAAGTCCAAATACAACAAGATTAATAGTCGGAAAGATTACAGAGGCTGGTATTTGATAGCAGTCTCATCACGCCATTCAGTTCTCGTTCCATTACTTACTAGTTCCTACTTACTTCGATAGTAATTCAAGGTAGCTCTTTAAAACTACATAAAAATACAAAAAAAAATAATATATGATTTCAAATTTAGATAATTTCAAAATATTTCATAAAAAACATTATCAGTTTCCCACATTCAAAGGGATCTTTCTAATGGTTAACTAGTATCTGATTCTGACATTCCCTTTCCAGCAGAATCGTCACATAATTCCCTTTTTTTCCCTATTTAATCTCTTCGACACCTTCAATGTCTCCAAAGGTGTTCTCACCAGAGTATAAGACGTACAAAAAGCCATCTTCATCCTTATGCTCGTCGTACACTGTACTTAATAATGCGGCAGTTGGCGGTAAGATGTCGTTAACAAAGATGAAAATGGCCTTTTCACTTGGTAACTTGATTCTCTTTCTTATAACGTAAACAAATTGCCCCACAGTCAAGTCGCTTGGAACAAGGTATTTACGTTTATCAATTTCAGCAATGTCGGACTTCTCGACCTTTTCACAAATGACAGGAATTCTGTCGTTGAACTTCTGGAGAATTCTTGAGGCTTCAGCCTTTCTCTTCTCTGCAATACACTGTTAGTAAGGAGCCAAAAAAAAAAAAAAAAAAAGATAAAATCAAAAGAAACTCAATAAATCCGAAAATGTTGTTGTTTGAGCTCAACTGTGTAAATCTTCACCTATTTCTCTTATCGATTAGAATACATACCAAATGGATGGTCGTCTTTGAATTGGGATCTCATCTTCTAAATTGTTAGTAAATCATGCGTTAGAGGAAGACAAAATACTAGAGGAGCAAATATGGGTAGGTTTGGTTTTTTTGTGGTTGGATCAGTGTTTTGCCACTCTTATCAGATATATACCCCACCAACCCCCCTGAATCTCAGCTCCCAACTTAAAAATAAGGAGAAGACTCTCTGCAAGGGCCCAATTACCTCCAATTTGCTCAAAACTGAGAAGCCACTACTTCTCTATCTAGGTGACTTACTATCTTGTTATATATATATGCTTTTATTTACTGTAAACTAAAGCTAAGCAAAAGAGGAAGAAGGGGAGGGAGGAAAAACAAGAATATTTGTGGTGTTTTTGTTCCCTTATCACTAAATTTAATGATTACATGTGAACTGTGTGCAGGCAAAAACGTGAGCACAAGTCGCCCCTCCGATAGGTGCAGCACGATAAAAGAAAATAATAAACAGTGGGCCCAGCTGCGAGCTGGTTGCTGCTTGGTTTGGATATAGTGTAGGGAGATTGAGGTAGATCTTGAACTCAGTACTATTGTTACTCTGCTTACACGTTTAGAAATGGTTGTAGACCATACCAGGTATCCGCTAATCGTCAGAGTAAGTTGTTAATTTCTCCACCTACCGTATTCACTAAGTGAAACTCTACCAATTTGCGGCTCCTCTAGTTCACCTTATTCTGAATATAGCTACAGCGCATGTTAGTGGTCGTGGTCTTCTACTGAGCCCGCCTGGGCCACACTCTTGTATTACTAATTACTAATAAAGATATGGAAATTGGCCTACTGCTTATACTGTGCCTTCTATTCTGTTCTATCGACTTCTCTTTGAGACTTGCATCTCAGTGTGAGTCTCGCCTGTATATACAAAACTCAGATCTTGGACATGTGATCTCTCCATCGCAGAGCTCTTCTGCAGAGATCTCCAGTGCAGAAGTGAAAAATATGGAGAGCCTTTCACCATTACGTCTTTGTGGCTAGAGCTTGAGCATACTTACGCAGGTTGATATGACACTCCTTAGGAACTTTGCTACCTCGACTTCTGTAAGGGCCACATTCCGACCATTGCCAGAATACCAGCTAAAATGTGGATTGGAACTTCATACTCAGTTGAAAACTAAGTACAAGCTATTTTCTCTCACTCCGACTAGCGTAATAAATTCTAAGCCAAATAGTAAAGTCAGCTATTTTGACTCCGGTTTACCTGGCACTCAACCCAAGTTAAATCCTGAAGCATTATTATTAGCCTTAAAAACCGCTGTTGCGTTAAACTGTGACATTGCAAGAATATCAAGCTTCGACAGGAAGCACTACTTCTATCCAGATCAGCCATTGGGGTATCAGATTACTCAATTTTATAAGCCAATTGCAACAGGTGGTGAGTTGATCTTAAAAGAACCTCTAGATGACATAGGATTGGCAGATAATTCAGTCAAACTGAAGAGAATTCGTATTCAGCAAATTCAAATTGAACAAGACACAGGCAGATCGATATATCGCAAAGATGGTAGCATTTCAGTTGATTTAAATCGATCCAATACCCCACTAATCGAACTTGTCACACTTCCTGATTTCGAAAATATATACCAAGTAAGATCTTTTATCAAAAAGTATCAACAGCTCGTGAGATATTTGGGTATCTGTACAGGTGATTTAGAGACTGGTGCCATTCGTGTAGATGTCAACGTTAGTATCAATAATGGAGAAAGAGTAGAAATAAAGAATCTTAGAAATACAACAGATATTGTACAGGCAATTGAGTATGAATATTTTAGACAAGTGGGACTCATTAAGAATGGAACGCCAATCCAATCGCAAGAGACAAGGGGTTGGGATGGAGTACAGACTAATGCAAGAAGATCTAAGGAAAATGCCGTGGATTATAGGTATTTTCCCGACTCAGAATTACCACATATTCAACTTTCACTGAATATTAGTGAAGAAATCAAAAATGAGTTGCCTAAGCTCCCCTCTGAAATAGCTATGGAGTTGTTAGAACCGCCATTCAAACTAGAATTAAAGCATATAAGGTATTTGATAGACAACAAGGTACTATTGGATTATTATATGGAATTGCACAGTATATTAACCCACGATCATAAATTAGAAGGTAAGTTTGCTGGAAATTGGTTATTTAACAACTTGTTAAGTTCGTTCAAAAAGGCCAGGCTTGAGATTACCTCAAACTTAAATCTCGTCCCCGTGAAGCAGCTTTCTGAACTAGTTGTTGGTGTAGTGTCTGGGAGAGTTTCAAAGGGAAATGGAAAATCAATACTTCAAAGTGCAATTGAAGGTAAACAACCTATAGACAAGTCAATTTCATCTCTTTCCACATCATCACAAGCCACTGCCTCATCAATCGTTCTTTCTCATCTGCAAGAAGAAGAACTTTGCTCACACATAATTAATACTAATCCAGAAACTGTCGAGAAAATTAAATCAGGGAAAGTAGGCTCAATCAAATATTTAATAGGAATGGCAATGAAACAAAGCTCAGGTAAGGCCAGTTCTAAGAATCTCGAGCAAATCTTCAAGAATTTATTAAATATCAAGTAACTAAGCTATACAATGTCCAACTATTTTCATACAACCTACAATTTTTGAACCAGATAATGATAACTTACTTCGCAATCCTTGGTATTGAAAGTATTCCCATCCTCATCCTGTAAGTTAGAATATCTTTCGGGGACTCCTGAGATTACGGGCAGTTTATCTTTAACTGAATCTAAGTTAAAATTCTCTTCAAGAGATAGTTCATCAATAATGCTTTGAAATTCAGAAACATTTTTTGAAGATGTTGCTGTATTGATTTTGCTGTTCACGGACATTCCAACGATGGTTGTTGCACCACCAGAACTTGCGGATGCAAAAGTATAGTTCTTCTTCAATTCTTCTTCGCTGTCACGATCATTATCAAAATCAAATTCAACAACACTTGATTCCAAGATACGCATTTGGGTGAGTATCCTTTTATACATCTTAAGTGCTTCTGAGCCCAATCCAAAAAGAATGAATGTAACAATTGATAATCCAACATTTAGCCAACATTGATATGTTTGAACATATCCGAGATCAACGTAATATATTACCTGCCAATATTCCCAATGGATATCCTCCCAGTTGTATGGTTCAGTGTTATTTGTGCAATCAACCACGAACTTATATATAACAGCAGGGAATATAATTACCAACATTACTGCGGAGTATATCAATAATCGACCAAACCTTCTTATATTTAAGAGAGAATTTGAACACCTTAATAAATCTTTAAGGTCACTTCTTTTTCTGTAAAATGAAATTATGGTTAAAAAAGCTATAACAGTACAAGCAATGCTCCAAAGGAACGGCCAAATCAGGTATAAGATTATGACGACCCATGTAGGGAATGGTAATGCTGCACATCCCTTGTATCTAATTACAGCATATCTCTGAGAGTCATATAGAATCTGCAAGATCATAGTCAACACTGGCGTAATCAAGCAAATCGCCAAATTAATCCAAAGCTTACGTCTTGATAGTGGCCCATCTTTGGCAATGAAAGTAGAGTTTCCCTTCAAAATCATATACAAATTCAAAGAAATTGCACAGAGTGCACATACTGTTCCCGAGTACGAGCCCACTTCAAGTCTTGTTGCTACGTCACAATAGATCTTTCCATCCCAAACCTGGTCGAATTCCTCTCCACTCCATATAATGGAGTTAATGAAAGCCTTCAAATTTAAAAATATCAACCATGAAATTAAAAATATGGCAGGAATATTCTTAGAAAATCTAGTGTGCCAAATGAATGGTGGGATTAGCAATATTGCTGATATCAGAGAAAAGACGGCAAGAACAATACCACCAGACAGCATTTCTTATTTGTTGGGATACTTAAGCTAGTCCCTCGGTGGCTATGTACTCACATTCTTCTTTTTTGTATTTACTTAGCATAGACTTTAATGCATATTTATAGACAGATAGGCTACTGAAATGTGTCAACATGTTTCAATTTCGAATCATTCGTGCATCATGTAGGTAATCAAGAGGATGTGATATCAAAACATCCTTTTAGTTACGAATGGGGTAATTTTGAAGTTCCTTTAAATGATGAATAGGGTAATTTCGTGGATAAGGATGAAAATATTTTTTTAGCTACATTAATTCGTCCCACAATGGGTCAAATGATTTAGTAAACCGATACCACACTTCACGGACATATTACCTGATATTATTTATTAACACTTTGAAAGTCACGATGAGCAGTAGTATAGCCAGATTGGTTTGCAGCCTAAGTGATGTGGAATCAGTATGTCCTGCATATACAATAGCAAGATCTTGGCCTTCTGCAGGCTACTCGTCACAAGGCACTCTTGACAAATACTACACTCTTCACTTAAGTGAGACACATGGTGACACTACTGGAAGAAAAGATCTCTTGTTATTCCTCGTTGCTGTGACTTTTATTCACGATACATTTAATAAATTCTACATCTCAATTTTTCATACTTTCAATATTTGATTATTACAAGGCTACTATATTCAAATGCAATGTGATTAAAATTGGAAGTCTAATAGACACTTTAAAGATTTTTTTAGTTTTTTCTTTTCTAATTTATTTTTGGTATAATTGGGTTATCATAATTCTATCAATTATTTAACCAATGACTGACTTTAATACAGCATTGGAAGATACAACACCAGAGTATTTGGTGTCTAAGAACTTTAATAATTCAATAACCTTGTTCTTGATTTCATCATTGGCAAATTGCTTTAATCTATCCAAGTTTTCTTCTCTACCTAAAGTAGCTTCATTGACGAGTACAATTCTTTCAAATTCTTTAGTGAAGACACCGGCGAAAATTTCAACAACCTTAGAAGTTTGAGAAATGATGGTGGCGTCATTAGAAGAGTATAAGTTGATGATGAGATTGAAAATTGGTTCATTTTCTTCAAATCCAATTTCCAATGGTAAGTGATCTAATAATGGACCTAAAACATGCTGCAATGGAACGGCGGCTTGATTCTTGTTGGCCATTCTTGCAACACATCCAGAAGCATTAGCATAGGATCTGTTTACAACATCCTTAGATTCGTCATCATCTGAAACATTAGCTTCTCTTCTTTCAGTCTTGTTCAACAATTGGAACAATAATTGTAATACACTATTGTAGATTGATGAGAGATCTTGAGTGGAGTACTCGATAATAATACCTATACCATAAGCAGCATTACCTCTGACTTCCAACGATTTATCGTTTGCTAATCTATCATTGAAGACTTGCAATAATTGTTGAGAAAATGGAGCACTGGCAGATTTGATACCTGAAGCAATTTCAGCTAAGGCACCGGTCAGACTTACTCTCTTGTTCTTAGATTTACTTGTAGTGGTACTAATCAAAATGTCCTTGAATCCGGTAAATACCTTGACAAAGTCACCCTCTAAGGCTCCAGCTAATGCAACTAATACTTCCACAGTAGACTCGAAAAGTAAAGCCTCAGTTTCTGATGAATCTTCTTCTTCGCCATCGGTTGGTTGTTCTTCTTCGTCAACTTGACATGGATGTTCTTTCTTTAAGATGTGCATCAAGTCAACACAAAGCTTTTCAAGAGAAGCAGTATCGCTAGGACCACTAATAACAGCAATTGGTCCCAAGATAGTAGCAGCTTCAGCTAAGTTATCCAATATACAGGCAACCATGGTTAAGTCGAATTCTTCAGCTAAGTTGGTAATAGAAGTTTGTCTAACTTGTTCGATGATAGATAAAATAGATGGATCTACATAACTGGCAGCTGGAACACCCTTTGGAGCCTTAAATTCTTCACCAAGCTGAGCCTTGAACATAGCAATCAGGATTTTCCACATAGCATTCATGCAAGCTTCTCTCATACCATATGATTCTTCAATTTGTTGGTTTAAAGTCTCTAATGATTTTTCAACGTATGGTGCAAAAGCCTTACCAGTTCCAGTAGCCAATTCAGCTAATGCAACGGAAGCAATTTCCTTTTCGATAGTAATACCAGTGTGAACGTTAAACTTGTTATCGATGTCTTCCTCTTCGTCATCATCAAGTTCTTCTTCATTTTCATTGAAGTCATCAAAGGTGAATTCTTCCTGTTCTAAACATTTCAAAATCTCTGGAACAATTCTTTCCAAAAATCCGGAGAATTCCTTACCATAGACTCTGGCCATGTTGGTAATAAATGCGAAGCCAGATTCTCTAATTCTAGAATGTTCTGATGATAATGAGCTGTAAGCGGCTTCCACTAATGGAGTAGCATATTGAGCAAAGCTTTCTGATCCAACGGCTCTTGCCATAGTAGATATGTTCTCAAATGTCAAGGCTCTCAATTCAATATCATCTTCAGTCATACCTTCAGTTTGAGCTGCGTTACTAATGAATGGCTCCAATTGTTGGATTGAACCTTGGAAGTATGGAGTAAATGCCTTACCAGCTGCGTAGGCAGTGGAACCAATTGCAGATACAATTGCTGCTCTTAATGTAGATGAATCGGCCTGTCCCAACATTTGGAATAATTTGTTCATCAAAGCTTCCAAGTATTGACTAATAACATCGTGGCTCATGTACTCGATTAACCCATCTAATGCCATACACGCGTATTTGTATGCCTTGATAGAATCAGCGCTGTCGATGATGGTCATCACAGGTGGCAATAATTCCTTATGATAGGTAGCAATGGTGTCGTGCAATTCAGCAGTCAAGCTGGTTAAAGTTCTTAGGGCAGCAATTCTAACGATTAGTTCAGAATCACCCAAACCTCTCTCTAACAATGGAATAAGTTTGGTGATTTGGGTAGCAACGAAATCTGGGGCACCAGATGCAACCACACCTATGGATAATAAGCCGGCTCTTCTTTCGAATTGATTAGAAGAAGATCCAATCATTTGTTGAGAGGATTCCAATACTGGGACAACAACTTGAGATGGAGGCAATTCAGCAGAGAGCATGGCGATTAATCTCAAAGCTAATGTAGATGGAACATTTTCTTCGTTTTCGTTTTCTTCCGACTCATTGTTCAATTCTTCTTCAATATCAATTTCTTCACTGGCAATCTTGAGTGCAGCAAGGGTGATATTTGGACCAAGCTTAGCAGAACTGATTTTACTCTTTCTCAACGAAACACAAGAAATTAAGAACTGTAAGCCGAATGATCTAACTTCTTCATCCAAGTCCGCATTTAACGAGATCTCGGTTGCTAATTGAATCAAGGAAATTAAATGGTCACCAATGAGTTTGGTGTCAACGAAGATCAAACTGTTGAAGACGTTGAACACATCCTTCGTCTTATCAATGTCATCACCGGACACAACTTCCTTTAACACATTGATCATCAATGGGACGGCTTGCTGGAACTTACCAGCCAACTGGGTGTTTATTTCTGGGTCTTCGTCAATAAATTGGGAAACCAAGTCCATGGCTAAAACGGCGTTAATTCTGATCTCTTGAGATGATCCTTCGTTCAATAAACTGGCGAATAAGTTTAAGAAGTCTGCAACATGTGGAACTAAGGCTGGAATTTGAGTCTCCAACAACGTGTACAAGGTGTATACGGACATTTCCTTAGTTTGGATATCTGAACTTTGAACTTTTTCAACTAAAACGTTCAACAATTCAGGCCATTGGTTGTTTTCCAAATCAATTTCTCCAATAGATGCAACAACTCTGGCAGTGGAGTGTCTGATCTTCTTTGGGGCTTGAGATGAAAAGACTGATTGTAACATAGCTTCTCTAATTTGTGGCTTTAATGTTTGATCCACGTTGGATTCCCATTTGGAAATGATCAATTTTCTAGCTTCAACGGCAGCTAAATGTTGTAAAGATTGATCATTAGAAGTCTGTAAAATGTGCAACAATGTTGGGATAGCTAACTGGTTGGAGTAGAATTCCTTCTGCAAACGAGCAACAGCTTGCTTGATGGCAGCTGAGTCAGGGACCTGGGTTTGTCTAAGGGTTTCCTCAAGCGAGGAAAGGTATTGAGCATCCATCTTGTATCAGCAGGGAGGAAGCGTAACGACGGAAAGAGAAGCCACTCTAGAAGGAAGTGAAGGTGGTGTGAATCTAGAAAAAAACACACTGCCAGACGATGGAGCTGAAAAAAAAAAATTAAAAAAAAAAAAAAAAAAAATCAATAAAAAAATTCTGATTTGATCACGTGCGTGAGATGAGTTGCAGAATGGTTGCAGATGGCACCCAGCAATGCTCCAGGTAGTACGAGAGGAATAGCAGTGTAGGTTAGGCCTGATGAACTTTTATTGAAGTCAAGCGACATCTATATATGAAATATACTACAGTGCTTTCGCATTTTCACTCCTTTTTCTGTAAAACCACTCGTCACTCTTCTCAACCTACATCTGGAGATCAGCAGGCATTTCTCTAATTCTGATAGAATAGTGCTTCTCCAAGTCCTTGATCACCTGAAAATCCTCCTTAGTGGTGAAATTTATGGCGACACCTTTTCTTCCAAATCTTCCAGATCTCCCAATTCTATGTACATAGTTTTCCTTGTCGTTGGGCAAGTCATAGTTTACAACAAGTGATACTTGCTGCACATCGATCCCTCTAGCCCATACATCCGTCGATATCAAGACTCTCAGTGCTCCAGATCTAAAGTCATTCATAACCGAGTCTCTTTCATCTTGTTTCATATCTCCATGCATCGACGCTACAGTGAAATTGGCCTTCCTCATTTGTGTCGCGAGCCAGTCAACCTTCTGTTTCGTATTACAAAAGATAACTGCCTGTGTGATTGTCATGTTATCGTATAAATCGCACAACGTATCGAACTTCCACTGTTCTCTCTCACAATTCACGTAGTACTGTTTTATCCCCTCCAAGGTAATATCGTCCTGGCGAACCAAGATCCTTATTGGATCGGACGTAAACTTAGAAGTCATCTCAAGAACTTGCTTGGGTAAAGTTGCACTGACAACAACGCACTGAGTGGACAGTGGCAATGCTCTATAAATATCATAAATCTGCTCCTTGAATCCCTTGCAGAGCAATTCATCGGCTTCGTCAAGAATTAATATCTTCACCTGTCTAACTCCTAAGTTTCTACGCTTGATCATATCTAAGACACGCCCCGGCGTACCACTGACAACGTGCTGGCCCTGTTGTAATTTCTTAACGTCTTCACCCACATGCGTACCTCCAATACAAGCATGTGTCTGTATGTTCATATTGGAGCCAAGATGGCGTACCACTGTTTGGATCTGGGTTGCCAATTCTCTTGTTGGTGACAAGATTATCGCTTGGCAGTCTTTTGACTTAGAGTCAATCACTTGGAGCATTCCAATGGAGAAAGTTGCGGTTTTCCCAGTACCAGACTGGGCCTGAGCAATCGTATCTCTGCCCAGAACGATCTGTACTATAGCTCTGGATTGAATGGCAGAGGGTGATTCAAACCCGTAGCCATAGATACCTTTCAACAATGCAGGCTTTAGCCCCATACTTTCAAAAGTAGAGTGTATTTTCACATTTTTCGACGATGTCGACGTGAATTTTATTTTCTTATCTGCCTCTTTGTCGAAATCCATGGTATTATCCTTCTATATATTGATATCGAGCCAGCACTGTAACTCATGAAGTCCTAGAGGTGATGAGCTTCAGTGCTGATGAGATGAGATTCTCGCGGAGTGCATATGGGTACCCACAAACACCATAACCATCCGATTCAGCTCTATTTTCTTTGGTCGTATGCACTCCCTCAGCTAATCTTCCATTTTCTGTTTCACTCTTCTTTGAAATCATCCCATCGATTGTTAAGTCTTCCCCAAACTGTCTCCATAGGTCTGAGATGTCTGTTCCAAGTCCAATTATAGTTCTTGTGGGCGGTGGTCATGCAGCTGGAAAACATACAGCTAATAAACTCCTCGTAGAAGGACTTAACGGTAGGGGCATCACTGATTCACACCCAGTACATTCGATCAATATGGATGATTACGTTAAGAAATCTGATGGTGATTCTTGTAAGAACAAGCCTTCGCGTTTTGATTTCGCTAAGTTGAAGACCGATATTTTCGAGCTTCCTCTGAATAGTATAGTTATTGTTATTGGACTCTATGCACTCTACGACAAAGATCTTAGAAGTGTAGCACAGATTAAAGTGTTCATTGATAGTGATCCAGACACGAGGCTAATCCGTTGGATTAAAAGAGACATAGTAAATGAGGACCCTAACAGTGACCCCTCTCTCTCCACCACTTCAAATTTGGAAACTGTATTGAATTTGTATATAAATGGAGCTAGAACTGAAATGACAGACTATATATTTCCTACTAAAGAATTCGCAGATGTCATTTTGCCGAGAGGAGTTGAGCATCAGTCAGTCAACTTGTTGATCGATGGGATCCAGCCATTATTGAATATCAAACCGACTCATGGCATAACGAGAAATATTCTTAGACCGAAGACCTTCAGAAAAGAAAAATTTGATAATGAAAAGGGAAAATTCTACGAACTTAATTAAATATAATAGCATAATGAATATATAGATATATAAATAATAATAAACTTTATACAGCGGTAAACCAACTTTTGTACCTTTCTTACATTATTGCACTTAAGTATCTAAAGCTTTTGTAAATTATACATTGTATAGGTATAAAGTTATTGTCTATTTAAGTTTTCATTTTCGTTATGTATTCCCCTAATCACAACCTAATTCCATTGGCTTTCACAAATTCGTTAATTGGATCATTGCTAACAGAATACAGTGACAAGTTCTTTATTTTATCGCTAGGAATAAATTCTCTAACCTTTTTATCTATACTGTACCAATTTTTTATGAGATAGATCATTTCATTGGAAATAAGTTTATTTGCTGGAGCAGAAACTGTATTTGAACTTGAATTGTGTTCAATTATTGATTTCATGATGTAGTACAACTTATCGTATGATACGCCCGACTTAATGAAAATATCAACAATAGCACCAACTGGTGGGATTTGAGCTTCGTTAGCATCCAGTTCTTCTATAACTTCTTGAATGTACTTGCAAACCAACTTCACAAGTTCTTCAACTGGAAAAACTAAATCATTATTTGAAAGTTTAATGCCAACTGACGTTATTGAATTTGCCAAAGTGATATAAAATGGTTCCTTGGTGCTTGACTTGCTTGGTATCAAGAAGTCATGGAACAATTTTTCAAAATAGAACTCCCATCTCTTCAATATATCATCGGTATTCTTATAGTCACTAATTTTGAAGATTATCAAACATAAATCATAGTAACCCAATGGATCAGTATAACTATTGAATAAGTCGCTAAGTGTTAAGATCTTATAATTGAGTTCAACCTTAGATAATTCCTTGTTGTCCTTACTAATTCTGTCATCTTGGCTAATTGCATTGAGTACGTCTAATTGTACATTAGCAACTTCAAACAATTCTCCAACGACTGATGATAATTGAATCATCTTTTGTCTCACGTTTGGCGGACAAACACAATTGCAGAACCCATTGGCTCTAGAGAGATACTCAATTCTTTGTTGAAGTTTCAAATTAAATTCCAGGATTGCCAAAGCATACAAGATATTTGCTGCAGCATAATAATTTTCCCTTTTGGCATGATATAACCACAATAAATCGGTTAAAACTAGGTTATTCTTTGACTTTTCTTCCAAAAATGGTAATATAAAGGGAGTGTTTATCTCCAAGAGCCTTTCACTAACGCCTTGGTTGATAAACCATTGATAGAACTCATAGTGGAAATTCTTATCCTTTGATGAAAAACATGTTTCGTAAGTAGAATCTCTAATTTCAATAAAATCATTAATTAAAAGTTGATCATTAGTTCCTGTTATTTGAATTGCTTTAAGATCAATCTTTGTAAGTATTGAAAAGATCATCTTATACAACTGCAAGGTTAAAGTGGTTGAATCTGAGAGATTAGATTCTGCTGTAACTGGTGTGCTACTAGCAGTTGCTGTGGGAGCAGTAGCAGATTTATTAGCTGCCCTGTTGGACAATCTATGAGCCAAACTCAAGCACATTCTAACTGCACCAGTGTAATATTCCAAGTCAACCATAATATTAACACTATTTTCTATGTTCTCCAATGTTAAACTTTCATAAGCTTCTTCAAATAAAATGACTGCGTTATTTAAGCATTTGACTTTCAAATCATTATCTCTACCTCCAACACTCTTAGCTCTAGTCAAATTCTCAATAGCTTTGAAGATAAATACATCATTAGTTGAACAAAACGATCCACAGCGCCCTTGTAAGCTAGTTGCAATCAGATCAATGGAGCCACCCTTTAAGATATTTTTATTTATGATAGAAGACAACAAATCCTTGATTAAATTTTTGACTTCAATATTTGGCAACAATAAATCTTTAAAGGTCAAACTCAACAAATTAATTTGGTTAGTCACTGACAAAAACTTCAAAATCTCATTGAAATTAGTTTGATTGATTTGTATTTCTTCGATCAAGACCATAACAAACGACAATGCTTCTTTAATTGAATTCAATGATTTTAAAATTGACGTAAACGCAATATGTTCTGCTCTCAAGCAGACCTCATTAGAAAATCTAGAAGGATCTGAAGAATAGTTTGGAGCATTCAATCCTTGAATATTATTACCATTTTCAATGAAAAAATCAATCAAAACAATGATGGATCCAATAAAGAATTCCACTTGTCTTTTATCAATGTTTAATCCCTGAATCAATAAATTATCGTCCTTAATTGATCCCAGTTCAACTTGATTGTTAACTACTCTTATATAAGGAATCTTAACAAACACTTTAGAATTCCAGTAATCTCTAAAAAGACGTGATACTAAAAGACAGGTACCGTAGAACCTATCACTTAAAATAACTTGTTCAATAGTTGGATGAGAATTGACCAGCGAAACTTGAGCAACTTGATATTGATGTTGTTGCTGCTGCTGCTGGGGCTGTGGTGGTAGTCTTGCGTTGTTCCCACAGGTTGCAAATAATTGATGAGCTTTAGTCTTAAGCATGTCATTACTGTGATTGCCATAGGAACATCCAAGATACAACAAAGTACTGCATGTTTCCTCGTAACCATTTTCTTCCATGAAATTCTCTAAAGTTTCTTCACCTAATCCCTTTAAAATTTGATCTGGAGTTCTGAATTGATAGAAATGAATTCCAAAATTAGTCAAGACCGCAAATTGTAAAGGTTTTTTAGTATATTGAGTTGCTAAAACGTTAGCATATCCATTTGGAGTCTTGGTCGCATTCATGGATGGCGTTAACTGGATAATATCATGAATATAAGTAGAATCACCTCCAGCATCTCCACCAATTTTAACAAACTCAGCATCTTCTACTAACTTGCTATTTTTCTTCAAAAATCCATAATTTGAAGTGCACACAAATAACTTATCAGAGAACTTGGTCCTTTTTACACACAAGAAGACTCCAGGCAGCAAAATTTTAGCGAATTTGGTATTTTTCAAGAGCTGGGACTTTCTTTGGTTACTAACAAGCTGAGCAAGGTATTGCTTATCTCTAGTAAATGAGTCTAATTCAGGATTCAATTTGGGCAATTCTTTAGAAGGTGGGAATTTGATCGACGAAACAGATAGCTTCAATTTTGATCCGTACAGAGATGATGATAATGCAAATGAAGGGAACGATGATGTGCTCCCTAATCTTAAAAGAATTCTGCACCCAAAATTGGTGATTGCAATCATTTGGATGTTGGAAGATTCTTCACTGGTAATATGTTGAATGCTCATTATACGGAATTTAGAGAAAGATTCAAAATTCGATGAAGTGGAAACATCATTGAAAAGTGAGGAAATTCCCTTGAAAATTTCTGTAGGAGTGATTTGACTGAATTGAGTGAAACTTTCTTGGTGAGTAGTAATTTGAAGTTGGTACACTCTAATGATTGATTTGTTAGAAAGCGTGTATAAGATATTTCTCGAAGCATCAATATCGAGCTGGATAATCGTTTCAGGAACGGAAGATGACGAGGTAGCCGACGTTCCACTGTTGGTAGAAGTTCCAGGAATCTTGTACGGCAACACACTTGTGAAACCACTCTTGGTCATGCAAACTTTATCACACTTGTTTTTAGTGAAGCTACTTTTGTTGCTGTAGTCAAGTCTCCACACATTGACTCCATCGCCTTCGCCAGTGAAATAAATATCACCGGAATTTGGGTTCACTATAATGTTATTTACAAGGAGACCTTGAGTGGACACCACCAAGTCTGGGTTGAATATTTCCAAGTTATTAAGACTGGCGTCATATTTGACAATAAAGATTTGGATTTCCATTGAAGTAGCAATGACAAGTAAATGACTTACTGTGTCTACAAAGATCTTTGGCTTAGGTCTCACCAATTTAACTTGGAGAACAGAATGCTTTATCTGAGACAGGTCAATTGTAAGAAATGGTGAAGTTGTGGATGAAGACGATGATGCCAGCTGCTTGTAGTTCCATAAAATCAACTTGTTATCCACGACAATCCAGGATCTATCAATCTCTGGAAACAATCCCATCTTGCTCAGCACCTCAGTGGAGTTGTATTCATCAAAGAATTTGTCCGGCAAGTTTAGTTGAGATATCTTTTCAAACCTGGAGAAATCTCCTAATCCCTTCTCGTTGTCAAAGTAATAATTGTCTAGTCCTCCATCTTTGCTTATGTGACTGTGTGAGTATAAATCGGATGGGGTCATTGAATCGATTTTGATCAAGTCAGTTATATACTTGGACCCAAGCTTCAAGGGCGACAAATCGGCGAAATTGGCTACGCTGACTTTGTAGCTGATTTCTTCAGACGATGTCAAAGTACCCGGGTGCAAGATTCTGTTCGAAAGAACCAGTCTTGAAGAGTTGGAACCATTTGTTGAATGATCTTGCTGAAATTTCATTGTATCCAAAACAGGATCATCAAGTTTCAATGTTGGCAGTAATAGTTTGCCCGCCTCCTGTTGCACTTTTGAGGACAGCGCATTGTTACTGCTGCCTCCACTCAACGGATTGAACGAATATATACCAACCATACCTCTTGTAATGATTGAAGAAGCGGATGAGTAGTTTGGCACAAGGTAGTCGTTAAATAAACATCAGCGAAAGAAGAAAAAAATAAAAAATAAAAAAAAAATAAGAAAGACTTCAGTTTTGGTGAGGGCACGCTGAGATAAATTTGGTACATAGTGCTAAGGCTAGGGAAGATCAAAGCTGGCAGATCTATTTCGAAACTTTCATTTTGTTACAGACTAGTTTTCGTCTTCAGTATTGAAAGCATTTTCTTTGGATCCTTTCTTACAAACTACTCGAATCTGTTGTTCTTGGAAGTTTCTGAGATAGTGTAGTCCTTAAGATGGTGAGACCTGTTGGCTTGAGTTATCACAATCCCCAGGTCAGCCATGGATCATGCTCTCGAAGCCCAGTCAATTTCATAGATTCTTTCCATTTCTAGACTCTTGTAGTGTAGTTAGAGTAGCAGTCATTGAACAACTTGATTTCTATTCTGCTATTGAGATTTTTATCCTACGAAAACATGCTCATACTTGCTCGGACAGGGAAGCTTGGCCTGATCGAGACTTATTTGATGTTACTACAACTTGTAATGATACCGTAATTGAATATTTGTGTTCCAATATGTTTATCTAAACATTTGCGGGCCAACAAGTATCCGCCACATAGGATAAAGTGGGTTTTGGGTTCTTCAGAGTTAATGCTTTCTGTAAGCTATCTCGTGGGGTTGCAATTTCATGCACAGCTGGAGCCGCACGCCTTCCAGGCATTTTTTCTATCTCCATAAAAGCAATTGTTATCTCGAGTAATTTTGCTAGTCAGTCAAGTCAGATTTATTCATTCTAAGCAAACAAACAGCGAATAAATATGAAAGCTTCCACATTGTTATCTGTGTTTATTACACTTCAGACTGTAAGCGCTTTACCGTATGAATGGTCTTGGTTGAAAAACGCTCAATCTGTACTTTCCTTCTCCTCGAACAAACCTTGTCTTATCAAGCTCGGTCCCATCGAATATGCAGTTGTTAGCGAAGAAGAAAAGTTGCAATTGAAGCGTGAAAAGATCAACTTCATTGATGTCACTAGCCATATCTCCGTCGAGGAAGCAATCCAGAAAGGATCAGTACTTAAACAAGGTGAATTTGATTCTGTTTTGCAATTGGCTATTTCAAGCAATGATGAGGAACCTGTTGCCGCCTACAACTACCCCCAAAAGGCTAAACATGAAAAGAATGTGGTGCCATTCTTTAAGGATATTGATGTTGAATCTATGAAAAGCAATTTAAATAACTTTACTTCTTTCTATACCAGGTACTACAAGTCGAAGACCGGTTTTGAACTGGCTCTTTGGTTACAAGGAAAGATAAATGAAATAATCCCTGCTAATGCCGTTAAGAAAGGTATCACCGTTACACCAGTGGATCACCAAGAATGGGACCAATTCTCCCTTGTAGTAACTATTCCAGGAAAGGGTTATACCAGTACAGAAAAGGGCCCAATTGTCATTATTGGATCCCATCAAGACTCTGTCAACTTGTTATTCCCAAACGCGATGCCTGCACCAGGTGCTGATGACAATGGTTCTGGTACTGTCACCTGTTTAGAAGTGTTAAGGTTACTCGCCGAGCAATATAGTACTGGTGAATTTGCCCCAGAGAATACCTTGGAATTCCACTTCTATTCAGCGGAAGAAGGTGGTTGTCTCGGATCAATTGATGTTTTCACTCGCTACAAGATTGCAGGAGAAGAAGTTTTCGGTATGTTGCAACAAGACATGACTGGATATACTGCAAAAGTTACGTCCGAAGGTGTCGAAAATCACTTAGGTCTCATCACTGATTACACCACTTCATTTTTAAACAATTTTGTAAAACTCATGATTGATACTTACTGCAACATCCCATACCATGAAAGTTCATGTGGTTATGCATGTTCAGACCATTCTTCCGCTATTTCCAATGGATTTCCTGCCAGTTTTGTCATTGAATCTGAATTCAAGTATATCAGTGGGTACATCCATAGCATCAGGGATACGGTAGATAAAATTGACTGGGACCATGTGGTTGAACACGTTAAGTTGACCATTGGATTCGCTTATGAATTAAGTCATGCAAAGGTAATCAAAACTAAGGATTAAACTCATAGTCTATTTACTTATATAGGAAAATTCAAGCAAACTAAAAGGTACAACTGTCAGACCCCGGTGCTTTAAGCATTTGGGCATCTTCGATGCTACTTCTTTGCTGGTTTAGCAATAAGAACTTTATTCCAATTTCCTGTTCTTATACTCTATTTATTTTCTTTTAGCTTCAGCTTAGCATTTCCAGCTATCGAGGAACAACCTCTTTTGATTCAAATTAGTGAACTTCTAATTTCGGTATTTGGTAGCCTTCTCTTGGCTGGCGGCCCTTGGCTTTTTTAGTGTTTGCGATTTGGAGCCGCTCGTGTATGCTCCAGAGAACAAAATCAAGCTCCAGTAATTCGCCTTCTCACCCATCAGTTCTTCTCACTTTACCGATACCATGCATTCAAAAGTACCCTTGATTCTCTTGCTCGTATCAATATTGCCACTAAATGTGTGCGGGTTACACCTTACGTCTCCCACCGAGTTCTCTGATGAACTTCGAGTCATTAAATTAGATAAGAACCAATATGAAATGGTTTCTGAGAACAAAAAACTCGAATATAAGCGTAAGAATATTCCATTCCTTGACGTAACAAACCATGTTGATGAAAACGAATATGACCTTTTTAATACCGGGAAGCAGGGTCTGCAATTTGCATTCGCTATGAAAGAAAGTAGCACCGAAAGCAGCCCCGTTCCCGTATACCCAAAACAACTCTCACTCCAAAGTACAATTTCACCAATTCTTAAGGAGGTTAGTATTCCAAATTTGAGACAGAGCTTAGAAACATTCTCGAGCTTCCATACCCGCTACTACAAGTCAGACACTGGAGTGGAAAGTGCCCAATGGTTGTATGACCAAATCAGCGATATTATTCTGGAGTCTCCCCAAGTGAGTGTGACCAAGTTTGACCATAAAAAGTGGAAGCAGTTTTCCATAATTGTGACCATTCCTGGAAAGAAGGAAGGCAAGATTATTGTAGGCTCACACCAGGACTCGATTAACCTTATACTCCCTAGTGTCATGAGTGCACCAGGTGCTGATGATGACGGGTCAGGTACTGTGTTGTGCTTGGAGGCTCTTAGACTAGTTATTCAATTGTACAACGCTGGAAAGTTTACCCCACAAAATACCCTTGAGTTTCACTTCTATTCTGCAGAGGAAGGTGGATGTTTGGGTTCATTGGATATCTTCTCAAGCTATAAAGAGAACGGCGAACAAGTGTTAGCAATGTTGCAACACGACGTTTCAGGCTCTACTTACAAAGCTCAAAATGAAGGATACGAGCCTCACATGGGACTTATCACCGACGGCACCACTCAAGAATTGACCGATTTCTTGAAGGTTGTCATTGACTCTTACTGTGATATTCCTTACCATGAAACTCAATGCGGGTACGGTTGCTCAGATCATTCATCAGCAGCTGAGTTTGGTTTCCCATCTTCCTGTGCCGCAGAAGGTGAATTCAAGCTTACAAACGAGTATATTCATAGTTTCAAAGACACAATTGACAAAATCGACTTTGATCATTTGAAGGAGCACGTCAAGTTGGTTCTTGGTTACGCAATTGAGTTGGCTAGCTATGGTTTTTAGAGTCTGCTACTTAGTAAATGTATGTAAGTGTTTTTCTTTGCAGCACGTTGTGATTTTTTCCTAAAGCAATAAATTGAACTTGGCCTCGCTTTTGCCATGCATGGAATAATTGTTGCCACCAGAACTCTGCAGCTACGCATGCCTATGTGTTTCTCTTTTCGGCGCAACCTCTATATCTGCTGATGGTACCAATTCTAATGATAATACTGCATCTACATATATTAGGAGTATAAGTTTGGTATACGTTATGAAAAGAAATATTTACACACATTTATTTAAATAATAAGAAAAAACATACTCATACAAAGAAAAACAATATTTAATTATATACTAAGGGTACTATAGAGCTCCTACTGCTCTTCGACGGTTTCAGTTTCAGCAGCACCTTCCCTCTTTGGGTAAGGAATCTTTTCAAAACTCTTTTGGATAAAGTTAACCTTGTATTTTTTTTCACCTTCTTGGTCAAGGTAAGCCCTATTTCTAACATCTCCATCAACGATAACACGTGCACCTGGGTTGATATACTCTCTGAAGTAATTAACTTGGTGTTCGTTGAAAATAGTGACTCCAAAGTATTCGACGTCTTTTTCTCCAGTGGTCTTGTTTACTGGTTTGTTGACGCCTAAACTGTAGGTAACAAATGGGGCACCTTCCTTAGTTTCTCTAACTTGCACGTTGCTAACGAAACCATATGCGCTGAATTTGGCGAATTGGGTCTTGGCTGAAGTTGCGGAAAAGGCACGAGTTTGGTTGAAGATTGATCTGGATAACATTATTGGATTGGGTATGAATTGATGTTACGATTGAAGAGAAAGGGTGTGGTTCTTCAATTATTTCGACACCGTTTGGATTGTTAAAGTGTGGGTTTGGGTCGCGTCTCGTTGCCTATATGCAGGTGTGTTTCAAAGGGTTCTTGGAACGGCTGCAAATTAGTGAAAAATGCACATGAGAGAGAGAAGTTGAAGATGAAGTAGATGAAGAGGAGGAAGAGAAGCAACGAATATACAGCTGTGCACATATAAGTTCTAGTGTGGCTACTGGATATCTTAGATATCTGTATGTTACCAAAAAACTCCGCTATAGCTAGGCTCTAATTGCAATTACTCCTCTTCTTTCTGCTAATTCTTATTATATTATTATTGTTATTATTACTATTACTATTATTATCATTATTATACATGTTTAATATAACTAAAATTATCTATGACCACTTCTAATATCAGACAATGAAATTTGAAAGTATTACGCATATACATACTGAAGAGTGATGCAGTGAGATGATGAGGTTGGGGAGTCTAATACTCTCCATTCGATTCCACGTCGAATCTAATTCGAAGAAAATTGTGGAAACTATCACACTAGATTGCATGGGGATAAATGCACTAAGAACGGCAACAACAACATGGGCACACGTTATATATCGTTCCATGATGAGTTTGCTCCCATTCCGCTGCAAACTACTAAGGAGGAAGATGCAGTACTCGAGTATCTATCATTTTCTAACTGGTCTCCGTAGTAGTCGTTTTCTCTATGGGAAAATGTAGAGTTTCTCAATTGGTTTGCAATGACAGAAGACAAAAAGTTTCTATTTTCCTTAAGATTAGAAAAATCGTTTAGAATAGTAGAATACCTTTTGTGTTGAAAATTAAGTCGTTGTTGCTGGCGCTGTTTCTGTTTTTGTTGTTGTTGAAGCAACTGCTCATGTTCTCTTTGTTCCTGTTGTTTTTCAAATAATCTCATAATCAAATATGTCAAACTACTGCTTTGATCGTCGTCTTTTCTATTGAGAGACGTTTTCAAGTTTTTTGCAATCATCTTAAATCTCATAATGTCCTTCTTGGAGTAGTTCTTAAAGACATCATTTCCATAGTGTTTCAGATCACGCGATGATCCGCTACCCAATGCAGAAGAAGTGTATAAGAGCGATGCAGATTGTGTTTGTTCCTGAGACGACACTTGGTGGTTGGCCCTGGGGTGCGCCAGCGCTTGAGATTGTGATAATATCTCCGAGACTATGCCTTCATCCAAGTCCCACGAGGCAATATTGTCTTCATCAACCGTAGAAGCGGGCATCACATCTTGGGAAGACTTCCACTCATTAATGCGCTTGCGAAGAGAAGAATCGGCACCTGTGTAATTAAGAATGAGCTGCTCTAACCGCTGTGTTATTGCTGGGGAGGCACTGGGATTAGCGTAGTGATCTATTAAAGAATCGTCCTCCTCGATATCACGCGATAGTGTTTCGTTAATGATTTCATCGTCATCGTCTTCGTCTATTTCTTCATCTTCCTGTCCTTCCAGGTCGTATTCGGCCACCAGTTGGTCCAGGTCTTCCTGTTGGCTGTCTACAGTCAAGGATAAGATATCAGAATCCACGTTCACAGCGGACTGTGTATCCATGGAAGGACTGAATAACACCCACAGCGACTGCGATTCGGACAACAACGAGTTCGCTCTCTCAATAAGGGAAGAAGAGTCCGTTTGCAAAGACGTATTAGTCTTTGTACGACGTAACTGATAAGCTGGGTTGAACGCCATATTTGTGTTTTCTTGCAAGGGGTTCTGATAAGGGGGAGAGGGGATGTGGGAGGAATGAGAGTGCTAATTTTCTCCTTTTCTCTTCCTATTACTGTTACAAATAATGGTACTTTAGATATTTAACCGATATCTTTAATAAACAATATACACCAATATTTGGAGAAAAAATAAAAGAAGAAGGAAAGTTCATCTAAATATTGCACAACTCAAGGCATGATGGTGTATTGTTAGTGGGTACAGGTTGCGTTGTGGCGATAAGGTTTATGCAGGACCACATTTAGATCGCCCTTCTTGCAAGACCCAAAAAAAAAAAGAAACTCGGTAGACATCTGTACACCGGTAATGAAAAGAGGAGCCCAATAGTGAGGGGAGGCAGATCGACCTATTAAGTTGTTTACTTTCCATTCTGCACTCCGCAGGTAGTTTGTAGTCAGTCAACATGTCTCAACAAAACTAACTAGCATGTAAAATAATAAGGGTGTGTACTTTGTAAGTTCAGATTAGGGTTAATAAAGGATAGGGCGGATCGTTGTCGCACAGTGGTGTAGACATTTTAGAAGTTTGTACAGAAACTGGGATGCGACATCGGAGAACGACAAGAACAATAGCAGAAGAAAAGACGGTAATTCAAAAAGGAGAAGATGGCATCTCTTATTGTCTTTAGAGTTCTGAGGAACATTAAGCACGTAGACTATAGTAATACGCTTCACAATGGACCCATCGCGTCGCCGCTCTTCTATGTATTTACATTGCAAAAAGTGTACCACCACTACTACAGAAATAAGAAATAAAGACTCATAACGGTTTTTTGCGCCCAACTGGCAAGGAGATGGGGGGACGGCTAGGTTTTTTTTTTCCCCTAAAAACTTTTAAACTATTCTTGAACTTCATCGTAAAAAATACAGTAGTCTATTTTTTGTTAGTAAAATTGTTAAGTATACTAAAAAACTTCGTTTGTTGGAAAAGGTATTAATCAGATAGGGGTGAAAGACGTTTGATGGTTGTGTTTCTTCATAAAATTCAGTTGAACTATGCATAAATTACTTGGATCATCATAATAATACTTTTGCAATAAAAAAGTTCATATATTACATACTCTTTTGGTGCTCTGGTTTAGAAAGAGACTAGCATTAAAAAGAGAAAATTTTTCTACTTCACAGTTCGTTTTTGTATGTGAGCCTTAACATCGCTAACGTGACACAAAATTTACATTACACAAAGGATGAGAACAGTTAGGGCTGAGAGAACATATAGCAGTTGGCCCGTCTAAATTAAGCTGAAAAGAGTAAGTGATTCAGGCTATATATAATTTTAGTCTCCGCATGGGTCTTTCACTTGATTCCTATGGTTTCCAAGAAAATAGACCTGCCTCCATTAATAGGTAATGCAAAAATGTGTATTTTTTAGGGGCCCTTTGTCAGGCTTACGTCATAGTCATTCGGTAGTCCTGTGTACATATTTGTGCTTGCATATGGGCCACTATCGTTCAATATTTCTACGATAAATTTATTGAAAATCTTGTAGTCCAGGTATTCGTACGGATCAGTAACATTACAGAAAAATGGCAGTTAAAGGATTAGGCGAAGTCGATCAGGAATACGACGGTATGTAATTCAAGAACTTAAAGGAAGTACAAAATAATATTTTCAAGGAAAGAGTAAGGACAAGCTGAGGTTGAAGACTTGGAATTGACTTTTTTGAACAATTTAGTAAGTTTGATCAATTCTCCATATTTGCTCTTGGGGAATATCAAGATCAAAGGGTTAACGAGAAATCGTTAATAAAGTAATAAGCTTGTCATACTTTTTTTTCCGATATGCAACTGGGATCTTCCGTCAGGTGCGACTATTTTCGAGGGGTATACTAACTAGTACTAGGTTCCAAATTAAGAATCGGGATTCTCCACGCCAGATGGAACAAGACCATCATTGAAGCTTTAGTGAATGGGGCCAAGGCTAAGCTTTTAGCATTGGGCGTCAAAGAAGAAAACATTATCGTTGAAACTGTCCCAGGATCTTTCGAATTGCCATATGGTACCAGAGGATTCTTAAAGAACCAATTTGAAAAGGGAGAGCCATTGGATGCTGTTATTCCGATTGGTGTTTTAATTAAAGGGTCTACTATGCATTTCGAATACATTTGTGACTCTGTTACTCACAAGCTCATGGATTTAAACTTTCAATTGAATATTCCAGTCATCTTTGGAGTTTTAACTTGTTTGACCGAAGAACAAGCTGAAGCAAGAGCTGGTTTGATTGAAGGTAAGATGCACAACCATGGAGAAGACTGGGGTGCTGCAGCAGTTGAAATGGCAACAAAATTTAAATTTTAGATTGTATATAAGATCGCATATTGAGGAGTATTTTATGAGGAGCAACGGTTGAAAAAGCAATAGTTAGAGTAATGATTAGAGGAGTCCCATTATGCAAATCAGAAAAGAAAGGAAAGAAGAAGTAGACGAAGCCAAATATAATATATGAACACTACTTTTATCACCAAGTAAAGCTCATGGTCCATACGAGATCACATGTGTTGAAACTACAGCCTACTTGCATGTATTTTCTACTACCTTCTCTCATATTTTTTTTTCCGTTTCGTCATCTATTACTGTTTTTTATTTCTCCCTTTCTTGTCTCTGGTTGCTTAATTAGCCTACTTGGCATAGCTACCCTGGCTTGCCTAACCATCTCTCCAAGGCTGCATAATCTTTTATCTAGCTCTTCAGATCACGTGCAAGTGTAGCATAGGGAATTTTCGTCTTGCTGGTTTCCCACTCAACAACAGCTCCAACAACATGACTAAGGTTCAACACCATATCCTGCAAACCAAATCTGAAGCCACTCCCCTCATAGTCCCACATACGCTAGTTTCATCCCAGTCTGCTCTTCACTTCTCTCCTCCCACATCTTCTATCCATTCCTCCCCACTCTCTTGGAACATCTCTGCCCATTTTCATCACGTGCGCCTTGTCACAGTTTCATTGGTTTTCCACTCGTCGATAGTCGACCATCTGAAAAATATTCTGATTATGCGAGCCGTTCATGGTGAGCGTTGAGTGGAAAAAAAAAGCAAATTATCGACGGAGCTACTCTCGTATAGCTGGTGTTTATTTATACAGATCATAGTTGAATATAGCAATGAGTGGATGTAAGTAGTAACGGTGGCAGTACTGAGTCATTGGTACCAGAAAAGTAGGAAAAATCAGCGGTAGAGAATGGCTGGTATGATATAGAGCTAGAGGAGGAAGTACTGCGCTGTGCCAGTGTTGAATCAGTGAGCCAGAGTATGCTTGAAGTTAAGATTATCACTCATTTTCCTTCCATACTTTCAGCTACATATCGGCGGATGTCTTCGTTTGGTATACCCATTTCTTGTTTCAAGTTGAATTCTTGTCTTCTGTTTCTTTTTTTGTCCAACCTCTTACTAACTAATAATATCAGTTCGTCTTCTTGACTTGGTCAAGTTCTTTGTCCCAATATTACCAGAAATAGAATCTCCTCTTGACAATCAAAGCTTCGATGAAAAAATCGTTTTCACTGTTGCCAGTGGTATAATCTTCATTTTAGCACAATTCCCATTATACGGATTAATTCCAAATGCTTACTTGGAAATCCAGGACCCCTTCTTCTTCAACAGATCTATCTTCGCCATGGAAAAGGGTACCTTGTTAGAATTGGGTTTGTTGCCAGTTATCACTGCTTCCTTCTTGTGGCAGGTTGCTGCAGGTCTTAAGTTGGTCAAGGTCAACTTCAACTTGAGAAGCGACCGTGAATTATTCCAAACTGGTCAAAAATTGACTGCATTTGCCTTGGCCGCCGTTTATGGTTTGGGTTTGATTGCTTCCGGTTATTATAACAACGTTATCAAAGGTTTCGAACCAACCGATGCTGCTCCTTTCCCATCATTATCGATCTTGGGCCTTATCTTATTGCAAATTGTCGCTACTTCTTCCATTGTTACTTTAATGGTTGAAATTTTCGACAAGGGCTACGGATTTGGAAGTGGATGTCTCTCCTTTATTGCACTTCAAGTTGCTACCACTTTCGTTCGTGATATTATCAGTTTTGAAAGCTATGCCAAGGGTGAAGTCTCTCAAACTTACGGTGCCCTTGCATCGATCTTCGTCTCCCTCAAGGATTTCAAGTTCAACACCGAATCTCTCGCAAGAACTGACTTGCCTAACGTAATTCAAGTATTGATTGTCCTTTTCACCATTTTGGTCGTCATTGGATTCCAAAACTTCAGAATTGAGTTACCTATTAGATCCACCAAGATGCGTGGTATGGCCAACGTTTTCCCAATCAGATTGATGTACACCGGTGTCTTGCCTGTTATCTTTGCCTTCACTGTGGTTACCAACTTACAAGTTCTTGGATACTCTTTATCCAGTGTATTAAGTGCCTTCACTTCATCCACCATTGCCAGCTCTGTAATTGGATCTTGGACCTTGAATGCCAATAACAACAATCTTGAATTAACTTCTGGTTTATTGTACTTCTTATCCCCAGCCACCTCAGTGTTTGGTACTTTGATTTCTCCAATTAGATCAATTGTTTACTCAAGCACCATTGTTGTTATTTCATGCTGGTTCGCCAACTTTTGGTCTAAAATCTCTGGATCTGCTCCAAAGGACATTGCCAAGCAATTTAAAGAACAAGGTATTACAATCGCTAGTAAGAGAGATGTTTCCATCACCAAGGAATTATCTAGAGTTATCCCAGTTGCCTCTGTCAGTGGTGCCTTTGTTTTAGCTTCCATTGCTATTGCAGGTGATTTACTCGGTGGTTTAGGTAAGGGTGTTGCCGCAGTGGTCGGTGTTTCCGCTGCTTTTGGAGTTTTAGAAGAATTCACCATGGAAGTCCAACAATCTGGTGCAGGCTCTCAATTTGCAGGTGCATTCGGAGGTAAATAGAGAAGTGGGATCATCAATTCATGTGTAACACATTCAAACAGAAACCAAATTAAAAATGAGGACTGAAAACAAATACAAGAATATTGAAATAAGAAAATACGATTGTTTTGGGGAAGATATTATAATAGCGGCTCCTCGTACCTATATATATATGTATGTATGTATGTGTGTGTAAGAGTATTTATGTACTTAAATAATTATATTTAGTTGACCAGACTGATATTAGAGGGAGAGATGCTGTGTAATGTTTCTATTTGCTAATATTCCTTTGTTCATAGCTGTACCGAAGGTGCACTATTCAAACGCCTACCGAAGTCGACAAGACCTTCGGTCTGCTCCAAAGGTATACTATTGGAACCGCTGCCGGCATTGATTGACCCAGTCTACTCCACTCTAAGCTCTTATCGATCCTCTATTAAGTATTTTATATGCAGGTTATCGCCCTTGCTGTGGTTCGCCTCCCTACGGAGACCTTGGTCTTCCATTGAACACTTCTTCATTTCAAAGCTCCAATTGTCCTGAACTATTGCAAGGATCAAGTTATATATACTGAGTTGATAAATAAACTTCATTCTTTGCAGCTTGTATATATCATCTATATTAGTTATAATTTTTTTTCCAAAATGAAAGTAGTTATAATTGGGGCAACTGGTCTTGTAGGGGCCCAAATTTTGAAATTCACTGAAGCTTCAAGTGCTATCTCTGCAATTACTACATTGACACGTCGTAAAGTCGAAGGATCTACAAAGTTGAATTCAATTGTAACACCGGACACTAATGAATGGACCGAATTAATAGCTGCTAATGCAAAAGATAACGATGTCTTCTTCTCTGCCTTTGGAACCACCAGAGCTGATGCAGGTGGCATTGAAAATTTCAAAAAAATTGATTATGGTACGAATTTGCAATGTGCCAAGGCAGCTAAGGATGCCAACATTAGTACATTTGTGTTGGTATCTTCAGCAGGGGCAAATAGCAGCTCGTGGCTTCCATATTTAAAGATCAAAGGAGAATTAGAAGATGAAATTACAAAGTTGGGCTTTAAAAGATTCATTATCTTGAGACCTGGTGCTTTACTTGGTCAGAGGACTAAGCAACATAATGGATTTGGTGCGGGTATATTTGTAGCTTTATCCGAATTTCTGAGAAAGACACCGTTTAGTAAGGCACTTAAGGCAGTTTATGCAGAAGAAATTGGAAAGGCTGTAGTGTCTTTGGCAACTAAGCCATTACCATCTAATGGCGAACCAGAAACAAGGATTATAGAAGCGGCTGAGATTGTGCAACTTGCTAGTGAAATTTGAAAAAAAAAAAAAAAAAAAAAAAAATTATATAGTTATCACTTGTAAAGCTTCATGGGATATGTTACTGCATTGTGACGAGGCTGGCTTTCCAATGCAAGTAAGAAGTGGTTTGTGAAGGCAGGATTCCTATGTATACGATCCAATGATTCAATAAAGATAAAGTCTGTTTATATCTGCTGTATATTGTTTCTACTCATGTATTCTTCTTTCATCTGCAACTTGAGCTGATTCAGAGAAACTTCGGCCCTTGGTTGATGTATTCACCCATAAAAAGACTAGGCCGATCGTTGAAATCTATAACGTAGACTTTTCTACATTTTGGATGATTATCGAGTTCATTTTTATTAATATTATTCTATTGATAAGTAAAAAAAGCCATAAAGGATCACACCCAAAAACTAATTACATGAATGAAAAGAGACACATGATTCCTAAAAAACCATGGGCCGTATAATTAAATCAACACATAACTGCCCATTCTAATGGACAAGGTATTAACTACCCAAGAGAGACGGAGCTATTCTCATGTTAAAACGCGATTAATGTCCACTACCATCACCAGCGTACTTAGATCTAGCACGCAACTTGACACCATTCAAGTAGAAAAGAACTGGAATAGCAATCATACCCACACAGATGAATCCTAAAAGAGAGGAGCCCCATCCAACTGGGAACTTTTCTGATCCAAGGTTCTCGAATAATGGATCCCCAACCAATGGTAAGGCACCTGCGCAAAGCGATCTGAATAAATCATTACTTGCGTACACTGATGCCAAATATCTGTAGAATGACATACCCAAATAATTGAATAAGGTTTGGAACGCAAGGAAGGCACCCATTGCAAAAATTGCAGTACCGATAAGTGGACCAATCCAATGTACATCAGGTGAAGCAGCCCATCCGAAAATGAAAATACCAACAGGCATTAAGCAGGCACCGACAATGGCCATAGGAATGAAGACTTCAGGAACAACACCTTCTCCATTGAGAAGCTTCTTGGTGAATATCCTATAAATGATTGGAATGTAAAAACCTGCTCCAATTATAATACCAATCATGATACCAACATATGAAACACCCATCTCAATCAAGTTAAAGTGGTACGTACCAACCAAAACAATTGGGAATGCTTCAAACCATAAGTACATGATGGAATAGATTAAAGCAATGTAAACATTGATCAATAACACGACAGGTTCGAAGATAGTGATTTCAAAAGGTCTCCAAAGAATATCGATAATTAATTCATTTCTGGTCATCTTCTTGTTGGCAATTTCTCCGTTACTAGTGATATTTGGATTACCAGTGATTGCTCTCAATCTTTTTGCCTTTCTGTGAAGCAATGTATCTTGATGGGTTTCAGGTAAAAAGAATCCTAAGACTAAGAATGAAGAACCTGAAATAATAAGCATGAACCAGAATGTCCATCTCCAACCAATCAACTGTGCAAAGACTGAACCAATTAATGGACCCAATGATGGACCACAAACAGCTGCAATAGACCACACTGCAATACCTACTGGCATGAAAGGCATAGAAAGAACGTCAGCGATGGAAGCTCCACCAGTAGCCAATGCTGGCGAAGCAAAAAATCCAGCAATAAATCTTAAAACACATAAAGATGCAATGTTTTTAGATAAAGCAGTAGGGATTTGTAAGATGAAAAATATAAATAAGGTGACAATATAGATTGAAGTTCTTCCAAAGATGACATTTTCAGACATTGGAGAAAATACCATTGGACCAATACCATAACCGATGACGAAGAGGGTCAATGGCAAAGTCCCTTCAATTCTACTAATATCAAAATCGGCCCTTATCTCTTCAATCCCTGGGGTATAAATAGCAGATCCCATATACACTGAAACAGTCAAAAATGCAATTTCGAATGCAAAGAAAATCTTTTGATACAATGGCCAATTTTGTGGATTTTCCGGATCATCTGGACCATCCCAGTCCACAATTATTTGTTCGGACTTTTCTTCAGTAGAGCTAGATGGATCTACTGGGGTGTTAGTTTCACCATTTGCACCTTTCTCAGTAGAAATACTACTTGTGTCTGAGGATGAGCCCTTACCTTCATTAGCTTGAGCACCATATCCTACGAGATATTTTTCTGGGACAACATAATCTGGCTCTTCTTCATTGTGCTTAAGAATCTTATGTCCAGAGAGATGATATGCCAACCTTCCCCAAAATGAATCTCTTATGAATCTTCTATGCACCATTTTCTAAATCTATGATAATAAAAAATAAAACAATAATTAGATATATGAATGATTTCAAAATGCACACAAAGGTCTATAACGGTTATTTTACTATAAAATGTTAAGTGTGGCTTGTATGCTATAAATTACCTTCTGGGAAAACAATTAAAGCTAAGGGAAGAGAAAGATGAAGCAGAACGAAGATACAGGGACAACGCACCTTCTTATATAGTAATTTGCATCATTGTTTGTTCATTCCATAGGAGATGGTACTACGGCCGGAACTACTAGTGAGGCTAAATAAGGGCAGCATGAGGGAAGCATGCGCACCTTCTTTGGGTTTCGCCCGAAACGGTCTTACTATTTTAGGATTCGGCCGCCACTTATTTTACTTAATCATCCACATTGAGACATAGCCGTGCAGTCAAAAAACTTTAAACCCGCCTTTATTCCGTTTATTAGTCAGAAAATTGCCTTCAAATGTGAAACGCGAGATGGATGCCACCGCAAACTACAAAATAACGCTCTCAGCAAGCAGAGGCCGAGCCCAAGTTCCTGGAGATAAGGAACAAAAATTATCTATTGTTTTCATCCCTTTCGATCCGTGGACGTCTATGGAAGGTAGAATCAGAGAGCAATTATTAATATAAAATTATCTCCATCCACAATTAGTAATATTAGTGCTACATCGATAGCTTGAAATTTACAATCTGCTCCTCTTTTAGAGAACTCAAGTGAAGTTTCACGTCAAGTAAGTGGAAAAAAATTAAGAACCTAAAACCCAATTTTTTTTAGCACTATTCTTTCTTGGATTTGAAGCTGAGATTTACTAAGAGCACCTCCATAATATAGCCTCTTTTGGCTTCAGTTGAAAAGCAGTAATAGGAAATATGTTGACTCTTGAACAGTGAATGCTAGATTTTAGTGATGCTAGATTTTAGTGGTTATATGTGTGAAGCCACGGCCGAATGCAGGCAGTGCATCGCGTACCCTGAATTTTTCAAATGCAACCGAAGTTGAGGTGCATCAAAAAATACGAAGAAGAGGCTTCCTGTGTATGGTTGCTAGAGAATAAAAGGTGAGCAGCACTATATAAAATAGACCATAAGACGAGGAACGATGACTTGAATTAGACAACATTCCTCTGTTGCTTTTAAATGATATCCTGCTGCAATTACTAAAAGGCAGTAAATTAGTCTGAAAAACTGTCAGAAAGCAAATTTCTACGGGTTCCTCTACAGAATGTAAGGATACTGAAGATAAATATTTTTAGATCTGTTACGTATATTTCATAAAACAAAGATCAGAATTCCAAGATAAGTCATATAATCATAAAAGAAAACTGATATTGTAAATCAAACTCAAGAATCGAAGGTAAATGAAGGTATTTTAGCTAAGATTAATATATTTATGCACAATGAATTACGCATGAGCCAATCAATCTTTATGCACACAGTCGAATAGCAGTTATATAATAGGACAGGGACGTTTAGAACCAACATTTTAGCATACTGCGACTTCTCACCGCCTGATAGCTTATCTCGTCTGTGGAAAGAACAGTCAGCCTAGCTTTAGATTCAACATAAGCTTTTCTAAGTGCCTAATGTTTTTCCAATCAGCTTCATTTTGGACTTTTCTAACCCTCCCCTGCATATTTAGATCTAGCACGTAATTTAACCCCATTCAAGTAAAAAAGAACTGGAATGGCAATCATAAGTACACAGATGAATCCTAAAATAGATGAACCCCATCCAACAGGGAACTTTTCTGATCCAAGGTTCTCGAATAATGGATCCCCAACCAATGGTAGGGCACCTGCGCAAAGCGATCTGAATAAATCATTACTTGCGTACACTGATGCCAAATATCTATAGAATGACATACCCAAATAATTGAACAAAGTTTGGAATATGATAAATGCCCCCATTGCAAATATTCCAGTACCGATAATAGGTCCAATCCAATGTTGGCTAGGTGTGGCAGACCATCCGAAAATAAAAATACCAATCGGCATTAAACAAGCACCGACAATAGCAATAGGAATGAAGACTTCAGGAGCAACACCTTCTCCATTGAGCAACTTCTTGGTAAATTGTCTATAAATAATCGGAATGTAAAAGCATGCTCCAATTAAAATACCAATCATGACACCTACATACGAAACACCCAACTCAATCAAGTTGAAGTGGTATGTACCAAGAAACACAATGGGGAATGCTTCGAACCATAAGTACAAGATGGAATAGATTAAAGCAATGTAAACATTAATCAATAGGACTACAGGTTCGAAGATAGTGATTTCAAAGGGTCTCCAAAGAATATCGATAGCGAGTTCCTTTTTCGTTAATTTCCTGTTAGCAATTTCTCCGTTACTAGTAATATTTGGGTTACCGGTGAGTGCTCTTAATCTTTTTGCCTTTCTGTGAAGCAATGTATCTTGATGGGTTTCAGGTAAAAAGAATCCTAAGACTAAGAATGCAATACCTGAAATAATAAGCATGAACCAGAACGTCCATCTCCATCCAATTAATTGTGCAAAGACTGAGCCAATCAAGGGACCCAAAGATGGACCACAAACAGCTGCAATAGACCACATTGCAATACCTACTGGCATGTATGGCATACTAAAAACATCGGCAATTGAAGCGCCTCCAGTAGCCAATGCTGGCGAAGCAAAAAATCCGGTGATAATTCTCAAAACACATAAAGATGCAATGTTTTTAGATAAAGCAGTAGGGATTTGCAAGATGAAAAATATAAATAAGGTGACAATATAGATTGAAGTTCTTCCAAAGATGACATTTTCAGACATTGGAGAAAATACCATTGGACCAACACCATAACCGATGACGAAAAGAGATAACGGTAAAGTTGCTTCAATTCTACTAATATCAAAGTCGGCCCTTATCTCTTCAATTCCTGGGGTATAAATAGCAGATCCCATATAAACCGAGACGGTCAAGAATCCTATTTCGACTGCAAAGAACACCTTTTGGTACACTGGCCAATTTTGTGGATTATCCGGATCATCTGGGGCATCCCATTCAACAATAATATCCTGTGACTTGATTTGAGGAGACTCAGTTGAATCAACCGGGGTGTCAGTTTCACCAGCAATTGCAATGCTTGACTCTGATGGAGATCCCTTTCCTTCGTTTGATTGGGCTCCAAATCCGACAAGATACTTTTCTGGGACAACATAACCAGGTTTATCTTCCTTGTGCGCAAATATCTTATGCCCAGAGAGATGATAGGCCAACCTTCCCCAAAAGGAATCTCTAATGAATCTGCTAAGCGCCATATCTTCTAGTTTTTTTGTGATGCTTCGAATTTCTATGATCTAAATATCTTTATCACCAGATAAAAGCACAAAGTACACTGCTTAAAGGTAACGAATTTATTAGAACAGAGTCAATGGTATAGAACGAAAAACTAGAGAAGCTACAGCTCATGAACTAGGGGAGTCGTGGTCTCCTTTTATACTGTTTTTGCAACTTTCCTTTTTAAACCTTAAACTGGTACACGTAAGAAGTAAAGTTAAGGTACCAAAAAAAGCTTCTTGACGGAAGAATTTAACATTGGCACCAGATGTAGGGTTCTAATTACCCTACAATTTTTAAAAAAGGAGTCTTTCATGCAATTGTGCAAGAAATGAGTCTGTAGAACGAGTATTATCTACAAGAGTTGACTATAGTAGGTGCGGTTGCAACTGTAACTCGAAATACTGGGAATTTGGCAGAATTTACTACCTTTCCATAACTCTGCTGTTAATTTTGACTTCTCCACCTCTTTGTATGTATACTGTTGCTCTTCTTATCAAACCTTATGTCAGTATAATGTTAAAGTTACGCCCGTAAGAAGCTTGTCAAATGAAGACAATGTTGCGTATGAGCCTCAGTGAGGACATACTGATACTGACCGGTATTGCCACTTAAAGAATCGGCCGCATTTTATTTTCTTAGATTGGATTTTTCTGTACGTTCATAACCGATTGTTTTTTCCGTCTTTAATCCGTCTATTTGTCAGAAGTTTAATGATGTCCGTGGAGAGATGAAACAGTACTACTCACCAGTGCATAATGCATCTGGTAGTATCCTCATCACTGACAGGTACGGAAGTTAAGCTTTTAAGGATAATGCAAGGAACCAGGGAAATGTTGCCGTCAGCGCATGTGCATTATCCTTATTGGTGATAGATAAATATACTTCGGATTATATAAGCGGCATTTTCTATCTTATACTATCGAATTTCGAAGGGGATTCTTCGCACGCATAACTATTTTTAGTTATTGATAGAACAAAATGCAATACTAGTCACTATAGCTCCTATGTTGCATAATAAGAGAATATTCGAAATGCAACCAAAAGTGCCGCACCTACGAGGGGAAGGTGCGCACAGCCTTATGGACCCGGAATGAAATAAAGTTGTATCTCTAATTTGATAGTAAAAGAAGATCTTGGAAGGTGAAGTGATGAAGAAGAAATTTCAGATCCAACTCCAAATCGATTCTCTTGTAGCATGCTATCAGACCACGCTTCATGATTATGTGTCATTTACAGTGATACTTTAGGTTTACTCACTGGAGAAAGAGTGTAGGAGTTGCAAATCTAAAAAAAAAAATAGAAGAATGTAAAAAAGAAAAAAAAGAAATAGTGACTCCTACGCGGTTCGAACGCGTGCATCTTTACGATAGTAGAACTTGAGTCTACCGCCTTAACCACTCGGCCAAAGAGCCTCTATTGGATGTTATTCCTGACCTCTTTGATAATACAGTAGGCCAAACTCTATTCATCTTAACCCTTACACCCAACTTGTACGTTTTTACTTCTATCTACATATTCCGTATACAAATAAGTGAATCTTCGAATAGTATTAGGATAGTAGAACTTGAATATTACAGATAGTTTCACCTTTGCAATGAACTCTTGAATATTCCTGTTCTTTTCCTCTGTTGTATCTCGCAATGTTGTATTTATGAAGTAACAAGCAAAAATAAAGAAGAAATATATTTATTGCACTTACATTGACAGACCTCCATAGAATATCAATTATAAGAATACATATTATGGTTAGTAGAAGTAGAACCAGGGTATAAATAGGAAGAAAAGTATCTCAATGTTGGCTCTCCCTGACAGAGTAGATAAAATATACTAGCCATAGTAAAAGTTTAATGCTAGTCCATACATTTTGATCACGTTACCAAAATTTCTTATATGGATCTCAACTGCGATAGATAACCAAAAACAGTAGGGAAGGTCAGGCAAATGGGATCTGGAAGAGACATACGTCACTTAACAGTTTGACCTTCTTTGTACGATTCTCGAAACCACGGAACTGCCTATTTAGATCTAAATATTCTTGTACTTGCTCAACTACTTTGGCTTTATAATCTCGCGCGGGCACTTCCTAGTTAGACCAATCTCAAGCAACTGTATTATAGATTTAATACAGCATATAAAAACTCTACCAGATGGGCGCTCCTCCATTTAAATTAGTACTCCTAGGAGACTCATCAGTCGGGAAGACATCATTGGTTCATCGATTCACTACTGAAGAGTTTGATCCATATACTTCGAATACAATTGGTGCTGCTTTCATAACAAAGGAGTACCATTCCTCTACTAACCCAGATAAGAAGGTGAAGTTCGAGATTTGGGACACTGCAGGCCAAGAAAGATATAGGTCTTTAACTCCCATGTATTATAGAAACGCAAAAATGGCCTTAATATGCTATGATTTATCAAATATACCGGAAAGTTTTGAAAAATCTAAATTTTGGATAGATCAATTGAGAATTAACGACACATCCAGTGACTCCCTGGAGATAAAGATCAGGGTGGTAGGTACCAAAGGCGATTTATTGCCAAACAAACCTACTCCACGGGAAAGTCTAGAAGCTGGCACAGAGACTTCTACTGAAGAAGATGCTACCAACGAAGAACTCGATGCTGTAAATACGTATTGCTTGGAGAGCAACATACCTCATTTTATAACTAGTGCCAAACTCGGACAAGGAATATCTGAACTATTCACTTCCATTATAGACGAAATAGACGAGTCTTTTTGGGATTTATATAACCAAAATCAATTGGAACAAGAACGGATAGCGAAAAATGGACAACTGTTCGGCACGATAGACTTCTTGAATGCAAGGTTCAAGAAAACGGAAACGTCAAAAAGCTGTTGTTCGTGACCAAATGTTGGGAATGAAGTGGTACCTGCGATATTGTGAATACTGGAAGATACAGAGAGGGGCCCCAAATTCTAAGCTTTTGCAGCTGAAGCACTCGAAAGTACCATTTCTCCGTTAAATATATGTACATTAATTCTATGGGATATACTTTGTAGTACTCTATAAATCTAAACCCTTTTGTCTCCAATAATCTCGTTTTATATCTTTATCGAGATTGGTTTTTGGTTTTGTAGGCAATGCTGGACCTTTAGTTTCGTTACTATCGCTCTTTAATTCGTCAACAACTTCCTCTTCATCATCATTTTCAGAATCTAAAACACTCATTAATTCAATAGCTCTCTTTCCACCACCTTGAGCTTTAGCTGTAGTATTAATTGGTGCTTCCTTAACAAACGTTGTGTCATCCTCACTCTCAACGGTCATGTCTGAATAATAGTATTTATCGTTTCCGTCGGCACCATCCAGTTCTTCGTCTTCCTCGACTGCATCGTCATCATGATTAATGAGCGCATGATTTGTGACCTTGTCTCTATCATCATTGAAATCTCTTTCCTCTCCTCTATATTTGATAATATCTCCAAGAATCAGTTGCCCAATTCTTCCCTTGTACAGTGCAGCATGTAATTCATAACATTTATCTACTAGTAATTGATAGGCTCCACCAAACGCCTTCTTTAAATCCCTCAAGTTATATGAAGATCTAGTAATATTATTGGAAGGGTCTGAAGGGTCTTGGATTGTAATAGCAAAAGAGTTTCTTGCAGTATTCAACAACGGATGCTTTCTCTTCTTGAGGTATCTAGGTAAGTCTGTTTCATCGTCGATAGCTAATATAAGATCATCGTACGAGAAATTACGACCGAACAATTCAAAGAATTCAATTAAAAGAGAGCCCAAGTTATCTGAAATAGACATGCTACCAGTAGATATCCTAGGATGAAGCTTTAAGAAATGGTAACACATTATAATTGTCAGATAACCACCGAGTCCTCCAACATGGACGTTATTTAACTTTCTTGATCTTAAAAATTGTTTAACTATAAGCACCAACTCCCTCAAACCTGGGGTGGTAGCAAGCCATTTGCGAATTTTTCTAGCTGCTATTATACCATTCGTTCTTTCAAAGGAAACGTCAATGTGGATATTAGACTTGGGATCTACAAATTTAATGATGGGCACCTTCGCTTTTGCAATAACTTCAATGTTCTTCGCTAATTTCTTGGTTCTCAAGAAGGAAGAAAGTTGATAAAGTCTAGATCTTTGCTCTAGGTCTCCCAGTTGTGACGTTATCACCATGTCAATATCGGAACCTGGCAAGTATAAATCTGTGGCATATGATCCAAATACATGAACTTCTGTTCCTGGCCAAAATTTAGCGATTTGGCTCTTAAGCTGACGGACTACGTTGTTACGAGTTTCAATCTCCCTCTTTGATGGTGATATATAGTTTACAAAATCTTTCATCTCCTTAGTGAGCCAGTCTGCAATCTCTTTCTGTTTGGAGTGGTCATGGTCTTTGATCCAAGGGTATAAGGATTTTGGTGTACTTGACCTATGGATGTTTCCTTCATCGTTACTTATTATTCCGTCATCCAGGTAGTATTCACCATCTTCCTTTTCTTCTTCAGACGATGAAAAATCAAACGAAATAAAGTCTTGATTTTTGGCAAGTTCATTATAGACCTTTCCAACTTCGCCATTACCAATGTTACCTGAATCTATACCTTCAACATCTTCTTCTGCATCATGCTCATCGGACTCTATTACAATGTCAGACCTATCTTCATCTTCATCTTCAGATTCCACAAGTACTACATCTCCTCCCACGGGCCCTTTAAAGTCATACTGCTCATCACTATCAGAATCGTTCTCACTGCCTGGTAGCGCTCCAAATTGATTACCAGAGGGAACAATGGAGTTTTGCTCTACAGCTTTGCTTTGTCTCTTTCTTTGCTTTTTAGATTTTAGCTTGGCCGGCGGAGACTCTCTTTTTCTTTTCGGAGCCATTTTATCCTAATTATTGTGTGGTTTTGCAAGTTAACTCAACTTCGATGGCTACCATTTTGGACACTAGTTGGCAAAGCCTGAATGTTACATCTCCATCGGGACGTATATGCAGGACACAAAAAGAAATGAAAATTGGAAAAAAAAAATGCAACATAAAAAAATCTTTTGGCTGCGAATTTCTGGGGAGGAACCGCATAAAAAATTCTTGTGAGAAGAGATACTTGGGCTAAATAGAACAAATATTCCATGTTCAGCCCTTTGGTCAATTATATATTCAATCGTTTATATTATGTCATTTGATTTACTCAGTATTTTCATTCAAGTAATTTCTAGTATACATAAACCAAGGACTATGCATAGAACCGCAGCGCTCATCCATGCTCTAGCTCTCCTTTTAGTGAGAAGGAACTTTTCCAATCCCAATATGAAAGACAAAACTGCTATCTTTGCACAGTATAAAGTCTTAAAATTAAGACAGCCTAAGTATAGCATCAATTCTATCATAATATACCCAATCACATAAGTAGCTAAGATAGCTTCATCAAAATGCTTTTTCAAAAAGACACTGGTTAGCCACTTAGTTGTAGATTTTTTATTGCTGCTGACCCCCGTTTTATGTTTCCTTCCTACTATTGGAAATTTCATATTTTCCAAAGTTGCTAATATTTCTGTAGTCAAAATTCTTTGCGTAGGCTGTTGCTGATGATCAGTATCCACATCTACGTTTGTATCGGTAGCTGTACCAGAATCTCCTCTGATCATACTATAAATGAGGTCCTCAAATTGTTCCATAGGATCACTGAATTCTCCCTTCACTCGTCCATGAAACCAATTGCTAAATGAGGTCCTATTCAACTTGAAATACCAGTCTAGAATTTTTGTTCTAATCGTTTGTGGGTCTGTCTCATCAGATATAAGATCAGTGAACGGCAATGTGCCCACGCATAACCAGCATAGTATTAAACCCAATGAATATACATCACTTTCAAAAGTGAACTCATTCATAGTATTGTCATTTTGTTCAGGATCGTAATTAGAATATAACCAGAGTTCAGGAGCGGTGAACTCAAGAGTTCCAGTATTACCTCTGCGTTCCTTACTTTCATCTTGTGGAAAGAGCTCATCAATTGAGGTGGAATCTTCAACAATCTCAAAACCCTTTTCTGCATTTTTTTTATTCTTATTAATGTATTTACCTTCTCCAAAGTCTGTCACCAATACCTTTGGTAGTGCTGTCACAAAAGCTTCAAGGTCTTCGTCTGCCTTAATCTCTGGATATTCGTATTTAGAGTCAAGCAAACAGTTTGATGGTTTTAAGTCTCTATGAAGAATCCCATGCTTGTGTAGATAATGAACACCGTTGGTAACATCCCGGAAAAATTTCCAAATTTCTACATCGTCCAACCAAGGTCTCTGAACAGCCTCAGCAGACAATAAATCTTCATTATCGCTTAACGAATTAATACTTTTACCACTGCTACTCCTTCTTCTCTCTCTCTTTCGTCTTCTTTCTTGACGTTCCCGTTCAACCTTTTCTTTTAAAGATAACTTTTTATGTTGTAAGAAATTTTCATATATCAAGTCTTCCAAATGACCCCCAGCGCAATACTGTTGTAGTATAAAAACGTAAGGGACTTTCAGAGCAGAGCCGACTTGACTAGAAAAGTTATTCTCTGGTAATATAAAAGTCAGCAGGTCATCAATATCACCCAATTCCAACCAAACATGATTATACCGTATCAAGTTATTTTCATTGGCTCCTTGAATAGAAAGTTCATACAATATCATTACTTCGTTTAAAACTTGTTGAAGAAACTCAATCTTATCTCCAATACAAATTCTTTTGACAGCATAGGTGCCCAATTTAATATCATTAAGAACATGGACCACCTTATATACTTGAGCGTGAGCACCAGAGCCCAATATAAAAGGAGGCACCTTCTTGAAAAATCGACGGAAATAGCCCTGATTGAAAATCGTTTCAGGTAAACTGCCGCTAGAGAAACTGAAACTACTTTTAAAGGGATACAACTCCAGGGAAGGTAAATTACTTAAGACTTTGAAATAATCATGATGCATAAATTCTTCATCTATACCTGGGAGGCCATTTTCAATATCATTGGCATACTTCTCATCAAGATGATTGGCAAGGTCTTCATCATTGGTTGGCTGAGAACTAGGATGGAACAGATGAGTACGACTTGCATTAGAGTCCCACTGGAATCCACAATTAGGGCACTCTAATAACAGATTTGACTCTATATTCGGGTCATTTCCTGACTTAGCACTAGTAGATAAAAGCTGTATTGTATTTTTTTGGTTATTGTGCAAAACTAATATTCCTCGAGTTGGATCGTGAAGCACAATTTTGTTATTCAGATTATACGGCACTACAGACATTGTTAGGTATCAATTGCCTTAAGCAAAGTGAAATCTTGATCTCAGGATGTATATATTAGAATTCGTATAATTTGTAAGGCTATTTGATTTCAGTTAACAATTGAAGTTGGAAAGGTGTACAAAGTGATCAACTTATTCTATTTTGTGGGGGAACATACTTCCTACATATAATTCCGATTAAATTAAATGGTGTACGGATCAAGCTATATTAATGTAGCTCTTATTAAATTACATCTATTATACATTATATTTACAATTGTTTGGGTATGTAATCTATGACTTTTGTCTTCTAATATTACGCATGCGGATCATAAACTCCAAAATGTCCGTTTCTATCTTGAAACTCTCCTCACTAGAGAGGCATGCTATGTCTTCGTCTGATATGCATTTTATGAAGTTTGAGAAGGTTACCACAGAGTTTTCCTTTTTTAATGCTGGAACTTGGGCAACAACAGTAGATATGCCATCTCTATCTTTCAACAGCTGCCCATTTGACTGACTTCCTTCTGTATCATCTAAGCTTGATATTATTTCATTGGCTTGTGGTAGTTCGTCGGGATGTTCTTTGGAAACCGAAGATGAAACCTCTAGCACGCTTTCGGTTTCTCCTTCTAACTTAGAGTCTATTATTTTTGTTGAATTTTTCTTTTCTTTTTTCTTTAAAGGGGATTCTTCCATTTCATGTAGATAACTCCTCTTACGTGTTGCTCCGAGGTCAGCTTCAGCTTCATCTTCTCTATTTTCAATCAAGGGCATATCTAAATTTTTAGTTAATTTTATGTCTTCGGGTGTTTCCTGACTTTCCTCTTCCAAGTTATCCAATAAATTTTTATCTGCCATTGTACCCTCCAATTCAGGAGATTTTTCTTTGTTGAATTCTTCTTTAACAAACATCTCATAATCAAAGTTATCATCGAATTCCAAAGAATTAGCCTGAAAGTCTTCTAATGATTCAGAAACTTTAGAGTTTGAAGAATCATTGGCATCTTCAATCCCACCAGTATATTCGCTTGACTGAATTCGTATTTCTTTATTCATATCGGTAATACTATTGTCAGTAACATCCATACCCCGCCTATTTTCCTTTACATTCATCTCTTTTAATAGGTTATCAGATCTTTGAGAACCATTTCGATCAACTGCTTTTGTCTCAACCTGTTTAACTTGAGGTTCTTTTTCTTTGTTTGAAGTTGGAGTAGACAACTTAGCAGTTAACATTGCTGTGAAAGAATGTATATCAAATGCAGAAGGAGTGACATCGGTTTTTGATGTATTGCCCTGTGTAGTTGGTGTTTTCTTGGTGACCTTCTTCTTAGATACCGCTTTCGGTTTTCTAACTGGTTTACCTTTGATTTTACTTGGGGTCTTCAATGGAGTTTCAGATTCCTTCTTTTTATCTGGCACAATCGGTGACTCACTTGGTGGCAGGGTTCTTAAAGGACTCAGTGAATTTAACGTTATATCAGACTCCTCTTCAGAGAGAACAGCTGCTTTATCAATTGAAAGTAGGTTTTCATCCATGTACAACTTGATATTCAAGCGTTCCCACTCACTCTTCAACATCGGAAGTTTCTCCCACTTATTCCGAACATAGGGTTTAACATCCATACCAATTTCAAAGGCACTGAGTAATAATTCATCCAATAAGACGTAGTTACAAGACTCAGCTACGCTATCTAAATAGTTTGACCAAATGCATTTGAAACGATCTTGATTTCGTGAGTCCAAACCTCCATATTTTTTCATCAAGTTCTTCTTCAAATTGAATATTTCATAGTTGAATCTATTTGCAACCAAGTATTCCGATATTTGGATATAGTTTTCATCGCCATTAATATTATCTTCCCATTTAGAAAGGATCAAATTTAATGTTATTTGTTTAATATTATGAGGAGCATCATGCATAAGAGTAATAAAATACTTGAAAATTGGCATCGTCCATTTAGATACTTTTAGTGTACCAACGAGCCTTTCGAATTCTTCCGAAGTCCCCATGACAATGTCTTGAATTAGTCTCTTAGCTATCAATTCAAAATCGCTTTCGATATTTTGGAATATTATGGAACAAGTGTTGAGTTCAGAATTTGAACTCTTGTTGATTCTTCGGTTATTTAAAATTGGCTGGTAAAAGGGTTTCAATGAAAAAAATTGACTGTAGGATGAATTACTAAGTGATTGCTTTACTTCTGATGAGCTTTTGCTTGGATTTTCATTCTCTTTATCTTCCTCGATGCTACTATCTATCCGTAAAACCTCGTTAGTATTTTCATTCAATTCTAATTGAATCAAATCCTTTAAGAAGCAAAGATTCTCCCTATCACCAATTGAAGAATACATGAGACCATATAACTCATAAGATTCCTGAACACTTAACTCTTCGTCAGTTCTAATTCCAATTGCAATATCAAAATAGACACTGTTACTTGCTGTGGTATTTACAGAATTTTCTTTACCGATCAAGTTTGCTGGTCCAAATGTATCATTCAATGCAATTAATACCTTGTAAATTTGATCAAAACTTAATGTATTGCTTTCAAACATAACTTTCAAAATATAGGGCAAATTATCGATTATATCGCTGGTTGAGTTACTAGGCTTAATTTCTTTCTTAGTGATAACTTTTATATTGCTTAAGAAGGTCATAAAGAAACCTATTTTTGTATCAAGTGCAAGAGAGTTGTCAAGCTTGAATACTAGAACTAAATTTTGCATAATTCTGTCAAATTTATTGAACGCCCATTTAGGAGGAAGTGGACTGATATCGGACACAGAGACAGGCTCATTTGAAAGGCACATTAAATCATTGAAATTGCTACTGCTATTATTGTATTCATTTGATTTCAACAACTTGCAGATGATATTTATACCAAGCTCATTCATATAAGAATTTGAGTATCCTTTTTTGAAGTAAAAATTGGCCAAAATAGGCTGAATGATTTTATCCCAATAAATGTGAAAAAACTTGATGTTATTTGCGTTGTTTGGGTTTGCATTTACGTTTGAATTGTTATTCGTAACCGTGTTATTCTTGTTTAACAACGTGTAAAGGATAGATAAGAATAAATTATGCAAAATGTCAATTATATCTTTCTGGCTCTCCACTGCAGTCACATTAAGTAAGGGATGCAAAAGAAGTTTTATCTTTGGCTTCAATAAATTTAAAAGAGCTGTTGAGGACTCCCCTAAATTAGAAGACTGAAAAGGGGAACTCTGTTGTTGTATTTGTTGCTGTTGCTGTTGTTGTCCTGCATTTTTAATTAAAATGTAGTCGTTATGCTTCTTAAGGTTGTCCAAATCATTGTGACAAATATTATATATAATTCCTTTCCAGCTTGTCAAGGCAATAGTTTTCGCAAAATTGTCTTGTTGATTGAAGCAAAGTTTATGTATCTTAAGCCATCTTGCCAAGAATGGCCAAGTCTCGTATCCACTGCCGTTTGAATTATTCCCGCCTGTCAATAAGGTAAGTGCAACCCATATGTCCATCGCCGATTTATATTGTCCATTTCTTATCAATTCTTCAAGGTTACTCGTCACAAAATCAAAGGCCAAAATTCCCGCCTTACTTTCCAGTTCGCTACTGTCCTCCATTATAAATTGGGATGACGGTATTATTTTGCTATCTGAGGATAATGATTTCACTTCGTGTGGGAGACTTGTGGACAAGAACTTTCGTACGGTGAATTGAACATTTTTATTATCAATGAAGTTTTTTGCACTTTCAAGTAAAGTCTGGATACCCATCGTCGCTATCTTACTAAACAATGGGGAGTTTAAATCACACAAGTTCACTACAAGTACCATAAACCAATGATTTACGTTTTTAGCCATCATCGTGGGGAAATTCACAATCAAGTTCTTGAGTGAAACAAATTTTTCAACCACAAGTGATGAAGATGAAAATCCGTTCATATTAAGAAGAGAGAATAATATCCTCTCTGGGATGTTTTCGAGTTTGCTATTATTGGGATTGTCAAACATCTGTTTCTTTTTTGCATTGGAAAATTTGCAATCCTTTAAAATAACCAAGTACGAAAGAACAAGGGTTTTCGAAAGAGTTGGTTTAATTGTCATATCACAGGAATGTAAATAGAACCATCTTGAATGCTCTATCGATATGAAATTGTTCAAATCTTGGTCTGTCATCAAGAATGCCATAAGTTTTAATGCTTGGTTGATTATACGAGTGCAAAATGGATCTATCTTAGTATCTGGACCAGCTTGCTCGAATAATTCATTTTCCAAGCTAGTAAGATCTCTTTGAATATACTTACATAAGGAATAGATATGATTAGTGGTTTTGAATGACTTCTCTGGGCTTTTGGAAACCAATTTCCTCTCCCTTTCGCTTGGTGATATTATAAATACATTGTACAATGTTTCCAGGCTGTTGACCCTACATAAATGATTCAAAGCAGCATAAACTTCAAACTTTCTTGGAAAATTCTCGTTTTCCAAGACGTTTACAATTCCAGCTACTAAACGACTTAGTTCAGGAGATCCAGGCTTCAACTGTATAATTGTCCCCACTTGCCAGAAGTCTGGATTAGCGGGGTTCTTATCGCTTTCAAGGTCGTCCTCTTTAGCCCAAGTTGACGGAGCAGACATGCCAAAGCTCAAAGTGCTGTTTTCTAGCTTTAATATAGATTTAAGTGGCAGCATGCCATTGGTATTGCTGCCTTTTGTATTTGGCGAGCTGGGTATGACAAGATCATCTGAGAACACAACCATCTTTTTTCTCTTTATTGGCGATGAAGAGCAGTCGCTTCCATAGGTAATCTTTTCCCCACTAGTCATGGTCCTCTTTACAGATTTCGATTTCACGGGCGATGAATTCAAGTCATCCTGTTTAGCTACGCTATCAGTTCCAGCAGTTAACTCCGGCATCGTACTAACAGTACCAGGACTGTCTACATCATTGACGTCCTTTTGTCGGGACCTTAAACCTCTCCGTCCTGTTCTAGTAGCAGCAGGTGGCATTCTCAATTATCTTACAACTGGTTTCAGCTACCTAACTTGAAGTCAATGTGAACTATGTGTAGATTGCAAATTGTGTTTTTCTTGAATTTTTGCAACTGCCTTTTACGAGTACGAGTGTACCAAACGCGTTTTGTGTACTGCTCGAATTAGCGAGACTATCTAAAAAATATCGAGAATTATTTTTCGTGAAGCATTCGCGTAAGGTGGAATGAGATCTTTCAAGAAGCTAATTATAGCAGTATGGAATGCCTATGATTGATGGTACGGTGATGTGTAAGAGTTGTTTCAAGCGCTTTCCTGCTATTAAACTTCTATATTGTATTGATCTAGTTACTTGTGTTATATTTACTTGTATTAGTTTTGTATATTTGTGGTAGTTATTTGTAGAATATATGCATTAGGCTTTGATCTCTTCAGAGTCTATTTCTACTTTGTCTACTTCCATTGCCTCAGCATTGACTTCTGCTGGACTTCCATCGGAAGCACCTTCTGGAGAGCCTTCCACTGCTTCTGCTGCTTCCGCTACTTCAGCTTTCCTTGTAATTTCTCCTTCTTCTTCATCTTCTATAGTATTGGAGTTGCCTGCGTGTTCTTGCTCATCCTTCTTTCCCTCTCCCTCTTTACCCTCTTCCTCCACCTTAGACTTTTTTATGTCATCTCGCTCTTCCTCTTCGTCCTCTTCTCTAGCTCTTTTTCGTGTAACAACTGGCTCCTTTACTACTTCAACCTTTTCCGCCAATCCTTCCTTGCTGGCCAATTCTCCAAACTTCAACCACTGTTTGGTTCTCTGCCTCTTTAACAACTTCCAAAATGCAATATTTTGACTCTGAATAGATTCATCTTCATTTTCAACCAATTTACTCCTGGCTTCTTCATAGTTGTTTCTTAATTTATCCTCTAAAAGTTCGTTATCATTATCATTTGTCTTTTCTAATTTACTTATCCCAGTTTCCACTTTCATCTTCCTGGTCAACTGTGGTGTGGCATACGTATTGAAGTATTTCTTCTCTTTCAATGGTAATATAGTTCTGCTTTTTTCATCGACTTTGTTTAAAGTGTCTTTGTCAACAATTTTATCGTTAAACAATGGCTTACCACTAGCATCCTTCCCATTGATCAACCATTGCCACCAGAAAATCTCAGTTATGCTTAAATGCGTTAAAAAGTGACTGAAAGGCGCATCCATACTCCTATATCTTCTTGGCATTTCTCTTTTGATCTTATAATATAATGAAACCATCAGCTCAGGGATGGAATCATCGATGAAATGCTTTGCGGATGATCCACTTACTCCCATTTGCTGGAAGAAAGCTCGTTTGTTACTAGCAGCAAGCTCGTAGTAAAGTGTACATATGATATAGATTTGAACAAGAACCGTTTGTCTCACTTGTGGGATGTCAAATCTTTTAGCAAAAAAGTCCGAGTCTTCCTTCTTCAAATTTTCATACCTTTCGCCTCTTTTAACCTCGTCAAAGGCTGCTAAAGAATATATCTCGGGGAAGTACAACTTCTCGCTTTCAGCTTTATTAGCATTGGTATCAATTATTTCATTAGTGTCATCTTCATTTACTTTTCCGTTATCCTCTTCGGGAATTACGTATTGGTCTGGAGATGGATGTTTAGCATACCATTTCTTTTCTTCATCCATCAAATACATAAAGACTTTGTTCATCGTCTGTGATAAAGCTTGTAATTGCTTATAATTTGCAGGCTTAACATATGCATATGGATCCCTAAATAACTTGTTGATCTGGATTATATCTCTCACCAAGACATCATCTCTTCCATTAGTTCCAATAGATGTCAATATATCTTGCCCAATTATATTCGACACACTGAAGTATTTGTTCAATCCAGTGTTGTCTTCCAATGCCAAAACGTTAGTAAGGAAAATTCTAACTCTAGCTTGGAACCTATCATTGTAGGAGTCCTTTTTATAGGTATCTGTTTTTTTATTGAAAGTAATCGGATAATATTTATCAGTTAATGTGTTACATATTTCCAAAATTGCAATTCTATCGGCAGTTGAAGATGCATCAAATATATCAGTTTGAAACTCAATCCTTCGTTGTTCCAAATAACTCCAAAACTTGTCAATTAAAGAAGTTGAAATCAGGAAAAGAAGATCTGTAGCCAATGCAAGGCATTGGTAGAAGTTGGTCTTTGTGGAAGGATAGCTCTTAATTAAGTAGATATGAAAGTCAAATATCACAGAGAGTCTGTATATTAATACAAGTGAAGCTGTAGTACCGTCAGAATCTGCTAAGTATTCTTTTACAAACTGTTGTATCGACTTTTTAAATGAAGCGAGGAGAATAAAGTCTCTAGTTTTCTGTTCCAATTGATTGTTGAAGGTCTCTATAGACTTTTTACGTTCTACTTCAACATCTCCCAGTTCAGTTGCTTCCTCTCCTTCCCTTACATCCAGGTCCGTATCTATACTAAAATCGAATTTGTACTTTTCAATAATCTGCACTAAGTCAAGATTGGTAAATTCGTCCTCGGAAGCCTTTCGGTTCAGATCTAAAAGCGTGAAATCAATGTCATTGCCAGATTCAACCGACTGAGGTAAATTTTGCTTCCTGACAAGCTTAATTATTTGTTCAGAGCATTTAGAAATGGGAGCGGATAACTTCCAAACACTTAATTCCGACATTTGACTACTGTAGCTGACGATGTCTGCTACAGAAATGGAAGAACTCTGTTACAGCATGCACTTTGTTGAAAAATTGTTTGGGAGCTCGAAGTCTTACTTTGATATGACGCATATGCAGGATATTCAACAAGTTGCAAATACGCAAGTTGTACGACTTGTGCCAGGAGTAGCAGCACTACTTCGCCGACTGAAGATGTATCCAACCAATGATACTTTCAATAGAGTCACTAATTTTTCATATATGGCTTTTTACTTTATACACGCTTTGTTTCGAGTGAACTTTTTACTTATAGTATCAATTATAAAAATACTATATATTCTATCAAAACTATATACAAGCAATTTCACCCTCGCAGAGGCATACTGGTCTATATATCGAACTTCTTTGATCTCGACTTTTTTTTGTCGCTTTGTCTCTTTTTCTGAAATTTAATCTTTTCTGCTCTTTCCTTTGATATTTCTTCCCATTTAGCCAAATCTTCTTCGCTTACTTCTTCAGCAAAATGTGTCTTGCTCTTGATTTCTTCCAATAGCCTTGAAAAGCATTCTACTGTATTGACTTCTCTGTTTCTATGAGTATCACATTGTATTAATAGGCCACCAAATTTAGTTTGGTATCTTATCTTCTTTTCCAAAAGCTGATGTTGGATGGGTTGCGGGATCCAATAACAGCTAGAAGTCAACCATTTCTTAGGGTCCAACGATACGGATGCCTTAGATGAAGTTTTATTAACCTTTTGACCTCCTGGACCAGAAGATCTACTGTAAGTTATATCAAATTCATGCTTTGGAATGGAGTTGGCTGTCGAATCTTCCAACCATTTTTTTGCCTGCTCTATTTGGGACTCAGAAAACTGAGAATTCAACCGCAGAAAGAAGGTTTGGAGTTTTGAGGATGAAAACACAGGGATGAGAGTACTGCGTCGGGATATATTAAACATACTTACTAGATCCAAGACTAATCCATATTACATGATATATTCATAAAATTTTTTTCCTCTCTCCATTTTGCAGAACATCTATATCTGATCGACCTTAGTCACGCGACAAATCACCTGACTTATCGTATATTCTTGACTGCATGCAGCTCTAAGGTACGTCCACACTTTACGCACACTTTAATTTTTCAAGGGTTTGCCTGGAGGGTTGCTTTTTTCCGGACATTAGTCGTTGGAAACTATTCATCTTCTTTCTCTTCTTTTCAATCACAACAGTTATAAATATGTTCCAATTAACTAGATCTACTCTTAGACGTTCAGCTTTAACCCAATCTCGCCAATTCACAGCTTCAGCTGCTCGTTTTGTCTCAGTTGGTGACTCAATTCCTACCAAGACTTTGTTCGAAGGTTCTCCCGGCAATGGAGTTGACCTTTCAGAAGAAACTGCCCATGGTAAGTCAATTATTATTGGAGTTCCAGGGGCATTTTCTCCAGCTTGCTCTGCTTCCCACATTCCTGGCTTCTTGAAAAACTTTTCAAAGTTCAATGATAAGGGATATTCTAAAGTTTTTGTAGTTTCTGTCAACGATCCATTTGTCCAATCTGCTTGGGGAAAGCTGTTGGCTAAAGATGGAGCTTATGGAGATAAGTTGAGATTTTTAGCGGATACTAATGGTGAATTCTCCCAAGAATTAGACTTAACTTTCGATGCTACTAAAATCTTTGGCAATGCTAGATCAAAGAGATATGTTTTATTCGTTGATAACGGTAAAGTTACCAAGACATTTATTGAACCTGATAACACTGGAGTCGATGTCTCAAGTGCGGAGAAGGTCTTAGGTGAGGCTTGAGGAATATGGTGCAAAAAGTTTTGAAGAACCACCTGGAAAAAAAAGGACTGAATTAGTAATATGAGATCAGATATATATAGATGAATATACAAGTTGGTCTATTAGGATGAAATAAGTAGTGCCACATGTAAGTAAACTGAGAGCTGTTACGTATAGAGTACTGATTATGCTGCCTAGAACAGTAGACAGTTCCGCAAATTGTATGCACTCCCTAGCACTCAGATACGTGAAACTATCTCCAAGAGTACAACAAGTAGTGACATTTAGCTGGTACAGGTCGTACCGTAGATTACATATAGCGCAGCACTCATTATTGCCAATATTCACTCATATATTTTTCAAAGGTTTCCTCGAGTAATTGGAGTCTGTATGCTACCAAGTATTTCATCCTTTGAGCATTGTATGCACACCAGAAATTAAATTTATGTACGGAATTTTTTCATTTCTTTTTCTGTTGATCGAAATGGTATCAATACTTTCTTTTATTATCAACCTTACAACCATACCATAAACAAAAGTCATAGAATATGGCGACAGCGACGGAAATAACTCCCCAAAAGGCCCTAGAATTGTACAGAAATGCATTAAATTTCAACGTCATAAATAGATATGACCCATCTATAAAACAACTTCTATACCACACTTCGCACTGTGTGATATACAAGTTTGAAGATGAAACAGAAGAATGGATAAAGTCAGACTACCAGGGTAGTTTAGCGTTATATCTCCGAGATTTTAAACTACCACAACAAAATAACCAAACCCAAATACTGTTTCAAGACTTACAAAGTCTATTCTGCTATGGATTGATGCTCTTCAATAGAAATAAGCCTGAGTGCTTCTCTTTGGGATTTTTACCAAATAATATCACCAAACATTTTTTGCCTCAAGGATTAGGAGGAAATGGTATAGATGAAATGAATGTAGAATTGAACGATAATTTAATAATAGTCAAGAACTTACTAGGTGAGATATATGGGTTATGGGTATTTAATGAGGCCGACAGAATGAAATTGTTCAAATTGTTAGAGTTTTGCTTGAAGAATAGTGATGTATAATTAGCGTGGAGAGCAAGAAGAAATGAAAAAAAAAAGAATGTTGCACGGTATAGAGGTGAGGAAACACTACAGATTCCAACTCAGTCTTCCACCCAAAAATGGAAGTACCTTAGCAATTTTCCTTACTCTAATAAATAGAACATGTTTAATAAACATCTACGAGGTAATAGTACTTGTACTCTTGTAAGAGTTTCCCATTTTGCTGTCTAGCACTAACCACTTATCAGGTCTGCTCCACTTCCTCCCACCTTCTCTGCATTTCGGAAAAACGGATCCTGCACACAAACGCGCTTCAAAACACTACGAAAAATCGAAAAGGTGAAGAAAAATTACAAGAAAGTTCATTCACCAGCTAGAACCCCAAATCATCTGCCCATATACCCTGTATAACTTGTCAATCAATTGATTCTTGGGACATAGTTCGACTATTTAGGTGTCTGTTGGTATAGTGGTACCAATTTTCAAGTTAATTTTGTCCAAAAAAGGGAGTTATTATTGGGTAAAAATCTTAGTAGAGAACCCCATAGTTTTTTTTTTTTATCACAGATTTTATTCTCATAGAGTGGCTAGTAAGGTGCATACACACTTTCTTTTGTTAATTTTTTTAGTTACCTACTATTGTACTTACTCACTGATAGTGTCCCATGCAGAAGACTCAAGTGTATCAACAACGAGCTGGCTCACAGCCCCAGTCTCAGGCCCAATTGGCTCAAGGTGGAACCCAAGGTTCGGCTGCATCTCAGGCTCAGGCAGCAGCTAGCCAAAATCAGGCGAGGGCTTCACTTTCCCAATTACAACAATTACAACTCCGTAAGGCCAAGGCAAATATCCAAAACTACCAGTTTACTACAACAACTCAAGGTTTACTAAAGAAATACGCACAATACCCAGCTTCATTGACTTTCCACATCTTTGAGAACCACTATCGATTTAACAACTTGCAAGATTCGAACATAATTCCAAAACTGCTGCCAATGATAAAGAGTTTTTTGAAGCATGTTATTAGGGAGGAGATTCCATATGAAATGAGCGAGTTATTGAAGGATTGTAGCATTAGATCGTACGACGGATGTTTGATCTTACAAGTATATGATCATAGAGTACCGATCTCGAGTGGCACTGTTGCTGCTGCAGCGTCAACTGCGACCTCAGCAGCCACAGGTGCTAGTACATCAGCAGCAGCAACAGATGGCCCATCAACTGCCAATGGCTCTACGAGTGCTGGTGGCTCAGCAAGCTCACCTACCTCTTCTGCTGTAGTACCCACCGGAGGCAGCAAAAATGGTGACACTAACAATGGCTCTGCCAGCAAAAGCAACGGCACTGGCTCCTCTAACGGTACCAAAACTTATCGTACAGTACTAAAACCAACACAATTATCCTTGTACTACGATTTACTTTACCATACAGATTCAGCATTAACAAGGTTCACCGATCCACTCTCACTTCAAATGGAGTCCGAAATCTTGACTCTTACAAACAGAAAGCTTGATCTATCTGTTCCGTTAAATCCTTACAACTGCGATGATTATTTGAAGCCAGATGTATCGTCGCCTAAAAAGGTATATGATGCAAAGACGGATGATTATAAATTGATCCATTCCCATCGTACTGAAGCCCAAAAACCTTCCAGGAAATTACATCAAGATGAAATCGTATTACACAAGTCAAGTGAATACGAAGAGATAATATTCTTATTGTCTAACAAGTACAAGAAGACTGAAGATGCTGATAGGAAATTGATAGCAGTTGAGCCTTCTATAAGCTCGGTAGCTGCAGCTGCAGCTGCGGCTGCAGCCTCATCCACTTCAAATACAACCAATGGGACTCCAGTGCCGACAAGTAAGGACTCAAAGTCAACTCCTAGTAAAGAAGATAAAAAGAAGGAGAATAATAATTCGGATGCACCAACTGCAGTTGTCAATAAAATGAACTCTAATCCTGCAACTGGCCAATTTATGAGACTCCGGTTTATCGAAGAGATTAGAAAGCGTAGAGAGACTCAAAAAGTGGGCCAAGATGCATCAGTTCAAACAAATGGTGTGACTTCGAATAATGACAATCTCATGGTTTCCAATACACCAATAAAAACCCCTGCGACAATTAACAGCAACATCAATATTAATAATCTTAATAGTAATAACGCTACAAACAACAAAACCAATGTTATCAATAATAATAGTATTAACAATAACAATAATAATACCAATATAAATAATAGTGTTATGCAGAGGAACGGATCTCCAAACGTTCAATTTTCTGGTTCACCAGTGATGAATAATGGAATGATGAGGCCTAACACGGGAACAGGAATCCCAGGGGCTGCTGGTACAGCTGCGCCATCTGGGCCAGTTAGCGCTTCCAATTCTCCTGTAATGCAAGGAGGAGCTCCCACTATGAATGGAAATTTGCAGAAGCAGCAGCAGCAAAAGCTTTTAGCCGAGAAGGCTAGGTTAATGAGAGCTCAACAGCTTCAAGCTCAGCAGCAATACCAGAGACAGCAACAACAAACGCAGCAGCCTCAACATAACCTGCTTCCTCAACAAAGTCCACAACAGCAGCAAGCGCTTCTTCAACAACATCAACAAGCAAACAGGCTTCCTCAACAACAGCAACAACCACTTCAGCAACAACAGCAACAGCAACAGCAACAATCACTTCAGCAGCAGCTTCAACCCCCACAGACTCAGCAACAATTAGCTCTTCGTCAGCAACAGTTACAACAACAGATGAGACAACAGCAAAATATAAAAAGGCAAAAGATTGATGGAAACGGACCTGCCGTTTCCACGCCAGGCTCTAATATGAACACACCGGTGATGCGCAATGCCAATATGGCTGGTATGCCTTCACAACCACTCCAACAAACTACGCCACAACCTCAGCTGCAATCACAACAGCCACCTCAAGGGCAAGCAAGACCTACTGGTCAACAGACGCCTGCCCAATTACAACAACAACAGATCTTCCAGTCTTCGTTAACCCCACAAGAGCAGCAGCAATTTAGGCAGTTACAATCGCGTATGAATACATTTGCAATGATGGGTAACTCTGGTGTCGCACCAAATAGAACACAGTTGACACCAACTCAACAACAGCAGGCAATACAACAAGCCAAATTGATTCAGCAGCAATTGCTTCAAAAATTCCCAGTTTACTTCCAGAGATTGAGACAATTTCAAGTAAATCAACAACAGAGGCAAAGGGCCGCATCTCAACAAGGGGGACAGAACCAACCACTGGTAGCGGCTAATGGCCCAGTAAATACTGGAGCATCTGGAAACCAAATGGGCGGTGCATCTCAAACCTTACAGCAGAGAATGCAACAATTAACGCCTCAACAACAACAACAACTCCAACGTCAACAAATGCAACAACATCTTCAGCGTCAGCAACAGCAGCAGCAACAACAACAACAACAGCAACAGCAGAATCTTTTAGCAACAGGTAATGGTCAACTTGCAGGACAGTACAATCAATACAACCAACTGGGCAATAATAACAGTAGTAATGCTGGTTCTGGTGGGTTGTCACAGCAACAAATGATGAACCAGCAGATGAACCAACAGATGTTGCAACAGATGGCCAATATGAACCAAGCTAAGAAGAGAGCATATCAGAAGAAGAATCCTTAACTTTGTACGTAGCAATAGACTTTTTTTGATCACGAATGTATATGTAGAGTATTGTTATTTATCTCTAACTATTCAACAACTGAGTGAACTACAGTGTAGCATACAATAAGGCTCTATTCTACAACTAGACGCCAGAGTCTTCTTCTGCTCTTTATAACATATTATTCAAACAATGAAACCAAACTAAAACAAATAAATATATATAATTCATTGGACAGCCCTCCTGGAATGCCAAACCTACCATAAAACTAAACCGGAACCAAACTAAAAAAAAACATCCAATCACAATAACATGTAACCCTGATAATCTTACTTAATTAATTATTCTTCAGAAATGGATTGGCCATAAATTCCCAACGCAAAAACTGTTCCAATAACATATAAGGAGCCCTTCAACAATTCCTTTGCAATTGTTTTCAAAGTAGATTTTGTATTTGGTTTCAACTTCTTTGCAGGAGGGGTATTATTAGAAAGTTCTGAATCAGATAAGCCTTCGAGTTCACAAATACAGGAAGCATCTTCATCATCCTCGATTTCATCAAACAGTCTTTTTCTGTTGCTGATGTAGAATATCTCAACGCCATCCTCTTCAGAGTCAAAAGTGGAATCGGACACTTCAGATGCTTCAGATTCAGAAGCAGACGCAGAGTCTAATTCAGAGGCAGAGTGAATATCTTCCTCTGCGAATTCATGGACAATACTGTAATCAGCATCATCATCTTCATCATCATCTTCATCTTCGAGCTCACCATCCTTCTCCGCTGGTACATCGTAATCTCTAAATGCATACATCTCGCAGCAGCAGTTTCCATTAACATATCCTGTAACGCCATCTTCACATTCGTCATCATCATCTTCATTGACTTCCTCTTCTTCATCTTCTTCTTCATCATCATCTTCGATCTCTTCTTCATCGTCGTCTTCATCATAGTCCTCCTCTTCGTCGTCTTCTTCAGTTTCGTCATTGTCAACGTGAATCTTAGTAGAAGTTTCATCGCTGTAGCATTCCTCATCCTCATTAAGCTCAGTGTCAAGATCATCCTCATCATACTCCTCGTATTCATCATAGAAATGAACATATTCATCGTCTCTAGATGGGTAATAAGTAGGATGATCTGCAATCAACTGGGTATCGTCTACATCAATAAACTTTATAGAGTCATTTGATTCAGGAATGGAAACCTTGAAGGCCAAGCCAGTCTGAGGGAATCCAAAACGATTCAATGGGATAGTTCTCGAATTTGGAAATTCTTCCAAGACATCTTGGATGTAACCTGAAGGCTTCAAAATAATAAGCCTAATCACATCGCCATCTTCTAATGGGAACCAGTAGGAAGGTACAATAACCTCCCCATTGACAACAGTTCCAAAGGTAGAGTGGCAATCACGGACGTAAACTTTACCATCAAGGACCTTCAAGCAAGCATGCTCCTTGGAGAGATGAGTGTTGAAGAAAAAAAGGTTGGACTCCTTTGGTTCTCTATCAGAGTCCTTAGTAGAAGCCCTTTTGATAAAGAAGTACTGCTTGGCAGCATTCGGATTAAGTGAGATTGTCCTATCCTTGTAATAGGTAGACATGTTCGAAAACTTGTAGCTCAATAATAGAAAGGCCGGCGGTAACAGTTGAGACTAATTTAAAAGCTTGTCGTTCTCTTCTCCCTTGTATAATTGAGGGGGATCGAGGGGGTTGAAGTGGCGCTAGAGTGATTACTAACACAAGATAATGGTAAACAGCGGTAAATAGTGCAGGAAGCCTGGAGGTAATTTATAAGACTATAAGACTGATAAAATGCCCATATAAATGCAAAAGAAAGCAGGAAAAAAGACCTTTCATTAAAAGAGGCGATTTCTGATTCAGGGGGGAAGACTTACAAACGTAGTGGGGTTGTTGCAGTAAGAGGTGAGATTAGGTGTATGCAGGTCGTTATCAGGATAATACGAGAATAATACCCATTGATGTATACTGGTGCGCGCGCCACAAAATCGGATCTGCATCACGTACGACTAGTAAGCGCTAGGAGTAGAAACGAGGATAAATTGTTGTATTGTGTTTAATGTACTTATCGTATTTCACTTTTTAAAATATGATTCTTCAGTTTATACAGTGCTTGATCTTTTTAGGTATGTACCGTTTTTGAAAAAAATGAAAATCAAAAAGATAATAAATTGACTTATTTGGAGTTGCATAGTGCTTACCCTATGGTTTACTGGCAGTTATGGGTAATCGAATCCATGTGGACAAGATCATACACTTACTTCCTTGTATAGTTTTGTAAATTCGGTTCCGCCCGATTTTCCCGGTGGAACTTGCAACCAATTCAATGCATCATATTTGCTTTTCCCATCAATTAGATGGAAGGCGTATATAAATCTCAGTTTCTTCAGCCTATTCTTGTCTGACTTGTGTAGCACCGAATTGTGAATAAGTACCAATGAACCTGCCTTACATTCAATACTCTTGTAATCTTCAGGCTTATCTTCTGGAATTGGCTCCAAGCCTTTATCGTACGTATCCACTGGAATGAAATTGGTTCCCCCTTCACCTCCATCTATTTTCACGAACCTTTTGGTTATGGGGAAAGTTTTGTGAGTTCCTGGATTGTACCATAAACACCCATTCTCAAGGGTACAGTCTTCTAATGCATACCAAAATCCTAAGGCGGAATGCGGTTCAGTAAATAAAAATGTTCCATCAGTATGTACCGGGACCAAGTTCTCTCTCTCTACACTTTCATCTCCTTCATCTTCTTGCTTCATGGGTTGTTTAAAAATGCACATACTTTGAAGGACTCTTGGATCTACATACTCTAAACTTTTCGCGATGCCAACTACTTTCTCATCGAATGTAATCTTGCTGAAGACCTCATCGTGCAAGTGTAACCCGTGGCCTATTTTATTGATAGCCTGTTCTTTTGGGTACTTCAACTCTCCTTTATCGTCAAAGGCATCAGTATCGAAGAAATACGACACTTTGTCTGAAGAATCGAAGAAATAGTTATCCCCAACATGATCATTTTCCCCAGTTTTAAATTGCGTTTTGGGGTGCGCCAGTAGATCCAACTCATCTAAGAGTTGTTTGGAACGGGATAAAAGCAATTTTGTTTCCTCTTGTGTCAAAAAATTAGGGATGCATAAACATCCCTCTTGATTAAATGTATCAATCTGTGATTTTGAAAGCATTTCTAATACGACAACACCAAACTACCATATACTTAGTTTTGATTTTCACATTGCTTATTACCTGTTTATATAATATTTTTTCCCGAAGAGAGATAAGGGAGGTTATGAGCTCGTGTACCAAGAGAACATAAAAATGGTTGCATATCTGCATGAGTAAAGATATTTTTTACTATTTCAGTATCTTTACTAAACTACCTACCAAACTTCTTTAATTCAAAATATCTTAATAATGGATAACTCACTCCACTGAACGCCATACATAACCAGAACCCAATATCACCACCATTTTCTCCAATTTTCCGGGCAATTGGTCCTTGCCAGTACGTTTGGTTCATCCCTACCACTGCTCCTACTACACCAATTGCGAAGGAAGCACTGGCTGCCAATCCTAATGTGACATATTTTGGATTGTCCCACATATCCCAATTATACAAATCTTTCACCCATGATTGGATTGGTGCTGAATTGTCTAATTCTTCGTCTGCGTCCTGGGCAAATTCCTGGTGATGTAATTTCTTGCCCAGTTCAGAACCTCTAAATAATAAGTTCTCTTCTAACAAAATCGTAATATACATGGAAATCCAGTAGCCCAACATTGGAAGGAAATTACTGATAATCGTGGATAAATGCAGTCTTCCAGCTAAAGAAATGGCAAGGTATATTATTGTGACAAGTGTGGCCCAGATCCATCTCGGTACCATAGCAAGCTTTTTGTCAATCAATTGGAACTCAAAGGCACAGGAGTAAGTATTCATAATGTTGTTACAAACTAGAGAAATATAGAAGAGAACAACAACAAATTTTCCAAATCCTCCCCAAGCTTTGAATGCTTCTTCTAGTAATCCACCAATTCCGTAATCATTATATGCATTGTTCCACGGTTCATACAGGTAGGCAATACACCCACACAACACTGCTGAAACTGAAACAAAAGCCGAAGGAATTGCAATTCCAAGGAAAGTCAATAGGAATACCTGATAGGATGGTGTATCTTCTGGGAATAAAATATAGTAATCAGCTGCGCCACTCCCCCAAGTAGCTGTGACTGAGTAACCTACAGTGAAAAAAGAGAGCCAGTTTCCCCTCAGAGTTGCAGAACTTAGTCTTTGTTCTGCAATTTGCGCATCGGTCTTTGCAAAATAGTCCGATTTCTTACATACCACCACATAGAATAAGATGGCTGCCACTGCAATCGGGATTGCCAAAATAGTTTGAAAACGAAGTAACACTTTAATCCCGAAAACTGCAACAACCAAACTTATCACGGCAATTATCACGATCCCAACTTCAAGAGGTAGTTTTCCAGAAGAAATTGCCGAAAGAACTTGACCACCAAGTACACAATTGACCACAGACCATCCAACTCCACCAACAATACAAACAACAGCAATAAAACGAACTCCCCACCACCCGAAGAGAAACCGAGCACTAACCATTTGCCTCAAGCCAGATTTTGCACCCATTGTAGAGGTGTACGCAGGAACCAAACATCCAATGACCATAGATACAATCCCACTCACCATTGAATCTTTGACATTGAGGCCATATATCAAAGTTGGTAGAAAGAACGAAGACATCGTAGTGAGACCACCACAAGCTGCAAACCACAATCCCATAACATGGATTAATTGCATTAGCTTAGAATGTTTTTGATTCAGTGCGAGCTCTCTTCTTTCTTCAGGGGTAACTCTTTCAATTCCTCTTGCCTCAAAACCTATCGAATCTACTTTGAATGCCCATTGTAACCACCGGGGAGAATTTTCTTGTAGTGAGCGCTCAATAGTCTTCTCACCGAAGGATGAATCTGCTGCATCACTTGTCTTAAATTCACTCATTTCCAATTACAGAACCTTGCAATGCTAATTTGAAGACCCCTTTTTTTTACAAGGACTACTTCAATGTCCTCAGACATGTCTTACTTCTAATTCTAGGTCTATCATATGGATATAACTATTGTACTGGACACAGGTGCTTATTCCACTCATGTTCGTTCCTCTTAAGCGCATTTTAATTTTGGCTGATGAGATGCATATCAGCTAGTAACAAAAAAAAAAAGGTTAATGATCATTAAGCGCATAGGTTTAGAGAGTATGCGCTAAGATTTGCTGTATTGGAGGTATATGTTTGTTTGCTGGGTAGGTCAGGGAAGTTGCTCCGATGTCGTTGATTGCAAGTAAATCTTTTTGTCGTAAATCTTGATGTCTTGACCATTGATTAAAGCTAGAAGTAATACATAGCCGCAAAAACGATGTCTTTCGTAAGCAGCTTAGCTTCAAAGTATGAAGGATTAATTCGAGAGTCGGTATCTCATCCTTTAACCGATGAACTTTGCAAAGGTGAACTCCCAGATTATAAGCTCTTCGTATACCTTAATCAGGACTTAAAGTTTTTCCAAAGAGGTATGAATGTTTTTGGGAAAACATTGGCGTACTGTGATGATGCTAAATCTTCCATAACACTTGGTAAACAAATTGGGTTTGTCTCCAATGATGAGAATGAGTACTTCGAGAAGTGTCTTAGAGAAATTGAACTTCACGCAAAGGAAAAGGTTCCAAAGATGGCCCTGAGCAACGTAGTATTACCTAAAGTACAAGAGTACTTAGATCTATTGGACTTTTTAACGTATAAGAGCGAATCTTACTTAGAACTAGTTACCTTCATGTATGTCATGGAATTTGTATATTTAGGCTGGGCTGAATACAATATATGCCTAGGAAATGTTAAAGGTGATCTTGAGTATAAGTACAATGAATGGATTGTGCTACACAGTGGACCAGACTTTTCCAATTGGGTTGAATTCTTGAAGAATGAAGTAGAAAGGGTTACTGCAAATGCAACAGAAGAGGAATTAAAACTATGTGAGAGAACTTTTGTTAGAGCATTGAAACTAGAAATTGATTTCTTTGAAGAATGCTACAAGTACTCTGAATGAATGAGTAGTGTAATAAATTTGAGCCCTTAAAAGAAGTTAAATCTGTAGCATATTTCTAAAAATTGAATAATAGATAACGGGAGTACCCCTAGGCGAATGCTAAACCCCGAAATAAACACCTCTTATCAAGGAACTTTAAGGGTTGTAGCTCATGAAATTGGGGTAGTTTCAGCAAATTGTGCGCTATGCATTTAGAAGTCAAATGATTGCGATAAATATATCCTGTTAAAGGTTAAAACCCCAAATGTTCTACACAACCTTCATGTGAAGAAACCATGGTATAAAAGTCTGGATATTGTTTAAACTAGGCTTAAGATTTATATTTCGAAGCAATTATTGTAATAACAATTCATTCTGAAAAAGTTTTATCTATTCTTAGTTGTTCGTTAATACCTCTACTTTGCATTTGCAGCCGTTGAAATATGACTACTGAAAAGGTTTCATTCTGTCTCAATTGGGAAGTAGCTCCCTACCACATCCCAATTTACATTGCCCAAACTAAAGGTTACTTCAAAGATGAAGGAGTTGACGTTTCCATCTTGGAGCCATCAAATCCTTCTGATGTTACCGAACTCATTGGATCAGGCAAAATTGACATGGGATTGAAGGCTATGGTTCACACTCTCGCTGCCAAAGCAAGAGGATTCCCTGTTACATCTGTTGCCTCTTTGCTCGATGAACCATTCACCGGGGTCCTCTATTTGGAAGGATCAGGAATCACCACTGATTTCCAATCATTGAAAGGTAAGAAAATTGGGTACGTCGGAGAATTCGGAAAGATTCAAATTGATGAATTGACCGCTCACTTTGGAATGACTCCAGATGACTACACCGCAGTCAGATGTGGAATGAATGTTGCCAAGTATATCATTGAAGGAAAGATTGATGCTGGAATTGGTATTGAATGTATCCAACAGGTAGAATTGGAAGACTACTTGCAAAAGGCAGGTAGACCAATTAGTGACGCCAAGATGCTTAGAATCGATGAATTGGCAGAATTAGGCTGCTGCTGTTTCTGTACAATCTTGTACATCTGTAACGATGATTTCTTAGCTCAAAATCCCGAAAAGGTCAAGAAGATTCTTAGAGCTTTGAAGAGGGCAACTGACTATGTCATTCAGAATCCAACTGAAGCATGGAGTGAATTCATTGATTTCAAGCCTCAATTGAACAATTCTGTTTCTCAAAAGAAGTTTGAAAGATGTTACGCTTACTTATCAGATTCACTTTTCAATGTTCACCGTGATTGGAGAAAGGTCACTGCCTATGGTAAAAGATTGCAGATCTTACCACAAGATTACCAATCCAATTACACTAACGAGTATTTGACGTGGCCAGAGCCCAACGAAGATCAGAATCCCCAGCAAACCCAGAAGCAAATGGCTGTTCACCAAGAGGAATGTAAATCATGTGGAGGATACCGTAGATTAGTAGTTAAGGTCTAAACACAGACTACGAAATCTCGGTCGGGCTGCAAGTCCCCTCCTTCTTGTTTTATAAATTGGTTTTATTCATTATATACAAGGTAGTTTTTCAGTCTTTAATGTTTCCCTCTTCTCACTTCGTTAAATATATACATATGCTGTCCCTTACTTGTAGAGGAAGCTCAACCATCCGGATTTTCTCTTTTCTCTCTCAGCTTCAGGTAAGAACGCATCGACATGCTTCCTAATCTTTTCAGCACCTTGGGTGGCATCAACCTCCTTTCCAATGACATCGACAAAGTTTCCCTCTGAATCCATAAGGTAGAAGAAAATAGAATGATCGACCAAGTAATCTTGCCCCGGTTTAACATCCGGCGGAGTAGAGAAATAAACACGATACTGCTTACATGCCTTCTTCACATTTTCGTAAGAGCCAGTCAATCCTATAATGGACGAATGGAAGTCCGTTAAGTACTCCTTAATGACCTCGGGGGTATCTCTAGCAGGATCACAAGTGATAAATATTGGCTGTAAAGTGATGTTGTCCTTACTTTTCAATTCTTCAAGCATTTCTCCAAGCTTATCCAACTCATCAGGACAGATATCAGGACAGTGAGTGAACCCAAAGTAAATGATGGAGAACCGTCTATCATCACTAAGCAAGTTCTTATGAGTAAATTGCTTTCCTTCAGTGTCTATTAAGTCAAATGGTCCACCAATCAAGGGTTTCCCGTACGATCTTTTCAGCTCAACTTCCTTTTGAAGACGCAATCTTTCCTTTTCCTGGTTGAAGAAATACGTCATGACACCACCAACACCGATGAAGAGGACTACTGCCTTCCATGCAGCAAATTCGATTGACGTTGATTTAGCATATTTCTTTGAGGAGGATTGCGATCCAATAGCAATTCTAGAGAGTTCTCTTTTCTTAGGAACGTCATTACTCGAAGATTTGTCATCCAATGTTGGCTTGGATTCATTGAACCTCAATGCGGTCTGAGAAAAGAACCTAGGTACCTTCGAAGCATACAACTTATTACTGCGCAAAGCAAATCTACTGGTATTTCTTAACAACATGGTCACAGCACTTGAATACGGAGCACAATAAGCTGAAAAAATTTGATCTTTACTACTATAGCCTGGAGTGGGATGATTCTATGAAACTCACATTTTTTTTTTATTTTTTATTTTACATTTTCCATTTTTCAGTTTTCCTTCGGGAACTTTCCAAATCGGGTGGCTAATATCAAAAACGTTTTGGTGGGATTGATGAGATGAGTTAAAGTTAGTTCTATACAACCACCACTTTTTTTGACCAGAAACTCTAATTACTGAAGGATTCCAGCAAGTATGTCAATTGCTGAGCTAGTTTTATGGGGAAAGCTGAATGGAGCTATTATAGACCCTCGTGTTTCCTTTGAAAAGGGTGCAGATGGTATCGGAGCCAGATATAATGGAAGTAATAGCGAGAAAGCCGAAATACCTGGAAGCTTAATTTCAGTGCCTTTATCTATCTGTATCACGCCTAAAATTGCAGTTGAGTCTCTAGGAAACTATGGAAAGGCACTCTATGAAAAGTCGACAAATATAAATTCCGCTGTGAAGATATTCCTTTGTACTGAAAGAGCACTGGTGAATAGATCATTCTTCAAGCCATACATAGAATTGCTTCCAGCATTGCAGGAAGTGGGGTCTCCGTACACCTGGAGCCCCGAAGATAAAGCCATGTTGAAAGGTACGAATCTAGGTAACTCACTAAGTGAAAATATGTCCCAGTTAGTTGAAGAATGGTGGCAGTGCATCAGCTTATTGCCTAAGGAAGTAGAGAAGGACGGGCTACCAAGTTTAACACAGGATCATTTTTTGAATATGAAATTTTACTACGAGTACAAATTCTATACAGATCAGGACATTTATGAATACTTAAAGGCTACAGATGTCGCTAATTGGACCAGTTTTGGCAATTATTTATGGTCATCATTGATATTGAAGTCCAGATCATTCCCATACTACCTTTTCAAGGAAAGTATCGATGCAGAAATCAAGCAGGACGAAGCGATGCTCTTGCCTTTAATAGATTTACTTAACCATAGCACCAGCGCTAAAGTGAATTGGTCAACTTCAAATACAAATGGCCAAGCATTCTTCAATTTCCAATCAGAATCGACTGAAAGTGGAGCTGAGCTTTTCAACAACTATGGCATGAAGGGGAATGAAGAATTGCTCTTAGCCTACGGGTTCTGTCTCAAAGATAACGTCGCGGACTCAGCTGCGTTGAAGATTAAAGTTCCCTTAGAAATATTGCCAGATTTAGAAGCACAAGGCATCAAACTACCCCAGATTAACGATTACACAACTTCGATAGTTCGGAAGGCACCAGTTACAGAAGATCTGAATGCTGTGAACGATTATTCAAAATACTCAGATGGATTACTATTCTTTATCACGTCCGATAACATTCCTGAAAACTTGATAGAACTTTTCCAGTGGCTATGTAGAAACACATTGGAGAAAACTAGAACGAATACGGTGACCTTGAGAATGAAGTTGGCCGGATTAAACCAATTAAGACAAGCCATAGAGTCGAAAAATGAACTCATCAAGCTCCCATCCGAAGGAATCTCAACATCACCAAATGGCGAAAACATTAAACTATACTTAACTTCTCAAAAGAAAATTTTCACCAGTTCAATTAAAAAGATCAAGAATTTAGAAAAGGGTTTATTAACAGACCCAGAACTCAAACCTCGCTTGCTCACATTAAAATCTATTTACAAAAAGGATGTCAAGCTCCAGCAAGCGTTATTGGTATCATTAGGTATCTCGTCGTACAATGACATCCTTGAATCCGAATTTCAGGATCAATTTTGGCTTTTATACTTGATGAGGTGCTACAATAAGAATGAATATGACGATGAAGATCCCGAGGAGAAATACCTCCCAGAGTGGATCCATCGCATGTTTACCGAGCTTATGAACGAAACTGAGATAAAGCCTGCTGAAGTAGTCCAATTCAAGGAGATATATCTTGGCTTGATCCCACCATTGGCAACTGCAGTCCCAGAAGTGTTTGCAAGAGGACAGTGGAGAGTAAACGAAATGATTATCAGTGCAAAACTTCTCGATTTGATCAGTTTTGTTAGGGGCAAAGAACAAGAATGTATATTAGTTGAATGTGATTATAATTAGTTTAAAATAAAGATCAAAGGTTAAAGTATAGTATGTCCTTTACATCAAATAAGACTTTCATCTTAGATGATTGAATTCATTTCTTCCATTTTCAATTTATTTTATATTGCTACTAGATTGAAGTCTTCTTTTTGATTTTGTTCTCTATTCTTCCTTAATACCACCTCTTCCAGCAACTTCGGCACTTTCAATACTGGCCTTATCAGTAGCAACGGCACCTGAACCTCCAGTTAATGCATCGAGGAAACCTGGAGCAGCCTTGAAAGGTCTCTTCAAGTCACCAGAAGCTGGAGTACCGAAAACGTGGATCTTGACAATGTTAGCTTCCAATGCAGACTTGACCGAGGAAACAGATTGCATAACCAATGGGTTGGTGTACTTCATGTAAACGTGCATGAAACCCATCATGGCCAAAGAAGTGAACACAGATCTAATTAAAGAATCAACTTGCTTCAAATCATATTCCTTAACGGTGGTGACTACAGCCTTTGGTTCGGTTTCACCAGCCATAGCGTTAGGAGATTCAACATATTTTAAAGTGGTCAAATCATTTTTAGATGAGACCTTGATTCTGGTGTACAAGTACACAAGGAGGGCAATAGCTTGACAGGACAAGTAAGCGATTCTTACGTAAAGAAGAATAGTTGGGTCTTCCAAGTCAAGTTTCTTGGACACTTGCATCATGACAAGCATGATACCGATATTTGTAACAGCAGGGTTCATGGCGGCTTCGAGTTAGTTAAGTGTATACCTAGTCCTCTTCTTAGTGCTGGATCTCTTTCTGCTCACCTTTTTGTTTGGGAACGTTGAAAATTTTTTGGTGCCAATTCGCGCCAGCTTGCCTCTGAGGATTTGACCGGCGCACGATCTGATAGCGAATTGATAGAGATTAAAACAGGCGGAAGGAACAAGAGAAGATAGAAAAAAAGAAATCTGAAGCTAAAAAAAAAAAGAAACAACCGTAACGAAGGAACCAGAAAAAAGAAGGCTCTTAGAGTCACCTTGGGATAGATGCTGGAAGAATGTAGGACTTCCGTACAATCTAGATTTTTTTTCGGAGAGATTTTTCGGAGATTTTTGGGTGATGCATGTTCCTGTTAGCTAATTTTTGATAGAGAACATCGTTTTATTTTATCTGTAGGGTGTAGAGTAATGCAACAGTTATCGTATAGCCAAGTGGAGTTTATGCAGGAGATGTAAATTGTAAGAGATGTAATTTCTTTTCGCTTGGTAAACGAAAGAAGGTCAGACTAGTGTCGTATTTCTCCTTTGATTGACTAGTTATTCTCGCAGTTACGCTTTCTATATTTGCGCTCCAGTTAGTTTGCCTGATTCACAGATTAGCGGAATTCAATCCATGCTGGGCTATTAAAGAAGAACGATTAGGAAAGCTTTTTTTCATTGGGGCTCGGTTCCAGCGTTTCGTGGAACCATGCAGAACTAGATAGAACAAATGGCTGCAAATTATTATACACGGCACTAAAATATACCGGCTAAGCATACGGGCTAAGTTTATTTATTTATTAATTTGAATTATTTTTATTTTTTATTTTTATTATTTTATTATTTGCTTGACTTATTTATTGATTTTCATTCTAGCTAGCAAGGAAGTAGACAGTAGCTCATGATAGGTACTGCTCACAGTAGTTTTTAGTAACTGACAGTAGCAAAGGAAGACTACTTCTACTGAGTAAATTGAAACAGATTACCCGCTGTATTTGAAGGAACTGCCAACTGTAGCGTGAGCTTTACAGCTTTACGATAAATCACGTAACAATAGTAGTATAATTATCTCTCTTACATCTTCTATCTTCTATCTATCTTCTATTTACATTTGCATCTTTAGCCTACTCAAGATCTTCGTCAAATTGAACATCTCCAAACTCCCAACATCCACGGTGTCCAGCTCTTGCAGATTTTTGAACAGCTAGAATTTCAGTATCGTACTCTTTGGAAGCAGCATTGATTTTTCTAACATCAACAACAGCCCACCCTTCTTTAACCAATTGCTTGTTGATAGTGTAACTAGAGTCCTTTAATGATTTTTCTGAGTCGAAAAGAACTGCATCATACTCGACGTTAGGCAGCTTGCTTGGAACACAGCTGACAACTAACTTTCTATCGTAGCAAAGATCTTCCAAAGCGTACAATGCTTCGGTACGGTAATCAGTTGGCTTGCTAGGAGGTAATCTAAGGTTCTGTAAAACACAAGTGTGGGCGAAGATTGGGAATTGTGAAATGCCAAACTTGGATGGTAATGTACGCAAGTGAGATAATGGAACTAAGTCGACGTTACCAAAATCAATATGCTTTACAGCATACTTACCGCTCAGCTTCTCAAAGGATACAACTCTAGCACGGTAGTATTTACCAGTTTCAGAATACTTAGCGGAAACAAGTTCTCCCTTCTTTGGTGGCTTGGTCAAGTTATGTGGCAAGTCAACAGATGTTTGGCTAGCACTTGGAATTTGAGCATTGAAATCTGAGAATGAACGCTTGAACGATTCAATTTGTGCCTTAGATTGCTGGTCTAATATTTGGAAGTTTATCATACCTTCTTCGTCAATTTCAGTTACTTCAATGTCAAAAAATTTAGGTTTGATGCTTAGTTGGCTCAATGTTGAAGTGACTGCTTGAGCAGCTTCCTTATCTTCTGGAATGTATCCAGTCCAAATACCTTTCTTTTGCAGCTGAGCCGATTCTTCAGCTTTCTTCAATTGAGCACCAAATGAATTCTGATTAATTGCAATTTCATGTGTCTTGATCAACCCTTGTTCTAATAATTGCACTTGGACAGGGGAAAGTGATTTAGCCGTGGCAAAAACATTACCAATGAACCCACCGATTTTATCTTGATCATATATTTCAAATTCCACATTCTTTTGTAAAAATCTCTTATTCATAAATTTCAAACCTTCCTCTGATAACTGTTCATCTTTAGAATTGGTTAAACCTCCAAGAATTAAAGTTAATTTAAGACCCTCCTTTGGATTGTACAACTTGAATCTATTCATAGAAGGAATAAACTCAACGTAGTAGCCAGCTGAAATTCTTCCCTTTTGCTTGAAACCATTAAAGAAAGTTTTCGCCTTTGTCAAGTTTTCTGAGGCGTCAACAATTCTTGCATTGACAGTTATGATTTTAGACTTATCTGGACCAGTGAAATAGACACCCTTTTTGCCAGCTTTCGTTTGTTCTTGTTCCAATTCGACCAATTTATCCCAGTTCATCGATCTTTCATGAGAGGTTGCCTTGTTATGCTTGATTACTGTAGCCCAACCAGCTTGGATAATGGTTTCACTTAAATCCTTACCACCCGATGAAAGCTTAATTGTAACGAGAAATCTTTCTTCAAATCCCAAGTCTGGGTTTGCAGCTCTCTGTCCATCAATGTAAACAGACCCAGTCTTACCAGCAGCCAAGTGACGAACATATTCTTTAGCACTGTTGATAATAGCGGTTCTTTCTTGAGGATTAGAGGAAAGCTGAGAGTCATTTGGTCTAGGAGCACGAACGGATGCAAGCTGAACAGTAAATTCTTCATCATTGGAAAGACGCAACGTTAATGTATCTGCAGAGATCACTTTGGCAATGGTGACAGAATCAATAGACGAACCAACTCTTAAAGACTTCAAGCCCGCACCTTTTGCTCCAGTATTACCAGAGGTAGCAGCGGCAACTTTAGTGGTACCAGCATTACCTTGGAATATTCCTCTAGCCAATGCCTTTGCTGTTTGTTCGGCCTTTCTGAAAGAACTCATTTGAGACGATCCAATTAAACCAGATTGCCAATCAACAATCTCTCCGTAACCGTACTCCAATAACTTTTCATGAATATTGTTACCTGAAGGGTGTACTATTAATCCAATTGGTACACCTGTTTGACTCAATCCTACAATTTGCACCTTTAAAGCTGCGGTGGTGGTCAAAAGCTTCTGTTCAACGAACTCCTTTGCTTGATGGGCTACTTTGGTTAACGAAGCCAGTTGGGCGGCATCATCGGTTCTTGGAGCTTTCAAACCTGCAAGCAACAATGGTGTGACTATATGTTGGCCCTTATTGACGATTATACGTGCCATCACACGATCACCGCTGATAACCTTTTCAATGACGGTGGTGATTGGGGCTCTTTGGGACTTGGAAACGATATCCTCATCTACTTCAATGATCTTTGGATCCTTTTCAGAGGCAGCAATAGCATCCTTACCCTTATTTTCGAGCGGCCTCAAGACATCTTCAACGTATTCGGAATCATCCTGAAGTCCTTCCCTTAACTTGAACCAACCTTTCTCTAAACCATACTCAATCAAAGACTGGAAAATTGGGGTTTGTATATCACCGAATTCCTTTCCTGAAGGTGTCTTATACAAAACCTTAAACTTGACATCTTTACCAATCAAAAGAGCTCTAAGCTGCTCCTTGGCAGCGTAACTTTCCCCACGTACGTAGGAAAGTGTTAAAAGACGTTCAGGTACAGGAACTTGATTCGATTTGGAAGGTATCAACACAAGAGTATCTGGACTTAAGACATTTTTAACTTTAGCAACAAAGGACATAATAGCTGTGAAATTTAGATAGAGGAGAGGTAATTTACTGGTGAATTGAATATGTACTAGCCCACAAAATGAATCCTTACAGTTTTCATCTTTTCCACCTCTGGCGTATACGTGGAGATGTGAAAAATTACACAAAATCGTATTTCAACAACAGATCAAAAAGTCGAGCGACTGCAGCAAAATTGTGACAGAAAATGCGGAGCGGAGCTGAGAGGTGAGGAACCACAGTTCGGTGAGTATCTGGCTGGCTGGCTAGCGAGAGCTACGTAATGATTGAATACAAATAAATAGAGGGATCTGGTGATACGAAAAGTTAACCACGAAGAAAGATAGTCGACCATAACTAGTGGTGAAAGGGATCCTATGTGTTGCCATCCTTTAGGGCCAAGTATTCCCTACCAAGACATTCATGCGCTTCTCGATAGACTCCTGCATAGAAAATATCATGATGGAAGTCTGAGGAAGTGCCAACTTGGAGAGGATTGTAATCTGAAGCTATACAACTTATTTAAAGATATAGATATATTTGCGTTTGTATATATCGTCATACCACTGTTACTTCAACTTGTACACTCACATACTTAAATAATCCGAAGATGGCAGTAAAATCAACTGCCCAAAAACGTCTCCTCAAAGAATATCAACAGCTCGCCAGAGATCCCCCACCGGGTATAGTGGCAGGCCCCATTTCGGAAGATAACCTTTTCCACTGGGAGTGTCTTTTAGAGGGACCCTCAGATACCCCATACGAAAATGGAGTTTTCCCAGCGTCACTTAAATTCCCACTGGACTACCCATTGAGCCCTCCAGTATTGAAATTTGAACCACCATTGCTACACCCCAATATCTACGCTGATGGAACCGTGTGCATATCGATTTTACATGCTCCAGGTGAGGATCCCAATCAGTACGAGCGCCCTGAAGAACGTTGGTCACCCGTGCAAAGCATAGAGAAAATCTTATTGAGCGTAATGTCCATGCTTGCAGAGCCCAATATCGAAAGTGGTGCGAATATCGATGCATGCAAGCTTTGGAGAGACAGTAGAGACCAGTACAATAAGCAAATTAGAGATCATGTCAGAAAATCATTGGGCTTATAAATATTAATTGGAACATCTAATGACACTGTTCCCACCAATACAATATGACGTTTATTTTTTTTCTTTTTTTTTTTTAAATTTCTCTATATCAATAGGATATAATTTTAATCGATATTTGTCTTCACTTAAAATTTGCCACTTATCACCCAATCTCCGTAGAAAACCTTCTCCATCAGCACGCTACGTAAGCTGATTGTAGATCCACATCAAAATATGCATATCAGACAATGTGTACATCATTTCATCATACCTGCATATAATAACTAACGGCTCGACTAGCCCAATTCGGGTGGGCCTTCTAGTTGAAAGTTGACAACATGTAAAGCCATTCCCGTCAAAGAAATGGTCTGTTCCTTCTTTCATGATATATATATAACAGTCCTTTATTCTGGTATCTTCTTGTTTCCTCTACTATACTTTGCAATCCGAAACTTGAAGAGAAAAAAAATGCCTATTGACGTTGAAGTTTGTATTATAGGTGCAGGAGCTGCAGGACTTAAGGCTGCACACACATTACTTACAAAGTCTGACAGTCTTACTCAAAATGATATCATAGTAGTGGAAGCTCAAGATAGAGTTGGTGGTAGACTTTACACCGATCGTACATCGTCCAAAATTGGGCTTCATTATGACTTGGGTGCCTCTTGGTTCCATGACTGTCTCAGTAACGTAGTGTTCCAACATTTTTATTCTGGTGAAGGTGAAGGTGACAAGGAAATTTTTGATATCTTGAGCGATGGGTACTTTGATGACAAGCCAGTGAAAGTATTCCTGAGTGATGAGATTGCTGAAATCGATATGCATAAGACAAATATGGAAACCATAACCAATGATATTGAAAGCTTTTGTGAGCTTTACTTCATTGATAAGCTTTCCACGGATGAGGATATCACTTTGAAACAGTTGGTAGAACTTTATATTCAAAAGTATAGCAAGATTTTAACTGAACAAGAGAAAAAATACGCCAAAGTGACCATGAGATACTATGAACTTTGGCATGGAGTGTCTTGGGACAGACTTAGTGCTAGGTATGCCGTATTGGATCACAACGGAAGAGATTTATTTAATAAGAAGGGTTACGACTTCTTGATCAACTGGTTGCTTCAGATTGGAATTTCTAGGGATAGAGTCTTACTAAACTCTCCTGTATCCAAGATATACAGAGATGCTTCAAAATTAGTAGGAAACCGCAGACACAGAAAATGTGCTGTAGAGATTAGGGGATCAAGTGAACTTATCTATTGCGACTATTTGGTGGTAACTGTTCCTCAGAGTATACTTTCTTTGGATCATAAAGTAGAGCCTAATTATGGAATTGAATGGGTGCCAGTATTGCCAGCCAGCATGCAGACTGCCTTGAAAAATATTCATTTCGGGGCATTGGGTAAAGTCATATTTGAATTTGATTCAGTTTGGTGGAATAAGAACCAAGATAGGTTCTTCATCTTGGCAGATGAAAATGTTGCTACTGATGGTATCGAAACATTGACTAGTTTACCTAAACCTTTCAGCTTTCCAGCCCTAGCAATCAACAGTTCTAATATCCATAAATCGGACAAGGGAAGTTTGATCATTCTTACTCAAACCCCATTGACTGAATATTTGGAGAGCAATCCAGACCAAGCTTGGTCATACTATGGGCCTATGTTGGCAAGAATCTCTTCAACCCCATATTCACCTCCACCAGCACCAATCAACACCATTACCACAAAGTGGACCACCAATCCATATATTCGCGGTTCCTACGTAGCTTGCTACAAAGGAGATGATCCAACGGAGATAATTTCTCAGCTTTCTGGAGAAATTGATGGTATGGGCTTAAGTAGCTCAACTATCAGGTTTGCGGGTGAACACACTTCCTTTGAAGGAGAAGGATGTGTCCATGGAGCTTGGATGAGTGGAATGAGAGAAGCCGAATGGATTTTGAAGCACTCAGGTAGGGGAGAAGTAACTAAAAAGTTGGACAAATGGAGATTATAAAATATATGTAAATGTCTTATGCAACATTTTCGTATTCACATACACACACACACACACACACACACCTATATATATATGCGCATATCACACAACTAGGCTCACGTGTAACAATACACTATAGAAGTAATATACAATCGGAGGTTTTTATATATTAGAAATTCGTAGTAAATGTAAAGTGAATAAGAATTGTGTGTAGCTCCAGCACAACTTGATGATGCTTTGCACACTGCCAGTTTTTCACGAAGTGTAAATTTTGCATAGCAGAAATCTTGAAACCGAAGTATATACAATAAGTTCAAATTCGTACTAAATGTATAGTTATGAAGACTTTTGTATAGCTCAGTGCCAAATGCTGAAAAAGTAGCCCACTGCCAATTTTGCACCCATTGAAATGCAGCAATTTTCGCGTAGCAAAAATTTGGGACTCATTCAATATCTGACACCATTCCTAACTCAATTATAGAGTACAAGTAAATTTCCCTTCTCTGAATACAATCCCAAGCCAATTATCTCACGAATTTATCTCAAACGTATGAAGTTATGGTCTACCCCATGTTTTCATAGAACAATCTGGGTCATTCTAGGACAGTCATCATCAATTGAAACTAATGTGCAGTCACAAAAATTTTATAATTTTTTTTTTCATCCATCAGCTATATATCGAACTCATCTCTCTTCCTCTTAGCTATCAGTTCTTGTAATTTCTTATATAATAATACTAAAATGTCTACATTTGACGCAGAGACCGCCGATAACTTAGAAGATATCGAAAAGCAATTCGCAGTCAAGGCTGTTACTCAAGCTGAAACATACTGGGGTTTGCTTGAAAAGATTCCAGGATCCAAGCTCAAATTAACCAAGCACGACGATGCAATCTTTGAGCAACTCTTGGAAGATTTCCCAGAATTCAAAGAACCTGCTAATGTTGCTGAAATAAGCGAAGCTGCCATGAAGAGTGTTCTGGGTAAGGCTAAATGGAGAACCTTCTGCGAGAAATTCAAAGATATTGAAGACTATAACTTCGGAACCTTATTGAGAACCAAGTGTGATGATTTCTATACCCAAGAGGGTGCGATTTTCGCAGTTAGAATCCAATTCTACGCTATTGAAATTTGTAGAAACAGGTATGGATTAAACGATTGGATTTCCAGGAATATAAGAGCTAGTGCTTAAAATGGTCGATTCGATGTATGTGGTAAATAGAAGTATACTAAAGTAATAAAAAGGAAAGGAGGAAATGGTTTTCTCCGCTTTGTTAATGTTGCTTACTGAGTTTTGTCAAGCGTAGAATGGAAGTTGCAATTTAAATGGTTGCGAAAATTTACCCTGTATTGTAGAGATGGCTTAAGGGAAGGCTCTTTTAATTGGCACAGCCTAGCGGGTGGTGCATTGAGGCATGCAATCTGATCTGGTCACGATACATAGCTGTGAGCTGTGCAAGAAATGTAATTTCTAGGATCGTTTCTCATTTCAATTGTTCACTCACTCTATATACGTTCTTTTCTTTTCCCATACTTCTTCATCGAGCCTAGAAACCGGGGTATGATAGCCATGTAGACACATTTGCACCGGAGTGAACAGCAAGATTACGAAGCAACGTACATTCCACTTGTTTAACATACACAGAGAAAGAACAAGAGCAAATTGCAGCTCGTTCCCTCTACAACCCACTATCATACGCTCCATTATCCAACCAATTTCTCTTCTCCACCTTCCCAGCTATAGACCGCCCTATGCTCGTCTGAGCTAAAAAAAAAAAAAAAAAAAAAAAATCAAAAAATCCTAAGAAAAAAAAACAACACCAAATCAATTAACGAGTCCTCTGATAGAAAGTGCACTTAGAGTTTTAGATCAGTACACGGGCACTTTCATTATGCAGAACAACTCTACTTCGCTGCAGCTGCAGCTACTGCTGCTACAACAACAACAGCAACAACAACAGCAGCAACAACAGCAGCAACAACAGCAACAGCAGCAACAACAGCAGCAGCAGCAGCAACAGCAACAGAATCCTCCAGCTAACTACACATTACCTGGCGTGATAAACTATCTAACCTCCGAATTTACCAATTTAGAAAGATACAAGATCATGAATAACTTGGAAAAATCTGAAATGAAATACAAAATTAACCAATTGCAAGGTGAGGTCAATTCATTAAAGTATATTGGAGAGAGGCAGGCGAATAGAATTAATCTCTTGGAAAAGGAGAACGCCTTGTTGAAAGAAAAGATACAATCCACAAAGGGAGGAGAGGCACAAGCGAGTGTGGCGACCACCAATGATGATGTCGATGATATTGTTACCTCGTTACCAGAGATTGACTTACTGGTAGTCAAGAAATCGAGAGAACAGCTCACTCGTACCATGAAGGAAGTTGTATATTTACTCCGAGCCCCATCTCCGAATGGGTATCAATACTTAAATTTACCAGATCCCACGTCTGCCAGTGTCGAAATGACAGATACGAGCCAATATGATGAACTTTTCAACTCGCCAATTGACTCCAATGAAGCAGGATATCCGGTTGGAGAATTTGACGTTTCCTTGTCTTCTTCAGAATCCAGTCAGAATAAGAAGCAAGCTTCCAAAACTTCGTCTGGCGCACCCGGGTTCTCAAAATATTTAAGTGAAGACCAAAAGAAGACCAAGAAGAAAGTAAACAGCAAGAGTAGGTCAAATAGTGGAGGCATAGACCAAGATCTCTTTGGGGAATTTATGGATATGGAAGATAAATCAAGCAAGGGTATTAGAACTATAGATACCGAAGAAGATGTGGAATTGGTTGACAGCAACATAGATTTTAAAGCAGCGGAGCCAAAATACTCCTCATTCGATGGTAGTGCAGGCGAATCTGATGCTGAAACCGTTACACATGACAGCTATGAAGAGTTTAGTTTCAACAAACTGAAGTTAAACGATGATGGAGTTATAGTGAACGTCAACGAAAATGAAAAGGATGACACTGGTGCCCCTGGAATCACCTTATCTACATATGTGGAAGGATACACTCTGTCAAAAGTGTTCACAGGGAAAGATGACGGATTATTAGTCTACATGAACTACAACAAGATTGGTTCTAATACTTTTCACCTAACAGTGTATGATACAACTTCAAATAAAGTTGTTGTGTCGTCCATGATACCATTATCTAACGATATGGATCCATGCTCAATTTTTGACATATACTGTTTAACAGATGCAACTCCATTCCCATCTCCTGCTAAGCTTATCATGATATTCAACTTCGGAACCATAGAAAGTATATATATAGGTCCAGAAAGAGTGGCCAGAGTAAAACTTTTGTCGTTGAAGGGTCTAAAAATTAATGCCACTAGTCTCATTGAATTCAGCAAATCTGATTCGAAATCAAATGAGAAAAGCTTTGGACTTACCTTTACTACCCACCATAAAGATTATGATGGGCAACTTAGGGTTTTTCAACTAAATACCGAAAAGAAATCCAACTTCGTTGAATTAAAAGATATTGGCACCTATTCTAAAACTTTATTTGGAGCAGTGTCAAAGGGGGAACTGAAAACTTTCGAAGTGATTAACTGGTTCTTGGACGAAGAGAATACCTACTCACCGATTGTGCAAGTGAGTGATAAATTGGTTCAGATTAATTTGACTCTGAAGAAGATCAGTGTAATAACTAAGTCTGTATCGTCTGTGGAATTACCACCGAGCTCATGGAAACTCCTCACAAACGAGAAATATGTTCTTTTGAAGAAAGGAGATAGCGAAAAGGTTGAACTCTACGACATATCACTGAAAAAAACAATTGGATCCAATGAAAAACCTAAATTGGAAAACCTGGTTGTTATAAAAGATGAGGAAGGTAAATTCAGAATCATTTCTTTAGATCTAGAGAAAAATGCAGATGGCGAGAGAGGTGGAACTATTACAATATATGATAAAAAGTTGGTGTCTGAGTTCAAATTAGAAGTTGGTGAATTGCAAGGCGGTGAATTAGGTAGATGCGGTGGTAAGGTGATACTATTGGATGATAATATTGTCAATTTGATTGAAATTCCCGAGTAGCAGTGATCTTTTCACAAAATTATAAATACGCTGGGTATAGTTGAGATTTGCGTCGATATGCCCTGGAGGTCTATGAATGTACATTAATTGAAATGATACAGAAAAACGCAAATTGCTTTAGATAAATTCATAATATAAACATAAATACACATGCTCAGCTAGGAGTAAGAGATAAGGAACATAGAGAGATGTGGATGGAGTAGAGATAAAGATAGAAACAGAGATAGAGACAGAGAGTAATGAAACCTCTTGATATTTTGAGCCTCTACGCCATGTTCACAGTATGATTGCAGCCATTCTGCCATCAGAAAATTGTTTATGTAAGGCAGATACTTGATATAGCTATATGTAAACATCACACAGAGTACACACTCTCCAAATGATAAGAACACTCCTCTTTAAAATCAAGCAAGTAGTAGACGATTCTCAAATCAAAATACATAACAAGAAGCTCCCAATTCTTAACAGCATACTACGATACTACGATACTACGATACTCTCTAACAATTCTTTTTCGTGCCTTCATAGAGCCGTTTCGTATCACCGAGCTTGAGGTTCCGTTTCTTTTTTTATTTTCTGGTGACAGGCGCAACGTGTGGAACTATGCGATGCATCTCCTGCAGGCAAAGCAAGAAAATTTTCTTTTTTTTGATTTTTTTTTTTTTTTTTTTCACTGCGTTCTACTGATTAACTAAAAAATGATAAGTGCATCAGCAGAGAAGATTATATAGGTTAGTTCTTTTACCACAGTCTGATTGTTTCTTTATTTATATTAAGAGTTTTCTGAACAATAGATAACCAGAGAATAAGAAGAATGTCAAAGCAATCCTTTGATGACTTTTTAAAGGCGCAGCAGCCTCAGCAACAATTGAGAACTCCAAGAGCCAATACAAGAGTAGCGTACAATGGTCAATCATTTGTGCCAAGTTCTTCCGGAATAAGTACTCCTTCCTCTTATCCTACTAGTGGTAGCGCAACTCCAAATGCTGGGTCATCAACTACTTCATTGACTTCCTTAAATACCGCTTTATCTAAGTTGAATGTTGATGAGACTCCTATCCAACTGTATTTGATCGCCATCCAACAAGCTAGCAAGGTTGGAGAAGTAAAGTCCGAAGTTGAAGGTATTGTATCCTTGGTTTCTGACGCTTGGTCTAACACCAATTCACCAATTGAAGAATGGAAGATCCTTGAGATTGTCAAATCCTTCAGTAAGCCAAAGAATCAACCTTTGGTTAGAGAAGCATCCCTCATCATTGTTCAACAATTGGCAACTGCATTTGCTGGTCAATCACCAAGGGAAGCTCATTTGTTGCAATTCATTCCATCTGTCTACGACATGTACACGGACAAGGATAAAAATGTTATCAAGGCAGCTCAACATGCCAGCGAAAGCTTATACAGCATCTTCCCAACTGAAGCTTTGGGTACCGTATTTATTGACCACATCTTAAAATATTTATCATCATCAGCCAAATGGAACTCCAAATTGGCAGCACTTGCTACTTTCGATCATTTAATCGACGAAGTTCCAGCTGATCTTTTGGAATTAAAGTTCGTTAACGTTGTCCCAACCTTAACTGATTTAGCCACTGATTTCAAGCCAGAATTAGCCAAGCAAGGTCTCAAGACCTTGAAAAAGTTTGTCAAAGTTCTTGATAACTTGGATTTACAAAACAAATATGATTTAATCGTTGAAACCTTAGCTGACCCTAAGAAGGTTCCTGAATGTGTTAAGTCTTTATCCTCAGTTACTTTCGTTGCTGAAGTTACTGAGCCTGCATTATCATTATTAGTTCCAATTTTAGATAAGTCTTTGAAGATGTCTTCGTCATCAAACGATCAATTGAGACAAACTGTAACCGTCACTGAAAATTTGACAAGATTGGTGAATAATAAGAGAGAAATTGAAAGCTTCATCCCAACCTTGTTACCGGGTGTTAAGAAGGTTTTCGAAAATGCTTCGTTACCAGAAGTCAGAGAATTAGCTGGAAAGGCATTACATGTTTTACAAGAAGCTGATGCTGAACATTCCGATGGTAAGTTTCACGGTAGATTGGCCAAATCTCAGGCTAGAGCCTTCTACGTCGACAACTTACCAGAAGGTGTTACTTGCACCATTTCTGGAATTGAAGACGATGAATTAGTTCAAGATTATTTATATGAATTACTCACTGCTGATGCCAATGTCAACGATTGGAAGAGATTAAATGCCTTCTTAGAATCTACTAGTGAAAATAGGGACATCGCTAAGCAATATGCTGATACAGTTATTCACAACTTGCGTGCACTTTTCGACCAGGACACTTCTAAGACTTATGATGATGACGAAGAGGGTGCTGTTGAAGTTGTCAATACTGATTTCTCTCTTGCGTATGGTTCAAGAATGTTACTTAACAAGACTACTCTTCGTCTTTTGAAGGGTCATCGTTATGGTCTTTGTGGTAGAAACGGTGCTGGTAAGTCTACTCTTATGAGAGCCATTTCAAAGGGTCAATTAGAAGGTTTCCCAACTCCAGACCAATTGAAGACTTGTTTTGTAGAACATAAGATTCAAGGTGAAGAAGGTGATATGGACTTAGTTTCATTCATTGCAAGTGATCCAGAATTAGAGCATGTTGAATCAAGCTCTATCTACCAAGCCTTATTAGATGTTGGTTTCCCACATGAAAGAACTGAACAAAATGTTGGTTCGCTTTCCGGTGGTTGGAAGATGAAGTTAGAGTTGGCCAGAGCTATGCTTATGAAGGCTGATGTCTTACTTTTAGATGAACCTACTAATCACTTGGATGTTGCCAATGTTAAGTGGTTACAAGATTATCTTGTCGAAAATACTCATATCACTTCCTTAATTGTTTCGCACGATTCCGGATTCTTAGATTCCGTATGTACTGATATTATCCATTACGAAAACAAAAAATTGGCTTACTACAGAGGTAATTTATCTGACTTCGTAAAGGTTAAGCCAGAAGGTAAGTCATACTATACTTTGACTGACAGTAATGTTAAGATGGCTTTCCCACCTCCAGGTATATTAACTGGTGTAAAGTCCAATACCAGAGCTGTTGCCAGATTATCTGATGTTACATTCACTTACCCAGGTGGTGTTAAGCCTTCTTTAGCTCATATTTCATGCTCCTTATCATTATCTTCAAGAGTAGCTATTTTAGGACCAAATGGTGCTGGTAAATCCACCTTGATTAAGCTTTTAACTGGTGAATTAAATCCACAAGAAGGTAAGGTTGAAAAGCATCCTAACTTGAGAATTGGTTATATTGCCCAACATGCTCTTCAACACGTTGAACAACATAAGGAAAAGACTGCTAATCAATATTTGCAATGGAGATATAGATTTGGTGATGATCGTGAAGTTTTGTTGAAGGAAAGTAGAAAGATTTCTGACGACGAAAAAGAACAAATGGCCAAGGAGATCGATGTTGATGATGGAAGAGGAAAGAGAATTATCGAAGCTATTGTTGGTAGACAAAAGTTGAAGAAGAGTTTCCAATATGAAGTTAAATGGAAGAATTGGTTACCAAAGTACAACTCTTGGGTCTCCAAGGAAATCTTAGCTGAACACGGATTTCATAAGCTTATGCAAAGATTTGATGATCATGAATCTTCCAGAGAAGGTTTAGGTTACCGTGATTTGACTCCTAAGGTTATTAGAAAGCATTTCGAAGACGTTGGATTAGATGGTGACATTGCTGATCACACCCCAATGGGATCATTATCTGGTGGTCAATTAGTTAAGGTTGTCATTGCTGGTGCCATGTGGAACAACCCACATCTTTTAGTTTTGGATGAACCTACCAATTATTTGGATAGAGATTCTCTTGGAGGTTTGGCTGTTGCCATTAGAGATTGGACTGGAGGTGTTGTGATGATTTCACATAACAATGAATTCGTCGGTGCTTTATGTCCTGAACAATGGCATGTTGAAAACGGTCAAGTTGTTCAAACTGGTACCGTTTCCGTCGATTCCAAGCGTTTTGAAGATTCCAAGGATGATACTCCACAACCAGAAAGTGGTGCTGAAACTCCTGATGCTCCTTCGCCATCTCCATCTCCTGTGCCTAAGAAGAGAGCCGATGATGACGATTCTCCGGCTAACATCAAGGTCAGGACTAGAAAGAAGAAGATGACTAGAAACGATAAAAAGTTACAAGTGGAAAGAAGAAGATTGAGATATATAGAATGGTTGAATACTCCAAAGGGTACTCCAAGACCAGCCGATACTGATGATGAAGATGAGTAGATTATTTATTTAAGTTAATTCCCGCCATATATAATATAATATAAGAATTGTTAAAGAACAAGAAGAAGCTGTCACCCTGTAAATGAAAGATCCTAAACTGAGTACTTACTCCAGTACGTACTCTAGCACCCATCCCATAGCACCAAGTTCGGTACTTGTATATCCAAGCTTTCATACATGCAGCCAGAGTACCTGCGCACAAGTGTATCCTGCATACACATCGAAGGCAAAACCACCAAACATCAAAATTGGCCAACCGCACACACAACGAAATGGCCATACCTCGTTGGAATACACCGATACTATTAGATCATCTCCAATTAGTGACATATTTCATCTCTTATAGTTACTTGCATACCTTCTCTTCAACAAGTGCACATATATAAACAATGGCTGATAGATATTCCTTCTCATTGACCACTTTTTCTCCAAGGTATGTATGGACATGAATAGGGTACGAATATAGTGTGGAAGGGACCAGTAAGACACATGGATCGAGTTCAAATAGGGATATATTTGACTTGTGCAATGGCGATTCTTCTTAATGTAGGTGGCATACATACAGAAGGAAATGAAAAAATATGGGAGGATTGGTACATTTCCTGGCTTCCAAAGATTAGTTCAAGAGTGAGAATGATCAGACTACCCTACTTGGAAGTGATAAATAAACTGAGAGTTGAGAACTGGGAGAGTTTCGACCTGTTAATGGACCATCCAACCTCTTTTCTATGTTTTAAGGATGCTATCGTATAATGCCTATAGTACTGAAATTACGAGACTGTGACTTTTTCAGATGCCGGGCTAACAATGTGCCATGGTCCTTCGAACTGATTTTTGCCTCTCCTCGTTAACTTAACACCCAGATTTCAATTTATTCGTCTTTTCCTTTCCATCAGCAGCTTCGTATGGTGCTGCCCTCTTCTTGTTCTCGATTGAAATATACTAACAAGTTTCTTTAGCGGAAAATTAGTCCAAATTGAGTACGCTTTGAATGCCGTCAAACAGGGTGTTACCACCATTGGAATCAAATCCGCCAATGGGATCGTTCTTGCCACTGAACGTAAAGCTAACTCTCCATTATTGACGTCAGATACAGGTTCTAAGGTGGAACTTGTCACACCTAATATTGGTATGTCCTATTCTGGGATGGGACCAGATTTCAGAGTCTTGGTGGATAGAGCAAGAAAATTAGCACATACCAATTACAAAAGAATCTATAATGAATATCCACCAGTTAAGATAATGGTTCAAGAAATCGCTAAGGTAATGCAAGAGTCTACTCAGCTGGGAGGGATCAGACCCTTTGGTGTTTCCTTATTAGTTGGAGGGTATGACGACCACCTGGAACAATTTCAATTATACCAGGTCGATCCCCTGGGAAGTTACTTCCCTTGGAAGGCCACAGCCATTGGTAAGACTTCCGTATCGGCCAAGACGTTCTTGGAAAAGAGATGGAATGAAAACTTGGAGTTGGAAGATGCTATTCATGTTGCTTTATTAGCCTTAAAGGAGTCAGTCGATGGTGAATTAACAGGTGAAAACTTAGATATTGCCGTGATTTCTGAATCTCAAGACAACTTGTTAGGATTCAAGGGTACCAGCGTAGAGGGACCAAGATTTAAGAAGTTGACTGCTGAAGAAATTAATGACAGATTAGATGCTCTTTAAGTGGGCGGGGAGGTGTCAGGCATAAAGAAGTAAAAATTGTATAAAAAAAAAGATAAAAATAAAGAAGAAAAGAATAATTTTCAAATTGTAAGAGCAAGAGCAAGAGCAACACTTATCACCAAACTAAACTAGCAAACTAGGGTAGGTTATAACACCAACTGTAGCTGTCCACTTCTAACTACTTTTGCACCCATACAGATCATCACATAGTACTGCATATAACACATAAGCACTTTTTATTTCAAACTTTTTTTTTTTTTTTTTGGCTGCGATTTTGCGAAGAGCATCGCTTTAAATTTCAAAAAGATCAACTGGCAAGTGCAAGTCACCTTCAACAGACGATAACAAGCAAAAGGAAATATGGTGCAACGTACTTCGAAGAAGAGGAGCTCTCGTAAGATCTTGGATGCGTATCAAATTGCTCAAAGGGCCGAAAACGGTCAAAATTCGGACGACTCTGCCAATGATGCTTCTGATGATGATCTTGTGGTCAGAGATGGTGTCATGGATGCAAGTAGATTAGTAGGAAAGAAGAAGAAAACCAAGGGAAGAAAGGGTAAAGATAGTGATGATGAAATGGAAGATGAAGAGATTGACTCGGATGAAGCTTTAGGGTCGGACGACGACTATGATGTCTTGAATTCCAAGTTTTCTCAGACCATTAGAGATAAGAGCAAGAAGCTCAAGGATAGAGCTAGAGCCAAAAGAAACGGCAAGAAGCAAATTGAGAGTAGCAGCAGTGAAGAAGAAGATGACGGCTATGCGAGTATAGACGAATCCCAGTTGGTTGGATTATCAGAAGCATGGGATATGGATGACAAGGACTTGGCTAAAGTAAACAAGGACAGCAAGAAGAACAACGCTGATGGAGAGATTGTATTGAATGACGACTGGGAAAGCGAAAGTAATAATGAAGATAGTGGTAGTGACAGCGAAGATGATAGTGAAAGCGAAGAAGAAGAAGAAGACGAAGACGAAGATGAAGAAGAAGATATCTTTGGTAATGGTTCAGATGAAGACGTTGATCTCAAATCAACACTTTCCAACATCCAATCTAAATTAACCAAGCCTTCTAAAGAGAGGAAGCGTCTTTTAACTGAAACACAGAATGAAAACGAGTTCAGCCTCCCAACAAAAGGTGCAAAGTTATCGTTGAACGATATGATTGCTGGTGTAGATTCTTCTGTCAACAGCAATGCAATTTTGATAGACAAAGGAGAAAAAGTAAAGTCTCTTGCCACGCCATTGCCCAAAAGAATACAGGAACGTCATGATAGAAAAGTTGCTTATGATATCACCAAGGAAGAAGTAGGTAAATGGGAAGACATTGTTCAACAAAATAGACAGGCTGAAGTTTTACTGTTTCCAATGAATCCATCAGTCAAACATAACGACTCTGCACTCACTTTCAAGTCAGATAATGTGCCTACTAATGAATTAGAAAAGAAAGTCCATAATTTGTTGACTGACTCAGCTCTCCTTGACGATAAGAAGGAAGCTACTTTCGAAGAAATAGCGACTGCCAAGCTTTCTGTAGATGACTTGAAGAAAAGAAACAACGAATTAAGATTGATGAGAGAGTTAATGTTCAGAGAAGAAAAGAGAGCAAAGCGTATAAAGAAGATCAAATCAAAGCAATATCATAAAATTCAGAAGAAAGAAAGATTAAGAAATCAAGAATTAGTGGAAGGATCTGACATGGAATCGGATGGTGAAGAACATGACGCGAAACGTGCACAAGAACGTATGACATTGAAGCATAAAACCCAATCTCAATGGGCTAAAAGCATGATTAAGAGTGGCTTGTCCAAGGACGCAAGTAATAGAGGCGAATTGGAAGAAATGTTGAGACAAGGTGAAAGGTTAAGAACCAAGCAATTGGGCCATGAAGAAGGTGAACAAAGTGATAATGGTGTTTCTGACATTGAAGCTGACTATGATAACGAAGAAGAAGACGAACTGGGCAGCCGTAGTAAACTTGGTAAAGGTGTCTTAAATATGGATTTCATGAAAGAGGCCGAAAGGAGGTCCAAAGCTGAAAACTTGAAAGAGCTTGAATTTTTGAGACAAGTTGAAGAGAATGATGGAAGGGAATTGTTGGAAGATGGAAACAATAACTCTGTAAATTTAACCAGAAATCAAGGAAGAAGGGTTTATACCCCAAGTGTATCGTCAATGAAGAATGAAATGGATGAAGTAGATAGAAGAGCAGTGCAAGAAATAGAGATCGATGAGAGTAAGAGTTTAGGTAAGAGATTGACAAAGGACCCTAAAATCGGAAAGTCTTTAAAGAAGGCAGAGGAACTGGATGAAGTAGCAGAAGCTGACGCAGATGAAGATTTCAATCCATGGTTGTCGACGGATTCCAATACCAAGCAGAAAAAATCTAACAAGATCACTTTAGTTGATCAATCATCTACCAAACTTTCCAAAGCATCGCAGAAGATCTCCAAACATTCCAAGAAGCGTACAGGATCTGCAGTTGACAGTGAAGATGCAGAAATCGACCTCAACAAAACATTGAAAATAGTAGATGCATTTGGAAGTGATCAAGAAGAAGAAGAAGGAGCAAATAATTCTACTTTCAAGCAAAAGGATTTGATAAAGGAAGCCTTCGCTGGAGATGATGTCATTCAGGAATTCGATGACGAAAAGAGAAGAGTGATTGTCGACGAAGATGACAAAGAGGAAGATCTTACTTTACCAGGTTGGGGTGATTGGGCCGTTGCAGGAAAGAAGAACAAAAAGAAGAAGGTTGTCAGAAAAATCGATGGTGTCGTTCAAAAAGACAATAGAAAGGACAAGAATCTCAAGAATGTCATTATCAACGAGAGAGTTAACAAAAAGAACTTGAAGTATCAATCTTCTGCAGTACCTTTCCCGTTTGAATCTAGGGAACAATACGAGCGTGCATTGAGAATGCCTGTGGGTCAAGAATGGACCAGTAGAGAAACCCATCAAAAACTCACCATGCCTAGAGTAATCACTAAACAGGGTACTGTTATTGATCCTTTAAAAGCTCCGTTTAAATAAAAAAGAAAGCTTATATCTTCTTAAATAGTATTACTTGCCTTATAAAGAACGCTAACAGTCATAATTAATTTGTAAAAGGAATGTACACTTGTGCCGGTCTATAATAAATACCTATAAATATTTCGATGAAGTACTAATACTATCTTCTAATTTCTATTGTTCTTCGATAAGTAACCCGTTTCTGACCATCCAATTCTTACCACTCATAAAAACACCATCAGGGTCCATTTCTCTTCTTTGCTTATTATATTGAACCAAGTTTTCGCCGAACCACTGCTTCATGACTGGATCAAATCCATTCATAGTGTAAAACTTCTTACCTCCAAAACTTAATTGGTAATCTAAATCTTCCTTGGTTTCATGGTCACCACTAAGACCAATGAAATTCTTGGCCCAATGTGGCTTACCACCATACTCAGATAAGATATTTTCGAAGATTTGAAACCATCTCTTGGTCTCAACGTTAGTTCCGAAAGGTCTGTACATAGTTGCATTTATAAAGAGAGTCAATTGGTCATTTTTGATAAGTTCAGGTTTTGGTTGATAAGGTAAAGAATCAGGAGAGTTATCCAAAAGAGGTCTGAAATTGTTCCCTGGAATTGGACCTGACGAGAGTCTATCTCTCGTAGATAACCAGGTTTGCAGTGGATATAAGGAAGGTTCTCCATCTTCGTCAGAAATAAATGGAGCGTTGGAGTTGGTGACGTTGGAGCATCTAACTTCAATAGGCGCATGTACATAGAAAGAGTTTTCCCTTTCAGCGGTTTTGATTTGCTCATTGAGCTTGGTAAGAATTTCCTTCCCATCAACCAATGGGGCAGACCATTCATTTACGAATTGTGAAAACAAACAGTCCATGTTTAATCCTTCCACTGAGTTTTGCACAGCAATATCTCCCTTCCCTAAAGTTTCGACATTACCATATTGTTGATTGAACACAAACTTTTCCACAATCGGAGTAAATGCTGGCCAGATATGAACCGAAACCCAAAGCAAAGACTGATAGAAGAATCTACCGAATGTAGTACCATACCAAGATGGTCTTGGATCACTCAACTCATCATCTGACTTGGAAGCTCTCCAACAGACACAATTTCCTGAGTAAGGGAACCACCAGATTCTAATGAACTCCAGGTCTAACCAGATATTGTCCCAATTCTTCAACAAGGTGGAGAATTTGATGATCTCCTGCTTAGACTTTATGGTATATCTTGGAATGGTTCTCAATGTAACGTGAGTAATGATACCAATTTTACCTAAAGATAACAAGGCAGCCCTGAAAAGATCTGGCTTCTCCACAGATGAGCAATCAATCAACTCGCCATTGGAGTTCATAATGGTGATTGAAACTACTTGTTGGGAAACCAAGCCATGGTACTGACTTGACCCGTGAGTCCCGGTGGAGATTAAACCAGCGATGGATTGGTCACTAATAGAGCCAAGGTTCTGAACTGCAAGTTCATTGGCCTTGACATATTCATTCAATTCGTAAACTCTGCAACCAGCTTCGACAGTTAAGTCGACAAATTTGACCTCCTTGCTAGTGCCGGACTTAGTGGATCCATAAAATTCTTCTTGCTTTAAGATCTTATTGAACTTGTCTAAATTACATAACCATTCAGTGGTCATAGTCAAATCCGAAGGAGAATGGCCGGAACCAACAGTCATGATGGTTTTGCCTAGTTTACGAGCTTCATTAACAAGAAGCTTAATCTCTTCCACATTTCTAGGTTGGAAAATTGCCTGAGGCTTACAAGCAAATGTTCCAGCCCAAGTAGAATGGATGAATTTTGTAGTAACAAAGGGCCTAAGGGATTGGGGGACACTCATAGTATTTACGAGGTATGATAAGATACACCTGCTGACAATTAAGAAGTATTGGCGATTTTTATAATTTTTTCCTTTTAGTCCGCTTCTAAATTTTTCATCTCCGATCGCAGATTCTGTCAAACGGAATTGTGGAAGAGTAGACGTTGATGATGTAATTCCGTCGTGCATAGTAGTTCCACCCGGTACAGTAATTGCTTAGTGGCACGAGCGAAAGTGCGTAGATAAAGACATGTGCAGCAAGGTAGCAATATAGCAAGATAGGGGATAGGCTGTAGGAGGCTATAGGATATAAGAGAGGATGGGGGAACGTAGCAAGAGGGTCATTATCTGGTGATAGCTTCGTTCACCTTGCTATAACAGTATAGAAAGTTATATTGGCTAGTGAAAAGCTAAATAAAAATGCATAGTGGTATGATGGGCAGAGAAAATAAGCGTCAAACGAGAGTATATCTAGTTTAGTCTTATTACTAGTGTGTTCAAGCTGAAGTCAAGAAAATTCGGTAGTTCACATTTCAAATAGTACGCACCTCTATACTAATAAGAATACTTCTGCGATTCACTATTTGCAGCTACAATTTGTAGTTTAGTAATTGTAGTGATATAGGTTATCAAGTCACCATACAGTGAGATCCCTTGAGCAGAAAAATTTCCCTTATCATTTTGCCATTTTGTCTCATTTTATTTTTCGTTCTACATTTTTCACGTACGGTCGGTTTTGTTCGTATAGATCGAATATGGGAGATAAAGGAAGCATTCAAACCGCCGAAACGGCACAAGTAAACGAGAGAATGTAAATTCACACCCAGTTTCCAGTGCCTACCTTTCAGTGGCCACGAATAGCGCACTTTTAGGTAACTTCACTTTCGATCTGATCTAAATCTCTATGCTTTATTGTTCTAACCCAATCACAATCCCAAGCATCTTCACTCGTTCTTTATTTTCTCTGGCACGTTACGTCAGTAGGTTACCACTGTTCTGCTCTCGTATAAGGCGGCTGAAAAAACCCATCTCTGTGCAGTCGTCGCGTCGTATAACACACATTTCTAACTTTTTTTGGCAACACATTTTTTTTCGAGGCCAATATTTAGTAGCAGAAGCAGCACCCGATACTAAAAAGTTTTCATCACTCTTTTTCTTTTAATTTTTGATTCACTTTCTTGTAATAACATTGAGTTGTCAGGGAATCGTTTGAAATCACTCCTAATTTATTCACAATAACCACTGAAATGCTGCCTTCAAATATCGGGATCAAGGGTATCGAAGTTTATATTCCAACTGAATGTGTCAACCAAGCAGACTTGGAAACCTTTGACGGAATTCCAGCTGGTAAATATACTATTGGTTTGGGACAAACCAACATGGCCTTTGTCGGTGACAGAGAAGATATCTATTCCATGACTTTAACAGCTGTAAGTCGTTTGATCCAAAACTACAACATTGACACTGACAATATTGGTCGTTTAGAAGTGGGTACAGAAACCTTGTTGGATAAGTCCAAGTCAGTCAAGTCCGTTCTTATGCAATTATTCGGAGACAACAACGACATTGAAGGTATTGACACCATCAATGCTTGTTACGGTGGTACTTCTGCTATCATCAACGCAGTCAACTGGATTGAATCCAGCTCATGGGATGGTAGGGATGCAATTGTTGTAAGTGGTGACATTGCTATTTACTCCAAAGGTGCAGCTAGACCAACCGGTGGTGCTGGTTCCGTCGCTCTTTTAATCGGACCAGATGCTCCAATTGTATTTGAATCTACTAGAGGTTCATACATGGAACACGCTTATGATTTCTACAAGCCAGACTTCACTTCAGAATACCCCGTTGTCGATGGTCACTTTTCATTGGCTTGTTACGTTAAGGCATTGGATCACTGTTACAAGAACTACTCCAAGAAGGTAACTAAAAAGACAGATGGCTCGACCGTTGGAGTCTATGACCACTTTGACTATAATGCATTCCACGTTCCTACTTGTAAATTAGTTACCAAGTCATATGCTAGATTACTTTACAATGATTTCAAGTCCAACCCAAGTGCCTTTGCTGATTCAATCGATGAAGAAACTTCCAAGACCTTGCAATCGCTTACCTACGAAGAATCTTTAGTCGACAGAAACTTAGAAAAACTCTTCGTTGGTCTTGCCAAAGAACAAACTAAAATCAGAGTTTCTCCAGCTTTGCAAGTTCCTACAAACACCGGTAACATGTACACAGCATCTGCATGGGCTTCATTCTCATCTCTCTTATATTACGTTGGTTCTGAAAAATTACAAGGTAAGAGGGTTGGTATTTTCTCTTATGGTTCTGGTTTAGCATCTACCATGCTCTCAGTAGTCATTAAGGGTGACATTTCAAACATCACTAAAGTATTAAACTTCGAACATCAATTAGGTGAAGGTAGAAGTACCAGAACACCAGAAGAATACTTGAAGGCCATCGAATCCAGAGAAAAGGCTCACTTACAAAAGTCTTTCAAGCCTGAAGGTTCAATTGACCATCTTGCAACTGGTACCTACTATTTAACAGAAATTGATGATAAGTATAGAAGAAAATACGCTAAGAAGGATTAGATCGATGTATTAATACATAAACTTATTAATCAAAAATTCAAAACAAAGGGGAAAAAAGAACTCCAAGTGTAGATAGATATGTTCTATATCGTTAACCATAAGCCGTAAACAATACAAGATCAGATGACATAAGGCTGCCCAATGCTATAAGGGCTTTATGTGTGACCGATGTTGGCTCCGTACTATGTGAAGAAAGACATGTCATGTGATCAATTTCTCAACATCTGGTTGACTCTTCGTAGTGAACTGTCTCATTTAAAGTATCGATTTCGCGTGGAACTCCACTTGTAGATTCAACGATTAAATAATAAATCTCACTTATTATATCAAGTTTTCGCTGAAACCTATTATGTAAAAGGCCCTATTTAACTAGGAGCGAACTAAACCATAGGGAAGCAAACGACTCACTTCCCTTGAACAGAAGCCGAATAATTTTTTTTTTTTTCAAAATCTTTTTCGGGCTCCATCCATGTACCCCACCCTTTACTTTCGGGCATTTTTTTCAATTTTGTATTTCTGGAAACTGGAATCCAATTTTTCTTCTAAAGGTCCTAAACTTGTTTAATTCGGTGTTTTTCATATTGAACACGCCCACGACACTCATATTGAACAGAAAACGACCTTTTTCTTACACAAAACTCATTTGTGGATAAACCACAAACCAAAGAAAATATTTTAGAGGTTTCAGAAGGCCATGCATTCATACTACAAATTCCTTCAAACGATAATCTTCTCAAGAAAAAAGAGAGCTTCTTTTTTCTTGAGAAGATTATCGTTTGAAGGAATTTGTAGTATGAATGCATGGCCTTCTGAAACCTCTACCCCTGTGGCTTTATTTCTCATCCTATGAAGTTGAGCCTAAGTTAGATGATATAGTTACGTCTCTAGCTACATGATGGTATACTTAGATGTGCTGATTTCTTACTTTTGAATATCGTCGTTGGTCTCTTTGTGAACACTGGATTTTACAGACAACTAGGGGGATTGCCCATACGTTCTTTACACCAGTATGTTGCCCTCGTCTTTGGCTTGCATGCCGTGCAACTTTCAGTCATTTTACTCTAGATTTGCTTAGACTACTGGTGTTTTTATCCATTTTGGTTATATCTCAATGTCAATTCTTGCTCTTTTACTTGTTTTAGCCACAAATTGAAGATACAAAAGGAAAATGGTTCATCTAACGTTACCTTTCCATGCAAGAATTTCCCTTAATATATATACATTCCAGAAATATATGAAAAGTATTACGTCTTGGCAATTTTATAAGCAGATAATGAATTGAGACTACTAATGATCCCACTGAGCCATTACTTACGATGATCAGGCAGATATTTCTTAAAATTGAAGGGTTTTAAATCAATGGCTGCAATTTGATCTATATGCAGTATTTGCAACCATTTTAAAACATTTCTCCTGCACACAATTATTCAACATTGGAGTACTTGATACAATAGAATTTGTGGAGAACCTGCACACTGAATAAGCATGGTCAAATAACGGAGTCCTAACACTCTTGGAGATAATTCTCCAATTTGAGCCTCACTTGATACTGATATTACTTCTAAAGTAGATGTGAATGTTATTAACTTTATAAAATAGGAAAAATGCTGTTCTTGGGGTGGCATTTATGGTAACCGATTCAGAGGTAATTAATTATGCACTGGAGAGTTTATACAATTCAGCTTCATGCCTCCTTGAATATGGCAGAATTGAGGCTCACTTTCACAAAGATATTTTCTAAACCATCTCCAGCCACAAAGAATTCTCGAGAAGCAATGTTATTATGTCTTCAATTTACTCAAGTTACATGGTTGCTCCTCGCCTGGAATTTGGAATTATAAGGGCATGTGGAGAAAAATGTGGTAGTTAAGACAAATTACATACTTACACCCATACAATTTAGCAACTTTGAGTAGCAATATAAGGACTGTTGCAAAGAAAAATAAATGACAAAAGTGAGGCTGATACTGCATAATGGTGTTAGTTGCTACGATTATAGTAGCAAGGATGAAGTATATATGGGAACCTTATTTACTTGAAAATTGCCAACGAATGATTAAAAATCCTTAAATATCCCATAATATTAAATTAAATTGAAGGATTTACCATATTCAATTATATTGATAAATAGCTAACATGAAATTAACCCATCTTGCAGTCTATTTGATCTTTGCAACTGTGGGTGCAAAAAAGTTTGATCAATGGTCTCTGGGAGATATTGAATTATTCTTGTCCGACAGAGGTGTTAATTTTGACGTAAAGGATAACAGAGATGAACTCGTTGCTTTAGCAGAAGAAGAGTTTAACAAATTGAAGAAGGAAAACACAGAGGGCCTGTCTATTGTTGGAGAAACTGTCCAAAATATCTTGAACTATGTCACTGGTCTGCAGAAGGTTCCACTGACTTGGGATTATCTTGTAAACGGGATCAGCGACACTGCTGAAGACACATCTAGCTCAATCAAATCTTGGGTGTTTGATTCTTGGAATAAAGTTGAGTTACAAAAATTCCTCAAGGAAAACGGTATCAAATATAAGAAGAAGGCTCAGAAGTCTGATCTTGTTGCACTTGCCAAGGAGCATTACGATGAAATTGCAAATAAATTTGGACTGTCCGGGTACTATCCTGGTTCATGGTTGTACGATAGCTGGTCAATTGATGATTTGAAGAAATGGTTATCTGAAAATGATTTAACGTATGACGATGCTAAGGATACTAAAGATGAATTGATCAAAAAGGTTAAAGAATACAACTATTTGGCTTCATTGGAAATTCAAGATTCTAAGAAATCATTATTTGATGCTTTACTGCTAGGAGAACTGGATATCTTCGACAAATCTAACAAAGTAAAACAGGATTTCATCGATTCTTGGTCTTATTCTCAACTTAGAGAGTGGTTGTACTACCAGGGCCTTATTGACACTAAGCCTGGTATTAAGGTTGATAACTTGGACAAGGACAAGTTGAAAAGTATCGTTTTGAGCAATCAACAGTATTTAGTTGATGATATTAACAGTTGGAGCGAACAAGTTGCTAAGACTGCATCACCATATTTAGAAAAGGGTGCCGACGCAATTAAAGATACGAAGGAAAACGTCGAGGAGGTCATTAATGACACTTTTTTAATTGGTGTTGAGAAATGGGATAGATCTCGCTTGAAGTCATTTTTGGAAGGAAGAGATATCCAAGTTCCTAAATTCTCCACTCACAAGAGCTTGGTCAATTTGGTGAAGGAGCACATCAACTCACCATTATCCAATAAAAGAACTGATTCCGTTGGCTCATGGTTCTATGATAACTTGTCTACACAATCCATTCGTGATTGGTTGAAGAGGAGCGGAAAGAGTGTTGAAGGGTCCAGAGATGAATTGATCAAGCAATTGGAAGATCTCGTAAACTCAGGGCAGGACATTAACGAAAATGTTCAGAAGGAAATCTCTGAACAAATCTCTTCTTTCAAACCAAATTTGGATGCATACAGACTGTATGCAACTAAGGCAATACAAGATGCAAACAAGGAATCAAAAGAAAACTACGAAAAAGTGAAGGCTGCTGCCAAGGAGGCAAAGGATGATACCTATGAGAAATATGATGCAACAACCTCTTTAGCCGAAGAGGCTCTTTTAGATTCTTACAAATTAGCCAGTGAATACTATGAGACTGCTGCCAAATTGATTGGCTCAAAGGTTGGATCCAACAGTGCCAAGTTGAAGGAGGCATTGAATGAGGCTAACAAGGCTTCTTACGAATATGCAGCAAACTTTGCTAAGTCTGTATCAGACAAATATCTGGAAACTACTCCAAAATTAGAACAATCTCTTAAGTCTGCTCAGGTTGAGGGAACTTCATATGCCAATTATGTCATTGATGTGGTTTCTTCTAAATTGGATGACGTTCAAGAGAATGGTCAAGCTGCCGGTGCTGCATTGTCTGCATTTTGGGATCAAGCCAATGCTTACTTCTACAAATTTATTCAACCAAAGGCTAATGATATTCATTCTTCAGCTACTGATGCTGCTGGTGGTTTTTACGCTCAAGCGACCGATAAGGTTGGTGAATTCGCTTCAAATGCCCAAGAGGCAGTTCAAAACGCTTATGGTGAGACCAAGACACCCAACGAATATGTTGATATTGCCCAAGATCATTTGAACAATGCTTATAATAGTGTTACAAGCGGCTGGACTAATTTTTGGACGAGATTATCTGACTCAGATATCAAGGCTTACTTGAGATCTTTTGGTTATAGTTCCAAATTTTTGAATACTATCAACCATGAACAATTAACTCGTTTAGCTCAAGAGCAAACCAACTTTTACTTTGGTTCATCCAATGTATGGGATAAACCAATTACTGAGGTAATTTCAGAAAAACTTGGCTTTGGTAAGAAGAAGACAACCGTAGATAAGATCAAAGAAGCTGTCCAGTTTTAAGGCGAAGAGAAACAACCGGTTGTATACTAAATATCTATGAAAAGTAAAATACACAACTGTTCCTGAACTATTTAGATATGTATAAGATGAATTATGTAATGAATGAAAAAGGGAAAAAATACACACTGATTAGAGGGATACCGCTTAAAACAAAATTAAATATCAAGAACATACTAACTCATTTGCTTCAAATACTAGTAAGCTAGCATGCGATTCATTCTGTAACTTCTCTGCAGCAATTATCAAACATTAAAGAAACAAAGCGAATTACTTCCAAATCCGGCAGTCAACGCACCCTCCCTCTTTTTTTTATTATATTTTTTTCGATTGTACATTTTTTTTGTTTGTTTACGTTTTCTGTTCTGAATCTCTTTTTAGGCAGACACGCCCTAATGATTTCAGCACAAAGTAAACAATACGAGACAGTACGGATTCTTTTCAAAGGATTAAACGACTCTTAAAGTGCTTTGTAAATTTTATAGCTCGTTTTCTTACCTTTACAAGTTTCAGAGATCATGAGAGAAGTGATTAGTGTTAACGGTATGTTCATAATGATAACAGAAAAGAGGGATATGAAGCAATGAATAGTGGGCAATTGGGAAGCGCCTCTTAGCCGAGTGATTGTAAAATATTTGATCCTTTGATCTGATGATTTGTCATAGGGAATCGAAACGAAGGACGTTTTCGACGTGTAGACTGTTGTCTGAGGCCAGATTTATGCCAATTATACGACATAACCGATACTATCAGCACAGGAATGCTTGAAAAGACAGAGAGCTCGTTGACGTTGGCGTCGCTGTCCTCTCTCTCCTCCAATAGACCCATCTAATGAGTTTTCAGAGGGGCGCGCCAATTGCTACAAAAAATTAGACGAGCAAGCACAGACCAGTAGCATTGAAAATATGACGTAAGATGAGAGTTATGGTCCCGCCCATTGACAAAGGAACGGATCTCAGTATAGTTCTCAGCATCAGGGTAGACCCCGATCGGTATTTACTGCTATCAGCCCCAATAAAATTCATCTAGTCTATTTAATTATATTATTATTTCATCATTATACTAACTTAACTTTCTTTTAGTTGGACAAGCTGGTTGTCAAATTGGTAACTCCTGTTGGGAATTATATTCTCAAGAACATGGTATCAGACCAGATGGTTACCTCCAAGACGGTTTAGATAGACCTAAGGGGGGAGAAGAAGGATTTTCCACCTTCTTCAGTGAAACTGGCTCTGGTAAGTACGTACCAAGAGCCTTATATGTTGATTTGGAACCAAATGTGATTGATGAAGTCAGAACTGGTGCTTACAAGGAATTATTCCATCCTGAGCAATTAATTGCAGGTAAGGAAGATGCTGCTAATAACTATGCCAGAGGTCATTACACTGTTGGTAGAGAAATCTTAGATGACGTCTTGGATAGAATTAGAAGAATGGCAGATCAGTGTGACGGTTTACAAGGTTTCCTCTTCACCCATTCTTTAGGTGGTGGTACCGGTTCCGGTTTAGGATCTTTATTATTGGAGCAATTATCCATTGACTATGGGAAGAAATCTAAGTTGGAATTCGCAGTATACCCAGCTCCACAATTATCTACTTCGGTTGTTGAACCATATAACACCGTTTTGACCACTCACACAACTTTGGAACACGCTGATTGTACTTTCATGGTTGACAACGAAGCCATCTATGACATGTGTAGAAGAAACTTGGACATTGGTAGACCAAACTTCAATACCTTAAATTCATTAATTGCACAAGTTGTATCATCTGTTACCGCTTCCTTGAGGTTCGATGGTTCATTAAACGTTGATTTGAACGAATTCCAAACTAACTTGGTTCCATACCCAAGAATCCATTTCCCACTTGTTTCATACGCTCCAGTGTTCTCCAAGGATAGAGCCAACCATGAAGCTAACTCTGTTCTGGAAATCACTGCTGCTTGTTTTGAGCCAGGTAACCAAATGGTTAAGTGTGACCCAAGAGTTGGTAAGTATATGGCTACTTGTTTGTTATACCGTGGTGATGTAGTTAACAGAGACGTTTCCAACGCCGTTTCATTAATCAAGGCCAAGAAGACCGTTCAATTGGTTGATTGGTGTCCTACAGGTTTCAAGATTGGTATCTGTTACCAACCACCTACCCAAATTAAGGGTAGCGAATTAGCAGCTGCAAACAGAGCTGTTTGTATGTTATCCAATACCACTGCCATTGCTGAAGCATGGAGAAGAATTGACAGAAAATTCGACTTGATGTACTCCAAGAGAGCCTTCGTTCACTGGTACGTTGGAGAAGGTATGGAAGAAGGTGAGTTCACTGAAGCAAGAGAAGATTTGGCTGCTTTAGAAAGAGATTACATTGAAGTTGGCACTGATTCATTCCCAGAAGAAGAAGAAGAATATTAGGTTCGATTCTTATAATACCCGAAGCTTAGCCCTTCAGATTTACATGGGAAAAATTTGTGTAAGACTTCGTTTTAGTAAATTTGTTTTTATTTTATATAGTTTAATATCCTTTATGTACGGATTATTTTAAGTGCTAATAAACAGGAAAAAGAGAAAAGAGTAAAGAAAGGAACGTAAGTGGGTACTACAGAGCTACCATAGACATGTATATATGTAGCCGTACTGTCCGTACGTAGAATAATCGAGAACATCGAGTTCTTGACGTCCCAAAAGAATCAGAAAGTCGCTTACAATTGTTTTTCCATGTGCGCGCGTTTTGAAAAATTCCAAAGCTTCTCCTACTAAATTTTTAACAAACTCAACGAAGATCATCTTGCGAGATTTCTTTCTTAAGGTTACTTAACAAGAAAGCAAAACGAAATGGAAGACAAAAGAGAGCTCTTGAAAGAGCCACTTCACGGTATCTATATTCCCGTAGCACTTATTATATTTGGTACATGTATTTTCGACTGGAGATACTTACCTTACACTGTTTCATTTATAGTTGTAGTTTGTTCATTCAAATTTTATAGTGCATATAGTAGACGTTCAACCTTACATGCTATCAAGTGGAATGACTTGGAATTGATGGATAAGACGGTCGTTTCCAAGAACTCAGCCATTTACAGATTCAAGTTGAACCGTCAAGACGAAGTTTTGGATATTCCTACTGGCCATCACGTTGCTGTTTGCTTTGATATCAATGGAAAGGACGAAATCAGATACTACTCTCCAATTTCGAATATTTTTGACCGTGGATTTTTCGATATTTTGGTCAAATCCTACCCAGATGGAAAGGTTTCCAAAAAGTTTGCTACTTTGAGAGAGGGCCAAACTGTTAAGTTCAGAGGACCAGTTGGAAGATTAGAATATGTTCCAAATATGGCTAAGGAAATTGGTTTGATTGCCGGAGGTTCCGGAATCACTCCAATCTTACAAGTGATTACTAGAGTTATAACTACTCCTGAGGATCTTACCAAGATTTCATTGATTTTTGCAAATGAAACTGAAAATGATATTTTATTGAAAGAAGAAATTGACGACTTGGCTAAAAAATATCCAAATTTCTCAGTTCACTACACCTTGACACACGCACCAGCTGCATGGGAAGGGCTGACAGGTTATGTTTCAAAGGAAATGATCACTAAGTATTTACCTGCCCCACTGCCTGAAAATAGATTAATGATTTGCGGCCCACCAGAAATGAAGAAGAGTCTCATTCAATTGACACACGAGTTAGGTTGGGAGAAGACTGAGATGAGATCTCCACCTACTGACCAGGTTTTCTGTTTTTAAGCTATTACTGTGAAAGTATAAACTGAAACAAAGAGAAAAAGACAAACCTCTAGCCGAAGAAAGGGAAATAAAAAGAGAGAACACAAGAAACTAAATAAAAATATAGAAAAAAAATTACATAATCCAAATAAAGGAGTCTCTTATTTATATCAGACAGCCAAAAATTTCAGAATGATGTTAGAATGTCATTCATGTAAGGTGGAACTGGCCAAGGTTGTTGCATCTTGGTTTAGTATTAAAGTCAACTCAGCTCAATGAGCCGGAATTGTGAAATTACCGGGAAAAAATAGAGGGGACGGAGGAGTAAGAGGCTACTTATGCCTAAGGACTGTGTTATCCTCGGAAGGCAGATAGAATCATACCTGTGCCACATCTGTCTACCTTGTTACTAAATAACGGAAGCAGGCACCATTTGCTAGACCACGCCGCATTGTTGCAACCACTTTAGTTCCATTACGATTTCTCGCTATTTACGTGAGCTTTTCTCAGTGATAACAAAAATCTGTTGCAATACTAAGATAAATATATAAATATATAAATATATAGATATATATATATATATATGTATATCTGAATACTAATAAATATTATGTTTTCATAAATCTTGTATGACAACAAAATATTCACTATTTAAGTCGGTAATTAAGTTTGTTTTTACTATATTATGCATGCATGTGTCAAATCGGGAAACCACTCTCTAGAGTATTTCTCCGCCGATTCGCTCCTCACAAGAGCACCACCCAAAGAAAAGCTCCTTAGCCCTGTAGACCTTTCTCTGGAGTATTATCTTCTGGGTTTGAATTGTTACTGCTCCAGTGAAGTATTTGATACAATTTACCTCCATCCCATTGGTCACTTCATCAGATCTTATTATTTAGTTTCGGATTTAATGTTTCATTAAATCCTGAATCCGTCTCTTATCGACAGGCTCGCATTTGGTGTCAACGTGTGACCCTTTCCTGTGGTTGTTTCCTTGCGTGTTCCAATTAGAATAAAGTATTTGAAGGTTGTGTCGGATGTCAATGTTAATTCGGAACTTAATTCATTCCTAAATAATAAAGCAACCTTCTCTTTGGGGTATACATAAGATGAAACTATTTTTCTTCTAGACTTTTTTCTACTTTTATTTTACTCAGCTTGTACATTTTTCACCAATCATAATCTTGATATATGAACAATTATGTCTGAAACTGTTTTAGTGACTGGTGGTACTGGCTTTTTTGGCACCCATTTTCTTTTGCAACTTTTGCAACAAGGTTTTGTAGTTAGAACTAGTGTTAGAGATCTCTCAAAAGTAGGAAACGTTAAAAAATCTCTTGTGCTTCTGGGTATCAGCCAAGATACCTTGGATGAAAACCTTCAATTCTTCAAAGCAGATCTTATTAGAGATGACGGCTGGAAAGAAGCAATTAGTGGTTCTGACTATGTTCTTCATGTCGCATCACCAGTTCCCTTAGAACAGCCTGAAGATGAGAATGATATCATCGAACCTGCTGTGGAGGGAACACTTAGAGTAATCAAACTTTCTGAAAAGTATGGGGTTAAGAAGTTGATATTTACTTCTTCCTTTGCTGCAATTGCATACGGGCAAACAGATGGAAGAGTTTTCTCAGAGAAAGATTGGGGTATTCCTGAAAATGTCCCTCAAGTCTATCATAAGTCAAAGATTTTAGCCGAAAAAGCAGCTTGGGAATACGTGAAATCGTCAAGTTCTGATATGAAGTTCACTGTTATCAATCCAGTTGGAACATTTGGTCCAACATTGCCAGAAGGACCAGCTCCTTTGACACATGAAATTTTTAACAGGCTCTTAAATGGCTCCATGGCACTGGGGGCTCCAAAATTTAATTTTGGTGTAGTCGATATTCGAGATGTAGTTAAGATTCATATTCAAGCTATGAAGATGCCATCCACTGACAATGAAAGATATTTATTGGCTGCTGGCGAGGGCGAAACATCTGCTTTTGAACTTTCTCAGCTCTTGGCCAAGAATATTCATGATGGAAGAGAAGCTAAGTTACCCACAAGAGAAATTCCAACCATGTTTTTAAGATTTGTAGGATTATTTCTGCCTCAAGTAAGGCAATTCTTACCTGCGCTTCACGAGAGGAAATTGTACAACACAGAAAAGGCAAGAAAGACGTTCAATTGGATTCCAATTGACGTGGATACAACTTTGCTTGAATCTATTAAAAAATGATTTTATTAAATGTGAATTAAGTAATCCATAGATAGTTATATGAGAGAATAAATTATGTTTTAACTTTAATCGTTGATGACACTTCTGCAATTTTGATCGCACCTACTTGTTTTTTTGATAAAGCGTGTTTGCATTGATAGAGCAGCTTGAGAAATTGAATAAATATTTTCCCCTTATAAAATATATACAATAGTGCTTTTATTTAGATATATCTCCCTTTCCTATGTCATTGGATAGGAATACATTCGTATTAGATTTCCTGTCCCTATGCTGCAAAGCTTGTTTTCTGATACCAAGAATATGCAGTGATTTTTCGTATCACTGCATGATGCTGCAGGAGAAAAAATTCGGAAATTCGGAACATAGCCGCTCCAGTGTCCGTTCAGCATCTTCCGAAACACCTTAGATGGTTTATATACAATCAATATAAGTACAAGAAAACGTATTCTCTCAAAGATATACTATTCTGATTAGTATGCTTACACTTTTTTCCATTCAATAATATATAAATAATACAATGAGCGAAACAGTTTTGGTTACAGGAGGTACAGGATTTGTTGGGGGCTACTGTATTTTGCAGCTATTGCAAGAAGGCTACAATGTCAGAACGACTATTCGTGACCTTAAAAAAGAAGATGCATTGAGGAGCACACTTAAGAAGCTAAACATAAACGAAGAGGTTTTGAAATCAAGGTTTCAAGTCTTCCAAGCTGATCTTGTTAGTGACCAAGGTTGGCCGGAAGCTTTAATAGGTTGTGATTATGTGCACCACGTCGCATCTCCATTACCTTTACAACAGCCGAAAGACGAAGATGAAGTAATTAAACCTGCAAAGGAAGGCACTCTTAGAGTAATCAAGTTTTCTGAAAAAGCCGGCGTCAAAAAGTTGATCTTTACGTCTTCATTTGCAGCAATTGGATATGGACATCCCGATGAGAAATATTTGACAGAGGAAGATTGGGCTGTTCCTGAGAAGGCCCCGAATGCTTACATAAAGTCCAAGGGATTAGCTGAGAAGGCTGCTTGGGAGTATTTGAAAACTAGTGGTAGCAATATGAAATTCACCACCATAAATCCAACCGCCATATTCGGTCCCAAATTACCAGGAGGGAATCCTGCCACTTCACAAATTATGGAGAAGCTCCTTGATGGGTCAATGGCATTAGGATGTCCCAAATTTTCATTCGGTATAATAGATGTGAGAGACGTTGCAAAAATTCATATTTTGGCAATGAAATTGGATGCTACTGACAATCAAAGGTATTTGTTAACATCAAGAAGTGAAGAGTCCTCACTATTAGACATTGCAAGTATTATACGCAAGAATGTAGACGAGGAGAAGGGTAAAAAATTGCCAACTAGAGAATTACCAACTATTTTATTAAGGTTTATGGGCCTCTTCTCCCCTCAGGTGAGAAATATCTTGTCTACTATTAGAGACAAAAAAAGATACAATGGCCAAAAGGCAAGGAAGGACTTTAGTTGGGTCCCAATTGATCCTGAAATCTCTATAATGGATACTGTTAACGGTTTGGATAGCTAAGCCAACACTTCTGGTATAGAAAAGTGTGTCAGAACAACTTTAAAATTAATCTTGTGAGTTGAAGAAATCCACCGCGACATTATATATTGTATAATATAACTTAGAGAACAATAAAAAGAGCACAAATGTTAGTGAGATACCGTAAAACGTATTCAAAAGTATAGCAAGAGCTATCACAGCACATTAGAACTCAAATACTGAGTGTTTACAGAAACTCTTAGCAGTGAAGGGAATGGTATTAATTATATTCTTTCACATCTAAGAACCTGAAGTGTTCCAGGCTCAACAGTTGATAAACACTGAGCACAAAAGTACGGAGTTTTATATGCAGCATTTTCTGTGATTGAAAAATGGCCATCACACTCGAGATCTTTTACATTTTTTAGATGTAAGCTGATTCGTCCTGTTTCCCATATTACCATAATTTCAGCTAAAATGAATGACTATAGAAATGATAAATCCACCTGTACATTTTATACAAAGATAGGGGCATGTAGACATGGTGAAAAGTGTTCGAGAACTCATGTGAAACCCCTTTCCTCAGACACATTACTATTACCTAATCTATACCAGAACCCCAAATTGAATAAAAATGAGGGCGAAGAGCTCTCACAGAAACAAATACGAGAATACTTTGATCACTTTTACAAAGATATATTCTTAAAGTTTGCATCTATCGGCGAAGTAGACTCTTTAGTCGTATGTGAAAATGAAAACAACCACCTAAATGGTAATGTCTATGTTAAGTTTACTAATAAGGATACTGCATACAACGCCTGCTTAGACTTGAATCAATCTTGGTTCGGAGGAAGACCAGTACATAGTGAATTATCACCAGTAGAGAGCTTCAGCGATGCTAATTGCCGAGCATATGAAACAGACAGTTGTAATAGAGGAGATCACTGTAATTTTATGCACATAAGGAAACCAAGTGGCCAGTTAAGGTCAAGTTTGTACAGGTCGCAGGAGAAGAGGAAAATACTAAGGGAATTGAAAGACTTGGGCTACGAGATTGGGAACGATGCAAGCGAAACCAGCAAGAACACCAATCCGAATCCAAGTATCAATAGTAACGCAAATAATGAGAATTCCGACTCGATAGATTCAAAATCATCTATAAACCAACCAACTACATCGGAACCCACTACGTCAGTGGCAGCAGTCGCAGCCTTATTTAAGTAAAGACTAGGGACAGATGATTTTGTCTGTTCGCGAGGCAGTCCAAATTCAAGGAACGGAGATCGAAGTCAGGCTTAAAAAAATGCTGAATTGAAAGGTATAATACAAGGTTAGGTTAAAGGGTTTTATGGTAGCTGTATGAACCTCGAGGTAGGTATGCGCTACATGTCCGATGCAAGGAAAAATAGAATGTTCTCCATGATTTTCAATTCCGACATGGAGTTCAGCATGAGCTCGAGAGCATCTTATCACCGCAGGCTGGATGCGAAGCGAAGAAAAGCCCAGCCCAGGCTAGGAACCAATCGACGTAAGAACCATGTACACTCTACGTGGAAACATACATAATCCCGTATATAGAATCACATACAGTATTTAAATACAGGCGCCAAAGCCCTATAATAGAAGAAATCAGATCGTTTCTGGAAATTTAACCTATCGGGTCCTTTTCTTTTCCTTTCTTTATCTGGTTGATCAAGCAACCGTAGAGCATCAAATTCATGGGGAAATTGCGCGCATTTGCTAAACTGCACGCCATTATTCCCGATTTCTAATGCATGAATTCAAGCAAAGGAATTTACACCGAATCATTATACTCTCTTAGTCGTCCCAGAGGAATTGATTTAAGCCCGAGCGAAAAGTTGAAATCCGCTTTTATCTTTCTTTATATTCGCAACACCACACTGCAAGGTTTATACTCATTCCTTCATACGTGATGCTGCTGATATCTATAATTGGACTAAAATCCCATGGTTTCGTCCTCAGCCGAAAATCTATTTTCGCTTGGTACCAAAATAGAATGTACACCAGCTCGCCTGGGGTTTGGAAAATAAAACTTAGAAGTGACAAGCTAAACTTCATTAGAAATAACGGAAACTTATATTCAAATCCAGCCAAATATCCTGTACAACGTAATATGAGTACCTCAAGTAATAAAGGTCCAAACGAAGAAGTTCACAGTCACTCACATGCGGAAGAAACTCTGTCTTCTGCTGATTCGCATTCCCACTCACATTCTGGTGGTAACTTGTTTAGCCATTCACATTCGCATTCACACCAGTCCAATGAACTCCTCATGGCGGCCTCCAAGGATGGATTTTTCAAGAATCCTGCTGTTAGAATCACTTGGATTGGGTTATTGGTCAACATTGGAATGGCTGTGTCTAAGGGAATTGGAGGTGTGTATTTTCACTCTCAATCACTTATTGCAGATGCTATTCACTCAGTCTCAGACATGGTTGCTGACTTTTTGACGCTTGCAACGGTGAACGTGTCAGAGAAAATTGGCTCCCCAACTCATTTCCCGTTAGGATATGGAAAACTCGAAACAGTTGGCTCGCTTATGGTCAGTGGGGTGTTGCTTTTCGCCGGTATTTCTGTTGGTTGGTCTTCCATGTTGAGTATCTTTGAGTACACATTACCAACATATCTCTACGAGTACGCATCTATGATTCAAATAGGACATTCACACTCACATACTGCATTGCCAACTATTGATGATGCTAGCCATGGACATAGCCATAGCCATAGCCATAGCCATATGGACGTTGCTAACTCCAATATTGCTGAAGGTATGGACACTCCAATTTCGTTGGCTGCTCAATCGCCTTCGATCGCTGGTGCCTGGTTAGCTGGTGCATCTATTCTTGTTAAAGAATTGCTCTTTAGGAAGACAATGGCGGTTGCAAACGAAACCAATTCTAAAGTTTTAGTTGCCAACGCATGGCACCATCGTGTGGATTCCCTTACGTCTATGGTTGCTCTCGTTACTATATCTGGAGCATATCTCTTTAACGTGGCATGGATTGATTCAATTGGTGGGTTATTTGTGTCTATTTTAATTATCAAGACCGGGTGGGGCTCCTTCTTGTCTTCATGGTATGAGCTTGTAGATAGAGGAGAAGATCCATCTAGTGAGATTTATACCAAGATTATGGGCATCACAAAGAAAGAAGTTGCAGAAGTGGCCGGTAGCGGTTTTGACATCGCTAAGTTATCAGTATTGACACTGGGTGCCAATTCAAATATTTATGTTACGCTTGTTGAAAACCAAGGTAAAGACTATCTGCTTAAAGAATTGAATGCTATTGAATTGAAACTTGTTGAGGCCATGAAAAGAGAAGACAAGTTTATCAAGAACATTTTCATATTGTTTAAGTACAATAAAGAGGCTTAACTGTGAGCTTTTCAAACAGCTTCGACTGGACTTGTACATCAACTAAGGCTTTTTTTTAATACTCATGTATATATACCCTTTATTTTAGAACAATTTACATTAGTTTCAACATTTATTTATTTACTGTATTATATTTTCTAATTACAAGAGAGTACAAATCATTACTTAATTTATAAACTGAGTTATATTTACTTTTTAGACTTCTTAGTCTTCTTTTTTGATGGGTTTGATCCATTGATGAATTTTAAAATCTCATCAACTGATTGCGAGGCGATAGCAGGATCTGACACTGGAACTTGTTGTTGTTTCTTTCCAGATTTCTTTCCAGTAGCAGGCTTAGCTTGAACTTGCTGTTGAAGTGCCTGTTGAGCAGCAATTTGTTGTTGAGCTTGTTGTTGAGCAACATTCTTCTTTTGCTCAGCAATGTACTTGAGGTGATCTTCGAATTTACTTACAAGTTCATTTGTCTCCTTAGAGAAAACATCATCTGGACCAATGGATAAATTGAAGATTTCATTTGCTTTCTTAAATTGTTCCAATGAACCTTGGATATCACCGGAAGTGAAAATGGATCTGGCAAATCTATACCTGATCATACCACTTACTTGGGATAATTCTCCATTTAATTCATCAGAGACCTCCAATACCTTTTGGTATAAAGCATGACTTTCAGTAAACAATTGATGGGTGGATAAAGTCTCTGCTAAGTTGCTTATGGTATTGATAGAAGATGGATGATTAGATCCATACACGCGGTTCCAATCAGAGATTACTCTACTGTATAATTTGAAAGAACTCACGGGGTCGTTGTTAGCACCTTCATAAAAAGATGAGTTAATGTACGCCAACACTGAATTAAAAGAATCAAATCCGGAAATTCTTTCAGACAAGATACAAGTCTTTCTAGCAAAATTGCAAGCTTCAAATTTCAAATTCAATTCAGAATAAATCTGTGCAATAGAACCATAAAACTTAGTAGTCTCTGGGTGAACTCTTCCGTAAATTTGCTCACTGAATGAAATTAATTCATTTAATAACGTTAATCCAACTTCAGTTTCGTTTTTGTAAATGTGAACTCTGGCTGCTTCGTAAATTTCATCGAGTAAAGTCGATTTATAAGTAGAATCCTTAACAATTGGAACAAAAGATACGATATCTTCACCAATGAAAATGCTAGTTCTAGCTTTAGTGACAACTTGAGCGCTTGTAGGTTTCTTCTTATTCTTGCTCTTTTTAGAGGAAGATGTAGAAGTAGAAATGGTTGAAACTTCACTTAAGGCATTTTTTGACTTTTCGAATTCTTCCTTATTGAAACCATACGTTTGAGCTTTCCACTGAATACCATACTTTATAGCAATTTCTCTCAATAACTGAGCAGGTCTAACCAATTCTGATTGCCAGTTTTTAGGTAAGGTATATCTGAAACGAATGAAAACTTCTTTGGTAACCATTTCAACAACTTGATTAGAAGTAAGTTTAGAAAATGCTAAATCTTCATCAGAGAACAAACCAGCCATTTCTGGTTCAATGTGGACTTCTGGTGCCGATGAAATTGAGCCTCCTAATAAACAGTTATGGAAATGGGAAACAAAGTGAGAAGTAAGATAAATTGGCAAACCAGATGATAGTTGACGTAAAAGATGCTTTGAAGCTCTAGCTACCATTTCTTGAATAGAGATTTTGTAAAGAGTATCCAAGTTGGCAAGTGTAAGTTCAAATTTACCATTAGAACTTTCATCATCCTTCTTTTCATCTTTGTTGTCGTCCTTCTTTTCTTCATCCTTCTTTTCCTCCCTGTTCTTTTCTTCAGCTTTTCTTCTTTCAATTTTTTCCTTGTTGTTTCTTACTACATTTTCAAATGCTGTTTGCTCTTCATTTTTCTTTTCTAATGCCTTCTCAGCAACATAACCCAAGTATCTCAAATTGATACCTTGGTCATGCAAAGATTTAGATAAATGACTACCATCAAATGGTGCAATTTGACTTGCAGTTTCATTCAAGAATTCAGGAATTAATTGCTCCTTAATAAATTTACTTAATTCTCTAACTTCATTTTCGTCTTCAACATTGACACTAGTGTTACCATGAGCAAAGGAATCTGGGTTGAAAACAATCTTGTCGGAAGGAATAACAAGTTGAGGTTTTTCCTCACCTTCCTTTGCCTTTTCCCCATCTTTTTCTAATCTGTCAGCCTCTGCCTTTATCAAGACTGAGACTTTTCTCTTCCACCATTCTTCAACTGCTTCATGTCTCAATACAGTCTCACGATGAGGGTAACTAGACTCGGTATTTTCATTCCAATTTTCTTCGATGAACTCTATATCAACTGGAGTGGTTCTATACAAGTCCATAAGATACTTACGTCCATCACTTCCCTTGATACCCTTAGTGTCTCTGGAAAGAACCAAATTTCCAACAACATCTTTGGAAACCCCAACTTCATGAGACTTAATGTGAAGTGCTTCAGCGATCGGCTTCAAAACCTTTTCGAAGCTTTTATCTTCATAGATTGCAGTTCTATCCACAGAAAGACCATAAGAAACCTTGTTGCCACTATTTTCATCAGCTTCTTCACTTTCAGGTTCTTCTTGTTGTTCACTATTGAAAATACCAGGAACTGGTGCTTGACAAACAATTCTCTTTCCCATATAGTCAACGATGCACGTAACTAAACTACAAACACCTGGAACGTCAAACTTATTCAACATCTTGATACTAGCCAAATCTTTAGAAGAAGTATATCTAGCAGCTTCATTACTACCAGTGTGATCGAAGGCACCAGAATCGTTCACATTCATGAAATAGAAAATTCCATTTCTCAAGTAAACATTTCTTTCAGGTTCATCTTGAGGGTTAATAGATGGAACATCTCCACGGATTATGTTCATTGCAGTTTCGGTAGCAATCTTGGTAAATTCGAATGAAGATTTATTCAACAACTGTTCACGTAAGATACGTTCATCAATTGATTCTTTTGATAATTCCTTAATAGATTGGATGTCCTCATTCCAATCTCTGACATTAGAAGAGCCATCAACACCATTATACAACAAAGGTAATTGAGATCTTGATATATCTGGCTTAACCGAAGTAGTCAATTCTTGAGGACTGATACACCAAGGATGAGCAACAAATGAATTTGATGGAATCAAATAAGCCTCTGGGTAGTTTGGAGAGAAGACTGACAACTTTTGCTCATTTTCTTCGATTGTCCTAGAAAATAAAGGTGACAAAGAAGAAACTAAATCAAACAAATTGAAATCTTTATGGTATTTTCCAACTTCATTAACTTTCAATGATGGGTTGAAAGTTGCGATCGAGCATTTGTTGACAAAGAAACCACTCATGTGACAAGTAATGTTGACAGTGTCGTTTTCCAACGTTTGAATGGTCAAGTATAAAAGATCACCCTTGACACGCTGAGATGGTGGAACGGGAGCCCATTGAGACAAACTCAAGGACTTTACTGGCACCTTCAATTGGCTGTACGCAGACTTAAATGAAGCGTACTCGGCGAGTGAATCAGTAAGGGAGTAAATCGAAGAAGAAATTGAAGCGAGCACTTCCTTATCCTCTGGAGACAATGGAGCAGGTTGTTCAGGTTCTTTCTTTTCTTCAGATTTCTCTTCAGAAGTCTCTTTCTTTTCTTGAGGTTCTTCAACTTGCTGTTGGACTTCCTTTAAGCCCAATGAATTGAACTTAGTAGCACCACTCAAAGTACCCAGACTGAAAGCATTTTTATCAAGGAAGTTCAAACCAATAGATTCTCTGAATTTTTCTAAGTGTTCATACACGGAAGACAAAGTGTAAGATTTTTCCTTCAAGCTTAAAGAAATCAGTCTATTAGCGTCTGCGGTGGTAGCCTTGTCTAAGGTAACATTCAATTCTTCAATAATCGATTCCAAAGTGAACAAATCATCGAATTGCTTACTTAAGTTGGTCGAGTGATAGAAAATGTCGTAGCTGGTGAAGTTCCTGAGGATATGAATGATGGCAAGAGACTGTTTCAACTCACCCAAAGTGGCATTCAAGGTAGATGGAACAGAAATGGTCGAAGTGGTAGATTTATTGATACAAGATGGTAGTTGGATCTTGATATCTATAACCTCCACATCGATCGCCTGAGGCTGAGCACCATTCGGTACTTCAGAGGTAGCTACTTCAGACATTTTGTAGATGCTTTACTGGTCTGGAAAGGCTGCACAAACTTGAACGGAACACTTTTCCTTTCTCCAGTTTTCCTCTGGTTCCGAACCTCGAGAATTTTTCAGAATTTTTCATGTAGGCATGATTTTGTGTCACTTGGAAAAGGCTGCAAAATTGAGAGCCCAAAAAGGCGTTAGAAAAAAAAAAAAAAAATAGAAGAAAAAAGGAAAGACTTTTAAAGTTGGCACGGGGACTGTATGGGGGACTCGCTAAGAGGGCTTTAATAGTGTAGAATTGGAGTTGGCAAGAACTAATGATAAAGCTTATGCGACCAGGAACCCAAATAATTATATAAATCGAGCAACGAAAAGAAATTAATGTAAGTTTAGCCACTCTTTATTGCCTCTAGGGTTCACATACCAGAGCCAATTGAAGCTCAGCAATGGGTAGAGCATTGGTTTGGCTTTCATGGGAGTTGAATAGGCGCTAATAATATTAGGCGCTAACCAAAGCATGGGTAATTCTACATAGGAAGAGACTCCAACACCTAGCATCCCAATCATGTGTTACCAGTTTCGAGTTCAATTCCCCTCCAGCCTTACCCCTTTAAGGATCTCCTCCCCATGTAGCCCCTCTAGCACATTCCCCCAATACTCTTATCTACAGATCAAAGACGCTGTGGTGGCAAATCTAGGGAACTCTTTCTCAAGTTGCACGCGCACTCGCTGGAGTTAAACTAGCGGGTCTAAGCTCTTGTTTTCTCCCAGACCCGTTTCCTGCACCCGCGAAAATCCGTCTTGCTGCTCAGGAACAAGATGGTGCGAGCGCAGAGCTGGGCACCATTGTCCAAACGACTACAGGAAAGCAAACCTATATCCATTCCTCATTAAACCAAGGCATCTTGTCCTCCTTCTCATAAAATAAGGGTCTTCTTTGCTCTGCAGACCCTGACTCTTCCATATCCCTTGGCCCTACTTCTTCCCTTTGTTTACCAGCTAGTGCGTTGACTCCTAGTCATTTTACTCTCGCCCCAGTCATCATATTTTTCACTCGCTAAGGAAATGCGTCACTAATTTTTGAAAGCGCCCTATCATTTCAGCCTATCTCCGTAGTCCTAAATGTCGCACCCGTAATATCCCGCTGCTCACAGGTAAACAGAAGCCTTCAGAAGCCAAAAAAAACTTTTCAACGCTAATTTTTATTTTCCATTCCCGCACCCGAAAGTTTAATGGAGAAATAAATCCATCAAGGACCGGACTGATATAAAGAACACAACAGAACTGGATACATACGGCTGTTTAATCGCATAGCTGATATATTTCTAGATATACCTTCACTATATATTTATTACCAAGCTCAATTAAGCGAGCTTTTGTGGTTCGGTGTTCCTTTTATTAGACCAACTTGCTACTTCCCTATTGATTCATCTCTGCTCTGAGGTATTGTGGCCTAGGCTAAGGAAGTAAAGTATTCAAACATAACTTAACTTAAACACAACAAAGTACGGAAAGTTACCAACAAGATGGTCTTTTCTACATTTGTCAAGCATGCAAAAGCACATTCGGCTTCAAAACCGCAGTTCTTCGAAAGCTCGTACCCCTACCTTAAGAACTACAATGCACTAGTGAACTTTGAGACGTTTTTCCAGAAGACTGCCTTTGGGAATGGAGGCCCACATCCCTCGTCCACGTCGGACCATTTCTTCGGCATAGATAACGGACACTATGGACTCTACTATACTATGTTCAACCATGAAGGAGATAAAAAGAAAATATACCCTGTCAACTACGAAGACAGAGAACTCCAACAGCACTCAAGGAACATAGATGATCAGATCTCGCAAGAGCAGTGGGAAACGTTTTTCATTCTGAAAGTTGCTAGAGAAACACTTGACAACGTAAAGAGCATACAGCTGATAAGCAAGAAGTTTTTATCGCCTGTGCATAGCCCAGTCAAACCTTCACAATTCATCTACCCAAAAAGGTATTTCACTAGTGCTGCTATAAATGCCAGGAAACATGATGAACTTAGACAGGAGTCCAAATTGCCTGTCATAGAAGAACCTACTGCAGTCCTCGAGGAAGAAATCTCTACCAAAGAGCCGGCAGTGCAAGAAATAGACACATTCGAAAGTGACCTTCTTTCATCACAAATCACTCTGATTATCAACCATTCTAAGAGTTCCAACATAGAAAACTTGAACGAAATATACCCCATTTACCAGAGTTTGAGAAGAAATGACCTTGAACTCCCTAGCATAGAGTTGTACAACACTGTACTCTCGTCCATCCTTCATAGAGCCTGTGACAATGACTCCGCTTCATCTTTGGCTCAAATCGAATCTAGATTGACGAACTTATTAACAGTTTACCAAGATGTAATAAACTCCTCTACAGTCAAGCCCACGGCAGAGACATACAGTATCGTTCTTAATGGTTTGATTAGAGGATGTAAACAGACAATAGATATATGTGGAAACGTCAGCATGCCACAACACATCACAAAACAGGCATTCTCGAAGAGTGAGGAGTTTTTGAAGGTTACGACTGATTTGTTCTTATGCATTAAACAAAAACAAGAAGAACTTGACTTGGTTAGTTTTGTCATATGCTTAAATGTACACAGTAATCTTGTGAGCCTTGAGCTTTTCAACAAGATCGACCAGATGCATGAGCTTCAACAGGAAGACAGCAGTTTATATTATGCTGGGATTCTTAACTTAGTTCCCTACTGCAACATTCAAGACAAGAGACAATCGTTTAATCTAATTCAAGAATTGTATTCAAGCTACAAGAATTCTGTTAAACCTGGCAAAATTGCAGCCGAATTTATCATCTATTCAAGCTTAGTCCAGAGTTTAGTGAAAACAAACAATTTAGCGTATGCCACTAAATTTGTTGATGAAATTATGAATGATTACAAGCATAGCAAGGCTGCCGTGTCACCTGCCTCAAAGAGTGACATTTCACTTTTGTTATCCACCTACTTGAAGTCACTTTCAGATGTAGATTTACCAAGAGCGTTCGATTGTTTAGAGAAATTTAACAAGGTTCCCTTCATACCTGAATTCTCTATTGATTTATACAATGAGATCATTAATAAGTTTATTTGGCAATACAAGGAAACGTCGAATCCTACAATTTATGATATTATTTGGAAATTGCACTCTTATGTTGCGATCAGAAAGGATTACCATGACGTACAAACCAAATCTGATTACGAAACTGTGTTGAATACTAATCATATCCACTACCCTGTCGTCAGAGACTCATTACTCTCAATAAGTATTGACTTAGGTGATCATGAAAAATGCTTCCTTTTGATCAAGGAAATCCTTCTCAAGAATCATATGATCAAAGATTTCAATATTTTCCGTAAGTTGTTGTCTTACTTACATAATGGATCTTACTATGAGACGGGTAAGATGAATTCGTATTATTTTGAATTAATGTGGAACTTTATCGAAACTCAATCCAAGCACTATTCCAAAGATTCTTCATCTCTCAATTATTTCCTTAGTGGTGTTGTTCAATTCCTTACTAGTAAATTAGAAAACGATGACAAAGCCATGAAAATGATCTTAAATAGTGAGTTTGTTGCCAAGTCCTTTCAAAGATTCAGATTGGAAACTGATAATATATACGGCCTTATGAACGTCTCCAGAGATTTGATGAAGATGGAAAACTTGCAAAAGAGCGATATCCAGAAAATTATCCAACTTCAATCCTATCTTATCAACGAACTTGAGGACACTGAAAATTATTACTTAGAACTTTCAGATGAAATTAAGGAGTTCACGCTACAATTGAAGAGGGTTTTTGTGATGTCTATTGAAAAGAATTTCAAAGATTTAGATTTCTCGAAGGATATCCTTGAGGCTTGTAAAATTTTGAATGTGGAGTCTCCAATTAATTTACCATCATCTATTGATCAGTTATCGAAGGATTATAAGATTGATCTTTCATATATCTTGAACATCAATTATGAAGTTGGATCCGAACAATTTGTTCAATATTTTCAGAAAGGATATAAATTCAATTTTGAAACCTGGAGAATAATCATTAACAGTACTTTTACTAGTGACGTTTTACAATTCAACGATGATGTTAAAATTTCTCAATTTATTGAAAGGATCTATTTACTGTCACTAGAATTAAACCAACTTGATGAACTCTTAGTACAATTAGTTGAATTGAATAATGAAAGGATTAATATTGCATTTTTAAAGGTTTTGATGAATAGTGACGCGAATATTGATAGGCCATTAACCTCATTGTTGAAATTCTGGAGAGTCAGTGGAATAGAAAACTTGTACTTGAAAGATTTGATTATTGAAAATTTTGAAAACAAGCTCTTGGTGAAGACAGCTAACAAGAATTTGGTTTTGAATGAATATTTGAAGTCATTAACGGCCCATAAAGAATTTGAAAAGATTTTGGAATTCGACGTTAAAGAGCTTAATCATTCTGAGACAGTGGACTTATCAATTATTGAATCCGTCTTGAATGCTCACCTTGAGTTGAAGGAGTTCGTGACATTTGATAAATTATTCCGCAAAATTTTCGCTTCCAAAAGTTTATCAATGAACAGTCAAATAAAATCTATGATGAATGACTTATTGATTAAGTATTTCACGAACAAGGGATCATATCAAATAGTGATGAAGAAATTTGGCGATGCCAACTTGAAGCCAACTTACGCAAGAGAGCTTATTTTTTTTAATCAATTTATGAATTCCGTTGATTCAAATGAACAGCAGCAACACTACGCAATTAACTTGTCTCATGACTTAACGATGAAGGAGTTGACTTACAAGTTGATTTCGTGCAAGAAATTAGGAGAAATGAACGACTTGTATAACTCAAACGTGAAAGTGCTCAGGCGCAATAGAGACGAAGTAATACTCGAAGCCTTTGATAGCTTTGTTAGGGCAGGTACCATATTGAAATCACAAGAACAGAGTATTCACACACGTTTTCAAACATTTTTAAGTTTCCTTAAATTAATCAAGTTCACAAAATTAAATTCAGAGCACTTAGTTAAAGTGATACAATTCTATTCAGCGATAGACAAACAAGATCTTATTAATATCTTGATGAATAAAATTGCGTATCCAACAAAAGCTGGTACTTACAACATCTCGCCTATGTTGGATTATTACTTTTTCGAGATCCCATTATACAACTCTACAAGAGTTGAGCTCTCCAATATTTTCAGAGAATTTCACAGAGTATTTGACAAAATAAAGGATCTTGCTAATGTTGAAATTGTCAATGATCTTTGCCTGCAGTATAAGATTGCGTTAAAAGAGCCAATGACTATAAACTAGTTTATTATTTATATACGTATGACATTTAATGATAGAATTATATTTATAGTATCTTATCTGTAGAACATCATACTTCACGTTTGGGAGATTGTACTGGTTGCTCAGAATTGGAAGGTCTTCTATAAGTTTATTGAAAAACAGTATAGACCGACTAACATTTGGAACTCTTGCAAGACATGAAGTGAAGATTCTTTGTTTCTTCCAGCAGGCGGATCAAATATTTTTTGACGCATATTTTCTCTGCATCGGTATATGAAGAATTTTCTCTGCCAAATGTGCATTGTGGAACTATGCTACGGCCGATAAACGAGGGGCACATTGTTACTATTCACCTTTAGGCTCAATAAACGGCCCAGTAAACGGAAACGTGTCACTTGAACTAGACCACAAAGTTGTCCTTCTGTTTGTATATTACCTCTTTCTGTCAAACGTGCACAACTGAAATATGTAACCTTGATTAGGAGGGGCCCTTTGTCAGTTGATGAACATTTTACTTCTCGGAGCCGATGGTGGGAATCACTCTTAGCAGATAATGGAAAATCAGCACCTACATAGCAATAGTGTTTGTCCGAATCAAACTAATTACCCCCCTCTCGTTGGCTTTAACATAGCACAATTGCACATCTAAGGTAGTCGAAATAACAGGTCGTTACCTGGCTCACTCATTGACATATTTTTCACCCCAATGTGGCTATCACATTTCGCAGCCTTTCTCCTGCACTAGTTAAGCCGCAGATATGTGGTGCCCTCTGTAGGCAGCTGGAGAGATCGACAGTGGGGAACAATGTAAGAGCCAAACTTAATTTAATTTAGACATATATAAATGAGTATTCTGCTCCGTATTTAACTTTTTCATTGCTAATATGTTCCTCACCAAAAGTTTTAATTGTACTAAACAATTTTATTTCAATACCCATCGAAGACTATTCTCAATGCAAGCACACTCTACCGCAGTCAACTCGTACGACACAAATCATTCAAGCTACGATCAATTTAGACCTTCGTTTAACGAACCACTTGTTGACGCATTCTTAGCAGATTTAAATTTAGTTGACACCAAGACTGGAAAGTACGATACGACCAAGAAAATTTTGGAACTTGCTTCAGGTACTGGTAAATTTACTAGAAGCTTGGTTGAAAGAGGATGGGACGGTAAAGGTGATAACTTGGTGGTAGTTGAGCCTTCCACGGGAATGCTTGATACTTTCCGAAAGAATTTTCCAAACATCACAGCTAAGCAGGGTTCCTCTTATACTCTCCCGATTGAAGATGCTTCGGTTGATGCTGTTGTGATTGCGCAGGGATTTCATTGGTTCTCTGATTTGGAATCCTTGAAGGAATTGAATAGAGTGTTAAAAAAGCCAAGCGGAGTCTTTGGTTGTATTTGGAATTTTGATTGTCCATCTCCACAGGCCCAGCAATTACTTTCCCTTGATAATGATAAGATCAATTACATATTTGAAGAGAATAGCTCGTCTAAGGAACATTTTGAATCATTGGTAAAAGTTTTACCGAACACACTCTCAAAGCCATACGACATTGCTCATGAGTTTTTCAAAATTTCACCATGGACATTGGAAGTCGGTAATTATGTGTACTCATATGATTTAGAAGTTCCACAGTACCGTCGTGGAGCATGGCGTAAATTACTTCAAGAAGAGGAAGCTAGAAAGTATTTCACACCCATTTTAAAGGAGAACTTCTCGTTTATCGAACAAAGTATTGAATGGGACTCAGTTTACAAACTATGGGAAACTAGATCTTACATTACCAAGTTGCCAGATGCTGAAAAATTGAAGTTAAAGGAGCATCTCGAAGGGCTTTTGACGAAATTTGTAACCGAGAAGGATAAATCAGTTAAAGATGGCAAAACATTCCTTAACAAAGCTCTAGGATCCCATACAATTGTTTTAAAAGCTAAATAATTTTTACATTGACCTTTTTCCTTTGAATATTTAAACTTAGATATATGATATATATACATGCAATTTATGAAGAAACTAATATATAATCTATGACTTTTTCTCCAAGGGGTTTCCAGGTTCTGGACGGTGATCTTTTCTTTGTGGCCTCTCGACGTTTTGCACTTGAACTACATCGTTTTCAGCCACTTGCTCCTTCTCTGCCGATTCTTTTGCATCGGGGTCCTCTTGACCTGCGACTTGCTTAAGTTTGCTTTTGAGTCTGACCATTTTTTGATCCAGGAGTTTTTTTATCTTTTCATTCCTTTCCCTTTCAGTTCGCTCCCTTTCTTCCTTTTCCTCTTGCGTCTCAATTAACTTAAACTTTGTGCTTCCTGTTACCCATACCTTGGATAAAAATTTATAATAGTTCACCTTTTCCTTAGGAAATTCGAAGAATTTCCCTTTGTCCTGTCCAGGACTGAACTTGCTTAAAGCCTTTTCGTAATCGAGAAAACCCAGATTTGGTCCGAAAACTTCATGAAATGGTGAATAATTATCAACAACATCAAATGCACAGTACATGTAACCGGAGCAAATGGATGTCTTGACCCATCCCTTTTGAGGGTTCCAGCCATCTATTTGATTTACTATTTGGTCAGCATCTGTAACGTACTCATTTATTTCATCGACGTCTTTTGGGCGGACCTTCCAAAACTTCTTGAACTCAGTCTCTTTGGTATTGTCGATCTCATTGCCCACAGATCTCAAATTAGGGAGTGGAGGAGGTACAATAGCATGTGTGATATGTAGTGGATTGTCAAACAAGCTTCTTAAGTCATTGTTGTTCATGTTCGTGTATGGAAATTTATTTCTATCACGGAAGTGTCCATTCTTTTTACAATAATTAAAGCCAGAGTTAACCCACAATAATTGTCCATCTGCGCTAACATGTCCAGGATGAGTTGAGCAAACCTCTCTAGTCATTGAGTTATTATAACTTACAAGATTTCGGCTCACTTGTAATTCACCCACACTAGCTGCCTCGTTTTCATTAAAAATATAATTTTCGTCTCCTGCTGCTGAAAACGCTATCCAATACAATTCTTTATCACCCCAAATAGAACTTCTAACTGGCTCTCTCCAAACACTTATCGGTAATGTCATGAGAATCCCCAAAAAATGCTTAGACTTATCGATAGCGACGACTCCAGATTCTTGTAAATGTCTCCATCCAGCCATATAAGTATTGTTTAATGTATGAGCAGTTACTACTGGGATCTTGAAGAGCTGTTCCATTGAATTTTGAGCACGAGTAGGCATTAAGTTAGTGAAATAATTAGTTTCAACATAATCATTAAAGTCTCTCAAACTTCTATCTCTGAAGAAGTATGCACCTTTCGAAGTATACTCTTTCATTCTAAAGAATTCTTCAGGTTCAATTAATGGAATAGTATCAGCATCAAACAAGAGGACATCTCTAAAGGAACAGAAGAATAAAGCCAATAACTTATTGGCATATCCGGGGAATTCATACTTATACGAATTATCTATAGTTTCCTTTATGTTCACGAACCAAAGATCTTGCTTTGGAAATTCGCTTCCGAACGTCTTCTTAATTTCTTTGACATCTTGAAGGTTAATTTCAGGGTATATGGATTTGTATTCTGTAGCTAAGCTTTCGTCCAAGAAGTCTTCGACTTCGTGACTAGCAGCCATCTTAAGATAGTCTCTATTTTTAGCGGTGATATCTCCCTTGTGTACGATTTGAATTGGGAGTTTATTATTCAAACCCCTCAAGAGCCTAATAAGCTTAATAAGATCTCTTGCGTGTCTGTTAGATGCTGAAATAAGGATACCCTTACCATTTGAATTGTCTTGCATGTATTCAAACAAATGATCCTTTCCAAATTCATATGGTTTAGTGGCTCCGGGGTATCCGTCTACTACACTCTCCCCAGTAACTGCATTTTCGAAAGACGGAAGCTGTCCGTTAATATATGGGAAGAATCTCTTAGCTAAGTCTTCGTAGAGCTCAGCATCCTTGTTATTTTTCTCCAAGAAGCACTTGCCGAAGAGTCTGATTAACAGGGTGGTTTCGACCATATTTCTCTGCGTGGCCATGGTCATATCAACTATTCTCTTGTATTCCTCTTCTATTGCGATATTGTCCTCTACAGTAATGACATCAGGGTTCGGTCTCTTAGCACTCTTCTTTTGCTCCCTAACTCTATCTCTCTGTAGTCTAAAGAAGAAGCCCTTATCCGTAATACTCTTATCATAGTTAAGATCCTTGCTGTACTTCCAATCAGGATTCTTTTGCCTCCAATGATTGAAAAATGCACCACATTGCTCACCAATGGGTAATTGTTCCCATTCACTTAGATCGTAAGTTGTCTCTGCTTTGGAACCAAGTCTCCTTCTTATTCCGCCGCTCTGCTTGTTCTGCTTAATTTTAGACTGATCCAGCTGTACAAAGTCTTCAAAGATATGATCTTGCTTGTTTGAGTAATGCAACTCCCTCCGTACCGAGATATCATTCTCTCTGAATCCTTCTATGCTGAATTTGTCTTGACGTTGGTACACAACGTCCATCATCTCCGACAACCCAGGGCTGCCAGAGAATATATATGTGAAAATGCATGAGGTTACTATGAAAAATGCTAACGATGCAAGTATGATTCTACGAATGGTTAGTCTCATAGCAATGCACTGTATTGGATATAATGAAGGATGTCTTTTGTTTTTTTTACCTATAACCCATTTAGAGAAAGAAGAAAGAATATATACAGAAGACAGATTTCAATTTATTCAAGACAATCTCTCGTCTATAAAAGTGCCCCACAGTGTTGCTAACCTGTTGTTACTCCGGATCACTTCTGGCTCTAAAAAAAGTTTTTTTTTTCCTTTTGTGGGATACTTTTTATTTTTCGAGCCTATGTCAGGAACATACATACAAGGCTTTGACACATTTTCCACTTAGTGAGATATTTCTAGGAGCTGCAGGGTGGGCAATTCTAGAAGGATATTGTATTGGTGGAATCTAGACAGATGAGCAAAGCGGTAATCTTGTAGTGCAAATCGTTGTACTTTTGGACATCATTGAAGAGAGTCACCATCTCGGTGGACTTTCAGCTTACCAGTAACAAGTGTAAGAATCGACACGAGACGCATCGTACCTGGGTATCAGCCTTGGTGCTTTGTCTTTCTTGCAGATGGTACGTACAATACACATGTGAGGTATGCGGGTTATGAGCTTCTGTCAAATTTCAGTGCGATTCTTCTTTCTTGAAGCTAAAGCTGTACGTCACGACTGCGCATTCATTTCCTCAAGGGGCATTCTTTTATTTAGGGTGTTAGGGTAGTTCATAACGGTCACTTTAGGTAGGCAGCTTGTCTGTGACCTGGTGTCGGGAGGTGTTTCTTTATTTACTAAGATTTTCGGTGTGTGGAGGGGCAACGCGGGGGTATTTTCATGTCGATTCTCTCTCATTTCGTTCTCATTCTCATTCTCATCCTCACTGGCATTCAAGAGAGTGTCCAGTAATTTTTCACTTGCTACGCCTATTCTGGGTTTCAGCCCCACCTGCTATTTCTTATTTGGATCTCCTGTCTCGGGATATGCTATCCCTGTTACGTTCGTAATGCCTCATGTGGGAGCAATTAGGAATGTCTAAACACACCTGAACTAGACCAAAGCCCTGTTTCGGCGTTTGAATTCAATGCAAATGGCAGAGAGTTTTTTTTCTTTCAGCAAGTAGGCCGTTTTACTTAGTTGACTGCGGCACCTTCCACTACTCTGGGGCACTGCGCACATAAAATCAAGCCATGTCCCCCACGCTCAGGTATCTAGTTCATAGGTGTGTATATCTGGTTCGTATGTGTGTACCTTCTACTTGCTTTTCCTTTTGTTCTTATTTTTTTCATCCTTTCACCTTTGCTTTCCACTAATTTGTTTTCCAATTCTACTTTCTCTTCGTCCTCCTAGATATGCTACATTACTACAACACTATCACCATTTAATATATTTGTTTATTCGTCAATACTTACAAAACTATCTTAACGAGCCTTACCTTCAGCTGCCTTAATGAAAATGATGTCACCATCTTCAACATAATAGTCCTTACCCTTTTGTAACAATTTACCAGCAGCTTTAACACTTGCCTCGTCCTTATACTCGATCAAGTCATCGTACTTAATAACTTGGGCCAAGATGAAAGTTCTTTGTAAATCACCGTGGATAGTACCAGCGGCTTGAGGAGCAGTGTACCATCTTCTAATGGTCCATTCTCTAACTTCATCTGGACCACCAGTAAAGAATGAAATCAAATCTAACTTAGATCTCATGGCAGTGATAATTTTTGGCAAGGCAGAAGTGGCACCAATCTTCTTACATTCTTCATTGGCTTCTTCAGTAGTCATGGTAGATAATCTTTCTTCCAAGGAAACACTGATTGGAACAATCATATCACCTGGAGAGTATTTATCAACCCATTCCTTGATTTGAAGTAAATGCTTATTCTTCTTTCTGATGTAATCCCTTTCAGACAAATTGATCAAGTAAATAGTTGGCTTTGCGGTTAAAAGGAACATTTGGTTGATTAATTCAACTTCCTTGGAAGTCCATTTTTGGTTGGCAACTCTTTGTCCATCTTCTAATAATTCAATGATTCTCTTGACTAATTCACCTTCTTCCTTCTTTTGCTTCACTTCCAATGATTGTCCACCTCTCTTGGTGATCTTTTCAACACCTTCCAAGTGCTTCTTGGCGAATTCGATATCTTTTAATCTTAATTCATCTTTAATAATTTCCAAATCTTGGTATGGGTTGACTTCTGACATAACATGGATAACGTCGGCGTCATCGAAGGCTCTGACCATTTGGAAAATAGCATCGACAGCTCTAATATTGGCTAAGAAATTGTTACCTAAACCTTCACCAGAGTGTGCACCCTTGGTCAAACCAGCGATATCGTACAATGTCATGAAAGCTGGAACCTCGGACTTTGGCTTGTAAATGTCACATAATGTGTCGAATCTTGGTGATGGCACAATAACTCTAGCTTCTTCTGGCTCAATGGTTGCAAAAGGGTAATTGGCTGGGTTACCTAATGGTGATTTGGTCACAGCTTGGAAAAAGGTGGATTTACCAACGTTGGCCAATCCAACGATACCGGACTTCAAGTTGTTACCTGGTCTTCCTAATAAGATTGGCTTTTCTTGAACGTTCTTCTTCTTTGGTGGCATGGTGCTTGTAATCTATTTATATTTATAGCAAACTGTATAAGATTCAATCAGAAAAAGCTTCCAAATGGAAAGAAGAGCTCCTTGCCATCTTCCATTTCGAACTTTTGGACTTCACTGCAACTCGCTGGTGTGCCTAAGTGAAAAATTCGCAAACTGCTAACAAAAATTTTTTTTTTTCTGCAAAAAATTTTTTTTTTTGGGATATTTTTGCTCTTCGACAAAGGAAAGATCACACAAAACTGGCCAGTACATGGATTTGAATTTTTAGTTGTTTTCCATGTCCTTTAGCAGTGTTACTCTTGGAACTTCAAAGCTAATCACTACATAGGCCATGATTTTTCGCTTGTATAGAGTCTCAAGCTCAATTCCTAGTGCCAGGAATCTCTCTACCTCTATAATACGTAGAAATGAAATACTCAAGTCTTCGTGTGTAGCAGGTACAGTTCTCAATTTGAAAATTAAAAAGAATGGTGATGAACCTGTGGCCTTAGAAGATAAAGAATACCCGGCATGGCTCTGGGATTGCCTTGATGCAAAAAAGTTGGACAGGCAATTGAAAAAAGAGGACTACATGAAGTGGAAAAAGAAGCAGGTGAATAAGGCGAACACCAAGAAGATCAAGAACAATAACTTCTTATCCAAGATGTAAGGTGTAGTATGGTCTTAATGAAGAAGAGTGAGAACTGAAAAATTGAAAAAAAAAACAACTTTGTATATAGTGAGGGAAGACAGTTGATTCAACGTAATAATAGTAAAACAATGCATGTAACATAGTACGATTAAGTCCACGAATGTAAGAGTTGAGATATAGGTTCTAGGAAGGGATCGAGTTTATCTAGCATGTAAGTAGTACGTACCCTTGGCAGGAACCAGCTTATGTACTAAAACCAAAACCACCTGCTTTTTCAACTACCACCATGAAATTCCGCACGCACCTACATATAACAGGCTGCAACTTCGGCCTGAATACTACTAATATATGTAATAATTAACGTTTATTATTCGAATTAGAAGTTTCTATTAGTAAATATATGAAAGGGTATCAAAAGGGTGTCATATTCTATGGGTATCACAGGAAAATTTACAGAATAACTTGTATATCTTCATCGTCAGTGTAGTTAATTTGGGCAATTGAAATTGTCTTTGCATCCAAGTTAAACAATGTGTAGCACGATCTTAAGAAATTGTCACCAAAAATCGGAGTTGCTGAGGAAACAAAACCCAAGGAACAAGTCAGTCCAGACTGTGTAATCAAACGTGTCAATGGAACTTCGATGTCCTTGGATTGGAATGTGAAAACAAGGTAATTATCATCAACCATTAAGGAACAATCCACTTTATACATACCGGAGCCTTGTAAGGTGGCATTAGGGTCCAATTTTAAGGCAATTTGCTTATTAAGAGCATCAGGCAAGTATGAATATGTTGTTCCAGAATCCAAAATGAACGACGTAGAGCTGACTTCAATAGTATCACTATCACTATCTGCACGCTTCTGTACTTCTTCTCTCACAATTTTGGCATTGACTTCTTCGTAAATTTTTCTACTTTCTCTCTTGTCAATTTTATCATCGGCAAGATCATCATAAGCTCCTTTATACTCCCTTCTTTTGAAGCTGAAGCCAAACAAGTTGCTGAAACTTTGTTGTATTCTAGCTAACAGTGATTGAATTTGTTTCACTATGTTGTTAATGATTGAAGTTGGCTTTTGACTGGCAAATCCTGCATTCGACCAAATGTTACACCATATATCGTAGGAAGCACATCCTGGTGATTGAGGAATATTAGTTGGAGTTGGAGTTGGGGTGGGAGTTGCTTTTGTGGTGGTTGTTGAAGTTTTCTTTGTAGTTGTCGAAGATATGATTGTTGAGCTCTTAAAAGATGTAGTTGAACTAGTCTTAACGGTTGAAGATGTCTTCAATGTCGAACTAGCCTGAACTGTTGAGGAAGGTTTTGAAGTTGAGCTTGGAATTGAAGATGAAGGCTTACTACTTGAGCTTGATTGGACCGTAGAACTAGGCTTAGAAGAGGAAGTGCTTGGGCTCGACAGTGACAAAGGTGAACTAGAAGATGTTGGCTTAGTACTAGAACTTTGAACTTCATTAGAAGAAGCTTTCAATGAGGACAGTGATGCTTGGGTACTCGAAGAGGGTTGTTTAGTGCTGGAACTTGGAGTAGCGCTTGGCGAAGTAATAACCGAACTGGAGCTTGGAGCTGTACTTGACGAAGTCGTTGATGTAGGGGTGGCCGATGATATCGATGAAGTCGAACTTGGAATAGTGCTTGACGAAGTAAGTACAGAACTACTAGAGCTTGAAATTGAAGAAGCAGCACTTGAAGAAGCAGCACTTGAAGAAGCAGCACTTGAAGAAGCAATACTTGAAGAAGCAGCACTTGAAGAAGCAGCACTTGAAGAAGCAGCACTTGAAGAAGCAGCACTTGAAGAAGCAGCACTTGAGGAAGCAGCACTTGAAGAAGCAGCACTTGAAGAAGCAGCACTTGAAGAAGTAACAGTCGATGAAGTGACACTTGACGAAATAGGAGCAGAACTACTGGAACTTGAAGGTCCACTAGATGAAATCAACAGGGAAGAAGTTGAGACTACCAGGCTTATTTCAGCAATCGATGATGCTGTTGAAGTTGAAGACAAACTTGAAGTAGAAGAGAAAGTGGAACTTGAAAGTGTCGAAGATGACGAAGGTTCCACATTCGAACTTAATGTGCTTGAAGGAGCCGTGGAAGATGTCACAACGGAGCTAGATGTGCTTGAGGAAGCAATACTTGAAATTGTTGAGCTTACGGAAGTTGTGCTTGAGGTGGTCGTGTTACCAATTTTCAATGATACAGAATCCAATGGAATCCACAAATAGGCATAGACCATGGCACCCTTTGATGTAGCAACCTGAGGAATTGGAATTTCCTCTAAAGTTCCTTCAAACTTTGCATTGTCATACGCGCCAAATAATATGTTACCAGTTGTTGCAGTTTCGGAAGTCAAGTATAAAGAGAACGACTCACTTTGAATGACACCTTGTTTCTTCAATAAAATTGGTAAATTGTCATATTGAGTTGGGTTTCTTTGTAAAATGGGGAATGAAAGACCACACACACCGGCAGATGAATCTGTAACATTGGCAACACCAAAAGTGACGTTTGGAATTGTTGAACTTGTACCGAATGCTACGCTGTCGGATGCCCAATAACCTTTTGAATTTGTCCCATCAATATATGTAATATCAAGCGCCGTTCCAGCATTTTTGAATGTTGAGGATTCTGTGTAGTCAAATGAACCGAACTCTTCACAATCAATGGTTCCACCATTTGCAATACACTTTGGATTGGACGATGCTGTAATCCAAAGATCTGAAGAGCCAGTATCTAACACCACACTGATCTCCTGTCCTGGAGTTCCAACAGATACTTTTGCAACATAAAAGTTATCAGCGTTTGCCAATTCCAACGATAAGAACTCACTTCCATCTCTTCTGTGGTGATGCCCATGTTTATGATGGTGACTACGGGCGTAATCCTGTAATGCGGATGGGAGCGAGTCTCCCTTCAACACATCGAAGCCCATTTTTAAGAATCCATCCTGTGCAGCAACGAGCGCCGTTGCTAGTAGTAAGTTAACTGAGCGAGTGAAATACATGAAGAATATAAAAGAGTGACGATGATTTTCTAAGGCTCGAACTAAAAAGAGGGTTCTACAGTATTTTACAACTAACTCGCAGCTCTATAATATATAGTATTTTGAATTAATTTACAAGCTTAGTCTATTCTTTGGTTCCGTTTTCCGATATTGATTTTATTATTATTATTGTCATTTGATTATTATTTTTTATGTACTAAAACGCAGGTTTTCTCGCTTGTTTTATTAACAATTCAGCGATGTTTTCCCAATTTGGATACGAGAAGACGCGAATACACTCAGGGACATGCAGAGTACGGCCCCATCCAAAAACGCATATATGATGATTCTAAGGTACAGAATTCATAAACATCTTCAGCCATTCGAATAACTAAATATGGAGCTGTATACATATTCTACAAGTGTCAAAGTATTTTCGGTTGCCATAAAGGGTGTATTAATATAAAAGACTAAATGAATGCTACGGAATGTTTCATAAATCGTTATGAATATACTAAGTTTTAGATCTCTTATTATTTTCTTTGTTGATGCGAAAAAATGAGAATAAGAAAAACGTCTGAATCCGCCCAATCCATTTCATAGGGCTCTCTATGTGCCTAATTAAAGTATTACACAAAATTTTTCTCTTAAAAAACGTATATCCAAGTCGTCTATTTTCTTGTTTAATGTCCCTATACACTCCCTTCTCGATTCTTCATGTAAGTATATCGCCTAAAGATATGGCCGACCTCCCAAAACTGCTAATTGGCAATTTATCTGTATTACTTTTTAAGCCAAATTTTTCTGCGGTTAATGGTTCACTTAACATTTCTAACAAGCTTTGGCTCTGTGTTGCAGGAGGAGACTTACTTCCTTCCTTGGCCTCATCTTCTTCACTTTCTTGCTCGTCATGATAACATACTTGGCAATAAAATTGATCTATTTTAGGGATATCAGCAGAAACAATTGTATCTCCGACTCCATTCACGCTGCCATTCGAAGTACTAAATGAAGAATCATCGTGTGAATCCCCATTGACTACTGTAGAAGTCCCAATGGGCCACCACATCGGTGACACTTTAACTTTACACTTTTTGCAAACCTTTGCTATGTGATTCTTATTTGAACCTTCATGCTGTTTCAAAACTCTGAAATATGTTCTTTCTTCTCTCTTTTTCTCGCTTCTCTCAAACATTGTCGTTAGTTTAATGTAATTATTTGCCTTCGCTTGAGGTCCGGTCAACTTACTTGAGGGATCGATTGCTTTAAGGATGTCTTCAATAAACAAATGAATTACTGGCTTCTCTTCTCCTGTATTAACTCGTTTACCAATGTCTCTAAAATTGAAAAAATTCGTATTTTTCAAGTCATGATGTTTAGGGCAACTAATAACTGGTTTTAGCCTACCGACTAACTCACCTATCTTAACAAGCCTTATTTCTTTGTCTACATTGATGTGAGTCTTCTCTACCAGTATCTTGAATCCAATGCTGAATTTGGAAGCATCTTGAACACAAGTAGGATGGTATTTAACCGCAGATCCATCCCCCACTGATCCTGCTTTACTCTCGCACAAATCGCACTCAATCAATGACCCATTTCCAGAACGACAAATTCCACATTTAGTATCGTAGCCTTTCAAATAGACTTCAGATGCGCTTTCTATTGAACAAGAATTGCTTATCCTGCCAGTTGAAGCATCGATTTTGGGAAAGTTATCTACCTTTGCTCGCTCCCGTTTTGGCGAAGTTTTGAAGCTGATACACTCAAAATTAAACAATGCACATAGTAAGTGGCACCATTTACCTGAATCTGATATTGGTTTCAAGAAGTCAGGTCTCACTTTATTGGATCCTAGCATGGTTAGCTCGTAATTAGATTCATTTGCCAAACACAAACTACAGGAATATAAAGTTGAAAATTGAGGATTTAGGTCATTGACACATGGTTCACACAACCACTCTTTTACTGGCTTGACAATAGAACTAGATATGCTAGCGCCTACGCATGAAGCATGCACATTGACACCACAGTTACTACAAATTAATGTCTCCAATACGCTCTCTTCCCGTGCATCTACTTCTTGACAAACTGAACAATTTCTTTCCTTCACAGAAAAAGGTAAATCTACGACAGTTCCAGCAGGAATTTGATATGCCGGCAATTGAGCTCCAACCTCAAGTAATTGTCTCGGGCGAAATTGATCTATAGTATTTTTAAGGATATCCCTAGTCATAGTCAATTTCTTTTCCCCTTTTTTGTTAAACTTTATCATGACGTAATTCTTATTTGAATTTGCAAGAAGAACGTCATTTGAAGCATCCTTACTTAAAAGGTGAACATTGGTGACAACAGCGCTAGTATTATCTGAAGAGCCATTATTGGATTCTGATAAGTTTGGAATAGTAGGTTTAGCCTTTTTCGCTTTCTTTGCCACAGCTTTTTCAATTTTCGGAACTGGGACCTGTAATTCTTCTGGGGCTTCTTTGTCATCAGAGTCCTTTCGTTTTTTAATAGCCTTTTTGATTGGTTCTGCATTACGTTTACGTTTCCCATTAGAATTCGTACTGTCCTGTGCTTTAAATTGCTTATTTAAGTTGTTAGCGCTCGCACTTGAGGATGATACTGATTTAGAAGATGCTTTTGCAATTACTTCCTTTTTATTGGAAGCCAAATTGGCATTTTTAGAATTAGATTTGACGGTTTTTTTCTCGATAGCCGATACTTTCGGAGCTGAAGCTTTCTTTGCTTTTAATTTCAAAGGGGGTGCCGAAGCGGACGTTGCCTCAAGAGATTTCGGTTCAGTTTCCAACTTCAATTCAGTTGAAGCTAATGCAGAAGTGGTCTTGGATGTATCATTTTTCTTAGCAATGCTTCGTTTCTTTTTTGGAGGTTCGTCTCCCTTAGTTGTTGAAGTGACACTTTTCTTAGTGCTATTGCTTGGTTTGCTTGACTTCCTGGAGCTGGTAGTAGAGCCTGGTAGTACAGGAGGTGTCAATACACTTGTCTCAGGAATTGCAACATTGTAATTAAACCCACCACCGAGTTTCTGACTTTCTCGAAATAACTTCTCTGCATCTCGAACAAGTTCGTATTCAACCTTCTTCTTCCAACCACCTGCTCCTCTTGTATTCTTCTTCTTTACCTCTTGAGGATCTTCCCATACCACTGCGTATCTTCTCCATATTCTCGCACAACGAAAACACAAACCTAAAGTTTTATCATTAGAGCTTCCAGACTTTGGGTTTGCATCATGCCCCGTAATTCTATACCAAAGAATAGACTGATGCGTAGAGCAATGCTTGCAAGTCATGATATTCTTAGCCTTTTGAATACGATCATTTTCATATGAGGAATCGTCTTCGGTACTAGCCAAGAAATCAATCTCTGTTGCAGGTTTCGAAACCTTTTCTTCCTCTTTAATATTTTGAAGTTTCTTTTGAATTCTTCCTTCAAAATTACCCCAATTTTTTCTTCCGTTCGCTGTTTTCTTCCATAAGTAATAATATCTTACAATCATTGCACACGATTGAGACTTTACCTCCTTGAATGTGGGGTATAATTCACTTCCGTATTTCCTAACCCCATCTTCAAATTTCTTAATCTCTTCCTTGGTCAAAGTGGGCTCAGCTAAACTGTCTCTAGTGAAAGAGTTTACTATTTTAAGCGAGCCTTCCACATTGCCTCTACTTTCCATATATGTTTTCAAAATTGCATCCATAAAATTAGGAGTTGTTGGTATTATACGTAACTTCTTCTCAGCTATAGGATAGCACATTTCAACATATCTGTCTAGCTTCTGAAAATTGTCATCGATATCCTCAACTGCTGGTTTGTATAATAAAGTACAAGTTCTACCTTCACCATCGTCTTCGCCTCTTTCTAAATAGCCTTTGGGTCTAGGTTGCAACCAATCAGGGTAGTCGCTTGCTGGAAGGTCTTCAAATTCTTTTGGTACTTCTAACTTAATAAATGCAGGGTCCTCCTCTGCTTCATTGACATCCGAATAATTGTTGTTTTTCCGTGCTTTCTTACTGACTTTTCTCTTGCTATTACCGTTAGCCACACTTAATGTTTTTTCATTATCATAATATATTATAGGATGGTCTTCGTACTCAGGTATATTAATAGCTTGATGCCTAGCACCTAATCTCGTCAGGGCCCTAGGGTATGGCGATCTATCTTCAATGTCAACACCATCTTCAAGCCTCGCGTGCATACCTAAGTATCTCATATTCCACTCTTCTTTGATTCTTCTCTGCTCGAGACTTAAATTCGAATCTAATTTTAAAAATTCTTTTGCCATCGACTCAAATTTGGGTAATCCGTCCACCAATGAAGACGAATTAGCAAAACCATCCAATTCTTCCTCTTCTTCTTCTTCAATCCCATCGCCTTCACCTTCTTGATCCTGGTCCTCTGCTTCTGAGACAGGAGAGCTTATATAACTTAGTTCATTGGTCAATTGCATTTCATTGGACAGCTTATTATCATGAGATAACATAATCATCTTCTTCCGCTGATGTTCCATCTCGTGCTTCTTAGTACATAAAGCACATGACCAAGAGAATCCTCTACTTGGCTTCTTTAGTAAAGGCGGATCTAGGCAATGCATATGATAATGATTATTGCAGACAACACAGTTGACTGAGTCTTGATTGGAGCACCACTGGCCACACTTTTCGCAATTACAAGAAGACAAAGAAAAGCTATTGATGAAGGCCTTAGCTATAGTTCCTTCCACGAATATGAACTCGAATCTTTTGTTGAGTGCTTTTAAAAAGTTTTGGTTTTTGTCATTATTCTTAGATTCAATTAGTAAACTCTTCGTCAGTATTATATCGTAGAACTTGACCATATATCTATCGAATAATTTATCAAAGTAGAAACAATTTGGTTGCTGAGAGTACAATTCAAGGGGAGTGGTTGGAGAAGGCAGAGAGGATGAGGAACTCGAAGATGAGTTACCATTGCCATTGGAATTGGCGCCGGTACCATTTTCATTTCTGGTACGGACGGGAACTAAACCAGTTTCAATATCCTGTTTGTGCTTTACCGTAGCTAATCCTCTAAAACTCAGTAGTGGGCAGGTATCTGTATGCATAGAGGCATAAAGTAACCTAGAATCGGAGGTTGATTTAGAGATGTCCCTTGGACGATAGTACCACTGAATTTTGAAAACATAGTTAGCAGCATCTTCATAATTATTACCCGTCGTGGCCCCCAGATTCTTATTACTATTAGTAGTATCTTTAATACTATCCTGATATTTAGTGGAGGAACCTTCCTTCTTGGTAAATCCCATAACTGAACCAATATAGTATGGTTCTCCTGGAGGCTCGCTTACCATGTATATAAAATCATGCTTTTTAATCGTGAACATTTCCTTATTAGCAACATATTTTCTTCTTTTATTATTGGTATTTACAGGTTGGAAGGAATCATTATAAGTTTGGGGAATTAAGGGTTGGTTTGGGCAAGATAGCGTCTGAGTAGTAACATCGACAAACGCTGCTTTCAAATTTAATTTATGCGAAAAGTAATCTACAGGTTCTGGCATGGGCTGCCAATTGTAGGGGATGGAAGTGCTAGATCCTCCGGCTGATATGCCGTTTGGTATATTGTCATTTGCTGCTTTGAGGTCTTGGGAATTTTCTGAAGCTGGAGTACCTATCTTACTGCTGGTGTTACTATTCTCCTTCTTCTTCGACCTCTTCTTTATGCTTCCTGATGCTGATTTTGAGATTTGAGGTTGTTCCTCAAATATAGACTCATCAATGGTGTCATTGTAAGCCCTATTAGTTGCTTTACGCTTTGGACGACCCGACATACCAACTACAGCAGCTTTACGAAACCTTATATATAGCAAGCAGCTAGAATATGAAAAAAGAAGGAAAGAAAGGGCATGCTAAAAAATCCAGAGGGAAAATTTTTGGAAAATGTATAACGAGCATGAGAAAAATTAGGGAAAAACGAGCCACCAGGTAGAATTAGTCTAATGTAGAATGGGATATATATAAAGAAGGGAAAGTTAAATTCAAAGAAGAAATGGTGATTTTAATGAATAAATAGTAACTAGCTCAAAAATTTTGGGCCTAAAATGAGTGATTTTGCTCTGTAATAAATCTAAATTTGGGGCCATTGGCTTAGGAAGTTTGAGGTATACCACGATTGCAATTAACTGCTTAAAGTATAAAAGTTTCCAAAGAGGAAAGCACCTTGTCTACTTTTGTTCACCATTAGAGTCATTAAATCATCCAGTGAGCTACTACACTATATATTTGTATGAGTTGGATGAGGAGATAAAAAATAATCTACTTGATATACGCCATGCTACTCAACTTCCCTTCCATGTCTTCATGTCTTCTATTTGATGCTAGTACTACATTATTTACACACATTCTTTCCCTCAATATGATACAATTATTGCCTTAAGGCAGCCTCGATTCTTTCAATGTCTTCTATACTTTCAGCACTTTCCAACTCTTCAACCAACTTCGCTTTCTCTTCGTCACTTAATCTTTGCACAACTGTTTTCAAGTCTCTATCTTCTTTATTGACTTCTTGTACAATTACGTCAGCGCTGCCGTTGTTGACGCCTTCTAGTACTTGCTTTCCAAGTGTGGTAGGCTCTTCCTTGGTTCCAAAAATTTCCAACCCGCGCTCTCTTTCCGATTGCTTTACTTTACTAAAATCTAGGACATTTAATGAGGGGATTAACCAGGCCATTATTATTCTATAGTTGGATTGTTCCGTTATGGCATTTTCATTTAGCGATATGTGAGCTAGTTTGGGGCAACTTGTCAATCCTTTTATAGAGCTAAAGCTTTTAATATTATTATTTACTAGAGTTATAAACTCCAAATTTGGTAAATTTTCTCCTAGGTTCAATTGACTGATCCTCACCACATTATTCCTGGCTAGTAAAAGACCCCTTAAATTCCTTAATTTAGGGAAGTTCTTAATATCGATGAGTTGATTATCTACAAGGTCAATCACATCATAAGCATCTTTTGTAACCCCCAAGTTTTCTATAAGGGGAATTTTTAGTCCACGAAGCTGAAGAACTGTACTTCCCTCGGGGTTTATGATATATGGTGCATCCAATATCACTTGGGTTGTTAATCTCATCCTATTCTTGGTTGTTATGTGTCATGAATCTGTTCGAATGTGTGTGACTTTATCCTAAAAGTGAAAAGAATAAAAAAAAAAAAAAATATTCGAAGAATCGAAAGAAGAACAAATTCATACTGCAATCACGTGATCTAAAATGGCTGCAAAATCCATTTTAGGGAAGCTTATTTCGTCAGGAATAGACGAGAAAGTACAGAAGACATATTGGCTCTATCTTAGACTACAAGTTTTTCGTATGAAACTTAGGCAGTTGTAATTTATACTCAATATAATAAAATACTGAAAACTGAATCATACTTAATTTTTTTTTTGCATTTTGCTTTCTACTTTGCCATAGTATATAAGTATGCGTGAAATATCTTGGGGATCGTTGTAACCAAAAGGAGAGCCTTAGTACACAGTAACGCACGTAATGCATCCACTACTTTCTATGACTTCCCAAATGCAATTATTCCCTCCATATAGCATCGATTGGCCCCAAGTTTTGATTTTTAGCCTACTATCGTTATCCTTCTCGTTGAGCGAAGAACCGGAAACAGTCCGAGGTTTTCTGGCAGAAACCTCGTTTTTGTTAATGATATCAAGCTCGTTATCAATAAATTCAGCTTCATTTCTATTAAGTAGAACCGGACGAATGCTATCCTGGTTTGAAGATGTGAAAAACTCGCTTGGAATTTCTTTGAAATACATGGAAGAGTTCACAACAATTTTGCCATCTTTTCCTCCAGTCTCAATTTCCCAATTACATTTGTTCCATTTCATGAAATCGAGCAGTTCGGTAACTCCTCCGTTGTGTATGATCACTTTCTTTAAGAGACCAGTCTTCTGGTTGCTGTTTGAAGACTCCTCTGGATTCAAGTCATACAAAAAATCAAGGCCAAATTTGAAATAATTGTGGAACTTCAAGATGGAGTTATTGTTGGAAGGCGAAGACGGTAACGATTGTCTAAGATGCTTGTGGATCAAGAGTCTAGAGTCAAACTTATTAAAGTAATCATCTGGGGGGCCCAAAATGTTCAAGATCTCTTGCTGAGTCGTCTTTCCCAATTTTATGGTGTACACTTCAGCGTCTCTTTGAACGCTAATGGTGCTGGTGGACAAATTAACCAGTAACTTATCAATCTCTGGGATCAACTTCGGATGGAGAGATGACGGCTTTGAGCCTTCTGGAATGGACGATTTCCGGCCAGCTAGGAGAAAATTTTTAAAATCATTATAAAAATCATCCCAAGAGTCTCCGCTAAACACTGAAAGGGCTCTGCAGGTGATGTCATCGGGGTTATCCCAATTGAGAAGTTCCGAGAGCACCGCGTTCTCAGTTAGTCCTGGTAACTTATCGAGAAGTTGCCCCAGATTGATCGTAAATTTGAAGGAAATCCCTGGGTACGAAAGTATGTATGACGTTGAATCAGACAATAACCTTCCGGGGTATGTGGGACCGAAGATCTTGTTGTAGATTTGATGCAAGGTTGGGAGCTTCGTAGTTGGTGGGCCGGTAAGTCGCCCATTGAGCAGGAGGTTTTGTATTCCGCAGACTGAGTCGTCATCCTCCTGGGCGTCATTGTCAACTGTGCCCTTGTCAGCTTTATCCGTATCTATATCGTCGACATCCATAAACCCTTCGTCTGCGTACAGGATATCATTGAAGGTAAAACCATTGTAAGAAAGCTTCACGAATCCAAAGTCAATGACTTCGATAAGGATCAACTCTTGGTGCCCACAGTTCTCAAAAATCAACCGAAATCCAAGCTCTGGCAACTTAACTATTATCGGAGTTTCGAGGTACTTCTTATCGGAATAAATGATCTTCATTTTGTGATTGTACTTCTGGAACTTGTTGACGACTGTATACAATGAGTCACCTAATTTGATGGAGTTACCAATCCCTTCGCCAGGAAGGATGGAAATGAGGGACATTGTGTAGTAGAATGTGCGTGGATCGAGCTTATCAGTAGCTCCTTATCACTCTCTTACTGTTTATTTATTAGTTTGTTCCTGCTTCTCTTATCAGTCCAAAGGGGACTGCGTTGTGTCCTGCATATTGACCAGCAATGAAATTGAGGGTCCCACTGAAGCTGACCTCTTCCTGCATGGAAGCTTTTGGTCGGGGGTGTACGCGCTAAAAATTGTCCCCTAATTACACTTGGTGAAGCAATTCGAGACCGTAGTTTAAGTTACGCCGACGCCTCGATTTAGTAATTTTCTAGGAAATTGCTTTTCAACGCCCCGCATTCACTGGGGCAAAATAATAAATTCAATTAATCTCAGTTCTCGTATCCTCCCGTAAATCAGTGATGTAGAAGTGGGAAAACATCGGGAGCTTGATCGAGAAGACGGGCTACAAAAACCTGGTCTTGAATGATATTCATTTAATACTTTCTAGATTTACCGGATACACACAAATAGAGGTGCTTGAATCGAGATCCCAACTTACTAAGACAAAGAAAATACAAAGTGACAATAGAAAACCGGGTACGATTAGAATTAAAGTTCTGATTAGCAAATTGCTTTTTTATTTTTTTATTTATTATTTTTTTCCTTTTTCTTAAATTCTTCGTAGATGTTTGCAGCCAGTGTGTATCTTGAAAATTTAACCTTTGGCATTGTTTTATTTGCTCTTAGTAATAATAATAATAATGGTAATAATAATAATAATAATAATAGTAGTGAAATAATAATAATAAGAATGATAATAATAACAATGGCGATATCATCATATTTCAACTTCTCTTAAATTTAGAACTAAATTTCTTTCTGGTGTCGCTGGGATACTGTTCATGCGATTCAGATAGTATGGAGTGCTTGGTACTAAAAATGGAGCTCACATCTGAGTAAACTCGTTCAAGTTCAGGAAGGTCCGATACGTTTATTCCATTCTTCATGTCCTCCCTGTAATTTACATCCTCTTCCTGCTCCTCCTCCTCTTCCCCTTGCGCTTCTCCTTCCTCCTCTTCTTTTACCTCTGAAACTTCGTGCTGAGTGCTCTGAGTACCAGTAGCCTTCTTACTGTGATGTTTCCTTCTCGATTCCTTGCTGTACTGCAATATCTCATTGATATCTCTGGAGTAGTCATAGTTGTACGATGAGTTATTAGCGCTTGTTGTTGTCGTGGCAGAGGTGACCAGTTTGATTTTCGATATGATACTTAACTTTGAGTCTTTACTTGTCATGGAGAGGTTGTCAAACTGAAGACTGGCTACATCATCTGAATACTGAGTTATTTCAGTTTCGTTGGAATTCCTGCCAGTTCCTGAACTGGTGTGGAGCGCGATATCCTTGTCTTGCGAATTAGTAGAGAGAAACGACAGGTTAGAATAGGAACTATTTTGACTGAACGTTGGTCTTTTGAGACTAGAAGCTTGCTCGCTTCTTGCAGTATACATAGACCTGTGGTCATCCGCAATTGTTTGGGTGTCTGATTTCTTTGGCGCTAAGGCATCTCTCTTCTTTGAGCTCAGCTTCTTCTTTTTCTTCTGCATGTCATTCTTAAGTTTTTGCTGCGTCTGATATGACACTGGTGGTAATAAAAAGTAACTCATTTTGGTGATAGTTTCTTGAAATGTTTTTTAAGAACAAGGTTTGGGAATTTTTGAAGAGAATTTCGCTTCCCTTTTAAGTGTTTTATTATTTCAGTTTAGGATCGACACTTAATGCAATCGAAGAAGAATGTTTAAGCTTTTGGGTGTCAAAGAGAAGCTTCTTCCTCAGTTCACTTAAAAAATAATGGGTAAAATCGAAAGACTAATGAGTATATGTACCTTACCTCCCTAAAAAATGATTCCATATTTTATTTTTTGAGTGTGTATTTTTTATGACCCACTTCCATATGGTCCTTTATATGCTCCCCGAAATGATGAGTGACCACCTCCACTTTCTAATTAAGGAGTAAGTGCTCGTAGATTTAATTTGTCTATTTTTGTGTGTTCCTGGTTAGGATTTCTTTGTTGAAGCTTAATATGCATAGAACAATAAGGTACAACTGCAGCAAGAAGGAATGAAGGAAAATGTGCGAAAGGTGTAACTTATCAGGACCCACCTGAGCAACTAGACCGCTGCCTCAAGTCCAGGGAAAATAATCTTTCGTAATTTACACATGTATGAATCTACATGTACTTTATTCGATTAGCCACTCTCCACTTCCATTAGCCATTCTCAGTTCATGTTGAAGGGCATAAATGAAGAAAATATCTCTCAATAAAATATTCATTAGCACCAAGTAAGGTTTTATCATGCATACAGGCTGCACGAATGATAAGAATCTGACGTGCTATTTCTTAGAAAGATAAAAAATATTCTACACATGGGATAAGCAGTGCGCGACATTAATTTTTCAGAAAATAATTTACACTAAATCCTGGGAAGCAAGCCTTTCCTCCTTTTTACTCCGATTAGCATTATGTACTGTCAGGCTCATATAGCCAGAGATATAGCAACGTTGTTCCAAAAGTTAACTTCATCTGTAGTAAACCCTCTCACTAAAATGAAAATACGCTTTTGTCTTTGTTCTTAATTGCCTAGTTTGACTAACTTGCATTAATTAGGAAATATTTTCTTCAGAGAAGAAAGCGTAGTATTATCTACAGTAATAAGATGTCTTGCATATGTTAACCCCGACATCATGCAGGCAACAAAGAGCAGGGATGAATCAGTACCCATTTCAAAACATTTGTCCAAAATGATGAAAAGTACAATGGACTTAGTGTAAGTGTCGTAATTGAATCTCTCTTAAACTTTCTCAATAACCTTCATATCAGGTGTTGACACTTAAGTTGCTTTTTGCCAGCTAAACCTTGGAGCGAGGGAATTTAGTTCCCCGAACGGTAAAAGGCTTCTAGTTAGAAGATGCTAGCTAATTTTCCTTGCCCTTGAGAGTATTATTCCGTGGCGTTAGTACAGAAGAAGACCTAAGGCGAGAATCCGTCGTCTGTAAGTCAATTATCGTGTGGATACTTCACTCTTCAATGTTTCCCATCATAGAAAGATATTTATTTTAAAATATCATTAAGAATAAAGTATCTCCTTGGTGTGCTGCACGATAAGATTTAATATTACATGACATTTATACTTTGCATTTAAATTAGCTTAATTTGACACGCTTGGTCTGGGCTGCAATAATACGTGGAAAGAATAGTCGAGGTGGTGAACTGCGAAATGAGTTGGTTGTCAATGCGCGTATTTCATTTCAACTAATCTACATAGAAAAACAGAACTTTTATGCGTACGATTTCCGCTATATTTCCGCGTTGCATCCGTTGTTTCACAAAAAATTACATATTTAGTATGGACGGATCAATTGACTTATGAATCATACAAAGTGATTCTGTTTTAAGCTTCCACGTCCAAATTGCAAAGAAAAAAAGCCACTACTTCAATTCACTTCCTACGTTATCAATGCACACAGAACAGTGCATGATTAACTCCTTCTTCACGAATCTGCGTTTGGTTTCTGTTCGTACCCACAACAACGGTGCATATTTTACTCCTTCCTCCATGTAGATACAAACATTCTCTATTGTCTCTGCATGCACAACTCTATGTACTACTGGACTGCAAAATTGTTTTTTTGTCTACTGATGCATTTGATTACGTGCATGAAAACTACAGGGCTTTGGTTTTATTACTTGATATTAATATTATACAACTTGTTGTAGGTTAGAAATTAGTCTTGCAAGAGAGAAATAAAGGGGTTAATTAGCTAAAATCTCTTGGAGGTTTCACTGGCAGTTCCATCAGCGCTGACTTCACCATGTGCAGTAGCTTCTGCTGGAAGTGGGGCTTCCCCTTCTTTCTGAGTTGCGCTCTTCAATTTATTCAATCTAGCTTCTGTTGATCTGATTGGTTCCAAGACGTAAGCTTGGTGGTCTTCTTCTTCTTCATCAGCATGGTAAGCGTACTCACCAATTTCAGCTAAATCAGTACCCAATAATTCTTCGTCTTCGTGTAATCTAATTCTTAACTTTGGAATCTTGTCAGTTATGAACAATAAGATTGCGGTGACAACGAAAGACCAAGCACCAATAGCACAAACACCAGCTAATTGGTAACCCAATTGCTTGTAATGATGGTTCATCCAACCACCATCAATTGGAGCAGTTGGACCGGAACCATCAGATGCTGCAACGTAATCAGCAGCAAATAAACCAGTCAAAACTGAACCACAGATACCACCAATTCCGTGCAATGAGAAGACATCCATACCATCATCGATTCCTAAGAGAACCTTCAAGTCAACAGCAAAGTTACATACAATACCTGGAACAACACCGAAAATTGGAGCAGTGTAAACTGGGACGAAACCAGCAGCTGGAGTAATACCAACTAAGCCAGCAATAGCACCAGTACATAAACCAACGGTGGACCACTTACCACCGGTTCTGAACCAATCAACAAACATCCAAGTTAAACCACCAGATGCAGCAGCCAAGTTGGTGTTAACAGCTGCATACCAAGATCTGATAGAAGCATTACCAGTGGAACCACCGTTGAAGCCAAACCATCCAAACCAAAGGAAAATGGTTCCTAAGACGATGGAGGAAACTGAATGTGGCTTATACTTTGGAACCTTACCCTGGGTTAATGGATCGTGTCTCTTACCTAAGACCAAGGAGTAAGCTAAAGCAGCGAAACCGGAGTTTTGATGGACTGGACCACCACCTGCGAAATCCAAACCACCCAAAGCGTATAACCAACCATTGGCACCCCAAGTCCAATAAGCAATTGGACAGTAGACAACGGTCAACCAACAGAACAAAAAGATCATCATTGGACCCAATCTTGCTCTTTCACAACCAGCACCAACCATCAAAATAGCGGTGGTGGCAGCGAACATACCTTGGTAGAAACAGAATAAAATATCTGGAACAGTTGTAACAACACCTGGGGCACCCAAAACGTCCATTAAGGCAAAGTTTTGCAAGTTACCTAAGAATGGAGATCCTGAAGTATGCGTGAAAACTAAGGAATAACCCCAGAAAAACCATTGGAAACTGGTCAAACAGGCAGCCATAATAGAAGCCCAAATCAATGATAAGGCGTGCTTCTTTCTTGAGAGACCAGAGTAGAGTAAACCCACACCTGGAATCATAATCCAGACCAAAGCGGAGGCAGTACCAATCCAGGCCATGTCACCTCTGTCAAATTGAACGTTAAGGTCAACTTCCATATCGTTACCACCAGTACCGGTACCGGTAATACCTGAAGGAAGTGCGTCAGACATCTTAGTTATAAATTTTACTTATATAGAACTATTACAAATGTATCTAATGCTGATGAAAAAGAAAAAGAAGAAGAAGAAGAAAAAAAAAAGAACCAGGACTAAACATTTCTGACATGTACCCTGGGAAACACCTTATCTATATATATTCAATCCAAAATGATTATTTCCAATTAAGATCTAAGTTTCTTTTTTACTTTAAAGCTTCCCATTTAGTTCTTATCAGAAGTCGATATATATTGAAAGAGCCAATCAGAGCGGCTTAAGGCTTATCTCATGCTAGTCTCTCGCCTATTTTATTAGTGGTGTTGGGGTGTAGGATACGAGATGCATAGAGACTAACAACCAAACAAAATACAAAATCGAATCACAAGGAATTGGAACCGGTAGCCATTTATTTACCATGCAGCGAAAACGAGTCATACTGGCTGATGATGCATCGGGGGTCGCATTTAGAATAATAGTTCGCCAGGGAATGAAAGCAGCCGAGCCAAACGGCAAAGCATGTCGTTTCAGTTCATTAGCTATTCATTATTGTTCACACAGTCTGGATTGAAGCATTTTTTTGGACGGTTACATTCCAAGGTTATCGAGGGATAGTGTACCACGGGAGAACTACTTCTCATGAATGATGGGATTTAGTGACACGGTGAGGGCCAGTGGGGAGTTTACACCTTCTGAGGAGCGGCTTGGCTCGCTCATGATAAGAAAACGAATTTTCAATGCAAATGACTAAAAATGCCGTTAACGGTAGTCTATATGCCGGATGCGTCTATTGATAAGAGCTTATTTGATGCAAAAACAAAATAGACGAATGAAAACAGTCTAACAAAAAAAAAGGAAAATGCACAATTAAGAAACAAGGCAAAAAAAAAAAAATAAAGCATGGTGATTGCTAACAAGAAGGGGACTGAAGGGAGGTAGGGGTAAATTATGATTCCGTGGATAAAGGTGATTGTAGCATCTCAGAATCTGACAAATGCAACTACCTCGAGGGAATTAAGCACTGCGCTCTCGCTTAGGGCAACTTGGAACGATTTGGAATTCATTTATGATAGGCCATTAAGAATTGTTGATAAAAGCCTTCGAATATCGTAAAATTCCGACATGTAGGTAATGAATGAAAACTACATGAAGGAAGGGAGCGAGGCTAGTGGACTTCGTGAGATCGGGGTACATGCTTAAAGCAGCATATTTAAGAATCCAAGTAAAAAAAAAAAGAGAAGGACTATCTATCTACCCCTCATGAATAATAGCACTTTGCATTTCTTTTTCCTTTGATTTCAATATTTGCTTTGTTCAAGCTTTTTTTGTTCAAAGGACAGTGATCAAATAGTCATCTTCCTGGGAATATGATCACTTGTGACTTCGAAGAAAGGAACAAGAAAAAGTGAAAAATAAAATGGATGCTGCTTCTATCAGGCTCTCTTAGATTTCATTGGCCCTCTAGCAACACATGAAATTTTGAACCCTGTAGTGATTGAATGCATAAATATATCCAATATGCAGCCTAAAGATAAGAGAAATGAACTTTAATAGTGCTTGTTAGTTACCTTCCTAAGCTGCTTTTATTTATTTTTTATTCTTCTGTCTCATTTCGTCGTATTTTCTTTATTTCCACCTTGTTCGTAATGTGGGGAGTTCCCTGTAACCCGGGAATACTTCAATTAGTAATGCTGATTCGCCAAGGATAAGCCTAGTATCAAAGGAAATAGCTTACTGTTCAGATTTGTGTAATATTTCGGCCGTTTCTATCAGGCATCTTTGTATTTTTTAGTACATCGCTAAGTTCCTTATCTAATGAAATCTTCACCCATGAGTATGGGCATTGTTAGAAAAAAAACTGGCTTCTGATTAATGTTTGAAAGCTGAATTAGAGGTCGTTTCAGATCGATTCAATCTTGACATTGTTATTGAGATCTGTTTAGAGATATGGTTGTACTTAAATTCTAGGTGTAGGTGAAATATTATATTATTATCTAAGCCCTAAGCCCTAAGCCTAAAGTCTTTAGTCAAACTAACACACTTACACTACTCTTACACTTTTACACTATTACATTCCTAAACTTTCCCACGAATTCACACATACCCTCACATCGCACTCACATATTACACTCACATGTTACACTCACATATTACACTCGCATATTACAGTCACATATCTCACTCACATATTACACTCACACATACACCCACGCATACACTCGCACACACACTCACACACACACTTACACACATTCTACCATAATAGTTTCTGTTAATCTTGGCGTAGTCTCAAGCTTCGAAGTGCCAGTAAGCAGCACAATCAGCGCCATAAAAAAATCAATCCATCACTCAATCCTCAAACGAATGCATTTCTCTACATTGCTCAATTTTAGATTCAGACTATACTCGCTCATCCTAGACAAAACAAACCAGAGATTCGTATAAAATTGCTATATTCACCATAACTTTACTTTACTTTACCTATATGTGTACCTTTTGTTTACTTTTCATTTACTAACCTTTTTTCCTAAACTGATTCCAGGTGGATCAGTCAGTGCCAGCTACCTCTGCCTGTCGCTCTTTACTCTTCCTAGGCATAATCAGTTACTCATCTTTACCCTTCATTACATATTAAAACCAAAGCGACCACTTAAGTCTCTCACTCCCAATGATACATTCAAGCCCATTTCACACCTTGTTACCATCCCTCTCGCTCCACACCCTACCATACACCTATGCACTCCACCACCCCTATATACATTTCAACCTTCTCACGTGATCCACATGTCATCAATAATCTGCCCGAATTTGGTCTTTTTTTTTTCTTTTGTATTTTGCAGGCTGGCTTTGCAAATTTACCGAGCGTTCCAAGGTTGAAAATAAAGGAGAAGCCAAATTAAGGGAAGGCAAAGGTAAACAAGATCAAGTGTAAGTCACCTATCGTAAAAACAGTAGCAAAATGTCCGAATCGAAGTACGAATTTGCCACTTCTATTTTAACTAGTAAGACACCCTTACAAGCTGCGGCAATTCTTCCCCATACGCTCAATTCGAGCCAGAACTTGGTTCAGAATAAATTGATCGCATGGTTTCAGAGGTACTCATCCGAAATACAACGCCATAATCACGCTCTCGGGGAATTGTTGTCAGAAGGAGCAGGAATATTGGGCTATGGACCTCCACCGAACTCGCCAACAACAGCTACAAGTAAACAACCTCCTAGTAAGAACAAGAGAGGTGATGTTGCTCCTGGTGGAGCCCCTGCAAAGCCGAATCCGGATGATCTTGGATCATTCAACAAAGTTTGGAACACCTTCCTTCGTCTGATTGAGCTTGAAGTTCACTCTAACGAACAATTCTTCAAGAACATCAAATTGGAGACCCTTTCACCTTTGAAGGACTTTGTCACCAACGACGTTCGGTACTCCGAGTTGGTGTTGAACTCCCAAGAACTACAAGAAATTGCCAGAGACTTGTCTTCTGGAGGTTCAAACAACTCTGAATATCAGTGGAACGTCAAGGCTCCACAGATATTTGACAATTTAGAGAACTTTGAAAAGATTAAGTCCCAATTGCTCTTTGATGTGATTTTGGCGTACTTCAATTCCTCCAACACCAAGTATTCCAAATTGGTGGGCAATTCTGAAAATTCGGTGAATTACTTGTTGGGCACCTATAAATTGGACGAAGAAATGAATTTGTACTTGCAATACTTGTTGAAATCTGATTTTTCCCTGGAGTTATCTATCCCTCCACCTCCACCTCCATCGCAGAAGCATCAAGAAAAAAGATTGAGCTCTTTTGCCAAACTTAGTGGCAACAACAACAACGGACACACTAACCATGATTTGGCATCCACTTACTCTTCAGCATCCGGTACCTCAGGTAGTAAGAAACCTTCTAAATTGAAGTCAAAGGTCGGTTCTATCTTTGGAAGAAAAAAGAATAAGAAGGCTTCGGCTGGAACAACCATGGATAGCACTATTCAGGAAACTGAGTCAATAACTTCGTCCTTAATTCAACCTGGCGCAACTCGTTCAACAAGAAACAGATCCTTCGATTCACTCGGTAATGCATTAGTTGGTCAACCACCAGTACATTCCAATGGAGCTAGGAGAGAATCTGATCTTTACCAATCAAGACAGAAGGAGACTGGTACCACCGCTGCTCCAATTCCGGCTCCTGTACCTGCTAGCCAACCTCAGAAGCCCATAGTAGCACAAGGTCCAATTCATGAAGATGTACCAATTCCTCCTGCTAAGCCTTTAAGTTCCACTTCTGTCCCCTTAACTCCAAAGCCTAAACAAGTAAATGCCATACCTCCAGTTGCTGATTCACCAAATGTCATAAAGTACGACTCATCTTCATCTTCGTCATCTGAAGAAGCTGAAGAAGGTAGAGCCACTGAAAATCGTAAATCCTTGTTACAGCAACATGATTTAGATCATCCACCAATTGGTTCTACGGTATTGCCTCCTGCGTCTACTTTCCAGCCATTACATCGTGAACATTTGAGCGAGAGCACAACTGCTACTGTTGGTAAATTTAGCTTTGAAGCTGGCGATGATGAAAGGCCAATATCAACTACTCCTAAGGAACAGCAGAGAAATGTTTTTGAAGAACCAAGTGCTTTTCTCAACGATCCACATGCTAGCAATTCATTTGCTCCCGATGTTCCTAACTCTCAAAATGGTAACACAGTGCCAACTACTGGTACACTGGCTCCACCTCCACCTCCATCAAGGAAAGCACATAGTACAGCCACTACCCCATTCAAAGATAATCAAAGTATAACGTCTTCTGATCTTTCGAACGTGCAGTCGCTCCAATCTTCTAATACAGGAAGTAGAAATAGAAAGGATATTAAGTCGCAATATTTCCACAATTTGCCGAACGCTAGAGATTCAGTAATCGCTCCACGTAAGTTGTCTAAACAGGATACTGGTAATTCCTCTATCTTAAGACACTTGAATGGATCCTCTGGGGATATATTTAAGCATGGTGAAGAGCAATACCAGGTAGGTTTGAATGCATCAATTGCCGAAGTTATCAACGCAAGCTTCAAAGATGATAAGTTAGTTCGCCGTCAATTACTTGGAGAAATTGCATTCAACTATAAACCTGATCCTAGTAATCCAGTTAATGAACTGGACTTGGAACAATTCCCAATTGTTATCCAAAGTAAGTTTGAAAAGGTGAATCTCAACAACCAGTTTGTTTCCAAAAATCCAAATTTTGATGACGTCTACTTGGTGGATCCACAATTTATTGTCTCTAAAACCCTTGGAGGATTGAAATATCTTAAGACTCTTGATCAGGTTCCCGTTCTCATTCATCAAGCTTGGAAATTTGAAGATCATCAGGCAAGTGTGATATTGAATTTAAAATTGAATAGCCAATACCTGGAACTGTTGACGTTGGAGAATGTGATTATTTCAGTTGCGCTCAGCAACTCTGTACAGACTAGCTCTGCATCTTCTAAACCTTCTGGTACATTCAATAAAGATTTGAACAGAATTACTTGGAGACTTACTCATCCAATTACTCTAACGGCTGATAAAGGGGAACAGTTAATTGCAAGGTTTATGACGAATGGAAAGGGTAGTGAACATGAATCTGGTATTCAACTCAAATTTTCCGTTATCAATCCTCCAAAATCAACCGAATTATTCTTGAATGGCATTGAAGTGCCAAGTATCAGGAGCTTGGTCTCTGGAAGTTATAGTGGCCACATATAAGGCTAATATGTGTTTTGTTGGAAGTCCAGCACCTCATTAGAAAAAAAAATGAAAATTAAAATTACAAGACTAAAATTTGAAGATAGTAAGATGATGCTCTTGTGTATGATTATGTATTTAACATGAAATATAGATGTATTAGTTAATCAAAATGTTGTAGTCTACGTGCGTATTCAGTTATGCTCCTAATTTTATCTATACGAATTCAAAACTAGGATGTGAAATTAGTGCCAAAATTGCATCTACTACAAAAACGAAGTACTTCAGTTCACAAATGCAATATCATAAGAGTAAACAGCTTATATCCATTTTTCCATCACTAGGTTGGCATTGACCTTCGCCAACTTCATGATAGCTAGATATATTACTAACTGGCCCATAGCAGCTTGCTTTGCTATATTAATAGTCGGTTTGGTTCTTTGGGTAATTTTGGACAAAGTACTAGGTCTTGGTGCTCCCCCTATAATCCCCAGCTTACCATCCATGAATAATGATGGATGGCCAATTGTGGGAAACTTTCCACAATTATTGGAAAATCCTTCTTTGATCTTGATGAATTGGTCAAAGCGTACAAGCAGTGATATATTTCAGATTAGGCTTGGAATCAAAAGAGTGGTAGTTGTAAATTCTTTTAAAGATTCGAAGGTGCTAGCAAATAGATTTGCATGTTCAACTAATTCAAGACCCATACTGTATGTTTTTCATAATTTGGTGTCAGCTACACAGGGATTCACTGTCGGTTCGACACCAGCAGGACAATCTTATAAGCTAAAGAAAAAAGCAGTCGCCATGAGCTTAAATCAGAAGAACGTCGACAGCTTCTCAGAATTATTAGACATTGAAACATGTAGGGTCATAAAAAATATTTTATTAACTAACCTGGAACTTCATTGCATGCCTTCTTGCTATTGTCCAAAATGTTGTATCACCACTGAATTGTCAGATATTAGCTTAATGTCATATTTTCAACTATTCGTGTTAAAGGTTGCACTAGCATTGAGCTATGGGTTGAATATAGATACCTATAAGCGAAACAGAGAATTTGCTGAAGAGATCATAAGGGTCGAAAATACAATAATTAATCTAAGATCTCCAGGTACCAATATGGAAGATTTCATTCCTATATTGAGATTTCCACCGTTTTCGTACTTTAGCCAGTCCAACAGAGCCAAACAATATCGAGATAGAAGAGACAAGTATATGAATGAATTGATGATTAATCTTCAATTCCGTTTGGAACAGCATGATAACTGTGCAAAGAATTCAATTGTAGGTAAACTTATTCAAACCTCAAGTCAAAATAATTTGAGCTCTGTGGAAATCCAAAGTATTTGTTTGACATTGATTAGTGCCGGTTTGGATAATACACCTTTGAATTTCAACCACCTAATGGGTCAACTTTCACAGCCTCACACTGGATCCATCTTGCAACAAAAAGCATTCCACGACATATCACTGCAGTATAAAGGTGATATTATTGAGGCGTGGGATTCTGTTGCATATTCGATGAAATGTCAGTATGTTCTTGCTTTAATTTACGAAACACTTAGGTATTTCACAGTTTTGCCTTTGAGCCTTCCTAGGCAGACTACCAAAGAAATAGATTACCTTGGGTATACTATTCCTAAAGGAACGACCATATTTTTCAATGCTTATGCAGCTAACCATGACTCCCGAGAATTTCCGGACCCAATGAAGTTCAACCCAGACCGTTGGCTAGATCAAAAGACAAAAAGAATCAATCAAAACATGACCCACTTTTCTTTCGGTGAAGGATCCCGAAAATGCTCGGGGAATATTTTAGTAATCAAGGAGCTTTATACTTTAACTTGTAGAATGATTATCCTTTTCAAGATTAGACCACCGACCAATAGTAGAGATTTGATGGGATTGGACCCGTTCCAATATAATTCCAACAAGTGTGCAACTTCCTTTGAGCCAAAATTATTCAAGGTTAAGCTTGAAAAAAGGAATTTCTTAAATATCGATCAGCTTTACCTGAAAATAGATAGCTGGTAAGAATAACTACCTATTTATTAATAATCACTTCTTTAATAATTAATATACAATTTGCTCATGAATCATTTGGATCCACATACGAAGTTTTCTTAACAACAACAGATCTCAAGTTTTTTGTTAAAGGCAACTTGTACTTCAATAATCCTCTAACAATTATATCAAATGGATTTTTGGATATGATTTCCCATTTTTTAGAATTATCTGGTAGTTCAGGTTCCGTTTTGTTGCTGTCGTTTTCAAATAATGTTGATAAATTGCTTCCTGGTTTAACTAATTTCACTTCAGCAACTTGTTTGATCGGCGATCTATTCACAAAACCACCTCTAAAGTACATAGGCGTTTCTAAATTAAAGATGGAACCTAGCAATACAGTCTCAACAGATCTAATTCCAAGTTCTGGATTATCTCCAATATTTGCTAAGGTATTAACGGAATTTGTTGCATCGACATCACTTTCTTCTCCATCTCCGTCACCAGGATTGTCACCATCATCTGGATCAGGTAAGTACCCACTTTTAGCAAATATATCAAGTTCAACCTCTTGGATTTCAACGCTGAACCAACCTGGATTAAAGGCTTCAATCACAATATTGAAAACCAATTCATCTTGACTAACCAAAGTATTATCGATCGATAAAACAGAAACATGAGTAAGTTCCTTAGTAGTTGCTAAGATGAAGCCCAAGATAAATCCAACTGATAGTATAGCAAGAATACTAATCAACGTATAAAGAAAGCTCCTTACACAACTTCCTCTTTGATTTTTAAAATTAGATGATCTCTTTCTTGGAAGGAAGAAATGGCCATTTGACGCTGATAATTGAGGATGTCCACCATTTCCAGAATAACCTGAAAAATTTCTCGAACCTTTCCGACCAAACTTATTGAAATTGTTATTGTCCACACTATCTGAGTGGGAACCAGCCTCATCGTATTCGTCAAAGTCATAATAGTAAGGCTGATTTGCTTCACCATATGGGAATGGAAACATGTCCTTATTTACAGCATTAGCATTGGGTAACTCGTTAGGTGGTGTGTTAGATCCACTATTATTATTGCTCAAAAATTGTTGGCCGCTAGAGAGATAACGCTTATTCTTATAATTGGAAACCTTCTTTCCTCCATTGTTAGCAGGGTTCAAGTTTAGTGACCTGTAATGAGGAATTCTTCCAGGGATTCCTCCTACTCCTCCATCTAATAATGAAGAATTTTCGTTAAATTGATTGTTGTTATTAATGGCGCTATTGCCATTAATACTGTTATTGCTGTATGGGAATCTGATGTTATTATCATAGTATATTAATTCATCATCAAAGTCTTCAATATCAATATCATCAGGGATAATACTATACCTTCTTGGCTGTGACCCTTTCTTATCAAACAACTTTGAAGTTGTTGATCTAAGTCTTGAAGATGTGGTTGAAGATTTATTTCTTTTCCCGCCAACTTCACCACCCAATTTGCTAACTACAGAATTCGTACCACCTTGACTTATACCTCCAAAATTTGAATTCGATACATTGTTATGAGTGATTTGCTCAAATAAAGGGCTATCATTTCCTTCAATTCCACCATTGGGAGATACAAGTGGTGGCCTTTGGGACATGGTTGCTAATGATATTCCAGTGCCTGGTCCAAGACCAACATCCATATTTCCATTTAAAGTTGAATCCGCTTCATTCGCATAGAATTCCCCGCTGTTAGATCCACCATCCTCGATTACCTCCGCATCTTCGTCCATATCATCGGAAGAATATCGATCTTCGTTAGTATATGTCTCATTAATGCTCGTACCAGCCCTTGATGGTTGATAGCTTGATCTCCCATCAAATAAACCAATGCCAGTGCCGCTTCCACCTTGGCCATCATTAAAGCTGTTGGAATTCACAGTTCCTAGAATCGTGCTTCCATTGGGGGACACTTGAATCCCATGTACATCTTCATCTACATGGCCACTGTTATTTTTGGTGCCATTGTAATTGGTCGTAATTGTGGCAGTGGTAACGCCTTTCAAAGATGGGTGTGACATAGAATACATGGAATTTGATCTTTGGGTCTGCGGCCTTTCCTTACCGCTAATGGTAGTCACTTCCTTATTCAGAGTGATGGTGTTTACATTGGGTTCATTGTTATTTACAGGTGCTTTCGAATTCTGGTTGGAATTGGCCTTGGGGAACTTAATTGAACGTAAAGACTGAATGGAATCAGTTTTACCGGCCATCAAAGGAGTTGACGTATTACTGCTGTTGATGTCCATATAACCTGAAAATGGTTGGTGCAAATGTTCCGCATCTTTATTATTGGCAGTAGGTGTAGGATTAGGTTGTGGATTGGCACTTGAATTAGTGCTATTGTTGTGGGGTTTTTTATCACTATTAGGAGCATTTGAGGCATTTACATCATGTATGTCACTTTCAGGAGCCTCTGCGATCTCAACTTTATCTGTGATTTGACTGGTTGTTGTTTGTGAATTGTTGAGCGCATCATCATGGCTGGTATTAGTATGGTTGGCATTAGTACTATTCTTATTATTATTAGCGGAAGTTGTGGTTGTCGAGTCTGTAGGTGGCAATTCTGTTTGAATTGTACTTATGCTATTAATCGTATTATTGTGGGTATCTTCGTAGCTCTGATCCAAAATCGGTGGGCTACTAAGGGACATCCCGGCAGGAGCCACAACGCCCGGTGCATTCATCATACTGCCATTGTTGGACTTATTTTCAAGATTAGGAGATCCAACTGCAGCAGTACTGATATTACTATTAGTGTTATTATTGTTATTACTGCCTCCTTCATGATTACTGTGGTTGGAGATACTCTGGGTATCGTATCCTGGAGCATTATTTTCATAAACAAACGTTTCATCACTGTCACTGCTGTCTACATCATCAACTGCGCTTGCTAACTTGGCAGCAAAGAAATCAGTTCGAGTGGAAACTTGATTATTCAGCTTTTTAGTCTTCTCGCTCTTAGACGGCCGTGGCGTAGATGCTTCAGATATTTCTTCGCTTGTACTTTGTATTGTGCTAGGAGTCGGAACAGGGGTATTGGTCGAAGATCCAGATGCCACTGCACCTTCAACAGAAGTGATTGGAGGATGTGCCGCTCCAGATGCCAATGATGTAGGTGAACTCGAAGATATGGGATTTCTAATCTCCTCAGCTGGCGTTCCACTCACTGACAGTGGGAATGAGGTCGTCCTAGGTGAAGTGGCAATGCTATCTAAGATGCTCGAATGGCTTTTGGGCAACGGCTCATTTTTATTTATAATCTTCTGCTTAGCCATCAACGACTGATTTAAGTTTCCAATAGCATTTTTATTTAACTTCAAGCTACCTGAGTTATTTGGGTTGAGTATCGCATTGCTACCGTTTGCAGTGGAGGTTAAGACGATCTTCTTCGGGATCTTAAATACCCCTTCGCTAGTTGGTGTTGAGATCCCGGATGTTATGGGAGTAGAGTTAGACGATATAATAGGCTTCGATAGCGTTGGTGGTGGTACTGTCCCACTGCTACCACTAGTTGGTGCAGTAGTGCTATTGTTTACTATTGGTTTATTTTTTGCGTACGCTTGATTTTCAGATACGGCTGTCAACCCATCCTTTTTGAGGTCTTCTTTGGTATTCTCCTTCTCCATAATTCGATGACTTTCAACAGATTTACTCATTTCATTCCTATATGGATACTTGGCGTGTATATACACTTTTAGGGGATGTGAAGGGTACAAAGTAAACTTGGAGCAGAGCAGTATTTTTTTTTAATTTTTTTTTTTTTTTATATCACTGTAGCGTCTCGTTTTTCTTTACTGAGCAAGTCTAGCGCAATCAAAGTGCAGATAGGCGTATCACACGTACAAAAAGTTTAGTCTCATGCAAAAATTAGGGACGAACCGCAAAAATTGGGGGAGACTTTCAGAAAAAAAAGAATCTTGCGTCACTAATTTCCCGCCACAAATTATAGTTCGGTGTAGGGCATCAGAAGTGTCGGAAATGAGAAAAACGAAGTATTACGAGTTTAAAGAGGCAAGGCGGTAGGGCGGTAGGACAGAGGATTTTAAAATTGCACGCATGTTACCGCTATCCAGATAAGTAAGTGCAGAGACAATGCCGTCTATATCTCAAATGTGTTAAGTTAAGAAGTGCTACTGTACTTATTGTGGGTTACGAATTAAGCGACGCAACAATGTGAAACTCTTTCGAGGGTGCGGTATTCGTGAGGCATAACTCCCCCGCTATCTGGAGATTTAAGATTACTGACGGGATCAGCCACCAAACTAGGACCATTGATTACATAAGTGTGCCATGTATAACTTGCATTTCAGTTAAGTTTTGGTTGCTATTAGTTGTAGTTACTTATTGTTCTTTTATTATTCTGCAATTATTCCAGCTTTATTCTGCTGTTGTATGTAACTCACTACTTTACTCTACCAATCCAGCCTTGCTTTTTGCTCCTTATCTCATGAATCCCGTTCTTTTCACTCTGCTAATTTTTTTCTTAATTTATTTTCTTCTTTTATTATTGAATGTTGCATGCTGCCAAAGATAGTTGGATCCCGCATTTAACAAGGGCTTATCCATGAGAGCCATATTACCTCATACAGCCTTACTCGCTACGGAATGTGTGTTTATTACTTATGCTGCTCATACATTTAAGCTTCTACTGTAGAAATAGACAGTGCCAGCATATTCTATAAAATATAGGGTAAAAAAAGAAGGTATTTAATTCAATACTTGATAAATATTTTCAATCAGAGCAGAATGTAAAAAGAAAGAAGAAGAATCACTCGAACACCGTCATTATAGCTCATGGTTTTCTCATCTTCTTTAAATCGGCCAATTTCTTCGAGGTTATGCTATCCTGATCATTTTGTTGGTTAAATACTTGCAGCTGCTGTTGTACTCCAGCACCTGCAGCTCTTGGGTTCGTGTTATGTGACTGAACCAAATTAGGATTACCTCCCGCTCCAAAACTTAAGCTTCTCCTAATACTGAAGACTCCATTGTCCGCGTTCGAGACAGTGCTACTGTACGTTCTATTTCTAACATTTTCTCTTGCTTTATTGACACTGCTGCTTGGAGGTGCAGTTGGAACCACACTGTACTTTCTCTCCCTGAACGCAACTCCAACTTCCTTCATATTTTTTTGATGTTCTGGTTCAACTTTCACGAACCAGTCTAGGCCCTCATCAAATTCATACATTCTATAATCCGTTCCGTACGGTTTCAGTTCTAAACAGTATAATGTATGCAATGGAACATCCAATTCACCAATCGAAGAATTGTCTAAATTCAAAAAATATGCCAATAAAACTCTGAGTACAACTCTGTGAGATACGATCAATAAATTGTCAGTAGTTCTCTCAACTTCTGTGATTAATGGTCTCAATCTCGTTAACACATCTAAATATGATTCACCTCCTACTCCAGGGTACCTGTAGGTCAACTTGTTACGAATTCTTGCTTGGAATTCTTTAGGGTATTTCAGTTGGATTTCTTCGTATGTCAAGCCTTCAAACTTACCGCCTCCTAATTCATTAAGCATTCTCATCTCCTTAAGACTATAAAGCTGGTCATCGAAATATTTACCTGTTTCAATAGCTCTACATAGCATCGAAGTCCATACACAAAAGTTCGGTTCGCTTGGTATATTATCCACTGCAGAGTCATCCACCTCCTTTCCGCTATTCATTATAGATTCATACTTCAACTCCAACCTAGTCGAAAACCTTTCCAATTGCTGCTTTCTAAACTCTTGTCTCTGGAAGTTCATAAATTTCAGTAATGCTCTTGCGAATTTTTCACCTCTCTTAGTTAAGTGAGAATCACCTCCAATTCTACCAGTCAAATTGTCTGTCAGTTCACCATGTCTTGTGATCCATATTTGTCTCTCACACAAGTTGAAGTTTAATAAGAAGTAGATGGTTTGTGATGCTAAAAATCCTTGCACATTGTACGAAACAACCTTTTTTCCAACATTTATCATCTTAACGTATTGAAAACCAGGAATTGATTCTTCTTGTTCATCAATAGTTTCATACGCTCTTTCATAATTGTGCAACCTCCCCACAAAGTCCTTTAATGCAGCTTCTGGTTCCATTTCTCTATAATCAGGACCAGATAATTTCAATCTTATGTTAGATTCGATAATGGCAGGATCAGAACATACACTTTCCAAAAATAAGACTTTCAATTCTCCATTGGACCTCTCTTGAATCCTTTTAAGAACTCTCAATCTCCTCTTCTTGGTGGAATTAGTTGCATCAAAGATTCCAACTGAGCCTGGCCCATCAATTACATAATTTAAAAGTTGGTCGAGTGTATCTATGGCCCATTTCTCTCGAAGAATGTTGGAAGAGTTATTATCAGGCGAAAAGAAATCTGCGTTATGAACAGGAGATTTTGGCTCGGCTGCAGCAGATGATGCACTTGTAGTAGTCATTTGGGGCGAGCTTGACTGCTCATTATTTGGTGTATGAATATCTGGAAGAGGATTAGCTTCAGGGCCTGCATTATTTTTGTCTTTTCTTCTCGTATTACCGACATTGAATACTCGACAGTCATGCTGAAGCCAGTTCAAGTACCTGGTGAGCTTGTTTGTGATGTATGACTTACCTCTAGCGGGAAGCCCAACCATTACGATTACTAATTTTGAACCAACGTCCACCGATGCAATCCTACCATCAGGAGATGTCTTCGATGAAGTTTGACCAGGGATATTTAACGTATTAGCTTTACGAGCCGGTGGTGGGGGTTTAGTAAGGAGCAAACTCTTCAATTTTTCGATCGATGGAGTTTTCTCGAAGGATTTCTCCTTCTCAAGTTCATCTTTACCTTTCTTGCTCTGTGCACCCCCTGTAGTTGGAGATGGCTTAACTGGGACTGGTGCTTGTGACACCGGTAATTGCGTGTTTGGAGAAATCTCTGGTCTAAGTTGTGCAACTTGTTCCACGATCTGCGGGACAGTCATTTCAGCCACCTTAAGCTCAGCTTTATTTTGCTCTTTTTCAGGTTCTTTCTTCGTCTCAACCACTGTATTGGGCGAAACGGATCTTGATTGCAAATCCAATAAATTCAAATGCGATATATTCTTTGTTTTAGCAATTGGTGCTTGTGATCCTTCTTCAGATGATTCCTCTACAATAGTTGAATCTCCTACTGCTCTATTTTTGTATTCATCTTCGGTCTTGTCTTCGTCATATTCGTATGATTGTGTTCTTGTTATTGGCGAAGCGACGCTTGACACGATGGGGGTATCTGTCAACGGACGTTTGTTGAATTCGGGAAGATTGCTATTTGAGTCTGCTGTGCCTAGAACTTGAGAGTCCAAGGATTTAGTAAATTCCATAGGGTATGACGACAATTTTTTGAGTATATTCTTTCTAGATTGATGTGCACCAGGGGCAATTGCTTTCGGCGGATGCAAATATATTTGTTGTAGTCTGGAATTCTTGGTGTCAGCATCGTCATCGTCATCGTCATCACTGTCATCATAGTACTGATCGTCCTCAGACGAGGTTATTGAACTTGAAGTCAGATCAACCACACTACTACTACCTCCAAACTTCTTGAAATGAGAAAACGACACTTTCTTGAACCCTCCTCCGCCTACGGCAGCACCCAATGACTTACCCAATTCTCTATGGTGTTGAAGTACACCATTGGATATGGACTTGGATTTATTTCTGGCTCGAATTCGTTCGGTGGAACTATTTACGTTATTCAGGTCTGTCGGAGACAAATCTGAAGATGACATCAGGGTTTGATACTACTATTCTATAATATTGAGTTATATTCTAGGTATATCTACGGGGTGTTGGTGCACAATTGTATTTGTTCTCTATTCTTATATAACTTTTTTTTAACAATAGCGAATAGAAGAACCTTGCTTTATTTGCTGAGAAGTGACTTTCCCTCTTTTCTTTTTGACAATTGAATCACCACTGTTTTATCAATTTGCTTTTTCGCTTATGGTTTTGTTTTCCTAGCTCCAATATTTAATTTATTAATATGTTGTGCTCGGGTTATTCTTATCCTGCGAGTGAGAAAAAATGATGTAAGAAGGAAGTCCGGATGATCGTTCCTGTACTTAATGCGCAATGACATAAGGGTAAGCGGGTGGGAACAACAAATGACAGCAGTTTGAGGGAGTCAAGCGAATTGGAAAGTGGTAATGATAATTGTTGGTGGGAGAAAAAAAATGTGACGTGATTAATACAAAACCTTCATGTTCAAAATATTCCGTCCTTTTTTTGGTGTCTTGTTAAAAATTGTCGCCAGCCTAATTATTCAGCTATTATTAGATAGGGGAAACAGGATGCTTAACAGAGGTACCATAAAATTGAAAAAATTAATGTTGGTCGCAGGTTCTTCTTTTCCCTGATTATTCTAATTTTTTTGACCAGAGGCAAACTGTTTTCATTTGGTATTGCTGGTATTGCTCTCGCTAGCTATGATATGAGTGATTCTGTTTTGTTTCTTTTAGTCACTTGATTTCTCACACAATTATGCAACCTCATGCATGTAATTTGGGGACAGTGCGATTTTGCAACTTCTGTGATTTTGCACCCACTCACCTTTGCACCTTTGCACCTTTACACCTTTTGCAGCTCTGTAGCTTTGCAGCTTTAGACTATCGATGCAAGTTTTGGTTTTTCTATTTCAATTCTGATTATGCCATAGAATATTCCTTGTCTATTATAGTACAATTTCTTGAGCATATAGTTTATATTCTCTTATTGAATCACCAATTAGATGCCAGCCTCAAATCTTGAGTTCTACTTGATTAAGGCGTACATCTGTCCATCCTTGGATTCTGCCCTCGAATTCTTCCGAGACTTGGCTAATACTGTTCTAAGAGTAGTCAAGGATATCCCAGAACCCGAGTTTTATTTCCTTTTATATAATAATAACACGATGGGTGAAGATGTTGACCTTAACTACCAAGACATATTTGTCCAATTGGATAAGTGCGACAGCAGGTTACGCACAATTAACGTTCAACTAACTCGATCTAAGCTGCAAATATTGCAAGATTTGCCCAATTTCATGGAGATGAAGCAAATCCTTATTGAGACGTTTAAGAAATTCATTTCTCCTGCTGTTTCTGAATCAATTGAATCCTTTGAACAGATATTGCATAAATTGGTCATACGTCCAAACAATGTTTCGAAATATGTAGCCTTTTTCACAAACAGTAGTATCGACCTTCGGCTTATATACGAGAAATTGTCAGCTCTTATTAGCGAGTTAGACAAAACTGATTCCAACTTAACAGAAGTTTTGTCGGAATCAATCAGATTTCTGGATTTCCTTGTTGGTTCCAAAACTTACCAAGAAAATTCCCCTTTATATCAAGAGTACGAAAGAAGAGTCAGAAATTCTCAAAACCAAGAGTTGTTGGAATATCCAGAGTACCTACTTGAGTTGGATTTCGTTCAATTGAATTTGTACGATGAACTGTATAAGTCGGCAACCTGTACAAAAATGAACAAAAATTTATTATCTCTCTATCATATCGCCTACCTATCCTTGAGAATGCTTGATGAACAAGACGATTTATGTTTTGGCATAACGGTTCACTTGAAAAACAGTTGCAAGTCCAGCGTCAACGTTCCATATTTAGAAGATTTGATTACCATAATAAGGGGATTTATGGTAACAAATAGCGATAAGTCTTACTATATCATTGGAGAATTGCTAATCATGAGATCGAACGATTACTCCGTAATACCGAATTTAAAACGCCGAATAAATTATATGCGTGGCAACTTTATGCAACATTATCAATTATACACGGTTTTTCGGAGGGTATTTCAATTGGTTTGCAAGAAATCAGATACAAATGGTTGGAATACCTTTAGTTCTTTTGGGGACTACTTTGATGATTTCTTTAAACATTTTAAATCGCTTGTGGAACTTTTAGACCATGATCAGGGTAATCATGACAATAAAACTTTTGAAAAGTTCTTTAACAATGATGTCAAGACCATGGAACTTTACAGAGAAATTAAAAAGTTGACTGTACTAAGCAATAAAATGAGTTCTATATTCTGTTCCAAAGTTTCTGATGAACTATTTATGAAGAGATAAAAAAAGAGTCAGGTTAATCTAGCGTACAAGATAGTGCAAAGAAAATTTGTTTACTGAAAGCCGAGCGAAATACTCTTTGGAAACGAACAACTAGGGGAAGCTTAATTTCAGTTCATAACTAATATTATCACATATCTTCAGGTTTTATATCTTGATAAAGAGTGATAGAAGCTAAGACAGTTCCACAAGCTTTGGTACAAAATTCTGCAACCAAATAATTTTTTTTTTTTTTCTTCTTTGGGCCAAACTCAGCGCATCACCACATCGCTAAAAATCATTAGGCCCTGAAGTTTATCAATAGAGGATACTTAATAAGCAGATACTGTGGTTTGATATGTCTTTTGCGTTTGGTTTTAACGATGATGACATAAGTGATGAAGAGGTGAGTCAAAACTTGCCAAAGCAAGATGAAGCCAGCACTGCAAGTAAAGTTTTTCAAAATGCAACCTCTGGATTAGATCCCAAGTTTCTTCCACAAATTCATTCACTCGAATCCATACTATCCAAATTAGTGAATGTTAGAATCACATTTGATAACTATATTACTCCTGTGGGTGAGAATGTGACATATCGTAGAGAATTGTATGATATTAAACATCAGGTAATGTGTGAAGATGATGAAGACGGAAAACAAGATGATGTTGTGAGTAATATTTTAATGGGTGATGATAATGATTTGGATTTAAAGAGAAATATTTATGAAGGTGGATTTAAAAGTTGGGAATGTTCGTACGACGTAGTTGATTATCTAGCTCAAAATAAGGATTCCTTAAATAAGTTGCATACCATATTGGAACTTGGGTGTGGTACATCGCTTCCAAGTTGTCAAGCACTTCTTCAAAGAATCACAAGAAGTGAAGACCCAATTGATGGTTTCAAGATTATACTTTCAGATTTTAACTATGAAGTCCTCAGATTGGTCACGATACCCAATTTGATTATTCATTGGGCTTCTACATTAGACCCAGAATTTCTACAAGAATTATGTGATACTAGTGTAGAGGGAAGTGACGATGGACCAACTTTGCGTAACGATGAGATCATTCTCTCACAGAAATTAATCGACAGGTTTATAAGTGACTTGAGAAATAAAAGAATTGAGCTTGTATTTATTTCAGGTTCATGGGGCCAAGAGTTTTTGCAAATAATAGAGCGAGAAAACATCGACTTGGTTATAAGCTCAGAGACCATCTATTCCTTGGAAACATTACCAATAGTTGCCGAGACCGTTGTAGAATTGGTTGGTAATGGTTGCAGAGCACTAATTGCTGCGAAAAATCTTTACTTTGGAGTTGGTGGGTCAGTTGCAGAATTTGTAAGTTACATAAAAAAGAAAAATAGAGAGGATATCAAAATTGAAGTGGAGGAAGTCAATTCTCAGTTAAAGAGGTCATTAATTAGTATAGAAAAGGTCTAATGGATAATGGATCGTATAAATTTAAATACAGCAGTACTTACCTGTAGCCTTCTCTGTTGTTACCAAAAATTCTCGTAAATTCATGACACCCCAACTTTTATCACGTTTCACGGAAAAAGAAGAGGGATGTAAAATTTAAAATACTACCTTTGTTCCCATTTGAAGTTCATTCATCCAACTGAAATAATTTTACCAAAGACAAGTATGTATTAGATTATGATAATTGTGGAGATTCAAATAGTTAGGAAATGCATAGAAAAGGAAACAAGTGAGAAGAAGTGAAACAGCCTGATAGGTGCCTGTGTTTACTGCTGTGTGAGCAAAATACAGAGAGATGTGAGCAATTAAAACAACAATCCCACCTGTTTCAATATATATATATATATATATATACATTTGTGTATTTACATGGATTTTACATTGCCAGCTTGTCATTTTCATCGACACACAGTTGGAATTAAATGTAAAATGTGTACTTCTAAATGGCTTGCAAATGGTCCCTTGCCCATTAGCTGCTTTCCTTGCAAGGAGGAGTCTGTATGAAGGAATGGAAATGAAAATGAAAAGTACGACCCGTATTGTCTATGTGCAGGTCACTGAATTCAGTCATATAAGAGGCACACGAATGTCGATGAAACCGTCCTGAACCGACCAATTAGATTCAATTCTGAGCCATTACAATACCAATATCAACAGGCGTCTAGCATTCTCGCTTAGGTATTGCACGATATGGGGTGCACCATCGAATACCATTACTCACACTATTTCTCCAGGCCAAATAAATCGTAAGATTGCTTCACATAACCAATCAAATTCCGCGAAATATTTGTGACACAAACGCATTTTTTCATATAGAATCTTCAAATTAGTCTAATGATTTTTTTTTTTAGTGCCATTCGCAGAGTGTTATAAAACAAAACACAACGTATTGGTTTCTTTTCCGTAGGAGTTATTTCCAAATACTAATATTATAGATACCATGTTCCGTCAATCTGTTGCAAGATTAGCTATTCGTCAACAATCCACCGTTGCTAAAGCAGCCCCAAGAGCTTTATCCAACTCTTATGTTGGTAGCTTAGAAACCAGATGGGAATCTTTACCAAAGGAAGATCAAACTACTTTAATAGAAGAATTAAAGACCAGAATGGAAGGTCCATGGCAAGAATTGACCTCTGCTGAAAAGAAGGCTGCATATTACATTTCTTTCGGTGAATGGGGTCCAAGAAGACCATTGTACCAACCAGGTGACAAGAGCAAGATCTTATGGGGTACTATTGGTGGTTTATTTGCTGGTTTTGGTTTATTTGCCTTGATTAGACTGTTTGCCGCTGAAGGCCCAACTACCATGAACAGAGAATGGCAAGATGCTTCCGATGAATACTTGAAGTCTAAGAATGCTAACCCATTCACTGGCCACTCTCAAGTTCAATAAGCAGCCCCATTAGCATTTTAATAATCCATCGACTGTTACATGAAAGTATACACAAGCAAATCACATCCTTCAAATTATGAGTATGAAGTTGAAACAATTCTGAAAAATCATAAAACCACCAAAAAAATGCAAAAAAAAAAACAAAAATTAGAACAACCTACTCCCCCATTCAAAGCGTAAAGGGCAATTTCCATTCTACTAGCATATTAATCTTAGTTACGTAATTAAGCTTGAATCCCTTTATTTAAATTAAATTAGACAAGACAAAAAATATGTTTGATGTAGTCGTAGGTGTAGAGTGTATAAGAAATCCAAAGCTAAGCGTGTTAAGAAGAGTCGAAGAAAGGGTAGACCTCGCGCACAATAAGCATAATTTTGGGTTTATTTGGGTGTTCGGTGAATATGAAGCTTCTTGCGTGTCTTTAGTTACGCTCGCTTCGACCTCTTCGTTCGTGTAAGGTGTCAAATGGTTCATATATAAACTACACTGCTCTCATTTAAGCTTTGTGGTGAGGTGCAGAACCATCACCGGAGTAGCCGCGGGTTCACCTTCCCAAGATTTTTATCACGTTCGAAACTACCAGTGTAACGAACTTCTCTACAGCAAATTTCTACATGTATACTTTGTCTGTTATTTCGTTACTTTGTATTCGTCTCTATATTTAAAGAAGCAGTTAAAAAAAATCTAATACTCGTTATTTTTATTTGCCTTCTTCATATTCGTTTGAATGTAGCACTGTAGTACTGCTTTCCAGTGATGACTTCTTTTTATTTTACAAGCTTAGCTTCACCACCAATCGTCTAGTCATCGTCGCTACTAGGACCAAACTCACCTTCGAAAATGGTGGCACTAGCTTTCCTTCTATTTTCAATCAATACACATTCATTCATCTCTAAAATCATTTTAGCTGTGGGTCTGTCGAACGGATTTGGGTTCAACATCTTGGAAACCAATGAATCCAAATTGACGACCGAGTTCCCAACCAAAAACTCAGGTGCCCATAAGGGAATTAAATCTTTTAATTCGGTTCTTATGCCGGTTCCTGAACCTGGCCCTGATCTGGTTGTCGTGCTTGTAGCAGCGGTACTTGGTGCAGTGTTTGGTGGATGTTGCAAGTTTGTATTGTGGAAATGGTGACTCAACGAGCTAGTGGAGGACATCCCACAACTGTTGTACGATGACAAGGAGCTGAAGTTCTGATGCTGTAAGAAGTCACTGATATTATCCGATGATAGTTTCCCAGCGTCTGATAAATCTCCAGATCTGAGCTTTCTCCATGGGGTACCATTGTCAGGCAATATAATGTTGGCTGCAATTTCCAAAATGATCAAACCAACGCTAAAGATATCTGCAAATGGGGTATAAATCTTATCATTAATTAATTCTGGTGCAATGTAGTTTCTATCACCTTCTAAGTCAAAATCCTTTTCCAAAATAGGTAACTTGGTTGCTAATCCAAAATCACCTATCTTCAATGAACCTTCGAATGTTATGAATATATTTGCTGGCTTTAAGTCAAGATGCAAGTAATTTTGCAGGTGAATAAACTTCAATCCGCTTAGAATTTCAATAAGAATCTTCCATATTCTGAATTCATCGATCTTGTAGTTCTTATTCTCTTCTAAAAATTCGAAAAGAGTTCCACCTTCACAATATTCGGTCATTATATAATAGTAGTTATTGAAATCCCATGCTTCAATGAAGTATACCAAATACTCCTTCCCAGCATCTTGTTCAAGCTGATTCAACTTATCATTGTCCTTAACTGAAGTTAAAGCTCTCAAAGCTTCAATTTCACGGAGAATGGCCTTCTTTTCCAACTTTCCAATGATTTGCTTCTTTGATCTTTTGATCGCTAATCTTTGATCTTGGAATGAACATTCGAAGGCAACTGAGAACTCACCAGTACCCAAGTATTTGATGTTCTTCACTCCAAATTTGTTTATCAAATGATCATCTATCTTAGTTGCTCTAGCTAATGATTCTGTGCATAATGTTGCTTGAGAAGAGTTGATAGAGTCCAAAGTAGATGAGTAATTATGTGATGTGGCGTCAGATGATGGGATGCCACTGTTGATTCCCATGTCAATTGTGCTACGACCTCCTCCTACTCCTCCTCCTCTGGCTATAGCATAATCCTTGGAGTCAACTTTGTTTTCATGAGCTAATTGAACTATGTTCATAATTGGAGTACTTGGTTCATCACTTTTAAGTTTATATTTTGACATTGAAAGCATATTCAACTTTGGTAGTTTCTTGTCCTTTACCCTAGATGATCTCCTTTTCGAGAATGAAACAGGCAGAAAATTAGCAGGCATAGATGAAGATTTCTTGACTGCCGTAGATTTTGTCGGAGTTTCAGGGATTAAGTCTTCATCTATATCTGCATCTACTGTCATAGAATTTCCATACTTAACTTCATCCGAATGACCTAATAATTCAGCGTTCAATATCTCATGGTTACTCTCCTGTGGAAAATCACTTTGACTCGAAGTAGAAACATTTCTGTCAAAATCAGCTTCACTTCCAGAAAATTCGAGGTCCAAGTCCCCATTGTTATGCAGCAAGATGTTGTGAATAATTTTTTGAGACGATGAAGTCTGATTGGATCTGAAAAAAGTGGAAGAAGTATCGCTTATGGAGTTGTCAGCATTACCTCCACCAGTAGTGGACGTATTTCTTCCAATTTCAATGGAATTGTCAAGGTAGTCTTCATCTTGTGTTGATGATATCATTTGGCTAAACGAAGACTCTCTCAGTTGCGGGCCAATAAGGTGAGGTTGTGGTTGTTGTTGCTGGTGTTCCAAGGTGATGTTACTTGAGTTTCCCAACAACATAATTGGGTGCCTCTTTATTGGCGTCTCAGGTGGAAGCTTTCTTTCTCCTTCTATTTTATTGCTGAGCGAATTCTTCTTCATTAACCCAGTTGACTTGAATGCTGTTTGTAATGGTTTAACGAACTTATAGGATGAGGTATGGAACTTCTTATCTAAATTCTCCTTATCATCATATGTAATAACTTCTTGTTGATTTCGTACTTTCTTTCTGGATTTCAATATGTCATTTTCATTATCTTTATCCTTGTCTTGGTATATTATTATGCTATCGTTGTTATTCTTGGGGGTATTAGATATGCTATTGAGTTTGCTGTTGTTTGTGGTGGTGTTGATGTTCGAAGAGTTGGAAAATTTCCTTCCCTTCGATGGACTGTCATCTATTTCCATACTATCAAGGTTGTCCAAGTTGTAAAACTCGAACCCATGCAAAACTGGTGATGATGATGTTGGTAACGCGCACAATTGCTGTTGAAGCGTGTTAGATGCAGCCATAAGTACTTGTGCAGAGTTTGATGAAGGTGACATGGGACGTGGAGCTATTTCATCGTTACCAGTAGTGAATGGACTTTTAATATTGCTAGCAGGTCCACTACTGGACAATCTTGCATGATTCAGACTTCCACTCAATGCTCGCTTCTGTCTATCCATATGGCCAAATATTCCACCACTTAAATTGCTTGAGCTGTTAATTATTTCCTTCCTTGGAGTATGGGGTCTGTTTGGAGAAATAATTGCATCTTTATTGGAATTCTTTAATAACTTGAAGTTTACACCTAATTTAGATGGGGAATATAATTTTGGCTTCTGCATCTGCTCCAATTCATTTACAAACTGTTCATGTGGTTTGAACAATTGACTTTTATTCACGATTTTCCCGTTATCTTTTGATGAAGGTGATGGTGATTGGCTTATAAGGATATGAGGTCTTTTGAACTTATTGTTTTGAAATGGTGTAGTGGTGGTGGACGTGGATGCGGACGAGTGTAGCTTTGCTGTTGCTGACTTACGTTGATGTTGATGGTGATGCTTTATAGGAGTAATTGAAGAGTCTATCTCGTTCAAATCACTTATGTAATCTATATCTTCGTATTGTTGAGGATCATCAAACTTAGGATTACGCCCATTGGAATTAGGAGCAGTTATGCCGTCTGAACTACCATTTCCGCTACCACGGCCCATGCTGTGAGCGGTGTTGCTGCCACCACTACTGCTACTGCTGGCGCTTTGGTGAATGAATTTGTTATGGCTGCTTTCAATTGATAAGTTTAAAAACTTGGATGACCTTTTAATGGACGATTGTTGCGACGCACTTTGGCTCCTTGGCTCAATAATGGTATCGTCTACAATGGTATCGTCAGATATCACGGTGGTATTTGAGTTGAAAAGTTTACGATTTGCTTTCACTGGAGACTGGTACTTTTTAAATTTATCAATGGTAATCGCAGAGAAGTCTTCCCCAACTTCTGTACCCCTGTCATTGATATCGTCATCACCCTCACTTTCATAGTAGTTGCTACTGCTGCTGCTGCTGCTGCTGCTGCTATTACTTGCGCTACTTCTTGATGAAGATGGTTTCGGGTCTTTCACATTGAACGGTGGCGATCTGCTGATTCTGTTTCTCGTGATGGTCGCATCTTCATCATCATCCAATATCAATGAGTTGAACGAGGTTGAAAAGTGGTTGTTTGTGAAGTAGTCAAGTGGGATGGAAGTTTTGCTCTGAAATGTCTGTGACGCTCGGTTGGGCAGGTAAGGATCTAACGTTGTGGGAGTTCCTCCATTGGGATCTTTCTTTGCTTTGAAGTATAACGATGGCTTTGATGTGGAAGACTGTGAATTCGATTGGCGTCTCCTTCTTTCGCTGGTAGGAGTCTTGCTCGAAGATCTCAGTCTATGCGACGACGACATTAGTTGGCGTGTTTTGTTTTGCAATTGCGCCAATACAATTCTCCTCTGTTTAAAGGGTCTGTGAAAATATCAATCAACAGAAGGATTTGGTTTCTTACGGGCGTGTGGGTATAAAGTAGTGAAATCAAAAATTAATATGAAAGAAGGGGAGTACAAATTATCAAAACACGCAGAACTGAATCTCTAGTGCAGCTCCAAAAAAAAATATGTGATATTACTATAGTAATATTTTTTATATTTAGTCTCCGGATTTCCTTCCTACTAGCACTAATCTCAAAAAAAATAATAATAATAATAAACAACTGTTAGTCGTAAGGCAGTAGACTAGAAATAGGAGCTACAAAAAAATAAATGCTGTAAATAAAGAAAAAATATAGCACTGCAAGACTAACACACTGCAGCCCATCCAACAAAAATTAAGCTTCGTATCAAAATAAACAAAGAAATATAAATACTCGCTCGCGTTACGTGTCACACCTGCAGGGTGGAAGGAGGAATGAGATGGTAGTATCTCCATGGATGATGAGGTCACGTTGGCATCAAGGACATGGGCTGCAGAGGAAAGCATGTCACGGGACGCAATCACGGGACCAGGTCATGAGATATGGTCACGTGATCTGTTCCCACCTCTTTTTCTTTTTTTCTCGCCCTCACGGCACTTTCTCGCTCTAAGTTCATTTTTCTCTCGCTGACAATCTGCCCTAAGTTGATTGGCTATAGATGGCATCAGATTTGATTACTTTTTCTCTCTTTTTCTCTCTTTTTCATTCAAAGTACTTGGAGCCGTCAAAACTTGGCATGAAAACTTAATTTATGCAATACGCATCGAATGATGATAGGTGCCGTAGGCAAAAAATATGGGCACTTGATGACATATGTTTTGGGTGTATCTGCTCCCATTAAGTTACAGTACCATGTTGAGGATGATCTACTGTAAACCTGGTGCTGCCTGTACTCTCACCTTTCTCCTCTTTATTCCATAACTTCTCTTTTTCTGTCTCCCTCCGTTGTTCTAGAGTGAAAAGCTGTCTGTTCTCTGCAGCATCTTTTCGCTACACTTGGGCGGATATCTTTTTTTTTTTTTCTTTTTTTTTTTTTTTTTTTTTTTTTCATTTATATAGTAATCAAGTTTCGCAACTATACTGGCACTGGTACTCTTTTTCATGCTAACTGTGATTGACCCTGTATTATTAACTGCATTGAAAGTAATGGACTTTTTGAGGAAATAAGAAGGTGACTGTAAAATAGAAACAAGACTTTGTTAAAAAAATCACAATAAATCTAAAGAATACTTTGAACAATCTAAAAAAATCGAACAAGTGAAGTAGCACGTTATTCATCATGCCAAATACAGAACAATCGGAACCACTTCGATCGAAAGGTACGCAAGTAAAGGAAGAAGAAGTTGAAAAACTAGTTGTATTAAGGGAAGAAGCCGAGCCTGAAACTCAATTGAAAAAGAAAGTGAATGGTGCAGTCAGTACTGAATCTGGAACAAATCTGAAACCGAGCGAACCTGCTGCTGCTGCTGCTGCCACTACTACTGCTAAGGAATCCGAAGATACCGTCGCTGTCCCTAAAATATCAAAATCATCAGCATCTGCATCGGCATCTGCATCTGCATCTGGTCCCGCTACTGGAGGACAACAATGTTCCAACTGTGGAACTGTGAAAACACCTTTGTGGCGTAGATCTCCCAATGGGACCATAATATGTAACGCCTGCGGGCTCTACCTCAGGTCCAACAGCACGTATAGGCCCGCCAATTTGAAACGTCCTCCAAACACCATTTCCATCAAAGAAGATAAGGGTTCATGCGCTGGGAACGGCAAGTGTAATGGTACTGGAGGTAGTGCCACATGTCAGGGCTGCCCAGCATTCAATAATAGAGTGGTAATAAGAAAAGACGCCACCGAGTCCAAGACGTCGCCCAAGGCTAGTGGGCCTTCCGAAGATGACGACGATAGCTCATTGGCTATTGCTTGTTACAATTGTGGGACTACAATCACTCCTCTATGGAGAAGAGACGATACGGGGAACAATATCTGTAACGCATGTGGATTGTACTTTAGACTTCATGGATCTCATAGGCCCATAAGGATGAAAAGGAGCACCATCAAGAGAAGAAAGAGAAACATGCAATTCCTGCAAGTTAAGCGTGAATTATCAGTAGAATCTGATGAAAAATCACAATCTAATTCCTCAGCTGGTGCAACCCCAAGTCCAGCGTCACAGGTAATTGAATCTTCCGTTTTCCCGCCATTTACTGGTGGCAGACTTCCCAATGGTCCGGGTCCCTTACCAGGTCCGCCTCCACCAGGTTTTTCGTACCCACCACCAGCCATGTATCCATCCTACTCTCCTCATCCGTATCTTGGACAAAGACAACCACAGCAACAACAATATGGGCTTTATCCCCATCACCCTCCGCATCCTTCTGCTGTTCCGCAACAGCTCCCACCACAACAGCAGCAACACAGTCTTCAAAATCCGCAGCAACAGCAAATGCGACTTCATCCTATTCAATATCTGCATGGGGCTCCACCACCTCCACTTCCACAAATTCATTCTCCTACTCCCTACTTTCAACCACCACAAACACCTAGCATAAAGTTGCCACAGATAAATATATCTAGAAGCAACAGTAAGCTACCACTCCCACCTCCGAAGGTGAACTCACCTGCCCCTCCGCCTATGCCTGTTGACTTCACTTCCTCGTATAAGCCGCTTGCCGTACCGTCTGTTGTAACTTATCTGTCACCAAGTCCAAATTCGGATAGCGAAAAGTCGTACCAGCAGATGTCTATAGATAGGTTACTTAATGGTGGGAAAGGTAAATAGAATATGTACTATATGTAATGGAATACCAGGAACTAAAATATAGAAAGAGTGTAATAATATCGACAATAGCATATAGGTATTTCGAGGTATTTGGATGATTTTTTCTAGCTCGATATCCTCCACCCTTGAGTTCATAAGTAGTATGAAGTTCAACTGGTCATACTATGGTTCAAAGGCGACCCCGCCCACTATGATGTAACGCACTTACGATAAAGTATTTACTTAAGTAAAGAAATTCTGGAGAAATGTTAAATTATACCTAAATATCTGAGCAATGACTTAAAAACGCTTTCTAGAGTACGGCATGCATGTAATTGTGATAAGAGATACACGGATTACTTCTGCTTTGCTATATGTCCAGTAAATTTGGTACATTTTAGAGTAGAGCGAAGGGTGCAAAATGTAAAAATTGCATGTTAAATATAATAGTCAGCCAATTGGAAATTTTTAGGAAAAATCAAATTGCTACACCAAGGTAAATAATATAAGAATTGAACAAAATAAGTCTCAGCAAATGATCGAAACTTCCATGCTATCTTAGTCATGAAAAGTCCAGCAGCTGTAACCAAACAAGGTCCGTTACCTTCGTGGAACCGTTTTCTTATCAATCTAGCGATAAAACCCACACGTGACTTTATGCAATATGATGTACATAATAGAGAAAGAAAAATCTTGCGACACACCTATTTAGTCAAAATTTTTCAGTTGCTTAATTAGCATCACTTTTTTGGTATAGTAGTTATATACATTGATTAAGGCTATTCTTTCATATGTCTGACAACGTAGATACATCTCTCTCGAGAAAGGTCAAAGATATCGCTGCAGGTTTCATTGGGGGTGCAACCCAAGTTCTCATTGGACAACCTGCAGACTTGGTAAAGATTAGACTTCAAACGTCAACGGTTCCTAATATCACATCGACACAAGTTATCAAGCAAGTAATACAGAATGAAGGTGCGTTAGCTTTCTACAAGGGAACCTTGCCACCTTTGGTAGGTGTCGGAGTTTGTGTATCCTTACAATTCTATGGGTTCCACGAAATGAAAAGGCAATTATTGAAGTATACCAACCAGAACTCATTGAATTTGTGGCCACAGACTTATATAGCAGGAGCCTTTGCGGGTTTGGTGAACACACCAGTGACCGCACCAGTAGAACAGTTGAGAATTTTGTCGCAATCTTCTACAGCATCAGTCAAGCCCTCGCTCTTAGAGACAGTCCGTAAAATATACAGGACTAATGGCTTCACGCACGGTATATATAGAGGATTCAACATAACGCTACTAAGGGAAGTCCAGGCATACGGTGTTTGGTTCTTAACTTATGAGTTTTTGATCGAGCAAATCCAAAAGCTGAGAGGTTATAAGCAACGTCACGACATCTCTACTCCGGAATTGCTAGCTGCTGGTGCCACTGCCGGCTGTTCGTTATGGTTACTGTCTTACCCGATTGACGTAATCAAGTCTAACATCCAAAGTGACAAGTTTGGAAAGGATTCCAAATATAAGGGTAAAAGTTTGCTTGTAGCTAAGGATATATTGAAAAGACAAGGCTGGAGAGGTTTCTGGAAGGGATTGACTCCCTGCTTGCTTAGAGCTGTCCCATGCTCTGCAGGTACATTTGCAAGTGTGGAGTTGGCCTTGAGGTTAATGGGTTAAGGCTAAAGCTTGTATGCAGCACCTGGGGAAGAGTATTTTAGTAGTTATGGATTGACCTAAATAGGAGAAGTAGGCAGGAGCTCGATACTTTGTGATCTAGTATCATAGTATTTCCCTTCTGACAGATGATCCGACCGAAAGAAGAGATGATGCTAGCGTATATTGAGTCGACTATCTAGCACTACCAACGTAAGCAATCAACCTTCGCTCTTTTGTAATTACCTGGCTATATAGATGTGCCAAAAGTAAACTAACCAAAATAAAAAAAAAAAAAAAAAGATGAAATAAAAGGTAGATCGTAAAGCGAATTTTAGTTCAGCTGAATCCAAAGCATGTTTTTCTCAAGCATCCTGTGTCCTAGAACTATACAGCCCTTTCTCACCTCCCCTACCTAGCCCACCTCCTCTCTCGTTTATTTTGCACCCATTCGCTTTGTAGCTCAACCATTCGCTCGCACATAATTTTGTGTAAGCTTTATATTCTACTCCCTGCACACACCCCAGCCAATTAAACGAATTCATTTCGCACTTACTCCAAAAAACGAAAAAAAAATAAAAAAAGAGAGACCGCTTCTTCATTCAATCAAAAGCAAGAGAAAAGAACACCCGAGTAACAGGATAGCAAAAGAAAAGTTGATCAGCTCTCATTGTATAATAGCATATAGTCACAACCATAATGTTTAAGATCACACAAAGAAGCTTGCAACGCCAATTTTCTACCAGTTCGGTATCATTTAAACCGGCAGTGGCTGCCACCAATGCAGGATATTTCACAACTGGGGGTTCTACCACATCTGTGTGGCCAAAGGGATTCCGTGTACCACAACCAAAAACCTGGGAAGAATCAAGTGAAAGTGCACTCTCCAAGGCTACGAAATTCTTCTTTTTAAATGAAGTTGCCAGAGGTATGTACATTTGTTTGGAAATGTACTTTAGAAACCCATACACAATTTACTACCCATTCGAAAAGGGGCCAATATCTCCAAGATTCAGAGGTGAACATGCCTTAAGAAGATACCCAAGTGGTGAAGAAAGATGTATTGCTTGTAAATTATGTGAAGCCATTTGTCCTGCACAAGCCATCACCATTGAAGCTGAAGAAAGAATTGATGGTTCTAGAAGAACTTACAAGTACGATATCGATATGACCAAGTGTATTTACTGTGGGTACTGTCAAGAATCTTGCCCGGTCGATGCCATTGTAGAAAGTCCAAATGTTGAATATACCACTGAAACCAGAGAGGAATTGTTGTACAATAAGGAAAAGTTATTGGACAATGGAGATAAGTGGGAGCAAGAATTACAATACTGTTTAGATGCTGATGCTCCATATAGATAAGGTGTTAGTGGGGACGAAAGTTGAAAAGAGAAGATAATAAAGGCAGACACCAACCACCATCCACCGGGGGGACCTTGCCTTTCATTTTAAGCATAAAAATTCATGGACTTGCGCATCAGAACGGAAATTCTTAAGCCTTCTGCCCAGCGTGAAATAAAACAAACAAAAAGCCAAAAAAAGAAACGTTAAAGAGTGGGAAGAAGAGAATAACACCTTCCCGTAGATAAAGGAGAGGTATCACGACACTTATATACCGTAATACACCATCAAATATATATAAAAAGAAACGAAACAGGGCCAATGTAGGAATGGTAGTGGATAAAGTGCTGAAGGGGTAGTGTTGAAATAGTGCCAAGCGCTGAGCGTTTGGGACAAATGCAACCTAACTAATTGAGGCTGCACACAGATTCGCCAGATACACTTAAAAGCAAAATCTGTAAAAGGCGGAACGTTAGTTTAAGTTAAAGTAGGAAAGATAGACGAAGCGTGTGGCTACATCTGGATGATGATTCCGGGACTCCTACAAGTTCCATTCTACAGAAGCATGGGTGCTCCATTGCTCTGACAAGATAGAAGGAAATACGGGTGCTAACTGCTCACGTAAAAACAATTAGACAGAGAGGAGCGATGCCCGCTTGGAGCAGAGTCAAAAGAGGAATGTAGTTTACATGACTACGGCACCGTAAAAATGCATAGAATCTTGAAAAAGCGCAACACCTGTTACTATTGCACTGTTATAGTGGAGTTGGAGCTTGAGAGCACGTCAACGCAGTGTTTGCTTGGAGTGAACATTAGCTCGTCACTACCCTATCATCCTCCACCATCTACACCATAGCGGCGGAATATTTTTGCCAGTGAAAGTGTGAAAGTACTATCTCACACTTTTACGAAGCACACTGCGGTAATATCACCGACTGATCCGATATCTATTTTAAGTTTAGTAGTTTCTACGGTTAATTTGACAGAAATTCGTACTAAGTTTAAAGTGCGTTCTATACATACAACAATTCACATTCCTGATAATTTCCAGGGCTTTGGCTTACCTACGATGGTTCTACGGATGAAACCCATGTAAATTCCGATTCTCCGATTCTCACTAAACACCACTCGTCGTTACGGCTGACACGTCCCAGCCCCACCCCACCAAGACTAATTTGTTATTTTTTCCTGGCACTCCTGAAATTACTTCCATTAGTATGTATGTATGTATTTATGTATGGTGTATTTTTTTTTTTTTTATCTCATTCTATTTTCAAACAAGGTGTCGCGCGCGAAACACAACCACGCCATAATAAATAAAAGAACTGAGACAAAGAGGAACCATCTACAGTAGACAATAAAAAGACATAGCCGAGAAGATGGTCAATGAACTCGGTTAGACTGCCTGCACGTATTGTTGTTGCAAGGGGCACACGTCTATATTCCGTTTGACACTTTAGGAAGCCTTTAAATAGATTTTCCTCAAATATTAAGGTTAGCTATTCTGCTACCCAACACCGGGTGTTTCAAGTTTGATCACAATTAAGCAATTCTTTTTTTTTTCTTTTCAAGTCGCAGATTTTCTCGTGGTGGTGGTGCTTAGAAAGCTAAAAAATATCTCCCCCGTAAAAAGTCGCCAAATTTTAGGGAAGAATAAGGCACATAATTTTAGAAGCAGGCTTAACTTTAGGGGAGTAAAGGGGAGCAAAGGAGAGCAAATTGCCAACCATTCGTGGGAAATGCAAGGAAGACAAATTACATCAATGCTAAATGTAGGCCCTTGTATTTCCATCCGTTTTCTTTCCTTCCCTACCTCTATCTATCCACCTATTACCATTCGCGAACACACTACTGAACGATTCACCCACAAGCAAAGAAACTTACTTTTTCTCTCGCCTTTTCCGTTTGATCTCTCGTACTACTCCGTATTTGTAAGCTTGATATTTTATTCCTCGCTGCCTAAAACGGAGTTTTCCCTTGTCCACACACTTAAGCACAGACACAAGGGAATTTGAATTTTTCTTTTTCCTTAAGTTTGTTAGTTGATTTTCATTTTTTTTTTCCTTCAGAATTTTCTATTTATACATACACCTTCTTCTTTCTTCTTCTTCCTCTTCTTCTTCTGCGTTGCATGTCTCCTTAGAAGTATGAATCATATATCAGCAGGGTTCCATTCGCCTACTGCAACTACTATAACAACATCTACTCATACTACGGTGTTGACGCACTCTCCAGGCCATGCTAAGCAGCAGCAGCTGCAGCACTCGCTTCAGCAACACCCTTCAGTGAAACAACTGCAATTTCCACAAGAACTTCAATATGAAAACCAGCATCAGAATCTGCATCGCATTTCGGAGACAGCACTCCTTCAGCACTCCAGCCCCATGTCACAGGGCAACGGATCAACCAACAGCACCTCCATAGAATCGTCCCCAGACATTCAGAACGGTTGCTCGTTGAACATCTCCCCTAAGCATTCCAGAAAAGTGTCGTCATTATCAAATCGTAATATTAATATGAAAAACTTGTCGTTGAACTTGGAAAATGGAAGCTCTAACTCCGGCCAGCAACAACAGCAACAACAGCAGCAACAACAGCCTGCAGTGCCCTTAACTGCAAGTGTGAACCCACCGCGTCTCTCCAGAAGGAAGACGCTAACTTTATCAATCCCAGCAGATCAGAATATAGAACCTCCATTGATCACTCCAGCAGTCACGAAGACTCCGCAAATCCCTCCTTTAATACCAAAGCAACAAAGGAGCCACACAACTCCCGATGCCGTGTTGTCAAATGCACCCACCACCAACATCATCAATAATGGAAGCTCTGAGAGCAGCCCCTTCAGCATACCGAAACCTTCATTTCATGATCATAACCCGTTCCAAGAACTTTCTCCAAATTCTTTTGTACAACCATTCACCTCAGAATCTTCGAAGAACTTGCAAAGTCCATTCTTAATGAATGGCAGCCAGGTAGAGGGCCAATTTTCCACCGACTTCTCAGGCTTGCAAATATCGAATGGAAACAGTAACGGCACCACTACAGCAGCCACTGCAACCTCCACATCCATAGCGTCCACAAATGCGGCCTCTTCTGGGACTACCCCAAGTAAGAATTACGTGTTGAAAATACCAGAAGAGCTTCAAGAGTCTTCCACGTTGGAAGCTTATCCTAATGGGCCTGCTAACGTGCTAAATGGTTCCATATTCTTATTCTCTGACCCAGACCCTACTCTGGAAGCCTGCCTGCCAGGAAATTTAGTAGATATCAACGACTACGACTTGGTGATCAATGTGGCCAAGGAATGCAAGGATTTGTCTTCACAGTTCGACACAGCCAATGGAGCAAAAGAATACATCCATATAACTTGGTCGCATACATCTTCTATTCTGAAAGAGTTACCAAATTTGGTGAAGAAAATAGCGAAGTATGAAGATAGTGCATCGAATATTCCTATAAGTAAGAAAAGGAAGATTTTGATTCATTGTCAATGTGGAGTCTCCAGATCTGCATGTGTTGTTGTCGGGTACTTTATGTACAAATTTCACATTGGAGTAAACGAAGCTTATGAATTATTGAAGAGTGGAACCAAGATGTCGGAGGAATCATTTAATCTTGCAATTGGTGAAAAGGGATACGAGATAGACGCATGTGACAGGATATGTCCAAATATGAGTCTCATATTTGAACTTATGGAATTTGGTGATTCCTTAAACGGTAAAGTTATATAAGAGAGAAGGAATCAGAAGGGGTCAACACGGATCAGAAAAAAACCAGTAGGTTAGACACAGTTGCTAGCTCACATTATCATCGCTAGTACGCAAATCTTCTGTTATATTATACTATATAAATAAAGATGGTGAATTTAGTACTATATTATATAAGGCTAGTGGATATAGTTCAGCTCTTGTTAAAAGAAAGTTGGAACTGATTCCATAATATATAAAAAGGTAGTTCCACATATATTGGATAAGCACAGGGATGCTATGACTAACGTCTTTATTTACTTATTTTTTTCCTTTTTGCTTTTCTCCATAGAGCTTATCATCTTTATGAAACTATCGAATGCCATGGGTCCTTGCAAATAAGATGGTCCTACTTGTAGTTCATCCTGGAACTACTATAGCAAGAGTCAATGCACCCGCTTGAAAACTAGGTCGTGTGATTACCAAATACATACTGGCTCTTTTTATTTTTAATTTTTTCTTTTTGAAAAGTTAACGCTTAACACTAGCAGTAAGCAATATATCCCCCAATTCATTGATAGTTTGAGGAGGATTCATTCTTTCCTTTAGCTAAAACATTGTAAATACACAGCTAACTGTTAAGTATTTTGAAGAACGCAAGAGAAAGAGAGACTCACCCAAATACTTGGATATAAACCAGTGTCTAACGCATTTGAAGGCTAACCATGTCGCAGAATAATTACTACAACAACAGCAGTAATAACAGCAATAATAGTGGCAGCGGTAATGGCAGTGGAGGAAGTCGATATAGTGGTGGCGGATATTCCGGAGGGGGCAAAAAATCGATAAATTATGCCAACGGCGGCTCTTCATATCGAAGCGCAGATGCCAATGAGTGGGATAATTCTGGAAGGAGGAGTGGTCGGGATTATTACAGTGGGTATCGTGGTTCTGGAGGAGGAGGAGGGGGAGGAAGCTCCAGTTATAGTAGATACGATCAGTATGGAGGAGGTCGAGATAGGGATAGACTTCCCGACAGAGGACCAGGGCCAGACCGAGAACGAGGTCCAGAGCGAGAGTGGGGCCAAGACAGAGAAAGAGGCCCAGATAGAGATAGGGAAAGGGGATACAAAAGTCACGGGAAAAGTTCATATGTTCCTTCAAGTAACCCTAGAGATAGGGATAGGGAGGGAAATAGACGGAGATACGACAAGTATGACTCGTACTCTGGAGCAGCTGGCTCAGGAGCCAGAAGTGGTAGTGGTTCATCAGGCCCACCAGGAGGCTCACATGCGACTTCTTCTACCTCTAGCACACATATGGCATCTTCATCATTTCCAGGATCATCTAGCAGTGGCAGTGGACGCTATAACAAGCCTTCTTCAGGTAGCCAGAGCGAATATAGACGAAACCTGCCTATAGAAGGTACCCAGGATCCAAGAAGAGGCTCCTACCAAGGGGATTTCCGTAAATCCAGTTCCAATAGTAACAAGTCGAACTTTAGCTCAAGAAAACTGTCACCTAATCCAAGTACAAGCTCAGCACTGGCAGTAGCAGAATTCAAACATGACCAAAAGATTCAACACATATTTGAGGATGAAAATAATGTTAACGGTGATGTAGCTAAGCCTGATGCTCAAGGAAAGGAAACACTACCTAAGGATGAAAGTAAAAGTGAGGGATCGAATGGAGACCCTATTATAAGTGCTGAATCTGTGAGCGAGAAAGACATAATTAGTCCTGAGTTAAAAGAGGAGACTCAGGTGGAACCTACAAAAGATGATACGGAACAGTCAAATCCAACCAGCAAGCTGAAGGACTCTTCTATCTCAAACATTCCTAACTTAGAGAAAACCAAATCGGACGTGGATATTGCCAATTCATCTATGTTGTCACCAGTAGGTGAAAGTGTTGCAATTGACGAACTGTTTTTGAGCCATATGGCCACTATCAAAGAATCAAACAATATCAAGGACGAAGCTGACTTATCTGAAGCGGAAACTATACCTTCACACTCTCCTCCTAAGGTGACCAAAGGTCGTAGACTAGTTAGAAAACTAGAATTTGACCAAGAAAGAGAAAAATTAAAGAGAAGGTACTATAGCGATGAAGACGATGAAGACGACAAGGATTTTTTAACTGCTGAAAAAATTCAGAGCAAAGATTTACAGCTGCCTGAGGGCAAAGACGATGAGACAGATCAACTGAAAGATGTATTCTCTAAAGATAAGAAGGATGTGAAGGAGGAAAAGGAGAACGAGGATCAAGGTGAGAATGATAAATCTTCTAAAACTAAAATTGAAGAAGATGAAGAAGAAGAAAAGTATGAAGATGACGGCAGTGATGAGCAAAGTGAAGATGAGGAAAAAGTAGAGGAAGAAGAAGAAAAGGAAGAAGAAGAAATTCATGTAAATAAGTCTAAATCTAAAATCATCGATAGGCCCTACAAACTCAAACGAGATTCAACTGGTAGATCATTACTCCAAAGAGCCTGCGGCAAGGGAAGCTTGAAAGAGGTTAAAGATTACATTGAGAGGGGCGCTGATCCGAATGAATGTGACTACTGTGGGTTTACTTGCTTACACGAAGCTGCTCTAGAGGGCCACTCAAAGGTAGTTGAGTATTTAATTAGCCAAGGTGCTGACGTCAATAAACAAGCACAGAAGGCTGGAGATTTGGAAACACCATTGATTGATGCTGCAGAAAATAAGCATCTCGAAACTGTGAAAGTCTTGTTAGCCAATGGTGCCGACCCAAGAGTCTATAACTTGGATGGATTCACTGCTTTGACCAAAATCTTTAATGAACATGATGGGGAACAAGGTTACGAAGATATCATTCAGGTTTTGGAAGAGGCAAATGGCAAATTTAATAGAGAAGAAAAAGCAGAGAGAGATAAACTCAGAGAAGATTTAGAAATTCCCCGAGTAGTCGAAGATCCTAATGATGTCTACTTTAGTGATTTACTTAAGAAGAAAAACCATGCCAACTCAATATATAAGTATGCTGCTGAAGGTATAAAGGAATTCACAGCAAACTACTTTGTTGAAGGAGGCAGATTAGACCATAAGCCAGATATTTTAATCTTAGCCGCTAGAAATGGCCACCTGGAGCTAGTTGACATTATTCTTGGGTTGAACCCAGGCCCTTACGATATTGATCAAGAAAACGGATGTGGATTAACTGCATTAGTGGCAAGTGTAGGAAGGGGACACACTGAGATTGTCAAATTTTTATTGTCAAAAGGTGCTGATCCAAGTAAAATTAGAAGGCAAGATGGCTTGAGCTGCTTAGAAATTGCTCAAGGGGCTACCCACTATGATGTTGAAGAGGTTAAGATTTTGCAGAAACACTTGCAAAAGCGAGGTGTCCTAGACGAACAAACTGACGAAAGGATAGCGAACGAAAAACCCGACATATCGACAAGAAAGACAGAAGGGGATAATAAGCCAAAAGATGCTGATTCCAAGAAGAGAAAGTCTACTACTATTTCGGACGATGGAGACAAAAAGTTCAAAAAGTCCAAATCTAAAGAGCCGGAAAAGATCCCAGAAAAGAACCCAGAGAAGGTGCATGAAAAGCCACTCCCTCAGCCAAAGCCCAGTAGTGTTTTTGCTAAAGAAACGACTCCCGAAATGACTGAAAAACCTAGACCGAGAGATCATACACTTTCACCTAAATCTGAAGAAGGATCATTTAAAAGGCCATCTGGATCTCTTTCTCCAGTACCAGTTTTGCAGCAGCAGGTTCTCACAAAGGAACAAGAAGAACTAAGAGTCAAGAACGCTGAAGAAGCTAGACAATGGCAAGAAAAGGTAGAGGCTAAGAAGAGAGCTAGGCGTGATATGTTCTTAAGAGCTGAAAGAGAGAAAGAACGTAAGCGTAAAGAGGATGAAGAAAGAAGAGCGAAAGAAGAAGAGGAAAGTGCCAAGGCGAAGATCGAAGAAGACAAAAGAAAAGCTATTGAAGAGGCCCATAAGGTAAAAGAAATCACAGAGCAGCGTGACACCTTGGAAAGAGAGTTGATTTTCAAAAACTACCCCATTGGGCTTCAACAAATTAATGAAGCAATCCCAGCTGAACAATTTGGTCCTCTTTACACTTTCAAGTTTGACAACACTGAAGATATATATGTCACCGACTTGCAAGTGGCTCTTTTGACAAGCATTGCAACCAATACTTTACATGAATCTATTAGTCAAGCAGACTCGATTATACCTCTCACGTCTATTCAAAAGTCTAAAATATGGAATTTATTTTTTCCCATGATTGGCATTGATAGAAGAAGTCCATTCTCTGACATTTTCAAATTATCTCACGAGGGCCATGAAAAATTTAAGAATTTGGTGATAAATTTCATCCCGCTCAGAGAAATGAACCATATTACTGGAAAGAAATTAAATGATGAATACTATGTAAGCGTTGACCTTGAGAGTCTTCAAGAATTTTCAGATTCAGGTCCAAATTATGTTGTTCCATCATGCGGAGGAGATAACTTAGAAATAATAATCAACTCAGATGCTTTATTGGAAAGCAGATTTGTACCACCAAGACTCAGAAGGAGGGCAGATGTATTAAAAACACTTCAAAGTACCTCAACCCCTTTATGGTAGTACACCTGTATATTAGTATATAGAAAAGTTATATTGTATAGTAGCTGTAATATAGGATAAATGTTCCAACTTAGTATGAGTGTGAGATGTAGCGTGAAAATGAGCAGGCGATATGGATGCGAAAAATTTCATTGCACTGAAAAAATTAAACTCTACTGATGAGCTCTAGATGTATAGATTAGAGTCAAAAGAAACAGGAATATGGGAGAATTTAAGAAGTAAGTTGAAGACGATTTATGCAGATGGAATAGGGATTCTAGAGAAATATATGAATTTACTAACAATTTTAGGACTTCGAGAGCTGATCTTTATGCATCAGACTCCGAACCTGAGAATGGCCCTGGATCAGAGGGTGCTGAACTCTTGGGATACGGTAATATGGACTTTGAATTTGTAGAAATAGATAATGAAAGCAATGTAGAAGATCAGGAAATAATCATTAAAGAGCAAGTAAAGACAAAAGCAAAAAATGAAGAGAGGCGTGCCAGCAACTCAGGAGGTGACGAAGAATATGATTTCCCATTGTTTGGAAGCAAATCCAACAAAGTTGAAAATCAGAAAGACGAAGAAGATGAAGAAGTAGCATTCCCCTTATTTGGAAATACTATGAAAGTGTCATTAAAAGAAGACATAGAAGAAACATTACACCAAGAGAGACCTGCAGAATTCTATTTTGCCAGTTACTCGAAAGCCCAAGAGAGCGAATTCGAGATTGCAGCAATCACCTACGAAGAAATAGAGCGAGAAGCACATATAAAACATACAGATAAGGCACCATGGAAAGTGCTTGATTTGGCGTTGTACAATAGCAAAATTGACAAGTTGAAGGCATTAAATGAAGAAAAGAAGCGTAAGATGAGGAAAAGACCTGGTAAGAAGAAGAGAGAAATGAAGATCTCCTGTACTAAAAGAAAGGAAGAACGAGCCAAAGTAGAGAAAAAGATAGAGAAGGAGCAAAAAGCAAAGTTAAAGAAGAAGATGTTTCACAAGAGAGGTGGTAAGAAGAACAAGAAGAAGGCAGTTGATCCAGCAAGCAGCAAGCCCAAGTATAGGACAGAGTAAGTACGATAAGACCCAAAATAGGAGAGTGCCATCGAAGTATGGCAAAGTGGAGTACATAGTGTATCATAGAACTAATTTACTAGTAACATCAGTAGAGCCAGATTTGTAACAAAAAACATTCACACTAATTTTCGTTTCCTTACTCATTTTCCCAGGTCATCCACTTGCATTATAAGTCCTACTAGGATATAATAGAATTCTGTGAGACCTAACAGTTCATCCATATGGAAAGCTAATCTTGGCTAACTTTCTCGAGCCTCGAGAATTGAAATTTTTCAATCGCGCCAGGACTGCCAGATATGAATCGAAGAAACAGATTTAAAGAAACCAGCAGTGTTCATTTTCTATTTACCAGAGAAGCTTAGTAAATATGACAGACCTTGAAGATTTTGAAGCTTTCTTGGAGCCATCATTTGACTCATTACAATTTGCCAATGGCCTTCTTTTAGCTACAAATGACGATGAAAAAGAACTAGATTTGCTTACACCGATGAAGAAGTTGCAGTTCGATATCAACGAATGCGAAAAGAGAATGCAGAAGGTATCATCCACTCACTACCAGACGTTGGTACTGAACTTAAAGGAAGTGGATACCACTAAAGAGGTGGTAGAGGAACAGCTAGGACCACAACTTCAAAGATTGAATGTATCTTTTCAAAGAATTCAGTCCTCATTGATGACCCCATATGAAGATGCTTTGAAGCTCAACAAGTCGTTAAAGAAAATACACGCAACTTTGAAATTACTCAGAGGAGCAGGGTTTTTTATGTTCTTGGTCCAACAATTGGAAGAAAGAGCACCAGACCAAAAGGAAACTGACAGTCATTCCTCCGGAAGGAAAGATTTAGTTAGGTTAGCCAAAGTTCATATACAGTTGAACAAATTGTACGAGAACAACAGCAAATCAACTGCCAGCTATAAAACTGTCAATTCTTCTAACAAAGACCCAAATTTGTTGTCAATCAAAATAGTGAGGGATTATCAATCTATTCATGCGTCGAAAAGAGCAGACTTGACTAGCCAGTGTACTTCTATAATAACCAACGATGTCAACCACCATAGCACATTCACTTACTCTAATGCTCAGTTACAGGATGCTCTACTTGCTTTGTACATTTTGGATCCTAATGAATGTTTCCATACCATAGACAGAGCAACGATAAGCAAGCAAACTCAGGTAATTTCTAACCAGCTCTCAAGGGCCCTTCAATCCCCTAGAAATTTCACAGCTGTCATAGAAGAAGTTTTCGAATCTTCAGAAAAATTCTTGTATAATACGAATGACATATTGGAAAACGCTAGAGTCTCTGATTCGAGGACTTTATTAAGAGAATATTTACTATTCAACCAGGAAGCTGGTACATTATCGAACTTGTATTGGTCAAAATTGGGTAATAAATTTAAAAGAAATGTAGCAGCTACTATGGCTAGGGGAGGACCAATTGCAAAGAATTTGAAGATATACCATGAAGGTATTAAGAAGGCAATATTGGAAAGATTTGGGAATTCTGATGGCTCTGCTGTACTTATTGATGCAATTGACTTGATTGGTGGAATAAATTAGTAGAGAAAGCGATCTACTGTACAATTTAGTGTTGAAGACAGAGTTACATATTCATTGTATTCGCATTCATTAAAACATATAGACAGAGAATATACTACTCTATGAATAAAAATTACTTCGATACAATAATTCTTAGTTTTTACATTTGTATCTTCTTTTCCTAATTATTGCATTTACGTTTATTAATTTAACTTACTTGAACTTTAACTATTTTTGTCTTTATTACTTTTCTTCTACCTTAAAATCTGTTTCTTATTGACTGACTTTGAGTTTCAATGAACTCAAGAAATCTCTATAGCTTGGTTCACTTTGAGTCTTGTCCTCAACCAAACAACTCAATGCCCACATTCTTAATGCTTGTAAGTCACGTTGGTTGGTTATATCGATAGGTTCATTCGATGAACCTCCAATAACAATGTACAAATTCTTCCATGTAATGGAATCCTTGGATTCTCTTATCTTGCCAATAATTTGACGCACTCTATAATTAAATTCAGATTCTTCCAATGAGAATTCTGGTAATTCAGTCTTTCCTGTTGCGATGGAGTATAAGTTATCAGTTCCAAATAAATCATAAACCAAACCTGGTACAACATCACCAGCAACCCACAAGAATAATTCAGTAGAATTGTCAATCAAATATAACCCATAATTTTCCCAAACTGATCTAGTATCATTCAATGGTTCAGGTAACATAATAGAAGTACTTTCTGTAGCAACTTCTTCTTCTTCACCTGTTTCTTCATTGACGACAACTTTCTTTTCTGGTAATCCACAACCATCATCCATATTATGTAACGAGTATACAGTTGGGTAAATATATTTGATTAAATGTGGAATAGGCATTGAACCCAAGACGTTTAATGCCGAAGATCTATGATCTGAGGGTACACGATCATTTCTTAAACCTAAATGCTTGGTCAATGAAAACAATAATAAGGGCAACATTCTTAAGTTAGTGGATAATTGCAATGGAGAAGATCCAGCAACGTTTCCTGCCACCAACTCCTTTTTATATACATTTAAAATATCAACAAGTGATTTGGTTAAAAAGTCTCTTGCATCTGGTAATGACAGGCTGATAGCCTTTTCAATTGCCTTGTGAGTATAGAAATTGGTAATGGCTAATTGATCTGCAGATGCATAGATGTCATCTAGTTTACTTGAAGTTGGAATAGCCAAATTCATAACCCTAATTCTTCTTTCACCAAAACTGGTGGAGTGTAAAACAGCGGCTTGAAAGTATACCACAGGCTTTGAAATATTCTCTTCAATGGACATTTCAATACAATAACTTTGATCTCTTGGGTAGGTTGGGAATGAACACAAATCGGACGATCTGTTAAAGAAATTACCAAAAAATGACGACATACGTAATCCAGTAGAACCTCTAACTCTTAATACAGCTTCCAATGCAATATCCATAGACAAGTGATCTGAAACTTCCTTAGATAACTTAGTGACGTCTTCCATCTTTGCAGAAGTCCAAGATGGGTAGAAATGTGTTTGACCAGCAGTGTATCTTGGCAAGTTGGACAAGGAAGCAACATCTTGATATTTCAGCGATGTAAGGAACAAGTCAACGGTAATTTGTGATGAGTTACATTCAACTGCAAATGATTTGTAAAAGCTATCCACAGCAACTAATAATTGCAGTTCCTTGGCCTTACCAGCCAAGCTGGGATCATCTCTTACAGTGAGTTTACCTTCACCGACGTTTGGCAAAGTTGCTGAAAAACAAATCAACTTACCACCGATAGGAGAAATCATTTTATGACCAGCTCTTAAAGCTGGTCCAAGAGCAAACTTGTTGTTAGCGGTGTTTTCAAAGTAATTAGGGAAGTCAATTAATAACTTTTCAATTGCACTTCTGTTTTCAAACAAGTTGACAAGTAAACCATCTGGAGATGGAAGGAATGCTTCATCAATATCAGAAACAATCAACAATTCAATGTTACTACGGCCACTGCCAGTTGCTGCATCATCATTGGCATCTTCATTTACACCTTCATTGTTGAATCTGAAGTAGTGCAAAGAAGAGTCAACACCAATAAAAGCCACTCTAGCAGTGTGGTTCTTGTTAGGGATACGATCTAATGATTCCAAAATAGTCCTAGTGACGGTACCAGTTAAACCAGAGGCAACTGCATCGTAACTGACATCAATAATGAAGGTATACACGATTGGTTGTGGAGATCTGGCCATGTATTCCTTTGGAGCAACAAATTCAACAACGGAGTGGTTTAATTCAACTCTGTCAAACTTGTTCTTGGCAGTACCAGTAGTCTCATCGTATTCAAATGAACTTGGGACGTCATTTAACAAGTTACAGAAATTACATCTCCAGCGTCTACCTTGTTCAGCCAATGACACGAAGGGGTTAATGTAACCTCTACAACGACGACATCTAGAAATAATGGTATCAGAAGTTACTGGAACGTTCTCTTCTTCAATGGTCAACGCAGTGTATGGTCTAACAATTAAGGCAAGTGGCAATTTGGATTTCTTGTACAAAGAGTTATTGTTTGGAATTACATTCATGGTTGATCTGAAGTACTCAGGTGATGCGTTTGCGGTTTCTGACGATGGAATTAATGAGGTAGATGCTGGAAGCACTAAAGGTGGTGGTGGGAGCTGGAGATCCGAGATGGAAGGTGGTAATTCTTTCAAGAGATCAGCAGTATAGAGTTGATTCAATGGCAAGGCTGGAGTACCTGTGACACCGAAACCTGCGCCGGCTCCATAAGCTCCACCAGCAGCCTGTGCTTGCTGATATCCAGCGGAATAGTCATAAGCACCATCTTGCTGTTGTGGAGCCTGTTGTTGGCTACCGTGAGGTTGGCCACCGTAGCCTGGTTGTCCATATTGGCCCTGTGCTGGCTGTTGTTGTTGCTGCTGTTGGAGAGGCGCTTGTGGTTGTTGGTACTGGTTCACCAGTGGCGATCCATAGGCATAACCAGGACCTCCAATTGGTGCCTGTTGTTGGAAGCCGGCGGCACCTGGAGTACCAGGGGTACCAGGAGTGCCAGCCCCTCCAACGTTGAAATTTTGGAATTGTTGACCCAACTGATCAACTCCGTAGGCACCTCCAATTGGCGCTCCTCCATTGCTAGCTGGTGGCACATTAGCATTGGCAGCTGCATACAGCGGCTGTGGATAATGTCTTCTTCTATTTGACATCGTAAGGCAAGGATTGTGTGTGTAAATGGAATGAAATCACAACTACCAACGTGTATTTTGCGTTAGTTGTTCAATTTGTGATTTTTGGATTTTCTCCGATTCGACTTTTCGAATTTTTTGCCTAAATTGAAATTTCGATTTTCACAGTTTGAGCTTCGATTGTTTTTCCACCTGCTACTTGAATTTTTCACTATGTGTCGTTTCTCGATAGCGAGTTAAGCTCTTGTTGATTAGGTAGGTGGGTGTTTGCAAGTACGTGGTCAGACAAGTGCTAATAATTACGCTTAGAGACATCCCACCACGGTAAAAACAGGCATAAATGGTGAGATTGGTGCGAAAAATTGAAGCCTTACAAATTGGAGCAGGTAGTAGAGCAGGCAGCGCGCGCGCAGGTGTAGGAAAGAAATGTATCAGGCAAGAATAGCATTAGGCAGGGCAATACGAGAGGGCAAAGAGGAAGTAGATATGGAAAGAAGAGGAATAAAATATGGAAGAATAGTGGTTAGCTCAGAGGCAAAACCTTTAATCTGGAAATTAAGCTTGTGGAGGTAAAAAGACGTATGATTGGTAGTGAATAGAGAGGGTGTGTGGTGAGGGTGTATGGTGAAAGGTGAAGATAATTGCCAAGTTCTCTGTTTTTGCATCGCCCTAGCGTGTATTTCTCACTTGCACTAGTATTGATATTTTTGCACCCATTTAGGATCTCAGGTCCCAGGCACATAAATAGCCTTTGGCATTGTTTACATACATTGCAACAAAATCTCGTAACTTAGTTCGTTGCTTCGACCTCGAATGAATCGTGAATTTGCAGCAGATCCGTGTTTGTTCGTAAAGTTAGATGCTAATTTAGACTTCCCAGGTCAAAATGGCTATGTGAACACATCCAGCTAAAGCTGACTTGACACGAAATATTTCATTTATTTATTTTTCACCATCAGAAAATACAGAGCAAAAAAAAAAACAAAAAAATATAATCTACCCACACGATCAAAGGAAATGAATGATCACTTTTAAAAAATAAAAACTATTTCCAGATTACCGAAGTCGATATTCTCAAAGTTTAGGTGCAGATGTCTAGATGTAAACAAAAGAATATAAACATCGACAAACAAACAATGCCGTTTAATGTCGAGGTGAGGTGACACTCAAAGTTAAATGCTGTTATATATAGCACTCGCACCGCGATTTATCCCTTTTTTCCTAAAAAACCTTATAGCGTGAAGGCTATGTACCGCACTTCCAAATAGATCGGGTCGGGTACTCCCTAAATAAAAAGCGCGAACAGCAATAAGTTGGGGGGCTCTAGGAGCGTTCCGCCGCCATGTCAGGTATACCCCTCGGTTTGTCGCCCTGTCGCTGCTATATTTCGCATTTTTTAACGCACATACATATAAAATTGATGCCGCCTGGGATTGTTAGCTCTCTCAAGCCCAGTTGATTGCGGCAAATTTACGAAAATATCCTCAGTGACATATTTTTGTACAGTAAATCTAGAATTTTGGCGATTCGATTAAGCATTTTGATATGCAAGGAAGAATTTATTCCTGTAATCAATTTAGCTGCTTGGTGAAATTTCAGGTTTGATCCGAATAATAGATCACCCCTGACAACTGATACCTCAAGTGAATGACGTCTAGACTTGAAGGGGTGGTCCACTCCTACTTGATAATAACTAACCCTTGAGTCATCTTATATTAGGAAGAGTCGCTTCTGTAGCATATTCTTGCTCGTACTTTCTTTTACTTTGTTTGCATTTAAGCATTTTTTTTTTTTTTTTTTTTCCACTTTTGCGAAAGCAAATTCCTGCCCCAGTTTTTTTAAACGAATGGGTAACCACCTTTGTGTTATGACTCCATCGGTGTAGTTATATATATATAGTGGGGAGGCTTTGTCAAATGCAAGGGCACCGTCAAAACAGAGAAAAAAAAAGGTAACTAGTTTATAAAAGATTCTTTTATATATATATGAGAGTTCAGTTCAAACACTCTTTTGAAATATTGCATAAGAATTAGTGTTCCCCACATTGCAGGAGACTGAATTACAATTTATATAACCATTAGAGCAAGCAACAGAAGAAAATTTTTCATTTTTTCAATTGTCTTTCTACTTTACCTCTCAAGTAGTAGTACAAGGTCATATCAAATAATCGCAGGCCCTCCCAGATATCCTGAATTAGTTGTCACATTACCCTTCCGTATAGTTGATTGCTTTAATTTCATAATTTCTTGTTCCTAATTTTTCATTTGCAATATTCAAGGTGTCTCTTCATAATCAAGTAATGTCAAGAGCCCAAAGGAGGACATCATCAAAATCAGGATCCTTCTACGAGAAGGACGAAAAGACTCAAAGGGAAGCTTCCTTGGACAATGAACATGACCTCGAGATGCTCATGGACCGTCCAAAAAGTAACAAGAAGAACAAGCTTATTTATACACTTTTACTAATTGCATTTTCCTTTGTCATTGGTGGTTCTATAGTGAGAGCCCTTTATTTTTCGACATCACCTTCATCATCCACCTCAACAAAGACTGGATCCTTTCTATCATCTACGTCTAAGTTTTCGAATATCGAAAAATTTCAAAAGGACCAAGAGGATTTATTAAATAAGGTGTTAGAAGGAAGTGGTGAAGCAAACCACATTTCATCGCCTTCTTCGCAAAAGGTCAATGTGTACCAGGGACCAGATGTTGAAGGTGAAAATGCCAAATGGTTTTTCCAAAAAATCTTCGAATATTTGACCAATTCAAATGATGATAGGCCGCTGAATAAATATATAAACAAAGACACTCCAATTATCGACACCCTGAGTTTGCTCGAAGACGAAATCAGTAGAATGAAACAGGTCGGAGTAGCGGTTAAGGAAAACGTAGCAGAAAAGGAGGGAGACAAGGCTGACTCTGTCAATGCAGGCGCCGCTATTGTTAATGCTGCACAAAAAATCGAAAGTGTACCTAGCCCCAAAGTGAAATCTTCACCAATATCCTCTGTTTCTTCAGGTTCACTGCACGATTCCAGTAGCTTGGTAAACGCCCAATCAGACCTTAAGGAAATTCTTTCTGTATCTCCGTTGACAATTATTTTGAACGATGACCCACAAGTTTCATCGAAAGCAGCTAAGGCGATGGAAAAGCAAATCCAAACCATCATATCTGGTATAAGAATCACCCCTCAACCTACAATGGTCAACTTGATCAGACATCCTCATTACAAGCAAATTATAGAGTATTTAAAGACTTACCAAACTCATGTTAAGGATTCTACTAGTTCCGAATCCGATGAGATGAAGACTGATGAAGTCATTGAGGTTGCAATAGACGAGGTACCTGCTTTGTTTATAGGCGGAGAGCCAGTTGCAAATTATGGCGAAATCATTGATATGTATAATAAGAAGGAATTGACTTCATTTTTAAGGAAAACAGGTAAAGGCTTAATATCTGTTGAATAAACAAAGTTTCATTAGGAAGGTTAACTAAAATAAAAATATTCTAAAATATATAATATAATATAAAACAAAATGGTAAAATAGAAAAAATGAATCCAAATGCAGTAGGAATGATGGTTACATTGTAAATATGAGTTTCATAGTCAATGATATACCCACTTCTCGACGTCCTCTCGAACTCTGATAAAACCTAATTTGGAATTTTTCAACTGCAGCAACATGGATCATAGCTCGCATGCTAAAAAACATGCACAAAAAAGAAAAATATGTGGTACTGTCAATAGCTCATCCCTTCTTTTTGTAAGTATCAGAAAGTATTATTCGATGTGTGGGATCTTGTGCTGTATAAGCCGAGAGCCACCTTCTATTCCCAAGTACTTTGAACAGAATATTCGAAATTTTGACGATAATATAGTGGTGTGGGATTCACAAGATGAGGCATTCATTCAGAAGTTGATTGACATTGATCTCAAACAAACTGAAACCTTGAGTCTGGAAGATCAGCATAAAATTAATAACTTAGACAAGCTTAGAATTTGCAATGCCAGACTAAACCAGATTAAGAATACCATAGGTAAATCTGAGAGCCACAACAGTGAGTTGGCTGAAGCAAAGAGTAAAATTGAACTTGAGATGAAGCTGTTGGCTTTGGTTGATCATATCGATAAAAATGAGATGGCTAATCTTCCACCTAGGGAAATTGGAGTTGGATTATTCACATCATTAGTTCCTGTTATCGCAAGTCGGGGTCCCAATTACCTTAAATATATATCCTTTCATATAGAAGAGGCTAAGACATGGGTGGAGCAGTTCTCATCGGTGCTATCGTTGAGACAACCTTTTGTCCAACAGCCTGTTCAAGTCGAGAACGAGCAAATTTCAATCCAATTTAATGGAGAATTATATAATCAAGAATGCCTTGACTCTAATGATTCTAAGTTCATTGGCGATAAGATCATTAGCAACATTGGGAATTTTGGTCAAGGAAATAGAGAAAAGGCAATTGTGGAAACGATAGCTGAATTGGAAGGTGAGTTCGCGTATGCCATTGTAGATAAAGCAAAGCAAAGGTGCTACTTTGGTAGAGACTATGTAGGTAAAAGATCATTGGTGTATTCGCTCAAGGAGAGTAGCGGGCTTGTTATCAGCTCTGTCACCAATGGTAAGAATGAAAACAACTGGGAAGAGTGCAAGGCCGAGGTTGTATACATGTACGATTTCGAGAGTTGCAAATTAGATTCTTATGAAATGGCATTGAAAGGAGCAAGACATCCAAAGCCAATATGCAATCTGGCTTTGAACAAATTAAAAGGCATTGAAGTTCTGAATAGGATTTCAAAGTTCAAGGAAGTATTTTTTGAAGCTTGTAAAGTCCGTGTTGACACCATCCATCCTATTCACGAGGATAACCCTCACATAACCAATTTGGGGATATTATTCTCTGGTGGATTAGACTGTACTGTAATTGCTGGAACAGTGGGACAACTTTTCCTGGAAATGTCGCTGCTTCTGGATAAGACAGTTTTAATAGATTTATTAACTGTGGGCTTTGACAACCCAAGAACTGAAGTTCTGGCATCAGGTTCTCCAGATAGGAAGTTGGCAAAGAAATCGTGGTTAGAGTTGGCAAATAAATTTAACAAGGACTCCCGAATCTCATTCAGGTTGGTTGAAGTAGATGTAAACTATGAAGAATGGCTAAGGCATAAGTCAAGAGTTGAGCGATTAATGTATCCATGTGATACCGAAATGGATTTATCGATTGCAATTGCGTTTTATTTCGCCAGTAGAGCTTCCAACGGCGTTAAGCTTACGTTGAATCTATCCACTTGCGAAATTGAGACACAAGCAAATTATACTTCTAAAGCCAAGGTGTTACTTTCAGGGTTGGGAGCCGATGAGCTCTTTGCCGGCTATCTGAGACATGAAAGGGTATTCAATGATTTAAAGCCTGATTCAGGTAGCGATGTTCTTGAAAAGGCATATTCAGATCTTGCAAATGAACTTACAAATGACATTAAAGTAATATATAAAAGAAATCTTGGAAGAGATGATAGAGTGATTGCGCTGTGGGGAAAGGAATTGAGATACCCATTTCTTGAAGAAAAAGTTATCAATTATGTAGTGCAACAAGTAGAGCTTGATTTGAAGTTTAACCATCTGTGGGAGACTACCACAAACAAAAAAGGAAAGGTATCCACAAGGCTAAAGCCTGTGAGAAAGTGGATCCTCAGAGAATATGCCGAAACGTTAGGATTAACTGGAGTCAAGAATGAGTTAAAGAGGGCTATCCAATTTGGTGCAAAGAGTGCAAAGATGGAAATTGGTCAAGGGAAAACAAAGGGAACAGACCAACTATGAAAGAATAGAGAAGAAGTGGTTGCACTTCTAATTGTACATATAAACTTTATAAGTTCTGCATTAATAAATAGATAATATAAAATAATTGATCTTGCACCGAATATGCCAATATGAAGAGAGCGGTTCAATGATTATTAAGCTCTTTCACCCATTTTGGTTCGATCACCAAGCACTCACATTCAGTAAGTAAATTCTTGTCTACTTCAACTTCGTCCGAGTCCAAATCTATGAGGTAAACTTTGGCATTGACCGAGCATTTTCGCCCTTCCTTCTTTGAGACATCACATCTAACCAAGATATAATTATTCACAAAGCATGGTCTCTTATAGGTGATATTTAAGTTCGCAGTAACTCCCATTTTAGAAGGGAAATTTAAGAATGCCAATCTACATGCTAGTTCATCCAAGATAGTAGCAAGTAGCCCTCCATGAATGATAGATTTATGACCTGTCAAACCTTCGCCCAAATGGAAGAATGTAAAAGAGGAGTTTTGGTTACCAGATTCGGGTCCGTAGGCATCCACAGAAGCAGGATTTTCAGTGTCTAAAAAGATTGGGTCCATTATATACGACGATGGGCTACGAAATGAAATTTTATCTGGACCAGCCAAAGTATGGCCCGTGAGCATGGGCTTTATATTTTCAATGACATCATGAACAGTTGAATTTGATTTATTCTTTTCAAGATGATCTGCGTATAAAGCTTGATACTTAGTGTAGATCGGATGAGATAAAAACTTGTCTTCATGTACGAGTGCCTTGAGAGCTACTGAACTATTATTCAGGGTGTTTATTGGAGTGGGAGAGTCCAGATGAAGGTCTGCCATTTTTCTTAAGAAATTGACTAAGTAGTAAGAGTTTATTTCTATTTATTTACTTCCTATCTGTAGTATTGGAATCACCTTGCTTATATAAAAAAGCTCTTCCGAGGATATAACTGCTGCTTTAAACTAAAAAGAAACTAATCAACAAAAAGAAACTTTTGGGTAATCTGCCCCAGATTTTCTACACCTACCGCGCATGGGTATAACTAACGTTCCGAGGAAATACAAACTCCGGCTAATACATTCTCCCCATTAAATAGATCAAAAAATAATTCTTATAGCATTCATTGGCAAAGACTAAGTTCTTCATTAACATAAGCTATTTCTCGAGAGAAGATTTGAAAACATTGGCAAATGCTTCTTTCGCATTCTTGCTGATAACGTTACCGTGGCATGGAACAACCTGTTCAAAATCCCAACTGTAAATGGCTTGTAAACCTCTCTTAGCTTGAGGAGTGCCTGCCGACAGAACCTTTCTCATAAGGGCACCTCCTACCTTACTGTAAGGCTGCATGTAGCGCGTCAAAAAAGAGAGCCCTCCGTGAGGATTGAAATCCTTTGCATATCCAGTGGCAGGGCTGTATTGTTCAGAAGGTTCATGCGCACCCAAATTGAAAAGTAAATCACCTTCAAATAATATCTTTGATTTTGTATCATATACAACCAATTCCTTATTGGCGTGGCTTGGGAAGTAGACAAATTGTAAATTATTCAATGCTGAGCTGGAATCTACGCCCAAATCTTCCAGTAAATTTGTCTTATCAAGAATTTTATTAGCTAAGCTCTCGGTAAGCTTATAGTCGATTGGAGTTTTAGGGCCCAAGTCCACAGTCTCAGGACCAATTATTTTCAAATTTGGATACTTTTCCTTAAATGAGACTGCGGCTAATGTGTGCTCTTGATCTGGAATAATAAGATGTGTTACAGAAGCGGTTGGTGAGGAAAATAAGGCAATTGCCTTTTCCACTTCCACAGAATGTGGGATAGCCGACCATACTATAATATCATCGCCAAACTTGAGCAATGCCATTCTCCCACCAAAGTTGAACAAATTCAGCCTGGTGAATGGTACTGAAGTGATAACAATATCATCGGTTAACTTCCTTGATATTGCCTTTAACGGATTTGGGTACATATTTAATTAAGTTCTTTTTTGTGTCTTTTAATTGTAGTTTAAGGGGCCAATTGCTCTTGAAAAAAAGGCTAATATGTTAAACTTTTATACTTCTATTCCAAGGGTGTTAGCTTTTCTGAAAAATTATTTTTGAGTCGCTTTCATTCTGAAATCCATCGATGCCGGAATAGGTTTTGCTCTTATCTCTTTTAGCCATACTTTAAAAATAATCAGTGGGGTAAACGGTTGGAAGAGGTTTAAATCACAAAGTGTTAAATGCTGCACCTACATGAGTGACGTTACCAACCCTTATTTTCTACTTACATTTTGCACGCAATAAAAGCTCATATTCTAGTACGCTGAGACTATCTTAGCAAGGAGTTCTCGGTGCTTATGAGGTGTTCTGAATATTGTTTCTGTATTATTACTATATTATTATAATTTTACATTCTCTATATGCTATGTATGCTTCGACATTGGTTTGAGTACCAAGTCTGAGTTAAATCCAGGTGGATAATTAGTATTTGTGGTAGCTGTGAAAGTAGTGTTATTATTCATATTCGTATTGTTATTGTTATTATATGAGTTGGTACTAAATGTAGTGCCGCTATTTTTGTAAGGTAGATTTGGGCTTCCAATGCTATTGGTAATTTGAATTGGCTTCATTTGGTTCATTGGTTTAGTCTTATTCATCTCTACATTCCAGTCAATCACCGAACTATCGGATGCAGCTGTGGCTGGAGTTGTTGATTGGAAATCATCAAAATCATCGTCATCCTCTTCGATATTTTTCGTCTGATAAGTAGAATTTAAGGTACGGAGTAAAGCATCGTTGTTCACATTCGACTTTTTCGAAGTGGCTCCAAATGAAAGCGGAGCAGGTGAGATAGTTGGAGTTTTGGGTAGTTGCTTTCTTTGACTTGGAACTGATTTTGGCTTTGGTGTCATGACTGGGGTGTTATTGTTACCATTAACTGGCTTCGTCTCTTTACCTTGACTCCTCGTTCTTTTAACTGGTTGAATCATCACTTCATCTTTGGGTGCCAGTAAAATCTGATCTTGGTTACCCTGGTTGAACTTTTGGGTGTTTATCAAATTAGTAAAATCGCTGCTATCTTTACCAATCTCGTTTCCATTATCTACTCTTGTCGGCAATAACTTGATTTTCCGCTCGATTAAATCGTTTTCAACCTTTTTAACAATTTCGACAAATTCTTTAAATTCAAGTGCTGTACAGTTGTTACAACCAAATGCTAGTTGCCAGCAACGAGGCAAAATAGAACTAATAATTACGTCAAGTTCTAAATGAATGTGTTCACTGTTATTCAACTTACTGAATAATCGTAATACGTGACCAATAATCAATTTGTCTCTACTTTTCAAGTTATTTAAAATTGGTAATAATTGCTCAGACACAATTAGTTTATCGATGATCTTTTGATCAACAAAACTCTCGAACGTCTTGATAGTGGTGATTTTAGTTGATAGCACTGTAGTAGTTTTGAATACTTGACAAACTAATTGGAATAAAGTATTTTTGATATATGGGAAATCAAACAAGGGAATAATTGGTTGCAATTCAGTAAGAAATAAATCTTGTAGCCTAACTTGTTCATTTGAAGGTTGTTGATCAACAATTAAAATCTGCTCCGCAATATTTTTGACAAATTCAACGAGTTGTTTATCGTTCAATTTTGTTTTCAATACACTGATGTTCTCAATAATTGACAAACGAACTTTTGGCGAATAGTTCATAATTAACTTGTAAGGTGAACTGGAAGATGATGAAGAACCTGTTGCCTTCTTCCAAAAGCTTTGATTATTCTTAAGTAATATATTATAAATTTTATCTTGGAATGTCAAGCTAGACAAATTATTACCAATCTTGAAGATTATCGACAAAGCTAATGAAAGCAACAACTCAGAGGTAGACTTAGTATCATCAACAGGGCTATTAGCTACGTTGGATGTTGAGGCATTTGGGGTACTGCTTGAGCCCTTGTCACCTTTATCTGCTAATTTCAATTCTTGAAGCACGACGTCATTAATCAACAACGGCAATAACTTACTATTTCTAAAACTGGGTGGGAATTGATTTAAAACTGTCTCTTCACCTTGTACTTCCAATAATCCCTTTAAAAATATTAACTTCTCGTCAATCGTCTTAGTTGCAAATTCGTCAACAAACCACATAGCTTTGATAATGCTACCATTGAAAAAATCCAGGTCAATAAATTGGTCAATGGTGATTCTATCATTTGGGGATCTAGATATCATTTGAAGAAATAATCCTGTTAATTTGGACGGTATTTCTCTTCCTATACTGTTACCGTCAGGTAAGCCTCTTCTTTGGTAAAACCTATTTTCAAATTTTTTAAACGCACTCTTGAAATCGTTAATACTATCGCTTTCAAAGCACTCAACCAAATATTCTCCCTTATTATAGACATAAAAGATTAAACAGGCCAAAGACCAAATATCATTGAAAAGTGATAGCTTATTACTTGAATCCAACAAAAGTTCAGGAGCAGTAAAATTTAAGTTTAGATTGGTGAATGGAATTAAAGACGAATTGTTCATGATATAAAAATTGTCTCTCTCCTGACTCGATAATTCATTCAAATTTTGTAGAAACCTAAAGCCGAATAGTTTCCAATCTCCTTGATCGTTAATATAAATAGACAGTGGCTGTAAGTTGAAATGAATGATTTGACAAAAATTATGCAAAAATTGCAAACTTTTCGAAATTTGAAGCAACCCCTTTTGAATAGTTAACTCATCAAACTTTTCTAATGACACTGTTTTCAAGTTATTTTGTACTGGTTCCAGGACAAACAAAAACTTCAGCTTTGTTTCTTCCAATGGTTCTATTATAGTAAGAATCTGGGGATGCTTCAACTTGGCCAGCTGGCTAATTTCGAACTTAATGAGCTCATAGCACTCAGATATGATAACCTTGGGATTTTTCAGACTTGTTGATGAAAGTGACTGAACTCTTTGTTCAAACTTCTTTTTATCGAAAATGAAGACAGACACTAGCTTGCCGTTGGAGTTCTTTTTGGCGGGATATATGGACCAAGGATCAGAATTGAACGTAGGATTCTCCAGGACTGTGTATACCGCACGGATACCAGAATTAAAGATTGACTTGAACATGACTGTACTGTTTACAGGGTTACTTTAATCAAAGCGCTACGTTTCCTTAGCGAAAGTTCACAAAAAAAAAACTAAAAAATAAGACACACACAAGGTTATTAGTCAGTCTTCTTCCGCGAGCCCACTAGTTGAAAATTATCGATAGTTTTTTTCTTTCCTTGACACTTCCTCTCGATCTTTCTCACGCAACTACTCTGAAAAGGAAATGTGTGTATGTTGATAAAGATCGCCATTAACTAAAAGATCTGCAGAAGTTGTTCCACGCGGGTACAACAATAAAATGCCACGCAGAGAAAGCAGAACAAAAAAATAGTGAAAAAAAAGCTTCAACAAAAAAAAAAATTATTATTAATCTAACGAAGAAAAATATATTTCACAGAACAGAACATATAACTACTCTATTAGTTCATATAAACTATTTTACTTATCGTTTGTAAGATGGAATTATTTGAAGAAAACTACAGGCACTCAGCAGAGAGGTTAGATAAACCTTCTCAGTACCTTATTAAAAAGGCAATGCGTCGTGGGAACATTGATAATTTGGTGAAGTCGATGGAACTGAAAACTATATATGTAGGTAACCTTGCTAAACATACTACCGAGGAACAAATTCATGAATTGTTCCTGAAATGTGGTAGTATCTACAGAATCATTATGGGACTTGATAGAGTTAAGCTCAGACCTTGCGGGTTCTGTTTTGTGATATATAACCTGAAGGAATCTTCATGGAACTCTATGAAGTATTTGAATGGTACAAAATTGGATGACCAACTTTTGGAGATAGATTTGGATCCAGGTTTTAAGGAAGGTAGACAGTTTGGAAGAGGATTTTCTGGTGGTCAGGCAAAGGATGAAACTAACCAACATAATTACGGAAACCAAAGTAGTGGAAATTACAGAGGTGGTGGATATCGAGGTGGAAGGGGTGGAAGAAGTGGCTACAGAGGTGGCTATAGGGGAAGAGGAGGTTTCCGAGGAAATAGAGGAGGTGCTAGAGGGGGCTACAGCAGCAATGGGAATAATCTGAGTTGGTCTCAATGATTGAAGTTCCATTACTACAACGTAGATTGGAGAAGTAGCCAGGGCTACTTTTTCTGTATTATAGGATAAATTCATACATTAATTATATAAATATAAAAAACTGACTAATATGAGCTTAGTGTAAGAGTTCTTGCCAAAAATCTTATACCTTTACACTAATCCAAAGATAAGCCTAAAGCTTGTCTTTGAGACTTAGAGTTAGGGTCAAAGTATGGTACCTCGGCCAATGAAGTAACTCTTGTACCATGTCTTAAGTCTTCAGCTTCATAGTCACCAATGGCAAAGTGTTGAGAAATTCTGTTATCCCAGATAGCAGAAGTTCCAAGACCTTCCTTGGTTGGTTGCCACTTGAATCTAACTTGAATATCCAAGTTCTTTTCGTAAACTTGGAATAAGTACTCCAAAATAACTTTGCTTTCTTCAGGTTCTAACCCAACGATACTCCTTGTCATGGCTCTGTTGACAAATAAGGACTTCCAGCCAGTAGTTGGGTGAGTTCTGACAAGTGGGTGGGCTCTTTCAATTCTCTTAGGACCCTTCAATGGGTTTTCACGATCCAAATATTCGTGAGCAGAAACAAAGATGGCTTCCTTTCCGTCCAAGAATTGCTGTAATGCTGGTGACAATTTATCGTACGCAGCATAACCAGAGACCCAAGCAGTATCACCTCCAGTCTTTGGAATGGTGTCATTATGTAAGTGAGTGATTCCTGCCGGTTGGAACTCGTGTACTAAGTCGGTATGCCATCCTGATGAAATACCTCCCTTTTTAAAGCTGGGTTTGAATCCATAAAATTCATTAAAGAAATGTCTCCAGATAACACTAATTCCGCTTCCCTTGGCAATTTCTTCTGGGTCAGTGGTGTTGTTTAATGGAACATGAGGAGCTTGAGGGTGTCTTTCGACTTGACCCCAGTAGTTACCCAATTCCAATTGCTTTTGAGGAGACAAATCTTGATCTCTGAAAAAGACAACAACTCTTTCGGCAACTAAAAGAGCCAATTCATCCTTTTGCTTATCGTTTAAGTCGCTCAATTGCAAACCGACAATTTCTGTTCCAATGTGCTTGGTGAGGTCAATTACTTCAGTTGCAGCGCCAAAGAGAGCCTTCTTCTCAGGATCAGCATTCTTACCTCTTTCGATATAAGGATATTCTTTGTTTCTAATTTCGAAAGCTTCGTCAACAAATTTAGGAATATCTTTGTTATCAGGGATAATTGGGTATCCTCTTGAAAGATCAATTCCATACTTTTCGAATCTGTTTCTTGTAGGCTGAGGCAATTTCTCGAGCCATTCAAGTTGGGGTCCAGTTTCAATCAGTTTATTAGATCTACCTTGACCAATTGGCTTCAAGTTAGCCAATTTTAAGATAGTTTGTTGGAGATCAGAATCATCTGATTGATTTGTAGCGACAGCAGCAGCAGAAGGCAGCATATTTTGTTATTTATCGTGGTGTGTTTAAGTTAAGAACTTTAGTGTAAGTTTTCTACTTTCTTAACAAGTGGATGTAACGCAGAAGAAACGCAGCACTTTATATATTACTGGCTCAGTTCAACTTTACTAACTTTTTTAATCCAATTGCATGGTTTGTATTGGTATAGCTTTGCAAAAGTTGCCATACTATTGCATATTATCTTAATAGCCATAGTTTAATTACTAATCAAATACCTTATCTTAAATGCTGCTGTTGCAATTCGCAGCCAATAAATTAACAATTGTGGCACTCGAGCGGTGCTTAGTAGAGAACTGTGGAGAAGCGTACCGATCTTGCGATCTGATAGGATCAATCGCATGATTCAGAGATAGTCCAATTTCACGTTTTTACATGGTGAATCACCTTGACGTGATATATGATCTGCTTTTAACCCTCTGTGAATAACATAATACAAGAGGAAGAAGAAGAAGAGAAGAAGAAGAAGGAGAAGAAGAAGGAGAAGAAAAAAAAAAGTCTCGAATATACAGAAGTATTTTCTGGGGCTCAAAAGAAAAAGGCTTAAACAGGCTTAAAATAGACAGATACGTGCAACTGTGGAAAACCATACCAAACCAAGAAACCGGAGATAATCGAAAAGTGGAGTTATTAGAAGGAGATAATCACTTCTATAGCATCCAGTACCACTATTTAAAGCCCATTTAACGTCGTTATCATGTCATTGGTACGCTTGATAGAGAATCGGACAAGAAATCATAAGATTAAGAGGGGAAATTATATTCCTGTATATAATGTCTGTCGTATTTATTTGTAGGTCCTGTATGTAGTGGACCCTGTGCATGAAAATGTGCAACCATGGATCCTCTTGGTAAGGAATTCATACTGAAGGTATGATTCGGACTATTTATAGAATGCCAACTGGTTCGGTCTTCGTTTTGACATCTTTGGAGTGACATGGAATAATCAAATGGGTGAATATTATACGCAAGTTTATAAGTAAAATGAACTTCTCTTAAAAATTTCGATGGATAAAAATTAGAGTTTAGTTATTTCGTTTCTTTTCTTTTCGTTCAAGTGCATCTCATAGTTGGCATATTATTTGGCATCCACTTAACTTGATCTCTATTCTGAATGCTAACGCTACTTCTTATAACTAATAACGAAAAAAGGCATCAGATCACCGCTTACAATTAAACACGACACAGTTAAACAAAAAATGGAAGGAAAACCACCAAGAAATTTAGAGTTGAAAGAAATAAGAAAAAAAATAAACCAAAAATCCTTGGCAAAAGCGTATTCTAATATTATCATTGAGACAGGCTATGTACTACTTCCAAATCCAAGGTTTGAATGAAATTGTTTGTAATTTTTTCTCTGGTGTGCTTTTATTAGTTGTTCTTCTTCTTCTTTTCCTCTTCTTTTTGAATTATCACGGTAATATCTAATATGTTGTACTCACGCATTGCTCTATCTCTTATAATATCAGTATCGGTGACGGTAGCACTAGAACTCGACATAGAAGACAAAGACTCTGTATGCGCTGCAGCTGCAGCAATAGTTCAAGGTGAATGGAACTATTACGACGCTTTCAACTATGGAGGGGTCATTGGTAAGTTCACAACACCATACTATTGGTGGCAGGCAGGTTTATGCTTCGGAGGTATGTTGCACTACTTTCAAGTGTGTGACCCAACGAATTCTACACTTGAAAAGTTAATCTTTGATGGGATGTACATTCAAGCCGGAGATGACTATAACTACATGCCATCTAATGAAACTTTCGTCGAAGGTAATGATGATCAAGGTGTGTGGGGTCTAACTACAATGGAAGCTGTGGAAAGAAACTTTACCAATTCAGAAGATCATAGTTGGTTGGAATTGACTCAAGCCATTTATAATACAATGAATTCAAGATGGGATGAAACCAATTGTGGGGGTGGCTTAAGATGGCAGATCTTCACTTGGAATTCTGGTTATGACTATAAGAATTCTATTGCCAATGGGTGTTTATTTCATATCTCAGCTAGGCTTGCTAGATACACGAAGAATGATACCTATGTTGAAACAGCAGACAGGATTTGGAATTGGATGATTTCTGTTGGTTTTATTGTATATGAAGATGTTGATGGAGGTGAATTCATAATCTACGATGGAGGAAACATTCCCACTTGCAGTGAAAAGGTAACGAAGTTAAGGTGGAGTTATAACTACGGAATTTTCATGGCTGGTTGTGCTTATTTATACAATCACACTCAGAATGATACTTGGGCTGAAAGAGCACAGGAAATTCTAACAGCCGGTAGTTACTTTTTTAATGGCGAGATAATGACTGAGACAACATGTCAACACGCCGGAACATGTAACAACGATCAAAGATCATTTAGAGCCATATGGGCAAGATGTTTGTCGTTGACATCCATTTTAATTCCTCATTTGTATGACGATATCAGGCCATATATAGAGGATAATGCTGCTGCTGCTGCTGCTTCGTGCTCTGGTGGTTCTGATGGGGTCACATGTGGCCTCGATTGGTCCGTTAAAAAGTGGGATGGAAAGTATGGCTTGGGTGAACAAATGTCTGCATTGGAAGTCATTATGGCAGTGTTATCTAAGGTCGAGACTGCTCCATACACCAGTACTAATGGAGGATCATCTAAGGGTAACCCTGAAGCAGGAACAAACACCAATACAGAAACGAATAGAAAATTGGTAACAATAACAGGTAAGGATAGAGCTGGTGCGGGCATCCTTACCGCCCTTGTTCTTCTTATCATACTAGGAGGAGGTGTGTGGATGATTTTCTGAGTTGTTTGAAACAGAGAAACATAAGAGACAGAGAAATTACCAAAGACAATACAAAATGGTTGTTTAGGAAACAGAGACAACATTATTGCATATAAACAAGGGAGTTGATTTTTTACTGATATGGCAATGTATAGTACGTTTCATCTGGCGTTGACGTGAAGATAAGTCTGCACACCGCTGAAAATCAATCATTATGGCAAAAAACAGTTGCATATATTTTGCAGGAATTAGATAGTATTTTCAAAGAAACACTTTTTGATTAGTACCTTGTAAATCTTCGTGCCACTTCCATGGTATCTCTTCTTCACTTTACTGTATCTGAAGAGGAACCTTTTCATACTCTAAGGCACCTAGCACAAAGGTTGACTAGAACAGGCTGCAGCTCTGTTTGCTCCTGCATATTACCCTTCAATATTTCGCCTGCATAACTGTAAACAAGCCAAGTAACACAAAACCCTATCACCAAATTAAGGCAGATTGATAAACGGGAGATGGAAATGTAAAATTTCCAAACGGATTACATATCCAAAGTAACGCCAGTGTACTTTTAATTCAAGTTCCATTAATATTAATGTCATCATCAAGAAAGAAGCTTCTTCTTATGGGCCGTTCAGGTTCAGGAAAATCGTCGATGAGATCGATTATTTTTTCCAATTACTCAGCGTTTGATACCAGAAGGTTGGGTGCTACTGTAGATGTGGAGCATTCGCACTTAAGATTCTTAGGTAATATGACGTTAAACTTGTGGGACTGTGGTGGACAAGATGTTTTCATGGATAACTACTTCTCCACACAAAAGGACCATATCTTCAAGATGGTACAGGTGCTCATTCATGTCTTTGACGTAGAGTCCAAACTGATAAATAAAGACATTGAAATCTTTGTCAAGTCACTAACAAACTTGCAGAAATTTTCCCCTGGGGCCAAAATTTTTATTTTGCTTCACAAGATGGACTTGGTTCAAATTGATAAACGAGAGGAGTTATTTCAGATTATGATGGAAAAATTACAAAAAATCTCTAATCCGTTCCTGTTCAAATTGGTAGGTTTCCCCACTTCAATTTGGGATGAATCCTTGTACAAGGCATGGTCACAGATTGTGTGCTCTTTAATCCCTAATATGAATTTATTTAATAATAACCTCATAAAATTTAATAATATTTTGGATGCTGAAGAAATTATTTTGTTCGAGAAAACGACATTTTTGGTGATATCGTCAACTTCTTCTATCCAGCAACAACAAAAGCAGCAGGAGCAGCAAAATGATGGTGGCGTGATGAATTTGGATCCAAAGCGGTTTGAAAAGATCTCAAATATCATCAAGACTTATAAGCAGTCCATCTCGAAGCTCCGTACTAATTTTCAAAATTTAATTATACGGGGTGCGAACGGGACTCATTTCTATGTGGATATTTTGACCGATAATATTTTCATTATGATTGTAATGAAGGATAATGTGGGTGAGAATGGTGGTGCAGCAGCCAAGGGAGGTAGCGCCGTGGACTCGCATGAAGATTTGGTTGTCTTGGAGAACATCAAGGCTGCTAGGGCTTGGTTTGAGTCAATTGAAGCTGCCAAGTAGAAGCTGCTGGCGAAAATTGAAGAAGAAAAGAAGAAAAGAGAAGAGATATATGTTCAAGAAGACGAAGAATAAGGGTTAGCTAGCTTGCTGAAGAATTTGGCTCCTCCTTTGGCATATGTTCATTTCGAATGGGCACCGTTTGAGTACGGTGGTTGAATAAAAATTACTTTCAATCTGAATTTGAACTAGGGTGGATTCAGTTGGACCCCATTTCCAGGCTCCATCTACGTTCTATTTAGCTATAGAGCTATTTAGCTTGGATCTTGTATATAGATGAAAATGTGCATCAGTTTGTACTGATTGAGACCACTGGACAAAGTGCCTCTGCTGCTATGCCATTTTCGATCCCATTTTGAATTTAATTGGAAGAAATAGAAGCATATCCCTCGGTAGACCAAAGTGAAAGAAGATATCGAACTTGAACCTACGAAGATTAATAGGCCGATTAAAGTGGTACTTCAATATTATTTGCACCCACGGGGACGTGACGTGCATACCAATCATCAAATACATATACAGGAATATGTTCACCAATGTTTATACAGTATTTATTGACAGCAATAGACAAGAAAAGTTAAGAACTAATAATCTTCACCCGCCTTAACCTAAAGACATACTCCCCCCTCTCTATCCATCCCCTGATCTACGCTCTTATCCATCAAATTATTATCTCACTAGCATTCCACCTTGCTGCACTCCCTCGTATAACCTCACGTGATGTCCCTAATTGAGCCCGTTCGGAGCTTGTTGAGCAAAGAAAAGAAAAAAAAAATCAATCCTACAAGCACAGAAGAACAGTCAGTAACAGGGAAGCCAGACACCACGCCAGTATGGGAAAAGTAGTTCAATTGCTCACGCATCCAAGCGAGCTTAAAGCTGTTATACAATTGAAAGGATTCAGAGAACATCTCCATAAAAGACCCCAGCAATCAGAGAACCTTGCGAAGTGTTATGATTTCCTCTTCAAGACTTCCAGATCGTTCGCAACTGTGATTGAAGAGTTACACCCTGAATTGAAGGATGCTATCATGATATTTTACTTGATTTTGCGTGCTTTAGACACTATAGAAGATGACATGTCTATCGAATCATCAATTAAGGTACCGATCTTGAGGTCATTTGCTTCCAAATTGGACACCACTGACTGGTCGTACCAAGACTCCAAGGACAAGGATGCCATCGTATTGGCAGAATTCCCTGTTATTTTGGCCGAATATCACAGATTGAAGCCTGCTTACCAAGACATTTTAAAGGACATTACTGACAAAATGGGCAACGGTATGGCTGACTATATCTTGGATGAAAACTTTAACTTGAACGGGGTGGAAACTCTCAAGGATTATGACTTGTACTGTCACTACGTTGCCGGATTAGTTGGTGAAGGTTTGACCAACCTTATGGTTTTGGCTGGATTTGCTAATAATGATCTTATGGATGACGATTTCCAAAAGACTGAGTCGATGGGTTTATTCTTACAAAAGACAAACATTATTAGAGATTACCACGAAGACTTGCTTGACGGTAGATCATTCTGGCCAAAAGAAGTGTGGTCCAAGTATACTGACAGCTTGCCATCTTTCCACAAGGATTTGTCCGAACAGAGTCAAACTGCTGGTATAAACTGTATCAATGAGTTGGTATACAACTCCTTGAGTCACGTCATTGACGTCTTAACATATTTGTCTATGGTAAAAGACCCCTCGTCATTCAACTTCTGTGCCATTCCACAGGTGATGGCCATTGCCTCATTATCACTCGTATACAACAACAAGGATGTCCTTCACAAAAACGTAAAGATTAGAAAGGGGACCACGTGTAAATTGATCCTTGCAAGTAGAACTATGCCTGCTGTTGCAGCTATTTTCAAACACTATATTCAAGTTATCAATCATAAATCTAGAGTGGAAGATCCAAACTACTTAAAGATTGGAATTAGATGTGGACAGATAGAACAATTCCTTGAATCTATGTATCCAACCCCAGGCTCAATTCCAGCTAGCGCCACTTCCAGTACCGATTCTAGTGAGATATCAACATACATCAAGGCCAGATCTTCGATTGATAGGCAAGTGAGTCAAGAAGTCCAGAGGGAAGAATTCAGATGCAACGCCGCTATACTTTCCGTCCTTTTGGTGATTGGAGCCACGATTTATTACTTCGTCAAGTAAAGATCTATGTAAGAAAAGTGAAGTGACAGAGTAAAAGAAAGCAAGAGGGGAATTTATATATAAGTGGTATGTACGAACATAAGTGTGCATATATATGGAATCTATAGTGTTTAAATATTCACAAGAGAACGAACTTTTTTAATCCTAGGCGTAGAGAAGAACTAGTATATCCACGAACAAAGATGTATGTGCATATGACTGCTGTATCTCACGACCAGAACTATTTGTAGACAAGACCGCCATAGGCGCTTAGTAGTTCGAAGACAAGGACAGGTTAGCGGCAACATTTAGTAGACAAAACGGTCATAGGCGCCGGGCTACAATGTGTAGGCTGCATGCCAGCACTAACTCACCTAGCCACTGTCAACTGAAGCAGACGCATGCACTGTTTTTTGTGGACTGCTCTGCTGCATGATGGAACGCACAAGAGTTCAGAATTACATACCACAATTCGTGGTGTCTGCTGGTTCTATACATGGAAGTGTCAAGATCCCGAGCCTCAACCGGCCACACGCATACTAACTCCGGTCTGATCTCTAGTCTAAGATAGAATTCCATCTTCTTACCTCTTTTTTTTAAACAATGAAGAGATGAAATAAGAATATATGCCTGTGGTAAGATCGGTAAGGAATAACTGAGTATATTCTGTATTTCTCGCAAACAATGCTGGTAGGGCTAAGTAATGCACCATGTCATTCATCTGGCCCATGCTTTTCTTGATTTTCTGATTTTCTTTTTTTCCGGGATAATCACACTGCCCCAGATTTCGATATAAAAGATAGAAGGGGAGAGACGGATAATGTTCAGACGAATAATAGGATAAACCACTCCATTGGACACTACACTGGACGCTAGAGATGTCATTACCGGTGCCTGATACATATTTCGCGATTAAAACCATAACTTGGTCGGAATTTTCCTTCCAAACACCTATACTCTTGCAAGATGAGAATGGACCATGCCCGTTGATCGCACTCGTAAATACATTAGTATTGCAATACGAGTTCGAATCCCAGACGTCAATTGATAGTACCAGCGATGTAAGACTAAATGGGATACATTCCTTGAGGTCGATATTGCTTGAGAAGGGTAATAAGATCTCCTTACAAGAACTTCTAGAACACATAGGCTTCTTACTCGTGACTATCACTAACAGTGAGGCTGATGCTTCGAAGTTATTAGACTTGTTACCCCAGCTTCACACAGGACTAAGTGTTAACCCAAACTTGGTCACCGGAGAATTCCCTCCTGAAGATGTGTCAACAATATTGTTCCAATCTGTGTTTGGACTACAATTCAAACACGGTTGGGTATTAGACGCAGACATCGGGCTCATCCAAAAGTTGGAGTGCTTTGATCAAATCCAAGACGAATTGCTAAATGATGAGTTTGGCAGACAAACAAGTAGTGGGGTGTGGTTGGAAGATAACAAAACCCAAATGACTGCGTTTGGACTTGAAAAGTTGAAACAATCCTTGCAACCGAACGAATTTACCATCTTCTTTAGAAACAATCACTTCAATACCTTATTCAAGAATGGCTCAGATGAGAAGTTGTATTTACTCTTAACCGACAAATCTTTCAACAGCAAACGAAAGATCATTTGGCAGTCTTTAACAACCCCATCTGGTAAGGAAGATATCTTTTATACTGGAGATTTCTTTCCGATTCTTGATGAAGATTTAGGAGATATTGAACATGTAGGTGACAACCCTGACGATATAGATTTACAGTTGATCAAACAATTACAAGAGGAGGACGACCAAAGAATGGCGCAAGAAATGCAAGACAGATTCAACAAGCCCGCTCCCAAGAAATCAGAATCTAGTACTAAAAAGCTTGAGCCTACTAAGAAATCTGGAAGCTCTTTCTCCAGAAGAAAGTCCAAAAAATCAACACCACCAGTAGAAGTAGAAGAACCAGTCTCCACTGAGAAGAAAAAGAAACCTACATGCGTAATCGTTTAAGACCTAATATATGTGCATTTGGAAGAAGAGATTCAAGTTTTATTAAAATCATCTCTACTACAAACTCTATTGTACAATGGTGAGGCGAAGTCTTCCTGATCTTCTTATTTCTCCTTCTTTCTCTATCTGTCTCTTCAGGCTTCAGCTTCCACTTCAGCTTCGACATCTTGTTCGGCATCTTCTTCTGCTTCGTACTCCATAGGATCGAAGCTACTTCTCAAGTTATCCATTATTCTCATTTCATCAGTGTTTGGTTCTCTCAATTTGAAATTTATAAGATCACTAGTACTGTCCTTCAAAAATCTATTTATCTCAGTGTTCTGTGATACTCTATGTTTCTTCAACTCTATTCTTCCACCAATTGGATAATAATACGCCAATTTACGCTTTTTGGTGCCTTCCGTATCTGGGACAAGTTTGATTGCCAATTCTTCGTATGGCTTATCATTTCTTTGGAAATTCATATCATAATTCTTGATGTGCTTGAATTTAAAGTCAACACTTTCATCCTCATCCAATAAATTGACAGGACGCTCCCTCTCAGTCAGGTTTAACTTTTCCTTAAGCTCGTCCACTTTAGCCTTGTTCTCCTTGCATTGGTATAAAGACATCCATTCACCATCGGCAGATGTAATCGGCTTGAAAATAGCAGTTTCGATAGACTTCTTTTCGAGCTTCGAATCAAACTTGTCTCTCTGCTGCCTTTTCAAGATTTCCAAATCCTTCGAAAAGGACGCAGATCCTGAAAACTTAATATTCATGAACTTGGTATCCAACATAGAAGTGTCTGGTAAAAGTGGCCATGCAGCCACAGCCTTTCTATTCTTCTTTCTTGGATGCACCAATTTGGCAAAGTTATCCAACGAGTCTTGCGCTTGGTCGAAAGTGGTCTCAACTGCCTTGAGTTGACTTTCAGCGTTGTACTGTAAGTCAGGCTTCTGAGCATTAGAAGCTTCTGACGAGCCTGATGCTGCAGAAGCAGCTGTCACACCAGATCCGGATGAACCTCCAGCCATACCTTCCGAAATATACTCTGTTCTTCTCAAGAAAGAAACACCAGGTTCGGATTTGGAGATCTTTCCAATTCCAGCGTCCCTCAATAAAACCTTGTCCTTTGGGTGTAGCTCCAATTTTTCACCATTCTTGGATAAGGCGAATATGCTCAGTTCATCTCCGTTGTTCAATACACCAGGGTTATTTATCAAGTTTAAATTCAACCCAAACTCTTCATCAACATTCTCTATGAATGACAAAAAGTTTTGCTTTCTAAATAACGAAGTCAAAATTTGTTCCAGTTCCTCTTTGGTTGAGACTTTCTCTGTGGTGTTGTATTGAAGGTACTTAGGGTTTAAAGGTGGTGGTGGAAGGGTATTTATGTACCTCACCTTGGCAATATAATCTTGTCTTACGGGCTTAGACATGGCGATGGATACGAAATTGTATATGTATGTGTATGTGTACGTTCACCGGTGGGTGCCTTGTAGATAGCCCTCTCTCTGTAAACATTTTCACTTTTCGTTTTCGGTTGACGTTGATATTAAGGGCGTGCGAGGCTCAATTTTGAATAGTGCAAATCACCAGGGAAAACAGCCTGGAGCAGTGGTGTATGCAAGAGTTTAGATGAAGTAGCATAGAAGTATGAGATATTGCAAAGTTGAGAGGCAAAAATCGGGGAAGAAGTAAACGTTGAATCTTGTGGCAATATGACCTTGAACGAGGCTTGTTTCCCTATTAGAGACTTTGTGTGTCACCTTTTCTGTGTTAATTTTACTTTACTTAGGATGCCTACTGTGTACTTTGGTGCGGCACCCTACATATTATGTAAATTAGAAGCTAGTATGTGTACTTGGAAAGGACTCCTTCGTTTTGATAATTGGCCCCAAGTCTCTGGCATTAGAATGCATTGGCTCCCCCCGGTATATCAGGACATGTTGAGCACCAATTGTAGTTTACTGGCCTTATTCGACATTACTTCTATCTTCGTCTGTCCACTATACAGTGTATTTTAACAGTAGTGATAATATACGAGGGGGGCTGATTCTAACCTACCATGGTTGCACCCTAGACATACGGGGGGGTTGGTGGTTTATTGTTTATCATGTATTGCTAGTGCTAGTATTTAGTTGTAGTATATACTCTAGGCTGTTCTCTGTCTGTCGCATTAAACCTTAAAATTTAGAAATGATCTTTTGGAAGTGTTCACCTTGGTGCTTGGCAATTTCCAATTCTAACTTGGACACTTCTCTAGATCCATCTCCAGCAGCATAAGTTCCAGCTCCTAAAGGAGAGCCTCCGTGGACTTCGTCAGTAGAACCAATACCTGGGTGAGTGAAACCTAATGGGACAAATGGCATTCCTAAGTTGAAAAAAGTTCCTAAACTATTCATTGCAGTAGTTTCTTGTGAACCTTGAGAAGCGGAACTAACGAATATTCCGAATGGTTTACCAACTAATTTTCCTTGCGCAAACAATGCACCAGTTCCATCAAGGAAGGTTCTCCATTGACTTGGCATTGAAGAGTATCTGGTGGGGACACCGAAAAGAAATGCATCGTAGTCAACTAAGGTGTCATTGGTAGCAAGTGGGAAATCCTTCTTAGGAGGTGCACCTAACTTTTGAAGTAAAGACTCTGGTAAGGTTTCCTTAATTTGAAAAATTTCCGCTTTACCACCTGCGGCTTCCACTCCAGCTTTTGCTTCTAAAGCCAACTTAGTAACGTGGTGATATAACGAGTAGATAACAATTGCGGTTCTTGGTGCCATTTTAAAAGTGTGCGAGTGTGAGGTGAATAGATGAGAATATAATATATAAGAGTACTCACTTCACTAAATTTGAACAAAAAGAGGAGCAATCTCTCCCCTATATATGCATCCGATTGCGCTCACCTTTATTTTTTTAACCTCTATACCATACATTACTGTTTCAGTATGGAAATGCTACTGCCTACATGTCTCCTGCATGCTCTCGCATAAGCTTTAATAAATATTACTAAAATGGGTGCATGGTGGTGCTTTCGAAAGCACATTACATAATGGCTGCATTTTTAGTAATAATATTTCTAATACCATCTCACGGTTAAATTATTAATCGTATCTGTATAGGCCCAATACAGATGGCTGTAGCTAAGTTGATCTATAAAAAAAGATATACGCAGTAGCTTACATAACGTTTTTCTCTATTTGTTTAATGTTATATTAATTGAATATTTATTATGTAATTGTTAAAACAAAAATCACATAAATGTGCAAGGGTATCATAATTTCTTCTGACCATCTTTTTCTACTAGATGAAATTTTATTTACCATCCTATTTACTACTATTTTCAAAATCTTCAGCAACAATGTTACTCTTTTCACACATTTGTTGGAAAATTCCATCTTGAGTGTTGAACAAGTTCCATGGAGTGTCAAACTCTCTCAATTCACCTTTATCTAAAACCAAAACCTTGTCGTATGACAAAATAGTCTTCAATCTATGTGCGATACATAAAATGGTACAGTGACTAAACTCATTGGCGATGGTCTTTTGAATCTTACTATCAGTTTCATAATCAACAGAAGATGTTGCTTCGTCAAGAATCAAAATCTTCAGCTCTCTGACTAAGGCTCTGGCGAATGCAATTAATTGCTTTTCACCCAATGAAAAATTGACACCCTCGTCTTCAACATTTTGCTCAAGGTGAAATTTATGCAAGTTTTCATCATCTTTATGTTGATGCATAACTTGTTGGATCTTGTCGTTTCCGATTAATCCACACTTTCTTAATGCATCCCATAATTTTTCATCAGTGCTTTGTCCGAAGGGATCCAAGTTTTTCCTTATGGAACCTTGGAACAAAACAGGATCTTGTGGGATGATAGAAAGTTTGGATCTTAACTGGTGTAAACCTAAGGTTCCTATCTCGATATCATCAATCAAGACTCTACCTTCAGATAATTCACTTAATCTATATAATGCAGTCATAATAGAAGATTTACCAGCACCAGTCCTACCACAAATTCCGATTTTTTCGGCTGAGTTAACTTTGAAGGTTAAGTTCTTCAACACTAAAGGTAAACCTGGTCTATATGCCAAGTTAACGTTGTCAAATTCAATTGACCCGTTCAATGGCCATTCTCTTGGTGGTCTTGTCTCTTCAATATCGAAAGCAGCCTCTTCAGGTAAATGGAATGCATATTGTGAAATTCTTTCAACTGAATTCATTTCATTTTCTAATTGGGTATAAGTTCTTATAAGCATACCTAATTGTTGAACGATCTGCAAAACATAGGATAAAAGCAAACCTACAGATGCTGCTCCAATTTTGAAGACTCCATTCACACAAAGTAACGCAACAATAATGGCAAATACACATGCAATAAGATCCAAATGAATACCAAGCCAACGTTGGTTGGCAAGTGTTAAATAGTATGCTTCGTTGGTTCTATCAAGGAAGTAACTGTTTTTCTGCAAGAATCTATTCTTCGCCTTGTATGCCTTAATGGTTGCCATACCTCCTAAAGTTTCATTAAAATTGTTATAAACAAAAGATCTTTGAACGGCTTCCAATCTTTTGATTTCTCTAGTAGTAGCCTGGTAGTAGCCTGCGACCGCAACAAACACAAATCCCAAAACAGGAACGGCGATTGCAAACCATGGTAAATATATGATACATAAAATGATAACACCGCAAATTTGTGAAAACGAAAAGAAAAAAAATCTAATTTGATCACCAACTTCGTTATCAACCACATCAGTATCCTTTGTGAACCTATTAATGATACGACCCATTGGTGTAGTATCCATGAAACTCATTGGTGCTTTCAACAATTTAGAAACAGCCATAAAATTTAACTTCACGGAAGATCTATTACACATGTATGCCAATAACGAAAATTCAAATGACAACATCACGAAAGCCATTATAACAAACATGACGTAAAGACCAATGTAAAAGCCATCTGATCTGCCAGGAAATTTATCTGAGATCCAAAAAGACAACCAAGTATTTGCAAAAATCTGGCAAAATGTGGCACATGCTGTGGAAAGTAAGATAATAGGAACAATAGAATAGTGCTTAAAAATACCGGAACCATATTTGACAAAGTTCTTATAAACACCAAATTCGATACCATTAACAGCTTTTTCTTCACTTTCAAAAAGAGATCCCTTTTCATGTTCTTTATTGGATTTGTAATCCCTCTTTTCAGCTTCTTCGTCAATTTGAGTCTTTCTTCTTGTCAATTGACGTTCAATATTCTCTTTTTCAAGGTCTAATTCGTCGTCAATTACTTCTTCCTTTTCTTCCTCCTCTTCGGCTTGAGTACTAAAAGTCATCAATTTCTTGAAACCTTCGTTATTTTTCTGTAATGAATCAAATGTATCAATAGAAATCGTACCATCTCCATTTAAGAAGATTACCCTATCAGCAGAACCAATCAATGAAAGTTGATGGGTTGCTAAGATTCTAGTCTTATCCTTTAATAATCCCAAGATACATTGATTCATAATATGTTTACCAACTCTGGCATCGACGGCACTCAATACGTCATCTAAGAGAATAATATCTGGATTAGCATACACTGCTCTGGCTAAATTGATTCTAGCCTTTTGACCTCCTGACAAGGTAATACCTCTTTCTCCAATTTCCGTTCTTTCACCAGCTGGCAAGATCTGTAAATCGCTTTCTAAGGAACAAGCATATACTACTTCGTTATACTTTTCTTCAATGTAGTCAGTTCCAAACAAAATATTTTCTTTAAAAGTAGCATTCTGCACCCATGGTTGTCCACACATCAAAAGATTACCATTAACATTGATAGATCCTGAATCTCTATTCATAAAACCACTTAATGCATTCAAGAGAGATGATTTACCAGTTCCAATGAGCCCAGTTATAACAATAAATTCTCCCTTCTTGATAGAAAGACTAATATCCTTAAGACCTGGAAAGGAAGTGTCATCTAGAGATGACTGCGCATCTGTCGAAGATTGTAATTCAGAATCCATTTTCTCGTCCAATGACTTGGCTTGCTTTTCTTCAGCTTCAGCAGATGTTTCTCTTTCCAGTTGCTTTTTATTTTCTTTCTTCGCTTTCTTTGATGCCTTTTTATCTGCAGCAGCTTCCTTTGGATCAACCTCTTCTTCAGTTTCAAATATTTCCCAATTGAAAGTTGCATTATTGACATCAATTGCAATGTTGTCTTTATCCATAACTTCAGCTAAATCTTCCTTTGCTTCAATTGAAGCCGAAGCTTCATCTATTTCGGAGGCATATAAGAATTCCCCTACTCTGGACATACCAATAAATGCGTCACTTCCTGAAGATAATGCCATAGGAATCAAAAACACCTGTTGGGTCAACCCATTAAACAAAGACAAGGAAGAGAAGACACTTGCAGGACTGCTGCTGTTATTTCTAAGTGCATACAACACTAAAAATGCAATCATGGAAGACATAAGAGATAAAGACATGGCAAACGCTGTAACAAAATTTCTCAAAATGTTCATCTTATATAAGATCTTCATCTCTTCACGCCTAGCATCAGAAATCATATCAAAATATGGTGGTTCCCAACTGTAAAATTTTATAACTCTCAAGTTGTTTAATACCTCCTTGATATAGTTCACTCTCTTATCAGTGAATTTGTTTGCTGTGAATCTGTATCCGAACAATTTCTTAGTGGAAAATGCAATCAACACCAAGAAGAACAACATGACACCAATACCAACCAATGAGGAAACACCAATATTTACCACTAAGATTGCAATAGCAATACCAATTGGGATTGGGAATACATAAAGAAATGGTTGGAACCCAATTGCAAAATCAATTCTCGACAAATCGGTACCCATCATGGATGTGATCTTGGAACTTGGGTATTTATGCTTTGATTCATTACTCAACTTGAATGATTTGTCGAGCATAGCCTTGGTCAAAACAGCCTTGGCTTGAGCTCCGGTTAATGTAGATCTGTAAAAGAAGTGGTTTAAAAGCATACCACCGGTGATGATTAACAATGCAGTACCAAAAGAGTATCCAATACCCTTTCCTACAGAGGTTTCAAGCCCCAACGTTCTATCTTCCACGAATTGAATCAATTTCTTCACAAGTAAAGGATTACATGTGTTACCAATATTGGAAAGACACAAGAAAAGACAGGAAGTCAAAAACTGCCATTTAAATGTATAGAACAATGCCTTGATTGTGAGTGTTTTGGGGAGTTCATAGCTCTCCATGTATGCAGCATCCGACTCATCGGTTCTTTCACTTTGATCTCCAGCTTCCTTTCTCTTCAAAGCAATGTGTTTCTCTTCGCTGCTATGCACTAACTTTCTCAAATGCCCGTAGAATACCTCGGTCATCTGGTCAACTTTGATGTCATCGGTCAATTTGTATAAATCATCCGGCTCCAATGTTCTCTTGTACCCTACATTCATTATTGGGGTGACCCAACCGAAAAATATCTTCGATATTATGTTTGCAGAGCTCTGTGGATAGAATTTTCTTTCCTCATCGGAGGGTAATGGAGGTACCTTCTTCGATAGCACAAACGTCATTAGACGCTTCTGCGGTTGGAGTGCAACCGAGTTGTTCTCTATATCCAGAATAGTGTCTGGGGTTTGCGCAGACATTGTACCAGTACTATATTACTATCGTAGCCCTCTAAAATGCGCTCAAAACTGTCAAATGTACAATTATCGAAAATTTTTCAAAATCGACTATCAAATAAGACCCCAGGCAGATAAACGACGGGTATTGCCTTTTATATCAGTGTGAAAGACATGCATGAGGCTGGAGTAATTTTGCTAGTTTTTTTTTTTTTTCAGATGTATTTATATCCGTTCTATGTCCGGCAGGCATCTGGTAAATAGAAGGTGAGCAAACCCCAAAAAAAAAAGAAAGCAAAGCAAAGCACGAAGAGCCGCTTACGTAAGGCAGGTTAGAGTTTCATGGTTGGACTCACTATGTTGGTAGCCAATGTATAAGGTTCATGGTTTGTGTTTACGATGACGACTCAGTCCAAAATCATATGCCTGTATGATAAAAACCTACCTGATTGTGGAAACGATGACTCACGGTGGCAATCTAGCAGTGTGAAATTCATTCTCTGGCCCTTGTGTTCATAGTCTATTTTGTTATCTCTCAGTGGGACTTAAGATTAGCTCCGCATGCATGTCAATATTGCCACTCAATACGTGAGGCACTACAGAAGGCTCGATTAAGGTGCTAACTGTCTGGGGGCCGCTTGAAAAAAAAAAAAAAAACCAATCTCCAAAAAAAAAAAAAAAAAAAACGTAACTCCATCGCACCGAGCACATCGCACCGAGCATATCGCACCGATATGGCAAGTTGGTCTATCTAGTAGTGTGTATAGTGCTGCTATTGGTGATGGTGACACTGTCCAAGAGTGATAATCTCTATGCTAGCACGACTATATGCTCATTTCCCCGGCAAACTCATTTGTTTTCCTTAATTTCAATTGACATGTAATTATCTCCAGTTCGGCAATGCTGCGCTCGCTTTAATTCCCAGGCAGTTTCGAGTTTCTTTTTTATTTTTTCTGTTACCTCGCCTCTCGTCTGATTGACTTTTATTTTTTTGATTTGTTTAAGGTTTCGGTACAATTGGTGGGCTCCGCTCTCGCCAGGCATACACAATACAACAATTGACATGATATAAGGAGCTCTACAGTCAATATTTGAGCAACAATTGAAGTTTTGGCAGGTTTTAGTTATAATTCAGCATTAGTCCCGCTATAGAACTTTATGGACATTACTTTTTCTTGCACTCTTTAGGTGTGTGTTGTAGTGCTGAGAAAACAAGCAACTGATAAGCCGATGATGCTTTTTGGGCCGATTTATTAAATAAGCTACGACCAACGCTTACCGAAGTACATTTCTGCTCTCTCTCCTCCTAGGGTGCGCTTCCACCATCGACTATATATACATATGTGCCTGTAGACACTCGCTCGATAAAATCGAAATCACTGCGGTCCTCTATCTGATTATTCGCCATTTCTCTCTTGGCTTGTGGCTGTGATAATGTGTGGAAAGCTGCTGATAACAACTAGATTATCTACTCTAGGAGAAAAACGCAATACTCTTCGCTGAGGCTCGCTGAGGCTCGTTTCACCCTGAGCAATGTTGAAGTGCTGTTTTCTTTCTATGAGCGCTTGTTCTTCTGAATTTTATCAAACTGTAAGCGAATCATGGAGAAATGAAGAGAAGGTGAATAGAATAGTACTTACTTCATACAGATTTCAAGTACAGAACGCTTAGCCTAAATTCAACGCATGAGAGTGTGATCGCCGCATCAATACGCACCTTTCTATATTATTAAACTTAGATAGATCTGAAATAACTGTTTACACCGACTTAATAAGCAACCCAAAACGAGACAGCAACCCTCATGCTGTGGCTGCAAACAGCTCTTCTTGAAGAGCACCGTTCTTATTAATCTTTAACAAAAGGTCACATGAGTGCAGCCTATTAGTGAATATGTCACGTGCCTGGTGTGCATTTCCACAGCGGTAAGTCCGTTGTATAAATACGATTATTAAGCTCCAGCCGCACCAACAAATGCAACCGAAACGATTTAAAGGAGCAACTGTTCTCCCATCTTCTCTTGAGCAAGCAGAAGAAAGGACTAACTATTAAGATGTCTAAAACCGTTTTTATTACTGGTGCCACTGGCTATATTGGAGGACAAGTTCTCTATGAACTTTTAAGCTCACCAATTGACTTTAAAATCAATGCGTTGGTTCGGACTCAGGCTAAGGCAGATTTGCTAGTTAAAAGGACTAATGGAAAAGTAAACCCTGTTCTTGGAAACTTGGATGATCTTTCCATTATCAAGGAACAAGTTAGTGCAAGTGATATTGTGATCAACACTGCAAACGTTGATCATGTTCCAAGTGCAGAAATCTTAGCAGATGCTTTAATTGCAAAGCAATCTGAAACAATTTTGATTCACACCTCTGGTACCTCAGTCATTGGTGACGCAGTTACAGAGAAGAACTCTGCTTCCACCAAGGTGTACTCTGACATTTACAACATTGATGAGATCAATTCATTACCATTGGAACAGCCACATAGACCGGTCGACAAGATAGTCTTGGAAATTGAAGAAAAGAACCCTAAGACTAAGGTTGCTATTGTCAGCCCATCTAACATTGTAGGTGTTTCAAACGGTTATGACAATACTATTTCCATTCAGATCCCATTTTTGATCAGAAATTCTATCAAGAACAAGAAGACTTGGTCTGTTTACTCTGGAGATTATATTTGGTCACACATTCACATCAAAGACTTAGGTGAAATCTATGCACTCATTTTGAATGGGTTTTTGGAAAAGAAAGACATCCCTCACGGAAGAAATGGTTACTATTTCGGCTCTTATGGTGGCTTAAAGGACGAAAAAGTCACTACTAAGCCCTCCGAAATTGAGCACACCTGGAGACTGGTTTCTGATAGAGTTGCAGAATTGCTATACGAAAAGAAAATTGTGCCAACTAAGGAAGTCGCCGAATTGAACTATGAAGAAATTGTTCAATTGACTGGAGACGAGTTTGGGCCAAAATATATCGGGACCAACTCAAGATCAAGAGGTGACAATGCCGTTAAAATTGGATTTAAGCCTAAGTATTCAAGCATAGAAGACTACTGGAAAAGAGTAGAGGAAGATGTCGAATATGTCTTAAAAGAATAAGTGCTCTAAGTGTTAATTACAAATCTATATCTGTTTATATTCAAATAGTTAAAAAGAAATGTACTAGTCTCTACGATAATGACCAGCTAAAATTCCTGTAGCAATTACATTCCCTTCGATGACCTTTAGAAGCTCATTCGTCAGTGGTGGAGTCTCCAATTGATCCAAGGCTTCAGTTGCGACTTCGTTTAAGCCAAACACCTGGAAAATGTATTCATGGGGCCCGTGTCCAGTAATAGGTCTTGGACCTCTATATCCGAGTACACCTCCAATAGTCTTACCAAGTTTGTAGTCTGAGGAAGTGGTACCAATTGCAAATTCTCCAAGTTCGAACTTTCTTGCCTTAGGGTCTATAGCGTATGCAATCATATGCGTGATGGCTACGAACGGGGTTCCAATATCCTGGCAAAGTACGGCCAAAGATTTCACTTCAGGAACGTCACAAGTTATGGAAAGAGAGGGACACTTATTACCACCAACACCTACTCCAGCGCAAATCTCTGGCCAATGTTCACCTTCTTTAAATTCATCACTCGTGACTTTGATTTGTTTGGGAAGATCTTTATATGGATCCTGGTTAAGAATTAAAGCATTTTCACCTGCTTTGAAATTATAAAGCAAGTACCCTAAGGCGATTTCAACATATCTGAGTACCATTATAGAAGTCTTTCAAGAATTAGATGGTGAATTTTGGAAAGAGAAGTGACTTAGAGAGGAAAGCAGGTTGCTTCATATAATCATATTCGGCTCGGTATTATCTCCGAGGCACGGCGCTAACCGCGAGGCTGATATGGAAGAGCTACTACTATTAAACATTACATTCCACATGTTGGCAGCAATAGTTTTCTACTGGAGTTACATTCTTGATAAAGTATTAGCATTTATATATATATATTATTCTTCATACCGTTTGTAGGAGCTAGGAGATATTCTTTGATTCCTGAAATTAGGCACTTGGCCCTGGATGCCTCAGCTCTTTTTAATCTGCGCGGGCTCGACCCCACAATCATAAGGGTCTATCCAATTTTCAGATATTTTACCATCAATGACACGATACTTGTCAGTAAATTGATCAGGTTTGGTGGTTTCTTCAGGTCCTTCACCGAGTATTGAAACAGTAACAATGTCCCCGTCGACTTCAAGCTTAGTGATTTGGAATGTCACTGGGTTATATTCTAAGTATTTCTTGAGAGCATCTTCTATTGTTGCTTGCCATCCAACCTTATCTTTACCATCTTGGTGAACGGTGTAATCGTCAGTTAGCAAAGTTTTGAGGCGAGGGTAATCCCGTTTATTAAGCGCATCAAAATATTCTCTCACTATTTCCTCTGCCATTGTAGCTTACTATAGCTGGGATATTTGGAAGGAAATATTTATAATCTGAAGAAATCTTTCTTACTCAAAATTTAGGGGTTACTTATAGTAAATTGTAAGTGCGAAGAACTTAAATTTTGACTGATAAGCACATCATCAGCAACGTAACTTTAATTTTAGATACGCAAGTTGCAACAATATATTTTGACTTTATCATGTACTAGATATTTAATACTCGAAAGCTTTCCTTCCTTCTCAATTGTGAAAAGGAAACAATATATGCAACAAGTGATTACATGCATCAATTTGACGCATGTATGCAGCAACGGCTGACTACAGCATGCGCTTTAAAAGATGTGTAACTTTTCATTTAAAATATAAAGTCATACGGAACTGGTACACTGGAGTAGAATATTTCCTCGTCATTTTGCTGTTTTCTATGCATAGATTATGTACGACCCGTCATATAATATTCAGTAAGTTTACCGTTCATGATCCATTGTTTAAGTACAGCGGAGGTAGAGTTATTTCTTTAGCTTCCTTTATAGAGGCTGATACAACAGTAACCATCCTTCTTCTAACAGTCTTGGTGACTTTTAATATAACTGGGTCAAACTCTAAAAGTTGGAGATTTCTTGAAACCATAAATGTAGAAGTAGCACTTAGCATTTATTAACTAATTAAGAAATAATATAGATTCTACGCATATAAGACGGGACGTATTATTCATATGTGATGTTTAAAATAGTTATCCCAATAATAAGGAATCTGAGCAACAGGCTATTCCAAAGTCAGACTTGATTTCTCTTCTCCATTCCATTGCTCAACTATCTGATTATTCTTAATTTTATACCTATCAAGACAAGTCTCTTGATCTTCTGCCAGTCCTTCATACTTCGTCAAAGTCCAGGAAAATTCGCCATCTTCCTTATACTTCACAATTTCAAATCTCAGGGTCGTACTTTCTAAGTATGGCTTGAGAGCTTGTATAATTGCAGCATCAAACCCAACTCTGTCAGGATGGCTCTGGCCATGGTAAATATACGAGCCTGCAACCAACTCTTCTATACGGGAATAATTACGATCATTGATCGCCTCAACGAAGTCTCTAATTACTTGTTCTGACATTTTGAATCAATTGATAGCTAGATGGAGAAGAAAAGTTTAACAACAAGTAAAAGATTCTGGCCAGATTCACCTTTTATACACTTCTACTCGGCCGTAAATTTTCTTATTAATTTGAAACTTTATATTATGCGGTAGTGAAATTTCCTAATGTTGGAGAAACAGAGCCACAGACAGCTAAATAAGGTATTAGATTCACCTAAGGGAATTCAATTTTAACAACAATTAAACACACGAAAAGCTTATCGTAGAATAGGGCCAAAACAAAAAGCAGGGTAGTTAATCAGCGTCTGCTCAGACTAAGAGTGTAGTAAATAAAATCAATTGTGAATTCTCAGATCATGCACAAATATTTCACACAATTTGGCTTAGCATTTATTTCTCAGGTGTAATTACATAAAATAGCAATATTGTCTCTTTCTTCTCTTCTTGGCCCAAACTATACTCTGCTTTGCTCACTATATAATTCAATAGCTTACATTATGGCTTACAACCATGCCAAAATAATAAGATGACGCTCAGAAAGCGCACATTTGCAGCCATTCTTTTTCATGCTGCAGCTGCAGTGTACCTACATGATATACGGTCCATATTCATATAATAAAGCAAACCTATGTGCGTGTGCCTACATTATGTACGATCCATATTAGTGTCAAAGCATATTTTGCTAATACTACGCATACGTATGTTCTTTGAATATTCCTATTCCGGTTTATTTGCGTCCTAACATCCACTGCTCCGCTATTTTGCCGTTCTGAATGAGAAATTTCTCAGCGTATTGCTCCAATTGATCTCCAGCTTCGGCTGATTCCTTAGTAGACCAAACAAGAAATGTGTCCCCTTCATCTTCGATTCTGATGATTTTGAAGAACAACTGATCCTTTTCAATAAATGGTTTAAGCTGCTCCATAATTGTGGCTTGGTACCCAGTCCAAGAGTGATCCTCGTCCAAATGATAGATATAGTCTTCAGTTATGTACGTCTTAATGCGAGAGTAGTCACGTTGGTTGATAGCATCGAAGAAATCCCTAATTAACTGTTCAGACATGTTGAAACTAATTGGGCTCTTCTTTACATTACATTCAAAAATGAAAGAAAAAAAAAAAAAAAAAAGAGAGAGAGACTAAAAATTCAAACACAGCGTATTAGGTTAACTTTTTATATAATAAGGTTTCAAGAATTAGAAGACAAATTTAATGAATGATGTAGGGAAGCTACATGACCCCAGTTCAATGGTGTACATGATTATTCCTAAACTTAATTTCCAGTGAAATTTAATTATTTCACTCAGGTCGCTGTCCCTGCGCAGAACAAGATATAATTTTACTTTCCATACTCCTGGCATAATCGTATTCGGGCTTATTTCTCAAAGGATTAGCTAAGGTGGCTTTGCACAACATATTGTCTCGATAACGACTAAGGCGAAAGAAAAACATCACGGAAATAACCTGCTCCGTCTATACTCCGTCTGTACTCCGTCTAACGCGTGAAAGCGCAGTTGTTCGCTGGACATTCTTATAAAGCCCTCGCCGCCCTTTATGTTGATACACTGGGTAGAATATTATTCATAACCAACAGTTACATCTTGCACTTTATTCCAAATGAAAATTGCGATTATTGGAGCCGGACCAGGTGGATTAACCCTAGCTAACATTTTAAAGGTTAAGGGCATTGATTTCACAATATTTGAGAATGAAGAATCGATCACTTCCAGACACCAAGGAGGTACGCTCGATCTTCATCGTGAAACTGGCCAATTGGCTTTAAAGGAAGCAGGCTTGTTTGAAGCGTTCAAGAAGTATGCACGGCCAGAGGGTGATTTCACCATAGTTACAAGTGTTGATGGCAAAACACTAAGAGATGAAAATATCGGCAAGACAGATGCCCCCACTACAGTAGATCTGGTCGGTAGGCCAGAGATCGAGAGGCTGAAACTTTTAGAAATTCTTCTTGAGGGTATTGGTGCTTCTGCTGTTACTTGGAAGCATAAGGTTCAGCAGGTGGTGAAAATGGAAGATGGTTCCACTGAAATTGAATTCACTAATGGTAAGACGACTAGAGAATTTGACTTGGTTGTTGGAGCAGATGGTGCCTGGTCTAAGGTGAGAAATGTAGTATCATCAGTAAAACCCCACTACTCCTCCGTGACTTTGGTGGAGATGTGGGCCGAAGATGTTGACAAGTCTCATCCAACACTTGCAAAGTATACTGGAAAGGGGACCAATATGATGCTTGATCAAGATAGATGTGTCATGTGCCAAAGATGTGGTGAAGATTCTGTCCGGTTGTATGCTTGTTTGAGAATTGATCAAGATTGGTCGACCAAAATTGATTGGACCACTGACGTAGCTGCTGCGAGAGAGAACCTTGTAAGCGAATACTTTGGTGATATTGGCGAGAATACTAAGCAAGCAATTCTTAGTTGTACAGACAATTTGATAGTTAGACCACTCTACATGATGCCTATTGGATTTACATGGGAAAATTGCCCTGGAGTTACGTTATTGGGAGACTCTGCCCATCTCATGACTCCTTTTGGCGGAGAGGGAGTTAATTTGGCTATGAAAGATGCTATCGAATTAGCCATTGCAATATCCGCTGCTAAAAGCATTCCGCAATTGAATAAGAATGTGCAAAAATACGAAAAGGACTTATTCAAGAGGGCGAAATACTACAATTCGGATACATGGGACATGTTACAGCTTTGTTTCAGCAAGGGAGGGTCTGAAAAGATCAGTGTCATGATGGAGGGCGGAATTATGATTTTGGTGCAGATGACTGCCCTGTATCTTTGGAAAACCTTGTGGTCATTCTTTGGGTACTAGAAAAGCGAAGGTGAATTCGCAAAGGGCTCTGATTTGGATTTTGCAGCCATGTGCCTGAATGGCACAGCTTCTGCAATTCGATGGGTGGTGACGATTTTGAAACAATGGATGCTTAGAACAATATTAATTCGGCACCACTAGATATGGAATATTCATCATGCAGCTCAACGGATATTTGCATAATATGCGCAGAGCTGAGTGGCACTGTGAGTGACACTAGCGGACCGAGTGTAGATCAAAATAAGTAAATCAATAAAAAACAAAATATTCATATATATGTACATTGATCCCAATGCCGTGCGATTGCTGCACGATTGGGGACCGTAGATACTATTGCATACACAGAGAGTATTTTCAGCGACGTTGTATTCCGAGTGCGCATCTCCCTCTATAGTCTCTGGCTGCTTCCTCTCGCCTGTCAAATTTATTTGACACATTGCAAAAGAATGTGCTTTGAATGTGGTACTCTTCTGCTACGTTAAGTGCGCAAGGTGTGCTAACGGCGTACCTGCGCGCATAAAAATGGTCAAAGCAACCACTCTGTATTATAGAACGGTTAGCTAACATAGAAAATCAGCAGTTTCGCTATGTATGTAGGAACAGCAGCACGCATAATTTCGTTTTTTTTTTGGTTTCCACACCGTAGCACTGGCGGATTTGTGTTGTGTCGACCCCACTCCCGAACATACCAACAAAAAATATAAGTGTGTGTCTTCTCCTCCTTTGTGTAGAGGCTTTCTTCCTTTTTCTTTATATTAGAATTGTATAGACAGCTAGTAAGCCATGTGCATGTCTCATTCCTCCAATTCTTCCACAAATCCTGACCGTGAGGTGCTTCCTACCAACGTCAAACCTACTCACTATGATTTGACTTTGGAACCACTTTTCGATTCATTCACATTCGACGGTGAAGTCGCCATCAGCCTTGAAGTCAATGAAACTTCCAACTATGTCACCTTAAACTCAATTGAGATTGAAATTCATGAAGCATCTATTGACAACAAGTCAATTGAAAAGGAATCTATCGTTTTCGACAAGGACGAACAGACTGTCACTTTCAAATTAGACCATGACTTGGTTGAAAAATCAACTGCAGTATTGAAAATTAAGTTCACCGGTGAATTGAATAACAAGATGGCTGGGTTCTATCGTTCTAGTTATCAAGAAAACGGTGAAACCAAGTACTTGGCTACGACCCAAATGGAGCCAACTGACTGTAGAAGAGCATTCCCATCCTTTGATGAACCACTGCTCAAGGCCACATTCACAATTGCATTGATTGCTGACAAGGATTTGGTATGTTTGTCCAACATGGATGAAAACTCCACTGAATCCATCTCAGACTCAAAGAAGAAGGTTGTTTTTAACAAGACTCCATTGATGTCCACTTACTTGGTTGCCTTCATCGTTGGTGATTTGAAATATGTCGAAACCAATGAATTTAGAATTCCAATCAAAGTATACGCCACCCCAGGTTCTGAACATTTAGGTGAATACTCCGCTAAGATTGCAGCCAAAACTTTGGCCTTCTTTGAAGAGAAGTTCGATATTCCATACCCATTACCTAAGTGTGATATGGTCGCCATCCATGACTTCTCTGCAGGTGCCATGGAAAACTTCGGTCTTATCACTTACAGAACAGTAGACTTATTACTTGATGAAAAGAAAACCAATATTAATACTAAACAAAGAGTCACTGAAGTGGTGATGCACGAATTGGCCCATCAATGGTTCGGTAACTTGGTCACCATGGACTTTTGGGATGGTTTGTGGCTTAATGAAGGTTTTGCCACTTGGATGTCGTGGTATGCCTGTGATTCGTTATACCCAGACTGGAAGGTTTGGGAATCCTATGTATCTGATTCCTTACAACATGCCCTTTCTTTGGATGCATTGAGGGCATCTCACCCAATCGAAGTTCCTGTTAAAAGAGCTGATGAAATTAATCAAATTTTCGATGCTATTTCTTATTCCAAGGGTTCATCTCTTTTGAAAATGATTTCAAGATGGCTTGGAGAGGACATTTTTATAAAGGGGGTCTCTAACTACTTGAAAAAGCATAAATGGGGTAACACCAAAACTTCAGATTTATGGGAATCCTTAAGTGATGTAAGTGGTAAAGATGTCGTTAAAGTTATGGACATTTGGACCAAGAACATTGGATACCCAATTATCAATGTAGAAGAGTCTGGAAACGACTTAACCTTTACCCAAAACAGATTCCTTGCTACTGGTGACGTAAAGCCCGAAGAAAACAAGGTTTTGTATCCAGTTTTCCTTGGATTGAAGACAAAAGAAGGTATCGATGAATCTTTAGTGCTTGACACTAGAGAGAAAAAGGTTACCTTGTCTAACTTAGACTTCTTCAAGGTTAACGGTGATTCTGCTGGTATTTACCGTACCGCCTACTCACCTGAGCGTTGGGCTAAATTAGGTGAAGCTGGTGTTGCAGGCTTACTTTCAGTTGAAGATAGAGTTGGTTTGGTAGCCGATGCTGGTGCTTTAGCATCATCAGGCTTCACTGCAACCACTGATTTCTTGTCATTGGTGAATTCATGGTCTAAAGAATCCAATTACGTTGTTTGGGATGAAATATTGAATAGAATTGCGGCCATAAGAGCAGCTTTCATATTCGAAGACGATGAAATCAACACCTCATTGAAATTGTTTACTGTGGATCTTTTGTCTCCAAAATTGAACTCCATTGGCTGGGAATTCAAGGAAGATGATACTTTTGCGGAACAGCAATTGAAGAGTTCCTTGTACGGATCAGCCTTGGTAGCTGGCCATAAGGAGGCAGAGAAATACGCTCTGGAAGCCTTTGCTAAGTATGTTGCTGGTGACAAATCAGCAGTTCACCCAAATCTCAGAGGATCTATTTTCAACTATGCTGCCAAGAGTGGTGACTCTAAGACCTTTGATGAATTGTTCAACATTTACCAAAACCCAGAGTCCGTAGAGGTTAAGATTTCTGCATTAAGATCATTAGGTAGATTCACTCAACCTGATTTGTTAGAGAAGATTACAGGGTACTTGTTACAAAGTGATGTCATTAAGCAACAAGATATTTACATACCAATGCAGGGTTTAAGAGCTAGTAAGGAAGGTATGAACTACTTATGGACTTGGTTACAAGAAAACTGGGATAAGATTTATGAAATATTACCACCCGGTTTATCTATGTTGGGTTCGGTAGTTACGTTGGCTACGTCAGGATTCACTAAGAGGGATCAGAAGCAAGCTATTGAAGATTTTTTCAAGACCAAGGACACTAAGGGTTTCAACCAAGGGTTGGCACAAAGTTTGGATGTCATTACTGCTAAAATTAACTGGAGTGAGAGAGACAGCAAGAAAGTTGCAGATTGGTTAAGTGTTAACGGGTATGTGTCTAAAAATAAGTTATAAACACTGAAACAACTGACAATATCACAATGATAGGGGGCATGGCAGAAACAAAATATAGAAGTATCTATTAAACAAAATAATTTAAAATAATTAAAATGAAAGTAGATTATATTGTAACTTCCTTCTGTATAGAATAAAATTTCTATTGAATACAATGACTTTTCTGTTCTATTCTACTCTAAGGTTTATTACAATTCAATTAATCTATAAATGTAGGACAAGTGAAAACTTTTAAAAGCGATGATTCCGTCTTCCAATTCATTCCCAACAAGGTTACCGTCTTTGTCGACTTCGATAAGCGTATCTTCCTTAGCAGCTTCAATAAACCCACACTTGGACGTGTAGTACTTGACTAGCCCATGTTCTTTGATCACCACCCCGTTGATTTTAAAACTTTTCAACTTGTTTCTGTCTATACCAAAGAGCTTATCAAATTCAGTTCTACGAAGCAAAACCTTCTCAATGACTACTTCTAGTAAATGTGGACCCGAATTTTTCAAGAACGAAGTGAATGAAGTCAATTCGAGTTCTTTGACGTGTTCACTCCCGGTGCTTACATATTCCTTGAAGCCCACAGTACCAATAACTCTTTCAAGAATATCATTTGTAATTCTGTAGTCATCGCCTACTATGCTAATAGAAAAATCGCTATGCTTGTCGAAGGATAAATCATCCACGAACCGTGCTGGGATATCTGAGTCATATGCTTCGGTAATATTTTGAGATATAACGCTGAAATCTCTTGGTACCCCTGAGAGCGTTGATTTTACCCTATCAGCTGGTCCTAAGAGAAGATATAATACGAATGGCTTCTTATGTGAGATTTCGAAGTCCAGAGGGAAAGTTTGTGGGCTCTTCACTCTCGATGAACCGATTACCCCAAACTTAAATCTAGGTTTATCGTACGACTTGTTGATAATTCTAGTTAGAATACGTAAACTTTCTTCATCTGCGGTGCTGAACCAAGTATTTGGAATTCCCACCAACTCAAACATTGCTGATTTTGTAGATATCAGCGTCAAACCCGACCTATTGAAGTGAACAAGTATTCATTAAATGCATTTTTGAGCTTCCCAAAGTAGTCATACCCGCGTCAAAAGTTCTTGATGTGAGATTATGCAGCCTCGAACTTTTACGAGAGCGTATAAAATATCACCACTCTCGAGAAGCGACAAGACTGACAAATTGAGAGCTATAATGTAGCACGGCAGTCCACAATTAGAGCATCAATCAAAGGTAAAAGTGGAACTCTGAAAAATCAGATTTTTCTCCAGTATATTCGGTTTTTGAAAGTGTGAGATTATCCTCACAAGGGAAGGGGAGAAGATGAAGGATTTTGAGATTTTACTACAATGTTTAGATTATTGGAAATTTAAATCGTGAATCCATTAATACAGTTATATATTCACCTTAGTCTCAAGCTTCCTATAAGTGAACATATAATATCTTTTCTTCTTTCGTTCATGCCATTTTGTTTATTCTTTTATTTTATTTTCGCTCTATTCCTTAATCCTTAAGGTATCGTATCGTCAACATTTAAGAATCTCAATATTAACATGAATTGATCTTCATAAAATCCAAACGATTCTCTAAACTTATTAATATGCTTCCATCTCTTTGTGTTAACCGTGCTATCACTTCTTCTCAACCTATCCCATAAGTGATCCCCACCTAAATGTTTTCTGATTGTGTCTTGATCAAGTTCCAAGTCAGGGTACTTCTCAGCAAGAGTAGGATTTATTCCACCTTTAACCTGTAAAGAATAGGCCCATAACAACACATGCCCAATGAAAGATAATACTGAGTAATCAAACTGATTTTGGTGGATATTTTCAGCTGGCGGAGTGAGCTTTGTACCAGTAGTCTCTAAAGTGATCTCGGAATACTTTCCAAAATATTCCTCCACATCGAACTCTTTACAAGTCTTTTTGAATCCAATCGATTCATATAATGCAACATTGGTACACAACCTCAAGAATTTTGATCTGATATCTACATCTTCAAATATTTCGTGTGAATGCTTCAAAGTAAACTTAAGGATGTTTGCAACAAATTTGACAGTCAAAGTTGATGACGTTATCGCCTTAATTTTGACGTCTGAAAGGGAAAGGTTCAAAATTTGTTTGTGGGTCAATCCAATGATAATTTTAGTAGGACGTATCTCAGGTAAATTTTCAGAGTATTTCCCATTGGAGATTGTCTTCTTGGTGGATCTTAAATTGATCGCAAATGGATTTTCATTCTTTTCTGGAGTATTTGAGAAGCTATTATTGGAACCATTGAGTGTGCCATTAACTATGTCTCTTGTCGGAGTGTTGGTGATACCATTGAGAGAGGGTTTTCGTGGAGTTGAGTAAGGCAATCTGTCAACTAAAGCAGTTTGCTTTATAGGCGTATCTGGAGAACTTTCAGGTGAAAGAGATTCGGAATTTGATTGATGTTCCTGTTGGAGTTGTTCGTTTAGTTTCTGCTTTCTTTGGTTTCTACTCAAATTCAACTCTGAATCGTAAATAGAGTATTCTTGGTCTATAACTTTCTTCATTTTCAACTCTTCTACAGTAATCAACTCATTATTCTTGCCAAGTAAAACATTTTGGTCTGACTGAGTCGTAATTGGTTTTCCATCATCAATGTACGTCCCCAATTTATTGTCTGTCTTGATTTGGACATCTGAAGTAACTGGGTCTCCTTCAATCTGTTCTGGCAGAGGCAGCAGCAGTTTTGTTCCTTTGATAGATTTTTTGCGATTAGACTTTGTAGGAGAAATGTCATTGGTTGCAGGTGACTGATCTGTGTTTTTACTCTGCCTTTTTCTACGTACACTCTTTGGAGTAATTACCGCTTCTTCAGCAGCCAGAGTTTCCTCTTTGAGTTCAGCGCCATTTTTCTTAGGGTTCAATTGCTTCCTGGACTTCTTCTTGTTAAGTGATTTGGTTGCTGGTTGCCCGTCTTTCAGTACCGTTTGAGATTGCCCATTTGTAGTATCTTTCAACGCAGTAGCTGACTTCTTTTTATTGACCTTTTTCTTTCCATCTTCATTAGATTCAAGATTTCCTTCGGCAAACTTTGATGCAATCGAAATATCTAAGTCTTCAACTGAATCCTCCTCTTTCAGTACCTGGGCAGCCTTTTTCTTCGCAGTTGCACTATTCTTTTTTTTCTTGCCCTTACCGATCTTAGTTGGTGACATGTTTTCTACTTCTTCCTCGCTACTTGAAAACGTTATATCTTCAATATCTTTCGTTATATCGTCGACTTTCACCTTCATTTTTTTGGGTTTTCTTCCACCACCATTTCTTTTAATTTGTGGGGACTCATTTACTACAATATCTACTATATCTACCAAAGTTTCCTCTCTTAAATCAGATCCACTTTTTTTCTTTTGAAGTAAAAAATCTAAATCCCTTTCGAACGGGTCATCTGTTCCCTGTAACTCTTTATAGTCGTAGTCCTTCACTTCAAATTCATCAAGGCTCTTCTTCCCTTCGTCGTTTTGAGAAAGATCAATGACCTTTGGAACTTTTTTGTTTGGCTTGGTTCTCTGTTTTGTCATCCTTGCGGAAGTGTCTTCAATCACTCTATTGTTATTGAAGTTTATTCAATAGAAAATATATTGCAATTGTTTGTGTTTAAAGCTTGTTCAACACTGACCCTATCCGAAAATTTTTGTACCTGAACAATATCTGAAAAAATAACAAAAATAAAAAAGCTTAATGGCCCACAAATAACGTGCAAATTTCACAATCATCCGCGTTAAATTAGCGTCCAATACAGTAAAATTAGTGAGTGAGTACACGCGAAGCTGGAGTTACAAGTCGCAATGCTAGCACTAGATACTGGTACGACGCGTGAAACAACGCCTCAAATTAGCTTTAAATTTTTATAGGTTTAACCATGAAGTTAAGCTACTAAAGTATTAGCTCCATGTAGCTCCTTTCTACTCCACCCCAATTGTTGCTCTGATCCTTTCTGTCCTACACTAAATATCTACATCAATACTCTAAATCTTTATCAATATATTTTTATTCAAAAAAAAAACAACCTAACAGAAAAAATTTCTAATATTAGAGACTTTCACTTTGAAAAGGTCCCCGGCAATTATTTATGATTTCAGTTTTCATTGTCCTTTTTACTTTATTTTTGCTTATCATCTACGATTCTTTTAATTTAATGCTAAAACTTGATCTTTTTTAATCCGTTTTTTTTTTCCTCATCTCTTAGAAAGAAGCAACGAAAGATTCAGTGGTAGACTTCAACTTCTCTAATAATTCTTTAGATAATTCACCCTTGGTCTTGATGGCATCTAAGATATCGGAGTCGTTAGACTTTAAGTGAGAAGCGAAAGCTTCTTCAAATTCACCAATTCTGTCAATGGCAACGTTATCTAAGTGACCGTTAACACCAGCGTAAATTAATGGAACCTGTTCTTCAGCAGCTAATGGTGCGTATTGCTTTTGTTTTAATAATTGAGTTAATCTTTCACCTCTGGCTAAAGTTTGCTTGGTGGAAGCATCTAAATCAGAACCGAATTGAGCAAAGGCAGCGACTTCTCTGTATTGAGCCAAGTACAATTTCAAAGAACCAGCAACTTGCTTCATGGCCTTAACTTGAGCAGCGGAACCAACTCTGGAAACGGATAAACCAACATTAATAGCTGGTCTAATACCCTTGTAGAATAATTCAGCTTCCAAGAAAATTTGACCATCAGTAATGGAAATAACGTTAGTTGGAATATAAGCGGAAACATCACCACCTTGGGTTTCAATAACTGGTAAAGCAGTTAAAGAACCACCACCTAACTTATCGGACATCTTGGCAGCTCTTTCCAATAATCTGGAATGTAAGTAGAAAACATCACCTGGGTAAGCTTCTCTTCCTGGTGGTCTTCTTAATAACAAGGATAATTGACGGTAGGCAACAGCTTGCTTGGATAAATCATCGTAGATGATTAAAGCGTGCTTACCATTGTCTCTGAACCATTCACCAATGGCACAAGCAGTGAAAGGAGCCAAGTATTGTAATGGAGCGGCTTCTGAGGCAGTAGCAGCAACAATGATGGAATATTTCAAAGCATCGTTTTGTTCTAAAGTTTGAACTAATTGAGCAACGGTGGATCTCTTTTGACCAACGGCAACGTAAACACAGTACAACTTCTTAGATTCATCTGAGCCGTTGTTCCATCTCTTTTGGTTTAAAATGGTGTCTAAGGCGACAGCAGTCTTACCGGTTTGACGATCACCAATGATCAATTCTCTTTGACCTCTACCAATTGGGACTAAAGCATCAACAGACTTTAAACCAGTTTGCATTGGTTCACAGACGGAGGTTCTTGGTAAGATACCTGGGGCCTTAACTTGAGCTCTTGAAGAAGAGGAGTTGTTTAATGGTCCCTTACCATCAATTGGGTTACCTAAACCATCAACGACTCTTCCTAATAATTCTGGACCAGTTGGGACATCAACAATCTTACCGGTTCTCTTGACGGTTTCACCTTCCTTGACTAATCTATCAGAACCGAACAAGACAATACCGACTTGACCTGCTTCCAAGTTCAAAGCCATACCTTTAACACCAGAGGAGAATTCGACTAATTCTTCAGCTTGAATGTTGTTTAAACCGAAAACACGAGCAATACCATCACCGACGGATAAAACTCTACCAGTTTCGTTCAAGTTAGCTTCATCAGAGACACCTCTGATTCTTTCTTCTAAGATAGTAGAAACTTCAGTTGGGGTGGCCTTAGCAGAAGCAAAACGGACAGCAGTAGGACGGGTCTAAAGTAGTTTTGTTAGTAACGATATTGTTGAATCAATAGAGAAAAAAATTCCATTTTCCATTTTCCAAAGTTTCCGCGACTGTCCAATTAGAGCGCAGAAAAAATCGTGGATCCTGCAGGTAAGCGTTTTGAAAATCCCGATCTTCGAAAAATGGCAACCAAGGAAGTGGAAAATGGAGGTGAGTAGTAAGGAGTTGTAATTGAAACTAGAGAAAAAAGTGTTAAGTTTGGATGTAGCATGTAGCAAATTGTGTGGACCGGAAGAGAAAGTTACCAATTTCGATTCAATTGATCAAATGTGGGGGATGCAGAGTATTATTTTTTTCCTCTTTCGAATTGTGGTCGCTGTTTCGTCCTTGTCTCCAAAGTCGAAGTGCCACATTAACATCCCTCACCAGCCGTCCTTGCGTCTGGTTTAGTTCTCTTTTCAATTATACCCCAAGACATATTTCCATTGGACGATGTTTCAGGTTCTCGATCTCGGAATCTCGGTTCCACTTTTGTTTAGTAAGTGGGTAGAGTGAATTCCCCACCATCAATCAGTCAATTCTATCCTCTCCCGAACTCTGTTTTCCGCCCTGTTTCAATTCAATTACAGAATTGAACGGTTGGAAGTCAACAAAAGTCATTCATCAATTCACTAAATTTTTTCATCCAATTTTTCAAGTTTTTCAAGTTTTTTTTCCTTTCTACTAATTTTTTGTTCAAAAGTTTTCACTTTCTACAAGGGTCATACATACAACTCTTAAAGTTCTGGATGCTGCAACGGCAGCACGAGCAGCAGTACGAAGAGCAGGACGAGATAACATAGTGATGTGTTGTTGTATTACACTTGTTCTTTGTAATTGTGAAAGGTTAAGTCAAAGAAGAATGCGCAAATCTTGAATTATATGTTAAAATTGTATGGCCTGCGTTTCCCAACCGAGTCGCTCTCTCTCACGGACAACACTGACAAAATTCTATTGGAGGGTTGGAAATCCGGGTAAATTGTGAATTTGTTGTCAACTTTGATTGGAGGAGAGAAGAAGTAGAAAAAATTGGCTATATTGGAGTGTGTGCAGTAGAGGAGGTGGGACACACGTGACAATCACGAAAAGGGTGAGAGAGACCGGGGATAGAGAGACGCGAGAGGAAGAGAGCTGCTGATAGAATAGCAGGGAAGAAGAAAGGTGAATGAATAGAAAAGGTAAAAACTGGTCTGTCTGGTATGGTGCAGCTTGTCTAGCATGTAAGTTATTTTTATTTTTTATGTAATTGGTTTCGTGGTTCGACGTTCAGTTCGGTCTCTTCTCTCTGTTGGTTCTCGGCTCTCTCCCCAAGCACCTCTCATCTTTTCGTCTCTCTGGAATACATATGCTCTATATGCAGTCCCTTGAATCGACCTTGCGAAAAATCGAAGAAAAAAATTCTGAAGTGAAAAATACCGTCCTTACCCATCATTCAAGCTTATTTGTGACGCCCTTTTCTCGCTCCTCAGTCGAATTTTATATTCCAGTTGATATGATTCGTACCTCAGTTCGTTCATACTCGAATAAGGCCAGTCCTGGATTTCTTTCGGACCTTTTGGCTAGAATAGACTCCATTCCTGAGCGAGTAGCCCAAAGGAAACAAGAAAATCTCGAAAATGCAACAAAAAGGTTGAACAAAGAGTCAGCCAAGTCAAATAATAATAGTAGTCCTACTAGTAACACCAGCCCTTCAAACTACTCAAGATCTAAGAATATAAGAATTAACGTGGCGGACCACCCACTTGCTCTCTTTAACGACTCTAATCGCTCTAATTTCAACAGATCTAGAAGAGCCAACAGTAATAATTTCAACGGTGGACAAAGGCCACAGGGTAATGGATCAAGACCTTCCAATAATAAACCTTTCCAAAGAAAGTCAACTACTCCTAGAAGAATTGTTTCCTCTGATAAACGAGTTAGAGAGCAAAGAAAAGACCACACTAAGAAAATCGAATACGGCCCAAGTCAACCAACTCTAACCCCAGCTGACCTTTTCTACAGTAGATCTTCTAAGTTGAGTCACTTTACTGGTGCCAGAATAGCTTCTGTCTCAAAAGAATTACTCGAGGAATCAAAGTATCCATATAACTTCCCTCAAGAAGTTGTGCAAAACTCACCAAAGCACGCTGTCAACCTGTTCCTTCTCAACAATAAGTACGATGATCAAGTTGTAAGCAACGAGAACGTAAAGAACAAGGTTGAATCAATCGTTCTTGGAAGAGTCAGAGAACTCAACTCGAGAGAAAATCAGATTCCAAAGGGTCTTAAAGCACACGCATTGTTTGCAAGAAGGGCCATACTGTTGAATCCTACTTTATCTTTAGGCGAACAACAAAGGCTTTACGATGTTGTCAGTGGAGTTAAGACACCCTCCTCTCTTGTTGAAGGATGTCACTGGGTAAAAAAGTAGTGCCCCTACACCATGTACATAGATACCTGTAAATAGAAATAAAGGTATAGAGTCAAAATAGGCTGAGTTGAGTAGTGCGTATAGCCCCTTTTCGTTTGTCGTTTCCACTTGTTGAGCATCACAGTATAAATTTTCCTTTGTAGTCGTCCTGAGAAGTTTTGAGAGTTTAAACTGAAACATCACCGGGTTCCATAAATACATATAGTGTATTTCTGTCGTACACCTCAATTCGCAACCACCAACATTCTCGTTTACAATACATACTGTATGTTTTTTTACTTCTTATATATTGTTTATTCTTATTAATTTATTATTATTATAATGATTACTTATGTAATTCGTTACCCTACCTAAGGTTATGCCAATTCGAAACCTTTAATCCGTACCTTTTTTTTAATATTTATTTGAACTTAAAATGGGCTGTCCGTTTTCATGCTAAAATTCCTAGAACTGTTAAAGGCAAGCTATATCTTGTTAAAAAGGGACCTTGCGCTGACGAATCCTTTGATGTCATTGTTTTCGTGCGTGGATTCCCTATATGATAAGATAAATGGGAGTGTAATAGAAACTGTCAAGTAACCCATCATAAAGACTGGGGAAGACTTAGGCTTAGCGAGGTGGTGCATTTCTGAATGTGGTTTTTTTGTTTCTTGTAGCAAATGTGTAGCAAATGTGTAGCAAAAACGTGAACGAAGTATGAAGCTAGTTAACTGCAACGAAAGGTTAGTACGTAGAACGTAAGAGTGAAAGATATGGGTGTACGGAACATAAGACTAACAAGTCAGTAGCAATTGCATATTAATTTATATAATTCGTAGGTACACCTAAAAAATCATTCAATGTTGGTAAAATTTTTGTCATCTGTGGCTCATATGTTGCAAACATAACTAAGCAAGAGCATGTAGAAAAATAAAATTTTATAAATTAATTGAGAGTAATTGGTAAAACTTACGTAGTGAGCAATGAGTGTACTAAAGTAGTTTTCTGTGTGTGACTTAAAAAAGAGGATCTAGCAATGGGAAGAGGCTTCTATATATATATACATATATATATATACATCTATATTTTTATAGTATCAATACGCATAAGGCACTTTACCCTTTGTTTGTTGTGAGGCTTTCTCTCTATAAGTTCCCTGAACCTTAATCAGATCATAATCAGGTTGTGAATCGCGCCATTCGACCTGCCTTGCATCTCTTTTTGGTTGTGAAGTCCTGCATAATGCGAGGCATCATTCCTTATTATGCGGTGATGCGACTAGATGGGTTGCACTCGCAACACCGTCGTATAAAAAACAAGGTGAGTTAGAAACGAGTATCCGAGCAGGCACAACAAAACCACTTGGGGTACTTTAAGAGGTCTTGGAGTCTTGGGGTTTGCTCTATATGGGGGTTACATTTTAGCTTTCGATGCCCTAACCTTAAAATTCCGGGATACGGATATGCCCAATGTAGTAAGAGGTATGTATATAATAAAGTATATAAGAGTGAGGGAGACTACGGTGCTGCATATTGTCAGATTAGAATTGCCATTGTGGTTATCTATTTGTTTCGTTATCTCACCAATTGCCACAGTAGTCAAGTGATGAATAAGCAAGAATGAAGCAAGATTATTGGTCAGACGGCGAAGTATTGATACCCCGATGAGTTAGCTGTACTCTCGGGATTTCTGGGGTCCAAGTAGAGTCATTTGAGTTGTACTGTTTGTGGGGAAAGTCAGTTTAACTATATCATTTACGTTTTTTTATGCCTTTGCTTGTTTTGAGCAATATTTGTTTTTTTTTTTTTCCGTTCCACTCACACACTCTCCACTGCTGATATCGTACACCCCTCCAGTCAGCTATTGTCTTGGTGGGCAAGTAAAAACGAAAGTCGTGTTTAAAAGCTTCAATGAAAAGGAGATCCGGCCTAAGTCGGATTTAACTTTTAATCTTCCCCACCTTACTACCCTAGGAATAAAGGCAGCATGTCACACTGATGGGGTGTTTTGAGCAACTCTTGACGTAATGGGGAAACTAGAAGCAGTAGTGGAACTCTTGTTGCGAACATTGTGACCTGCCTTCAATTTCACTCTCTTTTGGTTGCCATGTAAACTTGTAGTGCCTAGATCTTTAGAACTTCTTTATTTCGCAGCCAGTACACTTTCTTCTCCGCATATTATAATCTACTGTCAATTTCGCCGATATCGGAGCTGACGTGAAAGGGCTAAAAACAAACCTGTTGACATGGCTCATGGGTTTATCTTATCCACGTTTGTCTCTCGTTTAACGTATACGCAGTTACTACATTTAATTACTTTCTTTTTTCTTGTTCATTACGTACATTAAATACTATGTGTAAGTGTAAACGCATTAAAAGCGGGCCAATGGGAAAATTCCATGAACAGCCTATTGTACACCATTTCTAAACTTGCTGCACTTTTGCATAATTCGGAGGATTTAATCTCCTGTTAATTGCTTGACTGAGCCAAACTGGGAAAAGGCTTACACCCAAGATCACTACAACCTGCCAGATATAGGACACAGATACAACATAGGTCAAGTCGAAATACTCGGTCAAAAATGGAATGCTGACGATAAATATTATCAATGTGATAACAATTGTTGCAACCATAACTTTCCTCCAACGGTTTATCTGAAGCGCTACCATAATCAATTCGTTGAATATTAAACATGAAAATGACAAGGTAACCATAGTATCGAAATTCTCTTGGAAAAATTGGGCCATCAATTGTATAATGCAACCTTGGTAAATTGAGATAAGGCACCAGATGCTGAAACTCTTGTACGAAAGCAGCTTACCCATCAATAATTCTTTGTAAAGCTCTGGGTATAATTTTGTCAAGTATTCGTCAACATCACAATCTAAAACCATTGAGAAAATTGGAGCCATCGTGTAACAAGTGGCATAACCCACCATAAGGAATCCATTATACAAAGTCAATGGTTCAAAATCGGAAGTTATGGAAAATACGGCTTGGCATATTGAGATTAATAACCCTCTATGGATAATGAATTGACCCAATTTCGAAGATCTTTTATACGAGTTTCTTCCATGCCACAAAAGTAACTTCAGTAAATAATAAAACTGATGGATACTGAAATCGGCCAGGAGTGATGCCTGCTTCCCTTCCTTTCCTACGATACCAACACCAACATTCGCAGCCTGAATCATACTTACATCATTACCACCATCACCTATGCAACACACTCTTTTGCCCGTGAAACTTTTAATCAATGTAGCAATGTCTGCCTTCTGTTGTGGGGTACATCTGCAGGCAATTACTGAGGGCAATCCAATCACAGCTTGGAAAAATTCCTCTTTGAAATACTTCAAATATATAAATAAAGACTCTCCGTCTATCAAGAGACAACAGTTGCTATTCATTTTCAAATATTCTAATTGATTCAAGGCAAGTTCATTGTTGGTTAACTTAACAATCTGATGAATGTATTGTCCTCTGGCGATTAACCTAGTACTGATACCAATACATTTAGCGGTTTCTACCTTATCACCAGTAAGCATCCATATTTTAATGCCTGCATTTCTGAGCAATTCAATTGATGTTTTGACATTTTCTTGAAGTTTGTCCTCTACTCCTGTTACTCCCAATAATTCCAAGTCGTTCTCTAAATATGTTGATATCGTTCTTTGAATGTTTGAGTCTCTGTCATTCATTGAAAGAGATGCCTGCCTGTAATTAGTTTCAAAATCTTCAAATTGTAAGTCTGTCAATCTTTTCTTTCCAATAACCAAAGTTCTTAATCCTTCTCTGGCCATATTAGTCGTTTCTTCATCCAACCAATCGTTGAGCGAAACTATGCCGCTCATTACAGAATCTGCACCTTTTTCAAGGAAGGCCACTTCCCCATTGATACCACTCTTCACTACAATTCCCATTCTTTTTGTGTCCGAATTAAATGGGAAATTGTACAAAATTTCGTACAGTAAAGTTGTGTTTGTCAGCTTATGGAGTAAGGTTATCAGCCTACGATCTCTTTTAATCAACTTCAAACCAATCTCATCTATAAATTTAACGATGGCAATTTCATCCGGTGATGCAGCTTGATACGTGACCTCTGCTTCGTAAAGGGATCCATCAGAGTCTTCCTCATACGTAGGTGTAACATTATGGCACAATGCTAAGGTAAGCACAAGTTCGCAAACTTTGGAATTAAGATCCTTCTTTTTATTAGCAGTTGAGCCAATACTGCTGTCATTGGTCGGCATACCTCTTACATAGTCCCCGACGATGTCTAATGTATCCCCTGCATAACTTATGGTCCCCAAATGCAATTTCTTCAATTCCATATCGTTCTGAGTTAAAGTTCCTGTCTTATCAGTGAGCAAATACTCAATTCTTCCCAAATCTTCTGGTATAGTAGATGTTCTCACAATAGTATCTTCAATATCTAAATCTTCTTCTATTTGCTTTGCATAAATAGATTTACCCAAATCCAAGTTAACTCTTAAACTTACAGGGATGATTGAAGAAAATAAAATCAAATATCTCATAATATCAATGTACCAACTCTTTTTCAATGGCCAGCCATGGCACAAAACGAGCCCAACACTCAAAAGGAAAACCAACCCACATAAGATTTTTGATAATTTATTGATTTCCAATTCTAAAAGACCAGTTTTAACTCCTGACTTCGTGGTGTTCATGGCTTGTCTTGTATCTATTCCTGTATAAATAATAATGCCGACCGCCACACCGGAAGCCAATACTGTATTGGCCCATAAGGTCAGGTCAATCGTTAATGGATAAGAATTTTCATTATTGTTCTTCCAAATCAATTTCCCGTTAAAATGATGAATTGACTTTGTAGGAGGGTTTACAATTAAGGATGTATTGTCGCACAATTGGCTCATTGACGTGATCAGTTGTGTCTTAGGGCATGAGATCCTCAATTTCCAGTCGGTTTCACCGTCCAATTGATCGGTTTTGATGAAAGATTCACCATTACCGTCCTGTTCTGTACATTGCAACAATATCATATCGGCAGGGATTCTTGAATCTTTATGTAGTCTTACTAAATCACCGACTTTCAAGTCTTTGGATTTGATAAGAGTTACCTCGTTACTTATGGTACTTGCTCTGTTAATGACTTCGTACAACTCATTATTTTGTTCTTTATCTCTTCTTCTTCTTGCTATATCATCAGTAGCTTCTTTGAGCATCGTCACTGTCAACACGAATCCCAATGGGACTATATAAGATGATAAATATCCAATTCTCAATTGCGGTATCGCTTGTGACAACGCTACCAATAAGAAGTAAAGATTGAAGAAAAACTTGAACTGTTCATATAAAATAATAGGTATAAACGTCACTGGATTATACTTGGCATTTGATACTGCGTTGCTGGCGTATTGATCTGATTTGTTGGTCTTCGGAGAGACATATCTTTCCTCAGTCAACTGCAGCAGCGTGCTCCCGGTTGTTGGAAGAGAAATGCTCTTGTTTAATGGTAAGATGCTAGCTATTGATTTGGTTATCAATCTTTTGAAGGACCTCACTGGACCAGATGTCATGTTAAGCGATGAAGAGGAGTTCGAGCTTGGCAATAATGGACTTGATGTATTGAATGAGCGATGTTGATTAGACATCAATGGGGAATTATCGTTCTCCTCGTCCGAGTAATTTATGGGGCTATGAAGGTTAGATGCTGTGGCCTGAGCATTTGAATCTCGATGTTTCCTGCCTCCATTAGGACCTGTTGATGAAGAAGAAGAAGAAGGACCACCTACCATGTTGGTTAGAGGTATACCAGATCCTTGCGAGTTGTTTCTGGAGGTATTATTACTTTTGGTATAGTTAAAGACATTCTGCGATGCATTTCGAAGGGCTTTATCTAGAGAGTTGTCTAGATCATCAAAGGATGATTCCTCAGAAAATGAATACCTTGACATACTTTAAAGAACGCAACTTCCGACTGAAAAGAAAGCGCAAGATATCTTGATATTTTGATTTTGATCTCCTGGCGGAATTGCCGTCAAATTTTGAAGGTAGTCAAAAAAAAAAAAAAAATGCAAAAATTGTAAAATTTATTACGTACAAAGGACAACTACAACACCAAAAAAAGCTCAATGATAAAAGCTCAAGAGGGTAAATACTACGCGCGGAGGTGCAATTGGGTGCGATTGGAATGTCATGTATTTGAGTCCTCAGTCTAAGCCATTGCCCTGTGAAAATTGAAAGTTAATTCTTAAGCAAGAGGAAACGGTTTGCATTTGCGTAGTTAGATGCAGGTACTCCACCTAATTACATGTATAGGTAGGTAGATAGATATATTTGTAGTGGCATTTCTTCAGCAAGTTTCTTGTTTACCTGGAACAAGAGGGACTGAGAAAGCTAGGGGGAATCATTGCAAGAGCAGAATTGCAAGAATATACATATTTTCCAGTATTTTCTTTCGTTTGGTCTCTTTGGCGAGTGAAAGGCTAATTCTCGTTTGTTTGTAAGTAGAACGTGTTAAGCGAACGGCAGGGAAAAACTGAAAATAGGATAAGAGAAAATAAAGAAAAGCAGTTCTTTCTGTCTACAAACTGAAACGAGTAGAAGGTGCTACAAAATGGAGGAAGATAGCCATATAAATGAATTGACACTCTCACAACTATCCTCTACGCAACTCCAATCAATCGATAACCCGTTTAAAAAAATAATACAATTCATCAAGTTTCATTTTGTACAAAATCCCTTCGAATCGTTTGTACTTCAAAATGAAGCCAACGATTGTTCATTGATTGCCAAATTTCAGAAAACTGTAGATATTGATTTATCGAATACGCCTGAACTCTCTATTTCAAGCTTGAGCCTCAATGCAGTCCATATCCCACACCCACTAGAGACATATTTGTTGAAAAACCATTCAGATAAGGACGACGAAGTCAGAAAAGATCTACAGGATACCCCCATAGTGCTATTTATTCATGGTTTGGGTGGGCAAATTTCACAGTTTGAGCCACTAATGGCTTTATTCTCCCAGTGTCTGGAAATTTGGGGCGTTGATTTACCAGGGTTTGGTAACTCAAGGTCTGATTTTAAAGGCTCAATTGGTAAGTCAATTACTGAATTATCAGAGGAGGATTCTCGCAAGATTTCTACTAGTGTGAATTCAATGGCATGGGATGACTTCAAAACTGATAATATTGTAGAAATCTTATATACTTGGATAAGCCAGTATATACCTAAGGGGAAAAAATTGGTGATAATTGGGCACTCCATGGGCACTCATTTGACTATCAAGTTGGTGAAAAGGTTGGATCAAGATAAAGTAGAGGCCATAGTTCTCTTGTCGCCCCCTGCTTTGTCTTCTAGCACAGGTACCGTTGTTAGTAAACCTCCTTCTGTACTCAAGTTTTTTTCGTATGTTCCATCGATTTTTAATTCATTCAGAATTTGGGATAGATTACCGGGGTTCGAGAGTAAGCTGGTGCTCCGTCAATTAATACCAGAGACAAATATATTCAATAAATTGAGACAATTAAGATGGAATTTGGATGTTAATTCTAGCATTGTCCTAAAGTATGTGAACAATTTCCAAAAAGCTTCAAATCTGGAACTTCTAACTACTGTATCTAAAATTCACCACGATGATGAAAGTGAACAAAGCGATAACTTTCGAAAGGTTTTGATTGTTGGTGGTACAAACGATGTGATGACTCCTCCGAAGGCTATCTTTGATATGGAGTCCTTAGTCAATTCCAATTTCGATAAACCACTTGCCAAGGCAATCGAGATTAAAGATGTGGGACATTCAATATTATTATCTAAGCCCGAATTTACAAGTGGTACAGTTATAAATTTCATCGAACAAAATTGTCCAGAGAGGTTACACCTTTCGCCAGCATGGGTGTTGAGAGTTAAGGCTGATATCTCGGGTGATAAATGGGGCTTGAAGAATGAAATGAAATGGATGGCATTACAGCCCATATCAACTAATATTGTAAGGAAGAATGGTAAGGATGTGGCACCGCTCTTAGGAATGAAAACCTTAAGAGAAGGTGATCTGAATCATCTGCCTAAAATATTAGAATCCATTTTCTACGATGAATCTGGTAATCCAAAGCATTCTTCTTTCAATGGGCAGTTGATAGCTGTAATTGATATATCTCATGATATCCCTCCGTATAGTCCCAACACTTTCAAGTTTGTAAAATATTACAAATGTGCGACCGTTTCGAAAGTAGTACCGGACCTGGGATCTATTCGAAGGTTCATTCGACTTATTGATGATATTTTGGAATCTACCGATATCGAAGACCCCCTCATTGTGGTGCATTGCCACTATGGGTTTAATAGAACAGGATTTTTAATATGCTGCTATTTGATTGAAAAACTCGGCTGGTCCGTGCAAGAGGCAGTAGATGGGTACAAAATGGCAAAGGCACCTGGGATAAAACACCCACATTTTATTGATGCACTTTACGTAAGATATGAATCTTAATCATTGAGCCATCAAAATCTAATATTTAACACAATAAAGTTGAGATTATACGAATTGATTTATATTTATATTTATACTAATATTTAGAGAATAAATATTCAAGTCATTATACATGGTGATGATAATGATAATCAACTATGATCAGTAGTTTGCAATTGACTTGCATTACTTCTTATGCGGAGTTAGTAAACAGGAAATAGGTAGGTAAAGTCCGCTATCATTCTATCATCCATTTCTACTATAGCATCTTCTCCATCAAAGGTTTTACCTTGCTCCATCTCACTTTCACTTTCTGAATCACCAAAATCTTCGTCTTCGATCATTTCAAAAGCAGAATCGATATCATTCATTGAACTATCAACGTCAGCTTCAGTCTCTCTGTAAGTTGTCAAGGCCGTAAGAAGGACATGCTCATAATTTTTCGATTCTTGTACGTCCCATTTGTCCAACATCACTGTTTCTTTTAAATGAAGCCTTTCGGTAATTAGTTTGTTGATGGAAGTTTCCAATTGTGTCTCAAGAGACCGAATGTTTTGAGGAAGCTGCGATATATGAAGAGGGACACCAACTGGTGGTGTTGGCAGGTAGAAATCATCAGAAGGTCGATTTTCGTCCTCACAGTCTTCTATAACGATGTTCGGTGGTTCCGAATCGGAATCCGAACGGATTACATTAGACGAATCCAGCAATAATTCATGTTCAGAGCTCGGATCGGATTCGTCAGTTAATGTTGTATTCCTATCCTCAGAATTGCCTCTCTTGTATTTGCGTTTTCCCATCTTGTTCTTATCTTCCAAATTCACTTTCGGTTCTACATAAAACTGGATCTTTTTACTTGGTTCCCCAAGTACCCTGTGTATATCTGCAACTGTAAATTCACGTTCAGCGGTGGAAGATCCCGTAACCCATTCTTTAATTGTTTTGGAGCTCATTAATTTTAATATGATTTCTTTCGTGCGGAGGCGTGCTAGTTTATCAAGAAGTGTTATTGGTGGGTAGTGCACTTTAATAAAGTATTTGGTAGTTTTGGGTCCGTAGTATTCTCGATACATGCGTTGCGATATCCGGTGACAGTTATCAATATCTATCAACAGGGAGTCTTGAGTGAAAGTTTCAGAATCTGGTATCGGATATTCAAGGGGAGATAGTTGTGAAGAGTATCGAAGGGCACCTGATTTGTGATACTGTAATGCAGGACTGTCCTGCTTTTGTTCTGTCATGTTGTTTATAGATCCTTTGCCTCGTACTCTACCCTTTCTGCGGATCATAAGCGTAGATGCTTCTTTATCGTATTCATCCATATCCACCATAAACTTTTTGTGAAAGTCATTTAGAAGTTTCATTTCCTTTTCTATCATTAACTTAGCCTGGATCTCTTCCATATCAATGAACCTTTCACTCATCTCATATGCAATTGGTATGTGCTTCATAGAGCACAATGAGTTGTACGACTTCTTAATTTTGTAGTCATGGAGAATTGGTTGTTGGTTATGGTTCATAATCACTTTACATTTATGAACATGTGAAGGTGATCCCCTGAACTTACTTTTTAATGCTTTTAGTTCATTTTTCAAGAGATAATAATAGTTGAGCACTTCAATTGTTGTTTTAGATGGGAGCTGGTCTACAATTAAATCTAGCTGATGGATGGAGTATCTTGCCAATAGCGAGAAGAAAACCTCTTTCTCATGTGCACTCCAGAGTGTACCTTCTGCAATTGTGTTTGTTTTAGCTTTGACCTTTTGAATGGTTTCCGCGCCATTTTCATTCACCTCCTCAAGTTCATTAAAATCTCTTTCTCTGAGTTTTCTTTTTTCCTTTCTTTCGATATATGATAAATCACCATTCTGAGAAATTATAGATGATGCAAAATTACCATAATAATCTCCACCACTGGAGCCTGGACCATTACCACGTCCGGTGATTAAGAAATTTCGTACCTCATTATTATAAAAGCGCCGATAATTAGGCAGTCCTCTAAAACTGGGCCTCACCAGCATAATTTCATTAAAAAGATTATATTAGTCGATTCTTGTATTGATCCTGGGAGTTGTTTACTTTAAAAATGATGATCGAAATGCGCAGAGGAAACGCAAGTTGCACAAATGAATAATTTTATATGCACTTCGAGAGAGCGGTATCTGACATATGTCAGAGCTGATTCTTGTCTAGTAATGTTGAGTAGCAAATTGATATAGTGGAGGGGTACTTCGAAGTTTGTATTATCTTCTTCATGAAGAAACATTGACGAAACTTCTCGTAAGTGGTGGAATGCCGAGACTGTCTCCAGTTTTTGGTTGCGAAATCAGCCCTTAGTGAATGCAAAATGGAATGAATGCCCTTTCGATGCTTATACGCTAGAGACGGTTATTTTAATAAGATAGAATTAGACTCAGTGTGTTGATCTCTGGATTATGGTTAACTTTGTTATGCTAAAAAGCTCGCAAAACCTGTAAAGCGGTACATTTCAGTGTGTATATTTTCATTTTAAAGGCTATTGTATCTTTGAATTTTATGTATCTTTGAATCTTATAATCTCAGGAACAAATCAATGGTAAATCTGATATTCCTACAGCACCCTTTACTAAATAATAATATTATGTGTTATTCCGGTTAGTCATTATTTACTGTTACATACGTTACCTCCCCACAATGTACTGCTTACATTATCTTTTCCTATACACCTCTTTTGTCTTATGAATCATCTCCTGTAGGTCGATGATAAACCTCTTCGGTTTCATCTTCAGTATCAACCCACTCACCCTCTTCGTAGTGAAGAATCTCGGGTAAAAATCTTTTAGGTTCATCATCATCACCTCCTCTCTCGCCAGAGTGTTGGAAGTTTTCATTTCTGCTGTTGTTGCTTCCTACAGGCACCCTAACATCGCTAACCTCTATTTGTCCAGCATTTTCTTCTCCATCTTGTTCCACTTCTTCTTCTTCCTCTTCTTCTTCATTCCATATTTCTACATATCCCTCAGGCACTAATCCATTTTCTCCTGTCTCAGGATCCTCCGCTACAAGCCACCCTTGACCATGTCTATAAGATATCCAAATTAGTTGTCCTTCACGTAATGCCACTTCATTATCATTTTCAGGCACGAAGTCGAATAATGCAATTGCCTTACGGTTTATTTCGTCTGAAGAGTACTCCTCATCGAAATCTTCTTCGTCTTCTCCCTCTACAATATCTCCATCTGAGTATTCTTCATATTCATCCATTTCTCCTATTCCTTTATGGAGAGGGTGGTCATCATGATATCCGAAGTCCCTGATGGATGTGTTCGGGGGGACCAACAGTGGAGTGTCCATCACGAAATCAAATCGATTTTATTTATTTAATTCACAAAAGCAAGATGGTACCTCCTAAGTTGCTGTAAAGCTCTGGCGCGTTCCACTTCAAAGGATGCCTCGTGAAATATCAAACTGAAATGCCTATGGTCGTGTCTTTTGAGGACAGTGATGCAATTTAATGGAGCTATTCAGATTTTGAGAACGCGAACTATTTTCTCCCTTATTTTTCTACAAGGAATGACGTAAGTAGTTTAATACAAAGCCGCAATTCTTTCTAGATGTGTTAATGGAGGTGTTTAGGAAAAACTGTCGATCAAATGGAGCTTTTTCGTGGTGTTGAAGATAAATTTCTCGAGCTAAGCGGTTTTCTGCTAAGCATTTGGGTTTGACTTTTTCTTTAGGGGAGTGCACAAAAGAAATGATGTAGGTGAATATTTTTAGAAGTAGTGGATCAAGTAGAGTAATGACCAATGCTGGACACAATTGTAAAGAGTAATTACAAGATAGAGGAACAAGAAAGGGAAAGGAGGGAAATTTTAGTACGTGACCTCAAATCACTCAGCTCAAAATAGACTTCGCTTGGTTCACAATGGTTTACTCAAGTGCAGTGCATTAAGCATAGCCAGGGCTGGAAGACGCTACATTCCTAAAGTAGTGCATGTAGAACCAGCCTACATGTATTTCAAATGTGAAGAGAATGGCTGCAAGCGGGCATGGGCTAGTCTTGAAGATCTCCAAACAATATAAATACCGGAAGTAAGGGGTGCTAAACACGTAGTAGGATGGAGAATGGTTCTTAAGTAAAAACTCTTGACTGATAAGAAGAAAAACTTGAACGGCATTTCTTTGATTATTTCTTATCATATTGTATGTATATTTGGCAATGTGAGTACGATTTCTTCGCTGAGTGAAATTCAACTGTTCTGCTAACCATACATTAGATTATTTGTAAAACTCTTGGGGCTAACTTGAATTTCAACTTCTGCTATACATTTTAACTAAGCAGCATATACGTATATGTAGTTCAGTTCACATGCGTCTGTAGCATTCGTTTTAGAACCGCAACGTTACAATACTTATCACTAAATGCTAAAATGTACCAATCTAAATTATTTTCTGTATACGCAAGCGAGCATATATTTCATGCAACCTTAAATTTAAGCATTACAGTTCTTTGGTTTAGAACCACGGTTGGATGACTTCTTCATCGGCTAAATCTATTGAGAATATGTTCATTCAAATATAAAAAAAAAAAAAAAAATGCAACGATATTTACGAGACCATTGATAATAGAGCCCGTGCTACATAAGAATAGCAATAAAGTTTAATTACTTTTAGTCAAACTAAATGAAGACTAAATTGACGGGAGCCAAGGATGCGCAACTAAACTGGAAATTCAATAATGAAAAGAAGCAAACGAAAGGAAAAAAAGAAAGAGCTTTTCATTAAAAGAAAAGTGTGTATAGGCAATTCAAACCGAGAGAAGTTTAGCTTATTCCGGACTAAAACTCGTAGAACATTGCAAGAATTCCGATGTGGAAACATGTCGCTTGTGTTTGGCTCTTTTCAGGTCCTCTTACCAAAAAATGATACAGGGTAGCACAAGAATTATTTTTTTTTCTTCGCCTATACATCGCCGTCTACATCATTGAAGGCCTGTAATAGCAGCGAACGCTTGTCACAATTTCTGCCTGGTTCGTATAACGCACTGGCAATGGCATTACGCTGATCAATTTACGCCCCAAAACATACTACAGGTTGGATGATCAAGGTGAGCTATTTAAGGCACAGCGCCTATTCTACTAATCTCTAATCAGAGCTTAAGTTTTTCTTTTTTTCTTCCATCTTCAGTAACATGGATACGAAAATTTCAGTCAATATACTTGAACAATTAAAGAGTATCTGTTTAGGATCTACAATAATGGCAGGCAAAGGTTAAAATAAGTTACTGCTTATACGCTTTATGCGATCCTGCATGTTGTATGATTATATGCAGGGTTCGATCGCATAAAATACAAAAGTGCCTAAAAATCTCATCATCAGAAAATCCACTAAAAAAAAAAAAAGTTAAACCTTAAAAATCATCAATAGCGATCACTTATTTCAATAACTAGTTTAAAGTTAGGTTCAAAAGAAAAAAAAAGGAGAAGATACATATCAAAAGAAAGTAGCACATTCACAATGGATCCACTTGAAGAACAATCGCAAGAAATTGAAGTATTACAGTCTATCTATCCCGATGAATTAAACTTAATCTCTCCAACGCATTTCACTATAACAATTACCCTCGACACAACATCTGATAGGAAGCATTATTTATTGCTTGATGTAAAATACCCTGAAAGTTATCCTGAAGTGGTACCGCAGTTGGATGTAGAAGTCGCAGATGGACCATTACCTGCAGGATACGATGAAGACGATGAAGACACTGATGAAGAAGATGATTATGACTATGAAGATAATGATGGCGACGACGGAGAACCTAAAGTGATACACCTTGCAGAAACTATAGAGTTCGAGAGGAATGATGTGAAAGCTTTACTAAGTAAATTGAATGAAGAGGCAGAGATGAACCTTGGCATGCCATCAGTGTTCGCCTTGGTATCTCAATTAAAGGATGAAGCCGAAGCCTACTTCCAAAATAAGGTTGATGCTGCCCAAAGAAAATATGATAAGGAATTGCTTGCTCAGGAAATGGAAGAGCAGAAAAAATTTAATGGTACCAAAGTAACTAAAGAACTGTTTTTGGAATGGCGAGCAAAGTTTAGAGAGGAAATGAAATTCGCTGAAAAGGATAAAGAACGATTCGATGCAATGCACCATGGGAAAATGTCTGGAAAGGAGATATTCGAAAAGGGATTGGCTGGAGATGAAGATGATGAATTGGTTGAAGGTATTAAGAGTGTGCTGGTTTAATCCTATTAGCACATTTTCGTAATTGAAACGTGCTTTCCCAGAAGTAGAACATCTAGTTTCAGCATAACTTCCAAAGCACTTTTCATTTCTTCCGTCCTGTTTTATAAAAGTTGCATATACATATAAATAGATTTATTGTACCATAATACAAGGTGCAGGCAAGATAGGCATTGGGTGAATTTGTGCCGATAGGCTAAGTAATGTAGTTGATGTACGCCAGGACAGGTCAAACACCTCTCTTACTCTAAGTTTGCTGTACCTGCGCCAATTACGAACGTTTTTAGGTTCATTTCCATACGCCTAAATAAGTCTTCCTCACACCTCACTATGTTGTTGTATCTACTTTGATATCGTACATTATTTACTCTCTATATACTCTATTAATAGTGAACTATTACCTACTTCCACTTAATTACTGAACATCTGTGATCCACTCCCAAACTTTCATTATTTCCCCATGACTCTCCTGTAGCAGATGTCTGATGTTGGAATTATTCTCAACTTTTTTACTTACGCTTTCCCATAACTTCATCTTTGCGTTTAAGTTTTGTTCACGAGTTAGAATCAAATCTCTCAATTGAGTAGAACCAATGTACGTAGGGATGTTTTTAGCTGATCCCAATTTACGTTGGTGTCTAAGTTTATTAAGAACTTCGGAATATAAAGTCCCAACTTTCTTCTGATATAATCTGTACTGTTCTAAATTGTATCTGCCTAGTTGAATTAGTACCAAAACTAGTATGACTGTGAAAAGCTTAAACTTATGGTAATTCAAAGAGCCAATTACTGTATTCAGAATTTGGCACTTCAAACTGATGTGGGATAAGGACGTTGAGCGAAAAACTTTGTTCTTTTCTTTCTCTTCTCTCGTGTTGTTAGAGTGAACGATGGTAGATAAGTTATTAACTCCAAATCCTGTCTAAAGAAAAATGTTAGTATATATAATCTTCTAATGAAATAGAATAATGATATTAGCATGATGGTCAAGAAAGAGATGAAAATGACTCCACTTAAGCTCATGAGCTTATGGGAATATTATAAGTAGTTATGCTGCAAGCCTACTCCATCACTTTTTAAAACACATGCTGATATTTCCTTACTTGCCTTACAATTATTTCTGGTTCCTTTTCCAATTCAATCAATGATCTATTCCAAAGATCTTCGAATTCCTCCTTAGTAATATACGGAGCCTTCATTTGCAACAACATCTCATGTAATTCTCCAACTGACAATCCCAGTGTCAAATCATCCTCGCTATTCCTTCCACAATTGCTAGCAGCATTTCTTGAGCGCAAAAGATCTAATGTTACGTCAATCATAATTTCCAACTTCTCTGCCTTTTTAGTATCTGGAATGCACTTCTTGGAATCCACTGGAAATGGGACCAAGTTAAAATACCATGGCTGGTCATCGATAAAATCGTTATAGCACGAAAGTTCCAAGAGGGGAAAACATCTTCCATGTGGAGGACATGGAGTACATAAAGGTTTGAAAGTATCCAAATAAGTTCCTAATGATGACAACCAAACTGGAGTATTTTGCGGATCTAATGGAATAGTATCTTGGTAAATTTCTTGTCCACAATATCCAATGAGAAAGGTCTGTTCACGGTACCACCAACCGAAAAGACCAACCAGAAAAAAGGAGAGCCAAAGAATTATGAAGGTGACTATTGTTAATGGAGATGTTTTTCTTAAAGTCTTTTTAATAGGTAGAGCAACCTCGGAATCACTCTGAGTGCTGTTCAAATTATGCTCAAGAAGTGCGTCTGTGTTATTATGTTTGGAGACAGAAAGATTGGCTGGTTCTAAAGGTTTCTTTTTAGGAGTAGATTCGATTTTCTTTGTTATTGGTGATGATTCAACCTTCTTCTCATTTGATGTAGACTCCCCTCTCTTAATTTCTACTGGAGAATTCTTGACAGAACCTCTACTCAAAGGGCTAGCTTTAGCCAATCTCGGAGTTTTCTTTGGAGTAGCCTTCTTTGAAGCCACTGATTCTTTTTTAGGAGCAATACTTTGTGGTGGAACACCTTGGACTACAATTCCAAGCTCTTTTGCAAGGTCGCTCACGGAATGTGGGGCAGGTTTAAGGCTATCAAATGTTGGAAAGTTTTCCACGGGATTCAGAATTTGTTCATCAATAGATGGAAACTGTTCGGTTTCATTTTTGATCACGTCGTTCTTGCCTTGCTTCTCCAATCTTTTCTCTAATGCTTCCTTTTGCTTGGCATTCACTTTTTCACTCTCCTTCGCCTTTTCTTTTCCGATTTTAGACTTTGTCCCAACAGGACTCTTTTTTGTGGCTGCCGGTGAAGCTAATTTCCTAGCCGGACTTCTTACGACATTACTACTGAAAAGATCGTCCTTGTCTGACTCATCATCATCTTCAAATAACTTCCCTCTAGGAGTCTTGGGTTTAGGGCTCAATTTGGTCATTTTTATTCTACTTGGAGTAGCTTGGACTGGTGATTTAATTCTTTTATGCGGAATAGTTGAAGTTGGAGGAGGAGATTGGAATACGTTCTCGCTAGAAAATGGAGAAGATCCGTCTTCACCTTTCTTTGCTTCCAGCTCCTTTTTGTTTTCGTTTTTGCTTTCCATTTTAGACTTTGGGGTTGGCTTCGGTGTAGAGCTTCTGGTTTGTCTTTTAGCAGGCTTCTCTTCCTGTTCTTCAGAGTCCGGTTCCGATTCCGATTCCAAATCGGACTGGGATTGGGATTCTGAGCCGGACTCTGCCTCATTTACTATGCCATTCCCGTTAGCATTGGCAAGATCAGCTTTATGTTTACGAAGAAGTTCAGCAGCATTGGCTGCAATGTGCTTATTGAAAGATTCCACCAAATCTGCCTTCTTGGCGTTGGAGGGAATCGTAACATCGTACTCGTTAAGAATACCTCTTAACTTAGCTACGGTCAAAGACTTGGGGTTAAAGTCTAAAATAAGTTAGTAATGGAAATTGACATTTTAAAATTTAAAGTGGAGCCTAGTGTGATGTAAACGTATCAACAGGGTTGAATGCCAGCTGTATTCAGCAGTTCGGTATGATCAAGCTCGAGATCCACCGATGTTATGAATACGACCTTCAGCTTTCCATGGTATCGATACTGTGTGGCTATTCCACCTATTTTAGCCTGAGTTGCTGATATGTATTGACCATCTTGTTAGGCATGACATATCAGTCCGATGCGCCATCGTGGCATTCCAAAACTCGAATGTCCATTTTAATGCCCCAATTCTTTCACAAACTCGATATTTCAAGTGCTTATTGCCGTTTTTTGTCTACCACTAGTCCCTTCTCCAGAATACGTACCTTTCTCTAAGTATTGTCTGTCCTCCATGGCTGTTGAACCTAAGATCAAGACGGCTAGTGTCGTCACGTTTTTTTGTTTTCATTTTGTTTTGTAAACAAAAAGAAAAAAGAGATTTGTTATGTGCAGGATTCTCAAATTGAGAGGGTTGCAGCTTCAGTCAAAACATGCTTGGTAAGAGTGTAGCATACCAAACAGAGAAGTGTGTAAAGCAAATAGGATTTGCATGTACACTTGAGATGGTATACTTTGTCTGTTGAAGGAGGAATATTAAAAAAATGAATAAAAAAAAAAAAAAAAGAAGTTAAGGAAAGTTTTTAATATTTCTTGGTAAGCAAGAAATATAATATTGGACCGGCATTACGCAAATTACAGGATAAAATAAGTTAAGGAAACCACCAAGAAATTAATTTCAATTACAGTGAGTCTATGATGCCACTAAAAGGAGAAGGGCAGTTACCAAAATTGGATATCGATAATGCATTATGAAATAGCCTGTATTTAATAAAGTTTATTTACTGTCGGAGACGGAGTGAAAATAGGTACTGAGCATGGACTTCCGCTAAAGTTGGAGAAATGCAAAAAGAGGCTTTTACTGTTTTCAAGGAGATCAGCTAGGAGTCTTCGTATGTATTCGTAGGATCATCGAGGGGTTACCTCCATTACGTATGGCAATTCTTGTTTCCTCTAGCCTTTCTTGATTTTTCACATATCCCCATGAAGTTAGCATGGCTAAATAAAATTGCTGGTGTATGGATGTTAGAGTTTGCATGTCTACGTTCAAAAATTTCCTATTATGTTATTCCTTACTTATGTCATGGAAACAAAGCTACTCAGAAGCAATCGAGGAACTACCTAATCATTCAAGTGGGGTGAGGTAATACATGCTTAAAAACTATAATGAACAACGCCGGTGCGTTACCCGTTTCTCTGTGTCATTCTATTATGCTTTGCATTCAGGTGGATTGTGTGTTCCTCTTGTTCTCCTTACATGCAATTGATGGGCTTGTGTGTTCCCTTTTGTTCTCCTTACTTTCTATTAATGTGACTGTAGGCTAATTGAAGGAACAATACCAAGGATTCTATTATTTAACTTGGAATTTCTTACATCACATCCATGTATCGTTTATGCAGTTACTTATTTAATAATACCCATAAGCAAAAAGTAGGAAGGTTCATGCATGCTCAACCATTATACATATTTTTAGCTTTATTCTTAAGGCAAAAGGTACATATTTTATTGGCGCTTATGAGTAACCTAATCTTAGTGCATGAATGTCCTACTAGCGTCAAGGTACCTTTACACTCAATCGCCTATATACTTAGTTGAGAGAATATCTAAAAGCGGAGATAATCCAATTATTTTTTACTTTACGTTTTGAGCCAAGTTGAAATGCGTAATAAAAATAAGCTACTATTGTCAATGCAGAGTAAGAGGAGATAGAAGACAAAGGGTCAGCTATCCATGGAGAGTAAGAGGAGATAGAAGTAGACAAAGGCCAGTTAACTATGAAGAGTAAAAAGAGTGAGAGGAGAATCCCAATGAGGCGTTTTCTAGGATAACCGAACAAGCAACAACGTTCTCGTTAAGCTTCGCTAACAATATGCACAAAGGTCCTAAGCAATAATATGAATTAATATTATAAAGAAACGCAAGTTAAGGTCATGTAAAGCTTAAATGACAGTGAGAATCGTATTCTGAGTTCAAGCAATTCAGGGAATTATCTTTCTAAGTGTCTAAACAATTATTTTATGTGAAACGTTGATATTATCCCCCACGCAAAGAAGTTAATTCGGAGACATGCCCGAAATTTCTTCAAGTCATTCCTCCTCCTGAATGCTTGTTTGAACAAAAGACAAAAGGAGTAAAGGTTACACATTTAGTTGAGTAAATTATAGATATATATTTTTTTATTTCGGTTTTTACTCTTATACGATTAACGAAGCCCTCGGCAATTAGACTAAGTTGTGTCTACATTAAGATCTTAAGAAGGACGCTGGTTTTTTCTCGTTACCTTCGATGGATCGACTTGAGGCGGTTTGCTACATATGATAATGGTTAAGGGCATATGAGTGCCATTCCCTTTCCAATTTTGGTCTGGTATTTTAAGTTTGGAGCCAATGTCCAGCAATTTCGTCACCACATATTTTTAGGTCAATTACGAATAACCTAGACCACGCATGGCAAATTGGTGGTAAAGTTTCATGCTGCTGTAAGGGAGAGTTCCCACATTTGATGAACAGGTGTGCATTTGATATACGAAGATTCGCTATGACGAAGTAGTGGTATGATCCATCTAAGCATGAAAACCTTGCATGAACTAAAGCTCAAGAAAGTAGACGAAAGGGCAACTTCAACCGTGAATGTTCCTAAAAGTTGATAAAACCTAATTTCAAGTTTAGAGTTCTTGGGAGATTAAACCCCAACAATCTGGAGTCCATTTTTTGATAAAACAAAGCCGAATTTTCCTGAAAGTCCTTGGATAGTTAGAATTGCACATTCCATGCACTTTATGAATATTCTCTTCTACACTCTCCAAACGTGTGCCAAAATTATGCATGTAATCATTGCAAGCGAGAAGTGTGCAAAAATAGCAATGCCAGTCAAAACAAGACCAAAATTATTCTTCAGAGATACTGCACCTCCTCTTAGTTGAAGACAAGCACATAAAAAATAAAGGAGAATGTGTAATAGGTTCGAAGGATTAATATTATAAATAATCCTGGCTCATCCAAGATACCGCAGTTTCTATTTTTTAATGCACGCTCAGGAATGCGAATCAAATTAGGCAAAAAGGTCATAAATAAAAAAAAAAAATTGATGGCTGATCTGATGGCCCTAACCACTCAATCGCCGGTTGCTATCAGGAAAAAGGATCTTTCCATGGCCATTAGATTATAAATAATTACACCTTTGTGGTTTCAGTGAAGAATGGGTTTTGAGCTCAATATGGATCCAGTTTCGATTTTAAGATGAATCCCATCAGTACCACACTTGTTATGGTTACGCACAGAAACACGTATCCGCATTCGCTACTTTCCAAAAGTGGACGGGTACAAGAAAGAGGGGCTAATAGAGAATACAATGAAACTAGCAAAATCAAAACTCGCCTTATCGCGGGTGTTTGGGTTTTGCAAACACACCCATAGCAAAATGCCTCAATATGCCCAGTACTTGTTCACTAACTAGCTGATATATATATTATCATATTGTTACGTACATGTACGTGTATGAGATCACCATACTTTGTTGCTGATGGGCAAGGCTATCTAGCTTTTTAACACTGTATTAAGTCGCCCAGATTCAGATTGATGCGAACTATTCGTTAATGCGATACTAGGAACAATAAAAGTATATAATTATTTTTATGATCGAAAAAGATGATGAAAAAAAATCGCAGGTAAAAAATATCCGGTTTCCGAAATAGTGAGGAAAAGAGCACAACTAAGGACCCATAACCTGCAGTGGCCATGCATGCACTTTTGATTACAGGATCGTTACGAAAATCGTTCCGAATTGAAGGAGCAAGAGAGGATGACCAGTTAATTTTACTAAGAGCAATTGTTTAGCTTGTTTGCTGTTTTTTTTTTCCCTTTTTTCTTTTTTTCAAAAACTACATAGAGACTGTATTGTTTTAGTATGGTTCAAGATTGGATCCAAACCATACTCTTACATTTTTTTTCATTGTTGCTTAAGGTATTGTAACTGGCCTCTATAATTTCTAGTCCTTGTATTTAGTTTCAGCTTCCCCCACCCTCCCTAAAGCTACATAATCTCCTCTTTTTGTCCATGCATATTTGTCGCGGCTCACTATGATGTGGGTACACATCCGGTATTAGGGACATACTTTGTTTCTATCGAGCTTTGTAATTAGTGAGACCCAGGTATAGTAAATAGCGCTAAAGGGAGGAGATAGCCACCATTCATTCCAAGGGAATATTAACTGTCTCGCCTCTCTCTTCCATTGTTGTTAGCGAAAAGAGTTAAAATTTGCACCTTGCAGATCAGGTGCTTCTTTGGAAATTAGCTCATATATGCGGTTATTGACACATTCTGTGAGGGCCAACATTTTTTTTAATTGGGTGAACCATTTTCGTAGCGTTAATTAAAGTGACTGCAACAGAAGAATCAGAGGAATAGGCTCTAAGGCTAGACGAAAGAGGAATGAGCAAAAATAAAAAAAAAAAAGAGAGCCAATCTAGTTTAATAAGCAAGCCGTTTACTAACGCATTTCCCAATAACGACTCTCATTCTGTACAGTCACCGTTACTTTTATTATTCTGAGACCAAATGAAAACAATGATAGAATGCCTGCGGATGTTGTTTACGGATCCAGCCTATTTTGACTCATGCACTATGTAGTAGAACATTAGCTGAATACCATACATGAATTAGGTATTATTCCACAGTGGTAGCCCCTCCACTGGCAATGGAAAAGTCAAAAAAAAAACAGACTCTGACAATACCTGAAATAAAAGTCAAGCAATGTAAAATTGATAAAAAAAAAATAAATGACAAAAAAAAAAAAGGAAGGTTAATTGTCGTAATTTTGCTTTTTGATTCTGATGGTGTAATTTCGGGAGAAGTGAATTGTGCATATTTATTTTTTTCAAGATATTTTTTTTTTCTTTTTATTTTTGATTTTACTTCTTCACGCCGCACGGAGGCGCTCCCAACCAGTGCATCAAATTAAAGTTGTGCAGTTAGGTTTTCCTGCTTGCTTGTATCTCAGGTTGCATTATGGTTAATCTTATCTGTTATTGGAAGACAAGTGCAGGATAACAATCATCTAATTTGTTTTCCCCAGCACAGGTGTTAATATTAGCGAGTATTTAATGAAAGAGGAAGACGAGAAAATGAAAATAAAGATTAGAGCAGAAAAATAAAAAAAAAAAACTAAAAATCAAAGTACTTACTTTTTTTTTTAAGGGACGATAAGAATCGACTTGGCTGGCCAACAAAAACACTACTAAAACAAAAAAAAAGAGTAGCACCTTAATACATCGTCCAATAGTTGTACCACAGGGAGTAATTCATCGTTTATTCTAACCTTCCATTTGCTCTACGTGGTATCCCCAACCCCTCTACCACACGTCGCGTTAGGTCAAACTCGCGGGTCCAAACCACTTTCCACCAATTTCTAAACGTACACCAAATTAATAACCAAGTAATTTTTTTTTGAATTTTCTCTCTTAACAACCACTGAGAAAAAAAAAAAAAAAGAAAAAAAAGGAAGTCTACCACATTTTTGGAAGGAAATTCAAAATTCTTGATTAGCTTCAGATATAAAATTTAAGGTTGACAATAGTAGTTTAAACGCTAAATTCCAAGAGAAAGATTCTCAGTTTTATGCCCCCTCGCTGAAAGAACAGAACCACCACCGAGAACTCACCAGAAGTTCCAAATATTAGCGGTTAAGAATAAATACAAAGAAGACAAAAAAAAAAAATAAAAAAAGAAATCCTTATATTCGCACTTGCTGTACCTTGTGCATATCAAAATTTACCTTGCGTGCTTTTTCTGTATTACTTGAAGCACCGTAACTGGGATATCTGTAACAGGAAAAAGGTCCAAGAAGAAGTAGAAGCAGAAGAGAAGAAGAAGAAGAGCAGCAGAAAGAAAAGGGCAAGAACAAGAACAAGAACAAAAACAACAACAGCAACAATAAGAAGCCCTCCAGTTTACCTTTCGAACCACCCATCCTCCTTCGATCCTCAGACTGCCCCTAACTTCGACTTAACCCCATTTGTCGTTTCCCTCCCTTCATACGCTCAGTAACCTTTGCGGCTCACTTTTACCTTTTCTCGCTAAATCAATCGAGCAACCCCGAAACTTACAGTAGAGTTTAAATAGAGGGAAGCTTGCACACTTTCCGCACCGAAAAAAAAAAAAAAATCAAGGAACTAACCGAGCCTGAATTAAGAACTGAAATTGGTACCAGCAACAACAGCAGAGTTTGCATTTAGACCTCCATTATCTACAAATTGTTATATACCAATAGCTGGCTATCTGGTAATGATGACTCAACTTCCGTCGGTGTTTGAATTGATGGTTGGTACTCGTGGTCGCCAGAGATCGACCTCGAGTTTACCTACGGCGCCTGTGTCTGCTGCACCAATAGGTCAATCCACTTCTAAAGACGAACCGAGCTCCCCCTCGTCAATTCCAAGGATATCGAGCGCCACGTCTTTGCCTCTGGCTATAAGTAATTTCGGGGGCACCGCAGCTGCAGCGGCAGCGAATGGGCGGAAGTCCTCGGTGCATTCCATCCCAGAAGATCCAAGCAGTCCAGCCAACCACACGTATAGAAGAAGGACAGAGCCCAATATCTTCCCACACCACCACTACTTGCATCAGCAACACCAACAGCCTCAGGCACAGGGTCCTACGTCTGCTGGTCCTGCAGTACTGGCCCCGGCTCCCAGCAATGGCTCTGGCGCTGCTCCTGTACCCCCCTCCAACACCCAGACACACTTGGCTCCACCTCCCATCTTTCAACATCCAAGCTACAACCCTGCTGCTGCTGTGTTTAGTCCCTTGGCAAGTGGCCCATCACCGCCAAATTCCACCGACTACTTCACCAGGAACAACCAAAGATCTTCAATTTCTTCATCCATAGACGGCTTGACCAGAACCAACTCATTGAACGGCCCACTTTCCCTCCCAACCATCAACGGCAATGCAAACGCACAGGTTTACCGTAGCAATAGCCCCAAGAATGAAATATCTCCTCACCAGCAGCACCCACACCAGCCGCTCCAAGGATTGACTGCAATTCCTTATCAAGCTGAGTACTTCCCAGTGATCTACAGCAGCGTTCCCCCACAGGGCGGCCCACCACAGTCGCAGGTGGTGTACTCTGTGTACCCGCAGCCGGGCTCCATACAACAGTACGGAGGACTTGGTCCGCCCCACCAACCACAACACCCGCAACACGCACACTATCAGCAGCACCACCCACAGCAGCTCCAGCACCTCCCAATGGGTCACCCCCATCAAATACAGTCCGGAGACGAGAACAACGCACTCGTCAACAAACGCAGAATTATCAAGAGAAGAACCAGAAGTGGTTGTCTCACATGCCGGAAAAGAAGAATCAAGTGTGACGAGAGGAAACCTCATTGTTTCAATTGTGAAAGGTCCAAAAAGGTTTGCCTAGGGTACGAAAATGTACCCAAGAAGAAGCCAGGACTGCAAGAATCGGACGAAGAAGACACTGCCAGTCATACTAATAACGGCACTGGTGCCTCCAATAGTGGATCGAACACCAGCACACCTACCAACTCTTCCAACTCAAACGATCCGATTTTCATCGATGCTGCCAATTACAACTGACGGATTCCATTAATAATGTAAATTTTACGAATATTTGACTCTATATTGTAATAATAATGACAATAAATCTTGAAAAATTATGTAACCCCACCCCCATCTTGTAAGCTATACTGGATTCTGAAAGAGCAACAACTGCCCTATGTCCGTTTTTAACACCATTCTCACGTATTTGCTTTTACGGAGGATCAATCGACTTTGGTGGCCCCTGGCAGATCACAGTATCTGCGTTGCATAACTCTCTTCAACTTGGCAACTATTTGCATTGACCGTGTTTGTAAAACGGTGCTAAAAAATAAATCTGAAAGTAGTTAAAAGGTGAACATACGGCCCCCGCAAGGCGGGAGTGAAATAATTTCTCGGAAGAACTCCATGTTCCAGGCTTCATTGCTACTTGGAGAGGCGAGCCAGAACAGAAAATAATCTGAAAGTTTCAGCGCCCTGGTAGATTCGTTGGGTGATCTAACTGCATGCTATACGAGTGGGAAATGATATGCAATGCAGGTGGTGAAGTCATACACAATATAAGGCAAAATTCTTGATAAGGTGACGAAAGGTTGGCAAAATAATATATGGGCCGGTAAATAAGGTTGATGGGGTAAGCATAGGTACATTAGTACTGGGCAACCAACCGGTAGTGGATAAAATATGGGTGGAGTTAAAGCGTGAAAGCTGCAGCAAGCACGCATGGTTAGCAATACTCAGCTCTATTGGATTCCATTTTTCGTTCATCTCGTCAAAAGCTTGGTTGCAATTTTTCAGTTCTGAATTTTTCATAGATATTTTCATTCGTAGTATCTTTTAGTTCCTGAGTGTGGGTGCTCAATAGAATGGATTTCAACTCCCCGAGTTCATTTCCCTTGGCTTCGTTGAGCCTTGCCACGCCCCAGGGAAACTCTATGGCGTTACTCTCCACGGGTGAGCCCAAGGCCCCTCCACTAGACATAACGCAGAAAGGGATCATTCTCTGTAGTCTTTGTAGCTCTATGCTAACGTCAGAAACTAAGTTATCATCCCCGTCTAGAAAAGGGCTACTTTCAGTTCTTTCTACTCCACTTCCCTCTTCAACCTCACCTCTACCTTCACCGCCTTCACTTCCACTTCCACTGTCTCTTTCAAATTGAAATACTTTTATTCCAGCTCTCTGGATATCATTGCTTATCAACTCTTTATTCAATCTTCTTTCAGCTTCCGTAAGACTGTCGCCTTTCGAGATCACTGGAAGCAAGTTGCATCGTGATCCAATTTTCCTCATGCACTCAATGTCGAACTGGTGTAAGCTATATGTTAGTACTAGAACCACTACTACTTCAAATACTACTACGACTTCATCTTCTATTGCTGTTCTCTACTCACCCCCTAGATGTCGGCCTGACAAAGTATATAGCCACATGGACTCTGTTATCCTCGTATTTAGGATTTCTATTGATTCTGATCTCTTCCTCAAGCACCATGCTAAACTGATTTTCAAGGTATTCCACGATCTGATCTGCAACTTCACTTCCATCGAGAGAGTCACGAAATCCCTTAACAAACACAGTCTTAAGGATAACTGGGCTAAGCCCTCCTTGAATATCTAGCTGCTGTTAGTAATCAGACTCTCATCATTGACATAGTACCACTAAACCAATGGCTTCAACGGGTTTTTCCATGTCAAATATTGGCCCTAAAAAAATGGCTGCAATTTTACTCAGAGACGTTATTTTCTAGCGTATAATTTTTTTTTTCACGGCGCATGAAAGCTTAATCGCCCCATCAAGGCTCCAATTTTGGGGCGTGCTTTAGCGTGCAAATCTCCACTCCGCAACATCGTGGGGTCTCAACAGCAACGGTTTTTACTGTACAATCCGCGATAAAACATTGAAATTCCTGTGACTGAAGGAAAAGCTTAAATTGGTTTGCAGCCACGCCACGGCTGCGAATGGTCGTTCCAACCATGACTCTATGGGTGGTTGAACGCTATTCGCTCCCAGTAGAAGTGACAATAGAAAACAATCGCTAAAGAGAGCTCGTTGTATACTTACAGATCTCTTTTTTCTCATAGGAGAGTCTTCCGGACTCAGAGGCTGAATCCGGTAAGTGAAACCCAGTTGGGGCTTCTTGATGGAAAACGGTCGCATCACATAAATTGTTGATAAAGGTGTGCTTTCCAGTACCTCTTTCACCACAAAGGAGCACGTTTAGAGTTGTTCCCTTACGGAGGAGTCTCTTTTGAAGTAGGTTGGACTAAGGTTAATGATCGGAGTTTTGTCAGGTTAAATCGAACAGGTGGCCTTGCGTCAGTCTACTCAACCAGGAAGCTTCGCAACCAGCCTGAACGGACTCTGTCGTACTTACCATGAGTTTGGTGCTATGTAAAAATTTTGGTTTAGAAAATGGTAGAAAGAAAAGAACAAGAAATGATAGCTACATCTACAAATTGTTGCTTTGGGTCTTCTATTTATATTTATAATGTGAAAGCCACAAATACACTCGTAGGCAAAGGTGTTTGTAATTTGTGATATGCAAGTTAGTTTAAGCGAAATATTTCTACCTGAAGAAGCCAGCACTTAGATGTATTCAAGTGGGAGGGCGATATCACTCGTTATTTGTTTGTCATCCGTTCTATAAGTCAAGAATAAGGATTAGGTTGTCTTGTTATCTTGAATGCACTTTGTCTCTATGCCTTGTTCATCTCCTCAACAGCATAGTCCAACATAAAACTTTGCTCAACAAGATCATCAATTCTATTGAAATGACGTTCTGAATATGCTACGATACCGTCTATTATTTTGGTCAACCCTTTGACTTCCACGAGTCTCTCGCTTTCAAATATCATCAAAAGCAGTTGCAATACCTTTTGAGAGATCTCAAAGAATTTCAGATTGATGTTCCAATCACGACATCTCTTGAAAAGGGTCAAGACTTGATCATCCGAAAGTTTGGATATAGTCAGTTCCAACTTCTTAGAACCCAATTTTGAGTCTGGGTCTTGATTAGATCCAATACTTGATTTGAAAACGTTATAGAGTCTCATTGGATGATCCAAAGTTAATGCCAAGAGGAATGCATTCGACCAATCACTATTGTTGATGTAGTTGGAGAGTTTTTGTTCCTGTTCCACCTTTTCTTTCATCTTAGAAGCTTCTAACGCTAACATTTCATCAGTATTATCAACCCAAAGGGACATGTATCCATCAGCATCAGCAGATATGAATTGCTCGCCATCTTCTTTAATATCGAACGCCCAAATTCTATTGTCGTGAGAGTCTAATGTCTTTAAAGTTTCATTTGATTTTATATCCCATATTTTGATTAATCCATCGGCTCCCGAAGATATTAACTGCTGGTTTTTATTCATGAATTTGACTCTCTGCACAGCATTGGTGTGACCTTCAAAGGTCTTAGTACAAGTAAAATCTTGCAAAGACCAAACCTTGATTGATTTATCTCCCGAGGAGGTAGCTAAAAGCTTATCATATTGGCAAAAGGAAATATCCCATAATCCACGCTTGTGCCCACGTAAGACACCAACAGTTTCACCCAGTTCCAAATTCCAAACCTTTCCTAATTTGTCGTAAGAAGCAGTTGCAAAAAATTCATCATTTGGTGATATATCGATAGAATTGATATCTTTCTCATGAGCTCTACGAGTATAGTCTGACGTTTTAACAACGACAGCCTCCTCACCGGCTCCGATTTTTGGGATTTTCCATTTTTTTACTGTTAAGTCCGAGGACCCAGTAATCAAAAAGGTTGGGGTTTGGCCCACTTCCAAGGGTAATTTAGGTAAACTTATAGCTGTCACACTTCCAGCATGACCTTGGAATACAGCATATTCAACAAACTTCTCGGATTCTTCATCGAAATGCCAAACTCTTGCCTCATTATCCTTACCAGCACTGGCAATCCATTTTCCACAAGCAGAGACATCTACTGCATTAAGCAAATCTGTATGACCTTCCAATAACTCGACTTCCAAGGGTCTAGCTAAGTTGACAAGTCTCAAGGCTGGAGAATTAGTGGCCAAGGCAAGTAACTGTCCATTTTCAGAACTGGGCCCTACGTATTTGATATCGGCGATTGTACCATGGTTTCCGGCAACACGAGTAACTACGTTCAAGCTTTCATCAAGCTTGACTATGGTTTGGTCACTCAATACTAAAGTAAAGCAGTCGTCTTCCAACTTTTGTACATTTATAATCACCAATTCTTCATTTGTTTCCAAGGGTTTAGTGGTAGAGTTGATTGGGGAACCGTCATTACAGTCCAAGATTTGAAGTACATTCCCACTACCAGCAGTATAAAAGGACTCTTTATCTACAAATCCAGCGCATTCCACAACCTGTCCGACAGAAAAGGTCTTTACTGGCTTGTACTTTTCGTTGTAAATCACGACGATCTCGTCTCTACCAGCAGTCAAGAAGGATGAGCCTGAAAAGGCTACCCCTCTTACAGCCGAGGTGTGCTCGTTAATAGTGGCAATGCACTTTCTTTTTACAAGGTCCCAGACCTTCACGGTACCCATAGTATCACCACTGGCCAATCTCCACTGCTTCTGGTCAGTTTGCTGGGATTCAAACAGCAACAGACACACGGTTGTCCCATGGCCCTTTAAAGAGTGAGTCACGAATCCACCTTCAATATCCCATACAGTTACAGTCCCATCAGAGCCTCCAAATGCAAAAAGGGAGCTGGTACTATCAGTGGCGGAGATATAAACTGGTGAAGATAATTTGAAGGTTTTTAGCTCAGTAACCAGAAAATCCAAATCATCATCACTTTCAAAGTCATTATCTTGATTGATTCTGAAGATACGGAGCTGCTGTGATTGAGAAGTTACAGCCAAGTATTTACCATCTAAGGTTAAGGTTACAGTAGTCACTAACTCATCATCCCCTTCAATTTTATACAAGATGTCATTAGACACCAATGAAGTTAAGATGATATCTTCTTCCATTGGAGTGCATACAAGATCACCATCCAAAGAGATTGTAGCTGCTGGAGTTCCCACATAAAATGGTTTGAACAAAGTCGAGGAATATGATGATTTCAAATCCATCTCTCTAATATATACAATGAACAGCGAAAACTATAGGATTGGGTCAATATTATAATACCTGTATGACCATTTGATTAATTTTGAAAATTATGTTTGATACTTTTTGTGAGATGAGATGAGAGAGTATCTGCAGGATGAGTAGATAATATATTCAAATATGGGTGTACTGATGTATAATTTGTGCAGGATTATCACAAGAAGGTTGCAACTTGGACTGAAGATCACCCAACAAGCCCATAGGGACAAGTCTGCTGGATAACTCAAGAGCCGAGACAATACCTAGGAAGAAAAAATTAGAAAAAAGAATCAAGAAAGTCAATAGTGGGAGTGTTATTCTATGTATCTATCACGAGAAGTCGAAGGATTCCCTCCCGTATCTATGCCCAAGCAACATCATTCGTGCTCAAACTTCGCTTTCATCCACCCATTCAATACCCACACTTTTTGCGGTATTTTTCATATATGTCTCTAAGTAATCCTCTAAACCAATCTTCTTCCCGCCATATCTATCTCCAAGCAATACTTGGCGGAGCCTTATGAACCAGAATGCTAAGTCATTCAAAAAGAAAGCAAATCTAACTGGTAAAAACTTCAAAGTCTGAATAAACCAATCTTTCCTGGATTTGGAATCTTTGAGAAGTGCACTAACCAGCTCTTTAGTTAAAATGGAGATTCTGTTCACCGGAGATCCATAGGTTTGGTTTAGGTTTTGCATCATTCTCATGGTACGGGAGATGAAGATGAGTTCTAGAGGAAATTTGGATTTATCATTCAAAAAGTCATGAAGCAAATCATTTATGTCTTGCTTGGAGTTACCATCTGGCGAATCTCCATCCATCTTGATAGGTCTTAATTGAACTAGCGTCGCAAAAACTTCGACATTTCCTATACCCCAACTGTCAGCAATTTCCTTAATTCCAGATCGATTAAATTGGAAGATACTTTCAAACAAGCGCGAGTATTCATTACGGAACTTCATAGGGAGGTCTACGTACAACCCATGATCTAAGATTACAAGTTCCTGTACATTTTTATCGTTGAATCTCGCAATAAGATTTCCTGGATGTGGATCTGAATGTACAAATCCATATTCAAATATTTGTTTCGCAAGTGATTGCAAATACTGAGTCATTAGAAGGCTCAAGTCGAACCCCTGATCTATCAACTTGTCTTTGTCGCTGAGAGAAACTCCATCAATCCATTCGCCGATAAGAACCTGCCTAGTGGAAGTATAGACCTTGGGTACTCGAACCTTTTGTAAATACTTGGACTTTGAAGTGTCAGTCTCTAACAAGAATTCCAATTTCTCTGTATTACGCTGTTCATTCACGAAATCAGTTTCCTTCTCTAGTTGCAGAGAAACATATGAAGAAAAGAACGCCATTGGTATGTCAAAAACCCTTTCGTAAACTTTGGTGATTAATCTATATACAAGTAAGTCCACGTTTATTTGGTTTTCAACATATGGGTGTTGCACCTTAACTGCAACATCTACGTTCTCGACCGTGCCATTGGATTCATTATGGACTTTCAATACTGCTCTGTGAACTTGAGCAATGGAAGCGCTCGCAATTGGCGTATGTTCTATCAGATGAAACATATCTGTTTCGTAATCAGACCCAAAGTTCTTCTTCAAGAGCGTGTCTATGTCTTGCCATTTATCTACTGGGGCATTATCATATAACCTATTGAATCTACGTTGATATTCTATTGGAAACAAAGTTCCTTGGTTTGCAATCGCCTGACCGAGCTTGATGTATAGTCCCTTGTTAGCCTCGATCATTTTCAATAGTTCTTCAGCAGCTATATCATGCAAATCATGCATTGAATCATAGCTAGAAGCATTGGAAGAGTACTGGTACGCCACCCAGAGTAGAGCTCTGACAGCACGGAAGGATCTGGAGATCACTTTATCATAGTATTGATCCAATCCATACACACTGAGTCCAGTTAGTGTCCCACCTACTGCCAAATTACGGAAGACCTTACTAGGAGACTTTGGCTGAAGCTTGGCTCTAGAGCTGTTTGACAATTGCCGCTGACATCGGAGAAAGCCTGGAGATACGGTAGATAGAAAGCTACGACTACTTGAGATCATATTTACTGAGCAAACAAAGGTTAAACAGATGACACTGTAGCGGCGCCGCACAAAAATTTATAATACCTTGTAGTGGAAACGCTGGACCAAGCAGACCAGGGCAAATCGGTTCGATCCATCTGTGGAGAGCAACTTCGATAGCTGCCTCGAAACTATGGCTAGGTTAAAGGACTGCATACAGACATGCACATAATGTAAGTTTCCCAGCTTGGGACGCTGTCGCTGAGGGTCACATACCAATGGATACAGCGGGAGAGATAAGCCCATTGGTGCCAATTATCCGCATAATCGAAAGCTGTCAGGACAAGTCTCTCTCATGTATCTAAACCGCATCACCGTCTCGCTTCACTGCTTTACCTAGCGCTCTCTCTTTCACTTCATCAACTTCCCTTCCCGATTGAGCCTGTGAAATGTATCATGAAAAATTAGATGCAGGACTACTCCAGATCTCCCATAGGCACACAATTAAATTTTTCTTTTCGTGTTACGAAGATTGGATGGTACGAAAGAGTCTAAACCAACACCAGTGTAGTTTACAATTATACCATTGATACAATGATCGGATTAGGACGTCAAATTACTCAAAACACCATTCGTCGTAGCTATTCCACGGTAGCTCCAAGAAAAGTAGGAGCTGTCAGAGGTGGCTTGTTAGGATTTTTAGTTGGTGTAACTCTCACCGGCGCGGGATCATACTACTATTTATTAGACGAATACAAAGTCGCCAACAACGTGATTGTTGCCGATGTTGCTGCTTTGCAATCGTCCATTGCCAATTTGGAAAAACATGTCAAGACGTTGGAGTCGAGAAAATAAGCAGCACATGATTGGTGCAGCCCACTGCCACTGGTGCCGACTGGGATGATTGGTGGATAAACTGAACTTCCTGCGAGAAGTTGCTAAGTAACGAAAATATTAATATACTTGAAATATTCGATTTAGATGTAAATGACGAGGAGCTTATCCCGCCTTCTCACTCATAGCAGAGAAACAAAGTAGAACAATGTAGATCGACGTAGATAGAACCCACTGTGGGGGCACATTCCCTTTATACAGTAAAGAGCCAATGTTGGAAAATAGACTGTGAAGTCTGGAATATATTGACGAAATGCACTTCCCTCTAGCACAAATATACAACTACAACTGGTGAGTACTTACAGTTTATTATTGTTCTATTTACATATACTATCGCGTCTCTTTGCAGCTTCCTGTTTATGTCAATGGTGTGGTCTCTTCCGAATTCCTGATTATATCTGAGGAATAGTATCTTACAACTTCCTGATTATATCTGTGGAATAGCCCAACAACTCGTTGAACGATGCTTCGCTGATATCTCCCTCGAGATCTCCGATAATATTTATCTCTATTTTGCGCCCTCCGTACGATCCCCCTTCTACCACATTGAATTCCACCACTCTACCCTGGATTTCGGATTCAATAGTTCTCCTATGGTACGTACTGATATGCTGGTACTTTACAGTCTCTCCATTTATATTCACTTCAAGATTGGGTGGAATGAAAGTCTTCTTGTACCCGCTGAAGTCCAACGCAGCGGAATCGAAGAATTTTTTGATACCCGGTTGATTGTTGAATTTTTTGAACTTAGAAGAGGTCGAGTTAAGAATTGATTTGAGAGAAAAAGGATCGTTTTCTGACAATTCTTCTTGCTGTACTTCAGTAAGATCAGCCTCGTTACTGGCCAGCAAACTCTCGTCTTCTTCACCGCCTATTAAGTCACCTGTAATCTGGCAGCTCACCTTCAAGTCAACCTTGCTTGCGGGCAATGATACATAGTAGTTGTTTTCACCTTCCACTGTTAACATGTGCAGCTGTTCTAAGTCAGGCTTATTGGATTCATTTAATTTGATGTGGAACTCTATTGGAGGATACTTGATTTGGTTTTTACCTTCTATAAGTAAGGGTAAGAATTTTAATTTGATTAGATAATCGTGAGGGTCTGTCAACTGAGCATTACTCAGAGCTGACGAGTTCTTATCATAGTCTAAAAAGCCTTTCTTCAAGAAATGGTCGTTTATAAATGCAATATTCGAATTGAAGGTGAAGTTGGCTTGTTCGTCAGCTTCTTCGAACAAAATAGTACCCAAAGTGGTAGTGAATATTGGATCATTAATTTTCGAGGCTTCAACCCCGTACAAATTGCCCCGGTACGAGAAATCTGTCAAGTGCTTGTAAATCAATTCTCTTTCGTCTGATGATAATTCTATAGGAGCAGGCTCTACAGAGTGAATTTTATGTTCATTTTTATGTTGATCAGCTGCAATATCATGGCCCAATAAGGAAAATGGATCTACTTCTTTTTTCATCTCTTTTGGTGGACTCAAATCTTCCTCATGAAGACCCAATTCCCTCAACAAGGCCCTGGTGTTTTCGTCAATTTGTTCAGAATTGCCGTAGCTAGTAGGTAACGACTTTGCATTAGTTATAGCAGTGTCATACTTAGGCACCTGCCTTAAAAGATTGCTATCGGAGTACCTTTCCAATTCCTTTGCGATATTTTCATTTACGTATATCTCATCAGTATCTTTCTTCAATCTGACAAGGTTCTTTTCCCTCGAGAGCCAGGACAACGAATCCTGGTCCCTATAGGGAAAGAAGTGAAGGTCTTCCTTTTCTGCCTCATTTTTGCTCCCTATTACCAATAACTTCTCGCTTCTGTGAGTGTTGTAATCGAGGAGCCATAATAACAACCTGTTGGCTCTACGTACTTGTTCATTGGTAAGGGCAATAAATTGATATATGCCCCCATTACTTACACCTGGGTGATCACTTGAAGCTTCCAATTCTTTGAAAAATACTTCAGTGGTCTTGGAAACTACATCCAAGTCGAATTTACCGAACTTTTCTTCAAACAAACTCTTGATCACCTTCAAGTCAAATGTTCCCTTAAAGGCCCTTTGTATCCTGATATTGATAATCAACTCTGCTGCTTGAATTTGATCTGGACCGCCAGTCAAAGTGATTCCTTTCCCGTCGGGCAATATGGAAACCTGGACGTTAATCTTCAATAAACTCTTTATAATCTCTCCGTTGTTCAGCAACAACAAATGCATATCTTGTATGGGGAACTCCAAAGTCTTCTTTTTCCTTAAGTCGGTGAAGTCTATGTTACTTTCTGAAACCTTCAAGTTCCATATTGAAGTCACTATAAACTCGGATAGTTGTTTCTTGGTTTTCTTAGAAATCCCAGTTGAGCTGGAGCATCTAATCTGTACATACTTAAATAATTGCTTTCTAGAGAAGGACTTGCATAGCTTGTTGGTCATGGCCATATACTCACCCTTTGAGATTTCGTCTTTGAGAGATGTTTGTAAATTTATAGATTCGATGCTTTGGAATAACCCCAAGTTTGCATCACCATTTATGTCAGGCCCGGTATTCTGTGAGTGGTCTTGTAACAAGTTCCAATTTGATATCCCAGTCTGCAGCGAGTGATTTGGAGATATCGCATGCTGGTCATGAAGCCTTTTGAGCTTTGCATCTTCTAGTCTATATGGATTTATTACGAGGATATCTCTCTCATGCAACTTTTCTCTCTGCGGTGCTAGTTTTGTTCTGTCTTGGAGTTCATCCAAGATAGGGGATAGACTGTTCCTGGGTGAGGACGATGAGTATAGTTTTGCGCTGTATTTTAGATCTCTGATTCGTATCAATTTATTGGAGAATCCTCTATACAACATTTCGAGGCATATGATAGTTCATGAAGGTATATATGGGGTGTAGCTGTCATTGAATAGGTAGTAGTAGAGCCTTAAAATTTTCATATTAAGCAGTGTATGCATCACTCCTGCACACATGTGCTTATGTACACACTCATAGTGTAGTGCACAGTGCGTGTTTATGTGCACACCTTCAGAGAGCAACACTTACAGCAGATAGTAGCACACACAAACCGTAAATTCTTGTTGTAGAACCAAAGATGGCAATGTAGCAGACATGTTGATGGTTGCGGCGCAAGAGAATGAGCCCATTAGACTGCGGAGCAAGAATTAGGAACCCGTTTAGTACTCTCCTCCCCCTTTCTGCCCTACAATCGCATGCATATTTCTCTCGCTGAAGCTTGACATATGCGGAATTCGTTATCAATAGTCACTGGCTCACCAACAAAAAACAAAAGGTTCCTGACCAAGCAAGCAAACAGAGCAAGAAAAGGCATCTCGCGCAGCCCCATACGATTGGTAACAAGATGGTCACTAACCTTAATGTGTCACCGAAACCTAATACACTACTAAACTAAAAAAAGAAACGGGAACAACCTGAGTGACACCCCAGTCATGGCCAGTAACCTCTTCTGACTTGCGCCGTTTTTAGCAAGTCCGTCGCAAAGGCTGCGGGTCAGGCACACGCTCGGTGTCAGATCACTCATTTTAGAATTTCTCCTCGCTAACACTAACAAAATCTACTCAGAATTTCGCACCCGCCGCTATTACTTTCCATACATACATGCTCGCTTGCAGATCCCGATTTTCTGATATCTGGTGCCGTCGCTTAAGATAACCCCGTTTTTATCTATTCCTTCCTAATTGTAGGGAATGATAAAAATCCAATGTTTCGAAGAGCCACTCATGACTATTATATAAATAAACCCATGTACTTCAATTTTTTCTTTCTTTTTTTCATGACCCTGCTCTTCTTTTTGTTAATCCACCTTTCAAGTCTTTGAATTTATTGTTTACTGAAGAGTACGACTAAGTGATGTCTCTCACTACTCGCTTAGCAAAGCCAACTTTGGCCCAGCTTATAAACTCCTCCTCGCACTCAAAAGTAGTGCCCGCATTTTTTGCAACAAAAAAATTCTTTCACAACACCTCCAAACAGAACAACACACTTGATAATGTGTCCAACATACCATCACACACGCCGGGAAAGCAACAATTGGAGGTCGCAAATGGCCCATCGGCAATTCCAAGAGCCAAACTTTCCCCTTCGGAGTACCTCACTCCCTTGAAAACCACTGAGCTTTTTTCTTATGTTTGTATTGGAGCTGCTACAATCAACAAACCAATTTTAGATCTTTGCATCAAGCTTTTCCCATACGTACCGATGTTTGTTATTAAGGCCCTAATCTACAAGCTCTACTGCGGGGGTGAAAATATCGAAGAAGTCAAGCAAACTGGATTAAGATTGTCTAAAAGAGGCATCAACAATATGATGCTTTCTCTTACTATCGAAGGCTGTGATGGTAACGATAAAATTGAACCAGAATTCATTGTCTCGGAAACTGCAAAGTCTGTGTCCGATATTTTAATTCCTCACACTTTGGAAATGATCCAAAATTCAGGTAAGGATATCAATTCCATCCCTCCTGGTTACGTTGCCTTGAAGCCTACAGGATTCACCAAAAATGCTGCTCAAGTGTTAAAGGACTACAAGACCGATCCAAAATTCGAAGAATTGGTGGAAAACGCTGCAAAAATTTGTAACACCATCTACAACGAAAATATTAAATTAAGCGCTCAATACCCAGACAGAATTGCCCCATTTGTTGTTGGTGTCATTGACGCGGAAAAATTCGATTTACAAGAAGGTGTGTATGAGCTTCAGAGAAGATTATACGCCAAATTTAACCCTGCTAACAAGCCAGTTTCCGTTGTGGGGACTTTGCAAATGTATCTTTCGGGCAGTGCAGATTTATTGGCTAAAGAGGAAAAGTTAGCTATCGAAAACAACTATCGTTTGGGATTGAAATTGGTTAGAGGTGCCTACATTCACCTGGAAAAGAAAAGAGAAACGGTCATTCACAAGACTAAAGAAGATACCGATAACAACTATAACCAAGGTATTTCATACTGCATCGAATCAATGGAAGCTACCGAAAGGCAAGATACAAACACTCCAACCATTGGACATTTAGTAGTTGCATCGCATAACGCAGAATCCTTAAGATTGGCAACCGATAGATTGAAGAATGCATCAGCAAAATCTCAAAACAGAAGTAACGTTGTATTGGGCCAATTGTTAGGAATGGCTGACAATATAACATACGATTTAATTAAAAACGAAAAAGTCGATAATATTATTAAGTACGTCGCATGGGGACCACCATTGGAGACCAAGGAATACTTATTGAGAAGATTAGAAGAAAACGGGGACGCCGTAAGAGCTGATAATGGATTCGGATTGATAAAAGAAGTGTGTAATGTGTTATTTAAGCGCTTCTTCCGTTTCTCACATGAAACGTGAAAAAAAAAGAAAATTTTAAAGACAAAAGCAACATTAACAAGGTTTGCCTAGTCCAAAATGAATAATTAATAGATAAAAGTAGAATTAATGCAACAGTACTTTATAGAACTTGCATTTTTAATGAATAACGACAATAATAAAAAGAAAAGCTTCAACTGTAGTTAACTACACTCAAGCAAGTAGTACAAATTTTTCCACCACGGTTACATCTTAGTATTTAATAATAGATATTCTTGGATCTTGGACGCTATGCATATATGCATTAATAGATCCGGCAACTCTAGATCTGTTCCAATTCCCTTCACCATAGTGTATGGATTATCCATTTTGATTATTTTCCGATCATTATGTTTCAGTTATGCACCAGCTGCACTCGCATAACCGTTTTATTTTTTCACACTTTAATCTGCAACCAAATCACTTGGTCTTCGGACTAAACTTATGTAGCTTGACGCTTACATTTCATTGGTTCTATGTTATTTTTATGCCTTGCTTTGACACTTCTTGTCGGGTGTTTCGGGATGCTCTTCTGCTCATCAACTACTAGTCGCTAATCTTGGAATCGATATTTCCTGCTAAATTTGAATTCCGGAATGAGCAGAATTACTCTTAATTACCTCCATTGATGGAGTTCTCTCTGTTCTCTCCTGCATTCCGCAAGTAGTAGCCGCCCTTGTACGCTATTCATGGCTGGACTTGATAACGCAACTTACAATGGCTACAAACCTATGCTGACTCTTAATTCAATAAGGCTGCATATGTTTAGCGCTCTTGCAAACTTAAACCTTTTCACTCCGGCATTGTTATGTTCCTTACTCTATATTTATGTGCGAACCTTATACTTTACAGTTCAACACATTCTACCTTTCTCTTAAAGATCCCATATTTTGTAATATTTGTTAAGAATACTCCTTTCTACTATTGTTCGTTTCAAGTTATGCTTCCTTCTTCTACTACAGGGAAAGAATAATTCAGGTATAATGAAACTCGTCTAGGTATCCCCTTTAAATGGAAGGAACACAAGCCCACGGTCCGTATTGTCTATTCACTATATTGTACTATTCTCTTAGGCTCCCAAGTATATCCATTAATAACACACTGCACAACCCATTCCCAGTCGATCACTCCGAATTTTCTACACTCTATTGCTTTTTGGCTCCTTTTCGATCTTCTTCTTCCCCCCATTTTTGTCCTCTTTTTGGAAGAAGGAATAGACTCTTCAGTCTCCACCACATTGTTACCTATTTCACCGCCATTACTATTATCATATACCAACCCCTCGTCGTATGCGTCAAATCTTATTTGGTCAAAATCTGTCACATATGTTAAAGACTTTGCCCCCAAAGCATGGAAAATAAACTCGCATGTTTCCAAGTTTTTAGCATTACCCTTGTTGCTTGTAATAATAATAATTCTGTACTTGGATAAGATTTGACTATTATTGCCCAACTGGTTGAATAAACTATAACCCAATTCGTAATTGGTTCTGAATTGATAAATCTCGTACAGTTTAACACACTGTAACCGTTGCAGTTGACCGGCTGGAAGCAAGTAGTTATGCCAGCTACTTCCAGGTACTATTTGCTGATTGATACTATCCCTAATATACAAATCAGATAGTACGGGCCAACCCATGGCCAAGGCTTGTAAATATTTTGCACTTCGGCAGTAATTATTAGAAATAACTGCACAAAACTTAAAATTACCGAAGTAGTCATTACAAGCTAAGCGTAAGCCTTCGCCTTCCCTATTCTCATATGTGAGCAACTCATGCAATCCTTGAGACAAAATTATTCCTCCGTTGCTCCCAATCAACTTAGAAATTTCTTCTCTCTTATCATCCACCTCGGTATTAGTCAAGCAAAATATGCATCCTTCAAACATGGTTCCTTTTTGATCCAATGTATTCCCATTTGCCATACTTAATCTCTTTGATGGACTGACTGGTGGCAGAATCCCAGAATTCAAGTTGGATGATTGACGCAGTATCACTTTTCCATATTGCTGCAATTTAGCCTTTGTTGAACTTGCAGGGTTTTGGACTGTTGATCCATTCTTAGATATTTGTCCTGGGCCACCAGGAGTAGACAGTACAGTAGGTACAGATTTGGATGACGAAGCTACTGAACCTCCAGAATAATTTCCTGTAGAAGCTCCAATTGGGCCGAGAATGGTAGATTTTTTCATTCTAGTAGGCATTATTCTATCCATATTAATACTTGAATCCTGTTCAAGCTTATTTTCATTCTCATCTTCTATCTCCCTAATGAGAAATTTCAGTTGGTGTACAACCCAGTCTTCAATTTCCATATAAAGCTCACCTATGCTTACTAGCTTTTCGTCAAAGATTTTGTTTTTGGAAATCCTTCTGATGTATACATAGTTATAACCTCTCACGCACCGTATAACTTCACCCTGGCTATAACTTTGGCTGTTACTTATTGGCTTCCTTTGCAACCCCGTAACCAAATAAGGTATTACACCCCTTTTCAACCTAACTTTATCTCCTATCCTTATATCTAGCAGGTACAAATCTTGATTTAATACGTTACTAGTACCATCTTCAAAAAGTATAACCAGAAAATCTCGATGTACCTCTTGAATTATACCTGGGAACATCTTAAATTTATACTCAGCCCATACACTATCTTCATGAAGTACCAGAGAAATTGGAAGAATGTGACTGGCTTCTTGACGTAATTGAGTTAATCCTTTCTGTGATGTTTCCAGTTCTGTCAGTCCTTTCGCTTTATTTGAGTGCAATTGTGACTGTGGGTGCGATTGCGATTGACTTTCCGGTACAGTCATGAGTCTTCTCTTTTTCTTAACCACAACACCTTCATCTTCGTCAGCTTCATCGTCGTTGTCCACATCTGAAAGTTCATCTGCAGAAACTGATGAATCTGAGTTTATTTTGGGCAGTGAAGGAATCACCCCTTCCATCAGAGTACCAAGTTCATGTGATTTTTCTTCTTCATCAGTGCAAATTTCCTCCACAGGTTCATTCTTCTGGCTGCTGGAGTAAACAGGTTTTTCACCTTCTAGGTCTCTCTTTTCCGCATCTACTAATAATGTGGCTGTACTAGTATTTTTTACTATATTATCTTCTTCATCTATTTCCTCGCTTGTTCTCAATCCTTGCCGTGTCCTTACATCGTCCATGTGGAATGTATTGTCTATGAGATCCTCTTGCGTATTTTGCACTTGAGCCAATGACTGTGTAACCATTGCCCTAGTCAGTTGCTGCTTCTCAAGAATATTTGCCTTCTCTGCTGTATTTGGAATTTGTAAAACACTTAGAGAGGCCTTAGCAGGAGTAGGATTTTCTCCACTGTCGTCTTGATACTTAAGGGGAGAGTCTGAAGGTGTAAGTTTAGAAAAAGATATCTTTGAGGAGCTTAACCGTTTGGAATTTAGTTTGTTGGGGCTACTTTCTGAAAGTGGAGGGCCTATCACTTGAGTATCTGCCGCATCATTGTGATTGATGCTCTGGTGAATTAGCTGAGTATCTCCTCCACTATATCTATCCTCGTTTATTACTTGGGTGTCTTTAGATTTGGACACATCTCTGCCATCGACCAATTGCGTGTCTTCATATCCTACAGCTATCACTTGTGTGTCGGCCGCATTATGGCTTTCAGCTACTGTATGGTCTTCAGCTACAGTATGGTCTTCGGCTGCTACGATGTCTTGCGATACGTGGTTAGTCTGGTCGATTAGCTGAGTGTCCCCCACGACATTTTTATTATCGTAGTCATCAGCGTCACTACCATGGGTTTTATTCTGAGTAGCAACTCGTATATCTGTGATTCTCTGAGTGTCTATTATCTTTTGTGTATCGTCAAGATATTTTCCGTTAGTTTCTTCTCCATTCATGATAACCTGAGTATCGTCCATGAGGCTACTGCTCTTACCTTTAGAACTCTGCCCATACTTTACAGCTTGACTGTCACTATCGTCTAGTACTTTCGCCTCGTGATCATAGAGTATTCTTTGAGTATCTCCAGTTAGATCTAGCCTTCCGTTAGGGCTGAGAAATGTTAAAGAGCTGTCAAAAACATCGTTTAACTTTTCCAAAATTGGAGAGTCTTCATCTTTCACCTTCCTGCCACCACCTACCATCAGGTCTTGCTGTGTAGGCATGGCTGGGAGCTTTAAACTCTGGTTGGAGTCCAATTGAAATGACTTCAAAATTGCTTTGTTATCATTACTATCTGCATTATTATATTCTTCTTCTTCTCCTTCTATGTTTCTACGACTGTCTTCGCTCGATATGAGTTTGAGACTTTCGTCTCCCTCGAAATCTTGATCCTCTAGATGTCGATTCGAGGTCTCAAGCCGATTCGCCCCTCTTCTCTTCATTTCGAGAGTGTCATCTAAACCAAATTGATCAACCATACAGGCAATTAGATCATAAAGGTCACGATCTACAAAATACAATTCAAAAAGAAAGTTTTCTGTATACTACACATATCACCAGCGCGTTCCTACAAACTTTAAACTTAAATTTTTCACTTAGCTCTACAACGGATTTATATTAAACATTTATTACCATTACCAGAAATATTGTTATCACAAGATATAACTTGGCACTAGCTGAGAAAACTCTTACTATTGCCGAACAAGAAATATTTTCTTAGTTTCTTAAAGCCTTTAATTGGACCTATTATACATTATATATACATTACTTAGATTAGTGGTTTTGTTCCTGTAGTAATTGGATCAATTGGTCAGGATTATTCTGAACATGTGGGTTTTGTTGCACAATTCCAGATAGGAACTGTAACTGTTCAGTTGTCAAGCTACTGGCTATATTATTGTTATTGTTACTGTTATTATTGCTGTTATTTCTGTTGACATTTTCATTTGAATATCTACCTTCAAGACTTGGAGTATATTCATCATCTGCATCTAGTTTACTTAAAATAGAATCCAACGACGAGGTGTCTACCTTAGCCTTAGGCGTATTGTAACTTTCAGTGAAATTGCTAGTAGGTACTGCTCTTTTCAATATACTTCTATTCGACGGAATGTAATCCTTCTTTACCACGAAAACGGCAAATAAACCACCCTCGCCAATATCATCTTTTTTGAAATACTCTGGAATGTTTCCCTCTTTCAAGCTTAATATATATGAATCCTTAACAAAGTGTGGTTTCCCAGATAAGACCCCTACTTTATTGTTTTCAAACAAATAATCTTTCAACTTGTTGAATCCTTCTGCCTCATCAGAGTCCTCACAGTGCAACTTCACTAAGAACAAATCTCTAGTACTGACAATTTTACTGAGATATTGATCGGCTCTAGTTTTATCAAGCTTACCTTCTATCTCATAAGCGGGTTTAGAAAAAACTTCCTTAATCACTTTAAGTTGTCTTTGATATACTGAAGATGGAACTGGAGAGGACCCTGCCGAGTTCGAAGATATAGCGCTTATAAACGAAGCCTTTGTTACAAAAGTTACAAACTCAGGAAATGTAATACGTCCGTTCCAAAATGTTGTAACTGATGGCTGCTTTGCAGTTGGAAGGGGAAACTTCTTTACTGGTTCTTCTTCTACTTTTTTGTCTTTAAGGATGAAATCTAAGTCATCATCATCCAAATCTGGAATGTTATCCGTGCCTTCTTCTTCACCTTCCCTGCGATTGTCAACTTCGACATCACTATCATCATATTGAATATTGTTCACAAGATGTTGTTGTTTACTGCTTTCTTCGATTTCTCTTGACGGCTCCTTTTCTTCGAATCTCCTATGGTCAACATTTTTACTAATAATCATTTCTTCGTTTCTGGAGTTATCATCCTTTTCACCTTCCACATTTTCAACTATTTCCTCACCTTTATGGGTTCTTCTAATTCTTTGGCTACTAGCATCATCTATGGTCAACACCAGTCTTCTAATTGACTCTGATCTGACCTTTTCAGCGTACTTTTTCAACTCATCATCAATTTCCTCAGGGGACAGGTTAACAATGTCCTTAAAGGTTAATTCCTTCAGAATTATTCTATTCATTACATTAGGCTTTTTAATCAACACAACCAAGCTTCTACTTCGGTCGGTATACTTCCTCTCTTGCCCCTGTCTTGGCAGAAACAAGTTAATTTCACTTTCCAACTCGAGTGCCATTTTTATTGGAAGGGTCTGATCTTCAGAATCCAGAGGAAGGTTCCTTTGAAATACATTTAGGAACGCCTTTGCTACAGATTTTCGAGTCTTATCTTTTAGATTATCTAAGGAATACGTTGGAGTCACAGGGTAGAATGATGATGGCGGAATAACCACACTGGTAGGAGATGAAGCATGAGCTGTAGCTGCATTGATTGGCACCTTCTCTACAACCTTGGACTCTGGAACTTGAGGTAAGTCCCTTGGCTCACATAAATTACACTTATAATCCTTTGGAATTGCCTTCTTGGTCATATATCCCATACATTTAGCGTGTTGCCAAGTCTTACATTCATCACACTCAATCATGGTGCCGCCTTGGTCAGTTTCCTCATCATAGTTATCTTTATTGGCTCCACATGGAGTGCACAATACTTCACCTTCATCTTCATCATCTTCTTCCTTTTTTACTCCAGCTGCATTAGATCCCACTTTTTGCTTCTTGGTATTAGTCTCAGCTACACCAGTACCTTCATTAAGTTCTCTCTTAGCAGCTCCCAGATAAAACACATCTTCTTCGAATTCTCTTTGGGAATGTTTACCCTTATTACTTCTAGCAGAACGCCTTTCCGACATTATATGATCTCTTTTTTTACTTACAGAAGTTAGAGGTGATCAGTCAAACAAAATTTAACTTGAATGAACGAAATTTTTCAAAAAAAAACAATCAAACAAAAAAGTCACAAGACGTTATAATATCTTTAACCAGAGTATGAACGGATACGAAAAAGAGCTGCACCCTTACTATCAAAATATGACTAGATAAGTATCAGGCTGAACTAAATAGGTAGTGTAAATAATATAAAAAAGGCGTGGTACTCTAATAGCTCTTTGATAAACTTCGCAGCTGTCGGATTCCTTTCTCGCTTATGTATTCTAGCTTCACTACTCCACTCTTGGGTTCCTGTAGTATTGCAAGAATTTCCTTTAGATTTAAAATCTACGTTTAATTCTTAGATATTGGATTCAATCAAAAGCCTTTCTCAACTTATAAAAGCTATCTTTTCAATCACCTTTAAGTCGATGGAGTAGGAAGAAAGTCAAATGGTACGAAGAGAATTTAAAAAACGCCAGTGAACTCAAAAAGAAAATGATAATCCTGTATATAGAACCATGCAGGAACCTTGGTGGAATGGCGATGGCTGCAATTTCTTCAGTTAAAAGGAGAGGACTAAGATCAGAAATGTACAGTAAGAATCTTCACTTTAGTATGGACATCTGTAAAAACACCTAAAAGACTTTCAAAATCGAGGTTCGCTCAATTTTAACATCAAATTTTCTACTTATTTTACTCTCAGTTTAGTAATTCCTATTACTATATACTATAAACCCTTTATTAATGCCATAAGATCGTGATCATCTCCTAAAACTTCTTCAACGTTTGCTAGAGCATTTTCACTGAAAAGACCCGATCTTGTTGGTCTAAATCCTTCAGAAACTGCTTCGATAATAGATGCTCTTCTCCTCTTCTGCTTAGATGGTACATGAGAGTTGGATGTAGCTGATGCGGAGGACCGACGCCTAGAAACAGAAGGCTTTCTAATCATGTCATTGGTGTTGTTGCTAGTGCTGGAATTTCGACGACTCCTTTTAGGTATTTCGTTGTTTGACTTATATGAACTATTCTGGTGCGGAATATGATGATGAAGGAGAACGCTCTGATTGTGCAAGAGGGATTTGTTTCTGAAGGCACCAAGCGGCACCAGCTTCTTTTGAGAATTAAAATCTTGCCAGATTTTTACATCATTCTCATCATCATCATCGAGCTCGGAGACATTAAGGAGTTCGTCAAGCCCGAGCGCCAGGTTGTCTGAATTGTCCTCCAAGTCAAGTGGAAATCCACCTGCTGAGGACCCCCCACCATCAATGTTACCAGTAGCATTGATATTGGAGAATCCACCAGACAGATTTGGAATACCACCTCCTTGTTGACCAGAAGAATTTTGCTTTCTCGTGGAAGCATTTTCTCCAGCGACACCATTTGAGGAACCTCCTACTAATGACGAGGAAGATGAATTGGAAGACGAGACAACAGCTCTAGGAATCGAAGCTCTTTCCTCAGGTCTTCCATGCTGTAAACTTCTAGTGCTCAAACCATCGATAATTCCAAATGGTTTACTCTCAACTGCAACCCATGTCCCCAAAATTGGCGGACGGTAATCAGCAGTCCTCGACGATAAAACTTCCTTGGCTTTAATACTACCAGACTTAATCTTGTTCAGGTAAGTGGGTACGCTTAAATCTACATCAGTGGACTCACCAGTGTCATACTCAAGATCCGAGTCATGGTTATTTTCAGGACTGAGAACAGCACCACCGAATCTACCAGTGGAAGTAGCTGCTGTAGCAGCTGCCAAAGCAGCAGCCTCTCTGATTCTACGTTTTTTATCGTCCTTTTCCATTTGCTTGAATAGTTCTTCAACTATGACCTGCTCTTCAGAGTCATCGAAATCATCATCATCGCCTCCAGCATTCATACTATTGTTTTCTTGTCCAGAATCGTTGTCTGAGCTAAAAAAGTAATTCCACAAGTACAGATCATCTTCTTCATCAGAGTTAGATATCCGTATACCATTTGACTTGGATTTAGATTTCGAAGATTTTTTAGACTTTGAAGATTTTGATTTTTTCTTTCTGACTAATGGTTCCTCAACAGCATCACCAAATTCATCTCCATTGCCCCCACTATCACTACCTTGATCTACACTAAAGTCGATCAATTCATCTTCATCATCCTCATCATCATAACCATCATAGTTGTCATTGTCATCGCCATTTACATCTCCGTCGCTATCACTGCTTTCATATTGCATGACATCTTCTCTGGGCTGGTTATGAATCAGATTGAAGGTATCCATCAACATATTTCGATCCTCATCATCGAATCCGTTATTCTCAAATTCATTGACCAAAAACTTCTCTTCTTCCTTAAGAAATGGGTCTTCTTCTTCATCAACCGATGCTATTGAGTTATTTCTGTTAGATACAGAAGACGTGTCAGCATTAGCAACACCATTGCCTACATTCATACCAATACCAAAGTCATCATTGTCAGCCTGAAGAGTAGCCAATAGTTCATTGTCGTCTATTTCATAGTCTTCATCGGAATTCAATTCCTCTTCCTTGAATTTCGGCACTGGAAGATCGAAGTTAAATGCATCTTCATTGGTGGGGAGACCTTCGAGATTCTGAATCTGAATTTCTTCCCCAATGTCTTCGTTTCCTACGTCTATGTGATGATCTACATTATCCGATACAGCAGCCGTGAAATCTCCGTTAAGAGTTACTTCTTCTGAAATTAATGCCTTACCATCGATATCATCCTCTTCATCATCAATAGCATTTCCCTGCAAATCATCAAACTCAAACTTGAAATTAATATCACCAGGTAATGCAACTTCAGACTTCCGCCTTCCGATCTTGTGGTGCACGCTACTCTTCCTCCTACTGCCGTTGGCCTTGTCTTTTCTCAAACCTTTGAGAGCCTTTACTGCTTTCATCGACCGAGCTTTCCTTTCGGCTTGCAACTTCACAAAGTCTACATCCGAATCATCAGAACTCGAATAATCATCAGAGTCCGAATCGGAATCAGAATTCGAATCCGAATCTGAATTACTGTTGTCTCCATTATCAGCAGAACCACCACGACCCGAGCCTGCCCTACCTACCATCGAATATAATTCTTCTATTCCAAGCTCATCTTCATCATCGTCGTCATTTTCACTATTGCTTGCACTATCATCGTTTATGGCATTTTCATTGGCTCTCCGGTACCAGTCCATGGTCTTTTTGGGAAGCTTCTTGCGACCACTACTATTTAGCTTACTTCTTACAATTTCCATAGTCCCTTCTGCTTCCGATACTGCTGTCAATGAGCTATCGGAATCATTGTTAGCCTCGTCTTCATCGTCATCGCCCTCTTCATCATCCGAGTCTGCTATGCTAAACCTTCTCTTAGAGAAATTTGCAAAGTTTTTCCCTCCAATTTGATTGGAATGCTTTCTGGGGCTTTTCGCCATCTTATTTGGTATATATCAGTACAGTTTATCGGTCTATTATATATATATGTATGCTTACGTTCGTCTAATCTCTCTTTAATCCTCTTTCAATCTGTGTATAAATGTATGTACTTCAAACTAGTGATGAGATGGGGTGGGATGGGATGGGACGTACGAAAGGTACAATTGTACAACCATATCGGAGGATATATGCAGGTCATCGAAGAGGAGGATCGCAATAGGCAAAAAGAAAAAAAAAAAAAAAAATGTGAGAGAAGAAGTGAAAAGTTTAAACGGAAATGGTAATTTTCAAAGCGTGTATTAAAGTTAATAGCACCAATGTGGTGACAATTACAGATTTTTAAGCTTCGTTACTAAGTTTCTGCCTAGGTACGCGACAGCAACGTTCATACCGAGTTATAAAAAAGTTCTGGCGTTTTCGGAATCCTGTTCTGAGCTGAACTTCCTGGATCCTCAGTCTTCGGTTTCATATTTAGTATGCGATTAGATACATAAGCCACACTCTTACACCCACACAAAAGGGTGGATGAAAAAGTATCCTGCGTCTCGTAATATGCCATACTGACATCATGTAACGTAACAACAGTGAAGCGGTTCAGGTACTGCGGGTATTAGTATGAAAGGTCTCTGTCTGTATTTCTCTTCTCTCACTCTTTAGGTGTGTGTCTTTCTGCCCTGTTTCAGTTTCGTTGAACTCGGCTGCTTTTCTTACTCCAAACTCTGAGCCGTGGGTGTGTCCCAATATCTCCAGCTTCTGCTTTCTCCTATTTTTCTTCCCACATATGTCGCTTATCATCTACGCTGTAGCATACACCCTTTACAACATCTCACTTTCGTTCACGTTTTCTTCTTTTTTTTTGCACGTTTTTTTGTTCTATATATATAAATATATATTTATATAATCTATGCTAAGAGTATATATTCATATTATATGTCGTATGTAGTCCACCATCTAACTCATCCCCCTTTTAACCATCGCCTTAGATTATTTATTTCTTGTCGGCTTCCGCAGTTAATCTAGCACTCAATTCAATTTGTTCCTTGACAGCCTTAGTCAAATATTCAATCATTATGACGTCCTGGTTGTATGCCTTGAACTTACTCTCCAACTCTTCTAAGTTACTTAATCTCTGTGGGCGGTTCAATAAATTGTTACTTAATAATCTTAACAAATCGATAGAATCGTCGTCATTTCCATTCTTGTGTTCCTTTATATAGTTTAATAAGCTTTCGATGGTCAATCCAACCGCTTGCAACTGTAAAGTTAAGTGATTCAACTGCTTTGAAGAGTCGGAGCTGGACAACAACAATTCGTTCTGTGCAGGACCAATTTCATTTAATTTGTTTAACGCCAATTTTTCAGTGATCAGCTTGGTAATTACTTGGTTTGGAATAGGAGTGAATACATACAGGGAAGTTTGGTTAATTAACTTCCAGCCAATTCTGGTAGGTCCGTTATTTTGACCTGCAATGGCTGCTCCAATATATGTGGTGAGTTCGGGCAATTTCAAGTCCTGTTCAGATTGATAGTCAACGTTTAAGTAGATGGCAGGATATGGGAAACTTCTGTCAGAACCCTTTGAGTAAAAGTCATGAATTAAAGCTGTAGTGGAATCGACTTGGTTTGAAGATCCAAACCAACCTAAAACCAGTTCCTTTGGATGTGCTTTCTTGTATAATTGGTACATTTGCTTGTGGGTTTGTTCATCTATAGCGATGGAATCTCCTGTTTCAGTACATGTGACCATAAACGCATCTCTAACTTCGAATTCGGACCCATCGTCACTTCTCAAACCCAAAAGAGTACCGATAATTCTCTTGGAAGAAGTTCCAGAGGAATTGTTTGACAAAACTTGCTTCGATAAGATTTCCAAGATTTGGAAGAGAGCAGATGTGTGGATTTTGACGTTACATGAGGATGCAGCTGAAGAAGCAGCAGGTGCTGAAACGTTTGGCCTCACCAAGTGCATGTATGAAGTAGTCATCTCGTTTAATGTGTAAATAAGCAAGTAACTACGATGTTTCACCTCCGTTTCGAGTTTCTTTTTCTTTTTTTTTTCAATGAGAATTTTTTTTTGATTTTGTGTGAGTGAAAAATTTAAGGTCGTGTTGGTGATAAAAGGGAGTGCACGTAGAGGGGGACATGGGTGTCTAAGGCATGGGGAAAGGTCGATTGAGCCATAAGAAGGTAGACTGTTGCTAGGTATATGCTGCCAAATGAGGGAAGTCGTACTACTGAGTGAAAATGTAGAGTGTTCAAATATGAGATATAGGTAGTTCATGTTTGGCTAGAGGTAACAGTAATAGACAGCATTTTTCGCAGCCAACTTCAGCCTAAGCCGTAGCAAAGAGAGAGTGGTGGTATGTATATAAATATATACATTATATAAAATGAATGTAAAAACCACGGAGTACTTTCCTTCTATTCCCACTAGTTCCTTTTTTTAGATATCAGCCTAGTTCATGTAACAACTTCTCTGCTGTACCGTTCTTCTGTCCATTTGACACCAATTTCCTATATATAAGCCATTGATATACATGCAGGATTATCGCTGAGATCCAGTTGCCAAAACGATGCTACTTGATTTCTATGGAATCACCACTTGAGCTTTCACTAAAGTCAACTTTCCAAAGAGAAAGTTTTCACACTGGTAATAATACGTTGTGAATCAGCACCAGAGGATCAAAACTGTGCTAATTTATCTTACCTGGCGAATTCAATCCAAACTACTTCTTACCTAGTCTAGTTGAACCAGGCGGAAGACTGAGAGAGTTTTCCACTTCAGTCGAAATTCTTCATTTTTTGTGGGGCAACTTCACTATTAAAATTTTCATGAAACACAGTTTAAAATTCTATAGACGAAATTCAATATAGACTCAGATAATACTACACAAATACTTCGCGAATGTCCTGGCAATTTTCCGAAGAAGCATTCCTTAAACAGTCTCCCTCGAGGAAACAGTTGACGCTCCAACAAGACTTGAAAACAAGAGAGAGTATATATGATTTCACTATCAAGCTTGGTCTGGCATTGAAATTAAATGGGAAGACAATTCTTGCCGCTACCATATATGTGGCGAGATTCTATATGCGAGTGCCAATAACTACCTCTAAGTACTTTGTTGTCTGCGCTGCCATAACTATTTCATGTAAACTTAATGACAATTACAGGCCACCTGACAAAATTGCCATGACTGCATGTGCATTGAAGAACCCCCACAAACAGATAGATGAGCAAAGTGATTTATTTTGGAGCTGGAGAGATCAATTGCTCTATAGAGAAGAGATGATGCTCAAGACACTAAATTTTGATTTAAACTTGAATCTCCCATACGAGCTTAGAGAGAAGTTAGAAGAAGAAATAATAGAAAAAGAGAAGATCAAAAAGCTAGTAAACAAAGTTGAAGGAGATGAGCATACATTGAGGGATGTAAATGACTTAGTAGGTGATGTGGATGGTGAGGATGAAGAAGAGTACGAAACTCCAATTGACCAAGCAGACACTGCAACAGATAAATCCGATTTCTATTCGTCTGCAAAAGAGATTCTTAGACAAAGTGTAGCATTGATTGAGATTCTTTCATCTTTACCGATCTTGATCACTTATAACGTCGAATCATTTTTCGGTGCTTCATTGGTGATTGTGCTCTTTGAAAAGTACTCAACTTCAGTTACGCTTCCGAAAGATTACTTATTAAAACATGTACATACAACAGCCGAGGAAAGTTACAAATGCTATAAGTATATTTACAAACTACTCAAGTTAAGTCAAAGTAAAGATCCTCACCTACTGAGCCATAGGGCGGCCGCCAAAAGGATAAAATTGATTGAAAGGAAGGATTTTTTCCACATCACAAACTCAGAAGTGGTCGAGAGCAGCACAAACACAAACATTTCCAATACAAATGGAACTCCTAGGAATGATGACAATTTAATACTGTAGGATAGAGCTCATTTCATGCCAAAATAATATATAGAGAGGAATACATACGTGAGACTATAAAGAGCAATGATTATCGAAACTACGAAGTATCTTATGGACTTGTATTTAACTGGTAATTTCTATGAGATTTTAGTATTGGCACCAAGTTTTCAGAATTTGGATTTGCCAATTCCTGCCAGACTAATATTAAGTCTTGTCTTGTTGCAACTAGGAAGAGTTCAGACAGGGATTAGGGAACTAGCCATCTCAATTGAGTTAGCTAGCGATGAGAAAGAGAGACACCTTCTCAGCGAATATCTCCTAAAAGCTCAACAACAGCTGTATTCCAGTCAAATCCGCGCTCCTCCAATCCATAAGCAAGCAGATATGTTTCTCATAGCTAATGGAATCCTAGAAACCTACTCACTTGGTAGAATTTGCATTATTACGAATAATTTATGCTGCGATGTATTAAAAAGTATTATCACGAAGGATGAAGTAGGCTTACTTAATAAATTTGTTCAATCTGTCAAGCATTTCAGTCCCTTATATGTTTATAGGGAAGTTTCCCAAAAAAGAGAGATGTTTGAATCGTATATGAACAAAGAGATTTCGAAATATCCAGAAATTGAGTACTCTAACTGCTCATCTAGTACTATGCTCGAAATGATAAGTAGAGTTACTCGACGTTCACCCTCCAAAGTTTTTTCGTTAGCAATCAGTGGGTTGGTTGTCAAACACCAAATAGTCAGAGGATTCCTTTGCTACGTATGTGAAGAGTACCATAAAGCGTTTGAAATATTCGAGTGGTTAGAAATTTACTTCATAGGTTCTGAAGAAATATTAATGGATAGAAATGAGTTTTTATCAAACGTGACTAGGAGACAGGTGGTTTTGTTGTTAATCTGCAGTTATCTAATGATAGTTGATAAAAAAGAAGAACAACTTTTGGAGTCAAAGCTTTGCTACCCTGCATATCATTGGAGGAGAAGCAAGAAGTGTGAAAAGTCTGATACTGCAGAAAATTTGTTAGTATCCATTACTCTGGTGGGAAAAGATATGAATCGTATATCTGAACTCTTGAGTGGTAGGTTATGCCTCTATTTCATTTGTGCTGGCGGTCTTTATGAAAAACTAGCTTTCAAGAGAGCAACTCTGGTTAAAATAAACACTAACATTTTGGCTTTAAGGCTAAATCAAGATGAGATCAAAGAGATGCTAAGAAAGTATATTATAGCAACCACGATAACAGCACACGATGACCCATCTGTCATTGACCTTTATCAAAGAATTCTATGGGGGCTACTAATGTACGGAGGCATTCACTTGCAAGCATTTTGGTTTTTTAAATTTTTAAGAGATTACTTTTTTAAGGAACTTTCGATCGGGCCGATTATGTTTGATAAGAGTGGTACATTCTATCCGTTTGGCGAGAAGGACATACTTACTAAATATCCAAATAGCCATGAGTGTGTTGAAAAAATCTATCACTTAAGGAAAACAATGATTGAAGATTCTTGCGCTGTCGATAACGATATCACCCCATTGCATCATAGTGATTCTCACCAATATTTGATACCTCAAGTTTTCGTGTATAACAATCAATTAATATATTCTAATGAGTTTTATGATGAAATGGTACCATACTGCAGTCAAAGAGATTTCATATCAATTTCGAACAACGACGTTAGACCAAAGATAAGAGATCAGCAAAAACTAAATGGTGAAATTGTTCTGAAATGCATCAAAGTTAGTGCTGGATTTATGAGATTGTGGTTGAATTCGTTTGAGATTTATAGAGGCATCATCCCAGAAGAAATCATTGAATTTTGGGAGGAATCAAGAATGGAAAAGGTCGACTTTGAAGATTTTGAAGAAGAAAATTTGTGAAATGAGTAGGTCATTTTGTTTCTACAATTGAACATAAAAATATTTTGTGTATTAATGCTTGGATAGATGATATGAATAAATATTTCCTCCGTACATTTAAGACAATCTGTCTAACAACTGAGATAAAATCCAGGTTCCAATTTTAAATATTGCATACTAGAAATCTAATCTATTCTCTGTCCCCAAACTTCTTCATAGGTACTTAATCCTTTAGTTTCTGGAATATATCTCTTTATGAATAAATAAGTTAGGGCACAAAATGCAGTGAAAATGAAATATACTCCACCACCGATCCATGAATTCTTCAAAATTGGGAATAACAAACCAACTAGTCCAGTAGCAAACCAATTGCAAGCAGTTCCCCAGCTTTGTGCTACTGCTTTAACTTTTGGTTGTGTAACTTCACTAACCAAAAGGAATGGAATTGGTCCCAAACCAGTAGCGAAAGCAGTGATGTAAGTAAATGTTCCAACAATTGATAAAATCGCACTGGATGATATAATACCAAAACCCATTATACTTGACAGGATTCCCATGACTGTGACTGAACCAAGAAGTAGAGGCTTTCTTCCAAGTTTGTCAATTAAAGGAGCACTACCAAATGTTACTACCACATTAACAATAGAAATCAAGCAATTGATCAAAATTGCATAGTCAGGGAATACCGAAATCAAAACTGACACACCATAGAATATAATTGAATTTATACCACAGAATTGTTGAGCAATAAGTATTCCAGTGGAAACAAGTCTAGAATTGAAATATTCTGGTGAAGATAAGTAGGTAGAAAGAGTAATAGATGGCTGAGAACTATAAGCAACAGCGGGTGCAGCAGCACCCTCTTCTTGCAATAAATCATCAGACTCGTTACTACTCGTTCCAGATACATGCAGTTTCCACAGGTTTACCTCTTCTCTTGCCTGAACATACTCTCCACCTCTGATATCATGCAAAACTTGATATGCTTTACTAGTAAACCCATTGTTGTAGAGCCACATTGGACTTTCATCCACATAAAAGAATATGGCTACGAAGTTGAAAATTGCCAAAACAGAACCAGTGAGTAAAAGCAATCTCCAATTATTATTATCACACCAAATCAAAGCCAAAAATTGGGTAATCAAAATCCCAATGTTGACCGAAACTTGATTCATGGAACCAAGAAACCCCTTAACTTTGGCTGGAGCTATTTCGTTTATGAAAACTGGGCCTATAGCCAATGCCGCACCTGCACCAAGACCTGCAACAAACCTACCGACCAAAATCGCAGTGTAAGTATTCGCAATCCCATTTAAAGTGGAACCAACGAGATATATACCGCAATGCAATAATCCAGTACGCTTGCGACCTATTTTATCAGCAATTGAACCTACAAAAAAGGAGCCTAAAAGACCCCCTAAACTGAATATTGAAGTAATTGTTCCCACCTGCTCGGCAGTCATAGAAATGCACATTTCAAAACCGTGAGACCCGAACCAGGATTCCGCATAAGGGACTAAAGGATTGGGTTTCAGGATTCTACATGAGATAACAGATTCTGGAGAATTCAACTCAGCCATGTGGTATCCAAACTGAAGGGATCCAATGCAAATGATTGCAACATTTGCAATCAATTTTGGGGTCAATTCTTTAGGAAATGACATTTAAAGGAATATTAATTTCAAAACTACCTTTCCTTTTGTTTTTTATGTTCAACTTCTTTTTAAAATGAATTGCTTTCTGGACCAAGGCTCCTCTGTTATTGAAAACGAAAAATTATGGGGCAGTACTTCTGCGCACTAAGTTAGCGCCCCACCCTCCCAAAAAAAGTTATAGGGGAAGAATATGCGGGTGCGGAATTTACGATGAGAGGTTGCAACTGATGAGAACTACTTAAGAAATTAGGTATTTATCATTGTAGGCATATATATTAGTGTCTGGAGTACGGCTAAATTGTCTTTATTGTTGTACTAAATAATAGCTTTCCTAATTAAAAAGGAAGAAATTAATGAAGAAAGGCGTAGTTCATTCCTCATTGACAAATAATGGTACAGTTGCCCACAAAACAGAGGGACTCTATTAACATTCACTTCTCCTTAACAAATTCTCTTCAATTTTCTTCAATTGTCAACAATTGGCAAGAAATTTCCAATAATCATCATAGGAATTCCAAACACATCTCTTTTCAAGGTCCACATACATCCAGTTCTAATTTTGACGTCCTTATTAGGGGTCAATAGCGTGCATTCAGTCATGGTTGCACCCAAAAAATCACCAAATGCAATTCTCAGAAATAATTGGAAGTATTCCAAAACCAGCTTATCATCTAATAACTCCACAATAAAAGTCTTTTTCTTTGATATCAACTCTTCCCTTGCCCAGCCAGTTAAGATACAAAATTCGTCTCCAACATATGCAATTTCTCCAGTCCTTCTCCAAACAATAGTTGGAGTACCACTTACATTAATAAAACTATCATAGGTCAACAATGTCCTTTGGAAACATTGTTCCATGAATATCAAATCTCCCTCTTTCAAGGAATTTGTACATGCAATAAATGATGGTCTATACGAAGCCATGGATTCTGTCATTTTCACAAGCATTTCCTTTGGAAACCTCTTTCGCAAATAAGCAATAAGCTGATGGTACCCGGGAGTGTAGGAGAATGGCTTTGTTACTTTTTCGTAAATTTGCTCTGGTTCTGTAAACTGCAAATGTAGATGTGAAGAAGAAAGTGAACTTTCGTCGGATGCTCCAATGCTATCTTCAATTACCCCGATTACAAATGAGAGCTTCAGTTTGGAATTCCTCTCGCGATATATCAGAGGATCAGATTTTCTCAATGCATCAATCTCTGTGATGACATCAGGGAAGTTCTGAATGTTTTTATGTCCTGGATCTGTGGGTCCTAGAAAATATTGGTTAATAGAATTATCATAAGAAGCTGCTCCCGTTGCAGAAAATTGCCCAGCATTTGGGACTTGAGGACCTGCTCCCCCAGATGAAAGAACATTAGGAGCAGTAGTTGCTGCTGATGTTGTTGTCGTTCCTGGTACAGAGAAGGTAGCATTTTGCTTAATATCCGCCAAGTTGCTGGGAGAAGGTGTATTTCCTGCGGTATAAGGAGCATTGACAGGATTATTCTCAGGCGATACTATCGAAGTTGGAGTGGCTTCAGTGGATGTGGCAGAATGAGTAGCATGCATAAAATTGTCTTGAAGGATAGATGAAAGAGTAGAGTACTCGAGATCAGCAGCTGACAGAAGGAAGTTGCTCTTTTTTTGTGATTTAAAGGGAGGATGCGAGTGGTTATTGTTGTAAGTATTAGGATTGTTATTATTATTGTTGTTGTAGTTGTGATTGTTAGCGTTAGAAGATTGCATTTGATGCAGAGGTAGCAATTGGTGTAATGGTTGTAGCTGATTAGGAAGTGGTAAGAAGGAAGGTGTTGGATTTCCAAAATTACTACCTTTACGACCCAGATTATTATTAGAATTGTGTGCATTTGGGTTACTGCTGCTGTCAATAGGACCTAAACCTTCCAGAAACCTATTTTCAGTAGGAGCAAAGCCTGCCGGCGTTGACTGATTTTGGCGAAGATCTGTAGCATGGAATTGAGTTCCGTGCAAATCTTGCAGTTGCAATATATCTGGCGGAACATCAGCTAAGTATTTTTTCCTTTTCCGAGGAGCATCTACACATGTGGACTCAAGACCTCGCTGTATACATCTCTCACATGGTCTACTGACATCACATGTCATATGTGCCTTGTGGCAGTGATTACAAGCCCTTTTGGTCTTTTTTCGTTTCTGCAACGTTAGTATACGCTATCAAAGAGATTGACACAGAGAGAGTAGGAAATAACAGAGGAAAGTAGTGCTAGAGATCTCGAAGCGGGCGGCCGGGCGGATCAGTTCGGGTTTCTCACGAGTCCACAAACTTGATGCCCTTCCATTGCAAACATCAGAATAGCCAAAATAATGAAGTTTTCCATTCCTCAGTACATAAACAGGCACTGATGAGATCATTTATGAACAATCCCTCAAATAAATGGTCAATTTCCTGCTCTGAAATCTGTTCTAGGCGGCATGATTCTACTCCAGCTCGAATCAAAACGCTACACACCGACTCCAGTATCAAAACTAGTTCATCCGAGTTTAGTGAAAAAAATTTCAGATCGGACTATTAGCACATATTTTACTACTTTTTATATTGTCTCTTGTTGAATCCCTCCTTAAAAGTCTCTTTCTTTGTGATATGGCAAGCTGCTGAATCTTCTGAGAAATCCATGCTTTTGTAAACAAATCTCAAGTCTTCTTGTTTATACTTACTGTGGTCCCTTCCAGCAGAGAAGTCATGTCTTCTTAACTAGTGCAATGCGAGTTGTAGTAAATAAAGGATGACACAACCGTCACAAATAAATATCGATATCAACAGCTTATCACTAAATGTGTCAAGAACAGCATCACTAGTAAAGATGCTGATGCATGTGGGGTTGGAAGGCATAGAGATTGTGAGAGTCCGCACTCCGAGGCCGACGTTATGCAGGAGAGTAAGGAAATGGGCTTAATTTGGCAGGGCATTGTAAGACTCGACTCGCTATTTTACGAGACCATGAAAGAGAAATCGGTAGAAGTAAATGATGTGCAAATGGATTATACAGGTAAAAAAAAATGTGGATTGAGCTCTACATAATAAGGTAACATATATTTAGTAAATGGAGGAAATCTAGCTGCTCCAGGCTACTAATGAGCATGTGAAGCACTCTAGTGTACGATTGAGAAATAACACTAAAATGACTTGGAATAGCGGCTCGCAAAATTTTGGTCCCATGCGACCAAATCAATTATGAAGGTTGAAGCTACAGTGAGCTCTTCTCAACATGGAGCCTGGTTTTATTCTCTTACTGAACCAATAACATCTTCTTCATCATTTGTAAGACTACGGTAAACAGAAATGAATATATGACCTCGAATCCAGCTGAAAGTCAACATTTCTGCTCCTAGTGTCTCTCGTATCCTGCTGTGTGGTTCATTTTTGTGGAACGAAAATTCAAAATTCTACACTTCTGAAAAATCAAAAGGATTTTTTTTTTGACTCACTCTGACCAACTTTGACTACATCTTTATACAATCTACAGTAGAAAAGCTATTATTAGGAAAATGTCTTTCTCCAAAGTTGCATTCAGTGAAATTCCCACTGCAAACGTAGAAGCCATCATTAATTCGCCAGAAGAAAAGGCGTTAGTCTCTCAATACGAAACATTGGCTCCAAGATACTCTGCTGATGAGCCAGAGTTGTTAGTTCAGCTTAATGAATCATTGAAATCCAAGACTTTCGTAGCTGGGAATGTATTTACCAAGGCTGATTTATTGGTATTTGCCAACGTCTTACCATTAACTAAATCTTTAAGCAAATCTAATGATGACTTGGCTAAATTCAGACACATTTTAAGATGGGCAGATTTAATTCAATCAAATTTTGTTGATGTTCCTGAGGATGCGAAATTAGTACTTGATTATGATGTAAAATTACCAAGAGAAGTCAAGGAAAAGAAGAAGCCTGCAGCAGCTCCAGCTGCTCCAGCGGCAGCAGCTTCTGGCGCGGAAAAAAAGAATGTAGAAGGTAAGAAGGCTGCAGCTCCAGCTCAAGCTGGTGGGGCTGCTCCAACTGAAGAACAAAAGAAGGCAAACGCTGAAGCTGCCAAAGCCAAGAAGGCTGCCAAGGCAAAGGCCAAGGCCGAAGCTGCTGCTAAACAGGCAGCTGCTGTTGTTCCTCCCAACCCATCTATGATCGACTTCAGAGTTGGTTTCATCCAAAAAGCAGTTAAGCACCCAGATGCTGATTCTCTTTACATGTCAACTATTGATATGGGAGATGCAGAGGGCCCAAGAACTGTCTGTTCTGGTTTAGTTAAGTACGTTCCATTAGAAGATATGCAAGAAAGATATGTGATAACTATTGCCAACTTAAAACCTGTGTCAATGAGAGGTGTTAAGTCGACTGCTATGGTCCTCTGTGCTTCTAATGCTGATACAGTTGAATTTGTTAACCCTCCACCAGGCTCTAAGGCCGGTGACAAGATTTTCTTTGAAACTTTCGACGGTGTTCCAGAAAAGCAATTGAACCCAAAGAAGAAGGTATGGGAAGCACTTCAACCACTTTTCTCCACTAATGAAAACTTTGAAGTTACATTCACTGAAGAAGGTAAGGAACCTAAAAGATTGGTTAACGCCAAAGGTGAATTATGTAAGAACAGCACTCTTGTAAAGGCTGATGTTAAATAGACCCAACATGTATTCAGAAATTAGTATATAAAGAGAACACCAAAACCTACTTTAACTCATAGGTACTTTTGTAAGCAAAAATTTATTTACACCACAATCATATACGATTTTTTTTACCGTTGATAGATACAGTTCGTTCCACCGCTCAAACCACCTTACCATACAAACGATCGCCAGGTTTTTTTTTTTCATACTATGCGCGATGGGGTTGCTCTCGAAATTAACCAATAAATTAAAATAAGAGTAAGCATAGTGGCCAGATCCGTTCACGCTATAGCAAAGTTTCATTTCTTCTTCTTCTATTCTTTTTTTGTGCTTCTAGGGTAATACACTGAGATGAAACTTTTGAAACAATCATTTGAAAAGGATAAGTCCGGTGCGACAACTTTGATACCCCAAGATAAAGAGGATTTGTGGCAATTGTACAACCTTATCCAAACAGGCGATGAGATAAAATTGAGCACAAGTAGAAATGTAAAGAAAACACAAGGAGGTGCTGGAACTTCAGCTTCTTCAGGAAGTAGCGGAAAAGATAAGGGTAAAACAGAAAGAGTGAATTTGACCCTTAAATTGAAAATAGAAAATGTAGATTATACCCCATCAGATGAGGTTTTAAGAGTCAGAGGTAAGACTGTAGAGCCGAACGAATACGTCCCTATGCAAAGTTATCATACTGCAGAAGTTCAACTAAATAGTAAACCATTCACATTATACAAAGAAGAATGGGATGAAATAAGCTACGGTATAATTGTCAAGGCGTGCTCTATTGAAGATAAGGCAGAAATTGGAGCGGTGGTAATGGAAGAAGGAGTTGCCCACATTTGCTTAATTACCGATAATATGACTGTCTTAAGAAACAAAATCGAAAAACTGATTCCTAGAAAAAGAAGAGGAGAAGGTGGTGGTGGCCAACATGACAAAGCTTTAGATAAGTTTTACAATATGGTGAGTACAACCATGATGAGAAATTTTGATTTCAATAAATTGAAAGTTATCATATTAGCGTCACCAGGTTTCACTGCGAACGCCTTATATAAGTACATGTTAGCTATTGCAGCAAAGGAATCCAACGGAGCAAGCGGTGCGACAAACGCAATCAGTGAGAACGAAAAGCGTAGTGTTATTACCAACAAGTCCAAATTCATAATAGCCCATTCTTCTACAGGGTATCTACATGGATTAGAAGAAGTGTTGAAGGACTCATCGATTCAACTGAAACTTCGCGACACGCAATTCGCCCGTGAAACGTTAATATTCGATGAATTTCAAAGAACTTTGAATGCTGACGATGATAGAGCTTGGTACGGGCCAACTGAAGCAGCAAAGGCTGTAGAATTGGGTGCGGTTAAGTATTTAATGATTACTGATACCTTGTTCAGAAGTGACGACTTGGGCGTTAGAAAGCACTATATACAACTTGGTGAAGAGGTGAAGAAAACAGGAGGTGAAGTATTGATATTCTCCTCTTTGCATGAACTGGGAGAACAGTTAAACCAATTGACTGGTGTGGCAGTGTTGTTAACATACCCAGTTCCCGATCTTGATGAAGACTAGTGGAAAAAGAATAGAAGCCGAATCTACAAGAGAAGCTCAATAAATAGATTATTTGTATATACAGTAATACGAAATACATAGCGTGAAGCGACCCGTAGATAAACTACTATCAAGTCAGCCTTGACATGCTGTCATTTCTAAAAGTACAACCTTGGATTGATATGCGATCTTATTCTCAGCTCAATTTTTCACTGCTACTCACAGTGTCAAACCTAGGGTTCTTGATTCCAAGCTTGTCTATATACCACACTCTTCCACCTCTGGTCCATATTAATAGGTCTTGAGTGATTCCTAAACTTAGCCCTAAGTACCCTCCTCTTTTCACATTCTTCCATATTTGTACCCTGCTTAAGTTTTTGTAAGCCCCAAATATACCACCCAGAATCATCGCTGCACCTACCGTATTGAAGAAGTCTATGGTACCATTCCTGGCATATTTGTCTATGCAGTACTCTAACCCAAAAAACCCACATACAGCCAAAGCAGTCTTCGAGGATTGTATAAAAGAACCTCTAATACCATCTAAAAGCATCACATAGTTCTTCTTCTTATGGTAAAAATACCAACCACCAACTTTTTTAGGTAGTCTATGTCCGTTTTCAGTTAAATATCGTAACGATGAAATTTTTATTCCTTCGTAAAAGCCTTGGAATCCACCTACAGTAGCACCGAGGATACCTACCACTTTAATACGATCGTGCGGAAACAAATGGAACCTTTGGTCTTGTATATTGGACATATAGGAATAGGGATACTTGAATGTTACCTTCGGGTAAGCAGAGGCTAGTTTTATTGGTGAAAAGTAGTTTAGAGTTGAAGAAGAAACTTAGGCATACAAAAATTTTAAGCATATACGCTTGTGTTACATGCAGGCTGGAACCAACTCTATGTAAGTGATCCTAGATATATGGATAAAGTAGACGGAGAGGGCATTGTACATCCAAGTGACCTGATTTGCGTTTAATGAGCTTAATGTACATCGATATCTCAAATTTACTTAAAGCATTCAAATCATTTTATTATTATTTCAATCAATGGTTCGGCCCAGATCAACCTCCAGATGTGCTTGAATGTCAATTTTCTATATTTGCTGATAAACTACAAGCTATTCGTGATTCAATAAACATCTATTTCATCATCAAATGGATATCACTAGACTAAATTGAACTACCAGGCTCACAGAACAAAAAGCTTCTCATCTTAAAGAAAAGAGGGGTCAGCTACGTCTCATAATCCACATCCTCCTTCATTCTCGTTCCCGTTCTCATTATCATTTATCTTTCTTTTATTTAAATATATTTCACCGTTGTTCACATCTCTACTGGTCTAAGATAGACTTAACAAATTCAACATAGTCAACATTACCGTCAGAGGTGACATTAACACCCTTTAATAATTCATCAACTTCGGAGTCAGATAACTTTTCACCAATGGAAGTTAAGATGTATCTTAATTCACCAACTCCAATGTATCCAGTGTTGTCCTTGTCAAAGACTTGGAATCCCTTAATGTAATCTTCTGGTAAACCTAATGGCTTGAACCCATCTGGTCTGTTGATAATCTTGTGGTAGACATCAAAATCAAACTCGTTGGATTGAATAGAGTTTTGTAAAGTTGAGATTTCGGCCAACGTTGGGTTTTGACCAACTGCTCTAAGTAAGTCTCCGAGGTGTTCAACTGGAATCTTCCCAGTTCCCTTTTTATCAAAAAGAGCAAATGCGTCCTTGTAAGTTTTAATGTTTTGTGACTTGCAATGTTAGTGAAAGATTTTATAGAATAGTTCGCAGTCGAGCACCAAAGCGGCATAAATGAGAAAAATTGTACGCCTCGTGCATAAAATTCAAACTCCTTAACGGAAAAGGTGTAACTGCCTCAATTGTGTAGTTGAATCAGAACAGGATCAACTAAATACACGTTATCAACAACAAAAAAAAAAAGTTTTGATTTGACCACCACGAATCATACTACCAAATGCAAGCGTCCAGCTTACTTTCGTTCGGTGAGCTTTATGTAAACACCAGTCACCTTAATTACACCGCCTCGAACTGCAACGTATATCTCCTTTACATACCATGATTGTTTCTGTTAAATGATAAAGAGTATTGGATCGGTTTTCAGTTACAGAATTTTATTTTGTCTATTTTGATCTCAAATTTTTTTAGACTGAAACGTAAACAAACAATAGTCGTGCGCGCATAAATATGGAGTAGGTGCAGGCTTGTACTTTGTAAGATAACAGTATGTTAGTAGCCCAATACTAGTACTTGCGAATAAAGGCGACAATGATAGAAGACATCCTAGCCCGGTACCAGTAACCACATTTCAAGTTGGACGAAATTACATCTCTTTTGAAATCTCAATGATAAGAATCATTAGAAGTGAGCGTATTCGTGTTGCACGTGATGTGGCACGTGTACATTGATACTCGAATATCATTGTTCGTTACGCAGCTTATACACAAACATCGCGTTCCACAACTTCAGATGATCCTAAGTGATTGAGATTGCCACCGTAAGCATAAGTGATTATATATATACATATATATATATATATATATATATTCATGTCACCTTCTGTAGACGTAGTAAAGCGGAGGCGCATTACGAAGCAAGAACCTGGAATCGTAGGAAGTAATGGCGATAGCAACAACTTGAATCCAGTTGGATCTAGTACATCTAAATTCAAGCCTGGTTATTTGATCCAGGTTAAGGTGTGGAATTTTACCACCTATACTTATGGTGAATTTAATCTCTCACCGACTCTTAATATGATAATTGGACCCAATGGGACAGGAAAGTCAACTTTGGTGTCCGCCATATGCCTTGGTCTTGGAGGTAAGATAGATTTAATTAAAAGGAAATCTATGAAGAGTATGATAAAGAGTGGGTTTGAGGAGAGTAAAATTATTATCACCTTAAAGGGAAGAGAAGAAAACGAAGAATTCATCATTGAAAGGAAATTCACAGAGAGGGAATCCAAATGGAGATTAAACGGTAACAGATCGGACGAAAAATCGATAAGAAAACTAGTGCTATCTTTTAACATCCAATTGGATAATCTCTGTCATTTTCTTCCACAAGAAAGAGTTGCAGAATTCGCAGGATTGTCGCCTGAAAAGCTACTCTTGGAGACTGAGCGTACTATAGGTGATGGGCTGTTACTTTCCATGCACGAAAACTTGATTCGTAACGACAATGATATAGTCGAATTGAAATTGAAAATAGATCAAACAGAAAAGGCATATGCAAACTTAATGGAAGAAAAGGATAGGTTACAAGAGGAGGCGAAGAAATATGAGGAATATCAAACCAAGACACAGGATTTAAACAATCACGTAAAATTAATACCCTATGCTCAGATTCAAGATTTAAAATTGAAGCAGAAACATCTCAAAAAAGAGAGAGACTTGGCCAAGAAGGCAATAGAGAAATTTAACTCAAACTCTAAGCCAATTCAAACAGAATTGACAAAATTCGAAAAGTCCTACGACAGGGAATTGAAAGAATTAGAACAACTTGATCTTTCCAAGGAATCTGTCTTGAATGAATTTAAAGATCAGCACAGGTCCAAATTACAAGACAAGGAAAAAATTGCCGAACTCAAACACGCAATAACCCAACTAAAAGCACGCTCTTCAAGGAAATTAGAAGAATTAGAGCAAAGGAAAGTGGAATGTGATGAAATTAAAAGGAAAATTGCTAATGATTTCCCCGAAAGTCAAAGTCACAGATTTAATGAAGACCACATTGAAAGGTTACGGGTTTCTAGAGATGAGAAACATTCAGAATTAGAAGAAATCAATAGAGAATTGGAAGAATTGGAAAGAATTTTGAGACCAAAAAAGCAACATTTCGAAAATTTGGAGCAAGAAATGAATGAAAACAAAGAGAGATTAACATCCACTGACAAGCTTGTAGTCTTACAAAATGCAATTCAAAATAATAGAAGCAGGGGAGGGAATAGTGGTGGTAATACAACTGAACTACTTACAAATACCTTTGGGGCTCATAGGCTCCTCAGAAAAAATTATTTGCCAGAGTACAAAGGAAAATACTTCGAAGCACCAGTAGTTTCATGTGAAATTAGTGACAAACGGTATTGTAAATATCTTGAAAAGGTAATTGATAATAATACTCTTCTCTGTTTGTCATTCAATGACAAGCAATATTATGATGAAGTAAACAAGATTGTCTTCCAAAAATACAATGCTCCCATGAGAGTCATAACTAAACAAGCACCTCAATCTAAAATTCCAGTTCGGGATATTAAGAAATTTGGATTTGATGGTTACTTATCTGACTTCATATCTGGACCGATGGAGGTTTTGAATATGTTAAATGAAATTTCCAAACTAAATCAAATTCCTGTTTCAGTCAACCCACTATCTGAAGCACAATTAAATAAATTACTTAATGGAGAAAGGGTACCATTCACTAAATTTTTATCCGGAGATAATCTATTTAGTATATCCAGGTCAAGGTATGGTTCGAAACAGCTCTTCTACACTACAGAGAAGGTGCCCGAAGCTAAATTGTTTAGCAGTACAACTGGGCTCACAGAGCATGCGAAGGGAGAAATAGAGACATCTATACGCGACATTAAAAACCAAATGCAAAATATTATAGCTGAAGTTGAAACATTCAAGGAAAATATTTCAAGTTTAAAAAAGGCGAGAGCAGAAGCTAAAGATAAATTTGACACCTTAACGAGCCAATTTGAAGATATCATCAAACTAAAGAATTTGAAAGTTACGCTTGAAGGAAGACTTTGGACAAAGGAGGCACAAATGAAAAAACTAGCAGAAGAATCAAATAGAGATTGTTCGGAAAAGATTATGCAAATTGACGCCAGGATTAAACAAAAATATCATTCAATTGCTAATGCTGAACTCAAAAATGCGACTTTACTCCGTAGCTTAACTGAATACAGTGCTCAGATTTGCCATAGAGAATTCATCTGCCTTCAATGGGAAAATAGAATTGCTACTGCCAAGGGACTTCTTATTGATTTAGAAGGGCGCAAAGAACAATTACAAAGTGATTATGCTGCTGCAAAAGCTAAGTATGATGAAATCAAAAAGAGTGATGCAGCAAAGAAAATTCAAGAGCAAAGTAGTTCATATACGGATGAAGAGAGACAAATACTTGGAAATCTTGCTGCTATGTATTTAGACTCCAACACTCTTACAGAAGTTAACATCCGCGACAAAATTAAACTTATTGAAGAAGAACGTTCACTTATGCTGACAGTAGATCAGTCGTCAATGGAAGCATTAAGAAGGAAGCTACAAGAGATTGAGTTTGCTGACAAAGAGCTTCCAATCCTAAAGTCTAATGAAAGAAAACTAGCACGTCGTATAGAACTTATTAGACTGGAGTGGGAGCCACAAATTACTGACCTCATAAACAAGATTTCCCAAACTTTCCGTAAGAGATTTACTTCAGTTGCAAGTGATGGCCAAGTGGAAATTGGAAAGGCTGACAGATTTAAGAACTGGAAATTACAAATTCTTGTTAAATTTAGAGAAAATTCAGATCTTAAGATCCTTGATCATCAATCACAATCAGGTGGAGAAAGAGCGGTTTCAACTATTTTTTTCATTATGTCTTTACAGGGTCTTACTGAAGCTCCATTCAGAGTTGTTGATGAAATAAACCAAGGTATGGACCCAAAGAATGAAAAAATGGCCCATAAATATCTTGTACACACGGCATGTGCTAATAAATCTTCCCAGTACTTTTTAGTAACTCCAAAATTATTGACTGGTCTATACTACCATCCGGATATGATGATTCATTGTATATATACAGATTCAAACTATTCAAGTGATAATAATGATAGGAAGAAGAAATCAAAACCTTCCGATTTCTTGGATTTTGCAAGAAAGTTGGCAATAACAACCTGATCAAATAGTAACAAATGACACAGACCTTGATATTAGTGATAGATAAATGGACGGGCGAATTAATTACGTAAGTTGACACTAAAAATTCTATATGGTGTTTATTTCTATATACATGTGTATGTTACAAGACGGCAAGTGCATTAATAAATCGTGCCAAACTTTCCTCTCTTCCAAGAATCTCGATAATGACAGGAATAGTCAAGCCTGGTTTGCCACAGGAGAGAGCGAACCTCAATGACATGAATACCTCTTTTTGAGGATAACCCATAGAGCGCACAACCTCTTGGAAATTAAATTCTGATGATTCACTTGTAGAAGAATATTCATTACTAAATTTTTGAATAATATCCCTAGCATTTGGTGACAATTTATCTTTATTGGCTTGAGCAAGATCAACTCTTTCGAAAAGGTACGAGTGAGAGCTTCTTAAATCGTTAAGATTATTGATCGAAGGTCTAGCCTTTTCAAAGCAAACTTTAAGGTAATCAGCTGATACATTACTGGGATACTTTGGTAATTCTTGATTTACCAATTTCACAAGTTCTTGTGGATTTTGAATTCTTTTCTGTAAATGCATTTTATTGAAGTACTTCAACTTTTCTTCAGTTACCTTTGCGTTTCCCTTTGTCAAATTATCCAAGGAAAACGATTGAATTAATTCCTCTAGGGACATGACTTCACTTGTACTAACTCCAGCATGCAATCTTGGAGGCGACCATCCGAAAAGTGCTACAAAGTTCACCAAAGCCTCAGGTAATATTCCTTGTTCATCTCGAAGACTAAGTACCCCCATATCTCCAGACCTTTTAGAGAGCTTTTTGTCGCTTAGGGAAGTAAGTAGAGGTATGTGAATAAAGCTGGGAGGTTCCCAGCCGAATGCTTTATATAATGCAATATGTTTTGGAGTGGACAGAAGCCATTCTTCTCCTCTAATTACATGGGTAATTTGCATCAAATGATCGTCTACGATATTAGCAAAATGATATGTTGGCAAGCCATCTGATTTCATTATGACAAAGTCATCATATCTTCTGTCAAGTAGGTTTACTTGAGGTTGCAAGTCCAAAGTACCGTGGGTTAAATCTACAAAAGGTGGATATACTTCAGGAGATTTAAACCGAATGACATAGTGATCATTTTCTGTATGTACTTTTTCACCATCAAGACAAGACCTGTCGTACGTTACCGTTGTTGGAGGCTTTAACTTCATTGCCGATTGTCTAAGCAGATCTAACCTATCTTTTGAGCAGAAACATTTGTAAGCATGTCCAGAATCAAGTAAAACTTGCACATACTTTTGGTATATTTCTTTCCTATCTGATTGCCTGTAGGGTGCGAAAGGTGCCGTTTCTTTGTCACTCTCTGGGCCCTCATCAATGTTTATGTTACACCATTTTAAGCTCTCGTATATATTCTGTTCTGCTCCTTCTATCAATCTCTTCTGGTCTGTGTCTTCGAGACGAAGAATAAAACTTCCACCCGTACTCTTGGCCAATAGATAGTTATATAATGCAGTTCTTAATGAGCCTAAATGTAAGACACCAGTAGGAGATGGTGCGAATCTGGTTCTTGCAGGAGTTTTGGGGTGAATTGAAGCATACCATCTGGCAAAACTCCCGAATTTTATAAATCCCCTTATTGGAGACCCTGATGTCTTATTAGATCTAAACATAGAATTGGATTTTATCCCCCACTCTTACTCTTTCTGGTCGTTTATTTAAAAATACATACATTAGAAGTACGCTCTGGGTACATTCCTCGATACCACTCATCATAGTCCTGCATGTGGATTTTTCACTTCTCCATGAAAAAAACTGTGAAAGCTGAAAGGGCATTAAAACTTTTCACTCTTCACTACACTTAAATCAGGACTTATAGTATTGAATAAGTGAAAAGAAAGTGAAAGATAGTCTAATTTACGTACTTTACTCAGAACTTCTTCAGAATACAAATCATGGAAGGAAACGCTCTTTCTAACTTTTCCTCCTCCGGTACTCCAGATTTGGCTCGTTTGCAGATGCTCAAAGCCATCAAAACTCAATTTTACATCCATAAATCATTTGATATCCAATCTGATAAGGAATTTTTGCCTTCTATACCAAACGAGTATGACCACCATCTTCAGCACAATCCATACGGCCAACCATCTCCTTCTAGCTTATACCATATGCCAAGGAAGCAAGCCTCATCTGCTGTGACGATTTCTTCACCTAATACTGTGACACCTTCTATGCAGTACAACAGAAGCATCGATTTCAACGGTGGATCTCCATCGCCAGCAACTTCTTCATTGCAAATCAATGAATTATTAAAGACGCCCAAGAATAGAACTCTTTATGTTAATCAAGCTTCTCCTAAGAATAGAGCTGCTACTGGGGGCATAGCCCTTAGAAAAAGGATCTCCTCAGGACCTCAACAGCTGCAGCTGCAACCATTCTCACCACAGCAAAGTCCTTTTGGAAATGCACCAGTTGACTCCAATCAAAGATTGCACAACATTAACAACAACAACAACAACAATAATAATAATAATAATAATAATAACAATAGAAATTGGTAAATTTTAGCAAATATAGAGAGATTGCAAAAGCTGGTCAAAAATAATTCTACATCATGGCAGGTATGATGGTCTGACAGCCGTTGCCTTCAGGCCCAAAGCATCATTCATATTGCACACAAGAGTGCACCACCAAATAAAATTTCACAAGTGGATTTTTTTTTATTTTTTTTCAAAACTTATTCACACGCTGTATTAATAGTAATTCCTTCATATTTCATCCATATTCTCGTCCATAGATTAATAGCCTAAAATTGTTAATATCATACGCTTCCTAGGTAACTATGATAAGTAGGTGAAGTATAGAGTAGCAATGAAGTAAGCAAAAAAAGAAAGTCACGCACTGCATATAAATTTGCAGCCATTCCTGCGTACAGCATTATCATGCATGGAACTTTCAATTAACATTAACTTGGTGAGTAGTCCTCTGATAAAGATCTGCTACATCACATAAGCTAGGGGCTCCAATACTTTGAGACCGTAAGTATTGTCCTCATAATTCATGTAAACATTCTATTGAGTCGAATTGTAGGTTTTCCGCTCCTTTTCCTGTCCAACTGGTTTAATCCCCCAAAATGGCTCCTTTTTTTTGCCATTAAATTGGCTGTCACATGATCCGATGGCAAATTACATTTCACTATATAAACCCAAGTGATTTTCATTATATCCTCAAACCACTTCACTAAAAGTAATTAAGTACTCAGCTAATTGGAAAATATTAATTCTTCCTTTATCATTTTCTATCGTTGCTGAGCTGATATCTTGAAAAGAGTAATTCTTTTACATTTTTTAAATTTCCCCTTTTATTAGCTAATATACAATGACTAAAAAGGATGATTCTAACTCCAACAGGGGTGAAGTAGATGATTATGAGATTATTATGGCCAATATTGATAATATAAGTAAAAGTGTTTTGTCAATTGGCCAACATTTATTTACGAAAGACCAATTTGACAAGATGCAGGCCAAGTCTCAGGATTTTGTTACTAAGGTTAAAGACCAGGCCGATGCTCTCTATCGTAAGAAAATAGATGAAGCACAAAGTTCAATTAAGAGTGCAATTGATGATGCTGAGAAGACTATTGAATATGGTAGAAATGAAGTAGATCAATACTTCCCGCGCCCATATCAATCAAGGGACCCGGATACCTTAAAGTGGGAGAGTAAGAAACAGAACAAGCTGCAATGGTTCGATCAGGATGAACCAGCGGACTCGTTATTCGGTGGTCCTGGATTTGGCCCTGGATTTGGTCATTTCTTCTCCAGAAGATGTGAACAAACCCCATTTGGATATACATGTAGGAGTCCAAGTAGAAAAATATATCGTGATTGTACCGATAAGGACGGATTGAAAGTCTGGGACTCCCAAGGTCAATGGAGGTGTTTGTTCCCAAATGCTGAAGTTGAACCTTCATTTTTAAGAATTAAGAATGAAAAATTTCCTGATAAGGTTTTGACGAAGGAAGATTTCTTGACGGCTGTTAAGAACGTCTCCAATAATGCTAATTCTACTGACATTAACAGTACTAATTCTGTTGGCATTTACAATCTCGGTTCCAAGGGAACTTTTTTCAACCAGTTTTCTGATTACCTTGACTGGAGAAGGTCCAATTGGAGAGAATCAAGAAAGGGCCATTGCTCTAGAAGTAAATGGGGTTCAAGATGGGATGACAACAGCGACGGAACTCCGGAAAAGGTTTTAGCTGGTCAAGCTGATTCAGCAACACCTTCTAAATTGACTCCAAGCTCCAATTCTGACTACAAATTCGATTCTTCACCATCCGTTGTATCCTTCTCTCTGGTTTCTTCCTATGAAACAAACATCAACTCTAAGGAAGTTGTGTTGACAGAAACCAGGACAGAAAGCTACAATGATGGTACGAGCAGCACCAAGAATGTTTACAAGAGAAAGCCAATTGGAGCAAACGAATGGGCAACCGTTGAGGAATATTCTTCTGGTAAGAATCAAGAACCAAGGGAAATTTTAAGTTCTAATATTTCCAATGACAGAAAAGGATGGTTTTGGAATTGAGAATAATGTGAAAGCAATACAATATGTTTTTTTTTTTTATTTTGAGGTTTTTATTTTTGTTAGTTTTTAGTAGCAGATACTCGATCAGTCTTGTATATATACCCTATTTGGGTCGAGGGAATTTAATGTTTTTACTTAGGAGGAGATTATTGTAATGAGTTCTTAAGTATTGAACTGTCAGTAGACAGATTTTTGCACCCAAAAATAAAATTCCTGGACAAGTATTACACCTCAAGGAGGCAAAACTAAATACATAAAAATGAAGATTTAAGCCACTTCTAAAGTAATGGAAGATAGTCCTGTCTCACTCTATACATTTCTTCTAAAGTTAGGCGAACCCTGGTGTCCATATATGATGGAATCAATTGTAGTACATGAGCAATCCTGTACGTAAACGTTTACCTTGACTAGGAGAAGAAGTCAATTTTGTGTAATTATTATAAAAAAGGTTCATACATTCAGCACTTAATTGAAATACATGGAAACAACTTGCCCCCTTCCTCAAAGTATCATAAAACAGCACTTCTACAGATAAAGAAAGCCAAACATCATTAGAAGTTATCATTAGCATCAAAATCATAATCAGTCAAACACACAAAAAAATCAAATAAAAATTGTACCAAATGAATCCGTTGAATAAAATTATCTTTCTCTCAGCATTCTTAGCATCAGGCTTTTTGTTAATATTATTGTCTTGTGCCTTATTCAATAATTGGAAACCATTATGGGTAATAGGGATTTTCTTAGTCGCGCCATTGCCTAACATAATTGCACAGAGTGTAGAGAACCATAGAGATGACTTCTTGACGTTCTCGAACGATCACGGAAACGCACCTAGCGCATTAAAAGAATTCTGCCAACATGCAACCGGTTTCCTTATTGTAAGTGGGATTGCCTTACCTTTAACATTCTACCACAGTCATTTAATTGAATTGGGAGCTACCTTAATGAGTATTATTGGGGGGTTAATTGTGTATTCTGCAATTATAGTGTTTATTTGGTTCTTCAGCGTAGAGGAAGAGGAAAATGACGATTTCAACTTTTAAGATGCACATCATAAACCCGACCATTTTTAACTCCACATTTAACTACCACATTTAAGTACAACATTTACGCTACATATTTTTGTGTTCAGTATGCAATTTTTTATTACAACAGTTCAATTCTTCGCAGGCTAATAGATAGAGAAGTTTGATCTGGGTAGCAGGAAGGTTCGATATGGAAAGGTTGCCACCAAAGAGTAGGCTACACATAGTTTCATTCTGCCATATTGTATTGAACCTTTCGGCTCCTATTAATAATTAGTTAATAACATTTTTAAGTTTAATTCAATATATTGATTCACTATTACAAAGAAGTAGTAAGGGCAGTAGCTGAAACAATTGTGTGACACCACTCCTGCGTAAGTGCACATGAAAAGAAATGTTCAAATTTACACATTACATTTACATATTGCTAAACCATTTCCATTAATTATTACCTATATATACCACATTGCTTTAATTCAAGACAATCAATAACACAATCAATATTATTGTAAGCAAAATTATCGTAACCATGCTCCCATTTTCCTTGCACAACTTCTGGAAAGATTTCAATCTGTTCAGAGCTTGGCTAAGTCTAGTATAAGCCCGATCTACACCATTTTCTAAATCATTCAATAATATGATATGTTCGTCGATCTCTTGGTTAATCCCAAGGCCCATTGAGTGTTGTCGGCGAACTGAGTCCAGTAAGAAACCTAAATCATTCTCTTGGTCTAATAGTTGTTGTTGGTGCTGAGCAAACATTTGCTGATTAGTCTGTGCATCAAATGAAGATGCGATTGAAGAAGTCTCGCTATCCTCTACATCGGTGTATGGTTTAAACTTGGTACCACCACTCATTAACTGTTGCCTTGCAGCAACATCCTCTGGATCGTCCTCAATTAAGTTATCCTTGAACCTCACTACTTTACCCCCTGCAGGTGAAGAAGCGGCATCATTATTTTCAGCGTCCTTTCCATGTTGCAAGTGTGGTGGTTTGGGGAGATCCCCACTTTTTGTGAATTGATACTCTGAAACATCTATATATGTATCCTTTTGTAAATCAGATGTTATTTCTATGTATGAATTATATATTTTGTCAAATAAGGATAAACTGATTTGTTAGTACGTTTTCAATAATATATGCACACACTTCTGCACATGTCTACATATATCCATGTTCCTTTCACTTTATATACTTACACTCTATCATAATCCTCTTTCGGTATACCGGAATTGATTTCCCTAGTGAAATCTTCTTCAAAGTACTTCATAACCCTCAGCATTTTCTCTAGTTGATTAATCAAGTCTAGGTTATCGTTAAATGAAGGAACAAGTTGAAGTACGGAAATCATTCTGTCTCTTTCTTCAACCTGAGATTCCAACTCATCTTGAAATACCCGGATTCTTGTCAAGGACCTATCAAGGTCCTTTATTGTCATTTCTAAGGCTGATCCTGATATGCTTATCTAGGTTTCCTTTGAGGGTTTGCCATTCCTTTTTTTTGGTGCGATAGTCGGAACTTCTTTTTTTTTTGCCTACGGGTGATCTGTTGATGTGACTGCATAAAGATAATTGTAATGAAAGAGGCTGTAGTGTTCATAGCCAACAGTTGCAACTACCCATTGGACTACTAAAGTTTATAGTCCACCATATTACTGGCTTGACTGCTGTGGATATTTTGAAGTATCAAACTGTCTCACGCCCATTTACATGAATTTCATTATATTGATATTCTATAGAACTTCTAATTAATCTCTTGTCTAGTTTATACATCTACTCCGGGTAGGTTCGGCATTCTCTTTGGATAAGAGTGGGTAGTAATTCTACTGTTTTAGTTTTACTGCGGATTTTTGCACTAAATCACCGCTAAGTTGGGAAAATGGCATATAATATGTTTATGTTGTGTTGTCTTCGTTTGTGAGTGTGAGTAAATGCCCATATTTTCACCTATTCTTGTGTTGTGTTTAAGGAAATACCTTTATGATATACGTATTGTGGGCTGCACTTTCTTGTATGGTAGTGGTAAAATTTCTTAATTCGTTTTCTATGAAATCATTTTCAGATAACACCATTGCTTCCATGCACTCCAACATCCCACTCAAGTGATCCACCGTCGACGTACCAATCCGTATTATATTTTGAAACTGTTTGTGGGTCATAGGTGTAGAACAAGTGGGTGATGTAGTAGTGATCTTCACAGCGGTCGACTTTGGAGGAGGTGACTCTGAAAATATAGACGTATCCGCTGTATGGGTGGATTCTTCATCGTTTTCTGTATCTGAGTTAGAACTAGAATTAAACGAGTCCAAGAAGTCTTCTATCGTATCAGTTGTAGTTTCCGTGTTATTATAACTGTTTATATTGTCGTTGTTAGAATTGTATGGGGTTAGGCGACTACGAGTCTTCATTAATGTAGATGCTGACGGTTGTGTGAGTTCAATTGTTTGAATGGGAGAAGTTCTGATCGTCCTCGTGGAACTTGTCGAACTAGCAACAGAAGGTCGTCTAGAGAACTTCTTCCCAGTATCGTAATCATTGTTTTCAAACATTGCAATTCTATTCTTTATACTGGAAGTATTGGAGCTTACATTCGTGCTCCGTGAGCTAGTGGGGTTTAAGCCTCCATACTTCAATTTACTACTACTGCTCTTTTCATTTGCACATTCCAATTCAATGGCGTCTCCTAACAATCCATCCAACTGGCTAAATAAATCTTTTCTTCTGTTTCCCATCGTTACTAGCACTAGGTAACTCTGATATGATATGTATATCTCTTTTGTTAATTAAGAGAAAAATAATCTAAGATTTGTCAACTAATAAAAAAAACAATTACTAAAAATTTCATTCAAAAGCTGGTAACTTCTTCCTTCGTCTTTTCCTTAAAGGTTCTTACGGAACCACACGCATCTATACTGTGCTCTCTTCCAAGGAGATGGATGCTTGCCTTAATGCTTGCAGGAAAAAAATACGAGCCCATGCGTCACCTAACAGCCCAATATATTCGCGATAAACTTTCGCGTTCAGGAAACTCACAGTAAAAAAAAGCTTGCAATAATTTTTTTTTGCTGGTGAGGTGACCACTTACATACCTCGTTACCAGCCAAAATTAAATGAGCAGAAGAAGAAACGCGAATTAAAGTCTAAAAGCAGGAGAAATGAACAAGAAAAGTTTAATGTCAGGCACGGTACCACGAAGTTAAAACTATTGGTTACCTCTCATAAATTATTGACTTACTGGAACCATAACAAAGCTGTAGCTGCCTAAATTATCGTCATCTTTCGTGGCTGTTGGTTGCTGGCATTGTCTTAGTTGTTCTACACATTGTCCCACATATTGTCCTACACATTCTGGAAAACCTGCATTTGTTTACCTTACTAATCTAATATGGAAAAAAATACGACATTTTAAACGCAGGACGGGCTCAATTTATATGCATGAGACCGCACGTTTCGAGATGGGTTCCTGGGGAGAAGTAGTGGGCTTTTGGTGTAAATACGAATGAGATGCAAAAGAGCAGAAGTCTAGCTCAAAGAAGACTGTGGTTTGATGATACAAGTAGCTTGCTTTGAAGCAGGTGTATAAAAAAAAAGAAAAAAGAAAACACTCGTATTAGAGTTTCTTTATTGTGTAGATCAATAAACCATTGCAACACAATAGAACAATGTGCAATTCAGAAGTATTCTCAGAAAATGCTCAACTGCATTTCTTTTAGTAAGTCTTAGCTAGTTTACCGTTCATCTTGATTTGACTGCAGTGAGCCAAAATGAAAACAAACTCCAATACTGTTTTAGTAACAGTATTTTTTATTCGAACTTTAATCTGCAATCCATCTTCTACATTTCGAAGACAGTGATCCCAAAGTTACTGAAGTCACGGGAGGCGTTGTTTACATTGCGAAATTTGCAGAACTCATTGGATCGTCACCAACAATGTCCCCTATTATTTCTCTACTATTGTTACTCGGTACCTTATGTATAATCTATGGAATAATAAATCTCGGCTAATTAAAGTTTCGTTTGTTTATTTTTTTTTTTTTGACGGCGACAGAAAAATATTAACGGGTTAGTGATAACTTAAAAAAGTTAATATCAAAATAGACTGCAGATAGCATGAAGCTCTCCTAATCAGTCAAATCGCTATATATAAAACAAGTGTGGGGCTTGCCTGCTTCCTGCTTCTCTTGTATACAGTGTTGCCTTTGGAGTGATGGATAAAGAGAGAAAGCAATGTCTCACGTGGAATTCCACTAAAGAGAACTGCTTCTCAATACTCTCAAAAATTAATAACGAGACCTTCCGGAGTACAAAGTTACTTTCGTCACTAAGCTTAATTATGGGTATAATTGTATGTTGAAGTGACAAGAGTGTACAAGTTGAGCCAGGAGTGTCTCCTAGGTCAACTGGCTGTAGCACTGTAAAACTGTATTTTTTTTTCATTTGCGCCCAATTCACACTGATTGATATTTATTCTTTGCTTCTTCTTTGTTTTGCACCCAAATCGCATGAAACTCAGCTACATCTCTTTCAACCTAGAACAGCAAAACATTACTCACTGCTGCTTCATACTTACTTCTGAGTATGAATAACAGGTAAAAAGTTATGTACTATTTCCAGTATAGGCCTTGCTATATCAGTATTTTTATCTTATTCTTATTTAGGTGTTGCGACGTTTAATTATTATGACATTTACAAAAGCTCACCTAACTAACATCATCCAATAAATACTCTGAAAATTTCACCTTAAAAATTTTTTCAAACAGGCCATTAAAGTGATTTACCTCTTCTTCGCATCTAAAAGTTCGCCATTTTGCTCAGTGCATTTGCTTAAATTTGTGACGATTGTCATTAGCTTGCCCATAAGTTGTAGTGTGTCAGATTTGTCGTAGTAATTTATCAGCGCGGCACTCCGCGGAACGATAATACTCAGATCTATTCACTGCTGAAAACTATGCGGAGATTATTAAACACTACCGCGGAAATTCTCACAGATACAGGCTGAAATATGTGTTCCGCTTCTTTCTGAATGGTGTAATACTCCAGATTTCAATTCCACCCTCGTTGTAGGCCGCCATTCAGACGCTTTTGGCTAGTTTATCGTCTCCAATGCCTAACATTTCAGTCTTTGAGACCTGCATACAAAGAAACACTCTAATTTACTGCGCGCTACGGCATAGAAGCTGCCCCTCCTCTCCATCAATGATTCCCTTTATGGCCAATGGTGGTCACTATCTTATCACACATAAAATAATACCGCCCAGTAGGGAAATAGCTCACAAAAAAAGTATATAAAGAGGTCTATATATCGACAAAATATAGGTTAATATTGATCTAATTTTTTTTCAATACAAAAGGCAACAGCAATACAAATACAGAAAAAAAAACGATTGACTCATTCTTAAAGTATCTCATTACAAGAATAGATCAAACACAACACCAACTATAAAAGAAACTTTTTCTCACTATTTCCTTTTTTTTCTAGTTGCTTTTTTAATAACACATTTGTAAGAAGAAACTTACTTATAAATTATCTCATATTTAAATAAAACTATATTAACAATCAGAAATGACTACTGAACTGACAATCTCCAAAAAGATCTGTGTTTTTTGTGGATCAGGATTTGGAAACAAGCCTGCTTATGCAGATGATGCAACCTTATTAGGTCAAAAGATCGCAGAAAAGGGCTGGGGTTTGGTTTACGGTGGTGGTTCTACTGGTGTCATGGGCGCAGTTGCTAGAGGGTGTGCCACAAGCGGTGGTTACGTCCATGGTATAATTCCAGAAGCACTTATTGCCAGAGAAAGAACTACTGAAGATGCCTTAAATACCAAATTGAAGGAATCAATCGACAACCATGATGGTTCGACTCCAATTCCAGACCTGAAAGAGTACGGAAAGACCACCTTGGTTAAGGATATGCACACCAGAAAGAGAATGATGGGAGAAGAAAGTGAGGCATTTGTTGCATTACCAGGTGGATACGGTACTTTAGAAGAGTTGATGGAAGTGGTCACATGGTTTCAATTGAGTATTCACAACAAGCCAATCGTTATCTATAACCTCGATGGCTTCTACGACAACTTCTTGAAGTTTATCGACGATGCGATTTCCAGTGGTTTTGTGTCACAAAAAAACGGGGAGATCATCAGAGTTGCAACCACCGTTGAAGGTGTCTTGAATGAAATTGAAAATTACGTGGTTCCAGAAGGTAGATTCAACTTGAACTGGAAGGATGCTTAGGTAAAATATAGTATAGGAAATTAGTATGCGCGAGAGTCTGATTATATTCTCATCAAATTTCAAAAGCGATAGATTAATAAAAGAAACCAACGAAAAAACCCTAGCAGGGCTTGAAGTGTAAGGCAGAAGTGGAACATCTGTAGTAAGTGAGAGTTTGGAATTCTCTTGTAGATGCAGGTGTTTTTGAGAAAAGTGTAGAGCAAAAGTAGACCTCATCTGTAGCAAGTGGGAAGAGCATCTATGTCGATGTAGGAGGTTTTTAGATCTTTCCGGACGGTTTGACTGAGTTTCAGAATTCTAGCGCTTAAGCTCACACTGATCAACTCTCTTACAATATTCCATACTTCCCCACAAAATCTACATTTCTATCCTTCTTTCTCTCTTTTAATTAATTTATTAAATACTCGCCCCATATAATTACTAATCTCAATCTCAATGTGGATTGTAGTCTGCATCTTCTCCATCGTGAACATGGAATAAATCTTCAAACTCATCGTTTGGAATTTCCACCTCATTCAAGAGACCAGTAGAAACATCATACATCACCCCCCAAACTTCAATAGTACCATTTTTAAGCGCCGCAGATGCAGATGGATGTCTTTTGAGAGCCAAAACCGACAGCACTACGTTCAATTCGGCCAATTTTCTGGCCTTTGCCTTTGGGTCTTCGTTATATTCGCTCAATAATTTCAAGTTGGCAGCTCTAATATGTCTGATTGGGTTTAACCATAAATCTAAAACTCCACCAATCTTTTTGGAAGACAATGAAGCCCAAACCCCCCCACAATCAGTATGTCCACACACAATAATTTTCGAAACTTTTAAAACATCAACTGCAAATTGAACTACACCTTGAGATGAAATATCGTTGGAATTAACGATGTTAGCGATATTTCTGTGTGTGAATACTTCACCAGGTAAAGTTGCAAGACATCCTTCACCCGCTCTAGAATCACTACATCCAATCCACAATGTATGCGGAGATTGTCCTTTACCATTTAATTCAAAAATTTCCAGCAGATGATTAGAGTTGATATGTTCAACAAAGTACTTGTTGTTATTAAAATAATCTTGCTTGTTGGAATTCTTCAGGAGTTTAAACGGATGATTATCAGACTTGGAATTTTTAGCAGATGTGGTAGTTTTTACTGCCGTGGCTTCTGCGCCTGCGTTAATATCCTTGGATGCAAGGGGAGTCAGTTGTGGTAAATCAGTTTCATGATCATGCTCCAATTGGTAATGAAGAATATTTTCTCTACCCATTTTGTATGCAGAATAGTGGATTGATGAAGTTATTGTATTGATGATTGAGGGAGGTTTGGGAATTCTTAACAGCAGTAAACGAAACACTGTAAACTTAACAAAAAACAAAAAAAACGTAGAAGCACAGAAAGATTGACCTCTGAATTTAGCTTACTTCGATTTTTTATTTATCTTGTTTTCAAACTGTCTTGTAAGGCAGTTGGTAGCCCCAAATGTCAATTCTCTCGAAATGTTTTCCTCAGTTGATTTTTTGAAAGAGTTATTCGATTTCTTGGTCCTTATATCTATACTGATAAAGAGCAAAAAACGGAAAAATCAAGCCAAAAAATAGAAAAAAAAGGTAGCCACGGTTTAACAAAATCAAGCTCGCACTATTAGTCCCACAATATTTTGTATGGGTGTGTTGTTGTAGAAAATTAATTGATAAACCTGAGTTCACGGGCAATTGATTATATAGAAACAGAGAAGAGCCTGATTGAAAAAAATAAAGAACAATCGAATTATTTATATAAAAAGGAGAAAGTGAAATTAGGTTGGCAAAATGGAAAAAGAAAATTTACAAATACTAAGTGGTAAGCTTTACATCATCGTGTGTTGCTTACTCTGATATGAGTGATTGGGCGATTAAGAGTCAAATTTTTTTCCAAAACCCAATTTTTTGAGTGAATGAGCTGCAGATATGAGGACGTCATCGACAGTCGTGCGAGGAAATATATCCAACATACACCTTCCTTAAGAATTTTAAGAAATTTCACATGTACATTATTTGTTGTGGCAATGCAGATAGTAAGTCTTTAATTCCTCATAGATACTCGTTAATGGGTAATATTATATTGGAATAGATACAAATGAAAACCTGCACTGTACAATTTGGGGGCAGTTCTCTCCCATAATTTACTTTTTATTTTTTTTTTTGAATCACCCCTACTCTCTCTTGGTTTCTCTTATTTTTCTGCTTCGCTAGTAGTGATTTGAATGTGTCAAAAACAGCAATTTCTTCTCAACGGGCCGGACTACTTCATGCTTGATGCAGATATAGTTGCAGTTAGCTTGGCTTTGCCATGCTGAATTGCTGAATAATTTCGAGAATTTCACGTGATCTACTTCGCTTAATGGTCTATTGTTAAGATGCATACCCTTCGGGCCACATTCGGCCCATGGCCAAACTGTTATCTCCATGCACAAGAGTCACTAGTCAGTATGTGTTCGAATTACATTACATTCTAATTCTCTTCGTGGATGCAAAGTACTTCCAAGGCCTTGTTCGAGTGTTTGACGTCGCTCTGCAGCTCGTCTCGGAGTGCATTAGCTTCCTGTTTTTACAAGAGCGTGAGATCTGTTGACTCACGAAAGAATGCAACATTTTGCTTAAGAAGTGCAATTCCACTACTGAGAATAGTGGTATGAATGGTATGATTTACTTCCCTAGGTATGCGAATGCAATTATCTAAGTTCTGTACCTTCTAGCGTCGTATGCTCTAATCCACACTAAGTCTCTCACCATTTAGAAGTAAGTATTTCTATATGCAGTCCGCGATGGTTTTCTTTCCTAGTCGCGGCTGCAACGCGTTTAAGGTCGGTAGATCATATATCGGATTTAACGAAGTGCAAAAGGACGTAGAATGTCTCCAATACCTGTCGACATGACTATTTCAGACTCGGAAATTGATGCTGAGGATGGCTTGATACTACAGGAATTAACTTCTGGGATTTCGACAGCTCCAACATCTGCCATGGAATCTCCAGTCAATGAAGAGCAGAAAGAGTTTGATAGTCTTTCCACAGACACCAAGCTTGCAAAATTGGATAACTTGGTACAGAAGTCTCAAGTTTACTCCAAAATCATTGCAGAAAACTTAATGGCAAATGTACAACAAAAGAAAGAAGACAAGAAGAATACTTTAAGCTCCCGTAGTAATCGAAGTAGATTGGCTAAGGATGATGTAGATAATCGCCAACCAAAATTATTGTCTGGCGCAGAAATGAGAGACTATCAACTAGATGGCTTAGATTTTTTAGTTTCACTATATGAGAATGGATTGAATGGTATACTAGCAGATGAAATGGGGCTAGGTAAGACAATCCAGTGTATTTCATTTATTACATTCTTAATTGAACAAGGGATCAAAGGCCCGTTTTTAATTGTGGTTCCACTTTCGACTGTCGGGAATTGGAAGAATGAATTTAAGAGATTTGCACCCAAAGTTAAAGTCTTACTGTATATTGGACCTAAGGATGCTAGAGAAGAAATAAGGACAGGTTCAAATGTCACAAGTCCAAAAAATGGAAATAGAAAGGGTAGATCTAGAAAGGTCGTAGGAAACTCCGCATTTGAAAGTGGTGACATAAATGTAGTATTGACTTCGTATGAAGTTAGTATCAAAGACCACACCTTCTTACGAGGTGTAGATTGGAAATTTTTGATTGTAGATGAAGGTCATAGACTCAAGAACAGCAAGTGTTTATTAATTCAAAAGTTAAAGGAACTAAATGTTCAAAACAGATTGCTTATTACAGGAACGCCACTCCAAAACAATTTAAATGAACTTTGGTCATTACTTAATTTTATATTACCAGATATTTTCCATGATTTGGAACTTTTCCAACAATGGTTCAACTTCGATGAGTTGACTAAGTTGAAGTCTGATCGTAGTCGTAATTCCAATGAAAGCAAAGTTGAAGAATTTGAGAATAAATTGATTGAACTAAATATTCAGAAAAGTTTAATTGAAAACTTGCATACTATTTTGAAGCCCTTTATCTTAAGAAGGTTGAAGAAGGATGTTATAAAGGGTTTGCCTCCAAAGAGAGAATACATTGTTTATGTGAAGTTGACAGAGAAGCAAAAGAGGTTGTATAAGGAATGCTTAGACGGAAAACTATTTGAGGCATTGACAAGAGAATATTTTGGTGATTATTTGAATAAGAACTTTGTCAAAGATGTAACTATGCCTCAAAAGAAGCCTGTGTCTGCTTTAGAATTGCTAATGACTGGTTCTAAAAATGTTTCAAAGAGTACAATCTCGAAGAGGAGAAGTTCGTCAAGAACACTGAAAACGAGTGATAAAGACGTAGAAGTTACTACATCAAGTATTCAGTTTTCTTCTGAAGACATTTCAATATTCTTAGAGCAAAAGTTCACGCCAAAGCAACTTTCTACCAAACGTAGAAAATTGTCTAAAAGACGTACTCTTGAAGAGGAGGATAGTGATCAAGAATTTGAAATACTTGAGGAGGAAGAAGTCACAGAAGTTCCATTCTCTGTGGAAGAATTGGAACGCAAGTTACTCGACGAGAGGTATCTTAAATCACTTCCATTATCTGAACGCAAACTCTATATTCTTAATACACTTTTCCAAAAAGTGACCAAAGATTTAAGAAATAGAAGCTTGCAAAATTTGTTGATGCAGTTGAGAAATATTTGCAATTCCCCATATATTTTCTATGAACCTTTCCCTACAATAGATGGTCAGGCAGAATTACATGAATCCTCTTTTATGGAACTCTTGTTGCACAATTCATCTAAAATGCAAGTTTTGTCACAGTTAATATCATCGCTTCTTCCATTGGGCCACAAGGTGTTAATATTCTCACAATTCACGAAAATGCTTGACCTAATCACAGATTATTTTGCTCATCAGGGAACTAAGGTATGTAGGTTAGATGGATCCACGTCTCAAGCAGATCGTCAAGAAACTATCGATGACTTCAATACACCAGAGGGACCTCCTATTTTCCTTTTATCTACCCGAGCAGGTGGTTTGGGAATTAACTTGACAGCAGCAGATACTGTTATATTATTCGACAGCGATTGGAACCCGCAGATAGATCTCCAGGCCATTGATAGAGCACATAGAATCGGTCAGACTAGGCCAGTCAAGATTTATAGATTTGTGATGAGAGACTCAATTGAAGAAGTTTTACTTCTTAAAAGTTATTCCAAGATCTTCTTGAACAAATTAATTATCCAAATGAATGAGCACAAGACCAGATCTATGGAAAAACTTTTGGAGGAGAATGTTGGCAATCCAGGTGCTTTGAAAGAATCGGATGAATTAGTTAATAATTTGAAGAGTTTGATCGATTTGCCCAAATCTTTCAGTCATAACTTTGTTAAAATTAATTCAGATGACGAAGATGTTGCTAAGTTGAATAAATTATCTGAAGAAGAACTCTCTGAATTATTAGATCGCAGGGAAGAGTGCTATGAAGGAAAACAAAATAATGCTGAATTTAGAAACATAGCAGTTTTCGAAACCGTTAACAACATGGAAACATAGTGTGACCATGTAGTGAAAACATAAGATGATGTATAGTTGTGTGAATTGCAATAATAATAAAATCACAACTATAGCATTCCAAATACGAATAATCAGAGTTGCGGAAATTTCACAGGTGAAATTCTTTATATGTATTTAATATATGATCATAGATATTCTATAAAATGCTAGCTACTTTTCTTCAACTTCTTGGCCAGACCATTTGGCATATTCTTTCCTCTTATTAACAATATCAATGAATTCAATTCTAGTCTCCAATTCAGCAAATGGGTTAATTTTCAATTTTTCAAATTCCGCAGTTGCCTTTGACATTTCAATTGGCTTCAAGTACTTGTGATCTGGGTGAATAACTTCATTATCCACAGATAAGAAGTTTGGGATCTCAATTGAGCTCAAAGATCCTGCTACTAATACTACAATTCCAACGAGCACTTCAATAATAATATCTGACGGTAAACCTGAATCCGTTGAACTATGGTGAGTTGTCTTTAAAAGTTGGTGGAATTCAAAAGACGAATATCCTGCATGCAAGAGTAATATACTTCCCACGATGTATAATATTTTGGACATTTTTAGGTTATTGTATGTATATAAGCAGGTGTGTAAACAGCTATTTACCTGGTCTTACTATACTTGATTATTCAAGTAATTACCTCTATATAGAGAAGGGTGGAGTTGATTGTGTGAATGCTCCGTATTTTTGAACTTTGCTGAACGTTTTTTTGTTCAGTGAGACTGAAGCCATGTTGTTACTGCATACAGGACGGGTATGGCTGCAGAGTCGTAGCTCCAGTCCATAGAATACTTATTGGTATGGTGAGAAGGATTGGGAGATGAACAAGCCTGTTGAATGTTTCACAGCTGGGAAAGTGGTTATTGCTGTCGACTAAGGGCATTGAACCGATTTTCCTACTTCAGTGGCCATGTTACCAGTTAGTCATTTCATTTAGTTGGGCCGTTATCGTGTGGGTCAGTACAGTTTGACTCAGTAGTAGGTGGAATATCCGACAAGTGGGTCAAATGAGTGTTAGAAGCACAAGAGTACCGAGGTTTGGAGTAGCAAGCTCTGTTTGATGCTCCGAAATTTTTTTACACACACTCTGTTTGTTGATTAGCATATTGCTCAGAGAGTATAAATCACCGTTCTTCTATCCATTTCACTACAACTAACATACTTAATGTATGAGTTGAGCGATTGCATGAAGTCATGCCTTCTGTGGCTTAAGTATCTTGGACCTCAGTGTACAACGAAAGTTTTTTCAAGTCATTAGAATATATTTCCCCAGGTTTGGTTTTACCCCAGATATTTGATTTTTTTTTCTGTAGCCCAGACAACACAATAGGTGCAAGGTAGAAGAAGAAAAAAACGTGAGAAGAGAACTTGCAAGTGCTATTTCTCTAACAAATCAAAACAAGAAAGAATGCAGAGACAAACAAAGCTAGAGACAAGAGGTGTGGTTGCATCGGACAAACAATAACGCACGGAGTTCAAAGAATAAAGCAGTGGTTAAACAAAAGTGGATCGATAAAAAGAGCGTCAAACAATGCACCGTGTGTCTTAAGAACGCAAGGTTGTTTTGAGCATACAAACGTGACCAGAATTAACTTCACTTCACCGTAGTAGAAGAAAACGTTTCCAGTTCTTCATAGTTTGCTGCGGAGCGGCCTTGTAGCCAAGTGTAACTAGAGGAAGCGCGATGGGTCGAAACCACGAAACCAAACAAGTCAATGTATCAAGACCCAAGCGGCTGTATACCGAGGTTTAAGTGGGGTACAGAAATTTTTTTGAAACAACCTCAGATCAAAGCCTAAATCAAATCCTATCAAGCTCGAGAAGAACATGGGCTAAGGGTGTACACTGGACTTAATAAAGTTCAAAGAGAGCACTCTCTGAGTCCAGGAATCCGCAGTGGTTAAGTACCATCACACACTTCACCTCATGTCACCTGTGACATCTCGATGACCCACAAGCTGAGCTGGAAAATTATTCTCTTGCGTCACACTTCTCTCTATATTTTTTTTGGTGTTGATTTCTTTTTTTTTTTTTCGCTCATTTGTTTTCGGACTCTTCGTTTTTTATTCTGCACCATTGTGCGCATGCATCCTCTATATTCCGATTCGTGATCACTATTGAGTTAGTGATCGTGTTTTGTATTTTTTTATTTTTCTCTTTTCTTTTTACATTTGTTTATATATAATTGTGTTTTTCCGATTTGTGGAGAAGGCAAATGAGTAAGCTTTGTAAAACATATATAAACAAAGAAAATCTTTGAAGGAAGAAGAAGAATATTTTTTCAGTTCCTTCTATCCCATTCATTTTGATTTGGCTTGATTCTAGATTTACATTCATCTAGCGAGACTCATATTTTATAATTTTTTTTTTGCCACAGCGAGCTACTGCATAATCTGTAGATTGCTAATTAACCACCGTTGCTTCCTCTTTTAATTTTTGCTTATCTTCTGATCTTCCGAAGAAATAATAAGCAATAAAGAATATTGATAGACTTGCAGGAAATCTTATAAGAAGGTTATCTATTGCACATTCTTGACCACGAAAGCTTAGAAGCTCGATTTTTCTTCGACACACATTAACAGTGCCTATCGCTAGATCAATCTTTTTTCCCCATACAAACAAAGCTAATCGCAACCCCGGATTTTCTAAAGTCCGTCCCCCTCCTCAAACACACAAGATGCAAATTAAATCAGCGATCATCTTAACATGGATGGTCCTTGGGATCCAGGCGTTTTTATTGCCGCTCTTCTATTCTCAATCTCCATTCTTTTCCGGCAAGTCGTCTGAAAGAATCGAGAGAGAGGACTTTAACGTATGGTTAAATCAGCAGAAAGACATTGCTTTCAATCATATTTTAGACAATATAGGTGGAATTTCGCCTGTTTTGAATACCAAAGATGTTCCAGTCGGTGTTGTTATTGCCTCCCCTTCAAAGGTACACCCTAACTATTTTTATCAGTGGATCAGAGATTCTGCCTTGACTATTAGGTCTTTGGTTTATAGATTAGAAGACTCGGACTTCACTGAATTGAATCTTGCTTCTACTATAGAGTCTTATATTGCAAATAACTATCACTTGCAAAGATTAGATAACTGGTCTGGTAAGTTGAATGTCGCTACTGGTGACTACTCGGGTTTAGGTGAACCTAAATTCCACGCAGACTTAACGGCATTCAAAGAAGTATGGGGAAGACCTCAAACTGATGGTCCAGGTCTTAGAGCTACCACCATAACCATTTACTTGAACTCATTGGAGAAGCACAATCGTCAACCTGAACATGAACTTTTGCTCAGCAGAGAATTCATTTACCACGAAATTGTCAAGCCTGATTTACATTATATTTTGCAATACTGGAATTCATCAGGATTTGACCTTTGGGAAGAAGTTAACTCTATGCATTTCTTCACCAGTATCACTCAATTGAGGGCGCTCAAGGATGGGTTGGCTTTATACGAGAAGTACGATAACAAGGACCCCGAATTATTTGAAAAATTGAATGCTACTTATGAGAATCTAAAAAATTATATTGTTAATGAATCAGGTTACACTCAACCAGGTCTCCCATATATCGTGGAAACCCCAAGTTTACTCTACACGGGTAAAAGGTCTGGTTTAGATGCTGCCACGTTTTTGGGAGCATTACACTCTCACTCTCTTGAAAACAAGGAACTTTTGGATTTGTATGCTGATATCCCATTCGATGTTAGCGAAAGTCATATATTAAACTCATTTAGGGCTATGGTCGCCGACATGAAATACAGGTACCCCTTGAATAGATATAGACCAGGTTGGGGTGTTGCTCTTGGAAGATACCCTGAAGACATTTACGATGGTTATGTGACAACAGAAGGTAACCCGTGGTTCATTTCTACAGCATCTGTTGCTGAGATGCTATTCAGGATGGTTTACAAACTAAACTATTATAAGGAAGACTTGGTAATTTCCAAGGAAGCTAGAGATTTTTACAAACAATTCATTGACTTGGTGGGAGGTGATGATAATGAAGATAACGAGATAATTTTTCCTTATGGATCACCAGAGTTCAATGCTGTGTCTGCTAATCTTGCAGATTATGCTGATTCTTTCTTGGAGATCATCAAGGACCATGTTGACGATTCTGGTAGAATGAGTGAACAATTTAACAAATACTCAGGCTATATGCAAGGTGCTGAAGATTTAACTTGGAGTTATAGTTCAATTTGGAACTGTATTAGATGGAGATCTAAGGCTTTAGAGGTGTTATAAATAGAATTGGTATATTTATGTGATAATGTGATATTAGAAATTTATTAATAGTTGAAAGCTAATATGTGTAATTTTTATTTATCATTGAAATAGCCCATAGGGTATATCTAGATTTGATTATGTTTGTATAAATATATATATATATATAGAATAAGTTTTTGACATTGAGATAAACCAGTGACATTTACGACTTTACTCAGAAGTATGGCGTTCAAATCCATCTCACATTCACAACCTCAGAGTAGTCGTCACTATATCTCTCTTGCTCTCTCTTTTTAGCATTATCTCTAGCACTTGTAGTTTAAATGGACTTCTTAGATTCAGCCTTAATCTTCATTTTTGATTCTCTCTTTTCCTTCTTTCCTGGACCAGCTTCAGTTCCCAAAACGAAATCCCACCATCTGAAACTGGAAGCGTAACTTCCTATAAAGTAGTGGTGGTGCTCATCATGATGGTCAGCACCAGCCCAAAATGGCAAGAAGTGATGTAAAGACCATGGGAATTCGTAGCCCGAGTGAGCATCTACGGCTTGGAATAATCTTAAGGCAATCCAGATACAGACAGTGAAAAGATGTAATTGACCTGTGATTAAACACCAGATGATTGGGATACCAACAGTACCAGTACCCAATAACATGACTTCGACTGGGTGAGCGTATTCTGCAGCCAACCCAAATGGAGCAGCGTATCTGTGATGTTGCTTGTGAATGTATTTATAGAAAGCTCCATAGTGTAAACCTCTATGGAACCAGTAATGCCATGCATCTTCGCATACAAAGAATACAGCTATGTGAAGAGCCATAGCCCAAATAGATGGGAATGGAACTTGATATTGAATACCAATCTTTTGACACAATGGATGGAAAAACCAAATTGGGAAGGCCTCTACAAGGAAGTGTGAGGTTAACACACTCTTTAAGCATTCCCATTGTTCTTTATTGGAAGGAATCTTTGCTTCTTGAATTTTGTATTTGTTGAAGTACGGGATTCTATCGATGATGGCCCATGGTAAACATCTTCCGAAGTATAAAAATTCATGCACACAAAAGAACAATAATCCGGTTGCGAATATATCGTTACCAATGTAGTAGTAGTAGGCACCCCACAACTTTTCGAGAGGGTTTAAACCTTCGATGGTAGAGAAGTTATTGTAGGCATCTGCAAAGGTTGTCGTATTCGAGAACGATGAATAATCGTGATACACACTAAAATTAAATGTTAGTATACTGCTAAAAAAAAATTATACTCCATTCAGTGGACGCCCGTGATAAAATTTGCCGCATCAATTTGTTGGACGTGCCAAACTTGATGTGGGAGTTTTCTTGTTAGCCACCCTATACTGCTGAAATTGTGGTATTTGTCCATTATCATTACTTTTCTGACATTTTTATAATTAAATTTTTGCACCTGAAACTATCGGCTGAAATATTATGACACTCTTTCACTAAAAATTTTGTACTAATCTAAGTTTTGCTCAGTTAGAAGCACCTTATCTCTGAAAAAGTTTAGACAGAAAATTGTTCACGCTGATCCATGAAAATTTTTTATTTACATACCTAGACATTGCTAACACAAATTTATTATGACCTTCTATTAATTAGTATAATTTGGAGTTTCTGTATCAAGAAGTCGAACTAGAAGAAAAGAAAACAAAAATTTTGTAAATCAGGAAGACCAAAAATATTTATTTGGGTGATGTTTGGCTCGGTTTGTTGCACTTGTCGCGGTTCGTTTTCTTTTCTTTTCTTTTTTTATGCGTGTGTTTCCTTAAGTGCTTATTATAAACCTGCACATATCTCTATACGAGATAAACGATGTATACGAGAGAGTCCTGAACGAGCTACTTCTGAGAGACGAGGTGTATGTGACGATCACATGACTGGAAACTTTGGATTGGAAAAAAAGAAACGCTGACACATCTCAGCCAACTTAAAATCCGGTCAGCTGACATGACAGATACTATATACAGGATTAAGTAGAACTCAGTAGGCGTAGTGTGGAAAGCAAGCAGTTGGTGTGACGGACACCTTCTTAAGGAACGATGGCTTCCATTGCTCTAGTTGCTACATTTGCAGAAGAGGGTTTAAAATGCCAAAAAGGAGAAAAACAAGGTTCGAAGGGTTTTCGAAGCAGGTAAAAGCAATCGGATCGAGAAGTTCCGACCTTTCTCCATGGGGAGAAGAACGAGGCTATACTCTTATTTCCATGGCATTTGAAGGTTCCGGCGAAGTAATGATATTACCGATGTTACATGATAAAAGTTAGAAAAAAAAAAAAAGAAAGCGTATACACGGCGACTCCATCAAAACTATTGTGACACATTCACCTCAACTTAGGTAGAGGCGGACCCATCATTGCTGTTCAACGCCGCAATCATAAAACTACGCTCAACATTAGAATTAGCGTAGCACAACGAGCTTCAAGAGCTTCTTTAGCAGGTTCATACTACAACGAAAATTACTTCAAAGGCTCAATTACTACGCCAGAGTCACTTCATCCTGTTTAACAGCCTCTCTTTCTTCCCGTGCTTATTCACAATTACAGCAAAGTTGAAGAAAGTGAAAAAAAAAAGACTTCAAAAAAAGAAAAAAAAAAATAATCATGCAGCTCAGACAGTGTGGATTTCCTTGTCACATCTCCGAGCCAGGGCTCAAGACGCACATCCCTATAAATATTAAAGATAAACCTTCTTGCCGATCGCTTGAAGTCTTAAAGTGGAAAATTCCGATAGAAGAAGACTTTTTGACAGTTTGATCGTATTTCTTGAAGAAAATACGCTATAGTAAGAGTATCATCCTGATAGTTAAGTAAACGACATAAAGAAATCGATAGAGGATATCTTCCAGTGAGAAAAGAAAATATTCTTAGATAACGAAAATGGCACCTCCCAAACCACGCGAAGTAGACGAAGCTGCTATAGAGGAAGGAGATGCAGAGGATGTAATGCCTCAAATTTCACTAAGTAGCTCTCAAAACTCATCTCTTAACAGTGAGGAAGACAACCCTCCTGAGACTGTACCTGTAGCATATGACCAGGATGAAGACCCTGAAAATGATGCTAGTACGAAACGGCCCAGGCGCACTTCGACAGGTGCTAGAGCCCAGAAGACCAGATCGTACTCATCTTCGTACACTATGGCGTCTCAAGTATTAGGCTCATTACGTAGGTCTATGAGTGGAACTTCGCTGTATAACTCAGGCACACAAGATCTCTCTAGACAACAAACTGGTTACTCCGTTAAAGACATTTATGGCACCTTGACCGACAATGAAGTGAGGTTGCGGAGAAGCTCTACGAGGAACACTATCTTGGATAGGTTATCGAGTAGAGTGCAAAATGAAGATAATTACGCCACATATGAAAAGAAGTATAGAGATGAAGAAGATGAAGAACACGAGGATGACGAAGAAGCTGAGGACGATGATCATTATGACGATGGTCACAGCTTGGATGCTGAAAAGGTGGAAGATGTCGTACCTATTCCAGTGGGTGAATCTCTAAGTAGAATGCAAAGTAAAATGTCGGAAATTGAACAAATTCCAGATACAACTGTACCCACAGTTGATCATGGTCGTGAGTTTGTCAGTATCGATCCAGAATTGGTGACATGGGATGGCCCTGATGACCCCGAGTTCCCAAGGAATTGGTCTTCTTTTGATAAAACGTTTCAAACCGGTATCGTTGCATTTTATACCCTTATTTCTCCGATGACTTCTTCTGTTTTGTCTCCCGCTGTTCTGGAAATATCAGAAAGTTTGGGTATGGAGAATGATCTGTTCTTAAAGTCATTTTCCGTTTCCGTAATGATCTTGGCATGGGCAATTGGTCCTTTGATCATTGCCCCTATATCGGAGAGTGAAAAGGTAGGAAGAAGACCTGTCCTCAACTTGTCGATTTGGATTAATTGCTTTTTCCTAATTGGTTGTGGGTTCGCCAGAACACCAGCGCAATTATGCGTCTGTAGATTCTTAGGTGGACTTGGTGGCTGTGCACCCTTAAATGTTGGTGCTGGTTCATTGGCTGATTTGTTCGACAACGATAAGAGGTTGATTGCCATGGCATTCTACAGTATATGTCCTACTTTGGGACCGGTTATATCGCCCGTAATTAGTAGTTTCATAGTCGCAAACGTAAGTTGGAGATGGGTCTTTTGGGTCTTGGCCATTTTCAATGCTGCCGTTGCAGTGTTTGGAGCTATATTTTTCAGAGAGACCTATTCGCCCAAATTACTTTATAATAAGTGCAAGAAGTTAAAGAAGGAGACCGGTAATCCTCATTTACATACAATTTATGAAATTGCAGATGGTGAAACCAAGTGGGGAAAATTCTACATAACCATATCAAGACCTTTGAAATTACTCTTAACTCATCCAATGGTGTTGGGATTGGGATCATTTATGGCTTTCACTTATGGGTTTATGTACTTGATGCTTGTTACATTCCCAGGAGTCTACGAAGGTAAGTATGGCTACTCCACTGAGATTTCAGGTTTGATGTACTTGCCAATGGGGATAGGATACATAATTGGTACTGTATTCTTTACCTGGGCAATTAACGTGATATACCATAAATTGACTGAAAGAAACGGTGGAGTTGCCAAGCCAGAGTATAGATTGCCCTGCTTGTGTTTCCTGGGGATCGGGATCCCTATTGGTCTCATCTGGTATGGTTGGTCTGCTCAAAAGGAATTGATGTGGCTCATGCCTGCAATTGGAACCGGCATATATGCCTTTCTGTTCATTGCTGTATTTCAGACTATTCAAAACTACCTCATTGATATGAACCCAAGATTTGCAGCCTCATCAATCGCCGCTGCTGCTGTCTTTCGGTCACTCTTTGGGTTTGGATTCCCTCTATTTGCATCCAGCATGTACGACAAATTGGGTTATGGATGGGGAAATACACTATGTGCATTCATTGGACTTCTCTTAGGTATTCCATTCCCGGTATTTTGTTTCTACTACGGTGAAAGGTTGAGAAACTGGGCCAATGCCAGAATGGACAGAGAGCAAGCAAAAAGAGATATCGTAAACTTGAAAAGGCTAAAGAAAATGAACGAAGAAGCAGAAGAAACATCCTCTTCCAAATAACTGAGAAAAGAATATAGAATGCTTAACATGGTAAAAAGGTCACTAACTACTTATACACATACATTAATACAACATTATATAGAAGTACCAATCATTTACTTACTGTAGAGCGCTCCTTTGCACAAATTTGCACCCAAACTTTGGAAGAGACTACACCGAAAATTTTGAACTGCACTATGTAACAGCAAAATTCCTAGCATTGTGAGTTAAAACCAGAGCCACTGTGAAATCCTCTTATCTAAGAGTACCAGCAAACGGTATCTTCTCTTGCTGGGAAGAAAGCATGTGAAGAGATATGCAGCATTGTTATATGCAGTACTTTAGTGATGGATCGAGATCACTCTGGAGTTGCACTGATCCAATGAATTGTGACCCCAACCAGGCCAGAAATGGCCAAAAGGGGTCTCGGTTGTGCCCAAGAGAAGTGGGTGGTGAAAAGAGGATTGATTAGAACTCATTCCCATCAACTTTACCTCTCTGTAGCTAGTACTCGTGGTACTTTACCAAGCTGCCGATTACATTCCATTCTTACAGTGACACCAGCATTTCATTCTTCCTGGCTACAACATCCTTCTTTTATAAAATTTTTATGGTTTATCATATACACTGAAGCAAAATCTTATATAAACAATATTCTGAAGCAAAATCAATTCAAAACACCATCGATCCATCTTTTAGATTTATGACAACACTCCTTCGTACTTTCACTCACTTTCGTTCTTTTTTTTTTGTTTCATTTTTCTTTCACAAATTCAATTGCTTAAGCAGTGAATGACAAGGAGAAACCTAACTTGTGGACAGGTTCAGCTAACTTCAAGGCATCGAAAGAGGCACCAAGACCTAACTTAACACCAGGTCTCAATTCTTGGGAGTAAGCTAAAGCGGTTAAACCAGAGTCAGCAATCTTAGCCTTGACGAAGGCAGTAGAGTCCAACTTGTACTTGGTAGCGAATTCAACACCAACAGCGTTAGACTTGACGGAGTCCCAAGTAGCCTTGGCACCAGCTTCAACTAATGGAGAAACCTTGTGGTAGTAGGCAGCAGAGAAGACAGTCAAGTTGTTGGTGGCGGTGGCAGCAACGGTGTACAATGGCTTGGCGTAACCAACACCAAGAGAGTATCTGTTGACCTTGGCGGAGGAGATGTCGTAACCTAATTCGGCACCAGCGGTGAAACCATCGTGGCCAACGGCTAAGTCAGCAATGGCATTTGGACCCTTCAACAAGTCGAAGAATAATCTGGCGTTGACGGCGTTTTGTTGGTAGAAGAAGTTCAACTTGGCGTTTCTGGCTCCGTTTGGAATGACAGAGGTGATCAATTCGGACTTAAGACCTGGGGTCAATAACTCAGACAATTCAATCTTGGTGTCCAAGACGTTGGCGTTGTTCCAACCTTGGGTCAAGGTCAAACCAGAGGCCTTGTCAGCGTACTTAGCTTCAACATTGGCAGCAATTGAGTTGTCCTTGGCGGTCTTACCCTTGACAGTGAAGGCAACACCGTTTGGGGCGGTGGACTTGACGTCAATAGCAGCGGTGGCTAAGTGGAAGAAGTCCTTGTTGAGTAAATCGTTAGAAGACTTTTGGATATCGGAGTAAGCTGGAGGAGACATTGTTTAGTTGTGAAGTTGAAGATCAATTGAGATAAGAGACTACAGGGTTCTAACAGAAGAAGAAAAGAAAGAAAGAAAGAAAGAAAAAGCAAAAAAAAAAAAGTTTCCAAACGCCAGTGGGAAAAAATGTGGATGATGCCAATTTTGTCGGTCCTTATATAAGGAAGCATGTTTTGGTGGAGGTGCACGACGAAAATGTTGGGAGGGGATTATACATAGAGGAATTGAAAGTGTGTGCAAGACTATGGAGGAAGGGAAAAAACGAACGTGTGCCTGTGCGTGTGTATCGTGGTGTATAGACGTTTCTGATTGGATGTGGAACGAAGTGTATAACCGGGATTTCCAATTGCTAATTAGTGCGCACGATCTAGAAAATTGGGAGTATTGGGGGCGAGCGAGCGAGCGAGAGGAAAGAACGAACCAGTCAGTAGTGTAGAGCGCACTGGCGGGGTGCGGGAGGTAAGCGGTAGAAGGGATTGAGGGATTGGGCTGCAATTGAGAGTGATATGGTGAGCCATTGTACACGGTGAAGGTCTCAAAAAGTGTAAAAAACTGATGGCGGGTGCATTTGTTAACGAATTAGTCCCAAAGGGGACACCAAATGGGTTCAACAAGAAGGGAGCATCCCGTATTTCATTTGCCTTTCTTCCTACTCTGTTACTGTTTATGCTTCTTTGTTTACATTTTACTCCACAGTTAGGCATGCTTTTCTTGTTCACTTTCTTTTTTTTTTCTTTTTTCTTTTTTTTTTTTCGCTGCTCCATCAGCCAACATTAACGTTTTGGCCCTAGGAAACCCCACTTAAACGCTTGCGCTTCACGAAGATGGTCACTGCTGTTTGTTTATTTTGTATATTAATTATTTTTTTGGTTTTTAGGCGCTAAATTGGTGACCACAGATTGTTGCATTTGGTGGGCCTGACGCAATTCTCCACAAAGGAAGCACAACCATTTGGGCCACTTTTGGTTTCCCCTATTGCACTGGCAAGACTGTCTTGAAAGTTCTATGGGTCGCAATTGTTTTTCTTTTCGTTTCTGAAGATTTTAGTCTCATTTTCTTCTCTTTCTTCTCTTTCTGCTGTTATATACTCTTCTTACTCTTTTTACTCTTTTTACTCTTCGAAGGCTACTCAACCAAATTTCTTCTGTTCTCTCTCACTTCCCTACCTGATTAAGCTAGCTGATCTGATTTTCCAGATGTCGCACTTTCCTCTTGACATGTGCAGCCCACACTAAATTCCTATTCTATCTTACACTTCCTCTTCCTCATCCTGATCCTGTTCTCTTTACACTGTACCTTTCCCTTTTGCAAATACTATGATCGTCTTTCTTGATGTTTCGACCACTATATATCGTCATTTCGCACACGAATTGAATTCTGTAAATGCTGCCTTGTCTGGAAGGGGTTTAGAGCCTCTCAAATGTAAACCTTTTAGAAAATCGTTTGATTCTTACATGCTTAATGCTGAGCACTATTTTACCCACGAAGCCGAATTTTCTATATGTAGTCCAGGAAACTCTTTTGGATTTATGTATGGGGGTTTTGATCAATGCATAATCAATGCTATTTCAAATGAAAATAAAAGCCCAATGGTTGTCTGTGAGAAGATCCAAGGAGAGATATTAAAGAAAAGTACCTCATATTTGCCGGTCAGCCAAGCCATCTCGGTAGATCTTCCTGCTTTATTCGGTACTGATTCGTACCATTTGACTCAGTTGTGGAAGAGATTGCGTGTATCGAGGTTGATCTACTGTCCTACAATGGCCGTTCCCGAACGTCTTCCAGCTGAGAGTACTACTCCCACGCTAATTTTCGATTGTATTTGGAACATACTAAATGTAAGTAATTCAAATATTATCATACCTGGGTTTGGGACCGGCGTTGGTGGATTAGACTCAAAGAAAGCCGTAAAAGACATGATTGCAGCCATTCTCATACATACAATAGAACTGAATAATGAGCTTACAAAATCATTGCTAGTAATGTTTTATTTGAACAAAAATTGTACCGCGTTTGGTTTGAATACCGAAACAGAATCCATGAGAAGCTACTTGACTGACTACGGTGCTGCTAAGGTACTAAATGGGAACATTGCTGTGCACTCCTGGGAAGATCTATTAAACTCTGTCAAGCTCTAAACGGTGCAAAATGGGTTGCAGCATTTTTGTATGCAGGCCAATGCAGGTACTGACGCGTATACCGTTGGTGAAATATTTTTCCAGTTCAAGCATGGAGAAGTAGGTCTTAGATCTTATGAAGATAGTACTGAAACTACTAATTAATGCTTAAATGACCTCTTCTAAATATAAATATACTATAGGATTTATACGCTGCGTAGAAACAAACCAAGTTCTATTACTAAATAGGCAAAAAGCTCCCTGGATGGGGAGATGGAACGGTGTAGGAGGAAAACTCGATCCTAATGAATCGCCCTATGATTGTATAGTAAGAGAAACCTTAGAAGAAACGGGGCTTGAATTGCCGCAATATGTAGCTAGGGGCGTTTTGACTTGGGAGACTGATGGCGTAGATGTAGGTGGTGGGTATCTCTTTACCGCTGATGTAAGCAAAGAAATGGTTGCAAATTATGCGACACCCAAGGTCTTCTGTCATGAAGGAATTCTTGATTGGAAATTACTCGATTGGATCCTAAACAAGGATAATGTCGGTATTGTAGACAATATACGTCTTGTTATGGACAATTTGTTCGAGGCTAAGGAGAATGATATTTTTAAGACTAAATATAGGGATGGTCGCTTGGAATCTGTAGTGTATTCTAGAGGGTAATTTATAATAAACATATATTTACTGTTCAGCCAGGAAAAAGATGTTGTCTATTCCGTAATACACCAATTTTGGGTTGTGCTACGTATCTGCTGTAGTGTATTCCGTGGTAAGTCATTTCAGGTACGCTTTTTGTCTTCTATAGATAGACTACGTAGTATCAGTCGTACGGAATCTTTCATTCCTTGATGTGCTATCTCTTAACGCTAGTAATGGAAACACAGTGCTATATGCTATAAATTTCGAAGATCTGTTGAGTTCTTTTCTTTTTACTACTTTTCTACTGCTCTATATTGGTTACTTTCTATGTATTAGTTCTTTTCTTCTATCTACTTCACTTTTATAATTTACAGAGTATTGAGAGACGACTGGTAGACCAATCTCTCTTTAAGTGGTCCAAAGACGCGCGGTTCCGTCAGCACCAGAACTGAATAACCAAGCTTCTTTTGGATGCCAAACTAAGTCCAATACACCCAAACTATTAACGATTTTATGACCGGTCAACTTCTTTAATGGAACCAACAATGGATTTGTCATTAAATCATCATATACTGTACCATGGAAAACATGGATACTACCATCATCAGAAGCAGATGCAAAAAGTGGTAAGTTGGATTTGTGGAATTTAATGGATCTAACAGCCTTTTCGTGGTATCTCAAAGTTTTGTATGGAGTAGAACTCAAGTCTAAATCATGCCAAAGGACTCTCTTATCGAACGAAGATGCCAATAAGTTATCACCACGTGGATGAATATCAATGTTGGCTAACCAACGAGCTCCAGGCATCAATTTCTTAACCAAGGTTTGTTGAGAAAGATCGTAAATACGGATATATCTTTGAGACGCAACAAATAATTGAGGCTTGAATGGATGGAATTTGGCATCCATGATGATACCCTTTGACTTCTTGAATGGTGATTGTGACATATGCTTAGAAAGTTGGTGAATGAGAACAGAAGTATGACCTGAATCTGGTGATACACTTACAAAGTAATCACCCTTACGATGCCATGACAACTTCTTGATTGCCTTACGGCATTGAATGACGGCAGAGATTCCTAACATTGCCTGTGCAGTGGAAGGTGGGTACCATTTAGATACATCTTTCTTGACACCAGAAGAAGCAGTAGTGCTCTTGGACTTAGAAGTTGACTCATCTTCTGAATCAATATCGGACTCATTAGCTTCATTACCACCAACTTGAATTCCTTCTTCTTTTCTCTTGTTACCGAAAGTATCATAACCCCAACCTTGCTCAACTCTTAATTTACCTATGTTTTCAATATCAAATCCGAAAATTGGTGGAACAATAAGATATATGACCTCACCACATGCAACTGCTAAGATACCGGTCTTGCTATCTGGATTCCATTCCAAAGATTCAATGTGATCATCAGCATCTTCCTCGGTGTTGACCAATTGTGCCTTGTATACTTGTCTACCTGTCAAGATTTCCCATATTCTAACACTTCCATCATCGGATCCTGTTGCTAACCAGAGTCCACTTGGATCGATCGATAATGTACGGATCTTTTCTGTGTGGCCCTGGTAAACAGTACTACATCTGATAGGGAATGGTCTCAAATCCTTTGGAGAAGGCAACTCTGGAATTAAACTGTCTGGGTCAATGTTCAACTTATTTTTACGAACACGAGGTGCCAAGTACAAGTCAAGACATCTCTCAAACTTCTCTCTAAGTCCCTGTTGATAACCTGGAACTTTTCTTAATGCATCGTATTTAGCAGGCAAGAAGTTCCTTTCTCTATCAACTTCTTCCTGCTGTTCCCATTGTTCTCTTTCCTCCTTGGTAAGAAGATATTCTTCAGGAGGGTTATAAGATTCTTCATTCGTTGGAGGTGCTATTTTTGGAGCTCTCAAGTTCATGATGTGATCTTCTTGGTTGTCGTCATTGTCTGCCCATAAATCGAAGTTCATTTCATCCTCTTCTTGTTGTTCTTTGGCTTTACTTGGTGGGACAATTCTTCCCTCTCTAATGGCTCTTACAATCTTCATGACTCTCTTTGCTTCATGCTTAGAAGGCACAAATCTTCTCTTTGGCTCAGGAACGGCAGTCAAAGGCATGATTTCTGTTTTACTGGTGAACCATTCAATGGTTGGTTCATATGGGTTGATGTTTTCATCGGTATTTTCTTGGGCCTGGATCTTTCTGATCAATTCCAACTCATCCTCAGTCAAATTGAGTGCCGAACCAGTATTTTGATCAAGTAATCCGGTCCAACCTTCTGGCAAATCGATACTTTCCAATAATTGGTCCAAGGCCGAACCCTTGGCAGGTCTCATAATCCTCTTACCGTTGATATCATACCCAATGTGAGGCATTTCTTCATATGCACTTATTGGCACGTTACCAATGGTGTTGAAGTTTTCGTTATCACTGTCGTCAGAGTCATATACAGGGTTGATTTCAGGCTTGATGATTCTAGGTTTACCGTCTGCGAACTTGGTATGGATAAGCTCACTTTCTTGGTCATCAGTATGGCTACTTCTAGATCTAATTCTTACGTTGGATAACCCATCGGTGATGGAGTTTTGTTCATCACCAGGCTCAGAGAAATCATCTGAATCAAATTCTTCATCGTCATCTTCTGGGTCATCTTCAGCCAAAAGCGCATTGAGTTCAGCCTCAGAGTCTTCGGAATCCGCATCTTCTTCATTGTCTTCGTTAGTTTCGGAATCCTCAGCTTCTTCGTCCTCTGATCCGTCTTCCAACAAACCTTCAACTTCAAACTCTTCGTCCGATGAGGACGCAGATTCTTCTACTTCTGCGACTTCTTCAGGCTTTCTCTTTCTGGTTGAAGAGTCCGTTTTTTTCGAGTGAGATGTGGTCACACCCTTCTTTATATCCTTCACCATCTTTCACTATATCGATACTTATGAAAAAGACGATTAAAACTAAAAGGAGCGGTACCTAAGTCTTCACATTAAGGCTCTTTTTGTACACCTTCAATTTTTCAATGCTCATCTCACTGAGAAAGTCGTAAAAAAAAAAAAAAAAGGATTATGTGCAGGAGTGAAGACTAAATGAGATGGCTGCAATTTGATTAGGGTAACAGTGTAAATGAATAGAGGTGGATAAGAAACACTAAGGGTTTGGTTGATGGTCGAAGGAGGTTGAAAACGAGCAGCGTGGGCTGACTAGGAATTAGTGACAGAGATTTTGGGGAGTTTTGCTTCATGAAGTTTGAATACATGGGTGCTACACTCCCAGGCTCGCATTTGATACGGGTATATCTTACAAACTGGATTAAAGTGTTGCGTTCGTTTTTATGTTCACTTTTCTTTGCGTTGTTCCGTTCATATCTAGTATTGATTTATCTTTTTGTCCAGTTATTTACTTAATTATTCATTCATTTGTTTTCTCTTCCTTCGGTTTGCCTTTCAAGCTATACATCAACCCATGTAACCACCATCAACTACCACAACACTGCCGCAGACATAGTCACTTGCCCTGGAGGACAAGTATATAATAGTTCCCTTATAATCCTCTGGATCTGCTTTTCTGCCAAATGGAATTTTACTGCTTGCAATGGTGGTATTCGAGCTTGTTTCTTCTCCATTACTCCTTCTCTCCCTTTGAATTCTTTTAATCATATCTGTGTCCGTTGGACCCGGTGCAATTACGTTGACATTGATACCCTTCAAAGACCACTCATTTGAAAGCGATTTGGTAAGATTGTGTAGTCCGGACTTGGCCACAGTATAAGCTGTGGAATGGGTCATGGCCGTGTAAGCCATTATGGATGAAATGTTAATAATCTTCCCTCTATAGCTGTCATCATGATTCTCATACCTGTCAATCATATGTTTACCTACAACCTTCAGAAATAATAAGGGGGCTTTCAAGTTTACAGTCATGATTTCGTCGTAATCTTTCATTGACAAATCTTGAGCAAGTATCGCTTTGGCCACTGCTGCATTATTTACAAGTATATCAATTCTCTTCGTTGGAGATTTATCCAAGGCAAGACTAGTTAACTTCTCAACTGATTCTTGTGATACAGAGTTAAGATTAAATGGTAAAGTTATAATTTCAGTGTGTTCTCCTTGTCTTCTTTTGCCTTCCAATCTAGAAACAGCTTCACTGGGATCAGTCTCTGGTCTATGGATCATTATCACATGGCAACTTGATTCCACATATGCTTCAGCAATGGCTAACCCAATTCCTCTGTTAGCTCCTGTAACCAATGCCACTTTACTCTTAATGTCAAACATCAGAACAGACATTATATAGGCAAATAGTACGATAACAAGTAAAAGAAAGTGATATCAATTTTTTTTCTTTGGAAATGAGCAAGACAAAGGGAGGGAGATGTATCTATAGAGCAGAAGTAAAAATTTCATTTTCTGGTATAACCTAATTTATTACATGAGTTTACTACCTGACTATTAATAGCTTGTTAATTTACACTAACATTTCTTTCTTCTAAATTACCTTCTTCTCTTTCTTGCTGCTTCTTTAGCAATCTTTTCCCGAACCAAATCTTCCATCTGTTCGTCGATTTTAATATATAATGGATCATCTCTGACCATGCTACTCCAAGCGTATAAATTAGGGTAAGTTTTTGAAAGATTGATCTTTCTTCCGCTAAACTTTTGCACTTCTTCCTCGTTATCAAATACGTTCTCATATATGGGGAAACTCAAAATAATATCAGCTGCAGTTAAATGCTTACCCACAAAATATCCAGTACCTTCTTTTCGAAGGGCATACTCCAAATTGTCCATGTTTAACTTCCATTCTTGTACATAATAAGCGGAGTTAATGGCGTTGGTGACAAATTTCGCTACAAATTTTGTTCCTGTAGGAGCTAATTGCCTTGCTACGTTATTAACCAATATTGACACTAAAAGATTCTGTAGAGTTCCTTCAGAATAGTGTAGGTAATAGTTTACCCGTTCTCGATCTCTCGGATCTGAAGGAGTTAAAATCTTGTGGATGTCATAGTTTTGTATCAAGTATTGAATTATGTAACCCAGCTCTGCTAATTTAAGGGGAGGACTTCCATCTGCATGGAATATCTCTAAGATTGGCGACTTTCCTGATGGGTGAACCAGTGCTAATTCCGCTGGTGCTCTCCAAGTGGTTTCCTCTCTGAGGTAAACCTTAACATCATAATTCAATTCTAGGATTTCTAAGAGCCATAATATACGATGAGCTCTTGAGAGATCCAACCAATGGAGAAGAAATTTATCACCCTGGCTAACAATAGACATAATTAACTCAAAGGTCTTTCAAATAGCAAGCAGTTAGCGTAGATATAATGAAAAAATAAAAAAATAAAATTAAATAAAAGGAAAGAAAGAGAACTGTGGTGTTCGACTTGAAATTCTACATTCGACTTATATTGTCCTTTCCTCTTGCAGGCCCTTTCTTATTTAAAAGTGGATGAGGATGATAAATTAGTAAATGATAGCCTTGACTCTGCTGAAATGTGGGGTAGAACTTTAAAAGTTTAAACTGCGAGTGCCCAAAAAGGAAACTAAACTTTTCCCGTTTAGAAAAATTTCATAGCGGTGCATAAAATGCAACATTTGCGAAGAGTTCCTAGCTAGTGGATCCATGACTAGACTAGGACGACTGATAGAAATATTCAGTAGCTCACAGACGCTGCAAGTTATCAGAGAGGAGTGTATCGTAAGATTTGGTAATGATTCCGCCCAAATTGGTCCTATTTTAGTCAACTTGGTTACTATGAATAGCAGTACTCACTTTCCACCATCTACATATAAATTCAATCTTCATTCTGGTTTCCCCTCCTCTCATACCCCACCAATATCATAACCAGCTTGCAAATAAGCTTCCCATATTGGTGTTTGAAGTTTTACATTCTTTTCTCGTCCAAATTCTAATTTAGAATGTCTCACACTACCTTAGATAAGAAACAGAACAGACGTGAATTTCTGGTTGACTGCTCAACTTATGGCGATGAAATAATTCGTACCTTGTACGTAAAACCGCAAGCAGGCATCTCCAACTACATTGACAGGGCTACCTTCCTGGAATAAACTTCTACTTCTTTCTGCATATAAAGTGCTCTCATCGTGATTTCTTCCTGCATATTGAATGTTTGGATTTTTTTTTTTTTTTTTTTTTATCTTCTGATGCGATGGGTAGTGAAATTTTCAGTACACAAGTATTAAGCAGAGCATTGACAGCAGAAACCAATATATATAACATTTTTGTATTAGACATGTCTGTTGAAAATTCCTCAGAGGTGTCTTCTAGCCCTGAGTTAGTCAGTGGCAGCCAAGATCATACATGTTTCGGAACAGTTAAGAAAATCCAGACCCTTGTTCTTGATGCTGGTCCTCTCATCACTCAGTCAGCTTCCTCATTGCAGCAACATGCAAACAACTTCTACACAACTCCGGGTGTATACTCAGAATTGAAAGACGAAACTGTAAGACAGCAGCTTTTAATCTGGAACGATACTTTAAAAATTAGACACCCAAAAGAGTCATCAATTAAAAGAGTCGTTGACTTCGCTAAGTTAACTGGTGACTATGCAGTATTATCGACAAACGATTTACATATAATTGCTTTGGCATATGAATTGGAATGCGAACTCAATGGTGGTGATTGGAGATTGAGAAAGTTCCCAGGCGAAAAATTAAATTTCAGAAAATCAGAAAAGATATTATCCCCATCGCTTGAGAAAGCGGAATCTGAAACACCAGTTGAAACAACTGAGACCATTAAAGAAGAAGTAGATACTGTAAAGGCAAGAAAGCCACGTCGTAGAGGTGGTAAGAAGCAGAGAGCAAAGAGAGAAGCACAATTGCAAAACGAGCTTGAACGAGAAGTTGAAGACGACGAGCAGGAGCAAGCTGGTGTGGAAGAATCAGTTCAAAAATTGAAAATAGAGGATGAACAATCGACGAAGCCAGAACCTGATGTAAGCGAAAACGAGTCTATCGTTGAATCATATGATTCGGACGATGATGATGGGGATTGGATTACTCCTGATAATCTTCAAGAAGAAATGTTGAAGGATGACAATGAACAGTTGTCTGAAAGATTGTCTAGTAAGACGTCTGCTAATGGTGGTCCTCTCATAAAGGTTGCAATTTCCACTGGGGATTTTGCATGTCAAAATGTAACTATGCAATTGGGCCTTAATTTGATGAACTCTATGTCGGGGAGACAAATCAAAAGAGTTAGAAATTATATGTATAGATGCCATGCGTGTTTCAGACTTACACCCATTCCAAAGAATGGACAACCAAAACATTTCTGTCCTAAATGTGGTGGAGCAACATTGTTGCGTTGTGCCGTTTCCGTAGATAATATAACCGGGAGGATCACTCCACATTTGAAAGCCAATTTCCAATGGATTAAAAGAGGTGAAAAGTTCACATTACCATCTCCATTGTCCAAGAACCAAACCAAGAGACAAGGAAATGGGGGTTACCAGCATAACAAGCAGAATCGTCACAAGGACTTGCAAAATCCTTTGTTGTTAAGAGAAGATCAGAAGGAATATCAGCAAGCGTTGAAGGACGACGAATGGCAAAGAAGGAAAAACGATAAAATGCTACAAGAATGGATTGGTGGAGGAAGTGCCGATAACTATGTTTCTCCATTTATAGAGAATGTAAGACAATCCGGAGTTAGAGTTGGTAAGGGAAGGTTTGCCAACTCTTCCAAGGGTAAAAAGTAAGAAGATCGAGCATACTCGATGAAATTGAAGAAGAATTGATATCGGGACAGATTACATTTTACGCTTACGTCTCTCTACGGTTCATGAAAGAGTACGCTTGGTGAGTTTTCTTTCTTGAGCCGGTTCTCAATGTGCCATTGATATTATGCAGCCGCATTGGGCCTTCTTTGGGCATTTTAAGTGTGTGGCTTTTAGGAATATGTACAGGAACCCACATCTAAAGAGATCTGCAAAATCTAGTGCAACAATACGAAATGTACACCAACAAAGGAGCAACAAAAGAGAGATGAATAGCATAGAGTAAATATATAGGAAAAAATACATATAGATTGCATTTCAAAGTACTTCTCTTTCTTCATTTTCTTGGTATGCCTACCAATGTAAAAGCACTCTTGTCTTTACAGTAGTAGGACGTTGAAAAAAGAAGAAAAAAAAAAAAAAAAAGGAAAAGAAAACCCAAGCTGATGGCCTGCATACGTCAACTTCGTCTGCATTCACACTTTATCTTGCCATCAAGTTCCTAGCACTTTCCAGTGCCCTGGCTTCGAGTTTCAGAGCTGGAAGGTTCTTCTGCGCCGCGACTTGTTCACGAGACCGTATAATGGGCGCCGGGCCCCCAAGGTCCCTCCACGAAGAGCAGCTGGCGCCGAAACCCAGACAGAACAAATGTCACGTGATCATGCATGCTTCTGAGCTACATACAGCAAAATAATGCAAATCTCATTTTTAATTGCAGCATCACACGTGAAGATTAGCATTTGTTGCAATTTGAATCTCGAATTTTCACTACACCTTAGCAAAATTGCTGTGCAGTGAACCACAGTTCTTATTGTTTTTTATTTTTACGCCAATTGAAGTTAGACAGGCAGCATACAAATTTTAAATTAGGTGCGAGTTTAGCAAGATTCCGAAGCAGTTGCGGAACCTTCTTTTTTAGTTTCCCGTATAATGGGAGAAAAGGTAGGAACGTTCAAATAGTTCAGCAGGGAAAAATATTATTTATAAAAATACAAGTAGAGAAGTTTGGACCACAGCTTGAGAGAGAGAGGCAAGGAAAAGAAAAATAAAAAGAAAATACTACACAGAGTAGCACTGCATTTCAAATTAGTCAGAAAGGCAAGAAGTAAAAGGTAAAGGTAAACTAGACATATCGATACAACATCTTTTCATTTCATTCTTTTCTGTTTTAAGCACCCATTGAAGCACGCACACAAACTTAAAAATATCATCAAAAGAGCACACAAGTCACCATCTCATCAGGACTATAAATCCAACAAAGAATCTCCAGACAAGGCACTTTTTTTTTCCCTGTTTAGATATTATTAATCCGCTTCTATTTACATTACTCAACTGTAGTGAAACGGGGGTATCTATTAGTCTTAAGGCTCTAAAATCAAATTCACGCTAACTGTGGCGCTCTTGCAAAATCAAAGTATATATTCGCATTTCAGTCAGGTCCTGTTTATTTATATAACTAGCTATACTCGATACATTTCGGTAGATGTTAGTTAATTTATGAATCCCAATCGTGACAAGAAGTATATCTCCGGGAATTTGAAGAGCAGCGGTAAGCCTACCAGCAGCAGCAATATCGATAATATGAGCTACCCAGTTTATCCGCAGCAACAACATAGTAATATTCAGGCCCAGTCACCCTCCCAGTCGAGGAGCAGTCTGACTGGCGTCCACCTTCCGCAGCTATTACACCACCATTCGCTGCCCAATGTCCTCAACAATGGACCAGGGTCCTCCAGTAGGAAAAGGTTAAGTCAAGACGATTTACTCTACTTGCCTGCACAGAGACAGGCCATTGAACAGAATGTCAGCTACACGAGAAGTGTAGGAGGTTCGGGCGGTAAAAGCAAGATAAGTAACAGTCATAGTAGTAATAACAGTGCTAACAATGGGAATAATGGTGTCGGTAGTCCAATACTGAATGAACCACTCTTGCCTAGGTCAATTGGAGTGCAGAAGAGTAGCGTGAACTACCACCGCCAAAAGCTCGCTCAGCAAGCAGATTTGCCTGATAATAATGGCGCTAGTAGCTCAAGAGGCAGTGCCAGTAGCTCTAGAAGCAGAAAATTCAGTAATGCGAGCGAAAGTGATGAAGACGAAAGGTTTTTAAGATTGGCTAAAGAGGCTCTTGTGGCTACCGCAGGAGCCAAGGGAAATGGGTCTGAGGATTTGATGGTTGATCCAACTATCCAAGACTTATTGAGAAGGTTGCAGTATGCATCTTCTCCGCATGGTAATCCAATTAAAAGATCTAAAAAAATACGAGCTAATGAAAACGGACAATTGCAAATCCAGGGTTTCTACAAGAACTTCCCCAACTTGTCCAACAACATTTTTATGGAGAGCGAGGGTATCGGTATATTGAATAGCGGTGGTGAGAATGGTATAGGTGGTAGGTCAGCAGCCGAACTTCACGATAAGCTGATAAACCACCCTTCTAACTCGAGAAGTGACGGTTGGAATTTCTTGGTCGGCGAGCCTCTAGTCTACAAGACAGAAGAGGAGAGGAAATTGGAGCGTTTACAGCAGCAGCAGCAACAACAACAACAACAACAACAACAACAACAACAACAACAACAACTGCAGCTGCTGCTGCTACAACAAAAGCAAGGTTTTGACGAGGAAGAAGAAGACGATGTGAACGACAATGGCTTGGATGGTAAAAAGGACGACGACGAAGAAGGATCCAGTGAAACTAGAAAATATGCATGCACGAAATGTTTGATGTCATTCAGAAGGTCATCTGATTTAAAGAGACATGAGAAGCAGCACTTGACCATCCCTCCCAACATTTGCGAGCTTTGTGGTAAAGGGTTTGCAAGAAAAGATGCTTTGAAAAGGCATATGGGTACTTTAACTTGTAAAAGAAATGCCGATAAAAGGTTGTATACTGCAAATTTGAGTTATGTGGGGCAGAATAAGGGAGCAAGCTCAGCCAACTCTGCTTCAAATATTATAAACCGAAATGAATTCCAATCAAACGAATCAAACGATTGGCAAATATAGTAACAAAAATAGTTAAAATATTCCCGCTTCTGTATATTTATTTGATATAAGAAAAATTTTTAATACAATATGAAGCTAGTCAAGGTCAGTGTTGACTAGTATAGTTAAATTGAAGTTCAAAGTGGTGTAAGACATAGCCATCTATTTGTTAGAAACTTTTCTTTTTAATTTGCACCCAAAAAAATAATCGAGACTAGGTCGTACCCGGATTCGAACCGGGGTTGTCCGGATCAAAACCGAAAGTGATAACCACTACACTATACAACCTGTTATGTTGTTCCAGAGTGAACTTCAAGATGACTACAGCTAAGGCCGGTGGTGATATGAGCAATGGGTTAAGAGCGTGGCGTATGTAGGGCTACGTCGGGATATTCGATACAAATGGAGGCTTCTCTATCTGGCTCAACTGGCACTGAAGCTTTGAACGTGGTGAGCCTTTCTTTGGCGAGCCTGCTAAAGTCTTGTTCAAGAGAAGGAAGATCGACTTGTCTACATATAGGTAGGTGAACAGGCAGGAGAGAAGACTTTACGCTTCCAGCACAGATGCTTTGGAATTAGCCCTAGCCCGTCTAAGCGATTACATCGTACATGAGATGACGTAGTGTGCCTGTGTTGTGCTGAATTTTTGTAATTACGATATTTTTTCGTCGATCTCTGCTGAATGCAGTTTCAGCTTTTATCCGATAACGTCTGAGCGTGAAACAGTGGAACTGAAATTTAGGCATTGCATGCACAATCTAGGAAACAGAAGCCAGGCCAGGTGCAGCCTTGGAGCACACTCAATGGCTATAAAAAAACCGCGGGCGCGCAGTTCTGAGTCGAGTCTGTCCACTTCCACCGTCTTCCAGTCGCATCCTGATCTTAGCTGTACTATTCCTAGCCAGTCTTACTCTACCTTCAACTTTTCAGCAGTCCGCATAGTGCACTCTTGACTTTTCAAGCTTCATGCGGTTCTGCAACAATACCTCGGATAAGTGGAGATTTGCATATGGTGCCTGCACCTAGTCATCTCACTGCACGGTAGAACGGTAATGCGGTAGAACGGTACCAAAGGTGAAGCAGCGGAGGAAGACATGAACAGCCACCAAAGAACACCCCAGACAGTACTCCACGTCGACCTGAGCAGCTGCCATACCATCCACACTTCGCTCAGCAACTTCAATTCCATCTCCTTCCTGCTCCCCTACTTCTACTTCAGCCTCTCCTCTCTTCTCTTCTCATCTCACCGCCTTCTTCTTCGGTACCCATTGGGAAATCTTTTTTCACCACCCTCCCACCTCAGTGTTGCACCGCACCTCGCGCTTCCACTTATCGGAATCAAGTAAATTCCCGCTAAATTTGCTCCCTCTAACCTTACGCAGCCGAGGTTTATGACTCGTTTATCACACAAAATGTGCACCTTCCGATACGGTGCGCACAGTCTTGCAGCGTAGTTTCTTTTTTTCCCCTGCGATTTGCGGTCGATGGGCCGGCTATATAAATGTTGCATATCCCGCCAATGATGAAGTGGAGCGTTATTGGAGGCAGCAGATATTTAGCAAACAGAAACAAAATGAGCCAAAACCAGATCGCTAGCGAAAGACTCAGACACCTTGCGTCGCACTTGAATCCCAACCCAGCACGTTCACACGTTCACATACACGGATTAGTTGCTCCCGTGAAACCCTACAGGATTGCTGTTATCGGGTCAGGTAACTGGGGTACGACTATTGCCAAAGTTTGTGCTGAAAATGCCAGCTCTAGACCAAGAATCTTTGCCCATCATGTGAACATGTGGGTATTCGAAGAAAAAATCGATGGGGTCAACTTGACGGAAATCATAAACACCAAGCACGAAAATGTGAAATATTTGCCAGGAGTGAAGCTCCCAACCAACCTCAGAGCCAAGCCTAGTATCATAGATACCGTTGAGGATGCAGACTTGATCGTTTTCAACTTGCCCCACCAGTTTTTGCCCAAGATTTGTAAACAATTGAAGGGACACTTGAAGCCTAACGCTAGAGGGATCTCTTGTTTGAAAGGTTTGGAAGTTACGCCAAACGGATGTAAGTTGTTATCTACTTACATTACAGAAGAATTAGGAATCGTGTGCGGAGCCCTTTCTGGGGCCAACTTGGCTCCAGAAGTTGCCCGTGGTAAGTGGTCTGAAACTACCGTTGCCTACAAGGTACCTGAAGACTTTGAAGGCCCTGGTAAGGATATCGACCACCTCGTCTTAAAAGCTGCATTCCATAGACCCTACTTCCATGTCAATGTCATTGACGATGTGGCTGGTGTCTCTGTAGCTGGTGCATTGAAGAATATCGTTGCTCTTGCTGTCGGATTCGTAGAAGGTTTGGGATGGGGTGATAACGCCAAGGCTGCCGTTATGAGGGTTGGTCTCTTGGAAACTATCAAGTTCTCGAAGGAATTTTTCCCAGAATCCAAACCTACCACATTCACTGCTGAATCTGCAGGTGTAGCTGATTTAATTACAACGTGTGCCGGTGGTAGAAACGTAAAAGTTGGTAGATACATGGCTGAAACTGGTGATAGTGCTGCGGTAGCTGAAAAGAAATTGTTAAATGGTCAATCCTCACAAGGTATTCTTACTGCTAAGGAAGTCCATGAATTATTGGAAGCCCAGGGAAGAACTGAAGAATTCCCATTGTTTGAAGCCACTTACCAAATTATCTACGGAAGTGAGTCCATTGAAAACTTGCCAAACTTGTTGGAATAAACTAAACAATTCAGCTTCAGTTATGAGAAGGGAATGAGAGTGAAGGCGGTTGCCTTCGATATTTTTTTAATTTATTCCTGTATTCTCTTATCATATTTTCATTCATGTGTGTGATTTCATTATTATACAACTTTTATTTATTGTACTATAGACGAATAGAAAAGATAAATGCTTATCAAATCAAGTAAATCAGTAAGAAATTCAACTATAATTTTATGCTTTTTGCTTTTTATCACCACTTGCAAGTGTCCCTTCATCTTCTCTACTCCTTTTCTGTTGTTTCTTGGCTCTATATTTCACCAAGAACTTCTCCATATAAGTCTTACTGAAGTCATTTATCTTTTTAATTTTATGCTTATCTAACTCCTTCGGGAGCTCACTCTTTTTATTCACCTCCTTTTCTGCTAGCACCTTTATTATGTCTCTAGCACAAGATTTGATATTGTCGTGGCCAATGTCTTGTTCGTACTTCCTAATTAAATTAGGAACGGTCTTGGCCAACAAATGAGTCCAGCCTGCGCCAGGGTTGCTTCCATGACGACTGGAAGAACTGCTGCTCGAACTACTGCTTGCACTTTTCTTTTTATGCTTTTTTCTTTGTCTTTCTCTTTCTTTCTCCTCCAACTCCTTTTTCAATTTCAATTCAATCAACCTCTTCTCTTCCGCTTCTCGCTGCGATTGAAGAATCAACTGCTGAAGAAGTTTGTCTTTTTCTTGAAGCTTCTTGAAGTTCTCCTCACTCTCTCGTTGAAGTCGTTCTTCTTCTCTTCTAGCAATAAAATCATCTGTGTTCTTTGGCTTAGAAGAGGGCGTCAGGTAATGCGAGTTGCTGTTACCGTTACCATTATTGCCGTTGTTGCTGTGAGCAGAAGTCGAAGCCAATCCATTATACTTTTCTCCATCTGGGTCAATTTTTGGGCCCTTAGGTATCGTTCTTGTTGGCTTATCCCATCTCGAGATCCCTAGTTCTCTATGGAAGTAATAGTATGAATTACTATTAGCATCAAAAGTTGATTCCCAACCTTCTGGAAGATCATCATCATTATTTCCTTCAGCATCGCCACTCACAACTTCACCGTTCAGCTCTTCAATAACTTCATTGATGCTCTTCTCTGGACTCCTAGATCTGCCTGCACCCGCCAAGTTGGGAGCGGGTGAGCTGGATTCCAGATCTCTCTTAAATTTGGGGATTCTGTATGCCATTTGCAAATTGCCCCAATCTTTCAATAAAGTGCTACTCAATTTCCTAATCTCTTCATTCTCGGTGTTCTTCTCAAGGTCTTTCACAACATCTTCAATTTGCGAAGACGAGATTTTATTCTTGGTTACCTTGGGCCACCTCAATAAGATTTCCAAAATCTTGATTATCAGCTCGGGCTCGTCCTTGAAATCCTCCTTGATCAACTGGGACATGGTTTTGTACCCGTGCAATCTAATTATCTGACTATTGATTGAAAAGGAGTTCGTTAAATGTATCCTTTGTATCAATTTGTCAACAATAGGCTTATCCTGGGTCTTTAAAAGAGCACCCATAACTTTAGATACTTCGCCGTCAGACTCCAACTCTCTAACCTCAATGGACTTTACGAACATCTCATTGATGATAGCATCATCGGCTTGTTGTTTTGATCTCAAGTGCTTATTTTCTTTGAGCCAACTCTTTTCCATTTGAGGCGTGACACCTAAGGCATCACTGATACCTTCAGGAAGCAAGAGAGCCAGGTCCGTTTGGGTCTTACCACCCATAAACCCAATACAGTTGGGTTCTCCGCAATAACACGGTTGACTTTGGGCTCCGTAACGATCTACATTATAATCAAAAGTGATTTCTTCGCCCTTGGCAATATCTCTCTTGGCGAATATTCCCATCTTCAACTTATCGCCCACTACCCACTTGTCTACGTATGCGTTTGGGTTGCACGAATGGTTACAAAACCTCGCCAAGGAGCCTTTCAAGGTGGCATCAATGAACAGGTCCTTTTTCAACATCATGAAGTAGAAATGCTTGAAGTTATTGGCATCGTACTGAAGCATTCTTTCCCTAAAGGTCAGCTCTCCGATTACTTCTCCTATGTACTCGTATATGAAATCATTCTCGTATATGGAGCCTTCTGCTCTTAATCCATAGCCCTTCTTCTCGGTCTGGATCACAGCCACGTTGGCGTACTGTCTTTTCTGGAATCTTTGATTTTGACAGTTCTCCCCACACAGAGACGATCCACTGCCTGACTTCTTATGCACACACTCCACTGACGTCGCCCTATTGATACAGCCTGAGTCTTCGCTGCAGGCTCGGTTGATCTTGAGACCAGTATCCCAGTCCTCGTGGCAGTCACACGTCATGATTTCATGTTGGCCAGAGTCCCCAAGACTCTTCTTGGAGTAAGTGCACTGCTCCAACACCTGGAATGATTGAGTAGCCTCATCCGTTTTGACCTCGAAGTCCATAAATAATTGAACCATGGCACTATTTCTTACACAGCTGCAGTGATTATAGCACGTTTAACAAGATTATAATACAAGTCCTACTCCCTGTTGGCTTCACAGTCCTTAATACGCCACCAACTAGCTGTTTCTGTCACCTGTTTGTGATTTTTTCAGTATTTTTTTTTTTTTTTTTCGTCACCGTAAATATTTCAAATTTTCTTGTTGTGAAGAATTTAGTTGAGCCGCTGGACATGCGCGGGAAGCGTAAGCACGAGAGGAAGAGCAGGATGGGGATGGATGGGGAATGGATGGGGAGCAGGGCGGGCCAGATAAGTCTAATATTGAGTTGCAGAAGTTTATATGGTGAGTCTGCAGGGTGTAGGACAGCGTAGATCGGCGTAGGCTCGTTGCTTGTGGTTTCTGCTGGTGTATTCTTGCATCTTGATCTTGGTGTCAATCAGTGCTCCAGCTGGGAGGAATTGGTAGGTAGGGCTGCAAATATGCATAAAGCAGATATCAGATATGCACTGTGCGCGTAGGTTACTTTAGGTAGACCAGTCCATATGAATGTATAAAGCAATGTCGGCATAAATAAATAGTATATTTAATGTCAGTACTGACGTGAAATTGTTTATCTTCTCAGTATACCAGATGCCGATAATCTAGGATCAATATTGTGGTACAGTAAAATTCTATTACCAGTATTCTAGTATACCCAAATTCTGATACACTAGCATTCTGATATTCCCGTATTCTAATACACCAAGGTTCTATTACCAGTATTCTAGTACCCCAATACGCTGATATTCGAACATACCTAGGCATGTATCACTCTCATCCATTATCGTTGCACCAGATCTTTAACATAGCATTCTACATCTACTTATTTTACGCAGTAGAAGTCTACTCATATAATATCACTTTCATAACATTACTTTATAAATACTCTTTGTTCTTCTCTTTCACATCTCTCACTCACCTATTGTTTTGTTTCATTATTCGTTACTGTATTAAGTCTACAACTATTCTCGAAAGCCTCTCATTATCACGTTCTCTCTCGCCGTTCGTACATCCAAATGCATAATTCAATGCTCGGAACTTCTCCTCGATACTAGCAATTCTCTCCTTGTTCCCACAATTCTTTTGTGGAGTGAAAATCTTCCTAATAGTTGTTTTATAATTATTATATTTGTTGTTGTTGTTGTTATTATTATTATTATGATGATGATGATGATGATTTTCGTTATCATTACCCAATTGGTGGTTACTTTCACCATTACTCATTTCTATCAATTTTATCTCTCTTGCTCGTAAACTAATAAATAATGTTTTTGAATTCACATGTTCCACTTGACAATTATTCTGGAAGAATAATAAATCGTTCTTCATTGCATTCATAACCAAAGATTCTAGTTTGGGGTTAATAGGACATGATTGTATCAAAAACTCTTGTCTGAATTCATCAGAAAATGCTACGTTTGGTAATAACCCTCTCCTGGCTATTAAAGAATCTCGTTCTTCGTTTACTTCCACTGTCAAAGTTTTTTCATTCTCTACGTCACTCGAGTATTTCGGACTCGATTTCATGATAGACAAGCATCTTGTTTTGATTAACTCCTGGTTGAAATTTGAGCCCTTAGGATTGATGCTATCTCCTCCAGTTAGTGTTCCATTATCTTTAACCAAAATACTAGTATTCGTACGTATTATATGCTGTTGCAAAGATGGAGGTGTGCTGGTTGTCAATCCTTCGTTGATATCAAACATAGATTGAGTCCGCGACAAATTCTTATGCGCAGAGATCGATGGATTGGTGATCTTACCGTAGGTATTGAAAAACTCTTCGGAATCCAATGCAGGAGAAGGAGGCGAACGAAGGGAGGCAATACTTCCACGTTTGTTTATGTTCGGTTCGTTAAAACTGCCATATGCCCCTCCGCCATTATTTCCTGTTACTCCAAAGCCCGTACCATAATTACCATTACCATAGCTGCTTCCATTCATGCTTCCATTTCCAAAACTCGCGCCATTACCTCCACCACTTGTTCCAAAGTTCTTCCATTTTTCAAGGAAACTTCCACTCAATTTTGTTAATGAATAGTTCGATATAGACGATGACAAAGAACTATTTAATGACGATGATAGGTAAGCCATAGATTGACTTTTAGATAATGAGTTTCTGTGTACTGGCGCCTGCTGAACTATGGGGATAACCTTCGTATCAGTCTCGATTCTAGGTTTACCAAGGGTTGACCCATTGTAGGAAGAAGGAATCTCCCATCCTTTAATCGAATCCGGAGAGCCCAATGATCCAGAATTCACTGATGGTTGACGGATTGGGATAGGTTTGGGGGACGTCAGGGAAAAAATACTTCCAGCGCCCCCTCTTCTTCCATCACCAGCTCCCAATCCTCTAGGTGGAGGGTCAAACGAAAACTGGTCAGTTTCATCACCAGAATCGGTAGCGTCATCGACATCAACAATAACCTTATCCGCTCTGGCCAGGGGGGTTGCAGGTGATGGCGAAATACATCCAACTCTACTTATTTCCTCTTCTTCAACTGCGCTTTTCTTTGAGACATCTTCGACTTGGTTTATTTCAATGTTAGGTATCAATCCGTTAATAATGAAGATCAACTTTTTAGCAACCATTGGGTTCCCCGTCATGATAACTATTCTAGAAATATCTCTACTTTTCTTGTCACTCTCAATAACTCCATCTAAAGGTTTTCTCTTCAATCCGTGTCTCATCGTTAACACGATCGAGAATAAACTTGCCAAGAATGAGATATTACCATCTTTGAACTCTGTCCAGTTCAAAATTTCGGAAATCCAATTATACACGATTGGATTTGATGGATTTTTAAGCATCACTTGATGCAAGTTTATTAGTCTAGGGATATTTGAGTTGTAGTTCATAAGCTTTATCAACTTGAAAACCTGATTATTCAAGTCTAACTCCGACTGGAGAATATGCGATGGGAATTGAATCCTTTTATTGGAAACAAACGGACACGTCCAAATCGAAGTGGAATATGACAGCGGCGTTGAGTTTGATGAAAGACTTCCACTATTAGATGAATTCGGTGTGGATTCCAAAATATGAATTAGCTTCTTCGTTATCATTTTTTGAAGTATTATAAGAAAATGGCTAATCTCATTCCAGTTCTGGAGTATTGCGTCTGTGATTTGATCGTTTTCTATGGGTATAACAAGTCCGATGGAGAATCTCGAGTGCAACTTCCTCGGTATAGATGCCTCTTTGATGGGAAGGGTAGCTGCCGGATTCCAATCTGATGAGTTTGTAGTTGTAGGTAATTCATCTGAGATGGAAAAGAGCCTTGATATGAGAACCATCGTGTTTGCAGTAGAAGTAGGCGTCAGTGCTGATGTTCCGCTCGGATTATTCAATATGTGTAGTTTGGTGCTTGATTGGGATTCATTCGTTGGTATCCCACATCCAAACATATAATCGTTCAAGTCGTTTAGGTTATGATGCAATTTTTGGTTCTGAGGAGTAAGTATCGTCTTGAGGTTCCCACTATCCCTTCTGCTTATGGGAGGTGACTTAGTTGCAAGTGGTTCCGATGCAGTTGCACCGAAAGCAGAGTCAAATAGGATTTGTTTAGATCTCAAGGACCCCCCGTCCTGGCAGATGACTATTCGGAACAACTTAGTACTATAGGGGAATGGTTTGAGTGGATCGCTAATTCCATATAGGATTTCCCTCATATACGAATCATCGTACGAGTTGGGAATAAGGGAAGGAGCGCTTCCGCCGTGGTTACCGGGGGTGTGGATTGACGAGTTGCTGGAACTATTGGCACTAGAGTTATAGGAGTTTATGTTATTGACATTTGGTGGCACAGTTTGATTATTAATATGATTATGAATTTGATTGTGATTACCACCATTCGGTAGATGTTGATTATTCAATGTTGGGGTTGACTGTTGTTTAAACAAGCGACCCAACATGCTTAGTAGTTATAGGTATTTCGTTTTAGGCACCGGTATCACTTGCTAGACCATCTGGGTAAAGTCTGGTGTATTCAAAATCAAAGAAATCTGTTTTTAGAAGGGCTGGAGTAGATGGGATGCCTACCAAGATGCGACACCAGATAAGAATGTAATAAGGTTGTAACACAGGAGAAAAGGAAATGATGAGGCCCAAACAAAAAAATAAATAAGCAACTGAAGTAGGCGCCGCCAGAAATCTGCGTTAAACGAAAATGGCAAAAAAAGAAAAGAAACGAACCGATAGCAAAGGAAAGGAAGGAAAGAAGGGTAAGCGAGAAAGAAAAAGAAAGGAGGTACTAAGGGTATGGTTATATATGTTTACCGCTAACATAAGTGTCGGAGGTCGCTAAAATTCTGACACATAACAAATATCCGACGGATGGACACTGACAACGAACCAACTCTTGACACCACGGTAGTATATTTTTTGGTCCAGAATGGCGTATAATATTTTTTGGCGCTAACTGAATGACCCCAGTGTCCGTAATAATTATTGTTGCATTGACAGAAAAATCGATGGGAAATGCAGTGAGGGCTAATACCAAGCAGGTCCGTGCCCGCAAAAGTCTGCTTGATGAGATTGGGACAAATTAGTTCAGAAACGTGCAATATGCTTATAGTGTAGTGTTCTGAAACGTTGATGGAACTGTGTAAGGTAAGTGGTAAGCATTTCGGTAGCTAATCAACCAATTCCGCATGCACATGGGTCAACCAGGGAAATACGATAGCATGTCGCACACACCGAGCTAATTCTTTGCGCGCCAGGATGAGACACCTCCCTCCGCCTTTAGCGTGGAGCAGGGAAAATATACGCTAACGGCCTTCCATTAAGCGCACACTACACCTAGCCTAAAAAAAATATCGAAGATCAGGTTGAGAGTATGGTAAGCAAAGAGAAAGCGTTGGAAGCATTTAATGAGAAAACGCTGGAGACTGCAAAAAATTACTTTGGTGGGTATATAGACGTCACTAGCGCTAGAAGCTAGTAGCAGATGTTTGTATTACATGTTTATAGTAGATGTTAGTAGTGGATGTTAGTTCGCTATTACCACTGGGCTTAGATCCTCGAATAGGAGTGTTATGCTTAAATTTAGCGCGCGAAGTGCAGAAAGCATAGCTGAGGCGGCCTGAAAACTGTTTAGCCCTTGTGGCTACTTAAGCAGGAGAGCAGTTTTCGTTCTATTTTTAACGGGAGAAACTAAACGGTGTCTACCGCTCATCATATCGCCGTACACACGCCTTGGGTGGTGGAAGTTCGAGTTCGAGAAAGTGCTTTTCTGTATAGTCTATTCCGGAGACCATCTCATCAAATTCGCTTTATTTCCTAAAGTTGCATGAGACTACACCGCACATCGCATATTGTTGCAATCTGTATTCTGTACCACTTACTATTGTTTTTGATCTGGTACTGTCTTCATAGGAGCTATTCAGCTCCGGTTATACTATCTCTGTTCGCAAATTACTTTAGAGATGTCTACTGCCTCAGTGCCAAGACACTTACGCTTCTTGTGAATTTACATTTACCTCGTTTAATAGCTTAATACGTTGACATGTTTATATAAAGTTATATACATTCATATTTTTCGTTAACCATTTTAATCTTATATAGGTGAACTTTTTTATAGGTCCTTTTTCAGTTAGAGTGCTTTTATATAGCTAAGCACAAACTTTTTTTTGTTTTGTTTTTGAGGTGGTGGTTTGTTCTCTACTACTTCCTATTTGTATAACTTCAAGAAGATTTCTTCAACAATTCCTAAAAATAATTTAGCATGTTCTTCTCCGAATGCCAATGTAGGCCTCAATCTAACTGACGAGTCTCCACATCCACCAATGTTGACACCATATTGTCTACAGGTATCCAAAAATTCTTGTCTTTCTAATACAGAAGTGAAATCCCAAGCAATAAAGGTACCGAAGTTTTCACCTCTTAAATTCTTCATCTTGGTTGGGTATTTGGATAACAATGTATCTAACGACTTGTACAAGATATCACCAACTTCTTGAGTCTTGTTGACAAGATCATACTTTTCAATTTCTTGATAAATAGTTCTAGCAATAAGTGCCTTAGATGGATCACCACACCAAGTGTTGAATTGTCTGTAGGGTTGAGCAGGTTGCAAGTCTGGATTCTTGAAGTAAAATCCGGCAGCCTGGAATTTCTTCAGGAAAGTGACCATGTCTGGTGGGGTCGTCAAGTTCCAATGTTCATGAGCCCAAAACTTACCTGAAGCTCCGACACCAGTTTGCACTTCATCGACAATCATCAATATTTCGTACTTGGTACAAATATCTCTTACACCTTGGAAGAAGTATGGAGTAGCATGGTTGTCACCACCTTCCGATTGGACAGGCTCAACAATCAATGCGGCAATGTCGGTTGGGTGGTTTTTAATGATCTTTTCCAATTCTCCAAGGCAGCGATCTTCTTCGGCGTGGTTTTCATGCTTATGGTTATCTAATGGGTATTTCAATTTAGGGAATGGAGCTGCTGGCCATGGGAAGGCAGGAATGTCCAACTTGTGAATTGCCTTTGATCTCGTAGTGGATAATGAACCGAATAGTCTACCATGAAAACCCTTTTCAAAAGATAAAATAGCCAGATCGGAAGCACCAGGAGCCTTGTTTTCCATTACAGAAGATAACTCTTCGTGAGTAAAGTCCAAAGAACCTCTCTTTTTCTGAGCTTGGTACATAAAGGCTGCCTTGTATGCTGTTTCGTTTGCACATGATCCAGAGAGCGCAGTCCAGACTTTATTCATGCCCTTTGGAGCAGCAGCAAGTATTCCGTCTTTTAACACTTGGCCGTATTCAGCCAGTGGGAAACATGCCAAAGCTGGTCTGTTAATGATGGCACTAGCCATTTCATCCAGCTTAGCGGTCTTAAGCAATTCTGGGTTGTTGTAACCGAGAGCAATGGATGAGATCTGGGCGTAAACATCGAGCAACTTGTTTCCATCTGCATCACTCAAATAGTTTCCTATGGACTGCTTGTAGTCACTGACAAAGTAAGCTGCTCTGTTATCGAAGACTTTACCTAATTCTTCATTCAACTCCACAGATTTTGGCCCTGGAATGGACTCCGTTTTCAATACTGGAGCAGTTGGTTCACTGGGAAAATAGATGGAAGCAACTGATTGCGAAGCCGAGCGCTTGAGCTGAAGTTGGCTCGCACGCTGTTGAAGGTTCTTGTAAGCAGACCTTCTGAGCATGATAATTTGTTGAGTTTTCAGCAAATCAAAAGGGAAAGTAAGCAATTTTGACTGCCCTTACAATTTCTCCTGAAAAATCAGTCTACTTTTATATGTCAACCACCGCTGGTTCTTCCACCCCATCTGTGGAGAGCGATACCCGACTGAAAGTGGTAGCATATTCCGTTATCGGACTGCAGATAGTACCAGAAGCCCGCAACACTAACAAGCGCTTGGAAACTTTTGAATCATCTGGGAAGAGTGCGGCATACACTTTCCATTTTGAGTGAATGGGAGATGGAGCTGGAAAGCCGTGAATGGAAGGCAGAAAATTGTACTGAAAAAAATGGAGATGAAAGGTTGAAAAGTCTGGGAGAGCTGGAAATTGCAGAGCGCTAGATTTCCCGGATTTTTGAGCCTGAATCTGAACGTATTTGACCTGTGGTGGTTAGGTGGGGCATTCCAAGTGGAAAATCAGTCGTTAATGCTTCCATGTGGGAGGGTGTGCCAGGCTCAATTCGAAAAGCGTAAATTCGGTAGAAGTGGAGTGAGGTGCGACTAAGGGCGAGCTGCATATAAAGCTACTGGTTTCTAGCGTAATGGCAGACACTTAGTTGACCGGTGTGGGTAGGTGAATGGGTGGGATGTTTTAATGTTGGCACGAGTGTGTACAAGTGTGCTTGGATGGAAGCATTGATGTATGCTTGGGTAGAACCGCGATCAGTTAAACAGGTCTCTCTGCATATATGCTCTGCGCTCTCTGTATTCTTTTCTGTCTTCTTCGCATTCTTGTGCGTACTCTTCACTCTTTATATAGTGAGCCCTTGCGCACTGGCTGCAAAATTGATCCACAATGAAATTGTAAGCTAAAACGTACTGGACAACACATACTCTGTTTCGATACGTACAAGTTGCAGATAGTGGGTTAGGTGACTAGACTCTGTTTTGTTATATCAAGACCACATTAAATAGATATTTATAGTAGTAATCTTTACATCAAGGAGTGATATCTTGCGTCTCAGATGGAATGGCTGATTCTGTTGAATTCGATACTCCACCAGCTCGAAGGAGACAAAAATGATAGCAGATATAAAATATCCTCATGTGAGGGCCGATAAAGCTGAAAGGTATATACGCTGGAAACGAAGCACACAAAACTAAAAGAAAACATATGCGATCTCCATGCCAAGACCTATCAAGTAAAAGGTGTATACAGGTAACAAGGGCAGAGTACACCATACTGAGCGAAGACCAGACCCAGAGAAAAGAAAGGATGTACCGGTTAAAACCCAGAAAATAAAGATACGCCAATCCCATGCGGGACCAATCAGGTTGAAAACAAAAGAAATAGAACATTACGCTACACCGAAGCGAAGACCAATTCAGAAAAGGGGTACATGTAGGAGCTAAAGGTACCAAGGAAGGGGTGGGACAGAAGGTACAGCCTCATGCGCAGACTCAATAAAGGAAAGTCATCAGGCGAAAAACTAAAACATTAAGCGCTTATTTAAACAAGCATAAAAATAGAAAGACTGGACGATAGACCCATGCAAACTTCGAGCCAGACATATATAATACCGGTCAAAAACACATATTTTAACTAAACAGCCCAAGGTGATTCAGTGTCCTCTATAAAAACTGCGATATCTGTCCTCCCTGTCGACTTAGACCTGCCATCGTACTTTAGTCTGATCTTTTTTAAGCAATCCCTTGCTCGTGCTTTGCTTGTTTTTCCCTGCCCAAAATCCACCGAATTTTCCCTGTGACTTGTCGCACCATTGGGAAATACTCAGCAAAAACCAACTAATTAGTAGTGGTATATCAACATTCCTTCTTGTTGGCTCCTTTACAGACAATTAGTACCTTTTACGGACATACGCAGACGATAATATTACCAGCATCCTATGACTGAAGTAGCTGACAACTCCAATTCTGTTAAGAAGCTATTTAACAAGATATCTGGACAACCAGCATCCTACACCAGGAAATCCAAATATACCTTTGGCAAGACCCTTGGTGCGGGATCATTCGGAGTCGTGAGATACGCCAGAGACAACGAATCCAATGAAGAAGTAGCAGTCAAGATCCTTCTTAAGAAGGCGTTAAAGGGTAACGAAGAAATGATCATGGACGAATTGCGCCTTTTGCAAGAATTGCATCACCCGCACATCGTGGGGTTTAGAGATTGGTTCGAAAGTAAGGACAAGTTCTATTTAGTAACGCAATTGGCTACTGGAGGTGAGCTCTTCGATAGAATTATCCAGAGAGGAAAATTTACTGAGCATGATGCCAGTTTGGTCATTGTCCAAATGTTGGAAGCATTACTGTACTTACATGATTTGGACATCGTCCATCGTGATATTAAGCCAGAGAATATTTTGTACCTAAATGACAGTGACGACTCTAACGTGGTCTTGGCAGATTTTGGAATTGCCAAGCGGTTGGCTAATCCTAATGAAAAGATCATTTCCAGTGCTGGATCATTCGGATATGCTGCCCCCGAGGTGATTTTGGGAACTGGACACGGAAAGCCTTGTGATATTTGGTCATTGGGTGTAATCACTTATACTTTACTCTGTGGTTATTCTCCCTTCCGTTCTGAAAATGTGCAGGACTTCATTAGCGAGGTAAAGAATAATAATGCCGTCATCTTCCATGCGGATTACTGGAAGGATGTTTCTAAGGATGCTAGAAGATTTATCATTAAGGCCCTTCAGTTCAACCCGGATAATAGACCAACTGCTGAGCAGTTGTTAGAAGATCCATGGCTCGTTACCATCGCTGCTGGCCACAAGGAGGCTGACTTGTTACCACAATTCAAGCAGAGATTCGATGCCAAGGCCAAGTTCAGACAAGCCATTGAAATGGTTAAGTTGAACAACAGAATTATGAAATTGAAGGAAATCCAGACTGAGGACGATGATGACCCCAATGAAATCAATCTCTTTGGAGACGATGGTCCCATCAGCCATACCAGTATTGAAGAATCTAAACAGCAAGCATCAGAGAACCCTAAGAAAACCTCTCCACTATTCAATTGGAAGAATTTGTCTCATCACTTGAATAAGCTTGATGATCTGTCAAAGGCATCATTGACTGCCAATACCGGCTCTGCTGGTACCACATCGAGCAGCTTGGCACCCTCTGGTGCTAAAGGAAAATCGGCAGTTGCTACTTCAGCATTTGTACAATTGGTTCATGCGGCATCGCAGAATAAGGAAAGAGTAAAGGGATACAAAGAAGATGATGAGGGTCAGAGCAAAGAGGAATAGTGGTGAAATTAGTGTACTTATAATATATGAATCGTTTTCTTTTAATGAAATGCTCTTTTTAGCTATCTCTTATTTTTGTAATGCATAGGTGGATAAGGATTTTACCAAGTTTTGGTATTCCCTAAAAGTGTGGAGAACCAACGTTTGTCTGTCAGCTGTCAACTCGAATCCTCCCAGTCGTGAGGGTGCGGATTATTGGCCATGGTGGCATCGAAATCGCTTGTTTCCCTACATCGGAAATGGCTCTTGTTCCCCCATAGTGCAACCACTGTTGCTCTTATTTCAATTTTGTGTCACCATAGTGCGTTATCAAGAAATAATCCACAGTTGACGAGCTACGCTGTAAGAGTTACCACATGTTAGCAATTAAGAACATGCAGAGGGAAGAGAGGAGATCCGCAAGTATGGCGAGATAGGATATAATCAAATTCAATGAAATTAGTACAATTAGGAAGGAACAATAGAGTTATCAATCTCAAAATGCACTACGGTAGTGAGGCTTGCTTCTGGCTTCTGTTGCATGCTGAGGAAGTTTGCAATTTTACGTTTGGAGCTCAAATAGTTAATCTCAATCAGATCTAATGACGTAAGCATGGTATAAGCAGCTTTGAATTGCGAGGGAATTTGTAGTATGCTAAGAAAATTGTTACCTAAGCAATTACTGTAAGCATCCCGTTAATAAGGTTACTTCCGCTCACACAGCAAGCTGTCATGTAAGCGATTGCTGTACACTTAGACATGTAAGCAATTTCTGTACTGTTCATTAATAAGGCGAGTTTGGTAGTGTGCTTAGTAATCTGTTAAGTAAGCAACTTTTATTCTAATCCATTAATAAGGTAGCTCTGATTTGGCTTAGCGATCATTTATGTAAGCACATTCTCCCTAATCCATTAATAAAGAGAGCTCACTTACGTAAGCATTTATATAAGCACTCACTGCGAAACCATTAATAAGAGGCTTGGAAGTCTCCTGGGCGCGTTACAAATCTCCTGACTTCAGAGCTTATATGCACGCTAATTAGTAACCACAGATTTCATTTTACTAATTTGTCACGTAATCAAAATTGTCAGCTGTGGAAAATGCAGCAAGTCCAAATTTGTCCACTGAGCCGCTGTGGCTGCAGATGAACGATATATAAACCCCATATGGAATCCCTAGAGAGTAGACCTTATCTTTATTGTAGATTAGACAAGTAAGAAACTTTCTTTACAAACACTACATTTAAACAATCAGATTAACATAATACATAATACAATGGCCCCAAAAATTGCTGTCATAGGTTCCAACGGTTTCTTAGGTAAGCCAACAATTGCTGCTTTAACCAGTGATGAATTTTCAAGCAAGATTGACTTGCCCATCATCGCGATCACTCGTTCCGCTAAGGACAAGGTCTCCACTGACAAGATCAAGTATGTCGAAGCCGATTACAGTGAATCCAACTTAGATAAGCTTTATGAAATCTTTGAAGGAATTGACGTTGTCATCGAATTGGTTGGTGCTAACCCAGAATTATTCGCTGTTACTGAAAAGATCGTCGCTCACACTAAGCCAAAGTTATTCATTCCATCCCAATTTGGTACCGACATAGAAGACTCTAGTAAATACCTCCCAGGGTTCTTAGGTTTAAAGACTGTGCACTCTGAAAATGCCAGAAAGGCCGGTGTGAAGACTGTTGATATCATCACCTCATTATTTGCTGTACCAGGCCTGTTCCTGTACGAGATTGTTGGTACTCTTGGTGTCGACGCTGAAGCAAAGACTGTGACTTACCGTGGTGACCCAGACTACAAGATCGCTTTCAGTAAGTTAGAAGATATTGGAAAGTCTGTCGCTGCCGTTGCTACCTTCTCAGACTTCTCCAAGCTTCCAAACAAGGTCAGAGTTTACTCCGATTTAGCCTCTAACAGAGAAGTCGCTGAAAGATATGAATCAACACACAACGTCAAACTTCAAGAATTACCAGCCATTTCTAAGGCTGATTCATTGAAGGAAGGTCAAGATAAATTAGCTAAGGGCTTCAACCCTGCTGAATTCTTGTTCTATCTTAATGTTCTTGCTTCCCAAGGTGAAGATGCTGGTTTAGCATTTAGCTCAAGTGAAAGAGAATTGATCAACCCTGGTGAATCATTATGGAAGTGGGGTAAGTTCTAAACGTCCAACTGAGTACTTTATAGAATATTTGGTTTACTGCACTTGAAAGATTTCATAATTATATAGGTGAATATTGATACTAGCTAAATAAGACGAAATCTATGTAACTTAATGAATTGTTATATTCTTAGTTCTCTATACTCTTCAAGATGACATGAGTATCAATCAGTTCATACCATGCTTTATTGTTCTGTAACTAGATGGATGTTTGTAGGGCTAACTCTTCTTGTACTCTTGTCGGAATAGACGTGAGGCTCATGTACAGCGATTTTGTATCCGGCATGCTAGCAACCAGACTGAAGCCACGCTAAGAAGCATCCCGAACTTTGTTGTCTATTCTATGCAAAAGTCTCCAGAGGTTACGTGAGTCGAAGTAGTCGCCAAAGTTCCGTGCAAATTTCAAAAGAATACAAGACTAACCAGAAAGTGTAATAAATATGTGAAGCTAAGAATATTTTTTTAACTTACGCAAGAGAAGTCATCACCGAAGTTCTCCACAAAAAAATAACGCCTGGAAGAGATGCACGTTGGTTATAAGCAGCACACTTCAGATACATCTTTCCACAACCTTGGGCCCAATAATAAGACTGTGTTAGGATAATCATTGAAATTTGTACTTTATTGGAATCTGCTCAACTATATACTCTAGCTGTATTGTATAAGTATATCAAAGTCTGCAGTCTTGGTGCTTACTAAAAGTATCAACCTAGTAGCAAGTGAGAAAATTGTCGGAATTCCATTTAAATTTGACTAAATTTTAGTAAATTGAATAATCACAGAAAATTCTTATTTATAAGTATGTTCAGCTTTCTGGGATAATCTTCCGTTTATTAGATTTCTGCAAATAGTTTTTCAACGTCACGTAAAGAAAATGTTCCCAAGAGTTGCTGTTATAGGTTCAAATGGGTTCTTAGGAAAGCCAGTGCTTGCTGCATTAACCAACGACACATTTTCGAGAAAGATATCTTTGCCAATTATAGCAACTACCCGTTCGGTAAAGGATAAGGTATCCTCAGACAAGCTTAAATATGTCGAAGCCGACTTGAACGAATCGAACTTGGATAACCTTTACGATATCTTTGAAGGAATTGACGTTATTGTAGAATTAACCTCTCCAAACGCAAAGATATTCTCTGTCATTGATAAAGTCGTTGCTCACGTAAAGCCAAAGCTTTTTATTCCATCCCAGTTCGGTAACGATTTAGAATATACTGACAGATATTTACCTGGATTTTCCGGGTTAAAAACTGCACATTCTGCTAACGCAAGAAAAGCAGGCGTCAAGACTGTTGATATTATTGCTGGTTTTTTTGTTATATCAGGACAGGTTGTCGGTCATCTTGGAATCGACACTGAAGCAAATACTGTAACTTTCCGTGGAGATCCAGATTTAAAATTAGCAATTAGTAAGTTAGAAGATGTTGGGAATACTATTGCTTCACTTTCAACTTGGTCAGACTACTCCAAGATTCCAGACAAAGTAAGAATTTACTCATTTTTAGCATCTAATAGAGATATCGCAAGAGAGTATGAGTCTTTCAACAATGTTCGACTTAAGGAATTACCACCTATATCTAAGGCCGATTCGTTGAAAGAAGGCCAGGAAAGGTTTGCGAAAGGATATAAACCAAGTGATTTCTTTTATTATCTTGGTATAATTGCTTCTCAGGGTGTTGATCAAGGTTTGGCATTCAGCTCAAATGAAAGGGAATTAGTAAACCCCAAAGAATCAATTTGGAAGTGGGGAAAATTGTGAATTGATTTCCACTTACGGTATGCTTATAATAGCTGGCCATGATCCAGAGTGAATAAATCCGAGGAGTATCAAAAGTTTCTTTTCCTTTTCCAAGATCTCTATGTATCTTAGTATATGAAGTTAATATATATAAGAAAGCGTGCGCTTGAGGATGGATAACGCTGGTACTTTTTGCAGAACACGCATATAAGAAACTTTAAGTGATCCCTTGTTTGCAATTCCATCTGGTTTAAGGCGTATAATGTTTCCAGAAGGTAGCTTTTCATGTCGTAGTGAGTAGCGTACCTACTTAAACTTCATACTACACTGATTTCACTTCCACTTGCATAAATGGAACAATTAGTTGATCCGTCATTTCTTGAGTAGGTTTATGAGCAAGTGCATAATGGGCATTGACCATGCATCTGAGAAAAAATAGCTGGAAGGGAACTTGCTAACTGCTGAAGTAAAGAGGTACACAGCCCCAATGGAGTATTTAGAAGCTGCGAAAGAAAGAAGTACTTTTCACATTTCGTTTCAGGTAAACGACAGATCGAAACAATCATGCATTGTTTTTGGAAGTTTTAAACCTTACTAAAGGTAGGATACTAAACCTAAATTGAGTTGTACATCGTCACCTGCTTTCCATTGTCAATCATTATCAATAATTTTAGTTATTGTTTATAAATATTGAAGTAGAATATATATTGTATGGCTTTACAGAGCTTTATAGTGTGAAAACTAAGAATTCTTCATTATATAGTTAAGATTAGTAAATTTATTTGTTTAAAAATCTTGATGTTCTATTAAGCGTAGAATCAAATACGCACTTACAGTGTGCACCAAGATATCAAGTTACGTTATACATAATTTCTGTTGTAGGATAGAAGCCAAAGAGGTATCTGCCGTAGCCAGAGGCTCTTACGTGCATCTCCATTAGCTAGGTGATTCACCATCAACTCTCAACTCTAAAGTGTTTCAAGCGTAACTTCTTATATGCAACTTACTGGTGGTTGTGCATGCATGAAAATGCAGCTGAGGTAAAAAAGTTGAAACTCGTTCCTTTATAAAAATGTCGTAGGTAATGTCGTAATCTTGCAGCAAGACACTATTCTTCCTGTGATCATGAGTATTCCATAGCCCGAGAAGAAGTTTCCCAATTGTAGGGTGTTTTGAAAAGCTGGTTTATTAAGATTTGAGGTACAACGTTAATATCATGTTAAAGCATTATCATCTACAAACTTCTTACCTTTGGAAGTGACAATCTAGAAGTGAAGATGTAGGCAAATTTGCACTCTGTGGCTTTCCTCCTTTTTGGGCTATGTACTTGAAGTCAGCCGTATCTATATGTAAAATCAATCACTAAGCAAGTTCATTATCCTCTTTTACATCAGATGAGATCAAAATAATTCTTGGATGCTGTGTGTCTGGAAAAATACTCTAGCTAAAGTCTGCATGGTATAGACTATACTACTACTTTTCTTACATGTCTTTGATTTATAATGAAGTTCTTTATATCTATTTACTCGTTTTTATGTATTATTATTATTAATATATCTCGTTGGTTAACTCAACAGGAAATTCTTCGATTGGAAATTGAAATTCATCTGAATAGCCAGTATTCAAGAATTGTGATCCAGTGTCATTGAAGTTAAAGTTAAGATGATCGGTGTTTATACTATCAGTATTAACAGTATTGATATCTTCAGGTATTATTGAAGAAAGTGGAGAACCGTCATAGGCATTACTATTTGAAGGTGGAAATAAGGATGTAGCACCATATAAATTATTGGTTTCAGTAGATGGCAGCTGCTTTTGCTCAAATGAAAGTTGGGGTTCAGATGTAATGTCATTTGGTAAGTTGTGCGATTTGAATGAGTTCAAGTAGTTATTTAAAATACCTTCATCAAAATTGGTACCAAAAGGTACATCAGATGTAGCTTGTTGTGGTGGAGCGAAGTTCATGTCAAAGGATGCTTGACTTGGAACTTGGGGAATTTGATCTTGTGAGCTCATTGGTGGAGTGAACACATTTAATGATGAAAAGCTTTGGAATGACTGGTCGTTCAATGGAACTGAAGTGTTATACATATTATCATTCATATTTTGCTTAGCGTCAAGCTTTATTCTTTTATTTGATATGTTGTTCGATAACTTACTGTCGCTGAAGACTGTTGGAATTGTTGATGCAGTTGAGCCTTCTGGAGAGGTAGGATGAGAATCGCTTTCCATTATATTAGACACTGGGGTACGGAAGACTGGAGATCCTCCGATAGCTGATGAAGTTGTTGGAACACTCAATAAGTTTGGACTTGAATTAATAGTGTTGAGGTATTCAGAACATTTATCACCATAGGTCTTTGGTGTTAAACCAGTAACAGACTTAAAAACTCTATGGAAATGCCATGCTGATAACTTACTCTTAGCAGCTAATTCTTTAAATCCCAAAACTCCTCCTCTTCTTCTTCTCTTCTTACTACCTGGAGAAGCCCCCACCTCTTCTGGTGAGGATGGAACCTTTGGCAAGCTTTGTTGAAAAACGTTAGCAGCAGCAGCCAATGCCAAATGACGACAAGCTAAATCAACTAATCTGTAGTGATCAGAGTCGTTCTTAGAAATAGATGTATTTTCAAAGTCCTTTGAATATTTACCGTCAAAGCTGACAACTGGGACAGATGATCTTCTAGAAATTTCTTCAATTTTCTTCAGTTCCAAAATGTTTTCTTTGATTCTTTCATTATTTTTATCTTCGTTTTCATCCATCAATGGGGTTAAGAAGCCAATTTGCTTGTTCACAGTTGTAACACAATTAATCAACAAGTTCACATCGATGGCTTGCATGTTGATTGGGTCACAATGAGAGCAGGCTTCATAGCCATGTTTCAAAGCATCATTTGCCAGAGACATAAACTTAATCTCTGCTTTAAGGTTTGTGATGGGTCTAGCATCACAATCAGGTCTGCAAAATGATTTACTAATCTTATTGCAGACCACAAAAGCACCAGCTGCAAATGGGTCTGAAAATTGGTAAGCTTTCCACTTTGCTGTCTCTGTAGAATAAACCATATTGACTAAGAAATCTGTTGTTATTTTGTTTACTATCTGACGAGGTTAATAAACTAATACGCTAATATAAATTTCTTTCGTATATGCAAATAAGTCTAAGAAGTTATAGTTTTATCTTATGATTTTAATATAGAAGTGTACTTTATAACATACAACTTAATATTCCACGATTATTTCAAGAAGATAAACTGCTATTTATATTAATTGAGCTTTTCATTTCGGAATGTTCAGGTTCTCCTTGGTTCGCATTCACCACATCTTCGGAGCACCGACGCATGCAATCAAAGACTTTCTGCATGATGAGACAGCGGATGTACATGAGCCGCATCATGTGGTGAATATTTGCATCACATTGCATATTTCAGGTTCCTTTATTTCTTAGCCCGTAAATGCTTCCTACACCTTTTTAGGCACGTGCGTACTTGTAGTAGGAGTGGAATTTCACATCCGGAATAATTCTGAACCTATATTCAACCTACTCAGAAGTTTTCAATTTTTCCCTCTACACCCTTGTGGCTATAACATGTAACGCACTTTTGAAATTAGACTTAACTGAAAACATCATGCTATTCGAAGTCAAATTGCAAAGAGTGTTACATCATAATGATTGACGTCATGTTTCACACTTTGTGTAATTCTTGCCTGATTATTTTTTAAAGGGGTAATGTGAAAATTTCGGTGGAGAACCTTCGCGCTTGTGGCTAGTGCATCCTGCACAACAAATTCTAGAAACTTCTCACTTAGGTGAAGAGAACTCTTTGATTTTTCAATATAGATGCCTATGAACGGATCGGGCCATGGATCCTCAAACTGAAGACTATTCTATTATGTCTGGATTAGAAGGTTTCATTTTCAATTTCAACTTCTTGATCATTCTCTAGATGAAAAAGGTGACGTAAGTAAATTTCGATTTTGTGTAACTTTTCCTCAATCTTTGTCTCAAATTAATGACATCATCATCATAACCTTAAAAAATTATTAGTGAAAGCGAATGTCTCAAACATTCATCATTTTTGGTTAGATACAAATGAGATGGAGATCCGTCCTGGCTCAAAAACGACATCATGATCTGTCTATTATAATAAATAATTTTGAGAGATCATGGCGAAGTTCTCTATTGCACCGTTGGCACTTTAACGTAACACAAATTAACACAAGCTATGCAAAGTCATCTGATTTTAGATTTAGACCTGCTATACTTGTAATCAATATAGACTTTTAATTTGACTTTTTTCTTCTTAACTTAATTCTATTTCTTGTATTTCATTACAAGGCAACCGAACAGCACTGATTACTCCATTTTTTCCATCGTTTAATGTCAGAAATGGTTCTCAGGCAAGGCATATTCATCATGCCATCAGCATGCCATCCAATCCCTCTTTACAGAAGTTCCTAAAATGTACACATAAGCCCAATGATGAGCCCTGCATTCATTAAAATCCCCCATTTGCTTACTTTCCACACCAGAGACATCTTTTTTTTTTTAAGGTTTTTCTTTGTGGCTAATACATATGCATGCCGCCCTGAACGATATTTTTTGGGATGAGCGTTAAAGTACATGAAACTTTCACATTGAATGTGCCGACTAGCCGACTCACCGGGCAAATGTAATTTAAGTAGACTTTACAATAGTATGTCTTAAACATTTCGTTATATAGCTGTATAGTTGTCTGATTAATAGGTCATAATAGTCTTGCTCTATACGATACTTGAGGCATCTGAAAATAAAATATTTAGAACCGAAATGGTTACCATATCTATTGCTATGTCAATTTAAGCTTGATGCACATTTTGCTTATGAGCACTATACATAAGATAAGAAGCACTACTCAATTTTCTGCCTCCTTCTTACAGTCTCCACCGTTAAGCGATAGTAATAAAGAGCCCATATTTAATTCGCCCCACTATATAGCAATTGGATCTAAATTCTTTTTTTGGGTTGCCTATTACTTTAAACTATGTGGCAAAGTTCTTGCGATCTGTAAAAAGACGCTAAAACTGCAGATACAACCCGCCAAGGTAATTCTATCACTAGCACTAGCCTGATAGTCATAAAAACAGCTCAGACACGCCATCTAACTGAAAGAATAAGTTGATTTAGGGCTCCTATTCGCATAATAAAAAAATTCAAGGTAAAAAATTTAAGGTGCATGGGTTCGCCACATCTGTCTAAAATTTTAATTTTGTACTAATCGCTCGCAGCGCGCGCGCCGCAAATCTTGGTATGTTGGGGGGGCATTACTGTATGAGTGAAAATGGAAAAAGAAAAAAAAAATAAAAGAAAATACTGTTGTACATTTCACAGAATGCATGTATATTCCTTATTTGGTGTAATGTATGCATCGTAGTACCAGAAAACAGTGGTCCGCGTTTCCCTATCTCACCTCCCCCGCATAAACTCTATTTATAATACATGAAGACATACAGCCATCTCTCACTTTCTCTTCTGCTGTTCAGTCTCATAGAAATACACTTGCCCTCGTGGGTTGGCGATACTTAAATCCAGTTATCTGGAGTTTTTACTGTTTCTGTTGAGGACTTGTATGGGGAAGGAAAATGATAATAATTATCTTTTATTAAAAAATGTATGCACTAAACTTATCCCTCTAGAACCTTAAAAAAAAGCCTTACGTAGGTCACACATAATGCAATTACTTAATTTAGACAGGACGGACTTCCGAGCATTGAAGTGGCGCAGGGAATGCATGTACTTATGCACATTCCGCTGTTCAGTGCAAATAAATAAAGCCGACAGATAAACTTCGTATTCTCCACAAGTTGGTCTGTCTAAGGCGCAGAGCTGGCCCTTTCGCCAGTCTAGATATTTTAGGTAAGATCTGGCCTACGGAGAAAGCTAGGCATTGAGTGAGTACCACATGATTTTCCCCAAATAATTTTTTTTTACGGAATTCTTTCAATGGAAGAAAAAACTTTTTCTCATAATCTTGGGTAAGCCAAAAAATTTATGACGTCAGTGTGTGATGTTAGTAGCTCGAGCGCAAGATTACCTAAACTGAAGATCAAGCGTTAATGTGAGACATCACAATAAACTAGATTAATCATTATGCTTTCACACATTGATCTAATGCTGCAGGGATTGCTATCGCATGATAACCGTTGCCCCCTTTAACATAAATTGGTTAGTCCATGCCAGATGATTCATTTTTGACGTGGGAGCTTATTTTGGCAATCTGAAGATGAAGAAATTTCACAACCACTTGTTGACTCGCTGCTCATGACGCTCACTAAACACACCGTGTGAATTAAGCTTACGAAATGCTCACTTAAGCTATTACCTATCTCATTTGAATTCAGGTATCCAATTTCAAGCCCTAATTTTACATTCTGTTTATTTATGTAGCGCATCCTTATCTTTTGGCAATCTGAAGAAGAAGAAAATTTCACAGCCACTTGTTGCCTCGCTACTCATGGCGCGCTCAAGACACACTGTGGGGATTAAGCTTACGAAATGCTCACTTAAGCTATTGCCTATCTCACTTGATATCAGGTATCCAATTTCAAGTCTTCATTTGAATTCTATCTATCAATATGATAGCCTCTGTGTCTGTGTCTGTGTCTGCCAAGATATATTTGCCGAGTAAATGCCAAGTTCGAGAGAAATGGTCCACCCCAATATTTTCGCACACACCTGTAGTCTTCACTGCTTGGAACGATCAATGGCATATTCAGCTATATTCCTCTTAAATACATATTTCCCAGCAAATATAATAGCGACGAGCGACATGGTTTCTTCTTTATCATCATAAGCCTGCTGTTCTATCCATCTACCCACTCTTTTTACCCCATACTTCGTGCTGAACCACCAGCTACACTAAGAAAACCCAAACACCCACCAAAACACCAACTGAAAAATTTTTGGGGCTATCTTTTCACCTTCTTCCTGTCAAGCCGCTGTGGTGCACCCAGCGCGCGGAATGCGAGGCTCGATAATTCTGCTTACATTTTCACAGACACACAGGCAAGGAAATTAATCAACCAGGACTTGTTAACAGCCAGTAAAGGAATAGATATACCCAATGAGTCGAATCTCAGCTCGTCATGCAGGACACGAGCATACGGTTAATATCAAATATGGCTACTTGGTGCTATTTTTGTCTGTAGTGCACGCCTCTTTGCTTGTGTGGAGCTCGTACGCTAGCATCAAGAACTGGAGACGTAATGGTAAACCACTGCGGAGAAATTCGCAATTGTTACCCACATCTATCATAATATCTATATGGGCAGTATTGATTGCTGTAATATCGGTATGGTATGTTGACCTCCCCGAGAATTACTCGGTTACCATCAAAAGGTTGGGGAGAATCTCGTATGCACTCATTCCCTTCGATATATTCTTGGTTCTCAGACCATCTTCCCAGGGAGGGATCTTCAACTATCTAACCACCATGAATTTACACAAATGGCTCTCTCGTCTTATAATTGTGTTATCGTTATTGCACGGGATCGGATTCACGGTAAAATGGATCATTGAAGGCACATTAATCGAAAAAACGTTGAAATGGGATAATTTACTCGGCGCTATTGCCTGGTGGTTTGTCTTGGTGTTGTTGGTGGTGAGCCTGAAAGTCGTCAGATCTAGAATTTACAAGTGGTTCTACGTCTATCATAACTTGACTGCTTGGATATTTGTCGTAGCAATTGGCTTCCATGCTAGACCTGGTGTCTTTTTATATGCCTGTAGCTGTTTGGGCCTCTTTGCGTTCCAGATTTGGTTACGGTTCTCCCAGCTGATCAAGATCGAAGTGGAGAACTTGGAAGTGATAAGCGATCCACATTCGCTGTTACAGGTGGTTAGAATGCCTAAAATATACTTTCCGCCTTGGTCGCCTACGTCTCACATCAGAATTTCCATGAACTTGAATATATTGGAAACCTATTTATTCCCTAGCCACCCTTACACCATTGCGAGCACCATAGATGATGAATATTGTGATTTGATAGTAAAGAAGACGAATAATGTTGATTTCATAAGGAATAAGCAGCAAAACAGTACAGGGTCCTACACAGTTGTGGGACCTTTCCCATCATTACCAGAGCCATTTTTCATCACATCGGAATCCGTTTCAATCATTTGTGGAGGGTCTGGAATATCTTTTGGACTCCCTATTCTCAAAGGTATCAACTCCAATGCTGAGATTAACTTGTTTTGGTGTATCAGAAATAGAAGTGACTTACATATCTTGAAGGCGTTGAAATTTGACGAAAAAATTACCGTTTTTATTACTGACCAACTGGAATATTCTGATGGAATTGAAGGCACCAATGAAGACGAGGCCCAAATGGGCCTACTCGATCAAGAAGAACAGGATGATGCCTCGCAGAATCCAATCGAATTAGATGACTTTAGCAGTAACAAACTGCAAGTAGAAGATGACACCAAAAACATAACGATTAAACAAGGAAGACCAGTCTTTGATGAAATTTTTCATGGATTGAACACTTCCCTGGATAAGAATAATAAATGGCTAATTGCATGTGGACCACAAGGTTTAATTGAAGCCCTGAAGAAATGGTGTGGAGAGAATGATGTTCCACTTTTGAGTGAATTATATGAATTTTAATATACAGCACCTATTTGTAGTATGTAACATATCCAAGTACAATGAAATGAACTCGATTTCATACTGTGTGAAACACTGTAAGCTACCCATCAAAACTATCTTGGTCAAACTGCACTTTGTCAAGTTGAACTCGGTGGTATAGTCGAGGGAACCAGTAGCCAATGCCTGTCCAAATTTGTTGCTTATATCCACATCACGTGACCCAGACATGATTGATATAGCTTCAAAATTTCTTTCAAGATGTAGGCAACTATGGCAACATTAATCATCGATGTCTGTGATCAATCCTGCCTTCAAGATACCAGAATCACTGCCTTATGATACCTCTGAATTTACTTTCAAGGATCTTGCAGACATAAATGATTCACATGTTGCATACAAACTGCCACTAGCTGTTATAGGACATATAGATCTAAACGCATTTTTTGCACAGGTTGAGCAGATTAGACTCGGATACACTAGAGATGATCCTGTAGTGTGTGTGCAATGGTCATCTTTAATAGCAGTATCCTATGCAGCAAGGAAGTATGGTATAGGAAGGTTAGATAGTATTAAAAGTGCTAGAGCCAAATGCCCCAATGTCATCTTAGCGCATGCGGCTGTGTTCAAGCAAGGAGAATCGCATTGGGCATACGTTGATGGATTACCATCACAAATAACCCACAAAGTTCTGTTAGACCCGTATCGTAGAGAAAGTAGGAAGATTATACTGATATTCAATCAGGAATGTGATTTAGTTGAAAAAGCGAGTGTTGATGAAAGTTATTTGGACCTTGGAAGGTTAATATACGAACGATTGTATAAAGATTACCCACAATTATTTGAAAACCTTAGTAGTGAAAGTTTTAAGAAGGATTCTAAGTTACCCCCAATACCGAAAGAGCATCTCAACCTAAAGATCTACGGTATATCAGAATCAGAATGTTACACTGTTTCTGATTGGGATGATGTTTGCATGTGCATTGGATCCGAAATTATTTACAATGTAAGACAGGAAGTATTCAAGATTTTGGGATACACAACGTCGGGAGGAGTTGGACGGAATAAATTCATTGCGAAACTAGCTGGAGGAGTATACAAACCAGATAATCTTGGAGTTGTATTCAATAAAAATGTAGAGACATTCTTAAATAGATTTGAGTTAACTGATATTGGGGGTATGGGAGGCAAGACAGGAGAAGAAGTACTTTATAAATTGAATGTAAAAGATATTGCAGGCGAAGATAAGTCTTCCATAACTAAGATAAGAGATAATTTTTCATTGCATGATCTTAAATCAGATTTGAAAGATGATGAAATAGCCGAGAAGGTATATAATCTTGTTCGAGGCAATCAACCAAAGGAGTTGACATTGAAAGTAGAAGTGAAATCAATGATGTCAAGGAAAAACTTCCCCGGCAAACCCGTAGCTAATTTGAAAGATGCGTATGATTGGATCAAGGTCTTTGTTGGAGATTTGAAAAACAGGCTAATAGAGCTGGATGATGAAAGCATGAATATACTGTCACTGCAATATGAAAAGCAAAGACCAACCATTCGTCGGCCGAAAACAGTGTCTTTACACTTTGGGACGACTGATTATCAATCGCATTCAAAACAGACAACAATTGCGCCGATGAAAGACCTTGAAAAGTTTGAAGAATTGCTTGAAGTAACTGCTTTGAGACTACTTAAAGAGTTATTAGATTCCTTAAGTAGCAATTCCAAACCAAGTAATGGGTTCAAAATGAAAGATGTTACTGAAATTACGAGGAATATTAAAATTATTGGTTCTGCTAACATGTCACTAACGATTTCTAACTTCGTAAAGACTTCGAACAACAATTTGTTAGACTCTTTTATGGCAAAACCGAGAAGCACGGACAGCCATAAAAAAGAACTAATGGCTTATACTGCAAAATCACCACTGCCACCAGTTCCAGGAAAGCAATCTGGGCCAAAGCTCAATTTGAGTCCTAGCTCCAGATCACAATCTCCTTCAATATTTTCCTCATTCACAGGAAACAAGCCTACGACAGAACAGAATATTACCAACAAAAAATTTCAATCAAGAATACAAGAGAATGACACAAATTCTATCGTTGAACAACTTCAAAAAGTGCATACTAGGAACGTACAACTCAATGGAAAAGGTAATTCAGCGTACTGTGAGACATGCAAGAAAAATATTGAAGAGAGTGTCCCCGAACATACTGACTTCCACGTCGCGTTAGATTTGTCCAAGAGATTAAATGGTGAGGATCAGGATGGCCCCACTACAAAACGTGAATCTGCCCAGAATAAGAAAACAGATTCTAAAAGAAGAAAAATTAATGATAAGTCTCAGTCTAGACTACCGTGGGGAACAAAACAATAGAACCATAATTATGTATGCCTATGTAATGAAGGTCGCATTAAAAATCAGGTGAGACAATCTATATTAAGGTAAGAAATAGAGCTCGCTGTTCCGCCCCGTACCCCAAAAGCTTCCTGCGATATGTACGTGCATGCATGCTGCATGCACAAATTAAACGTCAGAAACTTGTTTTCCTCTTGTGGCTCGTATTCTGGGCTGACATCTGATCTAAAATCTGAAGAATACAGGGTGTGAAGACGCTTGCTAATTCAATCAACCCTATCCTATTGTTTCCTGCCATATGACGTTAAAGTCTAGTATGGTGATCTGCAAGTTTACATCAGGTACCTATCTTGTGGCGTAGTAATATTTAGAAAAGTAATCCTATCACAGATTGTGACACAATCTTACAAGTAAATTTCTCAGATGCCTTGTAGATGTACGTACTCGCCGTAAAGAGAAATGAAACTAACCTTAAAATAAACATTATTTTAAAGGTGAAACTACCTTGCATGTCTTCTTGGAACGGGTCAACTGTAGGAAAAGTTACGAAGAATTTTATCAAGAAGTCCACAAGAGTCGCGCTGAGTACGTTATTTTTTACACCCTTTTGACAAAGATAGAATCTTCCTGTAGAAAATGTGAATGCAAGCAATGATATGAAGATGGTGAGGGTTTGTAACGAAAGGTCTAAGGGGTAGTATTTTGCAGATCGCTAGATTGCGCATAATAGGGGGTCGGGTAATGCAAGCTGGTGTGGTTAGTGCGTTTGGGGCTGCATACACTAATGGACAATGGATTTTTCTTAGGAGTTCCGGCTCGCATACAGGTCAGTGGCCAAGTAAAATTATCTTCGGTTTGCATATAAAAATTGTACGAACTCTGGTGGAGCCCCGGTTCGAATGTACGAGTGTGGCAGGTAAAGTGGAAAATTAGTTTGCATATAACACCAGGTGGCACATTTCGTGGATAGTACGATCCTGCATGTAAGCACCACATCCTCCTCTTTTTTTTTTGCTTTTGCACCGAGGTGAAAAGCTACCCCATATATCGCTCCAGTAGGATAACAACTCTTCACGGAATAGCATTAAATATGGCAGAAAATGCCTTACCTCTTGCAGATGCTGCAACTATAGGTATGTACTAGAGTGAGAAACAACTTTTTGATATAAAAATTCTTTTGATTTTGACCTTTTTCGCCACTTCTGATTACTAACCGATTCTTAGTGCGAGCTCACCAGAAAGATGCATACTTTGAAACATCATTTCAAACACAATTGCAGGAAGTATTGCATATTTTTAAGGGTTCCAGATTCATAAATACACACCCAGAAGAGATAGCAGTTGCAGCCAAGGCAATATACCTTTCGCTCACCACCTTAATTGCCAAAAGAACGCTTGGTGAAGAATATGTTGATCTTATTTATGTCAATAGGAAAGGTACGAGGTTCCCCAAAATATTGTTAAGGATAGGATTCATATTAAGTTATGCAGTGGTTCCTTATTTTTTGACCAAGCTAATAAGGAGGCTAGGGCTCTCCAGAAGTGACGATGAAGACGATGGAGACGATGACGATGACGAAGAAAATAAATCGAAATCATTTTGGTCCATGTACCCCAAGGTTTTAGATGTAATAATGAACTTGCACATCGCCATTTTTTATTTCCAAGGTGAATTCTATTCGCTCTCCAAGAGAATTTTTGGGTTGAGGTATGCGTTTGGCCATAATAAGGACCCTAAGAAATTGGCCAAGTCCGGGAACTATTCCTTCCTTGGTGGACTTATATTACTTCAGTTCTTGGTGAAGTCCATATTGAAACTTAAAACCTATAATGACACACAAAGAGAAAAAAGACAGACACAGAAGAAGGGAGGTGATTTGGATCACGGCGAAGCATTACTGAACGACTTTTCAAAATTTAAACAGTTGGAGAAAGTTGGACAATTTGTGGCGAAAAGGAAGGATTTGCAAATAGAACTCAGCGATCCGAACCAATTACCCTACATTCCAGAGGATTCGAGAACATGCATGTTGTGTTTGACAGAAATGACCAACCCAGCAGCTGCAAATTGCGGCCATTTCTTTTGCTGGACTTGTATAGTAGACTGGATAAGAGAACACCCCGAGTGTCCATTATGCAGGCAGCTGTGTACTGAACTGAATTTGCTTCCGTTGCGATAGGGGAAGAAATGGAATGCAGACAAAAGATGCACGCTCAAGCGTACTAATGCGTAGTGCAGCATTGGCCTGCTATATACGTAGTGCTGCACGGATTATATATCGCAACACTGCTGAGACCACTTAATTTCCGAAGCTCTCCTGGCGAGACCGGCTCTATCCTGGCAAAAAAATTCACTCTTCTCCTGCTATGTTGCGCCTACACGTTAAACGCTAAGGAGGACACTGTTTGCTGGACAGTTTACATTTTGCACCCACTGCGTGCTACGTGCCGCACCTGGAACCGTTAGCGAATGTTGCAGCCCTACTCTCTCACCATTTGTTCCCGGAAATACCCCAAATCAACTAGCAGTATACTGGCCTCAACTTACATACAAACACCAATGCAGAAGATACACATACCCGACACGTACAATCGCCCTACCCTCCTGCTCTTGACCACTTCCTCCCTATCTTTATCACTCCTATGTAAGTAAAACGCAACATTCTCCTGTGCACGACTTCACGTATTTTTAGTCTGAATTTTTTTTTTCTTTGGCGCAGAAAAAACTCGAAAACCAAAAACAAAAGTTGATCTTAACGATAGCCTTGACCGTAGCACAAGCAGAGGTAGAAGCAGCATGTCTAAGGAGTTTAACTTGCCCTTTTCCACGGGAGGATCACTTGAAGATGGCATAGACCACCTCGGGGTTAGTGGATTGGGAATTGGAGGCGAGAAAGGACCTCAACAAAGGCCCAACTATCCTTCATCGTCGTCATCATCTAGAGATTCATCTAAAGGGGAGGATCCTTATTCAAATACATTCAAGCCTTCATCTAAATATTCACTGGGTAACATCTATTCATGGAGAAACATCAAAATTTCGATTCAGACGCTTTTAAGGACTACATTGGAGGTCATTCTCGTCCACAAGCGTTTGCTGGTGGTTGTTGCGACTTTGCTTATACTTTCGTTGTTCACATCGACGCCCTTTATTCCACATTTATCTATTTCGGACCCTAAGGTTGTTATCATCCTTGCTGCCAATGAAGGTGGTGGGGTCTTGAAGTGGAAGGGACCCCAGGAATGGTCGGTCGAGAGATCTTCTATTGCAAACAAGAAGCAGTACGCCAAGCAGCACGGCTATGGTTTGACCATCAAGGATATGACCATTAAGAAGCGGTACTCTCACGAATGGAGAGAAAGCTGGGAAAAGGTGGACATTATGAAGCAGACAATGAGACAGTTCCCCAATGCCGAATGGTTTTGGTGGTTAGACTTGCACACATACATCATGGAGCCCCAATTATCGTTGGAGGAGCATTTCTTAAACAATTTGGGCAATGCTACGTATAGAACGTTGGATACTTTCAATCCCTTGGGATTGCCACTTGACATCCCGTACGTCAACTATGAAAACCAACCCATTGATATGATTATTACGCAAGATTGTGGAGGGTTCAACTTGGGCTCCTTCCTTATGAGAAGATCACTGTGGCTGGAAATGCTCTTGGACGTTTGGTGGGACCCTGCGTTGTACGAGCAAATGCACATGCAGTGGGAGCACAAGGAGCAAGATGCTTTGGAATCGCTTTACTCGACCCAGGCGTGGATTAGAGAAAGAGTCGGATTCTTACCTCTCAGAACCATAAATTCGTTCCCGCCTGGTGCCTGTAGTGATAAGGCTGATGATCCGCAGTACTTCTTTCAAAACAAAGATTTTGTGATAAATATGGCTGGTTGCGAGTGGGGGAGAGATTGCTGGGGAGAGATGGAACATTATAAGGCATTAAGTAAGAGGTTACATAAAAAGTGGTGGCATTTCACATAAGTTAAATCTCAGATGGAAGAGTCCTTCAGAAGCACGAGACGCAGTATAAGAGCCCTTAAACAAGGAAAGCCGTACGTTCAATTTTATTGAATAAGCCAGTGTGCTCAGTAATCACGGGAATTCAACACCGCATTGCTCTACTCCGTTTGTGAAACTCAGCTATGACCATATCTAGAGCGAGACTCAGTGTGACATCAGAAGCAAACTTAGTAGATTCTGGGATAGAAACTTCATTCGTAGACCAGCCATATTATCTCGAAAACCTGCCTCATACATAGGATCATACTGGAACGACTACTCATTAAAAAGAAAGAAATAAAGAAAACAAAACAAATAAATAAATAATAGCTTGGATAGACGAGATAGAAGGATGAGGAGATGTAGCATGTAGGAGCGATGTGTAAAATATGAAATAAGCCGACAAAAGAGGAAAGGGAGAGAGGGGATGGCCGAGATAGCCAGCTGAACAGGAGAAGAGTAGAACAGTAGAACAGTAGAAGAGTAGAACAAAATGAACAGTAGAACAATATGAACAGAAGAACAGTGTGGACAGTAGAACAATATGCACAGTAGAACAGCATGAACAGTAGAAGAGTAGAACAGAAGAACAGTGCGAACAGTGCGAACAGTATGAAATACAGTGTTCTAACATTTCTCACCTGGAACTTATCTGGTACTCTATAGAAAAAGAGCAGGCACTATTATCAGCGCCATTTAACGCGACATAAAATATTTAGCGGGAATCGTTGAACAATTTAGCGTCTCGATAAAACCATACCGCTTGCTTGGCGTCTATTTAGTGTGTCCCAGCGTGCGCACTATCATTAATCTCAGCGAATGATTAGCGTCAGCTGGCGTGCACCCAGCGAACCTCGCTGGTGAGAAAATTCCACACATTTTCGTTTCAGGTCGTGTCCGCCCCAATATCCCGAACTCTCCAAAAACGAAAATTAAAAATTCACGTTTCCATTTTTGATAAAGAAGAGCTTGACTGGACACTTGGCGGTAGGTTTTATCGAAGATGAACGATAATTTTTGGTTCAATGACAATGCGTTCAGTAATAATCAACCCAACAATGGTGGCAACAACAACAACGAAGAGGATTTCTTGAGTAACCTCTTCGATGGGCCAATGCAACAACAGTCACAACAACAGCCTCAGCAGCCAGCCCAGCACCAACAACAACAACCCCAGGCTCCGGCACAACAACTAGCTCCTCAAATGTTGGATGTTAATCCCATGGAAATGGGTGGCGGTGGGGGTCAGAATATGAATCCTCAGATGTTTTTGAGACAGCAGCAGCAGCAACAGCAGCTGCCACAACACCAACAAGGATCTCAGCAGCACACTCCCCAACTGCAGTCTCAGCAGCAGGTCCCAATACACCAACAAATGGGTCAACAAGGAAATGTTCAGGGTCCCAGAGCAAACCAGCTGATAGAACAGAACAAGAGGGATCAAATTTTGAAGATGAAACAGCAAATTATGCAACAGCAGATGCTAGCTGCTCAAAAACAAAAACAACAACAACATCAGCAACAACAACAACAACATCAGCAGCAGCAACAACAGAATCAGCAGCAGCAGCAACAACAGCAGTTACAGGAACAACTTAGATTACAACAGCAGCAGATTCAGCAAAATATTCCACAGCAAGTACATTCTCCCTCTGTAATCCAACAATCTCCGCAACTTTCAAATATGAAGATCAACCAATTTCAAAGAGCACAGGCTGCTATGAGATTAAAGAACATGGAGAGACAAGAGTCAGCTGGTCCGATAGGCCTGAATGCATCTGCCAGATCTGCAGTTCCAACTCCACAGCAACTGCTGCAACCATTCAGTCCAGTTGCCATGAATACTCCGCAACAGCAACAAGCTCATACTCCTCAGCAAATTGGTATCGATGCACAGAAGCAAGGATCGTCGCCTCCTCAGCTTGCTCAATTTCAAATTGAGTTGTTTCTTTCAACTCTTTACGATTTCATGACCCGTAGAGGGACGCCTATAACCCAGGCACCAGTAATCAATAACAAGAAAGTTAATTTATTCTTCTTGTATTTTATGTGTCAGAAGTTGGGAGGATCACAGCAATTACTTAGAAATTTACCAGACGGTGCCAGACAGCAGCTGCCTTGGGCTTTGATCTGTCAAAAATTAGGACTTTTCGAGAATGTTGATGAGCAAAATGCAACAGTGAAGTCAAAAATCATCAGGGAGGTGTACAATTGTTTCATGCAATTGTTGTTACCATATGAACAATATACGAACACTCCAGATGGGCATAAAGATATCCAGCAAAGAAAGATTCAATTTCAAAAGCAGATTGCAAAGAAGATGCAACAGCAACAAGCTCAGCAGATACAACAACAACAACAACAACAACCAGCAGCTCCAATTCCACAACCACTGCAAGTACAGCCACAAATACCTGCTCACGTTTCGGCACACAATTCCCCATTGATTAATTCTCAGACACCGCAGCACATTCAATCTCCAGCAGCTAACAACTTCACCCCAAACAATATCTTACCCAACTCTGTAAATAGTCCCATGGGTCAAAGTCAGGCACCGACACCACAGCAAAGAAAATTGTCAAGAATCAGCAACAACAATACTTCCAGCCACAATTCTCCAGTTTTAGTACAAACTAAGTCTAGAGCAGGAAGTGCAGTTAATACACCTCCTGTTCAACCAACAGTGAGTCTTGCGCCTACTCCAGCTGCTATCCCTGAAGACAAGAAGGAGCCAAATGCGATTAGAAGCTACCTTCCAATCCGTAGACCTATTGAAACTCATGCCGGTTATGATATCAGAGCGTTGTCACAAGTTGCAGGAGAAATTGAAATTACGAAGCCTGTTTACCTTTTTGCTCCAGAATTAGGTTCGGTCAATATACACGCACTCATAATGTCATTGAAGACCTTTACAGGTGTTGGAAACAGCGAAGTATCTTCAGCGCTAAACACTCTCTTGGTCACTACTTCAGATGCTAACTTGGTCTTTAAGATATCGGATTGCCCTGAATTACTTGATACTTTAAGTGTATTGGGGTTGAAAGTACTTGACGTCATCATGGAGGGTGACAAGAAAGGAAAAAAGAGAACTAGAGAGGTCTATGAAAGTGGAGTCAAACTCAGCTCTAACAGTAATATCGAGGATATATTCAATAGATATGTTAAACAAAAGCGTGGAGCCGAGGACGATGACGAAGAATTGGTTGAAGAAGACATCGAGTTTGTTGTGAATTCACTCACTGGTGAGGTTATCGTAGATGAAGACGAGAATGGCGAAGAAGATTCAGGAGAAGATGATGATGAAGAAGAAGAACAGCTTTTTCTGCCAACAAATGAATCAAGCTACTCTACTACTTCGGGCGACCTAGACGAAGACCTGTCCAGCACTTTTGGCTTGTCTGACTACATGTCTTCTTTACTTGCATTTAGGAAAGAAAATAAGTATCACTTTAGTAAGATCCAGACAAAGAGTGCTAATGATGATAAAATCATGTTTGTTGACCAGTTAATTACTATCACAATGATTTTAAGAAACATATCTTTCGGAGATTCGAATAAAATATTGATGTCGTCCAACTCCAATTTCAAAGATTTGTTATTTAAAATTGTGAAATCAGTTGCTAGCCAACCTGATTATTTTGTATTTAATAGAAAGATATTGTGCTTGTTAAAGGATTGTTTATTGATTCTTAATAAGATTGCATTCACCATGGAACTTAGAAGTTTGGAAGAAACCTTTTTAGTGTTCTTATTAACTACTTCTTTTGGGCCTAAAATTGAAGATGACGAATCTATTCCATATGCCAATTTAGAGGTGTACTCTTATATGTCATTTGGTATTGATACATTCACAAAACTTTTAGTCAGGGAACCTCACAATAGGTCTTTATTACAAGCTGTCTTGAATGGATCATTGTCTGTTTCCAGTTCTGCCTCAATCATCGGAAGTACAGGGGGTATTGGAAACGTAGCTCCATTAAATATCACTACTGAAGATCAGGAGGAAACTGCAAGACTTATTAAACTCTATTTGGGTGAAAGGGATCAAGATAAATATAGTAGTGGGATATTACTAACAAGGTCGTTTCAATTTTTCATTTCAGTGATTCCCTTCCAATTTAACAATTTTGAATTATCCAAATTCTTGTTATTGCGTTCACCAACAATTTCCCAAGCTCTATTTGGTACTAAGATTATCATTGATATGGTGCTGAATAGTGGATCAGCAGCAGGGACAGAAATAGATTCTGATAATACCCTCAGACTACTTCCAAGCAAGTGGATTTTCGATCATAAAGAATTAATTTTAAGTAATTTATTAAGAGTTTGTCTTAATGTCGTAGGTGATACTGCAAAGATTCCACGCCATACCGATGAGCATAAAATATTGAGTTTAGTTATTTTAAGAGCTTTGATCATGATAAATTCATTGGTACTGGACTTGGTGGTTGTTAAACTGGAATTGGACCAAGGTGAAGGTAACTTGAAAGAGTGTGCTAAGAGTACTACTGAGTTTAAAGAAAAGTTATCCCAAATCAAAGAAATTGCTAGAATTATCCCAGATAAGAACTTATCCTTAGAAGCATTACTTAATCCGGGCATAGATCCAGACGTTGGAAAGGAGGTTATCAGGTTAATGGGGATGATGAATGAATTATTCAAAGAAGAGAAGTGAAGCAAATGCAATTTAACAGGAAGAAAGTGATGTAATACTTCCAATATATAAAATGGATCATGTAATATATAATATATAATTAAAAAAGGAGGTTGTAGAAATACTTGCGAATAGAATAGTCGTAAGGACTAGTGGACTCTTGACTCTCTCAGTTCCTTAAGAATATTCTCCGTGCTTTATCGAAAGAATGGAAATGAATAGAGAGAAGCGAAAGTGGTGCGATACCCACAGTACGTAGGATAAATTGATACACAACGTATACCAAGAAAGGAAACTCCAGTATTTGTTTGAGAATAAAAAGAGCTAAAGCATGGCTTAGCTGTATCACCAGTGAAAGAATTGGAGAGGGAGAGGTTGCGAAGAACGTAAACACAAATTAAAATGAAAAGACAAATCCGCCAATGTGTCAACGAATAGAGTCTACATCTACATCTGCCTTCATCAAGACAAGAGCCGTTACACGAAAAGGAAGATTGGCCAGACAGCAGTCTAGGCAGGAAAGCTAAGCATCAATTAGCTGCTTTAGTACGGTTAGCTCAAGCACCTCTCCGAGCCTACGCTACACGAAACGGAAAAAGTTAGCAACATTCGGAATTTAGTATCTCTGTTGTTGTGTGTTATCCTATCAAATACATGGAATTGTAATCTACAGTAGGGAAAACTAGGTACGATGGGGAAATGTCCAGAATTTCACACTTGGGTCCATCAGATAAGATGGAAATCTTGGACCAGAACGGTAATTTTAGATAGCGCGGTCGGGTGTTTCTTCCAGATTCGGTAACACGGCCCCCAGAGGCCGATAAGAAAAACAAATTTAGAATCAGAAGATCTAAAGTTAAAGTACTAGCGGAGCGAGGTGCAGCTGTGTCTTGGTATATATATATAAACAAATATAGAAGGTAAATGTGTCAAAACTGAAATATAAGTAGACTCAAGAATCAATTTTATTCGGAAAATTTAATACCTTTGTTCGTATACCTTTTTCACACGTTATTGACCTAACTGAAAAATTTCAAATACGTCAAAAAAAAAAATAAAAAAAAAAATTGAAGCACATAAAATAAAATGGCTGCTGTATCTGTTGCTCCTGCATCTGTCCCATCTGCTCCACCAAAGGAAGCTATAGATGGTAAGCTACTCCCTGGTGAACATACCCTTCCTGCTAGTTGGTGGAAGTCGGAGAAGATCTTTGAATTGGAAAAGAGAGCGATTTTCAATAAATCATGGATGTACTGTATTCATGAGTCTAGATTCAAGAAGGCTGGAGACTACTTCTCATTCACCGTTAGTGGTATCAACTTCTTCATAATCAAATCGAAGGTTGATGGACAATTGAAGGCTTTCCACAATGTTTGCCGTCACAGGGCTTATCCTGTTATAAGAAAGGAGAAGGGATCTTCAACCATTATCGGCTGTAAATACCACGGGTGGTCCTACAACTCAGATGGTCAATTAACCAAGGCCCCACACTTTGAGCAAGTGGAAGGATTCAAAAAGGAAGAAAACTCTTTGTTCCCAATTAAATGTCACACCCAGAAGGAACTGGGATTGGTTTTTGTTAATTTCAGCAATGAGGAAAATGTCCCAGATTTTGACGAATGGTTCACAGGTTTGAACCAAGAGATGACCGAATTCGACTTCACTGATTATGAGTACCACATGTCGTACGAATTAGATGGTCAATTCAATTGGAAGACATTAATGGATGGATACCAAGAATGTTACCATTGTCCAACTGCCCACCCTGGTTTATCTACCGCATTTAAGATGGAAACCTACAAAGTGGTGCCAAAGGGTAGATACTGTAGACACTACGCCGAAGTTGTTAAGGAAGAAATTGAGATTCCTGATGACGACGCAGACGCCGATGAGGAATCTTCATGGTTCGGTTTTGGTAAGAAGAAATCAGCTGCAGCAGCGGAAGCTGCTGCAGAAGCCGAAAGGAAGATGAAAGCCAAGAAGGAAAATCCAGGTGGTGAATTCAATGGATTATGGGTGTACTTATTCCCAAACCACGGTATTAACTGCTACTCTCCAGCCTGGTACTCAATCAGAGTGTTGCCACTTAGTCCAAACCATACTATTTTGCAATATGATATCTATACCAAGAAGGGTTTAGCCGAAGACAAGAAGAAAGAATTTGTTGATTTCTTGCAGCTTGTTGAATTGGAAGACTTCAACTTGTGCCAATTGACCCAAAAGAACTTGGATCAAGGTGTCTACAACTCTGGATACTTACACCCAACCAAAGAAAGAGGTGTGTTGCATTACCAAGGAATTGTTAGAGATATGGTCAAGGAGCATTATGAATTAGAGAGTAAGGCTGGAAAGCCAATTAACCCTGCATTTGTAGGTGGAAACTCTATTAATGAAAGTGTTAAGGAATTGGATGAAATCTGCAGCAATTTAGAATGTGGCAGCGGAGAAGGTGATAAGGGATTAGATTGGTAAAGCAGTCAAGATGATGACCCCTAATCCTAATGTGATATTGACCGAGAAAAAAACCAAAAGAAAACAAGAAAGATCATCAACAATAATGTTTGTAAGCTTTAAATACAAGTATACTAAGTTAGCTAAGACTTAAAGAGCCCATGTAGTATCATTTGTCAGAATGTAGCTTCCGTTTATGCTTGATTACATAAGCGGATACACTTCCACGCATGCAGCAGAATTAGCTTCGAATGCATAGAAGTTTTGAAAATAACAGAACCATAGTGCTGGAGCTTCACCAGAGCTAACATTATCTCTTTATCCTCTCTCTGGAGATAAGATTTAGCCAACTACGCCTTGTATGAGCTCCATTTTAATACATATGTCACCATCTCTCGGAGATTATTCCATGCATGATAGTTAGGCTATGTGCAGTATTTTCCAGAACATTCCTCCACATTTTGATTAGAATGCGGAACCTTCTCGAAAATCCCAATGGGTGCAAATTAGGAAATAAGATATGAAGCGAAGTGGCGATATGTCAGCAATATTTGATATAAAAAGAAGGAAAGAGGATTGGTAGAATTTATATTTGTACTTTCTTAACAATATTATCATCGGTATATTACTTAGATAACGTTAAACTTACCACACAACACACAACCTTTTTTAGATATGTTTACATACACTACTCCCTTTGAGGCTAACCAATGCCCTCGTGAAGGACCAGCTAAAGTATTCTCTGGTGCTAATATTTTATTCCCTCCGGCTACTTCCTCTGATATCTTTGAATGGATTCAGTTACAAAAAGAATTGGAAAGAAGAGAAGCTGCAAAACAACGAGAATTGAGAAAGCCTAGAGTTGTTAAGAAGATCGAATCCGAAGATGCATACCAGTTACAAATCTTTAAGGAATACGGCGATTTTAACTCATATGAAGTTGAGGCTAAGAAGAAGCCAGGTAACAGAGTTCATTTGACCATTTCTTCAAAGGATGATCAATTTTCCAAGACTTTTGAATTTAGCTTGAATGAGATTGAAGTCTCGAAGGTTGATTGGGAATGGTACAAAAAGGAAAATGTCTTGGTATTAAATATCCCTAAGAAGCAGCAAATTGAATATACTTTCTACAGCCATCCATTATTTGGCTTAATTCAGCAACAACCTGAAAGAGAACAAGCTCATAGTGAGCAAGAAAGGAGGGAAGTTGCTCATAAGAAGGCTCTCGAATACAGAAAGAGAGCTGAACATGCTAGAGAAAAGGCTCAGAGAAAGAGAGCTGAGGCTGAAGAAAGAAAGAGACTTGAAGCTCAGGAAAAGAAGAGAATCGAGGAAAGAAGGAGAGCTGAGGCTGAAGAGAGGAGAAGAGTTGAAGCTGTAAGAAGAGCTGAGGCTGAAGAAAAGAGAAGAGTTGAAGCTGCAAGAAGAGCTGAACTTGAAGCTGCGAAGAAAGCTAAGGAAGAAGCTCAGAGAAGGGCAAGAATTGAAGCTGAGCAAAGAAAGCGCGAACAACAAGAGCAAGCTGCTGCGTTCGCTGCCATAAGGGAGTTACAAAGGCAAGCTTTTGTACAACTCCAACAAGAAGCTGAAAGAAAGGCTCAAATAGAGAAGGAAAGGCAAGAAGCTGAAAGGAAGGAAGAGGAAAGATTAGCTAAGATAGAAAGAGAAAGGTTTGACTACAGAGAAGCCCAAAGACAAGCGCACAGAAGACAGCAGCAAGAAGAAGCTGAAAGGAAATCGGAACAAGAAGCCAGAAAGACAGCTCCTCAAGCACAGAACGTTCAACTTGATCCTTCAAACCCTGAAGTATTTTTACAGCAATTGTTTGGATCAATTTTAGCTGCTAACCAAAGTTCAAGTAATGCTGATTCCTCTCAAGTTCCAGCAAAACCATCTTCTACCGAATCCCCTGTTTCTAGTTCTGCCGCAACTCCAGATTATGATGACTCTGATAACGAGTCAATCTACTCGGACCGCGATCCTGAGACACCAGAACCATTGAGTCCTAGCGTGCCTCCAAGCTCTCCAGGCTTGAAATTGACGAAACAACCTTCGTTAGAAGAAGTTGAAGATGAAGAATTTGTTATGTTTAGAAAGAAGTTCGGACAAAAGTAGCCAAGAAGAATTGGTTTAGCATAATTACATGAAATAATACGAATTTAAAAAGAAAAGAACAAAAATGACAGTGTAGCCTCTTAGATTAGTAATACTATCTGAATAACTTGAATAGACATGTAAGCATTGTAACAGCGCAGTGGGGTTAAGTAACAGTATACCCTTTGCTGCTTTGGATTGCAGCAATCATGCAGACTCGTTCCTAAATACTGCATATAAGTCAATATGGTGCTACTTTAGTGCTGGTGATATTGGCTAACTCTAATTAGAACCATCTCTTGCAAAGTTGCCATTGAACACACTCATATACGTATCTAAAATGGCTCTGAAGTCGATCGCTGTGTTCGGAGGAAATGGGTTTCTTGGCAAGAGAATTTGTCAACAGGGAATTGAATCTGGCTATAAGGTTATTTCATTCACTAGGTCAGGAAAACCCCCAACACCGACTTCGCACCACGACATACATTGGTTGAAGCAAGTACAGTGGGAGAAAGCAGACATTTTGAAGCCGGATACATATAAGAAACAATTGAATGGTATAGATACTGTTGTGCATTCTATGGGATTGTTATTCGAAAATCTGAACTACAAGCTGCTGCTTGATAGCGAGTTGGATCTCTTCGAAGATTTGAAAAGTTTACAGAAGAGTATCTTGGGCAGCACAGGTCCCAACCCAATGGCGAGAACTACCCAAAACAGCTATGCTTCTATCCAGCGAGACTCTGCTGTCCTACTTGCGGATATTCTATTGAAAAAGCATTCTAAAAAGGCGGCGTCAAGCCCTCCTGTTTCGTTTGTGTATATATCTGCTGACCAAGAGCTACCAGCTGTGCCATCTGGCTACCTAACTACGAAAAGAGAAGCGGAAACGGAACTTAGACTGAGATCTCCAGGGATTAGATCTATAATTATGAGACCGGGTTTCATGTATGACGAATTAGATCAAAATCCGAGGAAGAAGAGAAACATTGTGAAGGGTGTTTTACAAGCAGGCTTTGAGATAAAGAATTGCGTATTTGGTGACAGCGTCCCCTTAGTCAACGGGATTATTAGGCCCATTGTTTCAACACAAATGGTTGCGCGAGAAGTGTATAAAAAAATTGAAGATGAGTCGTTTTTTGGGATTGTTCCTTTGGATGAAATCGCCAGAGGAAGGTAGAAGAAAATTATGATATCTCTGGTATCGTTACATCATGTACATAATCGTAGTATTTGTTTATTTAAATATCTATTTCTATATTAATATATACAGTGTCATATAAAGTTTGTATCAGCCAGTAATTCTACTGTTTAAGTTTGGATTGAATGGAGTTTAACCACTCAACCTCTAACTCTGTAAGATCCAATTGAGAGGGGACTAAGATAGCTGTCTTACTGATTTCGACCAGGTCCATACCATTCATTTTGGTAACACCTTCAAATGAAATCCTTGCCTCTTCATCAATTGATGTTTCAGGTTCTTTTTCTGGTTCCACAATTGTTTCAGGTTTACCTAAGGGAGCTGCAGTCCACCAATACGCGGGATAGCTTCTAATAATATTCCCGGTTATCATTGCCACACAGATGATAAGAATGGAGGAAACAAGCTGCATGGGTAAGTACCACCAGCTCATCTCCTGAATTCCTTCGTCAATGGAAGGTAACAATGCAGAAGCACCTGCGGGCGGATGAACACAGTTACATATGCTCATCACACTTGAGGAAATTCCTACACTCAATGCACCGCTAGCCCAGTAGTTGTTTCTACCACCTTCGCTAAGCAGAAACAACTTCTGAACGCATATCCCAATTAGCGAAGAAATAAAATGGCCCATGAGAATGTTTCTGGGTTGTGCCAAAGGTGCTCCAATTGTGTTGAAGCACAAGATAGCAGTTGCTCCATAACTAGCGATGATCATAGGCGCATGGTGAGATGTAAAAGCCGTGTGGCTTTTAAAGACACCTTCTAACAAGGCAATACCGGCGAAAGATGCAACTAGGATCTCTAGCCATACCCAATAATCGTCCTTAGGGCTCGTTTTATGTTTGCCAAAGAATCTTCGTACAGGTACAGGTAGGCTCTTTTCCAAGTTATTTTTGGGAACATAAGGGTTTATGAAATTGTCTATGGTGAATTTGAATACCATTGTGGCCTATGTTTCTATTTGATAAATGTAAATACTAACAAAGCTTGAATTTTTCACTTCTTCTAGTACTAATACCTAGAATGGTGGGGAACTCGTATTTTTATATGGCGCGGGAATACGGCTAGATGGAGTTTAGAATTGACAAGGAAGCTTTACTACTCTATATATATATATACAAATTAGGTGTACCTGGAAGACAGATGAAAAACAATACTTATCAATGATGGGCGGAAGATGCGGTAGAAGGCTACTGGCTGGACCGTTTTAGCTTAGTCAGTAGTTGATATTCTCTCTTGAGCATTTCGGAGTCAAGCGAGATGCCGCATGCCTGAGTCAAAACTGTGAGGAAAAGAGATGACTACGGCTGACCAACCGCTCACGGAAATGTGGTATACATCGTGTCAAATCATTATGCATAGAATAACTACAGGCTATCCGCTTTTCAGCTTAGTCAGTGGTCGTTGTCTTCTTTGTGCGTTTCGGAGTCAAGTAGATGTTACGTAACTGAGTCAAAGACGTGAATGAAAAGAAATGACTAGGGCCCACAATTCATTGCAAAATCATAACCGGACTAGCTGATTATGCTCCGTCTCGTGAGTCCCTATAGAATGGGTACGACTTAATGGCATTGCTGATGCAAATATACTTTCTATTATAGCAGTATCTATACACTTATTTATTTTTACATTATTTACTTTTAAGGAATGGTCTCTATAGTAAGGAGGTAAAAGAGCTCTTGGACAAGGATGTCCTCAGTGAGTTATAACCCATAATTTTTGTTTGTTTTGCAGCATTATTGCTTAGACGTAGTTATACGACACCGGTACCTGTCTCTTTCTAAAGTAGTATTTTCTGACTTCATCAACAATAAACACACTACTGGTGATAACCAAAAGACGTAATACATCACTTAAATATAAGGCTTCAGTTTGGAAAATGGATTGGAAAAATGGGACATATATGGCACAAAATTGTCCTAAAAGTGATCCCAACACAGCAAAATTGAACATTTGATTTCCCATTCCAACTTCAAAGATTGACTTAGATTGGTGACGACATGATAACGCGTTAAACATATCAAATAAAACAAAACAAGTGAAAGTCATGGTAGTGTCTCTCTTGGTAATTTCATTGTCAGTCATCTCTCTAATATATACATACATTGTACCAACAATGATCATAGCTGCAGATTGTAAGACTCTCTTAATGACTACTTCAGTCAAGATTTTTTCATTACGCTTTCTTGGTGGCTTATTCATAACTTCATGGTCAACAGGCTCAACACCCAATGATTGCGCAGGTGGACCATCCATAAGAATGTTGATCCACAAAATCTGCATAGCATTCAATGGGTTCGGTAATCCAAAAAATGTTGATAATGCAATCAATGTTAAAGCTGCAATTGATGTAGATAATTGAAACGTAATGAAGTTTCTAATGTTAGAAAAAATACCCTTACCTTCTTCAATAGCTGACAAAATTGTAGAAAAATCATCGTCTGTCAAAACCATATCGGCAGCCTCCTTAGCAACGTCAGTACCATTCTTTCCCATAGCAATACCAATGTCGGCAAGCTTCAAAGCTGGTGCATCGTTGACACCATCTCCAGTCATTGCGACAATATCACCCCTTCTTTGGAAAGCCTTAACTATAGTAACCTTATGCTCAGGAGTAGTTCTAGCGAAAATAGAGACGTTATGGATTGCTTGACTCAAGGCTTCTTCACTAAGTGATTCTAATTGGTCCCCCGTCATGACGGAATCAATGGAATTGATAGGCATACCAATTTGCTTACCAATATTCAATGCAGTCGTTGGTGAATCTCCTGTTATCATAATAACATGAACACCTCCCTTCATAAGTAATGCGATAGAACTGCCGACATTAGCTCTAGGAGGATCATTCATACCTACAAGTCCACAAAATGTCAAGTCGCTTGGTTCCAATCCTGAATTCTTTTCTGATTGGAACTTGCTATTGTTTTTACCAAATCCCAACACTCTTAAACCTTCTCCTGCCAAGACGTTGGTGTGATCTAATATAGACTTTCTTATTTCTTCAGTAAGTGGTTTAGACTCAGAATTTTTATCCAAATAAAATTTAGATAAGGCTAAAATTTTCTCCACTGCACCTTTGCACATAGTTTCCAGCTTGTTTAAATCTCCACTATGGACTGAAACTGCCATATACTTGGTTTTTGAGGAAAATGGTAATTCACTTGTTCTTTGCTTGGTACCTCTACAATCGTCTAACCCGAAATGAGGTAAAACTTCCACTAAAGCAATATCACTCGGATTTCCAACGTATTTTTCATTTTCATTCGAATATCTTGCGTTATTACAAACGTTAGCAACTTCCAATATTTTCTTGATATTTGCAGTTAAGCTGGAATGTAAGTTGGAGTCAGTTAACTTATCAACAACCAAATAAGGAGTACCATGCGTTCCTTCAAAATCACTGGACCAAATCTTCGTTACAGTCATATGGTTTTGAGTTAAGGTACCGGTTTTATCTGAACATATAACATTGACACTACCCAAGGTTTCGACACTTGGTAATCTTCTGACAATAGCCTTTCTTCTTGCCATTCTTAAGACGCCTAGAGCCAAAGTGACAGTAACAATGATCGGCAACCCTTCTGGGATGGCAGCAACGGCCAAAGAAACACTGATTTGGAACATTTCCAACCATGATCTGCCTTGTATGATCCCGATCAAACAAATTACACCGATTACAACAAAACTAAAGACTGACAAGTCCTTACCCAATTTATCCATAGCCTGTTGGAGTGGAGTCTTCGGCTTCTCAATTTCGCTCATCATTTCAAATACATTACCGAATTCAGTTTTCTTACCAGTACCGATAACTATACCTGACCCGTGTCCATCTCTAACCAAAGTACCCATAAAGGCAATGCTGGTTCTAGAGGTGACACTGTCAGCACCCAGGGTAACTTGCAGGGTCAGTTTGTCAACTGGGGAGTTCTCTCCAGTTAAGTTACTCTCATCTATACTTAAGTGCACTGCTTCAGTCAATCTGATGTCGGCTGGGATTCTATCACCTTGTGAAAAGTGCACCAAATCACCAGGGACCAACTGAGACGCCAAAACGGTGGAGGTTGAAGAAGATCTGGTCAAGTTGGCCTCAGCGGGTACCAACTTGTTCAATGCTTCCAAGCTCTTCTCGGACCTGTACTCTTGCACGAACCCTACACTGACGACAATGAAAATTGCCAATGTGATACTAATCGCGTCTTCGACATTGCCCATCCAGAATGAAATGACAGCACTTCCAATCAACAACAAAATCAACGGATCTTCGTAGAAGTTGGAGATAAACTTCATGAACAAGTTTTCCTCTTCCTCGCTAGAAAGCTCGTTGATCCCGTGGATGGATCTCCTATTCAATATGTCCTGGTTATTGGACAACCCGATTTTCAAGTCTGTTTTGAGGTCCGCAACCGTGTCTTCAATGGTCTTGGAGCAGAACTTAATCGAAGGCGAGGCAGACCGCGGTGGATTTATAGCGCCCGAAGGGCCCTCTATCTTGGAGAGATAAGGATTGTCTCCCATTGCTTTGAACGTGTATATGCGTGTGTATGTGTCTAAGTAAACCACGCGGTGAACAGACCGAAGCTCCTCTTTCTAACTAGTGTACAGTGTCTTCGTTTATCTCCAAACGTAGTGTGATGAAAAACTCTGAACGACTTTTTGAAAAGATGCGCTTTTTTTTTTCTCCTTTGGTTTTAGAGCCGCTCTATGCAATCGGTAATAGCAACAAGGCTCCCTGATATGATTCTGGGGTACGCAAAAAAGGAAAATTAAGAGAACTGGAGACGGCAGCCTGAGATCTGTCAGAACTGTGATGTACAGGAGACGTTTAGAAGTGAATATGGACAGTACCGTGCTTGCTGCTATGGTCACCGGGTTCTTTCTGTGGTTGTCCTTCGCAAAAAAAAAATACACGTTGCGAAAGTGAAAAATAAAGTAAGTAGAATGCGAGTGAGCGAAATACGAAACGGAAAGTAGATAGCCTTCCTGCAGGACGAGGATGAGAGGTAGCAGGTTAGGCAGAGCAGGACAGGTGAGAGAAAGGAGAGGAGGAGGGGGAGGAGGAGTAAGAGGGATGATGGAAAGATACGCAGTTCTGCAGACTGCGCCATAGTCGAAGCGGTTTATCTGGGCCGAGAAAATGTACGGGAAGGCAGCCATGGATGTGCTCTTTTGGACTGAGTGCAACATTGTGGGAGCTGTTGCAGAGCTCTGAGCCTGCGGTACTGCATTCTTGCGGTATATTTTTTTTTTTACTCCGAAAATCCAACTTGTTCCCCGACAAGGGTCCTATCGTGTTGATCTGGTACCGCTGCACTGGGGCACTGGCATTTCTGAGCCGACCCGAAAAGAACCGCACAGCTCGCAACTACACTCTGTCGCTTCTCATGTTAGACTTCTTATTGTTACAGGTGCTCTCTAGCGTCTGCCTACTGGTCTATAAAGTTCTATTTGATGGATGCGGGCTCTCAGGACTCTCTAGCGTCTACTGCGCCCCACGTACAAATATCGTGCGGCGTATCCGCGCTTCTGGCATGAATAGTGCGCCAGAAGCCGGTAAGCCAACTTTACCTTGCGCCGGTACAAGCTTCAGCTACACTTCAAGTGGAGCCGGATAATTGTAGAGTAAGCTCTCTAGTTATCCCGCAAACGGTGCCAGAGGCAAACGAGGTTGCTGCATGGCTCACTTAATTGTTTATTTATGCCAAAAGCGCCAGAAGCCGGTAAGCCAACTTTACCTTGCGCCGGTACAAGCTTCAGCTACACTTCAAATGGAACTGGTTAAATGTAGTGTTAGATCTCTAGTTATCCCGGGAACGGTACCGGAGGCAAACGAGGATGCTGCATGGCTCACCTAAGTTCTTTATTTCTTCCCGTCAATGCTCTCAAGTGCCGCCTTGCTCAATCTATTCATCACAGCCAACCCTTGATTAGTCTCTTCGATCCCCTCAACAAATATTAAATCCACTCCTGCTTCGTCTACTTCTCTCAATAAGCGGAACATACTCTTCGAAATTTCAGTACCACTGGAACCCATCGATCTCTCCATCTGGATTTGTGGACTGATCTCCGAGCTTGTTGTGAATGTGGTAGCCCTAAGTAATGCAATTTTAGCAGAATTAGGAACATTTTTCTCAGCCAAATATTTCTGTATTTCCTCCTTACCATCACCACAATTGGTGAAAAGAACAACCTTGGCAGTTGGTGAATAGTGTCTATATTTCATCCCTGGAGTTTTCACAGCCTCCAACTTCCCAGCGGTTTTCTTAGCTAAAATTACACCGTTCCATAACTCCCCACCAGCTTCTCTGACTTCCTCTACAGAGATTCCACCTGGTCTTAATAGCATGGGTGGTGAAACCAACCCATCTACTACAGTGGATTCGAGCCCCACATCACATGAACCCCCATCCAAAATGTAGGGAATTTTCCCCTGTAAATCATGATAGACATGTTCAGCCATTGTCGGACTTGGTCTAGTAGACGCATTGGCTGAAGGGGCTGCCAATGGTGTGTCACTGATGCTAATTAAGGCTCTTGCTACTGGATGCAGAGGTATTCTTACCGCAAATGTAGCTTGATTTGCCGTCACGAACGAAGAAATGGGGCACTTTTCTCCATCGATGATTGGCAATAAGATGGTAAGCGGCCCGGGCCAAAATTTATTCAACAAAGGCTTATATATTGCAGGTATCTCATACCCTTTTGGCAAGAGTTTCCTCTCCAACTGCTCAACTGAAGATACATGTACAATCAATGGGTTATCTGCAGGTCTATTCTTGGCCCTATAGATAGATTTAACAGATTCATCACTCAAAGCATTACCACCTAAACCGTATACCGTTTCAGTTGGAAATCCTACGACATTATTGGTCTGAGTTAAAACCTCTGCCGCTATTTTTAAGTTATTTTCTGTTTCAGGATCCGATATGGAAAGTTGGTCACCGTTAAAGATTATTGACTCAGATTTCACCGGTAAGATTTTAGTTTCAAACAACGCAGAGGACATCTTATTAATATTTTTGCTAGATATATATGCTGTTTTTAGTGAGGTTGTATACTTTCTTATACAAGTTTTAAACATCCATCCAGGTACTGGAATACAAGGAGTCTCTTTGCTATCAAAACTTGTAGAAATGGAGAGTAAAATGTGCAAAAAAATCGAAAAAATCTCATCTCGCATACTTCGATCACGTGATGATCAAAACGGTATCAGAGTAAGCAAGGTACGGACGATAGACTGTCACTCTGGTAGCTACAAACAGGGTTTCATCTTGTTAGACTAGTTAGTGTATTAGATTACCTTTTCATTATTAAGCAACTTATTTTTGTATCACATAGTTTCTTTTATTTAGCTGAAAATAACGTTTTCGCTAATCACTTTCTTCTCTTGATCGTCGAGTAGTTCATAGTACTTTCTAAAGTTTCCAAGGTTCTTAGTGGTACACTCTTTGAAAAATTGACTTAAGATGATTTTCAAATCTTCATTTCCGTTTTGGTCGTCATGTTCTTCATCTTCAACATCTGAATCAACGTATGATTTAAGTTTATCAAAATTTGGAACCCCGATATCGTCCATATCTTCCCAATCATTACCTTCATCGTCTCCATCCACTTCTTCATCTACATCATCATCATTTTCCGGTAAGTAGTCTTTGGCGTCAGGCTGTTGATGTTGAAATGATAACTCTCCAACAAGCAATTTAAGAATCTTCAAATTCGCAGATATTTGGGTATATTGATCCGGTTGTTCTCTTTGCATCGACCTCGTTCTAATTGCATCTCCAGCGTATGGGATTATGTCTCCATTGACGTTAATGGACTCAATTCTGGAGTCTCCAAGAGTGAAGATTTTACCTATTGCCAAAGTGTTCTTCTTAATATGCTCATACCCTCTAATAATTTCAAATGTAGAAAACCAAATTGGAAGTACCAATTCTAATCCATTCTTGGAGATACCCGTATTGCTATCCACTAACCTAATGTTATTAGCCAAGAAATTTATCATATCATCAGGAGATGATAACACTAAATTGCAGAATACAGTAATTAAGTTTTCAGTGGTAATAACTTCTTTGGAAATGAGAAGTCGTTTGACCGTTGCTTCAAGAATGTGTGAAAGGAACTCATTCCCAAGAATGGACAGGAACTTCTCGATAACTGTTAAAATAATAGATCCAGAAAATAAAGCTGCGCTATCAGATAACTCAGGAGAAAGAAATTTAGAAACAACTGCCAACAATATATCCATGCCTGATTTATTACCGTCATGGTAGTTCACGATCCATTTGTGACCCTTTTCTATAAGATTGTTAAATACCTGGCCACCAATTTGTAAGATCTGGTCGTCTGAAGATGCAAGAAGCAAGGATTGAGTCAATGGAAATGTATACTGGAAGATTTGCTCAGGAATTTCAGAATTGGGTGCAGAATCAAGAATTATGCTTAGAAGCTCCAAGGCGAGCGAAAGGGTCGGGGAGTAATCCACATTCGATGCATTATCTTGTAATGTCTTGAAAATGAATGGAAGGGAATTCTCACAGTTTTTTAAGTAATCTTCAATTCCAATATCTTCTAACAAAGTCTTCAAGCATTCGTTGGAGTCTATGGTTAATTGGATATCTGAAGGTTCTTTAAACGATATCTTGAAAATCAAATCGATTACACTAACCCTTTCCTCATCTACGTTTCCTGAAATGGAGATGATCTTTTGGGCTTCCAATTTGTCTATCCCAATAGCAAATGTGATTGCTTCCAACAATACTGCCAAAGTGTCCTCCTCACTATCCTCAACAATGGACAATACGATATGCAATAGTGCTAACTGCAGCGTCTTGTCGATTACTTTGATGTTTCTGTTAAGTAAGTTCAGGTATAAGGTACTGCTAATTAGTACGGATGCCTTTGTTAATTCTCCACAAGTATCTTCACTAGCAAATTTTACCATATTGGAGAAAGTGTTTGCTGCAAAGGTTTCTATTTGAAGCTTTGATTCAAATTTTTCGAAAAACTTAGGTAACATTAAAAAACACCTTGAAGTAAGTAATTGATTATACTCATAAGAGATAAAGGTTGTGAATTTATTCAAAAGCTCAACAAGTGGTAGGTCAACTTCGATATCCTCCTCGTTCATAAATATACTTTCCAAGATAAACAAGAAACATTCAGCAAGGAGGAACAGATGCTTAGAATTTGAGTTCATGTCGTAGATCACTCTTTTCGCCAACTCTACAACATCCTTTCCATTTAATTCACTTAAGAATTCATTAATGGCATCACGAACTGTCATGGTAGCAGACAAAGACGAAACAATAGTTACATAAGTATTAAAGTCAATCTCATAGTCCTCTATGGTGTCTTTTGGCAATTGGGAGCAAAGGATTAAGCTATTAATGAAGGTGTCTAGTGCATTGCTGTTTTCCTGGATAGATATATCGTGCTGTAATGCAGTTAAGGCCAGCACCAATTCGATTAAAAGGAAGGCAGTAGTCAGTTTGGGGTCTACTAAGTCTGCAGTTGTAATTAAGTTCAATTGTTCCTTTGGAGCACCTATTACAGCAATGTTGTTGTACACATAACCAACAGAATTCAAATCCGTCATGATCAACTGCATCATCCATTTTTTGTGTTCGTACTTCACCTTCTTATTAAACAGTGATACAAACTCATTCAATACCTTGTATATGTTTCCTCTAAAATGCAAATTAGTTAAGTGTATCTTGTCACTATTTGCCAGATTCCCAGTGTTTTGGGCTCTCTCAAGTAGTCTCAAAAATACCTCCATTGCCAGTCCTATGTGCTCTGCAACAGCCTGCTTTCTGGAATCAGTTTCAAATGCTTCTTGCAGTTGCAAGGTTTTCAAGATGTTCTGATAAAGCGAGACAACGTGAGTTTTGGTCTCATCAGCGAGCTCATCATTTTGTAGCAATTCCATAACATGGTTTATCAATTCGCTACCAACTCTACCCTCCCAAAATTGTTCCTCAGTTATAAGATCATCGAACAAGTCGTTCAACACCGTTATACCACCAACGATAGCAACTTGATCGTGGGTATTTGTGGTCAGTTCATATAGACTCTGCAAGAGATTGGGCCATTCATCGGGGAAATCGGCTGCTGCAATTTGAACTATGACATACGCCGCACCGTTTCTAATCTTGGAGTGTTGAGAAGTAATTGCTAAATTTAATAGTTGATCGCGGATGAAGCCTTTCAATTCCTGCTGAACAGGAGGTCCAATGAACGATCTGAACCCCATTGACCAGTACTTAGGTATGCAGCGCTTCAAGTGGAGTAAGCATGACTGTCTTATGTCAATTGGAAAGTTATCTTCTTGGTCCAATGCGTATCGAATCAATGAGTGAGTAGCCGCCGATGGATCTTTGCTAACAAATTCGTTGAACTGAATTTCGGCACCGGTACGGACGTTGTTGTCGGAACTATTTTGTCCAACTACCAAGTCTAAGATGATTTTGTCTTGGATTGAAGGGCTGAAATAAGACATTACTACTTTTAACTACAATGTTTCTAATTAGAGCCTGAACAGAAGGTTGGCTTCATCCATCTGCTTGTGGAAGAGCTGAAAAGTTGTTTTTCTATGTGATGCAATGCACTGCATGTAATCAAAATTAAGATTGTTCCCAAAAGAGCGCGTCATGTACTGCTCGTAGCACTGTGAGAAAATAATATGGGAAGATCTGTGGGTGCAAAAAATAGAAGTACAGTCATACATCTGGGTGAAACATACTTTAGATCATGAGAAGCTCGTGGTTGCTCGATTTCGCTTTGCCTGCTATAGTGCTGGTCTCTTGTTGCCACATTATACATTGCCACTCGCTCGATTTCAGTACCTTTCTATAGAATGTTCTGATGCAGAAGCTCACATGACTTGCTGAGTGCACTCGCTCATAACCAGCCTGGAATGGCAATTTTATAACTATAAGGCCAGTGGTGCAAGATCTCTCTGGTTTTACTCTGCTCTGTGCATCTAGTTTATAGGTAAATACGCAGGGAATTTTGTTGAATCTACGTATTTGTTACCTTTTGATACTCTTTGTTCTAGATATTGCGTTTTTGACTTGAAAGATGTTTGAAAAATCTGTATACCCAGCGCTTGAAGAAGTGCAGAACTCTTTATCTAATCAGCAATTGGAGATCCTTAGACGTCAAGTAGAAAGCGAAGGTCCAGATCCTTCAGCCCAGTCGCAGTTTAACTATGGATGGGGTTTGATAAAGGCACCAGATTCAAATAGCCAAAGGAAGGGTATTGATATTCTTGGTACTTTATATAGAGATGTTCCTAAGATGAGACGTGAGAGTTTGTACTACTTAGCCCTCGGGTCTTACAAGGTAGGCGACTACTCCAACGCAAGAAGATATTGTGAGACCTTACTACAAAATGAGCCTGATAATGCGCAAGTGAAAGACTTGAGGCAGTTAATCGAAGATAAAGTTACGCAAGAAGGTCTTATCGGCTTAGGAATTGCTGGTGGTGTATTGGCTGTAGGTGTTGGTATATTGGGAGCCTTAATGAGAAAGAAGAGATAAGTGAAAGTAGGCGAGGATGTAGACCATTGGAAAGAAGTAAATTTATATTTACATTAGTCATATTTATACTTGAGCAAGCCATGAATATAATAAAACAAATGAATAATACAGAATCTATAGAGGTGGAAACTGGATGAGTAGAAATATTTGGTTCCACTGTTGTTGCATATTATGTGGATAGCGCATATCTAGAAGTATGCACTACAGTTAATGATATACAATAATATCATTAATTTTTTTTTTTTGTAGCTGACTATAAGATATCTACTTACGTTGAGGTAGGGTCGTTCATTCAAAAAAAGCTATTTGTAGCCAAAGTGTTGCATTAGCTTGTTCATCATTATCATCTCTTGAAGTCTGATCTTAAATCATTTTTTATGCACGCTGAGCATCATAGACTTTTCACATCGCATCGTACTGTAACATTAGACACTAGCTACCCAACAGCAGGTTCTTTCTTGTAGGTGAAGCTCATGGATGGCAATAGAATTGCTGAATGTGTTGTATCCACTTTCAATAAGCTCCCGTCACACGGCAAACCTGCTACGAGATCCAACAATACGAAAGAATGGACGGTTTTAGCATCTATTGTAGCGTTAATAGATGATGAAGTTGTTCCCATTTGTTTGTCTACTGGGGTCAAAACTCTTCCCGAAAAGTTTAGAACTTACTCTGGAGGCTTAATGGTTCACGATCTACATGCTGAAATATTGGTGTTTAGGCTATTCAATTGGTACCTACTTGAAGAGTGCTCTCGTGAGAGCGATACATCCATCTTAGTCGAGAGAACTGAGGAAGGTTCATTCAGAATAAAGGACGGGATAAAGCTAGCACTATTTGTAACTGAGCCACCATGTGGTGACAGTTCAATGAGCTATATAATTAATGAATTTGAAGACCAAACAATATGGAATAGTTGTGGGGATGCCAAAGATACTGCTGATGACATTCCTAGTTCTCTGAAGAGAAAGAAAGTCACAAGGGGTCGCCAATATATTGATAGTTTGGGAATAGTGAGAACCAAGCCCGGTAGGCTCGACTCGCCCATAAGTTTAAGCAAATCGTGCTCTGATAAGATTTGTATGAAGCAATTGACAGGGATAACAAACTGCATTACTTCACCACTCTTTCCGCAGGGAATATTTCTAGACTACCTTGTTCTAGATCTGGCAAAGTTCAGCCAAGTAGACATGGAGAGATGCTTTAAGGAACGGTTTACTGTGGAACATGTGCATCCTATTAAAATATTGGAATATGGTTCCAATGCTGTATCTGCCTTCGGATATCTGAAAGAGGACAAAGCATCCACTTCTTCATTGTCTCTTCTTTACGTCGTGCTTACGAAAACTCGACAAGTTCTCAACAATGGAGTTAAAGATGGTGCATATTCGAAGAATAAACCACCTAAGAAGGGTGGAGAGAGTCTCATATGCAATCAAAAGTTGTTCCAGAAGGCTAGACCACTTTTGAAGACAACAGCTAAGAGCTACGTAGAATTCAAAGATGGGCAATTAGAAAGACAGAAGTTGAAGGAGCTTGGTAGACAAGTACTTGGAAATTGGACTCAGACTGGCCAAGACGACTTTGCACTTGAAATGGAGTAGCAGCAGATCAGTTCCCAGCTTCAATTGGCTGACAGCGGCTGATAGACGAGAGGTCATGCTACTACAGTAGAGTACCACGCAAGAATACATGACTGGAACCAACCAACACGGCACATGCTACTCTTTAACTCATACTTTTTATTTTAAATCTTGGTATTTTATTCTATCTAGTACATATAAATATAAAATAAATACATATATATACCTTGCTATGCAGCTCCGTAATTTCATGTTGTTTCGTTATAGATGTCTTATTACCTACTCAGAGTCAGACGCAGATCCTACATCATCGTCATCATCGTTTTGGCCCTCGGCCAACTTTTCCACTTGCTCATCGTCAGCAATTTCCATTGATATCGCATACTCGGCACTTTCTAACAACTCTCTTAACTTTTCATTATCTTTATTCACGTAGTTCACAGGCTTTAAATTATGTACGTCTTTAATTCTTGGGTCTGATCCTGCATCCAAGAACCCATCCACGATAAAGGTGCCATGTTCAGGTTCTTGATTTGCATACTTGACTGCCAAGTGTAAGGGCAGATCACCCTCCCTGTTGAGCGGATCGATCTCCACGCCCTCTATATCAAGTAAAATATCAATTACTTCCCAATTTCCCAACTGAGCAGCAAAGTGTAGCGCCAAATTTTGGTTGATAGGTTCCTTGGTAGAATTGATCAACTCAGAAAGCTTGACTTGGTCATTGCCTAGTTCGGATTTAATGGTTAACAATAATTCGGTATTGTTTCTTCTTGCAGCTTCAAGTAGCTGTTCTCCAAGTGAAGCTCCATCTTCAGATAACGTCATCTTGGTCCAGAGTGTTGTATGAGTCCGGTTATATTAAGCTACACCTACCCTTTCATAGCCTTCTTTTTCATTCGAGTGTACCGTAGGCGCCATTTTGGGGGGGTGCAATTTTTTGGTACTTACACGATCCGATAGGTTCCAAAAGGGTTGCACTTCTGAATGGCTGCAACTTCTAGCCTCAGAAGGGCCACGAGCAAAGGAGAAGGGGGCACTTAGAGTGATAGTAAGACCAATGTGGAAATTGCTATTGATTGTGGACTAATAGCTTATGTCAAAAAGGGGGACTTAGAGGTGATAATCAGACTAACCTGCAAATCTTTATAGTACATTTTATGTACGAGCTAATGCCTGGTAGCTCAATATTGACCAATCTGCAAATCGTTATTACATATAGGTTTATACTTTATCTGGCCAATGTCTCGTACCTCCATACAGACTAGCCTGGAAATCGTTATTATATATAGTTTTATATTATTTACTGACCGATGCGTCTTGTCTAACTGAACTTGGTCACACTATGCTACACGCTAAAGGGGTTCAAAGTTTTCCTGACTTCTTCTGCAACTCTTTCCCTGATTCTACTTCAAGTCCTTCCCTTCTTCACCTTCAAGTGCTTTCCTTCCGCCTTCTTTCCCTACTTCTTCTTCGGTTTCTTTCCCTTTGCTCCCTTAGGTTCGGCAGCTCTCTTCTTACTACTTGTCCCTACAACCTGGAAAAATCCGTCTAACCTTCCTTGAACACCTCCCTTTAAGCCCTTCTTCAACTTTTCAGCACCACTTCTTATTCTATCCTCGCTGAATCCCTTTTGCTTCACCATGTACTCGATGAGACCATCAACATTTGGCTCGGTCCATTTCAAAGAAATGTCATCGGAATTGGCAATTTCTGGATTATGGAATAGTTCTCTAGCTTCTTTATATGGCCAGTTTTCGGGAACCTTATATTTTGACATTTTGTCGGGATGGTCTTCAATATACTTTACAAGAACATCCAACGATCCGTGTTCCTTCATCAACTTATACGCAGTGACGGGCCCAACACCTCTAATAGTTTCACAATAGTCACAGCCTAATAAGATACACAAATCTATAAATGTTTCCTGTGACATTCCCAATCCTTCCATCACCTTTCCGTATTCAATTTGATCGATGGGCATCTTTCTTGCTTCAGCAAATGTCAAGTGTCTCAACAAAAATGGAGGCTGGTAGCATAAAGTGTCCATATCTTCCAGCGCAGCTGCAAATACTTTCCCATCACGGGCTAACGCAGCACACTGGGCTTCAGCTTCGCATGGGGCGTTGACAAAGGGGATACCCATGAGTTCCAACAACTTCTTGGCTTCGTCATTCTGGTCACGAGAAACTCGAACCTGTCTCTTCTCGTATTTCATTATTTCTTCTACTGTACCAGTTTCCTTGATCTTTTCCTGCTCTCTCTCTGCTTCTTCTCTTCTCAATAATCTCTTCTCCAACTCTCCACCTTTCAAGACTGGAGGCTTCCCGTCGAACACATAGACGGGTTTAATTCCATTTTCTACCATTCTGATCGTCCTATAGAACATTCCCAGCAAATGAGAAGTGGTCTCTCCATCTTCGTTGGTCAATTGTTGTCCATCCGCTTGCCTTACTGCAATTAGGAATTGATACAAGCACATCGACGCGTCGATGGCAACTTTTCTACCAAAGAGATTCTTGAGAGTGAATTCCTTGTAAGCATCTGGAGAATGCTCCTTGATTAACTGATTAAGACCTAAAGGTTAGTAATACACCCCAAAACGGGAGAGAAGTACTGGATTGAGCTCAAGTCGGTCACGCTAACCGTGCAACCACTGTGGAAGGCGATGACTTGCAATCTGAAAAATTGCAAATTTGTTCCGAAATTGCTCCTGAAAAACGACCAAGTTCATCAGACATACCTTTTACACCCATTCTGACTTCTCAAAGCAATATAAGTCCTTTGTACGTTACTTTCTAGTATAAACTATGGTTGATGGGGTCAAGTATTGAAGTACAAAGCAACGCGTCCTGTCAACATGAGTTAATATGTAGGATACTCTTCGCACCTAATAAAAGGCGTATACGGAGAGTAGTGGGGTGCAGAGGAACTACTCAGGAAGTAGTAGTTATAGGTATCTACATGGGCTTTCTTGGTTAAAATGTATTATGACTATATAAAGTAAATTTCAGTTGCCTTTATTTACTAATTTTTTTGGTTCTTATTATTATAATGATTATAATTATTATTATTATTATTATTATTATTAACTTCTCGGATATGTGAGCTACGACATAGACTCAACCTTGAATACCCAATTACCGTCTTTTGGATCATACAGTACGAATTCCAAGCCTTCGATCTTCTTCAATTTCTCGATATGACTCTTCACTAATTCGTTTCTGGGATCTAAGATTGGCAATTTATCTTTCTTATTCACTGGATAACATCCTTCTAACGTAATCTTAGCTGGTAAGTTCAAGCCCTCACCCTTCTGTGGTTTCAATGATTCATCTGGATATACCAAACAGGATTTTGATACAAATGTAATCAAGTTACCAGGGATATCATCTAGGTTCACGAAGCTGGTCAAATCTACTGGTACTAAGAAGGTGATTTCTCCATAATGCTTTCTTCCAACAGTAAAGTTCTCAATAGCACGCAAATCCGAAGTTGACTTTTGCTTTAAGTCGTAAAGAGAAGGAGACGTCCAGTATCCATTTTCATCATAATACCGCGCTGTTGCAGATGACTTGAAGCCATTTGCAAATCCTGACAATGATGAAGTCTTACTCTTGTGTCCCTTTTTGAAAGTAGAATCTTTTTCTCCATTTTCTATTTCTCTGGTGATTTCACCTCTTTCAGCTTCTCCAGCACCATTCACAGCAGCAGAATTATCTAAAATAAAAGACACTCTCTTCGTCGTAGTGTCTTCTGCGTTTGCAAATTTATGAGTATTGTTTCTGTTCAATACAAGCTTTTTGAACTCAGCCTTTGGAGCAAAAATATTGGAGGAAATAATTGCTTCATCAGTAGCTGAACTAAACAACTGCGCATTCGTGTCATTTGATTTAGATTGGTCGGCTGGTGGAGTAATTGCAGCTGTGCCCAATTCTGCTGAAGGAGTAGATTGTCTTGATATAGCACTAGTCTTGAACAATGGAGCTATCCTATATGCTGATGATAAATTGACCTTCTTCTTTGTATTCGCTCTGCTATCGACAGGAATGGCCAAAGGAGTTACTGGTGCTCCATTAGGCTGGCCACTTCCTCCAGTTAAACTGCTGAACAATGGGTTGTTTCCATAAGGATTTTGAGCGCTAATATTGGCAAGGGGATTAGATTGCTGGTTTTGTTGTTGGAATTGTGATTGATTGCTGGAATTTGAATTTGAAAGTCCTCCAAATAAAGATCCTCCATTCCCTCCTCCTAAGGTAGAGTTGTTGTTATTATTGTTGTTAAGGTTCAAACCTCCAGAAATACCATTATTCCCACCATTAGCGTTGTTAGTATTACCCCCAAATAATCCACCTCCCGAGCCTCCTAAGGTGTTATTATTGTTGGTGTTGTTGTTGCTTGAGCCAAATAAGCCACCAGTTGCAGGTTTGGCTCCGAAGAGACCACCAGAATTATTGTTTGCATTATTGTTGCCGCCAAATAATCCACCTCCAGTTCCTCCGAGAGAATTATTGTTAGAAGTATTACCTCCAAACAATCCACCTCCAGCGTTTCCAGACGCGTTGTTGTTGGAATTGTTACCACCAAACAACCCACCCCCTGTAGATGCCCCGGTAGCTGGCTTCGATCCAAAAAGGCCCCCACCGGTGTTTCCACCAAGGCCAGTGTTGTTGTTAGCGTTGTTGTTATTAGATCCAAACAATCCACCGCCGTTGTTATTGTTGTTATTATTATTACCTCCAAATAATCCTCCAGTTGCAGGTTTAGCACCAAAAAGTCCACCACTACCGCCACCTAATGAATTTTGCTGTTGCTGTGGTTGATTTTGCTGTGCTCCAAACAAGCCACCTCCAGATGTACCTGTAGATGCTCCCGTGTTACCACCAAAAAGTCCACCAGTAGCGGGTTTATTGGCACCGAATAAACCGCCACTATTGTTTGTAGCGGTATTATTATTGGATCCAAACAATCCACCAGCTTGCTGTTGTTGTTGCTGTTGCTGTCCACCAAACAACCCCCCGCTAAGTGCTGAAGTATTGTTATTATTGGATCCAAATAACCCACCCGTAGCAGGCTTGGCACCGAAGAGACCTCCACTAGTATTGTTAGCAGTATTGTTATTAGCCCCAAACATGCCTCCAGAACTATTAGAGCCTCCAAAGGCAGATCCTGTATTATTATTTGCACCTCCAAAGGGAGAAGTGGTAGAGTTGTTATTATTAGAGCCAAATAAGCCTCCTCCAGTATTGTTGTTAGATCCAAATGCACCACCTGTAGCTTGGTTTCCACCACCAAATGCTGAGTTATTGTTTCCACCAAATGGTGACGTGTTACTGTTGTTATTGGCACCAAATGCATTATTCCCACTAGCTCCAAATGCACTCGTAGTATTATTGTTATTGCTAGCACCAAATAATCCTCCTCCAGTAGCAGTGTTATTACTGCCAAAGGCAGAGCCTCCAGCAGCACCGAAGCCCGGCTTAGGAGCCCCAAATGCAGAATTGGTTGATCCAAATGCACTATTAGTGCTATTGGCGTTGTTATTGGCTCCAAAAACCCCTCCAGTATTAGCCGAATTGCCTCCAAATGGTGATGTTGTGCGACCAAAGGCAGAGCTTCCACTATTGTTTGCTGCTCCACCAAATGGTGACGTTGAAGAATTGTTTGGAGCTCCAAATGCGGAATTAGCTGCAGTTGTACCTGCACCACCAAAAGCAGAGGTTGCAGCTGGTGCACCAAAGGCTGAATTTGTGTTCGTAGACCCAAATGGCAAAGAGGTAGAGTTTGTAGCGCCTGCTCCAAATCCAAAACCTCCAGTGGCTCCTGCACCTGTTCCTGTGTTGGAACCAAAAGCACCACCGGCTCCAGGCGCTTGTCCATTACCGTACCTTCTGCCTTGTTCGTAGTCTTGCAACCTCAACTCTTCAAAAGAATAGTTCTTGTATTCCGGCATGGATGAAATGTTCTGGAAGTAGTTGGTGACCCCGCCAGCTTCCTTCTCCGTGTAAGGAGTAAAAGGCTTGATAGCAGTGCCAGAGTTTCCAGCAGCAGTCGAAATGCCTGCGCCAGCACCTCCAAATGCTGAATTAACTCCTGGTGCTCCTCCAAAGGGAGAAGTGGAGGTGTTACCAGAAGGACTACCAAAGGAACCAAACGCTGGTTTGTTTCCGGTATTGTTGGCAGCTCCAAACAAACCACTACTTCCTCCACCTATTGCTCCAGTACTGCCCGTGTTACCACCAAAGGCAGAGGTAGACCCACCAAACAATCCTCCTCCTCCTGGGGCAGCAGTTCCGTTGGCCCCGCCTGCTGATCCAAAAGCAGATGTATTAGTGGTATTGTTGTTGTTAGTTGCACCAAATGCTCCCCCTCCAAAGGCATTGGCTGTCCCTGTGTTACCAAATATACCACCTCCTACTGCTCCACCGTTGGTAGCCCCTCCAACGTTGTTGTTAGAAGCGCCAAATGGTGAGGTTGAGTTGTTGTTATTTGTGAGGCCCGAAGAAAATGGAGATGTGGTGCCTCCTGCTCCTCCTGGAGCTCCAGAGGACGCACCGAAGCCCCCAAAACCTGATGAAGTGCTTCTGCCAAACATTGAGTGTTAGTGCTGACGATCGAGTTCAATTGGCTAAGACCTAACGTATTTAATCAGTCCAATCCTAGACTCCAATGCTTCGTTACTGATGATCTCTAAGTTAAATAAAAAAAAATCAGAAAAACAAAAAAAAAGTTGGTGGAAGGTGGTCGTGTGTGTGATAATTCATTCAGGTGGATTTTTCACTATGGGACTACATGGCTATATGATAGTGTAGGAGGGCAGTAAGCTCCTGGTGGGCAGAAGGCAAAGGTGGGCTGGAAGCAATGAGCTGCTGGGTGGAATGATACTAGCTGCAAAGGAGGAAGGGGTGGAATAAAAAATAAAGTTCTACAAGGGGTTAAGTCTAGAGTTGGCTTCTGTGCGTCTTAGCTTTTTCACACATGTAGTTCGTATATGGGTCTATATAGTATTTATTCCATGTAGAATACTCTATACATGACCTGTGGTTAGTTTAATCACAAGTGTGTCAATTATGTGAAGGTAAGGGCGTATGTTTGCAGCCGTTTCAATTGTGGGGAAGGTGGGCACCTGTTGGTAGACTCAATGCGTCATCATAGCGATTAGTTTCTTTATTTTTCACTTTGACATTAACTTCGATAAGAACACTGAAAATCTACGAAGAACGAAGATCGTAGAACCTGAAACAAGTCCGAATCAAGTTCGGGCCGAGTTTTCAACAATCATAGAGTAGAACAGTGATGCCATAAACTTCAAAGCAAATTTGAAACATGCTTCAGCTATTTTGAGCTGTTGGAGCTACTCCTCACGGCCTGGACCAAGTCATATTGAAATCTAGTTGTATACTGTGGTTGGTATCACTCGAAGAGTTAGAATTCTCAGAAAAATTTCAATTTCCAGGTTTAGGTACTGTTCCAGGCAAAAATAAGCCAACCAGGTTGAAGCTTTTATAAGCTACAATCTATTTGGCTCTAGTCTTTTTCTTTGACAAAAGACTTCCGATATCGTTACCTAATGTTCTCTTCTTTTCCTTCCCGGCCTTTTCCTTCTTTGCGTCAAATTTCCCCAATTGTTCTTTTCTCTCCGCTTCACCGTCTTTGCTTAATTCTGTAGACCTGGTTATAAATTCTTCATCGTCCTGTTCCTTACCTATCAACCATTCAAGGAGCTTAATTTCTCTCCCGTATAGCATCTCGCCGTCTCCCCCCTTTTTCACCTCATCCTGTGGTGTTTCCAATACGATTGGTATATTTTGTAGCCTATCGAAGTTTGCAATCAATCTGAAACATTCCAACCCCACAAATCCCAAGCCGAGCTTCTGGTGCAAATCTCTGTTGGCACCTAAGGGTGCCTTTGAGTCGTTCAAGTGAATAGCACTCAAATATTCGTATCCAATAATTCTTTCATAATTCTCCCAAAACTCTTCAAACTTTTCCTTGCTGACGATGTCGTATCCTGCAGCAAATGTGTGACAGGTATCAATGCATACACCAACTCTATTTTTATCGTCAATCATGTCAATTACATCTCTAATGTCCTGTAAATCAGACCCAATTAAATTCCCGTGACCGGCCATGTTCTCAATTACAATCTTAACAAACTTAGTCTCGCTGATTGCCTTGTTGATATTTTTTGCAAGTTTCAGTAAGGCTGCTTTGTGGTCACCATCCAAGCTTGACCCAGGATGGAAATTATACAAACCAATATCTAAAGATTCACACCTTCTTAAATCATCCAAGAACGAATCATACAGCTTTTCCATTTTCTCATCATCTGGATTGGCTAAATTGATAAAGTACGATCCATGAGGTAAGATATCCGTTCTTGGGTTATAACCATGCAGTTCACAAAGCTCCCGAAAAAGCCTGATTTCTTCGAGTTTCAAAGCAGGAGATTCCCACTTTCTGGGCAGTTTTAAAAACATCGCAAAGCTGTTAGCTCCTATCTTGGATGCATTCAAGATTGCGTTGGAAACACCACCAGCCGTACTGACATGAGCTCCGAATTTGTACGAGCATTCTTTTGTACGAGGAAAGGATGGTTCTTCTACCTTAGTCTTTGAAGCCTTTTTGCTCGTCTTTGCTGCCATTGCTAAATATCTTGAGGAATTGATATATATGCTATGAAATTGCTGCTGTATAGACGTACCTAAGAGCCGTGTTCCATACATGAAGAAGAAGTAAAATGTAGAGCCCTCAGGTTTTTTTTTTCCATTTCGGTTCGTGATATGCACAGTTTGATGAGCCGCGTGTGGTACTTCAAAATTTACACATCGAACAATTGCAGCCTTACCACATTTGTAGTGAGGTACTGTACTAAGAGAGTTGAAACAAGGCTGCTTTCGGGAACTAAGGAGGGCAGAATTAATAACTACAGTTAAATAAAGAGGCACACTAAATACAATTTAAGTCAAGTAAGAGCCGAACTAAATACATGTCAAGTTATTATGCCTCCAATATGCTAGATGGGTCCTAGGGGATGTTAAGAACATGTCTATTTCTTCTTCCAGGTGAAATCAGCTAAACTAGATCGTACATGAGGTATCATAGAATAATCAGCATTTTTTCCTCGGGTGATTTCGGTTTCTCTATAAGAGTTCTTCGCAGCTGTCGACGTTAACTCGCTTGGCAATGTCTGTAAACTTTTCTTGCCTCTTGGCTCTTCTGTCTTCCTGCTGTTGAACCTTTGTCTTTCTTGGATTTTGGACCACTTCAGGTATCACATAAAGATCCAATTCCCTAGCTTTCCTCACACTTGGATCACACCATGCTAACGCAGCCAACAAGGTATAGTACGCATCATTTGCTGCGTTGTGTAAGTAAGCATGAGGGATTTCTGCGAGCCTCAAGATCAGCCTTAAGCCTCCACCGTACTTCCCATGAGATAACTGGAATATCCTGTATGTATCGATAATTGGGCATTCATCGGGGAATTGCACACCAATTGTCTTGAGCCACTTGATATCACCCCCTATGTGGTGCCCCACAAATGCGGAACCTAATTGGGGATCATCTAGAAAGTATTTGTGAATCATTTTATTTATAAATTTTTGTGCTTCAACTTCTGATAGCACATGCAGAGTGCCACCAACAAAATTATGCTTATTGTCTGGGACAAATTTCCCATTTCTCTTATTTCTATGCTCTTCTATAATAATATGATACAGCTTGATGTTAGGAAGAAGCAGTAACTCTCGTTCACGAGGATCATAAATTGAAATCCCAACCTCAGTAACCAAGTTATTATTACTCTCCCATGCTTCAACATCGAAGCAAAAAAGTGGCAGTTTTCTGGTGTAAACTTTTTCCATACAACTTTTCAACACTTTCTGTTGATCTTTGTTCATCCTAAACTTCGTCTCTGTGAAATACTGGTCAATTTTGGCCAGGAACAATGAGGTTATGGCATTGGAGTTGGCATTTTCAGTTGTGCTACTAGTTGTTTTTACTATTTTATTGTCAACGGAATCTTTATTCATCGGTTCTCTTTTCATATACGGGTTTGATGTCTTGCCAGTGAATTTTCTCTTGGTTGTTAAAATGGGCATTAATCTTGGTAAAGAGTTGGTAAGTAAAATATCCCGGAAATGTAGCTTTTTATTTATCAGATCAAATCGTAACTGATTACGAATCATAAAACTACTAAAAAAAATGCAAATGTCAAATGTGTGTTCTCTTGAAGTGAATTTCTCTGAACCTGAGTCATGCTATCTAGTCAGTCTTCAAAGGTACTTAAAATTTAGTGAGTAACAAAAAAAATCTAACCCGCCTAACGTGAAGAGATCCGTGCAGGATAAATACGAGCATCAGGAATCATGGAGATGTGCTGCTGCAAGGCCCTTGGGTTGGCGGATGCATTCTATATTTATTGAAGGATGGATGGTCGGGGGTTTTCTTTAGAGAGAGAAATGATCCGAATTAGGGCTACTTCTAGCAATTAAGTTGCAATTGATTAGTGTATTTGATACACCATGGAGAGATGTGGTGCATGGTTTGTAGTCGAGTATCCTGCATATACCGTGATATATATGCTTCTCTACAGTGCATGGTAATTTTTCAGAGTTCAAACTACTTGTAGGTACTATTGAAATATTTGTATTGAGAAAGCGGCTGAAATGTCTGATTCTGTTACTGTTCTTAAGAACAAGCCCTCGACGAGGGAAATTGAAAGAATCTTGACGAACCGTATCGATCTGGCGCCAACTTTCCAACTCTCTTTTGTAACTGCGCTTCTTGATTATACTGTCCCAGAAGCATACCTCCAATTGCCCTTGAATATTCAGATCCTTGTAGTTCAGAGCTTAAGAACTGTGATAGGGATAGGAAATATAGTAAGTAGGCTACAAAAGCGACAGTCACAAAAGAGCAATAATCCAATAGCGAATGGTTCTCAACTAGCAGACCTTTACTTGCTTGTTCTCAAATCAGTCTTGTTCGATGGAGGTGATGACCTTATACTTGATCTTATTACCCAGTCCAAGCCAATTGAGATAAAAGAGTTGGATAAGCTTGTCTTCAAAGGAAAATGCTACTCTACAGTCAATGAACTATACATAGATGGCTTGGGTTCTGAAGTCACTGAGTCGTTCACCTTTGATAAGTATACAGGATTTCTTTGTCAGCAGATCTTAGCTGTATTAGAAGATGGGACATATCTAAAGCAGTGCAGCTTATTTATTAATTCATTATTTTCCTTTCATGGGTCGAGGGCGAATGGTCCCTTCTATACCTTAATGTTTTCTAGTGAAAATTGGTCTTATTTCTTGGAAGTGTACAAAACTATGAAGCCCTTCGAGAAAAGGGCCCAGGTCAAGAGGTTAGTTCTTGGTTACCTACAAGAGACTTTTCTCAGAAAGACTAATGCCAAAAGTAAGCTTCTATCGCTCTATTCAATATTACACTCTTTGAACTGCTCCGACTTTATTGATGACCAATTCTTGGAGTTGGTAATTCCAATAAATTCGCCGCCTTTGAATTGCCTCGTATCATTGATAGCCAATGAAAAGGGTAGTCATGGCTTCAACTTATTAGTAAGATATCTTATGGGCTCTTTTGCCGATATCTCAATAATAAAACTGGAGCCTATAACATTGCAGGCTTCCAGAACCTCTTTGCTTATCAGCTTTATCCAAAAGCTCGACAGAATCCTGGTGGCCGACCTTCTGAAGAGCATAGAATTCCTAGATGCAATCTCAAATAGACTTGGCTCCTTTTCGAATAATGTCAAATCGTTAGGTGTGGTCTTGGCTGACAAAGTTTGTGAGCTTAGTGGCCAGGAAAAGATTTTCAAGCTAAATGATTTAGAGGGGTACGAAAATTTGGGAGAAGAATTCAAAATAGATCTTAGTGAGTTGAGAACAAAGATTGATATCTCAGAAGCTTGGAAGCTTTTAATAGTACAAGAAGACGAAGATGGAGAAGAAGAATCGAATGAGAAAGCCATAGCGAGTCTAAGTAAAAACATCAATCAACTCACTGCAAATCTGATCGATTCTGATGATGAATCTTCTTCAGATGATGATGACCCCACTATTTCTCATAAGAAGAGAATAGCGGCCCCCTTATACGTAAAGGATTTACTTACCTACATTTCAGTTGATCCAGTAAAGGATGACCTCGCTCTTGAAAAGAGAAGATTGGCATTGAAATCTGCTCCCGTACTATTAAGACAAAAAGCTTCTTTTGGTACCGAAATTTCATTTTACGCGGACGACTTGGCTGAAAACTTCATTGCAATGACGAATCATTTTGATGAGGAGGATTTTGATTCCTTAATACTTAATGCGATGATATCAGTCATTGTTGCTTGTCCAAAAGCTACTATCCACTTGGCTCACCTCCTTTCAACTGGCGACTATTCTTTGCGGCAAAGAATGACAATTTTGAGTAGCATTTCACTTGCCGCAAGAGAGTTGAAGGGGTTTAAAGATGATGTTGTAGCAAACTCTTACCAGAATAAACTCCAGGCATTCCCTTCAAAACAGCTTCCAGAGAGACTTCATAAAGCATTTGTGCCATTAAGTTCAGCTGACCCATCAACCTCAGCAGTAGAATTGGTCGAAAAATCAATCCAGGATGACTTGATTGAGCGAGTATCGAATGACTTTCAGGAGCTATCAGCAGGTAAAATACTTAGGATTTCGAAGAAGTTAAAGAAAGACAAGAATAACCTTTCTCCATCACCATTGGTTCCAAATTTTTCAAAGATAATTGGACCCCAATTCTTCTACCCACTTGCAAACGTTTGGCATGCTTCCACAGCTGGTTCTCAAACAATTCTTAGTATTGGTCATTATTCTTCCATATTAAGTGCCCATTTCATTAAGACATTAACCTTACTTATGCATTGCGCATATCCTAATTCCACTCAGTTAAACGACATGATTCGTGAGCTTTTTCTGATACTTACCCCATTGACGATGCATATTAATCCAGAACATATTCAACTTACTGAAAGCATCGTAACTGGGTATTTATTGATATTTGATATAGTTGATACCCAATACCTTGTAACGACTTACCAAGATGACCTAAGCATAATACAAGGGTGGCTAACTGAGTCATGGGAGTCTATTATAGATGAAAGAATTAAAAGCTTAACTGCTGGTTTGCTACTCCGCTTAAATCAAATCTTAGAAAGTAATGAACGCCTCATTCTAGATCAAGTCAATAGCTTGTATTAGATAGTTTTTGCTTCGATATTTAGCAGGGTATTGAATACATTATTCGAAACTCGGTATTCTTCATAGATATTCGTATACATTTTACGTTAATCTCAATCTAAATTATTCATTCAAATAAGTACTAAAAAATCTATAAATACAACATAAAAGGGACATAACAGAGTAAGAAACAATATCTTGAACTATAAGGCTTGTAATAAAGCACTTACACCAAGTATTCCTCCTACTAACATCATATTTTTCCAAGAGTTATCTCTTTCAAAGCCAACTAACTGTAATTTGTTAGCGTTGGATGTAGAATTTCCCTTGACTGATGCAACCAGGGAGGAGTGTGAGGTCAGGGAACCTGTAGTGGTACTTGTTAATGCAGTTGTTGCGCCGCTTAATGCAGTTGCTGCCTCCCAAACAGATTGAGATCCAGTAAATCCGTATTGATTGTAAGATACACCAGTTGCAGTTGATGCTGCGCCAACTGAGCCGGTGGCACTTTTCTTATTTTGGGCAGTGACTGCTGCAGAATTAACTAGTTGAGAGTTAGCTGCTTCAACGGTAGCAGAAGTAGCTGCTGTTTGAGACTTCTCAGTGGCAGCAGTGGTAGTAGGAGCTACCAAAGGAGTGGTTTCAGAGTTACCTGCAAGAGATTCAGCTGCAGCAACAGTTGCAGCAGTGGCAGCTGCATCGGCGGTTTCAGCGACTGCAGTGGTGGTACCTGCTTCTTCATCCTGGTTGCTTTCATCGAAAGATCCACTATTTGCGTTGACACCCTGGATTAAAGCCAATGCAGATAATCCTGTTAAAATAAGTTGGGAGCTTGAGTAAGAAGAGTGAATGTTAATTGACGAGGCCATGGTTGGTAATAAAATAAAGTTTGAGCGTCTAAAAAATAGAATTTTTGATCGGAATGGAAGTATTATTTTTAAGTTTGATGTTTGAATATCGGAATGTTACCATGTCTATATATACATGGTTTTAGAAACCCCATCCAGCAACGTTATAATGATGATCTGGGTTGCAACAAGACTGGTGTTTACAATATTTAATGGCTGCAATATGATTTTACCAGCCATCGATTCAATGATCCACACTAATGATCAGTGTGCTAAGCATTGGCAATTTCCTAATTGGGGAGAAAGAAAAACAACCCGCATTGAAATATGCATCATTATGCATATTACCGCTGAATCCGACCTTCGACTAAAATAATAAAGTCATTGGCATATATCGATAATAGCAACAGTAGACAAAGATTTCTGTATAGAACAAAGAACATTTCACAACTGTAGGTACCATATTCCTGAAGTAGTTAATGTGTTGAGGTGGTTAGTCTGTTTGTAAAGTGAGCGTTATAATATGGTTGCGAGTAAAGACTATTGTCATCATCATGGCTGTGAATTATCATTTAGTAGTGGATAAACACTCAGCTGGTCTTCTCCAAGGCTCATCGAAGGCTTATGTTAGTTATGCTTGAGATGTTTGTAATTTTCTAGATAACTGCTCCTTTATTGCTGGCCTCACTAGTACTCTCCTCAGCAATGAACGATTTTTAATAGAATTCGCTGATGAAAGACTACAAGGCTCAAGTATGTGGTTAACATCAGTGGTCATCTGTCTCATGTAGTGAACCCTTTGATCCAGCATTGCCTCTCTTTCTTTGAGGAGCTTGTAATTTTGAGAATGGCGTCACTGAAAAAACAAAGGAGATAGAACGAATTGTTTCATTCAATATATCAGCTCTCTATTCGCCCCATTGTGCTTACAAACTTAAACGCCTATAAAAATGTTTCATATTGTTATTGAAAAAACTAACTAACTAGCACTTAAAAAGAATGACTGCAACCTCAGTGGAGTGAAAGGTTTGTCGAGACTCTTCTAACGGCCTTCGAAAGGATTCCTAACCAGTGAACATACTTTTCGAAATCCTCATTTTCAATCGCTTCTCTTAAGCCTGGCAAAGTTTGACCAGCATATCCAGTGAATCTACCACTTGCAAATACGATGTGCTTGAACCATTCTCTCTTTTCCAAACCCTTTTCATGTAAGTAGTTTCTTTCATAGTATTGTAAGTGTTTGTTGTGGCCCTTAATTTGGAAAAACAATTTGATTCTTTGCCACCAGCTGAGAGAGTCTCTGTCAAGGTATTCTTCCTGAAGAGTATCAGACTTGAGATCAAAGATTGTGGAAACATTATGTAATTGGTATAAATCATTAAACGTTGTGTTAATGATTTCCTTCAATGTAGCTTCCTTATGCTTGTGTGGTCCATACATAAGCATAAAGTTATGGTGTTGACATTGTTCAACAGTCAAGTACTCAGGGAATGGATACATTTCATGGAGACGAGTGTAGTAACCATTTGTAACTCTATCCATATAGCTTGATTCTCCTTCATCAAAAGTCAAGTAGTCATTCCAAGTGGATTCTTCCTCAACCTTCTTTGAAAACCATTTTTCAGGGATAAGGTCAACCGTTTGGTTGAAATAAAGAATTAAATCGTGACTGTAATCTTGCAACTTAAAGTCAATCAATTGATGATCACTTAATTCTAAAACAGCCAAACCCAAAAACTTTGCTAATGTATTATGATACTTGAACCCTGGATCACCGTACTTCTCTTCCCAATGGAAAGAATCATAATTGGAATGGTAGTGGTAGATTGGAGAACCTTTTCCTCCAGTGAAACCTAAGTCAACTGAAGGAATTCCCAAATGTTCAAAGAAGACGGTGTAGTCAGATCCGGAACCTAAGTTACGAATTAAGCCCTTGTTGTGTTCTTCGAAATGATCAAAAAGCGATTGCTTTTCATCGGGATGTTCTACTTGCTTCAAGGCCTTTCTAATAACATGAGCCAAATTTGGAGAAGCACCAAGTTCCAAAATTTTTCCAGTGGCTGCAACATCGACATTAAAATAAGCGATGAAATTCTTTTGCAATCTGGCAGCGGCAAATTCACCGAATTCAGTAGATCCCAATAATCCGTATTCTTCACCATCCCAACTTGCAAGCACAATGGTTCTCTTGAACTTATAACCTGAAGCTTTTAACTCACCCAATGCACGAGCGATTTCTAAAAGTGCAGCGGAACCAGAATTTGGATCACCGGCACCTCCCTTAATCCAAGCATCACGATGGTTTCCAATAAGAATAGCTTCATCATCAATTTCACCCTTTATTTCTCCATATACATTCCACAATGGCGTAATAGTGAAGTTTTGTTCGTTATAAAGATTCAACTCAACCTTAGGGTTGGGACCCGTCAGATAATCAAAACCGTCTAACTCGCCTACCCACTTCTTATCGTGAACTTTGGTACCGTGGCCATTAAGTTTGGCAAGGATAGGTTTAACTTCACGGTAGGAAATAGGCAAGACAGGAATTTTACCAATGCTGTCGTGAGGGTCTTGTCTTTCTACGCCAGGCTTGGATGCATAACCTGGAGTAGTAGGATCACCAGGTGCTGCACCTTCACCACCTAAGAACTGAACTGATCCTCTTTGCACAGACAGCTCTTGTCTGGCAGGACCCTTGGGGTATTGTTTGTATCCATTTGCTTCAGTGATTCCGCCATCGTCACCAGGATCTGAGTAAAGTAAAACACCTACAGCACCTTCGTCTTGTGCAAACTTGACTTTCAAACCTCTGAAGATGCCACCATACCTGGCAACTGCAATCTTGCCCTTGATGTCGACACCAATCTCTTTCAACTTTGCAAAGTCTTCCTTTGTACCATAGTTGACGTAAACGTATTGAGCTGTGACATTACCGTTAGCTGCATAACCTAAAAACGTAGGAACGAGATCATCACCCGAAGTTGTTTCATCTTCCTTAATAACATCTTCCTTCAATGTAGGTTGGTAAATGACTGAGCCGTTGTGGTGAAGCAACTTCAAGTCGTGGTCGAGGGGGTAACTCACCAAGATATCGTAGGTATCAATTTCAGTCTCAAGACCATATTCCTCAAACTTTTGCTGAGTAAACTCAACCAACCCGTAGTTGGTACCGGCCAAATGTGCTTCGGCTGTGTAAATCTTGGACCAGTTACCGGCCAAGTTTGTTTCTAAAGCCTTCAAGAAAGGCGCGAAGGGGCTTTCGCTCGTAGAAGTGCTTGACAGTTCAAATCCGTAATTGAACGAGTAATATTTGACGGTAGAGGAGAGAAACAAGTAAATTGCCGCGAAAACAGCCAACTTTTTGATCAACCAACTGCCTTTACTTCTAGTTTGGCGAGGACGAACCACAATATCGGGTTGCTTTCCATCAAATTCTCCGATTAAATGCCCTTCGACATCATCATGATACTTTTCCAGTCCCATTTTCAGTTCAATTCAATCAATTGAAATTCTAATGTCAAAAAAGGAATTCAGATAATGAAATATGTTAAAAAAGCAATAGGAAATCAAAAGGATGTCTATTTGTATTTATATAAGGAGGGAGGGCGGCAAATGGATTTTTCATTTTTCGTGTGGCTCCACATACCCCTAGAAGTGTGAGGCCTGTGTGGCTGCTTAATAGCTGCATATAGCGACGTGATAATGCAGGCCAAACTGATTACATGCAGAAAACCTGCATGCAAAGCGGAATTTGGTATAGATTACACTATCTTGCGTCTATTGGTACAGTCTCGAGGAGACTTTGTTACCGTGTTTTACCCATAATGGATTTGATCTCGATTTGAGAAGGCGGAAACACGGAAGTTAGGGCTAGGGAGCCCGGGTGAGCTGTTAGAAGTATGTTATTGTTACTGGCTTAGCTGGTGCCAGTAGTCAGTGTAGTTTGGGTTTTCGCATTTTTAGTGTGCGTAGGCTGTGTAGCGTAATGCGCTTATGTATAATTAATTGGGCCCAAAGTAATTTATTGGTTCCAAGCTCTGCTAATTAATAAGATGAAGGAGAGAAGCGCTCACGAAACTACAAAAGAGCTGACTATTGGGATACTAAGGTACGGCAAAGGGGTGAACTGCGTTGGAAAATATTTAAAGTCGGTAATTGCAAAAAAGAGACCGATGATGATTTCTTCACCAGCAGCAGAAGATAAATTGAAAGGACTATTTTCGCCGTAAGCACTTTATGTAACAGTACATTATCCATCTTCTTCTTCTTGTTTCCATTTACAGTTAGCACAGTCTGCTGGCTCTTCCCAAAAACTTTCACACTGTGCTAGCCATCGGACTGCCTAGCAAGTACTTAGGGTAGGGTAGCATGTAGTCGCAGGGTATTTCACTGACATATTGTAAAATAAATAGTGCAGAATGATCTGCCACACATTCCCATCACATTTGTTATTTCTTCAGCCAGAAAATCGCAACCATACTGCTGCTGAATCATTTGGCTCAGCTATGTTTCTCTGAAACGAGAGAACTCAGACTCCGGCAGCGTAGGCACACCCGGTCTCACTTAACTACTAATCTCTTCTAGTAACTATACCTCTCCCTGCACCATCCATACACCTAGCTACGTCACCCAGCCAGTCACTAGCCATTGAATAGAAAACCTCCCAGAAATCCTCTTGGTGGCCAAGCTGGCTAAGGCGCGAGACTGTAATGTGTAACTTACTCAAAGTAATCTTGAGATCGGGTGTTCGACTCACCCCCAGGAGAATTTTTTTTACCAAAATTTGGCCCCGACTTTTTTTTTTTATTTTTTTATTTTTTTCAAGTTTTTTTTTTTTGGCTCTCATTATTTTCGTGCGATGCCTTTGAATTTTTTAATTCTTTTACACCCTTCTTATCCTAAGCTACCCATCAACCCCCCATCGTGCCCCCCCAGTATGCCTTCCAGAAATTCCATCAACAGACCAAAGGACAAGCTTATCCGTAATGGACATGCCTCAGCTATTGGTAAGAAGAGACACGCTCGTTCCAGATTGAGTGCTGCCACCAGATCATCCACCTCCCGTTACAATACTGAAACTTCTACAGCTCCAAGACCATCGGAGTCTACATCATTGGCTCTCTACACTGGAGCCGAAGCATCGCAGCCTACCGGTGTCATAACTAACAACACCTTGTCCAAGAAGAGAACCAAGAAGATCGAGAGAAACCAGAAATATATCGAACGTAGAAACCAGCAGTTGAACATCGACATCGCTGCCAAGAAGGAATCAAGCATGGACATCGACCAAGAGACTATTGCTAAGGTCAAGGAAGCTTCTAAGTTAGAGAAGATCAAGCAAGCCTTGTGGTCCGTTGTTGCTGACGGTGTCAGTGAAGGCTTGTCGTTAGGAGATGGTAACGGTACCACCTTAGGTGTTCAGGCATTCTAAGAGAAGAGCTCACAGAAGACAACCAAGGTGAGTGTGACACTGTGCACTGAGACGCTGTGATACACCGTGAGAGACATGAGGTGACGGTGACACAGTGGTGACGGTGACACAGTGGTGCACAGCGTTGCACAGTGTCCCCTTTTGCATTATTTACAAGTATAATCTTCTTGAAGTAGCGACGCTACTATGTATATTAGTCCAGTAATAAAATGAATGAAAACGAATCACGAAGGGCGTAGTGTGGAGCGAGTGCTTCAATGGCGAAGACTCTGTGGAGCTGGCCCTGAGAGATGTAGCTGTACGTGCTTCTCCCCGTCTCTTCTCCCCATCTCTTCTTCTCCTTCTGCTTCTCCTCCTTTTACTTCTCTACCCACCTTTTCCTTCTCGCCTTACCTCACTCATCCAGTCGATCATCCACTAGCTGATCCACTCGCTCATTACCCGCTTCGTTCCCCACTACTTGCCTTCTCTCATCATTCGTCAAGCAATCCCCTCGCTTTCAAGCTCTCAGCAACCCTCGATCTCAACAACTCGATCATCTCCTTGGGATCAACAGCATTGAACACAGCAGTCCCGGCTACAATGACGTTGGCTCCAGCAGCAGCGGCTGCTGGAATGGTATCCTTACCCAAACCACCGTCAACCTGGATGTTTAACTCGGGGAACTTGGCTCTCAAGGCTTCTACCTTGGGCATCATCTCGGGCATGAACTTCTGTCCTCCGAACCCTGGCTCCACCGTCATGACTAAGGCCATATCCAAGTGCTCGGCCAAGGGATACAACACGTCGACTGAGGTACCTGGCTTGACAGCACAGGCAGCCTTCATTCCATGCTCTTTGATGAGCTTCACCAAGGCAACCGGGTCCTTGGTAGACTCGTAGTGGAACGTGTACTGATCTCCACCAGCCTTAGCAACTTCAGGCACCCACTGTTCCGGGTTGGCCACCATCATGTGGCAGTCGAAGAAACTGGCCTTGGTGGTGGACTTAGGGATCTCCTTTCTCAAACTGGAGATAATTGGCGGTCCCAATGAGATGTTAGGGACAAAGTTCCCGTCCATAACATCGATGTGGAGCCAGTCGGCTCCATTGTCGTACATACGGTGACAATTACACCCTAAATTGGCGAAATCTGACGCAAGAATGGAAGGTGCAATAATTGGTTTAACCATGGTGAGTTTGGATACTGTTAGATAAGTATTGGAGATGTTATTCGTCCACCAAAGAGAAGCAACGTTATGGAGCTGAAAACCCCGTAGCACTTCCGTCCCCCACCGACCCAAGTCTCAAATCCTGCATATAATCACCAAATCGGTGCACCACCGAAGACAGAGGAAGACGTGGGGGGAAAGGGACGGACAGGGCAAGACAGGCGGAAGAGACGAAGAGGAGACGCAAGGAAGAAGACAAAGGGGAGATATGCTCTATCTTCTGTTTATTCTTATACAAGTGTACGTATTTTTACTTATTTTCTTATATTCTACTTAACGTTCGTCTCTCTAGAAACGCTCACCGGTACCACTTCGACTTCATGCCCTAGCTCACGCTAGCACTGAAGCTCACACTCACGCTCTCGTCTTTGGCTTCTTCTTTTCCGCCTCGGCCTCATCTTCAGCCTCTATTTCATCAACATACTTCTTGATCTCTTCCACGGTAAGCTTGGAAATGTTAGCATCTCCCGCCTTCATGACAGATATCTCAATATTCTTTGCACCTGTCTGAACAACTTCCAACAACGACTTGATGGTCAATTTTATGGTCTTTTCGTCGCTCATATCTTGTTCGTAGTGCTTTTCCAAGAACTCTCTGACAGTTTTGGATGATCTGCCGATAGCATTGGCCTTCCAAGCGTTAAACACCCCCAGAGGCTCGGTTTGGTACAACTTAGGTACCTTGTCATTGCTATCAAAACCAGCAATTAAGCATGCAATACCAAATGGTCTAACTCCACCGGACTGTGTGTATCTCTGCTGCACTCCTGCTACGTACTTGGTCAAATACTCAATGGAAACCGAGTCTTCCAATGTCAACTTGTGAGACTGCGCTTCCACTCTGGCCTTGTCGACCAAGATTCTGGCATCAGCGTTCAATCCGGCAAACGCCAAGAGACAGTGGTTGTCGACTTTGCAAATCTTGGATGGAGTAATCCTTGGGTCCTGCAACTTCAATGTAGTTCTCTTTTCACACCCTAACACCACAATTTCTTTACCCTTGACACCGACGGCACAGGTCCCTCTTTTAACGGCCTCAGAGGCATATTCTACTTCTGCAAAGTTGTTAGTAAACGATTGAGAGGCAAGAAGAGCAAATCAGAAAAGAAAATAAAAGGAAAATGAAGGACATTTTGTAAATAGAAAGAAAGCGAGCTTCTTCCCCACTTGAGAGTTCCAGCCGAAAGATCAGCTCTAGCAGTCTCCCACTCCAAATCTCACCAATTCCCATCAATTCATGCTGGTTTTTCGTCCTACGAGCCATCTCTGAAGCTCATAGTGCTCATACATACGGAAAACGTATCCATCAGGCCTGTTTTATATGTTAGTATATCGAGTCCAATCATTTTAGGTGGGTGGCGATAGCCACCAGAATCACTGATCCAATTCACACGGAAAAGTCAGCCAATTCGTCCCAAAACGTTTTGAAATTTGAGATACATACGAGAAAATGGATAAAGCACTATCGTATCCACTCATATTGCTGAATTTATTATTATTTATCTAGTTACTTGTAACTTGTAGAAGGGGTGTGCTTGACGTTTCGCTTTTCGCTTCTTTTCTTTTTCGCTTTGGTTTCGTTGATGGTTTGCGTACTGCATATAACCGGGCTGCATGAACGGTTCCTGGTGCAGAATGGCTGCAATTGGGGGTGGTGATGGGTATTCTTCCACGGAGAACACCTGTAGAGAGCCATGTGAGGGAGTGATCATTGGCACAGAATCTTTGAAGTATACAGTTTAGAAAAAGGCAGAGAAAACGGAGTCTGCATCGAGTCCATGCGCCATCTGTTGGCCACCCACCTCAGCTCACACATGTACACACAGTTTGTAGACCTCACCGGTGCTGAACGTCTTCTATCCTCTCGAACACGAAATACTCTCCTCAGGCACCTCGATGTATCACATCCGCAGTCTAGTACCAAATATCTACTTCAAGATCACTCATTCTGGAGAACTTACCATGTCATTCTACTGCTTCACTCTACGGACCCAAGTGACCTGCATATAAACTCTTCTATATGAAAAATTTGGAACGATTGCAAAAGTCGAAGGCATACCACCTCTTCTTCTCTATTTAAGCTGCTCAAACTACTGTTATCATGGTGAAACCACCCAAATCCATACCCCACAAGGACCACTACCAAAGGATATCTTTTCTTTACCAAAGTTCTAGTTTATTCGCCAACCTGGAGAAATACCAAGTACTCTCCAGAGCTCTAGCCAGGAACGTTGATTTAGTGTCTAAGAAGACGGTGCTCAAGCTCACACCTGCCATGAAAAGGACAATTTGTAAGAAGTGCCATACGAACTTGATCCCAGGGATCAACATGAAGATAAGGATAGAAAATTTGTCGAAGAAACAGCTGGAAAAGAGCCAGGTCTTGGTGCATCAGTGCAACAACTGTCTTGAGCTGAAGAGGTTCCCGATTGGGAAGAATAAAGATTATAAGTTATTCAGTGAGAGGGAAGATATAGCAATAGATGTAGATTAAATAAGAGATACAGAAGAAAGAGAGATGCAGAAGAAAGCGCAGAAAGCAGATGCAGTTTCTTGTGCAGCAAAGAAAGTACGGCGCTTTGCAGCAAAACTATATTGGCTGAACAGTTGCTAAAGGACATAGAATTAGATCAGCGTTCCCGTGGCTAACCAAGTAAAGTCAGATTAGTGCCTTAGCACCTACTGCAACAGATTCGGTGCAAGTTTGGGTGTAATCTCCTTCATTTTGTATATCAAACCCAGTGCTTCAGGAGCATCTACAGACTGTCCTAGACCGTTGCTGGACACCCTGATGAGCTAGAGCATCGACGGAAGTCCTTAATTGCCTACTGGTCATCTTAATGTCCTTGAGCATCTATGGATGGCTGATCTTCTGCCGGGAACCTTCATGTTAATGCTGCTGATCAGAACGAAGACATACATCATCACAATAGGATTTGGTTGTTCAGCTCACATTCTGAATCTTCATCACACTACACTGCCGTATCTTATGGATATTTTTATATAATCACTTAGGGTGCTTTAAACACTACTTAATAGAATAGAACTATAGAAATTGAAACCAAAACACGTAAATCTTGCTTCTCCTCCCGTTGCACTGTACGTTTAATCCTTTGGACCAATCATCTTCTCAGGTCTAACCCATTCGTTGAACTCTTCTTCGGTCAACATATTCAACTCCAAACAAGATTCTTTTAAAGTCAAGCCCTTCTTGTGTGCATTTTTAGCCACTTTACTGGCGTTGTCGTAACCAATCTTTGGGTTCAAAGCAGTGACAAGCATAAGAGATTCATGAAGAGTCTTCTCAATCTTTTCCTTGTTGGCAATGATGCCTTCGACACAATGTAATCTGAAAGACTTGGCAGCATCTCCTAACAATCTAATAGAAGAGAGCAAGTTGTAGGCGATCACAGGCTTGAAAACGTTAAGCTCAAACTGACCAGAGGCACCAGCAAACGTGATGGTGGTGTTGTTACCCATGACTTGAGCGCAGACCATAGTCATGGCTTCACACTGAGTAGGGTTGACCTTACCAGGCATGATGGACGAACCAGGCTCATTCTCTGGGAGCGATAATTCTCCGTATCCACATCTTGGACCAGAACCCAAGTATCTGATGTCATTAGCGATTTTGAACAAAGAAGCGGCCAAGGTGTTAAGGGCACCAGAGGCTTCTACAAATGCATCGTGGGCAGCAAGGGCTTCGAACTTGTTTGGAGCAGTCTTGAATTCCAATCCCGTCAATTTGGAAACTTCCTGAGCAACCTTGACATCAAATCCTTTTCTGGTGTTTAAACCAGTTCCGACAGCAGTACCACCTTGAGCAAGACATGACAAGTTTGGCAAAACAGCCTCTACTCTCTTAATACCGTTGGTCAACTGCTGAACGTATCCACTGAATTCCTGACCCAAGGTCAATGGTGTAGCGTCCTGTAAATGTGTTCTACCAATCTTGATGATGTCAGCAAACTCGTCTGATTTCTTCTGGAAGGCATCTCTCAAGTTGGTCAATTCTGGCAACAAGTGTCTGTAGACCTCAACCACAGCGGCAATGTGCATCACTGTGGGGAAGGTATCATTGGACGATTGGGACATGTTAACGTGGTCATTAGGATGAACAGGTTTCTTGCTTCCCATTTCTCCACCCAAAAGCTCAATGGACCTATTGGAAATAACTTCATTGGCGTTCATATTGGACTGAGTACCAGATCCAGTTTGGTAGATAACCAACGGGAAGTGAGCAGTCAACTTCCCCTCTGCCACTTCAGAGGCAGCTTGTTGAATAGCCTTAGATAACTTAGGATCCAAGATTCCGTATTCTTCGTTAATGATGGCCGCAGCCTTCTTCAAAATTCCGAATGCCTTGACCAATGGTTCCGGCATCTTGATATCTCCAATATCGAAGTTACCCAATGATCTCTGGGACTGGGCTCCCCAGTACTTATCAGAGGCCACTTCAATTTCGCCAAAGGCGTCGCTTTCAATTCTAGACATCGCACTTACTTTCTTACTTACTTTAAAGATACTGTATAACTGTCACTAATGTATTTTCAGCAACGAAACAGCGAAGAAACAACGAAGAAACACCAACTAGTTCACCTTTTATCTACCAGACCGGAGTTGTTCCATAGTGCCAATTTTTCGCTTCCCGGAGTCTCATCTCCGAGCCCAACTAGGCTGCATGAAGCGGCTTGACCCGGGATGGTGGGCACGGGCACGAGATCACGTGCGCCAATGACTATAATGGAGCACTATTAGGATGGCAGGCTGGAAGAGGGCAGGCTGGGGATTGATTTATTCCTCCTGTAATGTATGTACAGGTAGCGAGGTCAAATGACGCGTGCTGCAATTAGGACCTGAGATCTGTGGTGCGATTTCGTTTTTATTGCTACAGTCTTAGGTACTTACACGTTCACATACTATAACAATCGCTCTCTTCTGCTTTCCGCTGCTCTCCACTGCTCTCTACTTCTCTCCACTTCTCTCTGCTTCTCTCCACTGCTCTCTGCTTCTCTCTACTGCTCTCCACTGCTCTCCACTCCACTACTCTGTGCCCATATCTTCTCCTGATTCCCATTCTCGCACCGTCTCCGTTGACTACAGCTCTACACTTCGCTGACCGCGCTTTCGCATCTCCCAAACCCCGACTACACTCTTTCATACCTCGCTAACTGCGTGCTATTCAATATATACATAGTTAATTACAAGTATTGGCTCGTCTGCTGTTCCCTTTTCCTCTCCATTCTTCTAGGCGGACTCACTCTAGCTCCAAACCAATTGTAGCGGAACCCGACTTCGTGGGCCAATATCTCTCCGAACCCCAACATGAATCCGTTTATGATTGGGAGAATCAAATTGATCGCACTCTTCTTCACCACGTCCCACACATCAATCTTAGTGTATGCTACAAGTGCTCTATCGACGTCATCATCATGATATTGATCCTCATCATTTAAAATCGATTCAGCTCGTCCCTCATCTACTAATAAATTGGTTTTGACCACATCTAAATCACTTACAATTTCATCACTGGATAGTTGATTGTCAAGGATAGTGATTCCATTCACCTTCCTTAACTCCTCGTCTACCTGTCCAACGCTGGATCCAATGACCGTGTTGTTATCTTCCTCGTCATTTATAAGCGTGGAGTGAGACTCTTCTGGTTTTCGGTTAATCTGTGACATCGTGCTATATGCAACTAGCTAGTACTTGCACTGGTATACCACCAGTCTTGCAATTGCCTCCTAGGCGGTATAAATCTGAGGGACCATCCCACGATGGAGGATTACATGCAGGACATCAAATTTAAATTCATGTGCAGCACCAGATCAGACTGCCCTCCCAATTGGCCTGAGTGCAAAGCATTGTTGCCCAGAGGTGCCTAGTTCTTACATGTTCCGCTCTATTTATCTTTATATTACTTTATTTAATCTCTACCATTCTATCTAAGTAATTTATCATACATCATGGGGGAGTTTTTTGCTCTTTTGTAGAGGTTTATGTGTGGGGTCTTTGTTCATTTCTCTATTGTTTGACACCAACAGATAATCCCTTCTTCAATCTTTCTTGGGTTAAGGCAGCAATGATGGCTGCACCGGCACCAGAACCATCCTCAGCGGCAACAAGAACGATTGGGTCTTCAACACCATCTTCCCATTCAAAGATTTCTCTAAGGGCTTGGGCAGCTCTTTCCTTGAAGCCTGGGTATCTGTTAAAAACAGAACCATCTGCAGCACAATGGGCGGTCTTGTAGCCTCTCTTTTGGCAGATAGCAGCAATACCACACACAGATAATCTTGGAGATCTTTCACCGATCAATTCAGCGAGTCTACGGATGATCTTTCTTTCTGGAGAGGTGGTTTCGATTCCTAAAACTTCTTGAAAGAGTTCTTGGGTTTCTGATAAGTTTTCAAATGGATCTTCTTCAATCTTGGCTGGGAATGAGGTATCCATGATAAATGCTTTGTTTAACTTTTCCAATGGTTGGTTGGCAAAGATATGGTTCTTGGAAACCAAATCTAACAAGACCAATCTCAACACTTCACCTAAGTAGTAACCAGAAATCATCTTTTCGAATGATTGCTGACCTGGTCTTGGAGATTCAGCATCGATTTGGATATCGTACTTGGTTCTTGGTAAGACCAAGTGTTCGTTATCGAAGGAACCGTATTCACAATTGATAGCCATTGGGGAGGTTTGAGGAACATCGTCTGGGATTTTACCTTCTAACTTAGGGATATCTTGAACAACATCATAGTAAGCACCGTTACAACCGGTACCGAAGATAAGACCCATCTTTGCTTCTGGATCAGTGTACATGGAGGCGACAAGAGTACCAGTGGTATCGTTAATCAAGGCAACAATGTCGATTGGAACACCCTCCTTTTCGATAGCAGCTTGCAACATTGGGACGACGTCATGTCCTTCAACACCTTCGATGTCGAAACCCTTGGTCCATCTTTGTAAAATACCAGAGTTGATGGCACTTTGGGAGGCTGGGAAGGAAAAGGTGAAACCCAATGGAAGGTTGGATGTACAGCCCTCTGGGAACTCTTCAACGACAAACTTCTTCAAGCACTTGGCGATGAAACCCCAAAGCTCTTCGGATTTAGCTGTTCTAATGTGTTCTGGCAACGAGTACTTTGATTGAGTGGTGTCGAAATCTCTGTTACCACCAAGCTTAACCAAGACCACTCTCAAGTTGGTTCCACCCAAATCGATGGCCAAGTAATTACCAGTTTCCTTACCAGTTGGGAAGTCATGCACCCAACCTGGAATCATAGGAATGTTACCACCCTTCTTGGACAATCCCTTGTCAAGTTCAGTGATAAAGTGAGCGGTGATCTTTTTCAATGTTTCACCGGAGACTGTCAACTGCTCTTCCAACTCTTTCAAGTCGGCAAGAAGTGTCTCTGAGACGTCAGTCCACGTTCCCTTTCTGTGTTGAGGAGGTTTTGGGCCAAGATGAACCATTATTACTCTATATAGTTTATATTTTTGTTGTTTTTATAGCAAAAGAAAGAAGCCAGTATCCCTTTTTGCTCAAGTGTCTTTTTGTGTTGGCCAGAATTTATAGCTAAGCAGTTCGGCCAGTAAAAAAAAAAAATTGGCGCTGAAAATTTAGTGGGTAGGGAAGAAAAAGCTTAAATGGGAATGAGAGGAAGGACGGAGATTTTATAGTGCTTACGAAAGTTGCGGGCCGCCAAGCCGTGCTGGACACCTCAGGAGATCAGCGAGGGAATGAGGGACATTTTGCGAGACAAAAGAAACGACATATTCGTGTGGAGCAAGGCTAGTATCACACCGTTAGGCACAGGTGACGACTTTGTTTGCATAAACTTTGGGGTGCTCGCAGCGCCGATTTGGGGGAGATCAGAAAATATTCGGGGACCATCATGCGGATTTGAATGGCCCGCGCTCGCGCTGTACTGGGTGCATGAAGATTAAAGTTGGACGTTGACAAGCTGAAGTAGTGGGGTCTAGCAGGGGAAAATAGTTGGGCAGGGGCAGAAGCAGCAGTTTCAGGACCGGTGGGACTTGCAGGTCTTGGCTCCCTGAGCTTCACGACAGAGTAAAAGAGAGCAGAAGGCGGCCACTGTGCCAATGCACTGGTTCAGAGGCCAGTCAGGCAGGAATAGGGGAACCCCAGCGCTTACATGCACCCCCCCCCCCCAAAGACGAAAGTGTCGAGCCAAATCTTCAATTCTTTTCTGCATACTCCAGAGCAGCGCTATGCAAGTAGACCTAAAGGTCATCTAGCTGCTACGTCAGTATGCTATTCTATACCACTCTGTTGCGTCTGGTCCTATGCAACCAAAGTGGTGAGATACATATCAGGAAAAATGTGGGCCAGCGCTCCAAACACTTGTTCCGATATTTTTCCGGATGTCCCAGATTTTTCACTTTCTAAAATTTAGTAATGGAGAAGATTGGGGTCAAACTCCCTACAAATACCGGCACAAGCGGTCAGTTCTTCCAGGTGGGCTCTTCCCTTGCTATTAGCTATAAAATGACATATATACTTGTAACACTTCCAACACACCGGACAAGCACGAATGTTTCGAGCTTGTTTCGAAAGCCCACCCCACCACCCCACCTTATGCACGAATTTTACAATGGGGAGGACTGGGGCCAAATGGGGCAGCTACCTTATTTATCACCGACACATGTAAGTTTCCGGATAAATATGCCTCACCACCAATAAGAATGACTGAGGCAACTAAAGGGCCACTAATATTCTCTGTTTGCCGCAGATAGATCTTGATCATTCGTGGTACTTCCAGTTCACATTTTCTTCTTCAGCAATTTTATTTTTTGTCATGCAAGTTTCAGGTGTTTTTCCGAAGCTTGACATTGATGTGGAGAATATGTGGAGTGTACGCTTGCTGTTGTTGTTGTTATTTTAAGTAGATCCTGACGACTACCTGTAGTCTCGTAAATCCCGATCTCATTGATGCGGTGGCCCGTGAAACTAATCAGTCCCATTCTTACATACGATGGTGGCATTCTGATTACGGTGGTGATGGCCCCGTGAAAATATGACTACCGGACCAAGTATAGTACTTCCTCTACCAAAGTTCTCTAGTAGTTTCATCGAAGTTTTTCATTGCTTCTCCGACAACTTCCAAATTCTGTCTCGTCTCCTCGATGTACTTATCCAACTCCTCTAAATCTAGTTTTCTATGCATAATATTAGTCGAACCAAAGTTATCTTCTTCGTTGAAGAAAGCCCTCAATTTGTCCTTGTTCTCTTCAGTCGCTTTCCTCGTGCGGTCTGTTTCTTTAGATCCTCCAGCACTATCGGCATCGGTTCCATCGTCCTTTCCGGTTTCAGCTCCTGCATTGATACCACTTCTACTAGAAGGTCCAGAAGGTCCTGGCGATACAGTCGCACTCTTGCTTGTCGCAATAGCAGGCGTAGCTGCAGCTTCAGCCTGTTTGGTCGCATTCTGATTCCCCAACTTGTACATATTCCTTTGTTGCTCTTCCTCCTTTAGCTTACCATGTTGCGCAGCCATAACCTCTAGCAATTTGTTTTGCGACTCCTTCAAGCTCGCTAATTCTGCATTGAAAGCCTCATTAAAAAATGAACCTCTAAGTTTTACTTGATTGGACATGGTTTTCACATCATCCAATACATCGATCTGAGTCCAAAGCTTGTCAGCATGTGTGATGCTTGGCTTTGTACTGGAAATTCGGTCTGTCAGTCTTATACTATGTTCGTCTCCAGCTCCACCTGCTGATATGGAGCCTGCTCCACCACCCGCTACATAATCGGTAAAATTACTATTGGTTCCACTTAACCTTAAAAGGGAAGATTGGGATTTGGATGATCTGTGCCTGTTCGTGTTGGAAAGAAATGGAGGGAACGCAGTGGGGCCATTGCTGGGGCCACCGGAGACGGATCCCGATCGAGAATGTGACGGAGAATCCAGAGAAGGGTATGACGAAATCCTGGGAGGCATGTTATACTAATTATTTGTAGGTATCGAACGGTCTAGGAACAACACTAGCACTATGTGGCCCTGGAGTGAATTCATAGTCATGTGTTTAAGTGTACGATTATATGCAGGATATTCAACACGCTTCGGTAAGCCAAGTCTGGAGAGAGGTACCAGAACATCAACATCGACGAATTCGTTTGACGGTATACGATAAGTATGGCCACGACACTTCAGATCCATGAAACCTGAAATCCTTTGCTTCGTTCATATACCATTTAGCGTTCTTGTGTGTACCCCACCAACACTCTTAGCTAGGTGTTGATGGAGCTTATATGCACTACTGGAACATCGCTACCCTGTCCCACCGAGAAGCATGGATGTGCAATTTGTAGATGCCAACTCTTCCAGTAGTAGCACCACGAAATAGTAATTTTAGTATTTTATTCAGTATTTCGATTTCTGTACTCTTCCTTTAGATAGCTAAAAAAATTATACTGAAAAAGAAAGCTCACAGCTCTTATATTCGACCCCGATTCAGTATGACCTCGCTAGCAGTGCCGAAGCCTAGGCGAGCTTTCCAGATTGGCCTGCCCCCAACTAGAGCAAAGAGCCCTCTCAGAACCAGAAGTCCGAGTAGGCGACAGCCATGGAAGAAATTGCTATACTTAAACCAGCCGTATCCCGACAACTATACCAATGAGTCTTTCCTATCTCAGTTGAAGCGAAACACTACTGTCGTGAAGTACTCGTACTTGAAGCTTCTTGACGACTTTTCATTAATAGCTCAGCATTTATCGAACCTATTTCTTGTGATTTTGGTATTTATAGGTATCTATTATCAGAATTGGAATCCCGTAACCCCCATAGTGTACTCAAGTATACTAACGATTTTTGGATTTATGGTGTGGGATGCTAATCGAAAGGACGACCAACAACACCATGTCCAGAGAGAAGTAGAAGAGATCTCTTCTTCTACGACGACTTACCTGTTAAAAACACAGAGATCCAAAATAAAGTCCTCGATCATCTTATTGTTCATACTATTAATTTTATCCCCAGTGCTAAAGTCGTTAACAAAATCTACAGCATCAGATTCTATCTGGGCTATTTCATTTTGTCTTTGCATAGCAAACACTCTTTTCCATGAATATGCTATGGCGTCTGATCTAGCCAATTGCAGGCCTATAATATCGACTAACATATCATTTCTGAGTGCAATTGTATTGGCATCTCGACTCAGCACAAACATATCTGTATTCTGCTTTGTCCTCTTCGCCATTCAAGCCAATATATTGCTTCCCGTCTTTGATGTTCACTTGAGACAATTTTATCCCAAGGCTTACCATAGATCCCTTTTTGTGGCAACTTCGATAGTGGTTAGTATCATGGTTGCGTTTATTCTTAACATTAAAATCTTGTTGATCTGGGTGATGGGCCAAGTTGGCATAGTATTTGTACTACCACTGTACTTCCTATTCTTACAGAAGTATAAGAATGAATTACAGGGGCCTTGGGATCCTGCAAAGCCAATCATCAAAACTACGTGATGATTATGTAGCGAAGAGTATATAATAATGATTTGCAAGAGCTATGAGATCCTGCAATCCCAATTTTTCAAAATTGTATGAGGTGACACCGAAGAGGATCATGGTCCTCTACAGGGCTTAACCAACTAACGATTAGGAGAGAGTGAGTCAAATAATTCGCATGCTACACTGCACTACACTATACTTACTACTGATTTATTATTTTTTTCATAGATAGACAATTACACTTTGACGCTGGACTTTGTAATAGTCCCTCTCAAACAGTGTTCAGTTTCTATCTCATTACGTATGTACTACATTCACCAAGATGCTCCATATTTAAACCGCCTCTCTCCTAGTATGCAAGTTGGTTACTTGACTAATTGTCATAAGAATCAACCTTTGGCACCAACCCTGATTCCATATTGTACTCATTATAATTTTGTTCAATATCTGCTTTCTTCTTAATCATGGAAAGTTTAATTCTGTTTACCACTCCGAATACAAGAACGGGATGGAAAGGAATAGTGATGAGCACAGCAATTGCAAGCATCAGAGCATCAAGGACCATAAGTGGCCATTCTCTCGTGATCAACCAACCATGAAAGCCTTCAGCCAATTCAACAACTCTGTAAATACATCTAATATAGATAGCAATGACGGCAATGGTTATGACAAGAGGATAGTAATAGAATAGTCTACCGGACCTTATATCTTGAAAATTAGGGTTGTACAGCTTCTCCAATGAGTTAAAGCGGTAAGATCTGACCGATTTCGTGTTGAATAAGAATTTAAAAAAGTTCTTGAAAGATTTCTTGTTAAGTTCATTGTGGTCTTCGAGGTGAAGGCTATGTTTGAAATATGTTTTTGCTAAGAAATCGAACCAAAATCCCATGAAAATTGTCATTGAGAGCACTTGAAGTCCAATACCACCAACCATTATGTAGACTCCTGTTTGAGGATTCCCGCTCCCATTACTGGCACTGGCTGACATTCCACCACCACCACTTTGTATAAAAAAGGTTAAAATGTCAGAGCCGATGAAGAAATATGAGTACCACATTGGCTTCAAAAGGGAAAACTGACGACCATGAAGTACCACCAACTGCGCAAAGATGAAATAGATCCCAGCCATTAAAAATGTTGGAGAAACGGTAAGACAAAGATATTGAATGGCATAGTCAATTGTACTTGAAGTATCGTTCACAGCAACAACCCTAGCAGCAAAACCAATACATTCTAATAAAGTTCCTATAATAAATGTCACATTGTACCAATGATACCTTGACTTCCATAACATACCAATGTTGAATAATGCAGCTGCACCAAAAAGAACACAGAACATAACGTTAGCACCTAAGTTCAAGTCATATTTATATTTGTTCAAAGTGTCATACCTGTATTCAAGATACAAGGTAGAATTCGAAATAACTTCCCTAGCTTGTGCAAGCACTTGAGTATCTGTAGCAGTTGAAGTAACGGCTGCTGCACTTACAATAGACATTGATGCTAATGCTTCGTTAACCACATATCCCAAGGATTCAATTTTAGAAGAGTCAGTTTCAGTTGCAGCTACTGAATAAGCCAGTGAAATCAAACTACTATAGCCGGTTACCTTTGAGGCAGCGATAGTAGAGTACACTGTTTTAGAAGGAAGCGAAGATGGGAACCACAGAGAAAATGAAGAAGTAGCCATTTTGTTGTGGAGTTTCAAAACAAAAGCATATAGTTGTCACAAGTAAAAGCAGCTTTCCCATCTTTATTTATGCATTCAAAACAAATTTTGATCATGTTGCAAAATTTATTGGTTGTTTATTCCCCCAATGGTGTACAGAGACATGAGCCGTGCAATCGAATCCCAGCCTCGTTTGAACAGATGCAGCCTAGGGCGCAGTTGAGAAACTTGAAGATAGTTAGCAATTTACACCCTAGATATGTACACATTAGGTTGGCTTATGCAAGAGAGGTGGCTGTGTCGGGCTTTGACAGGAAAACTAAGATTATCTTGGTATTTTAACTTACACAAGGCATAGAAGGCAAATACGAGATTGTTACTGGCTCAAAAATACATAAAGAGAAGAATACTAAGCAAGCTATAAGCCAACTTTTAATGCTTTGTACAGGATAGTGCTAAGCGGTGTTTTAGATCTTCAAACCGATGCAGGGAAAGGGCTAGGAGAAGGGTCCTTGTGAGAGCTAGGAATCTCTGAAGAAGAGACTCACCGCAAAATATGAGTTCGATAGTTCATTTTCATAAGCCTAATGTTTACTTTCATTCACCTAGTTCGAGTCGTCGAATCTGAATTAGTCTTTACGAATCCTCCATTATTTTCTACTTCTGTAATCAAATAAATTTTATACAATAAAGTAAACAATAAAAACCCTAAAATACGATGAGCCAGTGTTAAAAATACTGCTGCGGTTCACCATTACCAGTCGATTGTAGCGCTTGACCTCTCGATTCCAACCCTACAGCGGCGATATGCCCCCATCAATTTCGTACCCTTCATTTATAGCCTGTTCAAATGGAAGAGGCGATGCAACCTTGATTATTTTCCTCTTTGGGTGGGGGAAGAGGGAGGCTTATGCGTTTTGCATCAATTTCGAAAATAACCACTGGCATATTTTCGGAGAAACGACAGGATCAGCGAGCGTACCCGTATCACAGCTATTCATGTAGTAGAACATTTTCAAGTTGTGTAATATTTCTGTAGATCTATAGCGTGTAGCCAAGAAGCTCAAGAGAGCCCCAGTTCCCAGTTCAGTTCAATGCAACGATGCTGGTACCCCCAAACCTCCTTAGAACCACCACCGCTAAGTACGCAGGTTCTGGCGCACCTTAAAAATTGGGGCACGGCGAGGCTATCGGATATCGATGCCAAGCGAATGCAAAACATTGAACTGTTCGCTATTCATTTTCCTTGCTTCACTCTTCACTGATGCTTTGCCCTCCTCTTCTCCTGATCACTGCCTCTTTCGTTCATGATTACTTCTTGACATGAGTTCTTCTTCCCGCAATAAAGTCTGCTGATGAGTGCTAGTCTCTCCTAGCCTTGTGGCAAGTCATCTCCTGCACGAATGCAGCGCTGCCTCGAAGCACCACTGCACATATACGAACACCTCTGAAATAGGTACTGCATACATCAAAACCGCTCTTCTCATACAATACTGCATATACCACAATCGACCTCAAAATCACGTACTGCATATAAACTTCGCTCTGTGGTTTTTTTCATTTCGTTTTGTTCACGTAAAGCACCAAGAGGCCAATACACCACTCTTAGCACACTCCATCCATCGAATCACAGCCCGATGAGCAATCCGAACAATCAACAACAGCCTCAGGGTCTCGGACAAGGCCAGGGTCTGATTTCAGGGGGTCAAGGGCAGAGCCAGGGCCACGGACAATCCCAGGGCCAAGCTCCCTCTGCTGTAAGAACTGGAACGATCAACCCAGGAGCCTCCAGAAGTCCTCCTGCTGGAACTGTGTCGATGAATCAGACAGGACAAGCCAACGCTGGTACCAATGGAGCACCGCTGCTGGTGACAGGCCAAGGACTGCCTCCTTTGAACGCTTCTGCTGGGATAAATGGAGCTGCTCCTAGCGGCACAGGTACCAGTACAGGGGCACCTTCCGCTGGAGGCGCCAGTCGCCCCCCTCAACCTCAATTTTCCCAGGCGGACTTGAATCGTATTGTTTTGGAATACCTCAATAAGAAGGGATACCACAGAACTGAATCGATGCTTCGTTTGGAGTCGTCCAACACCCCTACGCCTGCCGTTCCACCTGTGAATCCCTCCAATTCACCATACCCAAGTCCTATAGAGATCTCTCGTAGAGAAAGAGAGCTCAGGGATAAAGTAACACGTAATGAACGTGAATTGAGAGATTTCAGAGAAAAGCAGCTCAAGATCGAAAGAGAACTTCGTGATTCCAAGGACCGGGAGTTCAAGTTGGCCAAGGAAAAGGAATTACGTGATTTACGTGAAATGGAAGAAAAGAGAAAAAGAGAGAGCAACCCAGATTTGTACATAAGGGCTTACTCTATGCTTAAGAAGTGGGTTGATACCTCTTTGGATTTGTACAAGCCAGAATTGAGCAGAATATTGTACCCTATATTCATCCATTGTTATTTGGAGCTTATTTCTAAGAACTTTGTAGCAGAAGCGAAAACCTTTCTTGACCAATTCAAAGATGACCACATGATGCTGCTTCATGGGTTGGAAATAAACAAATTGGCAGGTATTTCCTTACCTGAACATATCAAGGAAAATCCGTTGGCGCAGGCTTACAGGACTCACAAGTATAAGATCATTGTTTCCAAGACGACGATCAATCTTCTACTTTTCTTCTTACATGAGAATGAAACCGTTGGAGGGACGGTCATAATTAGGATTATCAATCAGTACTTGAATCCAATCATCTCCACTATAACCAAACCTGATAAATTAAACTTGGAAGGTGACTCTAATCCAGAAGAAGGGATTCCCGGTTTCACAACCAATAATATTAACGAGTTGGATAAGTTCAATGAGCTGACCACTGTGAAATTAGGGAAATTACCAATGGACCCAGAAATCCGTAAGGAAATCGAAGCAGAGTTAAAAATTAAGGATGAAAAGATCGAAACCCAAGAAGGAGGAAAGACCTTAGTCGAAGAATTTACTGAAATGAATGAAACAGATCAGGATGCCCCGGCTCGAGAACTGTTACCTTTACCACCTAAAGATGCTAGCGATATAAAAAGAACTATACTCTCCGTGGAGGATGCTAGAAACATGATAAAATTGGGAGGCAATGATGGTCTCCAACCTTCTGCACCATCTGTGTGTATGTACACATTCCACAATACAAATAACGATATGACATGTATCGATTTTAACGAAGATTCTAACATGGTGGTGGCTGGATTTCAAGATTCTTTTATAAAGTTATGGCTGCTTGATGGAAAGCCATTGAAGTCCATTTTCAAGAGAGATCCAGCTAATAATAACAATTCAAGGAAACTTATCGGTCACAGTGGACCTGTGTATGGAGTCAGCTTCAGCCCTGATAATAAGTATTTAATTTCTGGATCTGAGGATAAAACAGTGCGGTTATGGTCTCTTGATTCATATACCTCATTGGTGTCTTACAAGGGACACAATCAACCTGTGTGGGATGTAAAATTCTCACCTATGGGACATTACTTTGCCACAGCTTCTCACGATCAAACGGCAAGATTGTGGGCAACGGATCATATTTACCCATTAAGAATATTTGCAGGGCATATAAACGATGTTGATTGTGTTGAATTCCATCCAAATTCCTCGTATGTATTCACAGGTTCTTCTGATAAGACGTGTAGAATGTGGGATGTTCAAACAGGTAATTCAGTCAGAATTTTAATGGGACATACTGGACCAATAAACTGTATGGCAGTTTCACCCGATGGACGGTGGTTAGCAAGTGCAGGAGAAGACAGTGTAGTGAACGTGTGGGATATTGGAAGTGGTAGGAAATTGAAATCAATGAGGGGACATGGTAGATCTTCTATTTACTCCTTAGCATTCTCAAGAGATGGTGGTGTTTTAGTTAGTAGTGGTGCCGACAATACTGTAAGAGTGTGGGACATTAAGAAGAATACCAACGATGCTGGCCCCGAACCGGAACCATTTAACTACAAAGAACAGGAAAATGAGAAGGCCCAAGGTGCAAATGGTACAGTGGGGACAAACGGGACATCCACTAAAGCTGAAGGTAATTCTGCATTGACAGTTAATGGAAATAATGCATCTGCCTCAGCTGCTACTGCAGCAGCAGCTACCAAGCCAAAACCAAATGATAAATCCAACCGTAAGGAGATATTAGCTACCAGTGACCATATGACGGCCTATTTCACTAAGAAGACTCCTGTTTTTAAAGTTCATTTTACAAGAAGAAACCTATGCTATGCAGGTGGTACTTTGTTAGGTTAGAGGTAAGAGATGAATTTACACGAAGTTTTAGCCTATGCTTACTCTGAAATAATATGTGTTAGAGTAGTTTTCTTGAATATAAGATTGTATTATATTAAACTTAGTAATGTAGTGACGTCGAAGCCAACCTGATTATTAATAAATGTAGAACAACGGAAGAGTCACGTAGAAGCTATAACCATAGCCACGGTTGCAAATGAAATTCAGCAAGAGGGAGATTCTCTGAACAAAACGTAGATTCAAAGAGAGGAAAGGAAGGAGTCAGCACCTTTCTGCCAAATCCACCTAGCCACAGCAACGTTGATTTAAAATTTTGTTTACTCGCTTACTGGAACTGCTACCATTAGCCCTCAACAGGACGAAAGCACTGCCCTTCTCGCTTAATTAGTTTACGATAAGCTCATGAGGGCCCACATTATTTTTTGCGGGTGTTGCTCAAAGTAGAAACACGCGCAGCATAAAATGCAAAAACTAAATTTTGGAGTCCTTCTCCACAAAACATTCGTTTAAACCAAACTAATTGCTTTTGAAATCAGGAAAAGGCGTGAATTGCATAAAGTGTGTAAATACCTAAGTTTAGACGGACTGGAACTCCACCAAACTCGAGAATTCCGTGTCGTTTGTTTGCTGTTTCCTCATTTCAATGGCTTTCTTTGTTTAGCATGATCGCAAAAATAATTTCACTTGTCGCAACGTTAAAGCCTAAATGAGGAAATAAAATCTGTATTATGACATGCGCATTGGGGCTTTGTAAACATTACCCCTCCTGAAAGGGGATAGCTTCTAACCTGCTGCGAAGCTTAATTGATGAAAAATCCATTTTTGTACTTGCCCCCCCTCAACATGCAGGTACATCAAACCCACTACATGCTTAATTTGGAAATTTTGTATGAACAGTCGTACTAGTTCGAGATGTGACCCAAGAATCTTGGCTCAAAGTATATAAGAGTAGGAAATCCAGGTCGAGACTTTAAATTATTCTTTTTCCTATACTACAGGTATAAAATTGTTTATAATTTAAACAAAAAGTACACTTAATTTATTCTTATACGAAGTTGTTCACATATTCTATTATAGAAAGTAAAATGAAGTTATCCTACACATTATTAGTCGCTACTTTAGCGGCATCTGTTAAGGCTGCTAACTCTGAAGATGTTGCTTTCCTTACCGCCTTGGTCAGCGACTACAAGGGACATGGAAGTGACTACTTGAACTTTTTTGGAACTGCTTCCGATGTTCCAGGCGCTCTTTCAAGTCTTGCACAGCAAGTTAGAACTTACAAGGACGACTCATATACAACCCTTTTGGATAACTCCGATATTAACATTGGAGAATTGGAAAGTTATGCTACTAACTTACCATGGTACACCAGAGTTGCCTCTGCCGCTGGTATTACTGGTGATCTTGCTGCTGGCGAAACTGGCTCAGGCTCAGGCTCAGCATCTGCAACTGGATCAGGATCCGGATCCGGATCAGGTTCAGCTGCTGCATCTGTTACCAGTGCTGTTTCAAGTGCCACTGCTGATTCTTCATCTTCAGCTTCAGCTTCATCTTCAGCTGGTTCTACCTCCAGTGGAGGTGCCGTTTCCGCTGCCTACGCACCATTAGGTGTTGTTTTGGGAGCCGCAGCTGTTGCATTAATGTAATAACGCAGTATACCCATTCCCAATAATGTACATTAGGTTTCTATCTATCAAAAATATATAGCCGCAAAATTAAATGACTTCATAAAATATTTCAATACTGATATCCTCTATGGTACAACTGTAATTGTCACAATCCTAAAATTTCTATCTTCTAGCATCTGAAATATTTCGGGTGATGTTAGGAGCATCGAAAATTTCAAAATGCGGGGGAGGGGAAGCGTCGGGGCTCACAGGCAGAGAAGCTTTTGCACGTACATACAGCGGTTGACATAAAAATTAATTAACGAGGTTAAAGGCAATAACGATGACTGCTTCAGAATCAAGAAGTTTAAAAGCAGCACACAACATTACACGTGGTAACAAATATGTGGAGTAGAATAAGTAAATGGTATGAACAATTTATTGGACGTGAAGCTTGCTACTTGTGCTACTGAAACTAATTTACATCTGAAAAATTCACTTGCAGCTGTGCCTCGAAAAAAGAAAGAAAGTGGGGATATACCAATTAAGTTAGGAGTATTGTGACAACTAGAACAGCATAACAGTGAGTCCTGATAGGAGGGTTACTTTGGGATGCTATTCTGCTAATAGAATCATGAATAGGCCATACTGCTTCCTGCTACCACTCGTAGCATATAGGGCAATTAAGAACTAACTACTACAATTGTATAGAAAGTACATTTAGAACTTTAAAAATCTGAACTCTATTAATGAGGGCTTTTGACCGATCGTAAAAAAGGTGTCAAAACAACTACTTATTCTATAAATAATCGATCAGGTTCACGCAGCTATAGTTACGCTTTCCTCTCTTTTAAAATTCTGCCTGGTTCATTATCGGAAGAAGATATAGCCTGCAGAGTCTTACTCCTGTCTAACTGCCGGTATTTTCGGCAGGAAAATCTTAAGCTGTTAGAAACAACACTAAGTACTGTAGGTTCCACAAGAAATTATCGAAACAATCTATTGGAATACTCAGCTGTAAATCCACATATCTATTGTCTATGCACTTGCTTTGAGAGAAGCGTCGAAACAACTCGTTTGTATGATGAATTAGTAGCATCAAATTTCTATTTAGCAAGTTTAATCCAAATTCAAACGTAGGGTTTTTGATTATATGATTCCTAATGCAGTTGCTGGTCTTTGAAACTGCAACCTTTTCATTTAATACAGGATTGTAATATAGAGGGAAAGTAGATGATGTAGATCGATCCGCTATATGGCATTTGTCTTCTTTCCAGTGAATTGGGTACTTCAAATTTGTTTTGGTAATTGTAGCAAGAACCGACATCATCTGAGATATGTATGCAAGGGTTGCATTAACACGAATAACAGTCTCAGCAGCATTGTTTTCTTCATAATAGCATAAATCAAGCAACTGCTTCACGGTGGAAGGAAATTCTATATCTAAAATTTTAAACTTTATAGAATTATCGACGCTCTCGATGATAAACACGTCCAGAATTACTTCAGCAAACTTTTTCATTTGCTTTACAGTTTCAGGGTATATTGATGTTGTTTCCAGTTCATGTATTGGTTCAAACTGAGAATTAATGAATTCAATTTGATTTTGGGTGTAATCAATAGATGAATGATCGCTAATGAACTGTTTAGTTTCGTTTATCGCCACCTTTCGCCTGATAATCTGAGAGGAAAGGGTGTCGTTGATTAGTCTCTGCTTATTTACAAATTTGTCAAGAGTTGGGAGATCTTCTGCCGAAGTAGCGTCAGCCTTGTTCTGGGGATTGATATTCTGATCAATTTGATTTGAAAGTTTCAACTTTATCAGCGATAATTCCTTTATCGATTTGTAGATGTTATTCGTTGAACGAATAGAGTCAAAAGTATACGATTTTTTCTTCACCTGGGGGGTTGTAGCTATCGAATCTGGGGAAATTGGCTTTGCTACACACTTCTTTATGGTATAAAATTGGTCATTAGATAATTGTAGTATGATAGAGTTCGTCTTGAGAAAACTTTCGTTGGATTCGTCTAAGAGCGATGAAGGTATCTGTACTAGATCAGCATTAAGATCGATTGTGTATTTTAGAAGCTCTGTCCACCCTATCTTTTCATTAAGGGAATTAGCAAAGAGGCTAACCGACAAGGTCAGTTCCGTACCTAACTTCGGTAGTGATACTAACTGGAAATTAGGGTTGTTTTCTGAAGGTATCACTTCACTGACATAAAGTAGAACATCTTCACTACTCAACGTATAGAATGTATCAAGTATCGTAGTATCATCATCTATGAGGTTTCGGAAGTTGATTAAACGAACATGTCGTATCTTCCTATATATCATCTTGGGTACTCTCTATCAGTTAGGCAATTGTTTGTGCTTGCTATTGCCTTCGTCTTCTTCGCCGCGCAAGTTCAATCCAATCAGGCCTTTTCGCTTGTTTATGTTTGGCTTCGCTGACGCTTATTTTTCAACCTCTTAGAGTAAACATAAAAAATATTAGGCTTTAATTTAAAGATTGGAAAAGAATTATTAAAGAAGATAGATTGTTTTTTTTTTTTTCATATCATCGTTATCTTGATCAACAGTAACCGTTAATTCGCACACATCAAATCATACACTATACCCTTAGATATGGCAAACTATATGGTATGCTTGGCACATTTTTGTGAATTGCATGGGCCATCGACTATAATATGTACACAGAAGGTCGCCGAACCTGAAAAATCGAGCCTTTTTTTACCAGCCAACTCGATGCTTCAAACGTGCCAATCTTGTAAGCTAACCCTTCCGGATGACTCTGTGAACCTCCAATCCACCATTGGCGGTACATCTTACGTATCCACACAGTACCCAGCACTGCTGCAGCGTTACTCATCCCTTACCAAACTTGTAATGAAAACCCTCTCGGTTGAGACCACTCTGGATATCTCGAAGCCAATATTTTTTGGCGATGTTGTCAATGGATATTGTATAAACAAGATATTCAAGATATCCGATGCTAATGCCAGAGGGGGTGAAAGGAAATACTCCTTGATGGTTGTAAGCGATAAAGAAAAGGATCTACTCTTGCATTGGGATGACTTCAGTATTTACTTGAATGAGTTTATATTGTTGATTCAGCAACAGGCGCAGTATGTGACTGACGAATTGAATCCTAAGAAACTGAAGCCGCCAGCTACATCTTCGGCATCCACCTCAGGAAATAACCAAACCTCTAACACGGCCACTTTTGATAACGAGAGGTATCTCAGAAGATCGCTCATCAAACCTAAGTCATTAATTGATCTTACCAATGACAATGAGTTATTCGTAAAGATACATTTATGGGCTATTGAGTTGTTGAAAGATGTTTAGACGAGTTGCAATATACTAATAGGTACTCTGAAGAAGACCTATTTGGGGTACTAGGGGGGGTCTGCTATTTTCTGAACAGCTTTCCATTTGTAAACCTCAACCCATATATGAACAGTCCACATCAGTTACAAACAAACTTCTCTACGGAACTAGAGAAGTCGTAGTGAATAATATGAAACCGCTAAGCATAATTGCTGCCTTAAGCATATTCGTAATAGGAGGGCATATTATCCGATACGTGACTAACACCGCTGCTGGAATTAGCGCCTTGGATGCGGATAAGTTCCTAGATTGTGGTATCAAGGAGTACTCATTCAAATCGTTCTTGAAGAATGTAGAAGGTAGCCATGATCCAAGGGTCATGCCTAGTATTTGGCTCGAGGCTCTTGCCCAGGAGTTGTTTCACAATGATGAGCTCTTTGATTCAGAATTTGGATTGCCATTCCGCTGGCTGTCATGGTTAGATCTTGATCGAGCTGAGAACTGGAAATGTAGATACCTTCAGGGAGCTGACGCAGATTGCTGCAACCAAGTAGATGGAATCGTGAGTCCAATAGATAGAAGCTTTTCAGAAATAACTAGAAATATCATTGGAGCAAGCTATTTGGCGCATCAGGGATCCGTACCTGAGAGGGTACTATTCTTAAGCGGCGATGGTAATGACCTGTTGGCAGGAATCATTGTTCCGACATGCCCAAGTGGTATCCTAGATAGAAATTTGCTATTGAACAAATACAACTTGGAACATCTTGACTATCTAATATTGAATGAGAAAGCTAAGAAAGTGAATGAACTAATCAGAGAGATAACTACGCTGATCTCATTCATTGACGATAATCTTATGAAGAGAGATAAGATTAGAATTAAGACAGCACCAGACTTTCTCCTCAAAGATAATTTAGTTTCACTTGCTAAATCGGAGTTTATTTTCGACGTCAATTTACATATTGAAGATTCCAGCAAATCACTAGCGCAGTCACTTTCGACATCTTCGATTAATGATTTCGACTCCGATGTACTCTCAATGTTCACAGGAGAGTCAATTAATGGTGACAACGCGAAGTACTTCCACGAAGCGAATCTTATAAACTCAGGTAAGGGTTCACACTTCGATTGGCGATTTTTCCGTACCACCAAGATGTCGACCTATGAGCGGCAAGTGATCCTACATAGAATGGCGAGGGTATGGTTTAAATTCGCTAAGCTATCTGGAGTCAAGTCGTGGTTGGGTCATGGGACTCTACTTGGATGGTACTGGAATGGATTCAGCTTTCCGTGGGATGATGATATGGATGTTCAAATATCCATCGAGGGTTTGTACAAGTTGAGTAGGAATTATAATCAAACTTTTATTGTAGACATTACGGATGGAGAAGGGAAGTTCAACATTGGCATGGGTCAGTACTTCCTAGATATTGGGTCTCATATATTCGAAAGGGATAAACAAAAGGGGAATAATGTCATTGATGCCAGGTTGATAGACGTCAGAAGTGGTCTTTACATAGATATCACTGCATTATCTTTCACCCAGTCTGCAAAAGCGCTAATATTGCAAGACAAGAACAGTGAAGAAGAGTTTAAAAAGGTTCTAATGAATTATGCTGAGAACGATTTAAGCAAACAGATGTCTTATGAACAATTCTGTGAAACTAGAGCACTACTTTGGAACAGTCAAGCTTTATTCAACTGTAAAAATAATCATTTTTATACCATGGAAGAAGTGGGCACTTTGATCATGACGACCTTTGAAGGAATTCAATGTTTTGTACCTATAGGATTTGAGAAAATTCTAGAGAGAGAGTATGGCGAAGGCTTTAGGCAGCCGTGGTATGGGGGATGGCGATTTAGAGACTCAATTTGGGAGAAAGCTGGCAGGAGGAAGGGAAGCAAGGAAACCCATTCTGAACTCAAGCAAACCAATTCTATGACTGAAATTCACGAACAGGAAATGAAATACTTGAACCAAACTGATAACCTCCCAATATTTAGGCATGTAGTTGAGGAAATTGGCTCGTTCAGAATTGATCCGTGGATTATCAAACAGAGCCTACAGGCGGAGAGCTATTAGATTCGTTAGAAAGGGAATAAGTTCACTTAATAGATTAGTTAATACATGTTGGAGAATAAATCAATTCATTAGTATTTTCATCTATATATAAGTAGGGGCACCATGTCGGAGCATGGCACCTGGGCAGAACCAGGGTAGAGCCATGGCCGTACCATAACAGAGTTTATGCTTAGACTGCCATTGAGGGCTAAGAGCCAACCAGCGAGTTACTAAATGCATAGCAGAATGTACAGAATCAGGCGTAGAAATCAAAATTAGGCAACTATATAGCTCGACTTCACATTCTGGCAGTTTCATTTTCAGCTTAGATCCACTCCGAAGCGAGCCAATGGCCATATCACTCCGATGACTTTCCCCACCACCAACGCCTGACTTATCGCACCAAAAGAGTTTGAATCTATGGAGTGGAATGCGTTGTCACCTTCAACCCACAAATGGTTTCTTGGAATCCTTGCTTCTGGTCTGGGGTATGGAGGAGACTGTGTGTTAATTGTCTCACCCTGCATTCCTTGGATTCGCTTAGTTACAAGTTTCTCCGGATCCAAAGGGCTGTGGAACAATATTATGTCTCCTTTATTTAAGGAACCTGGTTTTTTTACATTGAATTTTTGTACTAGCACAATGTCTTTAGAGGTATTTGAGGTGTTAGGATTAAAAGTGGGGGACATCGACATACCATTGATTTGGAATGGTTGGTAGATGTGGTTAGTAAAGGTGTAGAGAACGGGGAACCATGTGAGTGTTACGATCGTAGTTCTAATACCAATGGGAAGTTGCGAAAAGGAAGGCATCTTCTCAGTACATTATCCGCCCAGCAAAGTTAGAAGATATATGTATGTATATTGATACGTTTCTGTCCTTCTTTCCAGCCAAGAGGTGGTGGTGGAGTCCTGGTGAAGTTTTCAAGACTCCCATGCCAGAGCAGTGATGCGCACGTGACTTTATCAAAAAAGTCATAGGCGCTCAGTTGCTGCTCAGTGAAAAATAGAACACCCTTCGGAGAGGCTTCATTGGGTTACTGTTTGTATAGAATTTATATTGTTATGTCTGGGAAAAGTGGCCTTTTGGATCAGCTATTAATTGAGGACATTGCACGCAACTGTCCACAGGAATATCTTGCATTCCACCAGTGTATGGGTAGGTCCACCCCAGATGAGAATAACTGTGCCTTACAGCAATATAATCTCGCTGGGTGCATAAAGAAGCTGGTACCTGCTTTCCAGCGGATTCAAAGCATCTGCGCCGGGAAGCTCCAGGCGTACGAAGCGTGCTTGAGAACCAGTGGAAGCAAAAAGAAATGTGAATTTGAACTAAAGGACTTGAGAGACTGTGCCTCCGGATCATTGAACTGAGCTTGAGCTATAGAGGGAAGGAAGGTGAACCCAAAAAAAAACTGCAACATAGATATATAGCATACAAACTAGATTGATTATGTATATAACCAGATCATGTTAATACTACATGATACGTCAATGATTGACATTATTCGACTAAAATCGAATGCTAATGTAGGCGCCAGGGGACAGATATAGATTTAGAAGTAGCGTATTGCAGGTATACCGAGTCCTGATACTTTTAAATTAACACACCTACAATTTTTTATGTTCAATACGATTTTGATTTTTTATTCATTTTTTTTTTCCCCCCATTCTACTTAACTTCTATATTTATCTGGTACGTTGTCTATTCTGACTTGAGACTTGAAATCCTGTGCAAGAGCCTGGAACTCTGGGTCATCCCTGTGGGTTTGCTCGATTTCGTGCTCATGGTGTAACATTTCATGTTCAATATCTTCAACATGTTTCACCAAAACGTCAGGATCTTGATTCGCATGGTACTTGTTCCAGTGATGTTCTTCGTACTCACTCTCAAAATCTAAATGGTGCCCTTGACCGTATCCAAAATCAGGCAATTTCCCACCTCTATCAAAGAAATCATGCAATTCTTGGAAACTAATCATCTCGTCGTTATTGGTATCAATTAGCCCTAAAATGGTGGAAATCACATTATCTTTAGAATCCTGCGAAATGATCTCTTGCTTCTCATCCTGTTCATGGACTCCCATACCGGAACCGTCGCCAATGACACTTTCTCTATGGAGCCCGTATAAGTATAAAATATCTCTCTTCAGCCATACTCCGTTGTTTGATATATCATGTAACCTGAAAAGTGTGTGTGTATCATAGGAAGATAAACCGTGTTCTTCAATCATATGCCACTGTTCCCAGGTCAAGCCTTCCGGTTTCGATTTGACAGTGTTGTGTTCACCACCGTTTCCACCGTGATCTCCGTGCGACAATGCTCCTGGAATAACCAACAAAAGCGCAGATAAGAATGAGCTTACAAACATTACGTAAAAAGAAGAAAGAGAACCTAACCGACTCGAAATGCCTTTAGATAAGAGGTTTAAAAGGTTGCAAGGTACGTGTGTCCTTCTTCGATCTATTTTTCACTCTGTATACGTGGACGTATATGCAGGTGCATATATGGTGCCGTTAAGCAGAGAGTAGCTTAAGCGAGCAGCACCAGAAGAGCCAGTAGAGATGGAAGAGAGGTAGTGAAAAGTGAAAGGGAATACAATTACATAAGTGGAGCTGTGGTGGACATAGATAGAGCTACAGGCCAAAAAAGAAAAAAAAAACACGCTAAGAAGCTAAGGGAGTGAATAACGCTGTTGGTATTCAAGTATATTTAATATGTCAAAATGCTTAGTGCATGCAGGCCGGTAGCACACAGGGAGGTATACTCTATCAAGGAACGTAGAGCAAAAACGTATGAAAAGAAGGATGGTTGAATCTGATTTTTGTCCCGTTTCTTACCTGAGTGCCGAGGTAAGACCCCTGCTACATTATGTTCTTATTTACTGAGTACTACATTAGTGTGCTTTCCTTATCATGCAATATGCTGCATTCACCCAAATTAGTAAGAGTCCCAAGAAGCAGAGTACACTAACGAAGGAAGAATCTTGCACGATAAAGGGATATTCCTTGACTATCTAAAATCTTTTCTCATACCATCTCTCATTCCACCCTCCTCAACTCCCATCCCCATTCTCCCATCCCCCACTCCACCTCCATCCCCATTCCCCATTCCCCATTCCCCATTTCATCTCTCTACCCTACGCTACTCCCTCATCCCTCGCCCGTGTTATATGCACACCGCTTCCCCATGTTTCAAAATCCCTCCACGTTGACTCATGCGACTGAAGCCAACCACAAAAGACTCTTCACTGCTCTTCTTGCTCTTCACTGGTACACACATCAATATATCTATTCAATTGTAATATGTCTAACCCAAATTTACCCTCAAAGCCTACGGAATCAAGAGTCGGGCGCCTGAACCAAAGATACAACCCAGAAACCGGGTCCCGCATGGTTGCGGGTTGTATCTGTTTGAACGACACCAAAGAGAAGGTTATCATGATCCTGTCCTCCGTCAACAAGGGCAAATGGGTTTTGCCCAAGGGTGGGATAGAGCTAGATGAAGGAGAAGACTATGTTGTCAGTGCCGTGCGAGAAACATGGGAAGAAGCTGGGTGTGAGGGCACCATTACGAGCAAGCTTCCAGTAGTCTTGGACTCACGGGGAATGAAAGCTCCAGTGTTGCACAAGGGAGACGGAAAGGAGGGCGACGGGGAGTTTGATCCTAATATTGTCATACCGAAGTCGGAATTCCACTTTTACGAAATGATCGTAAAGGATTTGCTGACTGAATGGCCGGAGCAGGCCTCTAGGGAAAGACGATGGTGCACCTACTCAGAAGCAAAGCATGAGTTGGTCAAGAGTAAGAGACCGGAGCTCGTTCAGGCTTTGGATCTGTCGTCCATAGTCAGGGATAATGAGGGTGAAGCCTATTGAACGTGTAGATTCCATTCCTGTAGCCAGATATGGTTCGATATTTAGCTGTGGTCTCAACATTAGTTCCAGTCCATGTGCTAGTAATAGTAGTTGTTGGAGTTGGAACTTCAACAATCACCGTGGCAGTACCACCCTCAGAAGCGGTAATTGTAGTGGCCGCCGAGCATCCGCTCGGCTCAGATTTGCTGACCTTGAGCTGAGCTCATCTTCGGCCTTCGGCCTGTCCTCTGGCCTGTCTTGGGCTCAAGCTCAGGCCCAGCTCAGGCCCAGCTCACGTCCAAGTCCAGACTTATGTCTTCGTAGCTCT